AAGAAATATGAAGGATATATATCAAAGATATTAAAAATATTTAAAAAAATAGATTCAAAACTCAAATTATCGAAATACAAGTTTGAAATACAGAAAGTAATATTTCTAAGATATATTATTCAATTAGAATAAATGAGTATAGATTCTAAGAAAACAAAGAAGGTAAAAAATTAGGAATAATTTAGAAATATCAAGGATATATAATCTATATTAGAATTCGTTAATTTCTATCGAATATTTATAAAAGATTTTTTGAAAATAATAAAATCCTTTATCGAAATAATCAAAAAAGGAATAATTTATATATAAAATAAAAAGACAAAACAAGTTTTCCAAAAAATCAAGGATAGATTTATAAGAGAATTTATTCTTTACAATTATCATAATGATTAAGAAAGTATTATCAAAATAGATATTTTTGATATTTATATAATAGAAATTCATTTATAAAAAAACAATAACAAAAAATTATATTCTATTATTTATTATTCGAATAAAATAAACAAAATAGAGCAAAATTATAATATTTATAAAAAGGAATTCATAATTATAATAAAAATATTAAAATATTGAAGGATTTATCTTTAAGAAGTTAAATTCCTAATAATCATTTATATTGATTATATAAATTTTCGAATTTTTATTATTATTAAGATTTTAGATAATTGTAAATTGATTAAATAGATTAAGAAATTAATAGGATTCAATTTGATAATCAAATATATTAAAAAAAAAGATAATACAAAAATAGATATTTTAAGTAAATCGTTAAGTTATAAAAACAATAAAATCTATTAGGAAATAGTAATCTTGAAATCCTTATCAAATGAAGATTTTATCTTTAATCTGATAGAAATCATTATTATAGAAAATAAATTAACAAAGATTTGAAAAGATAAATTTATAAAAGTATAATAGAATAAAGAAGGTATTAAATAATTAGAATTATTAATAATTATTGATAGATTGTTATAAATAAGAAATAAAATATAATTATTAAATAGTATCGCTTTTGAATATATTATAAAATAATATATATTATTAATTTATAAATATCAAGAAATGTGAAGAATATATTTAAGAATCAAAAGGTAGTATTGAAGTTTGGGATTTTGTAATATAATTAATAAAATAATTATCGAATGTAATACTTGTATTAGGAATAAGGTTTTTTGTTATACTTTTTATAAACAGATAAATATTATCGAAATATTATTTATATTATAAAAATCAATATTATAAGATTTTATAAGTTTATTATTAAAATCTAAGAATCTAATAATAGGAATAGTATATAATTATTTTTTCATTATAATAAATAAATTAATAAAATACTTAATATTTATATTATATCAAATAATATTAATTATAAAAATATTAATTTCTATATTTTTAAAAGAAATTGTTATAGTATATAGATTATCAAAAGAAATATTCTTTAATAAAAATAAACTTTTTATATCGAAATTTTGGATTATTCTAATAATATTATTAAAAATAAAAATAAAATATTTATTATATTTTATTTATAAATCAATAAAGGAAACAAAAGAATAAATCAAATTATCGAAGTTTATTTTTAATATTATATGAATTATTAATAGAATAATTGAATAGAATTTTTATTTTTAGTATAATTTGTATATGATAATTTAATATTAGAAATAATATAAATCATTTCGAATTATATTAATTATAAATATGAATTGATTATATATTATAAATCAAAGATTATAAAAATAGAGAATTAGTTTGTAATAGTATAAATAAAAAGATTTAAAAAGATTTATAAAGAAATAATAATAAAATTGAAATTTGTTATTAAAAGAAATATATATTATTATAATTAAAAATATAATTAAAAATCAATATTAAAAAAAAAAATTAAAATCTATTTATTTCAAAAAAATATCGAAACAAAAAGATCTAATACAAAATTGGATTACAAAAAACTTGGATTATTCAAAATCAAAAAGATTAAAAGATTTTTGAATTATAAATTGATATTATCAAAAAATATGAATATATATTCAATATTTTATATATTCTTATTCGAATTAATATCCTTAGAAATATTTAAAACTTTTGAAATAGAAATTATATTTACAAACCAAAATACCGAATACAAAATGAAGAAGATATTAGATTATAAATATATTAGAAATAAGATCAAATATTTAATAAAATAAAAAGATTATTCTGATTTCGAAAATATATAAGAATTTGAGAAAAAGATTAAATATTTGAAAAAGTTCTAAAAATTTCATTAATAGAATCTGAATTTATTTAAAAGAAAAAGGAATTCATTGTTTTTTACAAAAAAAGATCGAAAAAATCGAATTTGTTTATAAAAATTTTGTTAAGATTAATAGAATCAATTAATAATTAATCAAATTGATTAAATTGATCAAATTGATTAAATTAATCAAATTAATCAAAAAACAACAAAAAGATTATAAGAATTTCTTTATTCTTTTCTTTTTGTTTCTTTTCTTCGAAAACATCAAGTTTATCAAAGTATTTGAATTTACAATATAATATTTCATTATATCGTTTTTTGAATTATACTTTCTATTTAACAAAGTAAATAATTTTAATAAAAGATTCAGCGATTTCAATATTCAATTTATTAATCTATTAATCAAGATTCTCTTAATTATATTCCCAAGGAATTTCATAATTTCAATCATCTTCCAAACGAAACTCAATATTATATAAAACAGAATTTCATATATATTCCGAATAATACAAACAATATTTATCAAAAAGATTCTTAATATAACAATAATTCTTTTATCGATAATAAAAACAAAAAATTATTTCAATATTAATAAAATCGATAATTATAATTAAATATATATATTTCTTTTTCTTTTTTCGAATTAAATTATTAAAGAAATCAGAATTGTTTATAATAAAGAAAAAAAGATAAATAGAATATAAAAAAAGAAAAAACACTAATTATCAAATAAAATCTAAAAGATTATAAACAATTAGAACAATATTTAATTAAAAAAAGAATAATATTATGATTTACAATTAAAATAAAAATATATTGAAAAACAATCGTTAATATATTTATATAAACTTAAACTTTATCGAAAAGCAAAACGATTTATATACAAATTTGTATAATAATCGTCTTTTATGATCTCTTTACTTTTAACAAATTTGAATATATAATCTGATTCTAATTATATAATAAGAAACCTTAAAAACTTCGAAAACTTCTAAAGCTCCAAAAGCTTTTTGAAACTTTAAAATTTTATAAAGCTTCTTTATATTCATTAATATATAATCAAAATAGTTTCATAATTTAAGAGCTTCATATTCAATTTAATTATCAATCAGTTTACCTACATTCCAATTGATCTAGTAATGTATTCATCTTTGAATAGATAACCAATGATTATTAGCCTTAACCTACAACTACCAACCAGACGAATCCTGAGGCAGCCGCTGCCTCAACCAGATCGTTACAACAGGTTGACTGTTACCCTATAAGAGCAGGCCCCTGATTATTATTATTATTATTATTATTATTAAAAGTTATATTTGTTTATTTTATTATAATTTATAAGTCACTATTTTTATTTATTAAGATTTATTATCTTTATTTATATAATTTATAATAGATATTAATATATTCAAAATTATAAATATAAAAGAGAAAATTGGATATTATAATAAAAATAAAGAAGAATGAAATAAGGTGGAATAAAGATTAAAAGAATCAAGATCAAAAGAATGAAGTTTAAATTTATCAACGAGAAGATATAAAAAAAAAAGAAAAAAAAAAGGGAAGGAATTTGAAGTGAGGAAGATGATTTTATATAAATAACTGATAAATATTTTTTTATTATTCTATTAATTCTCGAATAGAGAATGAATGAAATCATTTCTATCTTTTGAAATAAATAGTAAGGATAATAAAATTGATTCAAATCTTATAATTATATATAAAAAGAAGAGTATATTAAGGTTTATGAATTTCCTTTCTTAGATTTATAACTTGAACAAATTATTTTTCATATCTCAAAAATGAAAGCAAAATCTATAAAAGCTTTATTTGAAAATATATTTTGTCTCTCAAATATATCTACAAATACATAGTTTTATTACCTTTATAATGATCAATTCTATTCTAGCAATAACGAATAAGATAATTAATATATGTTTTATTATTGCCCTTCAAAATAAATTGATTAATTTGAAAGGAATTTATCCAAAATCTTTTAAGGGTTATTACAATATTAAACCGAAATAATACACAACCTTTCAGTATATTCATTAAATATACTTTTGTTATTATTTGAAATATAAATTAGTTTTCCGATATAAGTTAGTTTTCCTTTATTATAACTCAAATTTTTTCGAATATAAAGCGTATAATAGAACTATCCATAATTAAAAGCTAATAGAATATCAATTTCTAGATCTGCAGACCTCGACCGAGCTCAAATATCATTATTGGACCTCCACCCGTGACCAAATATAACAATCGGTATCATTTATAAGCAGATGAATCGGAAATTGAGGTGAGAGGGATTGGAAAAGGAGTGAAAAGATTCAAGAAGTAAGGAAAAGGTGGGGAGGAGGGGTTAGGATGAGTGATTGATGTTGGGCAGCAATGGGAGAGGAGAAGGTAAGAAAGAGGAGTGATGGGATAGGGATGATATGAAAAGTGTGGTAAGGAGGGCGGATGATATAGGTGTGGGTGAAGAAGATCAAATACAATAAAACCATTAAAAGAAATAAGTTAAAGAGAGTGAGGAGGCAGATAGAAAGTGGGAAGGAACGAAGGAAACCAGAGAATCAAGATAGGGGTAAAGTGAGAGTAGAAGATGAAGGGGAATCAAAACAAATTCAACAATCGGCTCAATAGTATTCAACCGAAAATTGCACGGAGGTCTACATTAGGAGTGATGTGGTACACGTTACAGAATTATCACTTATCTCAGTTCTGATGGATCCAGAACTGCTAAGCATTAAGACTACCGAAGATTTATCGGTCATTTTGAGGTATCGCTATGTATAATGGCTAATTCTTCATTGAATATGAAAATTGTTTTTTCGGATACACGTTATGAAATTGGGTGGAGTAATATGTGTAGATGCTTCAACGCTGCAAGCAAACCATGATAATTGCTTAAAAGGTATGGACCATACTCTTTCATATGAAGAAAATTTTCTGGCTTCAATTCCGGCATGCCTTCCTGCAATCCTTCTCCTGTTCCTAGGAATTCCATCCATGGTCGATTACAGCTTGCTATTGTGATAAATAGCTCGTTGGCACACATCGATATGAGCCACGAGCTATAGAGTATATTAGCAAGTTAAACAAGTAACGAACGAAGATAACGTACCGTTGCAAAGCCGAAGCATTATCATCTATACGAAGTGGATCTTTGTTCTTCGAATACATGAATGCTACCATTTGAGCCACCTCTTGTATGCGAACTTCGTTTGTTCGGTGACCACGTTTGACTTCCAAGAAACCCAGGATATCGTTTTTGTTGTTGGGATGTGTAATTACACCATCAACCCGAGCTTCGTAGGCTTTGGTGTCCTGTAGGACAAATATGTAAGCCTTTCGCTGTGGGTCGACATTGCCAGATATTCCAAGGGGCCAAGAGATAGGCAACAGCAAGTTGATAAGACACTGATTGACTGTTTGTTCATCCTGCACCTTTATTCTAGCTCTTTCGTATCTTGAGACAGATTCTTCAGCGGATAATGGTAGCTCAGCTGATTCGGTAGTACTGGGCATACCCAAGTCCATCTCACCGGCCAATGTACCAGCAAAGTCTAATTGTCCAGTTGATTTCTTGATTGGTATCACGAAGGGGTCTCTTCGCGGTTGTTGAAGTCGAGTTCGTGCAACAACAGGAGTGGTGACATATCTCACTGCAGATTCTTCTTCTTCGTCTGTATTATTCCGTTCAATGAGTGCCAAAAGTGACAAAAATGGTCCGAAGGATCCTGAATTGATGAAATCGTCTAGAGTCCAATTTTTGGAAGGCTTCTTTACTATTCGAAGTAGTGGCTCATAGTGTTGACCCATAACTGCTGCCTCGGCTTGTGACTGACGCGCTGCTGGAAACATTTGCCTATCATTGATCCATTCCTTTAGAGACTCGGGGCACACTAGGGCCTTGCTGTAGAGGACCCGCAGGAGAATAGCGTTTTCGAATTTAAATTTGCTCCCACTCGCGAAGTTCGCACTTCCAAAATCCTTATTATCGATTTCGGCATAGGACCGTTGCCACGCTCCAATATTACTTGGAAGATCAGACATGGCCGGCCAGGTTAGTTGGGATGGTTAGCTGGGATTGATATCATGGAGAAAACATCAGTGAGGGATGGAACTGAACTCTATTACATTACCCCTCAATGTGCCAAGGAGCTGCCACTCCTCTTATTTTTTCGTGGCACCTGAAAACCTACCTCGCAGCTCGTCTTCCAGACGAATAAGTATAATGACATTGATATCATTCAAAAGCTTCCATTCTTATAATTATTATTTTATTTTCATTTTTCAATTTGTATAATAATTATATGATTTGTATTGAATCAAAATCTTGTTGAAAGATTACACGTGACAGTTTCGAGAAAAGGTTCTAGTCTGTGCGGGACCTATTGCGCATTTATGTGGAGGCGAGATAGTTAGTTTTTGGATAGTTGTCAGAGCAACAAAGCAAGACAATCATAGAAGTAAACAAAACTTTACGAATAATAACATTGCAAATAAATCACAGGCAGGATTACGATCCTAATTATCTTGAAATTTACCATGTCGCACTTCACTACGTCTGCTCGCCGACAGGCTGCTGTCTGGATTAACAAGTCCATTCAGAAGTCTGAGCATAGGGAAAGCGAAATCTTGACGAAAGAATTCCGCGATATCTTTGGCATCATCATTGACTCAGCCAAAGATATGCCTATGATTCCGACAACCTTCACTGGCCGTGCTGAGACACCTCAATCGGATGATGAACTGTTCTTCTTCTGCCCTGAAGATCTGTTCTACAATAGCCGGAGTGTCGCCGCTTCACTCCACAACGACATGCAAGATTTGTACTTCCAAGGATTAGGAGAGCTTTATTCATGGCCGTATGTTTTAAATAATCCGTTTCATTATACCTTTACAGTCTGCTAACATTTGACAACATAGAGACATGTATGAAATACACTTTTTGCGTTGGGGCTTCACAGCTGTTTGGACGACTGGCGATTTAACAGCGCTTGCTCTCTCAATCCATTCGCGCTTTGCGATGAATAACGAAATTCTAACGACCGAGTTTATTGCATTGTATAGGCTTGCTCTTACTGCTTGGAGAACTGATAAAAGCAGTCATCAAAGGATTGAGAGAGAAATAATGGAAAAACAATCACCTCAATCGTCTGCATGTCAACCTGTGTCACGAAGATTACCTGTCAGTCAGAAGTATATTTATGTGAGGTTCAAGCTAACTTTTAAATACCAGATCCGACTTATATCTATCCATAATCATAACATCCGAATCTTAAGTACGATCATTACAGATGAATATTTCTTTTCATTCAAGAAGGACAGTCCACCCAGCTCCAGCAAATTGCATGTCCATATCAAGTCGATTTCGGTAGCCGAATACAGTTATGCTAAGATGAAGGATCTCGCAAAGGAGCTATTTATTCCAAAGAACAAATAGGATCATTGGAAACTATTCATATCTTACCTTGAACAGGTTAAGATTCCAGTCAGTCAGATACGGGCGCAATGGGTTTTGAGTCATTCGGGTTTGGGCGAGTTTTGTATGGCTTATGCAGGTTGCCTTGGGTTCATGGTGAATTTATGGATAATTTTTGGAAGAAGAGATTTCTAGTTCCATCTTGGGAGTGCCTTCGTTATTGTATAACTAGTTTTCGCTATGAAGAAAGGTGATGGATTTTGAAGGGAAATTGCAATAGTAATAAGGACAAAGAGAGAAGTTAAAGGAAACATATCATTCTTATTGTTCATCTTCCTGGTCTTATACAATGTACAACGACGAAAAGGCTAAGGCCGATTTCACTACACCCGCAGATAGTTGAGATGTATCTCCTGCTACTCCTCTTCTCAAGGTTAACCGCGTTCTCCTTGTCTTCATATTGCGCCCGAGAACTCTCCTGCTCGACAATCGCACCCACGATTCCGATATATATTTGCGACGCAAATTTTGGCACGCAAGACCACGAAGATGACGATGATATTTTTGGTCCAGAAAGGATAAACCCCAATCATATCAATGGTTTTGAGGTACAAACACAGGCCCCGTTCACTCCTAATAACCACGTTACCTCCTTCCTGAAGGAACTTGTTCCCATACCCAAAAATACCAACGGTAATTTTGTATACAGTACGATAAGGTCATTGAGGATGTGAAGGGACTGGTATTATTGCAGTTAGATGGCATGAATAGTCGATCAAGGCCTATTATAAAGCTGTCGACTAAGATGCTTGCTACTTCAAATGTAATCTTGCAGTCAAGACGTTTCAGAGTGCACCCTCTGTCTGATTAGTACCTGAAGGGCCCAACCTAAGTTGTTAACGATGGCCTGGAGCCAGACATTAGGCTAACCTGTGAAGATCGTGCAAATGCACAGGGACATTTTCGGAGCTCTCAGTATCTCTTTCATTAGAAGGCGTATAAGTTTTGGGGATGGGTGGGGAGGAGGCACCGGGGTAATACACAATCACAAGTTCGCAGATCAAAGCTCGAAATAATAGACACGGATTTAACTGAGGTTCACATAAATTGGTTGGTTGCCTATGTTCAGAAAATAGAGCCCATCCGTGACCAGCTGGCCACTGACGTTGGTTGGGTTTAATCATCACTGGAAGTTGGGGGAAACTTTATGAGAAAATGTTATCAATGGATATTGTGAATGTTTACGAACGGAGGTGGTCAAGGGAGAAAGAGCGTTATCGCGGAATAAATGATGTTCACCGGTCATCTTAATGGAGAGAACGACGAAAAGACTGGGAGTGAAAGAAACAAGCAAAGCAACGTGGTAGTCACCACACTGTTAGGCTTGGGTGTTACGTCAGACTCCACAGAGCACCACGTCACCTGACCCAAGGTCATGTGATGGACCCTGAGGATCTAGAGGAGCTAGGAATCCGGATCCCAGGTCCACTACATCCAAAGGATCCAGGAAACACGAAGGTCTATATAATCAGGATGGATTTCTTTACTGTAGAGCTTCGTGGTCAGGATCAATCATTTAGTCTTCACTACTATTAGTTACGAATTGCAATCACTATTACTTCAGCCCCTGCTTGACGCCTAGTTATAAACCACTTCGAGGATCCAGACCACTTCCACGTGATCTAGATCGCAACCCTCGTAAAATTGGGGCTCTGCACTTTCTAGTTCCAGCCTGTTTATGTTAGTGGATATATCCAGTTATGCGTTGTCTGATTCAACTTTTTTTGATAACTGCTGATGCATGCATTCTGTTATTTCTTTCCTTAAAACCAAGCTCATCGTTAAGGCATCATCAGACAACACAGTCAAAGTTGGAATGGCATTCTTTTCTATTATAGAATGTGGTAGATGCATCATTAAGAACTTGTCAAAGAGATCAATGAGTATGAATACTATTAAGAACGACAAAGGACTTTGACAATAGGTGGAAGGTCAAATGTATGAGAAAGAAATGGAGATGTCTAATTAGCTCCTTCGAATAAGCATGCGGTCCTACTATAATGTCTTTTGATAACGATGAGAGTGTTAGTGGACAGTAACCTTTTGTGGTATCGGCGCGGATACCGATCCACGAGCTCGCACAGGCGTATCCCAATGAAGGATCATATAGGATTCGAAGGGCAAACCCCGAAAGCTGCGCTTCTCCGTTTCTGGATGGTATTATATATTAGACGGGTTCAATCAGAGGGCTTTAAAATTAAACCCAACATTAGCTGGTATGGAGTTTGTAGAGTAGTTTAATAGATGGTAGATTTCTATTTCATTTAGTTGAACACTTAATGGTGTATAAGAGACGGAATGAATAGAAGAACATATAATGGTTTTTGTATGCTAGAGTCACCAAGGGACAGGATGGTAAATAAATTAAGGTTGACTGCGTGTATTGAGAGGAAAGAAATTAGATCCCGTTAACCTTGTCTGACTCTAACCTATTAAATCATTACCTTGCTTCGACCTAGATGCATCTGAGATTGTTGTGAAGAAAGAAATTATGATTTTGTGTTGGGTAAAGGCAACGCGGAGTCGTTAACTGAACATGAGATCGTATTACTAAGTGGTGAACTTCCCAAGATAGATCTGGGTATCATCTCCTTTCTTTGCGACCCGAGCTGAAGACTTTAAGAACAGTAAAAGTAACCATATGAAAGACCCGGTTCTAGAGTTTGAGGCATTGATAACCGAGGCACCTTATTGGGCTGGACGGCAATGGTTACGATTTGATGAAGGATGTATATAAAGATCTTCAGGAACTTATTGGGTCATTGCTATATTGTAAGATAATGATGGGGTGGATGCAACTTTGGCTAAGATATTACAATTCTTATTGAACCCATATCCACAACATTTGAGATCAATCGTATATGCTATCATTTATCTAAAAGTTACAAGACCTCTTTCCTTTATATACACCGGAGTCAAGGAGTAATAATGAATCATAGCTTCGGATGCACTGGGTAACACAGCCAACAGTTCAGATGGTGTATTATATAACTGCGTGGATGTGGTCTGGTATATCCCTATTGGTCAGCTTTCTTGTTACAAGACACAAAGACCGCTGAGAATTATAGCGGTCGGAGATCCCATTGTTATCTATAGACTTTTCTTTTGTTGAAGAATTATGGTACATTGTTATAGATATACAACAAGACTTTTGCTCATATATATTTCATCATTAAATAGATCCTGGAATAACCCCTGTGCTCCCTCAGCATACTGACTGATCATATTGGAGAAAGACAGACGGGAATATTACAAGAGGGAGCTTTCTGGGGGAACACAGGTATGTACAGAAGTGCATCCTAAATCAAGGCTGAACGTATGAGGCTTCCGAAAAGTACAATATCAAGAACTAAAGCACCACCCGAGTAAGAAATGCAACATCTCCGAAAAAAAATGCACAGACAACAGGAAGAACGGCCATAGAGAAAGCAATAGAACGCAGTGAACAAGAGAGCAAGAATGTTTCTTTTGTTTGGTTGACCAAGACGGGAACTTTTGATACAGTTCGCTCATATCTCGACTTCTTCCTGCGGATCGATCTGCGCGGTAAGATTGTACGACATGCAGCGGATGAGATTCGGAAAGGGCTAGGCGCCGATTAAGTGGCCTATGAGGGTAGCTACCTGAAAGCCTTACTGAACGACTAGGGCGCTTGTACGACCTTGGAAACCTAGGGTGGAGCACGGATTCTTCGAAGCATAACTGCTATTATTGTGGTCATTCCATTCATGTGATCTGCGGTCTTGGATAACAAGGTGGTCTTAAGCCAATTCTCAAGCCCCATAACGGTCCAACTAGAACGCCCTCTCGGAAACGGCAAGTCTCTTCACCTCTAGAATAATTTTATCTGCATCAAGATGAGGAATCCGATGGTAATGTCTTTTGACCTTAATAAACTATAGGCATACGTAAGAATCCAGCGCAGAGAGAAACTCGCTGCCACTACCGCCGCTATTAACCATGGATCGGACGAAAAGTATATGGATTGAGAATCTCTGAGGTGTACTTGAACGTACATTAGCCTTGATACTGTATCTTTTGGATGGAGATTAATCACTTATTTTGTGATCGGTTCGTATTGACTGGTGTGCAACTTGTACGTGGAGAGGAGGTTCCGTATTCTCTTATTCTCTAGAGACTGAAGTCTCAATGTGCTTGGGTGCTTGGTGCCAATCGTCCTTAGTCCCATCGCAGGTTTTCTTTGTATTGTGCTGATCAATGGTCTGGTTCTCCATACAGGTAGTACTCCTCTTGCTACCAGGTTGATGATCCTGTCAAATATCGGTATGTCTCCTTCTAAGCACGTTGACACCACCGTACTGAGGAGAGCGCTCGCCGAGCAATTTGGCAATAGTTGAACTGGAGATCATGCTTCTAATAAATAAAGAGCCTAAAATAGTGCACAGACGGGTGCTGCTGCGAAAAGACAAGTTGCAAGAGACTATGCATGATGCAGACCAGGGTGTGTGTAAGATGTGCTACTCACTAGGCTTTTGTCGTTCTTTCGGAGATTTGCCTTTTGAAAGGAAGTATCTAATCGAAATAGACTAGAATAATTGGCTATGAAGTACCAGCTCGCAAATTTACCCTTTTGTGTATGGCATAAATATATTTCCAAGGTATGGGTTGCCACAATCGAAGGTATATATGTGGCTATATCTCAGTGCAATCTAATATTACCGAACTTTTCTGGATGCCTGGTGTATATCATCAGCATATCCACAGCGGAGACTAGTATCTTGGATCAGTAATTCAGCCAAGTAAAAAACGTGCAGTGCTAGATATAGAGGGGATACTTGAAGGGCCCACATAAAATTCAATGTTTTTCTGTGGTAGTATCTTCTATTCGGACGTGAGCTTCCCTTCTGTCGGGAAGAATCCGACCAATACAATCAACTTATTACCCACCGCTGCTTGTACATTCTATCAAATAACCTTACCGGAAGCTTGACATCGAAAGTAGATTGATCCTCCATTGCAACCATAGTGACCTCGGCCTTCTTAACAAATACTGTTTCCATAGCTTGAATAAAAACTACAGCAAAGTCCCAGACTGATTCCTTCAAAAGAGTCTCATAATGCTAGGAACTGATTATGTCTGATGAGATCACTATCCATGCTAGACATATCTCTATCATTTCCTCTAATACATCTGCAATTTCCGTGATTAGGGCTATCTAGACCGATGACTTGTCTTTCTCCCTGACCATGGGAAGTATTACAACTTAAGCTAGCTTCCGATGGGCCTGGTAAAGCTTAGCTATGAGCAAGCATTTGATTAGAGCCAAGATATATTCTTCATATACTATCTCAATATACTTCAATACTCGAACTGTCATTTAATTTGGGTCCGTCAAGGTGAGTTCGAAGGTGATGCGTTATGTCTAATGCAGAGAAAGCTGAGTTATCCAAGGCAAGGAGAGTGAAAGTTCCTCACTGCATCTTCCACATAAGAGATTATCAGTACTGTTGTATGTACCCAGAACTTCCTCGGGGAGACTATCGGTGGAGTTTCAGCTTTTTTCAACTTCATTCAATTATGCGACCGTCAACTACAGGTGGAAAGAACTTCAAGCTTGGGTCTAGATTATGTCAATAGATGACCTTATACAGGTCCCAGTTATCCTTTTTTTTTTATCAATAAACTATCCTTAGTAGCCCATCTTAGCTTTCCATACTATATTCCAAATGCTTTTCGTGTGCCATCTGTATCGAGCTGTATCATCCGGGATCGATATTAAACTTTGTGAGCCTCTGTGAAGTCCGAAATCCACTACAAACCATCCTTATTTGTCCCTGTGTAAAGTACTTTCCGCTTTGATTCTTATCTCCAAGCCTTCGGATAGTCGGCGATATTCCTTGTGACACGGCCTGGAAGGTAAGGACCTTATTATTTAGAATTCCGGCTAGTCTAGAGAGGTCTTCGTACTGCATACGATTCTCTAATACCGTCTAAAAGTATTTCAACGAATGGGAGGATCGCTGATTCAGATTGTGTAATCAGATCCACAGTGGGAGTCCGCCCATACTGTCATCTCAACGAAAGGAGCACTGGAAAAGCCGAGATCAGTCTTGCATCCAGTGTTTTGATTAGATATTCCAGGCGTACTGATATACTCCAATCTACCCAATACAGACCATGTTGCAGGTGCCTGTCATGAAGAAGTCAAGATAGCCCGAGGCTCAATGAATTCGTCCCCCGAGGTAGAGATATTTCAGCGTAATCATTCGCGGAGCTGCACCTGGGTCTTGCTGTTAAGACGGGGATTTTTATAGTAGCTAGGTTTTGGGTTTTGGTTGCAGCTGGCACATGGTCTTCTACTGACAAGAGAGCACTTGATGACTTTATCATTGACTATTCAGGAGACCACGGGGAATTCAATGTATCCTGCATGTTAAGGTTTCCAGTACCCTACACATTTGATAGACTGGGGTGTATTTGACATAAAATAGTCCTTCATGATTGGCGATCAGTAGGCTATACTTGTTGCATCTCGCATACCTATGACAGTAAAGTATATCACAATATGTCTAACATCCTGCGTCATGAAGTTCCATCCCTTATTCTTTCGTCTATACTCATAATCATGCAGAGACTTGATGTGTTCGAACGGTCGGGACAGTTGCTCAAAAGTGGACAGCCCAAGCATCCAGACCGTTCTGATAGAATAGTATCGGGATATTCTTCACCTGACACATAATTTCGTTGACTATGACTTCAGTAATAAGGTCGCTCCCATTAGAGAACTTGGATAAATATTGAGACCCCAGCAATGAAGTGGGAATGTCAGGGCCCTGGCTTCATCGCTCCTCGCTTTTTAACTCTCTCCGGATATGCCTGATGTTTTATTTTCATAGTATGGGATTTCCGATTTCCTCCGATCTCGCTGAAATATCCAGCCGGTTCGATCAGGGGTGATCTCTGGCACATTGTCTATTGGGGTATCAACGATTGGGATACCAGAAATTTGGCTCAATATATACGGGCTTTTGCATATCAATAGAGTATCTGATCCAGTTGATTTTGAGGAACGTTTGTGCGTTCTGGTTACTTCCTTGTCTCATTCTACTATTCCAGGCCATGCCCATATATTGATTAGCATTATCGTAATTCATTTTGTTTGGCGGACGTTATGTATTAGTCATTAATACCGAATGGGGTTGGGGAGGGCGTTTATACCACCAGATGACGTAATCGAAGTTAGGGGATACCATAGTGATGGTCGCATCGCGACGCAACAAAAACCCTACCCATTAATCAAACTCAAGTGTTTTCGTTTAGAGGACCGGAGAAACTTGAGGAGTCATATGACTCCTGATGTATAATTAGAAGGAGAATTCGCTATAGCAGCTCTAGGTTGTATGTATACACCTGAAAGCATTTTAAAGCCTCTAGCAATACACAACTTTGCTAGCAGGAATCTAATGAAATAGATAAACCGGAAAAATTCCTACCGAGTCGAAAGTTCATTCTAACTTAAAACTAATACACATTATACCGATTAGCTGGCATTAGCTAGCTAGACGCTAAGGAAAAAACAGGTACGCGAATAGCCAAATAACAGCATATTGGGATTGAAGCTTGAGAGAATTTCTGGAAGTCGGATTTCGATTCAAATCATCTTGAGTGTTGATAGATTTAGAAATAGAAATTGAAGATTCCTGCAACGTGATCAATGCTTGTCTAATATGTTGAACAGTGTTCCACCATTTCGTCAATGTTGTCCTTGGAAGTGGAGAGAAAGCAAACCAAAAGGTAGTGGCGAATGAACTCATATATCACGGCGATTGTAACGAAAACCACAATTTATAAGTAAATTTTTGGAATTATTCTATTCTAGGTAAATGCGTGCATGCCCTAAGGAATGGAGAGCATGCATATGATATTAAATAAACAAAAAAGGTAACGATGTCGCTGAAGAACTGATCAGAAAACAATGTTTACAAGTTCATGCCGTGTCTTCTCCTCTCCTTCGTTCCCCCGGTTCCTCCGGCTCCTCATCTCCTCCACTCTTCCCCTTCTCTAGATTTAGTACTCCCATGCGGAAGGTCCAGCAGAGGGGTTTGAAGCAGTGGCAATAGCAATGCTGGTACAGTTTCCAGTACCCTCTCCACCTGGGGTGACGAAAACTTGGTAGGTACCAACATCAGTGGAAGCGCAAGCAATGAATCCGTAGTCACCATTGTAAGACAATGATCCCAAGGTGCTACCCACGCCGGCAGTGTAGTTGAATCCAGTGAGCTTTCCACCAAAGGTGTTGGCAGAGTGAGGTTCGGTGTAGGAAACAGCGTAGTTCTTTGCAACGTAGACTTGTTGGCCACCTGGAACCTCAGTGTTCAAGGAGAGAGAGGTTTCAGCACCAGCGACAAATGATGTGTATTTTCCATCTGTGTATTGGTCAGTTATATGATTGTTTGTGTTCATGAGGTTAATACGTACCAGGGCAGCCTTCAGTGAATGGGCAGTATGAGGAAGGCTCTTTGCCGATCCAGAGACCACCTTGAAAGGCGTTGATGGCTTGGCTTTGGAGGTCAGTGCCGGATCTGATGGAAACAAGGCCAAAGGAACCGCTTGTAGAACGGGCAGCGACGATTGGGGATGCGGCAGCGGAGCCGGCAAGGAGGGCGGCGATGAAGGTCTTGGAGAACATATTGATTGTTGTTGATTGGTATTACTTTAAAAGTATAGAAAGAGTGAATTAAAAGATTGCGTGAATGTGTTTGATTGATGTGATGAGATGATGTGTTGATGATAGATTATCTATGTGAACTTCCTCGACACTTATATATTCATGTCTACTCTCCCTGTCGCCCCTTTCGATATACAGAAAAACAGCCTTAAGCTATGACTTCATCGGCTTTACAATTCCAGTAGCCGAAAAAATGGGGAGAATGCATGGTTACTTTCAACAGTCCTATTGGTGTCGAAGATGGTACCATCATTCTCCTTTCGACAACGACTCTACAATACGGCTTGTAAAATATTAACCGGACCCCATATATTGCTCGTATTGAAGACTTGGCACGGTCGTCAATGCAGAAATCCTTTTTTTGGCAACGGTGCCATGATTTAAAGTGGATTACTCCACACATGATGCAGAGAACGACAACAGTGTTTTCATGCCCTATCAAATTCGACCCATTGATGTGTTTTCTAGAAATTTAGATGGAACAAATGGATGAACCCTTAATTTTCCTGTCATGATGAATTTTTATGCACCGGTTTAAACAGCCACCTCCTTGGATTCGAGGACATCACTTTTCCTTTTCATCGTAGCACAGCTTTATTAACTCATGTCTGTACCCATCGTCGGTTAAAGTCACTAAGAAAATATATAAATGTTATGGACAAAGGACAAATTTGTCATCTCTTAGCCTTGAAAGGGGCTGAAAGTTGCAAAGCACTTACCCTCAATGTCGATCACCGATAAGATCGACATTTTTGCTCGTATTCTGGCTCGTGTTTTGGAAATAGATAACTTATGATTTATCCATCGTATTTATTCCATCATAAATTCATATCACCATCTAAAGTCATGCAATTATGACATGGCTATCCACAAAGGGAACACACGGTACACCGAGGCTACCCACAATCCACTAGTGGGTCGATGATATCGAAAAGTCCGAAGTTTTTGCCTTACTCACGGTCCCGAAAAGCTCGAGCGGTGGCTTGTTCCTTAATCATGACCGTTTTCAACGCTAGGCTGACAACAGCTCCACGGGATTTTCGACTTGATGAGACAGGAGAACTTTAGAAAACGTCAAAAAATTGGGATATGACTAAAAATCGACAAACTCTCGTATTTTCGGTATCGAACTCAATATCGATGTCGGTGTAGCTGCATAGTGAAACTGGATTTTGAGATTTTAAGACTTGTCTTTTCTTCGGTGACTCCGTGTCTGTTGCTAGATGAACTTGCAGCATATGAACGATAATCCGGTACTCAATACATTACGAACTGCCACTTTTGGTATTCTTTTTTCTACCAAACACTGAAAAGCTAGATATGGAGAGAACTGTGGTCTCGTATCGGCATGCACATCGACAAAAGGGAGATATCTCAACCCTAGAGGATAAGGTTAAATGATCTACAGGCAAATTGTATGGGGTTGAGCAGAGTAGTCACGGAATTGCGTTGTCCGGATATTGGATTTTTCCGCCGGGAACGCTTGACGCAGCTCCACTGATTTCTTGCGGTATCATCTTGGACGCAAAGACGGATTTCATCATGTTGTTCGTGGGAAAATTTGATGATTAACGAATCAGTAATTCATCATCAATAATTCATTGTCTTTCCCAGCTTGATACTCCGCTCCCTCTCGATTTGCCGATTGAGGTTTGAGCCGCTCTCCTTGGTGCTCAAGAGCTTCCAGTGTATATTTACTTGTGGTTCATTCTTGACAGAAACAAAACTACATTTTTATCAAAGACGATCATTCCAGAGGCAGTTTGTCAATTTTTCCAGCAGAGGCTTCGCGGTCTTAATAATTAGCTATTTCTTACAGAAGGTGTTCAGGAACTTGGGAGAAATATATTGCTCTGTCCCAGTGGCAGCAAGTGACAATCTCCTAGACCCAAAGAATGTGCAAGTCAACTCATGCAGGTACTCTGAATAGAACGAAAAAGCTACATCACACAAATTCTCGGTCAAAAACAAGCGACATGCCACTCAATATAAATACTTCCATCACAGTATGTTTTCCTCCGGGGATAAAATGGATGCACTATTTCAACGGAGAACATAACGTCTCTACACTAGGGAATTCCTTCCAAACTTTGCTTCTCATGGGAAGTTAATCGGAGTAGATAGATATTGGTAAGTGGTTGAGAAATGACTGGATGAGCGAGGTAAGACTATTAGAATATATTCCCCAAACCAGGCGCTTTCCACCACATACGACCATAGACTGAGGAGAATTGGGCATCCCGTCCGCTCTGCCATACACAAGCCTCAGATCGGTAGATTAGTAGTTGGGTGGGTGACCACCAGCGAATCCCTACTGTTGTATGTTTTTGCTTTTGTTTTTGTCATTCATGATTCATGATTTATGGGGAAAAGGAAGGGAAATGATTCAACATTTTTCTTTTACTGAGTGGATGCTTCAACATCAGGATTGGCTTCATTCATTATTGCGTGATAACCTCATGTACAATGAATCCACCATTTTAATTTATGTATAAGTTGGCATGGTCACAATAGGCTGCTACTCGGCTGACTCTCCTAGGCCTTTGTTACGTTATGATATCAAGGATAAAACATGTCGATTTGTATGAATATCAATCCTGCTTTATATCCTTCTCGAAACGTAAGCGATGTGATATGGATTGTAAAAGATCTCCTTTCCCTTCATCCGATTGACTTTATACACTTGCAAAAACTTACATCGCGGACTCTAGCTTCAGCAGAAACATCAAAGGGCAGGTAATGTGAGAAGACGTCTGTCTGATCAGAGGAAAATTCCAACACACTTCTTGCTACATGGATAAAGTATACTCCAAAAATTAGTCACATCAAGTCCCACAAACGAAGCAGTTTCGAGTAAAGTACTACCAAGTACGTAAGGTTACATCAGTCAGAGACTTTATGGGTTCTAATATTTACCCATACGAGCCAGCGCAAGCACTTGTGGCACTTAGACTCTATGCAACTAGTAATTGAGTAACAGGTTTGGTATGTACAAATCCAAGTTTATCTACCCAATTAGACAAAAAATAGTGAGAGTAAACTAATTGTTCTGGAACTGAGAACGTAAGATACCAAACACGACTGCAAAATGATGGAGATGGACTGCTGAACTTAGCCGCATTCCCATTCTACAAACCCGAATCTAGAATCATCCGAGGTTGATGGTATGGGTAATACTCTAAGAAGATCTGTCTGCTCGTGTGATTCTGTTGTGATCTAGTTAGAACGAGGGACTTTATCGTAGATCGGCGTACTATGTTTTTCGGGCATTTTCACATTTTGGGCTTGCTAGGACTTAGGTTGATTTTAAAAAATTTTAAATCCTCAAACGAAAAGATTTCTTCTGTTGAGTTAGAAAGGTCCAGCAAACACAAAATGGCCTTTTATGAATTTGGCGGATAAAGGCTTGTTGGTATGACTGAAGGGTTAAAGCTTATTCTGAGTGGCGACGATGCAAGCCGTAAGCTACCCTAATCAAAGCACAGCAGGAACAAACCGATAAATAATAAAGAATTACTTAGCCAGAGATTGGTCAATCGTATTTGGTCACCATACAAGATCTTCAGAAGCCCTCATGTAACCCTACTTCATCAGAAGCGAGCCCTGGTAAACAAACGTTGGCAATGAATACATCTTATTAGGCCTCTTCGGCAATACCTTCCAGTCAGTTAATTGTATCATGATTGGAAATGTTATTTTATTGTTCTGTCTGCAATTCCAAGAACTCATGCTTATCCAACAAACACCCGAAATATCCTTCATCATTTTGATTCTCATCAAACAAAAACATTCTCGACTCCACTTCGACTTTACATCTGAAATCTGTAGTATTGAAAGAAAAACACCCCCCGCCTCACCCTGATACACAATCCTCTTTTCGCCAAACTTCCCCACAAATCTCAGCTGAATATACTCAGCATCGTCAAAGTCCATCTCTTGACCGGAGAACCTCTCGTCCCGGAATAAAATGGTACATATGCACAGTTTTGCTTTTCATTTGTTCCATTTTCTCCCACCTTTCAAGTTCGAGTTCCTCAGTATCCCGTCCCAATAAATCTTTGTCTTCCCGTATTAGGGACCACGCCGATTTCCGCCCCTTCGAGGAAGAATATTGTTTGAACGCCCATTGCTAGAGGCGAGAGCACTATGAATACGACTTCAGTTAACCTCAGTCAGTGGGAACGAATAAATGAAGGCCTCGATATGTTATGTATGGCTCAACACACCACAAGTTAAAGGATGTACTCTGCTTGAAGTCAATAACCTGACGCCCATATTTTAGTTTTTCCGATAATTCGAAGTTTAGATCTTCTTCATAGTTTATCTCTCGTAAAAAAAGTCGATCCTGACGATTTGAACCTCCCGCTAAATTCAAGTCTTTGCCAGTTTAATGGTGATTACCATAATGACGACTCTTGAGAATTATCGTAATTGAATGCCCATCCCAACGCATCTCCGAAATTGTATTGGGCATTCGTCATCTAACAGTATCATAAGCAACCGCGTCACATGATAGGAAATTATCTTCTCAACTGACCATGAAATCCCAATCCTCCATCAAATCTGGTGGGGTCGCTAGCGACGTTTTCCTCAACTCATCGGGCTCATTTTGATCTTGCGCTGACATCTTCTCCAGTACTACTACACATTCTTCAATGGCTTGTTCCGCAGCGCCGACTATCGATGCCGCAAGTTTCTCACCACTGTAGCCTTGTCGTACCGCATCAAGATATGCAATGCCTATGCAGATAAACAAATATCCTTTTACATTCACCTCCCCAGCCTCAATGCATCTCATGTTCCATGTTTTGGTGTCGTTTAGGGCATGCAGAAAGTCTGGTCGCAAGGTAACGGGCCCCAGACTTGTTTCTTCCTGGAGTTGGGTCTTGAGTTCCATGGCTATTATGAAACCTGATTGTAATGCAATTGTGCGAAGGAAGCCAGAGCCACAGATCGTAAGCCGCTGTAGGTAATGTTGATCAGTTGCGGCGGATCCTTTTTGGGGTTGCGATTCACTGGTTGACCCGAGTGGATATAATAGATACCAAAGTTTGAGGGAAGTCTCCAGAACCACCTTTCTGGAAAATGAATAGGCAGGGCCCTGCAGTGCTGGCACAAAAAATGGGATGTGGAGTGATGAAAGGTATCGTAGCATTATGACATTCAAAATATTTATACCAAACTGGGATGGCAAAAGTCCATTAGTTGAGTCAAATCTTTTAATGTCCTGACACATAGTCTTATATGATGATCTCAGCTCTGAATCAAGCCTGATGGCTCCCTCCAATGTTATAGGCGTACTGACATTGTTCAATGACTTCACAATCGAGAGGCGAAGTGGAAGAGTCTTGCGAAATATAATTGCGAGAGACGTGTGACTAAACTCAGTCTCTGGCCGAGGTATAGCATCAGTGATTAGAAGTTCGTCGTCGTCGAAATTCGCAGGAGGTTCGGTGTCCCAATCGGTAAGGGAAATGAGCGGAGGTCCGCCGGAATCCATACTTGAGAGCAACATCAACTCTAATATCGTATTCCATATTCTTCGACGCATCTCAGCAGCAAATGTGGTCTTCTTCGGAAGAAAAGAAGGGTCTTTATGAAGTCCCATGTATACTGCATTCCTGAATAATGAGCCCGCTGAAACCCAAATCAATCTTCCACCAATAGCGGCCATTTCTCGAGCAAGCAGGAGTAAAATTTCGGTCTGTAACGATTTTATAGTCAATCGTGACTTGAATTCTGGTTCCGAAATCCAAGTCTGCGCTTCATAAACCCATCGGACAGCCGAAGAACGGAGGGAGAATTGATCGTCATACGTGGCAGCACCAATGGCAAATATCAACTTGAGCTGAACCAAGAACTCGATATCAGGTTTCCCAGTCGACGCCCAGATTGCTTCATAACTTTTCCTAAAGGTAGGAATATGTAGTACTCTGTAGATAGTTTCAATTGTTTGAATGTAACAATCAACCAGCCCGTCAGCAATTTCCCTTAAAGGTAAATCCGGCCAAGTTAGTGGTGACGGCCATGACGGCGCCCGTCGGGTTTTTATAAGCTTCCCTAAAGTTTTACATTTGTGTATCGCAACAGCGGCTTTAGAGCCTTCCTGTATACACGGCTCGATTATCTCGAAAAAATCATGGTACTGTTGATTGGTCAGTAAGTCCCTGATCGTCAGTGACTAATTGAGGTAAGTAAATGGCTTACTCCAGTAACTGCATTAATCCAATGGCTTTGGCCTAGCAGTCGAGTTTTGTGTAAAACTCCATAAGTTACGGCCACAGGATGACCCTGACCGAATGGCCGACTTTCTTTGTGTACGTGAAAGGTTCCAGCAAGTGAAGATTTTTGCTTTTTGTTGGAAATTATAGAGTTTGCAGGAGAGAGGGCAGGATGAGGGCGAGCAGTGGATGGAACAGAAGATCTAGTCGCAACCGAAAGCTGATCTTCAAGTTCTTTTATCCTCCGTTTCATGGACTCGGCATCACTAGTTGGATCTGTGTTTGGAGTATTATATAGACTTGTTAATGACAACGGCATCGAATCGTTTAACGATGGTGATACCGGACATATTGGGATCCCAGGAGTTAAGCTTGCGTCTCTTTCGGAAGCTGCCCCGATTGGAAGCTGATGATTTTGTCTCTGACATGGAGCTTGTCGAAGTTCATTTTGCTGAGCTTGAGTTCTGGAAGGCGTAGGAAATTTGTCGTAAACACAATTGGCAGCGATACTTGATCTTACACAATTGCTACATGGAACTTCTCGATTGCATTTGATTTTGCGTCTTCTACAAAAAGAGCATGAACTGCATCTCTTTGCTTATCAGCCCAGCCCAGTAAATTTAGCCGCGAAAGGGAAAGTGGCTTGAACGTACACAGCAGGTCTTCTCCGTCGACGCTCTTGATCTGGTTCCGAGTCCGTCATGATGGTTTAATATCCGCCACTAATCCTAAATTTGCATTGAAAGAAGCAAGAAAGCACCGCGTTTACTTTATGAGGATCACGCTTTCACTATCAAATAAAAGAAAACAAGGAGCTTCTCCCAACGAAAAGCGGAAAATTCACTTGATATCCTAATCCGTCTCTGCACTTTTGAATTAACTTTTTGTCCATTCTCCGAGACAAAGCCATCTATATTTCAATTGGCTGAAATGTCCGCTCACGTGATATATTGATAAAAATATCTCCGTGTATTTATCATCCTCAGCACGGCTTACCGATAGGTAGCTAACCTTAACTGCTCGTTGACATCAACATGTCGCCTTTCATTATAAGAAATGAATAACTTATCCTTCTCCCTTCTTTGCCCTCTTCGTCCATTCTATCTATACTCCAGCCTTTTATGGTCGGTTCTCAAAGACAAACAATCAACGCTCCAAGCAAGGGCTGCAGACAGATGTGAGTGACCAAGGGTTTGCCAATCTCAATTTATGAGCTTCGGTGTTTTCAGTCTGTTAAAACTACTCTCGTACAAGCGAGTTACAGATAAAGGAATCTCGAATTTCCATCACTCAAGTATTCATTGACTGGACATTCTTTTCATTTCCGTTTACCATTTCATTCGAAATTTTAATTCTTCTCAAACACACTCGGTGGATCAGATGGATCGGTGCACGGATTAGCACGGATTAGACAAAGCCAAATATCTGGGGCATTTGAGATTCTCCGGCCACTGGTAAGGTTAACCTTAGAACAAGGAATCCGCACATAAAGATTGCTTGATTCATGCCCGGTAGCAACTGCTTCACTGTGTCCAAGTATTCACGTGATAACTCAGGAGTAGTCATAAGTTGCTTCATCATTCTACGCCATGTCTTTGGCCTTCAAATCTCGTTCCATTTTTTGTCAAATATAAGTCTTACATAAGAATAATCAGGTCTAAGTTCTCGTCGGTGAATGCAATCGGCGTTGCCAATTAATCCGGCATTTCTTCATCTCCACATGATGATCCGTGTTTGGATATTTATATGTTGTCAACTTACCCTTCTTCGCCACGATTCCGAGGATTAAAAGGTTCTGGAACCCAATACAGAGTGCCTAAGTTTGATAATCTGGGGTGCATGCTGTACGAATTTAGCCAAATTCCGGCACTGCCGTGTCGGATATCAGCCTCAATAGCTAGTGCCCTGGTAGAACCATATGGTTGATCGAGAACTTATATCTGTCTCTTATATACTAAGGATCGTCTAAACATCAAGTTCCATTTATGCATCCCCCTCTCTATTCTACTCTTTTGGGTTCGCATAACTTTCAGCCTGAAATCTCAAGATGGAGCTGGCGATCCACATGACTACCCGGTCCGGCTATCAGAACAAAATTGCGGGTTAGAATCAACATGGATATTGTATATAGCACTGGGATGATGAGTTTTGAGATCAATCGAGCGACAAAATTAAAGGTGATGGCTAATATGAATCGGCGGAAGGGAAACTGTGCCGTGCGAATAATATGTTCAGCGGTCTACAAATACAGCAGTAACCGCACTTGACATTGATCTTTAAAGTTTCATGTGAAGTATCAGTAACTAGTATTCACAACGATATCCTCTTGGCACCTTAATCCACCGAATCTTTAAAATGTTCTCACAAACGGTACTCAAGGCAGTTTTCCTCTCTCTCCTTACCTATGCTTCAGCACTTCCTTCGGAACTGGACACTCGTGCAACTTGTCCCGATATCCACGTCTTTGGTGCTAGAGAAACCACGGCACCAGCTGGATTTGGAACCGCAGGTGTGGTTGTCAACTTAATTCTCTCCGCACACCCTGGCGCGACTTCAGATGCTATCGTTTACCCGGCATGTGGTGGTCAATCTTCGTGTGGTGGAGTCAGCTATGCAAATAGTGTTATTGAAGGTGTGGCTGCCGTTGCTTCTGCAGTAAATGCATATAACACACAATGTCCAAGTACCAAGTTAGTTTTGGTAGGGTATTCTCAGGTATGTTTAATTTTCTAGTTTTCGAATTGCGCTTGTCTATTAGTTTCGTCTAGAAATGTAACACTAACTCACAAATTAGGGTGGCCAAATCATGGATAATGCATTTTGCGGGGGTGGAGATACTAACGAAGGCCTTACGAGCACGGCAATTCCAATCCAAGCTAGTGCAGTTAATATGATCAAAGCTGCAATCTTCATGGGTGACCCAAGATATATCTATGGACTTTCTTATGAAGTTGGTACCTGCAGAGCCCAAGGAGTAAGTCCTCTACTTCATATTTCTTGTCCTAACTATATTTATCACATATCATACACATCTCTAAGTACTTATGAAACGTATCTTAACAATCTTCCAGTTTGCACCCCGCCCGTCCGGATTTTCTTGCCCCTCCGCCTCAAAGATAAAGTCTTATTGTGATGCCGCCGATCCATACTGCTGCAATGGTTCCGACGCCAATACCCATCAAGGATACGGCACTGAATATGGTCAACAAGCTCTAACTTTCGTGAATGCCCAACTCGCCTCGTCCGGTACGTCCCCAACCACTACCCCATCTAGCCCTGGTACTACCACTACTATTACCTCCCCCGGGACCACTGGAGTTGCGCATTGGGGTCAATGTGGTGGGAATGGATATACCGGGAGTACCACTTGTGCTAGCCCGTATACGTGCACTTACGCAAATGCTTATTATGCACAATGTCTTTAGGTTAATTTTTCTCCTTCCTTTCTTTCTTGTCTCTTTTTGATTGGCAATGAAACGAAATGGTCCGAAATCTACATCTCAAAATTCTCGTCATACTTTTCCATGTATATAGGAACGCAAACTGAACATTTTTACCTCATGATCCGTAATTGTGTCCCGACTTGCCAAATTATGGGATGATATTTTGGAGCTCTAAAGCATTGTGTTGAAGCGTTCACCGATAAACAAGCCCGGAGGATGGTTGGATGTATCACTTTCATGTGTGGCTGTAGACCCATAGATATGACCTCCCAATTTCATCCTGCGTTATGGTTGAGGCAAAACCCGTATCCCAGGTTACCCGGACCTACAACAAACTATTTTGGTGGGAAGACTCACTGAGTTTATAGACAAAAAGATGATTTGCTATACGACTAGACCTATGAAAGATTGTGCGCCTTACTCTCTACTTTCAGTAATGATTAAGGATCATAAACACCGCCTCTTAATTCAGTATCATCAACAAACCAGTGACTTCAAAACCCCATCGGCAGCCCTCCGTCCAAAAACAACACATTCCAACAACGAACTACCACCTAATCTATTATCCCCATGAATTCCCCCGGTCACCTCACCTGCCGCCCAAACTCCTGGAATCACCTTCTTTTCCGTATTTAAAACTCTCGATTCCTCATCAATCCTCACTCCACCCATTGTGAAGTGAATTGCTGGCGTAACCCTTCCAACGTATATTACTGAATCAGACTTTACCTCATCCAACTTCCAATATCCAAAAGTTTTCCTCCCAAACTTATCTGTGACTTTTTTTGCCGCTACATCTGCATACCTCTGCAAAGTACCCACTGCCTCTTCTCCCAAATTTGCTTCAGCAATGGTACATTTCTTCATCAAGCCCTTCCACAAATAAAAGTCTGCATGCGATTTGGTTTTCTCATATACCCCTTCCTCGATCACGAGCTTTAAATCCCACTGCCTCGGCTTTCCCTCTTCCCTTTCCATTTCCTCAAACTCCATGATCTTCTCTGTTACAACCTTTCTTGTTTCCAATTCATCTACAAATCTCCTCCCGTCCATCAAAAGTATGCCTCCCTCACCTCTTAACATCTCCGCAGCAAGAAATTTCGTCGGACTGTTGATATCTTTCGTATCCACAAATGCGGTAGGATGAACTTGCACTTTCTCCATATCGATAAGTCCAGCTCCGATATCTGTGAGGAGCCTTTGAGACCCTGAGCGTGGGTCGTTGGTGGACGGAAATCCGGATAAATCCGGTCGGTATTGTGCTAGCATTCCATATGCATCGCCGGCGAAGCCACCAGTAGCGAAGATTAGAGGGCCAATCAAATTTTCGGTTTTGGGTGGTACATTTTGATCCTCGTACATATACTCCACACCCATGACCACTTCGTTCTTGACATCCTGTAGTACTTTAACCACTTTACACGAAGTCTTAAGATGAAACCTATCGTTTCCTTTCAATTCTTCCAGAAGCGTTCCTACAATTGCCGCACCAGGTGGTTTAGACTTTCCTCCTCCTCTATGCGTCCTGGCAACGGTATGTCCCCCCAATTGAGCGACCACACTAAAATCCACACCCTTAGCCCCCAACCACTCAACTGCCCCCTTGGATTCCTCACTCAGCAACCTAATTAAGCGCTCCCTTGCATTCCTCTCCTCACCATCACCACTATTACTCTGCATAACCTCCCCAGCCGATTTCACCGAATCATCATAAAACTTCTCCACGCTATCTTCTAGAGGAGGGTTTGATGTAAGTTGAAACAATGTATTTGCACCGTTGATCCCAGAAGATGCTTTTATGCTATTTCCTCCAGTCCTGGCTGCTTGTTCAAGAAGATGGACTTCGATATCGCCATCCTGTGAAAGAAGTTGAGAGGAGGCGGCTAAACCAGCAAGACCGGATCCGATCACTATTGCTATTTTATTTTTGTTTTTAGGAGATGAGGAGAACATGCTGAAGTCAGTCGATAGCGGTTTGGAAATAGACAGGAGATATTTCAGAAGCAGAGAAGCTACAATTATGAAGAAGATCGTGGGAAGTGGATGGAATGATTTGTAGTTCTTCATTGGGTGATAAAGCTAGTTTAATAAGTATGGATGTCGACGTTGTAATAAGCTGCCGGCCTTGTATCGATGAGCAAGATATCAGACCACTTGTTCTTGTGTCATACGATCTATGAAGCATGTGCAATCGGGTGATTTATGCATGTCGTTGAATTGTATGAGCTCACTCGGGTAACCAGAAATATATAGTGAAAGGGTAGGATACCTTCGACAATGAAAACGATATCTTCATTGTCCCAAATAATCACCATGTATGGAGGAAGACTTTGGTGTTATTGATGAAAATGCGGAGCAATAAAGGACATGTGACTAGCAGTTTTGATGACTGAAATTGAGGGTTATGACTTTAGACGAACCATTGGATGCGTGGGTGGGTGTGACGTCGTTAAGGTTGGAATTGACCATGGCAGGTGCTTGTACCAAAATGACCTTACAAACAAATTCAGATATAAACATAGAATACACTTATTGTGACCTCGCTCAAAACGGGAAGCCACTCGGGCCATTCGGAAAACTAGCGGAAGGTATGGTAAGAATCCATGTCCTTCATCCTACATAATATGTTCATTCTCATTTCGATGACCCAAACCTGATATACCTCAATATCGATCACTGTTCCACAGATTCATCCAATCTCCGAGGTGAATTCCTGGGACAGAAAACTGTTCTGCAGTTATTTAGAGCTGGTAGGTTTCTCCCTGAGCCTGGCATGCACAAACTCCTCCCTTGGACATTACACATATCCAACCAGTACCCAACCAATCCACATCCAGCCATAAACATTCGTCGACTAGTCTCCGAAAACATACAATCTTAAATTTGAAAAGAGAAAGCTCCATATGTGAGCATCTTTAAACGCCATTATTTCCAAACCCAAACCCTAGAACTAGATCCAAGACCCCTTATAATATCGTAACAACCGCTAAACGGACAAGATTGAAGAATGGCTTATGAATATATGCCTTGAGACGGAGATGTAATGAGTGAGGAGTGAGGAGGTAGCTTGTGTGGTATTATTTTTCGAATTTCGGCTTGTGAACTAAGGTGAGGGTATTTGAAAGAGATTTTTCTTGTTTGTTTGGTTGAATGTGAGAAAGTTATACAGGAATGTTAGGTCCATCAGTCCTAGTTCCCGTATTGATCAATGCGGCTACACCGATCATGACGATGACTGCTACGATACAGATAAGGACGATTACGAGAGTCTGAAGCATTTTGCTAAATTTCGAAAACCCTTTGATGAATAAATAAAGTAAAGAGCGATGGTGGAATTCGAAATAGGTCTGTTTAATTCGGTTCTAGTACTTTGAAGAAGTCTTGTGATTTCTTGAAACGATCGCGGAAGGAAATGTTCTAGATATGAATGTTAGTAAACGATGCTACTCTTATTGACCTTAAAAGCTTGGTGTACCACCCCGCCACACAGAATCAATCAACTGGGACCACAAAATAATTTGAATATCAAAGAGAAAGAGTCGTTAATGCTCTATATGGACTTACCAAACTAACAATCAATTGTACAAAAGCAAATTCGGTATGGTATCTGGTCTGATATGGCTGAAATGAACGAGAACGATGAAAAAGACGGAAGAGATGGAAGAGATAGAAAAGATCGAATAAATGTGTCCACGAATACTTATTGTACCTATCAAATGCCAATAGTATTGACTTGCTGGGTTTAGTTCATCTAATACCCGCGGACCGAGTCCAATACGAGGGTGTGGCTTGTTGTTAGAGTAAGGAGACCCATCAAACTTTTGAGAAGCTTTTTTATAAATAGAGTTCGATTAGATATGCCAATTGCTGACAATCTATGTATGTACCCCACGGAACAAGATATGGTACCTAGATTGGTGCAGAAGTTGGCCTTATATCGGATGAAGGAGAGTGAAGTTCCAAAGACATTTCTCTGGCGTATGGAAAAGTATATCTTCCAAGGTTATTCGAGTACGTGATATTCTCAACCAACCAACCAACCGATCCTACCAACCAATCCTAGGTTTGTATGGCAATGCATTGCATCAATAGGAACTTATTCAAAAGCGGCAAAGTTTGTGGCGATGCACCGAGCGGAAAAAGGAAGAAAAAAACATAAATTCGAGGGATTGTAACGAATTGGACGCGTTAAATTGCTAGACTCATCATTTCCAATTGCTGTTTTCAAGGTAGTTACCATATAGCGTTAAAGCAACTGTAGATACGGTACGGATGCTACATAAGGTTTTGAATTGGTAGATAGTGGTGTGTTTTCTTACGACAAGGGGTTGCTGTAGCTTCTGGTAAACAACCGGAGTGTATAAGAATTCCGTTACTCTTTCCGGAATTTCCGGTATAATATTGGAAAATGTTGTATATGTTCGGGAATATTCTTTCTTTACTTTGAAAAGCATCAAACTTGAAGTTTCAAAGATGATTGACATGATGTCACTCTGAGACAATGATGAAAGAAGGCGAATCAAAATTATTGTGTTATTTTTGGAGTCGCAAGTTGCCATACTCCGTATAGCGGGATTAACCGTAGGTTAAGAAATGCTGATTGATGAAGGCGACTCCTCGTCCTTTTTCACTCTTATTTCTTGTGACTTTTTACAGGTTCTAGGAATAAAATTTCAGGGTAGGTTATTATGGTAGCGCCTGCCAGGTCTACGTGTTTGTAAGGGCGCTTAAATCACTGCAACCCTCCAAAACACTTCAGTTTCTATAAGATTTTAGCATTAGAGTCAATCATAGAACCGTTCGAATCTAACACATTTAAGCGGCATAAATGAAGGGGTAACCTTGAAAAAGCGGGATACCGTCAAAGTTCCCGACTATTTTAGATGATAAATCAGTTTGTTGAAAGTTCAATAAAGTAATTCATGATTGTGAATTTATCAATCGCGAAGATTTTTAATTCCATTTATGTTACAGGTTAGGGAATATGTAATACTACAATCTTTCTCATCTCTCACGTACCGCAGTCCTCTTCCACCACTTACCTCCTTCGTTTTGGTCAAAACACCGGGTAGCCATCACCATGAACCCTTGATTACTCCTCAAACTTCTCAGATTAAGCCTCTGAACAAGTCATCCTAGACTTTGTCTCGATAACATTAATTTCCGGCTCAGTCTTCAATACGTACAAGAAATCTTCACCAAGCCTCGCATCCAAACTACCGGGTCCGCTGTTATCCTGCTAAATTCCCTTCCTGATTACCTCAGTCTTCGCATTCACGACTATAATATTAGATTTCTTTCCATCCATCAAGTAAATCTCTTGGATTCCGGGTTATATCCAGCCAGGCAGACGGCACCCTCTCCAGCTATAGTGATCGCACATCTTGCGCCTCAAAAGGAGATGACGAAATGCAAATGAGATAGGCACCGATTTCATGATCCGAGACAGCAAGTCAATGATCAGAACTGAGGAAACTGATGCCAAAGGCTACATGGAGTTCGGGAGAGAATCGATATAGTGGATACCGATTTTGGAGACAGGGTAGGCAATGGAGGAGCCCAGAAGAACAGGACTTCCTTTCACAGGCTCTAGAAGGGTCGTGGGAGGGATTGAAGAGACTATGCCGGCAGGGCGGAGGAGTCGGGTGCTCTGAAAGGTCGGTAAATTAGCTAAAGAGCAAGGGAAGGATGATGCGTACTGATTTAGTTCAATGGTCAGAAGAGGCCCAATGGGTGATAATCCTCTGCTATGACCGGAGATGCACCTGCTACTGCCCCTCCATTTTGTACACAGACTACGAAGTTAGCAACGATTGGCCCTGCAGATGGTTAATTGCATCCAAAACATGGCTGCGACCCACCAGTCTTGAGTTCAACAAAAACGCCACGGCGCCTGGGAATTTCCCTGTATTAGTATCAACGGCCCGCTCATGCACGAGGTTTTGATAGCAAACTTTCGCGGCTTTTCTCCAATGGGCAATGGAAATCAGTCCAAGAACAACAACCAGACTTGGAACTCAGCTAACACTCGGATAGGTTTAGATCGATTCAATTTAGTCATTTAGAAATTCAAACACACAAGCCGCAAAAGTCCGGGCTGGTCATGCCTTGGCCAGCTGTTTGAAACCATATATATACTGAGAACTCTATCATATACAAATAATTCTAGTCTGATTCCATTCCAATCTCTGCATATGAGTAACTGCATAATTACTTTCCTCTAGAGTATATGCAGCTATGTCCTCTCCCTCCAATGATGAAACCCTTCACCTTCGGCTTATCCTACCCCATTTTCCCATGTACTTCCCGCTGCTCGGCCTTCAGCCCAATTTTGACAACCCTTCAGGGACTCCAGCTAATGCAGCAGTTCCTATTCAAAGTTGATCGCATCCATTACCCAAAGATCAAAAGCGCCAACCCAACAACCGCAACGACCACTCCCACACCTCCTAAAACCTCCACAACCAATCGCAACTTTCCCCTTCTCCGTCCCTCATCACTAACCATCTTCCAATAACTCGACCCGGATTCGTCTCCCATTCCAACTCCTGCAATCACCCCATCGAAATCTTCTCTTTCGCCCTCACTCAATAATCCTTCTTCCATTACCCTCCTCCCATTTTCATCATGTGTGTCATCTCTGCTTTCGCGGATATTATAATTCGAGGAGTAATAACTCGTAAATGACGGCCTTGGGAGGCTTTTCCACCAAGCGACTGTAGGGAAGAAAGTTGGGCGTGTAGCAGAGTGTTTTGTAGTAATTGTTGGGATGTTGGGTGTGTTAGGCATGGATATTGAGAGGGCGCCTGTTGGCATTGTTGTCTCCTTCCAAATTTTGAGATTATCTCCAACGTGTTGGCTTGGTTGAATGGTTGAGAATACGCTGACGTCAATTGATTACCTTTGTATGCTGTTTGAAGATGTGATCAACGAATAGCTCAAATTGCTTAGGAAGATTCAGATCGAGGGTTAGATGGAAAAGGAAATAAGGAAAGACATCTTCGGCTCGATAAGATTCCAAAGATTGTTTTCGCAATTGAAAATGGAGCATGGTATCTTTGTTAACATGTGTTTATACCGAATTCGGTGCACAATAAACAACAGCACTCCTGAATGCTTGGGGGAATAGGAAGGAGGGGACGTTTTGCGGAAGCAATCTTGGGATATTTCTCTTTGTGTTCGGAGAATTTAACATGCGTGCCGGGAAATTGTTCTCGAAGTTTTCTAGAGGAATGAGGATAAATGTTTCTTTGTCCTCCGCAACAAGCATTCCACACTTTGCTTGCGAAAAATAGCAAAAGGAAAATTCCAACTCGAATGAGAATTAAATCTAAAAAAAAGTCATGGATGCGCTCGTCTAGTCGGTCTAATAATTCGAAATATATGGTCCCCGCGACAACTATGCCGTTATTGGTTTGTGTCCGTTGCCAGATCGGGACCACTCTTCCCTCTTTTCCTCCAAGTATTCACCCTTTTCAATCCATCTAGTTTCCAACCACTTCGCCAATCCCGCATCACTTTCTGGCAAATCCTCTAACAAAAATCGCTTAACTTCGACATGGAATTTGTATCCCCGTCTCCCACTCAAGTCACCGCAGCTGAGAGATTCCCAAATAGTCGGTGCTTCATGCCATTTATTATGATGGGAATATGCGATAGTCATATCATAAACAGCTTTAACATGTTTGGCTTTTCGCAAATGCTGAACCGTTGTTACGAAGCCTTTGGTCCGCGGGTACAAAAGATGTTTCGGAAGGGGTCGATTATTCTCTTTGCACCATTTTTTCGCTTCTTCGTATTTCTTAGGGGTATATCGTGTTGCTTCACTAAAGCTTATGAGCCCTACATGATAGATGATTTAGCACTGCTGAGATATCTCAAGTAGGGTCGGTGAGTCGCATAGCTTACATTGGGACCATTTTTTCACCACCACTCCTGCGAAAACTCGATCCAACTCTTTCTTATCCTTGAGCCAATTTCGACTAACCATCGGCATACCCATTCCCCAAATTCCCCATCCAAGTAAAGGGACCCATCGAAGTTCGATCTTCGCAAACCATCTACACCTTCCAAGCATACCAGCTCGGATAGCAAGTGCTTGAATCATATAAAAGTCTGTCCAACTGACATGATTCGCAATGACGATAGCAGTTTCATTTTCCGGAAGAGTGTCACCAGAAATGGTAATCTTGCCTCCATTGAATACTTCGAAAATGGCCTGTATCCAGTTCCAGTTCGTAAATGCAACGAAGGATGACGCATTGTAAACCCAGTTAGGGAGTAAATAGCTGACGGGTATGAGGAAAGAGATTATGAGGTCCATGAGGACCAATTCGAGGACCCATGGTAATACAATAATAAATCCACGAATGCTCGTGTATATAACATCGAGACTCATCGTGGTTATCTTGAAAATTCACACAAAAGGAATGAGGGGCGGGCAACGATATTAGAACTTAAAAGAAATTCAAATCTAGCTCCTTCCTACATGCTTACTCATGGAAATATGGATCTCAACACACGGGCATCATTATCAACCAAGCGTTGCACAAATCTGTTCCACAACCTCGGATAAGGAATAAGGATGCATGAAAAAGATACAGAACTGATGAATCGGGCAGTGGCGAGGAAAGTGGGAATAGCAAACTTATAATAACTGTGCTTAATTATTTTGTCACAGTGATTTACCGCCAAACTCCCGGAAAAGGAGTTTGCTCAAGCTTGCGAATAGCTTCAATTTTCCACTACTAGACCTCTTTGCATAAGCCGTTGCCAAAGATCTTGTGTAACTTGCACTGATCGGACCTCATTTTTTGATATTCAAACACCTGTGCCGTGGTTCATCTCACGTTTTCGAGTGATATGGAGTGGCGAACCCGAAAGTCTCTATTTACGGAGATCCGGATCAATCTTCAGCATGGGGAATTGGATCTGGAGCTTGCAATAAGTACGTAGAATAAGGTATCGGAGACTCCGCAATCCATCAGCGACCACAGATTAAGTTTTAAGTGGAATCTATAGCTCATGATTAACGTGGGTATCTTCAGATTTTCTCACTGCAGATACATGGACATTTCATTGCTTATCAGAAATTAGCTTTAATACTTTTCAACGGCGGAATGGCGACTACCGGGGGGGGGAAAGCCAGTCATACTCCACCACTCCGTAGTACTAGACTGATTCACATCAATGGTCGTCTAGGTATTTGTACTCAAGTGTTGCTATGCTTTTCATATCAATTTTTAAACTTTCAGCCCTGTCGGTATATCTGAGATGATCTCTACTGTATATGCTCATAACGTGCAGCCGAATACAACCTTGCTATCGATATTCTGTAGAGCGAGGAAGGAGAGCATCCTACCACTCATCGAGTAGCTAAGGACTCAAGACTGGTGTAGATCAAAGTTGGCCAGACCTTCAGCATTGTCCAACTGCTAATAAAAGTGGATGGACATGTGCGCTGATGCGCGTTTCCGTATTCGTACTTTAATTCATGAATTGATTGTTAAAAGTCTCCAAAACCTCAACTAACTTCAAGAGAGGAATCGGTCGTGCAGTCCAATCTTCATACTCTTTGAATAATTTCTATGTAATTTTCTCTATATCATTATCATAACGGAGACACAGTCTGTACAATCTGTTTGTCCGAGCTCGCCGATCAGGTCAATCATTGAGCGCAGCTTTGAAACCTAAGATTACATTGCCCCGCGCATTATCGATACATCTCCCAAAGTACGAAGTAAAGATTGAAACTGTTGTCTAATCCAAGATTAATTGGATCCAATAATTGTTCAATCGAAGGAATATCCTTTCGTTAGGTATGTCACGCTCTAATCGATCAATACCCCCTTCATCGCTTCCCCAAACTCGCCCCAAGATTTACAAGACCGCTGATAAGATAGGCACATCCTATAGCTCTTCTCTATTTTATCATATTACGCCAAGATGGCCTCTCCATCCCCCGCAAATTTCGATTATACCAATAGATCAGACAGAGGCGATTATGCCAGTGGGCAATCGGAAGGAGCAAGATCTCCTCTGTCAATGAGTTTGGGGTTCCTTAAAAATCTCACAGAGAGGAAGTCTACGCGGGGTACGAACATGAAGATTTATGGCAATTCATTCAAATTCAAAGCTAAAATGCCATAACAGTTGATGGTTCAACACCGAAAAGACGAGGACCAAAGCCCGACAGTAAACCCGCGTTAACAAGAAGGCAAGAATTAAATCGACAAGCTCAGAGGTACGTTAATAAAGGCAATTCAAGCAATTCGAGTTAGAACCCTACTAAAACCACCTAGAACACACCGAGAGCGCAAAGAACTATACATCAAAGCCCTGGAGCAAGAAGTTTTGCGATTAAAAGAAAATTTTAGCAACGTAACGCAAAGTAAACAGTCCCTCGCAGAAGAGAATCGGCAACTGAAACAACTTCTCGCACAACATGGCATACAGTGGGATGGCAGCGGAGGATTCGACGACTTCACAAATACTCAAAGTCTAGGATTTAGATCAAGTAATAGTCCGCCCGACAGCTATGTACTGGCTTCCTCATCGTCATTCAGTCCTCCACCTTTAAGCCACTCGTCGAACTCGAATCCAAACAGTATGAATTACGATACAGAATCACCTCAAACAGGAGGAGCGAAGGGATTTTACAACGGAAATGATCGTAGCATGGTTCAACAACAAGTCCAAAGTGTGGATTATGATCAAGCAGGCATTGACTTTGTTTTAACGTATGGCAAAGATTCCTCCAACGCGTACTTGTCGCCACCGGCACAATAGCTAACGCCAGCATTCTGATATCAGACTCGAGAGACCATGCATGGATCACATGCAGTTCCTAGTTGAACGATCAAGCGATCTTGATGGAGAATTTTTTTCAGGCCATGCTTTGATGGCTACTTGTCCACCAGAATCTGATATGGATATGCATCCACATATACCTTTTGGGCATTGCATGCCGCATAATCGTAGTCATGAAACGGATGGAACGGATGGAGGTCCCCCGAAACAAAAGACGTGGGACTTGAGCAAGAGCGATCTAGCTAATCTACTGGATTTGAGTAAGAGGTTAGATTTGAATGGAGAGATTACCCCGGTTATGGCATGGGGTATGGTGTTGGCGCATCCGAAATTTTTAGAGTTGAACGAGGAAGATTTTAAGAGCATGAGTGCGGAGTTGCTACCTAAAGTTAGGTGTTATGGGTACGTTTGAGTCTTTCCATTCCTTTTATGAGGTCTAAATGAGCTAACCGGATAGCTTTGGGGCTGCACTCGAGGAATTCGAAGTGCGGGATGCTTTGGAAGCTCTGTTTGGAGCAGAACCAGTCCACATGTCTTCTATCTAAAATATCCTTGGTTTTGAAAGTCTAGTAGGCTATGTTTGGGAAGGGCGGCTAAGATAGCGATAGAAAGCGGCGCAATGCCAGGTATGGTTTGTAATGACCTGGGAAGTACATCCCAGCGTGGTCTATAGTAATCCAGGCGAAAACACATATACCAGTTTTACTACTATAATAAGGTTAAACTGACATTCATATGTAATGGCTTTGCTATTTTGTGCTGCCACTTTCAGAGGCTTGTAATTGATGAGCTAGATCTCAATGCTATCTATTTACTTTCATCGTAAAGACAGGATGCAAATATTACATGATCAAATGGAATAATTTGAGCGATTTGACAGTTGTGAAATCTATACTAAAATTTCTAACGTAGTAACATCTCACAAAATCGCAACCCCGTTCGGCGGACTCGCTACTCCTCCTGGTACCTATCATTTGTTGGCATTAGTATCAACTTCGACTTCAATATCCCTCTTCAATGCATCATTCAACAAATAAACCCCGATACGCGAGCACGCAGGTACTGAAAGAGGTTGCTGGATGGCTCGTCAACTAACCTTCAAAGGAACACTGCTAAAAAAGAACGACCACTTCTTGTATCTTCTACACTCCTCCCCTAATCTCTCCAAGTCGAATAGCTCTCCTATAGGCATTCCCCACCCGGCTAATACCAGATTGGTAAGTCAGTGATTTGTTTCTCAAGACAAGATTCTAGAAGAAGCGAGCTGAATTGGCAATGAAATATGCAAATGGAGTTTTAGACATGGAAATAGAATCGGGTGTCAAATTAGGTTAAGTTTATGGACAATTACATACCTAGGAGCCATTCGTGGATCCAGTGTTGATTTTTCAGGTCAAAAGGAAGAGATTCCAAAGCAGGCTGGTCGCCGGCGACGGCGGAAAATTCTTTCTCCCAAAGCCATTCAAGGACTTCCTTGCAGGCTTCGAGACCTATAGTTGTCATTTGGGGAGCGGTAGCAATGGCACTGGCATCAGAGGGGCTGAGTGCATCGACTAAAGGAAGCGACGAAGGTGTTAGTCTTTTGACAGCTGTAAATGCGGCCAAGGATCACTCCATCAAAGTATGAAAATGGCTCACAAGCACGGATGTACCCGGTACGAATGAAGAGAATGTCTCCAGGACGGAACGTAACATTTTGGGCTTCGGCCACCGCTTTGATCTCTGATAGAGGTATTTTGTTCGTTGTCAGAGGGGAAAGTGTTCGACCTTGGGACTCGACCCAGTGAGCGTAGTCGAGAAGAACACCGCGGCCCACTATGCCGCCGTTTTCTACCCAAACTGAAGGTAGCTGTTAGATATCCGAGAAGTGACAGAGAGAAATAGAGGATTATAGAATACTGCACCGACCGTTGATTCCGTTTCGGGTTGAATTATGGATTTCTTCTTGCGTACAACCATTGAAGTAAACCTTATGATCTTGATATCCTATCCAAGTGTCCCATTAGTCAATTGTTAATTGCCCGAAATATTTTGAACGAACCAAAATGTCTGAATCCATCCCATTGACTACTACACTGCGTATTCAACACTAGCTCATCATCATTAACACTTCTCACACCTTTCTTTATAATCTTCTGTTGAAATTGTACACGTCCGAAGCAAGGGACCTTCGGTTTATCTAAAGGCCAATCAGTGGAGATTCGGATGCCGTGTTTTATCTCTTTGGCGGCTTCAATGGTGTTTTTGGGAGTGAGCCGATTGAGACATCCGAGCTCATCGGAGGGGCCGTAAAGACCCCATGCGTTGCCTCGAGGACCGGTGGATTGGAGCGGGAGGGAGGAGAATGATGGTGTTGGGGGTAAGGAAGAGGAGGCCATTTTTAGGTGGTGGATTAGCTGTGGATGGTCCTTGATACTATCTAGTAATTTGAGACATTGGGATATATATGACAATTATCTCATAAATACAAGATATAGAGGGGTGACGACGACTGTAAACTAATGAGGTAAGTGGGGTCGGGGATCAAAGAGGGGTAACGGATGTGATTTTATTCACATCTCGGAAGGGATATTTTGTAAAGGTGTCAATGTAAGAGTATTTCAGATTGTAGTTTATATCCTACTTTCTTCGAGTATGCTGACTCCTCAAATCGTGTTTTCGGTGGTTCCCGGGATCCCAGTACATGAAGCCGGCTACTTATACATCATAACATTTACAGATTGTTTTGCCATCCGACGACCATGAAGGAGTTATATGCTACAATCAAATTCGGAATAACTTCAGACCGCCTCGATTTCCTGGTCTTATTGAGGATCGAAGGAATAAGATCAGATTAAACACTGATTGGTTGTCCCGGATATCTTAACTACCGAGCTCCAGCGGATACGGAAGTTACATTCTCCCGGGTGCAGCATTCTACCCAACTAACAGCTACCAACTACCTCCTCGTCCCATGTTTTTATCTCTAATTTTCTTTTCTTGCTATTTAGAATAATTTATATATACATGTATCTATATATCTATCGTTCCAAGAATGGTGGGATCTACGGAAACGGAACGAACAGGTCCTTACGGACGAGCATGTATCAGTTGTGCCCGTGCCAAAACTAAATGTAACTTTGGTGGTGACCATAGAATTTGTGAGAGGTATCTCCATAACACAGAACATTCCTCTTTTCCAGTAGACTGATTTTTCTAGATGTGCTCGGCTCAAAAGAGCGTGTAACCCGGCTCCCGTGAAACGGAGACAAAAGCCACGAATAACTGCAGAACGACTTGAACAAAGACTAGATGGGCTCGTATCTCTACTAAGGACCATTTCACCAAATAATCCTACGGTTGAGAATGCCCTGAATAATATCACAACTCGTACTTCTGGCAATAATGCATCAGCCTTCCGCCCTTCTACCGTGAATACACCGGTGGGAGACTCAGATGAGGCAGCATCTATTGGCCAATGTGCCGCTCATTTTCCTCCAACCCCAGCTTCAATCACAACGACGCCATATCCATATACGCTCCCAGTGGGCGCGGAACCAACAATAGAAGAAGCAGAAAGATATTTTCAATCCTTCTGTACAAGGAATCTTCCTCATTTTCCATTCATACAGTTTCGAGATGGCATGACTGCCTATCAGCTACGTCAAGCACGCCCGTTCTTTTGGTTATGCATCATGACAATGTCATCAACTGTAATTGGCCGGCAAATCAAACTTGGCAAAGTGATTCGAGAAATTGCAGCTCGTGAGCTTGTTGTTGAGGGGAAAAGGAATTTAGACCTCTTGCTAGGCTTGGTTTGTTTTGTCGGATGGTAAGCTCTTTTCATTTCAATGATGGATTCTGGTTACTTACTGTAGTTCTAGGGGGCAATATCAAATACGAACTGCACCATTCATGACTTTATTCTCTAACCTCATTGTCACACTCGTGCTTGATTTGGAACTCCACAAGCCCACTACCGAAGAAGCATCTCACATCCTAGGGGTGGAACATGAAACTCGCCATCATGAAATGATGGATGTACCTGTGAATAGAACCATGGAACACCGTCGCTTAGTTATAGCTTGTTATTACCTAACTTCAGCGTATGTGCATAACTTTACTCACTCTGCATGATATGATCATCGTGGTCGATGCTAATATTGATTTAGTCTATCAACTTTCCACAAGAAACTGGAGAGCATAGTCTGGTGTCCCTATCTAGATAAATGTCTATCAACAATAGCAGAAAGTAAAGATCCATCTGATGAGCTTTTAGTCTGCCAGGTTCGACTCCAAAACGTTGTGCGTAAGACAACTGAAGCATATATACACCTCATTCGCGATGGCACGCCAAGCAAACCTGGTGCTTCCAATCTTATCATGCTCTATATCCAAACTCTAAGATCACAATTGGCGGAAGTCAAAAACAAAATACCGCCACATTTAGATTGCAACAGTAAGCTTCTATGGTAGATGTTACACTTTTAGAACTATTTAATAACAATTTTACAGGGGCGCTAAGTCTACAAATCTTCGGCACGGAAGTGATAATCAACGAACTTGCCATCCATCTTCCTAATTCCACAGAATCTACATCCTTAGATGCCTCACTTTCTCGAATGGAGGCACTCCATCGCTGTCTTAACTCCATAAAATCTTGGTTTGACGTTCTACTCAACTCGTCAGCTTCATATTACATAGGATTACCACTTCCAATATGGAAACAGTTCGGTGGCGTCTTCTTTCCTTTGTATCGTCTTACGGTATTGAAAGATCCTGCTTGGGATACCAATATGGTCAGGGAAACTTGTTCACCTGGGCGCGTCTTAGATTTGTTAGGTCAAAACTTAAGAGAAGCCGAAGTCGAAGCTGCATGGGAGAAGCATGATAGCGATGTCGAAAGTATCTTCACATGTTCGGAAAAGGTCATGAAGATGATGAAAGCATGGGTTGATCGTCTACCGGGATTCAATGCACCAAATACTGATATTTCTAATCCCATCGATAACTTTCAAGACAAACAGCTACAGCCAGTTCCAGAGACAGATCAACTAGCTTGTATGTCAAATTTTATGCCATTAGAGATGGAAGATGTTTGGTCACAGGATTTTATGGGACTGTGGGATATATATCCCAACACTTGATGATATTTCTCATCGGTAGTCTCTAGGATTTGGAATACATAAGATACATTTTTGGTGCAGTAAGAACGCACAAGTACTGATAATGATAATCAACTCCATTTTACTTTACATGATTTGCATCCTACCGACTCACTTGGCATTATTTCTGATATGGGATGCATGATTACCCCCCACATATACATGAATCCTTCGGCGAGCCCGAACCAAAGATGGCTCCACTCTGGTTTTCTAGGTGACACGAACCCCGCTTCCAACCACAATCATACAATATTTGATGTCATATTATATGTATACAATAGGACGTCGAGCTCTAGTTTTACTCTAGCTCTATACATTTCAACTCGATTAATTACCTCGTGGGAGCTCCAATGCCAGGCAGCATTATGAGAAAAGTCCGTATAAACGCGAGGCCGACATGATAACATTCCCCGGTAGAGTGGGGTTCTAGTGTACGTATATATTCGTTAGTATACCATTTAGATTCAAAGTCACCATAAATTCCCTCGACTACTTCGAACTCTAGATCTATCAACAAAATGGCGTCTCCAACCTTCCCAACAAAAACTCACACCACAACCCGCTCCTTCACCTACTCATACATCCACATTGAACCCTCCACCCCTTCAAAACCGTATATACTCTTCCTCCATGGCTTTCCATCATCCTCTCACGACTGGCGCCATCAAATCACCTACCTCTCCTCCAAAGGTTACGGAATCATCGCTCCCGACCTTCTAGGATATGGAGGCACCTCCAAACCCCTCTCAATCGAATCCTACAAATTCAAAGACATGGCTTCTGATTTACATGAAATCATCTCCTTACACTCCATTTCTGCATCACACAAAGTGCTAGGTGTAGGACATGATTGGGGAAGTTCCATGCTCTCACGAATGGTAAATTATTATCCGGAACTGTTTGAGAAATTAGTGTTCTTAGACATTGGATATCAGGCACCTGGTGGACCGGGATTTAATTCCGACTTGGTGAAAATGATTAATGCGCAAATTAAAGAAATGGCTGGATATGAAGTTTTTGGATATTTTTTGTTCATGGATGAGGAGGATAGTGCGGAGTTGTTAGATAAGAATGTATGGTTTCTAGATTTCCGGGTCCGGTCGTGATGAAGATGAGATGCTAATACAATATCGACATAGCCCGAATCCATCATGTCATTGTTTTACAGCCTAAACAGCGACCTAGGGAAGAAAAACATGGGAGCAACAGGAGGTTTTCGTAATTGGCTTGAAGGGAGTATGATAGCTCCTTACCCGGATTTTGTTAAAGACGAGGTGAGTAATTATTTCCAAATCATGATATGGGGATTAAAGACATATGAGTACTGACAGGCTATGTCACAACTAGGACATAGCAAGTTTTAAAGCCTTATTCTCACCCCAGAACGGAGGATTTGGTGCTGCGAAAAATTGGTATACAGCACAACTACACGGCATCAATGTAGCCGATGACCAAGGTACTCCCCTATTTTTCCTCATTTCCTTCCCCTAACTCTCAATGCATTCATAATCCTACAACAAAACTAACCACTTCCCGCAGCCATCCCCAAAGAAAAAGCTATTCTCCACCAACCAACCCTCCTCGTGACATCTACCAATTACGCTAGCTCAAGCGCGAATTTTGCTTCGCAAATGAAACCGTATGTATCGAATCTGAGGGTTGAGAATTGGGAAGCTGGTCATTGGATTCAACTTGAGAAGAGTGACGAGACGAATGTGTTGTTGGAGGAGTTTTTTGAGGGTTGATGGGTAGGATGGAAGGGGTATTTGTGTTTCGTTGTATGACGTGATGATATGTGGCTCTGGTTTTGGTTTTGGCCATAAGGGGAAGCGTTTGGATTTCGGGTATGTCGCCGAGTTTTTATTCAGGCTAGATGTGTCTATGTATGGAGATAATAGCCAACTCAAAATGTCGTGATATCGTTTCTCGGCATCAAGTCCTTGACAGAGCAGACCATTTGAATCCTGGGTATAATTTCGAGATGGCATTATCTCGAGATGAGACAAGATCAGTTCTCGTATCTGCTTCTAGCTTACAACCACCAGAACTCACCCCTAAATATATTCCACTGCCACTTTGTTCCTTTTCCCGCACTTCCTACTTGAAGCGCCATTCAAGGATGGTAATAGGTTTCATGTCGTACTTCATCCGCATCAGCTTTCCCATCCCTCATCTCCGTATTCTTAAATAATTCCTGCAGCGGACTCAACGGCAACAGCCATTCCACTTCTACTTCTTCGTCATCATACTCATCTTCTTCTCTTTCCCCTATTTTACTCCTGGTGACATTATTTGCGGCGGACTCACCGTTCCGATATCCATTTCCCCTTCCCCATCCCAATCTTTCCCTTCACTTTAGACCTCATATGCCGGCGAATACAAAGGCGAAACGGGACTCGCTTCTCTCTTCATTTTTCTCCCGATACTTTTTCGATTAGCGTTAACAGTTCATTTAGCACAGACTCTCTAGCTGGCAATTCCACTGGTTCCATGACTTCTTTTCCCTGCAACTCCTAATCTCCATACTATCCCCATGAAACTGAGCCTTTCCTAAATATCCATCGTTATTAGTATTGTGACTGCTTCTACTCGACGGGTTATAGACATCATCTAAGTTTTTGTAGGATTCAATGTCAATCGGGATATGCCGTTGACGAAGGTGATACTGTTCCAAGAGGACTTCGCCATGTTGCCTACGGTGGGTGAAGAGGATTACTATGAAGACGGTGGACATACCGAGCATGGAACCGATTATGGGGCCGATCATCCAAGGTTTGTTCAGAGGAGGCGGGGAAGAAGATGAAGTTAATGTAACGGTAAAGTTAGAATTAGATATACTGCTAGTTTCTGAGATTGTGGTTGCGCTAGAGGTTGACGTTGATGTGGAAGTTGAGGCTGGTGTCGAGGATATGAAGCTGGTGAATGTCGTTGATTGAGAGGACACTTTCATAGAAGATATTGATGCCAAGTTCATAGTTAGCTTAGTAAATTTATCAAAAGTACTCAGAATTAACTGGAGAGTGCGTATACCCCTTCAGATAGGGCACTGAAATAAGCACTAGCCCAAGTAGGTGTACGCAAAATTGTCGTCCAATCTCCCGAATCACTATTCTAACTCCCAATCCAACTACTCATAGGCGTCACCGAACTAATTGATCCCGTTTTAGTTGAAGAAGCCGTCTTTCCTGCTGTCTATGAACAACTCGTCGGAGACCCAGTTGTAACTATTTGTGAATACAAAGATATTAAGTTCGAAACCTGTAATGCATACTGTCGTACCTCTCGTCTTCCAGACGTGTTAAGACATCTATTCAGTTGCATGGAAATTATTGATAATATTTCTTGTTGTTCGATGTCGACCTCTTTTTTTTTTATTGAGTAGATCAGCACACAAGTTTGAGATGATCCCCAGCTTTTAATTTATTTTGAATAAAGTAGTAATGATAATGAAATCCGGGTGAAATATGGGCCAGCAAATAGATATGGTTTAGTACTGTACTCTAGGTACTAATATCTGTTCAAGGAAGAGGGAAAATCAATTCCATCGTGTGCGATCCAATTCTGCACGAGGGACTGTGTTACGGAAGGGAGAGTCAGAAGAAATTGTTTGGAAGGGCAATGATTTTGGCATAGCGTTGAAGTGATTTTGAATTAGAGCTCAAGCACATGGGTTGCATGGATTACTTCTCGTGAATTCCTGGCGCTTGGTATTGCATAAACATATTGTGTGATAGTCATAATTCCAAGAAAGAGGAAGTAATGGATATCAGAACAATCATTCATCTCTCCACCTTCCACGCTGTTTTATGGATTGGATTTGGATCCGATCAATCAGGAAATCTGAGACTTCATTTCATGTAAATTAGGCCCTGAAATTCGATCATGCTATAGTCTCGACGTTCCATTTTTGTATGTCCTAGGAGCTGTAGTGAACAAGCTTAAGCAAAGCTTTTGCGTTAGAACTCTTCAAGGTCCTGCTCTTTTCTTTCAAAACTCTCCCAATCATCCGATCCAACTTGGTGTCCTCAATATGCGAATGTCTTCCTTCTCATTTAGTCATGACACAATCCCACAAGCCGCATGATATTGAAGACCTACCCAACGCTCAGATGGAAAATTGACGACGAGTTGCTTTTGTAACGATCTAATGACTCTCATAGTCACTACTACTCACACTTATGCAAGCTTTAGAGAAATCTAATCTAATGTTCGTAAATCCTATCTTATCGTGTGAGGTTGTAGGCTGCCATATTCTCGTGATGCTGATTCGTCGATGTTATCTAATGTTACCCAACTCTTCCAACAATAACCAAGAATCGTTGCTCCCGTGACTATCGTGTAGCTTTAGATGTAATGATATCTGCGAAGAGCTCGACATCACCCGAGTCTTAGCCGGTATGACACATTAGTAGTGTATATGGATATTGTTCGTGTCTTGTCCAACTCTTTAAATTTCCATATACGAGCAGTGACCTTGATGTGTTGGGGTTTCACCACTTCGCAGCTTTCTTTTAGCCCTTTCCTCGCACGTTGGTACCCTGTCTTTCCTTGTCGAATTTCGGCATATATTTATCCTTATATTCCGATTCATCCCCGAATATCTTGAGCAAAGGAAAGATGAGATGTAAGGGTAACTGAAATTATATGTCTGCTGAATGAATTTGAGAGCATATAGCTCACAAAACTATAGAGCATACACAAACTCCTGATTCTCCTTGTCGGTAAGATCGAGAAACTCTTGCTTATCTAGCTTTCTATATCCTGGAGCGGCTCTAATCGCTTCATTTTTCTTGTTCATTTTATTGTAATACCATGCAATAAAAACCACATCAATGAGAGCTACTCCATAACAGACAATGATCGTTATTTCTGCTGGCTTATATCGTGGTGCATCTTCTGGTCTGAATATCTGGGGTCCGACTATGTTCCCTATGCAATAGGCAATTAAATACAGGGCTGCAACTGTTGTCTTCTTAGTGTAGCCTGCGACATTAGTTGATATCATGGAGAGGATGGCAGTAAAAGGTGGTGCTGAAGCTTGTGTTAAGTAATAGCCTGCCAAACGACCGCTGTTATTGGATAAGGGAAGAGCAACTATGAGGATCATTCCTAGGATTGAAATTAATAGACCGGATGTAGATATCAAGAGCCTATGGCCGTATTTATCTCCAAGGTAACCACAGACAATGAGAGTTACAACTTCAACAACACCACCAGGGCTTCCGTAAAGAAGTGATTGATCGGGAGTGTAACCAAATGACACGATGAGCTGAGAAAAGAAGTTCGAGATTCCGCCTGGAAATTGTCAGTTGAAAATTGCCAACAATAGCATTCAGATTTTCCTTACCGTTAGGTATATCCGCTATCAATGCATAAAAGGCAAACGCCCAGGTGATTGGATCAGCCAAAGCTTCTTTCAATTGGTACATTTTGAAATGCTTATTGCCCACGCCTTGTTGATTGTTTCTGATCCGCTCAATTGCCATAAGTCTCTCTTTCGGGGTAAGAAACCTGGCATTTAACTGATTGTCTGGCATGAAATAAAGAAATATGCACCCAGTAGCAACTGTTAACAGCCCAATGGTCAAAAATATAACCTTCCACGGAGCAATCGCTGCTCCATGTTTCTTAATACCCACTGAAATGCCGTATGAGACGACACCACCAAAGATTTGAGCAAATCCATTGAAACTAAACCAGATTCCAGTCCTCAGACCTTGCTCTTCTTTCGTATACCACTGGGATGTGAAAAGAGCAAATCCAGGAGTGACTGCAGCTTCAAAGACTCCAAGGAAGAAGCGGACAGCCACGGCACCTGCAAAATTGCTTGTCGCTGCCATGCAACACAATGTACCACCCCAGGCTATGATATTGAAAGATGACCATTTAGCAAGGGGCAGTCTTTGCAGTAAACGATTGGTCGGATACTCCCAAACCAAATAACCAATATAAAACATAGATCTGCATAATTAGCAAAGAAGAATCTCCAGGCGTGAGTTGAAAAATCTCACCCTAACCATTGGTAGTTATCACCCTTAAGATTGAGTGAGGTCTTCATACCCATAATACTAGCATATGAAAGTGTTGTCTTATCGAGAAAGTTCAGGCCGTACACAACACAAAGCATCTGTGAATCGGTAAATAAAAGAACTTATTGGACCAGAGCAGCAGAAACAAAAACATACTGGCATCAAATTCCAATCGATTTTCCTTAACAATTGCTTCTCCATCTCTGGTGTCATGACAATAATTTCACCATCATCACTAGCAAACGCCTTAAGTGCCTCATCACCATCATTTGGATCGGCATGCTTGAACATAACATCTTTTATTTCCCCTTCATCTAGTGTGATATTTTGTTCCAAGTCGTGTGACTGTTTTTTTATATCATCAGAATCGATGGATATGTGCTTTTCATTGATTAGGTCGGCCATATCGTAAGTAATCTTACGGTTGCCTCCAGAAGTAGGGGAAATAGTAATGCGCAAACGAGGGGATGTGCAATCTAGAAGCGAGGAGGACAAGTAAGAAATGCAGTTCTTGATGTAAAAGGGAAAGCAATTCTTTTTATTAACGATGGAAATGTAGTACTAGTACTGGACAGTAAAAGTAGTTCCAATGAGCAGAGCTTGCGCCACTTCAAGATCATCGTCGCCCCGCAAAGTCGTGATCAACTAATCTCTCATACCCTGATCATGTTTTGGGGTAGATTTGAAAACCTCATTGGTGTATATTCTGACATCATTTCTTATCTGCCATTCTTCAGCTACTGAGATATGAGATATGAAAATGGGGGAGAAACATCGGTTGTAGTAGCAGACGAAAATGATTGGAGAACGTGTGGAAAATGATACTTGAAGGGGAAAATGATTGCATATAAAAAAGATAAAAATGGAAGGTTACAATCTTCATCGGGGAATAATTCATTTTGACTCGGAAGTTTACTATGTTTATCGATAACACAAGTTTCCGAGTCATGATTGTCTCATTATGGTGGTACCACTTCTTTTTTTACCACCAATGATTGATTGTGCACAAACTCCTCACTTTGACATTCATCAATCTATCAACATTCATCGGTCTGTGAACACCCATATCCTTGTGAGAAGCAGCCTTCTATTGTGAAGGGCAAAGAATTCTTCTCTGATTAATGATTCAATATGAAGCTCAGGTTGCCTTCACAAGTTGATTCCCAGATATATGACCATTTGGTGGGAGCTAACTGTGGCCATGGAAACCAGATATAAAGTACACCACTACGATGAACAAGACCATGATGGCTTCGACATCAACTTGATGTGTATCTTATGATAGCTTCCACTGTAATAAATGCAGAACGCGAGAGAATTTTCCACATCTCGCTGGATATCTTCAAACCCCAACTTTGGTTTTGCGGATTCTCATTGCTTGGAACCTTATCGCCCCCGCATAGCGTTCGTTTACCCCCCTCAGATACACTTTGCTATTCGATCAAGGACACGGGAAGTGCAGGAAATGCTCGGCCAAACAATATTACCCTTGTCCTCCTTTCAGCAAATGAGTGGCATGATGTCCAGTTAAAATATATTAATATTTACCTGGCAGAGGGTCGATACTATTCATATCTAGAGCCACCAGATTCTAGACATTTAACATACCCTGCTGCGATAAGTAGTCGAAGTCCACAGTAAGATTACAAAATAAATGGATGTGGAACTTTTAATACGCCAGCGTCTAGGGGAGAGATTTTGTGGTTTCACAGAGGCGATAGGTGAATAATAGACGCGTTAGAATATCCAAACCAGACCTCCGTTTCGAAGGAGGTTCGAAGATTTTACACCGTTCTAGGTTCTTATCGCGATGCCACCGAATTTTTCAGGGTGAGAATTCAAGAACAGCTGAAATTTGATTTCACCACGAGAAGATTGTCGCCTCAAGTAATTCTGAGCTGATTTGGAAGGTACAATCACTCTCCAGCGTCAATAGTCAGTCCATTCTACCGACTCGAAACCAAACTACATGGTAGCAATAGCCATCTAACCAGCGGTATTTTTCACGAGGGCTTCAAATTCACAATTAGGATTTTTATCATGTCTCTGAACATCCCTTAGGTACAGGGCCTAAGACTATTTTCATCTATTCTTCGTTAGATTTAATTGCAGTAATCTTCAAAGTCTCTTGTTCGCTAGAAGACGACTAGCAGTACGATGAATCAAGCTATAGCATAACAATCAAGGTTATGTATTAGTCGTCACACAGAAATGCGTGTTAGAACAGCCCAACAGACATGCGTACCACTAGTCGAATTATTATGTGTGTAAGCTATATCTTCATTTCTTCACCTCCCAGCTAGTTCTAAGGGTATCTTACATGACTCTAGATCAAAGTTAGCCCTATTCGGCTCCTGCGGAATTACCTCTAGTGATGGGAATTTTTATCGTAAGTGTACGAGTAGGATTGTCCGTTTGATTCATTGCTATGCTTATATTCATGCTTAGTATCTACCCGACGTATTCTTCTAAGAATCCTGTCCGGTTCCTTTTCGCTTCATTTAGGGACTGCTTCTTATTTGGATTCGTCCGCTAAAATCCTCCCTATTCCAGATGTATTAGCACAATTCGATTAGACATTTTGAAATCCTCCACCATTGGCTTCTTGTTCTAAAATCCGCTATCATACCCAGCCTGATAATTCACCCGCACGGGATTTTTCCCAGTATATGAAGAATCAATTGCTTCGATTGATAATTCTATAGCAAATTTCTTTCCCGTCTCGCTGTTCAGTCGTCAGGTATCTTGGGGGTCTGGTAATAGTGGAAAAGCACTTTGATTATCCCTTGACCCCATGGCCATCAATGTCATGTCTCATTGAAAACTCGCTTAACTTCAATGTCATCATCGAGAAAAGGACGTTGCCCACCAGCCGTGGCGCTGTATAGCTAAGTCTATGGTCCTCAATGAAAATAGGAGTCGTAGTGACTTAAATGTAAGCTCCTATAATGAATCCCACAACGTATTAAGAACTATAAATTATCCGTTCTCATTCTCGAACCCCTGTTTCCCGAATAAATGAGCATGCCCCTCGGCTCCCTTGGAATATTTACATATTTTGTAGCTGGCTCATTTTTGTATACCATTTCTTCTGCAATAGACTAATAGTACATTTCAATATCGTTCCATCTGATTATCTCTATATATCCCACCAATGATCATAACTTATCTCCAAGCTATCAAAGATTGTCATGAGAAATTAAACTAAAAACTCCACCACATCCTCACAACATCGAATCCTACAGCAGAGAAACTCGCTTACAGAATCAATCTTCTCCCGCTAGGTACCTAGCAAAAGCTCTTAATACCCACCTAGGTATTCACACAACCAAGCCCGGTGACGATTTTTAAATGACTTTAACGTTTAATCACAGATATAAATCAAGGAAATGCACAAGTTGTACAAACTGTACATACTAGGAACCCAAACACGAGATATCACAAGCTAGAGATAAACTCTAGTGTTCTCAGCGATTCTCTCCTCGACTTTTTTCTCTATCCTCGATGATATCAATATCAATATCAATATTGAATAAGCTTAATTATCCTCTTCGCTATAATATCTGCGAGAAGAACCGCAAGCTTTTTCATATCCGTATCTACGTATATGATACCCACCAACCCATGTATCATCTTCCACTTCACACGCAACACCTCATCTCTCGAAGCAGGAATCCATCTTCTTCTACTTATCTTCACTGTTATGTGTAACCGTGCCATGCTCTCTGCATATGGATATCCCATACATACATACATGCATACCCTAATAAACCTCCACCCCAGACCACAAGACGAGATTCATATCCTCATAAGCCGCCCATCATATTATATCATATACGGCGACATCGATCCATCCACCTCTATCCTTTATTCCCAAAGTCTACAATTACGAAATAGTATAATGACACCACTCAAAAGATTAGAAGAACGAACTTCAAAGAATAATTAGCAGTCAGTAGGTACCTAGGTAGTGATATTTCAACCACATGAACAAACATCATCATAACATACACATCAATAATAACTTCACAAGTCACAATTGGGACAAAACAAAACAAAAGGAGTTCATTAAATATCCTCTCTCATTCGATTGATTTATTTATCCCAATACATTCATCCATCCTACCTCAGATTTCAATCTTATCTTCTTAAAATCCGCTTCCTTCATATCTCGCATATCATATTATACCTACAAAATCCCTTCAACTAAATATGCATAGATTAAACAAATTTACTTATCCCAAAACAGAACTCCAGAAGAAGGTAATGTAAATGTGAATATGTATGTGATCCAATGCCAACCAACGCCAGAAAAATAAGAGGTTCAAAAATTGTCCCTCAAGATATCAATCATACTTGCTGACCAACCAGACCAGCTGAAACCAAACCACGCTCCTGATATCTCATCAAAATAACCCATCTTTATCAATCCAATACAAACTCCACACTCAATCAAGCAACAATACTCCTAGCAACACTACCACCCCATTTAAATCTTCTCAACCCACCACTTCCACTCCTAACAACTTCTCTCCCACAACTTCCATCACTCATCGAACCATTCCATCCTCCAAGAACTGAAGCTTCTTGTCTTCCTACTTCCCTTCCAATGACATATCCTGCTCCAAATCCAACTACTGAAACAAGTACTACTACTCCTGCGCTCATTACCCATGTTAGAAGAGTAGGTGAAATAAAAGCTTCTTCCCCTTGCATAAGTTCATTCTTTTTCTTTTTTAGAGCTCGAGTATTTTGTTTGGTTTGACTGGCTTTACGTTTAACTTCATCTTGAGAATCTTGTGATGATTTACTTTTTGAGCGATTTGATGATAGAGGTCGTGATATATTAGCTGTAGGATGAGGTGATGTACCAAGGAGTTCTGATTCAGGAACTATTCGAAGACCCATTGGTTCATTACTTGTGGCGGTTTGACCAGGAGATTTTGGAAGACCTCTTGCTGCAGCTGCACAAGATAGTAAAGTTGTAAGACTAGCCCGAAGAGCAGCATCATGATCTACAGGTGGTCGAGCATAACTATTAAATGAGGTATTTCGTGAAGTTGTGTGGTTACGAGATGGATATGATTGTGGTCGAGGTTGTGAATGAACTTGTCTTGGGAAGTATGAGCCTTGTGTAGGAGCTGGAGTTCGATGACTTTGAGATTGTGATGATGGAGGGTGAGAGAAAGCATTTGGTTGAGGTGTAAATGGTAATGTTGTCCCTCTTCCTATTCCTAAAGCTGTACCATTCTCATCATCATCATCTTCGGATTCTGCATCATATGTTTCTCGAGTCGATAATCTTGCTGGAATGGCAACTGGTGGAGATATCTCATTTGAGCTGGTTATAATATCTATGTGATCTGGTTCCGATTCCGATTCTTCGTATTCCTCTTGACTACTTGAACTTCTTTGTCTGTTGATGTTTGTATTAATTTGAGGCCGTGATTGATTTTGAGATCGTCTGCGCCGTCGAATTGAAGGATGTTCAGAGACTCGAAGACCAGTGGTTACGATTTCATTATCGATGGAAGAAATTGAGGATGAAGATGGTTGAGAGGATATTTCTACCCATGATTCTGCTGTTTTGCGCGATTAGATATGAGATTAGATTAGATATGTGGAGGGTATGGGGAAATGGGGAAGTTGGAGTTAATAAGAATAGAAATACCTTCATTGCGCAATCGATCTGATACACCATTTGATCTTTTCATATTGTTTTTATTTTGTTGATTTTGTGATGTATGGGAGGATCGTGAATGTTGATGAGGATGTTGCGAAGTTGACATGATGAGGAATGAGGAATGAGATTGATAACCTAATGGTGATGTGATGTGATATGATATGATGGCTGAGCTGATCAAACGCGCGGGCGGGGTCAGGGTTCACAAGACAGACAGGACAAACAGGATAGATTGGCACGAGAAAACAAGTGCGGTCAGATGTTTGATATGTTTCAAGTTGATTTTGTTGAGAAATGTTTATTTATTTATCGAAGCTCCTGCTGCTCTTTGAATGTCATCAGAGGTTATCGTAAATAGTTTCTTATCAATAAGTAATAGGGGTCTTGGAGGAGATGGAGACCGCTCTTCGGAGTGGATGGGATCTAGAGACTAGAGACTAGAGACTGGAGGCTAGAAACTGGAAACTGGAAGCGGGAAAAGGAGTGGATGCTTTGTTGTCTTTCTTCTTTCCTGAATGGATGAAGTTTGGTTTGCTATTGGCAAGATAAGTTTCCAAGGTTGATGCAGCACTTTGGATGGTATAGATTGATGTAAGAGAGCGAGTGGGCTTCTTCCTTTTCCAATCATATACGAGTGCATATGCGAAAGATTAATATAGGTATCCGAGTACGCAGGAGAAGTGGAGTTGTGGAATAGGTTAGATAGGTGGTTGATAGGTTGATGGTTGACAAGTAGATGCTTTTATCAAAGGTATATCTGCTACTGTCCGGCAAAGAGTACAGAGGGGGCATAAGAGGTAGCCAATAGGTAACAAATGGTGGGTGTATATGTACAACATCGGTGGATACAAACAATTCCCCTTCTTCGGTCAGATGTTATTCACCTCCCCCCAGCAGCAGTAAGAACTTGTTATCATCGATTTGGTTGAGATGGTGCTGTTGACTGAGACATTGTATCATGAGCTTATCTTATCGTGAATAGAGAGCATAGAGCATGGTAATTTTAGACATTCATGAACATCACGTGTATGGTATGATTGGAGTATTTTAAAAAGGACAACCTCGAAGTTCTTGGTCATTGTGAGTCACAGATAGGATGTTACTCTGGGGATAATGATGAAATAGGAAAACAACTTTATCACCACGTCGTACAGAATATCTGAAGATATACTTGGATCTTGATATGTTTCGTTTTTCCAACAGGCTAAGGTTAAAGCGGCATCATTCGGGAAAACAAAGCGGGCAAGTGAAATCAGACCCTTTCTTTTTCCCCTTCATTGATATCATCATCAACATCAAATACCTACTAGGTGAGTACGGTACTCTTCCTTTCCTCTCTTTCTAGGTCATAAGATATCAAACATCTTCAGCTCCCAGTCAATTCAGATTGTCAACAAGAAACTCAGTCAACATAGCAATACTCCGTAAATCTTCTTCGGTTCATGCCCAGCCCAGCACCCAACAAAATCTTTCTTTCGTACAATATATCCTCTCCCAATAGCATCACTTTATACTCCACCACTTACACTTCGTACCAGAAGATATTTTGTCAGGGAACCATCAAATACCATCAAGGATCAACGGAATCAGAAGATATATGTCCCGGTGTTCATTGCTCATCATATCCTGATATCGTGACACACTCTTCATTGCGTATAGTATTTTGGTTGTGTCACGATTATGTTGTGACTGATGTGATAGGTAAGACTTTTTGCTTATGATCACATGTTCCAAGAGTCACACTGTGGTGGATAGGTTAATGTGTATGTTATACTTCTTCACACCTCAATTTCTAAGCCAGGGATATATGGGTTTTCTGGAAATGATATTTGTGAGAGATAGAACCTGAATGTTTTATCTTCCAAGTTTACCTACTCATGCGAGATTTTAAACGCCATCAGGTGGTAAAGGATAAGTACTTCTCTTTCATTGTAACAGCGTATCAATTCCAGTAAGTGTTTTCTATTAAAATGAACCATCTAGTTGATTGGGCCTCGGAACCTCTCTTTATGATTTAAATACATCGCTACCATTCAAAGCCATTATATTAGCACAGTATTTAAAAGTTTCCCAGCTTAGACACTGTAAATGCTCTCCAGAAAATTTCACTGATCGGGCGGAGAGCTTCGGGATAGAATACCACTGCACTCTCATTAGTTCCAAAGTCCGAGCTGTACGAGGTTTGGCTGCTGGGTCATGTTTGTACGTTAAGGTATCAATAGAGATATTAAGACATGGGCCGAATTCCATAAGATAATAGGATTGGCTAAGCTACAGTTGGTAGTCATTATATCATTCTTATATTAGTCGGCGTTGTCGGTAGTTTAAGAGGAGCTACAATGAGTCCCTGTCACAAAAGTTGCTGATTTGTCTTTATGGTTTCACCATGTTATTCACTACAATGAATTGGAATCATAGGTAGGTACGGAAACTCTAGTTCTGGATGGGTGTAAAGGACGGTGCAATATTCTTGAGATACGGATAGATATAATGCAATAGCAATAGCAATACAAGTATAACACAGATCCAAGTGAACTCCAACACGGAGCGAGATTGAGATACTCAACTAAGTATCTGAATGATCAGACGTGATCGATATTGTACTAACCGGCCTGCTTTTTTTGATAGGGCGATATACATCCCAATACCCATCCATACTTCCGCGTGAAACTTCGTCATGCCGTGGGGCTAATGAGGCATTCGAGAAGAATCCTAGCCTGCAAGTATGGCGTGGTAGAATACTCGGTTGATTGGTCAATATGTACGAGGAAATGGAAGGGAGGGAGGAAGGACGGAAAGTGAGTACTCACTTTCTTTAGGATTTATAGATAGGCTGTGACAAAATGTAGGAACTTCCTTCTCGCTCCTCCAAAACATACCTGTGATGATGTGAGTGTTGCATGAGGTCGATAGTTTGAATCGAGCAATCTGGACACAACTTTTTTGGTTTCTTTTTTTTTTTTAGCTTGCTGTAGTGTATCGATGTCTTTGATGATGGTGTGTATTTGCACTCTGCGAATTTAGGTTGAGGGTTTTAAATCTTGGTTTATTTTGGTTTTTGGTATGAGGAGGGTATTGATCTCAGCTTTCGTTTTAATACAGGTCTCTTATTACGTGCTCATATTGAAGTCTTTTATTGGGGGGCAGGAAGATATAAGAAGCTCGAGACGTACGTAGCCGGATATTTAATTGGAAACATCGTTTATTCAGTCTTCGCCAAAGGTGCTTAACAGCTGGATCTGGCAGGAACCTCGATGACAAAGTCCTGGGCGAGGTCTCCAAGATTCGCGGTGGTCTTCCGATGAAGCTAGGATAGGAAAGTGATATTGCTCGTTAGATGCACATACAGCACGCATCGTTAATTGTGATCCTGAAGGAGCAAAGCGAAGATCCTCGGTATTCTGTTTAAAAATTTCGGTATCTTCTGTCTCGTTGTGAATCATCAGATGAAATGTGGTCCACTCCCGAGAGCTGAATTTAACTTTTCCATAGACAGTCTCGAGCTCGTGATAGTCTCTCAATATTGCCTGGCAACTCAAATAGCCTCCTTGCACGACACGCTTGGCAATAAGTTCTTCGATCTTCGACCTCTGAATGAACGGGTGCAATTCCTCAGGGAATCAAGACTATATCTTGAAGATATCTTCACATCTACTATTATGCTTGAGAGATTCAAACCTTGAATGTCAATATCTGTAGGATAATTAGCATCTTTCCACTTTTTCGGCAGATTCAATGGGATTCGATCTACCTTGCCTAAAAGTCCCAAGACCGCTATGCAAGGAGCGCGGAATCTGTTAATCTTCTTCATCAGAAGTAACGGCAATTTTTAGCTAAAAGCCTTTTATTGAATTCTCATTTCCTTTTCCATTGTAGAGACAGTTCTTGTATCTTTTTAAATGGATAGATATAGATCATTTGGCGACGAGAAAAAGAGCAGAAAGTTAAATTGATCATGAAAGGTAATAACGAAGTATCCTCACAATTCCTAGCGAAGATAATCTTACATCAAGACCTTTGACATCTTCACACTTGTCCCTTCAGCATGATGTGGTTAATGACTCCATAACTATGCCAAGAAAAAGATTGCAAAGTACACCAGTATTAACTCGAAGATACAGAACAATTCCTTTGCCTCATTTTAGAGAAAGTTCTCTAGGTTGTTTGTTTGTTCCGTTCACATCGATATTCCTCATATACCAGCTTTCATAGCAACTATCGCAACAGAACAAAATGAAATACTAAATAGGTAATTCTAATAATCCACAGCGGACTAGCAGAAAACCAGCAGGATATTTCAATAGCACATAGCAGGATTTTTACCTTCCAAATCTTAACGGGTAATCAGGTAAGTCCCAACTCATGAATCTGATAATGCACATCTGCGCACCCGGATAGCGAAAAAAAAATATTATAATATCCTATATTAGCTAGGAATAGGAAATGAGAAGAATTAGTTATTGGTTTCGTAGCTACAGAAGGAAAGATATTGGAACTAAAGAGCCTAAGTATCTAGACTTTCTAGATTTACATAGGAGGAAGATTGAAGTCTAGCATTCATATCTGAATTGAATTGAATTGAATTGAACTGAACAATTGGATGGGCTGTCATGTTTGGATTGAAATTCAAATCAAATATGGAGGATGGAGTCCAAGTCAATATAGTGACTAACTTTTACGAAGCAAGATATAGTATATTCTTATGTAATAACTAGAAATGAATATAACCCTACATTCCCCCCCACCAGCGCTGTAGGGTAAATTAACATCTCATATCGCACATCGCACATCATATCAAATTATCATTAACTACCTAATATATAATGCACAATCATTCCATCCATCCATATCTCAATCATAGATATTCATCTGTTAGACATGACTTATCCATTTGTCTGTCCCACACGTCCCACACGGATACCCTAACATGAGTTTCGGATCTCTCGGTTCATTCTTGGATTTGTCCATATCCGAAATCTCGAGTTTGACGGTGTGGGTATATGATTTATCGGATTGGAGAGGAATCCTAAATGAATCCTTGCTGTGAAATCCTCTCTCTTTGTATGACTCTTATGATAAAAAGTATATTATATCCTAAACCATGTCATCTCATCACATCTCATCCAAGCCCATATCGTGACATCCCGTCCCATAAGCATAAGCAAGAATATTCATCATTCGGGAGTCTTGAATCAAATTTCAACATCAGCCATCAGCCATCAGCCCAAATTCTAACTACCAAGCATTGATTTCGTGAATAAAGTACTCAACGGGTTAAATCACGAGATCTAAGATGTATGCATGTATATTCTCTGCAAGTCTAGACATCAAGACTTTTGGTACTACTCATGCGTTAAGCCACCAAGACTAAAAGGACACTCCAAGGAAAAGAATGCAAAAGAAACAGGAGGATAAGATAAAAATGAATAGCAAATGATAACTGAGAGTGCACCAGGTGCAAGGAAAAATCTAAGTTTGAGACATATATGTTGTCAAACGGTGAGGTTTTTATGCATGCTCCATGCACAATTCTCTCATCAATATCCTCTTCTTCCTTTCTTCTTTCTCACGAACCCGAATCCAGCTATATCCAAACCCAAACCATTGGCACTCGCATCTGACGCACGTGATCATCGATCAGCAAGTCGATCACCACGAGACCAGTTTCATACAATTTTGTACCCCACACGAACCTAATATCTTACCAGCCGGGAAGAAGAGATTATTCCCCGGTTCGTTGTGTTTGGGATTTTACCAATTGATTTGATGGTTAAGGATCCAAGGACGTGGGATATGATTATTACCACTTGGTGTGGGCTCCTCAAGGATCGTCATTTGGAAGAGGGGAAGTTAGAATCGATGGATAGTGGAATAGGTAAAGATATTCATAGACGACTAGAGGAAGTTAAATGTTGAGAGTGAGGTCCAAAATGTTCATTAAGGCTAGCACTAGCTATAGAATGTATAAAAATGGTCGATAAAGCAAAGGGTTAGGGCTGGAAATATTTCACGGTGAATGAGGTAAAGAGACAACTGTGACAACTGTGAATTGACAACAAGATACAGCCAATGATACACTTGTTGTGTATAGTATGAAAACCCCCATCGAAGATCATTCTCGAAGACTACTACCACACCATAATCCCAAACCATTCATTCGATTTAACCCTAACAATGGTTATCAGCATTCCAATTACTATCTCATATCCGTCTTCTTACGTAGCAATGATGATGATGGCGTATGTAGTGTATGTAGTGTATGCAGTCAAAGATGATCTAATTGACCTGCTGACTCTTACCTTCTCGCTAATATTGATCTCTTTGGCTTCTTTGAAGTTAGGTTAGTCTGAGGTTGAGTGTACAGCTTTAGTTCCCGCAGGTTTTGATGTTAGAATAGAGTGGTTAGTTGCTGCGGAGTCGTATAAATTAGTCGTGGCTTGCTCTTAGGACTGGGTAATATGTTGTGTTTGATTCTTAAGGTTTCCTGGGCGAGGAAGACAATAATGGTTGGATAGGCGTTGTGGTGTGTGGTAATTGGTAGGTGAGGGAGGGGTTGATGAAGTAAGCTTTATTTGTAAGGTGTGTTATGGAATGTGATGGGGTAACATTCACAACAGAAATAAATAAATAAATAAATAAATCTTCAAATACTCGAGTATATGACATGCTGTATGCCCAGACTTTGTGCTTCATAGGCTCACCCGGGTAACGATTGTTGCTGGGAAAGCAGGCGGGTTCGGTTGTTACTCCTTGGGATTTTGCCACTGGACATGGCGATTGTTGAACAGGGGATTCTTTGGCATTGTGAGAAGCTTTGAATGGGTGAATGAGGAAAGGAAACGAAATGCGATGCGATGAAATGCTGATGATTGATTTGTGAATATCCTGTCCTAAAATGTAAGCTATGTCCGCTCAGTAAAGTTAATCATAGAGTTAGAGCGTAGCTAAGACAACTCGAACCTAATTTATAATTTATATTCGGCGTAGAGAATAAGAGTAGAAATACTATTTCGAAATTTTGACATCTGAGTTATTCTCGAGCTGTAGGGGATATCTCCGATCGAACCTCCTCACTCACAGCATTTGGTTAATCATGTTCATTCATACCTCACTTGGCCATCAGATGGCGTGTGGTGTCAGTCCAGAGTTATCTTCTTTCAATCCACGGACCTGGCCGAGGTTACAAAGAGATCGGGGGATAAATCATTTCATGCAGATCTCAAGAAGGACATGGAAATCGCAGATGACGAACAAAAAAGATTCGAGAATGGGTCGAGGAATAATGTAGTGTTACGGGAACCTAATTTGGATAATACGTGGATATATGCGAGGTGCAACCCCTTCGTTATCAGGGATCCAATGAGTGAATATAACTTCATACTGTAAAATGGGGTGTATTATTCCTTGGAGGGCGAATTGATGCTGGAGGTGAGTTCTTGAACTATCCGTATGTAAGTAATGCTGTGAAAGATATTGTGGGAGCTTGTGAGCTAGTTCTTGGGGACCATTTTCGGTTGTGTTTGGGGGAAGGTGTTGTTATGATACTGAGCGGATAGGTATAAACGTGCGAACGATGTTGTAACTTTGGCGTATTGGGCGTGGAAGAGTGTAAGGAAATGCCAAGATGTGGATATATCCTGTAGGTTTCATTGCACAAGCTTACAATAGAACGGTCAAAGGAGGGGAGGAGAAGACAATGAGTTGTGGCTGGAAATGGCTTCTCGGGATGATGAGTATGAACAGAGTGTGAGGAGAGTGTGACAAGAGTGAGGAAGGACTAAAAACCTCACTATCGCTATGACATGACATCAAGAACTTGGCCAATTCCTTCAGTAGTTTCGATACTCGAGTAGTTTGTGATAAACCAAAAAGTAGAAGGGAAATAAAAGTCTAGAACATTTATTCACCAAATGATCTGAAAAGTATATCATCATTTCCCGTATTATAACTATCTACTGCTCTCCAAGCCCAAAAGGGATAGTGTCTTTGTTTTTCATGCAATAAATCAGTAGAGTATGGTTAGATGGAACGATATGTTAACCATGATCAGTCGTATGCAACTGCCGATGAATCTAGACCCCCGTATGATGAATGCATGAGAGAGTTTGAGGGTATTCACAATCATAATTATAATCATACTCGACTCCTGTTACTTCAATTCTGATGATGAAGTACGAGGGTAGAACTAATGTCTAATGCAACTAAATGGATAAATGGTTCTGGTATTGAATCAACAGCAACAGCAACAGCAACAGCAACAGCAACAACAGCAACATCAACAACAATCACATGTCGTACCGGTGTTATCCTGTTCATGTCCGTGTCCATATCCATATCCACATCAAAGCATCAAAACACGGCACATTAGCCAAACTTAGATATACAACCCCCAGCTTACTTTCTCTTATACCTACCCTACTTACCTGCCATATACCTGGCGACCAATATAGCAGTTCGTCGAGCCGTTCGTCACGAACCTACCCATGTGCGTTGCTGCGCTGTATGTACCTATGTACCTATGTATGTATGTATGTATGTATGTATGTATGTAAGTCATCTTTAAGTTTCTATTTTTCTTTTTTATTATTTTTATTGTCCTCATGCATCGATTAATTTCTAAAGATCATGATTCGTCGTGGAAATATGTACCCTCCAATATAATTGGCCCTTCCCCTCATCAGAGAATAGGATGATGATCCACTTTTGTACTAATTCTCAAAGTATCAGTCCTAAACAGTAATCAATTCCGATCAAATCCATAGGGAAATACATGTACGCGAATTTAGAACAAGTCGAAACAGTCAAGAGAGATCATAAACCCAATCACTCAATTCAACTGGTTCAGGAAGAGGAAAAGAAGTTAATAAGGAGCAAAAAACATTCGATTTGGTAGTGACCCCGAAAATAATAACTTTTGGTATTGAGGTTACGACCAACAACTTTTACATTCCTGTATTGAGATTTATTAGTCTATTCTTCAATTGTTTTTATTATTGTTTAGTTGGTTAAATCCGAATCATTCTTATATAATTGAGTCTATCAGTTTTAAATATATATCTACATAGGTACCCAGGTATATTAGGTGTATATATATACTCGTGTATAGACTAGCCAAACCGTTTCGATCATCATATATACATATTATCATTATAAGCCTTTGTTTGACCTTAGCTTCTAAACTTTCCGTTGATGGATTGACTAAGCAACTAAAAAAGCAGATCACGAAACCTCCTCTTTAATTAAATTTCAATGCATATCAAAAGAAGAAGAAAAGAGTAAAACGATCCCAAAGATAAAAAAGGTACCTCAGGTTCAATCAAGGTTGTCCAGTTGTCCTGGCTGGTTCACTCGCTCGCACACATCACATCACACATCACAACTCCATCCATCTACCACCCAAATTCCGACGGACCCTGCTCCACCCACCAACCACTCAAACGGAATAGCTCTCCGTACTTCGTACCCCATCGACCAAGACACACCAGACAAATTTATCCCCCAACTACAACTTTATTATAAGTTGTCTTCCGATCCTTTTCACCACATACATCTCAACTTTTCAATATTTCACTCATAAATTTTATAGAAAGAGACATCAAATATCAAATATTATGATGTCTCCTTTTAATATCTTTTGCTAGCTAGGTTCGTTCCTCGCGGTCGACTCGACTGTTTTTCCCCTCCACGATTCCAACGATTGCGAAAGACACGACAACGCTCCTAATTATCACAAACGAAAAGACGCGTACAACTTCAATGATTTGATTTCAGAGTCCAAGGGCCAGCATACAACAGTCCATGTTCACGCAAAGGATCGATTCTTAGGAATCTCAATTTAAAACAACAGACGAGATGGAGGGAGATCAGAAAATGTTAGCACCACCCGCTGTGTCGCATCTGCGCGCAGAGGCCGGTATGATGGAAAGATCGCTCAGTGCGGATATCCGAGAAGAGAGAGAAGATCTTAGACAAGCGGCAGAAGAAACTCTTAATGTCATTATGGATCTCAGCATGGAGGGCACAATAAATTGGGTCAGTCCTTCATGGACTGATGTGATCGGCACCACACTGGATTCCGTTCAAGGTAAACCAATCGCCGATATTCTGATTGGGGATAACGACAAGAGGGTATTTGCAGATACGGTCGAGGAGATGAAGAAGGATGATTCTCGCAGCTTCATTATACGCTTCACCATTCAGTTGGGACCAGCTTCCAGATTGTTACCACTGGAAAATTTGGATGATGTCAAAGAAGGTGAGGGAGAAGGTGCAGCAGCAATGTCACAACCGGAACCTGCTACGATTGATTTGGAGGCGCAAGGTATTTTGGTGCACGATCGAGCTTCGGCATCGGATAGCCATGTAAGTTTTATGATCTTTGTCGAGAGTACCCAACTAACATTATGCAGACAATGTGGATGATTAGACCTTGGATAGCGCCACGTGAAATTCAAATCGACCTCGCCCCCGTTATAGTCGATTCCCTGGGATCAGGAGCACAAATTTTGGCAAGTTATCTGACTACAGTTGCTGAGCAAGGTCTCGAAGATCCAGCAAATAATGCCCCGCCATTACCACTTCTTTGTAGAATCTGCGAACGTCAAATTCCTCCTTGGTGGTTTGAAAAACATACCGAGTTGTGTCTTCAAGAACATAAAGCTGAGATGGAAGTACAAATGTGTCAGGATAATTTGACGGAACATCGACATGCTATTGTTAGAGTTTTGGATGCGTTAGAAGCTCGTCAAGCTCGATCTAGTTCGGGTGAACAATCTATGATGCCGACGCCACCTCAGGCTGAATACAAAGGATTACCGATTGGAGCCAACTCAACCACGTCTTCCGGTACAGCATCTCCTGGAACACCTACGTCTGGTCGATCTCGATCAAGATCTACATCAGGATTTGGTCATGCCAGAGGACGATCATTCGCTCAAAGGCGGCCTCATGCTCGAATTGTCGAACTTTTACTGGATCTTTGTGACACAGCCATGGAAATTAATACGCCTGCGATCAAGGAACCATCTCCGCAAGCTCCTGGAGAGTTTCGCACACAATCTCCTCAATCGGAATCTCGCATAGCTCAAGTATTGCAATGGCAATCACCTAATATGAATGCGGTTGACCAAGAAGGTTTATCTTTACTATGTGCAGATAGTGAAGCTGTTGCTCGTGCAAAAGTTGAGGCCGTTATTCGTCATCGAAGAATCATCGAATACTCGGAACGCATTCGTATCGAATTTTCGGCTATTGTACAAGATTGTATTGATGAGGCTATCAACAAAGCTTCTCGACTTGCTGCTGGTCAACTCAGTGATTCAACCGAAGAACCTGAAGAAACCACTGCAGCTCAAGATGAGGGATTTTTCGCTGGTTCTTTTGATGGACCCTCCTCATCGCTTGCTGCAGCACTTCGAGCTGCTGAATTGGGTGCGGGCACGACACATGAAGGTCGCCGACTATCATATGCAGCTATTTCCTCTACCAGATCCAGTAGTCCTAAAGAATGCCCAACCCCTCGGTCACACCAAGGTGCTTTAAGTAGCATACTAGGAAATACCCGGGAAGCAAGAAGGGAATCTATCTTTTTCGAAAGTGATACTGGTGCGGATAGTGATGGTAGCGTCAGATCATCATCAGTCATGGGGCGTCCGCCAAGAACGGAATCACCAGTTTCAGAATTCGGAGATCTTCGTCGACATGCAAGTTCCCGGCAACAAAATAGGCGAAGCATGGTTCTCGGCACCGGTACCCTTTCACCTCGAAGACAAGAGTCTCCTGTTCGGATGCCACCTCCATCTTCCCCATTGAGAATTTCCAAACCACGCATCTTGCCGATCGCTCACGAAGGGATTGTTTCTCCAACTGCATCGCCGATGCTTCCCGGAAGCGAGTTCAGCTCACCTGCGTTAATTCCGTCACACCACCGACGTCAATCCTCGGCTGCTGGATCAGATCCACGTCCACCACCATCACCTCGATTAAACTGTGTCAATGCCCCACAGGCACGTGCTGTACCACCATCGATCAAAGATTTCGAGATCATTAAACCTATCAGTAAGGGAGCCTTTGGGAGTGTTTATCTATCGAAGAAAAAGTCTACCGGTGACTACTATGCCATCAAAGTACTCAAAAAAGCTGACATGGTTGCCAAGAACCAAGTCACAAATGTCAAGGCCGAACGTGCTATCATGATGTGGCAAGGTGAGAGTGATTTTGTCGCTAAGCTCTATTGGACATTTTCTAGCAAGGACTATCTTTATCTTGTCATGGAATATCTTAATGGTGGTGATTGTGCATCCCTCATCAAAGTTCTTGGTGGTCTTCCGGAAGATTGGGCCAAGAAATACCTCGGTGAGGTGATCCTTGGTGTGGAACATCTTCACAACCGTGGTATTGTACATCGTGATTTAAAACCCGACAACCTTCTCATTGATCAAAAGGGTCATCTTAAATTAACCGATTTTGGTCTGTCTAGAATGGGTTTGATTGGTCGCCAGAAGCGTGTATTAAATAGCGCAGCAAATGAGTCGGCTCCAGATCTACTCAAGCAAGGCCCTTTTGCTCGAGCTACCTCGATGAGTTCTTCTCGTGCTTCGTCATTCGATTTTCAAGGGCATCATTCACCTGGTTCGACACCACAAATGACACCTGATGTTGGAGGTAGTTTAGGAACACCGTCGTACTTTAATTTGAGTCGAGAGAACACTGTCAATAAGGACGCACGACGAAAGTCTGGCCATAGGAGTGACAGCGGCGGTAGTGATGCGCTGACACATATCTTCAGCACTTTCTCTTTGAACGAATCTCAAAATCAGCAACCCCTCAATCAACGAAGAACGCCTATCGAAGAATTGAGCGAAAATGAGGCTGCTGGATCACCAGATCTATGCCTCCAACCAGTCACAAGTCACAGCTCAGATGCCAGGCACGGTACACCACCGCAAACAAGCACAGGTATGATGCCACCTCCAATGGCTCTTTTTGATCCTGATGATAGCAATCGTCGATTCGTTGGTACACCTGATTATCTTGCTCCCGAAACTGTGAATGGTCTTGGGCAAGATGAAGTGAGCGATTGGTGGTCTGTGGGATGTATTATGTTTGAGTTTATCTATGGTTACCCACCTTTTCATGCTGGCACGCCAGATGAAGTATTCGAAAATATTTTGGCTCGACGAATCTCATGGCCGGATGAAGGGGATTATGATGTCTCGGGTGAAGCTAAAGATTTAATGAATAAGCTTTTATGCGTAGATCCACAAGAACGCCTTGGAGCTAATAAAGAAGAAAAGTTTGCTACTGGAGGAGATGAGATTCGAAATCACCCTTGGTTTGAAGGCATCCAATGGGATAAACTTCTTGAAGACGATGCACAATTTGTCCCCGCACCAGAGAATCCCGAGGATACTGAGTATTTTGATTCTAGAGGGGCCACTTTGCAATCTTTCGCAGAAGAGATGGAAGATCAAGCCTCTACTCAACACCCCACTCCCGGTGCCGAATATCCTGAACGCCCTCATGATGCTCTGTCTCGAGTTCGAAGTCAAGTCAACAACGTCAAACGAGGTTTGATGCCGCTGCATATTCCACCTCACGTTCGAGATATGAAGAGCAGGCGACTCAGCGAACCTGTTGTAGCAGATGATTTTGGAAACTTTACCTTCAAAAATTTACCTGTTTTAGAAAAGGCAAACAAAGACGTTATTCAGAAGTTAAGACAGGAAGCCATGGCATCTCAAAGTAAGCCAGTAGTCAGTCCTGGCGGTGCTAATAGCGTAGTTACGTCCCCAGCTGCTTTAGAAGGAAGTTCGGCCTTGCCAATGTCAATGCCTATCCAAAGAACTCTGTCGAATGCTAAAGCTACAGCTCGACCTTCTTCTCCTTCTGGATTGAGTCAAGCAAATTCTTCTCCAAGTAGGGCTTCTCAACCTTCATCACCTTTGCTTGTCTCATTCATCGCAGGGCAAAATAATGACGCTAGACGTAAAACTTCGAGCAATTCCTCGAGCCTATCACAGCAGTCGAGCAACAATCTTGCACCACCTGCTAGTTTTATTGATGGACCAAGAACATCTCCTGGTCTCCATAAGACTACTAATTCTGCCGCTTCGTCACCTATCAAGGCACGTGGATCAGCACCTCCACCACTTTCATTATCTTCACCAGGAAAAGCGCCACCTGCGACCCCACGACAAGGTAGCAGTAATTCATCATCTTCAAGAGCCCGCTCACAAACAGTTGGATCACAAGAAGGAAGTCCTCTACCTGGTGAATTCTTATCCCATCGTAAACGACGAAGCCAGGTGTTTGACATGTCGCCTTCTTCCTCGGACAATGAAGGAGAGAAGGCCAACGCATTACTTCGTGTTCAACGTCGTCGTCAAAGCTCAAGGCGGATGTCTCAAATCACTTTGGCAGAGGGCCCTGCTTTTAGACCTTTGGATGTGCTGATCTGTGAAGATCATCCAGTGTCTCGAATGGTTATGGAGAAATTGTTGGAAAAACTGCGGTGCCGTACAGTTACTGTATCAAATGGTGCCGACGCAATGAGATATGCTATTAGTGATATCAAATTCGATATCATTATGATGGAATTCAAATTGCCTCAAATCAATGGTGCAGATGTAGCTCGTATGATTCGCGAGACCAAGAACGCCAACTCTCAAACCCCTATAGTTGCCATTACTGGGTATTTGAAAGAACTTCAGGCACCCCATCAATTCGACGCTTTAATTGAAAAGCCACCGACAGCTTCGAAGCTTACTGAAGTCCTTTGTAGATTATGTCAATGGAAAGAACCTATATCTATTTTGAACTTTTCACCGGCATATCCTCCACCATCTGGTCTACGTCAAGAGAGTATACGTCTAGAAGACAGTCCAACTTCTGCTTCATCTGGTTATGCACATATGCCAGCTGGTAGCTTTAGAGGATCAAGTCGTGAAGATTCTATCAGCTCAAGTCTTTTTGGAGATACTGAGACCTTTCCAACTGACGATCTTCCTGTTGTCATTAATAGAAGACCTACCGGTGATTGGGATGAGACTGGTCTTGGGATTTGTAATGAGGTTCACATGATGGAGGTCAATGATTTACCTAAACTACCACCGCCCAGCCTTCCTCATAATAGCTCCTCTCCACCTCGAATAGAACACCGCCGAAACCTCTCTCGTCAACGATCATCTGAGAAGATGAAGTCGAAGCGAGAAAGTTTGGAGAAACATCGTCATGAATGTGGTGAATCTGGTGATGATGAAGATGAAGTTTTAGGTGATGTTGCTGTGAGAGAAAAGACTAGTCCTAAGAGTACTTCCCCAAAGGCACAACGTGGTTCTAAACTCGGAACAGAAATGATGCGCACGAATAGTCGTGGCAGCGTTGTTTCGGGGACGGAAATGCCCAGCTCTGAATTGATTGAACCACCTCCTACCGTCACGGAAGAAGCAATTCTTTTATCACCAACATCGGAAATACCTCTAGCTTCGGGGATCTCGGGCGCCACTTTAACACCGCCAGGGATGTTCGAAGGTCCCGGCGATAAGGATGTTGATTTATTCGAAACACCAAAACAAACACAGTCACAAATTTCATTCCTAGATGAAGAACATACTCCTCGACCTACTTCAAAATCATCTTTCGCAGGTGCAAATGATGATTATCTTAATGCCGTCAAAGTTTTCAAGAAATGACCAATAAACCCTGTGTTGATCTACGATCACGAAGGCAGAAGTCAACCCTCAGAACATACTTCTTTTCAATGTCATATTATTTGCCTCTAACAGGCACATTACACTTTACAATAAAAAAATTTCTCTGTTTGCTTTGTTTATTTTATTTGAGGCTCACGGGCTTCGTTCTTTTCCCTCATTGGGTTGTCGCAATGTCTACAATAATCGAATCATGACTCGAGCGTGGCGTTTTGGGGTGAGTGGGGGAAATATGCATATCATAAGGCGTTTGTACTTGATAGCTTTTGATATGGATGGGGATGGGCATGGACAGTGATGATGATACGGATAGTGAATTGGTTGATGTTTCTTTTGTTACGGAATGAAGTTGATGATTGGGATGATGAAAAGGGGACTGGGGATAGGAATGGAGAGGGCTTAAAATGAAGTCTATGCATACCGACAAGACGAGGGGGATGGGGTAGATTGCTGCTACTGTTACATACACACAGGCGGGCTTATCAAAGGAGGAGAAGAGTTTAATGGGGAGAGAGGAGGCGAAGAATTAGGTTTAATTTGGTTTGGATGGGAGTATTTCTCTTACTAGCTAGATAGACCAATGCCTGTCTGTCTTTTGGTATGGGTGCTTGGGAGAAGAGGGGATTAAAGAAAGTTGGTTGTGTCAGCTTAAATATGTTGAATTTTGGAAGGAAGGGATGGGAAAAGTGAGAGGAGGAAGTAGATAGGCAGAGGGGAGGGGAGGGGTATGCATGAAATGGACTGGATGAAGTGGGGACTTCAGGGATTTTAGTTTAATAGCCACATATGAGATCAAGGAATACATATAAGCATTGGCATTGACAAGTATTTATTTGTGTTGAATTATTGATTTGTATTAGTGAGATTGAATGAGATGGGAAGTGAAGTGAGTGAAATGTGTTTAGAATGATTGGTGGTGATAATGATGAATGGTATATTACAGATACTTGAAGGATTCTTGCTGAATACCAAAGAACGAACGTTTCTACGTAATCTTACCTTCCCAGCTAGCTATATGGCCACTTCACAAATCATTCCATAGACATAAATTAGATTCCTTTGCGGCGGGTTAACTTTATACAATGCATTATACAACCAATCCACTCATTCATTTACTGCCTTTTCCCATGAGAGAGAGATTAATATTTCTACTCCTTCCAACTCCTACTGCAAGAATTATCTAACTCTGACTCTGACGTGAAGTGGGCTCGAGTGGAATGCTGGCTGATGCTGATGCTGATGGTGTAGGTGTAGGTGTAGATAGATGAATAAAATAGTAGGGAGTAGGTTAGCTTAGGTTACCTAGGTTATGCTTTCTTTCTATACCTACCTACTAGCATAGCAGTAGTAGTTAGCAGGGCCTCGGGAGACTTGGTATTGCCATTATCATTGTCAGATATATATGTCACTCTGCACAGGTGGTGTAAGGTATGATTTATCATTTATAGAGACAAACAAGGGTACCTTTTGTTATCTTTAAAGTTTTTCCAATAATTAATTACAAGTTCTCTTTACTGTAAAGGTATATAAAATGCTTCGCTCGAAGACACTAGAATATAAGCAGATCTATCAACTCCAAGTCCCTCATTGACCTTTTTTCTCTCCTTCTCTCGCCTTTTCCTCTTCAAAATGCTTCACTGTAATCTTAATACCCTCATCAAGCGGAACTAATGGTACGTATCCTAATCTTTTCCTTGCCTTTTCAATACTGAAATACCTAGTCATACAACTAAAATTCACCTTCATCCTGGTCAAATTTGGTGTTTTTCCAAATAACCAGAACAATCCCTCTACAAATCCTGCAAGTCCTACACCAAAATCCTTTCCAATAACCCATACATGTTCTGTGCCTTTTGTAGATCCGGCGGCTGCCCATACTGCCCTTGCCATATCCCAAAATGGAATAGGTGATCCGTTGGTGATGAGGAAGGCTTCACCATCTACTCGCTCGGTGTCTAATGGAGTTGTGTTGAGCATGGAGGTCGCAAGGAGAGCAGCAGCGCAAAGAAGATGTGCATGTGCAACATTCTTCACAAATGTGAAATCGAAGAGATTGGTATTATCACCAAGTTGGAATCCGGTACGATTGGTGTAGTGAACATTGAGGAGAGCGGGTATTAATTGGACATCTCCAGGACCAAAAATACCTGATGGACGAATGGAAGCAGTGAGAAGTTGCGGAGATTCTGGGGCGCGATTTGCGGCTAAGACTATAGATTCTGCTTCGGCCTATTCAATTTGATGAGTTAGTATTGTCAATTGAGCGAAGTGTTGGCACAAATAGGAAGAGAAATTGAAAGAAATTAAGAACAAACCTTCGTCCATGAATAATACTCTCGTTGTAATTTCTCAGGTATAACAGGCCACCTCTCATCCGCGTTAACCAAATCAGTTTTATTATCAGAAATGATACTAGCACTACTTGTAAAAACTAAAGCTTTCACACCAGTCTTTTGACAAGCCTCTACTACACACTTCGTTCCTCCTACATTGACTTTATGGAATAAGTCATTGGTTCCTGTAATTGCGACAGGAGATGCAGTATGAATGACAACATCCGGCTTGACTGAGTTGAATATCGAAAGAAGAGATTCGAGAGAAGTTATATCGCCGTCGTGGTAGGTAACATCTTGTGAAGAATGTCTATTTCGAGTTGTACGTAGATCGAGCACGGAAATGGTACAGTTATATCGATCGTGGAGAAGAGAGACGATGTGGTGGCCTAGAAAACCGCATCCACCGATTACAAGAGCGCGACCTAGAGGAGCTTTTTGTTGTGTAGACATTTTTGAAGTAATCGAGGTAAATGGGATCTGAAGGAGGAGAAATTGTGGAGATTCAAAGTGTTATTTGTTTACGGGGAAGAAATCCTGGGGATTTCTGGTCGGGATCGGAAGAAAGTTTTCCCGCAATCCTTCATCAACTTCCTCTTCTTTATTCACCCTTATCACACCCCAAGCCGAAATGGATTGTTTCAAATGTCATATCAGACATTCTGGGATACTGTGGTCGAATATCTATGGTGTTTACTGAGTAATCTGATGGATCCAGGACACATGGAGCTTCAGCAATATTGCAACTTCATTTCCAAGTGGAAATATGAGTATTGCAGATCAAGCCCTAGTATGCCTTCAAAAATCCATAACATTTACTACCGCAATAAAATGCTTTATTTCTTAATACATTTGGTATTGTGCTTTTCTTCTGTTTTGGGAATTAGACCCCTGACATATATTTGGCTGGCTGGAGAAGTTCTCAACCTTATCGTTCAAAGATAGTAATCTTACAATGGTATCAGTCAAGGTGGTACCGATCTATGTATAGGGTTATAGTCAAGCTTTCATATGCTACAGCAAAAATTCGAGCAATACGAATCGTATTCACCGGACTCTTAATTTCTTCACGCTGTTCACAAGGAGCAAATTGAGGAACATGTGAAGAGGACAATAAATTAGACGATAAAGCGACGAATTGAAGCGCTTGCGAAGCAATACGAATTTGCCGAACCAATATATACATTTTCCAAAAACAAATACATCATTGGCAACAACTTTCAAACTACATTGGTGTGTAGTCTTTCACAGGAGTCATTCCAACTCTTGGGGATCTCCCATTCTTATCCTTCTTCAACTGATAAAACTTCTTGGTAAAGTCTATATCACTCGGCTGAATCTTCGGTAGCTCCAGCCTATAATTCATAACACTGAACTCATTTCGTGGCCCCAATTGCTTATCACCCCCTTCATACATTTTCATATCTGGACCCATCGCAAACTCATGTCGCAGTCCTAAGACATGGCCCAACTCATGTTCAAAAATATTAGACATGCTTTCCTTGAATTCCTTAAAGGCTAGCGTATACACAAAAAAAAAGTTCAAATCATTGGCGTTTGGAAAGAAGGCTTCAGCAAGCACGCCACCTTTATCTCCACCGTGACAAAGAACGAATGTGGCATCTTTCGCGAATTGGACCCACTCAAATGTGACACCAACACTAGCAGCGTTCCATGCTTCGGCTGCCACTGCAAACTGTTTAGCAGTATATTCGGCGTCTTCATTGCTGTCGAAGCCTTTACGTTATACTGCCCATCGGACGACAGATCCAGGCTGCCAGCGTGGACACTCATAGTTAAAGCCCACGAAGATGCTTGCAGGACCGCCTTGAAGAGCACGAGGGATGACCTTTTGAGTGGAGCATACTGGTGGTGCTTTGAATACAGCTTTGGGACGGTTGCCAGGCTTTCGAACTTCAACAGCTCTAGGTTCAATGGTTGCAAGAGCGTTTTCTCCGAGAACTTGCTCAGCTTCGTCTAGGAGCATCTCTTTTGTCGTGAGACCGTGAGCAGGCATAGTTGCGTTTGTTTTAAAAGAGGTACCGCACCAATTTGGAGGTAATGAAGCCAGGTTAATAGACTATAGGTTGGAAAACTTTGATTATGATGAATATTGATAGGAGGAATCAGTAGTGTTTGTCTTTGACTAGATCACGAAAACATCTTGAGATGAAGGATATGTTGCATCCTTTTATAGACGAATGACGTTGGATTCATCAGCCATAAATCGTCGATTTATTGATCTGCTTATGTAACTTCCTCTTTTCCATATTTATCTCCTCAATTTCAACAAAGATTTACTTGTAATCAGCTTAGAGAAATAGCCGAATTCAGAGAAGTCATAAATTGTCTTGAATTACATTCTTAAAAAAAATAACCAAAGGAATAGCCCGATTCAGAACCTTCTTTATTAATTCTGAATTCCATTCTAAAGGATAAAGACAAGCCACTTCTGAATCCCCTCATCAGCTCAGCCTATGCATCATTTCATCAAGGAGCTACCAAAGAAATTGGTAATGCTTTTCACGGGTATTGCCGGTTCTGACGTCTGAGGTTTCGAATATGATCATGGAAATCAATCTGAAAACGTGCTGCAACAATCCAAACTCCATACCAATCACAATTTCATGCCACGAGAAGCTGTCACCCACATACTACTCCTTCTCGGCTTTCTGTGAGGTAAAATATTTCTTAGAGCCAACCACATTCCTCAGCATAGCGGTGTCACTGCACGGTCAATTGTCAAGATGTCGATTTTCAAGCTGGCAAGTTCTAGTTTAGCAGATGCGAGGCTGTTGAATAAAGACAGTTTTGGATAGCTACAGAAGGTGAGCCCGGATGGAGGAATCAGTTTGAATATTTTGGTTTATTTACTGGAAAATAGTCATAAAATTCATTCATCTAGTCATATTTCATAAGCCACTGTCGTCTCAGGATTGAAATCCATTGATGAAAACTTCAAATATTTGTAAGTGCGGATGAAAGGAGCAGTTAACCGATTTAAGAGGAGGAAAGGTAACACAGCCTCGAATGTTCACTTTGTTTAGACAGTGGGCCTTCAAAGTTTGGGTTGGATTGGGGCATTCAACTCCAACTTTCCGCTTTCTATTAGAGAATGAAGCCTATAATCAACATTATAATTTGAATTTTCGCAGCTCACACCACTTTGCTCATTGGCTAGTCGGTATGTTCCATCTTAACCCAGGGTACTAGAATTCAACCACCTACAGACAGCATCGTCTTACAAGTCTGCCGTGAATGTCTGCGCTCATCAAGTTGGCATTCAATGGAACTATATTATAAAGAGAATATGATCCCTAGTACTCTGGTCATATTTCCAACATGGGTAGTACTGCTCATCGACCTGTGACGCGAAGTACAGATCGCGGTATTCAGCACCAAACCTCAGCAAGCCTATCCGACGGAACCTGCCCATCTCGCGAGATAAAAGTTCAAGTAGCAAACAGTAAGTGTTAGATAGACCACAAACACTTCGGTCATCATTGTCGTACCAAGGCACATAGAATAGTTTTCTTGAACGATTCAGAACTGAGATGTCTGTTGTTTTCGCTGCAAAATCGAGCCCGGCCCAGACAAGTAGGCTACCTCGAGCACCCGAATCGGATTCTCGTTTCTCCAGAGCCTCCAAGCCCTGTTCTGGCTCAGGAACTGCAATGGCGCCAACAGGAAACACATGGAACATTTGTAAACCTTTTCGAAGTAGCATTCGCTTTAAGACTCCCTGAAACATGACTTCGATGCATCGCGTCGATGGGAGCATGATGATGACTTCGTTGAATAAATACTGTTCAGGTTCCGTGTGCGCGGGAGTACGCCATTTGACACACGTGACCTGTGGCAAGATGAACTTTTCATCTGGCTCCTTACCTTCAAGATCGTTTTCTCTTATTTCAACCTGGTAGCCGGAGATCCATGAAAAAGTCAACTGTGTTGGCCTTGGGGAAGCATTACACCTCATGATCAGGCATGCTTTCCAGGTTTTTCCAAAGCATATCGATAGATAGACGACTGAGCCATAATCCAGCCACGTACACATCTTTTTTGATATAGTTCTCTTTGGAAAGCATGGTGAATTGCTGAGTGATACCTGCTATTGCTGCAAGCGTGTCTTCGGCGAAGGTGAGCTCTGTGCCTGAGTATTTCTTCACCAAGTTGTACCAGGCCTGATAGAGCTCTTCCCTGTTGATCATCCAGCCGGTCGGCAGGAATGTCCTAATATTGGGTGATGAGGTAATGTCGTCGTCGTCGGCCTTGCGATTCAAAAGTGGCCTCCAGGTTAAGACATCAACTCCCACGGATTCGCTCGTGGGTTGTTCATAACACTCGTATAGAACAATTTCCTTGCAGAGAAAAGATATTCCTAGGACTAAGCAACCGCTCTTGAAATACCCAGCCGCGGCTAGCCAAGGTAGAATCCTCAACCAGCTCCTCCCAGTCCCCATCCCCGTTTCCAGACGACACAAGAAGAAACTTCCTCTTCCATCCATTCTTAGACGGCATCTCAAGAGAAGCATGTTCCACCGTGGATTGGTCTCTTGTCGCAAATAATCCGCCTAGTTCAGGCCCCCACGGGGCACAAATGTTGAAGCATGCATTAAAATATACATTATGCATCGTTGGGGCCTCTTGTTTCCAATCTGCAAGCTCATCACCGTCTTGGATGATGCAGAGACAATCAATCCAGAGGTAGTTGATTCCAAGGCGCCTAGCCACTCGAACTGCATCTAGAAAAGTCCGAGGAAGGATTTTTGTCGGAATGCTCTGTGTCCATAATGATAAATTGTCGACAGTGAGCCTTGCCATATTATCCTTAGCCCAACAATGGCTTAGTGTAGCGTCCTGACTGCCCGCAGAGAGTTGGGTCCCGTGTACGATTCATAACTTGAGATCTTGTTTCTTGTGACCGTTGAAAGAGCTAACATGGAGCAGTCGAGTTAGATACCAGCCCTTCGTATGTCTCCAACGATGGCAGAGGTATTGCATATGCTTGGAATTAAAAAGCTCCAGCCAGTTATTGATTTTCGTAAATGTCTCCTCCGAATCTGTTGAGCTCGAGGTAATCCTCCAGCTTGGTGGGTGGCACCTTCGACAATGCTTTGCCAATGAGATTCATCATGCGGCCATTGAAATGAGCACATGGGTGGAAGTCGTCCCCGAACCAGAAACATACGCTGAAATCGTTCTCGTAAATTCTGTAGCCTAAGAATACCACCGGGGGACCATCACGAGATTCGCACGGTTGTGGCATTCCGTAACTAAAACACTCCCCGTGCCTTTTATTTCGTGAAAGCTGCCCGTTGAGTCCTCGTAGCTGTGATTGAAGATGTTCTGGGAGACTGCAGAAGAGTCGTGTGCAAATATAGCACCCATAGTCGATAGAGCAAAGGAATACTTCAGGTGAAGGTTCCTCGATGGCCTTGGCCTGTAAGTGGTAGTAACCTGAGGGATTCCCTGCTATGGCATTCCGGTGCAGGTGCTTGGTGATGAAATCTTGACACGGTGTGCATAAAGACATGATAATTCTCAAGTGATTTTCAAAGGGTCGCAGCATAATACTAAGAACAAAAACTGTGTATTGCTAGCTGCACTAAGCTGTAGATAAGTTTGGTGCGCAAAATGATTGATTGTTCCAGTGTGGAACTATGACAATACATAGGTAACCTTGGTTAATAGCTCCATACATGTAAGTTATTGCATGATGAGGGATTCTGATTAGCTGTTTTCCAGCCGAAACTATTCCGGTACAACCTCACATCTTCACCAAAATGTCTTATGCCAACGTTATCCTTACTAGTCATACTGACTGGCATGACTGGACTGGCTTGATCACTTCAATGCGCTGTTAAAACTAGATACTGGGCTCTGATATTCTAGCTTATCTCGAAAATTAAGATTCATTGGTGTTCTAACCGGAAAGAAGAGTGTATTTTCCCAAGTGGCAAGCAAAACCCTATTGAGCATAATATCATTCCTTCCCAGCCTGAAGTCCAGAAAATGGACAAGATGTTGGAGCTTCCTTTTTTTCATCCATAGATGTCTTTTCACCATTCCTCTCATCATCTTCCTTAGAATTCTCCTCTCCATCAATAACCTGTTTCCCTTTTAACCAACCCTCCCTCTCAACCATAACCTCCTCCATCTCTTGGGCGAATTCATCGCCATCCCTCACATACCATTTCGCAAATAGATCATTTTGAATCCAAAGTACCTTCCCAATCGCTTTCACAATCGCAATCTTTTTCTCCATCCTAAGTTTTGGATGCGAGAGAACTGCTTCGAAAATTATATCTTGAACAAATGCAAGACAAACTCCTATATGAACGTATTCGACATGTAAAGGATGTTTACGACCACGTCCTACGTGCATCATTCCGACTTTATCGAGATATTCCCAGAATTCCATTTGGCTTGGATCTGAACAGAGTTTATGGAGATAACCTCTTAGGAACTAGGAGTTGTTAGCTTAATTTAGTGTCATAGTATAGACAAAACAAACCATCTTTCGATGTAAGATCTGAGGACTATCCTCTTCCGGCATCTCATCTAATGGACCCTCGTAACTAGTGCTCCGAGTTGTAAAAGCACGTGATGTGATATCATATTGGAGAAGTTTTCTGTATACGATATTCACGACGGCTGGTATGAGTTGTTTGATATATTTTGAACCATATGTAAGGGCTTCTATGTCTCCTATTTCGAGTTATTTCAGTATGTAATTAGGGGGATTTGGAGGTCGAGACTCACGTGAACTAAAGTCGAGAAATGAGTGTAAATAATGAATTCGTGCTTCTAGATCCGTGTAAAGTTCTTTTCGATCAATATGTAGTCTTGCCCTCGAAGCCATGGTATTATCTCTATGCTATTTGTATTCCTTTGACCGATTTGCGATAGTTGAGGGTAGATAGAATGAGAAATGTAAGGTAGACATCCTGAGGTAGAGGCGGAGTTCATATACCCTCGAAATTCATCACGTAGGATGATAGATATCAGCCCATTTGAAGCATCAAGAGTTCAAAAGAAGCGAGGAATTTATAATTTTGAGCATGTCGCCGTTGAATTATCTGACTATGTTGTCAGAGTGGTACGTTTCTTGACTTTGGATCAGATCATGAGGTGATTCTTAAGCGCTAATACTGGTGACAGAGATCACCAGCCAATCACAATGATGACTGGAGCTCTATCACGTGATAGTATGAAAACAAAATTGTGTTGCACATCTGAAAAGAGAGTAAAGTCGCAAAGTTCGGTTGCATTCATTTTCCTCAGCCCTAATTCTTCTCTCTCTAGTCAGTCAGTCAGTCCAGTCTACTTTCACGACTCTTATTCTCTACCATGTCGTGAAATTCATCCTCTGTATATTCAACTACCTGCATAATTAGTGTTCACTCCTGGTACCTTTCAAAATATCTTTCATTTGTTTTTCAATCGAAATATGTTTGATAATTTCTCACACAGTGATGAAAAGAGAACAGGTTAGCGATATCATACGCATACGATACCGGTTGGGGCGAATTGTTCAATGCTGGAGGGGGCTATGGAGTGAGCTAAGGACTAGCTGATAGTTTGGTGTCTATATGATGGAGTAGAATAGCTAGTTTATATCATGAAATCATACTTGACATTGAGATCTATCAGACTTCAGGTATGGATACAAGTAAACTCCATGGTTCGACGAAACAAAATCTTACCAGAAAACAAATACCCACGCGGTTCAAAGTCTACTGAGTAATTCCATCTTTCGGTTCATATACTTTGATATATTTATCATATACGCAGCAACGACTAGGTATATCTCACTTCAATATTTCGCACCCATGATTTTAATATGTAACGGTGTCTGTTACAGGATATCGTGAGCTGTAAAAGCGCTTTGTTCATGGGGAAATACCGATGGTTTGGTAAGATAGGTTACTCGGCCATTTATGGATACGGTTTAAGCTTAGCGAAAAGGAGTGCAGGTGGTAAGGTTACCTAGGCTTGTTATATCTGTTGTGAACTACGCCTCTTACTTATATAGCTTACGGATACGAAAGGAATCCTCCCGAGGTCATGGCTTGGATTTCGGTGAGAGTTCGTATCTAAGACAAGGTACCAATGTTAACCTTTCCTATGGCGTGAGGTTATATTTGGGATTGGAGGGGTAGACGCCAAGATATGGTGTGTGTATATATGCCTCAATTGCCAAGTAGGTGAGTATATGTGGAAAGGATGATGCGTCGGATTAATTAATTGATAAGATTGAGTGAGTGTATTGCTTATATTTGGAGAAGAGTGTCTGCTCTGCTCCGTGACCTCAGATTTATATCATCAGGAGTTGATGACGACTTTCAGCATGGTAAAGATGACCTATCCAAGTTCCGCAGTCGATTGTAGATATCTGGCATACAGATGGATAAAGACCTAGTAACTACCAACTCATCTATCTTTCATTGCCTAACTCAGAAAACAAGATGTACGAAGTAGGTATGCGGTGAGGAATTCGAATGGTTACATGGATCTCAAGGCGCATTCGGATCGGATCTATCGAGGCTGAGATATCTTGTGCCACATTACCATTACCACTAATTAGCAAACATCATCTACTTTACTACCTAGAAATCTAAAATACGGGGTCCGAGCAAACATCAATTCTCACAATCAATCAACAACCAATCATTTTCCCAACATTAAGCGCCATTACCCGATCAAGGTTAGTGGTACCGTGATTCAGATGCGATTCGATTCTTTCCACTCAGCCATCCATTGAACCTGCATGGAAGAGCGGGGAGATCTCTTCCGGTTGAGATGAGAAGATCTCATACAAGACTTCACTTCAATTGAGTGAGGTGGTAAGGTTTGTTCAAGATTCGGGCTGTGCTGTGCTGTGCTGTGCTGTGCTGTGCTGTGTGCTGTGTGCTGTGCCGTGCCGTGCCGTGTGTACATTTGATATTTGAATGTCATGATATTCAATACCGGATCAATGCCAGAATGTTACACTGGGGGACCGGTACTCTTGATTACACCCACACTAAAGTAGGAATATCTTCATCCCTATCTTCATTGGACAATTGTTCAAATGCCAGATCTTGAACTCCTCCTACCACGAACATATACAGGACTTCTGATATCCATGTAAAGTGGTATCGAATCTCAACCATGGATATATAAAAGTAAGCAACGCCAAAACTGTGCTGTGCCTTACCAAAGGCCGCCCGAGAGACCTTTTTATATATTGACACCATTTGTCTCATCAAACCGTATTCATAACCTTTCCGACCTTTAGATATTTTCTCTGGTCGATTTTACTCATCTACTTACAATTAGAAATTTCTTACATTTTCCTTTGGGTAGAGTTGTCCAACTGTTGGTTTTGGTTTTGGTTTTAGATTGATAACCTTTAACATAACGGCGTCTAATTTGATACACCGATAACCTACATTTGCATATGAATGACATTTTCCCATGCTCATTTGGATTTTATTACTTCTTCTTCTTCTTTTCTTCTTCTGCATATTTATTCACTTTGGAGGAGATTGGAAGAGAGGAAAAGAAAGAAAACATCTGCACTGCCTGATTTTACCAGGGTTGGTTAACCAGTTACATTATCTCACTCATAATTCACCTTCATATCCTCGGCAACATCAATTTCATATCGACATACAAACAACCTTGGAGAAGTCATCTATGAAGTCATATACTTGTCAAGATATTTTCAACCTCAATTTTTCTTTCATCTCTTTGGCGATCGAGTTCGACTCAAGACTTGATTTTGAATTCCTCATTTGATTTCTGCTCTTCTTTGGTTGAGTTTCAGTTAATTCTCGGTTGGGATTCGTTTTGATATCTTCAGTTGCCCATCAATACCTATCAAGTCATCAAAATGTATCTCAATGAAAATATTGGCACTTTCAATCAGTCCCTTCTCATCAGAGACTCTCGAGAATGTGCTACTGGACAACAATGGTATGTTTGCACGGCGAATAACTTTCAAGGTTGTTGTTCTGTAAATGCATGCGCCGTGTCAGAATGTCCAGATTCAAGTACAGCTGCAGTTGGCGCATCGAAGTCTTCGACAATTTCTCCGTCTACCTCTTCATTTTCCACCGAAACCACTTCTTCTACTGCATCAACCACATCATCTCAAACCACCAAATCCTCACAAGTTACATTACAGACACCAAAACCCAGCACTATCCTCTTAACCACAACAATCAGTAACTCAATCATTACAACCCAAACTTCATCAAGCTCCACCACTATCCTAGCGGATTCAACCACTCACCCTTCGTCAAATTCGACACCCATCATAGCCGGAGCTATCGTAGGCAGTATCGCTCTAATTTGTTTCGCCGTGGCCGCATTTTGTTGCTTCCGATTTCGACAAAAGAAAAAGCAAGATAGAGAGAGGATGTTTGCCGAACCTGAAAGTCCAAATCCTGAGACTATTCAATTTTATACTACGACAGGAAAGACATTACAAACTCCTAGTAGTACGAGGACGAGTAGAAATCCGAGTGGAGGATTTTCTGGGTTGGGGGGATTAGGATTGGGAGATGTTTTTGCGTCGTTTGGCGGAAGTAAGTTTTTTTCTTTTTACGTTTGTTCCCTGTGATATTTTGGGGATTTCGAAATTGAAACTAATCTATCTCCTTTGGATAGAGAGTCGGAGCACCAGTACATCACCACCGTCAACATCACTACTAGGAGGTCCCTCAATGACCGAATCTCAAATTTCCGCCCCAATTAGTCTAATGCACCCAATGCCTACTATTCATCCAACTCCCACCCCTGAATCACCAGAAGATCACGAACATGACAAACAACTTCCTTCCGACCCTGAAAAATCATCTCTAATGCCACCTCCTGAATTTTTACACCCAGCTTTCCACGTTCTGCCTGGAACTAGTTCTCGACCTGCATATCGGTCTGAGTTAGATTTTACGATTAATGAGTTGGATGGTCGAGAGATAGGTAGAAGAAGTGATTCAATTGGAGCAAGAAGTGAAGGGATGAGTATGATTGAAAGTGAGGGAATTGTTAGTCCAATGAGTACGCCTAATATGAGTGCTAAGGTGAGCTCGAATGGATTTAGTACGACGAGTACACCTCCGTTTAATCTGAGTGTTCCGGTTACTTCTATGAATATTCCTCAAGGATATGAACATAAATATAGACATAGAGAAGTTCAAGGAACTTGGCACTCAAACGCATCACCTAACAATCTTCCACCTAATGGCCATACATCCACCCGACCTCAGTACAGCACGCAATCCTATCATGAGCGCAATAACTCTTCCACCAACAACAGCAACTCAAATTCAAACTCACCAAATCTCTATCCAATTCATCAACAACAGCCACAAGCACAAACACAAACACAATATGCCCAGCAATTAGCCCAAGCACGTCGTATGAACGCTACTATAATCGAAAACCCATATCAGATTTACAGGAATAGTAGGGAACATCAACAAAATAAAGGATATCGAAACGCATTGGAGCAAGCTCAAGCTCAGGATCGTGCTCGAAATCATGGACAAGTACTAGTACAAGGACAAGTACAAGCAGAAGCTCCGTCACAAGAACAAAGACAAATCCCATCACAAAAAGGAAAGGAGCGAGAGCGAGAGAGGATAGGTGGAGAAACCGAACAAAAAGACAGTGGATTAAAAAGAGAAAGCAGTACACATAGTATTCCCATTGGATTAAGCCTCGACGCGGAATCTTCTGTGTCTCCTCCGAAATCACAAAATCGAAATAGGGAAATGCATATGGATACTCGTGAGGGCAATGCTCGGTTAAGGGTTCATGATAGTTTGGATGGTGATTGCGGGGATTTATATGATTCTGCTGAACGTCGGATGCAGATTCAATCGAGTTATACTGATACTCCTGCTCATTCGGTCTCGCGCTCACACTCACGCACAGGCTCTGTGGGTAGGGTGGGAAATTATACTTCTCCTTCCAATCTTATGGATTCAACCAGACCTAAAGAGCAGATAGATCATCGTATTCCTGCTATGGGGAGTGTGAATAGAGATGGGAATGGGAATGGGAATGGAATAGGGGAACAAAAACAAGGATTTACACCACCGGGTTTCGATCTCGAGTGTAGGGTTGTGTCGCCTACGCCTCTTCCTTGATATTGTTGAGTTTCTGGGTTTGAGTTTGAGTTTGAGTTGGAGTTTGTGAGGAGGGGAGATGGGTTGGGAAGTTGGTTGGGTTTGGGGAGTGGAGGATGGGAATTAGGGGGAGGGAAAGAGGGGGGGAGTAAAAGGATATCGAATTGGGTGACTAGTTAATGTTGGGCTGGATATGATGATGATTATTATGATGATAACGACGATAACGATGAAAAAAAACTCGAATTCGAATTGAAAGGTTTTCCGGTCCGTCTATTTTGTGCTTTTTGATAAGCGGAGGAAAGGAATGGAACGAAATGTATATGGAAAAGGAAAAGGGACTATCAAACTAATATAAAAATGGATGGATGGATATCCGCGGTAATAAAAATACAGAAATACAGCTGGTCATGAAGAAGCGAGCAGAGAAGTGAGGGAAAAGGACCGGAGTTTTGTTGGGTTTGGGGGGGTGGAGGGGGGAATCCCAAATCAGGTGGTGGTATTACATCGTATACTGGTATGGGAATGAGAATGGAGTTTGGATTTAAGTACTAGGTACTAGGTAATCTTACATATAAGGTTAAAGTTGATTAATTAACCTTACTGGAAGGAAGGAATGATGGATGGATGGATGGGTGGGTGGGTGGGATATTGTAATATAAGGATAGGATAGGATAGGATAATACACCTAGGTAAATAGGATACGATATGATATGATATGATATATGAATATGACGATATGAGGAGTATGAAATTTGAGGGGTTGGTGAATAGAGCAGTTGGTTGTGGGGAGGAGTGGGTATTGTAGATAGATAATCGTGCTGTACATATATAAGATCATATATCTGCGCAGAATAGAAATGAATGAAAGAATGAAAGAATGAATTGAGAGAGATAAAATAGAAGAAGCGAAGATAACATATATACATATAAATATATACATAACCAGTACTACTTACCAGGAGGTATCTAGCCCCATACAGAATGAAGATATGATATGATATGATATGATATATATATATATACATCAAAGGATAAGAATAATTCGACTACAAACGAGATCTGTAAGGTTACAATAAGACCTGGCTTGGCTAACTGGTTATAAGGGATTATATTTATATTATAAGAGATAAGTCTCTTTTTTAATTATACATGGTGATTTTTCACCCTAGCTATGAGGGATTTTCTGAGAAACGGTACTTTTTTACAGACAAGATATAAAGGGAGGAAGGAATAAGTACCTATTTAATAAGAGTAGGTGGGAATGAAGAAAGTATATCTGTTATTGATTTACAGATTAAATGATGTGATGAATCGAGGAGGAAAATAGATGATAGTTATATTTACTCTACTCAGATCGACATTGAATTTCATGATGAGGGAGATTGGATTCAGATTCCTGTAGCTCGGTCTGATTCTTCACTTCTCTGTCTTATGAGAACTATGATAGTGAGATGGTTTATCCTTATTTTATTATGTCCTTTGCTTTTGCTTCCTATTCTTATTCCTTTACATCAGGGCCTAAAAGCCAGAGAAAATGGGAATATACACATAGTGTATATCTGTATCCAAGCCATCATCTCACGTCCCTCTTATATCTCTTCATCGTTACATCCATCCAGCTTCCTTCTGTGTTTCCTTTTCCTTCATCCTTTCATTACATCCTCCTCTCATCCATGACTTATGTTCTCCCACGATAGATGACTGAAAAAAGAAACGCCACAACAATGCCTTTTCCATAAGTATCATCTTACAAAAGAAGTGAAATCATTGCCAACGCCCATGCATTTTACCTGCTCCATGCTTTTCTCCAAGTTTTCTCCATGATGACTGTCTACCTATCAGTGATGATAGGTAAACAGCCTTGGTCCGTTTCTTGCGTCATCCATGCGGATGCTCTTTGATCTTCCGCTGTCGTCGGTCATCAAGTATATACTGATTCGATGCGAATTCAACAATCGAAACCCTCTTAATTCGTAAACCCCATCAACTTTGTAATTTCATCCAATAACTCCGTTAAATCATCATCACTGATTTTATCTTGTAAACTGGGTATTAAAGTTTTGGCTTCATCGGCTGTATCACAACATAATGAACCTTTAACTCATGTTAGTATTGCTTTGCGCAACTATCTCAATCGTTCAATTCCTGATAACCCATGAACTGACTCCTCTTATCTCTCAAGACCCCAAGCACCCAATCCAGGCAAACCAAAATAAGAGAACTGAACCTACCCAATTGTGCCCTCTCAAATTTCGCCAACTCACTTCTACTCCCCAAAAGTCTTTCCACAGCTTCCACATTCTCCTTCCTCTTAAACCTCGCAAAATGATCCAGATATTCCTGCGTCTTACTTAAAATCTCCGTCTCATTTACATTTTTGCGATCACCGCGACGTTTTGCGACAAGCGCGTTGATAACAAGTGCTGCTTCCGAATGAGTGAGCGCATCTACGTCTTGAAATTCTCCGAGTTTGAGAACGGTAGAGGCTTCTTCGTCACCTGCTGGAGGGGCGCGCGAGCGAGAGGTAGGGGCTGGTGCTGCCATTTTAAGGGGAGAAGATTTGACAGAGTTTGAGGATGGAGAGTTGTCGCGCGTAGATTCGTTCTGGATTCAAATTCGATGGGGCGTCAATTGTTCTTGCGATTTGATTCCGTTTTCTCGAATGTAACTCTAGAATTAAAAATATTCCTTCCTCAAAAATCGCGTCGTCCTTATCAATATCAATCTCGTACTAAGACTTGATATGTTCGATTGGGAATATTGTTTTGACTTGAAAGGAAGAAAGAAAGCCAGTTCCTGGTTGATCGACAAACATGTGCTGGTCGGCAAAATCTCGAAATCCGGGGAAGGCTGCTTACTTAACCATTTTGGGACGAGGCTACAGACTTCCCGGAAGGTTATGTATATTGATCCGCCTCGAACTTTATGTTACCAAGAATGCGCCGAGTTTGATATTTGAAGTGATATATCTTTGATTTTTGAAGTGTGGATGGAATTGAAGGATTATTACGGTACTAAAGAAATCTCTGCGAATAATTAATTCCTACCACGAATCTCTCCCTGCTCTTCTGTTCCAGTGCCTGCTTGAGCGCATCAAATATCAAAAATGTAGGTTCCACCTCCAACCTTTCTAATGAAGTCTTTGACAGGCAATTCTAACATAGAATTCATAGGGTCGTCTTCGCTCTGACAATAATAAATAAAGCCGGCGGTCTTATATACCAAAAAGATTTCGCAGATGGACTGAATAAACTTTCTATAAATGATTATTTGGTTCTTGCTGGAACATTTCATGGGTACGTCTATATTTCTGTCTTCCCCTTCCTTCGTCTTTCCTTCAAGGCTAGATTACCCTTCTCGAATTCAATGATACCGTACTAACAAACCCCAGCGTCCACGCCATCTCCACCCGTCTAAACCCCATTCCAACGTCTCACCTCCCCCCAGGATCCTCCCATCTCCCAACAACATCACACTCCAAAACTCTCTCCACCCTTTCCTCCCTCTCCTCAACTCCAGCTTCCGATGATCGACCCGATCCTCCTTCCGGCATCGAAGTACTAGAAACCACTTTATTCCGCCTCCAATGTTTCCAAACACTTACCGGCACGAAATTTCTCTTATTTACTGAACCTGGAATGCCGAATGTTGAGAGTATTTTAAGAAAGATATATGAATTGTATGCGGATTATGTCATGAAGAATCCTTTTTATCAGTTGGAGATGCCAATTAGGTGTGAAAGGTTTGAGAGAGGGGTGGAGAGGTGGATTAGGGGGGTTAACATGAGGTAGTTTGGAAGGTGGTAGGATGGGGTAGAGGGAGAGAGGGCATCAACGAGGGATCAATAAAGCTACAAGGCGAGAAGCTATGCTTGAAAAGCAGAAGAAAATGGAAAGGATCAGTATACGGGTATACAGATATGAGACTGGGTACAGAGGTACCTTGTCGGAACTCTCCATTGGACTGAATAGAGGAGGGAATGTGAACATAATACTGGGTATAGAAGGAATTTATTGGGGCTTGAGCATTAATCAAAGGACCCATGCAGATTTACGTAGGGGAACATCATAGGAGTCAAGGAGCATACAAACTAGAAATAATTTGTTCACAAAGAGCCAAATACCATTGTTTATGATATCTATTGGTACATACCAAACGCCAGTTTGCCATGCAGCCCCAACCATCCACTCAATTATCAATCCATTTCCCCAACCTATATCACCATTCGAATCTAAGCCGTGTCCATTTTATCATCATCATCATCTTTCTTATCCCCACTCCCACTAGCTTCCCCATCCTTATTCAATAGAGGTGCAGATGCCTCATCCTCTTCCTTAATTTCTCCTAAAGCAGATTGCTCTGCTGCTTCCTTCTCAAGCCTTGTCTTTTCATTCTTCTCAACTCTGGCTTTCTCATCCTCCATACTCATTCTCAATGCCAATGCCAACTCTGGGTCCACACTTGGATCGATACCAAATTCAAATGCGCTACTATCACCACCAGCATCTGCTCCTCCCATACCACCTGCTCCTGAAGCTCCATCCCCATGCAAAATTGGTGAAGTCATTAATTGATCACTGAGAAGTGCTGGTCCTGGTGGAATTATAGCCAAATGTGATCCATCACCTCCCTTTACATTTTCATTGAAGGCCGTCAATTTTTGAGTGACATCATCATCGAGTTCTCCAAATACAACGAAATCAATCGAGACGTTATTCTTCTTCATCTTTTTGGCGAGTTTAACAAGTGATTTCTCATCCTCTGAAATTGGAGAACAGGTAAAAACGATTATACGTTGACGTTGGGATTTGTTTTGTCGATGTTTGAGTGCCAACTAGAATTTCAATGTTAGAATTTGTCCCAAGCTGCATGTCTGAATAGAAGTAAATAGGTAAAAATAACAATAACGTACCCCAGCAATTTGAATACCAGTAGCTAAATGACTAACTCCACGAATCTTGGTCTTAGTGCGATGTAATCCATCCAAGATCTTTCCATGATCAGTCGTTAAAGTAACAAGAACCTCTGGTCCTTTACCTCCCATAGACATTAAACCAACTGACGATTCAGGATTGGCTTGAGTAATGGTAGAAAAGATCCATGAAACAGCATCGGCTTGTGCTTCAAAACGTGTTGGTGTGTAATCTCCATTTCGACTGCTTTCACTGTTGTCTACTACAACCATTACTGCTTCGAGAACCATCTTGATAGATGGGTTGCTGTTAGGCAAATATGCGCAAGGTTTATTTTAAGAGGTATGATAAATTTGAGGTTCGGAATGTTAGCAGATGACGATTGTAAAGTCGAAAGTGGTGATAATCGTTGATGGCGGGAAAGAAGTTGATATTTGTTAAGGTTGCTCAAGGTAGCTATGGTTTGCGCGTTAAGGTAGAGTACAGCAAGCCATCGCTAGCTTCGGAGCGTGCAAACCCCTGTAACCTTTTCAAGTTTGGGGGGGAGTAAGAAAGTTTAGCCACATTTGTGGCGCTAAGCAAGCGATTTCGATGATGGATAACAGTCTAATGATGATGTTGATTCTCTATCCAAAGCATAACATTTGCAATTACCATACGCCATCTCGCACCTATAATTGTACTCAAACAACACAATAGTTCAAATCCATACAAACCGCATTGCTCACACGAAGAATCACACAAAAACACGCACAATAGACTTCGCAAAATGGCTATCACAACAGGTCAAAAGCAAGCTCTAATGGAGAACTTGCAATTGGAAAGTAAGTAATTTACTCCAAAAACGCGCCAAAGTACATACTAAATTTTATTCAAACAGTTACTGAACGTGCCAGAAAGCTCAGAGCACAATACAATGTTCAAGCTCAAGGTTTAAAGACGCGTATTGAAATTCGCGTTAATCGTATACCAATTTCAATGCGGAAAAAAAACATTGGAGATTTGTTCGAGAAACACAACAATACTGGTGCACAAGCAGCGCGTAATGAAGTTGGACCACCAGTTCCACCCAAAAATACTCAAAAGAAAATTCCTGTCGCAGAGTCTGAGAGTGGTTCAAGTACTCAAAGCACAACATCATCCCGCACTAGCAAAAGGAATAGGTATGTTTTCCCCGCAAGTACATGGACCATATATTAACAATGTGAAGTGACGAGGCTTGTTTGGACAAGGAAAACAAGATTGATAATCCAAAGAAACGTCAAAAGGCTGCTCCTATTTTACCTGAAAGAACCACTTCCCGTGTTAATATGGATCCGAAACAAATACTTTCACCAAGATCCGCAAACTCCCGGACTTTACCTGCCTCACCAATTAAACCTGCACCACCAGCCAAATCTACCACAGATTCTCGCCCACCTACTAGAACAGGAAGGAAAATTGCACCACATACAAACCCTGCTGGAGCTGCTCGAGCAAAATCCGCATCCGCAACCTCAGGTCCAAAGACTACACGAGGAAGAAATGTCAGCAATACCAGTACGGAAACTGTTATTGTTAAAAAGGCGACTGCTGCAAAAGTCAAAAAGGCAGCGGCTACACAATCTACACAACCTACACAATCGGCTAGCACCGCTGTTGGAAGAGTTTTAAGAAAGAGAGCATGAAATCGTTTCATTAGCTATGATCGCATGCATTTCTAGTTCAAATGGAACTTATCTTTTTGTTTATAAGCACTCAAACTCAATTGAAACACTCCTACTGTGGAGTGGGGAACTTCCTCTATGTTTTTGATTAAGGATCTTATGGGCTGTGACCCCTTCTTTAATTGACATTCATAGGGCATATAGAACCTTGATATTGTGGCTTGTGGTTTGAACTTGGACTGTTGTATCAAAGCTAGAATTGGGGTGATGGTTGGTAGCGAAATGGAGGATAGAATTGTCTTTCTTGGAAATGGATAATGAGGCTTTTTTGAATCTTTAGCGATTGGGATAATGGATGGTTTGCATTTTATGAGCTTTTTGGGACAAGAGAAGGCAAGGGTTATTGTATAAGCTTCTTGGGGACATTGGGAAGAAGAGGATCATTGGCGTTTGGTTGTTTTATACTAATAGAATACATTTTTATTGTATGCATGTGTTGCGGTGAGTGATTAAGACCCTTCACATCTGTATGGAATTCCTTCTTGATAGAATTGCCTAATATAAGCACGGATTGTTTTGCTGTCTACACATAATTTGAGCATATATATACTCGCATATCGTCCCACCCTTCGAGCGCAGCGAGGAATGCGGATATGGGGGATTGCCCCCATGAAAACCATTTATCCTAATCTCAAGTCGCGACTCCGCTAGCCCAAAGAAGTCATGGTCATGGAAGCAGGGTACAGCTGCCCTTGAGCCCTTTAAGCAACCGGATTAAAGCGGCCGCTTGGCTTTCCACGGAAAAACTACCCCACCATTCCTTATTGATCTTGACTTGAGCTCATCAAGTGCCATTCCCCTACAAATACTACCTACATAACAAACAAAAACACCAAGACCAACAATTTCGAGATTTTTTACAAGTTTTATACCCATCAATCAATCTATCTATAGGAAATCATGGCAGATGTAGAAGAATCCAGTGCGCAAACAGAATTGCAATCCAGACATGTTGTTTATTGTGGAGGTAAGATATAACCTATGACTATGAATATATATATGAATGAATGACCCCGCTATCTTCACTTTGCTAATGCGAAGGTATAGTTTGTTCGTTACCACCCGAGGTAAGAATTAGTTTATTAACTTGAGAGGATTTCATATGGGAATTAAAGAATGAGAAAATGAGAAAAGAGATAAGTTTGTTAATGTACAGGAAGTAGTATTGTGAATATGGCGGTACGGTAAAGAAATGTCAGGAATGGCTCGAGAAGAAGTATCCAGATATGTATGAGAGGTTATGGTCTGAGGGTATGTTTTCACTCGTCCACCTTTTCCCGGAATTTCTTTATATTAATCCGTTCCCTAGATGCCCTCGCAGCCGCAACCTCAACCCTCAGCGTCGACGCCCAAAAACGCGCCGCAAAAGACGCTACGAAAAAAGCCGCCAAAGCCGAAGCTCTCGAAGCCAAACAAAATGAAACTCTCGCTTCATCCAAAATTCGCATCAAGCGCGTCGAACGTAATAAACGTAAATATGTTACTGAAATCCAAGGTCTAGAAGCCTTTGGGTTAGAATTAAAGAAAGTAGCAAAGGAATTTGGAAGTAAATTTGCAACGGGAAGTAGTGTGACGAAGGTAGCGAGTGGGGGGCAGGAAATTACGGTTCAGGGTGATGTGAGTGAGGATGTGAGGGAGTTTTTGATTAAGACTTATAAGAATATTCCGAGGAAGAATATTGTGCTTGAGGAGCCGAAGAAAAAGAAGGCGGAGCCGGCGGAGGTTTAGATTTGAGTGGTGTTTGAAGGGATGGAAGAGAAGGCAAAGGAAGGGAAAGGGATGGATTTGACGGGATGTGGTTATTAGGATAGATAGGTTTTCGAGAAATACCTATACGGTAATGAATTCGATTTATGACGTCGAAAGAGTGTTCCTGGCCTCCGCATCTGCATTACATGATATAAGACAATGATACACATATCCGGTAGAAACGGACCACACACCCTCAATCTTCACATAATATCGAGCATGAAGGCAGCTAGTACTACACATACATATCAGTCAGTACAAATCAAAAGACAGCAAAAGCCAAACTCAACTTCTTCATCAAAGCCAATTCATCCCATCCCATTTCATCACCGTACCTACCTACCTACTTACCCAATACAACCATGCGAAAATCACAAACCCACCTACCTAGCGGTACCTAAATTCACCACAACAAGCACTTGATATATTTACCTAGGTATTCATATCTAGATAAATATATAACTATCTACCTATATAACCTACCTACTCATACCTACTAATCAATTTATTTTTTATTCTATTTATTCTTATTCTTACCTGATGGTCATACTCATATCTTTTATCCTATCCCATCCCATCCCATCCCGTCTCTCTTCATTTCATTCTATATCCATTCTCTTCTTTCCCTTACGACTTTATATCATGAAATTATGTCTATTCATTCGCTTATCCTCTATGCAATCTATATCCTTCTATACACCATTTACACTCATGGATTTATTTTCTTTAACATCACATACTCATCCTTGATATTTCATCTTTCCCCTTTCTATATTCTACAATCTTATATTCTACATTCACATCTTGTAAGTGTTATTATAGTATTAATATTTATTAAATTACCTTTATACTTCTCTTTCTTTAGTCTGCTTCTCTCTCGCTTAGCCTCCTTTTGCATCAGTATTACACCTCAACAAAATATAAGCTCCATTTTCTCTTCACAAAACAATAGAAAGACGCAGAGAAGTCATCTTATCTGTGCCAAAATATCTCATCCCAACCCACCCATCCATCCATCCCAATCCATCCATTCATATCATCTACCCATTTCCCCTTACCGCTACTTTCCCATAACGCCAATCCTGAAACAAAGTCCATAGATATCACAACCTTTCCTCGATATCATATCATCAATTTTCAAGCCAGACAAGCTAACCCATTTCTACTTGCCGTAAAAAGTAAAAGTTTTCCCCTTGATGTGAAACTAAAACTCCGTGATCAGTCAATTAAAGAGAATATAATGAAGAAAACCCCCGCTGATATACGCCTTGCTTTACTCAAGCTGAAATAAAGCTAGCCAAACTCGGGATACTACGCCGCTGTTTATGATTAAATCCGAAACATGGATAAGAAAGTTAGCTCCAGAAAACAAAAAAATCGTAACCTCATCTAGTACTGCGTTTCTGTCCTCGAAAGATTTATTCTCTGCTCCAGTCAGTAAAGAGTAAAACACTTGGAATATAACTGAAACTAACTCAATGCTACGTTGAACAGACCTCCGGAGTTTTCGATTGTATATTTTCTTATCATCTGCCGATCCCCAGAAAAGTTTGGCTGCTTCAAGGTTCACCAATGTTCTTGGATCATATGGTGGTGACACCTCCTCTAAAGCTTCAATGATCGATTCAATATGCGATTTTGCATCATCAGGGCGTTTGGAAGTATAGCAAGGAGTTCCATCAACTGTGATCCGATGATGGAATAAAGACGTCTCGAACTTGGCTCTTGGTTGTTCCTCTGGGAATCTTGGGCTAAAATGAAGCTTAACTCGAAATAACCCTCCGTCAAGATTAGTCATGGGACGACCGAAATAAGTAACATTCCACACGAAAGGGTTCTTATTATCCAGGTCAATATCCAGTGTTACAGACTTGTTTTTCTTGTATGCTTCAACCACTTGCTCAAATTGTCGTTGAAGGTTTGCTGCTACACCACTTTCCTTCTGCTGCAATAGCAATCCTTCAGTAGCCCAATGAGAAGTTTCGTTTTCCAATGTGGTACGAATGAATATCATTCGTTTTTGAAGTTCAGTGTAGTTAAACTTTCCCTCCATACTATTTCCACTACCCTCAAATGGCATCCGAGCAAAAGGCTGACCATCATGAACCTCTTTTTTTGCCTTTGCTATGGCCTGCATGTATGAATCGTAATACCACAAGAATCTACGTTTGCATAAATCTTTGAAAGGTTCAAACGCAATTGAAGTTTCATCAAGTATATCCCGATCCAGGTCGCTGTCGCCGTCGCTATCATCGCTTGGTGGTGTGCATGGTAAAACTGTTCCTGGCCCAGAGATGTTAAGGTACTCTTCAAGGCGTTGAATAACCGAAATTCGTAATGTCTCGTGCCGAATCTGCAGTCTAGTCAGTACCAATATACATGACCTTGACACCCCAAATATACCTTTGCACAATAATCCTTCTGATTTTTCCTGTCATTTTCATCATGTGCGGTTTCAAAACCTGGCTCGTTCTCGTAGGGGTTACTCGACATTAAACTTTGTATTGAGATTAAAATGGATTCAAGTCCTTGGGCTGATGACCACTCTTCTCCTCTTTCACCTCGCCATGTACTTTGATATTTCTTAGCTTTAAAAATTTAATGCGATTGTTTGGAAATTGGTAGTTACCCTAAAATTGACCTAAAAACAAGTTAGCGAATGTTGAAAGCATTATGATGTAGAGAGTGGTCTTACAAACAGACTTTGCCTTGAGCATAAATATTTGGATTGAAACGACATCTTCCTCCATTTGTCGTAGCCGCAAGAACACTAGGAGCTCTTGTAGGATATTCTGTAAGGACTTTTCAGCTTCTAGTTGATGTGCAATCATTGCGCGTAATCGTACCTTTACCAAATCTGACGTCAAACTAGGAAAATATTAGCATTTGCATATTGAAGAAAAGCCACCATAAATTGGATGACTAGATAGATAGACAAACATCAAAGAACCCAAACTCATAAGATGTATCTGGTGGACCGATTATAATTGCTTTAACAGCTCGAACATCGATATCTCGACAAGCAACTGCCAGAGCTGAAAACAAAGTGATCAGTATGGATTCAAGATAGAAATAAATAGTAAGTTTTGGGAGGGATGATATGAACTTACATAAATCTGGACCCCTCTGAATATCCGCCAACTCCTACAAATCAAAAGTGTCAGCCTTGCGCCTTTCACCATATCTCCCGGAACATCGTCATATAGTTCCACATGATGTATTTACCTTCGCAATGCGAATAACGGAGTGATTTGACATGATTTCCAAAGTCTATACGACCAGCGATTCTTTTCGAAGTAATGTCTTATCCTTTTCCAGTTCTGTTCTTTTCAAAGATTGAAAGCGTTTGTAGGTCCGAATGTGAAGTTGTTAAGAGGGAGAAGTATGAAAGTAATTTGGGCGGGGCTTTTGTTGTTGTAAGATCTTAGGAGATCATCAAGGGCAAGGGATCCAAATAAGCGGTAACATAGGGCAAAATTCTGCTTGTGCTCTAGTCACCGGTACAGTTATGGGGAAAGTGTGGGACAGTTTTTCACAGGGCTCAGGGATGACTTTTCATCCTTTTATCAGATATAGAATTGTAATGCTCAGAAAAGTCATAAAGGATCTCAACTTGCACTAAACTTATATATCATCAGCAGTTTGAGTCAGAGATTCAGGATAAATACCATATGATTCTTAGCATTTGATATAATATCACATGGTATGGTGACTGATTGTCTAAATAGCAATTATCAATACCTACCTTGCCTACATGTATTACTCATTCATAGAGCTGAGAGAGATGTAGAGATGTAGAGATGTAGAGGGTATCCTGCACTATTATTTACTCAAGACTATTCTCTGTCGCCGTTCACAGATAGGATCTCAATGAGAGGTGCTCAATTCCACCGAATATAGTCAAACATATAGAATGAGATATAAAATCACATAGTCATAATGTATGGATGTGGAAATCGAGAATTTACATGGAAGTCAAAAAGTCGAATTCAATGCTATGTTGCTATGTTCATGATCATAATATCATCCTCACGCTTTGGGTATCTTCAAGTAAACTCTCCAAAGTCTCTTAGACTCTTCCTATCATACATGTTATTTAAGACTATCCAGTCCTGCACCAGAATATATACAAATCCTCCCGGGAGGCCTACCCTACAGTCAACCAAAGGCTTAGAGTCGTATACCTATCAGAGGTTGATATCTGTATGCTCCCATATCTCCTTCGCTCAACAACATCCACCGCCAGTAGCCTGTTGGGGAGCCAACTTAAGATTTGTTCTAGAACCTCCATAACCAGGACCTTTAACACCAGACCTCCTATCGTTCAAATCATACTTCCCTGCTTCGATGTTCATATATATCCTTTCTGCCACTCTTGAGAATGCATTCTCAACACCTTCACCACTCTTTGCACTTGTTTCGACATATTCCAATACACCATTTCGTTTAGCCCAGGCTTCTGCCTCCTCCACGGTAACTTCTCGTTTATTCTCCTCGCCCGTCGCCAAATCACTCTTGTTCCCTACCAACACGACAACTATATCCGGCTCTGCAATTTGTCGCAAATCATGTAACCAGTCGGTAACATGTTCAAATGTCGGTCGTCGCGAGATATCAAATACAAGCAATGCGCCTGAAGCTCCACGAAAATAACTCCTCGTTACACTCTTATAAGTTTCCTGACCTGCTGTATCCCATAAACTGAGTTTCATATGTTTCTGTGGAACGTCCGATGCTGCAGCTGAAGCTTTAGATACTGGCACTTCGTCTAGGGTACTCGATTTTGGTTTAAATCCTTCTGAATTCGGCGGACCAACTGGGATGATTCTCGAACCGAATTCGACTCCAATAGTAACATCATGATGTGGAGAGAAACGACCTTCGCAAAGTCGAATTGTGAGCGATGATTTTCCAGTCCCACTATCGCCGATACAGACGAGCTTCGCAATATAATCCCATGATAATCCAGACATTGTTGTGCAGTTTTAAGAGATCCCCCAGTTGTTTGTTGGCCTTGTGGGAAGAGGGGTGTGGGACAAGAAGTCGTATTTATTGTAAGCCAGAAAGAAGCTGTTTAGAACTTAATTATTCTGCGATTTGCGATCCGAGCAGAGGATGATCGCAAAAATAGTAACCTTACAGTTGCAAAAGCTGGAAGAAGTAATAGTGATGGTGTTAATGGATTATGAAAAGATGATGGATCTGATGGATCTGAAATATAAGTAGAGATGACGAAGTGTCCGTCTTGGTAAATATTCAAGGTACCTACCGTTGTAGCTGTATTGTTAGTGTAGTAGTACTAGGCAGGTAGTACAATCTCGTGGGTAATGTGTAATGTTCCTGAATTCGATGAAGGTGACCCGCCAAAAAGTGGCTTCGGAAAATGAAAGCGGATAGGTAGGTATTCTGTGGTTGGGCTTGCTTGGAGGCGGTGAACAAAGGAAGGTAGGTAGGTCCCTTTCTCTACTTATCCATTATCATTATCATTATCATCATTATTCACAAGTAGATAATGCATCTACGGTAAAGGTATGGGTAGTATTATGTGAACAATAATACCTCCCGTCTGTTCTATTCTTCTCAAGTCATTTCTCCTATCATACTTCAATTACGATTGGGAAGGTCCCTTCCTCACTGAAATCGGTCACTGTCGTCTCGGAACAAGTCGATATCTTGAGGACGGGTGTATCTTGCTTTGCTTGTATCTATCTGTCTGCCTTGTGATTCCTGACTCCCCGGCACTCCGCCATAATCTGACTCGTCCCCAGACCAAGCAAATGACTGATATCTCACAATATCAACTTCACGCGTTATACATTACGCTTTAATCACTCTTGCTTATACAGCCAAATTCGGTACATGTCCACCTGTAATACTTGGACAATCACAAGCTTTTTATATCATTCACTGTTCACAAACGATCCCAACTTACAACTAACTGATCTACTGCACCTGGAACTTGCGAGTACCGACTTCAAGCTCTCCCGAAAAAGACCCACAAGATTGGGCAGAACCAAAAGATAGGGTCCTTATCAACAACCTCAACTTATTAACTTCATCGCGGACAAAACATATCAATACACAAATTTATAACAGCCGAAGATGTTCTCAGAATGTAAGTACATCTTTTTGACTATGCTTTACATTCATTGTTTTAACCATGATATTCTCCAGATGCTTCGCGCTTCTTGGCTCAGTCACAGTCCCGGTTCTCCAATTTCGTCCAACAGGATAACGAAACTCCGCCTCGAATTCCAAACGAACGATATCAACGATCGCAACCTTTACGAAATTCAAGACATCATCGAGCACTTGGTAACCCTTATCAGTCTTCACATCTCCCAAACTTTGGATTTACCTCTCGATATTCCCAAGCTCCTCCTGATGCACCGCTATTTCACAGCGCTTTGAACGAGTTCCAAGAGGAGGATGAGGAGGAGGAGCGAGAGAGGGAGACTGCGGATTTTTTTGCGCTACAACGATCACGGAGGGTATTTGCACCTACGAGAGAATTAGAAGAAAGTGAGGAGACTGAGCGCGATGGGAGTGATGTAGCTTTGGAGGATAGTAAAGATGAAGATGGGAGAGTAGGCGACGATCGGAAACGCCCTCGTGGTATTAAAAGTAGTTGGACAGGTGGGATAAGAAGTACAAGAGAGCGAGGCCTAACACCAGAAACAGTTGGAGAAGAACGTGATGATGAAAGTAGGCGGCCAAGCAGTCGAGGAAGCAGTGACAAAGGGAAGGGAAGAATGGTGGATGTTGGATTAGAATCTACGATTGCCGACAGCGAACCTCCGAGTGAACTGGCGTATGATATGGGTGATGACAACCCACCAGCCTTCCAAAAATTTAAATCTGGACCGAAATCTGGACCGATCCGACTTGCTGGCGGTTCTACAAGAGGCATTGAGAGGGATATTGAATCAAGTCAACAACCTGGTCCTCGGTTTCCTATCCCACCGAGCGAAGTGGAAACTGTTCCAGCAACAGTTCCCATAGCTTTGAATGAGGGTCCAAAGCATGACATGTTCTGGGGGTCTTTGTTTTTGATATGTTTGGGCGCACTTTTCGCAACCTTTTTTCTGATATTCCTGCATACATCAACGCCAGATGGAGTGATCGGTGATACTGTCTACACAACACTTCGTTCTTCATTCCATTTGTTTGCGGTCGATACCCTGGCATCCATTATCGTCTCATTTGTATGGCTTGCATTATTACGATCCTTTGTTCGGCCATTGGTATTTTTGATTGTTCTCGCAGTACCAGTCATACTGTTCTCATTCTCACTGTACCCTCTGGTGTCTAGTATGAAAGGGTCTACAGATCGAACCGGTGTGCAAGATAGAGCTATGCGATGGATGTCATTTATGCCGGGAGCCCTTGCTTTACTTTGGCTGTATACCATTTACAAGGGCCGCCAATCCATAACTAAATCTATCAGTATTCTAGAATTCGCATCAAAGATTCTTGCTGCAAATCCAGGTCTTCTCGCATTAGGATTCGCTACTTTAGGAGCAGTAGTTTTATGGACCTGGATATGGTTAGGAATGTTTACAAGAGTATTTTTGGGTGGTCATCTCTCAAGATCAGGGCTCAGCTTCATCATTGATATGACGACTTGGTGGCTTGGTGTATATTTCGTGATGATGTACATTTGGACTCTATCTGTGATTGGGGGAGTTCAACGAACTACGACCGCTGCAACCGTCTCCCAATGGTATTATCATCGCAATGTGCAGCCAGGACCCACATCTCGAGAGATTGTTGGAGCAGCTTTTTATCACTCAACTAATACGATATTTGGTACCATATGTCTATCAACATTATTAGCCCTTCTGATCAGACTTCCTCTTATCGTATTCCCACGAAGATTAGTAACAGCTATTTCGATAATTGCCTACTCCTTTGTACCAACGCCGGTTACAGCTTTACTCAATCCTCTCACACTCACATATGCTGCCATCCACTCTCAGCCTCTTCAAACTTCAGCACGGGGTTTGAGTCAAATGACATTTCTTACACCTCAAGCACCTACAACCACTTTAACCCCACGATCATTTTCTTCTCGAAGCCAGGGCGCCACCCCTTTACTTCCATACCGATTAGCCAAACTCCTCCTCCATGCGACCCGCGTAATCATGTCCATGGCTCTCGGCTTTGGAGGTTGGGTCGCAACAGCTCGTCAATTATCAATTAGTATGCCTGAAGGCCCTGGTATCAAAGGTAGCGCATATGCTTATGTAGTTGGACTCGTAGCTGGTTTTATTGGTTGGGGTGTTCTTGGATCTATGGAAGGTGTTTTAAGTGGGATTGTAGATGCAACTGTGGTTTGTTGGGGGAGTGAAAAGGGTATGGCTGGTGGAGGGGCTTATTGTCTTGAAGCTGGTTATTTGTTTGGTGATGGAAGGGAGTAGGTAGTGGCTAGGGAATGGAAGGAAGATGGATTTGCATTGAATTGATTTGGTTTCGCGAACGCATGGAGTTTGGTGCATAGTGCATGATGAATAACATTGAATGGGATGCATGATTACTTGGGTCATGATATTTTTAAATGACATGGCATAGCATAGCATTGTTTAGCAAGGTGGAATCAATTAATGAAGAATGTTTGAATACTCTAATGCTCTTACCTACATAGACTCGAGTATTCTTCATAGCGTACGTAGTGCATCAAAACATTACGTTGTTGTCTATGATTGAATGAGCATGGGACTATAATAATTTCATTTGTTTGAATTCCAGCGAAGAAGATATTATGAGAATTCTATTGATTACCTACTTGAGGATATTCGATATTCAAACGATAGAAATGCATTTCTTTTTCCTCGGTTTCGGTTAGAAGAAGTATTATGAATGAATGAAGGAAGGATAGGATAGGATAGGAAATGAAATATATATATGTATTAGTTTATAGATGGAGGAGTGAGTGCTCAGACAGAATAAAGATTTATATTCTAGCTTTTGGATGAGCGGGATTCTTGCTTTGCTTTGCTTTGCTTCGCTTTTGCTTAGTTATGGGATTTTATTGGATTGTATGGGATTGGATTGGATTTTACGGGTGAAAAAACTTGGGATCGAAAAATTGGTGAGTGAGGGTTCTGTTGGTATAGTAGCTTTCATATTAAAATAGTTAGTGCTATCTATCGGTGTATTATAAACAGATATAGAATAAAGTATTATGATTGGATAATTGATATAGTTGAGAGTTAACATTTCAATTTTTGATTATTTCTTTTTTAAAATTATATTTTTATATTAAAAATAATGATTTTCATATATTAAATTTATATAAGAAATGATCAATGCTCGAGATTCAAGTGATTAATAAGCTAACTACGTTCCACTTTCAAAATCTATTCGCTCGTACCCCAACTTATCAGTCGCCTTTCAAGCCATCAAAGTAAGTATTCGCATACGTCGAATGGAAACTACCACCACAGCAGCAGATTACATTCCCGAGTTGACACAGAGCCAACAGTTGGCGATTGCCAGAAACTCATCAATTCAAATCACTAATGGAGCGGTACTCACTGCTTATGAGCGGAATTCTACGGTTGGCGATTATACCGAATTTGGAAGCAGAGGGGAGAAGAGGGGTTTAGAGTCCCCAGCTGAAGCGGATGGTCCGTCTAGCCAACGAAGGCAATCAAAGCTACGATTTGTCATTTGTCGATGAATTCGATTTATTCCTTTCGCAATTATCAAATGGAGTCACACATGGCCAAGAAGGATCGATTGTCGATTGGGTGCAAACATTAGTGCGGTAACCTCAGACGCACCATTCCTTCGAAATGTATTCATGCAATGTTCCCTTGCAATGTTAAGGAAGATGTTAGAGTCTCATCAATCACAATAAAGCTGCCGGACAAATTATCAAAACCTTGGATATGCCAAAGGAAAAACGGTGGATTTTAGGAAGCTTGTTCCATCAACGTTCGACTCTCAGCCAAAGATACAAATTGAGGTTCGAGGTAGGTATGAATGAAAAAGGAATCTGTTGTAACGACCAAATTGGGTTGTCAATGCATTTCAAGCCTAACAAAGTCAGGTAGGAAAACATAAGAAGGCTAAAAAGCTCAATTATGCTTGGCACATGTGGTATCCCGTGAAGGGATTTACCATCCCGGCAACCTGACACAAATGGGTATTGCCACTTCTGCCGTTAACGCCTTCTACTGTTAAGCCACATATACACTACAGGACGTTGGCGATCGACAACTTTGCTTCAACGTACGGGTTGGTAATCTGTGCTACTATATGCATTATTTACCCAATATTGCTAACCGTGCTAGGTGAATGGAGTCATGCTGTCTATAATGCAGAGATGTAAGAGCGATATGTAGATATCTTGTAGCATAATAGCCCTGGAAAAGACTACTCATATCAAAAACAAAGTATAAAACCAGCTGGTTTGTCCGGCTATTCATCTAATCAACCTCCATTTCATTTAAACTTCAGCTTATCAAAACTTCTATACACATCTACTTATTCTCATTCTTATCGGCAATGCCTGACATAATAGTCAAAGACCTTCTCCTGAAACACCCTCCACCTGCTTCATATGTTCATCCTATACCTAAAGCTACTTTAAGTAGAAAAGCCTGGACTGATCAATTTCACTTAATCCCTAATCCGACAATCCATAAGTCAACTGTGGATAGCGTCAATCAATTCTTAGCCTCAGATCAATACAGTCCAAACAGCAATAGTATATACACTGCTGATCCCAGTGATCATGATCGCTTTGACAGAATGGTCCATAAGCTGAACTATCTCGATCTCGAACGTATTGAAATAGAAGGGGATGTTACCCGGGAATTTCTATGCAAATATTGGTCTTCCTGTTTCTCTTGCTTAGCAGAAGAATTCAAACTTTCTACAAAGATCACTATCAGGTCCTCCAGGTCCAACAACTACAAATAAAACGATAGATCACCTATATTCATGGATAGTGGAAGGGAATGGTCTAAAGGAAAGATGTCAGATAATAGGAGAGTTGAAACAGCCTGGTGTTATTTTGGTTAATGAATGAGAGGGGAGAAGTGCACAGTTTGATATAACGAAGCGATTGGGAAGGGAGCTGAGAGCGTAAGTCAGTTTCTTTTGAAGAAAAATAAACTACTAATGGGAATGAGGTATGCATACGAGTACAAGTGCCCACAGGTTTTTGCGTATGATGGAATCCACCTTTTGATTATTCAATTCAAAGCTAAAGGCAACGAAGATATCAAATCATTGGATTGTCGCGTTGATTACTGTATCTTGACGCGGACACCTGTAGGTCCACAATGTACTGCTAGATTTGCACTTTATCGGCTAGCATGGCGAGGCTGGATGAGGATGATAGGCACATGGTCAGCTAATTTTCATGTTTTGATTGTCTGACGGCGTCGGGAATTCCGATATTGGTCAGGACGGCCAGGTTGGGTAAACGAACAAGATCCGCGCAGGAAAGAATCAGAACATCCGGATGGTTGCATGCGAAGGCTTGATCCAGCAAGAAAAGCATGGTATTGGGTAGATGCGCAGGGAAATCCCGTACTTGATGTGTACGGTGATACTATTTGGGACTCTGTTCGATCATGGCGGTCTTATCAGAAATCATCGGCCGAAGATTGTTTGATGTCAAGATAAAATATGAAGAAGATGAAGAATATGAGAGGAAGTTCGAAGAAGCTTATAAGGCATTAACTTTTATGGGGTAGTTCATGGGGATACCAAGTTGGATAATGCTATTGATGCTGGAGATCGTGTAATACTTATCGATTTAGAACAAGCCGAAATCGACGAGACGGAATGGGAGAACAGTACTAATAGAGGAAATGCAACGGCCTTACTACGTGACCTTCGATTGATTCGTCAGTACGAAGAAGAGGCAAAAAAGAAGGAAGGCAGAAAGAAGAAGGTATGATAGGAAAACCCTGATTTATCACTCATCTAATATATATTAGACTTGGGATCTAATGTATTCAAGCCAATGAGGGGAGGAATAAAATTGTTTTGCATTGAGATAGGAGGGTTTGGATGCTTTCTTTGTTGGCTGAGGAGAATAAGGCAGGCAAGTCTGGGTAGCTGAGCACCAAGTTGGAGTAAAGATTGAAATGAATGAAATAGAATAAACAATGCCGAAGAGTGGTTTTTATAATAAAAGATATTTTTATCTTTATTTATATATAATCTTATTTTAAAATATATAACATTTTATACAATTCAAACACTAACTTCACTAGCATTATCAACTTCAACTTCAACTTTAATTAAAATTATAAAATTCATAAATCATAAACTCATAATTCATCAACTAGCTACTTTTCTATACCTACTTTGTTTGCTTTTCCTACTTTCCTACTTCCCAACCTTCCTACATTCCTTTTCCTATATTCTCAAAACTTCAATTATCCATCTCTCCTTAGATTCAACAAACTCAAACAACAATCAACAATCAATACCCACCCCTACCTTTTCCATTCCTTTATGAATTATGATATTATGATATTATATCATATCATATCATATCATATCATACCCATTCTTAACATATCATCTCTTCCCTTATCTTTCTTCACATCTTCTTTCACTTCCACATTCATATTCACATCCACATCCACATCTACATCCACATCTCCATCTCCATCTCCATCCAAATCCAAATCCAAATCTCCACCCATTAAATCAACTTCTTCCATATGAATCCGTAATCCCTCTATAAAAGTTTCGTCTTCGTCCGAGCTGTGAAGTGCGAAGTTCTCGGGTGGAGATATATTTGCTTTTGAGTCAATTAAATCCTTCTTCCCGAAATCCGGATCAGCATTCCATCCCCCAGATCCCTTTCTCCTTCTTCTCCCTTTCTCTCCTCTCCTTCTCCTTCTCCCTCTCCTTCCCTACCAACCCCCTCCCCAACCCCTCAGCATCCCTCCATAATCCTCCTCTCAGCCTCCTCCTTCTCCTCACTCATCTCCAACAAACTTTTCCTCTTCCCCCTTCTCAATTCTCCTCTCCAAAAAACAACTCCTAGGCATCACCCCCAAATCCTTCCAAATTGCGTAATCCGAAACCACCCCACTCAACCTCTTATGCCCCTCATCCGGATCCCTCAGCATTTCCATCCCCATAACATCGATAAATCCCTGTCGACTTAACATGGGCATATTAGCTCCGAGACTGATGGATCTTCGGATTCTTTCTCCTGCCGTGGGAGACGGAGATGGAGGGGGTAGATTTGAGGCGTGTCTCGCTGAGAGGGTGTGAGAAATTTCATTACATTTGAAGAAGATACCAAGTTCCAAGTCGGCGATTTCTTGATTTTGTGGTCCACCTGTTATGTATAATGTTTTTTGCCCTAGAAATTTCTTTCCATTAGTACCATTCCGGAAATTCATAAAACCACCTCTCCTTTCACAAATTACATCCTCCACCACTTCCCTAAAAAAAAATCAAAACCTACAAATATTATTCTCCATCTCCACCCCCTGCATTTCCAAAAAGGCACTCCAAACCTCCGGCCTCAGCTCATTCGTCTCTTCAACATCCAAACACAAAAATATCGTCGTCATCAAATCAACAAAAATCGCATTTGCCGTTCCATCTTTCTGAAAAAATGGACTCCATTCCGAAGGTACCGGTGGCGCCATTGATGCATATGGATTGGTAAAAGCTTCTAATTCAATTTTCACCGGTCTAATAGGTAAATCGGGTCTTAATTTTGTAATGGGCGAATCGGAATAGCTTAAATTGTTATTATCACATAAATGACTAGCAGTGAAAGCATCCTCATTGACGGGCAGCTGAATGGAGATGAGATCACCCAGACCTGTACCCGAAGCGGAACCTTTTTGCGAGCCCGAGCTACCTTTTGAGGTTTTCCTACTGGGTTTTACGATATCCCACAGGGCGCCCCAGTTTGCGGTTGGGAGTTCGACTTTTTTGGGCGGGGTGGTGAGGGTATCTTTTCGTGGAGGGAGAAGCGGGACGGGACGAGGGGGAAACGGAGGCGGGATCGCCGGGGTTGTGGTTCCGCTCGTTTTGAAGATGGCGGTGGGATGACTGCTCAGATGCGTTTGGCTTATGTTTTGAATGACGAAACAGTTGGCGCAAAGATTGTAGTCGGTGCATATGTGGCATTGGATGCGAGCCTTGTCGGGACGAATTGACTCGGTACAACCGGAGCATTCATATAGAGACATTATTTTGTACTACAGGACAGGACATGTATCCCAGGCTAACTGAAAAAGAATCTTCGTATATGAGAGATAGGAGAGAGGTGTATGTGATGATGAGAATAATTTGAAAGAAAGAAGATGTGAATAATTCCGCGCGAAGTATGTTCTAGGGAGAAGCTTTCTTTACATAAGAGGTTATCGAAGGAGAAGAAGCTTCTTTAAGGGTCCGGGATCTAATTCAGCAGTTCTAGAATCTATCGATTTTATTAATTAACCATTAATACTCGTGGTAAGCAGTCTGAGGTAAGTACCTAGGTAGTGTACCGACCGTACCGTAGAGTAAGTACCTTGTCTATGGTCTATGGTCTATGGTCTATGGTCTATGGTTTATGGTAAGCAGTCTCGAGGTAATGTTGAGAGTTTCATAAACGTCTTGAAAGTTGGTAGGGTACCGATTGGGTAAAGCAGAAGAAGTGTTAAAGTGTTAAAGTGTTAAAGTGTTAAAAGTGTTAAAAGTGTTAAAAGTGTTAAAAGTGTTATTTACTTCGTAGTAGGTACGCTTTGATGCTTTGATGTTGATGATCGGACTGCTGGGGGGCTTTATTCACTAAGACTAGATTCTGGAACAGCAAAAAGAAAAGGCTGAAAAGGCTGAAAAGGCCGAGGCGGTCAAAAAAAGACATTGAACATTCCGATAGAAGGAATGGAATGAATGATAGATAGATAGATAGATAGATAGATAGATCACGTCTGCTTCAAATATGATGGAGATTTCACCGTAAAAAGAATCAAAATGTTAATATAGGTTACCTACCTTGAGAGAACATATAAAATCAAAGGAAGATTCTCTGTTATAATCATTCCGTTCTGACCCCAGCAATCAACCAGCACCAGCACCAGCACCAGCACCAGCACCTGTACCTTTATTGTCCAGCTTCGACTCGCACATACCTTCTAGCCTTCAAATTCAACTCAGACATTCCACCCGAACATTCCATGTTCCCTTCGTTTTATAATATATCTATTGACTTTCCCAGTCTCCTTTCCCCTATTCCTGAACCATGGTATTGGTATTTTTTCCCCATCAATCAATTTTTGGGGGGGAATCGGACTTCAATGACGAACGGAATCGCCGATAGGGTGTGAGATATGAGGTCAGACTATTGGATTTAATTCTTATTGTGAGTCTTATATGCTCAGCGTATGCAATAGGAGGTTTGCTGGAGATCTCGCATGAGTGTATAGGTATACCCCGGAGAACTCTTCTTTCAATAGTATTTCGTTTTCGACAGTGGATTGATGACGTTTTTGATGTAGTGAGAAGACTGAGTACGAGTATGTGGTAGGCATGCCTTTAGTATTGACATTGATTGTGAAAAACTGCAGTATTAGTGGTTTGAGGATTGCCAATAATGGCCTTCGCGAAATGACATTGTGATAACAAGACGCTCAAGTCAGAAAGAGGGAAACAACCTACCATCCTACCTCGGTGCAGCAATGATATCGATGGCGTCGAAGCACAATATACCATCCCGAACGAATCCTCCTGAACCATGAACCTTCTCCCCTTTCTGCTAAGGATCGATGTATTTGGAATGAGACCCACAGCCTGATAGGAAGATGGAGATCGGGAAGCGGGGCCACACATCAATAAGGTCAACAGGTCCGATTATCTCGGAGGTATTCCACTGTTCTAATGGAATCTTCTTGAACTAGATAAATGGTAATGTCTCAAAGACTTACAATTGGCATCGTCAGAGAGGATAAGGCTTCGACACCTAAAGATTCTACCGACATTCGAGAAAATGAACATCTATCTACTTAGGTAACACATAGACGCTAGACGCTGAGAGATCCACAAGAAGTGGACGGCGTCAAATGGCTGACACCTTACAAGATATTGAGCCGCATTTACGACATCGGCCAAAGGTTTTCTTTCCTTTCTCAGGCATGAAAACGGTCAAGATTCAAGAGGCGTTGATCTTACTTTCCACTCGCAGATCGCAGTTCATCGTATAATATTATACGGGATTGGTCAGAAGTACAGCTTGGGAATCAGAAGTGGATACCGAATATGCAGACTTTGCCGAACTAACGGTGGCCGACGAGAGTTTATGGATTCGCCGACGCTATTCTCACTACTTCCTACTCCGTACTCCGTCGAGCCTCGGATAGCCGTATGGCAGTGCAAGGTAGAATGCACGTAGATCAGTTTATACCTAATTATGTTGATGCACCTTGATGAAGAGATTTTTTGGTGGTTGACTCGCAAACTTAGGTAAGCGGCGGCGAGAAGGCAGAAGTTAACTGAATCGACGATCATAGATGGCTGGCAGGGACAACATTGCCGGACAACAGGTAACTTCGTGGCTCTAGTGGATCGTCACCTTTCAGGAACCGCTCAACTGGGTTTGACTTCAAGGGACTGTACTGAAGGGTACTGAAATAGAAATGAGGTACAAAGCCATTAAGGAGTTGCAACCAATTCTTGACCTGGCGATCTATTTCGACCCGAGGAAGTCGTTGGATGACTGATACAAAATGAGGCTTAGGGAATAAGAATAAGTAAGATAAAGTCTTGGGCATGCAATATTGGCAGAACATATCAATAAGGAAATGAGCTCTCGCACGTGATCATATATCTTTTCTCCTTCTACCCCGCTAGTTTGAAATCTAAGGGACCAGCTGATCAATCAATGTTCCTACCAATACTCCATCCTGTTGTCTAACACGGCCCATATTCTGGTCTTTTCCTTTGATCTCCTACTGTTCTTTCGTAGAAGAAGAAATAATAAGACATAAACTTCGTATATATTATACAAAATACCCGCCTATTCTTTACGTATCATACTTTCATACTCAAATGCCATTATCATGTTGATACCTGTTTCATATGAGAATCGAAGGATACCGACATAAAAGCATAAAGCTACTGACAGACATACGAAGAACCCTAAGAGTCGTAAAGATTGGATCGTACGGCTAGCTAAGTAATTTTCCTTTTCCCTGGATGTTCCCTATAGCTTGCTGGATATCTCCGAGATCATCAGCCTTACCCAACAGTGTGTTTCATGGTCAGCGTACGATCCAATAGTTTTGATTTATGCGTTGCAGTCCAAAACGGTGTGTATGAGGTCGAAAAGATGTGATGTGAGCAACGTGTGAAAACCAAACGCTTCAAGAGTCAAGACTTAGATCAAGACTCAGGTCTCAAGTCTCACGTCTCAAGACTCAGAACTCAAGAATCAAGACGCTCCTTTTCACAATGACAGCGGTACATACCAACCATTCATCTCGGAAGGACAAAATTACCGAAATGCTTAACAACAAAATATCCCTTGACCTAGCTTGGAACTTTCGACGTGATAACACGGACTGTCTATCAGCCATGTGGCATGAGTATATTTCGACAATGCGTCAGAAGAGTATGAATGTCTTCGAGATTGCTACGAATTAGATGAAGATTGTCTGAGTAAACATGGACCGATTCAATACTTGATTGGGTGGAAAAGGAAATTTCAGCATCTGTTGGTATTGTGATCTCCGCCGCGGCCAAGCCTAAACTCACCATCTGGCAAATGTTGCAGGCATGGTGTGATGATGATGATGATAGTGATGATGATGAGGTTTTTTTTACTACCTACCATGCAGGAAATTGATGAAGCCATCAAACAATCACTTAAATGGTCCCAATATTAATATTCACATGCATGCAATCCAAACACAATATTGCAAGGTTGACTCTCCTCGGACCCTTTCTCTGGCATTGAGCATTGAAACCTCTGAGTTGTATCTTCTTCTAGTGGAGAAGAATGAAGTCGTTTCCGAACGATTGGTTGTCCGAGTGGAAAGGCGGTTAAATACGATTCATTCATCCCGTCTCTAAATCCCCTATCTTACTCGGACAACTGCAGGAACCTTAGATGTATTGATCAGATAGTTAATTTGCGAGTAATTACCGTGAATGCACGATTGGGTAATCTGATTGGGTTTTGTATTTCGCACTGGTATGAGCAGTTGCAAATCTGTTCCAAGCAGATGCTTTTTTAGATATGATACCGTGTTACCGTGCTACCGTGTAGCTTTTGGTGGGTCGGATAGCTGATGCTAAGATGATTTAGAAGGGAGGAATTTGAGCGGTCTGACTTTACGGAGTGTACACTGTACGGGACATTCTAACATCCAACCGATATTTTACACATTTTATTACTCTGGAGTCGGTATTGAGCTGGACGGTAGAACTGAATCAACCAAAAAATGAGGATGAGGGTCCCTTGATTTTGGATTTTGGATTTTGGATTTTGGATTTTGGATTTTTGACTCTTGACTCTTGACTCTTGACTCTTGAGGCTTGGGTCCCTTTTTTTGGGGGGAGGGTCCCGTCGGAGGGATCATTAGCGAAAGCGACCAAATTCGCCATATTATGGATACAATGACGTAGAAAGCCTTTATGGTGGGAATCCCTCATGCATTGCAACCATGGGTTGTTCTTTCAGAAGATTGACAATTAATTTTTACTTTTTTAAGTGTACCGACGCAAGTAAATATGCAAAGAATTTCAGAATAGGCTTCAAATATGTAAATCTTCTCTTTGGGTACCCTTTAAATCCTGATTTTCAACGAGATCTTCATTCTAACCTACAAATTTCTAGATATTTCTCATAGTTGCAAGACAGAAAACATACATACGACCGGACTATGCACACTCGATGAACATGTGAAATTGCTTCCTATGTCGTGATGTTTCAGTATGTTGACCATTTATGTATCGTCCCTTGGTGCATTTCCACCCCCTTCATTTGTGCGGTGGTGCGGTGGTGCGGTGGGCGAATAACGTGAAAGTGTCAGAAAGTGCGAGAAGAAGTCGGAAGGATAAGCGGACCCCTAATTCTCTAGTACTGTTGGTATCAGACTAAATCAAGTAGAGTATGATAATACAGTGGAGTAGAATTGATAAGATGGCATCGGTAGTCCCTGGTATGTTGTGTTCAATTAACCCTACTCTGTACATATTTCCGACTTTTTGATGAAAAATTCGTTTACCGTGTGGATTCCTCTCATTATCAATGACTTATCTGTCGGTCGATGCGCTTCACAACTCAACTGGTCGTTAGGGTAACATGTGGATTAACCGCTCGTTTTTTCCAATTTCATTCTCATCCCATTGGACACTAATGCATTGAAAGTATAAACTGTTGCGATTCAAAACACTAGGTGGATCCTGCCCTAACAGAGTACTGTAATGGAGACTAAGTCCGGCAGTGCTCTCTCTATCATCATCCATATATATCAGACCTCCTCCCTTCATCCTTTACCTCTCCATCAGCCAAGATTAATTTCACGTCCTTTCATCCGAGGAAAGTCTTCGTATCCGTTGTGATAAGTTCATATCACAATCACATCAGAGGTGATTCAGAGTTGTAGGCCACCACGGTTCGAATGACACCTTACAAGAAATCATCACATCACGATTATTCAAGAGGCTTCTTTAAGCTTCACGGACGTCCATTCTGTCAATCTCTGGCACCAACTTGATTCATCATTTACACTCGATATTGTTTAACTCTTCGAATATATAAACCTTACGAACACAAACCTTCAATCTCCTAACCATCTACTCTCCACCAGAGGCAGTGAAAATTTCTTCAAATACCTTTACCACAAATACAGTCAACATGGCGATCCCATTCGGTTTCAGTTTCGGCGAGGTTATTCATGGAGTTGGGATCCTTAGAAACGCATTCACATCAATCAGCGAAGCCGGAAAGGCAAACCTAGTTTTTGGAGATGTCGCACAAGTTCTATCCAGTCTTCACAAGCGTCTCGACGGTCTCGAGAGATTTTTGAGTGATCCATCATTTGGACCTCAGCGTGGTTCGATGATGCAAGTCATCAGTGCGTGTCAGCACTGTATAGAAAGATTTGTCCATCAAAGTTGCAGATTGAACGGTATCACCACCAAGGGATCTTTATGGTCTCACGAAGAATTCTCCAATATTATCGAAAAGATCGATTGGCTAGCTTGCAAGAAATGGGATGTCTCGCAGTTCAGGAAAGAACTTTCTATTCATGATGACGCAGTATCGAATTTACTATCGACGATGCTTAGTACTCGTGACATGGAAAAGGGACAGCTCACCCGCCAAATCAACGAGATCGTAACCACTCAACACAGAACGGTTCGAGGTGGTGGCAAAGCTTCTTCACGAGACGCTGCAGTTAGCAATAAGGTTTTGAACGCACTGGCTGTCATCAATCCCCTCATCGGAAGAAAGGAGATTGAAGCTCGTACTGATCGTCTCTTCAGTAAATCGTGTGACTGGATTCTCAACAACAAGAGTTACAAGTCCATGATTGAAAGCGATCAATCTGATTTACTTTGGATTCATGGACAAGCAGGAAAGGGTAAAACCATGCTTTCTATGTATCTCGTCGATATTCTCTCCAAGCAAGTCGCTCAAAACCCTTGTGATCAAGTTGCATACTTTTTCTGCGATAACAACACGGATCAGAGAAACTCGACTTTACATGCTCTCAAGACCGTCCTCCATCAAGTCTTGAAACAAAGTTCCCGGAATGTGCTGTTGGAGGATTTCAAACGTCATGGACCTCAAATGTTCGCAACTATCGAGGGCGTCTGGACCGCTTTGACACAAGTACTTGAAGCATCGACCACACGAAATCTTTACCTGATCATTGATGGTCTCGACGAATGCACCGATGAATCTTTGGATGTCTTCCTCAAGCTCGCAAGTACATACATTGCATCCAACGTGGACGGACTTTGCAATGTGAAATGGATTTTCACAAGTCGAAACGAAACAAGAATCGAAGAATACTTAAAGTTATCCTGGGTGGTAGATTTGGAAGAGACCGCCACCGAAGTCAGCGGAGCGGTTGACTCCTTTATCGCTCACAAGGTAGATGCCTTGGCTACTAAGAAGAGATTCGATGCACCTTTAAAACAATTCGTGGCCGACAAATTGAGGCAAAAAGCTGGAGGTAATTTCCTCTTCATCTCTCTTGCTTGCAAGGAACTCTTGAAGAAGAATGTCTCTTTCATCAATGTTAAACTTGTGCTTGGCAAATTCCCCGCTGGACTTGATGCATTGTACTCGAGAATTCTCGAGGGAGTTTTGAAATTGAGTGAGGAGGATCAACAAACCGCCTTTTCAGTTCTTCGTGCAGTAGGAATCGCTTTCAGACCTCTCAGTCTTAGAGAATTGGCCGTCATGGCAGCTTTCCCGGCAGCAGCTATGGATGATGAAGATATGGTATTGGATGCTGTTGAATTATGTGGATCATTCCTATCACTACATCGCGATCACCCATACTTTGTCCACCGATCCGCAAAAGAATATCTCCTCAACCACGAAACCGCCGGTATCTTCTCCTCAGACCTTGAATTTGAACACGAGAAAGCCGCTTTCAGAGCCCTCAAATATACAACCAGAGACTGGAAATACTACCTCGAAAGTCTCGAGGATGTTCCACTTTCCTCATTACAAGATCAGCCCTCCTCAGAAGACAGTCTTCAATATCCTCTCATATACTGGATTAACCATAGCAACATTGCCGGTGCTCGCATGATGAAATCCTACGCCCTCGATCGCCATTTCTTCCGTCGCAATTGCGATCTTCGCCGTACCTGGCTCCTCTACTTCAAAAAACATCGCCACATGACTAATTTCTCCGCCATCCAAAATGTTCATTTCTCAGCCCTTCACATCTCAGCCGTATGCGACACCTGGTGGGTAACCGAGATCCTCCTCAAAAACAGCAGCACCTACATCGACGTCGAAGATTCCTTTGGTCTCACAGCTCTCCACTGGGCCGTCCACTGTGGAAATGCCTCTGTAGCCAAAATCCTCCTTCAAAAAGGCGCCGACCCAAATAACAAAGGCGGAGTAACGGATTTCAAAAATGGCCCCCGGGAAGGTACACCACTTGGATTGGCAATCTCATACAATAACCTCGAAATGTCCAAGCTTCTCCTCGCTCACGGCGCCGATATCGATTGTCCTGATCATCATTGCACCACGCCACTCGTATGGACCATCCGACAAAATCTTCCCAAATCAACCAAATTTCTTCTTCAGCGGGGTGCGGATCCCGTTTTGAGGGATGAGGAAGGGAAGACTCCTCTTCATGACGCTTGTGCGAGGGGTTATGAAAATATTGCTAAGATTTTATTGAATCATGGTGCGGCGCCTGATGCGAAAGATGATAGGGATATTAGTCCTGCTGGGGATGCATGGAGTGGTGGTCACAAGGGATGTATTAAGTTGTTGGATGCTTATGGGGTTAAGACTCCCGAAGGAGAAATGGAGGATGAAAGTAAATGGGGAAAGGGCGGTGATTTATTAGCTGCGTAGTTGCGGCGATGCGATGGATGTAACTGGAAGTTTTGTTTGGATGAGGAGAATCAATCGAAAGATTGATCTTGCATGATAGATGGATGGATGGATGGGGTTAGGCGAAATTTTATGTGTGTTTTTTTTTGATTGATTGGGTTTAATGGCATTGCTTGCAATTGGATGGGATGGAATGGAATGGAATGGAATGAATGCGATGCGATGCGATGCTTGATAAATAAATCAAGGGGAAAATGGATCGGTTACTACTTGCTTACTTATATACTTATTTATATACATATACATCATATAGGATTGATGGGTTTTTGCGAAAGATACCATATAGAATAAATTGTATCCCGGTTTGGGGTTATATTATTATATTATTATTATATTATATTATTATATTATTATATTATTTTATCGTTTTTAGAAAACAAGTGATTGAAAGATTGAATTTGAATTAATTTGTTTGTTATTAAATAAAAAAAGTTCACTTTACTCGAGTATATAAGATTCATTAATCTAGATCTGATTAACTTCATTCGAAGATATAAAATATTTATGTCGGTACATCATGTGATCAACCTCGAAAGGGAGCCGTACGACTAGTGCATTCTAGCCTGTACGCCTTTCAATATAAATAGATCCCTCTCCCCTAGATAGATAATCATCATCCATGAACAAATACAACAAGAATACTATGCACTGCATTCGTATCACCGAAGTGATACCAACAATAACAAATAACTTCATCTCATATCTCAGGATTGCTGTTCTCAGAGCTCAAGGTATATACATTTAAAATATCTTCAACTACGAATCCATCTCGAGATTATAAAGTTATATATCAGTCAGTCAATCATATAGGACATTCATATTTTTGGTTACACCCCTCCTAATAATACTCTCGAGATATAAAAATAAATACAAATAGGTATCAAACGAAATCATACATTTCCAATAAACAAATCAACTCCGACCAAAGTCACATATCAGCAATACAAATCTCCTCATCCCCATCCCCATACCCCAACTCACACTTAACCCTATAAGCCAGCCCTTCCGGATCCCTTCCTGCCCAAATATCGTACACCCCATCTCCAATTCTTCCATTCTCCTTTTCCTCCCCCAAACCCGCCTCCACGTTTCTGGCTCCCAGATCCAGAATCTGTTGATACACCCCCACTACTCTGCGCAGAAAAACTACTTCTTCCAGAAGAATATATTCCTTCTCTATCGGATTCATATACATAGCCAGGAGAAATTGACATGGATAAATTGATTGGTGTTTGAACGAGGGTTAACGTTTCTATTGATGATGTTTCTTCGTATTTGCTTTTGCTAATTCTCGGGTTTGTAGTTGGAGGTAGATTTGGTGAGATTGAGGTGGAATGTGTATTTGGATTTGTGGGTTTGGGATTGTTGGATTGGAGATGGGGATGTAGTTGTTTTCGGAAATGGTTTCGGGGGTGAGATTTATGTTTGTGGTTGGGTGGTACAGGAGATGGAGATGGAGTTGGTGTTGAGAGGGCGCGAATGGAAAATGAACGAGTTGTGAAGGCCATTGGTGGTCGGGGGGGTTTCTTTTGTTTGGATGTGGATGAAAATGTATATTTATAGATAAAAGGATGGGAGGCTAGTTGTAGTTGGGTAGGTAAATATGGAAAGGAGGATGAGTTCGAGAACTTTGAGATATCTATAATATTTCAACTTGCAGTAGAAGATATACAAAACTAATAAAATGGCGCTGACGAAGAGATGTGTGAAAAAGGATAAAGAGTCAACATAAGATGGATGACGAGAGGGAAAATAATGTATACAAATATACAAACAGATCCGAACATTCACTTACCCAACTTGCCGCTAAGATAATCCGAATTCTATGTTTGAACCTCCGACCCCCTATTCGTACCGACCCGACATCTTCCATGCATCAGTGCAATACTATGCTTCGCTGAGCTTTCGCCAACTTCCGCCAACTCAAGCTTCCAAGCAATCAAAACATCACAGTCAACGCAGTACAGTCTAGCATGAACCCCCTATTATCAAATAACCAAATCCAAACAACTTCTACTCTCCCCATCAAACCGCACCCTCATCATAGCCTACCTAGCAATATAAATATACATTCACTAACCACACCTCCCCGAAACCTAACCCAAGTCATCTATCAATCTATACATAAATGTGCATAGTTCCAGGTCGGCGATGTAATTAAGTAAGGCTCTTATTTCGGGTATAAATCTATTTTAGTATTACAAAACACAAACTACAAACACCGATCAATATGTGGTGGTTCAAACGTGGCGGTGAAAACGGCCGATAAAGTTGTGTTATGTGTTACAGCGAGGTCAGAGATGGGATTGTTGAGGTGTTTAGTTTTGTTTTCGTTTGTGGTTTGGATGAGTGGGATGAATACCAACACCTTAACACCATCAAATAAAAATTAGTCCTTTCCTGCATCTCTGGGATCAGGCTAGAGCGTCAAGTTCTTCATCAGATGCAAAGCATGAGAATAAGTCTTGTGTAGTTTATTTACTCAGGAGTGAAGAAGCAATGGTGTAGAGTATCTGTCCCAAGGACCTAGAAGGATGTACTAAGACCTACCTCTTGCATCTTACCTCTCCATTAACCTCGGCCTTCCAAGGATAACGACATATAAAAATGTTCATTTCCCTGACCATATACCTCTAGCCACCTTCCTCTACGCCAAGTCTACTCCCAAAAATGAAAAATCTCTCAGAAACAACAATAAAAAGACAAACCAAACTTCTATTCCTTTTTAACAATCTATTTTTATTTCTTATTGTTCCTTCCTTTTCCTATTACCTCCATATCATATTCAAAATCCAAAACTAGAAGCGAAACAAAACCATCATCTTATATGAAGCTATAGACAAACCGAGGTAACCTCCGGATCAACTTCCCAGAATTTGTTTCTTTAAGAAGATTAGCAACAGTTATCTCGGCTATAGAATAAATATATATTGCATTCACAAAGTGCTTATAACAAGCCTCAAAGAAATAGCAAACAGGAAATATGGAACGAGAAAGAGGCTAACCAAGTATCCCCAATGTCAATTTCCCCATATAATCTTACAAAAACATATTGACCATTAACCCGAATACTATTATCTTAGCTTTGTCCCTTCTTAAAACACCATAACGATATAAATCCCGCCAATTCGCACCAAAAACCCAGAAGATTTGCTATCCTCCACTCTATCCGCGAGTCCCCCTATGCGAGCTCTCACTCCAGCTCCAGCTCCAGCTCCAACTATCTATAATAATTAATAATTGACACAATCTTACTAAACGACACAACACCATAAAGAACAACACAATCTCAAACCTCCCAAACCCTCAAAACCCAATCTCACTCACACCCAGATACCCATCCTAGAATTCCATCCCTTTTCAAATCCAAATAATCAACCTCAGCAGTACCTTCCAGAAAACCAACAAAGCATCTCTTGACTCCTCCATTTACCACACTTTCTCATATTGAATGTAAGATTACAGATATGAGATTCAACGGACTGGAGGTGACTGGTGACTGCAAATGCAAGGACGGAGAAGAACCTGCTTAGGTTTGGAAATGTGGAGTTTCTGCGGTGGAAGAAGGTAGGGAGGAGAAGATATTTTACAATAGAGTAACAAGATGATCAAGGACTTAGTACCTACTACTTAGTACCTAGAACCTCTCCTGATGAAATAACTGAACTCGAAAGGATAGACTATGCTCAAGGTGCTCAAGGTGTTCAAGATTTCCAAGATTTCCAAGATTTCAGCCAACTTGACGGTTCAAACTTTTGTACTAGATCGATACATAGTAGATAGAAAGAATAAAGTGCAAAAAGTGTAAAATGGAGCCATAGAAGAGGCATAAAGAGGTGTAAAGAGGATGATTCAAACAAACACTTTCAACGTGTAGCCGACTTTAAGTATGACTTTGTAAATATCCACAAATCCCAAAATCTCGTCTCATGCCATCATATTTCATAACCTCATCAATTCATCCATCTGTCCATTCCAGTCAAGCCCCAATTGTTTCCATTTCCATTTCCATTTCCATTTCCATTTCCATTTCCATTTCCATTTCCATTTCCATTTCCATTTCCATTTCCATTTCCATTTCCATTTCCATTTCAATCCTTTTCCTCCACTTCCATTCGTTTTAAACTCCTCCTCTCATCTCCTCTTCCCTTCTTCTTATATTTCAACTCCAATATAACTCCACCCACCCCACACAACACAACCACACCACTTATTCCATCGCACTCTCAAAACCATCAAAATCATCAAAACCATTCGAAATATGATCCTCACCCCAAACTTTCCCTCGGTGGTAAAGCTTCCGGCCCAAAAGACATTGGTAGGAGCTACATATGTATATATCGTTAGCTATACATCCAACAATCTTATATCCCTATTCAACAACTCTATCCATCATAAAGAAAATGACACTCACCTCCTCTAACTTCGCAACGACAAACTTCCCATCATTATCAAACATAAAGATTGGCATATCCAAATCGCAAAACTCGCGTATACTATATTTTTCAGACGAATTAGCACATTAAATCCCCTCAAATATCAATCCATCCTCTTCTTCCCCATCCTCTCAACTTAGCAATTCCCCAACTATCCAACACCCTCCCCCAAAAGACCAAGAAACCAAAAAACCTACAACTGTCTACACATCCCACACGGACTAGCCGGCACATCCCCACTAGCATCCGTACTCAACCCCAAAGCTCTAAACCCCACGTCCCTCCAACCCCCCGTAACCGCCTTCCCAAACGCTACCCTCTCGGCACAAGTTCCCACTGGATACGCCGCATTTTCCACATTAGCCCCATCTACAAACTCTCCGTTTTTAGTGAGGATCGTAGCGCCGACGCGAAATCGTGAGTACGGACAGTAGGCTGTGAGTTTTGCGGCGGAGGAACGCGTTTGCAGGGTGCTGAGTTCGGTGGGGGTGAGGGGGTAGGTTTTGCAGGTGGTGGTTATGTCGGTTGGGGAGTTGAGGGAGAGGAGGGATGGGGTGTTGGACATTTTTGGGGGTGTTGGGTTTGTGATTTGTGCTTGTTTGTTGGTTTCTTGTGTGAGGGGTTGAATGAATTGTGTGTTGCGAGTGAGTTGTATTGTAAATTGTGAGAGATGGGGTTTACTTTCAAGGGCTGTGAGGTCATATGTGCTACGTAGGTATCTATCTGTCTTTCTTATCGCGATATGACATGCAGATAGCATAGCAAGGTTAACAATAAAGGGAAGGCGATTTTATGCTCCTCACAACTTATTACCTAATATATCCATATCTGCTTAACTCATAAATATACAACGATTTGAATTATTATAATATTCCATTCGAAATCATAATATACGTAAACCTACCACTCATTCATTCAAGACATCCCATAATATCTTCCAACCCGCATCAAACCCCATCCCACTTCATATACCCCTCCCTACAATCTACTCACTCACCACGTGCACTCATCCAACATCAACTACCACCCAACATCAATCAACATCAACCAATACGGAAATGACGCTCCGCTGGTCCTCCGGGAGCCACTGCCGTGGAGGCAGACTAGGGAGGGTAGTAGACTTTAGATATGAGATTATTATATAGAACAAAGACGGCTTCCAATCTTCCAATCTTCCAATCTTCCAATCTTCCAATCTTCCAATCTTCTTATAAATCCATCATCTAACCCAAATCCACTCACTGCATGATCCTTATCCAAAAGAAAAGCAAAAGGATGCCTCTTTTTAATAAATACACATATTGCACATCCCCATCCTCATCTCCTTCTAAACTTCATCTCTCCCCTCCCCTCGCTCCACCTTCGAAACCTCTCTATCAATAGCAAATCAATCTCTTCACTAGCTTTAGTATCAATATCAATATCAAGCAGCAAAACCAGCGATTTATTTGTAACTTTAATTTATCAATTTCTTTTCCCTGCGCCCTTTCATCCATCCATCCATCTACTCTCCGTTCCCATCAGTCACCTATCTACATCACCAACATCACCAACGTCACATCCATCATATCCCATCCCACCTCATTCGCCATTCCACTCAGCCTTTTCCATCACTCAAATCACAATTGAAAGATTGAAATGATAGCTCAGATCAACTCAATTCATCCCACACCCCACTACATGTAGCCTCTCCAACACCTTCCGGCATCAAAATCCCAAGCATCAATTTAATCCTTGGTGACTTGCAAAGGGGTAACAGCGAATGTAGGTCTGACAAATCTATATTATCAAAGTGATTAGAATTATTCTCATTCCTTCGTCCACTTCAAACTTCCTCATCTCATTTAACCCTTCTCACCCATTTCCTTTCCCCTAACCCCATAATGGAAAATAAAACAAAGTAAAAACATACCTATCGCTATTATAAGGACTAGTCTCACTACCCAATAATTCCTTTTCTCTCTTCAAATCCGCCCAATGTCTTCTAACCAAATCACGATCGGTTTCTGCTGTCAAAAGTGGAATGAGATGAATTCTAGACCACATTTTTTCACGGGCAAGTTCACTATTCATTTAGTTAGCAAATTAATCAGCAATGTTTCCTCTCTTGATATATGAACGTGAAGCCGTGTATCATCCAAATCCTTCACATAGCATATCCGAGCAATTTTGTATAATAGCAAAACCACCAAAAATCGGCTTGAGATCTTTCTCAAGAACTCAACAGCATAAAACTCAATAGAGAGTGTAGAGTAAATCTAAAACCACAAAAAGAAGAAATAAAAAACACACTTCTGTTCACGAATTCCCTTTCCAACCTTCCAAAATCCATAAGTCATGATTCCAGCCATAGCCAGAAGCATAACCGAGGGTCTGAAACCGCGTGCTGGAAGATTTCTCTATAATTTTCAAAAATAAAATGTTAGCTTTGTGCTCTTTTCCAGTTCTTTTGCGTTTCCCTTTCCATCTGCCCATCTTTCCATCCGATGTAACCCATTACTTGACTATCTAACTATATAAATATCTATTTATCGGTCTATCTAACAATCTGAGTATCTAAATGGTGTTAGTGAAAGCTGCGCCGAAGCTGTGTCCATTGGAGAACGAGGAGGAAGATGACGAGGTGAAAAGGGCGCCGTAGTGTGTGTATCGATATTACTGGTCGTGTGTCGTCTCTCGAAAAATCCTGCAGGCCTGTTGAATGACGCTCAAACCATACCGTCCATCCCTCCACCGCACCACATATTTGCAAACGCTATCGTATCTTGTCCCTTGGCCATATACCGTTAGAGAGATTCGATCCCATCTTATTTGTTTTGTTCTTTCCATTCCATTCTCCGCTCGTCATCGGTCCGTTCATACCATATTCTCTACCAAACACAGCACATTTGTAGCACATCCCGCCATCCCGCCATCCCCCCAAAGCCGCTTTGCAATTCTCTCGTCCTTGATCATGTAATTTTCATCCCTCCTTATTTTGCACTTCGTCGTCGTTTTAATCCTGTCCTCATCCTCGTCTTCGTCATGTTCGTGCTCATCTCCATTAATCTCCAATTTCAACCATCCAACCATCTGAGTCACCCAATCATACCAATCACTCCTTGATCACCTCCCCTCCATCCTTCCTCAATTCCTCTACCACATCCCAATACCTCTCCCTCAACCCCAACCCCGCGCCCCCCTCCCAATGCCCTTCCAAAACCCATCATCCCATCCCGCAAGCTTCCACCTCCCATAAAAAGACCAGGCCCGAAATCCAAACCCTAGAACTTAAAGAAAAAAGAATCCCACATACCTTATACTGCACGGCCTCGTACCCCCCCACGGGCGGCATATCCTGCGGCATCTTTGCAATTTCTCTTTTTTTCGATCTACGTAAACCGTGTAGCTAAATCCTTCTCCCTTAATCAATCTTAACTTCGTCCGAATGGAGCGTAAAGCGTAGAGCGTGGAGTGTAACAATTCAATGATTAAACTTCTCTCTCGATGACATCGCGCAAGCGGGCAGAAAGCGAAGTTAAGTCGAGATGCAGAATTGTAGCCTGAAAGTTAAGGTTTGAGATCACGGCAGTATGGTGTAAAGGAACAGGGACTTGGCCCGAGCGTGACACGACCGAGGGGTTCACTACCGCATAAATTTTGGTACAACATCCGGACACCAGAAATAGAACAATGAACATCCTAATAATCGATTTGATATTTTTGAAGTATTTCGTATTCAGATTGATGACAAAGAAACGAGGAATACTATTTCTACCATCGGGAGTATCAATATACCATTCCATTCCGATGCATAGCCCTTGGGTATGTCTTATATGTGAGTTTCTGTGGTACTACAACCAACGAGTATTAATAATTACTACCTACCTAGGTAGTAGGTACATACCAGATAGATAGATATATGTCAATATATATTCCCATCAGGATTCGAAATCGAAGAAAAGAATAGAGTGAAAAGTATAATCTATCCAAATAACCTAACCAATATAAAAATCAAATAATATCCATCGTTCATCTTCTCATCTGCTCTCTTCACCCTCCTCCTCTCATCTCCATCTCTCTCCCCACTCTCACCCGCATTAAACTCCTCACCCAGCGCTTCACATCTCATATATATACACATACATATCTACAAATCTCACTAACATCCCCTCATCAAGACCATTAAAAAACGTTCAAACAACACACACACTTCACATTCACACACTCTCAAAAGAGAAAAACAAAAAAAAGCACAAAATTCACCAACTTAATAAACTCAAAAAAGTTAAACTTAAAAAGCGCCCACTAAATGCATAAGACGAATTCCACCCATCCCATTCCATTCATTCATTCAATTCCCTTCATTCAAACCGCCATCCAATGAAACCAAACCAAACCAGACCAATCCAATCAATCCCATCCCATCTTATCCCATCCATCCTATTCACCCAAAAAAATTCAAATCCCAAATCCGAAATCGTATTCCCGAACCCCTAAATGCCAACTCCCAATTTCCCATCCTTAAAACACCTTGATAGTAATAAACGAGCAAGCACGCTTCAAAATATGAAATGAGATGAGATGAGATGATATGATTACAGACACAAGATTTCTCGTTTGTTCGTAATGCTCTTCATGTGCAATTCTCCCTCAGATAATAGCAAAGTTCTTGATAAAGTTTCTACCCTCAACCCGAGTATTGTAGATGCAGTGTAGACAGTAGAATAAACTAGCACTAGCACCAGAAGTATGCAGACCACAAAATCAACCAGCTGCAGCTGCTGCTTCATCCTCCAATTGCTGGTCAAAAGCAGCCTGCATTTCCGCTTCTAAATCATCCTCGAAACTATGATCGCTCTCTTGCACCGACAATTGATCTACCTCATCAGTCTCATCACCCGTTACACCCGGTGTAAGAAGACTTGATTCCGAAGCACTAGTAGGCGTCTTTACTGTTTTTAAACTGGTCGTCCTCGAATTGGCTACTCGTTGTTTTTTCGCCATTGTGCTCTCTTCTTCACTATCATCCTCATCTGTAGCATCGTCAAACGTCCGTTTCTGTCCTCTTCTTGAACTTGTTCGTGAAGCTCGACTGTTGTTACTAGTGAAACTCGTATCGCTTTCTGTACCGGATTCGTCATCCCCCATAAATTCGGCCAATTCATCATCTATTGAAGACCAATTGAGATCCTTTGTCGGAGATATGTCACCTCGTGGTTCATCTGGCATGACTCCTTCTCCATCTAGCTCAGATTTCATGTCATCATCATCATAATCATCACTCTCAGTATAGTCCGAAGATTCTTCACTATCATTACCAGGAGATGAAACATTAGTCATATCACCACTAGGTCTTCTATCGGCCGGGCTAATATCGACCTAATTCGTAGATTAGTCATGTTTACGATGAAAAAAGTCGGGTGTTCAACCTACTAAATAATCTGATTCATCCTCTTTCTTCCATTTACTCATTGATTGAGTGAGCCATTGCTGTGTGACTATCTTAATATGAGGATATTTTGCCGCTTCTCGAACTTTTTGTGTACGAGTTTTTTGTGAGGAGGCAACGACATGAGTGACTCTTTTTGAAATCCTATGATATGTTAGTGACTCATCTTCGAGACTCCATGATAAAAACATACTTTTTATGAATTTTGCCACCAAAACTTTCTATTTGTTGAGCAATTTCAGACCTAAGTTTGGTTAGCCTGGCTTTCCCGTTTTCCAAAACCCACACGCTAGAGAATACACGCAATAAAAGTTTTTGCGAAATAAATTCATAGGTGGTATTGACTTGCCTCATAACATCAACTCCTAAAGGAACCAATCCCGACATAACAATTATACAGCCATCCAAAACTCGAGACCTAGAAGCAGGTTAGAAAATTTCCTGATATCATGACTTTGCGAGGGTGGCAATCATACTTGAGACGTGGCATCACGACCGCGATATTAGGAACTACTTTGAGGTCGGCAGCCTCATTTTTGACGTCAACTTTTCTTTGATGTCCAGGTTTTAATTGCGCAACTCTTCCACCCGGAACATTTACCAAAGCTTTATCGTATTCCTCATAGAACGCTCTATGTAAATCTGTGAGATGTTGTTGAAGATAAGTTAATTCGACATCATCATCCTTGAGAACACCATGTCGGTGTGTATGATGTTCCATTTTGCCGTCTTCAACATCTTTTTCTGCCTCTTCCTGTTTTTTATCCGCTTCATCAATCGCTTCCTGCTTATGGAGTAAAGGTCGATCCAGTAGTTGTTGCTCCAAGAATTTCTCCTGTTCTGCTGCTTGTTCTTGCAAGGAAGACTCATCGTCTAGTGTGTTGAGTTTCGGTAGTATTGGCTTTTCGCTCGATGATTCCTCCTTAGCTCCTTCAGTGGATTTGGTTTCGCCATCATGTTCCGTAGGGTTTGCGACTTCTCCTGTAGGTGTTTCGACTGCTATTTCAGATGTGCTAGTTTCTGACTTTGAATGATGTTTCTTCCTGGGCGTAGGTACTTTCGGAAGCTCTTCTCTCTTCGGCAGGAAACTCGAATTGATATCGCCAATACCAGTGAAGAAATCATAGGGAACGACTTTGATAAGATTAGGACGATTCATTGGCCAAACGTCTGCGCGATCATCAATGATTGCCACCATATGCGTGCTCTGAGGAAATAGTCTAGCCAAACTCTTCGCTGTAACGTTGCCGTTCTCATCTCGACTGATAATGCGATCACCAAATAATTTCTTTCCAGGGTCGACGATCTTTGCGATACTTAATGCATATGCTCGAGTACCCATAGTATAAACATGAAGCTCATACATTTCAGAGATTTTTGCCAGAAACTCTGCAAGACCCGGTCGCATTTTAATATAGTACCAACAACCGGATGCAAGACCGCGAGGACCGTCATCATTAAGTTGGAATGATCGCACATCTTTGACGGCCTCGTAATTGGGTGAGTTGACATCGCGCTGCCATTCTCCAACAGTAGGTTCAATACAAGCATGGATAATGGTCTGGTCCAGATCTACCACCAATGAAAGTTTTCGATTTTTCAGTAACCGCCGTTGTAATTCTTCTTCTGCTTTGGAAGCTTCATCGTGGCTGACTGTGAGATGCGTTTGGTCGTGAATCATATTGATTCTAGCTCGGTCCGTATCGAGCGCATTGCTGGCCCAAGAGACCTCAGTCATATCCTTTCCACACATTCCACAAAGCCCCGCAAACTGAACAGCATGCGAACAACTTTCCTCAACGTCGACCACAGGTCCATCCTTCTCAATTGTCGTTCCTTCTTTGATCAGCCATTTCTCGAGAGTACCTTCAGCAGGGCTATCCCATTCTCCGTATGATGTTTGTTCCTCCTCCCATTGTTCGCCCAATGGATCGCCGACCATCAACTTCCACTTAAACTTATATTCGAGTAGCGAATCTTGTTTCGAGATTTGATCGCCATGTTTCTTCAAAAATTTGGTAATGATAATCGGGTACCTTAAATTCGGACCCAAGCTCAATGACTTTCCCATTTTGATATCCTCCTTCGCAAAGTTGGCCTTTACTTTTGTGATCATGAATTCGCAGATGCTCGCTCCTATTTGTAAAGATAGATTGTCAGCAGCTGAACTTAAAAGATAAAAGAAACCGAATGCGCGCGGAGGTGAAAGGAGCGTTGATAGGTTTGGTACAGTTGAAGCGCATATGACAAGAAGCAAGCCACAGTCTATGAAAGGCCGTAGCAGCGCGCAAGACTCTTCCGGACAGATCGAAGAAGCTTAAAGCAAGCTTCAAGAATACATGCGATGGATATCTACAAGCTGTTGAAAGACCTACGATTTCAATTTAAGCTCTTTTGAAGCTCTCATAATATCGCGTGGGGTTCAGCGTTGTGAGATTCCATGTGCAACTTCTTTTTCAAGCTTCCAAGCCACAAAGATTTGGAGAAGCCACCAGATGGGGGAATGGATGGATTTCTTGAGTTTCTTCGTTTTCTTGTGTAATATATAGGCAGTAACTTTTTGCGATTTTTGAATATTCACCTTTTTCCAATTAAAAATTAGAAGATTTTCGATTTAATTTATCTTCTTCTTGTTGATATGAAGCCATATAATTTCTGCGAAATAGTTTAAAGTTGTAAAGGTTGGGAATTTTGGAAGGATCGAAGATAACCAGTATTGTAGTTTGGGGATTGAATTGTTGACTTTATATGGTAGGATTTGGAGTACGAGAGGCGACCACTGCGGAGACAAAAGCTTAAAAGGGCGTAGGTAGGTAGGTGTAAATGATGTGAATGGGTTGATAATAAGTGCAGTGTGGTGCGGTGCGGCGCGGTGCGATCCAGTGCGATTCGGTTTGATGTGGTGATGGAATCGAGGTAAAAAATAAGGCAATAAATAAGGCAGAGAAATAATAAAGAGGCTGATGATGTTGAGCTTTGGAGCTTTGGAGCTTTGGAGCTTTGGAACTTTGTAACCCTAGGGAAACCTTTTTTTCTACCGCTAAGACACCTAAATGGTGAATTTGACAAAGGAGGAGATGGAGCGTTTTATAGGTGTGATCAGCTTGTTCCCCTGCTAAACGAAATGATGAACGGTGATTGGTCAAAGGAAAGCGGGACAAGATAATGTAAGTTTATGGAGGTAAAGCCTTCAAAAGATAAATACAGGGATTGAGGATGAATGAGGAGATATCGTGGAAATATCATCATCGCTCCACAACTTCTTTCATCAGTGGCTCAATGGGTATAAAGTAGGTAAGATCAAAATCTCGTGATGGATAATTCTGTCTGAAGTGAAGGTTGAAGGTTGAAGGTTGAAGGTTGAAGGTTGAAGACTGAAGACTGATATAGAAAATAATAAGATCTTGCAATAAGTATACATCTCGTACTCTGAGAAGTACTCTGAACGACAGGAATCGCAATACGTTAATCCTCACATTTACCGATCACTGCAATCCTTTTTCTTCTTTCGTCCCTTTTCCTTTTCATCTCTACTCCGTACACAGTCCATCATCGTTATCATTATCACAAGCTTACAATACAAGCAGCTTGTAAGCTTTCCAAGCCAGTCTTCTTCCATAACCTTACACTAACTAGGTACCTCACCAACCACCAACAAACTAGCTCTGCAAACAAACACTCCAAGCCACTACCCATCCAAGTCCAAGGAAATAGGTTACCAATACCAATACCAATACCAATACCAATACCAATACACAAGTAAGTAAATAAACCATTCAATCCAAACAAAATCAGCTAAGCCTTACATTATACAAAACCCGTCTTTACTCTTCCTACCTTCTACTCTACGTACCCCACCACAAGAAATCAAGTCTAAGTCATAAGGAAGTAGGTTACTCACACATCTGCTAGTCATGATCATTGCAGAGTCCCATCCATCCCACACAAAGTAACCTCAACCGTTTGCAGTCACAGCCACAGCCACAGCCACAACCACATACAACAATCAATCACCGAATAAAAAATCCCATTTATTCATTCATTCATTCATTGACCATGAATACCTAGGTAGACTCACTCAAAGAACATAAAATGTGATCATAGCATACTCGTATTCCTACCTACCCAGGACCTCCTCAGCCTCACAAGAAATCATTTCTTTACCTTATTTCCTTATTTCCTTGTTATACAACTAGACTTCTTTATCTATCACAGACTACCTACCATCTCTTTTATGCATATAAGATATCTATCTATTATTTATTCAATTATATGTACTATTCTCTCTCTACCTCTACTCTACTTCTAATCTACCACTACCTCTACCATAAAAACTAACAAAATAAAACAAAATAGCCAAAAAAAAGGAAAACACCTTAGTATGGAATTCTAATACTACTATTAGTACTAAGCTACCTATCTACCACAAACTAATCTATCAGTAAATCTAATGCGCCGCGTTTTTCTAGAGTAAATAATCTATCCTAATACTATGTACGTACTACCTGCTAGGTAGATATCAACTTACCCGAGTACATGATTACATTTTAGCATTTTGACTTTACTCAGTATGATTCTAGTATGTACTCTACAATATCCTCCGTCACAACAAAGAGCAAACACTAGCAAATGAGCGAAGGAATATAAAACTAGACAATAATATCATCTCTCATCAACCTATAAGCTGTCTAATGTCTATGTTTATGTAAAATCATCGCTTCGCCATCCTCCACTTCTCTTCTGCTCTAAATACAAATAAAGTGGAGTATTGTTATTATCATCCGTGTCATCTGTAGCCATCGCCCATCGCCATCCCTTCATTACCTCATCACCATGATATCACCAAACCGTGTAAAAATCCCCTACCTCCAACACCCCGACAGATAAAACCATACAGAATAAACCAACCCAACCCAACCCAACTCAATCCACCCCATCCCACATACTGTCCACACCGCTATGTATAACCAAAAAACCGTCAAGCCGCCTTTCTGGTCGGCGACAACGCCGCATCCGATCCTGACCAAGCCATCATATTATTGTCACTTAAAGTCCCTGAGTGCGCCATCGATTCCCAATCATAAAATCGTTTAATTAGTTCCGGGTCGGTATCGTCCCCAATGAATGTCCAGCTTTCTTCCGAATCTTCCAGTGTATCATCATCCGACTTTCCTTCTTTGCGCTTAATCAGTGATTTCGCGTACTCCATGTCTCGATATATACTCTGAATCGCGGTGTCGACTCCATTCTCCTAATATTCGTTAGTCGAAACTCTTGTTTCATATGTGAATGTTGACATACCTTTCTGATTTGTTCGCCCAAAACTCTAGCCTTTGTGATTATCCTCTCACTATGTGTGGCCTCCCAGAGAGCCCGCGAAAAGACGCTGACGTTGATCTTCTTGATCAGTATGCCAACGCCTAAATCTTCAACACGTTGACCGAAGAAAAATTGATCTCCAAAGAATGGCCTAATGATCGTTGGAATACCGACTCGCAAGCTAGCTCCGGTGGTGCCGGCGCCCCCATGATGGGCCGCCGCATCGACCTGAGAAAAGAGCCAATCGTGCGGTGCAGATTTTATCTGAAATATCTCCGGTGGAAGTGGTATTTCAACATTATTAGCGCCTTTCTTGTCTAAGCGATCTGACCATCCTTTCGACAGAATGCATCTTACGTCGGCTTTAAGAACCGATGCCACAACTGTTTTGGTCAAAACTGCAGAATCTGCCACAACTATTGATCCAAACCCAACATACACTAGCCGTTTGCCGTCTGCGCGCGCCTTTGCGATGAAATCAGTGAGATCTTTGGGTGGCGTGTAATTTGCTCCTTCATCCAAAAACCAGTAACCTGTGACTCGAATCCAATCGCTGTAGTCAAGAGGTGGTACCACGACTGAAGGACTGAAGTTATACAAGAATGGAACCTTATTAGGCTGCATCTTCTCTAGACCCGTGGCCTGCAGATTTAGCTCCTTTTGTCTCCAACGATTCACCTGTCCGGAAATAGCTCTCCAAAAGACGGTGTCAAACATAAGATAGGTGACATAGTTGTAAGAACCACCAAGCTTATGCTCAGGAACGGCAAATGCGTGGGGATAAGCTCTTGTCCTTGTCCATGGCATGGTGAAAGCTCGGAAATATGGGATTCGAAGGGCTTCCGCGATATGGATTCCAGCCATTGCGCTGGGACTCTCAATCAGAATATCAGAATCTTGGCAGGCTCGCCATGATGAACTGAGCAAATCATCTATCCAACCACGAAACTTCGAAGATGCCTCTTTCAAGAACGAGACAGTGAACATTCCATTTTCGACACAAATCCGCATCAATTCGGCTGGATCACCATCAACTGGAGCAAATGCAATACCGTGTGACTCAATCCACTCCTTGAATTCCAAGTGAGTAGCTATCTTTGTTTGATGACCCTCTGCCATCAAACCCTTACATAGAGCAATGTAAGGCTGAACGTCACCACGAGAGCCAATGGTCAAGCAAGTGATACGGAGAGGCTCCGTTGGCTTGAAGTTCAATATTGACGCTCTCGGATCATCGAACGATATTGACTGTGATCCACCATCGGCTGCTTTATGCAAATCGATATCATGCTCAGAACGGATCCCGCGCCGTGCCTGTCTTAAAGCTCTGTGTTCAGCACTGGCCATCTCTGCGCTTTCGCGCTCATCCGTAGTCAAAAGCCCGGAGTCTTGCATATACTGCATTGTCTCCACATTCTGCAAGAGGGTTATTGCACAATCATCTCGGTTCTCGGCTTGATTGAACTCGAAGAAAATCTCTTCGTGCCCTCGGATAGTGATGACTAGTCCAGAATATCCAAAACGAAATCCTTTCTCCTTATCGACGTTCTCAATATCTTTCAAAGGAAGGATAAATTTAGTTCGCGTGCCTGGTAGTAGGCTGCGGAAGCAAAAAGATCGGTCACTAATGTAGATTTTTCCATATAGCGGAAGGACCCGCTGCAAGTAGCCAAAATATGTGGCATGGAGCTTCTCGTCTGGAGGTAAGGCAAAATGATCACGAAATCTGTCGGCGGGTGTAGCACCATCCCGGTTATCATCATCGTCTCCAATACTAGGAATTTCATTGTCACGTGGTATTCCGTGGGGTTCCTCATAGTGCTTCTTGCCCCCTTTCCACATGCCTGAGACCTTTTCCACATAACCCATTGACTCACTTGCCAGTAAAGTGCTCATTCTTTTGGAGTGTCTATTGAGATAGCCAGCAAATCCTGCTGCTCTTTGTAAAGGGTATGATCCAGCCTTAACGATACTCTGTAAAGAAGGGCCAGATGAGATTTCCGCTTGCCCAACGTTCGAGTCGCTCACCGAACCTGTGGTTGCGGCGTGTTTGGGATGCTGTGGCCGCTGAGTTCTTGTCGGTGAAACATCAGCGGGCTTTATCGGGGATGTGAGAGAACGAGACTTTGAGCTCTGAAGATCGTCTTTGTTTCTGTTACACACGACTGAGGGAGAGTGCTGTATGGTAGGGGATAAAAATACATCGCTGCCTCGTAGTATCTGACTAGCCGATGCTTGAGTCTCGTCGCTTGTTGATGGCAAAGCCTCGGATGACCCGGGTTCCTCTAAAGAATGCACATATGAATCCGATGATCCTTGCTTAGAAGTACGCTTTTCTTGATTTAAGCGATTGGTACTCAAGCTACGTCTTGTGCTGATGCTATTTGCACTATTACTTCTGTGATGTTCCGTAGTTAACTGATTCAGGTCGATACTGCGTCGGCCGTGCTTATTGAGATCCAGGCTCCTACAAAAGATATCTGAGCTTGAGAGGCTCATGTCAGTGCTGGCGCGAGGACTTCCAGGACTTCCAGCCCCTGGAGCGAGTAGTGGAGATAAAGTTGCTCGGACGTTTTCTTCCAAGGCTGGTGCGTTGGTTTGTACAGGAGGACCGTGGAGCTTCCGGTCACGGCTCACTTGAAATGATGTCCGCTTGGAGCTACCACGGCTATCACCAGCTGTTGATAGTGGGGAAAGAAGTTCCCCTGGTATTTTCTGCGCGGTCGTATCCCCAACAAGGATTTTAAGTACGCTTAATGCTTCTTTGCCATTGGTAAAGAAAGAGAAAAAGTACTAGACAATTCGTTAGCAGTTTGCTTCCTCTGGCTCTAAGTTACTAACCTCGTCAATAGCATAAGTCTCATCGTTGTCAATAATGCGTATCTTGCAGGTATCGGCGAAATCAATTATTCGACTGTCCTCAATGTCGATAATATTCTCGATAGGTAACGATATTTTGACACTGTCGCCATCGTTATGAGACCTGAATATGATTTTTTGCAAGGCTTTAACCCATTCTTTTGCGCTAGGGGCACTATCCGCATTGAAGTTGTATTTACGTTGATGTGTTTCAACGGTGAAATGTGTAGAATCTTTCCCTTTCTCTTTTTCCGCAATGCTTGCCGAAATCCCGTACCTCAAGTCAATATTACCACTTGGAAAATATAAATCCGATGGGTTGGTGTAGTATGAAAGAACGTCGTCTTTTAGCCGGAACCAATATCTATTGTACTTTGGGTTATGTCGACCAGATTTTGAAAGATAGCCTGATTTGACGACTTCATTCTATATAATTGTTAGTTTGCCAACCACAGATCAAGATAATAACATACGGCTTTCTTTGGTAGATATGCATAGAAGCAAATATGCTTAGTAGTAATGTACATATAACCTTGTAGCAACACACTCTTCATCAGCCAGCAAGGATATTCTATAGTAGTTAGCATATGCGTTTGAGAGGGAAAAATGGTAGAATCTACCCTCTATTACGTCTTCGGGCGTTTCAAACTTGAAAATCTCCATCAACCTCTCTGCTAAACTATCCGGTGGTGGCCTCTCATCATCAACTTCTGCAGGATCTTTTGATTTTCGAGGCATTTCAAAACTAGGCCGCAAAGATAATTCTGCCCGGGCTTCCAACATTCTGCTCATGACTGGTGCATCCCTTGGTTGAAGTTGTGGATATTTTATCTCAGGCGTAGTAGATTCCTGGGGAGATTCACGCAGTGGTGATGGCGTACGGCTACCTCTAGCGATGGTGTTTGATGATTTAGACTTGGGCCTAGAACTGAATCGCGAAAAGGATCGAAGTATCTTGCTTTCGGAAATGAGTCTTCTATGTCCTTCAAATTTCCCTGTCTTTTGATCTATACTGCTTCGATTTATGTGCGATTCGGAACTTTGCCGGGTTGACTTTCCAAAATCATATTCTTCGTCGCTAGATTGCGCATCAAATCTGGCATTAAAATCAACAATTGAGCTAGCTGCAGCAATCATACCAAACACAGATTTATTCAGCGCATGACCGGCAGTGCAATCCTCGTCCTCATCGTCGCCTTCCCGGAAGCGCTCAGGAATTTCCATGGCTACTTGATGTTCTTCTTTCCATCGCTTCGTCGACTTTCTAGCGACCCTCTTTTTTGACTCATCGTCCGGAGCCATATTGATAATTACTTCTCGTTGTTGGTGTTGTATACAGACAACGTAAGTTGTTCTGATGTTGTCTGTTCCGGTCAAGCATTCAGCGACGTCAAGATCTCTCTCTCTCGTGGTATCGATAAGGATGGGTTAAACTGCTTTAGAGTACGCTATACCCTGGAACGTTAATCACATGCGAATTAATAAATCTGATCATCCGCCCTTCTGTACTGAGCAGAGACATGTAAATGATAAAAAGAATCAAAAAATTCAGAGTTTGAAAGGTTGGATAATGAATCACAAGCTGTCTAAGAGGTGGTAAACCTTACTTGAGTAGGAACGTACACGAATTACTGAAAGGCAGGGCGGATAACTGAAGGGCGGACAGTGTAATCCTGCCTTGAGCACAGCATTGAGCACGGGCTTTCAATGTCTGTGGAGAAGAGAACGATCAAGGCCTCAAGTAGATGATAGATGACTAACCACATAGGCAGTAGTTCGACTCGGTGCGAAAAGACAGGATGATGATCCCTTAGGTGAGTGATATGACAGCATTCGGCAATAGTGAATAGAGGAGGCAGCGCTGGGTAAATAATTCAGATAATGTCAAGATTAACCAGGTACGTTGTATTATCATTAGTTATTCCTTATTGGGCATTTGAAAATATTTGTTTATTGATCCTCGTTTTCTTTTGGCTTTCACAGGCAGCTGATGAGTCAGGGAGAGCGAATGCCCACGGAAAGCGAATTGCCCCGTTAGTCAAACACGTAAATAATTTGATCAGTTTACGAATTAATATTAAAACTCTTACATTACTGATTTCAATTTAACAACATAAATATACTCATCATTATAGGTTAAAAATAATGATTGCAAGATTTTAATATATTTAATATCTTTTACACCAAAATCGGTAAAGGGATAATTCGCTTTCCGGAGGCATTCGCTTTCCCCGACTTACAGCAATCGGCTGTTTTACAAAGCCGACTATCCAAAGCTACATCTACCTAGGTATACTTGACTCGTAGATGAGAATCAAGTCTGAAATATGAGTCGAGCCTCAAAATATTCGTATCATACAATAATCTAACAATATCTAAACATTCCCAATCCAATAATTCATTACATCCAAAGGCATAATTTCCCCGCCGCCGTCCCACCTGCAACCCAGTCCTTCGTAGGATGAAACTGTGCAGCGGCTGGGACAGCTGTGATAAGACCATCACCCCCTAATTGTGCTAACTGTTCCCCATCAGCCGAATAAACATCGCAGAATCGATTCATATTTCCAATCACGAATTTCTGAATACCATCTTCTGGCTTCTCTTGCCAATGGGGTTTCAAGATAGTTACCCAACGACCGGTTTGGTTGTTGTGTTTAATGACAGTTGTCGGCTTCATTGCAGCATCATCGAGTGAATGTCCTGTCTTGAAAGAGCCGGCATCCAGAAATGAATGAATCTTAATAGTGTCATCGTATGAAGAAGTTGCCACATGACCAGCAGGGGACCATGAAGCATGAGACACCGAAAGCCTAGACTCATGCTCACCAAGTAAAACTGGATGTCTGGAGTCACCTGCCCCTGTTATTTTCCGCAGATCCCAGATCTTTAACATCCTATCTAATGATGCTGTAGCCACAAGATGGGGATGCAATGGGTGTAAAGAAAATCCACCTATCTTTTTGTCCGAGAGGTACCAGATTTCACTGTTGGATGGAGTTCGCATATCATGTCGTCCAAATCGGCCATCGAGGGTAGAAAAGCATAAGAGATTCGGATCGGTAGACGGTATGGCGATACTAGATATAGGTATGTCTTCATCTATAGAATTTGGAACGAATGCCTCAACAGCCACTCCTTTCTGTAGATCAAGTTTGCGAACTGAAGAATCGTATGAAGCTGAATAAAGGGTGTTTCCTTCTGCACCAAATACAAAAGAGGAAATTGATCTAGAATGTATCTTGAATGCAGTGATAGCGGGCTCTGCAGTATCTTGGTCATCTTCATCGTCTTCCATCTTAACTTCCGGACCTCCTTGTGATGCATCAAACAGTCCAACATTCCCTAGTTTATCTCCAGCAAATATTAGAGGCTTGTCCACCGTTGGATGAAATCCTAGAGCGTATATTCGTTCAGGAGTGATTTTGATTTCTGGGCTTGAAATTAGTGAAACATTCACCGGGGATAGTTCAAGACTTACGATTAGGCTCGTATGCTTCATATAGTTCTAATCCGCTCATTTTCTCCCTCAAAGCCTTCAATCCTTCGTCTGTTGTCTCTTTAATATCATTTTCGGTAAAGGTCCTCAGATTTGGCTGAGCACCACGCATGACACCAAATAAAAAGCCGCTTTCCTGCCTCCATTTCTTGCCTTCGACAACAATGTCATTAATATTTAAATCCCCAGCAACTCGCTGGCTTTTGGCTTGCGCGACCTCCTTTGCAAATTCCTGTTCGACCTCCGCTTTACGCCTCGCAGTCTCGCTATCGGCTTCGATACCAGCCAGACGTGAACTTGTACGGGTTGGCCTAAAGGCTACTTTTTGGACTCGAGCTGCTTTCCTTCCAGGTGTTGTTGATTTTGGTTTCGGTGGCGGTTTTGGGACAATTTTCTGTGCTGTCGTGCTAAGGTCTTTTAACATTGCTTGATTTGCCGCAATGTTTTCGAGTCTCCGACGCTCAAAAGCACTCATTTCTGGTTTTGCCTTCTTACTTGGAGCCATTTTTATTATTTATTGTGGTTTGTTAACTTAAAGAATAAATTGCAGAATAACGATCTATCAAATACCAATGTCGAATTTATGAAGTCATTTCAATTAACGCGCTTTCATTGAAGAAACCGCGTCGCGACCTGACTTGGTCTGTGCACTTCAATAATTTCTTAGCTCTGGAAAACTTGCGAAAAAAAATTAACGAGGAGTAGATAGAATTCAAATGTTCAATGAATCACTCCCTTTCTCTTCATATCAGCTTCTATATTTACCTTTCAAAATTAAAGACTCGGCGTATGTCATAGCATTGATTACTCTACATGCGACAAAATGGCATCTATAAAAGTTGCTGAAGCTATTCCGATCGTATATTCAACTATGTCCTCCACATTGATGCCATTTCTATATCAAACCAGGACAATTGCTGGCCTGCATAGGTCCATATGCAATAGAGGATACAGAAACAGCACCCTGCCTTCGATTTGCAGAGCAGGTCTTCATACTTCCTTATCCCGAGCTAGCTACGAACCACAAGACGGAGCCTATACTGGAGATGATACTGGTCCTCAAATCATTAGGAGAGCTCCTACGCCTAAGGGCAGCCATTTTAATAGGCATAAACCTCGTCCAAGGGTTGCTTTTGATGAGTATAAACTCAATCTTGACAAGAGTGAACTAGAGTCAGAAGGCAACATTGCGGAATCTGTGGTTATTGGTTTCGAGGAAGACGACCAGTCATTGATAGAATATGGCACGGAAATCGATGCATTAGCAAGTCCAAATTATCCGAAGCGCGAGTCTACCATTACAGATTCGGAGAGGCACACTTTCAATCAAATATTTACAGATATTTTCAAGCGGACTCAAATAACATCTCTATACGACCTTGAAGATGACGGCACGCAAATACCGCCCACCACGAACAGGGAGAGTGCGCGGAACAAGCTTGATAACATAATGGAACATTCGCTGTCGAACAAACGGCATCGGACCACGAGGGAACGGGAAATCGAAATAAATAGATACCCACCAGCTCTTCGTGCTGCAGCTGCTAGGGCGATTGGTCTTAATCCAGTGGAGGAAATAGAAACCAAAGTGGAAACCGCGGAACCAGAGCTCGACACTCAGGCACAGTTGCGAGAACCTGAACGTATACGAGTGGAAGAATTGCTGCGCAATGCCAATACAGATTTTGAGCTCTGGGATGTTCTCGAAAAAGAAGTATTCCCCCTCATTGCAAAAATGGGTCTGGGAGAGACAAGAGAGAGCCGAGATCAGCAAAGAAGAGGGATAGAAGACTCTACCGTTCTTCCCGTCAAAGAAGATCCCACTACCGTAACTGATGATGAGCCTGAGATTTCCCCTCTAGCTCTTTATGGCCCTCTCTATCCATCACACCTCCTTCTCGGCTTGCGTCTCCTCGACCGGGGTTTCAGTAGACCCTCTCAACTATCCGTCTCGATTCTTCCGCGCATTAAATCCTTCGGTCTCCTCTCTCATGTTCTCGGCGCCTCCACACCTCTCTACAACGAGCTTCTACGCATTTCCTGGATACGATACGACGATTTCCGAACTTGTATAGATCTACTCAACGAGATGGAACACGCAGGTTTGGATTTCGACTCAGAGACATATGAGATTGTCACCGACATCTTAAAAATCAGAGCTCTCGTATGGAAGGGAGAAGCAGGTCGAAATAAAACGGCATTATGGTCTTTACCAGAGTTTAAAAAGTCTCGCCATCTCGAGTTTTGGCAGGAAAAAATCGAAAGACTCTTAAGAGCGAAGAGGATGAAAGAAAGGGTATAGCTGAGTATCATGTGCAATAAATTATAGATCTGTTAGCTACTGGTCATTCCACTAGCTGACTTTGTTTTAATGACCTTTTCCTTTTCATCATTTGAGATACACTACCCAGGTATACTATGAGTGTGAAGTGATCGATACCTAGGCAGTTCATCCTTCTTGAAGTTGCGACAGGTGAAGTGAAAGGTCATTGGTAATAATGCGTTGTATGTATGTGTGTATGTGTGTATGCATATGGCTAGTCGTGCTGACTAAGAAACGCGTTGCGTAAATAAATAAGGATTCTCATTTCGATCCCAACTACCTTAAAATTATCAATCCGTGTGACAATAAACTTCGTGAATTCAGACTCAGTCCAGGAAATATGATTTAATTGTTTTCTTGCAGCATTTTCCTGTCTAGTTGAGTTCCTCGGTATATATATACGTTGGCTTCATTCCTTTGTGGAAGGCTAACCGCGTCCTGCTGCAGTCCCTTTCCCTTCCTTTGTATGGAACCAACTGACTGTCATTATCTACTGAAGGCTCATCAATTTTATTGACTAAAGGGCTGTCGGAGAGTTATACTAAGTGCCATTGCCGATATTTGATAGAGAACAGAAACAATTAGACAATACCTCCAAATATCATCATACATTTTTGGCATTCTACGAGGTAACCTTTCGACATATGATCAAGTCCTTGTGGTAGATATCTTTCCACAAGGTTAGCCATGTCCTCATATTCAAAATACTTAAAGTGAATGCTGAGCAACTTTTTAGGAATTGAGACTTCAATTCGACAAACAACAGGTCAAGATCCTGTTCGGGGTATCCAAGTCTTGTTGAAATATATGGAGACTACCGCTCCTTAGCTACAAACGGGGATCATCACTCGATACACTGTCGAAGTCTTTAATTCTAGTAATTATTAGCTTGAGTGCCTTGCAAGTAATGCCTCAATCGGGTAACTTCAGTAGGGATCAATCAATCTCTACTGATAACTCCAAACTTGTGCACCAACAAATTTTAGCCCAGCAGCCCGACCTCGATCAAGCACCATCTTCAGACGTTGACAGTGCAACACCGCCTCCACCTCAAAAGAGCAAAATCTCCATCTATCCACCAGAGCTCATCTATCCCAAGTCACGGTACTTTGGCTACATTCCCCCGTTGCCAACAAGCAAAGAGTATCAGGCATGTGCGGCTCTATTACAGGAGTTTAAAAACGAAAATTCGGTGAGGTCACCGTCGACACAGGAAGATTTTGTGGAATTCGAGTTGACCGATTTCTCAATTTACATGCCTGATACCCCTCTCTATGGGCATGAACTGCGGGCCCTTCAAGATCTCGCAAGCAAGGCCAGCCATTCATGCTTGCTATTCGACGGAATCCTCAGTGTTGGAAACTTACGCCATTACGTTCAAGGTGTACCATTCAAAATATGTTCTATAGGAAACTATGGTGAAGAAGTTGACGACGTTGATGGTGCTATCTGGCTTCAGTCTGATCTGAACGCAAGGGCAAATATTTACTATCGGCTACGAAGACCGAACCCAGAATATTCTCGTTTTCACCTTGGCTTTTTATGGTTGTCGAGTCTGGCGAAGCATTTTGTTGATTATTCTCTGGCAAGTCAAAAGCAAAAGAAAAAGGTATCAATCCGCAACTTCCGGACAGAATTTGCGCAATGGTGTAGGAAAGTCCACGCAGAATCATCAAAGTTCCAATCTTGGTATCTCGAATATGGCCGAGATGATTTCAGACAAGCCGTCTCGGCAAACATTAACTTTCTGTTTAAGGAATCGATTGGTGTCACGGAAAAGCTTCGCTCATTGGACATCTGGAAGGAAGTCATGGAAAAGTCAAGCATCAAGCAACATCCAATAGTAGAGAATATGACGATTGTCACACCCTATGTCTACGATTGTTTCAGCCATTTGAGATTTGGACACTTGCTCAAACCTCTGATACCAACTGTATTTTCGAAAAATACACAAGGATCAGAGGTGCATTCACCACTATCACTTTCGCCTAGGAGATCACGCATTACTTGTGATACCGACTCTTCGATGAAGTATCAATCTACGTCTTTCTCTGGTGCCAAAGATAGCCTTGGGGTTGAAATAAACAAATGGGAAGCAGCCAAACGACAAAAAATGCTTGATGCTATCAAAGTAGGGGATGTATTATCAGTTACCAAGGATGGCTCGGATTCTGTTTGGAAAGATGAGACAAGCCGGTGGAAAGTAGAAGACCATTGTTGGTATCTATACGTACAAACCAAGCATACAAGTCCCCGTGGTAAATACTCTTTTGGTGGAATTTGGCTCTACAAGCCTTCAGACACTAGTTGTGCAAAAATGAAGTATCCATATTCCAAGGAGTTGTTCTTTAGCGATAATTGTACTTGCGGGTCTGCTCACTCTCGGATACCGCAGGAAGAAGTCATTGGTACTGTCTTCGTCGTTTGGCATGGTTTACCATCAGAGACGGATATTTTCATTCGCCAAACTTATTTGAACAATGAGAACTTTGTAACATTAACAGATTCACACAAAATATGTAAGCATCTACGAATGTCCGAGGATGATTCCTCACTTTCATCCATGATCATTGGTCGCTTTCCTATTGGACAGACAATACTTGCATTACCACCTCGGCGCAGATCGGAGAATGGTCTCGAGCCTTATGAGGTTGTGAAATACGATGAGGAAAGCTCTAAGTTATACGTCACGTTGAGGAGACTTGTAAGAAGATCAGAGTTTGAGAAAGCTGTGTCCTGTCGACCAAATGAGCTTATATACACTGATATAACAGACAAGATGTCAGCTGCTAAGCTCGAGAAAACATGCTTGGTACGATTTTATACCGAAGAGCAAGTCTTAGCTGGCGATATTCCAGCACCTTATTGTAGGAATGGAGGCTCAAATGCTTTTATCATCACGAAACGGCTACGGGAGGATGACCAGAAATTAATACCAATAGAGAACGACACGCCCCAATGTCTCATTCAAGGGTTTGATCCTGAAGCACCACTGGAACGGAGGGTTTTGAACGGGCTCGATCTCTTCTGTGGTGGTGGCAATTTTGGTCGCGGCTTGGAAGAAGGTGGAGCAGTACATAACAAATGGGCTGTTGATTTATTCTCAGCGGCAGTACAAACATATTCTACTAATTTGAAAGAACCGGACGGAACTGACATGTTCTTTGGTTCAGTTAACGATTTATTAGTCCAGGCTTTTGAAGGCAACCCGCGAAAATTCAAAATTCCTTCACCAGGTGATGTTGATGTTATCTTGGCGGGTAGTCCTTGTCAAGGTTTTAGCAGAATGAATATGAATAAGGGCAATGATCAAAGCCTGCGGAACCAATCACTCATCGCGTCTGTCGCGGCTTATATTGATTTCTATCGGCCAAAGTATGGATTGTTAGAAAATGTCTTGACTATGGCTCAAAAAGGCTTGGGACGTGAGGAGGATATTCTTTCCCAACTCATATGCACCATTGTTGGTCTTGGGTACCAAGTACAGCTTTTCTTACTTGATTCATGGAGTTTTGGTAGCTCCCAAGCACGAAGTCGAATATTTGTCTCATTCACTGCCCCTGGTTTCGTTCCACTCAAGCATCCCGAACTTTCACATTCACATCCTCCTCACGTTGGTGAACGTGGACTGGGTAAATTGGCAAATGGACAATCTTTTGGTACCCGAATTCATTGCCCCACTCCTTTCAACTACCTCACCGCCGAAGACTCCGTAGCTGATCTTCCTTACATTGGAGATGGAGCGACGTCTCAATGTACAAAGTATCCAGATCATGTCCCACCACAAACTTTGTCTAAAATGTATAAATTCCAAGTTTCTTGCATACCGACCCACCCAAGAGGTATGAATTTTTCGAAGACGTGGAATGACGGAAATGGCATTATGACCAAAGAAGAACGAAACATTTTCCCATATTTGACCAAGTCTGGGAAAGTTCGAGAAAGCGTTAGGCCAGGCTCCAGGGCCTGGGGAAGGATCGATCCTCGTAAATTATTTCCAACCATCCTGGTAACGATGAACTTGGAGGATTCCCGTATGGGAATGAGTTTACATTGGGATCAGCATCGACGCTTGACAATTATGGAAGTTCGGCGTGCACAAAGCTTTCCGGACGATGAGGTGTTAATAGGAACAAGAGGAGAACAAATGAAAATAATCGGGAATAGTGTTGATAGGTCTGTTTCCATGGCATTGGGTATTTCTCTACGCAACGCTTGGCTTGAGTGTGCCCCGGAAGATGATAGTCAGAGGACACTTGTGAAAACTCAATCATCTGTGACAGTGATGGAACCTTTACACGAGATTCCAAACAGTTCAACCTCTGTAGCTATCGAAGTTGTTTTGAGTCAACGGTCAAAGGCTATGCCACATATTGTCGGAACTCTAAGTAGCGTGTCGGATGGCATTGTAACATCAACTCCCACATCATCAGACTCAATAAGCTCAAATTTGTCCGGTTTTGACGAATCGAGTTCATCCGAAAGTATTAAAAATTTGCGAGACGCCTTATCTAGGATACAAAAGAGGAGACGTTTGGTCCATTCTGACGACGAGTCTTCTCGCAAATCTCCAAGATTGAGCCCAGAAATTAATCTTCCATCAAAAGCAATAAAGCCTTTTGCGAGATCGATACGCAATTCCAGTCAAGCATCAGGGCTCCATTCCACAAGACGTCCGGCTCCAAGAAGTAACTTCACACAAAAAGTTGTTAGAGTCAGACCAGAGCAGGCCTCTCCTGACCAAGGCAAACCCTTCATCACAAACGATAGTGAAACTGAGAGCGAAAATACCATATGGGTAGAATCCGGACCACGCACCTCGAATCTTTTATACCGAACTTCCCACTTTCACAAATCTACACCCAAAACCGGTAACCTCAAAAGTCCCTCAACAAGGTCTTCTCACCACAAAAAATTTCCACATGTCATCGATCTCACAGAATCTGATAGTGAAGGTTATGTTAGTAACATCTCTTCAACTTTACCACAATCCTCATTCAAAGTTATGATTCCAATGCCCAGCTTTAGCACTAAATTGGAAGAAGAAAATAATACTATTTCATCTAGCTTTCCATCTCGCGACCAAAAAGTAGAAGGGAATAGACACAGATCTGCATCGAAGGGAAAATATGTCCCAGTTGATAATAGCCAATTCAATGCGTATGCACAAACTAATCGCATGATGAGAAACATGGGTAGATAATCCAAAAGTGGGGAATGAGTGCAAACGGAGTTAAGATTTTCGGGCAATAGCAGGAGAGTTGATGGATTGGTGAGGGTGAGGCAAGGGGAGGATGTGTGATGAGTACGAGATTGAGCTGGGATGCGTACTGTGTGAGATTTTGGATGTAAGGTTTGAATTTGTATGTGTAATGGTGGTAAGATCTTAGTTTGGTCATAGCTAGCATCTTAAATTACAATACCATTTCGTGGTTTAATCTTGAGATTTCTTAGCCTTGATGTAATCACGCGATAATTGAAAATTCCTAATATACAGTCAGTGAAATAATAAATCAGTGTGATGTGAGATAGATCTTGATTTTTACATATCAGTGATGTTTGCGAACTGCAGATTTGGGAATGGAAATGCTGCAAGTACTTGAAAGAGGAGGGAGGGTATAGGAGGTTATTGGAGTTTAGTCTCGGACTCTCCTAGCTTTTGTATGGGGAGTCTGGTTGAGAGAGAGATATCTATCAGGTAAGGCCGCGGGAATATACGGATTTAGATGGATTAGCATCTAGATATCACATAGAAGATCTATTTATAAGATATCAATATCATTAAACTAAACCCTACATTCAGCTTTCTAGATAGGTAAGATCTTATAACTCGTATAACTTTTATGACCTCTATGACTTATAAACTCACTCCAATACATCTACTACTGGTGTACCCGCTCGAGTTATCTGGATATTCAGATATAATCCAGCAGTAAGTATACCACCGTGTGTAAATTTCAAATCCTATGTGGAAATTAAGTTTATGTGGGATAGTATTATAATTCTGCTTCATGCCTGATGCTTCATGCACAGCTCAATCTCATATGAGTTCACATGATATACATGATATCATATGATATGATATGACAGCTCTGTAAGGTTACTACATACTTGACACCTTACACAACATTCAAATCAATCAACTTGTGTACGTAATTCCCACTCACATCTCCCAACCCCAAATCCCCTTATAAAATGAATGTATCAAAAATCCAGTAGTAGCACAAAACTAAAACAAAAGCAAGACTCGATATATTTAACAAAACGGACATTTGCATACCTATATACCACATATCCATCCACCCACCCATCCATCCATCCATCCATCCATACATACATACATACATAGCGCATGCGTGTATGCACTCGAGACGTAAGAACAACGGGTGTATGGTAGCTTTTTGACGGATGTCACTTTCACTCACCTAGTATTTGCTGTGTAACTAATGTGAGACTCTTAATGTAATGTAATGTAATATACCGTATGTACCGTACATTGTATGTACTCTTAGATATTTCCTGCTCGGAGTGCTTGGAGAAAGTAACATAACTCCAATCCAGATGGGTTGGAGATAAGATTATGAAGCTAAGCCTTAAGGGTTGGGGTTATTGAGGTGTTTTGGATCTGAGATGTTGGTCATGCAGGTAATTTTACTTATGTTTTTAACGGTTTGGTAACGTTTTCGTAGTACTTTACTCTATTTTGTGGTTTGTACTTTGTGTTTCGGATTGGGAAAGTGGTGGATCTTTTTCGAGAGGGAGGGTTCGAGGATGAGTTGAGAAAAGAAGAGAAGAGAAGAAATAAGTTCAACGCGAACATCTTAAAAACAAACATAGAATCTAGAAGCACCAAATATCAATTTTGATATCTGCTACACACCTAAATCAGTACCCCGCAAAAATATTCATGCGGGGTCTCCAGGTTCGTAAGTACATGCAGATCAAACTAGTATAAAGATAACGTTGCATGCTTTCTATGGTTTGTATCCGCTGCCCCCACAAAGTTTGTGTTCTTTAGTATTCTGCTGCCCTTTCTTATATGAAGTGTATTTTATTCTATCTCCCCTTTTTATCCCTGCTAATATTCATTTCCCAGGGCTTGATGCATATGCGGCAGATAGAAGCCGTTGGATATTTGCAGTTTATTTGGATGAGATGTGGTGAGCCAATCGGTAGGTATATTCTTGCCATGGACCGTTAATATGCCATATGCCATCCAAAACGGACGGAAGACATCACCATACGAGCGCTTTGCAATCATGCAACGTCATACCGGTTAAGTACCCTATGGCTCAGTAGAGAAACATACATCTTTGGGATCCTATGAAGAGCTGTCAAGCTATCTCCACTATATGTATGATTCCTGTTGTATGAACGGTTGTCTCCAGAGACCTCAATGCTTGGCCACGTATATATTTGGTATGCCAGATTTCTTCATCCAATCCGATTTCTCGTTTCATCTTATACCTCTGTCTATAACCTGCCGACCTTGTCCCCCGCTCCCCACGAAACTGACATAGATTCGTACATAGACATAGATATGGTGTCCCTCACTCCTTTCATTCTTTCATCATCATTCTCATGTTCGAGATCGGGTTCTAAAACGCGCTCAAAAATCAAGTCGAAATTGCTTGCAGGAAAAACCTCATACACAACATACTGTGCACATAATACTTCTCGTGAACGACTTCTTATTCCTTCAGATCACAGCCTCGCCGAACCTGTTCAAGATTTCCAAGAACCTCGTCGATCATCACCTAGTCAGCATTGGTACTTTCCAAATCATTCGAAACGTACGAAAGACGAGGCAGGTAGCTCAAAGAATGAATTCGCGGGATATTATCTCCTTGCAGTGGCTTCAAGACCCGCTCAGTCGATGGAAAGACGACCAACAGAGAAAAGAGACTCGCCCAGCACTGCATCAAATTCTTCACCTTCTACGAACGGTAACGTGAATAATATTTTTAGAGAGACTGTTGATTCAACAGCGATCGATACACAGGGTGAGCGACGGAGGTCATATGGTATTGGGGGAGCGGGAAATATCCGTAAGTAACGTTCTCGGTGTTTTGCTTGCACTAGCAATGTTTTGAATCATCTAACATTTATGGATGCATAGGAAAACCATCAGAGATGATCTATACTCCACGCGAGAGACGTAGATCCAGTGTCTTCAATAGTCCCTCGGTCTCTCCATCCACTTCTTCTGGTACGAAAAGAGGAACCTTCCTGTCATGGATTGGAATTGGAAGCGGCAAAAAAGATGAAGAACAGTGCGCAATAAGGGGAATCTTTGTTTTAGAATGAGAAGAGAGAATAAAACCGAAGAATATGATGTTGTCACGGATGATGAAGCAGTGATAGGGAATACCCAACTGGGCCAATACAATGGAACCTGGGCATGAGATATGGAATCGGAGAATGAACAATGGGAAGAGCAAGATTGGACCATGGATGTATTTCATATGAAGGATTTCTGAAACATGGGATATATTATTTCAGGGTATGAATTGGAAGGCTCTCCTGGCATAGCAATACAAAACGAACTTCGTTATGACCTGAAGGTTCAGGGCAATGATGTTATGACCGCTTTTTGCGAGTAGCTGAGGGGAGTAAAACATATCTAGAGAAAGATGGTGAGGCATATTTTTACAACCAGTTCTGAATTGTTTTCCATTCGGTTGTGAAAATACGAATACGAAAGTTGTTGGTTTCCACTCGAAAGCCTAACCAATCAGCCTAGACATTATCTCTATCCTGGATGTTGGATGTAGGAGAACTCGAACGCAAAACAAATGAATATATGCAAGAGCAGTACGACATCATGTATATTCACTATAACACAATCATCCGGATAGAAACCATTGACTCTGATAATAGACTCAAGACGTTTTGGATTTGCCACGAGCGAGGGAAGGTCTGCCACTAAGATGAGCCACTAACGACACTAACAACGCTAACAACACTAACACCATCCGCAGCCTATCAGCAATGTCATTTTGGTGGCTTAGGTGAGTCATTTAAGGTTTTACTCCGGATTCCATAGACAATGGCATAGAACATAGAATCATAGAACCGAATTACCGAACTCGACCTTGTAGAAACCGCCGCCATCGAGTCTATTTGCCCTCTCAAGTCATCATAACTTCAACTCAGAACCATTCAATAAAACCTATACCGGATATCAAAACAGCGACTTCGAAATCTGCAGTGGAAATTATGATTAAGACTTGCAATCATCATCTCCTGTTTATTGTACGTTTTATCCAACGGCTGACTTCCTCTTGCCTCGATACTTTCCGTGAGAGCTATCAGATCAGATCCGATCCGATCAAATCAAATCAAATCAAATCAAATCACTAACTTCATCCCTCTTCACAGTCTCCATTTCATACCAGCAACTATACTTAAAATAAATTCGACTTGCGCATATTTGCCAGGTCGATTCCCAAATTAATTACATGATCGAGCCGCAAACCTCCCAGCCATGGGACCTAACTTCTGCCATCGACCTTTTTAATCGTCTCTCTATTTCGAGTTTAGAGCCCGATTTCCCACCCTCCAATTGTACAGTCGATGATGAGCCGTCAAATACAGATGGAAGTGCTCGCGCCTTGGGTGATTTCAGACCAATATGGAATTACTTAGGTGTCGATGCTGAGAAAACTTCCACAGATTTTGATGTTGGTTCATTTGAGTCTGCACCATCTTCTTTCACTTCTGGGGGGCTTTTTTCTGATCTAGACAGTCCGCCAACTTCTGCGACGGATGATTCGGATATTCCTGATATTTACGAAGTCTACGTGACGAAATCAAAAGAGGTACGATGGAAAGATGAGGTTAACGGAAAGAAATTTCCGAAGCTGCGGCGCCGGAGCAAAAGGGAAGAGTCGTCGGAAGACGTAATATCTTTTCCGGAAGGGAACTTGGAAGAGCAACTGTCACAATTGGAAACAGATAGTAGATCGCCCTTTGCTGCAGATCGGCTCTTTGATATTCAAACACCCAGGCCACCAGAGAATAGACAGACACGGAGACAGGTGTTGTCCAATATTTCACAGACGGATGAAAGTAGCGGAGTGGAATCAGAGGTAGAAAGACCTCCACCATCAAAATCTGCAAGACTTTTCGACTATTCCTCTGTCGTGGGTGTCAAAAAGAGCTACGAATCTGTCATCATACACCCTCTTTACAATCTGACCTTCGAAGAGAAGAGAGCCAAGATAGCCAAGAAGCTATCGGATCAATTAGGTATCGACAAAAAGATACTTTTGAATACTACGGCTAATCTTCAACGTTCCAATGAACCTGGAGCCATTCACGTATTCGTTGATTGTAGCAACATTATGATTGGATTTCATCAAGCTTTGAAACTTGCACGAAAAATTCCTGAAGACGCGAAGATGAAACAACAGCCTTTCTCATATCGATCACTAGCGTTCATCATGGAGAGAAACCGCCCTGCTGCCAAACGGATTTTGGCTGGATCCAGATCAAGTCATGCAGACTTACCAGTCCATTTCGCTGAGGCCGAGGAGTGTGGTTACGAAACCAACATTTTGGACAGGGTGTTGAAAGTAAGAGAGTCGACGCCCAAGAAAGTGCGGCGTGGACTGGGCAATGGATATCTCACCGGACGGTCGAATGGATCTGAAAGTCCATCCACAAATATGTCCTCTGTATCATTTGTGGAACAGGGTGTCGATGAGCTTTTACATATGAAGATACTTGAAACTCTAAACGATTACCCAAAACCATCAACGATTGTTCTAGCATCCGGAGATGGTGCTGAGGCGGAGTATTCGGCCGGCTTTTTCAAAAATGTGCAAAGAGCACTTGAGAAAGGATGGAATGTCGAACTTGTGGCTTGGAACAGTGGGCTGAGTGGGGAATATCGAGAATCGTCATTTAAGCAACGATGGAGAAAGCAATTCCGAGTTATCAGGTTGGATGACTTCAGTGAGGAATTGTTGGGGATTTACAAGAAGCATGAAACATCACCGTAGATATCAGCGATGGGCCGAATAGCGTCGCCTTCGAGACCCCCAAAACCGACGAAATCAACCGAGGCTGACCTATTGCGTTTATTACACTCTCAGCTGTGATATCAATGGAATTACAAAGGCCTGTACACAATTTCTTTAGCGAAATAGTAAGCAACGGAAACTTAAATGTTACTCAATAGGGAAGTTTGAAAGAATTTTTTTATGACACGAGCTGTATGAAATCGCGGCACACTTGGTGATTGATATTCATTGTGAGATACTCGGTCATTATTTGATAATTTTGCACATTTTTACAGTTACTGCAGCCTGATAGCAAGGCGTTGTAAAATCGGGGCTTCAGCTGAACCATGTGCTGACTTCCACCCCATTTTAGGCCCCGGGGCGTGATATTTTAGATAAGTCAGCTCTGAGCCTTGAAGCCTGCTCACCACATTAAACGGTATGCGCCGCCATGAATTTATTATATTTTGGTCCTTTCCCTCATTCTCGAGAGAAAATGCCATATAGTTTCTATTGACATTCTCCAAATATCATAGAATTATCCGTGCTGTGCCATCTTGGCCTTGTTCTATTGCTACTCAAGGCCTTCAACTTATAACTACTTCTACTTCCATTGGACGAACGTCCACATCTGTTTTCAATTTGCTTGTTCGCGTTCTTAATTATTTCTCTAATATGCCTGGAATATTTCATAAAGTTGATAATATACTACATCATGGACAACACAAAAGACGAGTTGCTAAACCTTTGCCCATAGAATGGAACACAGGAGTTCTCAAGGCGGAACTACTCGCTCGTTCTATCTTCACAGAAGATGATGATAAACCGAAGGAAGACCTCGACAAGACTAAGTTTGCTACGGGTACATACGTTGGGACCAAAAGAGCGGTTTCAGAGGTTCATACTCTGATAAATAAAACGTATGTGTCCCAAAACACAATGCCAGCAGGTAACTAACTAAATGGTGACAGATTTGACTCATTTTTCGATGTTCATCAGTTAGAATCTCATCTTCCCACTGCTCCCATATCTCTAGCCGAAGCCAGAGAACGCTTCCAATTCCAAACTCCCGGTTCAGACGGCTACCCTCCTCATTTGAGTTTAGAGCCCAAAACCGATGTTCTTCACTCCCTCAAAATCTTCCAAGCAGATCGTCTCTTTGCTACCGCACCCCTCGTTCAAAAAGTCATTCCAGAAAAATTCCTAGATTTCGCCTACGATGAACCAAATCAACGTTCTTTTGCTCTCATCGAAAGTGTTAATAAGAAGCTCTTCGATGAAAGAAGAGATATTGGAAAAATGGCTAATATAGGTATGAGAAAGGATTGGTATTCGGATGAAGTGTATGCGCAACAGCAGTTTACCGGGGTTAATCCGGTGACGATTAAGAAGGCTGGTAAGGAGTGGATTCGACGGTTTAAGGCCGCGGCTAGGGCACAGGGGAAATGGGAGTCTCTGGCAGTGATTGAGGAGGCTGAGGGGGATGGGGGTTTGTATGTGCAGGATTGTAGTTTTTTTCGCAAGTTTGCGGGGGTGGAAGAGGGGGAGCCGTTGGTGAGTGATGATGGGGAGAGGTTTGGGTGTGCGAGCGTTAGTCTTTTTCAGTAAGTATTTCGTTTCTTTGTCTCGTATTCTTTGGACTTTACAATTTGTTTCGTTTCGTTGCGTTGCGTTTTCCCTCCCCTCGCAGTCCCACTCTTACGTCGCGCACGAGTTGCAAGTTACATCCCGTAAGCGCCGTCATTATCCATAAGCAACGCCGGTTGGATATCTTACGATAAGCATGCATGCATACGAACTACCCACATATAAGCTGGACAGTTCTCAGCCCTGCAATCAGCCCGACCCGCGCCGTTACGCAAGGATGAGCGGAGCTAACCGTCATGTCTTCTTCACTTATCTCGTATCATAATTACTAAATCATCACTAACACATTCAGCCTCCTCCCAAGCGGTGCACTCCACCCCCTCGCCATAATCCTCGATTACAAAATCAACATCACCAAATCCCTTACCATCTTCAATAAACGTACCTCCCCCTCCTCCCCAAAAACCCACGAATCAACCGATTGGCCTTGGCGCTACGCAAAACAATGCGCTCAAGTATCCGATTGGCATCACCACGAACTAGGTGTTCACCTCACACACACACATTTAATCGAAGAAGGGATAATCATCGCGTCACACCGTACGCTCCCCTCCTCCCATCCCGTCTTCAAACTCCTATCTCCGCATTGGTTGAAAACTCTCCCGTTAAATGCAGCCGCACGCGCTAGTTTAATTCCTCAAGTCATCGTTCATATTAATGGATTATCCGAGAAAGGATCCCTAAGCATGGTAAGAAAGCAATACGAAACATTCGATTTCGTAGGAAACTACATACCCCATGATCTCGAAGCTCGAGGCTTCCCCCTCAAAGAACTAGATGGCCAAAAATTCCACAATTACGCGTATGCAAAAATCATGCACTTAATGTGGTTTGTCCTCCGACGTTTCGTATCCGGAATGCTGCGTCCTTCCTACCCGGACGATCTATCCATCTCCAAAGATCCATACCTCCAATCCTGGACTTCTGAAATCCAATCCCCCACCGGCGCAAATATCTCCTCTTTCCCATCCCTCCACACTTTCGACGCACTAGTCGATGCAGTAACAATGTGCATCCACATTGCCTCCACCCAGCACACAGCCGTAAACTACCTACAGGATTACTACCTCTCTTTTATCCCTAACAAACCCCCCGCCCTCTTCACAGCATTACCAAATACCCTTTCAGAACTCCATTCCCTCACGGAAAAAGATTTAATTTCTTCACTTCCAGTTTCGGAACCGAGGATTTGGTTGCTAAGTAGTCATTTACCGTATTTACTCAGTAGTACGGTGGCGGATGATCAGAGTTTATTGGAGTATGCGTTGAGTGTTAGGGGAGTGGTGGGGGATTGTGGTGGAGAGGGAGAGGGAGATGGGGAGGATAAGAAGGAGAGGGAGAGGGCGGCGGGGAGATTTTATGAGGAGTTGGTGGGGTTGGAGGGTTTTGGAGGGGTTGCGCTGGGGGTTGATGATAGGGGGGTGCTTTATAGGGTTTTGGAGCCCGAGAGGACGGCGGTTAGTATTTTGATTTAAGGATGGAGGGAAGGGTGGTGAGGAAAGAGGAAATAGGAAATAGAGTAAAGAGGTGGATATGGATTATTTTATACGTTTTTCTTTCTTCCTTTTCCCTTTTTCCTTCTTCTATATATATATACATATATATAATAACCATCCCAAACCCCTCATCTCTCAAATATCCCCCAAATCAAGCACTCTCATCTCAATTCACAAGAACCTCAAAACCACAAGATCCAACTTGAGAAAAAACAGTCACAAATCGTCAATTTGGAGCTAGCTACCTATCTATTTTATACTCATTAATTTATATATAGATTAGAATAAATTATATATAATATACAAGATTTTATTATATCCCGGCAGTGATTTATTATTTATTTGATTCATTTAATCTCATCCGGCTATTGAGAGTATACTGTTATCTAGTATTAGGATCTTGAGAGTATCAATTAGAGGGTTAGGATATCCAGATGTAAAGTAAATAAATTATAGAGTTGATTAAGAGTTCTTTTATGATTTTGTCAACTTTCTTTCTGTTATATTTTTAACTGTGCGGTTTCTCTACTTCATTCATGTGTAATGAAAATAATTGATTTGATAATTCCTGCATAATTATCTAGTTATTCCACTTCTATTACGCAAATACACACTCCTACCACTCCATATATCTCTCTATGAACAACTCTATAACCTCAACCTTTACCCCACTCATCTATTTCCACCCTATTCATCCCACTGTCCTCTAACCTTCTCCCCCATCAACAACTCCCTAACATTCATCCTCGCACTCCAAACCACATTCTCCGTCGTCCCCTTTTCCCTCACCTCTCCATTAACACCGCCCACCTTTTGAATATCCGAATCCCCACCTATCCATCCTCTCGCTTTATGATGTTGAAATAATCCAGGTGTGACACTTATACATCTCATTCCCAATCTTTTTTTATCTCGTCCCCATCGACATAGTCCTGCTAATGCATTATCGAATGGTCCTGCTAGTTTATCTACACTTAAATCCCAGAGAACTTTCCTTGCTCCTTGTTGACTTAATGCATATGCGAATGTGCAAATTGGTCCTCCGGATGTGTGGACCCATCTTGTGTATGGATTTTGTGTAGCGTTTTGAAAACCTTTGAAATGTGCTGGGGGTGGGACTGTGGGGTCGGAGGTTATGATGTATTTTCGGGAGAGATGTGCGATTTGAGGAGAAGGAGGAGGGAGGGATTTATATTCATCGAGAGTCTCGGGGAATACTTCGCCGCAGTGGCCGAGCCAGAGTAAATCCCAATTATCTCCGTAGGGAGAAATAAGATGTGAAGGCGCGGTAGAAGGGTATTGGATAAATTTAGAACCAGCTGCGAAAGTAAGGAGTTGAGATTTTAGACGAATATCCCAATCCATATCATCTTCGAGTATTAATGCGCTGGTAAGGTTTTGTTCGACAATTCTATGACAACAGAATGATGTTAGTTTTTGCCGGGCAAAGAATATGGTTGACAGTGGAAGAGAGAGACAAACTTTCGAACAGCATTCATATGTCCCCTCCAACTCCCCAAATTTGACTCCCACAATTTTGCTCTATCAGCACCATACGGCACAGCTTTATCTGTCACCGTCTCTCCCTTCACTCCATCTACCCATTCAATCTTGAATCCTGTCAAACTACTAATCAACGTAAGAGCATCTCTCTTATCACTTCGTTCTGGTAATCCCAATGCGTAGATTTTCTGAAATCCAAGGGTGCTATTCCCAATAGTGGAAGATCCATGAGTGGGCCTATATTTCTGGAGAAGGGTGGACGAATAGTGCGTTAAGTAGGAAGGCGTGGAAGTATTAAGAAAGACCATAAAGAGGAGGACGCCGATACAGAGGATAGTGAATGGAAACGCGCGGATATGTATCATCGTGGTGATTTGTAGCAGTAGTGAAAGAATCGAAAAGTTGCCGATGTATAGGAAAGACTGGAGAAGACAATGTGGCGTACAAGTGAATCGTAATGAGTGTACTGTATGATGACTTGATTGATGTTTTGATTGATGTTTAGAAACGAATCAGATACACATCTAAAGTGTCAAAAAAACTTTACAGTTGAGATGGAATGATGATAAAAGTGAAGGAGTGCAATCTCAAGTACTAGTAAATACACCTCAAACGGACAGATGCACCTTCCCGTCATGGCAATTCAAGGGTTAGAAAAGATTTCCAAGGTTTTTGAAACACAACTCGAGGGAAATGAAGATTCAATAAACGGAAAAGAATAGAAGTTGTTTCCGATCGAGAGAGTGATCTTGCCTACTACATATCATGTCAAGTATGCTGCTTTGGTTCCGAGAGTCTCTTCCATTCTCTACAATCAGCTTTTGCAGGTTGTAGATTGTTGAATCCAGCTGGATATCTCGGAATCTCGTCCCAAATATGCGGGAAGATGCATGCTGTGCTCGATCATGGTAACACATAATGCCCAAGTCCATAAGCTATCAGTCAAGAAGTAGTGCGAGGTTACATTATGAATTTATGAGGGTCTTGTGTTTGACCTGACCTTCTTGATCAAGTCAAACACTGTGGTACGGGTATGCAATATGTCCATTTGAAGTCTCCTGACTACCTTCTCCCACTTAGATGCAAGAGTTCTGGCATCTTGAATTCTCATGCTGTCTCGGCCTCGGGGTGTTGATGACTTGAATTCTTAATCAAGATAACTCTTTTCTCATCTACCTCTTCAAACCTGTAAAACATTCTTTCCAGGAGCCGAGCTTGTCCAGGTTGAAGGGGAGGTAAGAGAAACCAACTCCAATACTGGTTACAACTATTGACGTCGGCAGTGTCTTGTGTGTTGGAAGTAGTGCCTCCTAAATGTATCCCCAGCTTTACCGGTAGAATTGAGATGCTTCGAATGCGAACTAGTTACCTTTTATAACCCTTCGTAGTCCACTTTTTCCAGTCGATAGACATCTTCGTGTTCAATCTTCATTCCAAGATCTCATTATACTTGGAATGAGGCAATCAGTCTGAATAGGTAATCTTGCCATTGATTATCAGAAAGCCACTTCAAGCATTCCAAGTACTCGGTTAGGTGATGAGGGGGTTCATAACCCCTTCTATAATCCTACCCCCGTAAGTAACTTTCACACGAGAAAAGAAGGTTGTGGAGGAAATTCTACTGAAATATCGATACAAAACGGAAATCAGGGCATTCGAATTTGCTTCAAAGTCAATCGATATCACAACTTTGATGAGTGAAGTTCTGGATGAAGTTGATGAATGGTGCCATGGAGTTGTACTCTGTAGACTCTAGAGAGTACGTCTTCCGGCTTCTGGGGGCCGTTCGTACCCCTCTCTATCGCAGGATCGGCAACGAGAACCCACTAGATGCAACCCTAAATCGATCCTCGTACATAATAAACATGGGCGCCATTTTCTTTGTGGGGATAACCTTATGAATATTTGTCAGTATCAACCAGCATTATATGAATTTCAATGATATTCTTAATTCTCAATAAGCAATACAAAGTGATGTTACTTTTGCCCTTCTGTATGTTTCCTTTGCCCGCTCGTTCTAGAGCCAACACTAAAAGAGCAATAAATGAGTAGTGTTGAATGTGATATTCATGTAAATCCCAGCATTGACATCTTGGCTACGTCACAGTGCGAGGCTTATCCGCAAAGGCTAACACATGATTAACAACTTCTCGATTTATCGATTGCGAACTGCAGGAAACACGAGACCTCTCAAGAACAACACAACTATTGTGTTCTTACAATTATATTTCAAAAAGTACTTTCTAATACGATTTACACCCCCCCCGGTATTAATGATCTGTCGCAGGTGCGAAACACTTTGTCATGATGCGAAACAAACAATCCTCATCGCTGCAGAAGACGTACGATGAATGCTATTTAATATGTTCGACAGCTGTATATTTTGAGGGGCAGGTTAGTGCGGATAGTTGTAATCTGGGCTGGAAGACTTTGCGATTGGAGAGAGGAATTACTGACAAGTTTTCATACAGGGCAACGAGGCAGAAGCTTTACGATCATGGCGGTCGGCTCTTGATCAAATATATTATCACAATGCATATCGAGTTCCTGCAGGCTATGTACCCAAATCCGAAACCGAAAAAGCTTTGAAAGATAGCCTGAGGTCTATGGAAATGCAATGCAAGGAACGCGTCGATCTATTAGAAGCCCTAAAGGCCTCGCGGGAAGAAAAGGAAAGTGGAGAAAAGACTCCGCCAGATGAGACGAGCAGTGGCGGCAGTGGCAGCGGAAGGTTTAAATCATTTTTGAAGTCTGGACGTGCTTCTTCGGATTCTCTACCTCATACTACAAGCAATACCAGTAACACAATTGGCGAGGGTACAATTCCTGCGGTCAATTATGATGGTCTACCAAAGCCTACCCCGCCTCCGCTGCCACAAAGACCATCATTGGCTGCAAAGAATAGCTCAGAGATGGCCGTCGTTGGTGGTGAGAGAAGTATGTCGAGCTCTTCTATTGCACCACAATCAGCATCATCGAAGCCATCCGCTCCAACATTTCATCCGTCAATACCTGCGCCACAACACAAAATGTCAAAAGATTCAAGAAGTCCAAGCCCCGAAAAAGGAGGAAGAACAATGCTTCAAACGTTGAGATCTGGCGATTCTAAGAAAAGTAAGAGTTCTCGATCAAGTCAAAAGAAGGGTGATAATTCTGTCACGAATAAAGCTGCTACTCTGGCTTGGAATACCATGGGTAGAAAGGGAAAAGATAAAGACAGATCGATCCGTTCTCAAGATCCAGAAACTGATAACAGCACAACAAACCTACCAGGTACTAAGCCTGGCTTTTCTGATCCAACCAAAGGAAAACCATTACCTCCGAACCCGGTTCGATTCGATAGCACAACAAGAACTCTAGTGCCAGAAGCACGACCGCCCCGAAAGTCACCAGTCGATTTACTAACTGGCATGAATGATTTGGTTGGAGCCACGGGTCGATCAAATGGGTATCCGTTTCCTCTAACTGATCCAGGTCAACCAGGCGCTGTTTCGGGACATTCTCTCAACGCCGCCACTATGAAAGACTTGATTAACCTTGATTCTCCACTTGTACCACCACCTGCTGAGCCTGACACTGGTCCGTCATCACAACCATCATCGATAGAATCCAGCGCTACAACATTCGCACAGCTTAAGAAAGGACCTCCCCCACCACCACCTCATTCAAGACCACCAGGTAAATTTGAACCGTTGAAATATCCTACTTATCTTCAGGAGTATCCCGATACAATAGCCAAGAAGGGCAATCCGGACGGCATACTACTTCAGCGAAGGAGACCAAGTCCAAGGCTAGTCTCAGACGCGGATTCTACAGCTACATCAAATCGCTTACAAAGAAAACCTGTGTCTGCAAATATTTCGTCAACAAGGCGTGTAGATGATGGCAGAAGGTCACGAGGTAAAGAAGTTAGACGAGTGAAGGGGGATGACACTTCGTCTCAAAGTGCGAATGATGACACCAGTAATGAAGAACCACGAACTCGACATAAGAGAAAACAAAAGCAAGTGTTAGCACCAATACTTGCTGATCCCACGACACCAACATCGGATGAATCCAATGATTCCGCCGCTGACACAATCAGAAGTGCATGGGATGAGAAAGTAAAATATCTCATGAAACATCTTCCAAAAGGGGTCGATGAAGGGGCTGCCAAGCAAATCTTTAACGAGATTGTAGTTCAGGGTGATGAGGTGCACTGGGAAGATGTCGCCGGTTTAGAGGCTGCTAAGAATGCGCTCAAAGAAGCCGTCGTTTATCCATTTTTACGACCAGACTTATTCATGGGTCTTCGCGAACCAGCTCGTGGTATGCTTTTGTTCGGTCCTCCAGGTACAGGTAAAACTATGTTAGCAAGAGCGGTTGCCACTGAATCGAAGTCCACATTCTTCTCTATCTCAGCTAGTAGTTTGACAAGTAAGTTCTTGGGTGAATCTGAGAAACTTGTGCGAGCATTGTTTTCTCTCGCAAAAGCACTGGCCCCAAGTATCATTTTCGTTGATGAAATTGATTCACTCCTTTCCGCGCGATCTGGTGGGGAGCACGAAGCTACAAGGCGCATTAAAACTGAATTTCTCATTCAATGGAGTGATTTGCAGAGAGCTGCGGCTGGGAGGGAACAAACAGACAAGGAAAAGGAGAGAGGGGATGCCAGTCGAGTTCTAGTACTTGCGGCAACAAATCTGCCATGGGCAATTGATGAAGCGGCGAGACGACGATTTGTGAGAAGGCAATATATCCCTTTGCCTGAGGATGAAACTAGAGGCAAGCAATTGAAGACTCTGTTGGGACATCAAAAACATAGTTTGAAAGACAAAGGCATTGAAGAATTGGTTAGGTTGACCGATGGTAAGATTTCTTGTTGCATCATTGGGATATTTCTAACAGCATATCTAGGGTTCTCGGGGTCCGACATTACAGCATTAGCTAAGGATGCAGCCATGGGCCCTCTTCGATCTCTTGGAGAAAAGCTATTGGAAATGTCTATGGATGATATTCGTCCAATGCAGATGGAAGACTTTGAGGCCAGCTTGGTCAATATTAGACCAAGTGTAAGTAAACAAGGACTTCAAGAATTTGAGGATTGGGCAAAGGAGTTTGGTGAACGGGGTGGTTAAGTCTACGATGCATTTTTGTTTGTAATTATATATTACTTTGTGTATAAATATTTTAGCTTTTGGTCTAACATGATTGATTTGGAGGCCTAGCATACAGTAGGATCATGGGGTTGGGATGGCAATGGAAAGGTCCCCAGTACCTGGATGGGTTATGATTGAGAGTTGGGTCTTCAGAATTGAGAATTGAAACTCTTTACAGGATAAGAGCTGGTATGATGCCGTTGTTAACACAACATACGCAATAGATATATTACATGATGTGTTCATTTTAAATGTCATTTTTTCCACGTGATATTTATGATACAATCCCATCTCTACACACCTGTGCAAAAATTGTATTACACCTTGAACGCCAAATATGCACCCATATGCAATTTCCTTTTACACAAGCCTTACTTCCTCACCATTCACACTATCATCCGCCTTCACAACCTCTTCATTTCTCCACCCCTCGACGTACCATTCACCCCCTTCAATCCCCCTTGGATCCATATCAAATCCCCAGCGACCCCACCGCCCCTTTCTAATGTCCTTCGCCATCAATTTGCGTTCTCGTTCAGCTATTCGTTCTTCCGCAGTTGGGATTGGGGGTCGCTCAGATATAGGTTTGCCAAATGGCGCAATGATGGAGGATACGACATGATGCACGCCTTTTGAGGTCCTCCAGCCCGGGGATATAGAGATTACGTCCCCGGTGTTGAGAGAGGAGTTAGGGTCGTGGACGAGGAGGTGCTCAGTTGCGTTGAATTTCTGGGTGGGGATTTAGTGAGGGGTGATGTTTTGGCCGGGGCTTTGTGGGGGTAACGGGGAGAAGGATGGTATATATATGGCTGAATAAATAAATGGGAGAAATACCTTTTGAAGATGCTTATTCCATACTTGTTTTCCAATTCGCACTTTTACTGTTTTTTGCATGAAGCCGCTTGATACCACTACAGCATTGATTTGCCGCGACGCATGAGCCGCAGCATTTGCAGCAGGCTTTATTGCTCTTTGTATGGGCATTTCGAAATGGTTATCAAGCCTGCAGGTTCTTTGGCGCAAATTGGAACTGAGGGGAAGACTTAATCGTAATTTGCTACATGATATTTTGATAGCTGCCCATTCAGATCCTAGACTTTTCTGAAATGTTTTTCCGCTTCCGACACACATTTTGCACAGCCATAATTGTGGCGTTATATTCCTCAAACCCCCCACCATAAACATGACGTTTCTGCCTTACCGTACAAAAAAAATACAAGAACGGTCTTATCTTCTCTTTAAATTTGCCTTCTTGGTAAAAGATTTCATATTTCAGAAATACCTTCTTTTCAGAGCTGGGCTACGAAAGTCAGTTGATGTGTTTATGTGTTTTGCGACACCATTTTCTTTGAGCTTAGAGACAAAACGTTCCTGATCGCAAACGAAAACAAAAAACAAAATGTTTATGTTAAGAAATGGTATGTAAATAAATAGTCCCGTCCCATCTCCACCTACCCCTCCCTCATTAAATATCCATCACAAGCTTTTCAAGAGCAAGGCGCAAATCAGATATATGATTCTTTGCTGATCAATATCTACACACAAAATAGTCGGCAAATTGATCTTTGGTGATACATCAAAAGAATCTTTGATCGAGCTCCCCCAAGGTCAACTTTATCTCGTTCGACCTCTATCTCCCAAAGGATATTCGGAACTCATATTTCGCGACGCAGCAGCGAAGATTAGAAGAACGGGTCAGGAATTTCAATATCAACTTGTGATTCAAAGAGCCTACGAAGAAGGCGAAGAGGAATTACTGGACGACGAGGCTGCGGAGGACGAAGACGGCACAGCAGCTTTGAGCGGCGACCGCGACGAAAAAACATTCCTTCTAGACGAAAGTTTACATTTTCGATCGGAGATTCGCGAAGGCGGTGAAAAGGTTCTTGCGTGGAGAGATCTAAGCGGTGACGCGGGCGATTTATACGAATTTGTTTGCGACGTTTCGATAGAGAATAGTCAGGTTCAATCATTTGAACTTACAGCTGTGCATTGTCAATTTGAGAGGAAGTTTAGGAGAAGTTATTTGACAGCTACTGAAGCGGAGTTGAGTCAATTTGCTTTCGAGGAGGAAGAACCAATTCCTCATGCTAGTCCGCCCATAAGCCCTACAACTTTGAGTCCTGTGCAATCATTTCCGGCTATCGATCAGACGTTTTCTAGAAGTACAGCAAATTCTGCGCTAAAGACAGACATGAGTCCTGTTACCAGAAGGTCGAGGGCACCGGCCAGGAGTCCATCGCCAGTTGATGAGGGTCCAACGAAGGCGCCCGCCGTTGCTTCACATCCTGAGGCTATTTCTGTTTTGGCAGAGGAAACCGCCGAATTACATCTTTTCGACTTTGTTTCTGGTTCCTTTATCAAGCAGGACGATGAGGTTAAGGCGACTGTTACCGAAGTTGGGAAATGGCAATATTGGCTACAAATCACCAGCAAGGACAGAGACTGGTTAGGTCAAGCTGTTATTGCTGATATCAATCCTGTCTTTAACTTCGAATATTCCTCGTTTATCTTCAATGCTTACACGGCTGATCATCAAGCATATTCATGGCTTCTTCGATTCAAGGATCAAGAGACCATTACGAGATTCCAAGAAGGGTTGATGCAAGCTTTATGGGAACAGTTAAATGAGATTAAGTGGAACAAGAGTAAGGAAGATGAGAGAGATTATGTTCTTGAGGCGTTCCAGGATCTCACCATGGAGGATGCTCCGGATTTTGTTGAAGGTGAAGAGGAAGAAGAAGAACAGGAAGAGGAAGCGGAGGATCAAGATGACGGACAAAGAAGCGAACACTACGACTCTGATGAGGAAGAAGATGATGTGGTTACTAGGGACGATGATGGAAATGTCAACTCACAACTTGCAGTTGGATACAAACACGATCGATCATTTGTTGTTAGAGGATCCAAAATTGGTGTCTTCAAACATACACCCAACAACAATCTGGAGTTTTCGACCAACATTTCAAAAGTTCAAACGCCAAATGGCAAACTTTTCAGTCCAAAGAAAGTTATGCTTCATGCTGAGGATACAAATATGATTCTCCAAGATGAGCATAATCCAAATTCTCTCTATAAAATGGATTTGGAATACGGAAAGATTGTTGATGAATGGAAAGTCCATGATGATATCCCTGTCAACACTTTCGCACCAGAAAGCAAATTCGCTCAAATGACAGGAGAGCAAACCTTCCTTGGTCTTTCAAGAAATGCTCTTTACCGTATTGATCCTCGTCTTGCAGGAAATAAACTTGTCGATTCCGAACTCAAACAATATGTCTCGAAGAACGATTTCTCGGCTGCGGCAACAACCGAAAAGGGGTACATTGCAGTCGCTAGTAACAAAGGTGACATTCGTATGTTTGATCGTCTTGGCATTAACGCCAAGACTCATATCCCAGCTCTTGGTGAACCTATCATTGGTCTCGATGTCAGTGCTGATGGTCGTTGGGTTTTGGCTACTTGTCGCACTTATCTTCTTCTCATTGATGCTCTCCAAAAAGATGGTAAAAATGAAGGCAAGCTTGGGTTCGAAAAATCATTCGGTAAAGACTCGAAGCCTCAACCTCGTCGTCTTGGTCTCACTCCAGCTCACGTTGCTCAATTCCAACACGAAACTGGAGCTGCTCTTTCATTTACACCAGCTCGCTTCAATACCGGTGAAGGTCTTTCCGAAACATCTATCATTACAGCTACTGGTCCTTTCATCGTAACCTGGAATATGAAGAAGATCTTGAGGGGTAACAAGGACCCTTATAGTATCAAACGTTACGCTGAAGAAGTCAAGGCGGATAATTTCAAATACGGCAGTGATAAGAATGTTATTGTGGCATTACCGAATGAAGTCAACATGGTAGCAAAACAAAGCTTCAAGAAGCCAACAAGAGAAAGTATCGCAACGCCAGTTAGAGTTGGATGGAGTAATGGAAGAAGAGAAAGTGCCAGGATTGGTGGAAGAGATAGTGGAAGATATAAGTTGGGAAGAGAAGATGTGGTTAATAGTCCTTATTAAGCGATTATTGTGGGAATTGGTTTGGGGGCGGGAGTGTTTATGTTAAGGTGGAGTGCGGGGAGTTGTCGAGGCATTTTGTGTTTTTTTCTGGGAGTGACGGATTGTGATGGATTCTTCTTTTGAGCTTGCTTATTTGCTTTTGGCTTGCGTTGAGTATTTTGAGGGAAATGCTTAATTTGATTTTTTTTAAAGTACGTGTAGTTTCATGATTTCGCTGTTTTGACACACACTATGGCGGGCGGACAGTACAGGACACATGAATTCAAGGATACCTAGGAATAACAGAAGAAGCTATATCATACATGGGTAGAACAGGTATTCATACTCGTATGATCGATCATACTATAGAAAAGAAAGGAAAGTATGATGTGTGTAGTTGGGATTGTCGACAGATAGATGTGAATGGGAATAGGAATGGGAAGCGAATGGGAAGGGGAAGGTATGAATAAATGGATGAGTGAATGAATGAATGAAGTTTATTTGTTTGGTGGGTATACTAGTATTTCAGGTGGATGGAAGGGGGTTTGAGCTTGTAGTTGATTGATTGGTTGGTGGTTGATGGGTAGGCAGTTGGTTAGTAGTTGGTTAGTAGTTGGTTAGTAAATAATTAGTAGGTAATTAGTAGTTGGTTAGTAAATAATTAGTAGGTAATTAGTAGGTGGTTAGTACTTGGTTAATACTTGGTTAGTACTTAGTAGTTTAGCGGGTGCATGACTCTCGAGGCTACAGATGATTTTTAATGTCTCCGCCAGGAGAGTCTAGTCGGCCAACTTCTAAATTCGCGAAAAGTGCACAACTTTTGTGACGTACAAGAGCCTCATAAGAGCTGAATAAACAGGGTCAATTATATTCCTTAGAATCTACAACTGAAGAACTATGGCTCATAGGGAGCATCCTTATATATATACAAAATACCTATACGGTAGCTGCATGGTTGTGCGCAATCTGCCTTAAGGTGACCATAATGCCATACTAAAAAGGGTAAATTTGGAAAAGTGTGCACAGACTATCAGCTCACCGATAGGAATTGTCGATCAATTTGAATCACGTGATCGTCCTTTATACGAGGTCCGTGACAACTTTTACCTCATTTTGAAGCCTTCAACACGTACATTAACCAACCAGACTTATATATATAAATTTAATTATTACTAAATTAAAGCCTACTTTTTCTGAACATATTGCACTTTTTTCTTTTTTCAAATAATCATTTTTTATTTTTTATGATTCAATTTGTAGATTTATAAAGTAAGAAATGTACATATACTGTTAAGTAATTAATATCAATTCTTTTACAATAAAAATTTTTATTTTTATTTTGTTTCAAATCGAATAATTCTAAAATTGAAATATGATATAGTTTATAATTCAAATAAGCCTCCGAATTTTTTGGAAATTTTTTAAATAAATATCCAGAGATGTAGAAATTATCAATATAAAAGAAGATATAAATTGATTTTATACCTCAACCAATTAAGTATTTGAAAAAGATCAAATAACCAATCACAATATAAATCTAAATCTTTTCGATCAGTTGATTCTAAATCATATATCCAACTATCTATAAGTGTAATGGTCGAAAAGTTATCACGTAAAGTATATTTTGGTAGTGGCTAGAAACGCGTTATTTAGAACTTGGCCGACTCTGGAAGAGTTCGCTTATATTATCTAATCAAAAAGCGTAAAAACTCTGGAAGAAGGTCGATGTGGAAACTAGACTAAGTACTTGGTTAGTAATTGGTTAGTAGGAGGCAGCGAATGAATGAATGAATAATTTGTATTATTTGATAATTTTTTGACTGGGGTGAGGTAAGATGAGGTGAAGTGAGGTGAGGTGAGGTGAGATGAGACTTGATGGGTTGTAATGTTTGTTTGAAGTGAAGTGAAGTGGAGTGAGTAGGCTAGATGGGATAGAATAAGATATATTGGATTGAAGAGAATGAGATTGGATAGATTGGATAAATTGGATAGATTGAGATAGGATAAGATTTTAAGAAGTATTAACCAAGGTACCTGTGTAGCAAAGATATCCAGATCAAGAAGGGCAAAATTACTGAAAAGGTAATAGGTTCGAGTATCTTATCATTGATTCTAGAGACTATTGTTGCTTTACACTTTTGGCCGGACAATAGTGTGCACAATCACAATCGTCACAAAATCTCTCCGTCTCTTCCTTCTCGAGCCATTTACGATATCTATCTGTTTCGGAAAATACCCTCCATTTCTCCCAGAATGTCGTCTCGCAAATCATCTTTTGGATGGGTGCAATGATTACTCTTTTTCTCTCTTCTTCCAACTCAAAAGAATCGCTATCTTCCCTCAATATCCCTTCAATCCACCACTCCAGCTCTGTACGCTTGTTTTCGGTAACCTTCTTCTGATCAATTGTCCCGCAGGAGTAGCGAATAGATTCGGCCATCGCACCCGGTATTCCGTTCCAGATATTCCATAGACCAACTCGGTAAGTTAGGAGAGTCAGCAGGGTTAAAAATCAGGCGAAAGATGCAACATGGTGAATATTTTGGTACGTAAAACAGCCGAGGAAATCATGCCAGCTTTTAAGATTGGGGGCAAAAGTTCGAAGAAGACAGGCTTTTGTTGTAAGCCATATCGTCATAGCGTAGAGGTTTTCACGAACAGACAGACAAGGTGGGATCCCTTTTCGCGAACCAGATAGATAAATCGCGAAGCGTTCTTTTTGGAGTTGCGCCTCTTTCTTTTTCTGTTCTGGAGTCCATGATTTCCTACGTAGTCCAAAAGAAAATTTGGCACTTCTAGCCTCGCCAAAGGACTCGAGAAACACTCGAACTCGAGAAATCTTCTCAAAAGGAGATAAGTGTCTAGATATAATGTAATCGTAATTTTCCAATGGTTTCGGAGCCGCTGCCATTGAAGCGCACAAAGACATAAAAGAGATCGTGTAAAAATAAGCCCAGGTACTATTGTCGTCATCCAGGAAAGAGCCGTATCTTTGGCGTATGAAGTATACGAATGCCGAAAGACACAGAATAGGCAAGAGCCGGTAGATGATAAATGCGAGAGGATCTGGAATACTAGAACGTTTGTCCTGAGGTTCAAGTTTAGTAAGCTTCATGATTTCGATGGTGTTGTAAACTTAGGGATTGGTGAATATCCAGAATATCCAGAGTGAGGTATGTCGCATACCTTCTTGATGTGTGGGTGTTCGCCGTTTATATTGATGTTAAGCGAATAGCCTAAGGACTAGCTCTGCACTCCAGCCTCTCCATAACCCTAAGTGTCCTCCGATGGTCCGCCCCATTATATCTACGGCCTATACGACTATCCTCCCTTAATTCCCCCAGCCCAACTCGCAAATGCTGAGGCTAAGCCTGATGTAGTTCCAGTCTTTCCGTTCGTCCAAACTGTAGGCCGGATTTAAAAGTTGAGAATGTTTTCAATGTTTGGAAGTCTGCATACTTGAATTTCTCCCATTTTTTAAAAATGCTTTAGCCGACCAAATATTCAGGTGATTCCATGATACAAGGCTGCTTCCAATGGAATACAAGTTCCGACGATGTTTTGATGATGGTTCTTCTATGCACATTCGACGATTGTGGTTGACGATGATTCAATGACGACAATGAAAACTGCGATGCGATGCGATGTTTCTGTTTTCGATTTGCAGTAGTTCGTTTGTTGGTTTTTTGAGTTTATTAGCTTCTTCGAGGTCGGTCTGAATTTTGGATATGTCCCAGAAGTCCCCGAATACTGACGCCCAAGGCCACGCGAAGGCCAAACTCATCTTGGGCTACTCGTGTCTAGTTGGTCCATTCCAGACACCACACAGTCGTTCGGGAAAAGCCCTACTAATCCTGTGGGACTGGTCAGAAACCTTCCAGACGACGAGCGGATTAACAATATTTCGTCGTGTCATTGTTGTAAGTTCCATCAATCTATTTCCTACCCCGTGCCCAGTCGGTCCATCCCAGACACTCACAGTTGTTCAGCAAAAGCCCTACTAATCCTGTGAGACTGGTCAGAAACTTCCCAGACGACGGGTTCCACCTCCCTCCTCCCCACCCACCTCTCCCCACCCGATCCATCTTCGCCGCTTAACTATTTGATGGCTTCCTGTTATGTTTTTGTTTGATCTCCTCTGCCCAGGATTTCATGGTGCGAGCCCATGATCTTGGCTTGCAGGAATCGTACAAGAACAGAAGAACAGGAATCGTTAGGCTAATAATGCCTACCGCAAGCGCAAAACGGTTACCCTTGGTCAACTTGTTTTTCCGTATATCAAGACCAGTATTTGCTAGTGCTAAGATATTGTTAACTACCCCTGCTGCAAACTTCATGTTTGCAAATGTTCTGTTTGAAACCCCGAAAGATTCCGCTAGCCAGAAAGCAGTTTGAGCAACACATCCTTGCACTAGAAATACCAGGTCGGCACTCATCATTTGCTCCGCCAATACTGACGGATGGTGTATGAATAAAATTGTATTCAATCCAAAAATAAAGATGGATATTCCCATCTGTAAAATAGGCAATATTTCACGTTTCCGATGCTTAAGAATTCGAAAACCGTAACGAGCGTAAGGAATGCCAACAGAAATTAGAAAGAGAATAAGGAAGTAGAATTCAAGCTCCATGATGTATTATACTATTGCTGTTGTTGATGTTGGTGTTGTGGCTGTTGTTGTTGCTGGTGTTGCTGCTGCTGCTGCTGCTTTTGTTGTTGTTGTTATTGCTGCTGCTGCTGCTGCTGCTGTTGATGTTACTGCTGTTGTTGTTGCTGCTGTTGTTGTCGTTGTCGTTATCATCGCTGTTGTTGTTTTTATTATTACAAAAGAGATGTTTAAAAATATAATAAGTATAACTCCTCTATATCTATCGTTCCTTCCTTTCGATCTGGACAATTACACCATTTTGTTCATTGCGACTATGCCATCGTTCTTTCCCCTTTCATATCCATCCTTAGCGAGAATATCTCAATCTCAATCAACGAGACGATTACATCCACTGACTTACTATGTGACATTGAATCCGTTTAATCTATTGAAGGTTGCTTGAAACATTGAAACAACTTGAAGATTGAATTTGTTTAAAAAATTGAAATGGTTTGGAACATTGAATCCATTTTGAACGTTAATATCATTTGAAACACTAATATCATTTGAGATATCAAATCTGCTTGATGTATTGAGACTCCCTCAAAGTTCCTAATCATATAATACATTTAAATGGAATCATATCTTTTGTTCCTGTAGTACATCAACTTTGTGTAGAACATTGAAGTTATTTGAGATATTTGCGTAACCTCAAAGTCTCTATTTGTTTGATACATTGATTTTACTTAGAAGATTGAATCTTTCTGGTACTTTGAAAGTGTTTAAAGGTTTCTAATCATTCGATATATTCAAGTAACCTCAAGGTCTCTGTTATCTTGATACATCGCCTTGATGTGAAATAATTGACATGGTTGAAAGATTGCAATGGCTTGAGTACTTTCAAGTCCTGAAGGTTATTAAAACATTTTGAGTATTATAATTACTTCAAACTTTCATAGGCTAGAGATATATCGGGCTTTATGAAATGCTAAACTCATTTCGAAGACTCTACCTTTCGGTATATATAAGTGATTGGATAGTATTAACGAATCCCCCAAGTCCCTTTATACATCAAATAGCTGAACCGGATCAACTATCTTCACTCTTAAGTACACTAGTTTTCTCTTGATACAAACAATATCATTAAAGATATAGAAAAGATAAAATCATACACAATGGCTTGTACTCTGACTGGAAGTCAATTCCCCTTTAAAAGCTCGGTATAGATCCCGAGTAATCTTATAACGACACTCATACTTTCACATTGACATATAAGAGAACAATATAAGAAAGCTCTATTAACTCTCTACAATCAAAAACAACATTTACTGAATCACCACTCTACTATACTCCCCTTTCCATCCATCCTATCCAAACTCTTACTCGCGCTCCAACACCCAGAAAAGAATCTCCCATACATACGTATCCTTTCTTCTCCTCGATTTCAAAAGAGAAAGAAGAACTTTTAACTAAAACAATCTATCAAGATAAAAGAGATAGGAAAATCCAAGAAAAAATAAAATAAAAATAATATATTTTTAAAAATATCTAAACAACTAATAATAAGATTTTAGATTTAATAATAAATTTATTTCTTTAGTCTTTATTATCTGACTATTATCTTTTTTAAAAAAAAAGAATATCGAAATAATTTAAAAAAAACAAACTTAATATAAAAGAACAGTACTCAGCTCAGATCTTCCTTTGATAACACTAGAATTCGAAGATCAGTTCCAAACATAACATCTACTATTACAATCCAAATCTCTGCCCACTTACTTCCATTTGCTTTTCACTTTTCACATAATTGGTAGTTCAAGCGGCAGCGACAGTCACAGTAGATATCCTGGCTGATAATTAGAAAGTCAATGGATAGACATGGTGCTTCTAGTGATGGCTTGAATCATTCCAGAGGGTATGGTACTGTGTCAATCTGCTGAGTACCAATCTATGATATTACTGAGCAGTATTGACATATATTTCAAGTAATCATCAACACTTATTCGACTATACGAATTACAGAAAGTGGTTTAGTTTTGAGAATTTATTCTTCTTGATTAATCTAACTACAAGTAGATGCGTCTAGATTCGCCTCTAATGAATCTCTAAAACTGATAGAGAGATTTGAGGAGTTATATACAAAGCTCCCCTGAAGAAGATCACAAAAATTCTAAGGGGTTAGAAAGGTCATCTTTCAAGTAGCCCGAGATCTCTTGATCCTGCGGTGTTTTATGAATGCCCTCTGTAGACCTAAGAAAGAACTTCAAGTGCCCAGCTTTTGTTGTGAGAATGACGTTCAGCTCGGTGATGATCTTAGTTCTCAGTCTGATGACACTTCACTGGTTAAGTGTTATTAAACGCAACTCTCATCCTCCCAACCAAGCAGCATCCCCTATTTTCTACCCGATAATCGCGAGATCTCGGTGGTTATCGTAGCCAAGTTTGAACGTGAGAAAGATCCTGTTACAGTAGAGTCCATTCCCAATTTTGTCAATATGCCTACCAAGGCTTATCGATGTGGTTGTGACACTTTGCTACTACTGCTTGCACAGAGAAAAGGTAGATTTAATCGTCCAATCGAAGATTGCGTTCTACTATTGACCTCTAAGCTACTTTACATCTTTAAGTTTACAAAAGTACAAACCTAATTTAGAGCAAGAATGCCAAAGCTCCAACAGCATATGCTTCAGTTGCAACAGTGAGAGTAGGCTGAATAGCTATCTCGAAAAGAGGGCTATGATTACCTTGAAAGATATTAGCTTTTGATGTATAAGACAAGACTCATGATCATACCTGCAATCTCAGCAAGCTTACCAGCCTTTTCAGCTTCGTCCCATCGTTGCGGATCAATTCCTCCATAATTCCAGAAGCAGGAAGGTGTTGAGATAGCCAAGTTTGCAAAATCCTCACTGCCCATAGAGACTGGTCCATCTGGGGAGAAGTTCTCTCCAAAATGTTCCCTCATTGCTTGGGAAATAGTTTCAGTGGCTGTTTCATCATTGTATAGTAATGGAAACGAACTCGTCTCCTCGATTAGTGGTGGTTTGGGAGAATTAGAGGCGACGCACTCGGCATTGATGATACGCTCAATAGCGGCTTTGACGCGATTTCGTGACTCGGCGGTAAAAGTTCTAGTATTGATACGCAACAGTGCTTCTGAACTAATAACATTTTCTGTCGTGCCTGCCTGCAACGCTCCAACAGTCACGACAACCGCTTCCTGTGGATTCGTCTCCCGACTCACAATCGTCTGTAGTTTCATCACCGTGCTGCATGCCAGAACCACTGGATCCACCGTAGTATGTGGGCGGCTTCCATGTCCGCCTCGGCCGAATAGAGTCGCTTGGTAGCTATCTGCTGCGCTACCAAAGATCCCTTTCCTTGTATTGAGCATTCCTGCCCTCATGGGCATAACATGAGCACCAAGTACAACATCCGGCCGTGGAACTGCATGCCTCTTCTCGTCGTATAATCCATCATCAACCATAGCTTGTGCACCAGCGCCACGTTCTTCGTTTGGTTGGAAAAGTAGCACAACCGTCCCCTTCCAACTATCCCGACATGTATGTAGGAGTTCCGCAGCAGCAAGCAAAGACGTAATATGCATATCATGACCACAAGCATGCATAACCGGTTTCTCAACATTATCTGTGATATCTATCATTCTTTTGGTGCTTGCGTATGGTAAACCAGTCTGCTCTTGTAAGGGCAATGCATCGATATCAGCTCGAAGAAGGACGGTCTTTCCTGTGCCGGACCTGAGGATTCCAACGATCCCATGCCCGCCTATGTTCGGTCGGATTTCAACGCCCTCGAGCAGTTTTAACTTGTCGTGAATCATTCTAGCTGTTGCGCTTTCTTGTAGAGATAGCTCCGGTTCGGCGTGAAGTGTGCGAAACAGGGATTCATAAGGAGCTAGATTTGGCAGGGCCTGAGATATGAGCGTAGAGATGTCCATAGTTCCTGAGTTGGCGGAAGCTGATGAATTGAGCTTTGTGAATGCTTCGAATATGGTACAGGAAACAGCTTGAATATGAGCTAGAATTTGAAGAAAGTGGGATGCGAATTGACTATATCAACACTCTTAGATGCCTAAGGCATCAATAACCACACATTGTGTTATCAGATTATCAGGCACTGGCAAGTTAACGTTATCAGTGGAGAAGGGAATAGCAGATACTACTGGTGGTCTCCCTAACTTCATCCCTCTCGACAACATTGTAATCGGATTCTGAAGTTAGGTTATTATCAGTGAAGAGGTAGAGTAATGTATATGTATATGTATATGTATATTGGATTACAAGATAATTACATATTCAGAACCTCCAGACAAGATGAGTTCCGTAGTTCTAATGTAAAATGCATGCATACTCGCTCATGTCTCTGACTAAATTTCACTGATGAAGTGTCTTTTTCTGCAACATCTCCTAGTGATTGATTGATTGATTGATTGATTGATTGATTGATTGATTGATTCATTGATTTGATCAACGTCCTTTCTCATTCCAAGACTATATAGGGGTCTTCCACTTCCCAACTGCCACGACTCTACTTAATGACTCGAACTTAAGTTTGCAGATCATCCTAGCGCGACTTGGTCGAATAAGCTTCTCTACACATCCTTCTTTCTTCTCAGAATTACACCCCTTTTTTTCATCTATCCTCCTGCCCTTTGTGGCCTACACTGTAAAAGCCTACATGTTCCTATTATGGTTTAAATCTCGCGGATAAATAGATCCTACAAATCTATACTAGATATAGCAATATTCCTGAAGCAGTGTAAAATATAAGCGAAATATCCTATCAGCATTTACGTATGTAAAAAAGTCAAATAGAGGAAACGAAATAATCGATTGGTTAAAATAAGGTATTTCCCCGCCAAATCTAACTAGAAAGGAATGCCGTTGATGCAGTTGGACGTCTCGGCTTGCGCGTTTCTCGCGGTGCCAAAAAGTCTGAACTCCGACGCTAGAGAAAATTAAGTTTATACCCCCTTGTAGGTTGCCATCTCAAGGAACGTGCTTTCTAGCTCGCTCGGGAGATGCATGTTTTAGCCCCCACGAACATAATCTCTGGGCTGCGCTGCAAAATGTACCCACACAGTACCCACAAGGCATTGCGGGGCGTGCCGACCCCGAGTCTGTGCACCTCCATCTTAACACTTCGATTGCACTTTTCCTATTGTGGAATAAGGTTTTGCTGTGGAGGTTGATTGGATAGATAGATAGGATAGATTGTGAAAGTGGATTTTGACAACTTTAAATTTCCTTCATCCACTCTTTACTCCGTCTTTCAGCCTAAGTAATGGGAATAACCTTATTTTTTGAAGTGGGGTTTAGTGCGATACGACATACGACATACGATGCTCGACTTTATCCATTATGCTGTGTTTGCGAAATTCGGTTAGAAGCGAGAAAGGCTAGTGCTGAATCGGGTTATATATAACGCCAGTCTTGTTCTTTGCCTTGTAAGCACTAATCAAAAGCTTTTCTAAAAGTGCATTTACTGCTGCACCTCCAGCACCTATGATTGCTCGTGGGATGGGATTAATTTTGTCTATTGATCGAATACAGTCAGGTTACAATTGAAATAAGAATGTGACGTAAAGCATGAAATAGTAGCATCAGCTTACACTTGGCATATGCATACACATCTCGTTTCGGTAATTTTTGAAGTATGAAATTTGCCACAAAAGAAAACTATGGAGGAACTAATAATACATGATTCTCAGTCTTAGGCATCGACAGGATAAGCTAACTTTGTCGCTGCCTGCCACTCTTCGTCCTCTTCATACTTCTTGCGAATAGTGTCTAGCAATTGATTGAAGGCGCCAGCGATGGCCGTGTTAATCTCCTCAACAGTGACCCGGCCATCAATAAGACTCTTTTCAACCTCTTCATAGGAGCTGAAGTGCTCTTCCCCGCTCTTCACCTTCACAGAGAAGACCGTGCCATCTGGGGAATTAGCCCCGGCGAATGACTTTTGACCCTCGGTAATTCCTATTCTGGCTCGAAGGTTACTAATAGGAATCAAAATGTCCCTGAGAGAAGCCATGACACCGTTTGTCGAGGCACCTTCCACTTTAGTGTTCGCCCCGAAGAGTTTCTTAGTGACTGTCTCAGCGTCGTCGAGGAGCGCGATCTTCGTACTGGGAGGGTGCGATGATGACATTTTCCCTCCTTGAAGGTTGGGAAGCATAGGATTCATAAGATGACCGCGCCTCTTGAATCCAAGTTGCGGCAAGAATCGGTCCGAGAATCCGAAGATACCAGCCTGTAGGGTAATTTTGTGATCAGAAAAATGACCTCTCTCAAATTCGAGGGCTGCTTACCTGGTCTGCGCCACCAAATTGAAAATCAATGTCGAGGTATTCCTCCGCCAAGGACTGCATTCCAGGGCAGAACATTGGACTGAGCATATCGGGGTTGTAGCTCCGATCCCAGGCATCTTTGACTGCCTGCTGAGGGACGATCGTGCAAAGTCTCCATTGGTCCCTGGTGAACTCGGGTGTGTTCACATAGGTAGATTCCTGAACAAATTGCAACTTGCTTGCGGGAATCCCGATTGCTTCGGCCGCCGCAATTATGACGAACTTGTAGTAATGCATGCGCTGTAAAACTTGTTCCATAGGATAATGGACATTGTCAAGGAATGAATAGACATCAAGCAAGGTAATCACAACCTGTAATAATTCGAGTTAATCAAGGTCAGGAATGCGAGTAGCAGTTGACAACTTACATCCACGCCTGCTTCTATGAAGTCTGCGAATTTTAAAACGGGAATGAAATATCCAATGTGTGCTATACAATAAGATCAGCGATTGTCCAATTTGGCTTGACTGCCATTTTCTTGCTCACGTTTTCCCGTTGGTGATGTTGCTATTCAGAATGTTAGCTCGACTGTCCTATTATATAGAGGATATGTGAAATGGCCTACCCCACAAGCATCTTGGGTTCCTGCCCTCAGCTTTCAGAGAAGCTTCAATCAGATCCAAGCCTTGAATACTCTGCTCAGGAATTCTCTCTGTAATGAGATCCAATCTCGCAGCTACGTTATTGTCTGAGGGTGCCATTTTGATGAAAAGGAAAGTATCTAAAGAATCAATAGAAAGCCAATTGCTACTTGTCGTCTCTTCCACACACAAATCGGTTCAATGATATAGTAAAGAGCCACGGAAAGCACGGAGGTAATCTCTCTTACCCCTCCGCTCACGTACCCCTTGATCAGCCGCGCCTGATTCGCAACCCGAGTCGCTGCTTACTCTGCGTTGTCAAACCCTAAAGATTCAATACTTATTATGCAACTGATCGACTAAAGTATATTATTCTTTGATATTATTGCAGGAATCCCCGTCTGAGCGATAGATAAATCTGCAACGAAGAGATCAAAGCTTATTTCCATTTGCTTCTGCTGCACGATCCGCAGTTTAGCGGTAGTTAATATGCAACCAAATAAGCGAGAACCCAAATCTTATCCCATATGCAGCATACCCCAGTTTTGGCGGTGAGTAATCTACAGGCAATGCACTAGAGAGTATTCTGTTTTTTTGTAGTTGCAGAACCCCCATTTTTAATAGTAGCTAATAGGTAACAGAATGACTGAGGTATTTTTTGCTTGTTGGTATTTGCAGGGCTAGCAGTGCTTAATGTCCTTCAAGGGCTGAATAAGATTGCACTTCGTGCCAACCTTGCTAGCAAGCAAGCTTTGTACGTACGTTTGACTCTAGAGCTGTCTCTGGGTGAAATCCGATATGTGATCGGAAAGTTACACTATTTCTTAGGTTCAATAATCGTGAGCGTAGGGTAGTATTTCGCCCAGCGTGGCTATGTCGGCCCACGTAAGCACATAACGTCGTATTACATGTCACCTCCATGAGGGGAATATCCCTGTTGAGTTGAAAGCTTCGAGTTCGACATAGAGAACTTAAGCTCCATGGTACCAGAGCAAATGAAACTTGCTCGTGCGGGTGCCAGAAAGTATAACACAGTGCGGAAGTAGAAGAGTTCGCCAGCCAGCTGAAGGCCCTGGCTAGTTGGGCCATCTAACTTAATTAGGTTACTTACGTCTTTAACACATTCAGGGCTCAATAGCCTGTATCATCTTGGAAGTATGTATCCTGATGATTAATTCCGTTCATGTATCACCTAATTAGACTTAAGCATTCAATTGGCCGTTTCGTTCAGTTAGTTGGTGGATTCTTTTAAGCTCGTACCGCAAGATGGTAAACTAAAATTGGGATATTAGCCTGCAATTAACTAGTGTGATATACCGAGTACTTTATGGTCGCATGAGTGCCTATTTTTGCAAGCCATATTTGCGGGGAATGGGACATGGGTCTGTGTAGCGGTGTCTTTTGCCTGGGAATGCAGCTATTGTCTCCATGCGCGGCTACTGTCGGGGATTTTTGATCACTTTTTCAGAATTCCTCACAAAAATAATCACAGATGACATATACAGAAAAAACTTGTAGATTGAAGGTCCTGTGACCCTGATTCTCATCTCAGCTAATCGAGCGTCCAGACTCCAGAAGACCTCAAAACTTAGCCGCCTTCTCGGGTCTCAAAAAGTACACAACATAATATCTCTTCTCAAATCCATCGGACGGTTGAGTAACCCGATGGAGAGGGGAATGAAGCTTGCCCTTAGACATAGCCTGCAACGAGTCGGCAACATTAACGAGCGCATGTCCTTCCTTTGGCACCACAAAACCCCATTCCTTCGTATCAGGCATTTCAATCTCGACGCCCCACTGATCACTGAAAACTAACGTCAAGGTACCCATGTCGTTGTGCTTATTGTCCACTACATCAGACTTCTTGTGTTTGAGGGGCTCGTAAACCAACTTGAGACCGGTGCCACTGGGCTCGCCGTCACGGTGGAAATCCTCGAGTCGTTTGTCGGATTCAGTGTTCAAAGTACCTGACAATGAAGAGAGCAGCGTATGAACAACTGAGTAACCAGTTGAAGAGAACTGCTCAAGCAGTTGAGATCGGTCGCCCAAGACTCCGGGAAGAGTGCGCTGCTTCTTGAGAATGTCGTCGCGGAAAATCTGGGCAAGCGTTAATACAAGCTTCAGGAAGAACTAATTGGAGACCTTGCCTCGAAAGTTTCTTCATGTTCACCTGGTTTGTATCTAGCAATTAAATTAGAATATATTTTTAGATCTGCAGGTTAGGATAGTAACATACCCGCCATCATCCTGCTCATCAAAAGTCTTCATTTTCACTTCCTTCGGCTGGTCAAAGTATGTTTCTGAGACAGCGTACAATTCCTTCAACTCCGCGAGCCACTCCTTAGTTGGCTCATCCCTGAGATCAAGCCAAAAGATTCCAGGCTTCTGGCAGACCTGAATGAGTTTTTCGATCTCGAGCGGGTCTTTACTGATCAGGCGCGCGTAGTTGATGCTCTCAAGAGGAGCAACATCAACTTCACGACCATCTACTGTGACTTTTTGCAGAGTATTGTGAGGCATTGTGGGCGGCAGAATGTGACGATAAAATTTTGATGAGAGTGTAAAAGATGTAAATCACACAAGAAAAGAGGAAGTGGTAAATATGCTGTGCAAGTCAATCTCTACAGTTCAGCCGACGGGGTTTTTTAAAAACATCGCCTCCTACCCCGCCGATCTTGACTGCAGACTGCTGTGGTCATCAGACCTTTCCAAAATGCGCCCATAAAGTGATCATCGACTGCATACAATCGTAATCGCATGAACCGACGTAAAGCAGGATCATCACTAAACCCCATTGGAGCTTGTACATCAGAAAGTGGAAACGAGATTTTCAATGAGGATTGTGCCATGTTGTGATCTCCACAACGGGCAATACGGTTGTTTCCGAATGCAGGGGGGGTTAGTTAGCTCCTACAACTTCTGTGACTTGATCCACCTACATGCAACGTTTATCACCACGCATGGAGAAGGTAACAGGGCGTGGAAGAATTTTTAACTTACCCCAGTAGCCCTAATTTCGGGGTCTCATCGACGATCTATACCCATCTTAGCATCGTTGGGATTATCATTGGGCGACGAAGATCTTAACCGATCAGGGACTCGAGTTTATCCTGCAGATACTTGGCGCCTGCTAGGCGTCATTCATCACGATATAAGCGTTGCTGCTGCAGATGTTTTACCGCGGTTTTCACAAAATTATTGGTCAAAGTTTATTCTTCCTTCGTATATTACACTGAAGTGATGAAGGTGGGGCAAAGAGGGTGGCCAGACTTACTCGTGCTGGCTAAAGGAGTGACATAAGCCCGAAACGCTAAATCAGTCCTAATATACAACAGGGAAACTCTTGAAAATGGTGCAGATTGACCAATAAGAACAATCACTCCCTAGCTTTCCGTGGTTCACACTTTTGGAAGTTACTACTCTTTCAAGCCACTTAAATAGCTATGATTAGCCATATTCTGCCGCTTAACCAATAGGGGGACCGCTCATGTAGGACTGATGCTTGGCGAACTTGTCTATGCCATTACCCAACTTCATACTTGGTTCTTATGATGTTGAGGCTGCAGTTGGGCTGCTGAAAATTAGAACCTCGGGACGTTAGAAGAAATCAGAAATTTCACTGCTAAACTTCATCATCTTTGGGGCGTGCATAGAGTTTCGGCATTTGCTTACTTGCTGACAGCGCGAATCGATTTTAATCCGAGAATAAGGGGCGTTATTTCTCATATTATTGCACACAGATCGCACGACTTGAGACACGTGAGTCGCGCCATAGTTACATTGTTTCTGGAGAGTAAGATGAGGAGTGTATTTTAGCTTTTAGATGCTAGCATCAACTGCTGTGATTGGTGCAAGTAACGGAGTCCGACATCTATCAGTTCAAAATTCCCAAAAAATTTAAGTTCTACCCTCTCGTAAGCTTATATGACGCTTACATGTTGTGAAAATATATTAATATTGATATAAATATAATTCCGTCCTGAATCTGGACCTTAATTTTGTCAAGTTGTACATTGAATCTAAACACAAGACTCTTACAATCATGGAAGGTCTACACGTTGCTGTGAATGCTGATATCAGTATGGATGCGCTTCTGCGAGGGTTCTTCGCTGTCTGTTCCGTTATACTTATAATCTCATTACTTCGAATGCGCCTGATGACCGCAAGCCTACCTTTTGAAGGCAAATTCACGAAAGCAAAATGTAAGTTCTGCTACAATCAATTAACTAGAGTTTTATCCGACTAGTATTTACTAACTTTGCCTCTATAGCATCTTTCCCTGTGTCTGAGAAAATACAAGACAATGCTCAGGTTGAAGAGCAAATGCAACTGCATAAAGAACTTTACTTCAAGCTTCAAAACCTCGAAGACTACCCTGAAGTATTGCCACAATCTCGGGATTTGTTGATCTCACTGTTCTCGGAGACTCTTACAGGAGCGCTCCAGAGCCCCAGACATGGAATTTTGGCTGTTGAACATTACAGTCGTGATGCTGTAACGAAGTTTCTACTTGGTGAGCATGACAATACAGTACAGCTTTGGGAGCAATACTTAAAAAGAAGGGAGGCCGGACAGCCACTGGAGATGTTTAGGAATCGAGAAGAAGCTAAATTGTGGTTAAAGCAAAATGCACCAGTGAAATACGTTGATGGTGCCTGGTTGGGCCATATCCACAAAGTCACGACTCCGTTTGCTTTGCGCAGGACGACAAAAGACACTTGGCAGGTGCTGTCCGAGGAACTTGGGGACGGAGAATTGGATAAGAACCACGTTTACATCTACCGTGAGCTGATGCGGGAAATTGACCCTAGCCTACCAGACGGAGACAGCCCTGATTTCATACATCCAAGGCATCAGCTCAACAACCCAAACGTCTGGAAAGCAGCTCTTAGTCAACTACTGATATCTCTCTTCCCACATGAGTTCTTGCCCGAGATCCTCGGCTTCAACATGCACTTTGAGCTCCTCACCATGGGCACGATGAAAGCTGCCAAGGAACTTGAAGAATTAAAGCTCAATAGCTATTACTTCTACCTACACATATCCATCGACAACGCAGACTCCGGTCACACGGCGATGGCTTTAGAATCTGTCCTTCGATACGTCGAGGAAATACGCGCATCAGAGGGGGAAGCAGCTGCACAAAAAATTTGGAAACGCATCCAAGCAGGCTACATTCTCTCCGAGAGCGTTCTTAACGCAAACGAATCACATAGCCATGCACGCCCGGTCACGGTCGACGTCATGTTTCCTTCCAACAAGCGCGAAGGGGAAGTCCTCGATATCTTCAAAGCCAAAGCGTCAGTGGCGCACAAGATTCACTGCAACAGCAAAGCGATGATCGGACGGCGATCACTGATCGACTGGCTTGAGCCGGGAGCCTTCGTATCGAAGCAGTGGCAAATGGAGTTTTTGAATGACCTAGCCAACTCGAAAAGGTGGGTGTGGAAGGGGCATAGTAATAAGAGCTCACTAATACGGGAATTATCTTGGAAGGGCAAGATGTTCGGGGCCTTTACACAAAAGGAAGTAGAGGTTCTCAAGGACTGGATTGATTCCTTGGGAACCCCGGACTCGGCGATGTACTGGCGATTTGTTGGCCGAGAAGCAACAAGCTCTACCCAGGCTCTGCAAAATCTAGACATCGCCGCCGACTATCCAGTCTTCTCACAGCAGCCCACAGCATCTGCCAACCCGATTTACTCAATTCCCTCCCCTGTTTTTGCATTGGCAACGGTCCAATTTGCACCCAAAGCCCTCTTCCCCACCGACTCACAGCCGCATCTGTCCGTTCTTCTTCCCCTCTGGTTCACCCATCCCTGTCTCCTTGAGACTACCATCGCCACGCCTGCGAAGACAACCAATGCCACCTCTGCCGCTATCCTACGCCTCTTACGAGCCCAATCCGGTTTTTCTGCCGAAACCGCGATCGTCGCTGGCATGGATGAGCTACGATGCACTGAGCAACCAGGTCTGCTGGATCTTGGCCAAGAACTCATGCGACGTCACGGACTTCCGGAGCCCAAGTGCCTCAAGGACGTATTACAGGACAGCACTGACGCCGAATTTGCGCACTCGATGCTAAGTTGGGCGATGCGGCCTGTAGCGAATTTAGGATTGCTGCTTGGTTTGACAAAAGCGTTTGTTGAGTTACATGTTTGGGTAGCAGGGTCGGGGATGCTTTCGGAGAGTGGTGCACAGGCGCTACGGACCATTATTGCAAGGGAGGAAGATTGTCTGAATATTTGTTTGAAGGAGCTGATGGGCGATGAAATTCGTCATGGGGAATTTTGGAAAGGATATGCACTTGGAAGAACGGAGATTGAGAAATGTTTTTAAAAGGACTTATTGTAGTTTGAAATCGGAGTTATAGCAGGTTGAAACTTGGGGACAAAACTTGGAGCAAATGTTATTAAAATTGAAAAGCAGCTGTAAATTTATGTATAGCACTGTATTTAACTTTTGGTATCTGTTAAATCTCCGTGTGGACAAATATCGCGCCAACTTTGTTTGATGTTTTTTTTTCACAGCAAATTTGAAACTTTTGATGGCGCAAATTATAGCTTTATATAATTAATCATTGGGCAGATAAAAATTCTTTCAACGCTCCAATATTGTAAATCACGGAATTTATACTCGTAGAAGCGATTTCATAACTACTTGATTGATTGCATCTACCCAGCGAGTTGAATACCAAGCGCGAAACTCTCGACCATCATATGGTAGGTAGTCTTACATTTATTGAGGTCGAAGATTCAATTCCTATTCATCATAGATCATGGACACTTGACATGAACACAACTCATCGTCACTACTCTCCTCCTCCCTTTGTACGGAGTTTTTCTCCAACGCATGCAGGTATCCTTTGCCACTCCAACCTCCTCACCGATTTGTGGCCTTTCCCAATCCGGGTAGAAACCCTAGTCTATTCCGTACACACTTCTCAATTTGCCAAGAGAGCGTAAGCCTTCAGATCTCTTTTCCGTCATCTGACCCACCAGCCCTGAGCTTGGCGGTGGTACTCCCAACTGCTCATCTTATTTGGGAATCGCTGTCGACCAGCCTCCAAAGCCAATCATAGGAAATGTGGTGGGAAAAAGGATCGGTGGGGATATTGGTGGGGATGCAACTAGACATGCAGGAAGGATTGAGGCATTATTTATTTTGCCCTGCAAAAGAGGAAACCATGAAAAAAGGAACCATGCGAAAAGAAACCATGCGAAAAGGAACCATGCAAAAAGGAACCATTACCATGCAAAAGGGAAAAGCCCCCCTTCGGAAAATTAAATTCAACTTTGAACACTCAACATAGCAAACTCACCTTTTTTTTTACAGATTCTTCCTAACCCTTGCTTTGTTTATCACTATACAGGCTCAATTCAAATCCAAACCATCCACACGCACCGCACCGCACCGCACCTACTATTACCCCTCGCCTCCCTCCTCTTCACCGTCCAATCAATCAAATCCCGTTCGACCTCCAACATTTCATTTCCCATCTACAATGGAACCTCTGTCTGCTACAGCCATAGCTCATATATTCAGACTACCATTGGAGTTGCGGGAGCAGATTTACAACTATGTGCTTCCTGATCAAGAAAGAACATTTTCGAATTCAACCTCGCTATCGATAAGCGATCCTCATTACTGCATATTGAACGTTATATGCTGCAATCGACAAATTTATGCCGAAGTCCGCGATCTTTTACACCGACGGACAATTTCCTTCTCATCAACTCCTGACCAGGAATACCTCGTTTCCAACATTCCCTGTCTGCATGGCTTGGATTTCTCGCAAGTACCGCTTGTCAAGTTTGAACTCAATCCATTCCAATACACGACAACCATCCCAGAGCTGTGGAGGTCGCTGCTCCTACTCTGCCACGCCTTGAAAAGATTCTCCCACATCCCGCAGTTACAAATCGAATGCGACGGGAGACTCCCACGCACGAAGCCGCCATTGTATCTCGATGAGACAGACCTAGATCGTGGCCCTTTAGTCACCGCCCTACTGCTACAACCTTTCAACCTACTTCACAACATTGGCGATGCGAAGGTTACTATTCTCGGTGGGCCCTTGAATAACCTCTGGTCCAAAAACATCGCGCTACAAAATTTTGGAAACCGTCTCGTACAGCAACTCAAAGCCTCCGACGCGCCATACAGACACCATGTCATAAATATCCAGCGGCTGCAGCGTCAATTACGTCGAAATCCTGAAGCTCTTTGGTATAGACATTCCTACGAGCATACCTTCGCAGGTCTCGTCCTGCCACCATACACAAATGAAGATGCAGAGGAAAGCTATGGATTTTCGCGGGCTATCCTTCCCTCAACAAACAACGGCACAAGTGAGGTCACATCATAAACCCATCATGCTATACCTCCGCAGGTTAAATTTCCAGTCATTGTCCTATTCTCTTGCAGGTGAAAAGTCCAGGTCCCCACCTCTACACCGCCAAAAAAACAGAACCCGAATTTTTCAACAACCCACTCATCGGCACCGAAATCTCCGATCTCGAAAACGTCATCCTAAGTCCCCGCCACAGCTTGCTCCAAGGCATACTAAATCTAGGAGCGATAAGCTGAAATTAATATATACAGGGCTGGGGAATTGTGGAGATATGGCCATAGTAGTGGAGTGAGGTATGGGGAATGGATTCGGAGGGTAGTAAAGGCGGAGGAAAGCGATAGGTGTTTATAGAGGTAGATTGGGAGGAAATCTTGAAGGATAGGGGCAATGGGAGAGACCAGCTAAGACAGATGCTAAGAAGTTACAGCACACCAAAATGTTGAAGCTGGTGGTCAATCTACCAGGACATAGAAAAAATACCAAAGTATAATAATACCAGAAGACAAAATTGCAGAGAAATTTTGGACATGTGAAAAGATGCCAAGTAATTAGGTGATTAGTAAAGATCTCCATCAACTTTATTTACAGTCCGAGCCCCATACGTAGGTAGGTTTCAGTCTTATCCCCTCATAGGATGGATAGCGATAGCGATAGTGACAGCGATAGCGATAGCAATAAAGCTAGATACTTTTCTTTTCAATACCTTACCTAGGTATGTATGTTAAGATTATCTTATATCTGTATTCTTTATGACTCTAATATTGAAGCTATCGAATTTTCAAAATCCCAATCGGAATCACAATGATAATGCTTTTGGATGTGGATTTTTATAAGTTTAGGTACCTAGGTATTGTGGGCATGTTAATGTTAATGTTAATGTTAGTGTTAATGTTCGTGTCAGTGTTAATGATAAGGTTCTATCTCTGTCTCTATCGATTTGATGTTGTATGATCTGGATATTTAGATGGTTTGATGGTTTGATGGTTTTTACGGGTGTTGTGTAGTGCGGTTGCGGTGTTGTGGTATGGTGGTAGTGTAGTATGAAGGGAGGAGAGGAGAGGAGAGAAGAGGAAGAGGAAGAGGAGGAGATCTAAGTAAGTGTACGTACGTACGGAGTGAGTGTATACTAGATTATGAGACGAGGATGGAGAGGATTGGGTTGTTATGGTTGGATTTTAAGATTTTATAAAGGCGGGGATATATATACTAGGTAGGTGGTAGGTGGATAAGTGATAATGATTATGATTATGATAATGATTATGTTGGTTATATGTATAGTATTTAGGTGAATTAGATTACAAGGTCGAGATTACCTAATAAGTACTGGTAATGGTGAATATGGTGAATTAGTAATATATCTATTCAATTGGTAGGTGCACTCAAATCCAAATCAATCTTACTCATCTTCTGAGTTTAAACTGTCCGTTTGTTGGTCTCAAATTTTAGGTTTAGGTGCAACTTGTTGGTAACTTGCTTTAGCCTCAGATTAATTCATCTAACTGTGCCGCCCCCATCTCTGAAATTCGGATGAATGAAGAGCGAATTCTAGAAAATAAGGCAGGTATTTGCGATCAATGAATGAATGGATGGATGAATACCTAGATACTATTCATTCTAAAATTGTGTATGTATGTATGTATGTATGTATGTATGTATGTAAAATTCCCAAACAGGATAGATGCATACAACAAAAACAATCACCGATCAAAAAGATCAACAATCAACGATTCAGACTAACTTGTAACCCAACTAAAAGTGACACCATCCTTTCAGAAATTGACAGTGAATATTATTACCGTTTATATTCGTTGATTCTCTGACGTATACAAAGTAAATAATCCAAACAACCAATCCCTCACACGAGAAAAAAAAAAGAACATGACATCCTGTACTCTACTACTCGATGATAAAAAACAAATCCATGTTCCCAAATAAGCAAGTCCATCCGAGCCGTCTGGTAATACACGACTCGAGATGCACCAACCATGATAATTCCAACGTCTATTGGCGTCAAATCAGGTCTCGAACATAGGGACATTACCAACATGAGTCAATGCGTGACTCGTAGAGTAGAAGAATTATGGGAAACTTCTCGCGTTATTCACTTAGTCTCTATTTTCTAGCGCCGGGATTAAGTCGTGTTACCAATACCGATATGGTATTGATTTGGGTATGTCCTAGTGGATCTTGCACCTATTGCTGTTTTTCCCCTCTTTTGATGCTGCTTTAAGAATTTTGCATAGATATTGAGCTGTTCCCCCCTCCCTCAATTTTAAATTTGCCATTTGAACGTTTGAATTCACGAATATTATTGCATGTTTTGATCCGCAAATACGAACTTCGCCATCAACGTAATTGTTTCGACTCCGTAGTAAAAGCTACAAGATAGAAGCGATCGCTCAGCAGACCGTGCGAACTTTCCTTGAATAAGTGGACCGTGGGGTTTTTGAGCCATAAGCCAAGACGTGAATTGGAATCTCCGCTCAGCAAAATAAATCCCTACCTTTTATTTCCCTCGAATCAACAACCCAAAATCAACGCCCAAAGTCAACACCCAGAATCAACACTCAACATCGTCAACCATGAGTGAAGAAGAAACTGCTCAAACCTACCCCGTGGTAGCTGATAATGCTATCAACAGACACAAAGAAAGAGGTTTGTCAGCCTAAAAATCCCTATGATACTCCTGCTAATGATTCTATCTTTAGGCAATTATGATGTCGAAACTGTCCACTCCATCTTTAATTCGACACCCGTTGCACACGTCTCTTTTATTCCTGACCCCACCAACCCTGCGCCTGTAGTTCTACCCATGATTGCACGCGTCGGTCAATTTCCCGGTGACGAAAACCCCGCTTGTTACGTCCATGGTTACGTATCTACGCGACTTTTCAAAGTTGGCCAAAAGACTGGTCAATCTGATGGAATCCCCATGTGTATTGCCGCGACCAAAGTCGTAAATCTTGTCCTCGCTCTTACACCCTTCAATCACAGCTACGATTATCGTTCTGCTATTATTCATGGTCGAGCTACTCTTCTCGATCCGAATGAAAATACCGAGGAGAACATTTGGGCAATGAAACTCATCACCGATGGTATCGTACCAGAACGATGGGACAATTCCCGTGTTCCACCAGACAAGGGTGAAATTACATCTACACGAATCTTGAAGGTTCATATCGAGAGTGCGAGTGCCAAGATTCGTGATTCCGGTGTAAAGGATGATAAGAAGGATTTGAATAATCCAGAAGTCAGAGGCAAAATATGGACCGGGGTCATCCCGTATGTTGAAACCCTTGGAACACCAATACCAAATGAGACGAACATGGTCACGACTGTTCCTGCATACATTACAGAACATATCAAAGAACACAATAAGAAAGCCGGAGGTGGAGAGGCAGGAAATAGTTTCGTCTCTAGGGTTGTGGGATCTATGTTTGGAGCTTGAGGGGGTTTTGAGATATTAGCTTTAGTGTAAACTCTAAATTGACTACCGGGATAGGTTAACAATGAATTACTTGCTCCACTTTACTTTACGTTACCTTACCTTACTTATCCACTCATATTCGTATGTATGTACTAATCCAAGCCGGACCGGGCCTTCCACGCAATTTAAAGTTAAGGTTAATTGACATCAACTTTGTCCGCGGAGCCAATGATAGAAAGGAAGACATTATTTAAAAGAAAATAAAAACATTCCTTGAAAACCGGTGAACTTTATTCTAATACATGCTTGTATGTATGCATGTATATATGTGTGCTTCTATGATAACTTGATAAGTCTTTGGAGATAGAGGATAGAAGACTGAGATGGAGAGAAGGAAGGGTGAGATGGGGAGAAGGATGGGTGAGATGGAGAGAAGGATGGGTGAGATGGAGAGAAGGATGGAAGGATAAATAAGGTAGAAAGAAGCCGAAGGAAGCCGAAGATGTATTTATTTATTTATTTATTTATTTATTTATTTATTTATTTATTTATTTATTATGACATGATACGTTTTTAGGTGATGGGTTTATGGCTTGATTTGAGATAGATTGATAGATGGATAGATGGATAGATTGATAGATGGATAGATTGATAAGCTTTGGGTTTTGGACTGGGAACTGAGAAGGGAGAGGGGGATTAGGGATTAAAGAGAGAGAGAGAGTGATAGAGAGGATTATCCCTAGATATCTTCATTAGTGGGTTGATTGATGGATGAGTTGATGAGGTTGGGGTTTTTTGAGGTTGTTTTGGATTTTTATGATTGGGGAATTGGTGGTTTGGTGATTTGTGGTTTGGTGATTTGGATGCATGTATGTAGGTAGATAGATAGATGGATGGTGTTTGGTATTATTGTGTAGTGTTTGATATTTTGTAGCATAGTATGGAGATGTATACGGATATACGTAATGTATAGATTGGATATGTAGTGCGGTGTTGAGGATGGTGTTAATTTTCGAGGTTGATATAATTGATATTATAAAAAGGTTGGAATTATAGGCCAAATACATAAAGGTTTTTAACTAATCAATCATATAACCTCCTGTAATTAGATATAAAAGAAAACCTTCTACTTCTCCTTTTTATAAGAATCAACCTTCTACATATATACATTTGACTCTATATAACCTCACCTCCCAAACCATATAAACCCTATTTTCTCCATAAATGATATATTACGATATAATCTAATCAGCTTTCTCTTCCTATTCCCCCTCACAATGTGCTATCGGGACGCACGTATCTCGACCTACCACATTTACAATATGATATAAGATGCCAGAGGGTAGAGGGTGAAGAGATGGGGATAGAGGGAGATGGAATATTGAGGGGATTTTATTAAAGGTCACCTAGGTATTGGAAAGATTAATCTTCGAGTTAAAATATATTAGGTTATGACGCTGGGGTTTGAGATGAGGAGTTTTTGGAATCAAAAAATAAAAATGGAGATGAAGGTAGAGATGGAGTTGAAGGTAGAGATGGAGTTGAAGGTGGATGACAGATTCTAAAGGAAATTAGTATGTGGTGGCCTTAGTGTTAGTAGGTGTTAGAATATAATACCGGCTTTTGAGGACAAGATAGGGAGGTTCGTGAGTAGAGAGGTGAAGGAAGGTAAATAGAATAGGATGACATTGATCGGGATTGCCTAGTGAATTAATTAAAGAGAGTGTATTATATATAGCGTGTTTCATATTATATATTGTATTATTATTATAGTTTTAATTATAATTTTAATTATATACTTTTTTAATTTATAATGAATTTTTTATTAAAATTAAATATTGAATAATATTTTTAATTTTTAATAAAAATTTTCAAATTATAGAAATTAATTATTTACTTTATATATATATATATATATATATATATATTTAAAAGTTATCTTAGTTTAAAGTTTAAGATTTTCAAATACTCAAATCATATAATATTTCTAATTAAAAAATATATATTTTAAAACTTTTTTTAATTTTAAATATAAATATAAATATAAGATTTATATTATATTATAATTATAATATTTTAATATTTTAAAAAACCTAAATAATTTAAAATGAAATAAATTTTATTTAAATTCCAAGTAATCAACAGTCGGCTTCTTATTAGAGAATTGCTTCCAATCAGTTGTAGAGAAGATAATATACATGCCGAATTAGTAATAGCACAAATAGTGCGTGTACATCTCACTTCACCGAGTACAGTGTAACCGAGGACAGTTTTACTATAATAATTGGTGAGACATAACTGCAGGGTACAAGGATGAGAACATGAGGAATGAGTAAGCCGGTGAGGTGAGTAAATGATAGTATACGTAGTAAGCAGTAAAATAAACAGTAAATGGCAAATAGAAATGGCGTGATAAAACGCATGTTGAATCTTGATGAAAACATATTATTAACAAGATCATTGGATACAAGATTCAATAGGCTTATGATTTTAAATCAATCATTTTTCGTTGTTGGATCAGCCGGTACTTGTCAGTTTTGTGGCGTTGTTTGTCTTAACCTTGATGGCTGGGTACACCCGGTGGTATTTTTGTGTATTTTCTCTGCCTTTTGAATGGCTGATCTTTATGTCTTTTTAATTGTTGTATTTTGCCTCTGTCTAAATGCCATTCTTTGCGTCCCTCTAGATGCTGGTCTTTCGTGTCGATCTAATCATGTTCTTTGTGTCCCTCTGAATGCTGTTATTTGTATCTCTCTAGATGTTTGTTTGCTCTCTCTAATTCCCATCCATTATCATCATCATAACCCATTCATAGCCCATCCAAAAATGCAATCCAAGCCAGTCTATTCCAAATCCAACCCAAACCCATATCCAAAATAAAATAAAATAAAAATATAAACTTTTAAACCCAAAAACACCAAAACAATATATCCATCTACGAAGTACCCGAATGCCTAGTCCCTCTAAAAAACACCAAAACCAAAAGAAGTGTCGCAGCAGCCAATCCAACATTAACCCACTCGGCCGCTCTCAGTCCCTTGAGCATCGCCGGATCACGATAAACTCCCGATCCCCCCGTACTTCCTACTGCTCCCTGCACAGCCGTTGCAATTGCCAAGCCAAGAGATCTGCCGACTTGATTCGAGGTATTTAGAAGCGCGCCACCAAGCGATTGATCGCGTTCCTCGAGACGGCGTACCACGAAAAGATTAATTGTCGGTGATAACATGTCGGCGCTGATGCAGAGACACATGGCTGGAAAGCCGTAGGCCCAATATGTTGTGTTTGGAGAAATGGGTACGGCGAAGAGGAGTGGAGATAAAGTGCCGCAGATGGTTGAGAAGACGAGGACGTAAAAACCGGGGAATATAGTAAGAGCTTTAGCTGTTACGAAGGATACGAGTACTATTATTATTTAGTCATTTTGCCGGACATGAAATTTCGATTTATACTTACGGCCAGCAACTCCAGCTGGGAGAAAGCGTACTGTTGTTTCTATAACTCCTAGTCCGAGGTAATCCTGATAACTAATTAAAGTATTAGCTTTGTGCTTGGAGACGAAAGAATATCTTCAAACTTACAAATAAGTCGCGAAGATCAAGTAGCTATTGTAAGATGCGAAAAAACACCCGATGATAGCAAAAGCAGACGTGAATTGCTTATTTTTGAACATGGAAACTTTCACCAATGGACTCTGGTCGGTACGCTCCAAATGTCGCTGCCAAAAGTAAAAGACTACCATTAAAAGGAGAGCTACCACAATGAGGACAGGAATCCAAGGGGTACTCCATCCAATTCCACCACCCTCCGTGAGAGCGAACAAAAGCGTAATCAAGCTTGTTGATATTAGCGCTCCTCCAATCCAATCGACATATAATTTCCTCTTAGGCTCGATAGTTTTCACCTGAGGCCGAGGAATTACAATAATGCCAGCCACCGCAGTGAAAGCGGCAAGAATAGCAATGATCCAGAAGACCCACTTCCAGCTGAGGTAAGCACCAATGATCCCACCCATAATATTTCCCATGACCGATCCTAATGCTGAAGTGGCGGTATAAGTGACGAACGCGTAAGTTCTCTTGTTACCAGGTGGAAAGGTGGAGCTTAGGATTCCGACCGCGGACGGAACCGTTGCGGCACTACCGAGCCCCTGCAGCGCCCGTAAGATGTCAAACACAATTTCGCCGGGTGAGAAGGGAATCACGACGGTAATGATGGTGACAAAGATCGAACCATAAACGAAAAAGATTCGCCGGCCGTAGATATCTGCAAGACGACCCCAGAGAAGTAGAACGCAAGCAAATGCTATGTTGTATGATGACGTGATCCATTGTTGGCGGTTCGGGGGTATTCCAAGAGCTACGCTAATGGATGGCAACATAATCACAGAAGATTGCACAAAGATGATCTTTTGGTTGTAAATTAGTATTGCGGAATGTAGAGAATATGTAACAATTGAGCTACAAACGTACATTAAGGAAACCAGCTCCGGCCAATGTTAACACCAAAGCAATTTCTCTCGCTGTGGATAACAGTTGTGCCGGTGGCTGATCGCTGAGATCTTCCTCGCTCGATACCGGCGTGACATTTCCTTTGGCAGACTTTTTCAGCTCCAGGTTGCCAACTGGGCTCTCTGATCTCTGCTGTTCAAACATATCTATCGACGTAAACGAATGCGGTAAGAAAAGAATGTGCTGCACGATGCCAATTTGTCTATGTTTACCTTAATATTTGGGGAAGAAACTAGATATATATATGATTTCTAATAGTATTTGCCATATTTTTGTGACAGTTTCTTTCGAGGTAAGCACTCAGTCATCAACAACTAAAGGCTTCTAGATTGTACATTTTGAAGGCATACTAATGGTCAACATTAAGTGGGAGCCTCCGTTATCACGAGTCCCCTAGTCTAGGCACTGCCAAGTTAGGGTTTAAACGGCCATTGCTTACATGCATATCGCGATAACTACTTAGTTTACTGTCTAGGCTCAAGTTCTACTAATCTTCCGAAGTGTATGCTGTAAAGTTTGTCTCACCGTCTTGGCTCCGAGGTCTATATTATATGAGTAAACAATCTGACTGGTAGCAAAATCAGAGCGGTGAGACAGACTTCTCATATAGACTGGTATTTATTAGTGAGATCCAGGCTAAGAAGTGACTGTATCAAGATTACTACGTGAGCTCAAGAAACCAAATATAACTTTTTCAGTAACATCTGTTGAAATCAACTCTAAAGAACTACTAATGATTATTTCCTGATAGGATATCTAGAACAAATTCAAATTTAGAATCAAAATATTAACATATTAAATTTACATTGAATTTGGAAATGATTGAGTTTTGCTAGGTTTTGACGAGGAGGTCCGTTGGGTTCCTAGTCCAGACCTCCATAGAATACCCGCGCCCCGTGCAGCCAAGAAGTAAACACCTCGTGCCTGAATAGAGTTAAATAATTGCGGGGAAATGTTTTAGGAACGTTAAAGGGGATAGTACCCCTCAAATCTATACTAGATATGATAGTAGATTGCCTTGATCCCCACTTTAATAAAGTGAAAAGTGATGAGAAGTAGTCAATTTCACCGGCGAAACAAAGTTTTAAGCCCCGATATAGTGTCGGAGTTGTTGTAGGAATAGGTACAGCACTAGGTTGGCCAAAGTCCCTTGTTGCAGGATGTTCAAGATTTGCACGGACTCAAAAGTTTAATATATTATGTAATTTAACAATCATCTTTCATTAAAGCTTGTCTCCTTTGATGGACGGACGACGGATTGTAAAAACCCCGAATAAATGTTTGTGATAGTGATTATGCCGGCAAAAACCGAAGAACCCAATTCCCGCGACGTTTTTTAAGCTTTACTTAGATATACCCAGTAATGGGGCCAGCGCCTAGCTTACTTAGGCTGGACGACAAGTTTTCAGACGTGAATTCAGTGAATTCCCTCTCAAGGAAAAAATGATAGCAGGCCCCTGATGCTCTCTGAAAATCTTCGTTCAAATTGTAGTTGCTAGTTACACTTCCAAGGCCCGGGACCGGCGAGTTGAGTAAGCGAGACTTCCGGTGAAGCTTACTTATAGCCAGGTCAAGTCAAGGGTTGAAAACTGACTCTTGCAAGTAGGTGAATACCTTCTAGGAAGTCCGGCTTTCAACTGTCAAAAGATACCGGCAGGCTTTTGAGAGTATAACACGTTATCTCCTTATTGTTCTTCATCTTATAAAATTATCACTACCAGGTGTAAGTTTCTACTTCACTATCTGCTGACTCTCCTGGGGTCCTGATAGTGTGCTATATATAGCCTGCTAACTAAAGCAGTCAAAGATCTTACATAAGTTCTCTGACTTCACGTGAATAATTCATATACTAAAGTAGCAGGACTTGAGAATATTTTGGTAGCTATTCAGCTTGATTTACACAACTATGAAAGAAAGTAGCGATATAAAATAGAAGAGTTTCAAGTTTACTTCATTAAAAGAGCTCTTCATCGAATAGTTTTGTTCTTGCTGTCACTATTGGAGTATAATGAGATATAATTGCGAAGATCAGAACTTCAAACTACACAACAACGATCGAAAAGTACTGTATTCCAAGTATAATTTTCAATAAATATGTTTAACTACTAAGCATTTGACTCCACTATAAAAATCAAGTAGAGAGAATAAGCATTTGTAAAATGACGAGAGATGAGTTACAAAATCTCACACCCATCCAACCGTTTGAAACTCCACTAAAATAATATCTACCTCATAGTAGTAAGCTCGCTGTGTAATAATCTGACGGGTACACTAATACATCCCCGAAGTAACCAATAAGCATTCCGAATTGGCAAACCCATACAACTCCGGATATATCAAAATTTTCACAATCCACACGGGTAATGTATCAGATCGCCCCCTTGGCCAGTTGTACCGATACACAGCTAATCTTATCAATCTTTTAGAAATAGAATGAAAGATTGTTTCTAGACCATTATAGCGCTTCTGCCGTATATTAATTACGATATGGATAGAACTGCCGTTTTCTGTTTTGCTTACACTCGTGCTGATTGCGTTGAAGATAATAGTAAAGTTTTCTATTATCTGCCTTGAACTATCAATCCTTGTATTGGTAGTATAACCAAGTCTTTCCATAACATGAGAGAAATAAAAGCCAAATCCACTACTGCGGTGTTTTACATGGCATCATCAAGTCGGATAACTTTCCGTTAAAGTTTTTTTTCCTCTCATCATTATTCGTTTAAAGCGACGGAAAAATTCCTTCAGGTTATAGCGGGTGTCGATGCTCCAACTCTGTGCATCGAGTGCTTCCTCCTGCGGGTCAGCCGGAGTGATTTGATTATGAAAATGATGGAAGAGATCCACCGCATTGAGAAATTCAAGGTTTGGTAGGGGATCACTACCGTTGCTGATTTATAAATTTCGTACTCCATATTAACATAGATTAAGGTTTTGCATCCAACTCGTGCAGCAAGAGAATATACGAGTCAGAAACTCTATGCACATACTAGAAGGTAGTAATCTCCAAAGAGAATAAGCTGGTTTCCTACTTTCTGGCAGCACGAGTAAATTTCCGGGGGAAAATATTACTGGGCTTTTCAGTCCGAGGCACAACTGTGCGATGTTCTGCCAGAGATGGAGAGCTTCAATTGTCGAAAACGATAGCAACGACAACATAGAATGATGGCGATTCGACCATATTAAATATTTGGCCGGCCTGTTGAATCCACTTGGAATATCATTTATACTTGAAGCATTGAGTACAATGCGCGAAAAAATACAGGTAAAGGGAGATTGTGAAATGGGTAAAGAGCTAATACCTTTATAATTTTCTATGTAACTTCAATCTCCAAATCTTGAACATATGTAGTCCCTATGACAATAAAACCCTAATTTCTCCCCCAGTTCTAGGGTATAACGCCCGTAATGGCTCCCGCTGTCCGTCCTCTTCATCCAGACTTTCCTCCAGTTCCTCATCGGCCTTCATAAGTCTGTCTTCCATCTTTTCGAAATCGTCACAGAATTTCTCCGCGGCCTCTTCGGTAATTTGTCGCACCAACATACTATTTTGCAGATCTTTGAGATTCTCCATCGCGTCCATTAGTGCCGAAGGTAGGAAATCATCTAGGGTTTGAGAGGCTTGGATTAAAGACGCAGGTTGGAAAACTGGGTGCTCTCTAATATCCATGGTGGTGGATAAGGCTTGTAGGATCGGCTGTAGAGCAGACTTTTCAAGGAAGAAGATATATTGGTGTTCTATGAGAGTGGCGGCGTGTTCTTCTATCGTATCTTTGATTTTCGAAACACGGGAGATAGTGAAGTCGAAGGGAGCGAGGGTTGCTCGGGCGGATAGGAGACAGTTGATTGTGAAGATTGTACTTCCAGGAGCTGAGAGATCCTTTGCGACGTTTTCGCTACCTTTCATGAAAGGGTCGAATGCTTCGATGAGAATGGGCTCGAAGTCAGCTTCTCGGGTCTCTGGGGATGTGAAGGATGTTTCATATGTTTTCATAATGGCAGTTAGTTGTTTCAAGCCTTCATGCAGAAAATCGGGTGGGCTGAGATGAGGAGGGGCAACCTGGGTTTCGGCTTGGAGGCTAGTGATATGGTCGCGCATTAAAGCCCGGAATTGGCGTAATGCCGACTCTTCGAGAGTCGCAAGAGAGTCGAGAAGAACTGAGTCGTCTCCGAGCAACCTTTGGAATGTACCGCGGTAGAAATTCAACAGGTTTGCTACTTTGTATGCCATTATTATCTCTTCGTGGCTTTGTATCAGTTGGCCAATTCTTTGGCGAAGAACCCGCGCAACACCTGCGACATCCCGATCAACTAATTCGTTGAGAGCTTTCAAACCATCAAAATGGCCAACCTCGTTCTCGCTTTTAGCTATGCGGTTCCAAGGCTCACTATCTAGCCCTGCTTGTATACCTTTTGCGATCTCATCGCCGTCTGAGATGAAGAGGACTTCAAGAGCTTCTCTCTCACCTACTGTGGCAGAATGAGTCCAGGCCAGCATGTCTCCTACATAACGTAGTGGGTCATGAGCTACTAATTCGATTGGTTTTATTGAAGGGTCTTCATCGCCTCCAACGGTGGTCCCGGTCAATGCAGTATAAAATCCATCCGAGAGTATATTCTCCCTTGCTTCAGCAAAAAAGTCAAGACAACTTTGGAATAGCGATGGCCGTTCTGCTAGTACGCGAAGGGCGCGGCGGATTGAAGAACTTATCTGCGGATTTTCCAGATTGAGTGTCTTAAATTCCCTTTGTATCCATCGATAAAGTTTTTGAAAAGCACCATTAATATTCTTTGAGGTTTGTTCCATAATTTCCAATCCCAAGCGTTGATTTTCTGTCCCAAGTAGAATCTCACAGTCATTTTGAATTTTCTTCGCTCTACTCAGAATGGAGAAAAATTTATCATTCACAGGCTCTGCCGTTGAAGTGAGCATTGCAATATCATCATCAGACATAACAAAATGTGCATTAAAGGCATTTAACAGTTCCTGCTTTGCTTGCATCTGTTCCTGTTGCTTCATGAGCTCGGAAGCTTCCTGTATGACTGGAGCTGTTTCTTGATGGGCGGCTGAAATATGTCGCTTCATCTCTTCACACCCTTGATTGAGAGTAGCAATGGTAAGGCCAATGCGTTTAAGTTGCTATATTTGTATGAGATGAGAGATCTGAACGACACGAGGAAGAAGGCTCATACCTCTGCAACATGGCCAAATTCACGAATTATGTCGCCATTACTTTCAATAACCTCCCTCTGAACATCTAACCTTAACCGCCGTCTAGTCTCAGCAGTGTTTTGTATACCTCGTTTGTCTAATAAGGACAGAGCATCTCTGATATCTGAATCGGCATAAGATGCGGAGAGGACACTCGTGACTTTTGAAGATAATGGATTGGTCCTTGATGCCAGAGGAATTCCAGGAGAATCTGTTCCATCACTAAAACCTGAATATGATTGTGTGCGAGTGAAATAATCAGCCGTCATAATTCTCCAGATTTGTGTACAGCTTTTCTCTTATCTTCGAGACTATTTTAAACATTCGCCGTTCTGATTGTCTCGAACACAAGTTCTGGTGGTTCAAAGATCCTCAAGATCTTCTCGTGACTATAAATGCGTTAAACCATTTTAAGTTGATAAGAAAGCGGTCAAACCGGCAGAAATCGAGTTGCCATATCGCGCCTGGAAGGTGGGCGTCATTCACCTACTATCTCGTGCGCTCTATTTTAACTACATATTTTGAAACCACCGACATAATTCAGCTGACTTGGAGATTTTTTGACCGTATGCCTGGATATCGCCAGTCATGTATCATATTTAATAGTCTATTTGATCTTACAATCACTAACAAGGTCATTTATGTGTTTGACCGTTTTCAGCCTACATCTGCAGCTCTTTGCAATCTTAACTAACTAGAAGCCAAAAAGTCTACCTCGAATGCATTCACAGAACAATCTTTTACATACATAGTCTGGTCAATCTGCGTGTCTTCTCTCACAATGATGGCCTCCAATCTTATCTCACGGCTTCTACCAAATACACAAGGACGATCAATATATGATTCATTACGTGCTCACGACGAGGCATCCGAATCGGATATAGACGTAGAGGAACGAGCGGCGATGGCAATCGACGAGGAGAATTTAAGGTTTCAGGATGATGAGTTAGGAAATCCAGCAGATGTCATCGGCGGCGAGTCTGTCACAGAAAGTACGGCATTTCTGTCTGATCAACAACAAACACCTCAGAAGCAGGGATATAATCGCAAGGGGAAAGGCAAAGGTCGCTCACAAAATTTGGCAGAATCGCCAAGGTTACTTGAAGAAGATCCAGATGATGATGTGCCTGCCTCATTGTTGATCGAGGGAAATAATCGACATGCTGATCCGGAGACCGCAAACCACATCCGAGCAAGGCAGAAGGCGCTGCCAAAAAGAGCACCTGCAGTACCGGGACCATCCGCACAACAGATAAAAGAAGAAAGAGATAGGGCTCATTGGGAGATGACGCAGGAACAACAGAAATTACATGCAGATGGCGGAAACAGGGCGACTGTTGTGCCGCACACACCACAGTCTATCCCTCAAAATAATGGATTCTACTTTACAGGCAGTCCGAAAGATAAAGCTATGTATCGATGGGTCAACGTAACAAATCTAGATAATTTCATCGGAGATCTATATGCTTATTTTGAGGGGGCGGGAATTTGGTGTATAGTTCTCGCCAAAGTCATTGACATCCTGTAAGTCCATCCTTCTAAGGTGAAGCAGCTCAAGCTAATCATATTTTCTTTTCTAGCACACTTGTTTTTGTAGCAGTATTTACGACTTTCCTTACACAATGTGTCGACTATAAAAAGATCTACCGTGGTGATGCTCGCAGCTTGGAGTACGCGTTGGTTCCACAATGTACAAAGAAGATATCCGGAATGTCGAATGTAGCAATTTGGCTAGTCTGCTTATTTGTACTCTATAGAGTATATCAGCTTCTGACGGATCTCCCGAGGCTTATGAAAATGCGTGACTTTTTTACCTATCTTCTTGAGATACAAGATAGCAATATGCAGACTGTATCTTTTCAAGATGTTATTGCTAGGTTAATGGCTCTGCGAGACGCAAATCCCATGACAGTGGAGAGGATTTCACCGGATAATCGGAAATTTGTCTTGGGGACTCAATCAAAACAACGACTTGATGCCCACGACATAGCCAATCGTTTGATGAGGAAAGAAAACTACCTTATTGCCCTGTTTAACAAGGAAATTCTGGACCTTACTCTACCCCTACCATTTCTGCAAGGCCGACAGCTATTTTCAAAAACCCTACAATGGAACTTAGAGTGGTGCATATTAGACTTTGTCTTCAATGACTATGGTCAGGTCAGACAATTGGTTCTGAAGGATTCCCATCGGCGAGAGTTGAGCGATGGGTTGCGAAATAGGTTTCTTTTCGCTGGTTTAATGAACGTTATCTGTGCTCCAGTCATTGTCATCTATGTGGTGATTGTGTATTTCTTCAAATACTTCAATGTAAATTTTGCCCTATCTTCGAAATTTGAACGCCAGCTAACTAGAGATTTAGCAATATCATAAAAATCCCGCGGCTCTCGGCTCACGGGGATATACGCCTCTTGCGGAGTGGAAATTTAGGGAGTTCAATGAGCTTCACCATTTATTTAACAAGCGGTTAAATATGTCTTACCCTTTTGCATCACGGTACCTCAATCAATTTCCAAACGTAAAAACGGCTCATATGGCTAAATTTATAACATTCATGGCCGGAGCCGTTGTTTCTGTTTTGGTAGTTGCCACGGTCTGGGATTCCGAAGTTTTGGCCGGATTTGACATCACCTCGGAGAGGCCGGTATTATTCTACATAGGAGTCTTTGGATCGCTTTGGGCTATCACAAATGGTATGATACCAGAAGAAAATGAGGTTTTTGACCCCGAGTATGCACTTCGGCAAGTGATAGAATATACTCATTACATGCCCAACCACTGGCAAGATCGACTCCACAGCGACGAAGTCAAACGGGAGTTTTCCACTCTCTACCAACTTAAACTCATGATTTTCATTGAAGAAGTATTTAGCATCATAATTACTCCATTTCTGTTATGGTTCAGCTTGCCAAAGTGCGCCGATCAGATCATTGACTTCTTTAGAGAATTCACAGTTCATGTTGATGGTGTGGGATATGTTTGCTCATTCGCCGTCTTCGATTTCAAGAAGGGAGATGGTAGAGCTCCGACACAAGGTAAAGCCAAGGCCGACATGCGAGAGGATTATTATTCCACGAAGCATGGAAAAATGGCCGCTTCATATTATAACTTCCTGGACAACTATTTGCTCAATCCAAAAACAGGTGTACCAGGACATAACCCACCAGGATTGCGACAACAATTCTACCCTCCTCCAGCCTTTCCAGGTTTGATGTCGTCTCCCACATCGGGTGCGGATTTGCAGAGCTCAAGGACGGGACGGAGTGATGCAAGGCCGGTGAATAGAGCACCTTATGCTCCGCAGCAAGCAGTTCGGACATCTCGATTCCCATCTAATACCGCTGCTACTGGATCTCCTATGGCCTCCATTCTTTTGGATCCACGTCACCAACCGCCATCATCTGAATTGGGAGCTCGTAGCGTTAGACGAAGCTCTCGATCCCGTTATCAAGCTCGTAGAGGAAACAATATTATTGAACATCCGATGGAGGACGAGGATGGATATTGCCGACCCGTCGTCCAACCTGGAAGATCTTATGCAGTTGATGAGACGGTCGCAAACCTGGGTGAATCCACTTGGGAAGTGTCTCCAGCAAAAGCAGACGCTGACGGTAAAGATGAGGAGGACGACGGTGATGCTACTGGGGGAGCTGGAGTCTTGGGACTTGTGTATCAATTTCAGAAGGCGCAAACAAATGGTAGACCCGGAGTCAGCATTTGGTAGTGAGGGAATATGAAGGTTATGGAGTCTGAGGCATTTTTTGGCGAAAGGGAAGATATATGCATGGTATCGGTTGGAGCGCATGGGTTTGGAGCGAAGCCACTTTTAATGTGAGCATATTTTAGCATGTAGTTTTGATATCAAATATCATGACATTCGACATTATTTGAAGATATAAGAGTGCTTTGATCAGGATATGAAATACATACACAGTTGGGTAAATATGATGGCTAAAGTTACTACTAATATTGATTGATGTCGTTGAGAAGATGGCTCACGATAGTAAGAATACAACCTAGGTCTCAACAGAAGAGGTACTAAATATTGAAATTGCTGGAGCAACAATCTTAAGAAATCCCCCCCGGGAAAACCGAATACAAAATACAAACACGAAAGTCGAGGTTTCAAGCCTTTTCTGTTTCAAGCGATCTCCACAATTCAGCCATCAAGTACTAAAACGCTAACGACTCCATCAGCATTCTCGAAATCCCGGTGAGATTATGATGGGAATTTGCCAGTATGGCATTCTGAAATGGTATTTTGCAGGAATGGCATGATGAAAGTTTTAGGGTAAGAAGATGTTGAGGGAAAACATGAAATGTCGTACGATGATGATGCCGATGATGCCATGGGCATTGATAAGGCTAAGTTAAGGCTGGCTCCCGCGGTGTTGGCTACTCAGGGATCTTTCTATTTTTGGGACTGTGCTTGGGTTTGTTGCGCACCTCACGACGCCTGTGACCGTTGTTTTCCTGTCGGTAAATGGATTTACCTTTTCCTTCTACGCCTTGTTTTGCTGCGAACTTGATGCGCGAGCTGTGAAAGGGGAAATGCCCTAGTACCTAGTAAACGATTAGCTGGGTATGGGTCGGTTGGTTGGAAGATCTAGGTCTAAATCTAAATCTAAGTCGTATTGCTACGGTACTTACATACCTAGATACCAAATAACCGGATCGCTTCACAATTAGTTTAGGAGTGGAAAAAACAAATGTCTTTCTAGATATCTTTATTCATATAGCCGCAGAACCCGAAAACTATTGCATAACTGTAAGCCTATCTTCCTTCTTGACAGATCTAGATCAAGTGGCATTTTCACTCGGTAGAAAGGATCCGAGAAGTCAACTAACAGTGAGCAAGGCGGACAGGCGATAAGCAGAAAATCCGATCAAAGGCTGCGAAAGCGGAGGTAGAGAAAGACAAAGAATTCGAATTTTCCATCATGATACGTAATATTCAAGTGCATATTAGACAGGTACGAGTAGGTATATACTATACACTATTACACTTGATATACTAGCAGAACATTTCTCTGTCCGAGGACATTCGCTTTCCCGACTAGCTACAGAAACTATTAGTCGGCCGTTTGTAAAAGCCGATTATTACTCAAATTTGTCTATTTTGTCTTGATTCACGGACTGCTTCATATAAAGAATTTATCTATATTCAATTCATAGGTATTTACATTTGTATTTTACTTCCCGTTGTGATTGTTATGTGTTGTTTGTTTTCAGAGATCAGAAAATCCTAACAAAGTCTTTTGAAACTTATTATTCTTTCTATCAACAATTGTAAGATATAAATCAGATTTGATTTCCTTTTATAAATAATATAAAAGCCGTTTCTTGTTTCTTTCGGTCCCGATTCGTTAGCAATAACCCCTGTTCATCCAAGAGACAAACACAGCATCAAGCATCAACCACTTTTTTAATTTTGCTTTCAACTTTCAACCTATATCTACCAATCAATCCGCCACCCCTCCTCTTCCCCTCAACGTCAACCACAACCACAACTTGATCGCAGAAATATTCTATTAGGTTAGAAGTTTCTCCATTTCCATACTTTGAATCTCCATCGAACTGCGACGTTCATTGTTGATTCTACGGAAGTCGACAACCTGGCTCTTCAATCAGCTCAAGTTGGAGGAGGATCTGCGGTGTTAGCCCAAATGGCTAAGCCGGACGCAGAGCCTGTGGAGGCATTCGAGGAGTATGTGTTTATGCTATGAGAGCAATTGGATCTTTTCTTACATCTGCTTGCAGGCGCAAAATACTGATACCGTGTTGGCTAGTTATGAATCTCTCCCACCAAATTTTTCGTTGATTCAAAATATGGCTGCGGGCGCCTTTGCCGGGATTGCGGTACGCTCATTAGACCTGCGGATCTCTATCCAATCGATACTGATAGACCTATAGGAACATACTGTTATGTATCCGATCGATGCAATCAAGGTATATATGAATTGTCCCTCGGATGAAGGCAAGAGGCGATATTGACATGACGCAGACCCGAATGCAAATTCTCAACCCTACCCCATCCGCCGTTTACAATGGTATGATACAAGGAGGATACCGGATAGCTACTGGAGAAGGGCTTCTCAGTTTATGGCGCGGCATGTCAAGTGTGGTTGTGGGAGCTGGTCAGTCTCGGTCGAATCGGATAAGCGCGGAAAAGTACTGATAACATTTTAGGACCCGCACATGCTGTTTATTTTGCTACTTATGAAGCTGTGAAACATCTCATGGGAGGAAACAAAGCTGGTGTTCATCATCCTCTTGCTGCTGGTTTGTTTTTATGAAGGCCTAAATTTGTCATGATCTCCTAACAATCGATAGCTACTAGTGGAGCTTGCGCAACCATAGCTAGTGATGCCCTCATGAATCCTTTTGATGGTATGATATACATAAGGCATCTTTTACGACTTTATACTGACACTCTATAGTTATTAAACAGCGCATGCAAATGCACAATTCGAAAGTAATGTACAAATCAATGTTCGATTGTGCTAGATACGTCTATCGAACCGAAGGTCTTACCTCATTCTACGTTTCCTATCCTACCACACTGTCCATGACAGTTCCTTTTACTGCTCTTCAATTCCTCGCATACGAATCGATCTCGACCGTCATGAACCCTACCAAAAAATATGACCCATGGACTCATTGTACAGCTGGTGCGATTGGAGGAGGTTTTGCAGCCGCGCTTACAACCCCTATGGATGTGGTTAAAACTCTATTACAAACCAGAGGAACGGCTAGGGATGCGGAACTAAGAAATGTTAGTGGTTTTGTGGAAGGTTGCCGGGTCATTCATCGAAGAGCAGGTTTCGCCGGATTTTTCAAGGGTGTTAAACCAAGAGTGATTACTACTATGCCAAGTACTGCTATTTGTTGGTCTGCATACGAGGCTTGCAAGTAAGTGTTTCCACGATTTGGAATTTTGAAATTATACTAACGAATCCAAAAGGGCTTATTTCATTAGGCAGAACAACATGGATGTTTAATATGCTTCGGTTTAAAATTGCTTTTGGCGAATCTCCTTAATGAGCGTAATTCGGGTGCGATTATGCGATACCATACACTACCAAAATTCCGATTCTTTTGCCCGAAAACTGCTTCAACAACAATCACATAGATATGATCTTGTGGATGTGGAAGCGATCGAACGCTTGATACCAGTGATTTCATAGGATAGCTCAACATATCGCCATGTTAAGGTTAAAGTTTCTTGTTGCGAGTAACGATGGACGATCTGTACATAGAATACCTTTCCTTTTTCCTTTTTTTGCTTAGATTCTCTTTTTTTTTATGGTATGACATCCATGCGTGTATGGAATGTTTTGAGATGATATCTTCTAAGAAAAAGTCATCAGAGATGAAGATGACATCGAAGAGGATATTTGTGAACGAAATTTGACTGGCGTTTCATCTAGCGATGGATTGATATGCTAGGTAGAAGGATGGATTTGCATTGAGTGGAGAAAAGAATGGATGACAGGTGTGGCGCGAGGTGTAGTGGACAGGGCGTTGCTGAAAGTTGAACCGCTTTAGAATGGATGGATGGCCGAGTGTGCATTCCTGTGTGATGGGATTATGTTTGGCGATTTGTACTATACCAAAACAACATTCAAGTGAAGTGAGGAGAGAGAAAAAAAAAGGACAAGAGAAAAATTCTAGTGGCTTTGGTGTTAAATGTGTTGTGATGTCATGTGATAGAGATGGGAGTTTGAAGATGAATTGTGATATTGGGTGATTTGTGGGTTTACGGGCTTATAGGATTGATGGGGTTATGGATTTTCTGGAATGGCTAATAAAGTTATCGTTATAAGTTCATCAAGAAGAGAAAGTAATCTTCGATTTAACCATGGATTTTCTACTGTTTTTTTAGGGACCTTCTCTTTCTTTCTCTTTTCATCTTTGCAATGATGCATATTAGGTGATGATTTATAAGAGTGGATGGGTAGATGAAAAGAACTTGAAGTTGTGTTGTTGTGGTTGTGGAATATGTTGTATGCGGGTTTATTCTGGAGTTACTGGTAGGTGGATGTGATGGCGATGTGGTTTGGGGTGGGTCGGTGTTTGTTTGTTTGTTGTTGGGGTTGTGGATGATTTGGGGGGCGTATGTGTGGAGGGTTTTTTGACGCGGAGCTGCTGGGGCATTGAGCTGGGCGACGGCGAGGGTTGTGAGGTGAGGTGAGGTGAGAATGTGGTGGGAGATTGTGAGTGGAGAGCAAAGACCTTAGAGTCATGGTTACAGGTTGCGAGGCTGACCTGTATTTGTGATGATCGAGAGTATGAGTGAACTGGAATGGGGTTAGGAGTTATTATATTGATTAATACCAGGGGATATTCGACGAGGCAAGTCAGTGAGTGGTAGAGTTAGCTTCGAGTCAATTATGAGTTTTCCAATGATGTTTCGGGTTACTCATACGAGGAGTGAGTTGTGAGTTCTGAGGTTATATAAACTCTTTCCTTGGTTTTGTTGTGGGTTTTTGCTTTTTCTGTAAGTATTTTTAATACTGTCAACATCATCAACATCATTATAAACAACATCCAAAAACAATACTCAAACCAATATTCATTACTCAAATCGATACCTCGTTTCTCATACATAATAGTATCCAACTCAAACCAATATACATTCCAAAATGTCAACCAAAGATAAATCTCGAGAAATAACGACGGGTATAGACAAGGATTTGTCTGCAACTCATATGCTTCTACAGACAAAGTGTGTAACTAGTGGGTGTATCAAGGTATGGACTCCCAAAATAGAGTCCGGTACAGTCTGTGTTAACTCCTATCAGCCATCTTCAAAATTCATAGTCAAAATAATAATATTTTAATAAATTTAAATATGATTTATAAAACAGCTGATAGCAGTGGCAAGTACTGTACTACGATCACGGCAGACAATGAGAAAGGTGCGATGTACGCCAGAGATCATCCTGTTTCGACGCATAGGGCAACAAGTCGTAGAGATGAGATGCCACCCCAAGATACTAGGACGACTGCAGATAAGATAAGAGATACAAGTGGCGTGGTGCGTGTCAAAACTATTAATACAACTACGCGTAAGGCAAAAGGTGGGAGTATGGTGCGCATGCGTACCATAGAGAGTCGACTTTCCAGAAATGTTGAGGAGAGGAAACGTGAAGGGGGCGAGAGGGGCGGGTCTACGAATAGGGGAAAGGAGGAAGATGCGTGGAAGAGGAGAAGGATGTAGATAAAGTTTTCATGGAAGATGTGAGGTAGAAGATGGATGGAAAAGAGGTGAGACAAGGTATAGAAATTGATTGGCAAAGTGATAGGGGAATGAAGGTAGAGGAACCGGGTTCCAATAGTCCGGAGATTTCAGTTCGCAGTGTTTAAGTTCGGAGTAGGCTGGTACTTTGATCTCCGGAGTTTTCTAGGCTTCTATCTGGGGAGATGAGAATACTTATTGGAGGGAGTGGTCATAAGGATGGTGATGGGGCTATACGTCGGACTCAAGCTTAGAAACTGTAATCGATGATGTTGCGTCGATACATATCTCCCTCTTATTCACTATTTCCTTATATGCTTATTAATTTTTTGGGTATTATATTAGTATTAAAGTCGTCTATATATAGATATGGACTATAATGAGTCAGTGTGAAGGATTCATATATTTACTTTTGTATTATCACAAGATTGTCCCGGGGGAATTTCTAATCATATTCAGGGAACTATGAATAAAGCTGGATTATTTATATTTACGAAAAATGAATATAATAAAGCTGTATATCAGTCATATTTCCTATACAACCGCGTATTTAAGAGTTTTGCTTTTGCTTTTTGGTATTGTTGGTTTTTACTTCTTTTTTATATCAATATCAAAGCCAATACCAAACCACTATCAATAACCTTCATATTTATAAACTCGTATCGCAAATCAATATTCAAACTACAAAATCAAATTGAAGCCGAACATCCAAACCAACTTCAATCCATCAACTCGAATCAGATACCGAAGTTAATATTCAACCCATCCAAATCAATACTCAAACCGATACTCACCCGAACGCCCAACCGAAAGATGTCTTCCCAGTCAAGTCAATTACCAATTCGCGAATACAACAAGCAAAGTGTAAATGATTTCGAGGGTCAGCAATACGGAGAAAGCGCAACCCGAGCCAGCGCAGCTCGAGCCAGCGACAATGATCCTCAATATCGGAAAACTGACACCAGTAATGGATATCAAGCTGGACGTCAACCTTCTCCACGCCAAGATGCCACGGGTAAGCGCCCATTATTGAAGAAAAAGCATAAGGCATCCAGACATAAAAAGTTTAAAGAAGAGGCAGAAGAGGATAAAGAGGTTGCGAATAGAGTTCATTATAAGGTTGGTGGCTCTGGTGGTGGAGAAAGAGATAATGAAGCCAAAAACTTTGAGCAGAGAAGAGCCCTTCTTATTGAGAAGAATAGGGCAGCAGAAAAGGAAGAGAATGAGAAACAAAGAAATATGGGACATTATTTTGAGGAAGATTAGGCATGTTGAGCATTGTAGTTATGGAGGATCATGAAGGAATTTAGACCTAGAAACTAAAATCGATGATATTACACACCCGCAATTTTCGAGTCATCTTTCGTGTGTTATTTAGAAATTATGAGTTCGATATTATGAATTGTGATTAGTTTTATGATTCTTTGATTTTTAATATGAATATCAAGGACTCATATCTTCCACATTTTGTCTACTTGAGAGATCTACTTCCCGCTAATTTCTATTCCATTTCCAATATCAACATCTACATTGAAAGCCTATCAAGATTCAAATCTTAACAAACATCACAATCCGACTCAATTTTCACTCAATTAAAACCCAAATATGTCTCGCGCCGGGACTTCGTCGAAGGATTGGACCATCATGCCTATCAAACCGGACAATCAGATTTTGCTGGAGAAGGCCAACCACATCGAGATCCGAGACGTGTCTTCATCGATCCATATCCTGATATGGTACTCGATACTCGCTATACAGATCTTGATCCATATCCTGATACACTTCCCGATACCCCGTCTTGAACTTCATGTGTCGGAAGTGCTACTCAATATTTTGACCCTCAGGAGGACTATCAACAAACCCCATATCATTTGGATTCACGACAGCCTGCGTTCGAGAACTATAGAATATCTCGTAGATCAAATCCCACTTACACACCTCGACGAATTTCAACACGTCAACACTCACCATTTCGTGTGAACAAGAGACGTGCCATGCATGATCCACATCCTAGAGCCGATGATCAGAGCTATACATCACATCCACGCTCATCTCTTCCTGTGCACAATGCACCTACCTCATCTCATAGTTCATATTCTGGCACCCCACCTCAAAGAGGGGCAGCATTTCAAGCCTCATTTCCTCGTATGAACAGCGGATCTACCTCCCATAATTCGTATTCTGGAGGCTAATATCAAGAAAATCTACCAAATATAGTTATAACTCCACCCCTCCCTCCAGCTTCGCCCTCCACTCCGCCTCTTCTTCGTCAAGCTCTTGTTGCGGCCGTTACACCCCAATCTTATCTTTATCCAGTAGATCCTACTATTTTGAATAGCGTCGACGATGATCAAGATTATGCGTTTTTAAGGCACGGGAAAGCTCGTTATTCAGGGGTATCATACGTGCGGGCACAGAAGAAAGAATCGGGAGTGGTACAACTTTCAGGAGATTTTTGAAATATGTCGATAAGTTCAGACAAGGCCGAAGTAAAGGGAACAGGGGTATCTAAGACGGGGAGAGCAAATAGTAAAGCTGATAGGAGAAAATGAAATATGATAATAGATCAGGGATATTTGTTATATTGGTAGCTACCAGGGAACATGTGCAATGGGTAAATGAAATTTAATGAATGGTACTTAGAATTAGAAACCAAATCGATGATATTACAACTCCAAAACTTTCGAGTCATTTTTCGTGTCAAACTCACTCAATTAGTAAAATGTGAACAAATGTCAAAGATTCATAAACCGCCAGATTTTGTCTATAAAGAACCCAGCTTCCGCTCATTTTCGCTGTTCGTTTCTTCAACTATAATTCTGCAACTTTATCAACATTAAACCTGTACTTTTTAAATCAAATTTGTATTAGAACTTACATCTTATCAACTCGATACTCGAAACTCAAATCACTATTCGATCGGTATCCAACCTAAAATCAAAACCAGAAACAAAATCAAAAAATGCCCTACGCCGTGCAACCATGGCATCCACAGGACGGATATAAACCTCCTACCGAGGAAATCGTTGTAGAAGAGATTTTTGATGATGAAGATGGAAAGTATTCGGCGGTAGAAAAGGATGAAAATCATACTGGCCAGGGTGCTGCGTTCGTTGACCCACTGTCCGATACTAGAACTCGATCTTCATATACCGAAACTAATACACGATATACAGACGGACGGCAGGAACATCAACAAGCACCTTCGTATTCACGTCCTCGAGTTCATATCACACGTAAATCGTACGGTTCATACACAGAAGCTATTCCACAACAAACATCACCCTGTCCTAGACTTCATATCAGACGTACCTCGCATGGTTCGTACAGGGAAGCCGTGCCACAACGAGCATCACCGCGTTCTTCCCTTGCATACACTGCGCCTATAAACCACCCGGAAACGCCGATGCGTTACTTTGATGTGGGAGGAAGGCAATATCCGTACTATTTCCATAATTATGAAGATGCAGGAATCGGATTCTGGCGACTTGATCCGCCTTATCGGTCTTCGGATACAACAGGAATGAGTAGGTCCGAGACGCTTCATCCAAGAACTCGAGATATTCCATATAGAAGGGCTGAGGGAGCAAGTGATTTTGGCCGATATCTAGATGATAGCGAACTCAGAGTGGTGGAATGGCGGGAAGACGTGGCAAGCCAAACGGCTAGGCAAAGTGACGCGCGAAACCGGGAAGAAGCGCATCATTCGAGAAGAGATAGGAACCAGTAATAAATCTCATAGATGGGAAAATGAATTTGAGAGGTGGAGAATAAGATAAAATGAATAATAACTAGGTCTGAAAATCAAAAGCGATGATGTTACATTTTACACTTGTATTGAGACGTGTAAAACTAAAACGGAAATATGATCTCCAATTATTCACTTAGGGATCACCTGTTTTTGCAGATTCATAAACTTCAGATGTGTTTTTATCAATCTTATTGATTCCTCCTTCTCATAATTCCCAATAGTGTTTATTAAAATCTACGCTTTCAATCATTAACATCAAATTCAGCAATAAAATTAGTATCCGAACCATCCTCGAACAAAATGGCACAAGAACTTTCGCGATATCGAAGACGTAACGGATCACACCAGGCTCCTCGCAATGATGTTATCGACGTTAAAAGTGTATGTGGGGATGCGAATGTACAGTTATGTACAGTTATGAAGGTTCAAAGACATATAGAAGAGGGAAATATTGTGAGGATGGTTGGAGAGTCATACGCTAATTATTGTGAATGAAAGATGTGAGCGATTTTCAAACCCAGGACTCAAAGTCTATGACATTATATTTTAGATTTCTATTCATAAGTGCAGGACGCAAGCATGATTCTTCATCATATATTTGATTACTCAAATTAGGAATAAATCATTTTGAGGACTCATCAGTCCTCAAAGTTTTGTCTATTTAAGGGCCCGTTTCCTTCTGAAAGCACTTCTGTTTTCTGTTTCTCTTCATAAACAAGAACCATCAAAATCAAAACTTTCCATCCACAGGAATATTCAAATCGATATCAGTTCAAGAAATATGACACACGAATCAGGTCAACAAACGGCCGATCATAAGCCTCACTGCAGTAATATCGTCATCCACCAGGCTGACAACTTTGGACGTTGCGGAATTTGTGATTCTACAGCCGGTGCTTTATGGACTTACGAAGCCGGCGACGCAGCTTGAGAACTCGAATCTAGCTATATAATTGCAGAACCCGAAGCTGCAGACGCAAACTCAGAACTCGAATCTAGCTGCGTAACTGCAAAACCCGAAACTACCGACGCAATTCCAGAACCCACAGCGCTCGAAACGGTTTCCCCTAATCCGGAGACTATAGAGAAGCCAAAACTTGTTTTTAAAAGACAAGCTCGAGTTGGGATTTGGGCAGGTTCCCTGATGGACAGCCCTGCAGAGCCTGTGCCCAGATATCAAAATGCTGGGCCACAATATCAACTAGGTCCACCAGGTCCTCCTTCTGAAAAGTCCGGATATAGGACTCTTTACGATTCCATTATTGCTACCAACGATTTGGAACGTTTTCACCTCGAGAATAGACTTGATAAGAAGGAAAATATGGAGGCTTTTGTTTGTCCAGCTAGTCGAAATAGTGATGACGGGCAAATGGAGCTGGGCACTAGGCAGTTTTTTGACTTGGAAAAGAGGCAACCAAATGTAGTGGTTAGACAAGGATGGGCAGGAAAAAATCGTGAGACTACGAGAAATTAGGCGAGGAGTTTCAGCATGTACCGAGAATGATGGTAACTGCACTGGTGGACAAATGAAGGAGCCATGGATAATAGTTGAGTTTAAAAAGTAAAAGCAATGATATTATAACTCTACAATATCCTTTCCCATAACACTTTTTTTTTCCTGTCACTTGCCATGATTTACAGTACTATAGTATTACTCACACAACGAACACAAGTAATTTCTTTCACCACAGATTTTTGAATAATATTCATCACTTAATGAATATTCCAACATTATTCAAGTTATAAATCTATGAATCTCAAAACCGTACAAACGTTAAACAATATCTGGATACTTAAGGGTCCACGTCCCGCATATTAACATTATCGATTTCCACATCTTTTCATGAACATCAACATCAAATATTTCATCAAAATTAACACCTTCATTCAATCATTCATCATCATCATCAACAACAACAACATAACCAATATCCAAGCACGAAACATGTCTACATCCAACTCTAACTCTTTAAACCCAAAGAAACGAAAGACCCTACACAAGGCTTCTTGCAACGAGGGTAATGGTATGGTGGTAGAAGAGTATACTGGGTCTGACACCGGACAATACATGGATTCAGTACAAGAGGCAGATGAAGCGCATTCAGGCATGGTAGATGGGTACACATATCCATCGCCCCACGAAGTATCCGCCGCTTCACAGAAATCAGATAGAGTATCGAGCCTCCGATAGCGCTGGACGTTCAAAGTAATTCAGACGCTTGAATTCTGCATTCACTTATTCAAAGACCGGCGACGCATCCGTGTTTCTGAAAAGAACGATTCGAATGGGAAATTCAAGACGCATTAAACTCCCAACAGCGCTGCAGCTCCAAGCCAACATAAACGTCCTGAATCTACTCCAAGCATCAACATTAACCCGACAACACATCTCCATCTTCCACACGGATGGTACGTCGGAAATTTGAAATGCATCAAACTTTCAACAGCGCTTTTATTCCAACAATCCACAAGTGGAGTAGGTAGGTATATAAAACCCTCCACAGTTCGACAATTCGACCATACCTCTATATCTTCTATAATTCATATATAAGCACGAGAGCTTCCAAGCATCAAACCCTCGGCAGCGCTTTAGGTCCGCATAAACCACAAGCAAGCAGGCATCTCTATACAACCTCCACCACTCGAGATCGGCCAGGGCCTGCCCCGCCATTTCCATCTTCTTCCTCTTCCTACTTCACACCACCATCCTTATACCCACTTCTATCAATTTAATCCCTTCCCATACCCAGTCCACTTCCAACGCCCCATTCTTGGGGATCATCTATGAGAGACAACTGCGCGGAGGAAAGTAGGGGGAAAACGGATGAATGTCATGAAAAACTAGGAGAAATTCGTTAAGGAAATGAATTGATGGGGATGATATGGGTTGGTAGGAAGGAGGAGGTAGTAAAGATTGATATTATGGACACTATACCGAGATGAATGAAGGAGCCAACTATCGAATGGAGAATAATGGTACTCAAGCCAAAAAGTTAGAATGAATGATGTTAAGATTTTACATATCTTGCAATGTACCACTTGCAGTTGTGGCATTTCACCCTGTACTCCATGTTCCCACTCCCATGTTTCACAAATGAATACACCTCAACTTGAGGGTTAATAGTTTGAATATTTGTATGATTTCTGAAAATCTGTCCGGATATTAGATATTTTGTACCCTACAACCTTGAACGTGACAAATCCAGACGTAAACCTCTACGCCAACTGCCTAAGATATCATAACGCTGACAATGCTCCAGAACTCCCGTTCCCATGATCATAACCAAATCCCCAATTCTTTATACAGATCTCATGACGGAGAGGTAGTAGACTAGCTGTCGCTCAATCATCATCACTACTTTCCTCATCACCCAGGAATGCTAAATCATTCTTTCTTCTAGCCCTAGCAGAAACCTCCATATCTTCATCATCATCACTTTCTTCATCCTCTCCTTGAGTACTGCCGCTTTTGCTTTTGCTATCATCCTCACTGCTCTCGACCTTTTTCTTGTCCTCCTTGGCACCACCCCCACTTCTCCTTGAACCTCTGCTCAATCCCCATGCTTTCTCGCCCTCTTTCACCGCTTCCAAATCAGCCTGTAATTCTCTCATCTCCTTGATTTCTTTCGCCCTCCCTTCGCTAAACCGTCCAGTCATACCCACTTCCGTTAACATATTCTTCAAATGTGTAATTTTTTCATTCTCTGTCTCGTATTTCTTCAGTTCGAAAGCCCAGATTTTGCGAATTCCACATTTAACGAGTTGTGATTGGAGAGTTTTAATGAGCTGCTCGTTAAGTGTGAGTTCTGCCGTAGCTTTTGCCTTTGCGGCTTTAGGTTTAGCGGTTTTGGTCACTTTAGGCGGTTTGGACGAGGTGGATTTAGATTTCTTGGCACGAGGTTTGGTAGTTAAAGGACCATCAAGAACGACAGACATAGCTGAAGAGTCAGATTCGTGGCCCGCATCTTTGTTATTGGAGTGTTCAGAGGCCTCTTCTTCTGTTTTTGGAGGAGGTGACAAGGAGGAATCCCGGATCTTTGGGGACACGGCTTTAGGGGGCGCTTTTGCCTCGGATGGAGCGATTGATGGGATATCGGACAATTCAGAATCGGAGGAGACGGCTTCTTTCTTTAATGGTTTCTTAGCTTTCTTGGGCACTACCTCATCTTCATTGTCGCTGGCGTCATTGTCCGAATTGGCTTTAACAGCCTTCTTGACTTGCTTCCTTGGTTTCGCTTTTGGTATATCTTCGCTTATTTCGGAGTCAACTTCTGATATTTCTGTTTCTTCAAGCTCAGAAAGTTCGGAATCAGAAACGGGAGTTTTCTCTTTCTTTTGTCTCTTTGGTGGAGGTGCCTTCTTTTCCGGCGAAGCTCGTTTCGCTCCTTTCGCGACAGGTGTAGCTTTCTTCACAGATGTTTTCTTGACATTCTTTGCCTTTACAAGGTCTTCCTCCTCTTCCTTTCCATCCTCTTGCATCAATTTGTCCTGCAATTGAGTATTAGAATCAATTGTCTAATCCAACAGCTTCAATCCACAATGAACTTACGACTTCGCCTTTAATAATCCCTTTACTCTTCTCCTTCCATTTTCCCTCATTTAAAAACCCATCACTCAATTCGTATTCCTGTTCGACTTTTGTTCTAATGAATCGTACACTTAATTTATCTTTCTCGTCACTGTGGAAGACATCGCGTACAGTCTTGGAGAGAGCGCTGGTCAGCGCTTTATCGGAGAGAGCCATCCTATCTGTCGAATAACAATTCAGAGGTAACAGATGGCGAAGGCTGAATTGATATCGCAAGGCTGAGAATTAGAAATTATTCCTACGTTGGATCAAATCGCGTCGCGTGTCGTATAGGAGCTTTTCGGATTTTGGATAATTAATTGATTTGTGATGTGTAAAGTGGGGATGATAAGCATTTTAAGTAGAAGGCGGTGGGTGGCAGAACCGCTGGTGGCACGTGCACCCCCTCTCTTTAAGCTCTTTCAGCAAGATGTTTTTTATTCTTCCCCTTTCTGAATTCAATGAATGGATCAAACTAATGGGTTAGATTTTCAGAGGTTGGTGACTATCCCCTACAACCGGTTTTCTAATACGAAGTATGCTTGAGATTCATTTCGCAGTGTTGTAACATGTTGATTTTTGAATCTTCTACTCCTCTTTCTTTTGGGAGACTAGTTTAGAACATGACTTCAGATTCCGAATTTGGTGAGAAGACAAAGGGAGGCAAAGCTGCTTCAGTCTTCGCGGACGAACTAAGCAAAAGAAGATTATACCTTCTCATGTATCACATCAAACTGCCATCTGCTAAATTTAAACAGTACTTATCGTTGGCGTAGGCACGAAGCAAGTCGGGGCGCGTCTTGCGCAAACACCGGCTGCTCATGGACCAAACCTTCTCGTCCTTACCGGACGGTTCACAAATGATGTCGAGTCTGTCACGGAGCTCATCAGGAAAACATATCCGAATGTGCATATTCGAATTATTAAGCTTGATGTGGCATCATTTGAGTCTGTCTGGTCCCCTGTCGTCGAGGTTGATTCATACACAGAACAAAATATTGATATTCTGATCGGCGTTGATGGTTTTGGGGTGCATTTGGCCACCAGCTACCTCGGGAGTTTTTTACTTACCATCCTCATAACGGATAAGTAGTTAACACCCGAGTTGGGAGCTCGTATGGTGAATATGAGTGGTAATGGTTACATACTCTCTCACTTCCTTTTAACGGGCTACACTGCCGAGGAAGATTCTATCGGAGGAATAAAATCCCCGAAAGTACTTTGCGAAGCATATGGGCTCCCTTGAGGTCTCGGTTCCTTTCCGACAGTTATACATATGGACAGACTCAAACTGCTATGATCCTGTATACTCTGCACAAGTGTCTAAGAGAAGAATTACACATCTCTGTGCTCATCCTGGAGGTCGGGTTCTCTTCCTATATTGAACCTCTACGTGTCGAATATTTCTATAGCGATTGAAACTAGTTTCTGGAGACACATACCGGAGAAAGTTACCAACAATCTTCCGCTATGATGCTCATGAAAACACCAAGTGAAGGTATCAGCACAACCTGTTCAGCGCACAGTACCTTAAGCTTTCGGGCGAATCGTCTTTCATTTCAAATATTTGGATGGTTGAGAAACCATTAGCCTACGATTCGTGCACCACTATCCTTGAATGCCTATCTCGAAAATTGCCGGGTTCAGCCTCTTTTTGAGTACGCTACCTCCTGATGGGGTAAAAGCAGAAACTTTTGAAAGTTCATAGGAAAATTGGTTGGGCAGAGCTCTTCATCTTAAAAAATCCTGCTTGATTCACTATCGAAAGATATTATTGGCTTTTGACTTACATTAAGTTAAACAAGTTAATATCCTCGGCGATGAGTAGGCCAGGTCAATTACCGACAGCTAGGGATGGGGCCTTCGTGTAAAACAGAGCTAAATTACAATAAAGCATAACAAGAGTACTTAAATCAACGTATTCAATGCTTTAAAGTTCACTTCAGTTTCAATGGATGGAAGATAATATTGAAAATCATCTTTCTCGATATGTCCAATCATATGCTCCAATTAATTCGTTCCCTTTCCCGGAACACCTATTAAAAGTGTATCACGGTAGTGAAAGTACTAGATTACTAATAAATAAAGCAACTCGAATCATTACGCTCTATAAAATTACAACAAAACATCCCTACGGCAGCTCTCAGATATAATGGAAAACGGGCCATCAGCATTGCTGTAGAATTGGTAGCCTAACACACAAAAACCCACGGATATATTACCCGCTGTGGTTAATCTTTTCAAAGCCCTCTATTTCCCGCGTCAAGAAACTCAGAATATTGTAAATATGTCTCTTGTTATTTATCTTTTCATTGCAATGAGTCTGATCATCCTACTTATATCCACCTTGCCTCGTCGATCACGGTTTCCAGGCATCCCAAGAGTTGGCAAAACCTCAGGACTTTTAGACATTAACCGTGCTGCCGCAAAAAGAGAATTTATGAATAATGGACATCGTCTCGTAGATGCAGGTTACCGCAAGGTAAGATATATTCTCACTACCTACTTAAATGTTTCCGGGAGAAAAAACTAATATCAGACGTAATATAGTATAGAGACAAGCCTTTCATAGTCCAAACAGAAGACATGGAACGTCTAATCCTCCCTCCTAAATTTCTTGCAGAGCTACGTATGTTACCCGAAACAAAACTCAATCAGTCTATTGCTCTTGTAGAAAGATGGTTGGGTCATTATAGTGGTGTTGATATTGTTTTAAAGAGTCGTCACCATTCTCATGTTTGTCGGGTTCAACTTACTCAGAATTTACGTGAGTGTTCGCACATTTTGCCAAACTATTGGATCCAAGAATCGAGACTAACGAGCATGTCGCAGCTGAATTTGTGCCAGATATGGCAGCAGAACTTTCATTCGCCATGTCAAGATCTTTGATTCATTGCTCTTCACGAGGTTAGTTTCCGCGTACCCTTAGGCAAACCTCATATAGCTTATTGTTCATGCAGAATACGCATCAATACCCACCTACTCATATGTATACTCGATGATTCTGGCCGTATCCTCACGAGTCTTCGTTGGCCTGCCACTTTCCCGTGAAAAGGCCTGGCTAGATAATGTTTCTGCTTACTTGAATGAAGTAGCAGCAATCGCTGATTCACTCCGTCCATATCCTCGTTTGTTACGTCCTCTCCTCAGACCATTCCTCGCTCCAAAAAGTCGTATGGATGGCATTCTTTCAAAAGCTCTAGAGATTCTAGGACCTGCCATTCAGGAGAGGCAAAAGCCCCATCATAAAGCAAATGATCTATTAGGATTCCTGATTTCAACATCCAAAGTTGTTAACCCAAAAGAGATCACTTTGAAACTTTTGGTGCTGAATGCCGCAGCGGTTTGTTCCCGTTTCTGTTTAAATCTTGACATTCCAATCCGAAGCTAATTATAGACTAATAGCTACACACATCTACAATGGTCGCAGTCCACACTCTGTACGATCTCTGCGAGCGACCATCATACATCGTCGACTTGCGTGCCGAAATCAAGGATGTCTTGAAAGAAGAAGGATCATGGCGAATTTCCACCATAAACAAGCTGAGAAAATTAGATAGTTTTATGAAAGAATCTATGCGGTATAATCAACCAAATGCTCGTACGTATATCTCAACTGCCCAAGCAAAACCTCACTAACAAAGCACCAGTATCCTTCGACCGCATAGTTCTCACACCCCATACCCTCTCCACTGGTCTCCACCTCCCTATCGGAACATTTATATCCATGGCCTCCGAATCCATGTCTCGAGACCCAACCTACTACTCCAGCCCGGACTCCCCAACCATCTTCAACCCATCCAGATTCCACCAATCGTTTGCCCGGACCGAAAAACCAATCTATAACCCCCTCAAAGAATTCACCAGCATCGAACCCGGTAATTTAGCGTGGGGAAATGGAAGGCAAACATGTCCGGGGAGATGGTATGCAGGAGTTGTGATAAAACTTGTCGTGGGGACTTTGTTGGAGGGGTATGAGATGAAGTTTCCGGAGGGAGTGAGACGACCGGAAAATTTGTATAGGAATGCGGGGACTATGCCATGTGTTAAGCAGGAGATACTTTTGAGGGAGCTGGTGTGAGGTGGTAGGAAAGGTTCTTAGAGGAAAATAAAAGGGTTTGAATTTGATTGTGATGGTAGCTCTTGCCTTCAATGGATTAGTTCCTACACTTCTAGGTTAAATCAATTAATTTCCATCCTCCTTCACCATATAACACCCTCAATACCACGCGAATTGATACCCAAAGCATCTTACACCCAACAACTAATTTATACACAAACCTCTCATAATCCTAACCAACCAAACATAATTAATACCATGCACATTCCCATCCATAATGCAAACAGGCATCTCTACAGCCTCCCAAAAAGCTTATACCATTGCATTCACTACCTGCAGCTCATTACCTAAACCCAGATCTTATCCACAATAAATCTCATCCTCGAGATATTCTAGCATCCTGTTTTCTAGTCAATGTTCAATGCTCATACTACAGCTCTAACCCATCATTCCACCCCATCACCCAAAACCCAAGCGTACAAGCCATGAACACGCGAAAACTGAGCAAGAGTCTCTGAGCAGGCCATACGATACTCCTTCCGTACAATCTCCCAATCTCTCTTTAACTCCACTCTTCTTTCCTCTGTACCCTTTCGTCATCTTGTAACCTCATCATTTCACCATATCCATCTCACTGATCTACTCACCATCCTCTCCCCTCCTCTCTCTTCCTTTCATTAAATCATACTTATCCTCACAACCACCCGCCATTCCTCTTAATTTCTCCTAAAAAGGCACAATCAATCAATATATATACAAATTATCTCCATACCCATGTCCATATCTTTTCCCCTCCCCATCTATCCGCAAAAGCCCATCCCATTCCATCACTCTCCTTTCAACCCAACCCAGAAAAACCACTCAAATTTGTAAGCTATATGGGTATTGTACCGAGAACAAAGATAAAGATATATAGATATAAGACTTGTGATTTTCTTTCGGCATGGCAGAGATAATAGAGTGAGTGAGTGAATGAGTGAGTGAATGAATGAAGTTAAGGTATAAGAATTACGGATATGAAAAAGAGTTGTATGGAGTTGGGATTTGGGTTTAAGAGCTGGGGATTGTGATGAAGGTGTCAGACTTGTTCATTTGAGGACCTAGAAGATTCTGTTTGTTTTAGATGTTTGTTATCGTGAGAGTCCTATATATTGGCATTGCATTTAGATTATGATGCGACGGCCGTGGCTAGTGTGTCACTTAAGAAATGGTGGGGGTCAAAAGGCCGATTGCATTGTTATCACTGGGGATTTAGGATATAAGTTTAGATTATAAGTTCTAATCAAACTAGGTTGAGAACAAAAAGCATGTTGTAGCTCAGGTATGGCAGTTCGAGAATGCATTCATCAACCATTTTCCAGCAATATTATTTAGGGCTCTAGATATCAATCGCCAAGTTGACCCTGCAAATTTCACTGCCCCTCAAGTCACTTCATCCAATAATGAATTATGGATATCCAAAACAGCAAGCTCTTTATCTAAAAGAAATGTAGACCATAAATATATGGACCATCGCTTCCACCTCCCACATGATGATGCCGGGATAAAAAGCCACGGTGAGTAATCGGTCTTTGATCAATCTTCTTGCGCTTAAATAGATCACACACCATAAAATGTTGGTGTGAGCCTGCGTATGGCAAGTATTTTATTGCTCTGTACCCCTCTGTTGCTTGGTATAATATGGAATGACCAACCTTTTTTTGGCACCAAGCTAAAGGAAATCACGTATCATCTGACAATGCACGAGTGAAATTTCTGATCAGAGCTTTAGCAGCATCGAATGATGACCTTGCTAATCGGGTAGCAGGATGTCCGTTTTCGAAGTCCTTCCTTACATATAAAATCCGATGACGAGTGTCATGTCGGGATTCATTTAGACGATAGCTAGTTGTTCGTTGAACTTGAGGAGTGTTTGAGCCGTGCTGATAAGATGAGCACTACTCATATACGCATGTCAAGATTGATGCGTGAAGAAGCTCGAAAGCGAGTTCGAGATGAAAAACAAAAGATGTCAAGAGACAAATGTGCGCGCACAAAACCAATCGAATGCATTGAAAGCATAGGAGCGAATTGAAAAGTGTAGGCGATTCTGCTCTTCGGACGGAATGAGAGCCAAGTGACACGAAGAATCAGTCTCAGAGCCCAATTTAATGTCCGGTGGAGTGTCGGCAGGAGGTTGTCGCAAGTGTCGCACAGGATAAGAAGATTGAAGATGAAGGAGAGAAAATCAAATTGTAATATTGTGTACTCAATACCCAAACCATGGACCGGTATTATTTGCCAAACGCCATATAATCTCCATATACGCCGTTCGTCCTAGACCGTTGACCCACTCGTGTTATCATATTATTCACCATGCAAATGGCATTGTTCCAGAGGTAACGGGATAGCAGTTATTTTCGAGGTGGTGGTCTGCCCCAGAATTGTTCTTTGAGTTCGTCCTTGAAGTATTTAAAAAATCGACTTGACCTCTCCGGGTCATCGATGTTGGTACCACCGATTTCAGAGGGGTCCTTGCCATGACGAGCTTCGTGAACTCTCTTGTGGATGTTGCGAACTGCACTATGAAAGGTAGGACTTCTTAGGAGCTAGAAATCTGTAAGCAATAGGAATTTCACGTCGATATAGTGGGATACGAACTCGTGCGACTGCCCATGCCTGAATTAATCGTCAGTAAAACGGGAACACGTTATGCTGTATGGAGCATCTTTACCTCCAAAGCTGCTAACCACAATGGCATATTGATCAAGCTGGAAATATCATGATCATCTCACACCAGGTGAGATGTTTTGATAAGATATGTTCAAGTAGAATTGTTGATGGGTTGAAGGCGAAAATCCTTCACTGAAGAGAAGTTGATTTGGACCTCGCTTATAAAACCATCGTTTGATTGGTCATTATAAATACCCTTAGTAATCACACCTTCAGTCTGCACGTGCTCGCCCTCATTTCATTTGCTCAAGCTCAAACATCCACCGGTTAGCCGGGGTTGCTCCTTCCTCATATCCATAACATGGTAAGTTGGTAAGTTTACTCTTGCTCCCTTCCTATTCCTACTCGATATGGTGAATCTGCTCTATGTCGGTGCATTGGATTGTTTTGTAAGTTCCTGCTTCTCCTTTCCATCTTCTCTCTCTCACCTTTTCTTTGCATACACATTAACATCAACTTATCAAAGATTTTGGTATCTCTGTCTTTCCTAAAGCTCTAATATCTCTTCCCTTGCTGAACTGTCACATTCTTGTGTCTTTCATTCCCGTCGTTCTCTCGATCACTGCTTGGACCTCTGTTTCTTGCCGGGAAAACAACTTCTCAGTTCAGCTCTCTACCTCACCATCGTGGCCAAGGCACAACAGTCTATCCTCCTCCATTTCCAGAATATTTCACTTCTTCTTAAGCTATTCTCATTGTCATATCATTATTCGTCCCTTTTTGTATGCCCCGTCGTACTCCAATTGGTGCCACTATTGCATTTCACCACTGTCTGCGTTCCTTCTGTTCTACACCTTCAACCGCATCAAGTACCTCCACATCCATTTCTTCTTCGCATCCAAAAGGGAACATAAGTCGCAAATTTCTCCACAAGATGACACATCCATGTTCATCAAAGCGAGACTCTACCATTGATGTATCTGAGGAGTGTCTCACTGGTCAACATGAGGGTGCTTCTATGCCCCAAGCAGATGGGTGCTCTTCCAGCAAGGCAGCAGATGACGAGGATGAACGTGCCGTACAGATTGCAGAAGCAGGTGCTGCTGCTGCAGTTGATCCCAAGACAGCAATGCCCTCTTTCTTGAAGATCTCACACGATGGTATGCAGCTCACTCACATTTATTCGGAGAACAGGCACTAACCTAATGGTAGAAATGAAAGAAAAATATGCTATACTGACGAAGAAGGAGGAAGAACGTCTAGCAAATGGAGATGACCCAAAATGGGCGAGAGAGGAGCCGGATCGTGAACTTGATCGTTATGCCAACGTACATCCATGGGCTGCTAACCGTATTAGGCTCATTGTTCCTGAAGGTTACAACGATTACATCAACGCATCCCCTGTCACTTTAACGTCTACTGCTGAAAAGCAAAGTACGATGAAGAAAGGTATTCAAGATAAGTATATCTGTATGCAAGGCCCGAAATCTCAAACTGTGGATCACACCTGGCATATGATGTGGCACTCAATCACAGTACCAGATAATGCAGCACCTGGTGTCATTATTATGCTCAGTCCTCTCGTTGGACCTAATCCAGCAAAACCTGAAGAGATGATGGAAAAATGTTATCAATACTATCCTATGAGCGAAGATGATCCACCTTTGATGGTCAACGAGGCGGGAACTCTTGGAGAAGGCTTTAAGGCTAAGGTTCGGTTCCTGAAGAGAGAAGAGAATATTGATGGTACTGGGATTGAGGTTCGTCAACTAGCCATGTCTGTCGAAGGTGAAGACGAGGAGAAGATTATCTGGCATTTCTTTTATCCTCTTTGGCCAGATATGGGCTCCTTAAACAACCAAAATGTCAAAAGTGTTTTGACATTAATGGATCTTTCTCGAGCAAAGAATCAGGAAGAAGAAAATCCAAGAGTTGTACATTGTAGTGCTGGTGTTGGGAGAACTGGTACTTTCGTTGCTTTGGAGTTTTTGATGGGAGAACTTCAGGGTGGAGCTTGGGAAGGGTGGGATCAATCGGAAGAGAAGGACAACGATGCCATCTATGAGACTGTCGATCAACTACGTCAACAAAGAAAGACTATGGTTCAAGCTGTCGAACAATACATCTTCCTATACGAAGTGTTGAGGAAACAATGGGAGGAGAAGTATAGGTTGCCATGTTTTGGTGGTGAACATACTCACGATTTCCCTCCTGAGGAAGGCAAGAATGCTGTATTCAGGGCTATCCCAGAGAAAAAATAGCTCAGCTTAGGAAGTCTGAACGAATTTGGTAGATGGAGAGGTCTTACGGATGAATTTGTGCTTTTTCTTGCTCTTTCTGCTTGGTGTTGTGTTTGGAGATGAATGAGTTAAGGGGTGGGGCTGGGGCTGAAAAGATGTTCCTGTAACGAAGTAGCGCGACTGAACCTAGATTAAAACCCTCTTAATATACATCTTTAGTTTACTTTCTGCATTTGAGATAGCCTGGAGAAGATTTAAGTAATCCATAATGAAAATCAGTTCCGGAGAAAAGTTGTCTGGCTAGCTATAGACCTATCGCGCCCTAGATGTTTATTTTAACCCGGGGCGAAGGGGAGGATAGGAGTAGTATAATTTAAGAATCCGTGGCTTTGTAAGACTTAATTTTGCGGTTTCGTATATTTAAAATTACTACTGTGTTTTTTTACGGGAGGGTTGAATGCTTTAATGCTTGATGGATGATGGATGATGGATGATGGATGATGGATGATGGATGATGGATGATGGATGATGGTGATGGTGATGGTGATGGGGTTTTCGGGATGGATTTGAAATTGGAATTGGATAGAGTTTTCTAGGTTGAAGATAGAATCTGATGGATAGCTGGGTTGTGGTGTAGAGGGGAAGGAAGTTAAGAGTGTTTGTAATGGGGAGGGAGAGGAGTTGGTTGGTGGGGGACGAAGAAGGAAAGAGGAAGGGGAGGGAAAGGGGAAGGAGAAGAAAGAGCTCGAGGCGTGTTAGTTATTTCAAGCTTTTAGTAATATAATACAATATAATAAACTATATCTAATAGTTCTATAGGATATGTTATAGAAGACGTGTTGGAGTTGGGAAATTAGTGATGTGGATGTGGATGTGGATGTGAATGTAGTGTGAGAATCATAGGTTAAGGAGTTGCTTTTATTGTTGTCGATGTGAGGGTAAGTATTATCTTCCTTTTTGGTTTTTTATATTTCTATTACTGTCGATTTATAGAAATTGGACCGTTGGGATGATAATACTAGTGCCGGTTGAGGGACTCGGGATTCAGTTGAACGAGGGGATCAATGCCAGGATGTGCTCGGGATACCGGGATTTTGCTGGGCTTTAAATAATATCAATGGTTGCAATTCGTAACTAATAGTAGAGTATACTAAATGATTGATCTTGAGCACGAAGCTCTACAAAAGGAATCCTTTCCTAGCTATATAGATCTTCGTATCAATTGGATCATTTGGATCTAGTGGATCTAGGATTAGATTCTCTAGATCCTATGATCCATCACGTGACTAAGATCAGACCATATGTCCGAGCTTGCTGAGGGTGGGGAGACCACATGAAGCGATTACCATACAAATTTGTATACAAATTGCTTTGCTTTTTGATGAGGCCTAAGCTCATGTGGACAGGTTGACTGTTACCCTGTAACATTTGAGAGCGAGTAAAGAAGTGGATATAAAAATAAAAGAATTAATATGAATTATCTTCTTTTAAAACTATAAATTAAAAGAGAATAATAAAAGATGGTTAAGAAACTTATATCAGTTCTATAAGTTCAACGATAGATTAATTAAAAGATGAAAAGAAAAAACTATTATTATTATTAAAAGATTATTAATTTATTATCGCTTGTAAATATTATTTTTATTACTATCAATTCTTTTAATATTATATATATATTTATATTAATTTTAAATAATAATTTTAATCTCAATAAAAGAAAATCTTATTTTATAAATCAAAAGATCATATCATCAATAATATCAACTTATCAACACTTAATAGAATTCCTGGAAACTTTTTGTTCTCAATATGTTTAAGAATATATTCAATATATTGATTTTAGTTAAAGACTAAATGATTTTTATAACTAGGTGTATAGGATTCCGGGTTTGAAATATAAGATTTGTAGAGGTGAGTAAATAAATTAATGAATATTTACAGATCTACAAATTAGACATACTGAATATTTGTATTTTGGATTTTTGTAAGTTAGATAAAGGTGTTGAGATTTGGTAGAAAGAAGTTGTGATGTGTCACGGGTTCATAACCCGTTCGGGCAAGCCTATATTGATATATAGCTTTCACATCCTATGTAGTCGGTGCTTCTCCTAGCACCTTCTTCCCTCCTCTGTAGAATATCATCATATTACCTAGAGACCTATCTCACACCGTGATATGATGATAGTACTAATGATCAAATTTCTTAATAGAAGCTATATGAAGTTAGGAGATTATCGGCGGTAATTAACTATAATCCTGACAGAAACAGTGTGATTAGAATATTGCAGTTCATGATGACTGCTAGTTTATATTGTAGATAGGAGTTATATAGTATGGTCATCATACTTCAAGGAATTTATAGTTTGTAGATGCAAGATTCATCTAGATAGAGACGGGGAGAGACAATTATCGTGTAATCCCGGATTAAGAATTAGTAGAGCTCAAATTTACAAGAGGATAAGGAAGTATCAAGAACAATTCCATGGCTTCCGGAAATAGGATTTTATTCTCACGAGCAGGGCAGGAAATATAGGAAGCGAAAAGAGAAAGGAGGAGATAAAAGGACTATTGATATCTAGAAATATGTTCTTCTTTTTTCTTAATACAATATGGCATAGCTAGTTAATAGAATGAGGCTAGGGATAACCAATTTGATGTTGAGTTATTGAAATTAATATTTGTATAACTTTTGAATAGATGAAGATGTTTTTGTTTTCTTTTTTGCTGTTGTTATTTTGTATAAAATGATATAATTATATAAAAAGAGAAAAAGAGAAAAATAAAATAATAAAAATCTTTAACAATCTTATAATAGTATCAAAAGATAATAGTCTTATTTTAATCAATGTTTATAATATGAACAATTTGTACTCTTGTTACAAAACAGGATATCATTATATTTTTGAGATATAATTTAATAAAAGTATAACTTCTATCGTTTTCAGCTCCAATATCTATTATTATATCTTGAGTACTTTGTATTGTCATTTATTTATATATAATTATACCCAAAGTTTCGATGACAAGATTACAAGCCGAGGAAATCTAGTTGATACAAGAATTACCACATGCGGCTCTTGAGTCTGTTTGGAAATAGGATAGATGTGGTGTCTGTGAGTGATCATGATTGAGTTTCAGATCGGCATCAACTTTTGGTTTGAGATTCAGAAGGATAAAAGATGGGGGGATTATATAGATGAGGTAGCTTCTTACTGTGGTTGGTTCTCTAGAGTGAGGTTAGAGGATGGATTGACAATTGGGAGGGGAAAAGGTTGTTCGGAACACTTTTAACTGGTATTATAAAAGAGCCTTTTCCAAAAAAAAAAAAAAAGATTCACACTAGAGACCCTTTCATAACTTTATCGTAATATGGGAAAGTATGCCCAAACAATTGTTCGAAGCAGAAAAGAGTAAAGTAATTCCAGTCAATGCAGAAGTTTTACTTCAGATCTTCGAAGTCGTAATGAGGTTAACGAGTGCGGTGATTGCAGCTATTTCAGACGATGGACTTATCATAACTGTCACTTATGCAGCCACTAATGTGGAATGGCAATAATAGGTATCAGTTCGCCTTCGTCGCGTGAGCGGAACCTACGCACTGTGAGTATGTTGGTAGATTATCGAGGTCATTTCCTCTGGAAATAGCAGCTTTAAATTTAAGGGGATGTTGTATGTCGTCTGCGGAGCTTTTTGGGAAATGGATTTCGGCAACCTTGTCGAGGCGTGATCCAAAACTTGATGGTATTTACTCTCTAGACGAGCTCAACAGGAGGTTTTTATCTTGGGCTCGTCCATGAAGGATTACAAGTGAGGCAGTCAAAGTGAATTTGAACCTCGTGGTCCGGTTGACATGTGCCTTGGGGTGGTGAGTGGAGAGCTATTGGGATGCATTTCTTTGCAATACGTTCTTTATCTTAAATCTGGACTCGTTTTATGTACTGGCGGATTTATAATAAGAAAAGAGTTCGAATACCGACTGTTCTTCTTTTATGAGAAAATATGCGCAATGGACCAAAAGTGGGAGCTGACGCCGCCCCAAACAAAGACTGATAGCATTCCGGTCGAAGTGAAATGTATTGATATAGCATTTTGTAAAATTAAGCCGTCATTGCTGATTATAATCCGTTATCTCTTTGTCTTGTAAACGGTGTAAAAATTGTCGTTATCGTTTTTTTCCCGGCTTGAAATGACAACACTGGCTATCAAGATCCGAGTTATGATAAATACAATCTTTAAGCCGTCAAATAACTTTCTATGTGAGAGTTTTATGGGCACAGCCCGAGGGGGAAAAGGTGATCTTGGTTTGAAGCATATCAATCACTGCACTCAACTCCGCAAACTAGCTCGGGGTCCGCCCAACTCGACGAACACTACCACGGATGGAAAGCTTTGGTGGGCATACGACATTATGGACCATCCACTGCCTTTTATGCACTTTGCGCTCTGCGGAAGAATCCTACTATCGTTGACTTGGAAGGTATGGTCGACGGTGAATCACGTGCAGGCGCCGAGAGCACAGAGAATGAAGCAGACATTGTGCACGTGGTGAATTTCACTCGTGACCTTTACCTATCACTTTGTTTGACTTGCACCCAAAGCTCAACTGGCAGACTCACTCCATTCATCAATACTTACGCAGGCCAAGCGTACTTTGGATTTCATTAAGGCTGGCGAGACAACCAAAAAATCTTTTCTGAACATTGCCAGGACGGTCAATAAATACTAAGCCTCGAAATCCAACATACGGAGTACAAGAAAAACAAAAGCAAGAAATGTATGGATGTGAAGTACGTAAAAGTCGAAAACGAGAGATGAAACATACGAATTGGCTGATCACTCGGTGTATCCATACGGTACCTGAATGTAAATTACCGAAGCACCTTGCACAACACAACATGCAGATGATCTAGCATGGGAGATAGACGGTGAGCTCTTCAAATGTGATGACTAATTTAACAATGGCATGTATATATTCCATGGCAATCCCTCATACGAAGAGGCAAGAGATAATCGAAAAGACACGCACGATCAAACTGGAAGAGTGCGGGGTAGGACGAACGACAAAGCATAAATCCCCTTAGGATCCCGTCTTTTAGTCGAGAATGCGAGATCGAGGAACAATGATTTTGTACATACAAAACATTAAACCAAGTGGGAATCTTAAGTTGCTGCATCTTGACCTGCATGATTGCATGATTGCATGATTAGGTGCAGGAAAACAGCTGCTTTGGAAAATAAGGTGGGATGACGAAAGAAACGTGTCAATCCGTTTGTTGATTCTCCCACCAAAACTTCACTCAAGACACGGTCTGAGATACAAACAAGCTTTTTTTCCTTTTCTTTTATCGCCAAAATCTATATCGAGAATTCACTCCAACCACTAATCCACTAGCAATCCACTACTAACCCACCAAAACAATGTTCCTGATTTAAAATGGAACAGAATTTCAAGGGTCCGTGATGACAAAGCAAAATGATGAGCTACCATTGGTTTATCCTCAACCGACACCTTGTTTCCTTGGTTCTCCGTTGCTCAGGCGACTAACCAAGAATTGATAAATGTAAACAAATTCCAAGCACCCAAATGGATTCACTGCGCCATCTTCTTTTTGGTTGAAGTTTAGCTCTCCTGCCACACAATTTTTGACAGAACCACATCTTACTGCGCAGGAAATCTGGACCCGATTCCCAATTCTGCTTTCCTCTCTTTCTCCATTTCCGGGAGAATTCAAAGAAAACTGCTACCCATTTTATCGTTCTCCCCTCATATTTTGGTGGTGTGTTGAAAATATCTGACAATCTTTATCTTCATGATAAGCAGTGCGACGAATTTATATCCACATTCCTCTTACAACCATTTCACGAACCTTACGACTTAACGTACACTATATCCAATTGATTGATCATACATTCCTGAAAATAGCCATCATTCTCAGTCCTTGAAACTTCTTCAACACATTGAAAACATTCCACGGCTGCGACTCCGACAGTTGCTCCGAATAAACGGGGGACGGGAGTGGCAGACTCCATTATCGCATTTGGTCATTCGTTTCAAGTCATAACATAGTTTAAGATGGCGGACAGAGGGTTTGGGGGTTTCTTGAGTAAGTTATGCGACCTGTGCTTTAGTTGAATTGACAGTGTGCTAACCTAATTCATAGGAGCGGTGCCATTCTTAGGATATCATCATGTGTTGATGATATTAATCGCGATTACCATTATACTACTTTGTAAGCGCTCCCCAACATTCCATTGAGAGATATTCAGCTAACATTCTTTCAGCTCTTCTATTGGCAGGATGTTCATCTTCATCACCCATGATACCCGATATTTTCCTTATTTCCCTCTACTATCAATCATATACACCAGTACCATCGACCGCTCAAACCGACTACAATGTACACACAGCAATATCTAATATTGTTGGGCAAGCGCAATTGGCAGCAAGAGTTGGATACTTTGGTATCTGTATCAGCCCAGATGGAGGTGCATGGTTATGCAGTAACAATGCAACCGCATTAGCGAATGAAGTGAGCGTTGATCAGGATCCTTTGAATTTAATTTGGCTTGCAAGTCAATTCAAAGATATGATTGTTTTCCCATACCTAATGTAAGTTGTCTTCTCTCCTTAACCGTTTCCAAGAACAATACCTAATATGTTCATAGTATAATTGCAATCATCTTCGCATTTATCTGTCTATTACTTCTAGCGACATTCCCCGGATGGCATGAAGAGGAGGACGCCCGCGGAAGTGAACGAGAAGTCAAACCTTTCCCATCTCGACCCGTCTCTCAAATCGCCCTAGCTATCATCTTCATCGCTTCAATCTTTGTTCTCGTCTCGGTACTCTGGCAACACACAGCTTCGGTAGCCGCCTCTATCATAGCCCAAGATCTGGGGAATGGTAGTGTACGAAGTGGCGTTGGTAGCACGGCCATGGTACTGGGATGGTTCTCTTTTGCTCTACTCATTATAGTAACGATTGGTTTACTGGTCATGATATTGAGTATACGAGTCTTATCCGAGACATTCGGTTAATACCTTTAGAACAATCATGGATGGCGAGAAACGACATATATATTGATATCAAAGAAGTTGATTGATAATTTTTTCGGATTTATTTGGCAAGGATGTTGATTTCAGCGTGCATGATGAATACCACAGCGAGAATAAAGTTGTTGGGATTGATATAATGAGACCTTTTTGGAAGGTGTCGTTTCAAATATCCCGGAGCCTTTTATGTTTTTTTTTTACTTTGATACGGATAAAAGAAATTACTCGATACGATTGTATACATGGGTAATGCATTTGGGTTGGAGTTTAGACTGGGCTTTGGTTTTGATTTTGTGTGGTTTATATGGGATTTCATTCCCAGGTTGGAGACATGGGCTCGATGAGGAATGTGTTTATGTTAGGATAGGATGGGGTATTAATGATGCATGGCTGGTAGGGAGAATGGGATAGGATGGTTGGGCGGCTCTACCTCACCTGGCTGAATGGTGTTCACGAATTGTATGTATGAAGTGTATGAGGAGAGTAAAGGCACTAGTATTGACTGGAACCTGGTATTATTATGAGGAAAAGGAAGGAAGTGTTTATGAATACTGAATCTGAATAAAAAGAATCTCCAAGACTTTTGCTTCGATATATGCGGATTTTATTTCATGATGCGTGGCGTATTTTATGCGGAAGAAGAGTCTCTATGAGGGTAGGTCTCTAGTATAGACTTACTACTTGTGATGGCATTCGGAAAGCCTGGATTTCCTCTGGCTCAGAAACACGAGTGTTATTATCCGAATGAAAAATGTGGTATTACTGACTTTGGTTAGTAGAAAAAGAGAAGCAAAGAGAGGTGAATTGAGTGTATATGTTTGTTTATTTTTTGTAGGTATTGTTTGATTAATTTGTTGATTTGATGTTGATGGTTGATATTTGATTTATGATATAGAAGAAATAAGAGGGGAAAGGAAAAGGAGAAGAAGAAGGAAAAAGTAGAGAGGTGGAAGGAAGGGAGAGGGAGAAGGAGAGGGAGCTTTGATTGCTTGGTTTGATGTCGAGGTGGAAGGCAAGGGAGAGAGGTGTTTAGAGGATAGGAAGTATGAATTGAATTAGGATTATTGGATTGGGGTTGCTGGCTTAAGAATTGAGGGGATTTGGGTTGAGATTTGAATTTGGATTTCATTTGAGGGAGTTGGGATGTAAGTTTCGATAGGGATTTGGATTTGGATTTGGGGGGAGGTGGGAAAGCGGGAAGAAAGGGAAGAGGCGTGAAGAGGCGTGAAGAGAGGGAAAGAAGGAGGGAAGGGGGGAGGAAGTGTACATCTTTTTAAAGAGCTATATTTTATAAGTTGTGATATATAAGTTGTGGGTTTATTTTTAGGATAGAGGGTAGAGGGTAGAGGGCAGGTGGGAATTAAGGGGCGGGAATTGAGGAATGGAGAATATACTTTTAGATGGGATGGGGGGTGAGGGATATGAGATAATAATAGAGAATTGGAGAGTTGAAGAGTTGAAGAGTTGAAGAATGAAAATCGAGATAATAAATTAGTATTTATAATATTTAATCTAATATAATAATGGATTAACATTCTTCACTTCTTTAAATCGAGAGTGGTATCTTTTGGGTTTAATTTATAAGTTTATGATATTAGAGTTGGTGGTGAGGGGAGGGGAATTTAAGGAGTGAGAAATGAAATAGAGTGAAGTGGGTGAAGTAAGTACAGTGATTTGTATTTATTTTATTATTTGTCAATTTTTATTTTTATTTTATTTTATTTATTCAGTTTTGCTTGGTTAGAAATTGATAGTTGTGGGCGGGAAGTAGAAGATAAGAGAGGAGAGGAGTGAGTAGAGGTATAAATCAGAGGGAAGAAGAGAAAAAAGAAAAAAAGAAGAAGGGGAGCAAGGAAAGACAAAGGGTAAGAGAAAGAGAAAGAAAGTATATGAACTTTACTTGCGATTTTATATTGTTTTTGTATTATGATCTTATAAATTAGTTTTGATTTTGATTTTCTCAGGTTCCAGGAAAAAGGGAGAGATGCTAGAGTTAAGGGGAGAGAAGAAAGATGAAAGAGATGATTGAGTTTGTAAAAGAGAGATAGAAAGGAATGATAGTAGGTGAATGATGGTTAAAGAAAATTGGTGGTAGAGAAGGGAAAAGTAAAAGAAGGGGGGAAAGAGGGAAAAGAGAGGAAAGGGAGTAAAGAAAGAGGATTTTGGAGGCAGGGTATATATATTCTCATGGATGGAATCTAGTAAATATTTAGTAGATAGTAGATGATAGATGGTATGAAAGACTGTAGTGATTGATTATCATTAGATAGAAGTTGATATTAAATGAAGGGGTTAATATTGAATAAATAACAATCAATGAACTGTAGTTGACGGGATATGAACCGAGGTTTGTAACTTGAAATTTCAGGATAGGGTATGAGAACTAAGAGTATGCAGACAAGGAGTCTCTATATTATTTGCAAGTTAAAATTGGGAGTGAGAGCATCTAGATTACTTGCTTATTGCGCAGTGGGACAATGAAAACAAAGTCACAGCAGAGTTGTAGAAGATAAAAAAGCAAGTCATCAAGTCATCAAGTCAAAAATATGTATTTCTATCTTAACTTCAGCTGAATTCAAGTTTAGTGTAGGGATTTGAGGTATTTAATTATAGGGATTACTTCATGAACTTTTAGTTTGCAGCACATCTGCAGAATACCTGCTCGGACTTGAATTGAAGAGTCCCAGCTTGGAGTGTTTGGAGTAAAATGGATTACCTGCTGAGAATACAGTACTGACGGAAATAATTCAAAGGATGTATACTCTAGTGATGTATAAATTGGCAGATGAACATGAAAAAAGGTAGAAGAATGCCAATTAGATTTGTAGGGCATCAGCATTTTTTTTTACTTTGATTCTATGGTATTATTTAGAACTACTTCTAGAGAGCGGTACAGAAGAGAATGGGAATCGGGTAGTCCTATTCAATAGGCCTGGATTCCCAGGACTGGGCATTTAGGTTTTCTAACCCTGGCTCCTGTAATATACATTACACTGAGGAGTACATTACTGCGAAAGTAGAAAAACTGAGTGAAGTGATGTAAGGCATTGAGGATGGGGACCCGAGAGTAAAACCGTAATATCGCAGCAATAAAATCCGACAAGTAAAAGTGCTGAGCCGCGAACAGGAAAACCGACTTGATCTTCATTTTGGAATTTTGGTTTATTTTCATCTGTAACTATACAGTCTTTTGCAAGTATCTGTGATTCCCCCAAAAAATACGATCTGTCCTTTTGCTTCGAAATCAGGAATATTGATTCTCATCGTATGATTTCAAGTTGTCTAGTGTGGAAACAAGGGTGCGAATTACGGAGTACGGAAACTTAGAATGAACTTAGTGAAGTAGTAGATTGATGGGCGACGCGCTACCGGCTACTGGAGGGGGAAGATGCGGAAATTGAACTAAAAGTGGAGCAAAAGAAAGCGGATGCTGATGTAGATCATATAGAAGCCGGGGTCGAGGGGAAATCGGAAGATCGTGGAGAAAAAGGAGGGCGAGTGGGAGAATAGCGTGACTAGTACTCTTGGCGCCCGATGTTCATCAGCGACTGGGCCAAAGCGCCCCAATTAACGACAGGAACCATCCATATTTTTTGGGCAGAGGTGGAATAGGTAAGATAATTCATGGCGATCGTAAGGCGACAGTAAGATGAAAAGGGAGAGCCGGAAGGGTTGATGGACTTTAGCATTGAACACCTTAATCTGGTTATTAGAGGTTCCCGACTCACTCGATTCAAGATTTTTGAACATGATTTCCTTGGCTGTTGCCGAGGGAACCGACGGCAGCTTGGCTGAGTAAAAGATATGTGAATAATGTAATTTGCCTGTTGCTACTGTGATTGGAATCTTGGGGACTGTTGCCAAGTGCTTTCGTTGATCATCGCAGGTACTCCCGGATCTAGTTTCGATACTAACTATTCTAAACTGGATTTACAAAGTTGGCACCTTTCTACGTTACTTCTAGTTTTTTGGTGACTCAACGGTGTCCAAGGTACTCATGTATGGCAGAACCGAGTCAAGAAATTCCTATTCTAGTTTAGATTTCAGGGACTAAATCTCAAAAATTGAATTATACTCGTAGGGGCCAGAAAGTATATCACCTCAACCTAGATATGGGCCACTATCTCCCTTTTGGTTTGTCATTTTGAGGTATGTGCTTAGCACATATAAGAGAATTGATCATTTTCTGTAAACTTTGCAGGCCATTGATGCGATGGATTAGGGTACTTTCAGATTGTCGTGGAACTTCCTGTTTTATTTATCCCGATGTCTTGAAGATTCTAAATGTTAAGCAAATAATAAAGCTATATTGTCTGTGGGTAGGACTGGAAAGGCTGACCTCATGATGTACTCATCTGCTGCAGACTAGGGATATTGTGCTGATTTTATGGGAAAATATATGATAGGTTCATTTATGTATTTGGTTGACATTAACTTAAAGTTTACTTGATATCTTTACTCTACATTGCACTGTTACAAGTATCTAGGCATTCATTTCAGCTGTCAGGTGTGAATGGCTGACAGTAAAAGAAGCATACAGTTGAGTAGAGTATATAGTTCGTATAAGCTAAAGTCGGGCTAAACATGTGCAGTTCACATGTCGAATGTTTAGAGAAATGCAGAATAGCAGGTCGGACCGAGGCGTTAACTATATGTCGACAAATCATACGCTTTGATAGAATGAAGAGGGACACAGTAGAAATGGATAGTGCTTGCATGGTGCACGGTATCCCTTTCCTGGTATACTTGGTATCAGCTACATAGTTGGAATCAAAACTAGTTACCGAGATACGGAAGTTATCTGTATCATCAACAACATTGAGTTACCTGAGCTCAATTTCGATGTCTTCCCCAGGTGAAGACAATGGGCAAAATCATGAATAGAAATCATTTTATGATAATTCTCATTGAGTCTCCAACCGTCATGGCTTCATAAGTCTTGGCACCGATGTCGGTTTTATGAAGAGGCTTGTTTTGAAATATAGTTCTTGATAATGAAAATACAGCACCATTTATGGATGCGAATATCTGGCTGAGGGTCTTGCAGGGTACGAACTATAGTAGACTCTGTAGACTCTACGATTCGGATGTAAGTTGGTGTAAATCAGTTCAAATTTGTTCAAATTAGTTCAATTATAGCCAAACAATTCATCACAATCAGTTTGATATATGTTGTAAACCCTGGAGTATCTTGAGATCTAAGCTGTGAGACATTTCTGTGATGCAATTGCCATAAACTGCTAGGATCCAGGGTTCAATTGTTCCTTAGAGTCTGCCCCGAGTGACTAGCGCTCGAGGGCCGATCCGGGTGATCAGCTTACATAATCCTTCGAATCGTGACAATTTTCTTTATTAGCATTTCGCGTAAAATGATTTTCGCGTATTGCATCTTGAGGTTAATAGTAATACAAAACTCAGTATAATATATGATTTCAGCACAGTTATCAATAATGAAGCTAATCTCAAGAGTGAAATTCTTCGCTCATTCGAATGTTGGTATTCCTTTGTCTTCTGCCTTGCCACTAAAATTCACACTCATATATACTCAGAATATAGGATGAAGTTCTCAAAAATAAACTATGAGGATATTGGCCCGCTTCGACATATGATGGCAGAATAATTAGTGCCAAAAAGAAAGCGGTGACGAAATTGTGGCACATTTTTTGGCACGTCGCGTCTACCTGTGTGAACTGCCCATGGCATAAAATATTCAATGATGCCAATGATAAGTTATATAACATTAATTTTATGGTTTTTATGACTTTATGACTTCAGAATCAATATTCATACACACAATACCTAGATTCCACACTATTATAACACAAATACTATCCCATACAACATTTCCAACGCGACAATACAAACTTTATACCGTGTTTTCTGATATCATCCACAGTGGCAACCTGCGAGTTTGGGTCTGCCAATTTACATTATGGACAAAGGAGAGCGGAATTTACTGGAGGAACGTTCAAAAACTCTGCGAGTCGAATTGAAGGTATGGGAAAAGGACTTTCAAAACAATAATCAAGGGCGCAAAGCATCTAGAGAGGATATCAAAGCCAACCCAGACATTGGTATTAACTCTACCTCGACACAGTCTGCCATTTGATTTACTAACTTATATTCAGCCTCCAAGTATAAAGAGTTCAATAAGGTACGCGATATACTTGCTGGAAAGATTTCACACATACCTCCACCGGCCCTTAAAGCGACGCCCCGAAAGAGAAGACATGAAGAGAACCACAATGCAACTCCCCAAAAATGGTTACTTGTTGATAGGACACCCACGAAGAATACAATATTACCATGGGACGTCGACCCTTATCATTCTCCTTCCATTATGAGGAATTTGTTTGCTACACCTTCTAAGAAAATGGCAATTGGGCCCACACCACAAAAGGATGGACAGGTTCTTGGGTTATTTGATTTGGATCCAGATAGTGCCGCAGATTCTCCTTCTACTGCTCACGGAACAGCAGGAAAGTTAGCTGCAACACAATCTACACCTCGAAAAGCGGGAATGACCCCAGGAGGTGCAAGAGCAATCATGCATAGCAATACACCGTCATCGAGAAGGACTTTACTATTCAGCACACCTCTAAAGAATAAAACTGTCCATGATCACGGATCAAACACACCTTCTTCAGTATCAAAACTACATTTCAATACACCGTCCTTTTTAAGAAGAGATAGTCAACGAGTACGGCTGCCAGCTGTTGATGAAAATGAAGAAGGCCCACCCGACTCCCCAGAAATGGTTCGAGGACCCCGAAGGCCAATGATCAAAAGTTTAAGCAGTATGCTTGCTGGTCTGCGAAAAATGGAAGAAGATGCTGCGGACGATGATTTGGAGGCTCTTAATGAAATGGAAGCCGAAATGGCCAATCGCTCCAAGTCTATACCAAAACCAAAATCAAGACTACAACAAACAGGCTCATCAACTACCCCAAAATCAAAATCCCCAGCTAAAGACTCTCTTCCGGAAGACACAATCATAGTCGACAGCCAGCCACGAGAATTGCTGGGTGGTTTTGATGATGAAGCTAAGTACGATTCCGAGTCTAAAGAAGCGACGAATGCGCCTACAAGCACATTTAAAAAGAAAGGTCAAAAACGCACCACCCGTCGCGTGAATCTGAAACCAAATTGTACGAAACCCTCCCAACCTATGCCACCTATCAACCACCACGATGCGTCAGAGAGCGAAGACGAGCTCGCCCTCCCTCGCAACCACCTCGAAACTATCCCAGAAACTCAACTCGACGATGGGATTCCCCGGCCTGGGGATGACGAATTCCCCGAACCTGATGAATTCCCGCCCGACGGTCGAAATTTCGACTCCGACTCTGCCTCCGAATACACTGCTTCAGAAGGAGGAACACGGTACAGAAGGCCAGATCAAAATAAGACAAAAAAGAATAGAGAGCTGAACAAGGAAGGAAAGGTTAAGAAGGCTGCCAGAAAAATCAAGGCTACGGCAGGTAGTTTGCAAAACTTCAAGAGGTTGAAGTTGAGGAACAGTGGAGCGAAAGGAGGACCGGGGGTTGGCAGTAGGTTCAGAAGGAGGAAATAGGGGAGTGAAAGTCGAGGGTTGTGGATAGGGCGGGAAGCTGAATGGGTATTATGCGTATGCTTGTGAGGTGCTTGTGCCACTATACTTCGGACACACACGAGAACACCGTGAAGTCCCAATATATGAGTTGCTTTAAAAATTTAGGATACCCAACAACATAGATACATTATATTATATGAATTGAAATCACATCCTAATACTTACTGTAATACTCAGCTCAGCTCTACTCTCTACACCCAAAACTTCAATCCATCCCAGAAATCAAAAGTCCTCTTTCAAGACACCCCACAAATCATGGGCCATCCATCTTTGCCCCTCTACTCAATCCCTAGTAACTCACCCCATCCCCAACCACCCCCGGGACATTCATCCCCACCCGTGTCCATCCTTTCCCCTGTTTTCGCGGGTTCCTATCTGCTGATCTTATTCAGATCTACCATATCTTGCACGATACCCATGTCATTCCCTAGCTCGAACTTTAATCTAAACAGCTATTTTTGAATCTTCATGCTGCCAATGTAAACGATGTAACTTAGATGCATCCGGGCGCAATCAAGGACGAGATATGCCGAAGTGATCGACTTAGTTTTAAAGCTAATGACTATTCTTTTATTTATGAACAAGATTGACAATGGGAAACTCAATTTAATAACTTGGCTACCCAAGTGCACTTACCTTAGCATCCTGAGCATAAACTTTGATTTTGGTATCAGTCCCAGGTAAAAGTTGAAAGCAGATGGTAGTATTGTTATTTCAGCACGAATTTGAATCACTCTTTCCACTTGTTAAAACCTCATTTGCTTCGAAATATTATGTCTAATAGAATCAACATAGTCGCGTAGACACTTGGTGATAGCAATGGGATATTAAAAATATTAGAATTCAGGTGCCCAATAGAAACACTGCCTTGAAGCCGATAAAGTGGGTAAAAAGTAGTATTCATTGATGCTATCAATAAATCATCATGTCTAATAGGCACCGAATTCTTTTCTAACCATATAATCATGCCCTTAAAATCCACGCGTGCTACGGTGGCTTTTGCATACATAGCCCATTATTTCTCTGATTTATCCTTGATATTCCAGCCTTTGCTTCTATCATTTTGATCAAGTGTGTATTCTTTCATGAAGGGCTTTAGCAATCCATGACTTGACCGTAGCTTTCGCAATATTCATATTTCCCATAACAGTGTTGCACTCTTGGACTCTTGGAGACTTGGACTAAAGATCTCGACGATTGGAATTCTCAAATTGGTACAATTAAGTGGGGTGATAAGTTTTGTAACTCTGGTTACCGTCGATCTAGATGTTTTGACCATCGCCGATACCTTGGAGAGGGGCAGCATAAATAGACCCACGATAGCATAATCCTAGTCGCAACGAGATCCTGCAGGATGTGAAAAGTAGCAACAGGGGCTCTGAAGAATCATCACATTTGGACTTGAAAGGTTACAAATAAGACTTTTTTGGCCATGAGGAAAAACCTTATTTTTCAACTTTGGCTCCTCTCGGTAGTGACTTCCTTTGCCCTGGAATAGTCGATTAAAGTTCTTCTATATAAAAGAACATATCTTAAATGAAGGAGCTTATTCGGCCATCTCTCCAGGAGCTACAAAATACACATCCTAAGTTGTCTAGACATTAGATTAGTAGGATTTTTGGCTTTTGGATCAGAGCACAGACCAGAAACAAGGATAGGATTGAGGAATGGGATGACTGTATCGAGAGAAGAATATGCAGAGCCGGAATGATCGATTGAGAATAAGAAAGTCTTTTTAGATTTGTCTCTTTTTGAATATAAATATCTGTATAGCAATTTGATCGGAAATTTCTTTGAGCCTCAGGCAAGACGAATGAGACGTGGAGAGAAGAAAAATGAACTTCCAAGCGTTTATGGAGATGGAGTGTTTAAGTATACGGATTATGATCAGTTTAACTTTGATGCTAATACTTCATAGTCAACGAGCAGAATTTGTGATTGGTCAGCTCGTTGAAAGTTAAAATACCATAATCATGGTGTGGCGCGGTGTCCGTGTGAAACATGGGTTCTGTGGGGTTCCTGGCTGTACCGTTGCTTTGTTGGATAAGTCTATCAGATAGTCCCGGGCTTTTGTCCCTCATGGTTCTGCCATAAGCATTATCCTAAGTATTTGTACTGTGAGAGGGTACTGCCTTCCGATTTAAGGGAGTAATCTTTCTTGCTGATCAAATTTTCTTATTTTCAAGAGTTTCCCCTTTTCTTGATAAATCGACATAGAGTGTAGAATTTTGTATCTTCTGTTTGCACGTTATCGTTGTAGCAAGTCATGTAGCCGAAGCCGGGCTTTTGAGTTTCGTTTCATGGTTTTATTCTGATTTTGGCAGATAACGTGGATGCCTTTTCATGTAGATTAAGCGGACATAACCATTGAAGCCGATGGATGGGTATCTGTAGGTAATTTATTTTTATAGGCTGTTCATTAGAATTGTTCCGGGCCAAACCGTGGTATTGACATGCCGAAATAGGCTGGGCTGTGAAATCAGCTAGTTGATACCGAAATGGGAAAAAGTGAGGGCATTCACAAATGAACTAAGTTCATACAAAAACAATATAATCAATATACTAGTTCATTAGTAAATGGGCATCTTATCGAAGTCCCCGCCTTATTGTCGTCCCCTCTGGCACCTCCATTTTCAGTTTCATTGTAGTTTTTCCTTTTATTTAATTAGTGTAGAAATCATAGATCTTAGATACTTAAAGGCTTTGATTCCTTACCTAACTTGAATTTTCATAGGCTCCAATTATCTGTTCCGTGAACGGGTTATCTACGAGTAACCTGTTAGAAGTATAGTCCACCCGGAGGTACCTGTTGCGCTGTCTCCCCGTACCTGCCCTGAGACTATGATTTGAGCTATTCAGTTGATACTTTCTTATTGTGGGGTATTTTAACGTCCCCTGATATGCCTTGATCCTGTAGATCTTGAAGTCGAGCACAATATTTCATGATTTTGATTTTGATATTGAAATTGTTTCTTCCTCAACACCCCCTATGGAGGCATGAAATCAGTAATTTACTGATTTCATAGCCTTTGTAGAGCTAAAATGGGGATTTAAAATCTCGTTACACAGTGGCAAATTCTCAATCCGTACTAGATGTTACTATTATCAATTATTACTAGATTTATTTTTAAATCATAACATTGAAAGAGAATCTGCTGTTCAATCTCTTTAACCTTTTAAACCCTTCAGAAATTGTACGTAATTTATAATATTCATCAAATAGTAACTCTTTCGATTTTATCAAAATGAAATGAAATGAAGATGAAATTCAAAAAGGAAGGTAGGTCCAGATTAGATCATTTTCATTGTTCTTTTCAATATATAGAATTACTATAATACATTTTCGTAAATTAATGATAATAAAGCTTTGTAGCAGAATGGGAGGGAAGGGAGGGATGGAGGGAGGGAAAAGTTGAATTTTGGAAAGACTATATAATACACTAATTCATGACTCAATTGTAGCTTAGTCATCTTCAAATTTGAAGCTATTCACACTAATATTTACACTGACATGTCGTTATACAATAATGGTTCTCACAAGCCACAATCTGAAAAATCTTATAATTATTTACTGGTATCATGCTTCCATAGGGCAGTGCGAGTACGGGAATGGCGATCAAAAATTCTTGGGTCTTTCGGCTTTAGTGCGCAGTCCACCAATGAATGATATCAACGCGTGCTCCAATGTTTTAGCCTCGAGGCCAATGCTGCAGAAAGACACGGTTTTGATTTTATCACCACTTGGCGTGGTTATCAATACTTCACTTGGGTAATTGCCATTATGAATTAGCATCAAAAAGATATATTCGAAAATGAGCATTAAGGGAATCCCATTGACACTCGTAAGGATGGAAATCACTATCGAGTAAATAGTCTGTATCGGAGAGGTTACGAGAATATCAGATCCACAGGCACGCCTGCTGGTCTATGAATGTTTCCATTTCGATGTGCCCCTTTTACCTGCTTTACCGAAAAACGCCACAACCGATAACAAGCACGGCCCCTGTCTTGACCTCCGCATCTTTTCTATCTCAACTTCAATATTAATACTCCAACCTTCAAATCAATGTTGGCTCGTAAGACGGCTTCAAGTCGCACATAAGCAACAGACATATGGTAAAATCTCTCGTATCTCGCTATGTCTAGCCGTATTGTTCTGGTTTTCTCGCTCCTATTTCAAAAATTGGCCAAGAAATCCCCGCGAAACTTGCTTATCTCTAATCATATGCATTTGTCAATGCCCCCAGCACTCAAGTTAGACTCGTAGTGGGTAAGGCAAGTCTTTATGGTAGATACAGTATTACTCTCTGTACCTTAGCTTAACTACTAAAATGGCCAGCTTCGCCTACATCAACTAGCACATTCAAGGCTACCTACCCACCCCGACTACAGGCTGATTAGTTCTGTTCCTTACCCTATAAAAGAGGGATCGACTAGTGTATAGTGGAAGGGCCAACAATAACAACAACAACAAACGCGCTATTCACCGCATACAAGAAAATGTGGAGCAGGGGGGGAATCTCCCCTGATACCATGCTGGGTTGAGGGGGACTAATCGGAAAACTATACAAAGTATCGCTACTAGTTATCATCTTTATCCTTTTATTTATTAAAAATTTAAATATTCGATGTGATGGGCCAATATCGCTATAAATTTGAAGCATCTTTTGAAGGATCGTAGATTGTTTGTTTATTTTACAATTTTCTTTTTCCCTCAACAACCTATAATGTATATGTTATAGGCTTATTGTATGATCCTTGTAGCATCAGTTATAGTTAGATCGAATTGATTTAGAATTTACTGCTACTACTGCTGGTGGTTAGATCCACTTCTAGTCATAAAGGAAACCAAGTTCGTATCCGCAGATTGTCGGTTAGTGTAACGATGGGGTTCTCAGTACTTTTTATTCATCTTCCTTGTCAGTTCTAACAGAGCTCTATAAGATTGGCGGTCATAAACGCGTCTCTACATGAACTCTGCTTTCAAAACACTTCATTTACCATCCACTATTGCAAAGAAAACTACAACATCCTTCGAAACCAGTAAAGTCTTTCGATGAACATATTCTTCATCCAATAAACTCGAGTCTTTTCTTCCAATTAATAGGAATAGCATAGCATAGCCTAGCCATACCTAATATCCATACCTATATTCATACCGATACCCATACCGATACCGATACCCATAACATCCGATACTTTTTATCATGTGAGTAAATTTTTTAATAACCCAAATATTCCATTTCGAGGGTTGGAATCATAGCTAACCTCCATTCAGAGCTCCCATACTCACTCGAACTTCCTCAACCTCTTCTTCCATAAAGAATCACAAAGGTTCCTGCTTCAAACCCCACATAAATCTACATTATTTCACATACTTCCCTCAAATCCATTCTTCCATCACCCACCACGAAACTCTCTATTCCAAACACAAATCAACCCATTTCATCTCATACCGTCTCTTGTAACTCAACAAGATAAACATTCAATTCGCAAGAAACTTGTCAACAGAACAAAGACTCCTTCCATTCCAACAGATCACCTCTGAAATCAGGAAATTAAGCTTTTTCTTGACATCGCGACATCCCATCACTACCTCGTGGAAGAGAATCAATTTTGGACAGGTGAGCAGCATCTTGAAGGAATATCAAAAAATCCATTGGAAAAACAATACTGTAAGTAAAAAAAAATCAGAACATTACATGCAAATGTTAATAGTATCCTAGAACAATCAAGCCTATCTTTACCAAACATTCACAATGAGCCGAAATCTTCCCTCCGTGGCCAATGAATGCCCCTACTACCCACAAACAAACATGTTGGTTGACCAACATCTAATCAACATGAACATAAGAGAACATGAATTCTTTTACAATGTAGAAGAGGATTCAGCCAATGAGGAGAACCCGATTAATGAAGAGAATTCAATCATTGAAGAGGAATCATCCAATGAAGAGAGTTCAGATGAGGAAGTGGAATGCCAGGCATGCCATGGAAATATCAATACAGTTTCGGAAGTGGCTGTATTACACCCATGCAACCATGCCTTCCACTTTTCTCGGTGCATAAAAAATCGGTTCAGAAAGAACTCTAAGTGTCCTGTTTGCGGAAAAGAGGCTGTGAAGCTCCGCCGTATGAGTTCCAGAGAGGGGATCTTCCATGACCTGCTACCACCTGTAGTCAAGAAGCAGCCAGTAAATGAATTCTTGTCCTCGAACTTGTTTTCGCCATCCTCAAAGGGTTATTTTTCCAGTAGCTTTTCCTTTCCAGCAGCAATGCTCGTCGTACGCCGATACATATACACCAAGAGACTTTTCTGCCAATCCATTACCACCAGCCAATACTCTGTATCCAGCAAAGCCGCCATGAAAAGCTTCAAGGTCGATTCTACAACCGAACATCAGATCCGTTTATGGATACGACGCGAGGTTCAAGCTTTAACATACTCTGATCGGAATTTTCATCACCTACTTACCCGAACGCCGATTGAAAAAACTTACTTCGAGTTTTGTGTTGTAACTTCACTGACGTTGGAGAGGGGGGAAAGGAAAGCTACGTTGCAGGGGTTAGAATTGTTTTTGGGGACACATACGGATGTATTTTTGCATGAGCTTGGAGCGTTCTTGATAAGCGGTTATGAGACGTTGGAAGAATGGGACAGCAGTGTGAGATATCCTTTTGAACAGCCAGGAATGCCCACTGGAACAAGTTCCATGCAATCAACTTCCACCCAGACAATACCCACCCAGGCGACTACCAACCAAGCAACTCCCATCCAAGCAACTACAATCCAAGCAACCGCCACGCAAGCTCCGATACAAGCAGCGCCTAGAGTACGACCTAGGCTACATCGGTCTTCAGGATTATTGTTTAGATATGGATACCAAAGGTCTGAAAGTGTCCCAAGCTCGAGCATGGAACCTTTACAAACTATTAGCAGCATATCTCAAGAGAATGTACAACAGACTGCTGAGGAGTCATCGGACCAGGATAACCCACACAATACTGAATCCTCGCTTGGCTCGGAATTACCACAAGTCCCTAGAGGTACCTTTGACACTGTTGCAGAGGACGAGGATACTCTCAACACAGATCCGCGTCAATTTCATGATGAGTGATCTGACTCAAAAGTGCCACAGGTTATTGTGAACTCACCTGCTGCAGAGTCACCACAAACTCTAGGAGAATCATTCGTTGCTGATGCGCCAAGGAATGCTGAGGAGATAATTGCAGCAGCTCTACGGATATGCATCAGGATGTTGGGTCCACAGGATTTTTTGATATAACCTCTACTGATAATACTCGACAAGGTGGACAAGATGGGCAAGGTGGATAAGGTGGAAGTTTTGGAAAACCAGTATCCTTTTACAGACGCCAGCAAGAATTAATGCGCCGGTTCCGTAAATTTCTCCCTCAAGCCTATTCAACGTAGGACTCACTTACAGCCAAGTCATCGAGCAAGCGTTTTTTTGGAGTCACGGACAGAGAGCTATAAGCTAACCAGAAAAAACATTTACGTAAGTGGCCACCTGCCCTGAATTGGAATGTTGTCCGAGTAAACTAACTTATTTTTGCTTTAGTAGAATGAAATAAGGAGGAATAAAGACACTAGAAGGAATTATGACTGATAAATAAGGAAAGAATGAATGATGAATTTTGAACTTTGGGGGAAAAGCTCATTTTAGAAATAAGCATATAGATACCCTTTTCCGGTTTGATAATTTGTGTAATATTCCCATACTTGAATTTCTGGTATACAATTTAATCTTCTTAGCAAGCGCAACCCAAATTGCTTGATCCATGGTGGGATGCTTATGCTTTCCCTTCCAACAAGATGCGTTGCAGCTTGAAATCATGAATTACTTGTGGTCCGCGAGATCTTTTCTTTCCAACCATTCTTAGTGTCTGAATAAATCCTGATTTCATTGAATCTACAATAGATGAGACAAACTATACGTGTTCACATATATAGGGGTTTCTGGTTATGAATGGAACTAATCCGTAAAGAGATTCAACGATTCCTTTTACCACTTTAAAGTTTGATCCTCTTTGATCAAATATCCTTTAAATGACTGATAATGTATCAATTGGAGAAGTTTCTTATAATTTTTGAACCCTTCAAGATACACTTATTAATTATTGGTAGCTTTAGACCCTTCAACCACTCTGTTTTTTAATGGAGATAAAGCCTTTTAAATAAGATTGTATTGGTGCGTTTCTCAGGAAAAGCCCCTCTTTACGAATTACAACTAATTTAACTATATATTCAAGGGTTCTATCAAACTAATATTTAGCTAGTATGGTTTTCTTAATAAACTAATTAGTTGGTGCTCCCGAAGTCTAGCATTCGATATCACATGACCAAGCACACTGACCAATTAGCTTATATACATTACTACGAATAGTCTTTAGTTAGTCGCTTTTGTTCTCGTGCACACTTTTATAAGAGTCACTTGTTCTCTACTATAATATTCGAGGTGAGATGAATAGTTGCAGAAACACATGTGTATACTACATATTCATTGAATGAATCATCAACTGTCTTGGACTCTTAGCAATTCCTTACACAACCGATGTTCTTTTGAGACACAATACAACTCATATTATTTTACCCCGTCCTACTCTACCGAACTCATCATATGCATCACAGAAACAAATTTCCTTTGTACAAATCCATTAAAACCATGGACTATCTATTTCATTCTTCTTCCTTTGCTTTCCTTCCTCTTTCATCTCAGCATCTATACATGCCCCACTCCACTCTGCAATATACACGCCACGTTCTATAAAGTATTATGAATCGAAAACCAAGAGAATTTAAAAGCAGGTATGTCTAACTCATTCAATATTTGTTTTCTAATAATTATCTGGACAATAGAGATTGCTGCGCTCAAGCGAACTTCAATTGCTGATTAGCCACACGTGGAGCTATTCAATTTCCGGTGCTGTCTTAAGATCGGTACTCACTGCCAGAAAGGATGCAGGCATGATGCTGCATCTTCCTATATAGGGCTAAAATTTGCGGGGAGAAGCACGTGGGTAATAGAGTGGTGGACTGTTAGCACAACGTAGAATGGTCAGCACAGGAGTGCCTACTTTTAGAGATTAGATCTATAGCATTTCCTTTTGTGACCTTAGACAACTGTAAGGGGAGCATTGACAAATATCACCAGTTTTTGATTTCACAAATCCCCAACCGTAACCCGGCCAACTCTTTATATTGTGCCTGACAGCCGAAGATGAACCGCTAATCTGCACAGGGCTCTACTGGTCCCCGTGCCAATCATGATAGAACCTTATTTCTTTATTTCAACTACTTTAAAAATGTCGTGACTACAATCCAGCTTCACCAGTTTGCGACAATTTAGCTCGAAGTTCATCCTCTTTGTGAACTTTCAATAATTAGATAACTCTATCATCCTTTTGAGCAGGGTTTCTTACAGTGATCAATTATTTGAATACAATAAAATATTTACACTTTCCAGCGAGATTGGTGGATCCATCAGCCCATTTAGTCTCACAAATTGCCAGGTAAATGTACTTTTATCAACGTGTCAAACCTGTGGGCAGAGCTTTTTATTTATATGAGAATAAAGTTGTGCTATGGGTAGTGTCTAGAGAGAAAGGCGTCTGTCTATTGTACAGCAGATCGTCATTTTGTTGCCTCAATCGCCCTCGGTACAAAATCAAATTCTGTCCTCTTGAACCACTTTGAAATTCGCGAGAACGAAGATAATTCAAAAATTTGTATAATTATTTGAGAATTATGCATTTGTATCCACTTATTTTTCTTATTTATATGTCTCAGTTCGTGCTTTAAGATGCTGAAAATTTGAGGTGATGTGCCAAATTGATCGTATCTAGGATTTCGTGCTTTTAGTGCTAAGGCTCTTTTATATTATCCCTCTCTTCTTTTATCCCCTCTCTTTTTTTATCCCTTCATAAATCCGGACTCATACTATGTTAATATGTACTTACCTCTCCATTAAAATGCTCTTGTCTTCCGTAACTTGAAAATAACTTGCGGAAGGGGGGGCCGGAGCTACAGGTGCCAAGACCTACCGATCCGATTCAAACCGAATCAGATTCGCTACCTACTATAGGTCAATCAGGACATTCGCCAACTGATCAAGCGGGTGTTTGTTTTAAAATATATCATTTCCAAGGAGTAGATCATGTTTATACCAGGTGCTCCACTTCTCACCTGGGTGAGGGGTTTCAAACCCACACTCATAACTTACTTCACTTAACGATTATGAAGCAATCGATCTTTCAATAACAAATTCCTTTTGATGCATTAAATAAGTTATTACAACTACCATATACTCTCAATTTAAAAGGCTTTGTTAACTTACTGATAGAATAATCTAGCTTCAAAATTGAGACTCTCAATCTTCATAGACCTTCCTACGAATGTCAAAAAGCAAAATAAGTCGACAAATCTAACACCACCTGATGTAGCGTAATGGCGATTTCCAACTAAAAACTTTACACGCTTTGCGTTTAAACGCTCCTGCCTAAAGTGTACATTGTTTCCGACGTTGCTGATTTTCTACATTGTAATAACTGTATTTGGTTAACGTAGGCGCTGTTGGGGCATAATATAGCAGTTGCCAATATAGTGAGATACATATAGTTTCACTCGTAATTCAATGATATGAAAAAACTTCGTTAGCATCAATATAGCAAGTGAGATTGAAGGTCAACAGCGACACCTCCGATGGTAAGTAAGTCAATGGGTGAACCTCATTCATATCTACGACCAGGATCTCCCCCGTCTTCATACATAGAGCGATAATCCTTCCAGCGCTATATATGACGATCTACGATACGATGATCATCGCCCTAGAGAAGTTATCCGGAATGGAAGTAGTATTAGTAGCATGGACTTGATATCGGGGTCTGGAATAGTTTGGAACCTTAAACAACTTAAAAGCAGGGACAAGCCATTGCAATTAGCACTTGCAAAAAAAAGTGGTTGGATTTGGCAGAACACCCACTTTACTTTTTTTTCTTCTTCATGTGAACTTCCTCTCATTACTTACACCGTCGCAACGTACTTGCAGTTCCAATTCACAACTTTACGATTTAACGGGATCATCTAGGGTTAATTCAACGCATAATCCTTTAAGATCGCATCATGAGTGATGACGATTGTTCAATCTGCTTATTGGCACCTGTTTCCGAAAGATGTGGCAGAGAGGTTGGAGATTGTAAAATCTGTGACCAATCTGTTTCCTGGAAAGGCAGAGTCGAACCTTGCGGACACGAGGTATTCCACCATTGCTGCATTGAAGGATGGTTGGATAAAGGAGAGCGTACATGTCCTATCTGCAGAGGAAATATTATCGGTATCCGTCACAATTTCTCCCAGGACGGAAACCACTCAAAGTACAGAAAACTTGCAGAGCTTGAACCACGTCGGGTTGTTTTATTTTTAGCTCATGGGGTACAACGAGCCCTATTAATTCCACAGCAGAATGTGCGACGACGTATAAGCGTGTACTTAACAAAATCCTTTTCCATTCCTATCATATCCTTCATACGAAGAAGAGTCACGCCGCAAGACATCGCCAATAGCAGCGACATGGAGGCTCGAGTCCGTCTCTTTGCGGAGCATGAGATTCAAATATTTTCGGCTAAATGTGTCTGCCCTGCTTGTCAGGAACCAACCTCGAGCTCGTCCATTCACATGATCGTTCCCAGTGAGGTCGAGGTAATCCGCAATTTCGTCGTGAACAAAATTGTGGATCTTTTGAAACGGTATGACCTACAAGATAAAGCGGTTGAGATTGAACAAGAGGCTGAGCAATACCTGAACGAGCATGCGCGGTTATTTTTGCATGAGTTGAGAGCCTGGATCGAAAGTCCATTTGACACTCTGGAACAATGGCATCGGAACGCGAGATATCTCAACGATTCCTTTTTGACATCAATCGAGGACAATTATCCTCTCGTGTATAGTCCATCTCGAAGACCCAACCTCATACGAAGAAACGCTGGACTCCAAAGAGGATGATTTTTCGAGGTAACTAAATACCTTGGGAAACCATATCGATGGTAAATTTTCAACCCACGGTTACTGAAGAGCCTGCAGTTCCCGTCATCGAGAACGTAGATTTCGAATGACAGGCTGCCACAAACTTTTTCTCCTACGAAGAGAACGAATGCGGAAATTCTTTTGGCAGTCCCGACTCTCGTCCAACTCTTAGAGATAGCCATTCACTATCCAAGAAACAAGCCTTTTTACCAATTGCACCGCAGATCACACTCGAAGATTCCTTAGCATAGTTCAGCAATATCTCAGCGATTCAAGCAACTCACGATAACTAATACAGGGCACACAAAGGCGATATCCCTACCATTCTGTCTTTTACTTCATCCGACTTCAATAGGCCTCGATATTTCCACAGTCAAGGCCAGCGCAACATTTTATCTTTGTCCATATTTCGAATCTACTTCGCATGTTAGGCTCATTGACAAAAGATATACTAAAAAGATGAATGGATTCAGACTTGGAAACTAGGATTTGTCTGTTGCTTTTTTTTCAGATTTTTTTTTTCCTATCTTGTTTTTCCTTTCTTCTATTTATTACCTTATTTTGTCTATTTCTTTTTGTCAAATTTCCTTTTATCTATTTCTTTTTGTCAAATCTTTGGTAAAATGTCTTTAATTTTGGAAATAAAATAAGAAGAAAAAAACCTGTGTAAAACAAATCAGATATGGATTATTTATGCGGAGAGATGGGTATGGGTGGATCGTAGGACAATCTATAGGCATTGCCTCTTTTATTTTTTTTTTAATTGTATTATTTCCTTTATTTCTTTTGTATCATTTATTACGAGTTATGATAGTAAATTAAACGCCTGGCCCGGCTTTGGGGTTAAATCTTCTGCTTCGTGAGAGTGCATGGCCATCGAGATTCCCTGTCGTGAGATTATAAGATACTCAATATTATGGTGAAGTTGAGTAGTAAAATTAATATAAAATGTACATCATATAGCTCGGCGTCCCTTAAAACCCAATGAGATGAAGTGGCAGATGAATGGACCGTTTAACTTGAATTTTCCACCCAGAGCACATCTTGTCGCCAAAGGACCTCTCTCAAACCATCGACCACACGCTCTCAACTTGGAAATACAAGATCAAATCAACAATTCAATGTTACTGACTAATTCCTTGATAGAAACGTAGATTTAAATTCTCGAAATATGCATTTAGTTTTCGAAAGTAAGCTGCATAATTAAACGAGGCAAAAACTTTACAAGTCTCAAAGGGCAGTTCCAAAAAACCCAGATGTATGATATTATTTTGTGATTAACTTTCAGGGGCTCAATAATTGGTGTCCGGGATGCTACACGTGGCATTGTAACAATACCTTAATACTTCTTCAAATTGATATCTTCCATTCCAGAAAACGACAAAAAAATAGCTACTCATTATAATTCTTTATTGTTACTTGAAAAATAAAATGATAATACTTTTGAGCTTCAATACCAGATTACAAGTGATTTGTTTATTTCGATCGATCAAATTTGTTAAGTGAAGATGCTGTGTTTTTTTGTCCGGGTATACAATAGATGGAGTGCTGTGATGAACGGACATCGCTAAAGCCTGTACTTTAGATAGACAAAAATACCTACTGTAACTTTGAAATTATAGATCAAATCAACGAATCAATATTTTCTATTTTTAACTTAAGTTTAATAGTCTTTTGCTTCTTTTAAAATTGAATTCAAAATGGTATGTGAATTGAATATATTATTATGCTGTTATTTGTAAGTAAACATATAGTATTTTAGGGATTGTTCAGGTGCGCAACAAAATATTGTTAGTTGAAATTTAGGCTTTCATGCCCAAACCATTCAAATTCTCACCCGACATCACACTTTACAGTTTAAAATGCGATGGGAAACCCATCTTTGTTGATTTCACTATATCTACTTATTATATATGATTTTGACTATATTACTATCTATTCATTAAATCTTGCAATATATGCAATGATCCGGTATATGATATATTGGATTTGACAGAAAGAAAAACCATCATTCCCCAAACATGGAACTAACGGTTTTGTTCAAGCTAGAGTTCCTCTTTTCCTATTCCTTAAACTTAATTTATTTCTATAGGTCTCCGCGATATTCTGTTTTTTTTTCTTCTACCCAAGCTTTCTAACCTGCTAGATATCCTATCTCGCCATACTCCCACACGACTTGATCCGGACTCTTTATCTTTTGGTTATTCTAATCAGGAATGAAAGAGAGATTGAGGCATTTCATGCATGTTCATTCAATGAAAAGGTCACCGCTCCATCATAAGCATACTCCATAGTATTCCAAACTGTATGGCTACACTAATGTTCACCTTTCACAGGCATCCCAATCTCTCACACTTCCGAGCCGATTATGCATTTTCGCACAGTTTCAGTTTCCGCCAGCCTTCCGTCTGGCACATTACCTTCTTACTACTCCGAATGAACCTATTTTCTATATCTACAACATAATACGAAAGAAGCTCATCCCAGACCTGCAACCATTCTCAACTAGAAGCTTCAAAAACAATATGCGGATCCTATTCAACTCATCTGAGCATTCACTCTCCTCTAACTCGGCTATTGCCTACGAACCCCTTTTTATATCCCCTATCAAGGATTCGAATTCACAATAGCAACAGTCCTTCTTAAACAACAACGGAGCATCGGGAAGGGCTATAGCAAAGGTCCGCGCACACCTCGATCAAATCATAAGATATCATACGATAAAGTGCACAGATCTGTTATTTTCCGTGATTTAAGGGAATTCTCGTCTGTTCTTAAGGATACACACATAGAACGAATGGGTATTTACTCTCTCAGTTCAGAGCCAGGCTTTTAAAACACAAAAGGCTTCTTCGGATGGTGATAAAAATTCCCTTCTGACTTCTACACTGCACTATGGACTGTCTGGATATGGGATACTTTTGTGGGAATTTGATGTTCTTAGCAGGAAAGACTGAAGTTAACGCATTACACACTTATTATTGCCAACAGACTCTACAGAATACCTAGTCATGACATTGGGTCTGGGTTCTACGAGTTCTCCTTCTGCCACTCCCATGTTCCTCTATTCTTCAACCAGCCTTTCAAATTTAGCCCTTCAACAACTATCCGCGGAAATTTCTCTGGCAGTTATCTGTTCCCAGTTTCCAATTTTCAATCCTAAGTACGCCAATCTCGAGCCCCTATCTCTCAACACTCAACCTCCCTCCATCAAATACATCTCACCTCACGACTTCTTTACATGCACATTTAGTAATCATATACACAGCTCCATTCCGCAAGCCAGAAATTGCACAAAACTTCCAGATTAGCAACCTTGTCATTCCATCCCATCAATTCTCCCCCTTCCTCCATCCCTTCCTTTTCAAACACAAGCCTATCTCGCTCTACCCATTTTTCAAGCAGAGACTGTCTCTCACCATTCCATGATACCAGCACACTGAAATAATTCAATTATTCAAAAGTAACTTCTGCAAAATAACACCTAAACGACCTTTTGCTTGCATTCTTACAATACTATAATAAAATACCTACAAACCATTCTTGTTCATAATCCTTTTCTGCAGCTAAGTTTGAATTCTAGAAGCTTTGTTTACATCTCCGTTTGTACTTAAACTTACACCTACACCTACACAATATCTGCAGGAAATATCACATCGATACTCCAGCATGATTCTCATTTCAAACCATCTATCAGCATCAGCATCAGTAACAAGTTAAAATAGCCACACAATCGGACCTCTATATCAACTTCAAGTTTTCTCCGATTGTATTACCTGCTATTAAATCATATCAGATTGCTCTCCTGCATGCATAGTTCTATGCAGCCAAACACAATTTCCTTCTTACCTCCTGTCAAGATAATAATAGGAGTGACATACATAATAGAGCTTGATATTTATCCTGCAATGGCGCGTCTTTGTAATGAATCTATAATTATGTGTATTCATTGCTATATTCACATACCACATCCACGCTGTAATTGGCAATAATAATCTGCTTTTCTTACTTACTTTCTTGCCTTCTTGAATTTACTAGATAAACATATACCTAATAGATGTCTTTTTCTCGTCTCACAGAGTAGTAAGCAAGGTCTACACCCTTCCTCTTCTTTACTTAATATCTTCACTCAACGTGAAGTTCGTTTCTTTTCTATTCTTTCTGTTCAAAATTGCTCCATCTATACATATATAATTCAAATATAAAGTAAATATTCCATATTATCCTACAACTATCAACTTCCTAGCATCCCCTCATTCAAACCAATACCAATTCCAAAAACCACACCAATCCCCTCAGACATAACCATATCCATCTGTCTGCATCAAAGCTCTTGAACATGCAATCCAAAATATCAGTGCCTTCTCTATACTTTCAGTATCATATGTGGCCATAGGCCAGCCAACCTCATCTCCTCAACTGCTACGTAATAATAGTCGTATAATCTAGACTAAGTAAGAATCCCTTTACTTCGCGCTCTCGGTACTTTTTTACTCTAAGTCTTAATTTTTACTTTGTTTTTTGGAAAAATATCTAGTTATTTTGTAAGTCTTATGTCAAATTTATATTATCTGGATGGATGGATATACTAGTCATGTTCGTTATATGCTGTAAGAAAGTATCTTCTTTATCTTAATATAGACTTCGATTATCTGGAGTATGATGTATACACTTAGTTTGTAAGACTTAACACAGTGCGTTACACAGAAATAAAATTCTCCGGAATAAGCAAAAAGCCTAGAGAGATGAAAAAGATCAAGTATACAGATCAACTCGCAAGAATCCAAAATCTATACTCGATTTTTCAAGTACTCAAGTATTCAAGCACTCACAATATTCATAAACATATTTACTTCCTCATCCATTTACATTCTATCTCTATTCCTATCTCTAATTATAATATACAATACATTATATTCAATTCCCTATAATCCTTCTTCAATTTCCTTTTAAAAATCCAAACCACAACTCCAATAAATATCTTACAGTCTATCCCTATCCCTATCCTCATTTCTATCCCTTCATCATTCATCATCAAGGACATACAAATATATAAACTAAAAGATCCAATATCTCTATTCCGATATATAATATAAGTTTAGTACCCTACTTTCGGACCACCCCTAATATGGACCACCTTTTTACACCAAAAATCGTGATTTTCAGCTATTAATAACTCTACAACCGATGAATAGAATTTGATAAAACTTGAATCGTAGATTCATTATATAATTATAATTCAATTCTGAAAAATTTAGATTTTTTGAAATTACTTTCATTGAGATCTATAACCTTAAATTTTATAATTTTTGATTTGTATAGGATTTATATACAAATTTACAAAATCTTTAAAATCTTGAATAACTTTTCAACAAAAATAATAAAAAATAAATTATAAATTTTTTTCGAGTATTTATATCATAAATGATCAAATAGATCAATATATTTTAAAAGAATATTCTACAAAAATCCTTTTAATCAAAATGTTATAATTTTTAATCTTTACAAAATCTAAAATATCAATAGAGATTCATTTATATTATTTAAAATATATATTTAATTATATTTTTATAAACAATTTTTTTAATACACAAAATTTGATTTAAATCTTTTTTATTACAGATCACAAACTATAAGAATGATGATATAATTTCTTTATTTATCGATAAACTGATAATCTATATATCTGAAATTAGATTTATTTATTTTGATATACGAATATAATAAACCTTAAGATCAAATATATACAACTTTATAACTACTATATAGATATTTTATATATATATATAAATACTTTTTAAAAGTTATAATTCTTTAATTGTTGATTTTAAAGAATATAATTAATTTTATTTATTCAACTTTTATATAATTATTATATATAACATTTTTCTTCTTTTAATTCTTTTTATTTTAATTAATTAATAAATTAATGTTTTAATTTATTATTCTTTCTTTTCTCTTTTCTTACTTTCAAATATTCTTTCACTCACCATCACTCACACATCACTCACATCACTCATCACTCACATCATCACTCACATCATCACTCCACATCATCACTCCACATCATCACTCACATACAAAACCCGAAAAGTCAATAACAAAGGGATATATCAATTGACTTTAACTTTACTACTCCATCTTACTCCTCCTCCCTCCACTAATTCTACTTCTTTTCTCATCTCATCTCATCTTTTCTCCCTTCCCCTTCCTCTCCTCCTCCCCCTCATCCTGTTAACCTCTCTTCTCGAGGTCTTCTCAGGTACTCATCATTAAGACTATTTCACCAAAGCAGTCCCAGTCCCACTTTCAGTCCAATTGCCAATCCCATTCTTCGGATCTAATAACCATTAACCACCCCAACCAACCACTACTTCGCAGTAAAACCCTTTAAAACCTTCCATTTCCCTATATCTTCTACTATACTTTCCGATCCCCCGATCTATCTCTCAAATATTCCGACTCCCATCCGTTGTATATCCCTCCAACCAACACCAATCCCTTCTACCCTCTTAAATCTCTCCCTTTCCCACCCCATCCTCCCAAATCTGTTCATCTTCACAAGATCCTATAAAATTTATGGATTGGATTTTGTGTTGAGTTTGTGCATTTATTGTTTCTGGTACGTGAAGGGTGGGTGGGTATAAGAGGATCGCTTGGTTCAAGGAAATAAAACATTGAAAAGGAGATAAAATATCGAAAGAAAGGTAAAAGAATTTTCGAAGAGCAAAATGCTAAAAAAAAGAGAGGACGGTGTGATTTTCAAACATCGATTAAATGTTTGAGTGTATCGTAGAATTGATGCCTATTTTGGAAAAATCAATCCTCCTAATGGCGAAAGAGTATGTTCTTCATATGCTCATTCTACGCCACGCCTATACACATAACACCATGAACCCTTATAAAACAGGGACTGATACCCAAAGCAGAACGACCATGTGTTTGTAGTCACAACTAAAAGAAGATAAGGACCGAAAACGCCGAAAAGGATTGAAATTGAGCTAAATGACATTGAAAACTCGTCGTTCGTCACATTGATTAAATGTGTGTGTGTATGTATATAGCTTTATCATGCGTTGGTTACCTTTACAGAATGTTAGTATATGATTAAATTGTTAGCTTTTACATTCGCATACCTTGAGGATTCTCCTCGAGTAATCTTGATTATCAGCGATACTACCATCGCTCATTCTTCTATTTGCAAGAGTAGGATCAAGTCGGGTGTCGGTAAAAGAGCCACCACTGCTAACAGGTACTTTACCACCAGTGACAAAGTTATTAACTGCTGCATTTCTTCGGTATTCTTCCTCGACCTCACGTCTCTTCTTATTCCGCATAACAATGAAGATTCCTCCAGCGATGGCCGCAGCTACTAGCACACCGACAACGACGCCTGCGGCGATGCCAGCTTTATTTGGACCTGATGATTTATTTTCGGACAATGCAGCTACCGAGCTCGATGCTGCGGCTGCGCTGGATGCTTGAACTGTAACCGTTTGACCTAAAACTATGGTTAGATGAGAAAGAATATTCGTGACATGAAGATATTCATACCTCCTACGGTAACAACTGATGGTGCAATAGATGTGGTATGTGTAGCAGCGACGGATGATGCGGATGCTGATGCAGATGATGCAGATGATGCAGCTGCGGCAGCAGGATCATAATTTGGTGCTGAACTTTCTGTCCCAGTGAGATAAACCGACCAATAAAGTTTCGTACCACCACACATCTCTAAACTAGTACCAGCACAAGGACTATTGCACTTTGAATCGTCGACTAAATCAGCTGCTGGAGGAAGATCATCACCACACCAACATTCATCGCTGTTGTATGTTGCTTGAACTGCATATTCGGCGGCAGGTACACACTGCATTTGACACCATCCTTTACTGTTGTATATGTATGTTGAATTCTTGGTCAATCCCTCACCCGAGGAAAAGCATCCCATATACGTTAAAGTCTTATATTGTCGCGTGTATAATTCTAGAGATGGTGCCGCGATTGCATTGCTAATGCAGGCGGTAGCAGCGATGATAGCGAGAGTAGATATCGACTTCATGATGAATGATTTGATGTGGCCGTGGCCTTTCTTGCGTTATATGTTGATTAAATGGATCGATCGGTCGCGATGGCGATGGCGATGGCGATGGCGATGAAGTTTGCCGTGAGATGTTATTTGTATGATGATCGTAGGTTGGTTTATTTAAGATCAATCGTCTGTTTTGTGTTGGAAAGTAAGTTGGGTCTTGGTAAGATGACCAGCGAGAGGGAGATGACAATCACAACAGAAACGTATTGTCGAAATAACGAGTGAATCGATGTGTGCTAATCTGCGAGATGTATCGTGAATTGATGTTGATGTATCGAATAATTAAGAAGAGGTTGGAATACTAGCTGATGATGGAACGTGATTTGCCTGTTGATGTTTCGAAAGGAGGGAAAGGGTCAGGTCAATAATCTCCTGGTCGTCCGGTGTAGGATAAGGTAGAGAGGGAAGAAAATCGGGTGATGCTGGAATGAAGGTTGGGGAAAAAATCGACCGCAAGCAATAAAATAAACGAATGTTTGGCCGTATTTTAGAAACGAGAAGGAATGAAAAAAAAAACGAGAGAGAAGAATAGGAAATCAACACGAGAGAATGTAAATCATCGAAAACGACAATTTGAATTAAATTATTCTTATGCCGTTAACGATGAGAGAAAGATTTCCAAATTCTTCTATTTTTTTTTTTTCTTTTTTCGAAAAAGGGATTCGTTGTTTAAGGGGGATGAAGATGTGAGTAGTGAGTGAGTAGTGAGTGGTAAGAGGGAGAGTTAAGTGTGAGTCCGAGAGAGGAAAATTTGTTTAGATTGTTTGATGAATGAATTTAGAAAGAGGAGTTGATGGATGGATGGATGAATGAATGAATGAATGGTTGACTGATTGATTGATGATTGATTGATTGAATGATTGATTGATTGATTGATTTTGATTTGATTGATGAAAGGGTTTAGGTTTACTCAGATCAGATTCCTCGGGATAGTTTGGTCAGATGAAATTGTGCGCGAGGAAGGAGTTGGGTACACGGATGGATGTGTAAAAAAGTGGGAATCATCATTGGGGGGAAACAAGATGGGAAAGAAATGGTACCTGAGTTATTCCGTAGTGTGTGGAATAGGTATGAAAATGAATGATTGAATGAGATGAGTGGTTCAAAGTGGATGTAAATTAGTGGAGGTTAATTTTTAGGGTATTTAGGGTATTTAGGGTATGTGTTAAGGGTGCTTAGGGTGCTTAGGGTGCTTAAGATCCTTAAGGGTTGTGCTCAGATATGATTTACGGTTGGGGGAATTTGTTCATTGATTTTTACTCTGCTTCTCTCTGGTGGGTCATTGATTTTTACTCGGCTTCTCTCTGGTTGGTCGTTGATTTTTACTCGGCTTCGCTCTGGTCGGTTATAACTTGCTGCTTATGCGTTTAGAAAAAGGTACATGAAAGGCCACGCAGGTACAGATGGATACAGATGGATACAGATGGATACAGATGGATACAGATGGATACAGATGGGCTAGGAAACATAATCCATAATAATAATGGATGGACGTGGCAGCATTAAAGAGGGTCCTGCCTGGAGAAGGTGATTAGTCAGTCACACCTCTTAGAATGATTGGTTCTTTTTTATGCAATGCTGGACAATGCTGTGCAATCACCCGTCGATCATCCTGCACTCCGTGCTGCAAAATCTGAACCTGATCGACCTTTTATATCCAACTTCAACTTACGCTTATTCCCCTTAGATCCCTAGATTCCCATCCAATCTTTTCCACTCTCCGCGTGTTGACATGACATTGGCGGGAGTAGGCGCGTTTGGAAGCGCACTTTGTTTACTTTGTGGGCTGAATCCGTTCTTTTCTCTTCTTGTTGTCAATGGTCGATTGGTTCAGATGAATTCATTACTTCGTCGTATATATATATAAATGGAATGACGAACTGTATGAATAGCTTCACGTCACGGTGAAGACTATTTTTTGGTGAATGACTGACTTGGCGATTCAGGTGATTTCAATTCAATTGATCATCCTTCCGGATAAGAGTGTCTAGGATCATTCTGCATAATTCATTTCCTGACTAAAGGATAATAAACCTGGATTCTCGTTTCAATTTGGCATAACTCATCCAAAGTTAAATATGAAAAGGAAAAAAAGGAATAAAGGCAAGGGGACTTGATAATCTCCATGGGTTAGTTCCAAACTCATCAAGAGGATCAAGGTTGTTTGAGTGGAGTGAAGGTCATTAAGGCGTGATGTGGACACCGGGTTCAAGAGAAATGGTGGCTTAGTTTGGCATGTGGGAAATTAGGCCAACTAGGATTCTCCGTATTGAATATTTCTTCTTATTATTATTGGGTTGACGGATAAAAGATGTGCATGTATAATATTCATAATTACTTCACATCTTTCATATTTTCATATCTCTCACATCATTCACATCATTCACACCACTCACCACTCACCACTCACCACTCACCACTCACCACTTATTACTCATTATTCACCACTCATCATTCACCACTCATCACTCACCACTCACCACTCACCCCTCACATCCCTCACATCCTTCACATCACTCACACCACTCACACTGCACTCCTCAATCATTGTTTGAAACCATTTCCACCAAAAGGGTCACAAACATGGACTCCTGATGACCGCCAAATGTATCTTTAGAAATGATCGCTGCGACCCTGTGTGGTAATAATAATAACCTGACCATAGTACCAAGTCGTGATTCGTGAACCACATGGAAAATACGAAATCTGTATTTAAAATAAGATTCCCAATCCCCATCCAAATGCAATCGAGCCAATCTAGCCCAAAGGTCATCTCGCCCGCCCAGCTGCATACAGAGGACATGCTTCCGTGCTAGCCTACTAGGTACCGGTAGTCATTCCAATTCTTCCAATGATCCAACCATCGAGAAATTCCAAGAAAAGCCCTTGAGAAGTTCTAGACACTCGAGGACCCCATCGGTAAGGAGATGTCGAATTCGCCATGACCGAAAGTGGACAGGAAGTTTTCCGATTCTACGGAAACTTGGGAACGGCCCTGGACCTTTTGATTTGGAAGGGTACTCCATTATTTCATGATTATCACTCATGTAACTTGCTTTGTGTCTTGCATATTTACCACGGCTTTTGGCCAAAGCAAAATCATCAAACTGAGCGTGCATTTACTGAGCGTGCATTCTCTTACATTCTGCACTTTACACCTTGCACTTTACGCTGCTGTTCCTTTTCTCGGTATCATCGGTACGAAATCCGGATCAGCCAAATCTCTCTCCGTATTCTATACTTCCCTACTAGGTCCTTGAGGAGAGGACAGTAAGCAAAGGCAAGAATGTCGTTTTCTTCAAAAGAAGAAGTAAGTCGGCGATGTACCAAAATATTTACCCGACTTGAGAATCATTTGCTATCTATATCATTAGGTAGGGAGCATTCAACACCACAACCACAACCATCAACGAACGATGACCCTCAAGTCACATGGCACATTACCCAAGAAGAATATTACCCATCGATTGCACCAACTCCGGATGATTCGGGGGAAAGTAGAAGAAAAAAGAACAAGATGAAACTCACAATTGACAATTGACAATTGACAATTGACAATTGACAATTGACAATTAACAATCAACAATCAACAATTAACATTTAACATTTAACATTTTAACTTTTACACTTTTATTCCCAAACTAGCTCCAGAGTAGAGGTTTTCCATCACACATTATCAAGGACGCCATGGAGTTTCCATGCCGTCCATACCCTTGTCCTACACATGATCATCTAGCATCATTACCGTATTCACCACTTCACAAGAAGCCCAACAAGCTAGCTGACCATACTGACGATACGAAAAGTATATTTTAAATACTAAGACATGTACAGTACACTGTATAGATCACCACTAGGGATTTATGTCAGATGGTTTAGTGCGTGCATTTTGTATGTTTCCTTTCCCTCCCGTCAAGCATCTGACTATCGAGCATTTAATAGCTCGATTCTCGACAGTGTAGACTCTACAATCATCAAGACCGGATATAATTACCATAAGCCTTAAGGTTAGCATTCTTCCAATATTGTAAGATCTGAACTGGGTAAGGAGTCCAAGTGTTCAAGTCATGGGTTCCGTCAGTGACGATTCGGAGTGCAATACGGAATACGGAACGGAATACATGTACGGAGAAAAAAGCCGGGGATTGATAATAGATACCTAGGTACCCACAGACAGGTTACAAATACACAATACTCCGTCCTCTGTATAATATATCAGCAATGATGAGGAAAATGGGGAAAAGATAACTTACCTAAGGACTTAAGGTTATGGTTATGGTTGATTCTATGATAAATCACAAGATATATCGACATCGATTCCGTATACTCGTGCCTAATCACCCTCATCTTCAATCTTTTACTATGAAGAGGTTTATTCTCTTCCTTTCTTGTTTGCTTTGTTTGCTTTGTGTTATCCCACACCAAGATTCAATATCTCTATCTATTATATAATTATATATTCCTATTATACAAACTGAATATATAAAATATCTATTTATTTATATATTATTAAATAAATAAATTAATTTAAAATTAAAAAGTTTTAATAATTAATTTTTAATTTTGAGATTTTGTTTTTAAATAAAAAGTTTTTTTTTTTTTTTGAAAGAAGAAAATATATATAAAATTTAAATTTTCATTAAACTTTCTGGAAAAACCAAAGGCCCGGGGGCGCAGGCCCTGTGTTTTTATTTTTTTATTATAATATTATTATTATTGAAACTTTCAAATTATTATTAAACATCTATTAATATCCTATCCATTCACTTATCCCAATAATATATCCTTTAGTTTTTATATTTCTTTTTATCTTTTATTTTCTTATATATTATCTATCATCTATTCTCTCTTTCGATACTATCTTCTTTATATATAACATGTATGGTATTTACTCATTAGTTTGACTAAAAGATTTCCCTTGTGTATCCTGCTGTTTTGCATCAATTCCTTCTGGTGGTTGTATCGTTCCCTTCTAAAGTGATGATAGATTTCAAGGTTGTGGATGGATGGTGTTTTGTGTATTGGGTTTGTGTGGTTTGGGTTGGTTGGGTCGGATAAGGGGATGGATGAGAGGATTGAGGATAGGGGTGAATAAGAACACCGGAAGTGGATGTTTTGAAGAGCGGGGCTAGTGAGGGGAGAAGTGGAGAGGATATGAATAAAGACGGAACTAGAAGTAGGGTAGAGGAAGAGGAGGTTTGGTGTATAAGGGAGGGGTGTAGAAGGGACAGCGAATGGAAAGTCTGATTGAGAAAAGAGTAGAGAGGAGTGATGATTTGAAATTGAATGACAGGAAAAAGGGCGGGGATTTTGATATATATGATTATTCGTTTTATATCAACGATTTCTATGATCTTTATTCATTCACTTCTACTACCTCATTCACTTCCACTTCCTCAACTTCATCCCCACATCATCTCTTATTCCTCTCCAATCATCTTTTCCCAAACGTACTACAGCCTCCTCCTTCCATATAAAAACACTCACTTCAAAGGCTAAACTAGCAGCTCACAGAAAAATTGTAAACACTGTGGCGAGCATGGGGACCTAGTATGAGCGATTTCTATCTTTAAGATTGTGTCTTCTTTTGACTACTGAGTTCTTGAAAATTGGCTGTCGATGTTGGAAGGGAAGAAGCATTGTTAAGATGATATAGAGATAGGAGGATGTATTGTAAAAGTGGTAGGTCGAGATACGTGCATCCCGATAGCACGTTGTGAAGAGGGAATTGGAAGAGAATATTAAATTAGATTACATTATAATATATCATTTATAAAGAAAACAGATTTCGTAATAGTTTTGGGATTGGTATTATATAGATTCAAATATATATATATAAAAGATTAATTATTCTAAAAAGAAAAAACAAAAGTTCTTTTTTTATATTTAATTACAAAAGGTTATATGATTGATTTGTTAAAAATCTTTATATATTTGATCTATAATTCCAACTTTCTTATAGTATAAGATGAGATGTTATGATATGATGAAATATAAGGTATCGCCTCATCGCTTAACATCACAAACCATCTTAACATACCAGTCAAAAACCTACATGTATCGACATGGAATGAGCAATGAATAGTTAAACCAATGTCACGATACATAAAGTTTTAGTTTCAACTCTCATGATCAGTAGTAGTAGTCATAGTAGCAATATTAATTTACATCCTGAGACCTCTCTAAGAGTACACAGATGTGCCAAACTAAGGGTTCTTTTATATAAAGCAGAATAGGATAGAGTTGAAAAGCTTAAGTTTGGGAATATTAACTATTCTTCTTTTCAATAAACCCTCTTCTCAAGTTATGGAAATTCAAAACAGTGGATTTATACTAGAATTGGGATGGGTGGGACATCTAAATTATCTCAACTAGTATTATGGATACAGGAGGTAATTAAAAGGATTAAAGGGATTACGATATAATGGTTTTGAGCTTAAATCGTGCATTGGAACAGCGAGAGGTAGGGTCTTTTCTGGATAGAACTTGTTTATGCTTTATGCGCTGGTCAGGAAGGTGGAGGTTAGTGGAGTGTTGATTTGATATGTGTGGAAGAATTGGAGTTGGAGGAAATAATAAAACTTTGCTTGGAGCGAAGAAATGGAAGATGGGAGTAGATGAATGGGAAGTCCATAGGGTAATAGTGAATATAGCTGTCGTTTATTATCAATCACATTTATACAGCTAGTTATAATCTTGGCTTGTATAGCGTAGATGAAAACCAAAAAACCATCTCTCTTTTAACACATAATCCGATGAACCATATTCCTCAAGTGTATTGAATGAAGATCCGATATATTTGTATCATTTACTATATGTGGTAAGTTGTAACCCACCTATCATTGGAATAAGGAGTACACAACTCCATTCAATACATTGCTACTCCAGATATACAGTGAATTTTCGCTATTCATAAGCTTAAACTATAGATATAAGTATATAGGAAATGCGCTTGGTGGTAGAGCTAAAATCTCCTCTATAGAATATAATAAGATACCTCAGAAGAATAAACCAAAAACTGACTTAGAAATCTAGTCCATTCAAAAAAATCTGAAATATGGATGAGAGGACAAGCGGTAGAGCAATCTTCAATTTGTTGAAGTTCTACTTAGGGGCTCCCATCCCCTATTTCTCATCTCGGCTCTTTTTATCATTACTCCTGAAATCTTTAGACTATCAAATCCTTAAGTTAACTAATATCTTCCCTTTGCTATTCATTTAAAAAAACTACAAATAAACAATAAATAATAAATGGTGATGAGTAAGAGGTGGCGTATGGTGATACAGCCAAGTAACTTGCTTTCCACTGAAGGAGTGAGTTGGCTTTTCTAGGAAGGGATTGAACTGGAGCATTTGCCTTTTGTCAATCTCACATCACATTTCACTTCCGCTTTACATAATTTCTACTATATACCGAGGCCTAGGCCCGAATATCAAGCACTGACCGAACGAAGGAGTTGTGAAATTAAAGCTTGCTCCCATCACATGCTTCGTCGCAGCAAATTTTATAACCGAATGTTGGGGATTACTGAGACAAAGAATTTTTCATAAGCAAGGAAAGGTTAATGTGTACAGAGATAATTGTGGGTTATGAGGAATACATAGAGACGCCAATTGCCACATATCTTACCGAAAAGTTTTTAGATTTCTAATACTTTCGAGAATCTTTTATAAAATTACAGTCTATTGCGTCATCTCCACATCTTGCTACCATTACACAATTGAAAGTTTTACTTTTTGATCGCTGTCATTTTGCAGTAACACTTTCAAATGAAATATCAGACGATATTATGAGAAAGTTGGAATTATAAACCAAATACATAAAGATTTTTAACTAATCAATTATATAACCTTTTATAATTAAATATAAAAAAAAAAGCTTTTTATTTTTTCTTTTTATAATCTTTAACCTTCTATATATATATATTTGAATCTATATAATATCAATCCTAAAACCATTATAAACCTTGTTTTATCCATAAATAACATATTATAATATAATCTAATTCAGCTTTCTCTCCCAATTCCCTCCTCACAACATACTATCGGGACGCACATATCTCGACCTACCACTTTTACAATATCAAAACAACAAAGATTTATAATCATAAATAACAATTAATTATATTTCTTCTTTTATATTAGAGAACTTATTAAGTCTTGTATATACAAACACTAGTAGATCTTTATAAATCTTATATATATTAAAAAAAAAAATATTTATTATTTATTAATCGAGATATATTATTTAATTTATATTAATATAAATAATAATAAACAATAATTATATAATAATAATATTATAATATAATATAAAAATTTAATCATTTATCTCTTGGCTAAAATACCTTCATCTGGCATTTGTTGAAAACTATATAACAACCGAAACAACGGAGTTATTTTATTTGATGTTTCCATTGCAATTACCAAGTTTGGCTTTTTTGATGAACAAATGAATGTTTTATATATCTTAGAATAGATACCAACAGTATACTAGACGAAACTATGATTGTGGAGAGAATTGAGCAGATGATATTAATAAATGATAACAAAATAAACAAAAGACTTATTAAGTAAAGATCGGAATAGGATTAACATTTCACCAAGACGCAAGCTATTATATTTTCACAAATCACTCTGACAAAATATAAAAATAGAGACCCAATCGAGAATCCAAAGAACAAGAACTAAAGTACATCAATAAACGAAATATAAAAGAAAAAAAAGATCAAGGTCCAACAATCAAAAAATAACACGAAAAGTCATATAGATATATTTCCGCCGAACAAGCTATAGATAAATAAAATTAATATCTTCAAATTATCGTTTAACCGATACATCATCATCAATGAAGTAAATGGCGATGATTACTCAATCGTTAAATATTTCATATATGATAACAGCAGCCAGTGTCAAAACGACAATCAAAAGCATATATATATATTTATCCCAATCCCAGATTCCTGTCAACTCCCTATACATATTCAAAAGCGAGGACTAGAAGCTGCACAAACCAAACCCATCGCACATTTTTTTTTTGCATGGTAGTTTCAGTTTGGTGGGATGAAACATATCTTCTGTTCAATATTTATGTCTTTAGAACCCTCGAAAAAGGGAAAAGTATGACCAACACCATATGCGGAGTATCCCGGGCTCAACATGGCGACAATCTTTTGTTTATGACAACTTTCAAAGGGACCTAAGGAAAGCTGACTTCAGCGTGGTTTACACAAAAAGCATGTTATTCATTCTCGAAGCAAGCAGCAGAGAGATGAGCAATGGCACATTTCGGTTGAGGTATCATTTCCGTAAATTTTATTCCCCTTGCCCGTCCAAAATCAGGACCTACTCATACATTTTCTATTTCGTCCCTCTACTGACACATCCCGCTCTACTTACTACCTTACAGGAGGATCATCAAACTTCACTTTCCCATCTTTATTAACCTCCGCAAAATGGAATCCGGTCGGTACATCCTTGATTTGCTTCGTATCTTTTGAGACCGCTTTAGGTTCCTTTGCCAACTCAATAGCTTCCGTTACGGCTCCCGGTGGAGCATCCGCAATCTCGTTTATATCCCTATTCGTCAAAACGTCGCTAATCCTTGTTGCCCTTGTAGACATTAGGAGTGTAGTTGGCCCTCTGAATTGTAAAAAAAGCCTATCCCCCCAAATAGTCCTCCTCATCGCTGTCCTCAGCGTAAAAGCTATCCTCTTGACAAATTTCCATGAATCTGTCTGTTGCATAACCCTGAAAAACTTAATATCTGGCAACAGCTTACTGAATCCTATGCTTGGGACCTGGAATCTTAAGATCGAGGATTTCAGACGGTAAGGGAGAGGTTTATGTTGGTTCATTGTGTATGCAACGACGTTTCCGGGATGTGCGACGAATTCTTCTCCTTCTTTCAGGGTGATTTCATATATACGCCCTGCCCCAGCCAAAGCTACAAGCCCTCTACCTGTAATTTGTGTGTTTCCCCAATGAGCAATACTCATACTTCTGTTCATTGTCGGCGAAACAGATAATCTATGGCCAGTCCAAGCCAGCAATGCATTTCTCTGAGCCACTATCCAATCTTCTCTCCCATCCAGATGTAATACCTCCATAGACGTAATCGGACTTTTCGTTGATATCAACGCTTTTATAGGACTTGTCGAGGAGACTTTTTGGTATAGAAAAGGGATCCCAAGAGGGACTCGTCGAAAGGGTTCAAGAATCGATAATGTTGATTGGGCCTACCGAATATATCAGCAAGCCATCCTTCCTATCCTATGCTTTCACCTCGAGCATGCTGACATTTTCTGCTTTTCCGCTCACTCCAACTAACGTTCCTCGTCGGGTGTATAGTGTTTGCGATGCGGACAATGAGACTGAGAGGAGAGAGTAAGGTGCTCCAATGACTTCAAATCTTGCATCTGCAAAACTTGCTTTAGTATTCAATGTCATTAGCCAAGGAGGCACAACCAAAACGTACCAGCAGGATCCGTAGAATCAAGAGTCTTGCTTAAAATATCGCCATGCAGAGGGGATTCCGATGCGCTGATTTGTAGACCTCTACATGCAGCCGGGGTATCTTTGATTGAACGAAGCTGCCGCGCACCGCGAGCGACACGGCTTACAGATGATCGTGAAATCATTATGACTGCTTTTTCTTTGCAGTTCAAAAAGAAAAAAGAGCCGGGGAGCTTCCGTTGTCGTTCGGAAAGCTGCAGGTCTCAGGTGTAGCTTGCATGTGCAATTTTCTGCCTTGTTACACTTAGGCGAGGCTTCAACATGAAATGTCGTAATAGCTTCATATATTGTTGTGCTCACTCACCATGTACTTTTAGATAAATTGCTGAATTCCGGTTTACAATTTTCTGATTTTTACTAAAATAAGGACAAGATTCTACGATTGGGATACTTTCAAAAATTAACCTAGCTTTATTACATTTTAAACAAGTTTCAATTCTTTGTGTTTATTGATTCCTTATCGATAGCTACAACTTTATACATGGGGGTCTTTTTGGAATAGCTGAGGCACGCGCTATCGATGATCTATGGACAGTGAGAAGGAATCAGCCTTACGATGAGCTTCCGAAGCTTACATAGCTTCCATGGAGCTTCTTGCATATATGCAAAAGCCTCATTGCGACATCCACCAAGGTGGCAACCGGGAATTGGCCTCCGGGTCTTCACAAGCACCAATCGACGGTTGAGAGATACCCCAAAAGGCAAAACACTCCAGAGTCAATCCTTGGGAACCCCCAGAGCAGCGGATGATTTACCTGGCACGTCGCCTGAAACGGTGAAAAATGCCCCTCCTACCATAGCGGCAACGACAAGAAAGGATCCGTTGGCCCTCGATGACAAAACAAATAAGGAGCAGAGGAAGGCGGATTGGGCGATCATAAAAGAGATGTCACAGTATTTGTGGCCTAAAGACAACATGGGAACAAGACTTCGGGTTGGATTATCTCTGGGTTTGCTAGTTGGCGCCAAAGTATTGAATGTGCAAGTACCTTTTTACTTCAAAAGCATTGTCGATGCTATGAATGTCGATTTTGCTGCCCTTGGAGGCACAGCTACAACCGTCGCTGGGTCGATGATATTAGCTTATGGCCTTACTAGAGTTGGAGCTACTCTATTTCAAGAAGTCCGGAATGCAGTCTTCGCCAGCGTTGCACAAAAGGCTATAAGAAAAGTGGCTTGCAATGTTTTTGATCATCTATTGAGACTTGACCTCAATTTTCATCTCTCGAAACAAACGGGTGGGCTTACCAGAGCCATTGATCGGGGTACAAAAGGAATAAGTTTCCTGCTCACGTCTATGGTTTTTCATGTTTTCCCAACAGTATTGGAGATATCCATGGTATGTGGTATCTTGACCTATCAATATGGTGCCAAATTCGCCGCTATCACGGCTCTTACCATGGTAGGTTATACAGCATTTACCATTTCAACCACTGCTTGGAGAACAAAATTCCGAAGAGCAGCCAATGCTGCAGATAATAAAGGTTCAACAGTTGCTGTAGACTCTTTGATCAACTATGAGGCTGTCAAATACTTCAATAATGAGAAGTACGAAGTTGGTAGGTATGACCAGGCGCTCAAAGCTTACGAGAAATCATCAATCAAGATCGCAACATCTTTGGCATTCCTCAACAGTGGACAAAATTTGATCTTCTCTAGTGCATTAACTGCCATGATGTACCTAGCTGCAGACGGAGTAGCCACAGGAAACCTGACTGTTGGTGATCTTGTTATGGTCAATCAATTGGTCTTTCAGCTCTCGGTTCCGTTGAATTTTTTGGGCTCAGTCTACCGAGAACTTCGACAATCCTTATTGGATATGGAGACACTTTTCAACCTGCAAAAGGTTAATGTCGCTATCACGGAACCTCCGAACGCGAAGCCCTTGCAGCTCACTAAAGGTGGCGAGATCACATTTGAGAATGTAACGTTTGGTTATCATCCGGATCGTCCAATTCTGAAAAATCTCAGCATGACTATACCAGCCGGCAAGAAAATTGCCATTGTTGGACCTAGTGGCTGCGGAAAGTCAACAGTCCTGCGACTCCTGTTTCGTTTCTATGACGTCCAGGAGGGAAGGATTCTCATCGATGGCCAAGATATCCGCAACGTGAGTTTGGAGTCATTGAGAAAATCCATCGGCGTTGTTCCTCAAGACACCCCACTTTTCAATGATTCGATTCAACACAATATCAGATATGGTAATTTGGAGGCATCTGACGAGAAGGTCAAGGAGGCAGCACAACGTGCGAAGATACACAGCATCATTACCTCTTTTCCCAATGGGTATAACACCATGGTTGGTGAGCGGGGAATGATGATTTCTGGGGGAGAAAAGCAAAGATTAGCAGTATCAAGACTTATCTTGAAAGATCCTCCCCTGTTATTCTTTGACGAAGCGACATCTGCATTGGATACACATACGGAACAGGCACTCATGCAAAACATCAACAGCATATTGAAAGAAAAATCAAGGACTAGTGTTTTCGTTGCTCATAGGCTCCGAACAATCTATGATAGCGATAAAATTATAGTCCTCAAGGAGGGGTCGGTGGCTGAAAGTGGTACGCATAGAGAGTTAGTTGACACTGGTGGGGTCTATTCCGACCTCTGGAGTGGTAAGCATTTTTTTTCATTCCTATTATTGTGTATTACGTCTCACCTCCATTACAGCACAGGAAACTCTTTTTGCCGAAACGGAGCAAGGCAAAGAACGGGAAATCAATATTCCCGACATCTCCAAGGAAGAAAATAGATAAATTTTTGATCGATCAGGAATTGTTACTTCGAATGAGCCAGATGCATAGCTGCTGCAGGGAATCTCCCTTTCACATTGAGCCTACGCAGAAGTGGGACTAGACTCCTCGCTCGTCTGGTTCAAAGGCCGTAACGGAGAGCGCATGATTTTCACACCTCAACTCTATCAAGCATCAAACCTCTCGATTGAACGTCTGGCTTAAAGTAAACTGATTACTTGTTTCATGGTTCAAATAAAACATTCATGAAATTATTTTTGTATAAACAAAGTGTTTGGAGCCTGGATAGCATAAAACTGATATATAAGCATCCACTTGAGTATCACTCGGGAAGACGGGTTCTATCTAACCCAAGGAAAAGAGGCTAACGAGTAAAGAGGTCGGCTGGGGAACTGAAGACGAGAGTCATTTTATTATTATTACTATGTCCTTAGTCAGTATGATGAGTATGATTAGTTGAATCTTCTCCCGAAAGGAAATTTGATTTGATAGCGCTTTGATCATCTACTTTCGTAGAGATGGGTCCAGATTGCGTCTTCCATGCTCTTCTGCTTTGCTTCAGACTCAGTTCTTCGCAGGGAAACATATCCGGGGCTGCTTGAAATTCCGTACTTACCTAGTATTAATGTAGAAAACGTGCCAACGGTGGATTGTACCCATGAGCTTGTACTAAAACAGTTAAAGTCTCCGATGATAATTCGATTCCATTGGATATTAGACTAAAATCCACTTTTCCATCCATACGGTTGGACCGTTCCGGGCCACTCGCCATGAGAAAGAATCCACTTTTCAACGGGTTAGTGCAGCTCGATTTGTTTTAGACCGTCATGGATAAAGTGATAATTCATGTAGAATCCTTGCAATATGGGCTTATTTCACTCATTCTTGTGGATTTTTCGGATGATTCTGGTGCTTTGAATGGAGCAGCATCCAAATTCGAGGGGATGAGCATTGAGGGAAGTGCAGAAATGCAAGTACAGGACGGAGAGAACTCAGAACTATCTATGGAGAATCTGTGGCCGAAGAGCTACGGGGCACATTTACATGTAGAGACTAGAGCATCCTGTATGGCTTATCGCCAAGAAACCAAAGGTATTCTTTTCTTTCTTCTTGCTCGACACCATAGTGAAGTGAAAGACTGCCCGCTCATCTTATTCATCTTGGGACTGACTCGACATACATACAACCAACGTACAGTCAAAGATCTAAACATAGGAATTACCATACATATTGTCCTTCTTTATCAAATCTGCTCACCTGTATAAACGGATTCTCACGACATCTTCACCATATTCGATCTCGACAACTAGACTTTCCATTCATTCATTTCGCAGACACTACCAAAAAAGGAACATTTGGCAGCCATAAAACGTTCTTTTGGAATTCCTCATCGATCTCTATAATTAATAGCCTTTATCCACACAAAACCAGCAATCGATTTATTCCTCGCTTCTCTTCTCCTTCATCTCGTCTGACGGCCAAATCCTCCCGCGATATCAATCTCACTCAATCACTCACATCCCGCAATCCACAGCAATCATGGTGAAATTTATCGACATGATCAATCAAAAATTGGAGCTCTACAGACTTGAAAAGCGATATATCAATAGTCGAAACCGTCGCAGCACATTTGTTTCCGATGCAGTATACGTAGATGGCGAATATTACTCTGCAAGCAATACATATTCTGCAAATTGCACAGCAGGCGATGGAGACAGTGGGAGTAATTCATCCTCGACGAAGGAAAATAAGCTTATCAAAGATACGACTGGAAAGACAATGGCGTCGGCAAGATCAAAGAGATCGAGTTTGATGGATTGGAGGCGGGGAAGTGTAAGGGGGAAAAACAGTGAGAGGGAAGGGACGAAGGTTAGTGTGAGGGAGTTGAATTGGGATGGAAGCGTGAGATCATAATTTGTAACGATCGTGGGTGAAGACGTGGTTCGATTCTTTCAAGTGGACGCATTACTCGAGTATTTGCACACTGTTGCGATGCTTTTCAGCGGCACATTTTTTTCTTGTTTATGGATTTTATGATTGTGATTACAGTAGGGAACACCTGGATATTACCCCTTTTTATTTTTAGAGTTGGACATCTGCTGCTCTGCGGCTGGAGGTTGGAGTTTTTACTATCTTCTTTGCCCATATCATATTTTGCTGGTGCCATGCCAAGGCCAGGTCTAGAGTGGGATAGTTTGGATCATTAGCCGTGAGGCGGAAGTCAGGCTTGCATTTTATATTTACATACAACATAATACTCTTAGATGGAGGGTAGGCTAGAGTAGTCATACTCAGTATATAGCTAAAAAGTCAAATTATCTACAACCCGCGAAGAGTCTCTTCTTTTATTGCAATTTACTTGTAGCGCACAATCCTCTTTGTCGCAATGATCAAGAAACGCCTAGCGCATCTACTGGACAGGAATGCCCCTCTTTGTTCGACCAAAGGACATACCATGAACAAAGCATTCGTTTAATGAAACTCCTACAACCAAAGTTCGAAGGATTTCGATCGAGTACAAGCAAGAAGTCTTGCAACGACGATTTTACAACTCTACTAACATTTCCATATACACAAGTCTATATACGTTAAAGATGGCACACCTTGATCCAGCGGAGAGATACCTCGATGCATCCAAAGGATGGGCGCCAGTACACATTGGTAAAGATTGGGTTGGCACCAGGCACCTCGGTGGTGGTGTATATGGTATCGCTACTCTATTTGAATATCGAGGAAATAACCCTGATGTATCACCGCGGAAAATTGTAGTTAAGCAGGAAGGGGGAAAAGGATGGAATTTGAAACAGGAGAGTAGGATGCTTCAGAAACTTATGAAGTACGGGAGTGAACATATTATTAAGATATATAGAGCTTACCATCGAACGATGGGTACGGTGAATTATTCGTTTTTTTTCTTTATTACCGGCTTGTTCAAAAGTAAAGTGCAGTTTGCTATTGAGAGGTTTCTGGAAGTGTATTTTGCTAATACAGTTATTCATACGCAGGGAACAAATCCAGATATGGATGATTATATTGTTAATTATACTTCTCGACCGCATAGGACAGAGTATGATTATGAGCGGTACATTGAGACACAACTCCGACAACCTCATCTTCATGATATTGGAAGAATATACATAGAATGTGCATCTCAGGGGGATTTACACAATTGGATGATACAGAATTGTGATGAGACTCAACCGTCGGAGGAATATGTGTTTAGATTATGGGAATGTTTGTTGAGGGGTTTGATGGTTTTGAAGCATGGAACCGAGGGGTGGGATGATGGTTTGCTTCAACAGGGTTCGACGTTTCATAATCCAATTGTGCATCTGGATCTTAAGGGTCCTAATAGTAAGTTGATTGCTAGAATTTTGAGCTTGCTCGCTGGAAGAGGTGCTAATATTAAGTAGTCCTGTAAGTTGGAACCTTTGTAGAAATTCCGGTTTTGGAGGCACGCATCATTGGACATGAAGAAATTCTTACAAATGATGCATCTCCTCTGATTGTAAAATTGAATACTAAATCTTCCCTCTTACAGGATCGGCGATAACCCTAAACCAGGCCATGGACGTATCAGGGCTCATAAAGTGCGTACTTGTACACATTTTCATGGCTATTTGAATGTAGATGTACGGACGCAATTAGTGCTAACTTAGATTGAACCATAGCTTGCCGATTTCGGGCTTGCACTTGAAGTTCCCGACAGCGACGAGTTAAAAAGGAATCCCGCCAAAAAACGAGAGTGGATCAAAGTAACCCAAGGCCGCAATACGTATCACGCACCAGTAAGAAACCCCCTTGATTACTTCCATCCCATCTTAAGCTCAGCTCAATCATCCCCAATTTTGACCACTATCGCTGAACCAATCTCTAGGAACAATTCTATGCTGATCACCCTAACCGCGAAATAGGCACTCAAACCGACCTGTGGAACATAGCTCACGTTATCTACCAAGCAATACTTTCTATGGGATTCGTGCCCCCCAATGTAGTTTTCAAGATTGGAGTAGATCCGAATCCTAGCCGGACATTCCTGACAATGGGTCCTCGACTTCTGGATCGCGACCGCCAGATCTACAGTCGGAAGTTGAGGGGGATGCTTCTACGGGCTCTAGCGTTTGATCCCCAGGAGCGATGGGGCCTGGAAGAATTATTAACGATGGTGCAGGAAGTGTTAGAGCATTGGAATTTTGGCGACGAGACGGATTTATTTCTAGAGGGGATTCAGGGCGGTTTTGATGGGTGGAAGGGAAAATATCCTGAGCCGGCGGTGCGGGTGAGGATCGAAGATGGATTTTCAGGGATGCGAAAGGATAGACTGCAGACGTGGGGATTTCCCAAGGTGCCTCCTTTGAGAAATCCGTCCGGGTGGACTTTTAAAGAAGATGACGATGATTTCGATGATGTGGAACTGTTGTTTCCGACTCGGAAGGCTGTTAGGATGGGCTATAGGGAGATGCCGTTTGAGTTAGGAGAGGCAAAAATGCAGTTATTCTTTCCGGATGGGAGGGCTGTGGGTAAAGATGGAAAGCCCGTAGAGGATGAGGACGAGGTACCTGATTCGACTGAGGAACCAGAACGGATGGATGAAGAGACTAAGACTACAGAGGTAAAATCATCATTAACAAGCAGAACCAGTATCCCATCCAGAGGCCAACGCACGGTCAAACCCCTCCGCGGCATAAAAAGAATGCGCAGCGCCTCCCAACAAAGAAAACAGCCTTCTCCACGATTCAGTCCCAATTCCAGCCAAGTAGCACAATTCGGACGACCATCTGAACAATTTCAATTTCTTGCAGGAACAGAAGCACAAACAGGGGAATCACAAGCACCACATACACTTTCCGATTCACAAGCGCCGCTTAAAAAACGTCGCAGATATTCGCTCACATCGCCTCCATTTCGGAATATGGAAGGGCGTAGATATTTTCTTGGGGCTGATGGGGACTTGCATAGTTTGTCTCCGAGGAGTACGATGCATGATGATGATGTTGATGTTGATGTTGATGTTGATGTTGATGGTGATATTGATCTTGGTGATGAGCCGGATGAGCCGGATGATGGCGGGGAGAGGAGTGCGCCTTGGGTGGGATATGATGATTATTATGATTATGATGAAGCGATGGATGAATGAGGTCAGGTGATGTGATAAATTAGTGGGATGGGGATGATTATGGGGATTGGGATGTTTAGGCCGTTGGGATTTGGGCGGCCTTTTTTTGTTGGCGAACCCCTTTATGGACCGGGGGAAGGGAGTGTAGAGATTGGTATTGTTGCAAGACATAGGGTTTTGACATGGATAGATCTGAGTTGAAGAGAGTTCTTTTTGTTTGTTTTTGTGACACAGTGTTGGACGCATGGACCTGATTGGTGCTTCGCTAGAAGAATATGGAACTTTATATCTCATTGTAATGTTAGATAGTATCTCATCAAATGTTGTCAAATACCGCTGCGCTTCGCTAATGTTGATCTGAATAGTACAAAAGTAATTCCTCCCATGGGAATGGCAAGATGAATGGGAAAGAACAAACGTTATGCATGTCCAAAAAGGACAAAAATCACAATTCATCAACCACAGGTATATCACCACCAACACCAATCTCTGCCTCAACAACTACATTCTCAGCTTCAACTTTCTCAACTACTGGCTCCGAGGCTGACTCCGTACTTTTCAGGAAATCGTCGACTACTAATCTCGCGACGTTCTTACCCATCAATGCACTTGTTTCCATGGTACTGATGAAGGATTCTATACCGCTAGTGTAGTAGATACCTGGTGCGAGTTGAATCTCTTCGAATGTTACGCGAGGGTATTCGTAGGGGTAAGAGTTCCAGACGTGGGGATGGTACCATGTTATTGTGTTATTTGCTAAGGAGGAAATGGTGTTAAGGTCTTCTGGGACTGGAACAGCGCTGTTGAGGATAGAGGAGAGAAATTCGGAAGAAAGTGGTTGAGGAGAGAAGATTTTATAGAGGTTTTCATATTCGAGGGTGGTGGGGTTGATGACTTTGCGGAGAGTGGAGATGGAGAAGAAACCGGCGGGACCGGCGAAATCTTTCGGGTCCGTGGGGGCGGGCATGTCCTTGGGCAGAGTTGTGAGGATTGTGGTAGGTACTTCAGAGTTGGGGCCTAAATTGAAGTAGGTTGGGTTGAGCCCGTAGGGAGAGGTGAAGAGCGTCACGTGGAGAGTCACATAGGGAATCTCGTCGGGGGTGTGTTGAAGGAGGTCAGAGGACATCTTAATGTTGGTGTATTGGAGAGGAGCCGCGATGATGATGGTGTCGAATGGTTCTTCGTTGGTATGGAAGACACCAATAGCGTCGGTAGTGACTGTCTTGACACGGTATCTTTCCTGGTCCTGGACATGAGAGATTTCGGTAACGGTATGGTTTAGACGAACGGTAGCATTTGTAGATTTAATCATGCTGTCGAAGATCTGCCAGTTACCGCCTTGAATTTGCATTGCACCTTCGATCGCCATACAAACCATGGTCTCTACGCCGTGAATGATGTTTAGATTTTGGCCATAGTTAACCCGAGTCGATGCTTGAATTAACTCTGTCGGGAAAGTGCCTCCAATCTGCATGTTATTATTAGTATTACGATGACAGAGAACGAAAGGATAGACTCACGCCGTTATCAGCTAGGAACTGTTCACCCGTTACAGATGCAACAGTTTTGAGTTCCAATTCCTCTACTCTTTCCGTGAGAGATCTAAATGGGAAATATGGTGCCTCATAAAGCTGCAAGAACTTCCCAACTATAGTCTTCATCAAGCGTTGAGTCTTCATGGGGGCGAGTCCATATTTCCACAAGAGTTTTGCAATATCCCAATACTTCCAATCGCTATCCTTCTGGGTATACACAAAGTTTGCTCCATCCCAAATAGCAAGAATTTCGTCTTCGGTATTGGATGATTGTGGGCTCAAGTCGAACTCTCGGCTTGCATTTTTTAGAATTGCGTTTACCTCGACGAAGATGCTAGCTCCTAATTCTACTGGCTCCAATGAATTACCGTATGCATTTACTGTTGTTGAACGACCCCCGATGTAAGAGGATCGTTCGAAAACAGTAACGTTGATTGCAAGGTCTGATTCGGCAGCATACTTGTGTAAATGATATGCCGAGGAAGATCCACCGGCTCCAGCACCTGATATTGTGTTAGTAAGAGTTGGAATATAATTTCTCTTCCGATGTCAAATAGAAATATATCGTCAGGAGCTTTCATGAGTAACGTATGACTGTAATTCCGTGATGAAAGTATTGAGAAAGTCGAAGGAAATCGATAGAATAGATAGCATTTTGGGTACAGCAAAAGGCCCGTTGTTTGGATGCATTCTGAGAGACGGATATTCCAACAAGCGTTCTACTCAGTTGAAAGAAGACTATCGCGGAATATTATAAGGGAATAACTGGTGATAAGAGAATAGAAAGTAGTATTAATGCATACCAATGATTGCAATACGTTTTGCATGACTATCAGCATACTCGTATGTCGTTGATATCGATTCTATGATAGGCTCTTGTTCCGCAACAGCAGCTTGAAATTTAAATGGCCATGACCAAAATCCAAGACATTCTCGGGAGAGAAAAGTGACAATAATCGTCAACACAAGGTTCCAGCCTCGATACATTTTTAAATATATTTCACGAAATAGTTTGATGAATTATGAAATTATTATAAGAAGGAAGTTCGTGGTCCACGTACATAACGCCCGACATCTTAAATTCGTAGCCTCGCCTTAGCACCAAATCGAGACTAGCTTAAACCTCGCGTGGTAATTCACGTCGCCCATGGAAAAAAAAAGCTTGCGACATTAAGGGCAAAGTACACAGCATCTCGTCACAATACCACTTTATAACTTCATTTTAATTACATCGGAAGTTATTGTGTTCGCTCAGCATGTCTGCCGCACAACTTTTGAACCCAAAGGCGGAGTCTAGAGTATGAATTTCCCTATCCAAATTTGAGGTGCGGCTACTGATCCGAAGCAGAGAAGAGGGGAAGCTCTGAAAGTCAATATCAGTGCAGGTGAAGGTTTACAAGATGTTTTGAAATCAAACCTGGGTCCCATGGGAACCATCAAAATGTTAGTTCCAATCCCGCCTACGAGCCAAAAACATACTAACGTTTCCAAAGGTTGGTTGACGGTGCTGGTGGAGTATGAAATCCTTCTTATTGCAGCAAAAATATCTCTCTAATTATCGCAGATAAAACTTACAAAAGATGGAAATGTTCTGTTACGTGAAATGCAAATACAAAATCCTACAGCAGTTATGATTGCACGAGCAGCAACCGCACAAGATGATATTTGTGGTGATGGCACAACCTCAGTTGTTCTCCTCGTAGGAGAGCTTCTGAAACAGGCCGATAGATACATTTCAGAAGGTCTACATCCCAGAATTATCACCGATGGTTATGAGATTGCGAAGACGGAAGCCTTGAAGGTGTGTAGGATATCAAGAATAAGCGGGGTAATACTGACACTTTGTAGTTCTTGGATACCTTCAAAATAGAAAAAGAAGTCGACCGTGAACTTTTACTTTGCGTTGCACGAACCTCCCTTTCTACAAAACTTAACCACACTTTGGCAGAAAAGCTCACACCTGATATCGTCGATGCGGTTCTAGCCATCTACCAAGCCCCAGCGAAACCTGATCTCCACATGGTCGAAATTATGAAGATGCAACACAGAACCGCCTCCGAAACCCAGTTGATTCGAGGTCTTGCTTTAGATCATGGTGCTAGACATCCAGATATGCCAAAAAAGGTCGAAAACGCATTTATTCTCAGCTTGAATGTCAGTTTGGAGTACGAGAAATCCGAAATTAACTCTGGGTTCTATTATTCGAGTGCGGAACAAAGAGATAAGCTCGTGGAGAGCGAACGCCGCTTCGTTGACGAAAAACTGCGAAAAATCGTTGAGTTAAAGAAGGAAGTCTGTGGAAATGATCCTAAGAAGGGATTCGTGATTATCAACCAGAAGGGTATCGATCCATTATCACTCGATGTCTTGGTCAAGAACGGAATCTTTGCTCTGAGAAGAGCTAAGCGAAGAAACATGGAAAGATTACAATTAATTTGTGGTGGTACAGCACAGAATAGTGTGGATGACTTAACCCCTGAGATCCTTGGTTGGGCCGGAAATGTTTATGAGCATCAATTGGGAGAGGAGAAATACACCTTCATCGAGGATGTAAAGGAGCCAAAATCCGTGACCCTTCTCATCAAGGGACCAAATCAACACACCATTACTCAGATCACTGATGCCGTCCGTGACGGACTGCGAAGTGTTTACAACATGATTGTAGACAAGAGCGTTGTACCTGGAGGTGGTGCTTTCCAGGTTGCTTGCGCAGCACATTTGAACAGCGAATCTTTCCGCAAGACTGTTAAGGGTAAGGCAAAGTGGGGTGTTCAAGCTTTTGCTGATGCTCTTCTCGTCATTCCCAAAACTTTGGCAGCAAATGCCGGTCATGATATTCAGGATTCGCGTAAGACCACCTTCCCGCCCAAGTCTAATATTTATCTTACTAATACGTATCACAGTTGCTAGGTTACAGGACGAACAAGTAGAAGGCAATATTGTTGGCCTTGATCTTAAGACTGGTGAACCTATGGATCCAGTCTTAGAGGGTGTATATGACTCTTTCCGTGTACTAAGGAATTGTGTTGCATCGAGTTCCGGTATTGCTTCCAATCTTTTACTCTGTGATGAATTGCTCAAGGCACGTCAAATGGGTAGACAAAAAGGACCGGGTGATATGGATGGATAAAGTCATGAATTAAGAAGCATAATGATTATTTGTAACGACTTTATTAGGAAGGTGGGCAAAATACATGCATGATATTTTGATAGGCGTGCTTCTCATTCTTTAGGATGTAACTCTGTACAACACTGTCATATCTAGAGAGCTTATGTAACATGTCTTACAAATTCAGATTCCGCCAGTCTATATAAACTCTGTACTATTTTTATATTAACTTGAAAACTTGAATTGTTTTAGTCTATAAAACAAAATAACTTTTTTACAATAAAATCATTATTAAATTAAAATATTCAAATTTATGATTATATAATGACCCGTCAGATTTTCAGTTTAATACAATTTTGCCAAGGGCTGGGGTTGCGGCATAGGTGGCCGTCTGCCGACCTTCCCACCTTCCAAGGTTTATCATTATCCATGTTTGACTACGGCTTACGGCTGGGTCAACATAATTAGCCGATTAGATAGATACAATCCATGTTGTTGATGTCTCGTACGGTTAGGGGAGACCAAACTTAAGATCTTACCAGTAATATCTTTAACCTTAATAATAAGTTGTATAAAAAATCTTTCATTCTTGGGTTACCCAGCTAAATACTCGGTAGAAAGCTTTGTTATCATCGGATTTCGGAGTTACCTAGTAGTGGGCTACAGGAACCACTTAATAAAGATATTAAAGGGGTGCATACTGGAGACTAATTGATGTTTAGACTCTGTTTACTAATAATCGGCAGTTTGATACCCCTCGTATAGACGTATTCGGGCTAAACGGAAAGGGAGGAGTGGATGTGCATGTCATTCGACACCTTACATCTTTACATCTTGACTCTCGTTCTTCTATCCGTCCGTGGGATTTATATTTAAATCCATTTTCGGGTGACCATCGGGAGGGTTAATAATAGTTTCATTATCCATCCACTCCCTTCACAGGAAAAACGTTCAGAGCTTCATAGGAATCATGGCGGCCCCCCTAAAATTGCAGCTGATACACTCAATTCTCCACAAATTATAACACCAAGATGCCCTTTTTCCCAATTTGTGATAATTTAAGTTATTAGCTAACCTTATCAAAAGCAATCCGTATGATCCATGTCCTCCACTTGATCTTTATGAACCCATAGAACTCTAAAAGAACCATACAAACGCCAAGAGCTATGAACTGCTACAAGCGATCTGAGGGAGCAAAGAGCAAAGAGTACAGGTACAAGTAGAATTGGTACATTCACACCAAAGTCAAAATAGGGCTCGAAGAGACATTTCCCATTTGCAAATCCTGCGAAAAGAAAGTACTTTGTCACCAACATTCTTTAAGAAATACCTATGGGTAGTATAAACCCTTACCTGTATTGATAACTTTAATTGGGCATGAGGCTACCATTGGTTCAAAACCTATCAACATTTATTCCTTGCTGCTGAACACACGACACGACCTCCCCCAAGTACAACCACTCTATTTCCAATTGCTCAAAAGTTCTGGTCGAGAGACCACGAAGTAGCAATTCGCACAATGTTGCGGATCCGCAGATATCGAGCACTTCTCATTCTTGCTGTCTTCATAACAGCAATTCTGGTTCGATTTACACATATACGGGATTGGGAGAGTTACACCTTACAACGCCCTGTTGGTATCCCTGATTCGAAATCTACGGCGGACAAATACACACCAAATGGAGGACATCCAATTGCACCAGAGACTCCAAAGGAACAACCAAAAGAGCCATTGAAGCCTGCGAAGGAAGAGACTAAATCCACTACAACCAGCAGTACATCAACTACCTCGAGCGTTATTGCGGTTCAAACGGTAGACACAACTGTGCCAAAGTATGTTCTTCCAAACAGGAAGCCACCGACTAAGGGAGTTTACGAGGACGAGGAATTTGAAGATCTTCACCCTGTCGCGCCAGATGGAAGACAGGATTTACCTGTTTTTTCAGCAGCCCCTACCACAATTCATTGGTCCAAGCAACCAGAACATTTCCCAGTACCTACGGAAAGTATAATTAAACTGCCAACTGGTGTGCCAATTTCAATCCCTAAGATTCAATATGTTTTCAAGGACGAGACAACGGACGCGAAAATAACACGAGAAAAGAGGCAGAATAAAGTAAAGGAAGAGTTCCTGAAATCATGGAACGGATACAGAAAGTATGCATGGGGACATGACGAACTTTCCCCAGTGTCGACGAAATTTCGAGATCCATTTTGCGGATGGGCAGCAACCCTGGTGGATGGTTTGGATACTTTATGGATTATGGGGTTTTATGAAGAATTTGAGGAGGCTGTTAAAGCCGTCGAGAAGATCGATTTTACCACCACTCCAAGAATGGAAATACCAGTATTTGAGACCACAATCAGATATCTAGGTGGTCTTTTGGCCGCTTTTGATGTTAGCGATGGGAAGTTTCAGGTTCTTTTGGACAAAGCTACTGAATTGGCAGAGATTTTGATGGGCGCTTTTGATACACCAAACAGGATGCCGGTCCTTCACTACCAATGGGAACCAGTTTTTGCATCTCAACCTCATCGTGCAAGTTCCACATCTAATCTGGCCGAGCTTGGCTCATTGTCTATGGAATTTACTCGTCTTGCACAATTAACTGGGGAGCAACGTTACTATGATGCTGTAGCTCGAGTCACTAATGCCTTATCTGAATGGCAAGATCGTAACTCAACCAACATCCCTGGTGTTTTCACGGAAGATGTCGACGCATCAGGCTGCAACCGTACAGCCACTCTTATCAAACAAAACGAGAAGAAAGAAGCTGCTTTAGCAAAGGAGACCGCTCTCAGCGATCCACAGACAGCAGCACTTTTGGAAGAGGCCCCTGAAGGATACAAGCCTCCTTCTCCTGAGACGGAGATAAAGGAGTCTAAATCCAGTAAAAAGCCTCATCCCGGAGATAAAATTTTGGAAATGCAAGTTTTACCGGGTGAGCCTGGAAAGGCCCATATTAAGGGATGGGGAGAAGGACAGGCGAAGAAAAGAGATCTAGGGGAATCGGCCTCAACCACGGTATCTTCGACTCCTCCACCAGCAGCAAATCATCCTCCAAATTATCCTCCAGTATATAGAAATGGTAATGGTCTTGGCCATTCGTTCGCACCAGAATTACCAGAAACGCCAGAAGCTAGAGGAGCGGGTGACTGGGATTGCGTTGAGCAAGGTCTTGAGGCGTATATCCGGGGTGGCAGGCAAAAGTTCTCCATGGGTGGTGGACAGGACTCCACATATGAGTATTATCCGAAAGTATGTATGAACTTCATGGACATCTTTTACATAGCTAATAAATATACAGCAATACATGCTTCTTGGTGGCCTTGAAGAAGTCTATCGAAAGATGTACATGAAGACCATCCCTGCCATACGTGAGCATATGCTCTTTCGCCCTATGGTTCCGGGGGGCGATGACATTCTTATTTCCGGAAAGGTCACGAGTAATGGCGATATGGAGGAAAATTTATTGATTCCAGAAGTTACACATTTAACATGTTTTATTGGAGGTATGGTTGGAATGAGCGCAAAGATTTTCGGCATCGAAGGCGATCTCGAGATTGCCAAGAAACTTACCGATGGTTGCGTTTGGGCTTATGGCGCAACGCCATTAGGAATTATGCCTGAAGGGTCAGAAGTGATTGCGTGCGAAAGTGTTGAGCATTGTTCCTGGAACCAAACTCTTTACTATGAGCACTTAGATCCTTCGGCTGCCTACAGAGATGCCAATGTTAAGGAATATATTGAGAATAAGGAGAAGCTTGATGCCGAAGCGAAAGAAATGAATCTGAATCCCATGGATGCGGACCGTGAGCAGAATGCCTTGGCGAAAGCGAAGGCTGTTGGGGATCCTCAAGGCCATACCGGTCATAGAGAGACTGACTCCTTGAAGAAAGACTCCTTGAAAAGTAAATCAAATGACGCAACTGCCTTCAAGCCGAAAGACGAACCTGCATCACTCACAAAACGTCAAAGTCATGACGCCGATACAATGGATGGTCCCGAAAAACAAACCATGTTTGAGCAGAAGTCGGCAAAAACAGAGGCGGAACTGGAAAGTATGGCTGGAGGACGTCAACTGGAAAAGGGTCAAAGACCACTTGCTGGCGAATCATTACCAGATCCACTACGTCCACTTTCTCACAAGGAATATGTCGAAAGTCGCATTAAGCAAGAATCACTACCACCTGGATTTACAAGTATAGTTACCAGGAAGTACATTCTTAGGTAAAGTCTCCAACATCCATGCTGTTATAACAATAAAATACTAACATGAGTTGCAGACCGGAAGCCATTGAATCTGTCTGGTATATGTACCGTATCACTGGCGACAAATCCTGGCAAGACAAAGGGTGGAAAATGTACGAAGCTGTCATCAATGCAACTTCCACAGAGTATGGTAATTCGGCCATCTACGATGTTACTGCCGAGGAAGGGTATCGAATAGATGAGATGGAAAGTTTCTGGCTGGCGGAAACGCTCAAATATTTCTATCTTCTCTTTTCGACTCCGGAGACTATCAGTCTGGATGATTGGGTTTTGAATACTGAAGCGCATCCTTTTAAACGTCCTAGGGCTTAGGGAAGGGAAAGACCATAGGATAGAGCATACTTTTTGGTCATACGAAAATGGTTTGGCATTAATGGGCAAGGAGTTCAATGGGTTTAATCTTGGTTTTTATGGGTTTCTACCGAGGTATTGTGAGCACATGATGAGAAATGGTATGAAAACCAACTTGTATTTTGTAAGATGGAATTGAAACGTAGGAGGTGGAGGATGTTAGCATCGCTATACGTACAAGCATGGCAGGCATTGGTAGCGCATACATGGAGACTCATGAATATCATGCATGGAAGTGTATTCTAGTCTAAGCGGCGTCCGGAAATTGTCATGGTGTGTTTTCCTTTGACATGGATGTGGACGTGGATGGGGGGTCGAAAGGGGTGTGGAAAAAGGGGAGGAATTGCATATCCATCTTTTAGCTGAGTAGCAAAGAGAGGGAGAGAGATACAGAGAGAAAAAATCAATATTCTTTATCCAAATCGGCATCACTCGCTAGATGTGATGTAGTCTTATAAATGAAACAGCAATTTCGAAGTTTGTGTTTGTGTTTGATGTCGCTTGTTTTATCAGTCGGGTCTATTTAATAGGGGATCCTATTTATTAAGGAGTTTATGGCGAGAAGATTAGTTTGCAATTATGTTTATTTGCGTTTTTGATGTTTTCTGGGGGTGGTTTTGTTAGGATGGTTTTGGGATGGTTTTAGGGATGGTGTTTATCTGGGTTGGTTGGTTGGTTGGTTGGTAGGTAGGTTTGTATGTCTGTATGTATACCATTGTGATCTCTTGCGTAGAAATATGAGGGAGGAATGAAGGTTTTATTTGTGTTGTGAATGAGTGAGTATGTAGTATGTAGGGAAGTAAGTAGTCGGAACTCAATTTCCTATGATGTGAGTGACCTACCAAGAGAAGCAGAGAGATTCAAACTCGAGACAGTAAGTAGACAATTTTGGTATGGGCACAGGGAGTTAATCTATGGCGGGGAGCGGCTTTGTTTAAGCGTTCTTTGGCCGCCCTGGTAATTTGTTTGTATATGGGGTGGGGGTGGGGGTGATGAGTAGTGAATGGTGAGTGGTGAGTGATGAGTGATGAATGGTGAGTGATGAATAGCGATTTTGATAGATTAAAAGTTAGTATGGAGGGTATTATTATGGATTACATTTATGTATGCTTTTTTTTTGGTAGGCTAACATTAGCATTGTCGTCCGAATACCTGATTGTGATTGCTTTGCTTGAGGTTTACGGGCGGCGATGATACTTTTCTTCTTGTGGTTCTGCAGAGACCTAGGATTCTAGAGTGCTTTGTGTATTATGGGTAGGGTAGTGCTCGAGTCATCTTTTTGTGATTGTGTTATTCTTGCATAAATATGAGGAGTGAGTGGGCCTGGAGGATCGTGGACCAGTATGATTGGGGTTTGAACAGCACATTTTTTGATGTGAGGCTCAAGGTCGGGTATGTTAATATTATTGCTGTTGCATCCTACATATTTGTGTCGACAAACATTTAGAAGAATTCTATTTGTATTTGAAATTTTTGACTTGCAACAATGGATCTAGATTTTTATTATCCTGAAAGTATGTTGAAATAATCGCAACCGTTTCCTTCGCGAGATAGATGTGCAGTACTGACTCTCCTACAGAAGCCGAGGAGTGCTGGGCTGGGGATCCATATATGCTTGAAAAGACGAAGGACTATGGAAAACAGGCTAGGGAATTTGGTGAAAGTTTTGATCATATACCTACGGATCATCATCCCTGGGTTGACAACGATAACCCTCGCTGGCTTCCTAGACTTCGTCTTTTTGACTTGGAAGATCGTTCTTTGCCAACAACTGATCAGCCACAACAATTTGAATCTGCTCGCGACCTCTACTCTTTTTTGAGGGAATCCCGTACTGCCAGGGAAAATCCCAAAAGGCAAAAGCATTTGATTATCCTAGAGGATATAGATCCGAGATTTGCAGAAGTGCTTGGAGTTATGCTTGGAGTCCCTCCCGCTTTTTTCATAAGCCACTGTGATACACAACTCAGTCTCAGCATACTGGACAGCACATACGCCAAGGTAAGAAGTTCAAGACATTGGAAGATCCGTGTGCCATCGAGACGTGTTGCGAAAGATCTGCCAGGTGGTGATTTTATCCTTTTCGCAGGAAACTGCGTTCGTAGTTGCTATGATGTCGATAACACCTCGAGCTTCCAGGATTATGACACTGCGGTTTCGTACTGGGGACAAGATCATGGTGAAGATTCGTGGACTGGTAAGTTACATTGTTTCTTAGACAATCCGGAATTAAAGTTGATGATAACCTCTTTAGCGATCATCGTGGTTGATCCTTGGCAGGCGTACGTTCTACCCGCCAACGACTCATGGAGAGACCCCAGTGAAGCCGCAATTTATCTTGATAAAGTTGAAGAATTTGAATGTCTTCGGGCTTTAAGTAGCATTGTGATGGCCCAAGGTACCTCTTATACTGTCAGGCCACAGAAGGAATCTATGTTTGATTTCCTCGTAGAAGCACATGAAAGATCTAGCCATGAATGCCCGCTCGATCCATTTTTAGCAACGGCCTATGCACGCAATTTTGTGGCTGCAGTCTGGGAAGATTATATAGCTCATGACATTCGAGCTATACAAGGTTTGGTATGGAACAACCAGGAAATTGATAATACATATAGCGCCATACAAGCTCGAGATCGTAGGATCATTACAGGATACCAAGAATTGATCGTTAAAAGATACGTGATGAATTTTCATAGAAAGATCATCACGGACATCGCATGGGCATTTCAAAGCAGATGGGACTCTTCGCTTCCAGTCAGCAGCTGCAAATGCATACGTCAGACAAGATAATGCGATAGCACCCGACACATTGAATACGAGGGTGACATTTGGAAATCCATGGAAAACAAGCTAGAGATGGCCGAAATAGAGGTTAACCAACATATGGCGGAATATGCTCAACGAGCCGCATTACACGAGGCGTACGCAACCAATTTACAGACAGCAGCAGCGGATAAACAAGCACGAAGCGCAGGACAACTGACGAAAATCGCAACGGTAGTCGTGCCATCTACTGTTGTGGCATCTGTCTTCTCGATGGGAGGAGACTTTGCAGCGGGCGAGAAACTCTTCGTAGTTTACTGGGCGATTTCTCTACCGATAACCTTTGCGCTGCTTTTTTGGGTACTGCATGAGGAAATCTCGAAAGCTTGGTCGAATTTGGTTCACGCAAGAATTACTAAACACGATTCCGCCAAGTCGAATTCTAAAATTAGTGGTGGGAAATCTGTCGATACCGGACGGGGACGTGTTTGGCGGAAGCTTTTGAGACGTAAGAGAAGTTTACCGGATGTGGAGATGGCGACAAGAGCAAACTCAATTATTGAAAGAAATGGATCTTTTGGGACAATAGGATGAAGGAAATTTGTTGATCTTGAATGTTATATCTGTTTGAAACAGGATGATTAAATTCGATAATCTAGGAGATACATCGTTGGGAGTGGTATGATCACATTTGATGACTTTAGGAAACACATGTTCTATATTCCAGAAAATAATAAATAACAAACCACAAACTCCAATTCGAATCATTCCGAAAGCTGCTCTTAAGGAATACCGGAATCCAATTATATGATTTCAAGAAATACATCTTTGGAATTCGGCATGATCTATTCGGATTCAGATACAGATACGCAAAAACTGATTTTTCGTCGTATCGCAGAATTCTGAGACGAAAAGATATGCCGTTTGATGGGGAGGTGAAATGTTGGATGTTTGGATTTGGTAATTTTAGGAGATGGTTTATAGGGTTTTCTCAGTCTTAGGAGGTATGGAGGCATGGTATAGAGGTACAATCTCACTTATAACGAATGCCATTTGCAGAAGGCAGAGTGATATTTCTAGAGTATAGATTCCATACCCATATCTTCGCCCTCAGTGCTCTGGTGTACTACACTGTAGAAGAGACCGTGAGTTCCATGTATCTGGCGACGGGAATCGATTGAGAAGCTTGTTGATGTTCACAGGTGCTGCCATTGTCACCTCAATGATGACTGTCATGATAACCAACGGTGATGAGTGAATTGGTAAAGTTATCAACGGATGTCACTAGAAGAAGCTTGCGCCTAAGCAGCTTAGTTAATAATCTTTACCCAAAACAGGATGTACGACAGTGGTATACAAAATAGTAAGTAGATAGAGAAAATCGTATTTCTAACTCAAGATGTCTAGTTCTGTTATTGATATGCTTCAACCCTCACTTGAGGTAAGAGGAATTAGAGAGTAGGTACTGGCTATACTCATCAAAATTCTCCCTTGGAACTAATTGGATATTATTGCATAGAACTGCATTTTCCACGATTAAAAAAACTTTCTAGTCTTCCCCGCATTCTAGAAGCATTCCAGAAGGCATGCATAACATCTAAAAGTAGTGCATAACCTTCGTATCCTATTCCTTTCAAGTATAATTCGGATCTTGTGCGAGAGCAAAATCAAACTAAACTCTCTTGTATCTTCATCCCAATTCTTTGTCAAATTAGTTATCGAATGCCACCCCCTTTTCTTCCACTTTTCCTAATTAAGGAATATCAGTCCCTATGGCTCCGTACAGCAATACACTTCCGATCAGCCGAAATCACTAGGTCATATATTTTTGAAACCCTTGTAATGTTCTCGAATATTTGACAGGTCCACCTGGAGTAAACCCGAACCAAGGATTTGGCTTGTGTTGATATATTTTGACCCAGATTTATCGGTAATTCTTTTAGCTTCAATTTGGATGATATGTTAGGCATTTGCACTGTACATGCTGCAACTTCTCGAAAGTTGTGTCGATGAGAATGTGTCAGATGGTCAGCCCTAGGGTTGATTCCCCAGTGTTGATCATGAGCTGTTCATCAGAAGCGTAAGACTTTATGTGCTTTACTTCATACAAGCCTTCCTGCTGAGCGAAAAAAGCCTGATACTCAATACTCAGCCTCAACATTATCTTCAATACCGTTATTACCTAAATCCATTATCCGACTATGTCAGGTTGACATCAAATTGCTCCAATACTTTCTAGACGGGTCAAATTTCCGAAAGAACAAGGGTAGAAAGTAGAATATTGGGCATATGTTGCCTGTGTCGATCAAAGCTTAGCATGTTCCAATAGCATTGCTTTTTTCTGCAAAACATTGAGATAAAGAGAAGGGGGGAGTAGGTACTTGTTCGTTTCATTGATAGAAGAAGTTGAGAAGGAATGGAAGCTTGCTGCAATACGATGCAGCTGCAGGCAGGATGGCGCACATCGGTAATGATTTGCTGTGCAGAATCTGGAAACAAATACTTAACAAGTACCTTCCTGTCGCTCAAATATTGATATGGTGAAAAGGTGTGATGGAAAAGATTAATTTATATCTCCTGCTCCTAATCAACAATAAATAATTATATGTCTCGGCGGGGGTTGAGCCAAATATTGAAGGGGCCGCGTGTATTGATTATATAGGTAGACTTATTAAAAGATAAATTTAAAAATTGATAGGGAGATTGGAAAGTTCTTGGTAATCTTGGGAGAAGATCCACATATTGCCAACGATTTGTCCAGCAAGATGCTCAGCCATTTTATCTCATTTACTTTTCCTGATGATTATGGAGTACATACAGACATACAGTGAAATCTTCTGGGTTGATGTGTCTCGGGGGGACGGTCTAGCAAGTGAATCATACTGTCATGAGAAAGATGTCCCGTAGAACAGGGGAAATAAGTTGGAAGAACCATAACCTACCTACCTACCTTACCATACATATCAACTACCCAGTACTTCTCACTTTGCTCGCACCTTTGTAAAGAATCTCTTTTCGATTTCTTCCTACTGCTGTTAGTACTCTTGGAGATTCAACACTCTTTATCAAATCATCGGAAAAGGAAGTGGAAAAGAAACAAGCAGAAAATCAAGCCCAAGATATTCTGCAATAACCATCTCCAAGTTGTCGACAGATTAGGCCAATAATATATTTAAATTTAAGCTCTTGATACGCAGAAACTTCCAGGATAACAAAAATATACCAAGAAGAGTTTCCGCCACGAGCCTCGGTAGCCATGTCATATCACAACAGCGCTTACGATGATTATTCTCAAGAAAACCAAGGGGAATATCAACCTGCACGAGCAGGCTGGAAACAAACACAAAATTACCCCAACGGACAACAAGGTACGTTATAAAGATTTTATTGATTGGACTTTCAAATAGCAATATCATATCATATCACATCAGGGGGGATATATGAAGGAGGGGAGAGTGGAATACGGTATATACGAAACAAAACGAAACGAAACGTCATCAGAATTTGAAGGGGCTTAAAAAAGAGAAAAAGTATAAATCACGTATTTGCCAGCTTTGCCCTTGAATCGCTTTTTCGGGGGAGAGGCGCAAGGCATTCATTCATTAGTCGCAAAGCTTGCTTTTCCGTGCTTGTCCGGCTGTGATACTACGTACATAGTAATCCTCCTGGCTAGCATTCACAGCTCTCTTACTTCTATCTTTTGCGATTTATTTATACCATATTTTACATACCTACCACGACTTCACCATCGCAAATTACGAGTTGGCTTTATAAATTCTTCGAATTTAGCTAATGATCCGATCTTGAAATTCAGATTCATATCAACCTCCTCCTCCTCGCGGTGCCAGTTTAAACAATCCTACAACTCAGAATTCTAATAACAACAATATGAACGGCTATGGTGGGGGTTATCAACAGAACCCCAATCTCGGGGCGACGTTCTATCCCGGCGGAGGGGATGACTTTTATATGCCTCCTAATGTAGTGTCTCCAATGCCACAAAGGTATAATTTTAATTTTCATTGTTCGATTTAAGAAAGGAAAATGGTTATTTGGGTGGCATTTCCATTCGACAAACGTAACTTGCGATGAGCGTCACTAATGAGAAGTATAGAATCATGCCAGAAGTACCAAATAATATGCAAGATAATCTTGCGAACCTTGAATTAAATGATGGATATCGAGTAAGCTCGCATTCTACCTTTTCATCTATTCAATCGTATAATGACAATCCACAGCAAGGGACCAGCGAATCTTCGAGATCAAGTCATAGCAATCGAAACAGCGGACCGGGTTACACAGCGAACTACGAACATACAAATGCAGCCATATATCAGAATCTAAAGGGGCCTTATGGTACTCCACGATCCCAGCCTGACTCCCCCAGGTTTTCGCCATTTCCAAAACCCCGAAACGCAGGTCAGAATGTACCTTTGTCAGATGAGGATAAAGAAGAAGTATTAGAGAGAGCGAGACCGATGGTTTTGAAATCTACCGATCCAGAGATGCAGTTGGCATGGGCTCAAGATGCATTGTCTTGGGTGGAAGTAGCCAGCAGTACCTATGAGCGAAAAGTTGATGACTCGCGAGCTCCAACACCAAAGGTTGAGCACCAATTACGGGTTGATGCTATAAGCATTGTCAACTTCCTCGCAGAACAACAACATCCCAAGGCAGAATTTATGAAGGCAATGTGGCTAGAGTTTGGTAAATTTGGGTATCGAATGGATAAAAAGGAATCGTTCCAAGGTTATCAGCGAGCTGCACAAAAAGGATACGCTCGAGCAGAATACCGAATAGGAATGCAATTCGAAAATACCATGAACCCTGCGAAGGCCGTCGAACATTACCAAAGAGGTGTATACATGAAGGATTCTGCCGCAAGCTATAGGCTTGGAATGGCTACTTTACTTGGTCAATGTGGCATGCAGCAAGATTATGCTAGGGGTATAGATTTGATTCAATTCGCAGCCGACACGGCGGATGAGAATGCCCCTCAGGGTGCTTATGTTTACGGAATGCTGCTTGCCAGAGAGTTACCGAATATTATCATGCCTGATGAATATCTACCATACGATTTGAACGAAGCGAAGATGTTTGTTGAAAAAGCTGCTTACCTCGGATTTGCCAAAGCACAACTCAAGATGGCTCAAGCCTACGAACTTTGTCTATTTGGCTGCGAGTTTGATCCGGCTCTTTCGTTACATTACAACGCCCTTGCTGCCCGTCAAGGAGAACCCGAGGCCGATATGGCTATCAGCAAATGGTTTCTTTGTGGATATGAAGGTATTTTTGAAAAGAATGAGGAGCTCGCCTACACATATGCTCAACGTGCCGCCGAGACAGAGATGGCCACAGCGGAGTTTGCCATGGGCTACTTCTACGAAATTGGAATGTATGTCAAAAAGAATCTTGAAATAGCTTCACAATGGTATGATAAGGCTGCCAAGCATGGTAACCAGGATGCGTTGGGAAGAATTGATAGCATCAGAGCGAACCATACTCTTTCCAAGGGCGATCATGGCGCGGCGATTCAACGTATTAAGTCAACGCATGGCTCTCGAAGAGGAGGAAGACCTGAGAGATTCAATCAAGCTAATGCTCCACCTATGCCATCCATGTCAGAAGATGCCTCATCGCCATTGCCTCCTGCACATAGTCAGAAACCTAAAGTTAAAAAGGGTGCCCCAGCAGGCATTCGACCAATTTCTATTGCACCATATCCAGAGGACGATTTTGGTTCTGGTAACCGCGGTAGTGCTAAAATTAGTCCTGGTTACCCAAGATATCTTCCACAAGATGGATTGCGACAATCTATTTCAAGTTCAAATCCTGTCGCAGATCGACCATCTTCTGCTTTTGGTGTTCGCCCTCAGCAGCAACCACCACCACCTCATTTGGGAATTACCCATCAAAACACAGAGCCTATAAGATCATCGTCTCCCATGGGTACAATGCCTTCACAGGGGCGCAATCCATCACCATCACCTAGCCGCGCACCAAATATTCCTCCACTAAGCTTTGAATCCGGTTACCAAAATCCACAGCAAAGACCTACAACATCTAATTCGAGACCTGGAACCGCACAATCTGTACAATCAGTTCAGTCTTTCCAATCTGCACAATCCACATACGGTTCCAGACCAGGTCCTGGTCAAAATGTTGCACCACCACGAAATGCTTCCATGACACCAGTTTCGGCTGCTTCATCCACGGCAAGTAGAACTCCTAACAGGGCAATGGGTAACACGATGTCTTCACAAGGTGGCGACTCGAGACAATCATCAATTTCATCAGCTTCTACTCCTGCTCCAGCAGCAGCTCCAGCAAAACCATCAGCACCTGCTAAAAAGGGGCCTGCAACATTTGAGGAGATGGGTATTCCACAAACCAAGAGTGAAGGAGATTGCGTAAGTTTTTTCTAGTTTATCTTGTGTTTTATTTGACTCGGTTACTGATAATATCACAGGTCGTTATGTAATGCGATGGTACAATTGTGAGGGTTATAAAATTTAGGGATTTACAAAGCATGGCGAATGGACATTGTGAATAGTTTTTGGAGGAAGCATTCAAGGCATTTTTTACTTACATATATGCATATACTCGTATATTCGAATATTCGTATACATATACATGCATTTCATATTGGGATAGTTTGGAATTTCCAGTTGTGTATTAAACTAGCATCATCTTTTTCTTCTTCGATGAGTGAGGAAAGAAAAGAAGAAGTTCCCAGGGTGTCTTGTAGGGATCTATCAAATAGGTATTTCTCTAGGTACCTATTGTTTATCTATCTGGATTAGGTACTAGGTTCTAGGTAGTAGGTAGGTAGGTAAACTGTGAGATTTTGAATTAGTCTAGGTAGTCTAGCAAGTTGTATGTATGTATGTACGTATGTACGTATTTCTTTGTTGAAATTAAAAATTTATGATACCCGTTTTCATATTGTTTTTTTGGTGATGTGTGTTGTCTTTTTTCAAGGAGAGGGGGGCAGATCTTGACTTTTCCAGGGGTTTTTGGGGAGGGGGTTTGAGGAGGTTTGAGGAGGTTCAGAGGGAGGGGCAAGGTATGTTATTTGGGCGGTGGATGGATGGGCGGGTCGGGACTGTGAAATGTTATGTGTGAAGTGAGGCTGAATTTTGTGCGCGAGGTGAAGTTGAGTGAAGTAAGTGTAATAAGTGAAGAAAAGGGAAGTTACTTGGGGTGAATGTTGGTTGGTAGGTAGGTATACTTAGTTAGTCAGGGTTGGGTTTTGTATATGATGTGATAGGTTATGTTATGGGGGATGGGTTGATGGGTTGGTAGGTGGTGGTTGATGGGCTGGTTGGTGGTGGATATCTCTGGTTTGAGCTGAGTTTGGATTGGGTGGAGGGAATTGGGAGGGGAGGGGGAGGGGAGATGGGGATGGGGATGGAGATGGAATGGGGGATGGGGATGGAGATGGGAGATGGAGATGGGGGATGGGATGGTGGAATGATCTGGAATGGAAGGAGAAATGGGATCAATTACTGTGACATTTGGATTGGATTGGATTTGCGGTGTGGTGTGGTTCTTTCATTGGGTGGTCGAGGTGTTTTATATCTGGTTTGAGGATGGAGATGAAGATGAAAGTCACGAAAAGGAAGAGGGAAAGAAAGGAGAAAAGAGAAAAGGAAAGGGATGCTGATGTTGATGTTGATGTTGATGTTGATGTTGATGTTGATGTTGATGTTGATGTTGATGTTGGCATTCATATTCATACTGATATTCATATTCATATTGATATAGATATAGACATAGATATCGATACATAGGTGATTGATTGTAAGGGAGGAGAGTAGTATATGAGTGGTGTCTATATCATATTACCTAGGTACATTATAATCTCTCATTCGGGAAACCATATCGATATTCCTGATGCTTGCTTTGATGTTATTTTTTTTGGTTTGGTTTAGTTTATGTTTGTCTTTTTATCATCTACATCATCTTCCAGAAGCTTTATTTCTCTTTTTTTTTTCGTCCATGCTGTGCTGTGAGTGAGAAGTAGAGAGGATTGAGGCAAGGAAGCGGAAGAGGAAGAGGAAGAGAAACTGAGTACTTGATTTGAGTACTTGAGTGTTCGGCTGCGTGATGAAAGGCGAAAATCGAAGAAATTTCACTTTTATCGTTAACATCACAAACACATTTTCATGACCAAATCATATCAGATTTGACTCCGACTCGACTCTGACTCTTTGTTTCGCGCATTGAAATGGGAGTCTAGATACATATTTTTTATTTGTGGTTTTATGGTTGTTGTGCTTTTTATGGAGATTGGAATTCGTCTTGAAGGCGGATGGATGGTTTATTAGATCTTTCTTTGAAGATTGATATTGATGTTGATTTCCTTGGACTGGGGATTCGGATTGGGCTTTGGAGTTGTTTTCGACGATTTGGTTTTACGGAGCTCTACAGATCTCGATAGCAACACCTTTCGTGTCGAAGATTTCCAGTTCATGAATACTACTCAGCTGATCTACAGGTTTTGGCAGCAACATCTTGTGTCTAAGATTCTATTCATAAATACTACTCAGCTCTACAAATCTCGACAGCAACATCTTCGTATCTAAGACTTCCAGTTCATAAACACCACTCACCGAAAATCATCAGCATGCCACCCAAACGCAAAAAGTCCCTTCCTGACCCCTCAACCGAATCTTCCATCCCAGATGATAACTTCGACGTCTCATCAATCGCATCTCTTCCTTCTACCGCCTCAGCTACACCCATCAAACCCAAAGCTAAAAAATCGAAAATCGAAAAAGCGGAGAAAATTGAAAAGGTTAAAGCAACATCCAAAGCTAAAACTTCTGCAAAGGAAAAAGTTCCTGCGAAAGATAAAGAGGTTAAAGACTCTAAGGGAAAGGTTGTTGCTAAGGATGGGAAGGAGGTGAAGGAGACGAAGGAGATTAAGGAGATTAAAGAGGCTAAAGTAATAGGTAAAGATGGGAAGGAGAAAGTAAAAGCAGTTACTGGGGATGAGGCACAGGAGGTTTTGATGGAGTATTTGATTAGAGAGAATAGACCTTTTAGTGCGGGGGATGTTAGTGGTAATTTACATGGTAAGGTATGTATTAACTTGTTTTCGTTCTGTCTCATCTTATCAGCTCATCTCAGCTCTCACCTTGTTTCATATCCTCCGTTCATATTAAAGCAACAAGAGAACGCGACGAGTACTAACAAAGCCCAGGTAACCAAAACCCTCACAGATAAACTCCTAAAAGAACTCAGCAACTCTGGTCTTATCAATGGAAAAGGTACAAATGGTGATGGAAAAGGTTCTCAATGGGTATATTGGGCATTACAATCCCCCTCTACTCTTTCACCCGAAGAACTCGCAGCTATGGATACAGAAATCGAGAATTTACGAGCTAGAATCCCGGAATTGAGAATGGATGTTAAGAAACTTAGTATTAAACTTGGGGGGTTGGAAAAAGAACTGGGAGTTGCCGAGTTGAAGGAGAGGATTGAACAATTGGAGGAGGGAAAGAGAGAGAAGGAGGAGAGGTTGAGACGATTGAGAGAGGGAGGAGTGAAAATGGTGAAGAAGGAGGAGGTGGAGAGGGTAGGAAGAGAATTGGGTTATTGGGGACGGATGAGAGGGGTTAGGAAGAGGGGGTTTTTGAATGTGGAGGGGGTTTTGTTGGAGGGGATGGGAAGGGAGGAGATTTGGGAGAGAGCTGGGATTGAGGGGGATGAGGAGGGGAGTTGAGGATGGATGTTGGACGAATATGATGTGTTGTGTTTGCTTGTTTGTTTGCTTGTCGACTATGGATGAGAAAGGGAATACGATGAAAGATTTATGGAGATGAGGAAGGAGAAGAGATAGGAGAATAGATAGCCCCTGTAAGATCATGAGCTTGGGAAAGATATCTAGCTGATATATAACTGGCTAATATAATCGCGCACACTATAAATTCACACGAATAAATTCGAGATTCCATTTTCGCATGTTTCTTTATAGTAGAATGGATATTCGATGGTTTAATCTCAAATATGAGTAGTTCTAATTAGTGATAATGATTGGTCGTTTCCTTCTCCGTATTCCCATTATTCCCGCTTTGGCGAAACAGGTTAGGCCTGAATGGGCTTAGTGCGATGAGACAGGCGTACAATGTGCTGATTCAGCATATTTACTCGAGTACCTACTGATAAGCAAATTAGTTAGCTTGGCTGGTTTTCTGTTATCTTCAACTTCCTACATAATCATATTTAACTCCAAAATCCTCTTCAAACTAGGACGTAACACATATAAGCACCTCAGTACTATCCAATTATCATGGCTGATTTCTTAACATCCTCAGCCACTGGGGAAAAGGAACTCCGTATGTCAAGCCGGGCACATGAAGCACCTTCTGACGATGTGGTTGAACCGTCTGCAAAACGTGTACGAACATCTTCACCTATAGTTTGGAAGACACTTGGTGAAGCTCGAGTTAAATTTTGGAGAGATCATGGAACCTGGCCGACAGGGCAGGAAGAGATATCAATGGAAACAATAGAATCGTTTCGAGATATGGCTAAGTATATGCGTGCCCAAAAAAGACCCTCGAGTCGCATAGGCTCAGACGCTAATTTGGATACGGAGACATCTTCATCTGAATTGCAAGGCAGTCTAAATTTGGAGGAAAAGAAGAATGCTCCATATATACATCCATATTTCGAAATATAAATGGAAGAATTTGGTAGTTTCATGGATGAATCCCACGAAGGCATTGATGCTAAAGTTTTGTGATACGCTTCTGGATTCACCACAGCTACCACCTGAAAATACTCTATTCTGACGATAAGCTTTTTCAAAAGACGCTGTCAAGGACGAGATGCGCAAACAAGTCTGAAGTGGTTCGCGACATTGCACAGCTCATTGTTCCTTCGGCTGAAATATCAGCTGATCGAGGAGCCGATCACTTGAAGATTCTGAAAGAGACTACCAATGAATGTGAGAATTTGGGCCCACTATATGGTTATTTATGGAGATGAGGTCAGGTTTTATCGTCATTTGATTGCGCTCTTTAGTATACGGCAAACGTTATGTCAAGATGAGAGATGGACGGCATATACTTTTGTTAAGAATATCTATGACTTATGGGCTCCTCAACATTTCAAAGGAATCTGCTCGGTTATCGATATGTTACCGCCAGATTTGACTGATGTCTCTGAGCGGGATTAAGGATTTACCTCCAGAGGTACCTAGGAGAAATATCAGATGTCCATAGTTAGGAGGATTACGAATATTAGATATAGCAATGTGAATTTGATATCGATGTTAAGATACCCGTTAATTAGTTTCATGAATTAGTTCTGGAGTTAATTAATCATCTCTTTGATTGCGTAGATAGTTTGATTTTGAGATGTGTATGAATATAAATGTAATGGTTAGTAATAACGATGTGCTTGGGGTTGATATTTTTGGAAGGACGATCTAAATATATAGGATTTCTGATATAATTAGATGAGAACTTTATTACTTGTAATTTTGTAGTTTTGGTAAGTATTTGAGATTCATTGAGATGAATTGAACGAATTGAAATTTGTGTGTTATGTTGTGATATTTTTAATCTTATAAGATATTATCTAATGTATATTTATGTAGTATAATTGATATAAAATAGTAATATATTATAATAATATATACTCAAAAACTTCTTTCCTCTCCTCCCTCTCCTCGTATCTCTCCATTCTATATCCTAGCCCTCCTCCTCCCCCTACAAAACCTCCCAGACCCCCATCAACCTCCCAAACCCGCCCATCCTCAACCCCATCCCTCACCATTCCCCCCTCAAACCCTCCCCTAATCCACCCCGCCATTTCCCACCACCCTCTCCCCTATATCTCTCATCCAAATCCTTTTCCATCTTAGATTCTTTATTTCTCCTCCCATTTCCTAATTCTTCTCACCTATTCTCCTTTCATTTCTCTTCTTCTTCTCGAGAATCTCTCCACAGCACTCTCCTCAATAAACCTCAACCTCCTCCTCCATTCCGCCGTGTGCATATTCGGAAATGGTAATCCAACAATCATTACACATCTCCCCAACGCATCACTAAAATTAATTCCCTCGCTTAATTTTCCTCCTACCACACTAAATAATAATCCACCCTTTCCTTCTGCGATACCCTTTGCGTAATTCGCTAGGATGGTTTCTACGCTTTCTTCTTTGGATTCTTGGAAGATTTGTTTTTTTTCTGATAGTCTTTCTAGGATTGTTTTTGCTTTTCCTTTTTCAGTTGCACTTGCATTTCCAGTGCTAGCTCCAGGATTCGGTATCGAAAATCTCGAGAGGATTGTAGAGAGGAAGTTATAGGAAGGAAAAAATACTACCACGCCGTCTGGAACTATCGTACAGATATTTAATAATACCCTACCTAATTCATCCATCATATCGGTATTTCCTCTTTTATCAAATGTCCATTTAAAAGGGATCCCGGTTGGACCTCTCGATACTGTACTGGCAAAGAGATTAGTTTTGGGAATGACATGGCCGCAGGATAATGTGGTGATTTTATGCGAGGGGATGGAGGGGAAGAGGATAGAGGTGTAGTCTGAAAAGGGGGACATGGTTCCGCCTGCTAGGATGATGGCTCGTGCTGAGCTTACGATGGATTCGAAGTGTGAGGCTGGGTTGAGGAGTTGGAATTTGAGGGTTATGAGGTCCAGGGAGAGAGAGGGAGATGGGGATGTGGGTTTGAGGAAGAAGAGTTGGCCTTCGGTTGTTGGGTGGGTGAGGGCGAGGAGGAGTGAGGTGAGGGTGTGTAGGATGGGAGTTGTTGATTTGAGGGGTTCTTTGTTGTGGTGTGGTAATGTGGATGCTTGTTTTATGCTTCGTGTGTGTTCGGTGTAGGATTCGACTTTGCGGGCTAATTTACTTTCTTGGAGATATCGGATTAATTTAAAGAGATCAATTTGATCGGCTCCTTTTCCGGCTAGAAGTTCTTTTTGATCGACTACTCCATCTATCTCCTAATCAGTTTGTTAGCAAATCAACATCCACATCCACTTATCTTGCAATACTTCTTCGTCTTCCTCATATCACATAGTCCATAGAGTAAACCCAGAACCAAAAAGAGTAACACATACCGTCCCCTCCAACCTCCTCAACAAATAACCCACCAAACTATCCACAACCCTTATAGCCTGAGCTACATAAATTCTATTCTTCCCCTTCAATCTCTTAGCAAACTTCCTGAAATAATTACCCAACATCTCTTTCGCCAATTTCAACTCCTTCAACGACATTTCCGTCCCATAAATACCCGCTATCGCATCCATCAAATTATGCGCTTCATCTATAATCACTACATGTCCTTTAAGACTAATCCCCAATGATTCCCTCGCACTTTTCTGCAAAAGTAACGGATAGGGAAGTGTAACTATTTCCGCGGGTTTGATAGCAGATCGTGAGGCATAGTATGGACAAATTGAGATTTCCTTCCCTAGAGCTCCCATGTCTTCGATATCGCGAATGGTAGCCAGTGCATGATCGCGGAAGGTTGTGACGAGGGGTTTGTTATCTTTATTTGGGAGATGAGAACATTTGTGTTCTTTTGGGGTAGAAGATTGTTGAAGTTCCGCACAACGTTCGTTTATGGCTGTTACTGAATTGAGTTTATTTACTTTAGGATCGATGCAGAGATTTTTGCGGGAACCGAGAGTAAGGTGTTTGAGGTGTTCATGAAGGTTATCTTTACTTTTTTCTGTGGTTTTTGATGGGGGGTCTTCTGGTGGCATGGATGATGGGAACTCTACACGTCGGAGTTCGTTGATGAATTGAGTTAGTTGGGAATGAGTTCTCGAGCAGTAGAAAATCTATTAGATGTTAGTAGTTGATCCAAGATGATTAAGGTATCTCAAAACCTTCATCTCATCATCTGGTTCCTCTTCTTCGTCTTCTACTTTCTTACTCCACATGCCTATACTCTTCTTCAACTCCAACGTCTCTTTCGAGAAAATTGCCTCGTCTCCAGTTTTCTTCTTCCCGTTACCACCAATCTCCCCATCACTATCCCATTCCTCTAGTAAAAATTCGTCTTCATTACCGGCACCACCACCTCCCACAAGATCTCCTTCCCCATCTCCTCCAACCTTCCTCCTCTTCCCACCCCTCATATTCCCATTCCCATTCTCACTCATCCTATCCCTCTCATATCTCTCCCTCTCCCTAATCCTCCCCAACTTCCTCTCCATCTCCTCCCTCCTGCCAACCAACTCCCTCTTCTTCCTCACCTTCGCCGCCTCAATCATCCACTCCGGCTCCTCTGCATTTTGAAACCCTTCATTCAAAATCCCCTCAAATTCCCTCCTCTTAAAATCCCTCAACCAAGTTAGACTCCCACAAATCAAACTCAGACTCTTGCCCGTACCCGTCGGACTTTCTAGAATCCCTACTTTTCCCTGTTCCAAAACATCATATACAGTTTGCATGAATGTTTCTTGGATTGGATAAGGAGTGTATGGGTGATGGAAATCTTTCCTGTGGATTTTTACCTCTCCTGGAATATCGTCTGTGAGATCCATCACTTCAAAAGGATGGATATCAGCCAAGAATGTCTAAACGAATGATGGGATCTGGATTAGAATAAAGATCAACGGAAACGTAGATATTTCCTAAGATCCCGCCGTTATTTTCAGAACTAAGAGAGACGCGCTTTGGTAAAATCTAAAAACGCGAAGTCACGCTTTTTGGCGTAAAATGAAATGAAAGATGTAACCTTTTTTGTAGCATTTATTTCGACCAAGGTATTGCTGCAGAATGCATTATGTTGATGAACTTATGGATAATATTGGATAGGGCGAGTTATAGTAATTGTTGAAAGTTAATGAGTACCTATATTTTATTTATTATCTTGATTGCACTTATCTATTCCATTCACGCCCAGGGAAAGAGGAGTGGAGGCTGAAATACAGCAGTATTAGATCATGATATTGGATTTACCAATAGACAAGTCTGGAGCAAATTTAATATGGCTACCGTGGGTAAATTTTCAATCATCAAAATGTCATATGGATATTATGCCATGCCCGCTATCTAAAGTTACACTTATGATATCTTATACTATCCACTCGTCTGTGCATATGATTTTCCACCCTTCCACCCCTTCCACCGGAGGTTATGTAAAGCTCTACCACAGTAACCAGCTTATACAATCGTTTCCAACTCCCTAGCATAACCAAGCGTATTCTCAATTGCTGTCATACTAACTTCCTTCTCCTCGGCCATCTCTCCAGCCTCCACACCACCCTTCAACTTTTGATTGGGGAAGTATATCCGTCCATCTTCAATCAACCATCCTCTATGTTGCGCAAATTGTATTACTGCTCCTTCTGATGGTAAGAAGAGGAGATTCTTTGTGGATGAGATGGGTATGGATGGGTATGCTGTTTCGGATGATGAGGCAATTTCAGAGCGGATTTGATTGATCAGGATCTGTTGATAAGAGTTAGTAAACTTTTACACTCCACAGTGACGGTCCATTCAACCTCGCGGCTGATAGGTAATGAAAGGACACAGCGCAACAACAAAACCAACTCACCTCACTGAAAACTCCATATTCCTCACTCGGCACCTTACCGCCCTCCATCGCCCTCCAAACCAAATCATAACTACCTTCCATCAACCATCTCTCCAACTTAATCGGATACCCCAAATATTTATCCTCCTCAACCTTCTTTCCACCATTCTCACCCCTCAGCTCCAACCCCTCCAATTCCGTATGAAAGCCTGCATAATCTCCCTGCGTCAACAACAACAAAAGATATAATCCCGTAATCTTGTTCTTCTCTCCCGAACTCTTAGCGCTGAAATTTTCGGCTGGTAGCTCGTAGTATGGTGTTAATTGATGAACATAACGTGTGAAAGCCGCTGGATCTTTTGCACGAATAGAAACCAAGGCACCCGTTTCGAAAACTTCCCGAGCAAGAGATAATATAGACGACGAGGTTGATGCTTGAGGAGTCAAGGCATTTAATTTGAGAAGTGTGAGTTTAGCTTTGGAGAGGAGTGATGAGCTCTCTTGGTAGGATGTTGATGGGGATTTGAGTTTCTGGAGAATTGTTTGAAGATCGCGTTCCGACATTTTGATCGTTTCAACTTTTGAATGATTGTGTAATTGGAGATTTAGAAAATTTGGTTCGTTGACGTGGTAGGGTGAAGATGTTGGTATGATTTGCCAGGTGTAATATGAAGCTTTTGGAGGTGACAAGGTAGCTATCGAGCCGCGTTGATGGAAGCAACCTTTAAGGCGCTTAGTCATCACATTTAGCCTGAGGCTGGTCAAAGCGCATCTTCGACGGTCGCATCCGAGACCATCACCATCACCTGATTGACTTCCATTTCTGGACTTTGTACAACTTCAGCTCGAACAGCTAGTGGAGGAATACAATTTTTTAGTTTTGGTTACTCAGGAAATACAAACCAATCAAAATCACATCACATCTCATATCACTATCAACTCGCAATCAAAATACTCGTCATATCATAATCTACAAACTTGTTATTGTTATTTTCATTGCCATTCTTGCTTCCTATCATTCATAACCATTCTAGTATGTATGCAGTATTTGCAATGATCTTTTACCTTTTGCTATGATCATATCACCTCATAAAAAACTCCCCGCTTCCCAATTCAAGAAAAAAAACTAAAGCAAATTTCCATAATCCCCAAATTTCCGTCGTTACCCTATTATGCAGAATTGCAGAGAAGGCAAGTAAAAGCAATGAACTTTGTAATTGACCCCAGATGCATTAGAAGGAACCAAGGTCAAACTTTCTATGATACAATCGTAATATGTTCGGAGATATGTGCGGAAGTAGGTCGGATGTTGATTGTTGGTGTCCGAGGAAATTTTTTAGCTGAAAATCGAATAACGAAAGGTACAAGAGAAGAGATGATGGTAAATCGATGTATGTGTCAAGAAGTCCGAAAGATCCAATGGTCAAGCGACAGTGCCGATTGAACCCAAAAGTGCGGTTCAAATCATCGTCCACCAAACATTCCATCGAGGCCACTGCCGTTAGTCTTATTTGCTGGAATGCTTCGACCACCACCAACAGCGCCTAAGCTGGGGCTCTTGTTACTTCCAGCGATGTTCCAAGGGCTGCTTCTTTTCTGACTTCTCTCATCATCATCCATGCCTTCCATATTGAAAACGAAATCACCTTGTTCTTCGTCAATGGGTGTAGTAAATCTGCCACTGCCACCAATACTGGTAGAGCTAGGTTGTCTATCAGCCAAAAAGGCCGATCGACCCGAACCAATGGGAGTGGTAATAGTGCGCGTTGCTGATGATGAAAGAAGGCTGGGATCGCTACAATTGGATTCGGCTCTGGAGAGACGAGTCCGCTGGAGTTGTTGTGAAATGATAGACATGGAAGTTTGGCGAGGTGGAGATGCAACATTTGACAATGCATCACCAGATGTATTAGGGCGAGCAATTGGTCTTGAGCTAGGGCTTGCTCCTTCATGAAGAAGAGAGTTTCGAAGTGGAGAGCCTACATGACCAAATACTGAAGCTCGAGAAATCTCTTCTTCCTTGGCTTTTGGTTGAAAATAAGCACCCCATCTAGAAGAAGGGCTTCCGTTTGATGGAGAGCCAAATTTTGTCGGGGTCTCATTGCTCGGGGTACCTGTTCCACTGTAGGTTGATCTTCCTTCGTCGTAAAATACCCGAGATGGCTTTGATTCATCGTAGGCGGCCCGAGAATTTCTTCTAGCTTTTTCTGCTGGTGTCATAAGATCATGGAGAGCTTCCGGTAGTAAATCTTCTTCAAACGAAAAAGCCTCTGACCAGTCTAGCTCTTTATGCTCTCTTGGAAGACTTGCCGATATAATCTTTGGTTTGGTCGATCGCTGAGAATGCATAGTGCGTTTCCCAAAATATTCTTCGGATGGCGGAGATGATGCGATTCCGTTGAATCGATCCCTAGTGTCATCTCCAAATGCAGAGCTATGTAGGCTTCTTAGGGCGTCTGTTGGCTTTCCTCCACCAACTGATGATGGGGGCGAATCGATGCCGAACTTCGTAGGAACTGAGGATGCTACTTTCCCATGTCTTGCGATCCATGATACACCGTTACTATCGAATGAAGCTGGCAAAGGAGCATCCAAGACACTTAAACCCTTGGCAGCGACTGGTGAAAGTCCAAGGCCAAATCGATCCATCATATCATCTCTAGGCGATCCATAATTTGATCCGGGATGCGATGCATAACTCGTATCGATCGTCGGAATATTGATATCAACACTCTGCTGTCTGCCAACCATAGGAACAAATCCGTCCTCTTGTGTTGTGAAAGGGCCATAAGGTTGACCATATGGTGAAGTGGGTACACCCTGAGCCCGGGCGAAAGAATTTGTTAAAGCCGAACCTTGTCCATGGTATGGATCTGGGTTTATTCGTCCTCCAAGATTCAGAGCCGGTGCCATCGGTGGCATATTTGCTTTGTAATTAATCCGTCTTCCATCAGGCAGAACGTGTATGTTTGCGCATTTAGGACCAAACTTGCAATTACCCTTCGCAGACTGTTAAAACCCTGCTTTCATTCTGCGAATTAGACCACGTACCTTTGAAAAGTATTTGCAGACATTATCAGTTGTACTAGCTAGATCGTGACTGAATGGGCAAGCTTGACCAGCTATAGATTATTAGTTCAAGGCTCTGGTGATGACCTTCTTCAGTTTGTATGACGTACCTTGACAAGTACCCTAAACAATTCACATCAGCATTCATTCCTGCTAAAAGACCGAAGCTCGAATCTTGCTCACCTGTCTAAAGAATTTACACGGAACATGGCCGGTATCTATAAATCCCGCATCAGAACTTTAACTCCAGCAACTCTCCGGAAGCTTTGGATGCTCACTTTGTCTAGTAGGGGGACTTCTTGCAGCTCCATCCGCTCTAGGAGAAGCACCATTGATAGGACCCGATTGACCATTTGGAATATTCAAACTACCGGTGCTCATATGCCGAGGGTATTGATTGTTGGAGCTGCTGCCATTTCGCATATGCGGCTGCGGCGGTTGTGGCGCTCCGTTACCCAGCATTGTATCCATGCCCAAAATATTTTGATCGAAATCTATTTAAAAAGAATTAAATGGAAATATGGTTGGAAGTTTATGTTGTTGTTATTAGAAGGTGGTTGTTGCGATCAGCGGGGCACGAGTCCAGTTGAGGTGGGGTTTTACTGTTTCGAAGAAGAGTGGTGTCTGAGAACAAGAGGAACAAGAGGAACGAAAGGAAGGTTGTTGGATTTATTATTTTTGATTTCTCTATCTTAGCTCGTGGAGAAGAAAAGAGGCGAGAAGGATAAGGAAAGCTTAATAAATGGAAGAATTGAAGGGTGTTGTTAAAGTAGTAAGCAAGCTTCCGATTGATAGTCTTTTATTCCTTCGAGTCCTTGTCTGGTCCTCAGATGTAGAAATAAAAGAGATGATTGATGCTGCGTAGATATTTTATCTTCAATCCAGGTATAAATATGATATGATATGATGATATGATCTACCTAATATGAGGCAGAATGGCTGTGCAACATGAACTTGGGTATTTAATCAATTTCGATGATTCGAGGCTGACTTAGTGCCCTAACTCTAAGGGAAACCGCCTTGTTGCATAGGTAGGTAGGTAGTTAATGGTAAGAATCTTGAAATTGCGATTAAGAATTTATGCCTTCCCAACTGACACAGATGAGCTTCGAGTTTTGGATTGTGTGAATGTATGATTTGCTTGGTGCTTGAGTTTGAGTTTGAGTGTACTTCGTGAGTGAAGAGTGCGGTGATACTGTGAGCTAACAACCTCATGTACGAGTACGAGCTAAGTAAGGTATCATTGTTCTTTTGAAGAAAGCTCGAGCCTTTTGAAGATGCATGCCAGACCGCTCGTTGATGAACTCTTTTAACAGATACGAATTATCGGTAGCTGTGCAGGTGGAAAGAATGAAGGGGATGACGCGATAGGTTTTCACTTTATGATCCGCTGATAATGAAGGATAGCAATCAAGTCTCGATAACCTAGCCGAAGGAGGATCTGGATCTGGATCTGGATCTGGTCCTGGTCCTGGTCCTGGTCCTGGTCTTCTTCGTCTCTCCCCTCTTCAAATCTCCGATGATTGCAGAGAAGATGCTTGATGATTCAGATCTTTGTCAATAAAAGGGACGTTAACCTGGTACTTTAAGAAAAGGAATTCCCCTTTGCATTTCAAATACTTGTTGTATGCAATCGAGTACGTACCCTTCTTCTCGGAGTAGCAGGGAGGAGGGGATATGACCATAAACCTATAGCTTCTGCTTATTGATCATATAATGGGCGGGGAATGATAGTCTCCTACTTGTGTCGTAAGTAAAATGTCCCGGGTGGCGGCATTTCATACCAGCCCACCTGTCCAAGTAGCTCTCTCGCTGTCCTAGAAGAGGAATCCGGTGTCTAAACGCGCTTCATCAATTATATTATAAGTCTCACTGTACGTCTCAGATAATTACCCTACTCATCATTTCTACCCCCGAGCTAAATATAGCCAGGCCTGAGAATCTATGATGAAATGAGAGCTCGTGACTCGATAGATTGACGATAAGATTCTCCTATCATTCCTATTGTGTAGCTTACTAGGAAAATATTTAGATTCCAGAATTGTTACCCCTCACCTCTTCCACCCGTGAATTAAAACATGACCCGGAATAACAACATCTTATATACCATGCGGTTTCAACTTTACTTATGATCCTCAGAATGCCTTTCATCAGCTGCCGTTATTCTTATCTTACCCGTCTTATAGCTCTTTATCACTCAATCATGCACGAAATTGTTCCAGTTCTTTCTTCAGAGGGTCAAGCATGAATCAAATAAGCAACCAAGGAAAATAACAAAAAGGAAACATATTAACATCATTGCCTAACAGAGTAATTGTCATTTGGTACACAGGTCAGAATCCCAGAGCCGCTGATGGCGCAGTTGGTGTGGTGTTTCAAAGTCCACACACTACCATCCATCCATCTAAATCCCATTTCGAAGAATTCCCATGATAGGAATTGACGGTTCATGACCAATGATTCACAATTAGGGAATTTTCGAGGCCTTTTGTTTCTCCTGCCTACACGTCTGGAAGCATAGCTTACCTTTCTTCATATATGCGGAGATGAAAAAAAAAGCTTAAGAGCAATGCGAGTATCCGATGAATTCCAGCGTATCCGATCACCTCCATCATCATTTATTCAATCCGGGAAGCACCAATAATGATGGGAGCTATCAGATGATACAATTCCCCCTTCAAAATCTATCGGTCGAACCCGTTCTCCTCCTCTAAGCGACTTGATTACTCAACAATATCTACAGATACCTGTTTACCTTGAAAGTATATATCAAGAGTCAAGATGAGATACTCTGAATCCCACTCCCAAATTACATCTTCATGATTCATCAGCCACATCTTATTCTCATCCTCGTCATACAGTATTCCACACAATTTCCCCTCATCATCCCATCTTTCATCCCACGGCTCTCAATAGTGTTCCCCCTTGGAGCTACATCTCTCACCTAAGCAACGGCGCATACTCCTCGCTTCCAAACTCACTAAAACTAACAGCCAACAGCTACCCTTTACCTAGTTATTCAAAAAGCCATCTTTGGGGATAAGCCTCAGAGTGTCACATGTTACACCTACACCCCTCTATGGCCAACGAACCAAGATAATAAATGAACCAAGAAATGGAAAGAGGGGAAACATGTTCACATGGTATTACCACCCCAAAAATTCTCCGATACCAGCAGTACAGTAGGCATGTACAACGTCGGATGACGATACCGGTGTACCTGTACTTTGAATGTTCCACGCGATGCTAAATAGCAAGATTAAATACTTTGGATACGATAGTCAGCACGGGTACTTGGTATCCTTGGGGATAATGTGATGTATCTGGTGTAGGTTGGGAGGGAAGATAGATAGTGTTGTTGTAACAAACCTAGGAAATTCTGCCATGAAAATAAATTTAGCATCTATTGCCTAGGTACTCAAGTACCAAGTAAATGATTAATAATCTGGAGGGATAGTAATCATCCACGTGCCTTGATCCATACTTAGCGTGCTTATATAACCTGATCTAAATCTGCTTGACTCGCCCAACGAACAGAAAGAAATGTCAATAATACAACCACGCTGAAATCTTTCTTCAGAACGAAATTAGAACTTCGAACTTCATTGTCATTGTCACTGTCATTTTTTAACTTGCACACACTAAAACATCAGATATGACTCTGAGATTTGGTTCCGGGCTAAGCTCCAACAGAAAGATGGTTAACCTTCTAAACCGATCTCATAAACTCTCAAACTCACATCCATCTACACAGTGTCAAGTTGATCGTTCTCTGCTTTAAGTCTAAGATGATGATCTTTCAGTAAGTTATGTAATAGAAAAGTAACAATCAAGCTGGTAAACCAACGGACGGGCTTTATATCCTCTAGCAAGAGACTAGTTACCACTCGCGAGGACTGGACTGAGATGGCCTTAATTGATAAGTCACGTGTGACTAGATCGAGGCTAGGACTAGACACATTGTTAAAACGAAGAGAAACGCATTCTTCACTTGTTTTCTTTTTCTCTTTCTTTAAACTCATACATAGTACAAAGTTTCTCCTGCTACTGCTTCAATTTCGGGGGATCTTTCTGCTTCGTGCCAAATTGTTCGTCTTTCATAATGGATTATCTTCAGAAGCTAGTTCTTCTCTTTCGAAAGCGGGAGAGATCTGTTGGAAGTTCAAGGCCTGTTGAATCGTCAAGGCCTGCTGAATCGGCAGTGTCCGCTGAATTGGCAAAGCCCGCTGCATTATCTTTTTCAATTCTCAAAAATGTCCCAGTAGAGATATTATCAGACATCATGGACTTCCTTCCTTTAGAGTCTGCTGTAGCCTTCTCCCTTTCCTGTATGCACCTCGGACGCTTGCTCGGAACTCAACATTTTTCAAGAATATCAACCTCGGCTGAAGGAACACTGGCGCTGCTGAATCTCCTGGCCCTCGATTTACCAGATCAGGTTGTCTGCTCTGTCTGCAAGAGACTGCACCACATGCAAAACCTGCTCAGATACAATTGCATTACCTACGGCACTTGTTCGACGACTCGTGCGTACACCTCTTTACGATTTCCAGCCTGTGTGACTCGGGACCGCGACAACGAAACTTGGATAATCACTGAACGTTTCGGTGAAACTGCCGTCAATATGGTTTTAAAAAGATACCACCAAAACCCGGAGGATAGAGAACTATTGAAATTTATGTCACACCATAAAGCAAAGATAACCAACTGGGGAAAGTATCTGCGGCAATGGAGAGAAGAATGTCGTATTGTTCAAGGTCATCTGGTGCATAGGGTACAAAGCGTATTCATCTCGCGCGAATGTTCAAGTACCGCGGATTTTAAACCACCTTCAACCGCCTCTGAGAATATATGTCCGCATATCAGGTTTCAAACGAGCTTGAAATACATCGGGTCTGGGGTGAGGAGATGTTGCAAATGCCCCACGGAATACCGTATTGACTTCAAATTTTTTGAAGGCCTTGGATGGGCCAGATTCTTCACGAGATGGAAGGATTTTGGGTCCGAGGGTGAATCGCTCTGGGCGCAACATCTTCCTTCGAGAGCAACATCGACAGTAAAAATCTTTAGAGCCATCCTTGACGGTCAAGTTAGCGTGCAGACTACAGCAGAGGTCCCAAGTCAACTAGAGGTTCAACATCAGGAATGGGACTTATCTTCTGCATTCGAGGACAGCAAAGACTTCAAATTCGACTCGCTGCTAACAGCAGAAAATAAGGCCGAGTTGTTTCGATTTCGAAAGTGGTACTGGAGAAAGGTAACCTAGTCTTCATGAAGATGTGTTAGCATATGTGCAGTTAACAAACAAAATTGAACGGGATGGATGAAGAGCTCGTCTTGGCTTCGCCCGAAGGCTAATAGTCACCAGCACTGACTGAGAAGTGCAAGCTTATCGCTGGTGATAAATATATTTGTATTAATAAGAATAGGATAAGAATAGTGTGGTTAAGAATAGTGCTGTTAAGAATAGTGTCGTTTTAATATGTCGGATTTACTTGTCATCGATGGGATCATCGGTGGTGAGTCTCTCGAACTTATCGCAGTATTGGCGGGCTTCTGCTTCCGAATTGGCGTTGTTTCGAATGGCCATCATTCCGATGACCTCGGAGCAGATTCGAATCATCCGGGTTTCGACCCGAATCCGTTGAAGCTCACGGAGCTCCGTTGAGCCTTCTGCAAAAGGAGGATCGTGGGCCGGGCCGGGCAGGTGGATGTGGTGGATGTGGCGGGGTTGGCGGGGAGGTGGAGGAAGTGACGGCGCGAGGGGGAACCGCCAGCCCATTCTGTCAAAAAAGAAGGGGGCACAAAAGAAAGCCGCAATTGCGGTGAAGAAGCCTCCGAAGGAAGCAAGAAAAATTGTGACAGTTTCTGCTGTCGTCATTTTGATATTGTGTCGAAAATATCAGAGAACTTGTCACTTTGACAAGTGGGATTTTGTTTAAATAGAGGATTCTCCACTTCCGTCACTCTTTCCACATAGTTGCTGGCTTCTTAATTGCTATAATTGAAGGAACAATTTTATCACTACTATGTAATCTTACCTGTACCTTCTTTCTCCTGCGAAAGATAGCTGATGCTTCCTGCCTCATTTGGTCGGTCGCTTTGCGAGGGATCTCATAGTCTGAATTCGGGTTTAACGATTAGAATAAGACTTCTGCTTTTGGAGATGATTTCGGATTTTGATGTGTGGTTGGAGGGAAGATAGGGTTGTTGGGTGAATATTAGAGCTTCGTTCTGGCTTTTTTGGGTTTGGGTTTGAATTTGGATTGAATAGGGGAGGGGAAGGGCAAGAGAGAAGGAAGGAGAGAGAGATAGGGGAAGGAAGGAGAGAGAGATAGGGGAAGTAAGAGAGGAGGGAAGGATAGAGAGAGGGGGGATGGCAAGAGCGAGATGTGTATCTGTATGTGTTGTATGTATGTATGGATAAATATTCCGTGTCTTTCATTGATAACGGGTCCGGGTGGGAAGGCGAGTTTGGGAGAAGGGACAGGGTTTATGTAGTAGATATATGATTATGGAGATATGGAGATATGGAGATATAATAGAGATTTGCGAGTTAAGCTGAGTTGAGTTGAGATGGAACCGAGGATCGGGACTCGAGAATTGAAAGTGGAATTATAATAAAAATAGCCAATATCAATATCAGTAGAAATAGATATGGATATGAATATTGGATACAGAGCTCGGAGTATAGAGTATGCAGTATAAATAAATATGCCAGGCAATAACCTAATCTTACCTACATGATACAATAACTCGTTTGGAAAAATCGACCACTATCTATCTATCTACCTATCGGGGTATATGGCATTGTTTCTCATATTGCTGTATATTTGGGGCTATTTAATTGTTCTAATTGTGGTTTGAGAATGAGAAGGGTTTGGATTCTTGAATCCGGTTGAGAGATTGAAGATTGAAGATGAGTTAAAAGGCTGGCTTCGTATGGAAGTATGGATTTGTTTAAATGATCAAATTGTTTTTAATGATTTATGGATTTTCAGATATAGTATTGAGAGCGGAATTTGATTTATTGACCGGACTTTTGGGTACCTTGTGTAGACACCTAGGTATTGTATGATTAAAAGGTATAATTTATAAGCTATTACTATGGAGATATTCTGGTATTTGGAAATTCCTAAATTGAGGTAGAAGAATCTTTTGCTAGGCTAATGGAAAAAATGAGTATTATCTAAGTATTAAAGGTCGAGTAAGATGGGAATATTATTAAAACTTTATACCGGGTCATCAACGTATGGTGGCTCAAACTCTCCTTCATTATTAGGAAGACCAGCATCATTGACCAACCTATCTGCCACATTTAATCTCTTCTGTTCCTCTAACTTTACCACCCATAAAGCTGATCCAACAGCTGAAGTTAAGAGGAAAAACATTGAAAGCACCGGCACAAGTTGTAAGAGTAAAGCAACTGTTCCGAACCTTATTTATTGTCAGCATCTCGCTATAATTCATATAGAGAAATGACAAACCATGTATATTTCCACTTCCTGCTATTGATCTCTCTTTTCCTTTCCTTCTTCGTCAGACCTCGTAATTTAAAATACCGCCAGTGATGTAAAGGTCCGGCGCGAGCGCCCGTTAGGAGTAGGAAAAAGGGCGTTCCAATTATAGGTATGAAGTTAAGAGGGAGAAATATTATGAATTCTGCTATTTGGCGAAAAGAGAAAGGGGAGTAAACGGCGGAAGTAGTGGGTTTCCCCAACATCTTGACTTCATTCGGGGCATCGCGATGGAGTATTCGAGATGGAGAGACGAGATTTATAAGACCTTCTTTAATAAGTGTAGCCTATGATCTCGTTAGTCCTGCCGGTCGTATAAAAGGGGTGCGTACATCGAAGATATCCACCAGCGTCTCATCCACCAATAATGCTTCAAACAACAAAGCAATTATAACTTGGCCTTCACCGAGGACCAGAAATGCTGCATTAAACCATGCGCCAGGTCCATGCCATATAGCTAGAAATGCTACTTGCGGCAGATAAGTGAATGTGAATAGAAGACCGAGAACAACAATTGAGGTTATGGTTAAGGGAATCAATCGTCTACCAAAAAGAGGGTAGAATTGTCGATCAGTGCAGAAATACCAAATCCCTTTGAAAGGATAGAGAAAGGAGGCGCATGCGATACTTGGATCGAAACGAGAATTCGGCATCACTTTGATGCTTTATTGGTTTGTTTTGTCAATTTGTATTATCAGCCTGTGGAATGTGTGATGTAGATGTGGAATGAAGATTGCGGATTGTGAATTGTGAATTGTGAATTGTTTATTCTTATATTGTTGTTGTCTAAGATCAATGACGCGGAAGATCGTGATTATGTAAGCGATCGTATGTTATCGCCAAGTATGGGGAAGATAGAATGTTGGTGGGGCAGCTGCAGAGATCAGATCAAAGCATTGTCAACGGTTACAAAGTTGGAGTTTAATGGTTTTTCCCAGAGGGTTTGTTTATATGCAAAGAAGTTGTTGTTTATAGGTACAAAGAAAGGTAGATATGCTGTGAATATGTAGGTTCATTCCTTGTTCTTTCTTCTTGTGAAGAACAATTAGTTTCTTCAAACACAACATCACCTCCCCTCACCAAAACAATCAGAAATATTCCAGATTATCTTATCTTTAACATTATCTATATAGGATTGATACCACGATCCGTCTTCGTCGCGCAATTCACACCCCCGATGCATCTCTCGTGAAACGAATCCTCAAGTCTCATCCCAATCTTCTTCATAACCCCGATTTATCACCTCACGGTCTCTCCAACACATCTCTCCATCTTGCCTGCTCCCTCGGCCACCTAGATGTCGCATCTCTCCTCCTATCTCTAGGTCATGAGTCCCTATCCATCTCTCTCAATGAGGAACATCAGACGGCTCTCATGCTCGCCGCCAGCGCCGGGCATACCGACATTGTGAATTTGCTTTGCATGCAGGGTCCCGCTATATCCGGTATCCTAAGACGGGATATGAGAGGTCGAGATGCTATTATGTATGCCAGTCGTGGAGGTCACGATACCTGTTTACAGATTCTTCTTACATTTGCTGCGGTATATAAAGATCCGAAAGAAGTATTGGCAAATTCCGATGTGGATGGTAATACGGCGTTACATTTTGCGAGCAGTAATGGACATATGTTGGTACTGAGAACATTACTGGCTGCAGGAGCGGATGCCGAGAGGAGAAATGTTTGGATGTGGACACCAATTTCCTACAGCTCTACTATACAAGCAGAAGTATATTTCAAAAAGTTGGTGAGTGAAGTTGGGAAGAGGAAGGAGACAAGAGTGGAAGTTAAGGCTAGTTCTTTTCCTGGTTTTGGGAGAGGAGAGAAGAAAGGAGGTGGGGTGAGGATTGTTGAAGTCGGGGATGATTGATGCAATTATGATACTGCGCGGGGAGGAAGCGGAACCTGATGATTGATGAGCTAAGGAAAAATAACGATCATGATGATGTGGAGGGATCGGAAGGCGAATGGAGGTAAATATGGGACATGGAGTTGGGATTTTTGAAATGGCGATTGGTTTGATCATGGCCTTCTGCGAGATTTTCTTTGAGCAAATGTATATTTTTGAGATACTGACCCTTTGTCTTTAATTACATGGACTATATATCATTTCGAATATGAAATTTTTTTCACAGATGCCAGTATTGGCACATATCGGTAGACGTTTGGTAAAGTTCCTCACCAGTGAGATCATCACATTTGTTTTGTCAATAGCACAGTCTCACTCATTTCTGTCTTCCACTGTGATGAAGAGTTTGGGCAGGGAATGGACATCTTTCTAGTGAAAGAAATTGATTTGACTAACAAGTAAAGTACGAAGTGAAGTGCATTGATGATAGATCTTTAGATCAGATCTCCGAACGCAAGCAAGAGAACCAAATGACATTCCTTTAACAATATTTATCCCACACCAACATAAATTCCAAGCCCACTTACAATACCGAAAGACAACATAGATAACATCCACCAAACCAAAAGCCCAACGCCACTCTCATCCTCACTCAAAACCTCCATCTCGCCAGAGAGCCCTACAACAAGTACCCATAACATCCATATCGGTAAAGTCATCAACCATACTCCTGTTTCTCTCCTCATCTCACAACGATTCTCGCCTTTCACAGCCACAACACACCCAAACTTCCCATCAAAGCCAAAGTGGCAACCGTTTTCAATCCCATGTTTCCTCTCTCTTTTGCACTTCCGGAGCTGGAATCCGTACTACTGGCGGCGCTTGCGCTGCCCGTCGCAGTTCCTGTTGTAGTAGATCCTTCAGTTGCTCCGCTTCCTCCAGTTTCCCCAGTCTGAGCAGCTTGCCCCCCCGTCTCGGTGGCGGCGCTAGTAGTAGTTGTGGAAGCGAATCGAGCGCATGGGTTGGTGACTTGTTGGTCGGTTGCTGTGGCGCTGAATGCTGTTAAGCTACTCGAGAGTTCTTTTTAATTTGTTAGTTTATTTTATTTCATTGGTCGTTCTTCTTTCTATTCTTCTTGCTTTTGGTTTGTGCGAACTAGCTCAGGAAAAATGGGAAGATTATATGGGGATAGCTCACCATCTAAATTCAAACAAGCCGGTGCATTACTGCTATAGCAATCTCCAACGCTAGTGGCGAATGCGCTGAGGGAACCACAGCATGGTTCGTCGAAATTAGCGGTTTGGGTTGCGCATGCGGGGAGTCCGGTGCCTGTGATGGGACATTTAGAGTCGAGTGACATGAATGATGACTGAAAGGAAGTCGTTAGTTATGAACACTTGAAAGAAGAGAACAGAGTTTATGAGTAGATGACAAGATGGTAACATACAATAGGACATCCCAAAACCGTCTGACCCGCAATATCACTCGGAACAAACGTTGGGAAAAGTCCCCCTCCATCCGTCACACCACCAATGCTTGTTGAAGTTGAGCTAAGGGTAGTAGTTGTCATTCTTACAGAAGTTTCTTTCCTCAATGTGCTTCGAATTTTTCTGAGCCATCTACGTGCGAGGGGGAAATATATCCTAGGGCTTTTATCTGCAGGATCACTTTTATTCCATTCCTGTGGACGTATGTATGGAATTTAAATGTAGCAAGGGAGGCGAGAGGTCGACGCGTCGGAATTTTTTCTTGACATCACTTTTGTTCATGTTTGTAATCTTAGATTACGAGTTAGTCTTGTGGATGTTTGGGAATTGGAAATATGACTAGGTTTTGTTTTTTTTTTGGCTTGAAAAGTTGTTAGTTTATTTCGGGGCTTTCGGTTTGATTACTCGTGTTCAGGCTGATGGAATGGAAATCTTGGAGAGGATTCCTTTTGTTAGACTTAAACCTTGATTCTGATATTAGATTACGTCTGGGATTTAAATCTGAAGATTCAATGAAACTATTCAATATCATTCCAAGGGATTAAGGCCATTGTAATTGAGTAAACTGTCCCTTGGGATAATGCATTTTCATCAAGGCACGTAATCTTCCCAATTTCCTTTCTGTTTACCAAGATCCCGGACCTCCATCACCATGGAAAATTTTAGTCTAGATGATGCGCGTATAAGTGTCCTCGAGGCACATTACTACTGTATACCTCCTCGAGTTCGTATTTCACAAAGATTATTGCAAGTAGGCTGCGCGAAAATAACCCGCAGATTGTGGATATCCATAGGTAATCTGCATTGTGGGGTGGGTTACAAGTCTACAATCTATTTTGTGAGTTACCTATTGGGATTTTAAAATAATCTACATTATATAGGTTATTTGTAGATTATTCACAAATAATCTGTAGATTTATAAATAGACACAATTTGTATAATTTATAAAGATTAATATAAAAATTAATAATAAAAAATATAAGAACAACTTCAAAATTTAAACAAATATTCATTTTATAAATAATTTGTAGATTATCTATAGATTATTTGCAGACATTTATTTATTTGTAAATAAATAAATAATCTACAAATTGATAGATATCCATAAATAAACTATAAATTATTTGCGATTTATCTATTTCGATTCTTCAATTACCTGCCCTACAAATAGATCATCCGTAGGTTACCCTTTAAGGGCAATAATCCACCCGCGGGGCCCTGTTGTGTAGTCTAATTGCAAGTTATCTTTCATGTATTTAAACAGATTGTCGATGTGTAAATTGAGTTTATAATAGTCTCTCCAAGAGCTGCAGATGGAATTCTTGGTCGTTTTATTGCTGAATTCTTTTTGTTTTTGATTTGATATATTTGTTGAAGTCAAATAGTTCATTTAAAAGGCTCTAAATAGACTGCCATACCAGGCTCCAGCTTGAATTTATCGATGCGCCTTTCCTCACCGGTGCCACTTGAGCCTGATTTTATGAGGGCGAAAGATCTGATGAAAAGCTGAATCCCAGTTTATAAAGATATTTCTCGCATCATTTCTAACACTCAGCCTCCTTCAAAAGAGGAATTTGCACTTTTCCTCCTTCTGGCTATTTCCTCACCATATTTCTACCGACTCCCACTTCACCTAACCATTCTCCTTAGTCCTCTTTGCATCCATCCTCTCCAAATCTCATTTCTAGTTCTCCAGTTCCAATCTCTCCTATTCTTATATTCTGCGCCCACGTTCCCGGCAGACTTATCCCGGCATCTGTACTTTGAAACTATTCTGTACCGCGGGACTTCAAGGCCAACGCAATGAATTCACCTAAGCAACAATTCTCCACCAAGTAAAACACAAATATAACATGAATCCTGAAGTCAGAATACCGTTTGTTAGTAAAAGGGCTAAAGCTAGCTTTGTCGTTATTCCACGAATCCCATAGCTATATCCGTGTCGCCAGATTTCAAATTTTCCACTCAAGCCAACCATTAGGGAGCTCCAATCCCTTAGGTGTCTCGGCCAGTCTCCTCAAAGTGTTCTTGTGTCCGAATAAAAAATTGTCGTCTGATAAAACGCTTTGAGAGCCATATCGTGCAAGAGCATCAGTCATAAACACACCAGAATAAAGGAAGATGAAAGATTAGATGTCGGTGATGCTGCTAGGCGGGCTAGGTCATCCAATAGGAAACTGATTAAACAGAAGAGTTCCGTTCGCACTGGAAACCAAGAATCTGTTCAGTAGATCCTGAACAAGGGTGGCATTAGGTAGAACTAGCGCTGGTGCGTCAGGAAAAGTGGGCGTGGCATGTGCACCGCCGGAAAAATTGATAATGGGGGCTTGGGCTTCATTTGTATGATTTATTGTCATGTTCGTTGCATGGCTTAGAGTTAGAACCTGAGTCAAATGAACTCCTAGAACAACTATATTCGTATATGCGGCCCAACTCAGAGTGATGTTAATGACATAATTGAACCCAGAACCTTGCTTCTTTACCTGCTCCTAATGTACATTTTCCAAAAGATTTCGCAGCTTGGAAAAGGATGTAGAGTCAGTTAGATTATCGTTGATGATATCGCTAGCTGTATGCTCATACTTCACTTTGGTTTGCAACCATCTGGCATCGAATGTACATGGTATAATTAACATATCCTGAACGGTAGACCGGCCCGTACCATTGAATAGGCGTGTAGGTATCGGAAGCATATAAACTCCACCTATCGATGCCGATCCATTATAGTTTTTGTATAAATCAATCCAGACCAGATCTATCTGCGCCCGATTTCTGATGCCGCTCCAGACATCTTTTGGTAATGCATACCCAACCTTTTCATTGAGAGCCGAAACATTTGTCATGATGCCATTTATGAGAAGAAAGACCAGGTTCTCTGCTGTGTCGTCACGACCATTTGCGATGTTCGTTTGAGAACAAATAATGCATTTGACCCGAACAATTGGTTGCTTAAGGATAGTTTTGGAATGAGACATGAACTTAGGCTGGGATATGAAAGACTCATAAGACCCCGCCAAGCTTCATTCGTCCCATATCCTGCATACAGCAATTTGAGGAACAACTGATAGTGAAGTTGTGTAAGAGTGGCCTGAATCTATTCCAGCTGAGGTAAGAAAATTGCGCGTGTTTGTATATGTGTTATATAAATTCATATTTGCCGCTTTTCCTTTTAGGACACTAAAGTCTTGAATATTCAACTATGTGTTGATATCTTGTGCTCCACTGGATGGACATACAAAGTTGTCAGAGGAGTCGACGTAATTAGAACAACTAACAGCTGACATTGGTGGAGCTAGTGGTTCTGAAATGTTTGTCGGCCATAACTCGAACCTGGTTGGGAAACGAAACATCAAAGTGTTATTGGTCATTTGCCACCAATCAAGGTTAGGACGTATGGCAATAGCGGAAGTTGGACCAGCAAGAGTGGTTAAAATGGAGCAGAATAGCACGAATATGGCAAAAATATAAATACTCAATTTTCGCCAGGAGAACACCGAAAGAAAGACCAAAAGGATCTTCGAGTGATGAATTGGAGGCTATTCAGCATGGTATTTTGCCATTGTACCATCAGCCTGTGTATCTCCCTAATAAACTGATTGGAGATTCAGATACACTAAAATCGCTGTTGTGACTAGGGGCAATGCAAGTAGAACCAAATATAGGACGATAAATTTGCACCTGTTATCGAAGACGAATTTGGCAGGTTCGTTCAGAACCGGGGATTGATCAGGATGGTAGAACTTGGGGAGGCTTGATCGAATGAAGTTTATCCATTTTGGGGGAGGTATTGGGAGAACGAGGGACTTGCGCTGGAGTCTCATACTTTGTTGTCTGCTAAATTTTGAGACCGGAAGAAAAAGCTTTCGAGGTTCAAGAGGCTGTGTGAACTTTGAAGAGTTATTGAAAATACCAAATATGTTTGGTTGTGCATCCCGAAATTTGAGATGAAGGTCCCAAGGAAACATGCCTGCGAATATACCGTATAAGTATCTCAGCTTGACTAGTCTGAAATATCGAATTACAAACTTTGGATACGAGAGCATATTTATAAAAATAGATGGAAAGCATGGTAATAAGAGAAGCTATTTCCCTCCTTTATTCGACAATTGACTCTAACTTTGGACGATGGATTTCTGTAGTTGAGTAGGCCTTGCCAGTCATTGAAACATCAAATCTCCGATGTTGGGTTATATCACTCTATGATTAGCAGCCCGCATATCAAGTGTCGATGACCAAAAGAGAGCAAGGCGGGAAGTTTCTCCTGTATCTCTGCGGGTCCCTGGCTACAAACCTTCAAGACTTCGACATCTCTTCGCGTGTCTCAAGTGTGGGACACCACCCTAATATTCCTACACAGTGTAAACCTCCAGATAGGCCTGAAAATGGGCTTGAAGCAGACCGTTGCTAGACCGGATTATTACAACTCACTGCATGTAAGATGAGGAATTTAGCTACTACGCACCATATGCACTTTATTTTCCCCAGAGTTTTATGCTTGTAACCAAAATATTCCAGCTGAAAAGGATCCATGGAATTCTCTGCAGTCTATGGATGCTCTTTTGTGTATCATGATCACCTACGAAGGAAGATGCCTATTTATCCGGAAACGGTATATGCGGGCCATTCTGCAGGTCGATGGAGAGTGCGAGAGGATGGATAGGATTGGCTTGCACCAAATATTATACTGCCAGTGAGAGATATTAAATCTAAATTACTAGCATAATTTGCTTGGAAAGTGTGTTGAAGTGTAGACTGCAATATTCTAAAATTCTTTGTGACACTAATCTTATACAACATTAGAAGAGGTGAAGTGTAGAATACATATTTTCCTGGGAAAAATAACCAGCGGACCATTAATCTATCTGATCCGTGAATTATGGACTACAAGGCATGGTTTTAATGGGTAGTGGTGGAGCGTAACATTCGGGGCGGGTGGCCATGGTTTGATATTAAGGACACCACGGCACTCAGAAGATACTCGACACACATTTGAGAGATTTGGTTGATCATTATTGAGTTCAATGGGTCCAAATCTATCGCAGCCATATCTCTTAACAGCTGCAGAGCACCCCATAGACGAAATTTCATCCCCTCTTCCAAGCATAGCAAGCATTGCCAATAAAATTTATTCTCACTACAAGTCTCCTCGACGGCCGCTGTCGGCTTCCATACATTCTTTCACACATACTCGACAAATAAGCTCACTGTTGTTATTTCAGACTATTGGTATCAGTTTGCGTGATACTATCCACATAGCACTAAGTATGGTACGGTATATTATTCATTCTTGCTAAATACACTATGAGAAGAGAGTCCTATTTATGTTAAAGGAAAACATTAGAATTCGCTAGTAGTACGGCTTCACATGAGGCTAGTCGCATGACCGTACTTACACAGACTTCTTCTCCCCTCGGTCATTTCCTAGAAATCTGTAAACATGCTAATAAATTTATTCTTACTGCAATAACTGCCATCGACACATTGCCTCTTTCCGTCACAATCTAGATCTCTAAAAACTAGACTTACATTCTCACCGCGATTCAGGCCTTCAATCTTGAGTAGCATGAATGGCCCTGACATTTCAAATCGAAATAATCAATAACAACACTTTCATTCGTAGGAATGTTATGCGTTACACCTGACGCGCTTGTAGCCCTAAATTTCGGTCCATAATTCCAAGTTGTCCAATTTGCATCCGGCCAGTTCAATCTCGTTGACAGAGGAGAAGTAGACTGAGCCAGCACGGTGGTCCACTCCTTGATTTCCTCCTGAAGATTCTGAGGATAAAGTGTCGTATCATCTGTGCCATGTAAGACCCACATCTTAGGTCTGAATCCTTTGTAGCCAGGATATGCAGCTTGGACGATGCTCTTCCATTGCGAGCCTGTCTTGATGATTTGGCCTGTTGCACAGTCATTCGACCAGAGATCTACGGCACTGGAATTGGCTGCGAAGCATCCTAAAGCGACACCTGCCCATGCAGACCCAGCGGCGAAGATATCAGGATAGACGCCTAGAAGTACATTGGTCATCATTGCTCCCGAGGATGTGCCCATGGAAAAGACGCGATTAGGATCGGCTTTGTAGGTAGCGAGGACATATTTGACCATATTTACAATGGCCAAAGAATCTCCTCCGCCATTGTGAGTAAGTGTTGCATCGGATGAGACATCCCAACATTGATCCGCCGAATTAGGAGAATTAGGGAAAATCATTATGTAGCCGTAAGTGTCTGCTAGTGTTGCGAATTGGGTGCCTGAGAACGCAGCCTGAGCCGTACCGTGGCACCAATGTGGATTAACGAATACCGGTGGGTTGGGTGCAAGTTTATTTGGAACATAGAGATACATTGTAACATTTGAGGGATTGTAGCCAAAATCGGGGACGAGAGTTAGATTGTTGGCAGCCGCCAAAGCTTTTGGTATAAAGATAGTAGAGGTGAGAGCGAGCAGAGCTCTACGAGATAGATTGGAAAACAGCATGCTGAATCGGTTTCAGAGAAGAGTTCATATGGTAGCTTCAAAAAGTGCGATAAACTACATGTATATATAGAGAGCCCGGAAGGACGGAAAATTACAGGCTAGGTTTGATTGCCACTTGACAGGCCCGTATATCGTATTTTCCACATAGGGTTCACAGACTCTTCTTGGAATAACCATGTTCCCATCGGAAAACATAAATAAATTTTACCGGACACACCTGTCAAAGATCAAGATCATGCAGAAAGTTTGGCTAATATCCTGGCACTTAAGTTACCCCGCAATCGATCCCCGGTTGTTTGTTAGCCGAATGTTTAGCCGTGTGGAGAAAACGGGGGAGCCCATTCAAGACATCAACAAATCAATTTCATGTCCTTGACATCTGCAAATTTAGAATTTAACAGGAACAGGCCCAATGATTTCGACGGAAACAGTGAGCATCATATTGCCATTGCGACCAAACAAAGCGAAGCCTGCATAACTCATTTGTCCGTCACGACCTTCATGATCTCTAGCCATAGATGGCAGATCTGGAGAATGAAATTCAAGTCAACGGTTGTGCTTGACGAAATCTAAGCAAAGGGGACGAGCACAGGATATCAGAGTCCAGACACAATAATCTGGAGACAACACTCGCTTGATCCAACACCGAACTCAAAACAAAACCAACATCGCATGCGGAGCTACTATACTGACATCAACACCCAAATCGGAGAAAACCAGATAGTCTCCTAACCCTTAATACAAATCCTCAAGCAATGTCATCAAATCCCAATTATCAAAGAAGTAGCCATCGCAATAACCCACCACACGCACAAATAAATCTTCTTCCAAGAGCACTTCTCCCAAACTTCCTCATTGTCTTCTCTCGATATAAACGTTTGCTCTCCTCTCCCTATAACCATGTGGTGTATTATTACTCTGCGGACCGGGCATTGATCTCTCCGCACCGATAAACTTCCTATATAGCAAACAAGACATTCAGCTTCTAATCTCCTTAATACCCATCCCCATATACATATGCAGATCAAACTTCCTTCTAGACCATATCCCAACTGGATCCTAACTATCATCCAAAATCCCACTTACCAATTAGCAAACTCCCGATTCATCATCTCTGTCAATTTATCCGTAACAATACTTTTAAGATTATTCTTGCTGACTACTCCACTGGTAGGAACATCTGTAACCAGACCTCTTCGATTTGAATTACGGAAATGTCGAACATACGGTAGGCCATAGCGGGCATGATCACTAGTGTGAATTAAAGATGCGTATCGAATGATCAAACAACGGACTTCTGCTGATGGAGGCGGAGGCGGAGGCGGAGGCGGAGGCGGATTAAATCTTGGTGGTAATCGATGTGTGAGTTCGGATGAATAGTGAGGATTATGAGTGTGATGGGAACGATGACCTGGCATTTCAAGGCCTTATCAAAAGATATGATATCGATAGCGAAAGGATTTGGATGGTTTTCCTGGCTTTATCCGATAATTTGCGATGTTGTGATACTCTAAGTAGACGATCATATAAGTATGAGAATTCTAGAGATCGTAAGAAAAGTATTTATATATTTCTAATATTCCACAGCCTCACACGTAACCCCACGTCGTCAAAAGATATCTTCTACCCTTTTACCACCACTGGATACAATTAATCCAGCATAAAACAAACCGCCAAATGCGCTAGAAAATAAAAGATAAGATCGAGGCTTCCTGCTTATAAAGAACTTTGCACATGTGTATCAATAATTATGCCTGTTCGTCTGCCTCACGATCCTCCTCAACGTATCTATTCGATAAGAAATGACGAAGATATAAGTCGCCCCACTAAGTGACCTGAGTTTCGGGGCTAGTGGATACAAAAGATACTTTATCCCCGCTAGTGCTTATTCGAAGTTGAATTCATCCTTGATAAGCTCTACATATATTGTGTTTTTGTGTGAGGCTGAGTATAACCATATAATTACACTGATATCGTAGAAGTAATTCTCTTAGAAAGAAAGAAGATATAAAGGGAATACTTTATAGGTTAAAAATAATCTAATTAATAGAGTAATATAATATTAGCGGCTAGAAGTTAATTCGAAGAGTTTCAGCTCGTGTTTTATAAAGTCGGTCATTGAGATTATTTCTATAATATTGTATTTTTTATTATTAATTCGTAATCAATCTTTCAAGGTTAATTTGTTTAAATATAAAAATAATTAATATTTACATCAAGATATAATATTACGAGGGTTGCGATCTAGATCACGTGGAAGTGGTCCGAATCCTCGAAGCGGTTTACAACTAGTAATGAATACCAAATGATTGATCTTGAGCACGAAGCTCTACAATAAGGAATCTTTCCTGGCTATATAGATCTTCGTACTGTATAGCCCACTGCTCCCACTTGAATAGAATCGATTGGACCGGTGGGAATCCCTCCCATCGCTCCCACTGAGCTTATTTCGATGGGACTGGTGGGAATTACATCATATGATTATCCAATCATATGATATGATAGTTTGTTACCGAAACGGATCTACAACTTAACAGAGCCTGTACACAATTGATCCATACTAAATTGATCAAATCGCATCTCGCAAGCACACAACCGGTTATTGTACTAACAATAGAGATAGAGATGAAGAAAAATAAATATTGGTATAAAGCGTTGTTTATATTTAGCTAGTTTTGATTTTTTAAACCGTGCTCTCTGTCTTTCTCTCTTTCTTCAACTCCCCCGTTTCCTCTACTGAGAGATTACTCAAGAATTTGTCTACTTGAGCAGGTGTAAACTTGTAATCTTCCGCAAATTCCAAAGATTTTTTGAACAGCCAATTCATGTTGTGCTGCGGCAAGCTCCACCTTCAAGTTTTCAACCTTATCATTCCATGACCTCACCCTAATGGCCAGCAACTTCTTCAATTTCTCTGCCTGCAGATTGATCGCCGTCAAAGTTTCTCTCAATGCATTTGCCATATAGGCCAATTCCTCCAAACTAAGTCCCTCCACCCAATCTCCTCCCTTCTTTCCTCCCTTCTTAGCCTTCTTGGTTTTCTTTTCGATTCCCTTCGGGGTCTGTGTCTGAACCACAACTCTCGGTGTTAGACAATTTCGACACTCATTACGGCGTTGCCAATTGAGATAGCCTAAAGTCATATTAGTATGAATCTGGAAGGAACTTGGTATTAGAACTTACCGCACACATTGTTTCCGCAGATCCAGTTTAAGATTGGGGCCGATTGAAGGCAGGAGGAGCGTATGCAGACATTTTTTCTAAAGAAGTCAAGAAGTTAGTATAAGATTAAATCGAATATCAGATAGAATATCTTACCGGTACACTACGATGTAGTATTAAGCGTGTTGCGCGAAGGTATCGCATTCTATTCAAGTACGTAAACTTCAAGTACTCATAAGAATTTGGCACTGACCAAGGTATAAGATGTTTGATACTTGATAGAGTCACCTACTTGGGTAAATATTGGGATAGGAGGGTTGTGAATTGAAGATATACATACATTGTCTGAAGGTAAGGTAAGGTAAGGCAAGGTAAGGTGAGGCTTTCGGTGGTGTCCAAAGAAGAAAAGAAAAGGAAAAAGATTTCAAAAGAGAAATGGGAATACCTACCTATTATACTTAGAAAGGCACAGGTCACATGTAAACCACACTAGCTAGTTCATCACTCTCCTCAAGTCCATGGAGTACATATCCTTGTTAGTAACTTTGAATCAATATATCTTTATAGAGGTTCATTTGAAAATTACAATTTTTGGATATATAGAAAACCTCGAATTCAAGCTTTCATATCAATATAATATCATATAGGATCTGTTTTTACATATCCAATTATATCATATCAAAGTCATAACCTTGAAGTTATTGAGTGTATACAATGAAAGGAGATTTCGAGTACCTTGGGGTTTTGGATGCGGGGAATAATTGGATGGGGAATAAGGCGGGAACGAGTCGATCACAGAAAAGTGCCGAAGCTAGCTGGTACCGGGCATATAATATTCCGGGGTAGTTTCCTGCCCAGGCTGCCTTACATTCAGGGACAACAGGATCAGGTCATAAAGCGATTACCTAATACCTGGTAGGAATTGGGAATCACGGGGTATACATGACACTTGTGCTTCTGCTTTTTCATTATTCTGTACTGGATCCAGTCATTTCAACTCTTTCAAATAACTGCTCGAGTCGAGTAGATGTAGACCTGTAAATAAGCCATCACAATTAACAAACTGATTCTCATAGATTCTTGTTCATGTTCACTTGTGTCCAGATCACCCATTATCCAGAATGTCATTAATTTATTTGAATTTCATCATCCAAAAAGGTCTTCATCTGCCAGATTATCTACCACTCACTTAAATGAATTCGAACCCTTGGTTTCCTTCAAGCATTTAATAAAAATGAAATTCGACGTGCCCCTGAAGGATATTAGATATACTAAAAATTACACAAATCTAGAATCCAAAATCTAGAACCCCCAAAACCCTTATATCCCTTGCAAAAGTATAGAAAAACATTAATCACATGACTAACTCCGGACCATGATATTTAGTCTCTTCCTTCGCACTTGTCTTAGCAGCACTAATGCTTTCCAAAGTTCTTTTGGGAAATCCATCAAAGGAAATGGCATAAGTAGCGACCGAATGAGCGATGAGCTGAGTGTTGATTAACCAAGCATCAAGAGCAAGATTTTCAATGTCATCACAAAGTTGGTGGTAACAAGGGTCAAACCAATCCCCGGCCTTGCCGCCAAACATTTCAGCTTCCTCAGCAGTCTTCACGCCTTCAGCACCGGTCGCAATGCCACCACCTGGAATGCCATTCTTGATGAAGGCATCGTAGTCGCTTCGACCATCAAAGGGAATATATGTGTAGTTAAGATCATGGGCTTCATACCACTCTGTGTACAAATTTCTCAAGGCCTCGGAACCCGATGGATTAGTAGCATCAGTGGCATTGTACACTTGATAGGCATAATTTGGAGATGCCATCATATCGTAGTCCATGAACAATCTAATCTTCAAGTTCTCCTCGTCGGAAAGTTGGGAGACGTAGTAATCTGAGCCGAGAAGTCCCTCCTCTTCACCCGCCCACCAAGCGAACCGAACGCAATTATTGACTTCATAATTGACCAATTGAGTGGCCACCTCAAGCAGAGACAAGCTACCAGATCCATCATCGTTAATGCCTGGTCCTTCCGCGACACTGTCCGAATGTCCTCCTAACATTACGCAGTTGGATTGGTCCCCTCCTTTCGTCTGAGCAACTATATTTGTGGTCTCAATAGCCTGAACCACTGCATCAATATATGCGGATCCATCGACATGCTTGCCATTTTGTAATTTCTTAATGTGTGGAGCTGCTTCGTCACCCGAAATCCCAAAAGTAGCAACATGATTTTTGTCTGGAGCTCCCAAGGTACCTCCAAGGGCTCCATGAGCATTGTTATAGATGACTGCAGCAATAGCACCTGATTTTCCGGCATTTGCAGACTTATCGCCAAATCCACAATTCCCACGTCGAATCAAAGCTATAGATCCTTTCACATCCGCGGGATAATCCTCAATCTTACAGCCGTCATTTTCAACCAGGACTAACGGCCCAAGAACGGCATCTTTTTTATATGTTGGAGGAGTGAGACTCATGGGAATAGCAGTCTCAGGGACGACATCACCAAGTACTAGTCGATACTCAAAAACATTGCCCATTACCGCCGGGAATGTTTGGTTGGAGATATCATAGTAGTCGCCAAGTGAGGCGATCGAAGAGTAGATATAATCAATAGTTGACGTATGACCTGTTACGAAGAATGAGTCAACAAAGGATCCCGCGGGCAGGCAGGAAGATTCAAAGTAAATGGGACAGGCATACCTTGAGATCCAATAACTCTCGTGGGGTGATTATATTCATGGATACCTTCCTCAGCGATTTTATACAGCTGATGAGCTCGTTTAAGAAGATTTTCAGTCTTGATGTCGTTCTGAAGAGAAGAAGAGTTGATCAATGATTTAGTACCGGTCTTAGTACCGATAAGAGATTGAGAGCCTTGTTCTTTCAAAGGCTGCTGAATGATTGAACTTGTGGCTAATGATGCCGCTGCAAGAATGAGAGTAGACCGTAACATAATGAATGTAATCGTGGATATCTACCACGTTATTGTTGTATGATGTTTTGATGTTAGTTGTTAGTTGTTGGATGTTTTGAAGGAAGACAGACAGACAGACGGAGAGGCTGGGGATGATAGATGATGAAGCTTAATTAAGCTTCATCCAGCTCAGATAATAATAATGCATGCATGATACACGGTGACAGGGGTAAGGGGTATCTCAGTCAGCCTCGCTTGTCTACAACCCAACCTGACTCGGTACACGTGCTACACATTCATATTTCCTTAAGACAATGTCTCAGTGATATTCAATTTGCGATCTAAAACTATATCTCGGGATGGTATTGTACGGGGTAAATGGCCTACGTTCCTACGATCCTAGGATCTAACCTTTTCTTCAGACCTGGGGGGCGGGGGATTTTAATGTCATATTTTTGATCAGGTAAGCAAGTGTCATAGTATGATCAATACCAATATCAATACCTAAATGCACCCTCATGATCACGGAAATGTGAAATCGTTTGGAATGTTTGAAGTTATTTGAGATATCCAAAGTGTTTAAAATATCCAAAATATTTAAGATATTTATATCATTTAAAATATCCAAATTATTTGAGATATTCAAATAATTTAACCAAAGATAAAAACATCGACCTCCCTAATATAACTAAGTAACACTTCCATCCAATATGCCAACTGCAAGCGCTTGGGGACTATAAACTATTATAGTATTGATCTCGGAACTAACAATTTAGTGCACTTATCTTGCCTGTCTGGTATAGCAATTTTCCATTCTAAGTGATTGAGGCTTCCAGTATCCCAAGATCTGGGGGATTCACTAATTGGATCACTGGTAGATCTTGCATCTGATTGATGAATGGATATTGACTCTACATCTTGTTCTAGACAAGTGCACATTGGTATATATATGTCGAGACAGTTACTGGGTAATACCAGTTCATTGTGAGATGGAAATGAACAGTTCAAATATTCAAGATCATTAACATATATCAAAGTGCAGTAGATTCTTTAGCTGGCTGGTAGATAAAGTTGGGAGCACGGTGAAGCAATGCAAAAGATGGTTTGGTAATTTCGCCGCCTTACTACTCCCGCACCCGATGTTTAAGCGTGGCTTCGATTTTGTACTCAATGCTGAAGGGTAGGTAAGATGTGAGTGTAGTAAGAGGAACCCAGGAATGCCAATCCTATCACGATCCAGGCCATAAGGTGAGTCCAAAGCTCTTCTGTGACATGGTGTTTCTTGGAACTAAAGCTCAAGAAGGAACTCCATATCTAATTAGTTCACCATGGGTCTTTTCTCATCCTCATCCTCGGCATCTTTACCACCTCCAAAAATTGGCGCTGATGGCGCACCGATAGCTCCTGACCGCACACAAAGATCTCGGTGCTGGGAAGCTAGAGATGCTTATTTTAAATGTCTGGACAAGTCGGAAATCATCGATAGTATTACAGAGAAGGACAAGGCGGAGAAGGCATGCGCGGTAGAGAGTAGAGGATTTGAGAGTAATTGCGCTACGAGTTGGGTGAGTTTTCTGGATGAAATCTGGATTTAAGAGGGAAGATTCATAAAGGGGGGAAACAAGATTGCACAAGAGATAGAGCTGAGCTAACTTTGACTAAAAAAAGGTCCAGTACTTTAAGAAAAGAAGAGTTATGGAATACCAGCGCGATCAAACGTTGCGAAGATTGAAAGCCGAAGGGGCGCAGGAGATGCCAGGACAGATAGGACCTCCAGGGCCGGGGCAACGCCCATGATGAATTAAGGAAATGTAATAAATGTATAACAGCACATGGGGCGGAGTAATGGGTTTGCAAAAGGAATTAAAGCACGATGATGAACATCTCCTAAAAACTATCAACAGTATCAACACCTGTATTTTTCGTCGTTCGTGCGTGCAGCGCAGCGCATCTTTACGAAGCCTTAAAGGATTTCGCCTCGTTGCAGTGATGGGTGCACTCGTGATGGATGATACTTTATGTCGGACAAAAGAGCAAGCAGCATTGTATTGTTATAAAAGGAGAAGTGTATACGAACCCTAAAATGCCTTCCTTCAATGCTCCAAGTTTCAGACACGTACCTTAAACTACCTGTGAATACTTAAGCTTTGATGTTCTGCTCCCGGAATCACACTCCGTATGTGTGAAACATGCTATATTCAGGTCTCACGGCTTGTTTGGATCCCTTTTGAACCTCTCCTCTCCTTTCAAGCAAAAATACTTTGTTTATCAAGTAATAAAGACTCGATGAATGTATCTATTCAGAACTTTTTCTACCATCTACATCAACAACACCTGAAAGTCCGCTTAGTCACTCTTACCCCTTTATTTTCTTAAGGATATACCGCTTCCAATTTCAACAATATCATCGGGGCAGAATTGGTGAATTTACAACCACAATCATATTCACGAAACTCTATCATGACAATTTCACAAACACAGCGTCCCAGTCTGCAGACTAATATATCACCACCAGCATCCTCACATAAATCACCACCAGCATCATCACATAAATCACAAGTGCGAGAAAGAGTCTGGGAAGAGCTCCGCTATGTAGCTATTCCCGACTCACGCTTCGGCCACGATTACTCCTCATTCATTTGCGATTTCGTGGGATCAAATGATGCGTGCCGGCAGTTAATCAGCCTACCATGTTATTCATCTGCAGAGACAATTTTCATAGCCCCTGATAATTGTCTTCAGGAACTGCGATGTCAAGCCCTGAAAGATGGAAAAATGGTCGTTTGTACAACGTACGGGATTCAGAGGGGATTCTTCATTTTGAATCCAAAGGAGATACCTGAGCAGAAGTGGGAGGTCGCCAGTTACTTGGATGGCATGGAAAGATATGGTCGACCCGTTACATTAACGGAAATACGAGGCGAGGGAATACGGATATCACTTATGGTAACAGGCACGGGAGCTATAAACTACAAAGGTCTTCGATTTGGAAAAGGTCATGGATTCTTCGATTTAGAATGGGGAATGTTATATTCCGTAGGGGCTGTGAACAAAGATACACACACGGCAGCCCTGGTCCACGAGTGCCAGGTGCTGGATGAAGAATTTAAAGGGGAACAGTGGGACACAGGATGCCAGTTTGTCGTAACGAACAAAAGAGTTATTACGGTTTCTGGCGCAGCAAAACCAGGATATGGAATAATATGGGATAAATTGCAAAAGGGAATGATGGATGATATTGAATCCCTGAGGGAGCTGCAAAATATTATGTCGCCTCCGGAATTGAAATCTCCACAGGAGCATACTATGGACTTCCAGGAGGAGGCGAGGTTATATATGGATTATGCAAGTTTTGATTTTTAGAGCGGGAAAGGGAGATTAGGGAATGCATATTGAGCGATTTTGGATTCATTAGGTGGAAGTTTACTAATAGCAATGCGATTTTTATGCATTGCCTGGATGGCTAATTTCAGCACACTCACATGACATATTCTCAGCGTGGGTTCTTGGTATCTGTGATATGAATGTTTTTAGGTAGTGTGAAACTTACAGCAAAGAATGATGGTAAGTCATGTCTAGCAAGGATCTAAGGTTCAGATGTTGTTATATCTCGCGTTGTTGACACACGGCCACGAAAGCAGGAGGATTCGCAAGCTCTCTTAGCACGATGCTTACAAGTGGAAACTATGTATTTCTTTTATGCTGAATTCAATGCGCTTGACTGGAATCGTCTTGAAATATATATCTACGAGTATCTCTAAGGACAATCAAGACTTTTACGGATGAATATTTAACCGGGATTTAACCTTACATGGCTTTGAAATTCAATGTTGGATAATGCTCTGATAGCCGCCGGGTATACCTGGTTATCTTTCAAATTCCCCGTAAAAAAGTGATTTGTTCTAAATATATTTAATCAAGAGATCGTCTTGGTCGTCTTTGTATAGTTATCTATCACGTCAAGACACCTTTTCCCACTTCGAGATCACTGGAACACCCAACGGTGGCTGCGCCGCCAACATACCATTGCTTTCCGACTTAGTATTTGTCCATCTATTTCAACTGCTTACAATGAGCTCATTGTACTCTCGAAAAGGCTCAATTACACTCCACTTACCCGACCATTCCCAGTTTTATCCTGGAAATCCTCATTCTGGTGAAGTTATCAAAAAATGAGGCAAACTCGTGCTCTAGCTACTTTTGGCGCACTGCTTTTCATAGCCTTGATCGTTAGCTTTTCTCATGTAAATTCTAACGACTTATCGAATTATATTCCACAAAAAGCTCAGAACTATTTTCATTATGAGACACCTCCAGATTCAGAAGAAATCTCAAGGCTCAATGGAATCTTAGAAGAGTTTTTATCACGCCCTATTTTGTCTTACGATGATGCTGTTTTGTTAAACTCTCAAACCTGCCCAGTTGATGGAACTAATTTCGACCGAGGTGCTGTCAATGGCAATTTGAAAACATGGGCAGATATTCCTTCATCACAAATTTATAAATGGCGCAAAGGTATCGTAACAAACTTACGCCGCAAACAAATTGAGGCAATCGGACAGACTACCTCAACATCACCTGCCGGCGCCAATGGGCCACCAAAGGAAAGAAAGGACAAAAGAGGGATTGTTATGGCCGCAGGGGATCGTTCAGCACTGATCCGTGCCAGAACCTCTCTTCGGCTTCTGAAGTCTTATAATTGCACGTTGCCAGTCGAGATCTTTCATTTCGAATCCGAATTATCTGCACCTGCACTTAGTGGTCTTCTGTCCGATCTCTCAGAACTGCAAAACCCTGACTCCGGCACTAGCGGTATCAATGTCACTATGCGCGTAGTGGATGAGGTGTCAAAAGGATCTGGATGGAAAGATTTCCAGATAAAAGGAGCTGCTATTCAGCAATCTTCATTTGACGATATCCTGTATTTAGACACAGATTCTTATCCCCTGAGAAATCCGGAATATTTATTCGAAGGAAGAGAATGGAGAGACACAGGACTTCTATTGTGGCCTGATTATACAAAATCTCATCCCACCAATCCTATATGGCGATTGTTGGGTCAGCCATGTCGGAACGAATACGAGGGAGAATCTGGACAAGTTCTAATATCTCGAACTCGCCACCAGGATATTCTATGGTTGATTGAGTATTTTGCACTTCATCATGAAGAATTCTATGGATTTATGGGAGGTGATCGAGATTCATTTCGGGCTGCTGCCCTTCTTCTTGGAAAGCCATGGACCGGTCCAGGAAGAACGAATGCGGTAGGAGCCGCAAAAATTCCCGAAAACCCTCAATCGGGAGGACATACAATGCTTCAAGCAGATCCATATGGAAAGTGGATGTTCGTACATGCGAATTTGATTAAGCATTCTCATTTTACCAGACCACTATGGTCTGAAGTCCATAGGATTCGCGATGATACATTCAAAGAGGGAACCACATATGGTAATATTGATTCACCAAATGATAAGATAGGAAATGGGGTAAAATTAGATGTGACAGACAATCCTAGACTGGTAACGGCTATGTCTACTTTTGAAGGATATGATGAAGGTTTGGTTACCGTTGAGAATTGGGATTCATATGAGGAGTTAAAAGGATTCGAGGAGAAGTGGTATGGTTTTGGTGGTGTGCATTAACTGTTCATACGGGTGCTTTGGATCCAATGCAGGGCCTTACTTTTTGTGTCCCCATTGTGGAACATAGGTGAGCCACGACTGGATAACAAAACGCTTAATTCTGGATTTCGACCATCCGACAGCAATATCACATGCTTCGAACACGAAAGTCGAGAACGTAAGGAACTATACTTGGACGATCTATCGCTATATTTTTCATTTCCGTCTATGAAGAAAGTCAATGAGAAGCTTCAGGCGTTCATTAGTCTCATATGTCTTTAACGCACTCTCCTTTCATTGTGACCAACCTTCTCTTGCCCCGAACGCTTTTAATAATGCATTTGCCAATGGTAAGGCGTCTCCCTATTTCGATTCATTAGCCAGGTCCTAGATATATTTTCCGACTTTCTCATCGTCCATAATGCCGGGTAGACCTAGTAAGCCTCTTTTCTGCAGTATATCAGCCAGCGCAAGATCGTCGGGGCGGCCTCACCAGATGGACCATCCCCTACGTATACAGTCCCTCGTAATTCTTCCATGAGGGTGAATTTCACGCCTACCTTGTGGGCTGTTTCAGTATTAGTGCCTCAAATACCATAACTAAATACCTTCTTTGTTCCCGCTTTGATGGTCATATAGAAGTCGAGCCTTTATTCGGCTAGCGAATTTATAATTTTTTGGCTGATCTATTCAAAGCATATTTAGGACTGTGATTATCTAAAAAATTGCGAAAGCCCATCTCCGATAAATTCAGTACTCTATTTACCTATACATTTAATACGATTCTGTGAGTGGCTTACCTCTCAATTTTGAATAAACAACAAATGCTAGGTAATCCATTCGTCATCAGAGAAAACTTTTGATCGTGAGCTAGATGTTCCCGCATCATCTACAACAAATTTTATTCGGAACTCCGGTCTTATAGTCATTCTTTGACCTCATTCTACATAGATTCCTCGCTGTAGGAATAAACAGTTGGTCGCCGCGAGGTGCTTCCGGTTGGGTCGAGATGCAAACGCGCGGTTAGCGTTGCGATATCCTTCTTAATGACCTCACAGCCGCATCTTTATGGAAACCCACATTTTTGTAGATAAGGAATTTTCTGGGACTAGTGTTCGGTCATATCATATTCTATGCGGATAACTGTACTTTAGTGGGCAGTAATAATTCGTGGAGGCATTCGATGTATTGAAATGATCCATGGAGTTGGTTGAGTCTCGTATTGTTCTTCAGTATTGGCAGTTGGTATGAAAATCTACTTGGGAAATGGGAAAGTCTGCCCGCATGCCATGATCTTCGTTGTGAATAATAAAATCCTGCTACACTGATATCAAACATAAATACCTATTGATGACTTTAATCATACATTATTGTCATCAAAAAAACGAATGATTGGGTGTTTTCAAGCCGAGCGCTTAAATAGGGCTACGATCCTCTTGATAAGATGCCGACCCTAAAGACATCATAGAACTAGATTCCAACATTCAAAAGGGAGATGGTCACGGGCTGAGGCCTATGTTATAAAGGTTGAAGACCTCATGTCTCCACCAAATTCGAGTCCTCTCCAGAAAATTTCCTTGCAGGATCACTGTTCCATATTCTGGACCTCCAACTAACATGAAATGTCTACATATTGCAACCCAATATTCGTTGCTTTTGTCTTGCCTTTGCTTGCTTAAGTTTTGTTCGGAACTTACTTGTGACATTCGTTTCTGCGCTGCTATCTTTCGGTCTATGTTTAGCTTTATTGAAAATACCTCACTACGAATACCTGGGAGTTTTCTTTTTCATTGTTCAGCCAAGCTGAAGGGACCTATGTAACTATTTGTCGGGTATTTCTAAGCTGTTGACTTTAACAGACCTCCATATCTTCTCACGCTCCTTTCCTCTTTTTCTCTCCTTGTTTTCATTTTACACATCGACATAAAACCACAATTATATTTCCTTGATACACACACTATATTATAGCCAGCCTCCACAAAGTCATAAAAATGACTCGCTCAACATTTATATTCGGACTTGGATCAATTATCCTTGGTCAATTAACAACTTCTTTAGCGCAAGTTGTAACTGACGTAGTATCAATTACAGATACAGCAACCATTACCTCTTGCGCTGATACAGTGACAAATTGTCCAGCAAGAAAAACCAGTGCCAGTGTTGCATCTGATGTAACGTCTCAGGAATCCATTCCAAGTATAGCTTCAGACGTCGCATCCACAACACCTAAACCATCAAGTTGGGTAGCATCTTCAACTCCAGCAGTAGTAGAACCCTTAACCGTAACCGTCACCCAAACTGTACCCGGAGACTGCCGTGCATCTCCCAGCTCCGAAGCATCTCCCTCTACATCAACAAATGCCATATGGTGGCCCCCAGCATCAGGTATTTCTATCCACACCCTTTTCTAAAGAATCCACTAAACCTCTATAGTTATCTCATCCACACCTTTAAGCATAGTATCATCCACACAAGCATACATAGCAGCATCATCGAGCTGGGCCAATACAGCAGCATCATCTAGCTGGAGCAACACAGCAGTATTGGAAACCGGTCTAAAATCCTCCACAAAATACACATGGGGAACAGGCATCACATCCGCAAGTATCCCAACATATGCTTCAGACATTGCCGCATCAGCTACCCCAACATATGCTTCAAATATTGCCGCATCAGCTACCCTTACAACTTATTCGTACCACACCACCGAGACTAAAACCAGTGGTTCCACGACCTGGACCACTACCACGGGATGGACTACCATCTCTACATGCGACGCCAGCACCGGTACTGGCACTGGCTACGGCTCAGGATCAATCTATGCAACCGGCAGCAACAATAACTACGGCACAGGCATCCTAACAGGCCCCTACCAAAACTCCACCCAAACACAAACAGAAACAGGAACCGCAGCAATGGACTCCTCCCCAACCACCACAGATGAAAACCCAATAACCATATCCATATCCAGTAGCAGCGCCCTAACCTCTCCATCTCCACCCCCATCTTCATCATCGGAATCTCCCTCTCAATCCACACTCATCATAGCACCACCCTCTACCCTCTCCAGTACCAACGGAATGGGCATCGCAGCTACGGGTATTAATTCCACGACGGGGGCGCAGCAAACTACGCTCTCGGCTGATTCGGGGAGATTGCGTGTTTCGTTTTTGTTTTTGTTTTGGATGGGTAATTTGAGTTTGATGTGGGGTGGATTGGGGTTGGTGGGTTTGTTATGGGGGGGGAGTTTGATGTGATGTTTTGGTTTTTAATTTGAGAAGAGAGAGGAGAGGAGTTTGGGGGTGGGTTTGAATGCTTTTGAGGGGAAAGAAGGGAGGAGGAAAAATAACTTATGTAGGAATGAATATGTGGAATTAAGATAATGGGATTAATGGGATTGACTAGATAGATATATATCTATCTTCCTTCCATTCATGATTTAGCTGAGATATTCAGGGGTATCAAACTTTCTCTCTTTTTCTATCCTCCTGTCCTGTTCCTGTTTCTGGACATAATTAATACTCAGATAGAGAAACAAGTAGTATATAGAAATTTCATTTGTACCTATAACCTAAATCTACACCTAAACCTACACTAACCCCCCTCTCTTAAAAAACCCCATATACACTAATCCAACACTACATTTTCCAAATTCCAATCCACCATCTATCTACCTACCAATCTATCCATAATAAACATAATACTTAACACTCATAGTACAATACAATACAATCCTCGAGTAGATAAGATCTTACAATAATCATCTATTAAAACTCACCCCATCCCATCTCATCCCATCTCATCTCATCCCATTCCATCTCACTTCAACTCACAAAAACAGTACAAACAAAACTTTAATAAAAAATTTCATAATTCTCCCCCTCCCTACCCTATCTATCTTCATACCCACCTATCTTTCATTTTTCGACCAGAAGGGCTTCTGTTCTGTTTGTTCATAGTATACAATCACCATTTCTTTCTTTTGCTGTTCCACTCTTTTAATTTTCATCTCCATCCCCATCAATCCCCCCACTTCCTCATCTCACCTCACCTCACCTCACATCCTCCCATCAAAATCCACGAAATCTACCCATCTAAAAAAATTCCAATTCGGAGCCTCGATCTCAATCTCAATCTCAATCCCATTCATAATCTCAATCCTAACCCTGATCCTACTCCTACTCCTAATCCTAATCCATACAACTACACAATCATTCCAAAAACTCTCATATAGATAATTCCCCCTAATCCCAATCCACCTAACCACATTCGCTCCAAAAACAAGTTCAACCCTTTCAAACCTCATCATCACTATCATCCCCCAACAACTCTCCTTCATCTTCATCCACAACCGCATAATCGCCTCTACCCCTCGCAAAACTATCTCTCGTCGTAAACCTTCTATTCGAAGATGCACCTCTACCTAAGGCTCCTGAAGCCGAACGCCAAAGCGAAGATGCTAGGAGTGGAGTGGCTTGCGCTACTGCAACGGCGGCAGACAGTAACATTACTGGATATTTTATGTATGGAGCTTCGCCATCGAAAGATGCTGTGAGTTTAGTTAGTAAGTATGCTTAATAGGAAATAATTTGAAGGATTAGAGATAAGCGAAACACGTACATTGTTCACCCAAACGAATTTGACCAAATTTACCACTCCAATTGCGCCATACCCAGAATCCTACAGCGGTAGCTATACAAACTGGGATAAAAACCGCGAAGAATATAGCCCAGCCAGAAGCTGCGTGTTTCTTATTGAATTCATCTTCATGTCCAGCGCAAGAGAATGCTTTATCACTAACATCCATTTGCTTTCCTCCTTGGCAGGTAGTAAGTGGAAGTCGTCGATAGCCTGTAGGTTTATAGTATTCCACGGCGTTCTCATCGACACGGCATATTGCGGAGTGATCCGGTGGTGAATAACCCTTGGCGAGAACACAAGATCCATCACCTTGACGCTCGTAGTTAAGATCACTGGTTTCATGTTAGTGTCTACCAACTTAATATCAAAAGAAGGAAACATACCACTCGAAATCCCGTCTGGTACAAGTACAATTCCTGGCAATATTATGCAAAGAAGGAATCAATCTTCCATTATAACAATCAGCATCAATCCTCTTTCGATGATATTGCGAAACATGACCAAAGAGACAGTCATCATGTTGCTTAGGATGTTTTGGTTGCCAGAGGTAATAATCTCCTCCCTCAACATCTTTCTCATCGAGATCGCACTGTCTTTTTCTCAGACCAGAAAAGTCAAGATTGATAGCTGTTAGAGTACCATCAATGACACCCCAAAGGACGAAATTTTGTGAATTGTCACTCGGGACAGTAGTGATATCTTCAACTTTCATTTCAGAATCGGAGAATTTGTACTCGATCCAAGCATCTCCCTCATTTAGAGAATAGTAAACGACATTGACGGATGCATGCTCTTTCACAATGACGATGATTGACCCTTGATCTCCAAATTTCCACATGTAAGCTCCCTTTTTGACGAATTTCCAGTTGATACCACCATCCGCGGACAGAAATGTATCGGCATCTTTGTAGTCTGTTAGGAACTCCCCAACATTACCAACACCCATCATTAATCCAATGGCTGATTGAGACGAGAATGTATGGGATTTGTCAAATCTCTCAGTATAACCATGAATATTCAATGAACATTTCTCCAATGAGCCACTGCAACCCCACTTCTTTCCGTCTGGGGCTTTTGCAGGAGGCTTCAATACATCCCATTCCGCACCATCGTTGTGAGTAATCCAAGTCTTGAGCTTCTTTTTTTCCTTCTTATAGTTCTTAGATCCTGCATTTGCAGCAACGTTGACCACTGCGACTCCTTCAAGGCCAAACATTTTCTCAAAGTCCACATAACCAGCGCTATCTCTATTCACAGCGTTCAGACTCAAAACGTACGAAGTACCATTCGAGTTACTTTTGATGATAGATCCATATTCGTAACCCTCCTCATTATTGATTGTAACATGAAGGAATACGGAATGAGTGGAGCTATCGAGCACAGTGTACCCAACTTGGTGATCTATTTCAAGTCCATGTGGGAACTTGGCATCAGCAAAAGTAACTCCATCGAAACTCGTGTCGACTTTCAGAGTTTTGTGCTCCTTATCCTTCGTAGCGACAACAATGAACTCGGACATTGTAGCGAAATCAACCACATTACTAAAGTGCACTGTAGGAGGTTCGGCGAAGAAGTCCGTACTGGAGACAAGTTGATATGGGTTATCGACTTCATTGTTTTCGCGTTCTTTGGTTTCGCAATAAATCAATTTGTCGTCACGTTTCTGATTTGCAGCTTCCTTGATGAACTCGCACTTTCGGACATATCGCTGAAGCGTTTTCCAGCTGCTATCTCCTCGGTCTTGCGTGAGTGAAGCTACCGTGTGACAGTTATCACGACCATCACACTTCTCACCCATCCAAATGAACCAGTCCTTGTTTCTAGGATGGAAATTCATTGCAGAAGCCTCCTTGCTTGGTGGATGAGGGGCCTTGAAGCTCCTAATATTCTCTCCACGATCGACGGAGTAGAAAACCGTCTCCTTCTTCGTCAAGAAAAACACCACATCATTGAAATACTGATTGGTGTAAATTCGAACGATATCTTCATCCTTCAAGATTTGCTTCCACCTTTTTCCATGATCGTGAGTGAGCCAAATGGTATCTTGGTCGGTTTGTAATACGATTGTTTCGTCAATGCTCTTACTGACACCAGTTCGCTCGAGATATTGTTTGTCAAGGAATGATTTGCCCTTGAATTTGAATTCTGTCGAATTCCCTTTACCGGAAGCAGGAGGACCCACGGCAGTCGCGCATTTATGTTCAACTGGATCGTCCTTCTGCTTGCCACTTTCTCGCTTACAAGTATTTCCTGGTATCAAACGCCATCCGGAAGAACCAAGGAATTTTTCATCAGCACCGGATGCTTTGCAACTACCTTCGGGAACGACTAAAGCACCTTTTTGTGTACATTCTTTGCCATCATCACTTCTAATAAAGTTGTAATCGCACTCGAAATCAGCATCAGTGCAAGGGCAATCGTCTGTTTGAACAATTGGGTCTTTGAATTCTTGTTTCATGAAACAATCTGCGTCGGCCTTGCGACGTTCAAAATATTGAGTGTGACCCATGAGACAAGCGGGTTTGCCGTCATTGTCTAGCCTCGCGTACCATTTTTCCATGTCATCTTTTTTGCATTGCTTTTCGTGCATTTCGTCAAAGTTAAGTGCGATCATATAGTAAGTCTCTTTCTTGTCGGAATCATCCAAACCAATCAGGAGAAACTTGAGACTTGTTGAATCCGAAGTTGTGACCAATTGGAGTGGACGGATTTTACCCTTGAGTTCGAGTTCCTTCCAATCTTTGCCGTGGTTTAATGAGTACTTGACGACCTTTGTATGGCCATCATGTACTGCCACCAAGACGGATCCCTGATCTCCAAATTCGTACTTGTGTGGACCATCGAGGGCATGATGCCATGTAACTCCTGCATCATCTGATACATAAAGGTTCGCTTTATCCCATTTACCCAAGAAATCCCCTGTGTTACCATTTCCCATGACTAGACCTGGAGCCGGACTGGAGAAGACTCGACCAGAATTGTCCAATTCTGTAACGGAGTGAAGGTGCAGATCTTTATCTTTTACCTTGAGAGGTTGCCAAGTTCGTCCATCATCAAAACTGATTTTTGACTTGATATTCTTCGTTTCTAAAAAACTCTTCTCGACTTTCTCAAAGTTATCAACGACGTTAACCAGCACGATTCCCTGGACGCTAGCTATCTTCTCGAAGTCAACCAAGCCATTCATATCTCTATTTGTGTGCTCAATATTTCGGGTGAAATATGTTCCATTCGAATTACTAGTGAACATGACTCCCATAGCATTGAGTGGGCGTGTATTTAGAACATCGATTTGAATACTGTAATTGGTTCCTTCCAAGATTGTAAATGCCTCTTGCGTCAATTTATGGTCGTGTGGGAATTCTGCTCGGTGCCATTTAATCGCATCATCGGAGACATATAATGCCATCTCGTCAGTACGGGCAGCACCTGCAGCGGTGATCAAGAACTTCTTGTGAGCTGCAATATCAACAATTCCTTGGACCGTCCGCCCTGGCTCTAGTTCCGGCTCAAATTCTTGTATATCACCGTGGTTCGAAGTGAAGAAGCCATCAGAAATGACAAGTCGGTAGTCCGCCCTCCATGGAGAATATTTGCCTTTGGCCACACACAGAATCCGGTCCTTGTCAAGGTCCTTCTGACTAGTTGTAAACTCTGGTGATGTGACTGCCCAGATACAGCCTGCGGTATCAGAACGTAGAAATTTAGGAGTTTCAACGAATCCGTTGGTGGTGTATAGAGTCTGTTGAAAAGCATCAGCAAATAACATTTAGTAGAAAATATATTCCTCTCACTAATTCTTCGCAGAAGATTCCCGTGCAGTCCATCGCATTGAAAAGAATCCTATCCATATCTGTTGCATGATAATTCAACGCCGGCCTGAATATACTAGCTTGAGATTCCGTATGGAACTCCTCCCAATGCTCTCCTCTATCCTTCGTCGCCCAATGACTCCTCTCCGACGTTATAATGTATGCTCTCTTCGGATCGTATGGGTGCATTGAGATTTCCAACATTTTGCCCGCAGGAACGGCATCGATTTTCTTCCATGTCTCTCCTGCATCCGCCGACCTCCACACAACCGCATCTACTCTATCCTCATACAGCAGGACATCGGAATCGTCAAAGTACTGCAAATTATGCGGTATATGTTCTAATTTGGCATAACTTACCCCAGGCGCATCTTTCTTTCCCCATGCGCCGGTGCAGAGGAGTGTTGATATTAGAAGGCACCGCCATCCTGTCTCAGAGCTCCGTAGCCTCATCTTTGTGTGATACCGAAGCGCATGAAGCTTCGATAAGGATCACCAAATGGCGACTCGTTGATGATGGGGATATCTAGTATTGTGTTTCTGTGGTCAATTTGATAAAGTAAAGTAAAGGTTGGTAATAGCGAGCAACAAGTAACAGTAAAATGGATTGCGTGTCTTTTGGAAACAGCCAGCCTTGATAGTGGTGGTGGTCGAGCCTAGCTACAGCTACTCGTTTCAGGCACTTTTTGCGCCACACCACCCATGTTGGTCGGACCTATCAATGATGAATCAGGCAAGAACCCAACCACCAGTGACCCCTTCGCGCGCTTCAGGTTCGTTAAATGTTGATTGACGTTAAAAATCTATTTCTGGTAATCTTACAAATTTCGGTGGAGAATATTTATTTTTAATATAAGACTATCAAATGTATTTATGATTCATATATTATATCATTCTGTTTGAGACTCCTCCGTAGATAGATAATTACAGCTGGAGTACGGAGGGAGTGTACGGAGCTTTTATTCACTACAATCACCTGTTTTTGATTACAACTGTGGAATATGAATGATAATTAATGGCCGTTACCGTGAACGTAAACATGAACGTTTGAAGGAATGTTCTTTGTCAAGCGCCGACTGCAAATCAACCATCACAGCGGCTAATACTCTTTCTTGATAATATGATCAATGCCAGTTGTAGAAAGTGGTACTCTGTCTACTTAAACAGTCTGATGATCCCTCCACCATGGTGCTCCAGCATCAAACCAGAATTCCCAGAGGATAGATAGACCGCAGCCCTACAAACAAGAGCATCTTAATTCATGAATCCAGTCAATATAACAACATACCAAATCCCTTCTATCAACCCTATCCCCCTATGAATCCATCAAAACCACCTCAGCATCCAAAAAATCTAGAACCTCCAACCATCTGAAATGCTACTCATCAACTCCAACTTCACTGACTATGTATCCAAGGGGTTTAGCGAACGAACAAAACACTCCCTCCAACTAGCCATATAAAATAAACATAAAGATTCACAAAGATTCATTTCACTCCCTTCAATAAACACCAAAGACACACTTCAAAAACGAATCCGTAACGGACCTCATCCTCATCAGTCCAATGAATTAATCTCAATCTCAATCTCAAAACCTGGTATCCATTCACATCTTCATGCATGCAAGCCCAGCAAGCATGCACGCATGCACGCAACCCAACACAAAAGAAATAGATACCTAGTAATCTTAATCTTACAAAGCAAAATGCCGATAAATGAATAGGTAGTATAGATACAAGAAAAGCTCGCTAAAAATACTCGACAAAGAATTAACTTCTGTTATAAACATACATACATACAGTACAGTACAGTAAACGGTCACGAAGTTTTCCGCTGACTCTTAACTTTGTTCCAAAATCTTTTCACAACTCCGTTTTCCTTCTCCGTTGATCCCCAGCTATCTGTCCCGCTTATGGGTCCTCGTGAACACTTTTGGTTTTCCACATCTTCCATTATTAGCGGCTCTTTTGATTGCCATCCGTATATCGCACTTTCATCTCGAAGGTCCTGGCGTGTAAGTGTCATTCTTAACGTGGGTTCCCGATTTCCTGCCATACATTGCGTATATGAATCTTGCTGTTTGCCAGGTAATTTAGTACTACCTGGCTGGTAATCCGCGAGAGGTTTGCCGTAATAATATGATGGAGACCGCTGTGATGGAAATCCGCTTTCGTATTCCAGTGGTGTTATGGGTGCATCCGAGTCAGCCATAGATCTATCGTCTTCGAATAATGAAGCTGTGTCGTCGTTAAAGAATGTGTGCTCAAACGCTGGACTTGATATTTTCTTCCTCAACATATCCCTCGACGAGCGTCTGGATATTAATTTCGGTGGTCTATTCTCCCTGTCTGGTGTACCCACTGTGGCATCCATAGATGGAAATCCAAACTCGATTATTTCGTCAAATTTTTGTGGTGATGCTAAGTAGACTCGTAGTTTTAACCGTGCTTCGGGATCTTGATAATGTGTTGCATTAGGGTCGATTGATGATAAGGAGGAATTAACTTTGTGTCTTGCGGCATGCTTTGGTCCACCGGCTGGAAGACCTCGAGACTTGGAACGAGAATGTGTGCTGAAGGTAGGTGATATTATGCTTGGCGATTTAGGCTCTGCAGAATGTATGGAGCTTCTTCCAAATGGAAGTTTCGAAATTGACATTTGTCGACGAAATGATGGTTTCCGATCGCTGTTTAGAGATGGGAATATTGAAGCATGATAATCATCCAAATAAAGATCCAATTTAGGCTCTTCATCAATCCAATGGATGCTATCAAAAAACGTATCTGCCATACTGGATAATGAGGCTCTCCTGCGACTACCGCTAGTTTTCCCACTGAAGATGGAGCTTCTAAAGCTTGGAGATAGTATCGGGGGCTCAGACGCCTTTCGACGAGATCGTCTTCGAATTATGAGATTTTCGTCCGCGGCATCTAAAATAACTGCCTCTCGTATCCTGCCTGATAAAACAGCTTGTTCTTCGCTCGAGAATTGTTTCCTTTTGATGGTGTCCGGGAATGTTTCGTAATTGCTTAAATACCAAGATTTATCATTGCCATGAGATATCGATTGTTCTTTCTTCTTTTTTGATGGTTTGGAAGACCTACGTCTAGGCTCGAGTTCTGAAATTTTTAAACCGCGGCGGTCCGCAATCGAGCTCTTACGGGTAGTCTGCACTGGAAGGTCATTCAAGGCATTTGACCTAGAGTTTTGTGCGAATCGAAGGCGCTCCAGTGTGGAAAAATACTGCGAAAGAGTCCGGTCAGTACCCATCTTTGATCAATACCGTTCACAACCGCATGAGAAGAATTGCAAAACCACCGTCTCTTGTACCTGCATACTTGTGTGTTCAAAGCGTCTGCAGATCCCGCCGCCAGTATGAATTCGAAAGATCTAGCGCTCGCCCACGCGGGAAGGCACTACTAAACATACTAATGAAAGACCTAGCTTTCGACGGCGCCTCACAGACACAGGCTAAGCTACATAGCTCCTACTTTTTCGATAGCTCAACCCTGAAATAAAAATGAAACCCCAACCTTGTTAAATTGTGATAACCATGCTGAAGTATAATAACGAAAGTGATATATATACCTTCCGTTTTAAAGCTGGGGGAAGAGCATGAAATTCTTCATCCGTGGTGACATATCCACTCATTTCCTTTTGATGATGCTTTCGGTATAGGCTTGACGTTGGAAGAGCCGGCGAAGATTCGGGACGAATATCGAATGAAGGTTTTTCGAGGGCAGTTGGCGAGAAGAGGTTCGAAGTCGAGAGACGTGATGAAGCCGGGAGGGAGTAGATGGGGGTGATGTATAGCTTCCGCTCTTTCGATTTCGACGCCATGACCGAATATCAAGTCTAGAAGGATTCAGAAGATAGTAAGACTGAGTGGCTGTTCGGATTTGTTGTCTCCAGCTAATGCATCATGCACTCCGTTGCGAATCTCCTTGCGACGGGATCTCAGATATAAAAGGTTATTGGGTTCTTACCGGTATGGTGTGTGCAACCCCGGACTGATTCTACCAGGAAGCTCAAAAGTTTGGTAACGTATGGGTATAAGAACGGAGTACTATGGAGATTATGGATCGGTATGAGCCTCTAAAAGTACAGTAACTCGATTCTATTATAGTTCACTTGGCATATGAGATGAGGAACAAACGAATGGGTTGGATCAGACCAAGCTATATTATACAATTGGAAGCAATCAAAGACTGGGGATAAGATTTGGAGAACATGTGGAGAGAAAGTAGAAGGAGTCGGAAGATCCAAGAAGTTCATCTGATGATTCCGATCAATGATATTGAGACCCGTTGCTTTCGACGATCACGGTAACCGCCCATTGTGACTCCTGGGCGGTCTTTCTCACTAGCTCCTCGTTGTCTCTCTTTTCTTCCCTCACCGAGGTAAAGGTAAGGTTGGGTAAAGGAAGGTAAGGTTGTTGACTCGTTTGTACTCCGTATTTATTCCCATGGCTATGATTCAAAATTGTCAATATTGATTCCTGATTTGCCTAGAGATCTCCACGTCCGTTCTGGAAGCACAGGGGTTTTATTCAAGGGTTGTGGTATGCAGGCACAAGCTCCAACCAATAAACTGACCTTGCTCATGAATATCCATGGAGGATCCTTACTATTTCTACTGCGCTTTCGAATGAATATAAGAGGGGGTATGACAGACATTGACCAAACTTTGATCATAGCAATCGAAGCAAACAAAATGGTGGTTCACCGGTTGTTTTTGGCATAGGAGCCAGCAAGCATTTATATTGTTTTCAAATCGAGGTAAAATCCTTAGAAAATTCCTTGGATGTTCTTTTTTTGGGGACATTGTTCGTGTTCGTTCGAATTCGAGGAAACGTCTCTTTCGCTCTTTCTGTCTTCTGTCTTTTCCCCGTTTCCCATAACCTTATATTAGACAACAGGATATGTTGCACGTACATGTGATACTGTGCGGAGGATATTACTCTCACGGATAACGGACATAAACCCGTTATACAACAGTTATTTGTAACATTTGATTATTTGTGATATAAATGCACAATATACATACCTAGTACATATGTATATGTATGCAAACACAACATTTAATTAGCTATAGACCATACTCTTGAAGGTAACCCCGAGGTCTCTGAAGTATCTGCACAAGAATCACACGACTTCACCAATCACTCACATGAGATGAATAATACCACGTGATTATGACTACACCAGTGTGCTGACTTAAAGCCCAGAATTTATCACTTCAATATCAATGAAACCGTGCTCTATATGTTGATCAGTCGTACCATTGCTTAAGACGTCATATCTCATAGCCAATCATTTATCTATCTCACAGATTTCGCAGGGTATATACTCGAAACATGCTAGTTGAAAAAAGAAAGCTTCAAAACCTCCGTTCTTATCTTGCAATGATACCAGCAGAGCCTTCAAATTTTGCGCGAACCGCGTCATTAGAATACAACGCTTTTACCTTCACATTATTGTTTTACATCTCCACGAGGACGAGTACGAGCACAAGCCGCGACATGGGCTCTCTCACACGATCGATCTGAGATTAGGATATCCGCGCTTGCCTTATCTCCTTCGTAAAGCAAACTCCAACCATCGAGAACCCTTTCAATCATTTTGCCTATTCAAACTGCTTTGTTCCTAGTTTCGAAAGAACAAGATGGTCAAGAACTTACATGAGAGAAGGATATACGACATACCTTCTGGAATCACCATAGTGGCTTCGTTGTTTCCTGACCAGCAGCAATAGGACGCACTCAAGCACTATCTCAAGAGCATATATGATAGCCGGAGCCGCAGGACTACAACCAGCACCACGGTCAACCGTATGAGAAACCCAGGCATATCATCCACCAGGACAAACAGTCCAAGCTGGGTTTCAAAATGGTCCAAAAAATACCCGAGCTACCAATGCTACGCTGAGAGTCAGAAGAGTGAGGCTGCTATCAACCAAAGCCGGCAGCTTGCAGTCCCGGAGTCACAGAAGTGCACACTGCCTCGCCGCCATGAGCAAACCACAACATCAGGGTGAGCAGGGTTAATGTCACATTTAGCAGTCGATCCTCGCATTCGGTTAGTTTTATCGTTACATCACAGAAGAACGGTAAGTGGTACAGTACTGCAATATCTTGTTATATTTGCAACGAGTAATGGAAGCTGTGGAATAAAAAGCAAAATGCGTTTAATTTCGTAAGCAAAAGCAATTTGTGGGAGTAATATAGAACGAACGCACCGCGCCGCACCAAACTGGATCTGCATCCCCTGCTTATGTACTACAGCAAACGCATGGCATCGAGCAGTGCAAACCTCGTGGTTTCGTGGATTATATTCGACTCGTCCGAAAGCAATGGAGAGATGTACTGCAGCAAGGATAGACCAGTTAGATCATAATACAATATCCCCCTCGTATGTAGTAGAGTTACGAAAATATCCCCTTGCATAAGCTAGAGCTATAAGTTTGTGAAAACATGCAAGAATGACGCCAAGATTTATGACTCCCCATTCACAAATAGTAATTTTTCACGTAAGGCAATAAATACAAATGTACGAAAACCAACATGATATTCCTACGGGGACTGTGCTCGTGCGTGGTCGGTGTAGATACCGTATCTTGGTAGGTAGCTAGATGGACAGCGAGTATAGGAGACCCCGATCGATCATCGAAGCGTTGTGGATGGACATTGGATGGTCGGTCACAGGTCAGCGGCGAGAGAGAGCGGTCAGATCCTTCGAATTCCGCCCACTTACCTTACCTGCTCCGCACGGCTGGCGGCAGCTAGTGTTAACATGACAACTGTGACTGTCGGGAGCTTTACGGAATCGGGAAGTGGAAAGTGGAAATAGGAAAAATAGGGATATCGTTTGGGAATACAGTGCCTAGCGTGCAAATCTGTGCGTTTGGAATTTTGGACGTAGACATTGTTGATGTATTCTTGGTAAGATATTGGTAAGACTACGAGCAAGATTCTTGACCTCCCGGGAAGGGAAGTTGAGGTTTCCTTTTAGAGTACATGAGGAATTTGATATGATATGATATGGTGGATCGTTTGTAGAGTGAGTAGATTAGATTAGAATTTATAGATTTCAAGATTGTTATTTGGATTCTTAGATAGGGTGTCGACACCTTCATATTCAAACGAGAACTCACGAGATTACTAGGTAGGTGTATCCTATTATACATACCAAATTCTTATTGCACAACAACCCCAAGACATCCATCCAACCCAGACAGAGTATAATTTCATAAAAGTTCTTACCTATAGCTACGCTACCTACACTACCTAGGTACACTCACCAAAAGATTTCCCTCTCCAAACAACCCACTCCCACCACTCCCCCATCTCCCCAACCCCAAATTAATCATAGCCCCATCCCCATAGCACCAAAATCCCAAACCTGAAAAAGAATAATCGTTATAGGATATTATGATCATCTGAAAAACCCCAAACGTTTGTATGCACAAATCAATCTCGTCCAGATGCAGATCCGAGGCAGAGGACATGTATGTATCACATGATTTACACCCCAGCATGCTTGTCTGCATTATTAGCTGTAACAACTGACCTGACTGCATCATCTCACTACAAGTTAGGTTGGGCAGGTAGGTATGCTGTGTGTGCGTTATCGTGGCTGCACTGTTGGTAAGGTAAGTCTTATTAACCTTGATTTCCTTGGTCCATCACAATATCATCATGTTAGGATGTCAGGATTGATTTTCGATCACTAGTTTATTTGTTCGAATATGCCTACTGTAAAGATTTTCGACGTGAATTCTCCGGATATTTCGGTCTTTGCCGTTACTGGCTCGTGATCGTTGGTTCACTAGTTGTGTTGGGTGAAGGTTACCAACAAGTCGATCTCTTCCCCATCACCCTTCGTATAAACCGCCCAGTAATTTTCCTCATCACTTGAAACCCTCGAATTCCTTGGTAATTTTATAATTAGATATTTATTGTTTTCTCTCCAGACTCTACATGGTGTATCCGGTTCCTCGGTACACACTTCGTCCTATGATTGATTGACTGATTGACTGATTGACTGACTGGTTTGCTTCCTTGAACCTTGTTGTCGTTGTTTATCGTTATTTTATCTAGGTGTTAGTTAGTATACTCCGTGGTAAGATCTCACGCTATGAGTATAGTACTTTGTTTTTTGGGTGCTGCTCGCTGGGAATCCTTGGGTGGTTTGGGTTAAGCGTTGCACCGGCCGGTACTTCTTTAGAGGTGTTGAAATAGTGATACTCACTGTAATAGTGATGCTGTGGGTTTGTGATGTAATGGTAATTAGTGGAAGCTTAAAGATGAGTTGAGTAACCTTGGATTCATCTGGGAATATACTGGTACATACCGTATATGAGGTTGGATCCTTATAAGTGCTCTATATGTGACGTTACTTTATTCTTGAAACTTTTCTACTTCAAATATCAACTTTCTACTTGTTACTTAATCATGTGGTAAATATATCAACGTTAAATACCTAGGTAGGTACTCACTCAGTCTAACATTTTGATAAACCTGAACAACCCATCCATCTCCAGGTTAATATCGAGTATACCTTCCTTTCCCTATCCATCATACCGGTATCCTTCTACAGAGCAAGGGATTACCCCTCCGCAACTCCCGAATCAAAAAATAAAAAAACATATACATGTACATACTCGTATACTCGTATACTCGTATATGTATACATGCAACAAAACCTTATCACAGCAGTTATTGCGTTTGTCGTTTGTTATGTTACATCTTTCGAAGAAACGCCTCCCCTCCTCGAGCTCCATAAGGTAGGTAGGGTAGATTACCCACCAACGCTGTCACAGCTACGCACCAAGATACCCAACGTTTAATTGAACAGCTGTTGAGTTGGTTTGTTTTTCCCCTGACTGAAGGTTAAGGTTATATGGTGGGGTTACCGGTACTGATTATATTATTCATCATCGTATACGTATACTTCCACCTCATAAACGCGCAGGAATGTTACATCGTGAATTAACCCCTCATTTTATTCATTTTGCTTCATTCCTACATATCTGAAAAACCAACCCCCAAAACCCAATAGAAAAATAAATTAAAATTAAAATACCACTCAACATTTACAGATATGAATCTCAAAAACTAATCACGTTCACCCACATACCTCCCTCCTTCCCTCCTCCCCCTCCAGAATCCAAAAGAATAACAATAGGGGCTCGGGCTCTAGCTCGAGCCTTCCTGTCTCAGACAAACGGAATAATCCAACCCATCAATTCATCAATCCCCCATGCCAACACCAACACCAACAACGTGACGCGATATGAGATGATATGAGATGACACGGACATAGGTAAGGTTAAGTAACATTAAACAGACATCGAGATATCAGGTAGTATTTCCCGCAGACAGCGGCAAGCGAAAATAAATAAATTCTATTCTATTCACTATTCCCCATTCCCTTATTCACAATCCTCGGGAAAACGAAAACAAAAACGAGGAATAGGAATAGGAATAGGAATAGGAGACGGGATAAGGTTAGGTCGCTTAGAGCATATTACATACATACATACCTAGAGATATATTGGGTGTTCGCCGTTCGGCGTCTTAGATAGGGAATACGGTTAGGTTCGTGCGTTGGGTTTTGAGCTTTTGCACTTGAGCCTCGATTCGATGCATGGATGGATCACCAGATGTAAGCACATACGAAAGAAGTCAGCGCGATAGGCGAGGGAAAATATCTTTTATTTATTTTTTAGGGAGTGAGAGAAGGTATTACTGTACTGTATTATTGGTTTGGCTGTTATTTGAGATGTAGGGGGGTTTGATTTTGGGTTTCGCGATGGGGAAATTTCCCGCTGCTTGCGCTTGCTTGCGGAAGGATGTATTCTTATTTGGTGTATAGTTAGTTGGCTGTAGGGCTGGCTACATACAAGTAAGATCTTACATTGCAGGAGATCTGTGATTTGCCCACTCGTTCCGTTACGTCTGCTGTTCTATGCTATACTACGAGATAGCTTGCTTCAAAGTCACTGACAATTTGTTGTTGTAACGGGACAATCACGATAAAACCAATCTGCAAAAAAAAATAGATAACTTTTGATTGTCATGCAAGCCAGCAAGCAAGCAAGGTAACTAACGACCAGATATATACGATCCCTTCATCAAAACCCCTCAAATTGAACTCTCCACCCGTATCAACCATTGAAGCCAAAGTCAGCCAAAAGAATAAACTAACTTGGTATCGATTCTTCATCCGCATTTCCAATAGGTATGGCAGTACACAGATCCATCCATCCATTCATATACCCATCCTTCAACCTTTATCCATCCGCTCAAGAAACCCAGCTCCAGCACTCATAATCCAAGAAGCAAGAAATAATCAAATTACCATTGTGGAAGCAAAAAACATGTACTGTGAAGTTGCCGTATGTCCCAAAAGATCGAACGCGCCACCAAAGAAAAGCGAAGCAAGCAAGCAAAACAGAAAAAAAAAACTTGAAAAGAAAATTGCCTTTGGATTTGCTCGCTCAGATGATATCAAGAAAGATGAAAACCCGAATGCAGAAATATTGCATTAAATAACCATGTGCGCGCGATGGAGATCAAAAGACCGGAATATGTACCCTTGTACCCGCCAACGAAGGTCAACTCCGTAGGCACCACCAAAGCAAAGCACTATCTATCTACCATTATCTTACTTAAATGAAAATGACCAAATCCTCTAGGAGGATGAAGACGTGGGTTTTGGGAGAGAATGCAAAGGGTCCCAGTATTCGTAGACTCGATTCTCTTTGTTTTTACCAGTGACGGCTGGAGCGGTGAATGTTGAGCGACCGGTAACAGGATCGTAGCTATCATATGAAGCGGCGAGACGTTTGCCGCCGCCACCGGGAAGATCAACGACGAAGTTGGGTGTGACAAAACCACCGATGGAGCCGCGAATGTGGCGTTCGAGTTGGAGGATTGTTGAGAGTGGCGTGCGGAGATCTTCCACGTATTGTACCATGTCGGCTTGGTAGACATAGTACTGGGAAATGTTAGTGTGTGTACCGCATTGCATTAATAGAGGGAGATTGGGGAGATAGGGGTCGGGAAAGGGATACGTACGGGAATAATGTTATTGTCAGCCACAGTTTTTATGAGGTCACTCATGGTGGCTACATCATCGTTGACGCCTTTAAGTAAGACGGTTTGGTTTCGCACGGTGACATTATTCTCATGTAATCTCTGTAGGGCCATTCTTGAGACCCAGGTCATTTCACGTGGATGATTGAAATGCGTATGGATAGCCATACTCTTGCCTGCCTTCCTAGCCAAGGCTGAAAGACGAATCATCTCAGCTGCCCATCCATCGCTGTCATCGAGAATACGAGCAGGAGACACAGCGAGACCTTTCGTGGCAAATCGGAATCGTTTGATGTGGGGAATTGAGATAAGACGTTCACCAATAAGTCGGATATTTTCGGCGGTTAAGATGTAGCAGTCTCCGCCAGAAACAACAATGTCTTGGAGTTGGGAGTTTTCTTCAATGTAAGTGAAAATATCTTCCCAGCGTTTTCGCTGAGGTTTAAAGGTGGTTTTCTTGACGTTTTGCATGTCCGGTCCAATGGACCATGAACGAGTACAAAAGCGACAGTAGAGTGGACATTGTGATGTTGCTTGAATAGATCAGCATCATAATAATTATTTTGAAAGTGAGGAAACTTACCTAAGAATAAGGCTTTGTTAAAGTACCTATGGACGAAGCCTTCTACGGGAGAATCTTCCGACTCATGCAACGAGTCCAACTCAACCTTTGGGTGGTCCTCGACTTTGCTTGATTTCATTGGAATGAATTGGCGACGGATAGGATCATCAAATGGATTTTCCCAATCAATGATACTTAGGATATGAGGTGGCAAGCGAATCGACATTGGCGCTAATTTGATGCCCTCTTTAACGTCCTCAATGAAGTCTTCTCGGGTTACAATGCCCGGAAAGTCTGGGTGTCTCCGAAGTACTGGTGGTAAAACCTCCAACATAAAAGTTTCCAATTGCACTATAGTGGATATGGTATGAATTGTCTGCGAAAATATATCAACATTTGCGAACTTTGAATGGCTCGTAGAACTGAGGAACTTACATGAAACTTGTATTTCAAGAATTGAGCTTCAGTGATATCTTTCCAGCGAGGAATCTTTTGCCAGTACGCGGTCCTGTCAGAAAGGGAAGAATCGTAAACTGGTAATCCGGGCACTTTGGCAGTATTTGGAGGTTCATAGGGTGCTGGCATAGGCCCATCATGGAACATAGGAAGATCGGTCACCGCTGCTCGACCTGATGCATTTGATCGAAATTGTCTTGTGGAAATGAGTGGTACTTTGGATTTCGAGGTTAAGTTTCGTGATGCGATCTGGACGCATTTTCGAGGTACTGCATCACTTTTCACCCATGTTGATCTTGTGAAAAGGGAGGGGCAGCTTTTGGCCGCTGGCGCGATTTTGGTTCGTGCTATTCCTCCAAGCATTTTGAGCGTTGATCTGAAAACAAAATAAGTGCTTGTGAAAGTTTATGAGCTGTGTACTTGATCAGTATTTTCGAGGGTAAAGGTTGAAAGTGGAGGTTTTTATAAAGAACAATAAAGCCAACTGAAAGATGCTGTTGGTGATGATTCACCACGGAGGTAAAGATCCCTTGTAGGTTGTACTGCGTATCAAAGTTGGTGAATACTTACAAGCTCGTATTAGTCTAATTAGAGACAATACTGTTATCTCCATGCAAAAGATAATCCAAACACACAAAGGTGAATCAAAATTATGGACTGATTGCAAGATCAGGTGACGAGTCAAAAGTTTTGAAGCAAGCAATTATATTAAAATGCAGGTCTCTCTCCCTAGAAAGCTGTACTTCTATGCTGTGCCCACACATATAACTACCCAAGGATGTATTTATGTTCGGAGCCTCGAACGACCAGCTGACCCGATTGAACTTGAGGATTGGCTCGAATCAGGAGCACGTTAGACAGTTTATAAGTATGTGACGTGAGACGCCCTTGATTGGTGAAAAACTCAGGAGAATAGGATAATTTCTAGAGTTCAAGACCCACTATAGTACTGCCTATCGAACTGTTGCATGCGTGTGTTCGTAAGTGCGTATATATGACTGATGCAAGAGATGTCGTTGGTCGTACAGTCTAGCAGATTCTTCGAGGTCAGTCGATATAAATTCGTGCCTCAACTTTCCAATATCAGCAAAGATAAGTTTCCCGGCAGTTTGGGCCTCGGCCGGGGAAGTTGTGATGCGTACAGAGGTAAAGCCCGGCTGCAGAGAATTATGTCGTCTGTTGGATAATTTGGATGGCCTTATTGGACAAATCGGTATTGGCGATTCTAGAAAAAAAAGGTGTGTGTTAAATGCAATGCTGTACGACCTCTGCGGACGCGAATCATTCCCTGGCAGCAAATTAGAAGCGTCCCGACATCTACAACTGCATAAAAGCACGCAAACAATGGCGATCATTAATAACTTCTATCAGAACAAGATTTTCAGAGGATATTGCTCACCTTTAATACCAACATTTGCACTAAACTATATTGCCGCCTACCAAAGCCACTACACTGTTGCTTTCTTCCATCTCGTAACGAGATTGAACATGGTTAATGCAGTTCTAGCCATCGGAAATATAATTGCGTTCAGTTGCATGGTAGTGACCAACAGATGGAACAAGCTTCCATCCTCAATTGGGAACAGCGGAGGAAGGATCAGCTTTAAGCCTTCAAATCTTACCGATTACTTTATGTGGACCGGGCGGCATGGCGACGAGGTACTACACCTGTTTGGACAAGAAAGCTGCATGTGCTACTACATTGGGTAGTCTTTCACGTCAGTCCTAAAATGATAGAAATTAGAGGCGTCAGCACTTAAATTTTCGACGTTGAAAGTACTTCTCAACGTTTATCGGCGATATCGAAAAAACCGCCACCTTTCGACAACACACTTACGATAATTTTGGAGGGGTCATGGTATTCGCATGATACTTCGCATAATGCTTGTTGTACTTTAGCAAGCCCCGAGTAGTACAGGAAAAACTTAAACAGAAACATAAACTAACGATATCAAAAAACGGTATATGCATTGAAAGGATTCATCTTATCTCATCATTACCTTGGATAATTGACAAGATAGATGTATTTTTGAGAGTAGAGCCAATGAATCAATAGACTAGACATAGTGCATGGGGTTTAAAGATAGAATAGGACATGCAGACCGATACTAATTAGGTAGTTCCGAAGTATTGAATACTACTTTCGTGAATAAGCTCAATGTTGAGGCTTGATGGACCATATTGTTGGAAAGCAAAAAGGTGTCAAGGTAGATTCGAGTTTTCCCATGGCCCCATGGGTGCAATCTTCATCCGATTCTGCACTCTTGGCAACAGCCATGGCCCGCTTGGTCCTCAATTTGTGGAAGCTGTACGAAGCAGTTGCATGTGCGATGACAGCAGCAATGGTGCAGGAAGCAGGAAGTAGTTCTACCCTTGCTATCTTCCTACCTATCAGACGTTCATCAGATGACACCAAGATGATCCCTCCGAGGCCAGGGTGTCAATATATTGAGGGATTCATAAAAAGCGTGATTTTTAAAAGATTAATTGAAGAAAACGATCAAAATAGTAGGTAATTGTTAGGTAAATCTTAGTATTCGGGTCCCTCGAATGTTTCATACATGGTGTATCAAAAATAAAAAGGGGACTTTTGGTATGGTACGAGATAAAATAAGGGGTCCTTGGAATATGTATATAGATATGTATGATGGATGTGTGTGTATATATATATGTATATGTGTGTGTATATGTATATATGTGTGTATATGTAATGTATATGTATGTATAGAAGGAAGAGGGTGAAAAGAGATAAAGTACTGATACGAGCAGGATACTCTCTTTGTATTGTGGGGGTACTTTGATACTTTGATATTCTGGTACTCTGACCTTTGATACCTGTGTATGTGAGTACTGGCGTAGGTTACTCTTTTGACAGATGAGAGTGTCGAACCCACTACGAGTACCAGTAAGAGGTCGTTGATGATGTTGATATTAACTTTTTATCATTTCAAGCTTCTCACCAAAATTTCATTCCTCCATTACTCCATCCACGGTTTCTTCCGATGCCGAAATAACGCGGGTAGCTGAGCAAAAGAGACTGATTCCACGTGATTTTCTGCGCTAGTTTTAGTTTTCCTGCTGTTTGAGAAGTACAATCTCCAATTTCCTCCAGCAAGGTCTTGATACCACCCACTCTACCTCCACCACTTTAAATCTCCTCTCTATCAGTTGCTTTTCTGTAGCAATTGATTTTCCTTAATACCCTTCAACATATAGACCTTGGTCAAGATGTTCAGAAACGCTCTCAAGCAGTCCAGCAGGACGGTGGGCGCAATTTCTGCTTCCGGCAGAATTGCCACGGTACGTCAACAAACAAACTTCTCACGTCACTATGTCACTATTTTCACTTCGCTGCCTATCAATATCTATCTTATTAGATGTTGTCTATAGTGTCAATGGACGTTGGGAAGTGGTGGTGTTGATGTTATCAAGCTTCGAGAAAGCTTTAACAGCTTGTTGACGAGGATTTTTCGGACTTCGGCTAACTAAACGTTTTCTGCACAACAGCGCACTGCCATTCCAGCAACCTTCAACGCGGCATCAAAATCAGTTCGAAGCTACGCATCTGATGCTAAAGCCTCCCCCACCGAAGTCTCCTCCATTCTTGAGCAAAGAATTAGAGGTGTTCAAGAGGAATCCGGTCTCGCCGAGACTGGACGTGTTTTGTCTGTTGGGTAGGTTATTCAACAATAATTTGATACTCGGGTCCAAAATGCTGCAGTCATATCACATGGATGTGAATTTTCGAATATCTGGATGAGAGTTAGAGGATTACGTTGGACGGTGTGCTGATTCGTGTCATGACAGTGATGGTATCGCTCGTGTCCATGGTATGAGCAATGTCCAAGCCGAGGAACTTGTCGAGTAAGTTTATGAAAATTCGACAATATTTATCTGGGGTACTGATGGGGAAAAAGGTTCGCATCCGGTGTCAAGGGCATGTGCATGAACTTGGAGGCTGGCCAAGTTGGTGTTGTGCTTTTCGGTTCTGATCGTTTGGTCAAGGAGGGTGAGACCGTTAAGCGTACTGGAGAGATTGTTAGTTTGGTCAAGTTGAATGTACTTTTCAAGATACTAACATGAAGCACAGGTCGATGTTCCAGTCGGAATGGCGATGCTCGGCCGTGTTGTCGATGCTCTCGGAAACCCAATTGATGGTAAGGGACCTATCAAGACCACCGAGAAGCGTCGTGCGCAACTCAAGGCCCCTGGTATTCTTCCCCGTCGATCCGTCAACCAGCCAGTCCAGACTGGTCTCAAGTCCGTCGACGCAATGGTACCTATTGGACGTGGTCAACGTGAGTTGATCATTGGTGATCGTCAAACCGGAAAGACCGCTGTTGCCCTTGATGCTATGCTTAACCAAAAGCGTTGGAACGACGGAAACGATGAGACCAAGAAGCTTTACTGTGTCTACGTGGCCATTGGACAAAAGAGATCTACTGTTGCCCAATTGGTCAAGACTCTCGAGGAGAACGACGCCATGAAGTACTCCATCGTTGTTGCAGCTACCGCTTCCGAGGCCGCTCCTCTTCAATATATCGCTCCTTTCACTGCTACCTCTATGTAAGCTTGAATCATTCATTCTATCCCTTTTCTTTTCCAATTCTTGTTCCCATTGTCCTAGTTCAAGTTGAACTTTGACATTTTTACATTGTTCTAATTCAAATTGGACTTTGATACTTTTATATTGTTCTAGTTCAAGTTAAACTTTGACACTTTTACATTGTTCTAATTCAAGTTAAACTTTGACACTTTTACATTGTTCTAGTTCAAGTTAAACTTGAAACTTTTACATTGTTCTAATTCAAGTTAAACTTTGATACTTTTACATTGTTCTAGTTCAAGTTAAACTTGAAACTTTTACATTGTTCTAATTCAAGTTAAACTTTGACACTTTTACATTGTTCTAATTCAAGTTAAACTTTGACACTTTTATATTGTTCTAGTTCAAGTTAAACTTGATACTTTTACATTGTTCTAATTCAAGTTAAACTTTGATACTTTTACATTGTTCTAGTTCAAATTGGACTTTGATACTTTTACATTGTCCTAATTCAAATTGGATTTTGATACTTTTACATTGTTCAATATAAAATTGGAGATTTACACTCCCATATTGTTCAATACAAATCTGGAGTTTTATATTCCCAGATTATCCAAGTTCCAATTTGGCTTTTCTAATTCCTTCCACACTCGCTCCTTCCTCTTGCTTAGTAACCCATGGACAATTGCTGACTAATCCAAATTTTAGTGGAGAATACTTCCGAGACTCCGGAAAACATGCTCTTATCATTTTTGACGATCTTTCCAAACAAGCCGTCGCATACCGTCAAATGTCTCTCCTTCTCCGTCGTCCTCCAGGACGAGAAGCCTATCCGGGTGATGTTTTCTATTTACAGTTTAGTCTACCAAATTTTCCCGAAATTATTTGGTAAAAAATTATATGCTAACTAAATTTTTACAGTTCCCGTCTCCTTGAGCGTGCTGCCAAGATGAACGACAAGCACGGTGGTGGATCTTTGACCGCGCTCCCCATTATTGAAACTCAAGGTGGTGATGTATCAGCTTATATCCCAACTAACGTTATTTCTATTACGGATGGACAAATTTTCTTGGAGGCCGAACTTTTCTACAAGGGTATTCGTCCAGCCATCAATGTCGGTCTTTCCGTCTCCCGTGTCGGATCTGCTGCCCAACTTAAGGCCATGAAGCAAGTGGCTGGTTCCTTGAAGCTGTTCTTGGCTCAATACCGTGAAGTCGCTGCTTTCGCACAATTCGGTTCCGATTTGGATGCTGCTACCAAGCAAACTCTTAACCGTGGTGAAAGAGTAAGTCTTTATATAACTTGCCAAGATTCAAAAATTAACACAAGCTAATAATAATTTTCTACAGTTGACTGAGCTCCTCAAGCAAAAGCAATATTCTCCTATGGCTGTTAACGAAATGGTTCCTCTCATCTACGCCGGTGTCAATGGTCACCTCGATTCCGTACCAGTCAACAAGATTCTCCCATGGGAGGCTGACTTCCTCTCACATCTTAGGACCAACGAAGCCGATTTGTTGGCAACAATCGATAAGGAGGGTGCTCTCAGCAAGGACCTTGAGGCTAGATTGAAGGATGTCATCACCTCTTTCACCAAGAGCTTCGTCTAAATCAATAGATAAAAGTAAATCATGGTCATTTCCTCGCGCTTTTTTTTTGTCCCTTAGCATGTGGGCCTAGGCGAGCTGTATTTTGAACGTTGTGACGAGGAAAGGAAAAATTAGTAAGGTGATGGAGGAGGTTCGGACGAGTGATGAATGATAGGCGGAAGATTTGATAGATCAAAAATCAAAGCTGTAAAATAGATGGACCCGTCAATTCTTCCGCGTGCTATACGACTACATGCTTAATTGTGTCTCGATGTATTCGAAGTGATGTTTACTAATGGTAGCTCAAACATATGTCCTATTGGGGGCAAGCGTCTCGCCAATCTTGAAGAAACATGTCCAGGTTGATATTTGGACCCTGCATGAATATGATATGCCGTAGATATCATGTCAGCTTATGTTACAAGCTGGAGTAGCAGGCAGCACGGTGCTTTGTAATGTAAGCGGGCTTGAAAAACGGGAGCCTGGTATGTATGAAGGGTCTTGAAGAATCCTAGCGTCTTTCGGGGCTGGTGGGATCTTTTAGAGTTTTGTGAACGGGTAGGGCCCTATGGGCCCGAGTACAATGCTACTACGTACTAGGGATAGGACTAGGGACAGGAGTAGGGATAGGGATGGGCTAGTCACGTAACCTTTTTGGTGCTAGTGGATGGTGGATGGTGAAAGATAGTGGCGGGGCAGGGGTTAGTGGGCGGGTAGTGGTGAAAGGTGCTAGGTGCTAGGTGATGGACTAGGGTTGAGTGGGGTTGGGTAGCATACCTGAGTACCTGAGTATCTTAGTGGCTGACTATCCTAGAGTGTACGCGCCGGTCGGACGAGAAGGGACGGGGAGGGAAGGGAAGGGATTGGATGGTGGATTTCTCGTGATGGATTAAGGGTACAAAAGCCCTGGCGAGCCACGGATTAGCATGCTATGAAGGCAGTGAGTGAGCGTCTTTAAGTCTAGGTCTAGGTCTAAGTGGGCTAATTTCTTTATTCTTTATTTTGGGTTGAGGGGGGAAGGTTTGGCTGGTTTGGTGTTGTTTGTTTGGGTAGGATAGGGAGGGTAGGTAGAGAGGATAGTTGTGAAGACGGGATGGAATGAAGTGGGATGAGATGAGATGGGATGGGAAAGCAAAGTAAACTGAACGCAAATGGGTATCTCGGAATATCAATCGATATCATGGATTATTTCTAGAGTGAGGGTTTAGGACGTAAGACGCTGGACTTAGGACTTAAGAGCAAGGACTTAGCAGTAAGGAATAAGTGACGAAGCATAAGAATGAGTAAATAGCATATGCATATTATAATTAGGCTAGATTAAGTTAAGTTAAACTAATAACATCCTACCTACCCAGCTAGTGCATAATAAATTCGGCGTCGCGGGAAGTATTACTTTTTAAGAGTTTTTAGAGGTTTTTCGGAGAGAAGAGATCTAGATCGTGAGGGATGAGATGTGAGATCCGGGATATGAGGAAGGGGTATGACAGGCATGGAAATAGAAATGGGGATGAATGCGTAATGTCCACTGCAATGAATAGCTAGCTGGTGGATCCAAGACCTACGTAGTAACGTGATAGCGTGGTTTGATGCAGGTAGGGTCTTAGTAGCGTTATGTGGGTTTAGTGCTTATTATAGTTCGCGAGGTCGATTTGGTTTTTTCGTTGTGGGTAGTTAGTTAGGTTAGTTGATGGTTGGAGACTTCATTTTGGTGTGTTTGGCTTTTTGTTTGTTTGTTTTATTTGTTAGTGTGGATGGATGGACGGATGGATGGATGGATGGATGCTATTTTTGGTTGCGAGTGATATTTGCATTTACATATGTATTTGCATGTGAATGGATTATGCAGTTGCAGATACAGTTGTAGTGCAGATGCAAATGTAAAGAGAAACATGGCAACATCATGGCGATAACATGGCAATAATATGGCAACAACATGACAATAGCGTGGCAATAAGATGGCAGAACTATTGAAAACATACATCTAATCTAATATCTAATATCTAATATCTAATATCTAATATCTAATATTGTAAAAGTGGTAGGTCGAGATATATACATCCCGATAGCACATTGTGAAAAGGGAATTAGAAGAGAAAGCTGAATTAAATCATATCGTAATATATCATTTATAAAGAAAACAGGATTCACAATAGTTTTGGGGTTGATGTTATATAGGTTCAAGTGTATATATATAGAAGGTTGATTATCATAGAAAGGAAAGACAAAAGCTTTCCTTTTATATCTAATTACAAGAGATCATATGATTGACTGGTTAAAAACCTTTATGTATTTGGCCTATAATTCCAACTTTCTCACAATATCTAATATCTAATTCTATCGACAAGGCTTCTTCCTACCCTAGTTCACATGAAACTACTTCATAGCTGGAAAACCAGATGTTGATATAAATCCATCCACACATCTACACGGCCATCCCTACCTACCTACCTAACTACCTACCTACATCCCTCCCTCCCTCCCTTCCTCCATCCAACAAACCTCCACTCAACAATCCAACAATCCCAGCAATCTCAGCAATCCCAGTATTCCAAAAGCCAAGTTTCGCAGAAATCAAGAGATCAATGATGAATTGTGAACAATGAATGATAAATCTCCAGAAGGAAATACCTCCAAAGAGGGAGGTTGACAAGACGGAAGGGAAAGGAAGAGAAGAGAAAAGAAGAGAAGAGATAAAAAGATGATGTGTATTAGGTACCTAGAATAGTTTATAAAGATTCAAGTTTGGGGTTTTTCTATTAAGAGGAAGGAGGTTAAATAAATAAGTAAATAATCTTATCTATCAAATATTATATATGTATAAAGTATTAATGCAATTACATTACATTACAATACAATACAATACAATACAATACAATACAATACAATACAATACAATACAATACAATACAATACAATATAATAACTTTAACAAATCCCATCATTTATATCATTACACATCATGCAAAAGCCAAACACACATCATCTGTTTATTCATATAAATCATCTAACTTTTAATTTTGATTTAGTCCTACTTAATCTACCTACCTATGTAATAACTGGTATATCAATACCAGTCTTCATACAAGCCGAGTCTACCAATGATTTCAACTCATCAGATTTAATGCGAGGTACATAACCAGTAAATGCAATCACTAGTTGATTGACTTTCCAGCTTCATCATTCATTCATCCCGATCAAGCAAATGTTGATGGAAAGTAAGTAGTAAGAGATTAGCAAATCTGGAAGTATCTACAGATTGCCAACCATTTTCAAGACTTTTGTAACTGTTTTTAAGTTCCGATATACTTGTAAATTGCTGCCACATCATTTGATTAAAAGCCTGCAGTACCGTATTTGATTTTCTTTCATTTCATCATATCCTTTTTATACCATCCATTTTGTCATCCATTACATCTCTGCTTCGTCACGTCCGTTCGAGGTGACTTTTCTCTGGGTTGGTAAAGTTTAAACATCGAATTCGGTTGCCAGCCGAAAGTAAATCTGAATTCTTTCCGAGAACCGTTGCCCTTCCCAAGTTCCCATATCAACCGTAACTTAATTGTGATTTTTCATGATCTAGTAGCAAGCTTTTGAACAAAGGAAATTTTTTGAAAGAGCCAACATACTGCGACAATTGTATGCTTTTTGCCCATTCGAAAATCAGTGTGGTCGAAATGTAAGGGGTCTTTGTAATCCGCGCAATAGGTGAGAATGAAAATAATTCGAGTTGCGAAACCGTCCATGTCGTCGAAGTCAAACATATCATAAGCAGTCAAAACTGGGGAAGAACAATCAACAAAAAATGTTGACTGAATTACCGGCAAAACCAGGTCAAAAGGAAGAATGCCTGCTGTATGCCGAAGGCGAGCGTCTACTATAGTAGATCTGACCAACCTCAGTAGCACCAATGATAGTTGGTGTGCCTTGTCTTCGTATCTTCTGCCTGGCAAACGATTGAGTTTCAACATCCCCAATTTCGAGGTTAAAAAGAAGAATTGTCATTGAGTTAGCCGCACACTTCAATCCATGTAGATCAACATCAGTTCGCTGAAGGTTGTTGTGTGAAGACAAGTTTACTTTCTTGAACATGGCATAAACAATTCCATGATCGCGAGATCTGGTTTGACTCAAAGGACATAATGGCATCAATACCCCAAAGTCTAAGGAGCCTTCCTGTTGGTAAGTTTCCGATGTCTCATCTTGAGTCCAAATATAGCAGAACTCGTTAGTGCGCAAGCCCTTCAGGAAAGCTGTCTTCAAAGATAAGTTCCTAGTAAGCTCAGACTCGTAGCCATAAGGGAGACCATAAGATGCCAAGATCTTTAAATTAAGGCCATGAGGTCCCAAAAGGTCTCTGTCCGACATGCCAGGGTATGGACAATCAACTTGAACAGCAAATGTCTGATCAAATCCAAACTGTCTGCCACTGAAGGAGCATGAAAAGGCTGCTTCCGCAATATTTGATCGCGGTGCGTTGTATGTAGTATTCTCATCACCTTGATTTGGTCCGCCAATCTTACTGGAAAAACTAGTTCTGATTGAAGTCGAACTAATTGTTGAGAAGGGTCGGGTGAGTGATGTGCTGCGTCTTGCAACATCCGGTTCCAATAGCTCCTGGTGATAATTGCTTCCCGCCATGCTGTCACCTTCCATATACAATCGACCAAAGCTGTTATTTAACGAGATGCCGCTGGCTGAGGGGCCAAGATTGCGATAAACTGTATTTGGAAAGACAAATTTGGGTTGTTTTGGAGTAGTTGGTCCATCAAGGTCTAACTGGTAATGACTGTAACTGTCGTCGGAATAGAAAGTGTCATTTGGTGTGTTGTTCTGTGGCATATCCACCGATGTTAGATCACTTGTAGAATATGGACGGCTATCAGGATCCACTGCGCCTGGGAAGTTTTGGGACCGAGTGGGCGTTAAATATTGGTGAAAGGCCTCCGGAGAATTATGATTAGTAAAAGCGGATTCCGCAGAGACGCTCCGATAATGTCCTGGCGCGGCCATATATAGAATATCAGAATCACGAATTGAGGATTCATGAGACATTGATATAGAAGTTTCAGGAGTGTTCACAAAAGAATCCTCATTTGAGAACTCTGATTGCTTCGAAAAAGGTGACGAATGTGTCTGATACTGGAGTCCCATGGGGAAAAAAGCTGGCTGGGTGACTAGAGTGGATGATTTCTTTTGAAAGTGGAGCGGATTGGGAACCAAATTGGTTCTTGTATCTCTCTTTGATACAGCGAGAGAACGACGCAAGTCAGGGTCCAACATACGTTCGCCGTGCAAGCAGATATCTTTAACGGATAGAGCTGCAAACTCAGCAAGCTCTCGTCTGTCCACCCGGGAGAACTCAGATCTAGGTTGTTTGCTGTGAATAGAAAAGACGCCAATTATTTCTCCAGAATCTGAGATCAAAGGTGCTCCAGCGAAGAACCGAATATGAGGGGATCCAGTGACCCAAGGATTTCCTGCGAACCGCCAATCCTATGTAATCGTTAGCGAGATGGTCCATTGTAACAAGTAGAAGAACAAACCTGATGTGTGTCCAGGATTACCAGGACTTCTTCCGAGTAAAGAGCGTGGGCTGAAATGCTTGTTGTGCGGTCGAGCTTCATGAGATTGTAACCCACCTCAACTCTCAATATCTCGTGCCATTCGTCAAAAGCACTGACAGAAGCACAACTGAGGCGAAATCGTTTTGCTGCCGCTCCCATCAAAGCAATAATTTTACCACCCAGCTCCGGAGTCCAGGGAGCATCGATGGAGTAATGCTTCGCGATTCTACTTTCCTCATCATGCGGATACATTGCTGGCAAGTATTCAAAATGCATACTGCGTGGAGGTGGAGCCGGGGGCTTCGAGATATTGAAAGAGCCCTAGAAATTATATCAGGACAATCAATCACATGTAGAATTTCGCATCATTATTCACGCGAAGTCAAAAAACCGAAATTAATTACTTACCGAAGAATAAGACTTGATGTAATTGGTCCATTCAGAAATAGCAGCATTATCACCAGCCGGTGCTGATGCTACAGCAATGAATTCATGTTGCTCTTCTGGGTCCGTAATGACATTAAATTCTTGAGAAGGCTCATTATAAAATGATGATAAATCAACCGGTGATGATTGCTCCTCATCACCAGTGGTAGTTTGCCAATCAGACTCCAAGACTTCAGAAATTGACTCATTCAGTCTGGCGGCAGCTCGGGCTCTGGCTCTCCCGATTTGTGTGTTTCCAATTGGGCTCGATGTCATTCTACGAAGTGCATTTGGCTCTCCTCGAGGAACAAGTCTTTGCCCTGGCATAGGACGAATAAAATCTGGAGGTGACAAAATACCCATTTCATCCAATGGATCAAAAGGTTCCGGCTCCGACTCCGTTTCCACCGTAGGGTCGTCACTGCGACTGTATAATGCCTTCCCTCGACTTGGAAGGTCCTCGTTACTCCTTGCACCGTCGGACCTCGAATCCTTTTTGAAAAGTCGAAAAAAACCGCCTGACTTCTTTGTACCTGCTGAAGTATCACTGAGACCAGTGTGAAAGTTGCTGCTGTCAAATGAACCTGTTGTTTGCAATGATGGACTTGAGGGTAATTGAGGGCTTTGAGAAAATTGAGGAACTTGAGCATTAACAAATCCACCAAATCCGCTTGATTGTGACGCTGGTGTTGATTGTGTTTGGAATGGACCTGGAGTGGGAGATCCTGGTATTGTTGCACCTCTTGCATGAGACTTCGGCTTCTTTGGCCTTGGAATCGCTTGATCTATTCAAGTTAGAATTCAGAAAATCCTCAAAGAAGGATTTTGCATGAAAATTAAAAGAAAGAGAAGGTGAAATAATCAAGTAACTTGACAGCCGAATATTAATGGAATTTGTGAGGGGCTATATGCTCGAGGGTTTTGGTGATCGGAATTGTAAAGGGTGAAGAAACATAAGAATGTATTGCTGGAGCCCAAGAACATTGTGGCATGGATAAAACGCAGCCATTATTTATTAGCAAGTGATAACAAATATCACAACCATATTATACGACAATAGAGCATACTTACATGTCATTGGACCAACTCCCAACATCTTGTCAATATCTTAAGTAAGGTAACCCTTAGATGGTGAATCTGCAAATGTTAGTCATGCGGCCCGATGACCACACGTCTGGAGATATCAAAGGAAGAATAAGTATCATATTTGGTATATGAACTTACGATGAATGTTGACAGTGGACGCTTGGTGGAATTTGTTGGAGGCTCGATAGAGACTTGCATTGATTGAGTTTGGACAGAATCGACTTCCCCAAGGCCAGTGGATCGTAGTAGAGCTACAAAATTAAATGGCCACCGATAGTTTCCGCAAAACTACTCACCCATGTGTGTTAAATCAATGAAACATTGCGGGAATGAACTAGAACTTACTGCTTGATGGCTAAGAACAAGATCAATCCTAACCAACTCTTAAACAGCCTCGAAACTGTGCAAAATTATGATTGGATATCGTTTTGCATAAGGTTATGATCAAACTCCACTCTATCACTGCAGACTTGTTCAAATCAACTATTGGATATCAAGAGCTGTAGAATAGTTGTTTGACGGAGAAAGAAAGATTTGAAGTTTAGAATCGAGAAGTTTCAAGTCGGGGAGCAGGAGATTGCCTCAAACGCTAACGCCGATTGCGGGGCAAGAAAAGTGAATATCGAGATATTGCTGTTGAAAGGGTTGGAAAAGGAAATGGCTCAAAACTCTCTGAAACTCGTTGCTTCGTGGTGACTGGCTTCCCAATAGTGAATGGCTTTGAATGAAAGTGGTGGAAAGAGAAATGAACTACAGTATTCAAGTCAAGAAGAAGGCCCTGAGTTTTCATTAGTAAAGCAGAAAGAGAAATGCACACACTGTTATCTGAACAAATTATCGAGAGAATCAGTCAAGACACCAGAGTGATAGAATGATTGGATCATGGTGTTGAGTTATTGGGTGTGGACACGTCAAGGAATGCTTACCATTAATCAACTTGACCTCTCAACAATGATAATATGCGCAACTTGTTATGCAACAGTAAGGTTTCTGTGAAGAGGAATTGAAGTCCTCAAGCTGAAGAAAGAAAACAAGCAGGAGTGCTGTACTGCTGTTCTTGTCTGAAAGAGTAGGAGAGTAACTCAAGTCTGGGAAATCTTCGAGGCCGAGATTGTAGAGGAAAGGAGATTGAAAGACTCAATCTTCACTTAAGCATCCAATTGAATCAGTTGATGGAGTTGAAGCTTCAAGTTCGAAGATCCCAGGGCCTGCCCAGTTGCCTTTGAAAAAATATCTCCCAGATATATTAACTTTTTTCCAACCACAAGCCAAACCAACCATCTAACACAATCACCGGGTACGGGAAGTGAACTTAATATCTCTCCAATCCTAATCTATGAAAACATAGCAAGTCCAGTGATTTTTGGAAAGTCTCTGAAGGAAAATCGTGATGATTCAAGTATCCAGACAAGAGAAATTTTTGGAACGAAAGTTAATCCGGCCCTGTTCCAGTTTTACTAAATTGAATGCATGAAAAATGCAGGTTCCTAATCCGTATCCTGGAATAAGCAAAATAGAACAAGATGCCGCTCGTTTGGAAGTTCGAGGTGCGGAATCTAGTGCGACAGGCCGTTTCTTTCCTAATTCAAAGAATCTGACTGCAGTGCTACTAAGTCTTCTGAGAGTCGTCGGCCGCTATTTATTGCTGCATCATGTATTTAGTACCAGCAGTGTAATGTGGGAAGAACTGTGAGGGGTGATTTGGAGTAACGTGGGGTTATGGAAATGTTGTGCATACAGATGGTACAAGGTACACATAAGTGTTTTGAAGGAAATTTCGTCGAAAAGGAGGTTCTCTTGGTGAGAGTGAAGGTAGGTAATTGAAAGGACTTTTAAGTAGGTGTCGAAATGAATGTGAAGGTAAAAATCTAAAATTCCGATGCGGATGAAAGTTGATAAAGGGGACTGAGAGACGAAGAAGAAGAGGAGGAAGAAGCAACGAGCACAAAGGCGATACGACAATTTAAGAGTTGAGCAAGTAAGACTTCTTTCTTTCTGTATTTCATGAATACGGCCGAGAATGCTGGGTAGTTATGGATGTAAATACTGGTTTTTATTTACTCTGTGATTCTTATCGTCGATAAATAGAAGGAACCTATATCATCGTGACTTCTTCGTTTATGAGCAGCCGCAGTAATACTAGGGAGAAAGATCATAGATGACATCCAATTCCGAGATTCAGAGATTCAGATTCAGATTCAGATCTCAGATATCGCCCCGAAACCTTAAACTTTCATGTTATTTCGATCAACTATGTTTCCTCCTTTATTTCTCCTTACTCAAGCTCTTTCTCTCAATACGATTAAGAGTACTGTAGTGCTATACATAAGGAAAGACAAACGAGAAACCCTCGTGTGAAAGGGTTGTCACTGACATATTGAGGCTGGAGTTGCGAGTTGCGCGCATGCTCTTTTGTATCCCTTACCTCACGGATCTTCTCCAGCAGCCCCGTCCCAGTATCCGGATCTGAATTGTAGCTCGGACGGATCTTTCTTTTATCATCACTGATTCGGGGTAGATTAAACGATGTCTCAAGATATACCTGGCACTTGTAATTGCTGAGAACTGAATTGATGACCAGTTTAGACAAGTTTAGACAAGTTTAAGATGGTGAGATATCGATGTGCGGTGCTTCGGTTGGCTAAACCCAATGAATCAATGGAATCCGATTAGTTCATCTAGATCCATATTTGCTAATACTGTACCTATTAATTCACTTCATCCAATAATGTTGACAGCTGAAAGATCCATGAATGTGAATGTGCTAAGGTTACTTGTCTGGTCTTGGCAATTGCATTGGATCTGCCGCTTCCATTTGACGATAATAATGTGCCTCTGGAAAATATTTAACCTCAACGTCCAGCTTCCACCGCTCCTTCTGTACAACTACCTTGAAATCTCTTTCGCATGGTCTGTTTGATCTAATCGCTGTGCTTTTTTCTTTCTCATTTTTCTGAGAACTAGGTTAAGCCCTCTTTCCATCTAGTGGCTTATCGATTGTTTCCTTCTCTATATGTCTCATTACAGTTTGACATCTCACATTTTGACCATCATCAAGCTTTACGAGGCACATTGGTATCGATTTAAGAGCGGTTGATGGTTCGATCGTAATTCATTTCGAGATTGATAAATCCATCATGGCTCCTCTTTCCTTCCCCCTCCCGTTCGCATCAATCATGTCGACTTGCGCCGGATACTGCACAATAATAATATATGCATAATCTACATTTGGGTCTCGAGTCTTCCATGGAACGGAACGGACGTTGTGTTATTCAAGCTGCAAGAAATCTTCCGAGGCAAGCTTTACTCAATCAACCCTACTTCGGAGGTCACCGAATAAACAGCTGGTTTTTATCATGAATTGGTTCCGTGTCGTGTGTGTTTCCTCCAAGGTGCCGTTTCATTCTTTATTCTTCATTTGGCAAATCCTTTGGTTTCATACTTGCCCCCTTTTATTTTATCAGCTGGCACAATGGTAGTCGACCTCTTCCATGGCCATGCTTACAATCTGCAGGAACCAAAAGCAGAAGATTCACTACATATTAATGGAGTCCACCTTGTGTTTACACTTCCACAATAGGGCTCACACAAACATCAACCCTCTCATAAAAAATCTTTCTCTCAAACCACCGATGATCGCCCATCATCTGTACAACGAAATTAACCTGGACATACAATGCCCCTCTAGTATCTGCATCCAGCCGTCTATCGGGCTCTTCAACCAGTTTGAAGGCAATCATGTGCCAGAAAAGCCTCACACCATTTCATGAACCATGATTTCCACAAGTTAACATCACACAATGTTTCAGATGGCTGTGAAAAGTTTCACACATCATAGGGCAGAGATGTTTCTATGATGTCCATATCATTCATGAACAGAAATTGATGTGTATCATCACAACACCATAATCCTGGCCTACATACCTACTTGAATATCCCAAATTAGGGATTTACATCAACTTCTTTCATCAGTACATCAAGATGAGTTCGTTGGTACATTACAGTAACTGATACCAAAATCACAAATGGTATGTCAGTCAATTATCCAAGATGCATACACAACTATATATGTTTTCTAAGGATTAGATATGGTGTTCCAGACAAACAATATTTGGTTTGAATATTGACTTCTTTCTTTAAATTATAATCTTTACATTCTTCCCTTAAGGTCTTAGTAAGATCTTATCATTCTTCCCAATCAACAATTCGGTAAAATCCTAAGAATTATAAAGTTCCCACCTCTAAATAGAGACTATCAGTTGAATCTGGTCTCTGCAACTGATATAAACATGTCTATACATACGACGTCCTGAACTATTTTATCTCGGATCTGTTTTCCTTTTATTCATTCATTTATTCATTTATAGATATAATTTTGCAATTTGAATAACTATATAAATGCATTTCATTATTCCATCTATTTCTAGCTCCCTCCACCCTTTCAATCTTCAAGTTTATACCCAAAAAAAAATAGACTATTAAGAAAAGTCTTATTTTATTCTCTAATACCTCGGATTTTTAAAAACTAAGAAATGAATAATTCTAATAATTCATTCTTAAATCTTCAATCTCATTATCCTTAATCTTTAATCTTTAATAATTAATAACCAATAAACATTTAGTAAATAAATCTTTATTAATTAAATTAAAATTCTAATAATATAAAACTTAAAACGTGGAATATTAAAAATACAATATAAGATATTCAAAATAAAATATTTTACTTTTTAAATAGAAATTTGAATGAATAAATGAATGAAGAAATTTTATTTTTATTTTATAAAAGTAAAAGAAGTTCTTTATAAGATTATATTAAAGTAATATTGATATAATCTGATTGTAGAATAGTGTTGTAAAATGAAGAATTTGCTTCTATATTACTAGGTATATCTTTCTATATATACACACCTGTTTATTGAGTTCATCTATCACATCTATGGTCATCATCCAAGCTCCACCAAACCCTATCTTCATGCCTAATCCCTATTTAACAGCAATGAACCCGATTCCATTTCTAGCCTGATCCGCCGCCCTATTCATAGCCTGTTCTTCTACATCCGTCCACTTAACACTTAACTTATCCCATTTGATCGTCTTGTACTCATGTTGGAACTGTTGTTTCATTTTTTGATATCTGACCATTTCTTTTGGATCACCTGAGCCGCTGTAGATGATGAATGCTGTGCAAGGGGGAAGCGATTCGTAGATTTTGTGGATGCGCTTGGTGAGAGTCAGGGTGGCGGATGCAAAGGGGTCGGAAGGGTGCGAGAGTGTGGCTGGGTTTGTTTGTGGTGGCTCGGTGCTTGTAGTCGTTGACGATTCCAAATTCTTGGTAACACCGATATCCTCCATAACATTTTCCTTAGTAGCAATGTTGGATTTGGTAGTGTCCGATGCTGGCTTAGAGTTTGACTTGTCCAGGTCAGTATCTACTTTCATGCTTTCGCCGCTTTCAGGAGCTGTGACATTGTCCTTCTCTACTGCTGTGACTTTTGGATCTGAAGCACGAGGAAGTCTTTGGTTGTTCCAACCCTTTAGATCCTCTAACTCTCTAAATCTTCCCCAGACGAAATCCACACCACCACCAGGAATCTCCTTCCCATCAGGATCCCCATTTGTAGCTCGAATGACACCTTCCATGATCTGCTCATCACTTTGGCATCCAATGGAGAAGGTTGCAGCACCACCAGGACCTCTCTTTGGATCGCCCCAATCTATAGCGGCTGACGATTTACCATCTGTAAAATCTGGTATGGATGATCCTCCCTGGCTCTTATATCGAACGCCTGCTCGGGCTAATCGCTTGAAGACGTTCTCACCTTGTGAGTCATTTGCTCCCCAGTCAGATCCCTTCTCACACTTGAGCTTTACAAGATCAAGACAAGTTCTTGCGTCCTCAGTAGAGTCGTGACCAGTTGCTCCATGTCCCTTTTGGATCTCTTTACCAAGATGCTTCTGTGCAAGCCATTTTAAGGAGGATTTGAGTGGTGGACCACGAGGATGAGGATATATAACAGCAGTATCGATAATATATGGATGCGTAAGTTTGAGGGCTTTAAGGTCTGAGTCGAGTGAATGACCGATCAAGATCGATCGTGAGTGAAATAGTTTGACTAGTCTCTTCTGTATGTCTTGTAATGTTGTTGTGACTGGAGCAAGCATTGATTCGGTGATACCAGAATACCTGCAAACCATTAGCAACATGATCAAACGAAGAAATGAAAACTTACTGAGTGAGATAATCAATGATTGGCTTCTCGGGTTTTACAAGCTCATCAAGTACAACTGATCCGTCCCAACTAACAATACTTATGCGCGTGAGTGAGAACTCATTCTTGTCAGTCATACACATTTCACAATCCATAGCGTAGATCTCTCTGCCAGCTGTCAAACTTCCTTGCTCAATGTCATCATCTGGGACCGATCCTTCATCAAAATTGTTGACTTCTGTATCTACCCATCCATGAGCCTCGTCGACCTCCCAGGTTTTTCGCTGCTCTGCCAGGTTATTTTTATCGATTACGTCGTTGTAGGATGCGGGATGGAGGGTATAACCATTCTCTTGGAGGTCTTCTGGCGATGTGAGAAATTGAGTTATTGGCGTGCGAGTGTTCTGCCAGCCATTAGGTTCTCTAGCATTCCTGGGTCCTTTCCCATTGTTATTCTTGTTTTCTTGGCTTTTAGTTACAGGTGCTGTTAGCATAGCATGTAAAGGGGAATGCATCTTTGCATTTCTCTTGTCTCCTGGTGTTTTGACTGGCCATATATACTCAAACATATCGCCAAACAACTTTAGATTTCCAGGCAGAGCTTCAGACTTTAGCTTGCGGGGCAGATATTCATCCGGGGAATATCGACGCCCATCGGAAGCAGGTTTAGTACCGAACATAGATTCTTCAAGCCCAGGGACCATAAGCACGACAACTTTTCGAAATTGTGGTCGATGGCGGACAGAAACAAACTGAGGGGCCATGCCATCAGCAAGAAGATAGAGGACTAGACATTGCAAATCTCCAATCTTGATTTGTCCCGACAGCCGAGACTCTTTTGCTGAGAAAGTAATAGCAGGGTAATTTCCATTTCCAGCCTTTGGTATCTTCTTAGCTTTCTTTTTTGGTCGTCTCTCTACTGTTTGCCATTCTTGCGAAGAAGATTTCTCACCAAGCTCTTCTTTAGCTGAAGACTTTGTTGATGTCAAGTTGAATTTTGGTAAGTCTGGTTGACGAAGTTCTGATGATACTTGTTCCATAACAACTGAATTGGATTCCTCCTCTTCTTCTTCTTCTTCATACTTGCGCTTCTTAAAACTAATACCACCAGCGGATTGCTGCGACACAGCGGGAAGGTCTGCGACAGTCATTTTTGAGGATTGTCGCAGTTGGATAGTTGGGTGTGTGTGTTGTCGCATTCGCGAGATTTTGGATAACTTTATCGATTCCAATCGGGCGGTGGTGGTTGGCAGAAATGACTTGCTTTACCTGATACGGGAAAGCGTAGGTACATGCCCTGGATTCTATTCTAACTTAGTTCACTTATAATTACGAGAGAAAAGCAGATATCTAAGATACCCAGATATCTATGAGGCGGTTTATATCGGCTTCGTTGCATCCTTTATCGCCATTTTCATCACTCTCTTCAATATGTTTGTGCGGGCAAAGTCGATTGAACAGTACTGTATCATATTAGAGAAGAATCCGAATCACGAAAAAACGCGACCGCGCGAATTCAGCAGTACCGTTAGGTTAACCTACTGCAGATGGTTGATTGATCGATATAAATTTCCATCCATATGCGCATTTTAGTTCAAATTACATTGTATCGATCAACAACTGTAACTCCGAGATCATTCCAACTTCAGTAGGTTAACTTGCAACTCCATTTTCGACTGGCAGAATCAAACAGTTCTTCTAATTTCCAAGATCTCACTTCTTCTAAAACATATCCTTGCACGAAGTCTTAACCCGCATCGATATACTGCATTAAGATGTTGCCAGATGCTGAAGTTATCATATGCTATTGCCTAAAGTGCGGTGTCAAACTTGGGGGCTTTGGAAATTTATGGGAAGGTCTTGGAAAGACTTATTACATACCTAAAGTTATTAAAGATGTCACGGGATTTAAAGGAGTTGGTGCTATCAAATTATCAGACGGACCACTGCAGGTTGGAACTGTTATAGAAAATAGGTATGTGCCCTGAAGTTCCATCTTGTATTTGATACTCATCTATACTAGTTCTCTTCAAGATTTGGCTTGCTCAGACTGCCATGAAGTACTTGGCTTGCGATGTGCTAGTGCACCAGAAGGTCACCTGTTAAAAAGGTGGGATATATTTCCAATCATAAATATAGTGCATTAGTTAATTTTTAATAGTGATCAACTGCTCTTATGCGCCAAGAAGTTGTCAATGGAATCGCAACGAACAGGAGAAAGGGCAGTATTATCTGTCACAAAAACACATGACCTGACGAAATCATCAAATAACCTAAGCTCTCCATCCAAGAGACCATCAATGTTGTCACGCGCTCCTCTCCCGAGCGATATACCACGCCAGAGTGTCGAAATGCCTTTCACTCCAGCAGTATCTTCACCATTGATGCCTGGCGATTCGGCTATGATGTCAACCATACATGAGCAACGAAAGGATATTGATCGTATTGATGCTGCTTTGCGTCGCTTCCAAAAGGATATACAGGATGTCAAATTATTTTTAAAAAACTTTCGCCAAGAAATGACCGAAGTTCGGAATACTCGCCCTGTCACTGAAAGCACCTTCCAATCCCTCCAGCAAGATGTTCTCTGCGTGAGTGAGAAAGCTAGAGGAGTGGATGATCTTCGTACAGAGCTTTATTCCTTACGCGCACGAGTCAAGGATATGGAAAAAGCTAGTCGCCAGGCTTTTGTCTCGGATAATCGAGTACTAACCACTCCTGAACTTTCTGATGAATCGCAAGGACGAGATATGCAAAATTCAATATCCACTGGAACATGGAATCAGCCTAGTGATGTGAGAGGTGCACTAATTGCTGAACCTAGCAGGGCTTTACATCGAAAACGCCGGTATAGTGGGGCCGAATCTGATCAAATGGAAGATAAAGCTGCAAAGCTTGCAAAATTTGGAAAGTACAAGCGCAGGGAAGAATTGGAAGGTCAGCAAGATGAAAATACAGGATCAAACTCAATACCTCCTACTCGTCTCGCAACCGAAGAGCCTGCCACGTTTTCACAGCGTCGTACCGAGTCTCCCATTCTCGGTCGTTATGAAAAGAATGGTGATGCTGATCATACTAGACAAGACGATAATGTCCAACATATGGAGCAACATATGGAAAGACAGATATCGGAGTCACCCTCTCAACAAATAGACACTGAATTGACCACTCTTGATGAACATAACACTATTGAAGAAAATCAGCGTCTCAAGCGAATCTCGCGGGCTACAGGAAGCCAAATTCCGGAGTTATCTCAAAAGACATCCTCACAATCCTCCAATATCCCCTTTAGGACCTTGGGCGGGGCCCCTTTCACATCTGACCTACCACAGAATCATTTTCAAAGCCTAAACCAACGGATCGAGGTCCCCAACTCTTCACAATCAGGATTATCCCAGGACACACAAGAACAACAGCTTCCAGCCCAGCCGCGCCGAGGTCCTGGCCGCCCCAGGTCTACAAATAAACCAATTCCTCCTGCTGATAGTACGCCCCATGCTCACCGACCTCGCGGCCGTCCAAAGGGCTCGCTAAACAAAATTCATTCCGATAGTAATATCTCGTTTCGTCCTAGTGATGAGGAATTATCCACGCCAGGAAGAGAGTTGCGCAGACGTACTATTCCTGTTCCGGGATCGAGTCCACCGGTAAAGGAAATTGCAAATACGCCAGGTAATAATGTCGTGATCGACTTGGCCGAGAAGGAGAGTGGTGAGACTGGAGAGCTCCGGGAGATTGGAGAGAGCCCGTTGGCACAATCATCCCAAGCTCAAGAGCATCATTCGGCTGTACTTCGAGATGTGGAAATGGAAGATATATTGCAGCCTGTTAACCCCACGAAAAGACAAAGAAGAAACACCCGCAGCTCTCGTCACAGACTTTCCGTCGATTTAGACGAGATTTTCAACTCCAGACCCGCGAACACTAATGGCGACGTTGCTATGGCTACTGAGGAAGATTACATTACAGGAAACAAAGCCAAACCGGACGGCAGATATCTAAGCGGTTCTAAGGGACCGCCTTCCGATGAGGATGAAACTTACACTGAGAATTACAATGCTGAGAAGAAGAAGAGGCAACATCAAGAACGGAAAAACGAGGATGAACTGGAGGAAGAAAGGAAAAGGGGAAGAAAGAGAGAACGCGAAATGGACAAAGAACGGGAAGAAAGAAGAAGCACTCGAAGAAGGGCACTAGAGAGGAGAGAGGAGTTGGTTAAAGAAACGCTTGGGATGAATGATTGAAACTAGGCTTACAACATGAATTTGAAAGATTGTAGTTTCTAGAATGAGGTGTCATTATCCTTCTGCCTGATTCTTGGGGCGCATTCGTGTAATTTGGGATTCGGGGTTTGCCTGCTTGACAATCATCTCGGCGGCAAGGAAAGGGAGCCGAATTAGTTTCGGCGATGATAGTAGGCGGATAAAGGCGGTAGGAGGGGATAATCTTGATTTATAATTCACTTTCACAATCAACATGATATTAAGTATTCTTTGAGTATAGTCATGTTGTTTTGTATGTCTAGTATCATGTTTCATATCTTCTGGCTTCGTAACATAAGGCACCGCATCAAAATAATTTTTAGAAATCTTCCCGTCCTACGAGAAGAGGTGATAGTTTTGCAAATCGCCTGCTTATAATCGTGCTGTAATTATTTTTGTCCCGCCCGGTCAGGTCCTGACTCATATTCTATTCCGTCTAACCCGTCCTAACCTTTTCATACCCACAACTCACAAGTTCCCAACCTCCCGCCTCCCTTCCTGCCCAACATTCCATACGCAATCCGCCAAAGCCCTTAACCTAGCCCCCTTTCCATAAACCACCCAATCCATCCATCCCCCTCCCCACTCCCTCAGCACGCCCTACAACTCCATCCCCCTCTTCCCTGAATCCCTCCACATCCACAATATCCATCTTCACCCCCCTCATGACTTTACTATCTTCTCCCCAACACCTATTCCCCGTCTCCCTTAACGCATACATAACCATCTGACACGCACTCACCCAATCTATTTCACACAGAACCTTTACATGCACGGCATTTTCCGCTGCAAATTTCCTAAATATTTCCACATCATAGCTCGCCATGATTTTGAGCAGACGCTGCAGAGCTAGTAGTCGAGTAACTCGTTGGGGATGATATAGACTAGGGTAATTTATGGGATCTGTATGATGGATTAAGAAGATGAGGATTATCAGCGCGGAGATATATTCTGATTTTTCTAGATAGATTAGATAGATTTCGTTGAGAAGCATGGATAAAGGTTGTTGCGCATAACGCTGTAACAGAATGAGGTCGTTTAGATTTCCTAGTGCTTTCTTGAGGAAATCGAGACGGTGGTTGATGTTTGGGTGGGTTTTCTGGGCGTTTGTTACGGCTGCTTCGATATGACGCTGTACGTGGAGTAAAGAGAAGAGTTGGGTTACAGTGTTTGGATCTTCTTCTGCCACGCGGGATTTTGCGAAGTCATAGGTTGCTTGAAATGGGACCAGCTTGTCGAGTATAGGAGTGGAGATAGTGGAATAAGTCAAAAAGTTTTCATAGATGCTTTGAAAAGTCGTGCAGCGGGGACATTGGCATTTGAAAAACCATGTTTCTTCTAATTCTGCCTGGCGGACTTCTTGCCGTTGTGTTTCGTCGATGTACGAAATAAAGATTTGTTCTCCATTTTCGATGGGGAAGAGAGCTCGGAGGGTAGCACGCTTTCCATCGAAAGTAATAGCTGCGTTGGGATGACAACGGTGGTTAGCGCGTGCTAATAAGGGGTCGAGACAAAGGCCAATTGGTCCATTGCCAACATTGGACTCGACACGAAATGCATTAGTGGAGAGCTATGGATATTTATTAGCAGGCAATGCAGAGTTAGAGGTATTTTATTATATTTACCCGACAGAGTGACTCAACAGCATAGTTCGAAAATTCTGGTTGCAACTGGAGAAGATTTATTACAGCATGTGCTTGCAACAGGACATCATCCCACTTTGACTTGTTCTTTTCAAGATCGTCCCGGTGAGACGAGAGCTTCATCAACGGTGAGTCTTTGGCTATAGATGCAGGGTGGCTACTCAGTTGGATTGTGGCGCGCACAGCTGTAGGAAGAATCTTGTTCAAACTTTGTGACTGGATATCCTTGCATTGTTGCTCATGGAACGAGCGATCTAGATTTTCGCATTTCTCGTCGCAGGAGTTGACCGCCTTGCAGCCAAGACAAGTTAGGGTTGCCTTTTTTGACCGACATCTTGAATAAGCACAAGCAGTGTTTGTTTCTGCCTTGTCAGAAGTCTGAGCTAGAGAGTACTCAGAGGGCTTTCTTGGCTTTAGATAGGCACATTCTGCGCTGTGGTATCCTGATTTTAATGATGACTTTTCGCAACCGTCACAACAAAAATTCACAACACCACAATTGGAGCAGGGTCGTAGCTCCACATCTTCTCCTCTCTCAACAAAACAATTGGCGCAAACACGGCGTAGTGCTTGATTCTCGGTAATCAACAAAAGGGGCTTGTGGATGATAATAATAGAATCCCCAGGATTTAAATTGACTGTTGAAAAAAGGCCATATCCCAGGTCATTAGCCGCGCCAATTCTTGTGTGGTTTATATTCATTTTCCTTGATGTTGCTTTTTTATGGGGTACAACTATCGATGCACTTGGACGAGGTTTGTGAATAATGTTGAAAGTTTGCTACTCCATTGTTGATCTTTACCTTGACCTTATCCTCGCTTAGATAACCAATCATTTTTGATGAACAGGTTATAGTAAGTATAACAGCACAACAAGACATTGCCTGCTACTATACAGCTAGATCATTTCTCAAGATATTTCTTAATTTTCAAAAGGTCAATAAGCATAAATTTGGAATTTAAAATGCTTCATATTTTGTCTAGAGACTAATTCATTAGGTCTTCCCTGATATCCTATCGAAGTCTTGCCCTTTTCTTGCGATTAGCTAGCGCTATATATACAGCTAGCCACTTATATGGAGCCTTTCTGAATATCACTACATACAATCCTTATTGAGATTCCTTCACTAATATTAGACAAGGCAGGATTATTTGATAGCCATCTCTTATTTATCCTCCATTGTCCCTTGTTGGCATCTTCTAATCGGACTTCATGACTTGGTGCAAGTGGGGGATCAAGGAAATGCTTGAAATTCCAAAGATTGATATAGGCATGAACGATTTTGCGCTCTATGAATTAATTATAGTACAAATGTAAACTCTTGCAAAATACGTACTTCATGGGCCTTTTTTGAGTAACAAAAACTGTTCGAATATACTCCCGAGGACCGGCGGGATCACCCTATATCCAGTGCCTAGTAGCAGAACGGCGTAAATCTCTCATTCCTTATTAGCTTTCTTTGCTATTCCAGAAAAAATGAAAATGAGTACTATCTTTGACGCCCTAGCACATGGGCAAAGGGAGGTTGGAAACTAAGCCTTGGAATAACGTACATGTCCTCAAAGTTAATTTCACAAGCTGAGGGATGATTGGACGCAAAAGCTAACATTTGCAGAGTTCAAATATGCCAACTTCAAGAATTCAATCAGTGGCACCTCACCTTTTGAAGCTACTTTTGCAATTGGCCATATCTCCAAGGCTCTATGGTAGAGGGCTACTTCGCAAAGGGTTAAGTACCAAATACCAAGGAACGCCCTCTAGCATCCAAGGAGCATAGATATACTTAACAGTAAAGACGGCAAGAAGTAGTAGAATCCAAAAAGAGGCAATACGATAAGAGATGCCGATAAAAAACCTTAGCATCCATGAAAGACCACGTTATCCACCCAAAACCTGCGACTGAAGCCTGGAAAGCTAACACTTGAAAGAATTCGCCCTTTGGAAAAGATCGCCAAATTCAGTAGCCCTATCGTACACCTTCGTTCTACCTATAAATATACAGCGCTTTAGATATAACCTTGCTTAAATCTAATCCTACCAGTGCCAATAACGATCCCAAAAGGTATCCTGAAGCAGAACTTAGAAAAGTAGCTGGGGGTAGAGAAGGATGAGTAGGAAGTAAGAGAGATAGCCACACACAAAGATGAAAGAGGGACTGGCTGACTCGACGAGTACAACACTTGACAGCACACTGTCGATAGAAAAGCGCAACAAGCTAGTGGAAAATCATCACCGAAGCATGAAGTAGAGAAACCCAATAGCAGAACGAGGAACCTAGCACAGCAGCAAAACCAGAGTCTATTCCTAGTGGATGAAGGTGGCCAAAGAGAGGAATTATGAAACTACGGAAGTAGAAAGGAAATACTGAAATAAGTAACTTAGGTCCAGGGAGACACTCTTCGCCAGGTATATTCTTCCTTTATGAAGAAGTTTCTTTGGTGTTTATCGATATTCTACAAGTATAAAGTTTCATCGAGGTCTCACTATCGGGTGCAAAGACAATTTCAATCATGAATGAGTGTAAAGGACTTTGATTTGATGCTTTACAACCTACAAATGGAAATTGTAGATAAGGGGCTCAAGGCCTAGCTAATTAGGAATTTGGCGCAAAAAGAAAATATAAAAAGAATGAACCATTATCCCTTGAATGAGGGGCATGCCATTGGTGGCAAGAAAAAAGGTTCCTCCGTTATGTTGCGTCATCCTGATAAATTACACCAGCCCTTTATTGACTCCAGAAACGCAGAAACTCGAATTTAGTGGGGGCGGAGGTCCAGCGGTACTGTGAAAGCATCACCCAAAACGAGTATGCCAGAAAATGTGTGCCATGGACCATAAATAACCTCAAGAAGAATCTTCGCTAAACCTCCATATCTGTTCAAATAGCCCTTCCCTATGATGGGAAAGAGCGCCGGAAAAGCCGCCCAAAACAACGACTGCGACTAGAACAGTAACAGAACAGCGACTAGGCTCGTCAGCGCTGGGCTTCGAGTTGTTGTTGGTGGTCAGCCTCGAGTTGTTGGCGCTGGGCGTCAAGTTTTCGTTCACGTCGCGCCTTAGCTCGTTGGCGCTGGGCGTCGAGTTGCTGTTGGTGGTCAACCTCGAGTTGTTGGCGCTGGGCGTCAAGTTTTCGTTCACGTCGCGCCCTAGCTCGTTCACGTCGCACCTTAGCTCGTTGGCGCTGGGCGTCGAGTTGTTGTTGGTGATCATCCTCGAGTTGTTGACGCTGGGCGTTGAGTTGTTGTTGGTGGTCAGCCCCGAGTTGTCGGCGCTGGGCGTTGAGTTGTTGTTGGTGGTCAGCCCCGAGTTGTCGGCGCTGGGCGTCGAGTTGTTGGTTCAAAGTGATGTTGTTCTGAATAGCATCCTGAAAACGTCTGTTGTTGAGATTATCGACCCTGCCCTGCAGATCATCGATTCGCTCTTGCTGGATCTCAGCGGCTTTAACCATATCGTCGACTTGATCTTTGAGGATCGATAACTGATGAACATCATTGTTAGACATGATTGTGTGGTGATAGATGGAATCGAGTCCACGAGTGGTGATTTTTGTATAAGGGATTGAGGATTTCAATATTGATGGAAATGGACACTGTCGAAAATAATACATACCTGTTTGCAGAAAGTCGAAGTCTTTTAAGTTATTGGTATTATTTGAGATGGCCAATGCTGAAAAGCTTTTTGTTGTAGGTTGATCAATTTTGAAATAGGATATTGTTTACGTGTATCTAGATGACATCACAGCCTGTCTTAATTTATAATGAGAACGATGATTAGTGGCTGTATATAGGACTAGCGCTTTCACTAGTCTCTTTCACTAGTCTCTTGCACTAGTCTTTTGCATTAGTCTCCCCACATGTAGCTTGACAAGGCATCCATTGAGAGCTACCCATAACAATGACTTTTAAATTGATCCATGAAGCATTTCACCACTGTAAATACATAAATGCTTTGTATTGATTGTGGAAACAAAGAAAAAGGACTAAGAAGAGAGGAAAGTTTTAAGTCTGCGAGCAACAGCACAGATTCCCAACTTGGAAGGTTATGAATTCGCTTTTCAGATATGAAGAGCCACTACCTTCACTTGATATCAGCAGAGAATAAGATGGGCACGGGAAATACGCTGGATGGCTGGCTGGCTCACCCATTAAAGCTGCCTAAAATCAAGGAGATAAACCCATTATTTGGTTCAGTGTCCAAATATCAATGCATCATTGAGATCCATAGATCATGCTATTGGCCGAATATCGTCTGAACCAATACATTTCCAACAATGCTGCTTTCATGAAGTTTGATAAACCATACAACGAATAATACAATTGGATCAGATTTCCGTTCAGAATGATCAATACCATCTGAACGTTTGTACTAATCCCGACAAAGGTTACTCTGATTGTCAAAGCTGTCACAGTGTCGGAATAATGACCATGAAGGAGGCCGTATTAACCGAAGAGGTGCTAGGCCTTGTAGCACTTATTTAAGAATCTCATTCTTTCATTATAAAATAGGATCAATCAAGGAATAATATTATCAATAGGATTAAAGTACTTTACATTGTCAATATTATCAAGTTGAAACCAACACATAGATACTCTTAAAGCTCTCTACAGGTCTGATGACAACACAGCTTGGAGCACAGCCTCGAAAACTGCTAAGACTTTAGCTGTATGAACTACAGAGATGCACAGAAGCCCTTCTGCGATCAGGCAAGATATAAGATGAGCTCTTCTCATGAGTGAGTAGGCTTTCCGTCCAATAGATCTCCGTGCAAAGTCAACTCTGTTATTTTCCTTGGCTCAATATCTGAAAAGAATCTCTCCATACAATCCACAAAGTTGTGTCTGAATAAGGGAGAGTTTGGACAAGGTCAAGAGCCTGTTTTTCTGAGAAAACCATATGATTCAGCAAGGAAATGTTACTATTTTCTCCTGGAAGGAAGATTCTGAATATAGCAAAAGAACAACAAATCTATTTTGCCTTTTCACCTTAGTGCAAAATGACAAAAGGTAAAGGGGGTGTTATGACATAATAGTCCTTGGAACAAATCCCATCCAGATTCTGTGGATTCCACAGTAATCCTTCTCATAAGTGAAATGATAGTTTTGCCTTGCGAATTGAATATTACTTTACTCTCAGTCAGTATATCTATTTTTCATACTTCAATTGGATTGTTAATACTCAAGATTCGAGAATTCACCGCAGTCCTCTTGCTCATCAATTGACACATACCTAAAGTTTTCATTCCATATATAAAATAATAAAAACACCAAAAATAAGACCCCCAAATTCGCCTGGTCACTATGGCTTTTGAAGCCAGCCTTGTTCCACGTCAGTCAAAACTCATATCAAGTAAAACACTATTTTTTGGTTCCTAGAGCCTCTGTACTTCCGATCTACAGCCTTGATGGATGAAAATTCAAAAGCCTGTTGCTTACTTCCTTCGCCCCCCTCATTCATTCCATCAAATCATAGAAGATTTCCAACATCTTGCCTCAGCACACGCGCTCATACTATCACCAACGATTTCCTATTTCTTTTGATTTACATAAAAACCAGCCTAAGATGGTAAGAAGATCCAAATGAGTGAAACAGATGACAGAGAAAGAGATGAATTTGGCAAAATAGAAGATATAAGAGAGATCACGCCAACGAACCATCCATTGTTGGTTGTTATCACCTGATGAATTAAAGGAATTGAAAGAGAAGAGAAGAAAAATAAGATCAGATATAAAAGATGATCTTTGCTGACTAACTTATTTTGTGATTGGTCAAAAGGGGGGAGGGGTATGTGGAGCGGCCGAGCGCACTGTACTAGTTCAACGCTAAGCTAATTTCGTACAAGTTTATTGAAGGAACAAAATTCGAAAATATTATTTTTGAGCCCATCCAAACTCGACATCCATTTTAAACAATCTTCTTTTCTTGTTTGCCCTTCATTCAACAGAAATCCTTTTCAAAGTCGATTTCTTTTTTAATCCGCAAAGATGTAAGTTCATATACTTGAATGTACAATTCATCATTTTATCAATTCAAAACCAACTAACAATTGCAAAAGGCATTTCGTCCGTCGTGCAGCCCTCCGAGCTGCTTCCTCTGCCTCTTTCGTTTCTAAACCTCGCACTATCAACACTCCATCCCCATTCCTTCTCAGAGCATCAAATGAAAGAATATCATCAGCAGTATTCAGAAGATTTGCAAGCGATGATGCACATTTCAGAGAAGAAGAGAGTGTAGATGCACAAGAGGAAGGAACTGTTCAATCAGCTATCAATTCCGCTACAGAGACCGTCTCAGAGTATGCTGCTGAGGCTAAGAATACCGTCGCTCAGGCAACCGGATTTGCATCCGACAATCTTGGCTTTGGAAGCAGAGACGGAGGTTTTGAACGTCCTCAGATTGCGCCTAACAATGGCATTTACATTGGCAACTTGTTGTTTGATATTACCGAGGAAGATCTCAAGAAAGAATTCGAGCATTTCGGAACCATCACCGACGTCAGAGTCACCAGAGATGCTAGAGGATTGAGCAAAGGGTAAGCCACAATATATTGCCACACTCATAGATTAGATCTAACCATCTCTTCAGTTTTGCCTACATTGATTTCGCGGATGTGCAGTCCGCCACTGCTGCCATTGAAGAAAAGAACCAAACCATCTTTGAAGGTCGCCGACTTATTGTCAACTACGTCAACCAGACACCAAAGATTAGAGACCAGAACCCACCTTCCAAGTGCCTTTTCATTGGCAATCTCGCCTTCGAGATGTCTGATGCTGATTTGAACAGCTTGTTCCGTGAGGTCAGAAACGTCATTGACGTCCGTGTTGCTATCGATAGGCGCACTGGACAGCCAAGAGGTTTTGCTCACGCAGACTTTGTTGACGTTGAGAGCGCCATGAAGGCTCTTGAACAACTGCAAGGCAAGGAGGTCTTTAACCGAAGACTGAGAGTAGATTACAGTGTTGGCGAAAAAAATGCTTTAAGCTCCCGCGGCGACCGTGGATTCGGCAACCGAAGCAATGACCGTGGTGACCGTGGAGGATATGGTGGCGACCGTGGTGATCGTGGTGGCCGTGGAGGATATGGTGGTGACCGTGGTGGTGACCGTGGTGGTGACCGTGGTGGTGATCGTGGTGGCCGAGGAGGTTTTGGCGGTAACCGTGGAGGAAATGCATCATTTTAATGAAAAGGCTCAATCTTTGGGGGGTTATATCGACTAAAGGACGATTCAATTAACGAACGATTGAATGAATACATACTTTGTATGATGGATTTGGGTAGGCGTTATTCATCTATTAGAGGTGGATGGGAAGCCTCAAAAGTTGCTGAATGTCCTGTGCAGCTCTGCATTTATGGACGCTTCCTTTTCTTTCATCTTGTATTAAAAACCCCTCAGAAGCTTAGTCGGTTGTAATATAGAAGGGCTTTGATCTGATCAGCTATTACAACTTGAAGATTCAGATTCACGGCAAGAAGAACACACATAAACTCCTCTCACTGCATGATACAAGAGCGTAACCATCTTTCTTTTCCAAATTGTATGTCACCTCAATTGATAGACCGCAAAAATACGTTGATGAATTTCTTTCGAGCTTATCAAGCATTCATATTTTCGTGCCTTGTGCCTTGTGCCTGGTGCTTGAATGTTTGAATATCTTCGAGCCTCTCAGCTAGTTATCTAATATGCATAAATACCTAGATAGATATGTTCATCTCCGGAGATACTTGATGGCGATGAGTTGTTGTCAAGATTTGTCAGAAGAAAACATGTGACTCGGCTTATGTAAACCCGCATTTCGGCATCGGTGTTCTTCAGCCGAGGTGCTCCGATTGAATTTCTAATGAATGGGCACCCCAACCCCACAATTTCCACGTTCCCATGCTATTCTCCTGCATCCACTTAAACAACTCGGTCACTCAAACTTATCAGTAACGACAACAATTAAAACTTCTATCATAATCACGAACAAAAATTCATTCCTTCTTGTACAATATCAATCAATATATTTGAGTCTAATCATATTTCTAGCAGGAGTTGTCTTTGAATATCAGATCAAACTTTTAGATTACGCATCCATCACTTAATAAGTGACAACGCAAACGTCGAAGGACAAACACATCATTAGAGCTACAGAAGATACAAAATCAACTTTTATCAGTCATGTCGTTCATGGGTGGCGCAGAATGCTCGACGGCAGGAAATCCCCTTAGTCAGTTTACAAAACATGTACAGGATGACAAGAGTTTGCAAAGAGACAGACTGGTTGGTAGAGCGCCTGGAGGCGGTATGCAGGGCATGCGCTCAGGGATGGACATGAACGGCAGTCAAGATCATGTAGGTAGTCTAGGACAGCATACTCAGTCATACAGGGTGTATCTCCGTGACAATACTTACTAATATTAAATTGCAGATGCTGAACGATTTCATGCAACAAAATGGCCAACTCCCACCAGAAGCTTTTGCTATGCAACATGATCTTCACCAGAATGCGCACATGATGAATGGATCTCATTCTCCAGGTGTTGGCGGGTGGGCTCAGGAGTTTAATCCTGGGATGCCAGGAATGTCAGAGCAGGCAAGGATGGAGGCGGCGTTTCAAGCACCTAAAGGTACAGCTTTCAGTCCTGCGGATTTCGCTAGATTTCAACAGATGGGGCAATCAAGCTCCGCGCGCTCTGCAAGTCCCATGACGCAGAATATGACGAATGGTTATTCCTATCAAGGTCCTCAAATGGGAATGGGCATGGGAATGATGGGAATGAACAGAATGGGCATGGGTATGAACATGAACATGATGAACCAACCACAGTATCAACAACCCGCGCAGAACTTACAACAGGATAAAGGGAAAGGAAAGATGGTTGAGCTCGATGATCAGAATTGGGAAGAGCAATTCAAGCAAATTGACTTGCAGGGAAAGGAGCTCGAAGAGAGTTTGGCGGCGGAAGGAGAATTAAATGAAATGGATAGGTCAGTCCTTGAATCCGAAACCAATGAATTTGGGGATTTTGAATCTATTTGGAAGGGCATACAAGCTGAAAACGCTGCTGCTAGGGAAATGGCTGGCGAAGCAAGCCTAAACGATATGAACATAGGCGAATTCGGTCAATGGGATGGATTTGATACTGTGGGAATACATCAGTCACAATTCCGCGATCCACAACTCGGAGATTATATGTTTGAAAAGGAGAACATTTTTCAAGATATCACTAATCCATTTGACGAGGGGGTTAGGATAATGCATGAGGGAGGTAACTTGTCTCTTGCTGCATTAGCATTTGAGGCTGCAGTACAAAAAGATCCCCAGCATACCGATGCATGGGTTCTCTTAGGTTTAGCACAAGCGCAGAACGAAAAAGAAACACCCGCAATACGGGCGTTAGAACAAGCTATGAAAATCGATCCCACGAATCTTACAGCTCTCATGGGCCTGGCAGTTTCCTACACAAACGAAGGCTACGACAGTACCGCTTATCGTACACTTGAGCGTTGGCTCTCTGTCAAATACCCATCGATCATCGCACCAGGTTCTCTATCCTCGGAGAATGATATGGGTTTCACTGATCGACATCAACTTCATGAAAAGGTTACAGACTTGTTCATTCGTGCCGCTCAACTCTCGCCTGATGGTGAACACATGGACCCGGATGTGCAGGTCGGTCTCGGCGTACTCTTCTACGGTGCCGAAGAATATGATAAAGCAGTTGATTGTTTTACCGCTGCTCTCGCATCCACCGAATCTGGAACGTCAAACCAAAGAGATCAAGTTCATCTCTTATGGAATCGTCTCGGTGCCACTCTCGCTAATTCTGGCCGTAGCGAAGAAGCTATCGCTGCATATGAGAAAGCCCTTACCCTTCGCACTAATTTCGTGCGAGCTCGCTACAATCTTGGTGTCTCTTGTATCAATATTGGATGTTATGATGAAGCTGCCTCTCATCTTTTGGGTGCATTAGCAATGCATAAAATTGTGGAAAATGAGGGCAGAGAAAAAGCAAGAGATGTGCTTGGTGGTGGTAATGTCAGTGAAGCCGATCTTGACAGAATGATCTCGCAGAATCAAAGCACGAATTTATATGATACATTGAGAAGGGTGTTTAGTCAAATGGGAAGGAGAGATTTGGCGGAACGGGTGGTGGCGGGTATGGATGTTGAAAGCTTTAGGGGTGAGTTTGACTTTTGATTGAAAAGCAGACAGTGTGATGGATTGAAGGGTGGATATATAGGGACATATGAGCGGATCAGTAGCGATCTACTTTCAATGAAAAATATGGGCCAGTATGTAGTCGACCTACACTGACTATGAAATGCGTATGTGGACGTCAAGAGAGAATGTACCGAAATAATCTTGAGGTGGTGTGTCAAATTTATGGGATTTGGAATGAATAATAACTTTAGGGGGCCGGCTCGGTTAGGCTATGCTGAACACATTATCATAAAGGCATAGAATTAAACAACATTCACAGCCCTACTCTTTTTCATGTGAAGCATAATTGACTTTTATAGTATTGTGACAGTTAACTTTGTATACAAATAGGTTTCATCATCTAGTAAGACTTATCATTATCATCCAATACCAAATATCATCCAGCACCAAATATCATTCAGTAATATTTGTTATCGAGATATCCAACGGGGAAAAGATATTATTGATTTAGATATTATGATATAGGAAATTTGTTGTAAATGGTGAGGAATGTTTGTGAATTGGTTGGATGAATTAATTGGATAATTGGATAATATAAATAGAATTTAAGATCTTGGTTGTGATTTTATATGTAAGAGTTCTGGAAACTTCTAATTGTATACTTTATCGAGAAATAATTGTAACCTTATTTTCAATCTTCAATTATAAATAATTCATCAAAATTCAAATTTTCAATATTTTCTATTCAAATTCAAAATGGTTATCAAAATTCAAGATAAAAATAATAATTATGAATTTTATTAAAATTAGGGTATTCTTTGTAAAGCTAAAGTCTTTCAGATTAAAAAGGATGGAAAATTGTAGTTTTGGATCGAACAAAATTTAGGTGTACTTCGAAATATTGTAAGAGGTATTATTAAATCGAATTCATTTAGAATTATTCGTAAAGGGAAAATATATCGATTTTTTATAATAATAGTTAAAGAGATTTAACAAATTATAAGGGAATTGATAAAAGATTGAAGAGGAAGAAGGATGATTTTTGAATAGATGAAATATATATTAAAGATTAGAACTTCGATATATATTATTCGCTATGAATTATATTGGTATAATTATAAATATTATATAATTTGTTTTAAATTATTTATTTTTAGGAAATAAACAAAAAAGAAATTGGATTTTATATATATATATTGTTGGTAGGAGATAATTAATGTAATTTTCGAAAAGTTTAAAGGGGGTGATTGAAGGAAGATTATATAGTTGAACAAAAGCATTTTCGAAATTGGAAAATGTGATAGGATATAGATGATTTGTAAGATTGAAGAAAAAAGGTATAAAAATTGTATCAAATCAATATATAGATTAAGAAGGATCTTTATAATGATATAGAGGGTTTTTGATTGGAATTATAAATCTTTATTAGTTTTTTTAAAAAAGAATTTTAATGATAAGAAAGTAAATTTAATAATATATCGAAATCAGGTTTTTATTCTTATTATATTTCTTTTATTTGATGAATTAGGGTTTGAATATATATTTATGAAGGATAATATAAAGGTTTATTTGAAGTATATTAGATTAATTTGATTAGAGTATAATATTAAAGGCTTTTAATAATCCTTTTTTTCTTTAGATTTTAATTTAATTAAGAAGGTATAATGTTGGATAAAGGAGAAGTTAAAAAAACTATTATTTGTATTTACTTTTATTGAGGAATTGAAAAAGGAGTTTAAGAAATTGTAAGAAATATTTGATCCTTTAAATTTCAGGTTATATATTGAGAGATTGATTTGTAAATTAGAGGATGTGATTGAAATAAAAGGATTAGTTATTATTTATTAATATATTATTAGATTTTCAATAAAAAATATTGTGGTGTTGATTTAATATTAAATTTTCAAAAGTGTAGGTGAAATTTAAAGGGGGTGTGGTGAATAATGACCAGAACTCTTAGATTTATATCTTTAGTAGTTGGAGGGGATGGGTGAGGATAGTTGACGGGGAGATTCTTCGGAATTGAGATATGTGGGATGTGTAATTGGGGCTGTGGGGGTTTAGTTGGACGTTGTTATTATTGTTGTTGTAGAGGTTGTAGATGTTTGGGTTAATTTTTGGATTTGTGGTTGGTTTGTGTTGAATAGAGTGGGATGGGATGGAATAGCATTTCATAGGATGATTTAAATACTATGTCATCTTGTTTATGAACTATTTATTCATTATTCGTATATCATAATCGATTTCTGATATCTTTTTCTTGAGCTTAACTCTCAGCTTTAGTCCCTAAACCTGGACCTGGAACTCGGCCTGGAACTAGAGCAGACCTTTCAGTATCTCCTGCATACTGATAGCCGATATGATTCCCAACACGATTACCAACCGGTCGCAAATCTTCGTACTCGATGCTGAAATCATGCTGGATGGTAATCCCATGCTCATTACCCTGATTCAGATTCTGAATCTCGGTCCCGGTTCCAGTCCCGCGCCCTAAAGAACTTCGCCTTCTCGTCAGAGGCCATGGATGGAATAGTTGACTTAGATCCCCGTTTTCATTCTCATTAACATAGGCGTGTGCATGTCCTTGAACGCATTCTGTGAATGGAAATTTGGAGCGAATCGGACTGGGTGTTTGGATATATATTCTCGGTTTTCCTTTTACGGATCTCGGTGGTTGGATCTCTGATATCGATCGCATACTTGCTTCTGCAGATGTTTCATTTTCATCGTGAGATATTTCGTGAGAGACGGACGGGTTTCTCGATCCAGAGCTTGATTTGCTAGCTGGAATTACGTCCCAATTACCACTCGCGACGCCTGTTCCACTGTAGCGGGTATTCGAAGGCCAGAGATGCGGACGCCGAATGGTTAGATAGAGAGCGCGATGGGCGGGTAGACAGGAAGCGATTAGATAGACGCCACCTTCTGCGATGGAGTAGGCGCAGAGTTCGATGGCGGTCCAGGTTATGTCTGAGGCGGGTTGCATGCGCCAAAATGCGGCGAAGCGAAGGATGGATGTTATGAGACCTCTGTGGTTTATTAGTATATGCTTCTGCTTTTGGGACGCTCTTAGTGAATCATCTAGAGTGCAGTGTAGATCTGTCTATGAAGGGAAGAAGAAGGACAGCGCAAGGGAATCCCCAAAAATAAAACCTACAAACTCCCCGCCAAAAACGTAATTCCCACCCCAGCCTTATCTCTCCAGCCCATCATCGTCCCCATAACCATCGGAATAGGCAGTGCCAACATTGCCACATCGGTCAAAATATTCGGTAAGCTCGCCCATCTCCAATACGCATTTTGATCGAAACATTTCCCCTTTCCCTGTTTATCCCATAAATGGTCTAGAGGTATACATTGCGTAACATTCGCAATTATATTTGCAAGTGCTGTTGCGAGGAGAATAGCTGCTATGAGATAGGAAGCACGACGTTGCCATTTGATGACGAAGATGCGCAGGAAGAGGGAGAGCATGGTTAGTTTGGGAAGTGTGATGGAGAGGATATAGAGAATTGCGAATGTGATTTCCATTTTGAGGAAGGTGGGGAGGGTAGTTGGATGTAGGGTTAGAACGTAAGGGAGATGATGGCCTGCGTGGACGTATTTGATAGCAGCTATGAAATAGTGGTGAGCTCCTGATATAAACTAGAATTCGGTCGGAAACTTTAAAATACCTAAAGAAATAGCATTCATAGCCAAATTAGATCCCAGCCCCAACATTGTAAACCATTCTTCTCGTCGAAATCTCCATTTGACACTCTTCCTTTGACTAACATAACTCGCCACAAAACTCAAGGCTACGAAAATGATCTCGGCGGTAATAAAGACAGATGCTACAGCTAACAATCTTTCGCCTGAAAACTGATCCAGATATCCTGCAGGATAAATCTGAGAAGGAAAAGAAGTCATGATCCATGAAAAAAGACCAATATATGAATGTCTGTCTAGCCGAATACTTGTTCGGGCAGAAATGATGGATTCAACATAACATATGAATGTGACCCAAATATTACTTTCCCAATATCATATACCATTTTGTATGTAACACAAAAACGAAAAGCCAAAAGTATGCCCATACCACTCGAAGCCCCTTGAAAGAGGTATAGAAAAGACACATACAAGGGGCGCATATGTATATTCCAGCACGCAGACCATAAATTCATTCTCTAACTAAAAAACCCCCTAAAGGCTGATCAATTTTCAGGGAGACAAAAAGGATGGTGTGAAGATGTCATCCTGGGCCACAACACCACATAGCACCTAGTTCTACCTCCTTCTGTACTGGTCCCCCCAGACCTTTGTACCAAAATGCACGAAATTGCTGAAGAAAAATGCAGGTGTGTGCTTCACACCGTGGGCTTTTCGTGTTCTCTGCCACGTTTTGGCATCGTAGGAAGCATATGCTGGATTCAGTCCCTGTGGTGTTACCTCACGGCGACCCCGCGCATATCGTTTCGGAAGTGAAATACTATTTTGGTACACTTGCCGAAGCGAGGTTGTATTGGCGAGTATGACTTTTATCATAGGATCTTACCTCGTCCAATTGAAATCGCTCGGTATGGTTATTTTTGACTACAAACTAACAGTTGCCACATAGGGTAGAAAGCAGTTCGTACTGTTATCTTTTGCGTGTTGTGAAGAAGTTTTAGAAACTATTTCGTCTCTAGTTTAATTGTGCGTCTTATTTTTTAACGAAGTGTGAAATGTGCGCGTTTGTACTGCTGTTGATTGGTTGTGTAGCCTGTAAAATATTGGGAGGGGGAATATCACAATTCTTCAATTATTCAAACACAATAAAGAATTGCGTATTTTGAAATCTGCTATTCAACATAAAATTTCCGTCCATGCTGAGTACCATTCTTGTAATCCTAATAAAATTACAAAAAGGTAATCATAAATCGCTGAAGCACTAGGTTAATCAATGATCAAGAACAAGCGATCCCTCACAGTCCCTGTAAAATTGCTGCAAGCTATTATTATTACAATTTTAGCGATGAGAATATGTAAGGTATACCTTAGTGACCAACATCTTACTTCTTAACCTCCCAAAACTGTCGATTATTCGGAGCCCTACTCAATATCAGAAAACAAGAATGGACATGCAAAAATACATGATATTCCTCAATGCACCGATCAACTGCAGCTTCATCTTCCCAGTGGACGTAAGGGACGTTGCTAGGCCTTTGCGGAGATTCACTAAGCACTACCTCAACCCTGTGTTCAGTAGGAGAATGTACAATCATATCCAGAATCGCCTCTTCAACCAAACAGTAATCTGGTGAATGTAATTAGACTATGCATAGAACATAGGGGTCTGGTTATGTTCCATCTGTCGTTTTGTTGCGTCGGTGATTATGGTCATATCTTTATGGTATAAGAATCCATTCTGAAGCCTCATTAAACAGTTCTTTGATAAAAGTGTGTCCCGGCATTGGTGGGAGGGCTCCTTTTCCGTTGAGTCACTCTGACTTTGATCCTCGATGGTAGGACTTTGAGAAGCTACTGGTTCTTGACTGCAAGGGGAAACTGAACGTGTTCGATCTTTCTTCTTGTTCTCATTCTCCCCATGAAATTCGAATCTCCATGCCTCTGACTCTGTCATATTTACTGCTACACCCATCAATCCGGTCCCTCGATTGTCTACACGCCTCGATCTACTCCCACGATTCTCTGCACCACCTAATGCGTCCCCTCGACGGTCCCAACGACGTGTATTTTTCTTTTTGAACGGATTGGGTCTTCCATAATGGCGGGAGTACGGTCCTTTTTTCTTTTTTCTTCTTCAACTTCATGTTCCTCATAGGGACCTTTTGACGAAACTGGCGCGCTGGAAATGGTGTTCTCGTCATTTTCCTTTCCTCCAGATAATCCTCAGAAAGGCTAAAATAGCGAGAAGAAGCACACTTGAACCGGAAAATCATTCTGGACGGGGCCATTGGAAAATACCCAAGGTGCAATAATGCAGGCTCTTCATCCTTCGAGCTCTTAGACCCCATGTCGATTGGCTCAATCTCCTTTATACTTTTTTTGATATTGTTCCTCCTCTTTGCCATAGTGGGAAGTGTCGGTCAATGTTCGCTTTCTAGATTGTTGAGCGTTATTTAGCGCGGGATTGTTTGTGGAAGCTTCAGATTCTGTCCAAAATTGCGTTATGTTCTTGGTTACACGCAATGGTTTAGGGGCCCACAATGGACTTGTGTTGTCGACTGGAGGAAGAGGTCCAGGGACCCTAAGTTGAGTTCCGATACTCTCAGAATCGACAGGCGATGATCTAGGCCTTTTGGTTGTAAAGTAATTATTAGAATCAAGGGTTGAAGCGCTATGTGCCGAATTTTCGAAGGAATTATTCGAAGTAGCCGGGGACGAGTCAGACGTTGGAGCTGCGGTGGAACGGCTTTCGGACGGCGTATTTGTGAAGGTACTGCTCTGCTGAGGCGTCGAATGTGCAGAGGGGGTACCACGCGGAATACGTACGTCGTTAAATTCGTCCGTTGCCAAAGGTTCGTTTGGGGCCGTACTTTCTGAGGGCTGGGCCGTGTTCTGTCCGGAAAACTGCAGATGATTTGACGTACCGGGACAACTTTGGACGCATTCAGCCCCAGGCGCCACAGGAAAATTCGGTGGTTCTGGATGTGTACGGTCCCAGTAGAAGGGACGATGGCAATAGCAAGATGATCCTGAACCACACATATGACAGGCACTTGCTCTTGGGCCCATGGCGGTTGAGAGGGATTTCGGGATGCAGTAACACGTGCCTGTAGATAAATAAATTTTGTTTGCTGATTCCAAAAAGAAAGTTGAGAAATATCAATGCATGATTGTCAGAAGTGCTATTTTTTAGAGTAATGATTGTCCCGGACGGAGAAAAGAAAAGAATGTCAAAAGATTTAGATGCAGAAGAGGAGATGGCTCCATTTCAGCTATATAAGGAAGGAACCACTTAACTCTTATGCGTTTTCAATGATCATTCAGAGGAGGCAACCATTAGGTCAAGAATGTACTGCTTTTTCTAGAGTCAATCAAAGATATTCTAAATTTTAACTCATGAAAAGAAAAACGAATTGGTAAACAATTAGCATCACCACTTCCCCTAGGATATTTATAAGAGTCAAACATTCGGGATAGTAGCCAGAATAGTAGTGAGTCAGGTCAATTCAGCCATCATAAAGTTGAATATGATTTATTTGTATTCAGAGTGGGTATCGTCTGCTAGCCTATTTGCATTTAACAAAGTACAGCTGCAACTGAGTATAAAACTAAAATTTATGCTAGTGTATTCTAGCCACTGACAGATCGTGCTACCCGAGAGATGCGAATATGATATCAAATGTCCCACTAGCAATCGTTTATGAATGTAAATCGCTAATCCGAATCACAACTGAAGCGCGAGATATGCAAGGTCGATATATCTAATCGGATGATACCATCTTTAATGCTTTGCGGTTAGCATTAGCATGATTACTCTCTATCGCTCTTTCCTCGCCATCCTCTGGTTGGAGTTTCTCCTTTAGATTGAGCGCTGGACAAACTAGGCTTGACCCTAATCTTTCCACCCCATTTCTCAGACCAATCCAGATTGACAATAGCTCCATCAGCTTCTTGACTATCTTGCAGTTCAACGAAGCAGAAATGGCTATTGCCCTCTCTTGGCTCTCTTGGAGAGCATAGCTTGCTGACCCACTTGACATTGTACTCGCTAAAGAGCTCTTTGATCTCTGCCTCGGTAGCAGACTCATCTCCGAAATCTGGCAAACCACCAACATAGATTCTTTGCTTCTCAACGACTTTGCCTGATACTCCTCCAGATGCACGGCTGACTTTGAGGCCCCACTCATTGCCATCAAACATCTTAACCGCGTCGTTCACCTGGGTGTTGTTGGCAAGATCAACGAAACAGTAATAGTGGTTACCACCTTCCTCAACCTTTGAAGGGTGTGGAGAGATCAACTTGCTAACAACTTCAACATCAAATCCTTCGAAGATCTCTCGAATCTTGCGGTTTGCTGTTTCTTGATCATCAATTCTTGGCAGTCCTCCAACGTAAAGTCTTTTACCATCTTGAGAAGAAGTGTCTACTTGACGTGGTTGAGAAGTCTCGGAGCTCTTCCAACGGTCATTTGTGTGGAGAGAAGTCTCTGAGGATGATGCCTGTGGACGAGCGCTGCCTGCATTTTGTCAGTGGGAGTTTTACCGACCTGCCGCATGAATCTAATGACAGATAAGTTCTAATTCTTGTAGATTCACTCACGGTCTGATCTTACACCAGGCTTTACTCTGAGTGCACGACTCTTGAACTCTTGACCGTCATAACGATTCAAAGCTTCATCAGCCATATCCTTGGTGGTGAAAGTAACGAAGCAGTAACCGGGGTTGCGCTTCGTCATGGAATCGACGGACATATGGACAGTTCGAGATTCACGTGGGACATCCTGAAAAATGGTTTCAATATCCTCAGCGGTGGTATCATAACTTAGATTGCCAACGTAGATGCGTCGACCTTCTTCAATGGCCTTGTCCGACTCTGTGAGTTGTGAAGATTTTCTTGGCGAGTCACCTGCCTCGTTTCGAGAAAATCTCCCCTGGCCCTGATTTGGTCGATCGCCACCATCTCTACCACCAGTTTGTCCACCTCCACGATTTCTTGAAGAAGACCAAGGAGAAACTCTCTCCTCGCCATTTGGACTTTGAGGAGGATCTTGCTTAACACGCCAGTTGTTGGAAAACATATTGAAGTTTTGGAATGTGGAATCTGGGTATCGAAATGATTGAATTTGTGTCTAAATTGAATTCGTTGGAGTTCGTATTAAAGAGAGAAGTACTCCACGGTATATGAATATCAGAAATAACAAAAAATTGGAGTTGAAGTTGAAGATTTGTTTTTGATTGAATTTTCAAGTCGCAAACAAAATTTATAAAATTTTCCGAGCAAACAACCTAGAAAAGGAAGAACAGCACGTGATTGAAACTTTTCGCTTATCGAGACCGCCCGGCAGTAATTATTTTTTTCGATAATCTTTATCGCACACCCCGCCATGATAATTGCATCGCATTGCATTAAACAGCAAACAGCCCATTAGTACTTATAGTTGAAGAGTTTAAAATGGCCACAAATACCAAGCCCATACATATCCTTGTCATTGATGCAGGGCCAATAATTAAGAATGATCCCTCAGTTTCTACGCTTCTTGGGCAAGCAGAGAACCTATATACAATTCCCCTCGTTATTGACGAAATCAAAGATGCTGTCACAAGAGCCAGATTCGAAACCACCTTATTACCCTTCCTCATATTAAGAGCGCCTCGTTCAGCTAGCATTAAAGTTGTAACTGAATTCGCGCGGAAAACGGGTGATTTGGAAGTACTTAGCAGACAGGATATCCATTTGATGGCACTAGCATATGAGCTTGAATGTGAACGGAATCATGGAGATTGGAGATTACGAAGTGTGCCAGGACAGAAGAGACTAAATGGAGCTCCTCCTGCATCATTAACTGGAGAGAAGCCTGCCGATACCACAGAGGCGCAAGAAGCATCCACGGATGCTGCAGCGCAACCGAAAATTGAAACAAGAGGCGCATGGGGAACATTAATACCTCAAGCAACAGAAGAATCCGTCATCGAGACTCAACCTATTGAGGAAGCATTAGAAGCTACCCATATATCTACCATCAAGGAGACCGAAAGTATAGACAAACCAGCAGAAGCAGCAGTCACAGAGGAACAGACCGAAGAACCAACTTCCACAACAGAGCCCGAAAAGACCCCCGAAACTGCGGATGAATCTACGAATATAGAAGAAGTTCCTGCGTCCGAATCCGACGCCGAGGATGACGGCGAAGGATGGATCACGCCTTCCAACCTCAAAAAACACCAACAAAAAGACAACAACGGCACCTTCGAGCCCCAAGAAGAACAAAAAACAATCCAAGTAGCCACCATCACCAGCGATTACGCAATGCAAAACGTCATGCTACGTATGAACCTAAACTTACTCTCACCCTCACTCCAACGCATCCGTCAACTCAAAACCTGGGTCTTGCGATGCCACGCCTGTTTTGGCATTACCAGAGATATGACGAAGCAATTTTGCGGACGCTGCGGAAAGCCCACTTTACTCCGAACATCCTGCTCCACCGACAAAGATGGAAATGTCAAGGTGCATCTTAAGAAGAATATGCAATGGAACAACAGAGGAAATGTATACAGTGTGCCCAAACCCGTTGCGGGGACAGCGAATGGAAAGAATATTAAGGGTGGTGGGAAGGGAGGATGGGGTAATGATTTGATCTTGGCTGAAGATCAGAAGGAGTATGTGAGAGAAATGGCTACTTCAAGGAGAAAGAAGGATAAGGATCTCATGGATGAAGATTACCTTCCAAGTATTTTGACTGGAGACCGTGGGCGGGCGGGCGGCAGACCAAAAGTTGGAGCGGGCAAAAATGTCAATTCCAAAAAACGACATTAGAATAGAAAGAGTAACCTCAAAATAGAACCAAAAAACTTGTACTTTTGTAAACTCTGAGCTTGCTTTTGAAATTGTGATATTCCTCAATTCGCCAGTAGATAAAGAATCTGCCTATAAAGCAGCAAAGAAGTGCTTGCAAGTAATTGCGATTCCTCCCTCCCTACTACCAAAAGCCGAATTTTCTTTTCCCATCTTTCTCGAATTGCAATACACTAAAGCGCGATTGATGTAAGAATCCCTCGTCCAGAACGCCAGTATACTCCGCACATTCCATTCAACCCACTAGCCTGATGCTTTTCATCGCAGCTAGATATTCAACCTCTCTCAACACATTTGATGATGCACAACATTGCGCAATTGTGCACACAATCTATCTTGCATTTCCTAACCCTGCTAGTCGAAGAGGCAATCCGTTTTTTTTTATCCATGGAGATATTTATTGGCCCAAAACCTTGAGATCCTCTATTTGCGCATAGGTGTTAGCAAACACTTAATTTATTTCAGATCATCGCTTTTCCAAATTCACACATCTTCCCCATCTCCCATTCTCCATCTCGCATCTTCCCCCCTTTCCTCCTCCTTCCCAAATCTTAAAACCAAACCAAAAATAAAGAAAGAAAAAAAGAAACTCACTCTGCTGCACAAGCAACAAACCATATCTCTTCTTCAACGTAACCCTATGTCTAGAATACTTATCGTCCGGCGAAAATCTAGCCGGATGCGCACTCTTGGTCACCTCACCACTGATAACTTTCTTAAGGGTGTAGACGCGCTTTCCGGCTGGGTCGAGGGTGTACATGAGATGCATTTTGACGATGTTGGGGTGAAAATCGAGAGACGGAAATTCAACGAAATGAATTCTGGTTCGGTGATTATGTTAGCGCATTCATTGGAATACTCAATTGCATAGCGGAGAATAATCAAAAACGATTGAAGTAATTGAAGGTATACATACGGGATGAGACTTAAAGTGGTGTAGGTTGTCGTTCGTTGAAGGTTAAAGGTCTGAAGCTTCTGTGGATAAATTTCTTGACGAACTTTTTTTGGGTAGGGATTGTAGGTCTAGCCGGGTCATGGCACGTGACATATACGGTTTAATGCGCCTCTACTATCTAGCATCAAAACCCGGGCTGAGAAGCTGTATTATATGACCGTAATTCAATGAGTAAACATTTGGCAAGCATTTATTTATTTCAAAATTTCATGCATTGTTCATCTGTGATTTAGACTAGGCTACTTCGATCATCAAAAAGCTGCTTCAAGGCACACACACATCACGCCGTTGCCTCGAACAACTTAACCTGACAACTATTGTAAGAGCTTCCAGGTAATTGGAGAACGAAACAGTCTCCAAAAGATAACTCACCAGCCACCACTGCTTTTTGCGTCACCCTCTATTGCAACACCTGTCAAGTGCTGCAGTCCCGCTACTCAATGATAATAGTTTCTCCGTGACAGAAAACCAACTATGCCACGAATATGAATAGGTCTCAAGGACAACGCTGGGCTGGATGCGCTGTAGCCAGCACACATTGAAAACGCAAATTAAATATGACCTGAAGACAGCTTCCGCATATTGCCAATTTCTACAATGCGGAGAAAACGAAAAGCTAAATATATAGTTAGTAGATGTTCCTGGAGAAACCATTACTTTATCACTCACGTTGTTCGTTGCAGCAATTGCGATGCTGTCTTCGAAAGGATGCCAGCTCATATGTAAGATCTTTTTGTTGAAGTCGATTTGATCTGCATCTGTTTCTTTCTTCATCCTTCCACCTTGGCCACCAACACCGGCAGCTGGGCTACCTGCCCTCGAGTTGCCCTTTTTGCCGTTCGCGGCGGTGGGGCTACCGGTTGGATTAATTGGTGTTGGAACACCAACTTTCTTAGCCTTGAAAGCTGATTTATCAGCTTGCAGGACTACCTCCACTTCCTTGTCGGGGTCTGATGGGTAGATCATGAAGTTGTTGTTATAACTTCCGGTCATTACATTCTTTGCATCGCCAGAGAATACCACCTCAAACTTGTCAAAGATACTGTCATTCTCATAAGTGTCACAAAGACGTGGTCGAAGGTGCTCGTGAATCGGAATCGTCTTGACAGGTTGCCTCTCCATGTTAACATCCCAGATTTTAACAGTAAGATAATCACGTGAAAGAATGTATCGACCATCATGAGAAAATCGAACATCTGAAATGGAAGAAATGATTTCTGAGAAGAATGATCGCGCAGAGGGGTCTTCTTCCTGTTCGAATTCTAAAAATGGGTATAAGTTAGCCGAATTTGAAAATTGACAACATGGGAAACTTACGCTTTGCATGCTGATCACAAAGGGCACTCTCTCTCATGTCTGCAAGCTTGATTGTGCCTTTTGAGCTCGCGTACATGAACCAGTTGCAACTTTGTGGGTGGAACTCTGCAGCTGTGATGACTTCGGTAAGCTCCTCCATGTTGGCGGGCTTGATGTCTACGATGTTGAAGCTTTGATCTTGAATATTCAAGTTCCACAAGTTTATCCGCAAATCATCACTGCTAATGAATGTCTCCCCATCGCTGTTCACTGAAATGCTGTTGATATGGTATGCATGTGCATTTGCATATGTTCGACGTGGTACTGCTGCAACAACAGTGTCGTGATGAGTAAGGCGGGGTAATTTAAGGTCGTGGGAACTGTTGAAATGAACATTTGATATGGGTCGAATGCCACCACCGCCTCCGGCAGGATTTCCTGGAGTCAAATCATGAGAAAGGTTGTTTTCTGCAACAACTTTCAGTGACTTCTCAAACACCTTCCATAACTTAATAGTCTTATCGTTCGTTGAAAGTAGGTAATGGGAAGCATTTTGTCGTCGACACCACTTAATTTTGTTGATCTTTTCTTCTATCTCTAATGACTTGAGGTAATCGAACTCGGGCTCGTGAGATTGAAATTCTGTGTGAAATTTGTACTCGCATGTTTTTTTCTAGATAGTGTCAGTTCCGCGACTTGCACAATCTAGACGAGGGCTTTGTTTCTGTACCGTCTCATTCCTTTCGAAAAGGACAACACGTCCACCTTTGTCTCCTGTGGCAAGATAATTTCCGGTGTGATCAAATTCGACGGTCGATATGATGTCCGCTGTAATCCGCCATGTCAGTACTTATAGAATGAAGGTTGTCCTACCCGCAGACAACGAAAAGCACTATCGATGCGTAGAAGTAGAGAGAGGAGAATACCTTCTGTTATATCTTCGACATCGCCTTTGTCACCAAAACATCTGATAACAATTTGTTAGCTTTGATTTCACGACAGTGACGCAATCAATCGAGAAAACACATTTCGAACCCCTCACCCAAAGACATCACAGGTGGCAGATGAAAAGACTATACGACAAGGGTATACTAACTGAGTGAACTTCCAAGTTGGAGAGTTCGGTTCCCCTTCTACCATCTTTTACGAGCTGTGCGGAGGAGATTATATCCTCTTCCTACTGCGGGCTATTTGGAAAAGGCAGTCGAAATTGGAAGGATCTTATCTGTCGATCGCGTCACAATGTATAGTTTTGACTTGTGGTTGATCTGCGATGCAAGGAAGGCTGAGGTATCCTGTACGTACTGGGGTAGGTGGTGGTGGTGGTGGGTAAAAAAGGTTGTAATCAAGGTATTTGTCGACGGTGTGCGTGCGGCAAGACTACCCAAGGTACTAGATAAAATCAAGTATAAAAAGTATACTTGGTAGGAGTCAAAATGAAGTGAAGGCGACAAGATTGAATAATTCAAAGTCAATCTTGTTGTTGTGAGGAGATTGTTTGTTGCGTCGGAGGGTGGTTTGTAAGGTTGTAGGCTGAGGTTGTACGTTTATTTATCGAATTCGTGGGGTTCCTTCGTTATGAGATGCACAATCTTGAGGCCCGCTGCCGGCGAAACCAATCAAAATAAGGTTTTCACTCCAATATGATGACAAAAATCAGGCTTTCAAAAATGTAAAAATGATTTGATTGATTCTACCCATGAACCGTACAATGAATGTACAATGTGAAGGAATTAAGAAATATACAAATATATTCTAAATTATAACGAGAAGTTTCTATCTTTTCCTCGATAAACTTCTTTAAAGGGAGTAGAGTTGAAAAGGAGGAAGTTCGTATGTTTGTAGATATGCTCAGATGTATGTTCATATGTTCCAAGTATCATTAACCAAGATATCAATGATGACCCAAATGCGGCACCCTAAAGTCCTGAAAGAACCTTCCCTTATTAAGCAGAATTACTTTTCGCTTATGTAATACTGCCATCATCTCTTTACACGCCTCCAAAACCGCCGCGCCGTATGGAGGGGAATGGAGTTAAGAATATAGTACGCAGTATTGTTATTTTGATATCACATCTTGATTTGTAAGTCACAAAAGAACGAAATAAAATGTAATACTACAATCCTCTCTTTATATCGATCAATTCGGAACTCGTGGCCATACACTTCTCCTCTCCAACACATACCTAGCCATGTCCCAATTCAGTGATCATTTGAACCAGCCACCTTTCTTGCTTCATAATTCTTAATAAACATTTCCTTTTCCTTCTCAGCCTCCGATTCATCTTCCGAACCTGTACTTTCGTTCTCAGATCCTAATTCTGCTTCTACTAACTCTTCCCCATTCTCTTCTGCTTCCTCGTCTCCTTCCTCTCCCACTTCCGCTTCGATTTCTCCTCCTCCTCCTTCTACTGTGTCTACCCACGTATCATCCATCATCTTCGTAGTGTCTTCCGTGGATATATCTCCTGTTGCGCCTACACCCGTAACATCTGGCGTAACATCATTGTCAGGAGAGGTAGCTGTGTCCTTCGTTCGAGGCTTTGGTACAGAGACTGAGGTTTTAGGCTTTGAAGTCGATGGTCCTTTCATCATTCCGTATTGCTTCGCTCTTTTAGTCCCTGTTGGCAACTTGCCACCACCCTTCCTATATTTCTTTCTTTTCGACCTTGAATCTAGATGCCTCACTCCTTTTCCGCTCATTCCACTAATGATACCCTTTTCTCTTAATTTCTCAATCTCTTCGTCAGTCAAGCGCATATCCGGTACTGGAACGTGTACTTTCTTTCCATCCTTTCCTTCGACGTAATCTGGTATGCTTAATGCCACATCAAAAGCATTTTCGGGGACCACTTTGTTGCTGCGAATGGCAATCAACTTGGTTTTCATGATAGCTCGAATCTTAGCGAGCGTACCATTATTATAGTATCCATCATGATTATTATCATATGCCTTAGCCATAGGTGCAGTTTGTATAATAGGAACAAGAAGGGGATCTGTTATGTCGCAAATTTGCCACACTTTCCCGTCGAGCGTCAGAGAGGTGCCATTGAACATATGTGATGGACAATCTCCTGTGCCGAAAACTTGATGTTTTGTGTATTGACTCCGCATGTCTTTCCATTGACCATCAGGAGCACGCTCATCTTCTTCGTACAGCTTAAAGAAAATAGTTTGGTAGATACGACAGGATGGATCTTTACGTGGATCAACTCCGTATCTTATGAGGGCATCACGCCAAGGACCACTTCGAAATTGGTAACCCACATATTGGAGCGCCGGTTTCATCAAATAATACCCTGGCTCGTTGGCGAGACGATTTTGTAATGCTCGACGAGTCCAGATTGGACGTTCGTTCATTGCTTGTTGAAGTGCAGTCACAAAGTCTTTGAGAACAGGATCATCTGGGACTGCACGGAACGGCTTGGTTGGCACGTCTTCGTCTTCGTCGCAATGTACATACTGCATTTCGAGTTTTGGCATTTTCGAGCGGTTCACTATACTTGTTTCTCCTGTCTCAGCATCCACTTCGGTTGAGATTAAAGGATTTTGACGATATCCCCAATTGAAAGGTAACGGATGATGAGTGAATGTTGGTGGAGGAATAATCTCTTCATTTGGTTTCCAGCCCTTGTCAGTACCCAGCTTGAATTCCCGCATCTTACCCCCTAATAAGGATCAGCACGTTTCTGAAAGAATTGAGTCTATGGCACTTACAGTTGGCGGAAAATGCAGTTTCTTTGAAATGTGACATGAAGGGTGCATGAGATGTGGATTGATGATAGTCGGAAAGTCCTGAATCTGTTAGTACCATTATCATTACAAGAGAGGAAAGTAATCACCTCTATAGCGATGACTCTGTTCGATTGCTCCTGCAGCCTCGACAGTGTATTTACCAACATTGTCTCGTAGCTTTCTGAGTATGCTGGCAGGTTTATCATTCAAAGAGTGTGATCGAATATCGCCCAACGCATTTTGGCCTATGGTAGACTCAGACGCTGGACGTCCATCATCGGTATAAGGATCTTGAGACCCACGCTTTCGCTTTCTACCAGTACACTTCGGTACGGTGATCTTAAGGAGAACATTATTGGTGATACTATTGTAGGATAAAATCGGTTCGCATGTGGGATCTTTAGTTCGAAGGAAAAGTGGAATACACTCATCTTCAGTACCCTCAAGGATCTGTTATAGTTATTAGTTTAAAATGATGCTCCTGTCACGGGATGACTTTCATATGCCATGCGGATCGCAGAACACAGACGGATAAATTCTACCTACCTTGTTCCATTGTGGTTGACGTCCAAAAGTTTTGATGCCGTTTTCAAGGTTCTTTACGATCAATGGATGCTCAACAGCGACAATTTCCCTTGGAGGAATTGTGTATATTGGAGCAGATTGTTCTTCTTCGTCATCGTAATCATAATCCCCATCTTCATCTTCGTTCTCCTCAATCATTCCAATGCCTTCTGCCTCTTCATCTCCCTCACCTTCTTCTTCTTCTTCGATATCAACCTCTTCCTCAAACTCGAAATCGTCCATATCATCGTAATCCTCCATAGTTGCAAACAGGAAAGAAAGTAATTAGGATTGAAAGCGAGATAAGTGCTTTTTACTTTTGACTGTTGAGCTGTTCTAACTGAATGCCGCGATTTACGCCACTTTCTGTGAATTTTCTTAAATTGCTTTTTTATATGCGAATAGCCTCAACAAGCCAGTGACTCTGTAATCCTGGAATAGAGAAATTTTCGATACAGTACCTAGTACTCTATATCAAAACGACAGTTTTGATATGTGGTTTTTCTTCGAGCCAACGAGGTTCTAAATCTCCATCCAGTATAGAGAATATTTAATTTGGCATGAACCAAACAAAATCTTGATAACTTTCTTATTCTCTCATTCGAAGATTTTTATAAGATTTCTTTATCCTTAATTGGAAGTTGAATGGCCCGTACTCATGGTGCTTGCTGTACGTAGCAAATCTTTCACGTCACCAGCGAGTGAAGAAACTCCCGAGCTTGGCTTTTTCCCAAAATTACGGAGGACCTAGGTTAGGTACTCTAAGTGAAAAAAAAGCAATTTAAATTTAAGTTCAAATTTGAATTTTAAACATTTTGCCTAAAAATTTAGGTTACATTTAAATCCACGCTAATTCATCTACTGAGGGGACCACTTGCAATGTTGATAGATGTTGCTGTGCTGTTGATTTAGATTTTGAAATGAAAGTTAAAATAATTGATCTCTACTTAGTCATCGCTGTTGAAGGAGTTCTTATACTCGTACCTCATTCTCATAAATAACTCCAATTATTACCATCCGCCATTCATCTGTTGTCCATAGGAAAGTGCCAAACGCGTTGGCCTTCTTCATCAGTTTGATAGCTTGTGCTTCGGCATAGAGGAGAACTTATATTCACCGCCCGGATTAGCCTCAACCTACATTAAACAACCACTGCCGCCGTACCATCGGCCTTGTATGTTCATCGTCATTGTTGGCTTATTTGTGTGTTTGAATTCATCCCTACCACCTCTCCTATCTTTTCTCGACTCTGCACTGACTGCTATCGTTTTGGTAGAACTTGTTTACTCTTGCGCAACAAGTCAACCACTCAGGCTCGCCCCTCACGAACCTTTGGGACATAGAACTTCGATAGATGAAATAAACCCATTGGCGACTCCCGCTATCTTTTATGAAAACCTAACAACATCGCACTATCAAATTACAACCAGGAGTTTCAAACTACAGCAGCAAAGAGCTACTGGCGATCTCCAGCTGCGTATCAACAAATCGTTGCAATTGAATACACACCTTGTGCCATACAACGAACGACAAACGAGAGTTGAGCCACTTTCATCGAGTTATTTACCGCATCCATACCAGGGGTCTTTCTAGCCTCCTGAAAATAGGATTGACACACATTCACCACGGCAAGCTTAAAGTGGCGCGACCTGTCACTTTAAAAGTTTAAAGTATTGGTGGACAAGAACAGGAGATTTCGCAGACCAGCAACATACCAATAGTATCAAATAAGGAGGCATTTGTGTGTTTCACATCCTCCTTGAGAGTTGTTGTTCAAGATGAAAGGCTTCAGACAGAGGGTTGTAAGTCATTTTGATACTTAATACTCTCCATATAGCGTCCGTATCATTTTGAAAGTGATCATCTGCTAACCCCATCAGCATGAGCAGCTTTCGCGCACAAAAGATCCCAACAAATCAAAATCTAAGAAAGGGGAGTCAAAAGATGGCACATCATCACCTTCACAATCCAATTCGCGGGAAGCGGGACAATCGCCTGCCGTAACACCCTCATCTTCGAGTACAACACTTAATGACTTGCGAAATAAACCACTGCCGCCAAATGATGGTACTTCTTCAGCTGGTCCTACTGCGCAACCACCTTTGAATACAGCTCTTAACACAATTTCTGCTCCGGATCGATTCAATACTGGAGGAGGTTCACCCGGTCCTGCGACACCAAATCGTCATGGAGCACTTCCTCCAAGCGTTGTTATCAGTCCAAGTGCACCAGTAAGTCACGCCAGATGCCATGATTTTTTTCGTTGTACTAACATCTTCACTTTAGCATATCCCTCCCCCAGGTGCCGCAGAAACAATGCCCCACGATCTTGCCCCTCCCAAGGCTGGTGCGAAGTCGATGATGTTCGACCGGTTACAGACAACCCCAAAGGACGTCCCAGAAGGTATCCGAACACCGAAGCGACAGCACTCTTCGAGATTTGATATTTCCCCCCTCCGCGAATTAGAAAAACTGCCAGGTTTCCACGAGGTACCACCCAATCGCCGCCAAGATCTCTTTATGCAAAAGATCGACCAATGTAATGTCATTTTTGATTTCAACGATGCAAGTGCGGACATGAAGTCCAAGGAAATCAAAAGGCTAGCTCTTCATGAACTTCTTGATTACGTCGCCAACAACAGACAAGTCATCACCGAGGCTATGTACCCAAAAGTCGTTGAAATGTTTAGCAAGAATCTCTTCCGTCCCATACCGCCTCCTATGAATCCTCAGGGCGAAGCATTCGACCCCGAGGAAGACGAACCGGTTCTGGAAGTTGCGTGGCCGCATATTCAGGTTGTATATGAATTCTTCCTGAGATTTATCGAGAGTCAAGACTTCAATACCAATATTGCGAAGGCATACATAGACCACAGTTTTGTCTTACAGTTACTTGAGCTCTTTGATTCTGAAGACCCGCGTGAGCGAGACTTCCTAAAGACAACCCTTCATAGGATATATGGAAAGTTTCTCAACCTACGCTCATACATTAGAAGATCTATCAACAACGTATTCTTCCAGTTTGTTTATGAGACCGAACGTTTCAACGGCATTGCTGAGCTACTGGAGATACTTGGCTCAATCATCAATGGTTTTGCTCTACCACTGAAGGAGGAGCACAAATTGTTTTTGACAAGAGTTTTAATACCGTTACATAAAGTCAAGAGTTTAAGCATGTATCATCCTCAACTCGCCTACTGCATTGTTCAATTTTTGGAAAAGGATGCAGCATTAACGGAAGAGGTATGCCAAGGGACGATGGTTGTGAATTCAATTTACTAACGATTTTCAGGTTGTTTTGGGCTTGCTCCGCTATTGGCCCAAGGTGAACAGCACAAAAGAAGTGATGTTTCTCAACGAAGTGGAAGATATATTTGAGGTAATGGACCCAGCAGAATTCGCTAAAGTTCAGGAGCCTCTTTTCCATCAACTGGCGAAATCAGTTGCGAGTCCTCATTTCCAAGTGGCCGAACGTGCGTTATACTTCTGGAATAACGAGTACTTTTGCAATCTGGTCAGCGACAATGTTGAGATTATCTTACCAATTATGTTTGCACCTCTATACGAGAACTCCAAAGGACATTGGAACAGGTGAAGAATCCTCTATCCGCGAGAATTAACTACCTCCAGCTAACCCATTCGAATTAGAACGATCCACGGCATGGTTTACAATGCAATGAAGCTATTCATGGAGATTAATCCCCAACTTTTTGATGATTGCTCCCATGATTACACTGAGCACCAGAACAATGCCGAGGCCAGAGAACAAGCTCGAGCAAACAAATGGAAAGCTATGGCGGAACAAGCAGGAAGGTCGAAGACGAATGGAGCCGTCCTACCTACCGGGCCAGCTTCTCCATCGCGAACGAAAGCAACCCCTTTACGAGGAGATGAGGTAGATCCGATGACAGAGGACAATCAGAAAAGGCTGGATTCGTTGAAACTTCAAGATGGAGATCGTCGAGAACGGAGACCCACTCACGATCGACAAAACTCGGTAGGATCTTCCAGAAGCCAGCGATGATTGTTGTTACTACCAAACCGCTTTGTTTCTGTTTTCATGGTGCTTTCGTGGGGAGTTACGAGTTGTCATTTATCCTGATTAGAATTGTTGGCTCACGCATACCTTGTCTTCGTTATCTTCGTCTCTCGTCTTCGTGCCGTTATTCTTCTCACCTTCAAGCATGTTTGTCCTAACCCTACACCTGCGCACCACTCTTTTTTGTTTGGTCTCGTTTATCGGAGTTCATTCATTGACGAAACTCTATCTCAGAGCAATATCATATCGGGTCTTGATTTCGGTTTCGACACAGATGCAAAACGATCAGTAAGCGGCAGTTCTACGACAGCGGCCGTCGGACTCGTCTCTTCATCGACGGTGGCTCAAAAGGATTTGGATGGCGAACCGGAAACTAGTGATCATTCTTTTATCGACGATCAGGCCAGTCTCCTCTCTTGAGTTTACTGGTTTAATGGGAATAAATTATCGTGTTATGCATGGACTCGGATCAAGTAGTTTTTTCTAGGTTAGGCTTGGTTTGTTATGGATGGCTTGGGGATGGAGTATGATGTGTGTGGATGAATGGTATTGACATGTGGTTGTGGTTCAAGGGGAAGGTGGATGGTTCTTGGTCTTTGGACGCAGAAGATGAGTGTTAGGTTAAGGAAAGGGATAGTAGAATGGAATGGGCAATGCGTGGTGCGTAGCACGTCTAAGGGTGCGTCTGATAAGCTTTTGATAGGTAAAAACAAATTAGTAGATTTTTTCTTGCGCGGGGAAATACGCATGTTATGCATGCTTTGGTATGGTATGGTATGTATGAATGGATGGATGGATGGAATTGGAACATGGCAAAAAAAAACTTACTTTACTTGAGAGCTTGATGATGGTGATGGTGCAGTGGAGTGGAGTGGAGTAGGAGTAGTGCATACATAGGTACCTAGGTAGTGCAAAATTAAATTCATTGGTACAAATACTGGGCTTTATTTTTTTTATTTTTTTATTTTTTTTAATATAGTAAATATTGTAAGGTTAGTTGTAGATTGGTAAAGTGGTAAGATTAGGGCGTGATGGGAGTGATAGGGGTGATTGGTTCAATATTGTTTTGATATATTGATTTGATATATTGATTTGAGTTGAGTTGAGCTGTGATATCTAGTAGTTTAGATAGATATAAGATCTCAATATCCTGTATCTGTATCTTTGATTAGGTATAGAGTATGGTTATATCGAGTATGAATGTGGTTATGGTTTTGATTTGATGTAGATGTAATATAATGTAATGATACCTAATGAAAGTTTATATGAAGTGTTTATGCTCTTCCGCTCTTCTGCTCTTATATTCTTATTATTATATCTTAATATAGGTAGATAGATAGATAGGTCAGTAGGTAGGTAGGTAAGTAGGTATGGCGGTAGTCATATCTAGACACAAAGTATACACTCGCTTATGCCTTACTTCCAAGCTCCTGAGCTTCTAGAGCTTTGAGGTTTTTCTTTAGAAATTTAGTGTAAATGAAGATAATGACAATGACAATATTTGAGGTCTACGTTTTTCGAGTTCATTAATTCTTCTGTCTTATCCTATCCTATCCTTTCCATGACATCCATACCTTAGGCCTTTTGCTGATCTAGATCTGAATGATCTGATTTGGTTTCCCGTGTATCGCTCCATTTCTCCAACGCCTGAACTCCGATGCTTGATCTTATTACAAATAGATGAAAAGAAAGGAATATAGGAAAATGGGGAAGGAAGAAAAAAGGAGGGAAGAAGAAACTCTCCCCTCCTGCTCTTAACTACCACCCTTCATAAAACAAGCACAAGTATTAACAACAAAATCAGCACAAAAATTAATACCCCAATGCAACAACTACTCAACGGATCCTCATTCTCCTTCACCAATCGATTCATCCTCTTCATACCACCTTGTAACCTGCCACTCACGCGATCCGTCACCGTCTCCACATCTCGTAGCATCCCCGATTGTTCTTCGAGTTCACGACCCATATCATCGGCTTGTTGGCGTAAATTACCTACTGTATGAAACACACTATCTAGTTGTTCGTCTTGTTGTTTGAGCATTTGCATTTGTTGCTGGTGTTCGAATTCTGCGGCATAGTCGTCGTCTAACGGGGACCCATTGTTGTCATCGTATGCAACTCCACTTGTAGTTGAAGAAGAAGTGGGGTTTCCCATGGTTTTCTCGAGCTCTTCGCGCATATCGTCTACTTCGCCTCCAATTTCCTCTATCATGCGGACTCGCCGGGATACTTCTTCGATTTGTAAACCATATTTGTAAGGGTCGGCTTGGATTGCCGAGATGGAATCACGTAGGTCGGAAAGGTCGTCTGTTAGGAGGGAGAGGGAAGTCGTTAGGTCGGAGCGGGCGGAGAGGAGCTCGGGAGTGGGATGAGGCGATTTAGTTAGGGAGTGGATGCGCAGATAAGAAGTGAAGAGGGGTCGGGTGAGGGATAGTTGGTGGTGCACATCGCTGGAACCGGTGTTAGTTAGTGATGTGTTTGAGTTAATAGCAATGAATTATGCGCAATTGGGATGTAATGAACATTAGATTATGCGCGGTTGCGGCGGATGAAGCTTGCGCATAAGTTCATGAGTTAAAGAGCAATGATTGGAAAGGGAGGCATAAAGAGATGGGAGGTTGGTGATATGCATGAATGCATATATGCGGTCGCAGAAGAAGATTTCAGGGTTTCTGCTTAAGAGAGGGCTGAACATGAGGGGTAAGGCAGACTGCGGGAGAAAGGCAACTAGCAGGTGGGTAAAGTGCAAGGGGGGTAAAACACAGAGAGGAGGCTAAAATAACATACGCTTGAACTTGGAGAAAAGGGTCATCTTCATTCGTAGCGGACATCATCTTGAACGAATGTTTCTTTGGTAAAGTTTGAGCAGCCTAGAACCGCAAGTTCTGTTTGCCTGCTCCACAGGTGATGTTGTCTAATCGAAATTTAAGACACTTCATGTAACGAAAGGTCGGTTGAGCCGCAACTTGGGTATATGAGGAGCTCTCCACAGTACTCCGTAGAACTAGAACTATCTATACGAGCAGGCTTGTTTGTTCGTAAAGTACTCAAGTGCAATTCATCGATAGGATGTTAGAGAAGGCGCTAAATTAAGGTAGGATGCGTATGCATGAATGACGAGATAAGATGGATCATGCAATACCTATTGGCTATCCGGGGGGTTGGAAATAGCTACGACAAGGCTGACAGAATGATCCACATTTGCTTACGTACACATCGGGATTTGATCAATACATTGCCTTTCCGGGCAACAATATCCGATAAGGCGAAATAGTATTATTAATCATCCACTCCTATTGTCATGTGAATATTCAAGGTACCTCCGACCTCTCTACCTAGATAGTCTTATGTCAAAAGTAACATATTAGATTCCTTGGCTGGAGAAAGGTGGGTGGTATAAACAATGATGATAGCGAATGAAAAGGTGGAAAATGCTATGAGATACCATGAGATGCATATAAAGTGGTAGTAAATCTACTAGCTCTCCTAATTCTAATCTTCCATACATTTTTTGGCGGCAAACTGCATCTTTGGTACAACCATTACGAACCAAACCTCACCAACATTGCATTAACACCAACCAAAAAAATTCAGCCCTTGTCAAGCATTTCTTGATACTATGTACCAACCTGTCTTGAAACTCCCACTGTTGAGATGTCGAGATGTTGAGAGGTTGAGAGTTGAGATGTTGAAAATTAAATGCTATCATTTTCAATAAGCTCGTATTCTTCAACCAAAGATATGCTGACAAGAGACTTTCAACGCTGACAACTTTGACAACTTTGACATTAACCTTATCCCAGGGTTTTGGAAACATTTCAACTGTTTGCAAACATGCAATTGTTATACCTCTTCCATGTAAAACTTCTTGTACATACTACCCATTCGCTTTGTATCATTTTCACCCGATCATCTTTCAGGACGACGTGGCCAGCGCCTCTTCATCTCCTTGCATATTACGTACCTTTGGCTAATTGCCACATATTCGTTGTGATTGTGACTCTCTCAGCCTGGCTTTCGGGTTTTGTCACTAACTACTTTTTTTTGGTCAAACGGATACCAGCATCAGCATCTATCAAGCTAGTCCCATCAAATCACATGGGCTGGTGATGGTGACTTGCTCCTTACATATTCATCACATTTTGCCTTTTTTCTTTTCCATTATTCCTGATTTAGGAGCTAAAATAACTCCTAGGTAGTCAGCAGCATTAACTCCGCTCTGTCGCCTACTTTGAGTCGGAATTATCTAAAATTATTTCACTTGCTACTAGAAGCTCTGCAGGAATAAACGTTACAAAAATAAATCGGTTGCACTAGCCGCTCATTTGTTGTTGGTACCGGAAAAGAAGGTGCGGCTGTCGAATTTCTTGTCTTATTCGCAGGAGCTTTCTAGATGATATACCAGTAGCATGGTACCGATTGTATCGCCCTTCTTACGCACTTCAACTGCATTGTACTACGTTTTCTGTGAACCAGTGAATCAGAGCAGACCACTACACGCCATTCACGCCGTTTGTACCGTGCCGCGTGGTTTGATTGAACACTGCATATGCGGTCTTTGCCATAAAAGCTTAGCACCGCAGCTCTTAAGCTTGTCTTGTCATCGAATTTAGGGCTCATAATAAAATCCATTTTACACTCTGCAGATCTCTTCTAGACAACGCCACCTTCGCCAGAGCTTTCCCATTTCTTGTTCCGTCCTCTCATTGCCTCGAACATCTTCTTCACTCGTTCTTCCAATCTGAAATTAATCTTCAGAGTAAAAAGATGAACGCCATGGATCTCGATGCGGTTTTGGAAGCTCTGCATCAGAATTTATCTGTATCATCTAACACGAGCACAACAGCAACCTTACTTGACGGGTTATTACCGACTACTCTCCTTGAAAACCTCGTTCCTGGATATGGCTACATCCATAAGATCGTTCTTCAAACCGTTGGTTTTGATATCACACTTCTTGTTTCTCTATTCGCTGCTTTGTGGTTGGGAAGTAAGGCTTTCGATGTATTATGGTCGTGGGTATGGACAATTGTTGGGCGGCATTGGATGTCCGATATCTCCATCAGCAGCAGAGACGAAATACACGACGAAGTAATACAGTTTCTTGCCCACAAATACCAAATGAAGCCATCTCGTTCTCTTCAGGCAGAGACAGCTCGTAGGGGATATTGGGACCTAGATAATGAGGATGCCGTCACTTTGACACAACTTGATGGAACTGGTACCATACAGTGGCTCAATTTTGCCGATCAAGACTCCAAGACTAAACCACAATATACGCCATCTATGGGAGCCAGTCATAGTTTTTGGCACAATGGGAGATATTTTCGTGTCAAACGTTCGGAGAAAATGGTTTTCTCATCCTCCTCGTATGATAAGAACCCAGTATCCGATCAACAAATGCTGCTCATCTCCTGTTATGGTCGTAGCACGACACCTATTAAGGAGTTTCTTCAAGAGGCGAAAGAATATTCGAACAGAAATCATAGTGCAAAAACTATCATTCGTCGACCTGCGACTAAAGAACGTCGAAGTTGGGGAGGTCGAAGTTCTTGGATTGAGGTAGCTAGACGACCTTGTCGTCCAATGAGAACTGTTGTTCTGGATGAGGTTATGAAAAATAAGGTTCTACGTGATATCAACGAATATTTGAATCCCTCAACTGCTCGTTGGTATGCCATTCGCGGTATACCTTACCGTAGAGGGTATCTCTTCCATGGGCCTCCAGGTACTGGCAAAACTTCTTTAACATTTGCTCTTGCCGGTGTTTTTGGCTTGAACATCTATGTTGTCAGTTTGCTAGAGCCTACTCTTACTGAAGAAGAACTCGGCAACCTTTTTACCAATTTACCACCTAGATGTATTGTACTGTTGGAGGACATTGATACTGCAGGCTTGACACGCGTCAATGAAGATAAAGTTGAGTCGTCGGATGAATGCAGCTCAGATAGCAGCAGCGGCGAGAATGAAGCGATCACCAAGAAACACAAGAAGGGCAAGGGTAGAGGTGGCAGGGGTAGACATAGCAGGGGAAGTAAGAAGAGCAAGAAAAGTAAGAAAGATGACGACGATGAAAAGAAAGGAATCTCGCTCTCCGGTCTCTTAAATGTAAGCTTGCACCATCCCTCTCAAACTCGACTGCAAACTGACAATATATTTAGATCATCGACGGTGTAGCATCGCACGAAGGTCGTGTTTTAGTAATGACAACAAATCATCCCGAAAAGTTAGATGAAGCTCTTATCCGACCTGGTCGTGTGGACTGTCAAGTTGCATTCACGAATGCCACTCGTCATCAAATCAAAGAGATCTTTGAGAGAATGTACTCTAAAGATCCACCGCGGGAGAAACTAATCGCTGCCACCTCCCCTGCTACCTCTCCCATTCCTCAGAGCCAAACCCCCATCAAAGAAGAGGATGAAGAAAAAACTCCTCTCCTCTCTCGCACCCCCGAAACCCCACCTCAAAATCTAGAAACAAACCACGCAAATCCAGCCGCAAACTCAGTCCCACAAAAACGCCCCCTAACACCTCCGGATACACCCATCACCCCCGAAACCGAAACCACAACCGAAACCAAAAGTCCCACTGCGATAGAAAAGAAACCTCTCACAATAGCCGATATTGAAAATGATGGTGAAGAGGAAATATTGGCCCCAGGAGAATTATCCACTTTGGCTACGCAGTTCGCGGAGCACATTGAAAATTTTATGTTTAGTCCAGCGGAGGTTCAGGGATTCTTGCTGACGAGAAAAAAGGCTCCTAGGAAGGCGGTTGTTGAGATTGGGGCTTGGGTTGAGGTTACGAGGAAGAGTAAGGTGGAGGGTCAGAAATTTAGTTGAAAGATTGGAGTGGGAGATGGTTGAGGATTGAATTGCATTGCATTGCATTGGACTCCATTGGGCATCGAGTTGATGGTTGGTGATGGGAGTGAGTTTGGTGTGTTGGTTTGCTTTTGTTTTTAAGTTATGAAGTCAACAAGTGCATGAAAGAAAGAAGAACAGGTGGGCAATTGAGCATGTTTTTTCTCGTCTTCTTCTCATATTTTTGTGAGGATGAGAATGAGTTGAGTTATCGAATGTGTATATTATCAATAACGATCACAATATCTGCATATAGAGTAGTTGGGACATGAGAAAGAAGATGAAGTGAAGAAAGAAAGAAGAGGAGAAAACAGAGAAAGATATCTTAGTTTAGTCTAGAAGAAATATAACATAATGCGATGTTATTTACTCTATAGAGACTCTTTTATGATTATAATTATGATTTTGAATGTTTTTCAATGTATAAACCTTGTCAATGTCGTGAATTTGTTTAATTACACTCCTCTCAAATATCTTCGAATTCATTTAAGATCTTACCATCAAATCAACATTTCTGTGCAATAACTTTATATTTACATATAAGGTTACCTCAGAGAATCTAGAATCTAGAATCCTTTATCAAAGATCATCAAATTGTGAAAGATGACCGTTGTGTTGATATACAGCGCAGTGCGTTACACGTCGACGTCTTGTGGGAGAGCTTCTCATTGGTTAAACTAAGCTTAATATTCTTGCATGTAGGGGAGGCAGATTAGTCGTCTCTGATAATACTTCCAGACGGGAGTGATTCCTCGCATTCTTTATGAGAAGCTGCATGGTGCTCAAAAAGCTAATTTGGAGTTAAATAACTCGTGGTGATATCGATCTGAGATCTTAAAGCGGTATGTATATGCATATGGTTGAGCACATGGAATATATGTATATCATCACCGCAGAGAAATGGACATGCGCAAAAGCAAAAAATACAGATCCATGGGTAAATAAGTTCAATCTTGTTGGGGTTCGATCTTAACTCATTCTTCTTAATCAGGAGACCGGACTTGAGCTTCACGACAATTCCTATACTTAACCCATGTTAACGTTATCATGAACCTATCGATTCCAGACTATACCACACATGTATACTCTCAAAAACTTACAAGCTTAAGGTAGGTAAGCTATCATGTTTTCCTTATGTACTCCAGAAAACTACTAACGGCTGCTCCGACTAGAATACGTTCGAATCCTCGATCCGTCATAACGGCATCATATACAATGCAATGACCATTGTTCCTACAATCTGAGGGCATCGATACAGTAACCGTGCACTGCTACTAGCCATAGGCCCTTTTTACACCAAAACTCACTGTTTTTACTTATTTATATAAAAAGAATTAAATATTTTATCAAGAAATCCTTTCAAATATTCAAAAGTATTCATTTAAAAATATTATAATTTTAATTATCAATTGATAAAGTTCTATAACTTTGAATTTCAAATTTTCAGATTTTATTTATTTTATTATAAAAAATTAAATCACAATTCTATATTATTATTTTTAAGCTTAATTATATTATTTTCAAAAATAATCTAAAAATAATCTAAAAAAAATTTAATTTGAAATAATTACATTTTTTAACTTCAATTATAGTTTATTCAAATCGAAATTATTAAAAAAATTTTAAAGTGATTGAGCTTTGATATAAAAAGGCTATTCGGCTAGTAGCAGTGTGCTAGTACTAGCTTAAAATATCTATCAGCCGGAAAAGTCGGCATTGGACTCTACATATATAAAGTTCCTACCTGCTCTACAATCCCGGGCCCTGATTATGAAAAAGTAATTCACAATTTCTGCAATCTTAGCTGAGGTTTATTTTTATTGAAGCTGACGATCATCATGAATACTTTAGAAACCCAAACGATGACAATAAAATTTCGATTCGGGGATCCACCTCACATATGATATCCCTCCCATATACTTATAATTACAAAACACACCATAATATTTCTAATCTTACTTTAAGGAAATCCCAATACCACATAATATACAAGCATTTATGATCATTTCTATATAATTTCCAGAGAAGAGCTTAGAATAGCTATAGACTGTAATATATGCCAGCCTCTATAGCTATACCCTCAACCAAGAAAAAGTCATCAGCCACTTCATCTAAACTCTTTACTAAGTTACGAAAAGCTACGTACTTCCGAAGTAAAAAGACAAAGTAAACTCCAGCTAGGTAGTCCCGACACCCAGGCTTAAGTAGGCACTCATAATCATTGTAAAAGAGAAATAGATATCTTGAGCCGAGTTCGCCCTACCAATTTTACAGTACAAACTTCTTTTGTAGTTGTTACCAAGATATAACTAAACAGCATTTTGATAGAATATTTCATATTTAAAAAATCGGATTACTTTGTGACTTGAACTTTTAGCTGAAATAATATATATATTTTGTTCCTATAATCCCTTACAATATTGCCATGATTGAAAAAATTCTATACAAATGATTTCTACGAACTAGAGTGCTGGCCGAAATTTAATATATACGATTTAAGCGAGTCTCCTAGGCCTCTTGAGTATGTTAAGTTTGATGCACCAGTCATATCAACTTGGGTAAATCAATCCTATTCAATAAATAGTACTAGTCTGGCTTGATTAGTTCGATGGTATTATGTGTAATAATTAATTGCCTCCTTAATAAGAGTCCGATCAGTAGTCGATGAAGCAAGATTTAAGTGTTTGTGCACCTAAAGCTCCCGGGGCAATTTAATTCGGTTTAATTTGCAGGCCATGCCATAGCTTAGTGCTAGACTGAACAGTAAAGACAATGACTAACAGAGATAGATCTCTTGGGAACATTTCGCTGGTAATCTTATATTTGTGCCTATATATATATTGATGAGCGGCTTCATGATCAATAGCAGATTTCAGATTTTAAAATCAAAGCAGAAGCTCTATCACCGTAATCCGTTGCTTATTACTGGTTATTGATTACTAATAATTATATTTAATTTATAGAATTTATTGATCCCGAATTCGGACGTATTATTTACAGTAGCCAGATCTGGATCTAAATCTAATCTAATCTAAAATTTTCAATCCTGGGGTTGAGAGATTAATAGGGTAAGCGAGTAAATAGTGAATTGTTTCTACTCAAGCATTACTATTACATCATACAAGAGGTATGAGGAATGAAAGATATAGGAACACTCCACCAATATCTCAAATGTAAGATCTTACGTTCCATTTGCAATTCCATCCCATTTTCATCCTGTTTTAAACAAAACCATCTCACAACTCCCTCCCTATCCCCTTCAAATGTCCCAACACAGCACCCAACCTCCTTAAAGCTTTCAAATCTCCACTATCTTTCCCCTCTCCAGTTTCTCCCTCCTTTTCCTCTCTTTGTAATTCTTCCCTAGCCTCCACCACCAAAGGTAATAAACCGCCCCACACCTCATCCGTATACCGCCTCAACACACCCTCCCAATCACTTTTCCATTCTTCCATCACTTTTCCCTTCTCATGATCAATCTTATTCTTAAACATGACACCCGCGAACATATCCTCTTTCGTATCATCCTCCCCATTACCCTTCCTCTCCTCTCTCCATCTTTCCTCTCTTTCTCTCTCATACCCAGGAATAAGATTCAACGAATGATCTCCCTTAGGAATCTGATGAACCGCTGGTTCTGGGAATAATAAATCCCTCGTAATCTTTCTAATCCTCTCCCTTTCTTCCTCACTCATTCCCCATTTCCATTCCCATTCATAACCTTTCATCTCTTGCTCATTCTCCGCCCATGCTTTCTGTTCAGTCAATAACTCCTCCATCTCTTCCTCAAAATCTAAATTCGTTCCACCTATTTTTGATAATATTTGTCGAACATCTTCTCCGTCTCTTTTTTCTTGTTCTGATACATCTGTATGAATATACCCGACAATTTTAGATCCGCTTCTTTCAGAATATCCGGAGGAAGACACTTTTCCATTTTCGCCATTAGAACTTATATTAGAAGAAGTGCCGGGCTCGCCAGAGAATTTGTCCATATCAAAATTTTCAAGCTTATCGATTTTGGCTTGAGGATTTTGAACCTGTTCTGTAGAAGTAGAAGCAGGAGCACCAGTAGTCCGAGCCCATACATTTCCCCAGTCCGAATTCGTACTTCCTTGTATCAAATCCAAATTTGACTTGGAACCATGTTCAAGATTAAATCGACCCAAGTCACTATCAATTCCTCCTCCTCCTCTCTTTCCCTCTGCATCAGCACTTCCCCAAAACATATTCGTATTTCCCTGCGAGAGATAATCCGTACCAAACCCAAAACCAGCACCAGAGTCAGAGCTAGAAGATGCTGCATAATCTACTTGATCGCGAATCTGGCTCTGATTCCCAAATCCAGCTCCAGATGCAGATGCAGTTGCAAAACCCAAATCATCAGCCGGCATAAGCGAAGGAACACCATCCAAAAACTCCGAAAATTCATTTTCGCTCCGCTGCACATGTCGAGCCCTCTCACCTTGACTTTCACTAGCGTTCTCATCCACTGCATTTCCTTCCAAATCATTATTTCCCAAGCTCGAGCTCCTCATCCCTTCACTCCTCGAAGCAGGTCCCGCAAACCCAACACCAGCTTCCCTTAAACTAGAAGATCCTGCAAAACTTCCACTTCCACTTCCACTTCCACCTCCACTCCCTCCCGCCTTCCCATCCCCGCTCCGACTCAATAAACCCACCATATCTCTCCTTAATCCCTCACCACCTTCTCTTTCACTCCCAACCCCACTGAAAACATCTCTTCCCAATCCTATCGCCGAAGAACCTACACGCGCCAATAATGAAGATTGAGGTTGTTCATCTCGTTTTGTTGGTATGTGCATATTATCACCATTACCATTATCGGCCTTGTGAATATTATTTGATTTCATTTCCGCTGGAGCTGGAACTAAGGCTACCGCTTTGCCTTTTCCTTCTTTTCCTTTTGAATCGCTTGAGCTCATTGTGGGATATCGATTATGATGCGTAGGAATGATGGATTATGAATACCTATGAATATAGATATTTAATCAAGATAAGTAAATAAACAAACAAGCAAGCAACAAGACCAGCGCAACCTCAGTCGATATACAAATCCGGGTTTTAATCAGATTCATATGCATGTGGAGAATTGAAATATCGATGTCGATGTCGTTAATTCCATTTCATAGTGCATGTACATTTAGAACAGAACCATTCCGCATTCCCGATCGCCCTCCCTCGCCTCGCCTCGGTTGCTAGTTCCAGATTCTTTCCGTCCACCACTTGACATGTGACTTTCGTCTTGACTCACAAAGAATTAAAAATGTAAGTTGTGAACCCTTTTTATAGCTCATTCATCAATACGAGGATTACAATATATGAAAATCCTTAAATATCAGATAGGCAACAGGTATTACTTTCTATCATACTTTTCCACATATGGCAGAGAGGGCTTGTATTTCCAGCGCGCACCCGACAACCCGGATGTGCTGCATTTTGGAACATCAATTGCATATTGGCGTTTCATGTGAAAATTTACATGTCTAGAAGCATCTACCACCAGCACGTAGTTGATCGTATCAAATTCATATAAAGTTATTTTATTCAACAACACCTTATATGCGGGTACTACAAGTGGCACGCTTAAAAAACCCGCAAACAACTGATATCATACCACCGCATTTCCCAACCGGCTATGCTACACCTCAGTTTATTCCCATGCCCTGCTCAACTCAAAGACTCATAGATCATTCCTGATCTTGAAGTGATGCTCGTTCTTTGTCTTTTGATCAATCCTCCCCGAAGGCCATCGCCTATTATTCTCGATCGCTTGTCATGTAGGTACCCATAAAACCTGCAGTCAACCCCTCAGGTCATTACTCCACGTGCAAAACATGAGCATTTAGTATACACGCTTGAAAGGTGGAACTGCCTTGCACTCGTTCTCATCCAGAGTGTGACCAACAACGGCTCTGTAGGTTAAATCAGTCTTTCCTTGTGGCTTCTTTTGGAAGGTTAAAGAATGCTTCATCCATTCACTGTCATCTCTCTCTGGGTAATCTTCACGGGCATGTGCTCCTCGAGATTCCTTTCTGGCGGCAGCTGCCTCGGCGGTTTGAACACTGTGTTAAGTTAGTATGAATATCCCCTAACCTTTGAAAGTACGCATAGGAAGAACTTACGCGCAAGTCAACAAATTTCTCAACTCTAAGGTTTCAACCAAATCCGAGTTCCAAATCATACTTCGGTCTTGAGTTTTGACATCCTTGAATGTTTGATCGACAGCGTTAATCTTTGTGACACCCTCATCCAAACTCTCTTGAGTTCTGAAGACACTGACATCTGTCTGCATGGTCTTTTGCATGGCTAGACGGATTTCGTGTGTGCTCTTGGTACCATCGGCAGTTCTAATTTGGTCGAGGACACTAATAGATTCGGCACCAGCATCGGCACTAATTTCCTTGTGTGGCATACCAGGCTCGAAGTTATCGCGGATTGTGTGCGATACTGCACGACCGAAAACGATCAAATCAAGAAGTGAGTTGGCTCCGAGACGGTTGGCACCATGTACGGAAACACAAGCAGCTTCACCGCATGCGAAAAGACCTGGTACAACCTTGTCCTTACCCTCAGCATCAACAGTGAGAACCTCACCAGTGTACTTGGTTGGAATACCACCCATGTTGTAGTGGACGGTTGGGAGGACTGGGATAGGTTGCTTGGTAACATCGACACCAGAGAAAATGGATGCGGTCTCAGAAATACCTGGAAGACGTTCGTGGAGAACATCAGGTGGAAGATGGCTGAGTTGGAGGTAAATGTGATCCTTGTCTGGACCAACACCACGCCCTTCTCTGATCTCCATGGTCATTGATCTGGAAACAACATCTCGAGAAGCCAAATCCTTAGCAGTTGGTGCGTAACGTTCCATAAATCTTTCACCCTCAGAGTTGAGAAGATATCCACCCTCACCACGAGCACCTTCAGTGATCAAGCAACCAGCGCCATAAATACCGGTAGGATGGAATTGAACGAATTCAAGATCCTGGTTAGGTAATCCTGCACGAGCGACCATAGCCATTCCATCACCAGTACAAGTGTGTGCAGATGTACAACTGAAGTAGGCACGTCCGTAACCACCGGTGGCCAAAACAGTGTTGTGTGCGCGGAATCTGTGGAGTGTACCGTCTTCTTGGTTGTATGCGATTACTCCCTTACATTCACCATCCTCCATGATTAAGTCGAGAGCGAAATATTCGATAAAGTAGTTTGTGTTGTGCCTTAAAGATTGACCGTAAAGAGTGTGGAGAAGTGCATGCCCGGTTCTGTCAGCAGCTGCACAACATCTGTATGCTTGACCACCCTTTCCGAACTTTTGTGATTGACCACCGAAGGCACGTTGATAGCTAAATAGACTCTGTTAGTATATACCCATAAATGAGCCGCCAGTTCCGCTTACATCTTGCCGTCGTCTGTTCTTGAAAATGGGCAACCATAGTTTTCCAACTCAATGACAGATGCTGGTGCTTCTCTTGTCATGTAATGAATAGCATCTTGATCTCCTAACCAATCTGAACCCTTGACAGTATCGTACATGTGCCATCTCCAGTCATCTTCGTGCATATTACCCAAAGCGGCATTAATACCTCCTTGCGCCGCTACCGTATGTGATCGAGTTGGGAAAAGTTTCGATATGCATGCAGTGTTGAAACCAGCCTCCGCAAGACCGAATGCTGCTCTTAAGCCAGCTCCTCCAGCACCAATGACAATAGCGTCATATTCGTGATCCTACCCAAACAATCAGACACGACATACTTCCAGGTGTAACTTGGGATACATACTACGACGGGGTATTTATTGCTCACGAAAGGCGAGGCTTCCTTTGCTCGAAGTGGCGCATGTGTGATAATTCGGGCTGCAGATTAGTTAGATATTAGCCATTGGACCGGACATTAAAGCTGTGGCAGACATACCTGCAGGTCTCGTCGATGAGAACGATCTGGTTTGATTTTTCAATGCCCTCGAGAACTAGCATAATGGTAGAGGTTAGCATTGCTATTTTTTGACTTGACAGACGCGGGGCCCGAGGTTAAAGAGTGGAACGAACATACCGAAGGACCAGCTGTGAATCTACGCATAGCAAATGAAGACATTGTGTAGAATATTATGAAAAGAAAGATGAGAGAAGAAGAGTGTGAGCGTGCAACACCAGAATTAATCAGAGGTCTTTAGACCTTTTAGAGATTTGGCAATGGAGGCAACTCAGGTTAGCGTCAGGATTCATAAGACCTTCTCTAAATCTTTCAATCCGGCATTAAACAGAACGATGATGGCTCGATGTACCTTAGTAAGTTATTTTGATCATCGAGCCAATCACATAAATCTATTTCCAATTTGTTCCTACTGACATTCCGAGCACAAGTAGCCGAAAGCCGGAAAAATCCGCACACCAGAAACAGCAAAACCGCAAAAACATGGGATCGAGAATGTTTTCTACTGCGTATATAACAAATTATCTTTTGTACCAATTATATATTCTGAGGTCGAAAAAAGCTCTACACAAGAGAAAAAGGATGGCATTGATGTTGAACCAGATTGAACCAGAAATATCAAGTGGTTGAATTGATATCGATTTTCAAAGAAATTGTTCATATGTTTCTTAATTGTGGTGGGTACATTTCGTATTCGGGAAGGAAACACAGCAAGATCCTCGATTAACATTTGTGCGGGGCAAAACTTCCCCAAGGTTTAAGAGAAAGTGAAGGATATCGGACATCATTCTTTTCTTATCATAGGTCGTCATACATTTTGTTAACATTTGAAAGTTCCAAAATATCGATATGATGATATGAGGGTTACCAACATTTAGATCCGAAGTATCGAACTGCACGGAGCAAGGTTAACTAGTTTTCGCAATGAAACCTAATCGCCAACGAGAATACCAAGTGGTCTTGTCAAGTTCCGGAATTAGTTTTTGCCCTTTCATAAAAATTCTCATACAGCAAGATAAAAGGGTAAGCACTCATCGATCTATTCATTTATATTTGAGCATCGATGCACTGCTTGAGTGCTTGAGCTACCGATATACTTTCCAAACATTCTGCCTCCACGGCAGTGGCCCCCGGAGGCCCAGCGGAGCGTCAGTCCCATCGATAGTGGGGACTCACTTGAATTCTCATATAGACGCTGTTTCTGTGCGTTTTCGATATATATCACATACGGAATATGCGCTCTTAAAACCATTTACTCAGGATGATTTGAGTGGTACAGAATATATTATGGCATGCCCCCAGTATTCGGCAACATGCAATGCACGAAACGGATAATTTGTTTCTTTCTTGGCATGTCAGTTCATGACAACCGTTTTCTTTACTCCTTACAATGAGGTTGAAATACCCATGCTATATCACAAGTTATAAGATGTAAGCCTCCTTCCCCACAGTTCCCCGGAAAAGTACCTCGTGGTCATTTCACAGTATGTGATGACCAGGATGAATGGCGGCAGAAAGTCTCTCTGGCGCCGACTTATATCAAAATATATTGGGATTTAATAAATTCCATCTTTTAAGTATCAGGTTCGCCGGCAAGATCATCCGTGTAATTTAAAATGGTATGAAATATTGCCCAAGCGACCAAACGGATAATGGGATAGCTTTCGAAATCTGGGGAAGTTTTGGCTATTGCCATAATGTTCTGTTTCCCGCATGTCCTTTCTCGCTGTCCCGCGAATAGATAATTTTGAATTCATCCATAAGTATCACGACATTCCCGATTGGGCAATGTCCTCCTCCAACCCGTGAGTTCATATAAAGGCAGGGCGACTTCCGTATGTTAGAATACGTCTTTCCAAATTCTCCTCCGCAGGTCAGGTTCTTTGTACATTCCTTGTGGATTTCTGGAAAGTTAGCAATATGCGGCTTTCGAGTTTATTTTGTGGCATTATCGCCATTGCTTCTTACGGTCGGTTTTTTCCCACAAGTATCATGTTCAGGCATGTTCTAACATGCTCTAGCTGTTTTCGAAGTATCAAGTCAAGATTTTGCCGCTCATGGCTATTACACCGAGCCTAATACAGGCATTACATTCTATACAAGCACTGAAGGTAATGGGACAATCGTGGGCGATGGAGAATTCTCGTTAGTTTCACAAGGAGGCTACACCTTCGGAATGGCATTGCCCCCAAGTGCATTGACTACAGACTCTTATGATTATATTGGATTAATTGTGAGTTGCATTCATCTCTACATATGAAAATAGCTAATTAAACAAGATCGGCTCACTTCCTAATGGTACAGGATGGAGTGGTGTCGTTCACGGTCAACAACTTAGTGCTTCAATGCCAGGACATTTGCTACTAATCGCTTGGCCTTACAATGGTCAAATAATAACCTCCTTTCGTTATGGGTAAATATCTTCGTTCCTTCTATATTTGAAACGGTTATATTTGTGAGCTGACAGATATCGAATAGGTCTTACTCTACACCTGTACTATATGGAGGATCTGCGAGCGTGACACAACTCTACTCCTCTATTAATTCTACACACTGGGTCCTCGTCTATAAATGCACCAATTGCTTAAAATTCGATGACCCAACTCAGACAGAATATAATGTTAGCACATCGGCAGGTGGCTTTGAGTATGGATGGGCTCAAAACATTGGAGCTCCAGATAACCCTTCTGATCCTGCTAATGCGGTCATATATCGTAAGATCTTTGAACAATTTTGTTATTCCTTGAGCTTAACCTCGCTTTTTGTGTGTATTTAGTGCCACACTGAGTCTTTCTTTTACTTGTTCTATTCTATCATCAACATTCTAACGACAACAGAGCACAATAACGGCATGGGAGAATTTTCTATCAAAGTAGCTTCTGCAACCCAGTCCTCTTATTCAAAATGGGCTACCATGACTGCCACGATCACAGCGACTACTGGTACAGCCACTGCCACTGCTACTTATTCCACATCTCCAATTCCAACTGCGACATCCTATGATTATATCGTTGTTGGTGGAGGGGTACGTATAACTACTTTCCTATGGTCATTTATTGTCACGGAAAGGGATATCATAGGATCTCACTTCTTTATGGGCTTCTAGACTCTCCTCTCAAGTCTTGATTGATTTTTTACTTTTGATATTGAGAAATAAAGTACTAAGATTTCATTTCTCTAGGCTGGAGGAGTTCCGATGGCAGATAAACTCGCCCAAAGTGGAAAGTCTGTGCTCTTGATAGAAAAAGGGGTTGCTTCTTCGGCTAGATGGGGTGGAAGTAAGTAATATATTAACCATAAAATGCACTCACTAACAATGTCTAGCGATTCGACCTGAAAGTGGTTGGCTTTCTGGAAGTAATCTCACTTGGTTTGATATTCCAGGAGAATGTAACAGAATTTGGCATGGTGGAAGTTCTGGTGTCGCTTGTGATGATGTCGATCAAATGGCTGGATGCGTCTTGGGTGGAGGTACTGCTGTTAATGCAGGCCTATGGTGGAATCCAGATCCATCAGATTGGGATTACAATTTTCCTCCCGGGTGGCAATCAAAAGATGTAGCAGCGGCTACCTCGAGAGTCTTCAGCACAATTCCCGGCACCGATCATCCTTCGATGGATGGTAAATTATACCTTCAATCAGGGTACAACATCGTCGCAGGTGGTCTCAAAAATGCTGGATGGACAAATGTCACTGCGAACAATGTACCGGCCCAAAAGAATCGAACATTTGCCTATGCGCCATACATGTATATCAATGGAGAGCGTGGCGGTCCACTAGCAACTTATTTGGTGGATGCGAACAAACGCGCAAACTTCCATATGTGGCTTAACACTAGTGTGAAGAAAATCATTCGTGATGGAGGGCATGCAACAGGTCTATTGGTTGAAGCTACAAATAATGGAGGTCGACAAGGCGTCGTTAATCTGACTGCAATCACAGGTCGAGTAATAGTGGCAGCAGGTGCTTTTGGAACCCCCAAACTCCTTTTCAGAAGTGGAATAGGTCCCACAGATCAACTAAATGTAGTTCTTTCCTCCACGGACGGCCCAACAATGATTAACTCAAGCTACTGGAATAATCTCCCTGTTGGCTATAACCTCGACGATCATCTTAACACTGATACACAAATCTCTCATCCTAATATATCCTACTATGATTGGGTAGCAGCATGGAATACCCCGATCACTACAGACGCCTCCTCCTACCTGACCAAACGCACTGGACCCCTTGCCCAAGCAGCCCCAGATATAGGTCCCATGTTCTGGGAGCAAATCACACCCGGCGATGGCATTCCCCGCGCTATTCAATGGACCTCACGAGTCGAAGGTGATACACCCAATGCTATGACCCTCTCTTCCTACCTCGGACGCGGTCAAGTAGGTCCTCGAGGACGAACAACAATAAGTAAAGGTCTCACCATGTCCGTCTCTACCATGCCATGGGGAAACAAATATGATCTTGATGCAGTCGCTACAGCTATTGACCATATGGTCGCAGCTCTATCTACGGTTAAAAATATAACTTTTATTTATCCCCCGCCTGGAATGACAGGTGCGCAATATGTGGCCAGTGTACCACTTGCGTATGGGAATATTGGAGCAAGACGTTCAAATCATTGGTTAGGAACTGCAAAAATGGGAACGGATTCGGGATTACTTGGTGGGACTTCAGTGGTTGATTTAAATGCACTTGTTTACGGAACTGATAATATTCATGTTGTTGGTATGTATTTTCTTCTAAAATTTCATTACTTCCTTCAAGCACTCATCACTTCATTTTCACATCGAATAATTATATACTAATAATCATAGATGCATCCATCTTCCCGGGTATGCCCTCTACTAACCCTAGTTCCCTAATCGTCATAGCGGCCGAACATGCAAGTCAGAAAATCCTCGCCCTACCTACTTTGAAAGCATTACCTCAATTTGCACAATGTGGAGGTTCGTATTTTGACTTCACAGCTGGAGGTGCTTGTGCTGCGCCTTATAAGTGTACAGTGGGAAATTCATATTATTGGCAGGTATGTATTTTATGATTTAATTATGTGGAGTTTTCTGGGGTTATTGTATGGTTGTATGGTTGTAGGATTTGGGCTAATGTGATTTTGTAGTGTTTGTGAGGTGATTAGAGAGGAAGATGTGGGAATGGATGGGATGGATGAAAGGATGTACATACATAAAAAAAACGAATACAGAATCAGAGATAGTATACGGAACTTCGTAGTCGTGCTTCTATTCTATCACATTGTATATATTTCCCTCCGATCAATAATGTAAATCCTATCTCATCCCATGCCATGCAATTTCTTAAACAAAATCACAAACCATCCTTCCATTCTTCCATTAATCTTTCTTACCTTACCTTACTTATTTACATTACTTCATTTACTTTACTTCATTTGCATGTACATGTAAAATTGGACGAGTGCCATCCATACACGGAATCACAGGCTCACAGGCTGCATTATCCCTTTTAGCCTATCTATGTACCCCAGATCACTCCCTCCCTTCCCTCCTCCCTCCTCCCTTCATCCATCCATCCATCCATCCATCCATCCATCCAAACCTTTACCCTAATTAACACAAACAAACAAACAAACAAACAAACAAACAAACAAACAATGAATGAATGAATGAATGAATAAAAGCACCACAACCGACTTCATCCACACAAGCTTAACAACGAGACAAAGTTTAAATGAAGAGTTTAAGCTTAATCCCCGCCAAAAAAAAAAACATATATATATTCGGAAATCAAAGGACCGTCGGATGGACATATATATTATGTTATTCTTTTAAGAACATATTATTGAAATTGAAATTGAAGTTATTATATTATCTAGATATAAGTAATATATTTGTTTATTTATGTTTAGGTAATATGAAACTAACTCGACTCATGGTTAATCATCCCCTTCTGTCTCATCCCAAGAACATCATTATAAAATCAATCATATATATACATAAATACATAAATACATAAATACATAAATGCATAAATACATAAATACATAAATACATAAATACATAAATACATAAATACATAAATACATAAATACATAAATACATAAATACATAAATAAATAAATAAATAAAGTGAATGAATCTCACAAGAACAATAATTAGATAAGATTATATACAAAAGAAGTAAAGATATAAGTGAGTTGATTATTTATAAATTAACTCTTAACTCTTAACGGTTCAAATGCTTTCAAACGCTACAAACGCTACAAACGCTAAAAATGAGCTTCGACCACACTACCACTTCTATCTCTATTTCCATTTCCATTTCCATTTCCATTTCCGTTTCCGTTTCCGTTTCCGTTGCCATTGCCATTGCCATTGCCATTTCCATTTCCATTTCCCCTAGACCCTACACTTCCATTCCCATTTCCATTCCCATTTCCACCTCCCCAACCATTATTCCCCACCTGTTGTGCAATCCACTCTAATACCGTTTCATAACAGAGAACATATTGCAATAAATTTTGCACCATACTAAGTCTTTGACCTCTAAAATCCTCCACCGTCTTCTCCACCAAATCCGTATCCTGATCAAAGACCCAATCCATATCCGCTTGTGTATTTATCTTTCCATGTCCCAAGTATCCATCATCATTTGTAGAATCAAATTCCATGGGTGTGGTTCCATGTTTTTGTTCTTTGTGTTGTCGCTTCAACATATCAATGACGGAATCAATGGTGCAGAATGTACCCGTTCGACCACAACCTGCACTACAATGAACAAGCATTGGTCGAGTGATTTCTGGTTCTGGATCACTTAGACGAGAAACTTCGGTAACGGATGAGGATGCACGTTGTATAGAATTGGCGAGATGGATGAGAGCTAAAAGATGACTAGGTTTTGCAGGGGAAGCAAAATCTGGCCAGGAGGAATAATGTACCTGGGTAATCTCTCGCATTGGGGTAAAAGGATGGGCGGCATGGGAAAGTGTAAATGTTCGTACGATAACATGAGCATCTTCTGTTGTAGGTGAAGGAGGAGTATTTTGGGTGGTAGTGCTTGCCCGCCTCCGTCCAGAATCTGATCGGTCTGTAGAGTTTCGTCTTCGATTGGATTCAAGGTAGAGTTTCTTTTCTGACAACTTCTTGAGCTTGAGGTGACCATATTCATGGCTAGACCAGTAGGAGTGACATTTCAATTGTCCACCTTCTGCCTCTGCTGTTAACATGACAATGACTCGTACATCTTGGTCCCAAATCACACTCCAGAAATCCTAAGGTTTATGTTAATAACAGGAGCAATGAAAGGTCTAGTGATAATACTAACCTCGAAAGTTGCAGGCAAAGGTCCTTGAGAAGCAATATAACGTTTGTTGCTCCTTGATGCCTTGATATGACTTGCGTTAACATAATCACACATCCCTTCCGTACGACCTTGAAGTTTAACTCGAGCATGCTCAAATGGCCAAATATTGTTGTATCTGTTTTTGCTTCCCTTCTCAACCCCGGCAATCTGAATATCATTAGATTTAACATCTGGCCCATTTCCATACCTAACTCCTTGATTTAATGCCTTTGTCATCCTTGCTAATTCTGCTTGCTCAATGTGAAGAAATCTGTCTGAAACAATCTTGCCATGATCCTCTTTCCTTGCAGCCTTTGATAACCATCTAGGAATGATATTCATCACAGATGCATCTCGCGTCAAGTTCTCCGGAACCGTAATATCTCTTTGACCAACACCATCCATTAGATCCTGATTTTGTCGAATGTTGCCAAAAAATGGATTTGCTGCATTTTTTGTTGCTGGCATAGCACACCCACCCGCTACTGGTGCAACTCCTGGTAATGTTGTTCCAAGGGTAAGATTAATTCGGGATGGCTGTGAGGATTGTGTTGAACCCCGATCAATGGACTTTGGAAAATTCTGAGCATATGCATCAAATCCACCTTTCAATATATATCTCGCTCCATTCCAACCTTCATTGCTAAACTTTTTCAATGTATTGATAGCCAATGCTGCATCTTTCTTATCTGAAGATCTATTATCATAAGCAACAATATATCTAGCTTGTTTCCATTTGGAGAATCTGGTTTTATCCTCCTCATTTGTGAAAGTATCTTGAAGTTTTTGAAGATTAAATGAAGGTCGCTTCAACAAGGTTGTAGGTATGCACAAGTTGAGGGCATTCCCAATCCTTGATTGCGAGAAGATGCTGTAAGTTCGACAATCGAGTAACAATACTTCTATCGAAGGAGAGCGATCCATCATTTCCTTTAACTCTATCGGGGTAATCATGCCTGGCCCATCTTCCAAATTCGATGGCAGTGTCTCCGCTCGCTGATGTTGACTTCGTGGTTGTGGTCTTGGAGACGGAGGGTCTACTGCATTTTGGGGTAGAGAGAGTCTAGGATGCCTTTCGTCTAGATGTGAGAGGGTATTTCTCTGAACAGCCGGCATTGAAGAGTGAAAACTGGCGGGTGACATTTGACGGGGTTGATCGAAAAATGAAGGAGCGTTTATAGATGAAGTAGATGCGCGCTCCGAGGAAGATACATATGCTGAGTCTGATCCATTACCAATATCACCGTCTAACGAAGGGGTATTCCTATTCCTTGGAACAGATCTAGGTGACGGAGGATTGTCATGTCTATCGAGTTTAGATGTCTTTCTCTCATTCTTTGCGCGTATTAAGGAAGGACCTGGTGACATTGAGAAGTTTGCTAGACCCCCATGACTAAGGTTGAAACCGTTATTGGATTCTGATTGCTTTTTGAAAGCCTCATAGGCAGGATTCGTGTTTATGGGTACATGTTCTGGTGTGCCGTCACCAAATGAGAACTAAAAGATCCAAAGTTAGAATGACATCACCAGGGGGATGATTAGGATGTGAGACTAACTATGGAAGACGTGGTAGGACTCCAATTAGCTTTAGGAACGGAGTCAGAGTCTCTGGGGTTACTTGACGGTTCAACCACTAGTCCAAAATAGTTTGGACTTGGACTTCGAACTCGTTCGGTTCTAGGACCTGGGGACCGGACATTCTGCCCTCCGGATGCAGGTACTCTTCCTCCGGGACTCATTATTGGAGTAGTAGAAGATGGGTGTGTAGAAGTTTTGTGTGATTGCGAATGAGAGTGTGAATGAGAAGACCTTGGTGAAGGTCTCGATGCTGCTTTGACAACCATTTGGGTCGATGCGCAAAGCTTTTATCCTTTTGTTTCTATGATATTATGTATGTGTCCCTTGGGTGAATGACTCTCTGTCTCCCAAATATCCAACATCCAAACGTATGCTATCTATCGGAAGTGTGTGCCATGGTTTCTGATCATCGCGACATCGAGTCGAATCCCGTATGGTAATGAGGTTGTGGTTGTCGGATTTGACACGGCAGGAAGATGATCCAGGCAAACTGTCCGGTCGAGGATGGATCGCTGCTGTTGATTTTGCAAATAACAAGTGACAACCTAAAATATAGAAAAGAGTCGAGAAAGGTTCTCGATGATTCTCCAAATGCTCCAAACCAAGCTTTCTTCCTCCCTTCCTTTCCAATGAATGAATGAAAGAATGATCCTCAATTAAACTTAAACTTGGATCAACTCGTGACTTGAAATATCGCAGGAAGAAATCGAATTTGTCTAGGATTTGATAATGAATTGAAGACGGGGGGGGATAGGGTTCTTGGATGAACAATACTCACGTATCCTGTATCCTGTGCGGTACGGAGTAGACAGGATAGAGTTAAAGTTAAAGAGGAAGGAAAGAAGGCTGAAAGATCAAGATTCAGGGTATTTTTTTAGAGGGGCGCTATCATCGAGTGGTAAGTGGGTAAAAAGTGGGACGTGAAGTGTGAAGGGTGTGAAGGGTGTGAAGGGTGTGAAGGGTGAAGGGTGAGTTGTGAAGTGTGAATTATGAATTGTGAGTGGTGAATTGTGAATTGTGAATTGTGAATTGTGAATTGTGAATGGTGAATGGTTCATTCGAATCAGTGTACTGCTTGCTGCAGGTTGGTTCCCTTTTCAACTTCTTCCTTTTCCTTCCTCGCAGTCAATAATAATGCTTGCGTCTTTGGACTTGCGATTTATTTGTTGTTCCTCTTTCCTCTTTCCTGCCGAGCTTGGTCAACCCGATCGACAAGTTTATGCTACGTATGCGGAATAGATGAGGGTCCAATATTGGACCTGCATGGGTCAGAAACGATAAGCAGTTGGTTGAATTAGCTTTGCACGGAGGAAGTGGTGACGGAACGTTTTGGATGATGATGTTATTTATTGCAGATCATTCAAAATAAAAAAAGGGTCGGGTAAAGTTTTCTGTTGAGTTGCATTTGGTTGTCGAGACTGGGACGGAGAGCGAGAGAGGTCGAGTCAAAGAATCGAGAGAAAGGAAAGGAGTCGGTGATGTATTTCTTAGGTATTGTTATATGTGACATGTGACATGTTATATTGATTGATTGATTTGTAAGTATTGTTCTTGTTGTATGTTCTTGTTGTATGTTCTTGTTGTATGTTCTTGTTGTATGTTCTTGTTATATGTTACATGTTATATTGATCTGGCGATAGGTGAATAAGATGAAAGCGAAGATGTAAAAATGGGGGGTAACGGCCAAAGCAAGGTAGGAGAGGGTCAGGGTACGGATTACAAATATGATGAGATGGATAATATTTGTCAAACTTCTTCATAAACACCTCTGGAGGGGTTGATGCAGGTAAGAAATGCAGTGTTTATGCAGTGCTTATGCAGTGCTTATGCAGTGCAGGATTGTGCGCAGTTGCATCCTAGCCTACTACTCGATAGTTTGTACAGAATATTTCATCATCGACATGTATCTACTACTTTTAGTGAGTGGATTGGTTTCATTTCTCGACTTGACCACCTAGATACTTTTATATTTAGGTCAGTGATAAAAGGTAGTAGGTAGTAGGTAGTAGGTCCGGCGTACGGGTACCTTGAATAGGTAGAATTAGAACAAAGGGATTCTAGCATGTACCGAGCATATATCGAGCATATATCGAGCATATATCATATATCTCGACAATCATTTATATCGTCCTCATCTCTATAGTACATCGAGTAAAAAAGGGATGAGAATCTTTGGAGAAGAAAGAATCTATTTATTTGATGCCTCTAGTGGCCTCCAAACTGAAAATAGGTATCTAGTCGCCGTGAAGAAGAGCCAAGCCGGTATGGAATAAATCTTTCAACTGCAGTCCTGTCCTAGGTAAGCATCTATCGGTTGTGTACCCCTGGGTATTTGGCTTGTTCACTCACAAGATGTAATGATGACCGGGATTTCTGTCATGACGTCTAGATGTGGCCATTCGAGCCACCTTATGTGTTGTACATCAGGACGGACCTACATCTTCACTTATTACTATAGGTTGTACCACCCACACAGTGCAAATATCTATTCATCCCAAAGTCGAGGATTTCAATTCTTGTCATACATGCTCACAGCATTTCACTCCCCATATGCATCCGTCTCATCTCTTTTCCGTTTTGTGAGTTTAAACGTTGTACTGGTGACAAGGGATATCTTTCCCTGTACACCTACGTCATTCTCTCCTCACTCCGGTGTGTCCAACCCCTTTCAAGACCAAACATAGAACATCAGATCGAACTCCGAAGGATTAGTCCACTCACTAATTATCCACCGCAAACTCTAAAGGAAGGCTGAGTCAAATTATGCTTGGTACCTACCTGCACACTGCATAATAGTAATTTCGAAAAACAACAGTTGACCGATGTCTTTCCTGCTGCATCTCTTTTCAATCTTTGGATTTTTACTTACCCTCGTCTTGATTAGTAATCGTCTAATGTCGACTGATCAGCAGCCGATTATCTCAATGGAAATCCCCCATAAGCATCACCTGGCCCAATAATCCGAAACCCTCATTTTGCACATCCGATGATCTCAAAGGCTGGAACTTGAACATTGCAGAACACCGGACGCCTTTAATCTATCATATGTACTAGGTATATATTCTGTATTCCGTTTATAAAATAAAGAATATAGGCTCTCCTGATATTAATACATTAATATCAAAGGAATCCCTTTCTTTCAAAGTGGTTCGATTAATGGTCAGTTTATTATTTTGCTGTATTCCTCACTCAGCCCGCCCTGTCGTGGTCGGTCAAGACTCAACTCGACACACACACTCAACGGGCTCAGGTCACGGCCCAATGTCAGGGTGCAGATAACCCGAAGCTAAATGACGTCATTTGAATGTTGCATGCATCACGTGTACTACTGCAATGTCTCATGTTTTGGGCTCAAGTTTCTTTTATTTTCTCGGAACTTTTCTTTTCTTTTCTCCGCTCGAATCTCGAGAATGTCTCTTCTTTTTCTGTGCTTTGTCATCTTATGGGAAAATTCAAATGTCAGGAGTATACTTGGTAAGCAGACGTCGGTATGAATTCATGATGGATGAGTGAATACAAGGAAATCAAATATACTATTGGTATATTTACATCAATTGAATGATTTGAGAATTTCAATATCGCTTTTCTACTCTCTGTATATTGGATTCGAGTGACTATTTATTATATCGATCACTAACACAAGTCCAATTTGGTACCATATACTTTCTTCTCGGATGATTGATTTGAGGTTATATGCCTCCTTCACACACCCAACACTTAGCACTTCATGCGAATACTGTAGATTGAAGAACTATATAACATTCATAATCCCCTACTGTAAGCACATCACATGACCATCATTAGATAACCTTATCGAAAAGATCAACAACTTACACGATTTTTCACCTGATAGCTTCATTTCATCTTCACCTTATCTCCCAGAGTCGTATCAAAATACGCGGGGTGGCTCCGTAAAAATCCAAGTCAAACACGCTAACGCTTAGATAACCCAATTTCTCAATTTCTCCCTTCGTTCCTCCGCAATCTTCCATGATTTTTGATAATTCTCATTGGTTCTTTCAAGGAATCTTTCTGCTTTTTGGAAAAGAATCCGACCTGCTGGACCCATGGATGATGGCTTGACGAGGCTTCCGATAAGCATCGTTCGTTCTTCTATCTATTCGTCTAGTGGCGCGGAGAGAACTTTATGTTGATGTTATGTGTGGAAAGGTAGTAATATCGGAGATGGTTCTCTTTGATAAGGGATAAAAGATTTATACTTTCTGTTTGCTATTATCGCGTGAATCGTATATGTATATAATATGTAGGGAGGTAAAGATGTTGAGTTCTTGGGTTAAAGTCTCTTCTGTCTTTTCATTGAAATCTCTACTTGCTCGTTGTTGTTGTTGTTATCAAGAGCAATCTCTATCTCTTCATATAATTGGCACCCAGTAGCTTCACTGCCATTTCTATTCCACGCGTTGCCATCATCCAAATTCCACATTGGCACAATCATCATTCCCTTCTACCTCCTCCGATACCCTACAATCATATCTCAATAAGATGTCTCTCCAAAAATCCCCGTCTCGAAGCTCGGAATTCGAAAATGGCGATGCAAAGGTTATCCCAGACATGGCAAAAGATATCGATGATCCCGAATCAAAGATTGGTATTACTGCAGAATCAGCATATATTTTTGATCACCAAGCAGAACGAGCTCTGTGTCGAAAGTTCGACTTTCGTTTATTGCCGGTTCTGGCATGCATGTATCTTTTCAACTCACTTGATAAGGGGAATTTGGGAAATGCAAAAACAGATGGTCTGGAAAAGGATCTGGGTTTCAAGCATAATCAGTATAATATTATCTTGAGTGTGTTTTATATACCATATGTTTTATGCGCACTTCCAATTGTGAGTTTTTCTTCATTCTTTACTACTTGTTATCATATATCTCACTGTCTCGGATTTTCCAATGCTTTGCTCAATATTTATATTGGTTGATTCAACACTTCTGGTATTACGAATATCAAGCGGAATTGAGCAGCCGATGGATAGTCCAGAATACCCTCAAATCCAAGTCCTACGCCTCACTATCCATTCACGGAATTCTAACATCATATAGGCTATGCTTGGAAAGAAGTATGGACCTGCAACAGTCCTACCAATCCTTATGATGTTCTTTGGATCATTCACCATTCTCGGAGGTAAAATCGGATTTTCAACACCACAATAACACAAACTAACCCCTTTCACAGTCGCAGTACAAAACTTCGGTGGAATGATGACCCTTAGATGGTTTCTCGGTATGTTCGAACCAAAATCCTCACATAAACCACATCCAACTAACAAATAAGGAATGTCTGAGTCCGCATTCTTTCCCCTAGTAATTTACTACCTCACCACCTTTTACCGTCGTGGTGAACTAGCTCGTCGTCTCGCCATCTTCTACGCAGCAAGCAACATCGCTTCAGGTACTACTCTCCACCCCTCCCTCCCCCCAACACAAAACTAAACTAACAACCAATCAAAATAGCCTTCTCGGGACTCCTCGCAGTCGGCTGTTTCAGAATAACCAACACCCCCCTCTACCCCTGGCGCTACCTCTTCCTAATCGAAGGAAGCGCCACCCTCCTCTTCGCTATCTTCGCCTTCCTGTACCTCCCCTCGTCAGCCTCCACAGCCAAATTCCTCACCGCACAAGAAAGAACCCTCGCCCACCACCGCATCCAGGTCGACTCCTCCTCCATCGTAAACGAAGAATTCAACCTCCACGACTCCCTCGCAATCTTCAAACAACCAACCACCTACGCCTTCCTCGCCATAGAGATCTGTCTCGGCGTCCCCCTCCAAAGCGTAAACCTCTTCCTCCCCCAAATCGTCTCTCGTCTAGGCTACTCCACCATAAAAACAAATCTCTACACCGTAGCTCCCAATGTCTCCGGCGCAGTCATGCTCCTCATTCTCGCTTTCTCCTCTGATTATACCCGAAGACGTGGTCCCTTTATCGCGCTAGGTTTCCTATTCACATTCATCGGTTTCATCATCTACGTTTCCATCGACGTCACAAATCAACTCCACGTAGCGTATTTCGCAACATTCATGATGTGCTGGGGAACCGCAGCTCCAAGCGTCCTGTTAAGTACATGGTATAATAATAATATCCCGCACGAAGGCCGCAGAGTCGTAATGAGTAGTGTGGGAGTCCCATTGAGTAATCTCATGGGTTTAGTATCCTCAAATATCTTTTTGAATAAAGATGCTCCTAAGTTCGTTATTCCCCTCTCCCATTACCCTCCCCAAACCCCTCAATAACTCCACTAACACACAAAGATACATCCCCGCCCTCGCCACAACAGCCGCTTTCGGCGGCATGGGTGTTCTCCTCTCTTCCTGTTTGGCTGTCTATATGATGCTGGATAATAAGAGGAGAGATAAGAAACTAGGACGGAAATTGAGGTGGGGAGATGTCGACTGAGGTACTCAGGGATGGTCCGAGTGCAGGGGTTTAGGTGGTTTTGTAGGGATTTTTGGGTTTTGGGGGAGGGGTGAGGGGAGAAGGGAGAAGAATGTTATTGTTTTGGGATTATGATGATGGATGATGGATGATGAAAACGGATGTGAAAAGGGAGAGGGGTTGATTAAAAGGAGTTTTTGTTTTGGGAAGATTTTGGAAAGATTGAAATTATGATGTAATATCTTTGCGGTGTTTGGTGCTAGTTTAACTAACCACTGGTTACTTGGTTATTACCTATTTGTTGTTTTATTGTTATTTATTATCCATAGACTATATATTATGTAATATATATATTATATATTATATTATATTATATTATATTATATTATATTATATTATATTATATTATATTATATTATATTATATTATATTATATTATATTATATTATATTATATTATATTATATTATTCATCTATCCTATCTATATTACCATTTATCTATCCATCCATCCATCCATCCATCTATCTATCTATAAAGAAAATAAATAACTAACAACACAATAAGAAAACGAAGATGAAGATAGAGTTTTGTTTAAAGTTGATAGATAGGGCTTGACAAAATTTGAGTCATTGAGTCGTTGGGAGGAGTCAAATAAGAAGAAAAAAAGGTAAAAAAATGACATAATTATCAAGAGGTATCATCGAAAATTGACATTATTGAACCTATTCATCCATCCATCCATCAATCCATCCTCCAACTTCCAAGAATCCATCATTTATTTTTCCCCGCCATATAATTCGATCCAATCCACTCCACTCCACCTACACATTCACGCTATACATCCACCACGCCATAATTTTATGAAATCTCTAGCTAACCACACCACTCAATCTACACCCCATCATCCATTCCACATCATCCATCCTCTTACCCTAGGAGCTAAAAACATCTAAATCTCATCCACATCCTCTTCCTCTCTAGTAACCCTCTTTCCCCTACTATCCAAAGTATTCAAACTAATCGAATCACTATCCCCGGCATCCCTCCCTTGCATTCCCAAAGCCTGTCTTCCCACCTCAGAATCCTTCAAGAATTCCCTCAACTTTTCCTTTCCAATCTCAACTCCTTGGGTACTAGCCGCATTTAACATGCGGATAATTGGACCCCAGAGATTGAGCGTGTAAGTGACGTAACCAGCGACACCGCAAAGAATGAGGAAGACAAAATAGATTGGATTGCGTAGGACTGTGGTTGACAAGTGTTAGTGGTTAAGTTTTGGGTTGAGGGAAATAATTTAATGACATACCAGCAACAATCTCATTCCAACCTAAAGCCAATAATAGACCATAGAAGTACAAAGGAACTTGAGCCACGCCACCAATAGCGCTACGTTTAGCTTCAACATATACACCATCTGCTGTCTTCTTGAATCTAACCACGAGATCTTGACGTTTAGCCTCGCTAAGAACTGTCATTTCTTCCTCAAGACTCTTTCCTTCTTCTTCATCCACACCACCAATAGGTGTAAGATCTTCTTCATCTTTAGGATCAACACTAGCCGGAGTGCTGCCAATCCATTCAGGTAACTCGGGAGGTGATGATGTTTCCAAGAGCTTGAATTTGGCCAATAATGGTATCAGGGTCAGAGTTGATTCTCTAGCCTTGGTATAAATTCCCTCAATATCATCAGTAGGTCGCCAAATACGTGGAACACCCGCTTCATCGTAACGAAACTTGTCCTCAAAGTTCTCTCGGAGTTTAAGAAGGATATTACCTTCCATGACTTCTTCGTCAATTTTAGCTCGGAGAACACCCCAACTCTTTCTCCTGAGACGCCATAGACCAACTTCGATTTCATCCTCACTAGCATCAAAACTCTTTGCTCGTTCGATAAATTTAGACTCTGCTTCCTTGACTGTTCCAGTGAAAGTTTTCCATATTCTATCCCACAAATCTTTCTCGGTAGGAGGCTTTTCCCCTGTCTCAGGGGCTCCACTACCTCCTCTTCCAGAACCGAGTTTGTTGAACTCAACTCCAATGGAATCGTTCAATCGTGATCGCACCCATCGCTCAACACGTGTTGCAAGACGTCTCATCTCTTCTTTCCTGAGATTACCGCTAACTTCGTTAAGATCCTTTTCAAAAAGGTCGTATTGAGAGCTAAAATTAGTCCATGATAACTCCTCAATATACAGGCTCTTCGCTTCTGCATCGAAGGTTTTAAGTGCAACCTCCTTTTCTCGTTCCACGATATCTGCGAATTCATATGAAGCTGCCCTCTTCTGGCCATTCTTCACAGCAGTGGAAACGGCATCGCTAAACGATGCAACACCGGTCTTATGAGCTGCGATCAACTGACCATGGTATAATAACTTTAACCTCGTATCAATCTTGCCTTCAAGCTCGGTACGCTTCAAAGTATATACGCCTTTGTGATACCTGCTAGCTTGTGCCTCAAAATTCTTGATGGTACTAGTGCGAGCCGTTTTACCGGTAACACCTAAATCAGCAATAACAGTAGGCTTGCCAGATCTGATAGCTTCACCTTGCTGCTCTTCAAGTGGATGAATCTTTGCGTCGAATGAGACCAAAACTTCTCGGGAGATTTCGTCGCAACGAAATTGTGCTAAAAGTTCTTGCTGAGTAGGAAGGTCCAAATCTTTGTTATTCACGATTTGATCCCATACACCCTCTGTGTATACCGCAAATCCATCTGCTGGAATTCTACGATGATACTCTGGCAAGAAGACACCTCCCTCATATCCAGCATCTTCAGCCCTTGTAGATTTACGGCCAGCTCTAAATCGTGTACCAAGCTTTTGCGCTTCCGTAACGAACTTGTCTGGTTGTAAGATCTTATGTGGTAAAGCTGCGAATGCAAAGTCGAAGTAATCTTCTATCTTTGAATTCTCAAGGCCGGCAGGTTTCGAAAGAGAAGCCCATATAGCGCTTAAATCCTGAATAAGGGTGTCCTTGAGGTTTGCTAGTGGGGTGGTTCCAAGGTGGTCTCGAATAACGAAGAATAGAAGGGATCGTGGGGTAGACCTGTGGGGTGTTACTAAATTTGTTAATGATCTCCAGAAGAGAAAACCTACTGCTTGTCCTTTAAGAATAGTTGGCAATTAACTTCAAATACAGTTTTGAGTAATCCCATATTTGCGCCCTGATATAAACCTACTTGATGTTCCCATATATTTACAATGAGAACCTCTGAGGTAGCCAGAGCAAAAAGGGCACTTTTTCTTTCAAAGTCTTGATCTTCGCCCCGCTCTCTACCATCTGTTCCCTCAACATCCATAACTAAAATATTGTCTGCCATAGTCTCAGATTCAGAAGCTCCAGAGCTTTGATTCTTATTCTTTGACATCCATATTCCTTTTGTAGTCTGCCGCCTCTCCCTTTCGGACATCACCCCAAATTGTGTGCCAAATAAATGATTAAGGAGGGTAGACTTTCCTGTGGATTGTGACCCAAATACTGATATAAGGTGATAGTTAAAGCCAGAGTGTGCTGTATCGGTATATTGGAGATACTCGTTGAGATTAGGACTATAAAAATTCTGTCAGCCATGGCAGATCTTCCACACCATCCCATATTTGCGTACTTGAATTCCTTCTGCTCATCAATAACTTGTATGCCATGTTCATATTGTTCTTTTGTCGGCGCATCGCCGACTGAAGCAAAGTTGCCATTCATCGTCATGACTGAAGGAGCTGTAGGAAATCTTGCAGCTGGAGAAGGCCTGTCGCCATGACCATTTATGTTGGAAGTAGCCATATCTGTGATTGGCAACCAAGAATGAACAATATTATAGTGACGTTGAATAGTGAAAGAATACCCTTGTTTCTCAAGGGACAATTGGCATCTAATCTATTTAACTCCAGATATTAAGAAAGTTTAGCCGGAGACACGTGATTGATATCGAAATCCAAGAATTCAAAGAATTCAAGAATGAATTAAAAAGAGGCACATCACAAATATTTGAACAGCAAACAAGTATGATATATACAAGTACATAAGGGTTAATACGTGTATTATGCACTCGACCCCTCCATTTTATGCCACCGAAGCTTTTTTCTCTTTTCTCATGAATATTTATTCATCAGATTGGCTGAGAAGTTGGTTACACGTCATTTGGACAACAGTACAAGAAAGACGCATAATTCAAATGCATCTAGTCATATTGTGGAGTTTGAAGTTCAGGAAAAGGTAGGTATTTCCAGTTATTCTCATCTATTCCCATTGATGTTAAGAACTGAGAACATAGGACCTACAAGGCTGAAGGACCTACCCTTCCGTCTGATTCTTTTACTGGTCAAATACATAGTGTTACATTCATGATGGATTTCTCCAGATTTTCCCCTCTACCCCTTTTTATACACTTTCGCCGTATTTTCACGACTACTTTATTTGTACCTTGCTATATCAGCGATCATTGGCACGGCGTTAGGGATTCGAATTTCGAAGACACGAAACCTCAAACTGCGATAGGGCTTGCTTGGTGCTTTATTTCTTTTACGTTATGCCCGTTAAATTAAGTTCTGGGATCAAAAGCCGCCGGTAAATGACAATTGCCATTGACAAATCCTAAAATGTAGGTTTCCCCGACATTTAGACACTATCACCATCGATAAGTTATCATTGATTTCTCCAAGGTTATCTTTCGGCGATCTCACGGTCTGTAAAGTCAGTGTTTGACCCTTTATTAACACTTTTATATACTACACTTCAACTTCCTCAATTGCTAGAGATTCAACTTCTCAGCATTTCCTTCATCCATCCTTGTTTTCTTGCTCATCAGCATATCCTATCTTAATTTGCTTTTGTTTCGGGTATTTCATTTCGTTGACAATGGCGGCTTCAAATCAAGATGCTGCGTTGGCAACTATGGGATACACGGCTGAATTGCCTCGTTCCCTAAGTATGATGAGTATTCTGGGCCTGTATGTTACATCGTCTCGCCCTTGTTAGCCAATGCTAACCAAAGTATCAGATCATTCGCTATTATGGCAGTTCCATTTGGTCTCAGCACGACATTCGCTTACTCCCTGACCGATGGACAATCTGTGACGGTCTTATATGGCTGGATCTTCGTATCATTTATATCACTTTCTATCGCTGCGTCATTGGCTGAAATTTGTAGTGTGTATCCAACATCTGGAGGCGTATAGTGAGTATAATCTCAAATATTTCTTTTTTAATTTAAAACCATCGACGGCTGCACTTGTCAATGCCGAAACTCTCCGAGAATGCCGAGGTCTTTACTAAAGTCCAGAACTGACTCTGAAATGTAGTTACTGGTCTGCTATGCTTAGTACCAGAAAGTATGCTCCTGTTGTTTCCTGGATCACGGGTTGGTTGACCTTGGTGGGCAATTGGACTGTGACTTTGTCCATCAACTTTTCGGTATGTTCAACCCTTTAGGATGAACATGTCCAAAATGCTAACACTTAGTATCAGGGTGCACAACTAATTCTAAGTTCTATCTCGGTCTTTAACGAGGATTTCGTAGCCAATGCATGGCAAACAGTCCTATGTTTCTGGGCCGTTATGGCAATTGCTTTCTCAGTAAATGTGTTCGGTGCTAAGTACCTGGATTTGATCAACAAGATCTGTATATATTGGACGTCGGCTTCAGTTATTATCATCATCGTCACTCTTTTAGTAATGGCAGATGATCGTCGAGATGCTGAGTTTGTTTTCGCTCATTTCGATGCCTCAGCATCTGGTTGGCCTTCCGGCTGGGCTTGGTTCGTAGGACTTCTTCAAGCCTCCTATACATTGACCGGTTACGGAATGGTCGCCGCCATGTGTGAAGAAGTGCAAAACCCTGAACGAGAAGTTCCCAAAGCTATGGTACTATCAGTCTTCGCAGCAGGTGTTACTGGAGTACTCTACTTAATTCCTCTACTATTCGTACTCCCAGACGTATCTTCAATTCTCGGTCAATTAAACGGCCAACCAATCGGCTACATCTTTAAAACAGTAACCGGTTCCGCAGCCGGTGGATTCGGGCTTCTTTTCCTCATCCTCGGTATTCTCTTTTTCGCCGGTGTTGGCGCTCTCACTGCCGCAAGTCGTTGCACCTATGCCTTTGCACGCGATGGCGCCATTCCCGGTTCTCGTCTCTGGAAGCGCGTGCACCCTCAGTATGATATTCCATTGTGGGCTCTTGTCCTTTCCACCGTCGTGGATTGTATCCTAGGATGCATTTATTTTGGTTCCACCAGTGCTTTTAATGCATTCACCGGTGTGGCTACTATTTGTCTGTCCGTTTCATACGGTATTCCCATTTTGGTTAACCTTATCCAAGGGAGACAGGCGGTAAAACATGCTTCATTCTCGTTGGGAAGATTTGGCTTTGTTATTAATGCTATTACTGTTGTTGTGAGTACTAGAGAAAACGCACCCTCTTCTGATCGCTTTACTAATTGATCATTATACAGTGGATTACCCTAGCCATCATCCTTTTCTGCATGCCAACCGCCATTCCTGTCACTCCTGTAAGTATGAATTACGCGAGTGTAGTCTTTGTATTCTTCGCTTCTATAAGTCTCCTCTGGTATTTGATTAGAGGTAGAAAAGAGTTCAGTGGGCCCCCGGTTGTTTCGGCTGAGGAGGCGGAACATAATGGGCAAATTGTGGGTGGCGTGGGGAGAGTTGTCACGGAAGATGGTAGTGCGCAAGCTTCATTTGGAAGTGACACAGAGAAGGCGAATCGGAAGTGAGCGGTTAGATTATGTACGATTATGAGTATGATATATGGATATCATGTGGTAATATGGCTTGGATGAACCAAAAATGCAGCGACTTTGATAAAATAGAACGGTGTTAGATTTCTATAGATATCTTTGTAGGAACTAAGTAATAAAATTTTCATATTCCGGCAGTTAGAAGAGTATATCATACCCGATATACAAAATATGCTTGGTATCCATTGTTAGTCCTCCGTATCGACATTCATCTTCAACCTTTCTTCTCTCCTCTTGTCTTTTTTCTGTTTCTTCCTCTGGGCTTTCAGAAGCTTCTTCGCTTCTTGTCTTGCCTTTCTCTCATCATCCGATGCCTGTTCTGTCTCAGGATCTCCCTCATAATCTTTCTCGATATCGATAAGTGGGTTATCCTTAGGACTCGTATCGACAGGCTTGCTGCGGAACAGATTGAAATCTCCTTCGTCCACCTCCATTTGGTCAAGAGCTTCAGGCAACTTATTTTCAACGTTACTTTGTTCATCATCCTCTTCCGCTAGCGCATTCTTCTGTTTCGACTTCTTCCTCTTCTTCTTCTTCGACTTCTTCGATGTAACCTCCGTGCTCTCATCAGCATCTTCCAGCTGGAGCAACAAGGCTTTATTGACTAGCTCTTTTCCTTCTTCAGCCTGGTCTTGCGCAAGCAGAGCTTTGTTGATCAATGGTTTATCATCACATCTTCCGTTTGTTTTACTATGTTTCGTTTTTAATTTCTTTGCTTTTCCCAAGGCAGTTCGACCTTCATCCTCATCACTACTAGCAGCTGCCATAGCCCTCTTCGCACTCGCAGCCTTCTCCTCAGCATCTCTCGCTTTACTAGCTCTCAACTCTTTCGAAGGGAGCATTTTGTCGCGAAGTGTTTTCTGATTACGTTCTGCTGCAGGCTTTAAGAATTTCGCAAACGCTGGATCGATATTCAGTGGTTGATTGCCAGCTGACGTAGGGAACCATAAGGCATCCTCAGCGTCAATTTCTTCTTGCGTCTTACGGCGTCTGTCGGTAGGGTATTTTGCTAGGATGTTTTCCGCGATGGCTTCACGTTTTGCGAGGGCCATTTGAATACGGTTCATTTTCGCATTGAATTCCTCCCATGTTTCCTTTTTGGGTGGAGGTTGTTCCGTTTGATCATCTGCGAATTTCACCATGATAGATGTTTTATTCTGTATGACTGTATCGTGCGATTATTGAACCCTCGTGCGGGGGATCAAATGTGTACTTCGTACTTTGTAATGCGTATCGCATATGTTCGTTCATTCGTTGTAACAAAAATATAATGTTTCTGATTGTAAGACTTCAACAGGCTAGACCACTCAATAGAGTTAGAATAAAAATAAAAATAAAAATAATTTTGATAAGCTCAGATTCGAAAAGTTTCAAGGATTCGTTCATCCCACGTGAAATTAGCGGCTTTGGCTCCCTACGCTACCCGTATTAGCTTCGCGAATTCCCGTTTGACGGAAGGACAATAACTGAAAAAAGATCTGGTTACGATAGAAAAGACGGCAATTGTGTCTTGCGCTTTAATAGAATATCAACATGTTCAAGCTAGCTAGAAGCCAACCTTTGGCAGCTGCCTTGAAGGCAAGCAGGGTAATTTTTTCACATCCAAAATAGTCCCTTATCAACAAAGTTAACATGGTCCCAGGTCTCTATGTCATCCCGCATGGTCGGCGCCGCGCAACAAAAAAGAGCTTTGAGCATACACGAGTATCTTTCAGCGGATTTGTTGAGAAAGGTACGAGTTAGTTATATGCGCGCAGACGAATCTGACGAGAATACAGTATGATATTGGCGTCCCCAATGGAGCTGTTGCAAAATCAGCCGCTGAGGCAGAGGCTATTGCAAAGAATATTGGTGGGGATGACATGGTTATCAAGGCACAAGTTCTTGCCGGTGGAAGAGGAAAGGGTACTTTCGACAATGGGTTAAAGGGAGGAGTCCGAGTTATCTACTCTCCTACTGAAGCAAAGATGTTCGCAGAGCAAATGATCGGACACAAGCTTGTTACCAAGCAAACTGGTGCCCAAGGACGTATCTGCAACTCGGTCTATATTTGCGAGCGCAAGTTTGCTCGCCGCGAATTCTACCTTGCTATCTTGATGGATCGTGCTTCCCAAGGACCGGTTATCGTTTCTTCGTCTCAAGGTGGAATGGATATCGAAACTGTTGCAAAGGAGAGCCCAAACGCAATCACAACTACCTACATTGATATCCACAAGGGTGTTACTGATGATATCGCACGAAAGATTGTTACTGATATTGGTTTCAGTGAACAATGTATCGAAGATGCCAAGGATACTGTTCAAAAACTTTACAAGATTTTCATGGAGAAGGATGCTACTCAAATTGAGATCAACCCTCTCTCTGAGACCTCGGATCACAAGGTTCTTGCCATGGATGCCAAACTTGGTTTCGATGACAATGCCGAATTCCGTCAAAAGGAGGTCTTTGAATGGCGCGACACTACTCAAGAAGATGCTGAGGAAGTTCGTGCCGCAGAATCTGGTCTTAACTTCATCAAGCTCGGTGGTGACATCGGATGTTTGGTAAACGGTGCCGGTCTTGCTATGGCTACTATGGATATCATTAAGCTTAATGGTGGTGAGCCAGCTAACTTCCTTGATGTTGGAGGTGGAGCTACCCCACAAGCTATCAGGGAGGCTTTCACTCTCATCACCAGCGACCCTAAGGTTACCGCTATCTTCGTTAACATCTTTGGTGGTATCGTTCGTTGCGATGCTATCGCTCAAGGTCTCATCAGCACTGTTGAGAGCATGAACCTTAGAATCCCGATCATTGCAAGATTGCAAGGAACAAACATGGAGGCTGCACATCAGTTGATCAACGACTCCGGTCTTAAGATTTTCTCCATTGATGACTTGCAAAGCGCAGCAGAGAAGGCTGTCCAATTCTCAAAGGTTGTGAAGATGGGTAAGTTTATTCGTAACCCATATGAGTGATCATCGCTAACATATTCATCAGCTCGTGATATCGATGTTGGTGTTGAATTTTCTTTGGGCATTTAAGCGGTTACATAGATAGGTTTTCTCCTTGTTTGTATTGATTCCCACCGTCTTTAGATCAATGGATGACCTCGGCTGAGTTCCCATGTATAATGCATCGAGTTTCATGTCCATATACATTATCTTCTGTATTCATTGTGAAACACTTTGAAATCCTAATAATAAAGCATGGATATTGAAACTACTTCTAGTAGCAATGGATATTCTATTAAAAAGAAACGATCCGATTGGCTCTTCTGCGAATAATAGACTTCAGCATAGCAGATTCAGCACAAAATCTGGCTTTAAAGCATATTTTTTTAGTTCCAAAAACCGTCCAACACACTCACGTATTCATCACTCATCCGCTTGGGCCTCGCCTAATCCAATACACTTCAAATATATCTCCTAATCAAAAGCCCAACTCATACAACAAGCACTTCTCCCTTCTCCCCCGCCCCCAACAATCCCCTCATACTCCTACAATTCCTCACAGCAACAACATAAACCGGTTCCATCACTATCTCCACCTCTTCCCTTCCAATCCCAACCCCATCTCCATAACCCTCCTCCCCACACCCCGGACCCCGCGACACAAAACTAAACACCACAACCGCAATGACCAAGGCGCTCCATTCAAATTCCCTAATATATCTCCTCACCACAATATAATAAGGTCGAATAGTCGTCGTAAGTGTATGGAAAATGGCCATGGGGATCGCGGTAAAGAAGGAAAGAAGGGAGTTTAGGAAGTTTTGGAGATGAGATGAGAGATTTAGATGGGTGGCGAGAGTGTGGAGGGGATGTAGTGGCTTCTGGAAGGGGTGGGGAATGGGTTGGGGATTGTAGGGGGCGGAGAGGTGGTTGGGTTTGGTAGAAGGGGTTGGGTTGCTGTGGATGTGGGTGTGGTGAAAGGAGGAAGATGAGGAAGACGAGAGGTAGTAGTGGTGGAATGTTGGGATGGAGATGGAGGATGGATGGAGATGGAGGATGGAGATGGAGATGGAGGATGGATGGAGATGGATGGAAGGGAAGGGTGGAGGGAATGGAAGGAGATGGAAGGGAGAGAAGGAGAGGATTATAGATATCGGTAAGAGGAATTAAACGATGTGATTTCTAGTAGATTGTTTTAAGGAAACTGTCTGTTCAATTTGCATGAGGAATCCGAACAGTATTCTCTGTTCTTGCTGGTGAAGAGAAGAGGAAGAGGAAGAGCGAATGGAGGGTAGGGAATAAAACTACTTATAGATACGAAATGCAGCGGAGAGACACTAGAATTTTCTTTTTTGGGGGGGTTATTTGTCTATTTCGTATCAGTTTACATAGGTCATTTCATTAGAGAGTAGTATTATTCACGTTCGCTAATTCGCTAAGTAGGTACTTTTATAATTGTTCTTGTGTAGTGGTTGTTTCGTCTTAGGCAGCGAAATTTCTAGGCGCTATTGTTGTTCTCGCTTAGATATTCGGGGTTCTGTCTGTAGAGTCCTCTTGTTGAAGCTTGGGGTGAAGTGTTTCAGGGTGAGTTTGAAGTGGGAGATGGAAGTAAAAGGTACAAGAGAGATCCTGTGAATGCCTGATAGTTCTTCGATTTGACTCTGGAAAATAATGAATTAGACGGGTGAAATCGCAAGGAGATGTGGCTGGAAATGACGAGAAGATCTGGAAGTGAAAAGAAGTAATTCTGAATCATGGTTGAGAGGTATGGAATTTGTATGTGGCTTACATAGATGTTTAAATAGCTAGTAGAGTTGATTGGCGGATTGTGCTGCATGTTTGTATAGGAGAGTATAGTGATTGTGTTGAATTATGGAGGGTCATATGTCAGGAGAGTTTGCTTGTTGTAGTTTGATTGATAGGTTTTCACGGTAGGACATTTCCTTTTTCGTGATAATAGGTATTAGGGTATGTGCGCTGAGGAGGAAGGCGGAGGAAGAAGAGTTTTCTAGACGGCTGCTTATGTAGAGCAGCAGGTTTAAGTGAAGTGATAATATATGTGTGCCTAGAAGTACTAGATCTCAACGGTAATCGCTAACAACGACCAGCCCATATCCACTAATCAGAGAGAAGTCGCTCAGTCACATTTGTGTATTTTAGCAACGCCTAAAAATTAAAGGCCAGACTTGAGACTGTCAAAGGTGCCCTATGCCACGAGCGCTAGTTTGACAAGATCCCTACGTGTAAAGATAGCAGCTAGTAGCAATACACTATTCTCAAGATGCTAATGAAGATTGGAATGCTTAGAAAATGGCCAGGTGTGAGAAAGGAGGTAAACCTATAGCTGAGGCGAAAGCTGGGAGGCATTTACTTGCTACGGGCAATTCCTAGGAAAGGCATGATATAAGAATCATGTTGATCGGGGACAAATGGGATAAAAAAGAGAGAGCATTGATTGTTGAATGAATCAATTTGAGCCATGTTAAGTGCGCAGTGATAAGCAGGTTTGTACTTTAGAAATACTAATTTCAAGGGTAATAACAGCTATACTTCACTGTGAACCAACAACTACAGAGATTTCGGACAAACAAGCACGAAGCACGATTAAGACATGTACCGTCTCTGGACCTTTGAGTCATCATTTGCGGAAATGCCGCAAAGAAGACACAACTCCAGCTCCCAAGAGACTGGGTTGATCCTAAGATTTTCCAAGTAACTCGAACGAAGACCTTGCTTATTACAACCCTTGAAAGCAACATGGTCTTATTCGTGAAACATTGCACTCAGTTGTTATCTTTTGTCCTGCGCCGCGGCAAATGTGAATTAGCACCTCTCCATGATAAGCGAGATCTATGGTGCAAATAACAATACAGGATAGGAAAGAAAGCGAATTCAGTCAATAAGGGTGAAGCCCATCGAAAAAAGACGAAAGCTACCTATGACTTCATAAGAGCTAGAGTTACTTGTAGTAACTCTACTGCAATATCCTGTTGCTTGTAAGGCATGCAATGATTTTCCGCTTAGTGCTGCAGGAAATCGATGTATCTAGCACCTATTAAAGCAGGCCACGTGGTGTTGAATATTGATAAGAAGAGGAAGCGGGGTACATCGTCAAATGAAAGGTAGATCTTGTACATATTACGGCCGAAGAAGGACAACGTTAACCAGGTGCCATTTCCTTCGCAGAGTCCGAAGCAAGGAGGAGGGGATGTCGATATGGGGTGCTCCTGTTTGATGAGGGATGTGATGCTTATAAAGAACAGCATGAGAGCTTAAAAGGTTGACGCAAAATGCAGGTATTCACGATTCTATAGAGACACGTGATAATCCCTTTTGCCCAATGTAGCTTCCCATCGGTTATTAGACAAAAGTTTAACTACCGTATCCATTACATACGGAAATCGACGACTTATCGTCTAATAATTCCCCTTTTATTAAGTCTTACATTCATCGGTTTTGCTACAGGAAAATAATCATCTCGACTTCTCGAAATATATTATGCCAGCTACAAATAGGCTAGCCTATCCCCATCTGTCACTTCATATGGAATGATTTAATGCCATCAATTGATAACATGGCTGCATCATGGGAGATATCTTGCAAATAGTAAATGAAGACTCGGAGCATGAAGTTGTAAGCTCTCTATTTTCATATTATCACTCCCCCGTACCAATTTCTTACGTTTTTCATTAATCACCTCCGATTTGCTTGATAATCATCCCTCAGTGCGATGAGTTGATATATCATATTCGGAGTAGGGCCGGGTTGATCATGAATCACCGAAGTGTAGAATGGATATTGGAACAAGTGTCTCTTCAATATATTTCAACTCAACCCATATAGTAGTTGCATAAGAACACTGCTGGGACATCTAGTGGTAGAATATGCCAACAGTGGGGGCGGGGTATATGATTCAGTTTTCAAACCCGTCGACTACTTCTTTCAATTCCCACTAGCCCTCCCGGCACCAACATCACCACCAACAAGAAAAGCAAAAGCAAAAGCTAAAATGTCCCTCCAATACTCCATCCAACGTATCCCCACCCACTCCCACTCCCCATCCACAGACCCAACCCTCCTCTTCTTCCTCGCCGGCAAATTTTCCGCCCTCCGTCTCTCCGCCCTCCTCGAATCCCCTGAATCCTTCGCCTCCACCTTCGAGCAGGAATACCAATTCACCTCTTCCACCTGGCTAACGCGTCTCTCGCGTCCCAAATTCCACTACTTCATCGCGACCGCCCATTTCCACTCCCCATCCACACCACTTTCATCCCATACCCTCGAAACCGGTGTTTCTGTCGGGAGCGTGCAACTCTTCGGACCTCACCCCTCATCATTTTTCACTCTCCCACTAAGTGGAGCTCCGCCCCCTTTACCCGATACCGAGGAATTCAAATATCAAATGATAGCTCTATATAGCTCACCCTTACATCGCGGAAAAGGACTCGCTAAAATGTTGATTCAAGGGGGGATAGATACTGCGAAGCAAGAAGCGAATGAAAAGGGGATAGAAAAAGTGAGGGTACGAATTTTTATTGGTCGGAGGAATTTGACGGTTAGAAAATTATACCTCAGTGTTGGATTTGTGGAGACGGGTTTGTGTACGTTGGCTGAAGCGGTGGTGCAAAATGGTGATGCGGAGATTTTACCGGAGGATGGTGGAGCTGGGGATCCTGAGAAGTGGTTGAAAAGGGCGGCGTTGGTTATGGAGTGGGCTGGATAGAATTTATCATGGCGGGCATGTATGATACGTTTCTAAATATTCTCTAGATGTAAATTACTATTCAACAGATTTCTCTCCTCGTTAGTTCCCCCTTTTTAGCCCGACGTGAAAGAATTCTGCCTAGATCACATCTCTGACGCTTAATTCTCCGAACTGGTTGGTTGAATGCTATGCACATCCGATTATATTAACAACACAATCTACCATCCCTCTAATAACTTTATCTGGCGATGATCTCTGCGTCTCATATACAAACAGGGAAACAACTAACACAACCAATCACAACTACACGCAGAAAACCAACGTGAAGATTCAAATTCAACTTCCACATACATACACACAACACCCCCTTCCACCCCCCGCCCCTCCTAAAACACAAAAACAAACCATCAATCAAGATTCTCTCTATCACTTACACACTTTATAACTGAATACTAGGTAGATAATATCACAATAGAAATAAACACACCAACATCATAATTATAACATAAATAAGCAACATAATAAACCCTGTAGCTAGTAGCTTCCACCGTAGCGCAAACATCATCCACAACAAAATCTAAACCCTTCCATTTAAACATAATCAACATAATCAAATATGAAATCAGTCCATTCGCAAAGGATATTATAACGGAGTACTCGTAAGTCTTACGACTATTACTAATATCTAATATACATATAACATCCTTCTTTTCTGCTAATTATACACATACAATCATCACAAGAGCGAGGAGATCGATATCCTGTCTAGTTATAACCTTGTACTTTAATTACTTAGCTACTACTATAGGTATGTTACATAATTGATCAATATACGGCTACTCCCCAGCATATATCCATGTTGATATATGTAATGAGTTCTTTGTTCTTTGCTCTGCAAATTATATGTTTATATTGGAGATTGTCGTATTTTAACCTTATTTAGATCTCAAATCTCAAATCTCAAATCCAACTTTCTAAAATTATAATATCGATATGGGTATCATGATTTCGCAGAGCTTTCATTCTATATTCTATGTAGGCCCATTAATTCATACTGACCGTAGCGGATTCTATTCTATGTATCTTCGTAGACATATTATGTCCCTATTTAATTCATATCAAAATGTATCAATGCCAGTTTATCTATTCTACCAGTGAAATTGTTGTTGTTTACGACCAGTGTTTCCTGTCCTTATGTTGAACTACACCGTATAAACATCTATGTCGAGCCATCTCGATCCATATTCAAAACACTCCATCGTATCCCTAGCATAGAAAACGTAGCTTTCTCTAAATCTCCATCTTTATACCTGCCCAAAATATTTCAATTCGAATCGGCAGCATCATCAACGTCTACATCGCTCTGTTGCATGTCGTTCTCTTCATCTAATTTCCCATCTAATGTAGTGACACTCTTGTTATTGCTACCTCTCTTCAACATCATCAAACCATGCTCGTCACTTTCCGTCACACTATTCTTTCTGGTGCTCTCTCTCCTTTGCTTCCTACTGACCAAACCGGGAAAGATTCTCGGTTCACTGCCTGATAGATGCAGATCACTAAAGCTCGCTTCCAATCCCCAGGACTTTTCGCGTCCTTTATTGGCTGAATGTGGCGAGTTGAATGATGAGTTGGGTTGTGTTTGTTGATTTGGAGTAGCGTAACCAGATGGGCTATCTGTGCCCTTCTGGTGATGCTTTAAATGAGAATCTACGTGTAGCTGAGAATGGGAGAGGGGGATGCGGGCAGCCTGAGCAGGATGATGCTGATATTGTTGCGAGGGACCATGATCTACCACGCTAGCAGAAGCTTTCATGGATGATGTTGGCGAATGTGGCCGTGGTCCCAGAAAGAAGGAATTACCTTCTGCTGGACCTGATGTTTGAATTGCAGGAGTTGACAAAGCAGTGTAACGTTCAATCCTGTTATTGTTAGCAGTGCATTTATTCCGAAAGAAGCAAAATTATGACTTACATGGATAATTCCTGCATCAAAGTTTCATGTCGGAAGCCTTCCCTAATATTTGGGACATTGCTCTTCGCCATCGTATTACCCTTAACTCCAGGTAGATCATAATCTGGACCCAGCCATCTCTGCTTGACAGAATGCTCAAACCCACTTTGTTTGACGGAATTCTTCGCCAACTCACACATATCTACTGCGCTAAGCTTGTAGATTTGTGCAGCGACAGAGTATTCCTCGATGAGTGGCTCCTTTGTGAAGGCGAATTGAAGAGGATCGTCAGTGGAGAGAGATACATTAAGACCTCGCTTGAAATAAGAAAGGAAAGGATTTCTTTCATATGCCAAGAACAGTGCATTGTTACTCAAAGGGGACATTGCCACTCCAATCTGCTCGAGATAGAAGATGTATTGTAGCAAAGGTACTTTTCGGAGCAACAAACCATGACTGATGCTATGACAGCAAAGAACTGCAGCAGCCAGATGATCAGTGTCACCAGCTTCTCCACAATGAGGTCGCAGTAAGAATGTGTTGAAACCACGTTGCTTGCGCCACACATTCAACGAAGAAATATTGGCAAAAAGGTAGTAGATCCAATAGCTGTAGGGCGGATTTTGCTTAGAATCCCATACTTTCGGAACTGGGAACTTTCTGAACAATCTCCTTTCAGCTTTACTCTCATCGTCCACACTGTCGAACCCAATAACTCGCTGAAGGAAGATGTGAAGCTTCGGGTGACTGGATGGATCTTTTGTGACCTCAAACAGCGGCTGAAACAAATTAATGATAACTTGTTCAAAGTTCTCCATCAAACCACTAGATTTGTAAACGTCGAACAGTCGTGGAACCTGAATCAACCACCGAACATTGTGAGAGAATAGTTTGTTGTCAACAACCCATGCTGCTAGCTTATCCCATTCATCGATAGTTCTTCCATAGATCGAGATACGCCATTCAACCATTTGATATTTGCTTGATTCAAGATCTGAAATGACCTCTTTAGTGATTTCTGCAAGATATCTTCCATTGATAAAATTGTCTGTTTTCAAGAAAATCGTTCTCAATCGAGACTCTCCAACAGGATTATATTTCAGATTGAATTTGTCGAATCGATGAAAAGAATCGGTATGGGCCTTTAGTTAAGAGTCAGAAAAGTCTACCAAAATTTAAGAAGGTATAGACTTACGTGCATATCGAGGGTATCAATACTCAAATCATAAGCAGTCAAGTTGATACTTTGGAAAACCTCAGCTAGTGTGAGATGCTTACCATCCCTGAACATGACAATTTCATCAGGATTCTTCTTCATTTTACTCTTAATGAAACGGAGTAGATGCTTTTGGTTCATACAAGCAGAGTGATGAACGTGGGTATCAACCTTTCTAACATTGTAGAAATCCCTATGCGGTACACGTTTACTGTCCGCCATTTCTTGGTATTCATTGAGAAGGACGTAAAGGTTGAATTTACCCTCCAAATACTGCAAACGACGAAAGGCAAAACTTTTACTTGGACCGTCAGATGAGACATTGAGGATTTGTTCCAAATCCATGTAGAATTCTCTGATATCAGGAATGTTGATTACTGGCGTATCAAGTTCTTGAAGCTTTGAGTTCTCATAGACTTGGAATACTCCACTACCATCAAGTCGGAAGGTCATCTCTCCGGGCGGAGGAAGTGGGAGGAGATCCTCCATTTCGAAATCAGAACCGATATCTTGTCCAGGTTTTCGCTTACGGAGAGGAGTTTTGGGGGCACTGGTAGCTTGAGAGATTGATAGTTCTGAGGCTGCGCCACTGAGGGTTCGCTGGTGGCTTTGAGCATCAATCTGAGGTGGCAATACCATGCTATTAGCCATGCTATTTGCCGTACTATTTCTTGCATTTGTTGCAGCCTCTTTCGCTCTCTCGTCGTGCCAAGATGGCTGAGGTGGCGGTGGGTAAATACACCAATTCGGGTCATCTTTAGGATTATCACCATCTTCTTGTAACGACAAGCGAATGTACTTATGTCTAATATCAATTACCTTTTGGATGTTAGTGTAGATGGATGCGAGCTCGGCAGTTATGTGAGCGTCGGAATTTGCGAAACCACCGGCACCAGAACCAAGGCCAACACCGGCACCTGCACCATGCAATCCTTCCATTTCCAACAACGGTTTGTGTTCATGTGGGAGACCTGGATGAACTGTAAGATCTCTAGCTTCCTTGTCTGCCCTAAGTAAAGATTCTCGTCTATCATGCGCCCCAGGAGTATGAACAAATGCACCCGCAGCAAGGCTCGGTTCTTGAACCACAGCGCTTTCTGGATGCTTCCCAAGATCTGCTAGACCAATAGGAGGAGCACTTCTGAATTTATTGAGCTGTGGCAGATTTTGTGCGCTTTTCCCGGAAGCTTGACCTCCAGATCTATGCAAACCTCCTTGTTCAGCGTCTAAAACGTTAGAGAATGACCTCGGCTTCAACACAGGACTAGGAACTGCAGACTTCTGAGAGTTACCCCAATTGCTGCCGCTACCAGTTTTATGACCTTCCAACTGGCTGCGTTGAAAGAATAGCTTCGAATCTGCCTGGCTCATCTCCTTCTCTGCGAGATAATCAAAGTATGCCGTTTTCTTTTGCTTGTCTCGAGCTAACAATCCACTTTGGGACATAGGTGTCTCGAGGCCGGGTATGTCGTCTGACAGAAGAGCTGCTTCTGGAAGCATATCACTTGTTTCGTCCACCAAGCCATCGAAGGCACCTTCATACCCCGCCTCCTCTACATCATCATCATCATCATCATAATCTCTCTCGGGCATGTTGAAAAAAGCTAATTTGGAAGAAACTCTCGGGGAGGATGGTAGTTTGAAAGTATTCTGTTCTGATGATGAATCTGAATATGATATGTGTTAGCCCCTCATGTTTTGTGTACCCCTGCTTGCAACGCGGGGTTCAACTGGAGCTATAGCATAAAAATCTTGGTCCTTACCAGGCATTTCCTCTTCTTGTTTATACTCTATAGTGAAGACAGGGTTATGAAATCTAACAATCTGGCAGATAACCGCAATAATACGACTCAAGATGGTTTGTTAAAGGGTAGGATTAACAGCAAACAAGTAGCAAATCTTCAAGTTGATTGTAAAAAAGTTGGTTGTTTAACCTTATCCTCTTACTTTACGTTCCTGGGGGCTCGGATCCTTGTTCAAGCGGCGGCCGTGTCGGAGGCTTAAATTCTGGCCAATCACAATCTCGTAAAGCTTCTTGGCGCTGCCGTAATTGCCAATTTAGTGCCTCCCTTCAAGAATGCGAACGCGCCTTCCCCCAAAGATTTTTATTTGCAGGGCGGTGACAACAGCTTAAAGGGACCGTGCCTTTCGCAAGATAGTTTCCCCCCCAATTGTTTTTGATCTTGATCGAATTTGTCAACTTCAACACTCCAGCACACAATTTGACCAAAAATAAACAATCGACAACTCATCTTTTACCCTAAATTCTTATAAGGATATAAGGATGTCTGCCCAAGCAGGATCTACCAATGTTTCTGCCGATAAAGGCAAAGGCAAGAGCGTCGCTGAGCCTCAAGATGTAACTATGGGCGAGGGCGACGATAGCTCCAGTGAGGACGACGTAAGTTTATGATTGAATGCGCTTTTGATTACATCATGCTAACAATGCTTCTTTAGGATGCTCCACCACCAGGTAAGATCTCAAGGACTAAAAACTACTGCCTGTGAGCATTATTTAACGACATACATAGCTGAAGAGGTTGAAGAGGAAGCGTCAGATAATGAGATCGACAAGAGCAATATAATTCAAGGTCGCCGTACTCGTGGCAAGAAAATCGACTTTGCCGCAGCTGCTAAGGACCTTCCAGCCGAAGATGACGAGGACGAGGACGATGATTTTCAATCGGAAGGAGAGGATGATGATGAGATGGGAGGAAATTGAGGGAGAAGAGTGGTTATACTTTGGTAGATTGATGGGATCCTATTCATTCGACAATTTGTCAACTCCGTTCAACTCCGCCGAAACACAATACCTTCTACACCGCATCCTCCGGTTTATTCAACAAAAAAAGAATAAAAAAATCTTTTCATACATTACGACTTTAGGCATATGATATGAAACGACTGATTTGGGTCATCTGGGGAATTGGGGGAGAGGTTTTTCTGCACAAGCATTGTGTACATTTAGATACCAAACAAAAGGGGCGTCCATTGCAAATTGCACTTTGCATCCATCCAAATCTACAAATCGAATCAACCTTTTTATGTGAAAAGTAAACAAAACAAACTATATCCACCATCAGCCTTCTCCCTTTTTTTTCTGCACAGACTGGAAATCAATCATGATAAAGATAAAGAAAGCCCAGGGTCACATATTAAACAACCAGGATTAAGCCAAATTTTTCCAAACCTCAAACCTCCTTCTCCATAATATATCCATACAAGCCTCTACAATAATTCCATTCTTCCATTCTTATTGTACTTCGAAACACCAAATATTGAATCTCGTAATGCAACGTGTATGACCTGTGTAGATAAATACTACGTCCGTTGACAAGCGAACACATATTCATTCCGATTGTATCAAAGACATAGGATACGTAGCTTATCTTACTTTGAATTTCATTTCTTCTCCACAAGTTAAGTATTTGTTGTATTTTCTTTGAGAGACAGGATCATCATGGCGAATAGGTATGTATGATTTATTTACTTAATGTTTCATGCATATTTTGGTTGTTTGCGCATTTAATTCCATTTGATTTGTTCGCAGAGTGGAATAGAGGAATCGAGGAATTGTTGGACTGGGTATGCGATTGTATATTCCCGTCGCATACTCATTTGCAAGCTCTTCCTCTATATTCCAAGGTTGCGAATATCCTCTTTTCATTTTTATAGATTTGAAATGAATCCAATTTGACTTACCTCCAATATTAGATTCGGCGCATCCTCCCTCCATCAACGCGATCCGCGCAGTGCACTTTTTGAAAATTATAATGGTGGTGCGGGTTTAAGGGATGGGAATAGAAATGGGAGTGCGAATTCGAGTCCGGCGCCGAGGGGGTATGGGTATACTGGGGGTGGAGTTGGAGGGTATTCGGGGGGAGGTTATGATGCGGGTTATGGGGAGAGGGAAGATAGAACGGGAAGTGCGGCGGGTTTTAGGTCGGCGACCCCGAATAGTAGGTATGTTGTGGATGCGCTCTGTTGTTTTTGGGTGTGGGAAGTGCAGGAGGAGAGGGACAGGGAGAGGGAGACTGGGGGAGGAAAGGAGATAGGAGTCTATATAGATGTGATGGATGCAAGTGCGTCTTGAAGTCGTGGAGAGACTATGCGATCCCGTCTGTCCGCTTGCGCATACATTTGCTAACATATAATCATCACAGAGGACAATACAGCGATGCGGTCCTCAACGAACTTGAGAGTCAAAATAATGATCAAGTAGAGGGAATTATGGGAAAAGTTCGACAATTAAAAAGTGTATGTTTTCCATATCCACTCTCTGCGCATTTTCCTCCACCTTTCCCTTTCACCTCCCCACCTCCATAACTTCCCCCGTCTTTTTATTTTCCCTACCACTTTCCTAACATCCCATCAGATGACCATAGCCATCGGCGACGAAATCCGCGAATCCTCCGCCCTCGCAGAAAAAATGAATGATAATTTCGAAGGAGCACGTGTTCGTATTCGAGGAACTATGAATCGAATGTTGATTATGAGTCAGAAGACGGGGGTTAGTTGGAAAATCTGGTTGCTGTTTTTCGCGGCGGTTTTTGGTTTATTTTTTTGGGTGTGGGCTTTTTGATGGGGAGATGGATGCGGAAATGGAGGGGAGAGAGGGAGGAGAAGGAGGAGAAGGAGAAGACCCTGAAGGGGAAGAGAGGGAGAAGGAGTAGGAGGGCAGGGGAGTTGTATACATATTGATTCCTTTCATAATGCATTTACTCGCAAAGTAGCGAGCTGGGAGCAAAAAGCTGAAAGCAAAAAGCAAAGTTATAAAGGAAAGAAAGGGAAATAAGAGGAAGAAAACGAAGAACCAGAAGGAAATGAAGCAAAATACATCCTAGCATACCTAGGTATGATACGATAACTGGCGTTAATGGAAATGAAATCATTCGGGTTTGTTTTGGTTTGGGTTAGGGTTGGGTTAGAGTCGGGTTGTGTGTATCATAACATAGCAATCATAGCATATTATAGCGTAGTATAGCATAGCATGTTTGTTGTTAATTTATCAATCTTGTTAGCCAGATAATTGAAGAAGAAGAAGAAGAAAAAGAAGGGGTATAAATATATTTGGCTATCGAACAAAAGAAAGATAATTTCTCCATGTACATACAGTCCCACATCTTGATGAAACACTAACATCCTCAACTCAACACGAATTTGCTCAACCCTGAGCACTCGAAACTCAGCGTATGATGTTTCTCGCCTTTCGCTGAATTTGGAACCTCCCCCAAAATCATCATCATAATCATGAATAAACATGTCAAGTATCATCTTGCTCCTCGAGGACTACTATATAACACACTACTATCGTGTGATATAAGATTAGAAAGATCCATCGAGTTTTGTGTACCATCACTCCTAACCATACTTGCACCATGACCTCCATGATTTCCGTGCGGAAGGTCTTCAGCTTCACTTTCCTCCTCGCTGCTATCTGATTCATCTTCTGTATCTGTATGTTCGTATCCTTCATCGGCTTCAGGAATATCATCGTCAAGATCTACTTCCATGTCTCCACCTTGGTTATCATATTCATGTTCATGAACTAGATCTTCTTCCTGTAACATTTGTGATTGATCTTCATCAGCAATTGTAGAAGCGCCATCATCCTCTAACATTGAGCCTCTGGGATGTCCAAGACGTGAAATTGCTTCCCTGTATGCCTCATCTGTCATTCGAGAAGGTAGGAGTGCTCCAGGAATGTCCTCGGAATCATCTTCCTCTTCCTCCTCGTCTTCCTCCTCTTCCTCACTGACATCATCCGAGTCACTACGTCCCATTCCACTTTCATCCGCATCAGGTATCTCATCGTCAAGATCAACCATACCTTCCATCTCACCTTCCATACCATCAACTGGTATCATTGCCTCAGTCTCAGCCTCTTCGGCTTCAGCAAGTTCTTGTGCCAGTTGTTCTCGTCTCAAAGCTTCTTGATGTTCTTCCATTTCCCTTTTCTCTTCTCTCAATTGATGTAATGACTTTGATACACCAGGCGGTTTAATCCAAGAACTTCCCCAATTTTGTACATTCTGTTTCCTCCTCTCAATATACTCTTCATCTAAACGCAGTCGTGCAAGAGGAGTTCTATTACTTGCAAGTTGACGACGCAGGCCATGATTTTGGTTTGACGTAACGTGCGGAGCGGAATAATCAAACGAATTGTTTGCGGGTTCAACGTGCTGTAGAATATTACTATGAGATGACGTGTACCAGAGATTGTAAGACTGTAAGATGTGAATTAGCTATAGGTTTCATGTAAATAAAGCAGGTGGGACGATGTACGCACGTCTGTTGGAGCAAGGTTTGGAAGTGAAAACATTTTTCTGATGACTCCGTGCTTGGAATGATTCCCAGTGATGACTGGTGTTTCTGGTAGGTAATTTGTACTTTGAAGATAGAATGGTGGTCGTACAATGAATTGTTGTATCAAACATTGTCGAGAGCCTTCTTTCCTTCGAGCTAAGCACACTAGTATAGTCAGCCTTGCGGGACGGTTGCGGGAGGCTTCAGCCTCGTCTGGATGAAGTCAGTAAAATCCATAATTCAAGTGTTTTTCCATGTTCAACTTTAGATATTCTACGTAAGTCTTAGCATTTCACGAGCACACAGCAAATCTTATTCATCTTCTTGAAACTTCCCGATCAAGTGCACAAATGCACCAAGTACCCATGCTACAGCATATTATCCCAGGTCACCCCGAAAGACGCCAAATCGCCATTGTGATGCCCTAGTAGCCCCTGTTCTCATGAAGTTCACCATATTCTAGCCTCATCTTGAGTCCCCGGTCTCTCCCGAAATTCGACGGAAATCACCAACATAAGCAGCATAGCAAGCAAATGTCATCCTATTGACCGCCATCTTCTTTGATGATGTGATGACATGATGGAAGGAAAAGTTTTCTCGTTTTAAATGAAATTGATTATTTTTCGAATTCTGCCAACCAGCAAACAATGCATCGGGTCCGGGAAATTCTCTCCCGTGGCCTCTCTCCTGTCTTCTTTTGTGAAATTCACACATGCCACAAGCACTCGCATGAAGAAAACGTCAGATTTGCTTGTCTACGACTCTGCATGCAATAATATAATTTGAAGGTGGGGATAATTTCAAAGCTGTATGAACAGGGACTCGGAGACATAAGTTATACCCCTCACTCAATCAATCTCAATGGTAATCTGCCTATCTGAAGCTCTCTATTGGTCGGGCCACTAAATGCTCATGTTCCTGTGTGTAATTTTTTTGGCACCGCGGGGACCCTTGGCGCTACAACCAATGAGAATGAAATCAAAGATCGATACTGTGTGCTTTCAATATTGATCCCAAATCTCACGCTGAATAATGTTGTCCATCCATGGATCTCTAGGGTATTCCCAGTAGAGCTGTTTCCTTGGAACATTTATGAATGATACTCTTATCCAATGATACATCTAACATACTAATGAGGTTACTCAACGAGACTCATATAACTCTCTCTGTATATCAACCGAAACTCCAGTGAAAGCGACATCGGCAGAAATCTCAAGGGAGACGTTGTTCTCGGTGAGATATCTTATTCGTCCAAAGTAAAACTGGTCAGTTCTTAATATGCAACAATCCTTGACCCCGTACACTCATGCAGTGTGGGGGAAATAAACATATCGCTTGTTTGATCCATAGAAGTGGGAGAAATGGTCAGCATGGGTCAACAGCTCCAAAATTCCCAAAACACCGCCTTGACTTTTTATATGGTGATGGCATGTACTTTGTAAACAAACTACTGGATTGGAAAACATATTTGTATGTACCTACCTGGTACTGTTGAGAAGATGCATGACCGGAAAACCTCAAATCAAGTATCTGAGGTACCGACGTAGGCAAATCTTGGGGAAGAAATGGATGATAGAATTAGTTTAGTCCAGGTTGGTTACATGAATACTGCTATGTGCGTACCCTTCCCTCACATTGGGGAGAACTTCGTGGAGTACCTACCTACCTACCTACCTACCTACCTACCTACCGACCGTACTAATAAAACTTTCCCGTGTGGCACATCCCTTTCCTGGCCTACCTAGTCCAGTACCGGTACCTAGGTTCTTCTTCTAGTAAGTACGGAGAAGTGCTAATAAGTGAATCAAATCAATCCATGATGAGGCGAAGAAAATAAAATTGAAAGCGTCCGCGTTGTATTGGACAATTTTGGGTAATTTTGGACGGCCGACTCCGATTCACGCTGCATATTCATTCTCCACCTCTCTTGCTCTCGGAGCATCCATCTTCTTGCAATAATAAAAGCCTTTCTTCCCCTTGAACTCTACTTGATTCAACCTACCAACTCTTGTCAGAAAAAATAACCCCATATTGTATCTTCTTCGTGCAGTTCTCATTGTGGCCAAAAGACAGATTCAAATCTTCTAAAACAATAATCTTTGAAGCAATAATCTCATGTATGTGGAAATTCCCTTTCATACCATTACCCCTCCTCTTATCTGGAACCTTTGCCCACTAGTTCTACCTACTATATTGGATGTCGATGCAAACCGCACAATCAGTAATACTTTGAATATTACCAAAATAACTAGAAGTGGCGATTGAATTCGATTGATTCTCCTCAAAACCTTCAAGCCTGCATACGAAAAAATTGTATTCTCACCAAGAAGATACAATTATATGTTACTCGAGGACTAGATTAACAAAAAGTTTTACCGCAAGAAAGAGGTCACATACGTTGGATACCTATCTTCTGCGCTAAGTCGATCAAGTGTTAGACTTCACCCGGAATTTTACTCCGCATCAACGTCAACAAGCTTTCACTCAAAAACCACACGCAGTTCTTTGTTCTTGCAACTACCAACTTCCCATACTTTGAGCTAATTTCCTCATTTAAAATTTTAGAAAAAGTTGCTTTTTGCACGAATTCAAAAATCCTTGTTACACTTCATACCTCAATCAATAAAGAAAGAAAGAGCTGCGCTCTTAAAATCACCACAAAATCGATCCTATAATCGCCGGCTGCCTTGCCTACGATGGGCATGGGAAGGGCGGAAGATTTTAACGACAGACAAATCGAGATTGATGCCAAAAATGAGCCTTACAATCAATATCAATATGAGGCCGAGGGAAATGATTCATGGGCAGGAGCACTTCCGGTAAAGCAGTAAGTGCCACCGTTTGTTAGACTCTGCTATCGAACCTGACTGATCATGAAATAGGGGTTTATATGATCCTAGCTTGGAGAAGGATGCCTGCGGTGTTGGTTTTGCTTGGTGAGAATTTTGAATCCGCACATTCGGGACACATCTAATCTCAAATATAGTAACATCAAAGGCAAAGCCAGCCACAAAATCGTTAGCGATGGTAGGCCCCTTATGCTACATTTTAAGCACACATTAGCTAACCTTTTTACCCTCAGCCCGAAACTTGCTTTGTAACATGACCCATCGAGGTGCTGTGGGTTCCGATGCGAGGGATGGAGATGGAGCTGGTGTGATGACATCTATTCCTCATAAATTCTTTATCAAAAACTTCGAGCGCGAGACGGATATCAAGCTTCCACCGTTGGGTCAATATGCTGTGGGAAATCTCTTCTTCAAGCCAGATGAGGAAACTTTACAAGAATCAAAGAAACAATTGGAAGAGATCTCAGAGTCACTGGGATTAAGAGTACTGGGGTGGCGAGAGCCTCCTAGAGATTCTACTCTTCTTGGTCCTGCTGCTGCATCTCGTGAGCCGATCATATTGCAGCCCTTCGTAGTGCTAGCATCTGCATATGGCTCAGGAAATTTGCCAGAAACTACCGATCCTGAACTATTTGATGAGAAACATTTCGAGAGACAACTTTTTGTACTCCGAAAGCGTGCAACCCATACCATTGGTTTACACAATTGGTTCTACTTGTGCTCCCTATCTAACAAAAACATTGTTTATAAAGGACAACTCGCCCCTGTACAGGTTTATCAGTATTTCTATGATCTGGTGAACGCCGATTACGAAGCCCATTTTGCTCTTGTACATTCACGTTTTTCTACAAATACTTTCCCTTCATGGGATCGTGCTCAACCATTACGATGGGCAGCTCACAATGGTATGGTACTTGTAAACTGCTCAACCTAGCCCTGATACTGACTGTAAACCCAGGTGAAATCAACACCCTTCGAGGAAATAAGAACTGGATGCGTGCTCGAGAAGGTGTGATGCAGTCAGATGTTTTCGGCGACGATCTTGAATCATTGTACCCCATTGTCGAAGATGGTGGTTCTGACTCTGCTGCATTTGATAATGTTCTCGAGTTACTCACTATCAACGGTGTCCTTTCTCTACCTGAAGCTGTTATGCTGATGGTGCCTGAAGCATGGCAGGACAATGCCGCCATGGACCCAGCTAAGGCAGCTTTCTATGAGTGGGCCGCTTGTCAAATGGAACCTTGGGATGGGCCTGCATTGTTCACCTTCGCCGATGGTAGATACTGCGGTGCAAATCTTGACAGAAACGGTCTTCGACCATGTAGATACTATGTCATGGATGATGACAGAATTATTTGCGCTTCCGAGGTCGGTACCATTCAAGTGGATCCAGAACGTGTTATCCTCAAGGGCCGTCTGCAACCAGGAAAGATGCTTCTCGTCGACACCGTCGCCGGGCGCATCATCGATGATGCAGAGTTGAAGAACACTGTCGCTAAGCGACACGATTTCCGATCTTGGCTTCACAAGGAACTTGTCAGCCTACCCAAGGTTCATGAAAAACTGATAGCCCAAGGCGTCGTTGACTTGGAGCCAAAGCCATCTGATAGTACTATCCAGGAGGACGCTCTTCTGAAGGCTTTTGGCTATACCTTTGAGCAGGTTTCGTTGCTTCTTGCACCAATGGCCTCTGACGAAAAGGAAGCACTTGGTTCCATGGGTAACGACGCACCTCTTGCATGTCTTGCCAATGCTCCTCGTCTGTTGTACGAGTACTTCCGTCAGCTTTTCGCCCAAGTCACCAACCCTCCGATTGATCCCATTAGAGAAGCTATTGTCATGTCCCTCGACTGTTATGTTGGTCCTCAAGGAAACTTGTTAGGAATGGAGTCATCACAGTGCGGTAGGCTGTTACTGCCAACACCTATCCTCTCTATTCCCGAGTTTAACGCTCTCAAAAATATCAACAAGTTCTATCCAAAATGGACATCCAAGGTCATTGATCTGACATTTCCAAGATCTGAAGGTGTTGAAGGATATATTAAACATTTGGATTACATCTGCGAGCAAGCCACCGCTGCCATCGAAAACAACGATTCAATAATCATTCTTTCCGATCGTGCAACATGTGCCGACCGAGTCTCCGTGTCAACTCTCCTCGCTGCCGGAATGGTCCATCACCATCTTGTGAACAACAAGTGGCGATCACATGCTGCCTTGGTAGTCGAAACTGCTGAAGCTCGTGAGGTTCACCACATGTGCGTGCTTGTTGGATATGGTGTAGACGCCGTCAATCCATACCTCGCAATGGAATGTATCATCAAGCTTAACCGTGAAGGTCTAATCAGAAAGAAGCTTAGTGACGACCAAGTCATTCGCAACTACAAGTATTCTGCCGATGGTGGTATCCTCAAGGTCATGAGTAAAATGGGTATCTCTACACTTGCCAGTTACAAGGGTGCCCAAATTTTCGAAGCCCTTGGCGTTGACGATACTGTTGTGGACCGATGTTTCAAGGGTACTGCAACGAGAATCAAGGGTATAACTTTTGAACAAATTGCCGAAGACGCTTTCAGATTCCATGAGAAGGGTTTCCCATCACGATACACTGTTAGCATTCCAGGCCTCGTTGAATCTGGCGAGTATCATTGGCGTGATGGTGGCGAACCTCACATTAACGATCCTACATCTATTGCCAACATTCAAGATGCCGTTAGAACAAAGAACGATAAGTCGTATGAGGCATACTCTCTTTCCGAGTATGAGCAGATCAAATCATGCACATTAAGAGGTCTCCTTGATTTCAATTTCGAGGAGAGCCATTCAGTTCCAATTGACCAAGTCGAGCCATGGACGGAGATTGTTAGAAGATTCTGTACTGGTGCCATGTCATACGGTTCTATCTCCATGGAGGCACATTCCACTCTCGCGGTTGCAATGAATCGCCTCGGGGGTAAATCTAACACGGGTGAAGGTGGTGAGGACCCAGAACGTTCTGAGGTTATGTCAAACGGTGATACTATGAGATCAGCTATCAAGCAAGTCGCATCTGGAAGATTTGGTGTTACTTCTAACTACCTCGCTGATTCAGATGAGATTCAAATCAAGATGGCTCAAGGTGCTAAACCTGGAGAAGGTGGTGAGCTTCCTGGCCACAAAGTATCTCAGTCCATTGCCAGAACCCGTCATTCTACTCCTGGTGTCGGTCTCATTTCCCCGCCTCCTCATCATGACATTTATTCCATCGAAGATTTAAAACAATTGATCTACGATCTCAAGTGTGCCAATCCTCGTTCTAGAGTATCTGTTAAGCTCGTATCCGAAACTGGTGTGGGTATCGTTGCTTCTGGTGTTGCCAAGGCAAAGGCCGATCACATCTTGATTTCTGGACATGACGGTGGAACTGGCGCTTCTCGATGGACTGGTATCAAATACGCCGGTTTGCCATGGGAGCTTGGTCTCGCTGAGACTCATCAGACTTTAGTTTTGAACGATCTCCGTGGTCGTGTCGTCGTCCAAACTGATGGTCAACTTCGAACTGGTCGTGATGTTGCCATTGCATGTTTACTTGGTGCCGAAGAATGGGGTTTTGCTACTACCCCTCTGATTGCCATGGGTTGTATCATGATGAGAAAATGTGAGTAATGAACTATGCTCTTGCTTCGATATGGCTGCTAACACTTTTAGGTCACTTGAACACCTGTCCAGTTGGTTTAGCCACTCAAGATCCTGAGCTACGAAAGAAGTTCCGGGGTACTCCAGAGCACGTTATCAACTTGTAAGCAAAATATTTTCTTTCGTGTTGCACTCCCCTACTGCAATCCCTGTCTTTATATTTCACCTCTGTATCCTTCTCCTTCCTAACGCAGCCTTGATTCTTCATTTTATCCTAGAGCTCTTTCACGTAGGCAATTACTGACGTCCCCATAGTTTCTACTACATTGCCAATGAGCTCAGAGCCATCATGGCAAAGCTCGGTTTCAGAACAATCAATGAAATGGTGGGACACGCCGAATGTCTTAGAGTACGGGATGACCTCCGAACGAAGAAGACAAGCAATATCGATCTCTCTCTTATTCTGACTCCTGCTCATAAGCTCAGACCTGGGGTTGCCACCTTCAACGTTCGCAAACAGGATCACCGACTTTACGTCCGCCTTGACAACAAGTTGATTTCCGAGGCAGAGTTGACTCTTGATAAGGGTCTACCATCACGAATTGAGTGTGACATTGTCAATACCGATCGTGCTATGGGTACTTCTTTGTCATATCAAATTTCGAAGAGATATGGTGAGGATGGATTGCCTATGGATACAGTCCACGTCAATATTAAGGGATCAGCTGGTCAATCCTTCGGTGCCTTCCTTGCTCCTGGTGTTACCTTGGAGCTTGAAGGTGACGCAAACGATTACGTAGGAAAGGGCCTTTCAGGTGGTCGTTTGATTGTCTACCCGCCCCGCTCCGCCGTTTTCAAGGCTGAAGAGAACGTTATTGTCGGTAACGTCTGTCTTTATGGTGCGACTAGTGGAACTGTCTTCTTCCGTGGTGTTGCTGCCGAGAGATTTGCCGTCCGAAACTCTGGAGCCACTGCAGTAGTTGAGGGTGTTGGTGACCATGGTTGCGAGTACATGACTGGTGGTCGTGTTCTCATCTTGGGCTCCACTGGACGTAACTTCGCTGCCGGTATGTCTGGTGGTATCGCGTATATTCTCGATATCCAGCAAGATTTCATGTCCAAGCTGAACACAGAGATGGTTGAGGCTTCAGGTATTGATGACCTAGCTGAGATCGCATTCGTCCGAAGCTTGATCGAAGATCACCACCACTACACTGGCTCAGAGCTTGCTGCCCGCATTCTTCTTGACTTCAACAGGGCACTGCGCCGATTCGTCAAGGTTTTACCTGTTGATTACAAACGTGTCCTTCAAGAAGAAGCTGCCAAGGCTGCTGAAGCCAAGAAGGCAAGATTTGCTTTGCCATTCCTTCCAGGAAATCCATCCCGTGAACTTCATGAGAAGAACCATAAGGAGAACAAGAAGCCATCTGATCTCCAGGATATCGAGGAGACTATTGGAGATGCTGCCGTTGAAAAGAAGCGATCTTTGGTTTTGGACAAAACTAAGGGTTTTATGAAGTATCAACGTCGATCCGAGAAATATCGCTCAGCCAAGACTAGAACTCGCGATTGGGCTGAACTTTCCAAGCGTCTCGATGAAGATGAGCTCAAATATCAAGCTGCTCGTTGCATGGACTGTGGTGTTCCATTCTGTCAATCTGACTCGGGTTGCCCAATTTCCAACATTATTCCTAAATGGAATGAGTTGGTCTTTATGTGCCTTGATCCAAACACCAGGGTCCGCACTACGGATGGTGTCCAAGCCATCAGGGACATCAAAGTTGGTACCAAGCTGTTCGATGACAATGATATGCCTACTATCTGCACGGCAGTGGGTGAAATCAAGAAGAGTAAGACAATGAAGACCATAACTTATAAGGAATGGAATTCCAGGCAGGACACTTCTTTCGAATGCACATCCGATCACATCATGGCGATGGTGGCTTACGGAATTGCCCCTGCCATGAGAGTCCTTAAAGGGAAACACATGGTTACATGGTTCTCACGATGCGATCGAACCGAGTATAAGGAAAATCTTACTTATCTTCAGTGGGATGATCTGGTTCACCGCATACATGCTGAGGTAGGCCGGAATCTGAATCGTCGCCCTACCGATTCTGAAGTTCATTCACATGTCGACATGGTCGTTGATCGTTCGGTTTCGGATTCTGGATCGGCAGATTTCTATTCTCGTGCTCTTGAGTTGTTTAAGACTCTTATTTCGGCTTCTGAACTAGAGGGTAAGTTATAAGTTATATTCCAATCCACTATTTTACTCAGAATATACTAACATGTCTTAGCTACCACCGATGATAGTCTTGTCGACCTTGTCCGTGACATGCTGCATGAGGAGATGGATGGATATCTTGACCGACTCCTCCCAGAGCAAGAGGAGATACCCGACATTGATGAGCCTGACCTTGTCATCGATCTTGATGATCCCCGACCTCGTAAATTTCGCTTGCTGGAAGAACTGCCTTCATCGGTTCACTCGTCTGACCCAACCTACCAGACAACCGTTGGTATTGTGTCTTCGCCGCCTCATCAGTCATCCCAGGGTCAAAATGAGCCGTCTTCACAACCTCAAGAGGCTCAAGAATCGCAGGGCTCCTCAGACGCTGATACAGCCCAGCTTGTAGGAGAGCAGGATCACCTAGACAAGTTTGCTGCTGTTCGAGACAAGTTGAAAGTAAAATGTACACAAGCCAACGGGCCATGCAAAGGCTTCAAGTCGGTTTCTGCACTGTTTGCGAATGAAGAACAAGCTCAGCTTGCTCTTGATCTTCTTTCCGGTGATCACTACCGTGTGGTCGATCCTCATGCTGTTCACAATGGCGAATATTTTGCTATGACTTTGGCAGAGTATGAGGCCTCTTGTCAGAATCATAAGAATGCTGGTCACAGGCACTTGAAATTGTTTAGAACACCTCTGAAATTTGTTCCTTCTCAGACACCTTCAGCAGATGTCCCTATCGATCCTTACTTCTTAGGATTTTGGCTCGGTGATGGGATCAAGAACCAACCTGCGGTCACAAGTGCAGATCTAGAAGTCAAGGCATACCTTCAGGCATACGTCGACCGCCTGAATGCCCCGTCCATTCGACCTGATACTGCTGCTCCTCTTGAGCTTTCAGAACAGGTGGTTTCTCGGGCTGGAGATGCTTATGAAATTCGCGGCCAGACAGGTACCTTAACTATGGACGCCTACAGTTGGGGGATCGTGTCCACGAGGAAGGAAGATTTTTCCCATACCTGGAATCCTGTTCGCCAGGGGTTGCGTGGATTGGGCTTTTCAGGCGATGACAAACGTGCCGGTATCCCCGATTGCTACATGAATGCGGATGAAGATACTCGCCTGGCTGTTCTTGCAGGACTTATCGAATCGGATGGCAACATATTCGGTCCCTACTACCGATTTATGCAGGGCATAGAAGGGCACCACAAGATTGTAGAAGACGCTCACAAGCTGGCTCTTTCGTGTGGAATCCAATGCACCACTATTCGCGAGTACCAGAGATACGGGCAGCCAACTCGCCAATTCGACATGCTCAAAGGCAATGAGAAATTCCAACACCATCTCCTGATCCCTGGGAAGAAGATCACGAATTCTGCAAACCTCCGGAATTCCCGCAGACGCTGTCAAGCAGATGCTCACACTTTCAGCGTCTCGGAACCTCATGAAGGAGAATTCCGCGCCATCGAAGTCGCCGGCGGCCTCTACCAGCTCGAAAACCGCACAATTGTCCACAATTGCAATTGGAAGGAGGCCTTGAATTCGCTGCTAAGAACTAATAACTTCCCAGAATTTACTGGTCGTGTCTGCCCCGCCCCCTGCGAGGGTGCATGTGTCCTTGGTATCAACGAGGATCCTGTTGGAATCAAGTCTATCGAATGTGCCATCATTGACCGTGGTTTCGACATGGGCTGGATGGTTCCACAGGAACCAAAAGTCCGCACTGGCAAGACTGTTGCCATTATCGGCTCCGGACCAGCTGGTCTTGCTTGCGCCGATCAGCTCAATAAAGCTGGTCACAAAGTCACTGTCTACGAACGAGCTGACCGAGCTGGAGGTTTGCTAATGTACGGTATTCCAAACATGAAGCTTGACAAGAAGATCGTCAAGCGTCGTACAGATTTCATGGCTGCTGAGGGAATCACATTCAAGACTAACGTTGCAGTTGGTCAAGATGTCCAGCTTATGGATCTCAAGGCTGAAAATGACGCAGTGGTGATTGCTACTGGAGCCACTGTCGCTCGTGATTTACCAATTAAGAACCGAAGCCTCGAAGGTATTCACTTCGCCATGCAATTCTTGCACCGCAACACCAAGTCTCTGCTTGACTCGGAGCTTGCTGATAACGAATACATCTCCGCCAAGGATAAGCATGTCGTTGTTATTGGTGGTGGTGACACTGGAAATGACTGCATTGGTACTTCCGTTCGCCACGGTGCCAAGTCAGTCACAAACTTTGAGCTTTTACCTCAGCCACCAAATGAGCGCGCCCGTGACAACCCATGGCCCCAATGGCCACGAGTCTACCGTGTAGACTATGGACATACTGAGGTTAAGCAGCACATGGGCAAAGATCCTCGTGAATACTGTGTCATGTCTGAAGAGTTTGTTGACGATGGAACTGGAAAGGTCAAGGGTATCAACACTATCCGTGTCGAATGGACCAGATCTTCCACTGGTGGTTGGGACATGAAGAAAATCGAAGGATCCCAGCAATTCTTCCCAGCTGACCTTGTGCTCTTGTCTATGGGCTTCCTTGGTCCCGAGGATCGTGTGCTTGGTGATGAAATTGAGAAGGATGGACGCAAAAATGTCAAGACAGCTCCTGGGAAATACTCTACCAATGTCGATGGTATATTTGCCGCCGGAGATTGTCGCCGTGGACAATCTCTCATCGTTTGGTAAGCCATAAACTGCAGTTCTATTTTGACACATTTTCTAACAAATTTAGGGGTATTAACGAAGGTAGACAATGTGCTAGAGAGTGCGATCGCTACTTGGAAGGATCTTCCTCTTTGCCTGTCACTGGTGGTATCGTTAAGAGCACCGCATCCGAAATCTTTGGCCGAGATCCTAAACGCGAGATCTTGGGACGTGCTGATCGCGCTCCTATGCAAGTCATCGCAGCTGCTGCGACATAAGGAACGACACAATCTGCACACAAAACAATAATAAAATTCAAAATATTTACGACACTTGCTATGTAGTGGTACGAACGTTAACGTTTCCTGGAATGAACATATCAAAAGCATATTTCTGGCATTATTGGGAAAATCAGATGAATAGCGACATGATTCGGCATTCAAAATTATAATGGACGGATATGCATTGTTCATGGAAGGAAAACAGGAGAGGTGGGGTCGTCCACATTGCAATATTAATTCATGATGGTTATGTTTTTTTTACGATACCAGCGAGTGCGAATGCTTCCTCCCGGGGTGTTGATGAATGATTGATGCGTGAGAGTTGGAGCAGTTTGCCTTGAACTTGCTATTTATTATACATAGATGTATTTTGCAAGTGAGAGCGAGAGCGAGAGCGAGAAGAGCAAGCAGAGAAAGAAATTCAAAATTTATATTTATCTTGCAAACTGTTATACGTTGTGAAGTTAGACTTTAGATATGTGATATGCTATACTCTTTTTTTTTTTGAAGCTTTTCGAGTGTATTTATTTAACTAGTTTCTACAATGTAAGATCCCGATATTATTGGTAGACTCGCATCTCATATGCATATTAACAAAACCGGGAAGTAATTTATGGATATCCGGTTCTGGCTCAATGCCTGTATGGACGTTACAATCCTACCCTAGATAGTGAAAATGAAAACGTGCCGGTGCAATCGCATTAGATCTTTTATGCACGTGGGTGGAGGATTATCATAATTGACATGCTTCATTCTAAATTCCCCTGTTCTAGATTCACAATTTACATAATTGGAGTTGGTGTTTGAATTTTCAATAGTCTTTTTGTTTTGAGTTATTGTCTTGAGTGACGGGGTCTTGTATTGACTTGTTTTATTTCATATCATTTATTGTGTTGTTCTTTTCTGTATCTTGACATTTGATTTCACATTTGATTTCGTCACTAAATGATAAGCTCTGACCTATCTTCCACATCCTAACAAGCTTCACAAATAAATCTTTCCGACTTTTCAATTCCACTCTTACCGTTTATTCAACCAACAACAACTTCAATTCGCCATCACTATGCGTTTCGGTCAAACATTGAAGAGGTCAATATATCAACCATGGAAGGATCAATATATTGATTATGCGAAGCTCAAACACCTCCTACGAGAAGATTCGGCATCTGAGGGTGCCGATCGGCCATGGACCGCTGATGATGAGACAAAGTTCTGCGAGGAGATCCTGAACGTTCAGCTAGAAAAGATAGCATCTTTCCAAGCTTCAACCTTTAAGAAGTTGGAGGAGCGTGCTAATGCGGCGGGTGAGAAACTCAAAGAGCTTGCACCAGAAGATGGGAAATCAAAAGATGATGTCAACACCGCCAAATTCAAGAAGATTGAAGAAGAGCTTGATGCTATCATCAATGATACCAAGGAACTAAAGAAATATAGCAGCATCAATTATACTGCGTTCTTGAAGATTGTTAAGAAGCATGATCGCAAGAGGGGCAACAACTATAAAATTAGGCCTATGGTACAAATGAGTCTGCAGAAGAGGCCCTTCAATTCGGAACAGGGCTATTCAGCATTGCTCAACCAGTTATCGATGATGTACTTTATTGTTCGCCAGCAGCTGGAGGATAACTCGGATCCTGCCGCGACTTCATCGGAGGTTCAATCGCAGTCACAGACTCCGGAAAAGTATACCGCCTATAAATGTAAGTATGCTACGCCCCTAGGCGGAGCCCTATGCTAACGAGCCTTCTTATAGTTTGGGTTCACCCCGATAATCTTTTGGAAGTCAAAACGTATATTCTTCGCCGACTTCCAGCTGTGGTATATAGTGAACCATCCTCGAAAAGTCCCGAACCCCAAGCCGACCCGACCCTTAACTCTCTCTATCTCGATAGCCCAGACTTCACATTGTATGATCAAAAGAGAGAAAAGAAGGAAGAAGCAACATCACTGCGGATAAGGTGGTATGGCCAATTGAAGGACAATCCAGAGCTTCATTTCGAACAAAAGATTGCACATGAAAATGGCACCAGCGAAGAAAAGAAGCTTTTGATAAAGGAAAAGTACATCGACGCTTTCATCAAAGGCGAATACAAGATGGAGAAGAGCATACAAAAAATGGAACGGCAAGGACAGCCAGAAGCAAAAATCGAGGCCTTCAAGAAAACCGTGGACGATATTCAATCACTCATCAAAAAGAATGGCTTGCAACCAATGTTGCGAGCTAATTACACGCGGACCGCCTTTCAGAAGCCGTTGGACGACAGAGTCAGGATATCTATCGATACTCAATTGGCATTCATTCGAGAAGATTGTATAGACGAGGACCGACCTTGCAGAGATCCTAAGAGCTGGCACAGACGCGACATCGATAGTAGTGCCATGTCGTATCCATTCAGTAACATAAACCCAGGTGAAATATCGAGGTTCCCATATTCGGTTTTGGAGATCAAGGTTAGGGATGGTGCAACCAAGAAGCAGCCTCAATGGGTACAGGATCTGATGGGCTCACATCTTGTGTACGCAGCCCCGGGATTCTCTAAATTTCTTCAAGGTGCTGTGTCTCTTTTCGAAGATTATGTCAACGATTATCCTTCGTGGCATGGGGACTTGACGGATGATATTCGCAAAGACCCACAAGCGGCATTCGATGAAGATCAAACCCGAAAAGCAAAGCAGGCCGAGAATGATCTTGTAGTTGGTAGCTATTTAGGAACTTCCCATAAAGCTAGCGCAAGCTTCAAGCCTGCTGTCAGCTCGCCAGTAGGCAGGTCATATATGGAAGAGAGGATGGTCGCTGAGGAGAGGGCTGGCAGGAGATCTCATCTAGATGGTCCTTCAGCCTCTGGAGATGCCGGAAATGATGAAGAAGAGAATAGAGATTCGAGGAATCAAAGTGGATATGGTACATTGGCATCCGTGTTTCCATCTTTCTCTCTCTCTCGTTATGCACAATCACGCCGATCGAGAAGTGTCCAATTACCTCCAGGCGTTACCAAACCTACTCAATACATCAAGGATTCAGGTCCTTTACAAGTCGAACCCAAAGTTTGGCTGGCCAACGAACGTACATTTTTGAAATGGCAACATATATGCATATTATTGGGGTCTCTTGCTGTTAGTTTATACACAGCAGCAGGGGAGGATGAAATTGCGGAAGCTATGGGTATTGCATATATTGTCATTGCTATATTTGCGGGAAGTTGGGGCTACTGGATGCATTACACGCGGCGAAACATGATTGTTGCCAGAAGCGGGAAAGATTTCGATAATTTGATTGGGCCAATGATTGTCAGCGCTGCCCTCATGATTTCGTTATTTCTCAATTTCTTCTTCAAGGTAAGCTTTTGCGGTTAAGTATAAGAATGAAGATGATGGCTAACTATATGCGTGTAGTATCGACAAGCTATGGACAAGTACCGAGAGGATGGATACAATTCAACCAACATCATGTTGGCCAATCAAACCTCTGAGGATTTCAAGATTGATCTGTAAGGTGGATGGGGGATTGAGGGGTAGTGGATGGTTAGCTGTATGTTCTAGTGTTCCCAGCTTGAGCCTGAAACGCTGCATATGTATACCAAGTTGTTAGCTCAACTGAGAAGTAAATAATTTAGAACCCGTAGTAATATTTCAATCTGTATCTTGATATCATAAATTGATCACAAAGGTACTCGGTGATTCCTATCAGTACCTACTCTTACAAATATTAACTCATCAAGCATGAATAACTGTTTTACCGCAGAATAGCCGAGATAACCGAAGGATAGAGATGCAACGGACAAGGCTACGGTGGATATGTCTTTTCCTGTAACATATTTGTCCAACTTTTATCAGGAGAGAGAATGTACTTCACTCCAAGTATATTGGTTTCCCGAGACATCAGTATGATTTGGTCCTGTCTCGAAGAATTGCCTCATCGGTTTATACAGTCATCTGTATGAAAGACTTGATCTTGACTTGACTTTTTATTCTTACTCACTCGTCTGTAACTCAGCCTTACTTACGACTGTTTTTGAGAAACTTTGTTTGAGAAACTTCGTCACACAAGGTTTGGACTTTGAGAGAGAATTTATGAACTTGTGAACTCGTGAACTCGTGGATCGGATTTTGAGTAGATTATTTATTGATGCTATTTGTTGCGAAGAGGGATACAGATACAGAATACAGATAAATGCGAGAATATCTGCGGATTTTGAGATCGGAGACTGGAACTCGATAACTTGATACTTGATAAGGGAACAGAGTGCGATAGTGAGAGAGTGATAATGGTTGGTGTTAAGGACAAGATAGCTAGTTTAATTCTGGGCAAGAAAAAGAGTGTGGATGAACCAGAGCCGAAGCCAGAAATTGAGGATGAGTATGAACAGAGACCGAGAAGGGAACGAAGAAAACATCGCAGGAGTAGGAGAAATCGGGACAAGCGTTCGAGGGATGGAGATGATGGGGAGCGCGATGCTGGATATGGATCGACTTCTCCTCACAGACATCGACATCGAGATAGCAAAGATCGCGAAGATGACGAAAATCCTCGAAGACATCATTCCGTCAAATTAAGTACCTCGACCTCCCGTTCACCACATACAGATCAGCGACATTGCGCAGAGGATGAATCTCATTCTGCTTCGCCGAAAAGACATCCTTCGATCAAGCCAAATACTTCTACCTCTCGTTCGCCCCATCATGCAAGACCTAGTACAGGCAGATCATCGAAATATACAGAAGAAGGTGTAAGAGCGCCAAAGGTTAAACCATCCATGGAATGGCCACCTGTTGGTCTCTCGCACGATGATGAATTGTCACAAGGGAAAGCGATGCAATTGATTGCTACTGGAGTACCGGTTTTCAAAGGAACGATGGAATCGATCCCACATGCTTCGGATGAATACTTTGCGCTATATGCGACTTGTCATGGAAATGGAGGAGCCGGAACTGATCGTGCGGAGATATTTAGTAGGGCATTTCTGGCGGATTCTATGCGATTACAAGGACCTGGTGAAGCAAATCGACCATGGGAGACTCTTGAACAACCAAGTATGGCTTTTGCTTATGGCACATTGAGAGGCACGATTACCTTGAATCACTGGTGTAGCATTAATGGTATTCCTCATGCCCCTATAGAGCTTCGGGACCCGGGTGTTCAAACTTTGAGAGATGTGGATTTGCAAATTATATTGGATCGATTGATATATTTGGAAGGTGGAATCGATGATGAAAATGAGGATATGCTATATAAGAGTTTATACAAAATTTTACTCAAGGACCTCGACAAATCATTCATCGCTAAAAAGGGAATGGAGAAACAAATTGCGGATTTGATAATTGCGTTATCGCGACGTGAATGGATAGATTTTAGTCAGCCTAAGAATCATGTTGTGGCTAAATTCTTTGTTGATGGGGCATATTCTGATCATGGAAGATATCGAGCCTTTTTTCATCAATTGTTGTTGAGCATGGAATTGGAACTGAGGATTCAATCGAAGCATCACTCGGAAGAAGCGAAGGAGAGGTTGTTAGCACAATTACCACCGTGGATCTCTTGGGATCTGGCTGTTGCGAAGAAGTGGAGAGAATGTATGACTATTGAGAAGTATAAAACTACCGATGAGCTTCAGCAGAGTAAGTTTTCACATATTATAAGTGCTACAGGAGTAATAGAAGCTGATATCAAAATAGTTAAGTTTCGACTTCTCAAAAAGAGATCACAAGTCAAAGCTCTACGCAAATTTGCAAGAGCTATGAAATGGCCTAATTTACTCATGGTAGATGAATCTCTAAAAGAGCTAGATCCAGATGCTTCACCTCTCGAAGATCGTTCTGCAGATGCTATGTCTTATTGCACCGGCTTAATCTTACCAGGACCAACTCAACCATGGCTTCTCATGAATACTTTAATTGACTGCGATGAAGATGGCGGTGCTGATCTTGGTGGCCTCACACATATGCATCCCAATTCTGGCTTTCAGTATAGAGGCAGTACGTATTGGGCATCTACTTGTATCGTTGGTAAAGTTCTCGCTCCTACTTGTCAAGAGATTGCAGGTTGGATTGGTCCGACTCTCGCTTCTATAGATATCGAACGCACTCAAGTATTGCGAATTCGTCAACGTATGTCTCCTCAAACCATCACTAAAACCGACGTCTTAAGCATGAGAGTTCGATCTGATCCTCTTGGTCCTCCCGATCCAAACGATCCCGTTTATCCCGTTAGCGAATTTGTATTCCCCAAGCTCGACTTGGAATCTCCACCCATAGATAATATCCGTATTGAAAAATTAGCATTCGACGTAGCGAAACCAAACCAGCAGCTTGATGGTGGCTCCCCAAAGAGAAGTAGCGAGATGGGAAAGAGACCACCTACTTATGATGCGTGTGTGGTTTTTGCTAGGAGAGGACAATCGCACTGGTTGAGATTAGCTCATGATGTTTCCTTCATCACGGCGTATCCTTGTTCTCATGGTCCACATGTTCTCTTCTTCGACTACGTCTATAAAGTCGCGCGCATGAATCAATTACTCGATATACATAACTGGGCCGGAGTCGGCGGCGCCAATCTAAACGAAGATTTACAATTGGGTTGGGCGCCGCAACCGGAGGAACTAGGTATTCGGGGTTCATGGGAAGAAGGTTATGATATGAAGGGGGCACAATGGAAATTTAATCAACTTATGGAGGGAGTAGATAAAGATACGGTGTTGGTGATTGAGGCGTGGGGTGTGGAGGATAATGAGTGTATGGCTAGGGCCTGGTGTAGTCACTGGGGATTGAACGCTGTGGTGGCGGTGGTGGGGAAGAGTTGTTTGGCTTGTGCGGTTAGGGAGGCGTATGCGGCGGCGGTTAATGTGGTTATTTTGTGGGGATGGTGGTGGGGAGGGTAGAGAGGGGGTTAGGGGTTGATTTGGAATGTAATTCTGTATTTGGGGTAGCAATGGGATTGGTTGGGGGAGGGTGGTTAGTATGGATGCGGTATGGGCAATGCGAGATGGGAGGTGTGAAGGATAGAATATTGGGTTACAAGCTGTATCATACATAATCTTACATTGAGGAGTTTGCGTTGGGATAATGGGATGGGGTGGATGGGATGGATGGGCCCGGATAGGAGTGGATTTTTTATTAAATACCTATGATGTGTTTGGGCATCTAGTAGGTGTAATCGGTTTTGGTGGAGCAATATACCAGTAATTTTTTCGTTATTTGGGGTTGGGCGTGCGGTAGGATGGCGGGACGAGATGGTGGGATGGTGGGATGAATGGGATGATGACTTGATGGTATGATAGTTTAAGATGAAGCGGTGAAATCAGTGAAATCAGTGAATTAAATAGCAAAAATATATATCTAAATACATATAGCATGAAATCGTATATTAGATACCTACCTAGGTATCTATATATACATATACTCGGAGCTTGAATAAAAATAGAAATAAAAATCATTTGTTTCATTTTACTTATTTTATTTACATATACATATACATATATATATATATAAAATAAACATCTACCCACAACCAACCTCGAAATCCCTCATTCAAAATCCCATCTCCTCTCCATCCATCCGTTAGCTAGGTAATCTCCCTATCTCTTTCCCCTCCCTTTACTTTCCTTATATCCTCAATTCCCAAACTCAAACTTACAAATCCACTAACAAACCCACCCGGTATCGAGACTTAAATTTTAAGTAGTTTAAGGTAAGCATTGACCTAATTAAGCACAATTTGATGTATTAATTGGTATTGTTTTTGGAATGTGATCAGATGTGATCTGATCCGCAACAAAAAAGGGGAAATAAAAGGAGAATTAAAAGCACCAAAAAATATGGCGAATTAAAACCAAAAACATGATATTGCATACAAAGACGAGGAAATACTAAAATCTAAACTGAAGGAAGAAAAAGAGCAAGAGGGGAAAAAGGAAAAAACTCACTATAATAAGCATTTGTAAATTTGCAGGTTCCGCTCGCGCAGGTAGTAGGGCCTGTGTATCCGATTCCGGCACATTGGCCGTAGAGGGTTTGAGTTGGAGCTGTTGGGGTTATTGAGCTTGATGTAGTAATTGTGGTCATAGTTGAACTCGAGTTGGTTGGTGGGGGAGTGGTTGTTGTTGTTGTTGTTTTGCTAGAACTTGATATTGGGATTGTAGGTACCGATGTCGATGTCGGCGTCGATGTCAAAGTTGAGGATATACTGGTACTGGTACTCGTACTTGATGCTCCCGGACTCCCAGCAGCAGAAAGAACCCCTTCCAACCGTAAATCCCTACTACTAGCCCCGACCCAAACCCCAAAAGAACCCACTGGTAAAACCCACGTCTGAGAACCCACATCCCAATAACTCAAATCTTTTCTCCTCAACTCAAACATCAAACTAATTTTCGCACCCGCCTCTAGATTCACCTTCTTAAACCCACGAAGTTGTCTTGGAGGTGTACCAGATACCGAGTCCGGAAATCCAATATACAGCTGTGCTATTTCGGCAGCGGGAACACTACCATTATTAGAAAGCGTGATAGAAACCGTAGCGATGGTATCGAAAAGATTTGATTTTCCTCCAGGAAGAAGAGCGCTATTTCCCGCGGAGGAGGAAGATATTGATGAGAGGATTAGGTTAGAATATGAGAAAGAAGAGTAACTTAATCCGTAACCGAATTCATAACGTGGAGTAAGACCAGCTTGGTCGAAATGCCTGTAATCGATAAATAAACCCTCGGAATAATTATCATCACCGTTTGCAATAGCAGTTCCGTAATCGGCTTGGGTCTTGGCGATGGTGTAGGGAAGTTTGCCGCTGGGTGAGACGGAGCCGTACAGAATATCTACGAGTGCGTTACCAGATTCTTGACCTGGGAGTCCGGCCCAGACTATGGCGATGACGTTTGGGAGGGCGAGGATAGATTCGAGGATTAGTGGGCCTACACTGTGGATTACGACGATGGTGTTTTTGTTTACGGCGGCGACGGCTGAGACGAGTGAGTTGCCGTTGTGCCAGGGATCTAGGTTGATGCGGTCACCTGCTGCTCCTTCGACCTATTTTTTTTGGGTGAGTGAGTGAAAAGGAAATGATATCGGTGTGTGGGGAACTCACGGTAATGTATCCTTCGCCGGAATCCGAATTGATGAATACGATAGCTGTTGCGGCGGCGCTGGCTACTGATGCTCCGGTTGATGTGGAATCTGTATTTGACAGGGTTACAGTTGTGCCGTCCGCGGCAGCTCTGGCTTTAATCGCATCATATGGTGCGACGAGATATGGGAAATCGGCTGTGCCTGAGCCCCAACCCTATGTCACGATTAGATTTTCGACTCGAACCACGAGGTGAATCAGATACGACGGGGATATAAAAGATACAAGAGGGCTAAAAGACATAAAAGACCTAAAAACATAAAAGAGCTAAACGACACAGAGCTAGAAAAAACAGCAAGATCAAACAATATAACAGAGTCTAAGCAACATACCATAGCCAAAGTCCCCGTATCACATCCCCTATCCGTACACGAATTTGCACCCGCCGGATTCACAATAGCATCTTGACCTATTATGGCCAAACTAGCCGGTTTCTTAAGCGGCAACGCATTATTAGTATTTTTCAATAACACAATTCCATCACGAGCAATAGCTCGAGCAACAGTATTATGGTCTGATGAAACATTTGGACCACCAACACCGCCGTTCCAGGAACTCCAGCCGGTAACAGCAGGGTAATTTGTGTCTTGGCCGAGGAAATACCAAGATGCGAGAATACGGACAGCCATGTCGTCGAGACGGGTTTGGGGGACTGTGCCGCTGTTGATTGTTAGATAGAGTTGTGAATATTTGGTATGTATGTATGTATTCTTTAGGAAACTTACGCATTTACGGCATTGAGAAGATTATTCCCCCAAAGGAAATTATTGTCGCCGAAGTTATCTCCTGGCATCGCCATATCCATTCCCCCATTCGCGCTACCTGTTGTAGTATGCTGTGCTGCCCAGTCTATATATACTCGTTAACACTTCTCTGTGTATTACTGACGTATACCAGTAGTTTAAGCAAGTACGTACCACTAACAACATAACCTTGAAAATCTAATTCATTTTTTAATAATCCAGTAAGTAAAGCTTGGTTTTCACATGCATATGTGCTGTTGAATTTGTTATATGAACACATTACAGATGCAACGTTTGCTTTTACTGCTTCGGCGAAGGGCCAGAGATATAACTATAATGTATAAGCATTCTCTGAGATTTGTGAGGGTGGGTTTGAATACGAACCTCATGGTTGACTCTGTCAGCGATATTCGCACTCATTTTGTCTCGATTCAATTCTTGCTCATTTCCAACTATGATATCTAATTAGAGATTGAACACCATGGACATGAATTGACTTACGATAATGTTTTGCGCATGCTTGAACACCTGCTGCTTGCATGCCTTTGACTGTCTAAAATACAGTGTCAACCCTGTTATACCCTCAATCAATCATTAAAGGGAAAACATACATTCCCCATGCCAACACCAGAAAGATATGGATCATTACTAAAACCTTCCCAATTTCTCCCTGCCTATTCCGACGATCAGTATTGCTTTCATGTATATAACCCAAATAAAGATAACAAGCTACAAACCACTGGTATTTTCCCCAAAGGTCCAGCCACTGGACCAAGCTGATTATGAACACCAAGTGCTTTAGATTCGGCGCCTGCAATATAGAATAAGCTTGTATTCATCCAAATTTCCATCTCAATCTCATCAATCACGAAAGGATATCATCATACCTAAAGCATAACCCCTCGCATACATCAAATCTGCATCCCATGTACTGCCTGTAGTTATGCCCGCCGGAAATGCCGTTACTTTTTGAGCATACCGAACTCTAAAAATCACGTAACATCAACATCATCAGTCATCAGTCATCATCATTTCCTCCACTTTCCATTCATATTTCATCCATTGAAAAAATCACGATCTCAAAGCCTCAAAGTAGAATTTACATACCCCAAAGGACCATCCTGCAAACAGAATGCTGGCCATCCAATCGAAGGTATCGCAGCAGTGTTCCCAACACAAGGTCCTTTTTCCCATCCAACACCCGTAACTAGTGTAACTTTATTCGCATTTGTGAGTTTTGCCAGAGCCGTTTTAGCCTTGGTATAAGCGGCAGCCCAATCTCCATCGCCGGCTGCAGCGCGGATGGGAGTTGCTAGAACTAGGAGGACGAGAGAAAGAACTTGCATCTTTGTACTGAAAATCAACTTGCAAAGGAGAACAAATTTGCGAGAAAGAACGGTCAACGGAAGGAACAATTTGTTGTTGATATATACTCACGCTCACACTCAACTTTAACATTGGAATAGCCATTTCGGTGTCATCGCGGAACAGCGGATCATGCAATTAGCTGGATAATTTGAGTTCGGTGATGAACCCGTGGTGCCTCATCGATCTACAGTGGTGGGTATTCCAAGGCTCCACGTGCTAGATGACCCGACTCACCTGTGGCAATCAATAGCCGGAAACATGAAGACTATACTGTACCTCTAGCCATAGTCTTCATATTGAGTATAGAATCTAATTGTTGTAAGATCTTACCTCTTACAGGATATGTGATCACTTGACCCCGCAAGATGCATTTAGACACATGAGGTTTAGATGGGGTTATTAATTTATATGAGGTGGGTATGCCCGCCAAGGACAGTATTTGACTTTAGCATAAACTCCCCAAAAACCATCACATTGCACCCGGTCCGAAGCCCGGTTCGGTACTTGAGCGGTTGGATCTGGTTAGCACCATTCTTACTATGTGTAGCACTGGACTTCTTCGAAAATTGATGTTGACTTATGAGCAAAAATTTCCTGAAAATATTACATGCCGAGTCTTGATATCATACATGTTGGTTTACAGATAAGATTCTCTCATTTGGCGTCGACATCGTACAGTACATCTGTCCGAATTACGTACTTTGCTGATGCCTTCGAGCCCCCTTTCACACCGGTGCCTTCGTGAAGTAAACTTCCCTCAGTTTCACCGTGTGGAAACATTGCCACACTACCTTGAATTGGTTTTATCGAATATGCATTCATACTGCCCTCTTTCGCGCTGGGTAGAAAATAGGTTGTTTCGCCAGCGTCGAACTCATCGTTCAGATATATCAAAAATGTGAATAAAGAGGACTGTTTTGCGTCCGCTGGGGAAGAATCGTAGATATATTTATCGTTCGTGGGGTCAATTCCAGATGGCGGCCAAGCGCCATCTATGGAGATAACTTTTCAGCAAGATGGAACGAACCAATGCGGAAGGAGGATTACTCACCAATATGGGCACGATATTCTGCACCAGGGACGTAGCGGTAAACGCGAAATCTCCTGTTCAGACCTCTCACCTGTTTACCATTGACTTGTGTTGGAACAAATTCCTTAACTCTGTTCCATACTCCATCGCAGAAAGCATTATCCGCAACCCAATAGAAATTATGAGCCAAGATACTGTTTTCCTCGCCTTCTGCGCGTATTGGGGCATCCGGTGTAAACCCCACGGTCTCGCCTGCAGCAATGATTCGGATACACTCTTCTGGACTCAATACGTCCTTGAGCAAATGTAAATTAGGTACAACGGGATGTGTGTGGTGAGTCGTCTTAAGAGAGCTACCAGAAAAAACAATGGCATTGTCCTGAGATGCCCAAAGGATCGCCGGATGGAGGTTTGCTGGCTTACGATCAAAACCTGGAGTTGTTTCGATGACGCGGAACTTGGATTTTATGTCCTTGGCTTGAGAATTGAGTATACTTCCGTCCAAAACCGAATCGTATACTTGCTTGCGCGGTATCGTATCATCTCTCAAATTCCATGCCTTTCTTGGCACTATAGGACCATTTGTAGCCGTTCCATCCTCAGTCGAATAATCCACCGGGCCAGTGACTCTAAGTATTGCATCTAACACAACTAGCAATTGCTCCTCTCTTGCCGTTCTCTTCGCTCCACTGCCGTCTAGTTGTTCCGCTAAACCACTAACAACGTCTAAATCTCGAACCCATCGGCAAAGCGCACCTAATTTAGGCTTCTGCTCTCGAATCCGCATCTCCGCGAGTAATATCCTAGCTTCGGTATATCCTTCATCCGCCAGAGCACCACTGATACGCGCCGTAGGGTTTGTATCGACTACATCATAATTAGTGTTCGCTATTGCGTTTGCGCGATGATAGATGGCATACTAGACGCATTGAAGCCCGTTGTGCAAGCATTTCGAAAGTCGAAAACCGCAGTTCGTAATTCCTTACATGCCTTCGATTTTATAAGAGCAGGGTTTTTGGCCAATGTGTTGAGTGTGTCCACGGATATTTCGATATCTTCTTCGGCGATTAAAAGGTCATGGAGGGTTTTGGGCTCAGTCGAAAGTTCTGGAGGTGGAGTAATAATACTTGTAGTCTTCACTTTCTTGATGTTTTGCTCGCTAGGGAGACTTTGCTGCTTCCTCTTTCCCTTTGACTTAGCCATTGAAGAATATAATGTCTGCGATTGGGGAAACTCAATTGTTTGCTCGTCTCATAGAATGCGGAGTATGGCATGTACGACTTTCTATGAATATAAACGATCGATATAAGGTTAAAGTTATGGCCTGAGCGGTGAAAGTTCTTCTCCCCGCACATCCCCATAAAATTTCCAACCATTTGGCCATGGGATCTTGATTTTGATAGAGCCTCCTTCACCCTCCAAGACGAGATGCATGTTCCTGTTCCCATACAAAAGCCGAGGATCTTGGACATGAGCCTCGACGCACACGATGATTTCCTACCTTAGCAAGATCCTGATCTTTCAACTTTCTTCCCAAGCTAAGATAGATGCAAGTGGTGAAAAGGACTGGACAAGCTATGTCTTCGTTTAATATCTCTGATCTTGGATGGGTGGTCCTGCGGCTTACTCTAATTCGGATCATGAGTCTGATTGATAGTCTAGATTTGTCGATTGTCTAGTTCATGAGTGTCCACCACTGATATGGGTATTCGTGTTTCAATTCTGCGCGACGTTACTTCTTGGGATACCATCACCATGTCGCCCTAGTCATTTTTGTTCAAGCGGGAAGCGACCAGGTATTGCAGGTGTACACTCGTAGCAACATCAAACATATTCAATCTATATCTGAGCAAGGGCCCTTTCGTCTCCAAACTACATAGGTATTCCTAATTTTGAGACAGAGAGAACAAGCATATCAGGTATTTATTATCGAAACCAATGATTGTACAGACAATTTCACAAGAGTAAGCTGGAAATCAATAGTGCAGCCACTGCAGAAGCCATTTTGACGGTTCGATGAATTATTGAGCAACCGGGTACACCATGTGGTATGCAAGTAGCATGCAAGGAGTAAGATTTGGCGTGGCCTGCCATCCGATAAATCCTTCAAGGTACTGCCTACCAAGGATTGTTAGAGATATATATACATGCATAAAAGATCCCACCATTTGCGTGTGCAATTGGAAGTGCAAAGACAGTTCTTTTCAGCTGGCATTTCTCTCGTTGACTTCTCTTTAACAAAGGCCATGGATTCCGCAGGCACAGAAGCAGCACCAGCGGATACGACCGCGGCTTTGCCAGATTATCTCCTCGATCCCAATGCAGTAATGAAAGATCTTGATGCTAAATGGAGATATAATCAGCCGCCAGACTACACAAACACAAGAAAATTATGGGCACAAAGTATGTAACAATCACAGCCAAATCCGCATCCCGAAAACGTCGCTTAATCTATCAAATGAAAAGAGAAAATCCTTTAACCTCATCTGACAGCCAAAACCCAAAACCACACGGCTGCATCCCTGCCCTCTCTCGTCGAAAACCTCGTCAAGAATTGGGAAGTAGAAGCCTCCTTCAAAATTGACATTTCCGAGTGGCGCACCATCGACCATCCAAATTTCAACTTCTCCATCAATGGGTCTGCCCCCGTTACAGGCGAATACATGTTGAAAGTGGGCACTTACAATGCTATTCTCACAGCCAATGAATACTATTCCCCCGAGAGATCGGACTTTTCAAGTAGTCACAAGACGTTTAAGAGGATGATGCCGACTTTTGCATGGGAGGTATTGGAAGTATATAGTGGACCGCCAACTGTTAGTTTTAAATGGAGACATTGGGGTGTTATGAAAAATGATTATGTAGGCATTAATGAGTATGTTCCCTTCCCTCCCGTCCTCCTTTCTTCCTCATAGCCTCAAACTAACGGCTTTTAGCAAAGGTGAAAAGGTGACCATACCCGCACACGGCGGAGCAATCGATATTCAAGGCATCGCAATAGCCAAAGTCGATTCAGCGGTGCGTCTTCAAGCTGTAGAGATCTTCTACGATCCACTCGAAATGTTCCGACAGATTGCAAAGAAAAGCGATGTAAAGAAAACGAAATTTTCTACTGAGAGTAAGGACGATTTAGCAACATTGTTACATGGGGACGGGTATGCGGCCGAAAAGCTAGATGCTAGCATGCTCTCTACAGGTTGCCCTTTCATGCCAGGGGAGAATAAAGAATAGGCTTGGAAATAGGAACTACAATGCATATTATATTTTATGGGGAGTGTCGAGGGACCTGATGCTACTTGATGATATGCCATTCTTTACATTTCAAGGTGAGTGATATAAAAGCCTTGAATCTAAATTTATTTATCTCAACGCTCTGCTTAGTGGTAGAATATCCTCTTTCTTTCACATTACTTATGCGATGATTTTCAAAAGACCAGTTTGGTGGTGGTGGCCCCTCTTTCATAGGAATGATGAACGTAGCTCCCAGCGGGGCTCAGTCATACGTTTACCAGCCGTCTTGGGTATTCTTGGTTTGATCAGATGACGTAGGTTTTCTACAAATCACTTGGTGGATATCCCCAGTTCCAGACTTTACAAGCTGGGACTTTGCTGATTCGCCACAGTTGAAGAGAAAGAACTGTATCTGCCTACCTTGTTAAATTTACCAATAGAACTTTAAGCCTAAACTTGGCTTAAGATGGTTATCGACATTTTGCATACAGCAATGATAAGTAGGAATTATTTTCATCTACCAGGCTGGCTATTGAGATACAGTTCTAGAAAAAGATTCCAGATAGTCCATTGAGTTAAGTGTAGTCCGAGCACAAAAGGTTGTGGGTGTTTGGAAGAAGCCTTGATAGGGCTGGATATTTTTACCCAAAGACTAGCCGGCATTTGGATCTAAAGTATAATGGTGTATTTGAAATTAGCTGAAGGAAAGTTCGCATGAACTGACTTATTGAAGCATTTATATATGAAACGATTCTATGCTTTGCGCCAAGACTCTAGTAGAGTACGAGCGGACTAGCTTCACATTTGTCAAAGGGGATGGCAGAAACATTCCGCGCAACTTGTAGCTTCACTTTATTCATTGGATTTGATTGATTTTTATTCAAGATATACTAACGTTTATATCAAGGAAGCATCAGATCCTATGTCTCGGCTTCTCGCTCTTATGTCACTGCAGACTCGCAATATGGTGGGAAGTCCGTGCTCTTGTTTTGTCTTTTTGGGACTTTGTAACCGTTGTTTCATTTACCAAACTTCGTCGAATTCTCAAGTCGATTTGTTTTACCCTATTTATCCACTTGTGGTTTGTAACGTTGTAGCTACGTTTCTATATAACAATCTAATTCACTTAATCGTTCGAATGGAAGGAAGTTCAAAATGCTACATAAAGATACTGTTTCCATTGCTAATACTAGAGGCTCGCTAGTGCTGATAGAAAAGACCACCACATCCCTGATATTTTTTCTTTTTAAAGAAGACTCCTGCAAGCCACTCCTCATGTAGATTAACATCAAGAAAATCGAAACAAGGAGAGTGGGAACTTTTTTGTGAAGTTTTCTTAGTAGAACTTAAAATCTCGGAATGAACACATTGATATAGGCATGGGAACTCGAGACTTCAGACTTTCAGGGCTGGCTCTCTTCGTAATCCTTATTGCTATTATTTGTATACGTACACATATGAATGCAAGTACTATCAATGTTAACTCGACAGTTTGTAGCGGTGGCGATTGCTCTGCTGGTACAGCTATCGGTCGTCTCGTCAAGTAATGTCGCGAGAAATGATTTCATGAAGAATGGGATCCAGGAGCCGACTCAGGAGCCGGGACGGGCACGAGAAGCACAGGGTCGGGGAGTACAAAGCCGACAATGTTGGAATCAAACCCAACAAATGCAAAGCCAGCAGTCGCAGTCTGAAAGTTCAAGAACTCTGCTGCCTCAAAGCCTTCCAACTGGCCAAGGACAACAGCCTCAGTCATCTAATGCAGGAGGGCCTGGGCAATGCTTTTTACCCAATGGATCTGTTGACATTAACGGAATTCCTTGCCTTAGCGGTGACAATACAAGTCGATGTTGCGGATCTGATGAATTTTGTTCCACCAATAGACTGTGCGTGTCGAAAAACAATGCAAATAAATTCTCCCGTGGTTCCTGCGCAGATCCCACTTTTTCAGCGGCTTCTTGTCCGAGTTTTTGTCAGAGTGGTGAGTTCTCAAAAGCCTGATATATATAACGATAACAAATGGAAAACAATAACTAATAAGAAAGTCAGCCAAAGATAATGGATCACTATTGCCATGCGGTGAGCCATCACTAGGACAATTTTGTTGCGACGAAGGTGAAGGTTTTGCATGCTGTTCGACGCCGAGCAAGGTCTTTTCAGTAGGGCGAGGAACAAATTTTACGGAGAAATACATCAGTTCAAACGTCACCTCAAGTTCAATTATGAATTTCCAACCACAAAAATCATCGCACTTGACTATTCTCACCAATACCGATACCGCGACCCAAACTCAAACGCAGATTCAGATATCGTCAGCAACTCAAACAATCGTCAGAACGTCTGTTATCGTTTCCACCCAAATAGTTACATCTATTCAAACCCCAACTCCCACGGTAATATTTCCTCCTACAGCTTCAACGACGGTTCCGAAATCCATCATTTTCGCTACACAAACAACAATTTCACAAAGCCAACCATCTCTATCCCTCGAAGCAACTCCCAGCGCAAGTGTATTCCTAAATGAAAACAATCAATCATTACCATCTTCTCCCTTGACGAACTCTGACAGCCAAGCCTCTACTACTTCTTCGAGCCCCAAGGGAAATCTTAATCAGAATGGGCAAGCAGGAGCTTCAACCACGAGTTCTCAAGACTCGAGCAGGCCCTCGGATTTGAGTCTGGCCGACAACCTTGACATCCAATCCACCTTGACAAACTTGCTCAAAGGTCCCAACATGACCGCAATTATCGTTGGATCTGGAGGCTTGCTTCTGATTGTGATTTTTATCGTAGCGTTTTGTTGTATCAGAAAGAAAAGACGGGCTAAGAAGTCAAAGGATGTGATAATACGAGGGTCTGAATCGCAGCGAGGTGCTAGTAAGGAGAGAAGGAAAAAATACGGACGAGAAAGTGGAGGTCCGAATATAGAGGTTTTCGTAACAGTAACCGAGAAATCAAAGGGACGGAAAGGGAAAGCACAAGCTGCTTACGTAAACGAAGATGATAGAATATCCCAGGAATTGGATGGAGCGCTAGGTGGCGGATCGTATCTGGAATGCGGAACGCTGGGAAGAGAAATAAAACCTGCAAACCTTGGAAGAAGGTCATTGGGAAGGGAAAACATAGAATTCCAGAATCCAATGGATTACAGGGACAGGAGTCCGAATCCTTTCGATCCTCCACCCATCCCATCTGATCTCCGCACCCCTACAGTCCCGATTCTTCCTCCTCTTCGATCTCCAGGCTCGGATTATGTAAACAGTTCTACGATTCCCATTCTTTCTCCTCCTACTCCCATTCCTGTTTCTCCTCTTTCGCCTCATTCTCTGGATCTGGATTATCGTATTTCGAGGGCTTCGTTCGCGTCGGTTACTAGTGGATCCCGTTATAGTCGTATGACGACCGGAGAACCATTTCTGGCGCCGTCGGCTTTGGATGTGCCGGTGCCTTATCGTCCCGTTGGAGATGAGAGTAGAGGAGTAGGTGATTATGGTTATGGGAGGGTTTCTCGGGATGAGGAACAGGGGGTTGGATTTGGGCGGACGGATGAGCAGAGGCAGGAGCTTCCGAGGGGTTTCTTTTAGATGGGTCTGGAGGGAAGGGCTGGGATGGGAGTATATAATTATAATTTCGAGTTAGAGGCAGTAGGTATTTAACGTTTAGATTTGTACATAAGACGCGCCTATATACCAATTATACCACTTGATAAACATAGATTTCCAAAAATACAGTAAACATACAGTTTCCCCAGAGTCTTATATTGCATGATCTGGAATGAGACCTGATCTTGTGTAGTTCCGAAAAGCGAAGGCAAGGTATCAGGTACTATCTTCCGAAACCAAAGAATACTTTGATTAATTTCCATCCAGTAACTACCCTCATATCACGAATATACTTACGCAAGCTTGAAGAGGTTCATTCTGAAAAATGACTCACCTCCTCCAACCTTCATTCTTTTTTCCACAATGACTTTCTGTCACGCCAGAACGATGTGGAGCTTTAACCTTGAGAAAAGGCGAATGAAGTAAGAAATGGAAAATCGGACGAGGCGAAAAGTTTTCATGCCAGTGAAACGGAAACTTTCTGAAGTAAACTCGAGACGACTGGCGACATGGGTTTTTGACTATTATGCGAAGATATTATGTGTTTCTTTCTGGGCCTAAGATGGTATCATTCAGATGAGAATATGATGGTAGAATATGTTGTTTGTTATAGATTTGTTGTCGAGCTTCGTTCATGGTGCATTCGAATAGATGGTATCTAGTTGAAGACAAGGTGGTACTTGTGAATTACTCGCGGATACTTGAGCTTGGTGGATGTACCGTATTGCATATAGAATATCTGCTGGGAAGTATTAAATTGCGCTTCCATGGCCGGCAACATACTTGACATCAATCGCGAAGTATATCTTTACAGATTTTTGATGACTTCGAAATAATGTACGAATGCGTAATAATTTTTTGGGCTGTGACTTTCCAGGTAGGCCATTTCGCGTCTGTTGGAGATCCCCTCGGTGTGTGGCTCAAGGTCTTCCATTTGGTAGATAATCTTTGGACGCGGCTATGTTGTGAAGAAAATTCTATCCTAAAGAATTATCGTAAAGAAATACCTTGTGTAGACTAAAGTAGCTTGTGATGGACCACTGTTCTGTAATTTTTGAATGGTATATAAAGCCCAATGCAACTGCAATTGTAGTAACCCGACAAAACCGACATGTGTAGAGAAGACCGATCCTGTTGAATGGTACCCCGTGACTAGAACCGAAATAGTTAGAAGTTGGAGAGACGTACTAAGGTAGGGCTGCAGCAATCCTACGGGACCCCTTAAGGAAATACGTATTTAACACAAGACTAAGGCCAAATATGGATAATGAGATCGATCCAAGATCTCGGGAGTCGAGTACGCCTGGACATGTGCGTGGGGCCATTGAAAGCATCACCCAGCAGAACTACTCAACACGTGAATGTACTGCCAAAAGTAAACTCGTGGTACAACGGTCGGGACCACAGAAGGAAGTTTCCACTCGTAGTTTCGGAGTTGTATGAGGTGATTTATAAATTGCCATGTCAAGTATCGCTGTATGAGGGTGAGGTGTCCATACATTAAAACACAAAACACATCGCCGATGGGATGGAGCTATCATCTGGGTTTACTCCGGAACTCCGGTTCGCCTAATCTTCGCTCGCAGACTCACATATCACAAACGACAAATTCGAAGACAACGATGAAAGTTCTTCTTGTCTTTGATGCACAGTTCTAGTCAATTGATAACCTCCGAACGAGTATATATATAACTAAAGGCGTATCATATATATATTTAAATTCATCATCAAAATCGATGACTTGCGTCGTGTCACCCGTGTCGTCGCGCGTGACTAGCTTTTTGACGCCGCTACACGTGATCAATCTCTCTTTCCTGGGAACGAAATCTTTGTGTTGTCTGCATAATCCAAATGTCTTCCACCCGCTTAGGTAGACGAATTGAGTTGGACTGTTCGTGTTGTATGTGTGCCTACGATCTCCAAACACCTACACGATTGAAAGAACGATGGGATTCGACCAAAATTGATATATCTAGGCAAAGGTATATCTAGACAACGTATGAGAATCAGATACTCTACTCATTCCTTTCTCCGTCTTTTTTTTTTCGCGCGTGATCTAACTTTTAACATCTGGAATCTAGACATCGACTTAGATGCACTTGAAAGTTGGTGGCAATGCGAAAAGCCGAATCCCGAACAATCATTCCGCTCGATATCAATATTTCACGCATCCTTATCTGATTGTTCCTTCCTCTTCAAGTTGAACCTCAAGGACCAATTGAAATTATGGCTCATTTCCGAAGTGGAGTCTTCTTTCAGAGTTTCATTTTCTGATCCCAGTGAAGGAATACATTGGCCATGATCCGCTCAACGTTAAAGCGAGACCGAACCTTTCGACCCCGCAGGGAATGCAAGACAGCCAAGGGCCTTGTCGCCCGGATATAGCAAAAACGTGTCGAATCCGGTTCCCCGGCTGCAAACTCACACATCAAAATTTGAATTAGCAGCAACGGCCCCATCATTGACCAAGTTGTCTTTTGACGTGGGCAATGGGACTACAGGCAATTTGCCATTATGCTCCGCTCGCAGTGATAGCATCCTGGCGTTTGGCCAGCAGTCTTGCCATTGCGTAAGGGTTCACTAACCCTGTGTCAGAATGCTCTTTTCTTAGTGGAAGGGGGTCCCTTATTGCATTCTGTTGGCAGCCCACGGGTTTTGCATATCTTATCGCAAAGCAAACTTCGCATCACACAGTTAGTGCACGGATAGGTGGGGTGTAGGGGCAACGATGGGTATTGAGTGTGGGTAGTTGCCAGAGATTACTTTTCGAAGATGCTTCCCGTTTATCGTCGCTGCAATCTCCCTGCATGGCCCTTGTCTGTCAACACATCGGGATGACGGCTTGCCGATGCTCGGTATACAATAATCATAATTGAAGTGTTGGGTATCCATTCCCGAGTGGTAGGATTTCGATGACCGAAAGTTGCCATGCCATTACAGCCTTGGCGTTTGCCTTCGGACCATGCAGTCTACGTATGGAAATGAGTTCTAAAAATTCTGCGAAGGATCTGTCCGTACATTGCCTCTCGAAACTTTACGTTGTTGACATTTCACCTCCGGATACTACCCTCATCCGCAGCTCTACTCACTATTGTCTGCCCAATGGTCTGAGAACTCTATTGGATCTACCTTTCCCTCCATTTTTGCGCTACTGCTATTAATCTTATCCAGAAATAGAGAAGTTGATCTGTCGATAAGGATATCAATAACCAAAACTAGAGTTATCATACGTTTGCGGATGAACGACACATTTGTTTAACAGGACAGGTGGTGCTGACCGCCATATGAGATTATAAATTTGCTATCTATTACATCGGTCGTCTAGGCGGTAATCCACTAACTTCTGCGTACAATACAAGGCGTGAGAGATGTCTGTTGAAAATTATCGCGGGTGTATTTATCAGTACTACACGCCCATACGTATACGCATTAGAGTCCAATGTACTGAGAATAAAAAGCACCATTCTAAGTGATCTATCACACACGTCAGTTTGTCAAGCCTGGTTACAAAAGTAAAGATGACCCTATCACATGGTAACATGCCTCAGGAAATACTTAAGGCTCTCACGTCAGCGGACTTCGTCACCTTGCCCTTGTACATATGTTCAGCCACCCTGGGATTCAACTCAACTAGGAGTTGCAATACACTACTTAGAAAAATATGTACTGTATCGGATATGGGTAATTGCTTACAGCCACCTAGCCAACGTTAATTGGGTAAAGTCTGCGCCGTACCATTGATTCTTAGTTATTGTTTACCGACTGCACGTGGCACAAAACCCTCGTATCCTTTCAAGCAACAAAGTGCGGCTGTATTTTATGAGATATCGGTGCAACGGAATGCAGTGAGAAGTGACATCTTCTGTCAAGGGACTTCGCACTCTGCACAGCTTGTCTTGTTTTGCTCAAACTGGCAGGCCGAGAAAATGTTGCCTAGTGGCCAAGCTTTCCTATGCAGCCTTTTGCTGGTGCATCAAATCAAGCTTGAAACGTAGATTGACAGTCCCGATATAGCACTATTGGCTGGGGCTTGGGGAAACAAGGATCTTTGTTTAAGCCAAGAATCTGGTGCGTATAGCCGAATTGAAGGGTCCAGCCCACCAACACACAGTCGTTCCGTCATGAAAATAGGGGTTCTGGATTAGTGGAAAATGTGCCCTACAGGCTACAGCTATATGGTAGCGGAACGCTTACAGTAGTACCACTTACTAGGTATGCAAGTGCCAAAATATGATTATTTTATCATCACGCTTTCTACGGCTGCATGAATGATACATAAACACAGCTGAAGTTTTCTTCGCATCTTGGGAGGTAGAATGTAACACTCAAGAGAATTCATGCAAGTTCAAATCAGCAAAGGTCTTATAGACGGAGATCATTCGGTGTCTATAAGATTCGGCGGTCATTCCTTTTCCGGGTCGCAACAAGGGTCACCTCACGATAATCATCCGAATTAAATATTATCGCGAAAACGTGTTAAATGTCTCATGTTTCTATATCCTTGCCATCCTGTCTTCCATGGACGACTAAAGTCATTCGTCTATTCGTGATAAGGCTCTTTCTCAAATCGATATACCCAACCCACCAATGCGCCTGTGGGGCCAGCAAAAATCCCCAAATCCATGCATCCCCTAAAGTAAAGGTTACAAGAAAATATGTACAGTATCCATTTCCCAGAATCCTCGTTAATATGAAAGTCGTGCCAAAATATTCCCGGGGTATCAAGCAACGTTACTGAAAACTTCCATCTTCACATTACTCCTGGACTCCACAAGCATGTTTACGATGGAGAACAACGTATCTGGCTTCACATCCTCTAGTATCAGCTTGTAGTTATGTCCTCCAGCCTGAACATCGGATGCCGAGCTCACGGTTGGTGGCGTCGAAGCTATTGATTGTCGATGATCTGGAGCTGAGAATGCTTCGGCTAATGCCAAATCAAAATTCATATCTTCACAGTAAAGCTGGTCGATGTCTGCTTCCGTTTCATTTGTCAGCCCACCAACAGTCTGTATGCCCATGTTGTACCCTGTAGGAACCGGGTTTTGGGACAGTGAAATTCCGGGAGACGAAGGTTCCGTAGATGAATAAGACATATCGTTGAACTGCAAAGGTGGTAGCCCATCAAAGTTGAAAAGTGAATGTGCGTCGTTAAAGTGGTTCTGGGATATTTGTTGAGCTGTGAGCTGGAGAGGAAGTCCCGGAAGTGGTAATTGGCCCATCAGAGTGTTCTCGGTTTCGTATTCCATCACATTGTCAGGTGATGATTCTGTGCGCAATCCTTGGTTCAGTCTTTCCGGTTTTGGAAAGTCGAAGCCACTGCGTTCTCGTGCTGGAGTGCATTGAGTTGTGGACGATTTCCTTCGTTTTAATCTGCCCTTCCTTTCCATGATAACATATCTACACCAAAAAAAATAAGTAAGTGCTGTGCTGAAATTTTGTGGTGTTAAGGGGTTCTCCTAACCTGTTCTTTATATCCGTTGGTGAGCGATTTGGGAACTCCTTTTCACTTATGCTCTTCCAACTTCTTCCGTGCACACCAACAGCCTCTAAAAGTCGAGCTTCTTCATCGCTATCCCAATCCTCATGACTAATGTTTGGATCGAGAAAATGGTACCATCTTTTGGCGCATTCTTTTCACACGTCAAGTTAGCATTTGAATGAATTGTATTTAAGTGTTGCTTGGAAATATACTCACGATCTGCATGTCTTGTCTGTACTATTTCGGCCACCATAGTCCAACTACGAGAAAAGTTTAGCTCTGGAAGATATGCTTCGTGGTTCGGGTGTACATACTAGGTACCGTGCTGCTCCACCCCTCGCCTTAATCGATCGTCTTCCTCATGATCCCAGAGTCCTTTGTTGACCTCTTTTCCCACTTTGCTCCATCTCTTCCGGCAATCTTTATTCGTCCTACCCCGGACTTTCGACGCGATCAAGTTCCAATCGTTCACGATTCCTCTTTCTTTAACTATTTATTGAAAACATTAGAATTAGCCTATTGTTTGTTTTAGTTGCGCGGAGCATAGCCACTCCAAGCAAAGAGGTTTTAAAGAAAGCGGGTGGCATTTACATTGCAGTGTAGCTTCTCTGCGCAAGATCTGGTCCTCGTCGTCCGTCCAGTACTTACGAACCCGTGATGGTGGTGATGGTGCTGTGATGTCCATTTGGTACCAACAGAAAGTAACAAGATCCGCAATTAGATTTGGTGTGTGGCACAAATGCAAGTTACATATAAACTTTGAGTGCGGTTAAAGATATAACGATCAGATGAAGGAAGGGGTCTATCTATCGGGCCCGGGATCAAAATCTTACATCAAGACGCGTGCGCGCTATCATGCATGGTAAGCCGTCCCGGGGGGGCTGGACGAGCCTGCAGTGATACACTTTCTATTTCTTAATTTGACTATCGGAATCTGACTTTATCGTGTTGAAACTGGCATTGTAACTTGTGGCTTTAACGGTTGTCTTGCGTGCAGCGGGTTGTGCCGAGTGCTTGTCTCGTTGATGTCACCGATGTCCGTGTTACTGAGATATTTTGAGAGAGAAATCGGCTTGGTATGTCTGTGATTGGGACAGTTACGAATGAAAGCACGTTGAGTAACCTGCTGTTGCTTGGCAGTACTAATGTATTAGAAACGTATAAAACCACATATACGGTAAGCTCCACGTGCTATGCAACGGTGTAATTTGAAGAACGATTCTTGGTACCAGCAAGGGAGATGGAACACTTCTATTTCCGATTCCCAGTCACTAGGACATGTACGATTACGTGAAGCTTAGTTGCGAGCTGTTAAGTACTTGGAATCCTGGCAAGCAATGATTGTCCTGGGAACCTCCAAGAAATGGGATTTACACGGGTTTGCCATAGGAGACTTCACAATTGCAATTGTTTTTATTTCGCGCACAATGTTAATTTCACAACCATTTAAGGTTAGAATAGAGGGGCATCAGCAATCAATCTTTCTCCATGCAAAATTGAAAGGATCGTGAAGGATTTGTGCGGCGAAACTTAAACTCACATTTGCACAGGCGGATATGTTATAGTACTAGTACTGCGTGGTTTGTACAAAATAAGGAATGACGATTCGCTGGCAGTGTAGCTAGATATGAATAATGGCCACGTCGATAAGCAGATAAGTAACAAAGTACTTCTACGTTAGCTTATCCTTGACCCATTCGATAATGCCCCCCAATTTTTACGTGGGGCTGCTGCAGCCAGCCATTCGCATTCGCTTGCTAACTACTTGAGAGAAAACCCCTGTCCGGACCCGAGTACATCTTTGTTTTTCCTTTTGAAGGGAAGTTTTTACAAAAAGAAAAAAACAGACGACTAGGTATGTATCTTTATGTACATGGACATGGGCTTGAATTTGCGTTGTACCCGGTACTTTCTTTTTGAGGGGTAAATCGTTTAGCGGGGCATCTGGCAAAACATACCCGTCAAATTAGCCGCTATTAGCCTTTCGATTAGAGCCTTTCAATCCATGTGGGTGTGATTCTCCCGAAGCAATAAAGTTCCAGGAGCGTCAATTTATTAACTTCAAATAATTTCAAATATCGAACCCATCCTTCGCCTAGCTCATGAATTTACATCCAATGGCTCATCTCGCGTGGTTATCTTGGCCGTCACATAGCTTTTCACGACACCTAAAATGGAGTATATTCCGCAAGGCCAAGCTTTAGATGTAGGACCCCGAATACCCATGGAGAATTGCCTAAGGATGCATCAAGCTTGCATCAACAACTTATTGGCAGTGAAGTGTGCAGCTCTGCCGTCTCGTTAGCTTTTCATTCCGCATATAGTCGTGGGAAATAGCTCAGATGACACCTTTTCAATCCGCAAAAAATTCTCGAAGATGAAGGGAAAGGGTTCTCAACCGGGATCGGCCCGCTATCTGCTCCTCGCCTTGCCGAGAGTTTAAAATACCGCTGACGGCAACATGGTTCCTTCTCATTTCAACCTCCGAACTAGAACCTTGACGCAATAGTCTGATAATACTGGCATCTCATCGTATCGCCAGCGAGCGACGTTGGGTGGGTTTCCGGCATTACGGATGTCAGCAAGTCTTCGCTCTCGTGCATGGTTGTCCCGAATTCAAGCCTTTCGCACACAAGCATCAAAGTTCACTGGTAAAATTTGCTGATAACAGCTTTTGACGTATACGATGCACCAGCCCGGCCAGCTTCCTCCGCCTTTAGAACAACTCCACGTTTTAAATTGATATAGCACCAGCATTACTGAGTCTCATTTCTCGCGATAAGAAAAGTGTCTATTAACGTATTAGACACCCACAGCTGGTTCTAGATTGATGGGTCATTTTTCGAGGATCTGCCCCATTTACTTATCAAAACACGTTCTCTGGGGTCAAGACCCTGATTTACTTCATGCGGTTTGGCTGTAACGAAATGGGATTTTGTCTAAGATCGAATTTCCAAGTTTTCGACTCTCCAACATACAGCACGGTGGTTTCTCTTTTAGGTTGTCAGGATGACCCTTGCCATCACTCACACAAGCTTTTTCAAAAGCTTAGAAGGATCTTCCCAACATACAGCACGGTGGTTTCTCTTTTAGGTTGTCAGGATGACCCTTGCCATCACTCACACAAGCTTTTTCAAAAGCTTAGAAGGATCTTCCCACCATCGTCCGGACGCCGGATTCCTTTCCCAAAACAACGCCCGCAAGCCACAATACCACCATATATAGGGCAGCACATGCAATACTAAGCAGGGAAGCAGTTTCGGCCCTGGTGAGAAGCCGATAATTTAAGGGTTCAACCGAGATTCATGAAAGTCAACCGGTACACGTTATATGACTCAATCCTTTTAGGCTGACACATATCTCAAACATATTTACGGGCCATCGAGTTGTATGTGTACATCAGGATGACAACCATGGGTTTGTTCGGGAGGAAATGGTAACATCTCTTTCTTCGATGGTTTCCTTGCTGTCATACTTGGGTCAAGACCTCGTCGACACATTACTAGAGCAATTCCTTCGATTTTCTAAACGCATGGCTCCGATATCATTGACATTTTTATTGCGGCAAGTCAATTTGACTCCACTTCCTTCGCATTTCAGGTTGACAGGACGTTCAGAGGCTCTTTTAGGACTGAAGATTTGAGTGATCCATCATTATCTGCCATGGGCGAACAGTCCAGAAAATAGTTCAACAGAGCTTTCCTCTTGCAATACCGGGCTTGGGTGCGTAGCGCCACTTCATATTATCAATCCGCAGCAAGAATTCTTTACGATAGGCAAATACACGGTTTAGACATCACCATTTACCTTGCTTGTACGTCTGTAGTCATCAATGCTGATATATCATCACGTAAGTTGGCCCCACCAACTTTCCCTCTCTAAAAGGGAGCATCTAGGCCAGTGAAACTGATTGTTTCAACATTTCATGCAGTGTAGATCTCTCATTTTTATATCCATTTGATAGCGTCAATCCGCTTTCCAAGTGTTTTTTTATGTTAGATGCACTCCACATATCAGTATCACTAAGCTGATCGTCTGTATCTCATCAGCCGTATTTCTCTTCCAATGATGCCACACAAAGCACATGACCGCGCTACACCCAATTTACTTTTTGGGGACCCGACCATGGGCTTAACTCGGGTCCCTTCAGGCTGGCTCACTGCTTACATTGGTTGGCGCGACAATGAAGTTTCCGCTGACGGAAACATGGACGCAAGCGGCTTATGAAGATCAATAAGTTCCCCGTAAGCGCTATGTTTGGTGAAGAAACCCGCACTCTGATGGAGAAGTCCCTGCATAGAGCTTGCGCTTGAGAGATACTTATGGGTGTTCCCGTTCCGAACATGCCTCGTTGGAGATATGCAGAGGTTCGGACTCCTGCATGCATGAACTTGAGGTGCATAAGATGAGGCCTAGGGCTCTTGACAAGGTGGGTTTCACCTCCCCAATGCAGCGTCAAAATTCGAAGGATGCCGAGGCGGGGCAAGGCAAAATGGCTATTTCCGGTCCGATATGAGTTAATTCGGCTCTCCGCCGTGGGAAATCTCGGGTCTACCCACTATTGGATTCTATTCCTTATCAGAGTTTGGGATGATGTCGCCGGATGTACATGTTGGGTAAACAACAATTTGATAATAGCTCGCAATAGGATCTCTGCCCAAAGAGATAGTAAGATCAATGCACGTGGTGCTTCTCTTTAAGAATTCATTCAAGTCGAACAATTTTGAAGTCAAGATAAGGGTAAACGCGCTGCTCCAGTATCTGCGAGTTCTTCGACGAGTTCCCATCCAACGTCCGCTTTCATTTCGTTTGTTCATACATCTTGATATATATTCCATCTGCGGAATCGATCTTCCAGAGGCAAGTGGTCTGAAGCTCAATTTCGTCAAGTTCGGACGGTATCTGGTTCTAATTCGAGATTCGTCGCTAGACGGTACGTTTAGCCTAAGATGACAAAAGCGAAATGCATAAAATCTGCGACAGCCAATATCATGCCGTTCTATGAGGAAGTTTAGTAAGTCAAAAACGAAGACCACCGTCAAAGCATTCCTATAGACAATTGTGTTAGAACAAATGTCGGTTCAAGCACCGCAAAAATCATCGTAAACTTACAATTGGTTTAAACGTGACAGAAATGTTCACAGCTTTACCAAATGATTGTACCACTTTTACCACGCAGTATATATCCATGACTCTGATCAGCTAGCGCCCCGAAAAATTTCAGGAGATTTCCTACATGCCCCAAACAACTCCCGTCTCGCAACATCACTACAGGATCTTCTCCTGATTTTCGTCATTAGGGTTGAACGTCGATCGTGAATACCATTCTTTCGCTAACCTTAGCTTCTACTGAGATATTTGTGCTCGAGTGAGCATGTTTTGGAATTGTACAAACGCTTTTTGATCGTGACATGACAGATGAGAGTTTAAGATCAATAGTTCAAAAATGGATATCAAAGGCAGCCTTTGCTAGCTAATAGACTCAAAGTTCAAATTTTGCGGCAACTTTCAATCGTCGATGTGTCGTTGTGAGTTTCAGGTTGATCTTGTGTCTTCTCATGTGTCTTTTGTCTGGCTTTGAATTTTATGGTGTCACTACGACGCGATTTGGTCATTTAGCCGTTATGTAATTATTTACAAGTCAAAAAATCTGTCCTTGCCATCAAAGTCAACTTTATAATGTTTGGTGGAATTTCTGCACTCGCAAATGTTTGAAGAGGAGATTTCTTTTGTCCATCATCACATTCTCTAGACTAAAGGAACGTGAAGTCCCGGAACGAGCGTCTAAGTTTAGTCTACGAGATTTAAACTCTCCTAGCCGTCGCTGGGACTAGACCCCAAACTATTTACCTTGGAGGCTGGAGCCTGAAGCTTAATTGCTTCATCACCTGGGTCAATGTTCCACGTGCCACAAAAGCTTAAAAACAGCCATGTGCTAGTGATCATTCTTGCCTAGACCGGTTCTCGCATCCTACATCTCGCAAACTATATCAATATATCTTTCCATCATCTCAAGTGATGTCTTTTCCAGCCCTGTCGTACAATATTCTCTCCCCACACCCAAAAAGTTAAAGATTAGCGAGAATGTCGTGCAAACCCATCAATTCTCCACCTTGTACTCCTCCCCCAGCTTCCACTCGATGATAAATCGTCAACTGTCTAATTCTAGCTCTACCAATCTCGCAGCGGAAAAGCTAGCAATACCTACATTCTCCACCACATTTTCCCAAACCCGGAATTTTAAGCTCAAGAACCATTATATTCCCAGCTATTTCCACATGCTAAACAAATCTGTACGTAGTGCAATGGTACTACAACGATGTATTGGAAACACAAAGGTAAAAACACAAATGCATAAACACAAAGGTTTAACAAAGATTCGATATTTCGGCAGCACCGATGGCAATTTTGATTCTGCTTGTTCTTGCGGTACTCGACAGGTGCGTTTGAGTTATGGCTCGGTGACAAGAACCTTGAAAACAACTATTGGGAATGTGAAGGCCGGATTTTTGATACCTCAGCCGGTGTGCGGATACCTGTGAGAGGTTCTTGGATATTCGGAGCAGCTCTGAGAAAATTGTTATTTAAAGGTTGGATTGGTACTCGGTAAGGATATCTCGTCTTCACTCCACTTCACTTTTACTCGCTCGCAATATATCTAATATTCACTTCGCAGCTCCAATATATTCAATTAAAAACTTCGATTATCAATCAACCCAGTCAAAATGCGACCCATTTCCCTCCTCACAGCAATTATCTTCCCCCTTTCCCTTGCAGCACCCGTACCTGATAAAGGTATATAATAAAATCCTACATCCTTACATAACCCAGCCCTTACATACAACAACAAAACAACGTACTAACACAACTCTAGAATCAAACACACCCCAAACCATCCCCCTTCCACCTCCGGCCGCAATACTCGCCCTCATCAACGCCGGGCTCGCCGACGCCGCCAACCCCACAGACGTAGCCTACGCAACAGGTCTCATAGCCGCCGCCGAAGCCGCCGCAGAAGCCGCCGCAGCTGCCCAAAAAGCGAGTGGTTCTATAAGCGGCACTGCAAGCGGCACTACAAGCAAGAGACAAAATCTCGGATCACTTCTTGGTATACTTCAAGGACTGGGGTTGGGCTCTTTGGGATCTTTAGGGGGTTTGAAAGAGCGAGATGAGAATAGCAAAAGACAAGTGACTGGTCTCCCCGATCTCGGCGACCTCGGTGAGCTCAGTGCGATTTTGGGGGAGCTGGGCCCCGTCGTTAGTGTTGCTGGGGATATTCCTCCTGTAGGTGATGGTGGGGTTTTAAAGCGTCAGGATCTTCCTCTTGTAGGAAGTCTTCCCGGTGTTGCGGGCCTAACAAATGATTTACCGCTTGGTTCGCTAGGTTCTGTTACGGGAGGTCTTACACAGAGTCTAACTGACCCTACTTCTTTATTGGGGCCCCTAAAAGAGAGAGCTAAGAGACAAGAAGGTGTGAACCTTATTTTTACTTGAGGGCTGAGATTCGACTCAAGATAGATATCCTGTCCATTGATGCCGTAGCTGACGAGAGATTTAGCAGCAGCTGTTTTGAAAGTATAGATTATAAGGTGTATGGATGGGTGGGATGGGACATTTAGAAAGATGAGAAGGGGATTCTTGGGCGCAGCAGCAAATGGCAGGATTTAGGTGTATGGGGTGGATGATTGTTGGAGCTCCTTTTCAAGTTGGTTTACGGTTTAGCTCGTGCTAGACTGGGTTTCGTTCATTACATCTAGTCTTGTGGTTTTGCTTTTCTATATTTTTGGCAGTCTTGATGGATGGTTTCAATGCGAGGGTTTTGGGCTCCTAACTATCTGAGATATTACTTTGAGATTTTGGAAACGTGCAAGATGGAGTAGCACCACTTTCATTCCATCTTAATCGAAGGTATTGTGGTACCAATTCACTAGATTGACTTGGCACTTTAAATGTTCAAAGTAGCAAGAAAAATATCCACCGTAGCATTTAATCTGACTAAATTTAGCACGGCGTATTGCAAGGGACAGTTTTACAGTTTCAGTTTCACAAAGATTGAAGCAAGATTCAAGGTAAGAGAGAGTATATTTTTATGACTACCAGAGAGAACTATGGACAATAAAAACACCAAGCCAAGATCATGCTCCTCCCGCAAAGAAAGCCGTCGCTCAAAACTGGGGAGTGCAAACACCAAATCTCATAATCTCATCATATCATCAGCATGACACCATTTTTTAGCGAAAGACAATAAAGTCCATCGATCCTCCAGACCAATCAATTCCAGGGATCCAACCAATATTTGTGGCGTGTGAGCAAGGGAGTTCGGGCTCGAGAGATCAAACAGTCGTTATTTAAACATATTTGACAGTAATGGAGTCGCTGCCAGTGGAAACGGAGGTGAGGACGGTGCTGCTTTGTTGAAGGTCGATGATTTGAGCACCGGTAATACCGACGGACTTTCCGTTTTGGGTGGCTGAGGCACTGGTGAAGGCGACAGTGCCGAAGTTGGCAAATTGGACAAGGGAGCCATCTTGCTCGAAATCCTCAACGATCCATTCGGCGTTGTACTCGCAGAGGTCTCCATCAACACCACCGGTGAAGGTGTGGGTGACAGATTTACCCTTGGTGAGGTTGTTGACGGTGGCGGTACCGGTGGTGTCAGAGGAGGCAGTAACGGTAACCTTGATGCTGTCACCAGCAGAGATGGAGATGCCGGTGAAGTCGTAGGCGTAGTCTGGGTACCACTCATACCAAGCATCGTAGGTGATGGAGTTACCAGACTTGGTCCAGTCGATACCGGTTTGGAGAATGGCGGAACTGCAGGTGTCACCGTCAATACCAACCCAGGCGGATCCAGATCCGGCTGTGCTTGGGGATGGGGCAGTGAAGGTAGCGGTTACGGAAGTGTAACCAGTGCCGACGAGGACGGCACCAGCCCAGTTGGAGGAGTAGGAAGCATCGGTCTTGTTGGTTGGTCCCTCAACGTATTTGACTGGGTTTCCGTGGGTACGGACAGCGCGCTTGACAGCACGTGCTTGTCTCAAAGCAGTACCTGGGGCAGCAACGGCAGAGCCGGCGAGGAGGGCGGTAGCAGCAACGACGGAGAACTTCATTTTGATTGATTGGATTAATTGTCGAAAGAACGAACAATTGATAGATTGATTGGATTGGATTGGCTGTGAGGAGTGTGAAACGATTGATGCTGGACTGGAGAGAAAAAGATATTACTCTGTGGATGAAGACAAGATATATATACCCTTTGTGAGGTATTTCGTCTTCACGTATATCTCAAGTGCAATTCAATCTATATCTCAACCTACCTTCCTGAATGATCAAAAAGTGCTGTTATCACGACAACATGAGATGGAGACAGCTCGATTTGGACTTCTTCACCGGCACTTGCATGAGAAGTCTAAAAGTTTGATTGAGGGCAATTCAACTGTGGATGCCGACATCTAGCTCTAACCTACAGGGCAGGGCAATACCCATATAGATCAACTTGATCACCTTCCTCATTAATTAGCACGCCTGTCGAACATCATTCATCTTGACTGAAGATCTTCGATGATAATCTTCAACTATTACCATAAAAAGGAGGTCCTTTGATTCCTTATCTAAACATCCCTGTTTTGGCGCCTATGTATATGTGCATTTAACGGGCACAGGAACAGAACGAGACTTCCAGCGGCTGTCTCAAATGATCCACCAATAAAAGTAGTCATGTGTTGTGGGGATGGAAAGAAGCTTATCTCAAATCATATGTGTAACTAGTATATCCATTTATAATATCCGCTTGGGCCTTATATTGGCTAATGGTTGCACGTATCGTGCATTACACAGTAAGAAAAAGCAATTAATGAGTTCTTGCAAAATGTGGAAGGTATATGATGCAAGAAAGGTTCTTACAGGTAAGTTTGACCCCAGACGTCGTATTCTGCAGAAGTGTGGATGTCGATTGATGGAGATTGTGGATCCACGGAGTGTGACAGGATCCAATTGCTTATTTTGGATACATGTCGATTGTTGAGTGGTATCGTTCACATGAAGGATTGCCTATGTATAAAATTATAGAAGGATCTAAAGGGAGCAGTAACATTGCCAAATGACAAGGAGTGACAAACAGATTAGCAAGGAATAAATCAATATGCCGAGCGATTCAATACTAGCCACTCGTTTATCCTATCACAAGCTTTACATTGGGGTTAAAACATAAATACAAGCCTTTATGGGAGCTTCCAAGATCTAACTTCCCATCTCGGCAAAGCAGGCCCGTGTCGATTCCACTACCGGCTATTAAATGCATGCTTGAATAAGCCAAGGATGGTGTAACGCTACCATTCTGCATTCCAAAGCATGCATGCTGAGGTATCTCGTGCTATCTCGAAATACCTTCAAGAAACAACGCCATCGATAAGCAGCCACTGAGGTGGCGATCCCCTTGAATTAACGAGATATTTCGTATTACGACGAGACAACCTTCCTAATATAGTCTAATCGATAGTATTATTTTTCTCGGACCTTACAAGTCATCATGTGAGGATCTCAGGATAAGGATGTAACGGTCCTGAAGAGAGAATTGGTCTTCTTTTTGATCAAGAATTTTATTATCAGTTTGAACTTTGAGTATGTGTAATCCTAGGTGGCCGAGATAAGGCATGCAGCTTTACTTGGCGATGGAGCGATGGGGATGACGAGGCCTTTCTTGGCGATGCCAACCGATGCCAACCTACTTGGCCTACTTAGCCCATTTGGCTGCAATGTCGACGGCTATTGTTGTTGCATTTCTCCAAAAATGCCCCGCGGCATATGTTAGGCAGTTTGAGACTTGAGTAGCGTGATAGCGTGGTGGTGTGGTGGGTTTCATTTATCCGGGTCATTTAGACTTCAAAGATATCGGATTTAACACGGGCTAAGTGTAATCCTTGTCGGTTCCTGAAAATCAACTCATTCGCTGCGATAGCAAATGGCCCCTCTTTCGAATAGCATAGAATCTTCATGTTGAAGGAAGTCGTTGTGTTTAGTGGTATTTGTCATTTCTAAACTAGATGTCGTATTTTCTGTCATTTCCGTGCCAAATCGCCACGATTCCGCCATCTCAGAAATATGCCAGTCGCGAGGTACTGAACTGTTTACAACATGGGAACAGTTATTTTCTCCTTTGGAAACTTGGAGGACATTATTCTCATTCTATACGCGTTGTTCCGAGGCCAGCAGGAGTTATAGAATCAAGTTTTGCCTTGATACATCCTCATTGACAGGTCGCTCATCCAAACTAGACGCAGCCATAATAGTTGCTAACTCGATTTCTTGTTCCCTAAGTACTGTCCACATCAGGCGAGCGACAATGGACTGACTTGGCACGAGTATGATGAAAGAGGGGAAAACCAGTAGGTTGGTATACTCAAGTATCCAACAACTTAGCTGCTCAAACACTCGAGCGCCAGAGCCGTGAATGGAAAAGGTTGCATCCTTCCTCCAAACACTTCTTCTGTTGTCTATTCCTTTCTTTCCAGCTTCTATCCACTTTCATCTTCTTGTCTGCACTGAGTTAGTCCTCGTCGGGAAACTCAACGATTTAGGATTGCATATTTTAAGGCGACTTATGTGATATCCTCTAGATAGCATTTAGCAATGTTGAATGTTTCACTGAATCTTACGCATTCGTTTCCTTGTACTCCTCTGAATGTTTGAGAATGAGATGACGAATTGGCGACGCTGCGAAATTCTATTGGCATAATGAAGTGACTGCACATCCTCGTTAATTTTGTAAACACCGTTGGACAACAGCAATTGACAACTGTTGTAACTTCACTCGTACCTTACTTGCTTAACCCCGCCTTTTGCCAACTGCCCTGTTATCAACAGGGGCATCTGTCTTTGTCCACTCTCCCACCGGCCCGCAGGCATACTCCGTTTGGATATAGATTGTGGGGCGACAATGGAGTCAACCATCTTCAGTATCGTGCCTCCGTGCGTGCATGTCCCACCATCAAGTCCAAACTAGAACTGTGGATGATAGTGGATTCATCAGTATGATTTTGTTATCTGCTATATTTTTTGGATAAGATACATCTGTCGGGGATGACCGGTAACACTACTCGGCAGGAACTTTCCGATTTCCGTTCACAGAAGAGTCTCTTGGACGTCTCCCCCAGCTTGCGCCATGGTTCAACAACAACTCCATTATCTCTCCTTTCGGATCATAGAAATTGGCCCAATAGATAGGACTTTCCCCAACATTATTAGGAATATCCGGATCAGCGCCTCGCTCTAGCAAAATTCTGACAACCTCAAGATGGCTTCTGTAACAAGCGACATGTAGAGCGGTCGCATATGCTCTGCCTCCAAGCTCATCAATATTAACATTTGTCTCGGTGTCTAGAATTATGCGAACAATGTCTGCAAGCCCAAAAGACGCTGCATAATATAGAGGATGTGTTCTCGTCACATATGAATCTTCAGCAGGAGCCGATGGCATGATCATGCCAAGCCAGAAAGTGAAGTTGCCGCCATTTGGAAGATTGTGAGTTTCAAAAAAAGCGTGGAGGAGCTGTTGAGTACGGGGTAGAAGATAGTCTACAGGATCGCCAGGTGCTTTGTTGACATATCGTGGCCGGTTTAAGGTGATGTGACGAAGGAAAGGATAATCTCGACGGCGGCTCCTGAGTAGTTGTCGGTCATGTCCTCGGGAAAATTCACGATTGAGTAGGTACGCGAGACAAGCTTGAGCCATAAATTGGCGAGCAGCATGTTGAGTGAAGTGGAAGGGCGATGACTTTGAGTGTGTGATATAATCTGCTACAGATGCATGTGCAAGTTTCACGGGAGGTGAAACATACCCAAATTTCTGCTTAAGCAGATCACTCTCCCATCTAGCCTTTTCATCCTCATCTTGTCTTGAGCTTGGACCACTTTTGGTTATGAGGGATGAGCATATAGTAAGGACTATTTCGGGATCGAGAAGTCGAGAGTCTTGATCAAAGCACGGTGGATCAGAATCAAAATCTATGGCTAGAATTTCTACCAGTTCCTCAAAATTTAGTGGTTTTACAGCTACGGTAAGAGCTTGAAGAATTTTTGAAACCTCTGACTGATGTTGGATATCGATCTGTTGTAATATTCGCGCGTAGGTCTCGTCTAGACTTTTGGGCAATGTTTTCATCGCTTTTCGTATTGCTGACACGCTTGTGCATTTTTGGAACATATCTAATTGGCAAGCCACCCATCGAAACCTGTGTCATCACTTAAAAGCTGTCCTCATATTCACGGCGGAGATCTTATGTACTTACATGCCGTCCCCTTCACGAATTAGCTTGAGCTCGACTTGGGTCCGAATATCTCGGGGCCATTTCGATATAATTTTATCGTGCTCCATTTTCTCGGAGACGAAATATTTAATATCAACTCTTGCTGAAATAGAATCTTGTAAGCAAAGTCGACCACTGACAAGGGAGACAAGACGTCTTCGATTTCTGCTAATTGTCGACTACTGACTAACAAGCGTAATCTTTGATATTGCCATGATTTGATAGTGGAAATAAATGATAGGACTTCTTCGTTTCTGGCAGCTTCATCAAGTGCATCGAAAATAATGTAGACATGATGGAAAGATAATAGAATGTTACGAAGGCATTCAAGAAGTGCCTCATCTGTTGGTGACGTTGATTTCCTTAGGCGTGATTCCTCAAAAAGATCTGTCAGTGGCCGAGGAATATCATTACTTTGCGCTGAGAGTTGAGCAATCAATGATTTGACTGCGCCGGTTAGATCTCCGTTGAAGTCGAAGTAAAAGTATGCGAGTGCTATGTTAGGATGTTGCTGAACTTGACTGATCAAATGCTTTATGATTGTAGAACTAAAAACAGATATGAGTATATTGTCCAGGATAAACTTAAAGTATTAGTTACCACAACACAGTCTCCCCACTATCAGCTAAGGTTGAATGATCAGTCAATATCATCACTCAATATTATTTGACTTATGAATACCAAAAAGCCATAAAAATGAGCCGTTACCAACAGACCATTCCTCGTATTGCTTACTTATTAAAAACCAAGCTCCAGTCTTCAGTTGATGCTTCTTCAATGTCGCAGCATGAGTAAGAAACGGATCTGATGCTGCTAGCCATTGATAGATATCTCGACTCATTTGATCTATATGATGTGTCAATTTCAATCATCCCCAATCTTTCACGGGCTTCGACTCTGAGCTAAAGTCTATACTACAGTATCGAAATAAGAGAACGTATTCCTACCTGCAAACTGATTCCCAATCCTATTCGTAAGATTCAAAGCCAAATTCCTACAAGATTATGAGCATCCCCGATTTTCCCTCAAACAATTCGATCAACTCACGTCTGATCCGCACTCAGCCCCAACAGCAGCGTACTCTTCAACCTCTCTAAAACACCCAACGTCTTCCTAACCTCACCCTCTTTCAGTGGCCAGACCAGTACATTTTTCAATCCCCTCCAACCCTTTTTACCCACACGTCCTTTTTCCATTTTCTTCCTCAAATTTTCCAACTCTAATCTACACATCGAGAGGGGCCCATCATCTTTTAACAACAATTCGAATGTAAAGTTGTTTTCCATCCGCCTCACTCTTTTCTGCCAATGTAAGTAACGAATCTAATAACCCTTTTAAGCTATTCAACTCATCCTGAATCTGGACAATTTCTTCCGAGGCATGTTTGGCGCCCTGACGATAATCGTAGCAGAAGGATATTAAGGAGCCTGTGATTTGGAGAACGGCTACCAAACTTGCGGATATACTCAGTGGGTCCATGTTGGGAATGAGAGTAATTGTTTTCTGGCTCGAACTTGTGTGTGATGCAGAGTAAAGTTGATTAGCAAGAAATAAAATGTGCAACTTACATGTATCGACAGAATATGACTTAACCTACATGATAAGCCAAGATTATGCTGTGTTTTCAGCTTGATCAGGTGATAAGCTTATCATTTCGTACCTCTCTCTCTCACCAAAAATCTCCACTCACTCGTCCACCCCGCCAATGTATAATATATATCCTCCCTTCTCGAGCTCACAACTCCCAACTATAACCAGCGTTTGTGGTTCGAAGGTTTATTATTGTTGCAGATGGGATTATATCATCTACCTATTAAGGCTTGGATTGATCATCCAGATTTTATCAAAATATGGGCGCCGTATCTCATCAGCCTAACGCCACCAAACCTCTGAGGTTATCCCTTGATCAAACCCTTAAGTCTAGTACCCTACTTTCGGGCCACCCCTAATTTGGGCCACCCTTTTACACCAAAAAATCGTGATTTTCACCTATTAATAACTTTACAAAAAATCAATATAATTTAATGGAATTTGAATCGTAGATTCATTATGTAGTTATTAATAAATTTTGAAAATTTTAGATTTTTTAAAATTGATTTCGTTGAGATCTGAAAGGTTAAATTTTTGAATTTTGAATTTATATAGGGTTTATATATAAATTTAAAAAACATTTAAAATCTTGAATAATTTTTCAACAAAAGTAATTAAAAATAAAATATTAATTTTTTTAAAGTTTTTGAATCAAAATCTATCAAATAGATTAAATTATTTCGAAAAATAATTTATAGAAATCCGATTAATCAAAATGTTGAGATTTTTAATCCCTGTAAAAATTAAAAATATCAACAAAAATTTTCCTTTATAATTTTAAATTCAAAATTCTTATTTATTCTTTCAATTATAATAAAAATAATTAAAAATAATTTATAATTTAATTTTAATAATTTTCATTGAAAAGTTATTTCAAATTTTAATAATTTTCAAATTTGTATGCAAATCTTACACAAATCAAAAATCGTAATTTCAACTTTTAATTTCTCAATCAATAAAATTGTGAAAAATTTAAAAATTTCAGAATCTATTAATAATTATATAAAAAATTTATAATTAAGATTTCAATTGATTTCATTCATTCATTGTTGAATTATTAGTAATTGAAAATGATGATTTTTGATATAAAAAAGTGACCGAGATTAAAAGTAGCTGAAAAGTAAAGTATTATACTTATATATTTATAATCCAGATCTATAAAAGAGAGAGGTGAAGAAGAGAAAGAAGAGGAAGATAATGAATGATAAAGATATTGAGGAAGGTATTGTCACGGACCTCGTATAAAGGACGATCATGTGATTCCAATTGATCGACAATTCCTATCGGTGAGCTGATAGTCTGTGCACATTTTTCCAAATTCACCCTTTTTAGTATGGCATTATGGTCACCTTAAGGAAGAAAGCGCACAACCATGCAGCTACCGTATAGGTATTTTGTATATATATATGGATGCTCCCTACGAGTTATAGTTCTTTAGTTGTAGATTCTAAGGAATATAATTGACTCTGTTTATTCAGCTCTTATGAGGCTCTTGTACGTCACAGGTATTAATTGGAAATTAAAAAGTAAACAAGAGAGAATGATATTTTTGAGATATTAGATTTATAAATTTATTTGATATTTGAAATTTTTTATTTATTATAATTTTTCAAATTGAATTATAAGAATTTCAAAATTTAAAAATTTACTAATAAAATAAACGAAAATCAAGAAGTTTTCAAAATAATTTTTTCAATAATATAAAATATTATATTAGAATATAATTTTTTTAATAAAAATATAAAATATTATTAATTCAATATATAATTAATATATTTTTCAATTTTTTTTTATCAATTATAATAATTTTATATAGGATTTTTCTTCTTAATAATTTTTTGTTTTTATATATTGAAATATATTTACAAAATTCAACGACGAACAGCTGTACGCAAGTACTGTAATTTGGAAGTCCAAAAGCAGAATTTATGTATGTTTTTTATCTCATAATTTGTCGCATGGAAAGGGTCAAGATGAGGTGCTTCCCACAAATACGACTTGCACACTTGCGAACCTATCCATAGCAAGATGTTAGCGACGGCTTGAGGCAGGATCATAAATCACTCACGCAGCAGTCGCGGCAAATGTATCAACTCTCTTCGCCTTCATAGTTACTACTAACGACAAAGCAAACACCACTGTGAACAGAGCGATTATGCCTAACCTTGCCAACATTTCATGGACTGAATAGAGGACTACAACAGCCAGAACGGGCAACGATGAAGCGATGGCTGACCCATCATATCAGCTACCCTAATTACAATCTTCCCATTTTACACACATATCAGGCTCTCCTCATCGGCTTGTCGGCGACGGCACCGCATCTTCAATTTGTGGCAAATTGCTGTCAGGGGTTTCCGTAGGATTCTCGTGAAAGATTCGGCGGCTATTTCACCAGGTTTGATGACCAGCAAGTCCTTCCCTTCTCTCCAGACGTTTCTATCCAAGTCTTCAAGGGCACAATCGCCCTGTCTCGAATCAACAAGCCAATGGTTCACGAATTCGAGGTTTCCGGATTCTGGCAGATCGAAGGTGGAAAGTTGACGTTGTTGAAAAAGACACTCAACGACACCTCTGTTAATAACAAACATCTGTTCGCTCCGTCCAAGAGCGTCCTACTATACTCTTTCAACTTCTGTCTCACGCACAACACTGTGTGGTATTGGGAGCTCGCTACACCGTTTTTTCTTTTGCTCAAATAATACCAATTCTTATGGTGGCGCTTTGCGTTTAGATCTTCCGACATACAGTCTTTCGTTGTGAATTTATTGAGGTCAGCTTCGAGGATAACGAGCTCTGCTTGTAGATAGAGAAGATTAAGGGCGTTGAGAGTCGGGGGGTGGCGGTATATCCCTAACTGAGGATAGGTACCCTGAAGGGCAGCAAGTTTTGGATATCCCCCAGCGATGTTTTCATCCTAGCCTCTGGTGCTTTGAATCGAGAAACGAGAGCCTGATTTTGCAAATTGGATGAGAATGATGAGATACTATTCTTAACAATATAATCTGAATTCAGGTGGGCAGACACATAAGGCTTTTGAGAGCCTTATCGTTGGGCATAAGTCGATGCGCTGCCTTGCAGTTGTTGGCATGCATGTGATCCCGATTCAAAATAAAAGACATCGCTCAGGTTACAGATAAAAATGTAATATCAATTCGCTCATGTATCCAACACTGCTTTAGTGGCTTAGCAGTAGAAATGAATGGTGTAGAGACTGCGGTGTTTCGTACTTGTCCCACCTCCGCTTCCGGCATCAAGAAGAGGTAGAGGAGTGATGGAGGAGTGATGAAGAGCTGGCATTTGATCAATAAAGCTCTGACTCCTTTGCTTCATAACCGCGTGTCCTTTATGGAATGTTATTTGGTGTTTGAGGGAGGGAAGCGATGGCTATACATACGTAGAAGAGTTCACCAGCTTAAATACAACTCGTTTAGCTGACTAGTGTATTATCGGCCGTAATTTCAAGGCTCACACCACTGTTGTCTCGCTGAGATTCGAGACAAAAAACCACAGTAAATATAATATTTAAACTTCTCGTTCCGCATATCAATTAACTGTAAGCGTTTGTGGTTTAGTGGTAAAATCCATCGTTGCCATCATCTTCTCTTCTCCAAAAGAGATCTTGAAACAACCTCGATGGGCCCCGGGTTCGATTCCCGGCGAACGCATTTGAAGATTTACCTTTTGCTTTTTGTGTCTTTGATTTAATATTCTTCGTTTTCAAGGGATCAATTGGGTGGTTGATATTTTTATGGTTAAGGTTTTGCTGATTGTGATAATGGGGAGAATGTGGGGTTATGGGGTCGTTGATTTGGATTTACTATTGAAGACTACTTTTGAAAGTATCATGAGATGAAAAATAGTCAAAACTATTTATGATACTTATTTTTTAGTTAGTATATATATATATAATATTAGAGTTGAACTCTAAACTCACCAAAATCAAACCCAAAGTTCATATTGCAACATCGACCAATACTTATAAAATGGAGTGAAGTTGATGGCCACGCTGAACCTCCTTCTGTCCTGAAGGATCATTAGGTATAAAAGATAGAAGTGGTGAGGAGAGTGGAAAGAGGCTATGTAAGCAAATAACAAGCACTCTCTATACCATACTAATAACACAATAAATAGACATTGAGCCCCCAATCCGGATATGATAGTATCTATTGAATACCATAATGTCAAATAATATTACTATTTCAGAAATGTAAATCAAACCTAGCTAGCTAATCATGCCCATTTCATCCAGTGATGAAGCTTCTCATTATGGTATCTTCATAACCTACCGCATTGAAATATGCCCAAACAGTTTGCCTCCATACTCCGTAACACTCATTATAAAGTACAATTATCGATACATATACTCCTTTCCCCTCTCCCACTACATTGACCCCCTGAACGCCATCCGCATTCAAAAATTCAGATGCAAATCATATGGACCTCTCACTTTTTCCCCTTTTCCGGTGTACTTTTCGCCGAAGATTCCTTCACCATCGCCTTGCTAACCTTATCTAATTTCGTCTTTTGATCATCGTCTAGAGCATGAAACCACTCCCTCAATTCTTTCATATGTTTCTTCTCCCCATGACCATATTCAACCGGAGGTCCTCTAACTTCAATTTCTGTACCTTCATCCTTGAATACTGCCCAACTGCTTGTTTCCTCAGATTTTAATGCGAAGCCTTTACCTTTGACTGATAAAACGCTGAAATTTCTCAATAGAACCCCGTCTCCAATTTCAGGTGTGGGAAGAGCATCTTTGTATGGACGGAAAATTCTTACTTGCACTACTCCAGAAGGGGCAATAGTTTGATCAGTAATGGTGAAAATGCTAGTGTAGTGTCTTGGTCCCAACTTTACTCTGCGAGGTTCTGGAGGCACACTCGTCGCGATGGCCAAAATGTCCAGTTTGGAAGTCATTTTAAAACGAAGCATTTCGAGAGTTGTGTATTCGCTTAAATCAGTACGAAGGTATTTAGTTAAACGGAGTTTGGGATCGGTACATGCACGTGCTCTGAGGTGATGGCCAGCTTTTGTAGGTGATGCGGGTAATTCGAGTGATTCTAGTGCCATTTCAGCGCTTGCATCATGCCCTTCTAGTGTCTCCTCTTCGTCGATAATTATAGATGGTGATCTCCTGGAACGATCGCTACCACGTGTAGATGGCATATCATTCTCTTTGTTGGATTTCGTTGGAGTTGTAAGAGTAAAAGCCTCTACAACCGGCTCCATCTTTTTTGATCGGGTTTGCCTGGGACTGAGAGTGGCCGATCCTTTCCTACTCCTTTTAAAGTCAGGTGAAGGTGAAAGATCCATGCTGGATCGTGTTTGCCGAGGGCTAACGGGCCTTGATTCGTTTTCCGTACTCTCAATACCAGAGGATTTTCCTTTGCGGTTACGGTTTCTTGACGAGCCAAAAGAATCACGAGGGGTTTCTTTGATTTGCTCCAGCAGAATGGCTTCGGTTTTTTCAACCACAGCTTCAGTCTCCTCGATAGTTTGCTCAATAGACTCTTCCGCGATTTCAGCCATATCCATGTCTTGTCCCAAAATGCTATCACCAGCTATTTTCGCGAGAGTCTGCTGAGTTTCGAACTCTATCATTTCATATCAGCTTCGATTCGTTTAATATCAGGTTTCTCATTCCCAACCTCCTGCTTTCATCCGCCTCCTCCCCTCCTCTCACCTCCAACTCCATCCTCTACCTCCTTTCCACCTCCTTCCCTCCTCCTCGTCTACCTCAACTCCACATCCTCCACCTCAACTTCCGTTTTCTCCACCTCCTCCCCCTCCTCCTCGTCTACCTCCAACTCCACATCCTCTACCTCCTCTTCCCTGGCAAAGTCGTCCTCGACAGGGTTTTTGTCGGCATGCTCTAATTCGGTTTCGATAATCTCAGTCTTTCTAATCTCAGTCACCTCCGCGTGGGTGAATTCAACCTCAAAATCTTCGAGTTTAGGCTCAATCGCCTCGTCATCATCTCTATTCAAAGCATCTGTTTCTGGAGACACATCCTGATCCTCATTAATTGCTTCTTGAAAAGAAGATTGGTCTTCATCGTCAACAGAGTTCGTTGATTGATCCTTTGCATTTCCTTCAGCAGTATGCATCATTTCTGAATCTTCATCCATCTCTCCCATCTCTTCTTGTAATTGAAATTGGACTAAGTCTGACATTGAAGTAAAAGTGTCCTCGTCAAGATTCATCATTTGGGTATCGTCAGGGGTTGGAAGTTGGCCATTTTCATGGTTTGTTGTGATTTGAATGCCATGTGTAGGGTTGTGGGACTGTGAAATTTGTTCTGGTTCACCAATTAACTCTTGTTGATCTTCTGGCTCAGTCACTGGCAATATAGGATACGATATTTGACCATTCTTATCCTCGTCAGTATCCTCGCCAGCATCATTTGCGCCATCTATACCAAATGTTCTCGAGAACAAGGTATCCTTCTTAGGTAAATTAGCCCACCCAGACTTGGCAGCTCGATCCTTAATGCTTTGTTCTGTGGAATTGGGTATTGTTGAAGCATTAGATACCTCCACAGCTATTGGTGATGGTAGCGATATTTCAAGAGCAGCATTGATAATATTTTCACTATTATCGCACTGTATTGGCCCATGGGAAATTTCAATTATTGTTGGTGGATATTCGGTCGGTTCACTTGGCTGGGTTTCTTGTAGGTTGGTCTCATCAGCATTTGCTCCATCCGGATTTTGGACATTTCCTTCATTCCCAAAATCCTCAACGGCGTACTCGGCATCTACTGCAACATTTTGAGGTATAGCACGGCGGATATTCGAAGGCCCCTGCTCCACCTGCGTCTCTGATTCGGCTTCCTCTAATTTCTTAAACAAGCCATCAAGATTATCCGTTGCGGTGGCAGCAGAGGTATTGTCCAAGCTGGTTTCAACATCCATAGGTTCGGGATAATCTAGGTCGGTAGTAGCCTCTTCTTCCGAGCTTCCTTGGGATGGTGGAGATTGCTGTGCACCCCTTGATTCACCCCGGCTCAGATTTACATATACTTGAGCTTCAAAACCAGATCCCGATGCATTTGATAGTATTTCGGGCATTTGCGTGCCAGGTTTAATACTATCATTGTGCTTATTGACTAGCGTACTTTCGATTCCCATTGATTCGTCCTCAACCGAAACGTCAGGGGATTCTCTCAAGGGTCCCTGGAAATTTGTGGTAGGGATATCGTCGTTTTTGATTTCTTCACCAACAACATCTAGATTTTGGCCATCCTCATCTTCTTCCTGATCCTCGTATTCCTCTGACTCTTGCCCTGATTCTAATTCCTCATCATCTTCGATGTCGTCCCCGATTTGAGCAACAGGGCTTCCTGGCCCATCCTCATCATCGGAAGACAAAAGGTCTATTACTTCCGGCTCTCGTGGAGGATGTTGTTGCAGCGGCGCTTCATTGTTCATTTCATCCTCACTGTAATTGTCCTCAACATAGTCATTTTCACTACCGTTATCATCCTCTTCGAGGTAGTCGTCTCTACCTCTTAGTTCCATATTTCCGTCATACTCGTCCGAGTAACCCTCCCCATACTCATCTACTTTATCCTCACTGTCATACGTATTGTCCTCATACTCTTCTCCTTCATCATGGGAACGTTCTTCTCCATGGCCCACTGGTAAATGAGAGCTAGACACGTACTGCTGGCTGTTATCTTCAACTTCAGGATATCCTTCAGCATCTTCGTCCTCGTCGCTACTCTCAGTCAAATCTACAGGTTGAGATTTGGGAGATTGATGGGATTGAAGGGATTGGTGAGACTGATTACTTTGGGATCGAACCATGGATGACATAGATGGTTGTTGAGAATATACACTGTGGCTTGCAGATTGATGACTATTATCGAGGTCTGGATAGGCCCCACTGGATTGAGTTCCCCAATTATTTGATTGAGGATGTATCTCTTCTGGATCGGGATAGTTATACTGAGCCATATCTTCCTCCAATCCACCGTGAACATACCGGCCTTGTTCCCCTGGAGTTTCAGCATAAACATGTGCTGAGGTATAAGGATCGGATCCGGAGATGTTGTGATGCGGAAAGAATTGCTCTGCACCCTCTCCAGCCTCAAATTCACCATGAGTGTGAGGAGTGGAAGTGGTTTCCATACTTGGAGAGCCAAGTTCATCCCCAGAAAGAATTGCAGATGTTTGATAAGTAGTCTGGTCTGAGTTTGGTTGATTGCTCATGTGGCTCCCAGGCCTGACACTATGTGGATCTTCGTCGGCATCAATTTGATCATCCTGTTCCGGTAAATCAGCCTCTGCTGAGTATACAGCTGGGGCATTCGGGTTGTCAAGATCCTCATTATGGTCATTGTGTATGTGGTGGTTGAACATTTCAATTTGACCTGTTACCAATGGGGAGACTAGAGGTAGACCTTCAGATGGCAAAGGTCGTAACTGCGGAGAATAAGGTCTCTTCTCATCTGCATTATCGGGCGGGTTTTGTTGTTCCTCGACTTCTGGAATAGTAAGATCAGATTGCTTTTCTGGGGGTGGCATTATGACTGTGGTCGCTTCTTCGATCTGTGGTTTTCCCTGGACCGGGACCTCTGGATCCACAGCCTGCACAATGCCATTTACTTTGATTTTATCGACGATTGTAAGTTGAATTTGCTCCAATGCTGGTGTCACTTCAGCTGATACCCCAGTTTCAATCTCTACAGTCTCCTCCACCATAGTCTGCACACCCTCATCCGTCATGGCTGGCACAGGTTGGCTTGCTGGCTCCTGGATATCATGTTCCGAAGGCGCTGCTACTGGCTCTTCGACCTCTGGACTGGGACTTGGCGACCTGCTTGTGAATCGCCATGTTGTACTAAGCCTAGTCCTCTTCCTACCCCTGCCACGTACTGACCCATCTCCCTCTTCAAATGGATCATAGCCCTCTTCAAACATTGACCCATATGATATCCGCTCACGTTTCAAGAACACTGGGGAAAAGTACTCCTCAGAATTATTTATTACTCGGTTTGAAAATGGAACAGGTGTTGATGGCATTTCTGGGATTTGGCCCTCCGTCTCTGCCTCGGTCTCTGTCGCGAGAACAGACGTGGGCGCCACAACAGGTTCTGGACTGGGGTGGTCGATATTGATGATTTTGACATCTTGAGAATCTTCTGGGCGAAACTGGACCAAGATAAATTAAAATATGGTATGTGGAAATCATCTTTTATTCTTACCTGAAGCAGAAGTCTTTCTTTGAATTTAAGTTCAAACTCTACACCTCTTCCAGGTGTCGCATTTGGAGGTTCAAGTTCCACGTATTCCGCCCCATCTAGACATAAGATCACCTCGTCTCCACTAGTTATACCAGATTTTGCGACCGCATTTGCGGATGATCCTGAAAACTGTACGCGCACCTGGCCTCTGGTTCTGCGCAAGCGGAAATCGGGTTCTGCGAGTAGAAAGGCTACAGAACCTGTTCGGGAGCTGTATGGCCATGTAAGAGTTACGACTGCTTTAAGGGATCTTGAACCTGATGCGGGAAGTAACGGTGAAAGTTGTGCGATTGGAATATGCGTATTTGATTCTAAAGTTGACATTGTTGTAGAGTCTGGAATTCCGTTTGTAGATGTTGTTGTTTCTGCCATTGTCTCTGTCGTTGTAGAACAGAGAATTCCTACTTCCAATGCTGATTACTTGTAAATAACCATAATCCTACCGTGTTAATGTGTCAGCGAACCGTATTCATATGTTTAAGGTGCGTGAATAATTGTTTTGCTTTGATGTGGTGGGTGGGACGCGCAGTGAATTCTTCGTGATGGGAGCTCCATTATGGAGTAGCTTTTGGATGGGGCGTCATCGGAATCTTTTTAAAAGATTTGCCGATGTATTGTGTGATGACCCCTGCAAAAGCTGGCTGCAGTGAAGCAAGGAATATAACTATCAGTAACCTTAGTCCACCAGGTCAGGTGCACCCAACTGTCAACTTGTCTTCACGAAGTAGATGAACTCCATGTTCCCAATCTTCACATAGTAGACCTTCTCGATATTGCAATGCAATGACTCCAACTTTTTTTTCATTTTTGTTCTTCTTTCACCCACATACACTTTTAATTTGAAGCCCGAGCCAACATATATAGAATAGATGGGACTTTCAAAGGAATATTGAACGAACGAACGACAAGAGATATCGGAATTAGTATCGGAATCCTCAAAATGAACTCCAAACTTCGAGCTTCTTTCAACGTCAAGAAAATTGCTATTGTAGGAGCAGGCCCCTCTGGGTTGGCTGTAGCAAAGTACCTTCTAGCGGAGAAATACTTTGACAAGGTCGATATCATTGAGCAACAAGCTGAAGTGGGAGGGGTATGGAATTATACCCCGAATATAAGTGACAGTGTAACCATCCCATCAACGACACCAAATGTACCGCCTGAGAGGCCAATCTGGCCACAGGACGGAAATGCTCCCGTTTTCTCAAATCCCATGTATGATCGTCTACACACGAATATTCCTAAATCATTGATGTGTTTCTCTGACCGACCATTTCGCTCTGAATCTTTACTTTTCCCTACACGGGAAGATGTTCAAGAATACCTCATGCATTATTCTGGGGAAGTTAGACATCTGATTCGTTTTTCGGAGCAAGTTCAGAACATAAGGCTAGAGCCCGAAAATGGTCAGGATCGATGGGAAATCACTTCCAAATCTACAATTACCAATAACGAAATCAAAGAGACTTATGATGCCGTTGTTATTGCAAATGGTCACTATTCCGTTCCTTTCATACCTGATGTACCAGGGATTAAGGAATTCAACTCGGCTCATTCATCTATCATATCACATTCTAAAATATTCCGTTCGCCTGCTTCTTTTGTAGGCAAGAAAGTAATCGTGGTTGGTAATGGGGCATCGGGCTTGGATATTGGGACGCAGATCAGCAAAGTCTGTAAAAGACCTCTGTTGAATTCTGTCAGAACTTCCTCTGGCGAAGTAGAGGATGGGAAAGAAGAAGTACCTCCTATTTCAGAATATCTCGCAGACATCAGGGGTGTGAGGTTCGATGATGGGCGGGTCGAAAAGGATATCGATGCCATAGTGTACTGCACAGGATACTTCTACTCATATCCATTCCTCAACTCATTAAATCCACCTGTCGTTGTCACAGGTCGACGAGTGGTCGGCTCATACCAACATCTATTTGACATCCAACATCCAACCCTTGCATTTACAGCACTGGCACAAAAAGTTATCCCATTCCCCATATCTGAAGTCCAGAGCGCAGCAATTTCGAAAGTCTGGTCGAATAAGTTGGTCTTGCCCAGTAAGGAGGAAATGAACTTATGGGAGCAGGAGCGGGTGAAAGAACACGGTAATGGCACGTCGTTCCACATATTTGGTTACCCACATGATGCAGAATACATAAATGGTTTACATGACTGGGTAAAAGGCTCCAAAGATGGATTCAGTAAGGAACCAGCATATTGGGATGAGAAGAAGTTGTGGATAAGAAAGTTGTATGCAGACATAAGAAACAGGTTTATTGAGGATGGCGAAAAAGCAAAGACAATGGAAGAGCTGGGTTATGATTTTGAGAAACGTAACGCGTAGATAAAGAGATAGAATTTAGAGATAATATCATGGGCACAATGGGAATGAAATAGAGTAGAAGATTAGAAGCAAGAACATTTGACATTAATTATTGACCTTAGATTGTCGTGCGCTTCTACACCACTGGTATCCAAGCATTCTCGCACAACCAAAAGGAGACCAAAACTTGAGTGAAGACACGATTGATTTTTGACTATGTAACTATGGACTTGATATAAAATAGGTCAGCATTGAAAAGGGGCATAATGATTCCATCCATAGAAAGCTTTCACCCAAGTATCAATCAGTCTTTGCCAAAGTTCATCTCAACTTCAACACAGCAAACATGTATCCGTAGAACATGGCGGTTGAATCGTATTACCAGAGTTGTATTATCCTCATATCATTCATCCAATTGTGCAGAGCGTCCGAGTGTGCTTACCCTATGCTTTATCCTCTTCATCAATGTCATTATCATCCTTGGTTGAAATGATTCATTGTTCAAATTTTGATATGTATCCATCTTTAGGTCATCATCGTGTCATGGAAGCCGCACGAGGGGCCCTCGTGACGATGGTTTTGAAGTGGTAAATATATTCTCGACCAAGTTATCGGAATCGGCAGTTGAGTTGTAATGATATCAAACTGTCGATGATTTGAGTTAATGGTCTTTTTGTTAAAGAAGAAAGAAAAGGAAACGCGAGAGGGAAAAATTCAAACAAAATATTTCTTACACTAGCGTAATTCGCTAAAATCAGTTAGGCCCCGCGCTGCTCTAAGATTTGGATGCCGCGATAATTATGTACTTCCTACATTTTAATCATTACCCACTACAAACTTATCGAATCAAATAATAAAACTGAAAACCATACAATACAAATACAAGACTCAAATAAGAACCTTATCATCTCTAACTTACTGAATCCTACGGATATCACCAAACTATATACCAAATTCAGCCCTTTGCGATATCCATACTCGTTCAACGAAAATCATCCGATACCTATACCTTCTTGTACATCTCTATCAACAAAACGCACATCTCAGAAGTCAAAGTCACCGTCACCGTCACCGTCACAACAGAAGCTCAACACATTAGCACTCCTGAAAGGTTTTGACTTAAGCGCATATCATTCAGATCTAATTTTCATCCTTTCGTAATGGATAACCTGTGGACTCGACGTTCGAAGTAAGTATTTCCTTCTTCGTTCCCGCATTTGCCTCTTTCTTTGAGCGCTTCTAATCAAAGTGCGGTACAGTTCCAGCAAACTTTCGCTATCCACAGGAAATCCAACTACGAATGGATCAACTTTCAATGGTGGCGACCAGCCGGCAAGAGGATTTGCTTTGGGTAGAAGAAATGGAGATACTTCCTCGCATAGCACAAAGAATCCTTTCAATTCCATGTCCCCTTCGGCCTCATCTTTATCCTCCCCAACGACTGGCGCATCGAGCGCCTTTGGCTTAGGATCAGGCGCTTTCGCATCATTTGGAAGTGCAAAGGGCCCGAAGACACCTGGAGGTGGAGGCGTATTGGATTTTGGAAGTGTGGTGGGAGGATCTACCAAAACACCAAGCGCAGAGAAAAACTATAGAGACTTGGGATCAAAGGCCTCTAAATTTTCTCTCACAGATTTTAAGACGGCCACAACACCACTTTCTCATCAATTTAGACACGGTTGGGTATTCTGGTATAGACCCCCAATCTCCAAATCAAATGGATTCGTGGAATATGAAAAGACATTACATCCAATGGCAACATTCAATTCGGCGGAGGAATTGTTCGATGTTTTTGATCATATGAGGCACCCGTCAGATCTGCCACTGGTTTCCGATTACCACATGTTTAAAAAGGGAATTCGTCCCGTTTGGGAGGATGATGAAAATAAAAAAGGAGGCAAATGGATCGTGAGACTTAAGAAGGGTGTGGCTGATCGTTATTGGGAGGATTTAGTCTTTGCAATGGCAGGAGATGAATTCGATCCTAGTGAGGAGGTTTGCGGTGTTGTGCTTAGCGTACGCAATGGTGAAGATATTTTGAGTATCTGGACTCGTTCAGGTGGCGGGAGAGTACTTAAGATTAGGTACATAATTTCCCCATCATATTTGCAAAATCATATACTAACAACTAAATAGGGAGACATTGAAGCGTGTTCTTTCATTCCCACCCGAAACCAAGGTAGAATGGAAATCTCATGATTCTAGCATACAACAACGAACTGCTATTGATGAAGCTCGAAAGGAAAAAGCTGCCAATCATCACAATAATCGTAATGGCAACGAACACACAGAGAAGAAACAAACATCATAATTTCAACATTCTATTGAGCTTCCTAAGCCACGAGTTTTCTTTTTCTTACAAGAACTGTACAAGTATTTGGGTTGCATGAATTGGTAAAAGCGAAATGAATGATATGATTTGGCTAGGGTGGCGATTTTTTCAAATGCCATTTTGGTCCCGACTTTCTTCATGCTTTGTAAGGGATTGTGCGTATGTGATTTAGCCTGGGGTTGTTTGTATCATAGTTTCGAAGAGTTTCTTGTAGAGAACCTCCTCTTGGCTTTGCCTCTTTTTATCAATTTTAGGATTGCTGTAGCTGCATACAATGAGCTACGCAGTAGAGATCACAGCAAAACTCGTTTCTCTCAAAGGATATTGGAGAAGAGCTTGAATCCATGTGACGTAGGTAGTAGGTAGGTTATATATTGCTTACTTTGTGAAACTATGTGATGTTGGTAGGTCAAGGAGAATTTATGCTTATCTTGCTTACCCCTTGATACCTCCTATGCATGTGCCTGCTTCTCTGCCTTGCTTACCATGCTGCATGTATATGCATATACCCCCATATTCTTATGTTCGTCGTACTTGTGTTTTTCTAGGGTAATGATGGATTTATAGGGGGTGTGTATATGTATATCGTGAATCGAGCACGAGTCTCTATATTAGGAGAGTTAACTCCTAATTATAAATCATAAGCTAGTGCTATTAACTACTAAGTATCTGGTCTATTTTCTATTACCCTTCATACCTAAAATTCACATATTCAACATCTTTTCACAAACCCCTCGAGGAATTCCCGAGGATTTAAGATACACTGCTCAGTCCACCAGTCTAATAGCAAACCCCACTCAGCAATCCACCAACCAAAACACCCCAAATTGATGTACCATGTATGTATATATATCCATGTATTCCCTTCCTTTTCATCAAACAACGCAAACATCAATATCGAAAATCGGTAAAGATGTTTAGCTTCTGTGGTCCAATGGTTAGGATTCCACCCTTCCAAGGTGGAGGTTCGTGTTCGATTCACGGCAGTTGCAGTTTCTTTTGCCTTTTTTCTTTTCATTCATTGATAACTTTTACTTAGGCACTTTCAGCATAAATTTATTTCGTGTATTTGGACGAAACACTTTACTTGGGCTTTGGTGAAGTGAAGTTGTCTTGCGGGGTTGCATGAGGTTGAATGTTTTTTTGGCTGTGGGAATCTGAGGAGATAGTTGAGCGGCTCGGTACAGCTCAGATCAGATCCTGTTTTTCTTACTTTACTCCGTACAGTTCTCTTCATGTTTTTACTCTTGTGTATAGAGTACTAAGATTGATCTAATCTTGGTGTCTAAACATCTAAGCAATAAATACCTAGATAGTGCGTGTAACCATCATCATTTTCATGAAATAAATCTTTTCCCAAACTACTTAGGTACTTCAGCAATACAAATATACATCTATCGATCATCCGGTGCCCTAAATCATCAGGAATATATATCGTCGTGAATATATATTAAATTTAAAAAGAAAAAGAGATAAAATAACAATAAGCCAGTTAAGGACGCTTGAAACTCGAGTCTGAGAGGGAAATCTTTTTGTTACCCCCAAGGCATATATCTACAGAGAACCTTGGACTTCCTATCGCACTTTAAGTCCGCTGAGAGGGCAAGCTTACTTATTGTACGGTCCTATTCTTGCGTGAAATATATAGGAATACATGGGAATAGGTGAAGTATATAATATAATGAACTTGGACTTAAACACATATTCACATCTATTTATTTATTTCATCTTGTAAGATCTTACAAATACATATGCAAATGCATAACACGTAGAAGTAGAAGTAGAAGTAGAATTTCCTATCATAAGTCTATTAAATCAAGTGGGTGAGGTATTCTCAATTAAAACAATGCAATCGACCAAAATATCATTCCTTCATGCCAGGACAAAACCCAAACCTCTTCCTGTTTCCCAAACCTCAAGATTCATTCAATATCATAAATGCTCCCTAAAAAAATACGACTGCGCCTCGTCCTCTGACATCCAAGTCCCATCCTCATATCTTGTATCACAAGCCTCTACCCTCTGAACTCATAACACCTTCCACTTCCCTTTCTCACAAAAGTAAACTCGCCTTCCACTCCGCCAATCCCTTCATCGTCCCAATATACCCAATATACGTATCCGGCCTAACAAGGACATAGCCCGGCTCCGTTTTAAACCCGTACCTCTCATGTAAGATACCGTCCTCATCACAAATATCATCACTTTCTTTTTTCTCCTGACTAACAATCCTATGAATCCTCAACCAACTCTTTTCTTTTTCCGGAAAATCGGTTCCAACCGTCTCTAACAACTCCTCCGCATCCATAGCTTCTTTCCCTAGCCCAGAAAAAAGCAATAAATGGTGCGTCGGCCCTTTGAACAATGAGTATAAATTGGTCGTACCTTGACTTCCAGGGAGAATGATATTCCCGTCTGGTGCCCGGTCGCCTCCTCTCCTAGGTCCATAATACGCGCTTGCAGTTTTACAGAAGGATGAATGACGATATCTTATCCCAAGTTGTGAAATAAAACGATATCTTCTTTGGCGATTCGCGCCTTCTTTAAAAGCAATCGGGGCAATCCATGGGAAGAGAGTATTGCGTAAAAAGAGAAAAATGGGATTTTTCATGGCCTGGAACTCGAAGACTCGGTCTGTGCCTTTTAGAAGATTAGTACCAACGCGCCGGCGTTCAACATTGTAGGAGTCGAGAAAATCATCTTTCTTCTCATTGCGAATAACCATGCCGAGTTTCCAACCAAGGTTGATAGCGTCTTGAATACCTGTATTCATTCCTTGACCACCAGCTGGTGAATGAATATGCGCTGCATCCCCAGCGACGAATACACGGCCATTGCGAAAGGAGTCGGCGATTCGATGATGGAGTTTAAATCGTGCAATCCACGTAGGAGGACCCTCGAGTTGTATGTTCCCCGTAGCAAGTCTTTGAAAAGCTTCTTCGAATACTTTAAGAGTGGGTTCATCATCTTTAGCTTCTCCGTGAGTCGATTTCCCGTTCTTAGTATTAGGAACACTTAATATAAGTCGGTATGCACCATCTTTGAGTGGTAAACACATCATAAACTCCTTACCCATCAACATCGTCAGTCGATCCGGCGCATAATCCCATTTCAACTTCACATCTACGAGCAAAAAGTCTGATGCATACGCAGAACCTTTGAAGTTCAAACCGGCGGACTTTCGAACCATTGAATGTGAGCCATCGCATCCGACAATATATTGACAGCGAATCTCTTCTTCTTCTGGCTCTTCATATCCATCTTCCTTTACTTTCCTAACCCGAACTGAAACACCACTGTCATCCTGAACAATAGTTGTAGCTTTTGTTCCCCTCTCTACTTTGCCTCCATATTCTTCTAATTGCCTCTCAAGACATGCTTCCGTATCGCTCTGGCTGATAAAATACGGTCCTGAGTACTCACTATCGAATACTCCTACGCTCTCCTTGGTGAGATCCACATCGTATACTTTTTTTTTATTGATATAGAAAGTCAAGCCGAGGTTTTGTTTCCAAAGAGGGATCAAGTTCGATACGAGGGAGGGATGTCGGGACAGAAGCTCAGCGGAACGGGCGTGTAGGACTAAAGCGCGAGAATTAGGCGCAGGGGTGTGGAGAGGATCGATTAGGATGAATGGGACCTTCTGTACTGACAATTCGAGAGCTAAAGTGAGGCCCGTAGGGCCCGCGCCTACAATGAGGACTGCAGTTGATCGCATGGTAGGATTGTTAAGTTGAGGTTGTTAGTTAATGCTAACCTAGGTATGAGGCGGGCGTATTTTCAAGGTGTATGTCGAAAGCGGGGTTATTCCACTTGTTTGTTGTTTGTCAATGCTAATCAATAAAAAACTAAAGACGTGCTGAAGAAAATGAATCAAGTGGCCATTTCTCAGGATATATTTATATATGCCAATTCAGTACCTTTGTACATTTACCTTTAGCAATCTTAACTAAACATCAACCGGGGTTACTAACACCCACCATGTGCAGTGAGAATCATGCTGTGCAACAAGTCCTAGAGCCAGGCATGGTGCTGAATAGCTTCAGACTATGGTAGGCCAAGAATCTGGCATTGTAATTGACCAGTGGCATCTTTGTTCTGTCGCCTTCACTTGAGATGACAATGGCACGGATGGGTTAGTTTGTGTACGTGCGGAAAGATCGTCTGAAAGGCACCGATCGGTTTAGCACCTTCAACTAGACCGATAGTGGGCTAGCAAGCATTTTATAACGGGGTTGAAAGTGGCCGACATCCAGAACATTCCGACTTTAGCTGACATAAGCCCAAGCCATACACTTTCTTGCGATCTTATGCTTCGTTTCTAACATCATGATTGAACAATTCAAACGTTCTCATGGAACACCACATCAAATTATAATCAGCTGCTTTTATATGACCCCATTACCACTTGCCGGATATGAGTTTAGTTTGTCAGCTGATGCAAAAGCGTTAATAACGCACGGAGAAGGCTCGAGGGGTCCTTCCGTCTTACACATGAGCTTATAATTTCATCTCATTCATCAAGGTTACACGTGTATGACATCGGTGCTGCCTCCACAGTAATGCGCGATGAGGGTTTTCAGGAATCATATGAGATTCAAGAAAGTTGTACAGCTGATTTTTGGATATGTGAAGTTGATTTGCAACATTGAAAGTATGTGTTCTGCTGAGTCTGCCGTTCTACATTGAGCCTATCTGATAGATTAGAATCTAATTGGTATAATGAGTAAGTATATTGCACCTCTTTGATATATTAAATCTACTTGATATATTGAATCCATTTAGAATATTCCTCCTCCTCAGGACATTAACTCTACTCAGGACACCGAATCCATCCAACATCTTGACCTGCGTTGATACATTAAAACCTACTCGAAGCAATAAACCCATTTAGTATCTTACATCTATCCGAATCATTGATCCTCCCATGTATTACTCCTATTCCATCTATCAATTAGGCCGTATAATATAGTGACAACCACCGAATCTCATCTAAATATTCCTATAATAAATAACACATTGCCCCGTCTCAATCCTGTTGGTAGATAGATTGATCAGAAGCCCTGGCCGTAGATGACTCCTTGAAGCGGGAATGGTTTGGAGGTTCGAAAGGTAGGAGGATAGAGATAGGTATGGAGTTTGGAGTTTGGATGGCTAGATTACCATGCTGAAGATGAAAGGTGCATGGTAGGTATATGTAGCAGGGTGTGGTGGGCGGTATTTCGTGTTTGATATGATATGTGATGTAGGAATTTATTGTTCATAGGAAATAATTTGATAGATAGATAGATTTGAACTAGTTCTAGATCCACTTAAAAAGACAACTACTAATTATTTATCTTTCAGAGACACAAGATAGGAGAGATAGAAGTTCAACAAGAAACGAAAGTTGATTATCCACTCAAGGCCAGATCACACCACATCAATAAAAGGTAGAAACCTCCATCCCCATCCCCATCTCCATCAAAACATAATCATCATACTAGATATATATTTTCTCTACGACCAACCCAACAACACGGTATAAGCCCAGCCAAGCAAAGATAATACATAATCAACCAATCAATCATATAATTTTTTCCTATCCTCCAAAATTACATCCATTCCATTCCATACATGCATCCGATGCCTTTTCCTTTCATCCCCCAAATCCCCATACAGGCCCGATTCCTCACCACACCAATGCAATAAATACCTGACCTATCCGCCAGTTGTTCACCAGTTGTATGTAATTATTCAACTCCATATCCATTTCATCCCAGCAAGAGGAATGCAGAATGCCATTTCATCACTGCACCTCCCATGTTGATATGCCGTGAATCTTTTTCGGAGTTCGGTTGGTGAATAGTAAGTCCGTTGTGATTAAATTTATATAATTTCGTTTGCTTTTGTTTTATGCCAAGTTTTGCTTCTGCTTTTGATTTGCTTTGCTTTTGTTGTAATATTTTGATGTTGTGATGAGTAAATGCATGCGAAATTACAAGAGCTTTTTGAGGGGCGTTATTTTTCCCATGCCGTAAACCGTCGTGAAGTCGTAAATATAAAGAGGATCATTGTTCGAATCAGATAGAGGTATCGATAAGTCATCTAGTGCATATCGAAAAGCCGAGAAAGAAGATCAGGCCCTTCATGCTAACCATGTCTCTTCTTTTCTTGCGGGAGTAGCTTCACCAGATGTACCGAGTCCTCCACCTATAGTCAGGCCATCATCGTCGTCATCATCTTCTTCGTAGTTGGGATTTTCATCCACTCCACCATTTGTCACTTCACTAGGCGTATATGTCCTATCCTCATAATTTTCCTCCACCATCCACGTTAATCCATTTGCAGCTTCTTCCAATGGGAAAACTTCTCGGGCGTACTCCTCTAAACCTCGATATCCCTCCCATAGCTTCAAAGCCTCTTCCGGAACCTTATTCTCTAATTCCTGTTCGGCAAAGTAAGGAGGTTGAAGTGTTAGGTCGTCTTTCCCTAATGCATACATCCTTTCCAATGCTACCAATTGCTCTTTATATCCTTTTGGTATCTTAACTCGTACTTCGATATCGGGGTTATGTTTGTATATTACTGGACGGCCGACACCGCGGGCAAAGGCGGCGCAAGCTTGTTTGGGAGAGAGAAACTCGTAAGCGAGAGGAATGCGACGAGGATTCGAGGAAGAAGCAGGAGGTCCATCCTTAAATACTTGTAAAACTGCAGGTCCGACATCGTGTTCGGCGTCCAGCCATGGTAAAGGTACATCCGGATGGAAAGGAGCTTGCCACTCAAAAGATCCATCGGGTTGCAGGGCCATGCAAAATAACGGGTATGGTAGTGATGTGAAGTTGTTGTTGTAAATTCCGGTGTAGAGGAAAGTTGATCGTAGGCAAGGAAGTTGCGTTCGAATGTAGGTTTCGACTGCGTATTTCTCGGACCATAAGGGGAGTGATGGCCATGAAGAGTTGACGACAGAGTGGTTAGGCATAGATGAATAGATGTAATGCTCTATACCAACCGCGGCGGCTGCATCGGCCAAGGCACAACCAATAGCATATTCATCGCCCCAAAATGTAGTATTGATAAATGCTAACTGCGCTCCATGGAAGAGATCTCGAATGAGTGCATCATTTAATTTGGTAGTCTCAGGATCTAATGTTGATGATGAAGAGGAAGATCGTTTGATGAAAAGGTCGCCAACTAGGACAGTAACATTTGGAAGTGATGAAATCTCCGAAGCTACTATTCCATCAAGGTTTCGCAACTGAGCTCGTACATTATAGCCCACTGCACTAGCAACGCGGATAAATGATGCAGCTTGTCGTCCGGATGAATTGACGACAGCGATAGTTTTCGATGGAGTGGTCATGGATCGTTTTGATGGGCGATCCGAATAAATTGTAGGAGGATTGTAGAAGGAGAAATTGTCAAGAGGGGAACTTTCTGGATATGAAGTGCAAGGTGCGTGTTTCCGATTAATGGGTGTTTGTGATTCTGTAGGTGGTCGAGGTCTAATGGCGAGGGTAGACCTCGGCGTTGCTGAGGGCATTGAATGGCGATATGGGGTTTAATCGTCAGACGATCTAGAGTATTGCTTTTTAAACAATAATTCAAGGCTGATATTTTGTTATTCCACAGATGAATTTTTGTGGCTGAAATTCCTCTAGTTTTTCGAGTTACTCCCAATTTTAGACGAAATGGAAATTATTGTTTACTTGTAGTGAAGCTCAGCCCTTGCTGCTCACTCAGACGAACGACAAACGAGGAAATGAGTGCGGAGAAGTCTCCTGAGGGGGTTACCGACAAGTCAAAGTCCTTCGGTGTAGACTTGTCTAATGATCGGATCGAATTGTCGAATGTAATGCTGTACGTCGATCACAAATGCCAAGTCCTTTATTGGTGAATACCTTGTAATTCGCGAAATTCGAGAATATCCTCACTTCCAAACTACTACGGCTAGTAACACCACCTCAACCCCAGTTTCCGAATGACCTCAAAGAATATAAGAGTCTGGATTGTATTGATTAACCAAAGATGGGATGAGATTTCGTGATGTTGGAACTTTTGATGGTAAGATTGATCCAATCGGGAAATTTTCTTCCTTTATCCGAATTTTTTCAAAGCGGTGAAGTTGTTTGCTTCCAATCTAATGGATAAACTTCTCAGGGACGTACGGGTAAGTAGTGAGTGAACCTTCTTCCTTTCTCTCCCTTGCAGCCTTTTCTTTTGATGCTAAGGAGTGGATACTTTTTCGTGTGGGTTTTTTCGATCAGTCGTTTCTGGGTATCGAGAAGGGAGATGTAAAATTTGAGAAATCTTGTACCAAGTGAAAGATAACTGTACGCGTCGTCGATTATTCGTGCGGTGGTACAAGTAAAAATGCAATACGAAGAGTGACGCTTCTGTTATGTAACGAAACAGAGAGTGTGTAGCAATTGGAGCAGTATAAATCTGTGAGAATCCTAAATCAGAAATGGAATGTAGATTGGTATCGAGGGGCAATATTCAAGTGAATAAAGAAAAGCTTTTAATGACTCCGAGGTTATGTAAGTAAGGTGTCTCCATGCGGATGCTGGTTATGATACTATAAAACTCCTTTCCAATGGTTTGTATATTATATCAGGTGGTGATGGATGGGTATCTAATTCAATATAATATTATCCTTAGATGTACATGTAGGATTTATTTTAGTGAGAAATGCAGAGAAGAAAGAAGAGGGGTTGGTTCAACAATTGTGTTTAGACTTCCATGACTCGGTCCACGTGCATTACCCTCATGATCCAATGTAGGTAGAAGGTTGTATTATACTTATCTTCCCACCTGGAGGTATCCACAGCGTTTGAAAGGGTTTCCCGTTTGTCGTTGTTGACCTAGTTAGATAAGTCTAGAGTTCACTCAATGTAGCTTTTCTTCTCACAACCCTGACGGTTACGGCAGTGGAAGCGAATCATATACTTGCTACAATGTGGGACATATGGCAGCGTATAATTTTGATATAGAGAGGGGATTTATAATCTACTTGATCCATTGGCTGTAAATTTTACATTGTAAATATATGTATATTCATTGACCGAACGCGTAGTGACAGTTCAATCGAGTTATTCCATAACATGATTCTGCCATGGGAAGTATTTTTATATGACATAGCCCCAGTCCGTCCATCCACTTTAATGCCTTCCCCACACAAAATGTAGATAAGGCGAATCTAATAGAGTTTTGCGGCATCGGATGATGAAAAAGGACTTCATGTCTAAAGAAGCTAACTCAACTAATTAGCAAATGTAAAAGAAGAAGGTGCACTATGTGGTCTAGGGCCTTAGGAATTGGTAATAGTATCAATATTTCATCAATTAAACCCATCTGATGTTCTTTTTAAAGCCAATAGGATAATTGTATCTCTGCTGGTAGCCGGTTGTTCCATTATCTTATTTCAATGATTTGACCATTCGTACTGTACTCGGAGGACATTTGCCAAGTCATACTTTATGTATGAGTATATTAGCTAGCATGCCCGTTGCTGGTATCATCGTGCCACTACAGTGGACATTGGAAAGAAATGCTCCCCTTGTCGTATGTACAGAGAACTCAGGGTCGTCATCATCCAACCAATGGAAGCTATTCTTACTTGAAAAGTCGAAAACTCCTTGAGAATAAAAACCAGCGAGGAGTACGTTTTACTCCACGTGGTTTCATCATCATCGACACGTGTTGATACCGATTTGTCTACTTTGAGATCTACGAAGTAGGTACTCGTACCTCAATCCTTAATAATGAGGGAGGTTTGTCATGTGGTATGTTGTGTCACCTCGTATCAATACCATTGGCCAATCAATTAGAGGCTTGATCTATTTGTAGAATTAACCTTTACTTTCTTCCAAAATTCCCATGATGCGAAATAAACAATCACGAGATTTTAAGTAGCTTCTGTTGAGGGAACAGAGAGCCAGAGGATGATTCTCTTACTCAATTCGAATATGGATCCCAGAGGGCCTCGGACCAATGAGAAATTTTGCTTCTCAAACCATTACCATTACCTAACCACATCATGGTTTGCCATGAACTGTCTTCAAATTTTTCAATGCCATATCGCCATTTCTTATAATTATTACTTCATGGGAATTGATCCTTTTCCGTCTTGTCAGACACATTTCCGTATGATTCCACGATAGAATTGATCTGGACTGCGATTCAGGATACCGCCATTTCAATGTCTCATCGTTCCCAGATAAATTATGATTTCCACATCCACATCAACCAAATATATTATGTTGACCGAACATTCAAACCTGTCCGTCCTAAAATACGGCCAATTAGACACTCTTAACCGTATCAATTAGTAGCTAGCTACTGTATTTGAAAGTATCGTATCTATGACCACTTATGGCTTCAAAACTCCATCTAGAACTTATACGAAAAACCCCTTCATCATAAGCGACAGAATCTTCCAGATTCAACCAAAAGAAAAAGTCCCTCAAATGCGCACTTGCAAATCGCATTGAAAAAATCCGTACCGAAGAATTGACGATCAGAATTTGATTTTCCACGGGATGAGCTTGTTCTGGAAACTTTTCTCCTAGCTCAATATTGATGCATGAAATTCGCTCAATCGAGGAATTACAATGTCAAAGAAATCCGGGGTAGCATTAGGGGCAAAGACCCTGTTTTTTTGTACCTTTTTTCCCCCCTCTAACATTCATTCTCCCCAACTTCTTAACCTTTCATCAACCAATTTTCTCGCCCGCGGAGAAGTACAATTCTATGAAGGCGAATGTTTGGTGTGATTTTGATCATAAATATGAGATATGATGGAATGGCAGGTGATTACCCCGCAAATTTGCACATCACTACCTTTGACGTCAGCCTATATCTTTCTTGTTATCTTATCTATTTCTTCTCAAGATTTTTGGATATATACTTCCCGTTTGATTGGAGATGTTTTACGGTTCCATCGGCTGCAATGCGACCCAACAATCATCCAAAAATGCATGTTGATAATCCTTAGTCAAGCTACCCTTCTATCCTTCCCGCTTTTAGTTCTTTTCACCTTGCAGAAATCGTTTCATTTGCTGCCACACCGCTGGGTATGCATGTTTGAATGATCTAGGCAGTCCTTATCACAAGGGCGAAAGTTGCTCATTATCCAAACCGAGATTATGATCGTTCCATTCCGACCTTGTGAGCTATCTGGTTAATTATTAAAAACATTATTTTCACCAAGTTTCTATTTTGGCTAATCCCATTAAGATTTCAAAGACGTCTATTTAGGCGACCTCAAACACAGCTATACGACGAGCAGTGTCTCCATGATAGAATTGGCTTCACGCGCTCGCAGAAAAGTGCATTTAAATGCAATTTACCATCTTCTAAACTGATTCACGCATGGCAAGTGCTAGTCCAATCATGGATTCATATGTATGTATTATGCTTCATCACTGCAACCTGGATGGTTTCTAGATACAGACCAAAGGTCCAATGAATGCATATCAACAGCAATAGCAATAGCAACAGCAAAATCAATAGCAATTCTCAACGCCCTCAAACATCAAAATACGTCTATCTTTTGCACGAACGGACCTCCAACAATAACTGGCAAGGCCACATTATTGTAAAGTTAGTGTCCGAATTTTTGACTCAGCTAGTCTTCTAACAGCCGCCGGGAATTCTGGAGCTGCCATCAGGTAGACCAAAGAACTTTCCATTGCTTCTGTTAGAGTTTTTGCGGTACTTTCCAACTTTTGAGCCACTCCTTCCACATTCCCTATGCCATATTCATGATTATAATTTCTTTTTGCTGCCAAAATTTTAAACAACGCATTTTCCCAGGTTTTGAGTGTTTCCTCAGTGCCCTTGGCTATATCCGTGAGAGCTGCCGCGTATATCTCGAGAGCCTCGTTTGAACCCCAAAACTGGGCGAGGATGAGTTCATGCGTGAGTTCGGAGTGGAGACGTCGAAGATTTTTGCGGTCAGGGGAACAGCTGGGCTTGTTTAATCTCTGACCGAGTATCTCGCACATGAGAAGTTCGCCTTCGCGGCGTACTTTTTGTGAAATATCGGAAACATCATGGATTGTAATATTGTACGCAGCTTTGATCCAGTCCGTTCGGTATCCCTGCGTACCAGCGTTCTTAGCATATCCATCAAATGCTCCCGCAAACTCCGCTGTAGCTTCGATTTGTTGTTGGAGGAAAGAACGCCAATCATGATCCAATTCTCGATTCTTGGTGACGAAATCATCTATGAGCATAATTAGATTTTGAAACCTTCCCACCCTATGTGCTTCCAAAATTGTCTTCCGGACTGATGCAATAGGCAAGACGGCTTGATTAAAGGGACTATCCTTTAATGCCATGAGCGTTCCGTTCTTATCCAACATTACCTTGGCTACGTCGCTAATAGCCGAAGCAATATCAATGATGGCATTTGCATTTGTTTCCTCTACACTTGCTACAATCGCATTTCTCGCATTTCTCGCATCTGCAACACGCTGTTTCAGAACCAAGTCTTGTTCTCGTGCATAGAAAGCCACAGCTGCGAGAAGCAGAGGAATAATGATCCACCAAAGCCAAGCCCATCCGTATTCCCTCGAAATGGTAGCGAAAAACCCCCTAGAAAGTGGAGGCGGCTTCACAATAAGCTTTCGCTCCTTAAAAGGAACTCCCGGTGGAGGAACCTGTGTATGCCTCACCGTGGTAGTCATGGAACTAAATGAAAGCGGTCTCAGAGGCGTCTTATGAGATGGACCTGGAGCAGACCGTGTTGGGCTGGTCTGGGATGCAGAGATATTTTGCCGTCTAGTCTCCGGCAGTGAAAAAGCCCGTTGAGCCATCGATACGGGTACAGTCTGAGGTGAAATTTTTGTATTCTTTCCGTCCACAAAATCGTTACGGATATTGTTATCTTTTAAAAATTTCTCATGAAGCGCAACGACTCGGTCAACTTCTTCACGAGCTTCACGTTGAAGAGAAGTTTCTGATTCTTCGGAGGAATATTCCTCGTCTTCTCCGTCGTCTCCGCTGTCTTCTTCGCTGTCGAATTCGTCGTCAAGGTCTGCGAGTTCGTCGGCGAGCGTTTTTTTCCCGCTTCGCTCTACAGTCGGCGAGTTGTTTTGTGTTCTACTACCCGATAAACTGCCGTTTATATGATCAAGGTAATTTTCTATAAGGCCGCCTGACCGTGGCATTTTTTGGTTGGATTCTAGATGGATGTTATATTTGTGCAGGTTGGGCGTTGGTGAGAAAGGAGAGGTTAGTTTACCAGTACTTTGTCCTGTACTATCCTTTGTGTGCGGAAATCTCTGAGAGGGGTAGTATGCTTGCAGACAGATATTTTATTCGGGTATTTTGTCAAAGCGTATGAATAATGAAACTATGAGCTTCGAGACTCGACAAGGAAACTCGGCTTTGTTGTGTTTGTTCATGTTACTATACTGAAAGCGGACTTCTTTTTTCTTCTCCCTTCGCTTCTTTCGAGGAGAGAAGTAGGCATAGAAAAAGAAATAAAGGTCTTGGGATGGATAGCGGTCTGCGTCTTCTTGAATTAGGATCTAGATGTTTATTCTTATATATTGATGACAAAGGATTTGAATTTGGGTCGGAAGAAATGGGCTGCCAAGAAATACCTGGTTGCCTCAATTTTCTTTTTACTTGGAGGCTAAAATGGGTATCGAAAAAGTATAACACTGGTGTCTCATGTTGAAAGCCTTGAAAGAATATATACCTTGAGATGTAAATAGACATTGAAAGATTAGAAGTCTTCTTTTTTCTTGAGAAGAATTGTAAGATCTTATCACTTAATGAGAATGTGGGGATTGGTATTCTAGATGCTTTGTTAATATACTTGTGGTTGATTTTCCAACTTGAAATTATAAAAAGGGTATCGATATACTCATCAGAACTAATCATGATCAAATATTACCAACAAAAGAAAGAATTACTGCTCTAACCTCATGATACAATTTGCCAATTTTCCCAATTTTCTAATCTAGATCATATAATAAAGATCATATAACAAAGATCATATAACAGAGACCACACAACTTAAAAAACAACAAAGAAAGAATCTCACCTCCACCCCAATTTGCTAACAGCCAAATCCAAGAAGTGAACCTCGGCAGAGAGAGGTACCTTCAGCATTAGGGATGGCAACTGATGGGTTGATCCCAAGGTATATGAATTGGCAGTCAACATAGACAGCTTAGAATCCTGTGATGAAGTCGACGAGAACATTGTGTATATTTTTTTAATTTTCTGGCTTTTGTTTTATTAGAATGTTTTTGGAGATTTAATTACAAATTTATGACAATATATTTTTATCTGATTTGATTTAATTTGATTTATGATATTTATATATATATATAATTTTTTTTTTATTAATAACAATCATCAACGATTAATTATACAAGAAGTAGAGAACAAAGAAGGAAAATATAAGATATATATTGTAAAAGTGGTAGGTCGAGATATGTATATCTCGATAGCATATTGTAAGAGGGAATTGGAAGAGAAAGCTGAATTATATCACATTGTAATATGTTACTTATGAAGAAAACGAGGTTCATAATGGTTTTGGGGTTGATGTTATATAGGTTCAAATGTATATATATAGAAAATTGATTCTTATAGAAAGAAAAAATAAGAGCTTTTCTTTTATATCTAATTATAAAAGATTATGTGATTGATTGGTTAAAAACCTTTATGTATTTGGTCTATAATTTCAACTTTCTTATAATATAAAGTTTATATTAATAATAAATAAATAAATTAATTAAATTTTTTTTACATATATATATATATATATATATATATACAAACAAATAAACTTAAATGAATTCGAGTTAATTATATTGATTGGAAAAATTCACGGGTATCTTGTGTAAGTATAAATATAAATGAAAAACTTATTTGAAAATATTATTACAAGTAAAATAACAAGTACTTGTTACCTGTTCGCTCTATCGCTATAAGAGATTTTTTTTATCTTACCTTCTTCTCACGAGGTAATTGACCTTACATTTACCTCCTTTTCTACTGCGCGTTGCAGAAACAACACAGATTTAAAAGACACATACATACTCATACAAACAAAAGAAAAACCCGAAATGTCTAAACAAAACCAAAAACCAAAACCGAAAAGGAAGAGGAAAAGGAAAACCAAAAGAAAACAACAACAACCAAGAAGCATCCCACTTACCTCTTCTAAAACTGCACCCCCGCTTCCCACCACTTCCCCTCCCTCCTCACTCTCTCTTCCCTCTCCACCCTCCCCTTCCACCTCCTAACCTCCAAATCCAAAATATCAACCATAACCACATCCCCCTCCCCATCAAACTTACACATACCGCCATGTTCCTCCCCTCCATAACCCCCAGGAGGCATACCCCACCTAAACCTCCCCACGCCCTCCCTATCATCCTCTCCAACCCAAACATCCTTCCCCGCATCCAAACCCTCATAATCATTTTCCGTCCACGGTCTCCCCTGATGAGAATTCTGCGGATGCGGCCAGATGTATGTGGTTTTTGATGGGATTTCCATAGGGTTTCCGAGCCAGTAGCTGTTTGGGTGCGCGGATTGTTGGTTGCTTGGGTGATGGGGGTCGGAGTTGGGATGCCAGGAGGGGTGGCTGCGGGGGAGCAGCCAGAGGTATGTGGTGCAGTCGTTGGGGCGGTGGCCGGGCGTTTGACAGGTGTTGCAGGTGGTTGTGCGGTAGCGGGCGCGGTAGGTGGAGGAGTCTGGGTGGTCTGGGTGGGAGGGGTTGGGCGTGCTTGGGATGGTTTGGTAAGGTGGTGAGCGGGTGGGGTAGAGATAGTCTGGGCTGTGGGAGTTGAGGCTTTCGTGGTTGATTGGGTAGTTAAGAGTGTTTTGTTCACTGCTTGGTGGATTGTATTGGGCTTGCTGTTGTTGCATTTGTTGCATTTGCTGCTGTTGCTGTTGAAAGCCGAAATTGACAGGTGGGACTTGTTGGGATTGGAATTGTCCGGTGCTGGGGGAAGCCTGAGAATAATATTGATTATAAGCAGGATCGATTTGTCCGTGTGATCCGTCATCAGCAAAACGAACACCTTTTCCACTATCATTTTTCTTCCCACCAGGATTAGGATTGGTGACTGGATCGAATCCCTCCTTCTCACAGGCATTATTCCAATGTCCTGCAATATGGCATGATTTACAAGGACGAGAGGGATATTTACCATTTGCGAAAAAATGTGAGATATCTTCTCCGGTAGGTGCTAAACATGGTCCTGGGCTTGAATTTCTTTGTTGACTATTGTTATTCCCATCACTAGTCTTCGACTTCCAAGTCCTACATTGATCTTCCCAATGATTCCCACCACATTCCCTACAATTTGGTAAACCTTGTCCTCTCTTTCCTTCTCCTCCAGGATTGTTACGACAATCAGATTCCCAATGACCTTTTTTATCGCAAAGGCGACATTCGGCGAAGTCTCGGGGTACCTTACCTTTGTTTTGATTTCCTCCGTTTCCTCCATTATTGTTGTTGCCCTTACCTTTATTGTTTCCTCCCTTATTGACTTTGTCACTGTTATTGGGAGGACTAGAAGCAGAACCATTGGATTGGGTTCTTACGCTTTCCTTTCCCCATTTTTGCTTTTCTTTTCTTTTCTTTTCTTTTCTTTTCTTTTCTTTTCTTTTCTTTTCTTTTCTTTTCTTTTCTTTTCTTTTCTTTTCTTTTCTTTTCTTTTCTTTTCTTTTCTTTTCTTTTCTTTTCTTTTCTTTTCTTTTCTTTCTTTTCTTCTATATTTTGCTTGAGGAGATTGACTATGCGACCGGCGCTAGTGTAAATGGATAAGAGTTATGATTGGAGTAAATGAAATGTTTTAACTTTTTCTGGTAGTATATATCGGTATGAAATTATATATGAAAAAATATACTTACTGGTGTTCTTGCGTCGTTTTGCAAGAATATGCGTGAAATGAAGAAGAATAGAATTGTCCAATATCTGTGGTGATGGGATTATATGTAGCTATCCTACTACAAAGAGCAACAATCTCTTTATGGGGAAGAAATGAAAGAAATCAACAAATCCATTGTGAGGTTGTTGTTCAGGTTATTGTTCGCCGAAAAGAAACAAAGACCGAGAAGTAAACTCTATGTATATTTTCCCGGCAATGACCCCGGTCCTTTGAGACTTCTCTTTTCTTTATTTCATGTTCCAAAATTCTTTCAGCGCAACCCATTCCCTGAACACAAAAAACACAATGTGAGTGGCAAGACTGAAAGATAGGATTGTCTCGATGTGTATAGCTAGTGATTTAATGTAATTATACATTGTCCATGAATTACTGAACAAGTACTTGTGAAGGAGTATAAACGCAGCGTAATTCTCATGCGAGATAAATCATCCTTTTAGATGCTGATCCAGTGCTTCCCCACAATCAAACTCTTGTTGGTGAACTAAATATACGTAGTAAGCGAGACTTCTATATATATCATCATCTTAAATTTCAGTTTATTGGTACTATAGGAAACTTGATTTACTGATTCTAAATGACATCCTGGAACTTTTCCGGCGTAGATTTCAACAGTATGACTGAACTCCCCGCTTGGGCCATTTTGCACTTACCTCTTAACGAATATGCAGAATTTATTCTCCCGGCTCCGAAAGAGGGTGATGAAGAACTGATTCCGCAAGACAACATGTATGATGCAGATGATGAAGGTTTCGATGAGGATCAACTCCATCGCAGAATTCGTGAGATCAAAGAAGAAAAAGATACCCATCTTGTAAATTCCGTTCAGTCATGGAATTACCCAGCAGCAAGTACACATCTTCACCGACGAATCCAACAAATCAGGGAAGAAGAAGGGCGACTAAAAGAAGAAGAACGAATCCATCTTGTAAATTCCGTTGACACAGAAGAAAGTACATATCTTCATCGACGAATCCAACAACTCAAGGAAGAGAAAAGACAACAAGAAGAAGAAGAAGAATCAGAGAGAATACGACAGGAACTATATAGTCAAGCAGTAGATAGCGAGCCACCAAACTCTCTAAGCGAATGCTCCGATTATCCAGCAGTATCTCATTTCCAACTTTACGAACCTTTTCCAAGAATTGAGCATTATGAAGTTTTCCATCCAGACACTAGAGCGGAACCTTCCTCCCAGATTCGTGAAACTACTTTCACCTTCACCAACGATAAAGAATTTGAAAGAATAGCTGAAGAAAATACACCAATGCTCAATGAAGCGCCTCGTCGAAAGGCTCGAATTGGACGCTCCCCGCTCAGACTTGACCGACCTGCTCCAATCATCGACTTTTCTAAAGGTTTCCCGCAAAATGCAGAAAACGAGGTTCCTCTCCCTATGGATATTCAGGAGGAAAACAACTTTGCAGGTTTTGAAACGATGAACTTTGAGGAATTGGTTTTCGACTACGAAGTTGCACCCATTTTACACCCAACTCGCCCAGCCGAGGTTTACCGCTGCGACGTTGAACAACCGAAATTTTTCATTTTGGTACCTCATTGGTTCCATGACACTGAGGAAAATAGATGTTGGTGCAACGCTTGCATCCAATATAGAGAAACTCGATCCACAGGTAAGCAGTTAGAGGCGCATGACTTTAATAATAGGTGTCTTTGCTCCTCCTGTATGAAAATTTGGCACGAAAACTTTGGTGATGGCGGAGATTGTAATTGTCAAGATTGTGTCGCAGCTAATAAAGCAGAAGCCCTCAAAGGAAAAGAGGAGGAAAAAGAAAAAGAAGACGAGGAAAGAGAAGCACTTGCTGACCTCGAGGATGAAAATCTGCTTGCTGAACTCGAGGGGGCGGTTGCCAGGCTCTGGGGTCGCCTCCGATCGCCTGGGCAGGAACCAATGGATCCAGAACAACAAATTCTCGAATCCTCACAGAAGCTACCGTCAGACCCTCTCTGTGAAGATCCAACAACAGTTGTGCCTGAGTCAAAGGAAGGCCCCTCTGACTTATTCAAGTCAATTCGCGAGAATCTGTGGTTGGATTCTGATTCTCGTTCTGGTTCTGATTCTCGTTCTGGTTCTGATTCTGAAACTAGTTTTGATTTTGATGCGGAGTAGATTCTCTTATTTACATTCTTCACATGGTTAATAAGGTAGGTCGGTCGTAGATTTACATCCTGGTGATGTACTTCCCTATGTTGAGAAAAATAAATCTATGGAAATTTGGCAACAATAAAAATTTGATTTTAGCAAGTAATTCTTTCTCAAGGATGTATGAATAGGTAGAATGTGATAGTAGTGTATGAGCAAAAATTAATGTGAATTTGGTGTATCAACACACGAGCAGATACAAAATCTTTCTTTGTTACCAAGTACAACAAATATAGACTTGGTGGTAACAAAGAAAACCCTCTTAACTCAATGGAACCGTAAATGTTACCTAAATAAAACGACAATTATTTATAGCACTCGAGACAACTCCAAGGGAAAGAGGCTTGCGTTGCATTTGTGAGGTAAGAGATGGGATTATTCACTAACAACATGAAGACTGAACAAGACAAGATTCGACAACTCCAAGACTTGGAGAAAATAGGTAGATGGGTTAGGCCATTAGAAAATAATACGCAACAACTTCGTATTCGACCAAAGAAATACCTCAACTACATTCATTGTCCTAAAACAACTGATGTGATTTCGGATTTTCGGATGACATTCCCGCTCGTCTAAAGCATAATTCGAGTTCTGGCGGTAGAATGAAAATTGCCCCGCCTCATGTTTGGTAGATGATGTTCTTGCAAAATCTCAATCTTTCCATCGAAGAATGAAAGAAGGAAGAAAATTTTCCAAGCAAGCATCCATTGGAAATCAAATCCCCGCGAGTTTGCATATGCTTAATTAAAGGCAGGCATTGAGTCAAAACTCTCGGCGGTACCTAAATGCAGGTACTTGACTGCCTAAAGATCCCAAATTTCCGTCATGGTACTTGCGCAGTGAGCGGTAATAAATTTTAATATAGGTATCAATACATCTGCATCGCCAACAAATACATAGCCACTTCAAAAACAACTGTACATCAGTAACATCACAGACTATTTTGGATCGACAAGAAGTATTTCACCGAGAAAAAAGAAAAAATGTATGTCTCAATGCCCAATATAGAAGCGATTGGTTGAAGGTAGCCTTAAGGCGCACTTGTATGCATGCCATTCTGACATGCCTCCGTAGTAACTCTCGCTGATAGAGGCGCTTAGCAGCGTCAAAGCATAGATGAAAAGCTTAACAAGGGTGACTCGGGTACTTTTTGTGCTGTTCCATTAAACGAAAGGATTTTTTGAGATGTTCTCGAGGATTTTTTTATCTTATCTTGCAATTTTCTGCGGAGGGCAGAGTTTGTGTTGTTTCTCAGCCATTTTTGCGTTGTTCTCAACGAGCAGCGCCTAAACTTGCTAGGGGCACATTGTTGGGCTGTAAGAATTGTGATAAGGATGGTGCGCGGTTCGGAAACGATAGGAACTAAAGACAATTTTGAGGATGTAAGATCTTCCATTTACAAAACTTCTTCACTCTCGTCAAGGTTCAAACATGGCGGGACATGGTCTTAACCAAGAAGACCGGATCGATCTTGGAACCAAGATTGAGACCCTGAAGGCTGAAGACTGAAGACTAGACTAAATGGAATTGAGGGTATCATGTGACTTGAAAGGGCTAGCTGCTGGATGGATTTCTGGTCCCGGGTCAGCAAGATGTGGGTGGACATGTAGGAAGTGGATAAGAAAACGCGGAGATGCTCGAACCGTTGGTGGCCGAGCTGAAGTGGATCCTCTCTTCAAAAGATCATCTCTGGAGGAAAAAGAGGAGATTGGACATCTGGAGAGACTTTGGAGAAGTGGGATGATTTCCTTCTTTAGGTGGGGATTTGCGCAGTTTGTGTGGCATTTTTGAAATTGTGCGCATGTGTGTTATGGCAGCAATGGCAATGGTATGGGAAACTGGCTGAATCACGAATGACGATCCTGAAGGTAGCATTCTGTAGACGACACGATGATACCTTACTAGGTAGGTAGATAGTCACAGGAAGTGTCCGAAGTAGACCGGATGGAATATAGAATTTCGACGTGTTTGAGTCGGATGATTGGGAAGCACTGCGGTTCTCTATTGCTTGCTTGGTAAGACCATGGTGGACGATGGTAAGAGAGAGTAAGTCAAGTCAAGCTAAGGTAAACCTACTGTGTCCTGACCAATCATGTCAAGCTACCTAAATGAGGCCCAAATGAGGTTTCGCTACTTGCTAAGGATGAGAAGAAAAAAAAAGATTTGCTAGTGAAAACGAGACTTACGGAGTCGCAGTGAAAAAGCTCATCTCTGATATTATTCCTAGCATGCATATGGAGCGGATGAATAATTTGATTGATGGATCTTTCTTTAACAGCTAGCTAGAACTTGCTCCCTAGTACTTGCTCCCTAGTACTTGCTCCCTACTTACCTATTACCTACCACCTAGTAAATACTAGATTTTAAAATGAATTTCCATTTTGCCCATTTTGGACGCCCATCGTGAATTAAAACAAAGAGAATACTCATTAGGCAGTGGGAGATGGAGGAGACTGGGATTGTTTTCAGAAGCGACAGCGAACAAGGTGTTTTTTCTTTTACCTCCATTCCTCTACATTCTACATTGCTTGCTTGCTTGCTTGCTTGCTTGCTTGCAATGTCAAGAATCCGGCTGCGTCATGATTAACCAGGATTCCCAGGATTCTTTTTATTTTAAAACATCGAAACACACTCCAAGTGAAGCGCCTCCGGTTACCCCCCAATTTGCCAAATCGGCGGGGGTGCAGCCAATGAAAACTATCACTTCCCTCAAAACCCACATATTAATTCCACAATTACACCGTATACAGTTTAGTGCAGTGACCGAAAGTGGAAAAGCTTGGACCCGACCAACATTTGGGACCAAAACCTTCCGTTTTCTTTTTTGTCACTTTTGTGCCGGGGATATTCGAAATTCGAAATTCCAACAATAAAAACTGGTGAAAGATTTTCAAACGTCCAACATCTCACCCAGTTTATTCATCCCCTTCCATTTTCATTCAATCCCAATTGATACCTCATCGACGACGTGTACGCGTACTGTACATTCATAGGTGAAAAATTCTTCACTTATTTGTTGTACAATATATCATCAATTTATCCTCTGTATCTTACCTAGCCTCGGGCCTATCAACATCCGTCGTCTAATAATCTTACTCGTCGACTTGATCTCAAGAACGAGTGGGAACCAATTGAAAATCGATCAACCCCTCAGACACACAACACAGTAGGTATTTTTATATATTTTTGGTCTTTATCCAATTGATTGATCGCAAATTCGCTTGAAAACATGAGATGGAGGGGTGGTCAACTTTATCACAATCTTTGTATGATTTGTACGGCATCAGAGGTCATTCGTACATTGTACAGCCATATTGATGTGTGGTATGGTCACGCTAATGCGGTTGTGGGGAAAGCTCTTATAGTTCCTACGTTCCCATAAATTTCGTCAGAGGAGCTCCGAGCTTCTTTCCTTGATCATCAATCAACCAACTTGCAACAACCAAGAAGATTCTCAGAACACGAACACAGGATAATATCCAACAATTGTTATTTTGCTGTGGTATTACTTTACATATAACGTTCTGCCCCTCCACAAGATACTTTTTTGGATCTTCAACCAACTTTGATTCTTTTACTCCTTTCCATCTGCAATCTGCAAATCTGCAAATCTGCAGTCTCCCATCCAACACCCCACTTTAACAACTCTGCTTCAAATAGCGACACCTGTCGCAACCTGAGTCAAAATGTCGGGAAAAACAAACCGAGATGTCAAGAACCACTTTCTCTTTGAGATAGCCACCGAGGTTGCAAATCGAGGTAAGCCACAAGCTTCATTCCTCACAACATTCGGAATCATTACTGACCTTTTACCTTTCTTCAGTTGGTGGTATCTACTCTGTCATCAAATCGAAAGCTCCAGTAACGACAGCCGAATATGGAGACAGATATACCCTCATCGGTCCCCTCAATAGGCAATCGGTTAGTTTCGCTACTAGACATTGACCATGAGTATGGCTAATACTTTATAGGCCGCCGTGGAAGTCGAAGCATTGACGCCTACAAATCCCCATCTCGCAGCAACGATAGAGGCTATGGAAGAAAGAGGAATTCAAATGTTATATGGCCGCTGGTTGATCGAGGGTGCCCCAAGAGTTTTGTTAATCGACACCAAGAGTGCCTACAGATTCTTGGACGAATGGAAAGCCGACTTGTGGAATACTGCAGGTATTCCATCTCCTCCGGGAGATGATGAAACCAATGAAGCAGTCGTCTTCGGTTATTTGGTTGCATGGTTTTTGGGAGAGGTTAGTACATATGCATTGCATGATCTCTTGCGTAATGTGTTCCAAAGCTAACGATTCAATAGTTCGTTGCCCACGAAAAAGAAAAGGCTGTCATCGCGCATTTCCATGAATGGCTCTCTGGTGTCGCACTTCCTCTTTGCAAAAGGCGTCGTATAGATGTTACTACAATTTTTACCACCCACGCCACTTTACTGGGAAGATATCTTTGCGCAGGATCCGTCGATTTCTACAACAATTTGCAATGGTTTGATGTTGATGCCGAGGCAGGAAAACGTGGTATTTACCACAGATATTGCATAGAACGTGCAGCAACACATTCTTGTGATGTTTTCACAACCGTCTCACACATCACTGCTTACGAATCCGAGCATTTGTTAAAGAGAAAGCCGGATGGTGTTCTCCCCAACGGTCTTAACGTCACCAAATTCTCAGCAATGCACGAATTTCAGAACTTGCATCAGCAGGCAAAGGAAAAGATTCATGATTTCGTTAGAGGTCACTTCTATGGGCACAATGACTTCGATCCAGAAAACACTTTGTATTTCTTCACGGCAGGACGATACGAGTATAGGAATAAGGGTGTGGACATGTTCATAGAGTCGCTGGCTCGTTTGAATCACCGCCTCAAGTCTGCGGGATCCAAAATGACTGTTGTGGCTTTTATCATTATGCCTGCACAAACTCAGTCATTGACTGTGGAGGCTTTGAAGGGACAGGCTGTCATCAAGTCATTACGTGACACAGTCGATGTTATTGAACGTGGTGTTGGAAAGAGGATTTTCGAGCGTGCCCTTAAATGGCATGAGGGTGAGGTCATGCCTGATGATAAAGACTTGATCACCAGTCAAGATCGTATCCTTCTCCGTAGGCGATTGTTTGCCATGAAGAGACATGGCCTTCCACCAATTGTCACCCATAACATGGCAAACGACTCCGAGGACCCAATTTTGAACCAGATCAGAAGAGTTCAATTGTTCAATCACCCTTCCGACCGTGTGAAGGTTGTTTTCCACCCAGAGTTTCTGAACTCTGCAAACCCAGTTTTGCCAATGGACTACGATGAATTCGTTAGAGGTACTCATTTGGGTGTTTTCTCATCCTATTATGAACCATGGGGTTACACACCTGCGGAATGTACGGTCATGGGTGTTCCAAGTATCACAACTAATTTGTCAGGTTTCGGTTGTTACATGGAGGAGTTGATTGAAAACTCGACGGATTACGGAATTTATATCGTTGACAGAAGAATGAAGGGTGTGGATGATTCAGTCAATCAATTGACTAGCTACATGTTTGATTTCGCCGGCAAGAGCAGACGTCAACGTATTAACCAGAGGAATCGTACCGAACGATTGAGCGATCTTCTCGACTGGAAGCGTATGGGCATGGAATATGTCAAGGCAAGACAACTTGCATTAAGAAGAGCTTATCCTGCTTCTTTCGATGGAGAAGAGGAAGATGACTTTATCCCTGGTGTGGAACAAAAGATCTCACGCCCATTCTCAGTACCTGGATCTCCAAGAGATAGAAGTGGAATGATGACACCTGGTGATTTTGCTAGTCTACAAGAAGGACGTGAGGGATTGAGCACAGAAGATTATGTTGCATGGAAACTTCCGTAAGTCCCAAATATACCTCTGAAATGATATAGTGCTAACATTTACTAGTGAGGAGGAAGACCCAGATGAGTATCCATTTCCGCTCACCCTTCGATCAAAGAAAAATGGTGCACAAAGTCCATATGGTGGTGCACAAAGCCCTTCGGAATATGCGATTACAAATGGAAATGGGATGAAATAAATATACCGAATAAGGAAAATGGTTAGAAATGGTGAATAAAGTAAGGAAATGGGGGATTAAGAAGTCGGGAGGCAAGCTATGAAGATGATAAATAATCATGTACCAAAATGTCTATACTCCTTTTCTATTTGCATTTCTGCGTCGTTGCTTGCAATTGTATATTCAATACCCTCTTCGTTCTGAACGTTGGTGGCTTTATTTATGCATGGAAATTAGGTTGCGGGTAAATTAGTGCGTTTATTAGTTTTCTATTGGATTTTGGCATTATGGAGAATGTAGAAGATTGATGGATGGATGAAAGAATGATCTCTTTAATGATCATGAAAAGACAATATATATGATGGAGGAAAAAGGTTGTAATTGTTAAGAAAAAGCATAGTTATTTTTAATTTGGTATTCTTTTTTTATTATGTGATGTGATGTGATGTGATATAGCTTTTATTCACATGATGTATGAAAGAATGAATGAAGGAATGATTTGATAAAAGTTAGGGATTGGGAAGAGAAAAGAGAGGAGAGGAAGAGAGGGGAGAGAGGAGGAGAGAGGGAGAGAAGGGAGAGGGAAGAGGGATTAGGGGTTGAGATTGGGATTAGGATTGTAGGAGAAGATTATATAGGTGGAGTGGGTAAGTGGGTAGGTGGGTAGAAATTAGGGTTATGGTTTGTGATTGGGATTATGATTTGTGATTATAGTTATACAAATATAATTCTTTTTTAGAAGGCTCACTCGGCTTGGTTTTCTGAGTTGGTTTTTTGAGGTGGGTTGGGATGAATATTGGATGAGTGGATGGGATGGATTAGAGAGGATTGGATTGGAGAGGAATGAATGGGGTATGTGATGGGATGGGTAAAGGAAAGGGGTATTTGGAGAAATAATCTTACTAATTGGTAGATTGGACGGATGGGTAGTAGATGGATTAAGAGATATTGAATGAGGAGTTGGGAAGGGGAATTGGGATAAATGATTTTGAAGGAGTTGGGATAAGTAGTTATGATAAGGATTTGGAATATAAGATGATGAGGGGTTATATATATATATAATTCTTTTTTGGGATATCTTTTTTGAGTTGGTCTTGAGATGGTTTGGGGATAGAATGGATGAATGATAGAGTTGGGTAAAGATATATATAATGAGATAGGTAAAGAAAAAGGTATTTGAAGAAGTGGAGTAGATAGATAGTTGGGATGAAGAGTTGAGATATGAGGTAGTGAAGATTATATATATATAATTGTTTTTTAAAAGTTTTACTCAGCTTAGTTTTTGGGATTGGAATTTAATGAATGAATGAATGAGATAAATAGAATAAATTAAATTAGAAAGAAAGAAATAAAGTTAAATAGAAGGGTATATAGTGAGTAGGGGAAGGAAAGAAAAGAGATTATTTAAGAATTAAAATGAATGAATGAATGAATCAGGAGTTGGGAAGAGAAGTTAGGGAGGTAGTAATAGGAATAGGATAAAAATAATAAGTAATCTAGAAATGGTTGAGAAGGAATTAGAAAGAGTTAAGGTTTGTAAGGTGAAAGAGGTGAGGTTTGAGATTTGCTGGGAAAGGAGCAGAGAAGGATAGAATATTGAATAGAGGACGGAAAGGAGATAGAGAGAGATGGATAAAGAGAAAGATAATAGTCTAAAAACGAGGTCGAGATTATTGGAAAATTTGAATGGGTATCTGTAAAAGGAAAAGGAAAAAAGAAGAGAAGAGAGGAGGAGAGGAGTAGATAAGAAGATGAAGAGGAGACAAAAGAAGAAAGAAATAAAAAAGAGTATTTATTGATATTTAATTTTAATTATATAAATTATAAAATCTAAACTTTTAAATTGTATTCTTTATAAAGAAGTAATTTTTAGAAAATCAAAATTAATAATTGATTATTAATGATTTATTATTTAAAAAAAATAAAAAAATAAATATTTAAATAATCTAAACATCTTCAAAAAAAAAAAAAGAATACAAGTATTCATTCTCTATCACTCCAACTTCACAGAAAGACACCAACCATCCCTTGAAAAATCAAAAAGAAAAGAATAATTCGGTATTAAAAGATTGAAATCCCAATATAAATCATCCCCAGAGACAGGTTCAAGCTCAAGCTACGAGTCTACTACATCTACCACATCTACTACATCTATCATATTAATCATTACCCTTAGCTCCCGAGCTCTTGAAAAAGTTGAAGAATTATCATCGCCGATCTATCTCTGCAAGGCGATTGAAAATCTTCGGGAAATCTCAAGATAAATAACAAGGAAGAGACACACCAATGACCATAGTATCCTGTGCATATCATACCATACCATATATACCCAACGTTAACAAAAAGAATCAAGTTCTAGCTTCTCTCCTATTCAGATTCAGCCCCGTTAGTGAACCATGATGCGAATCTATTATCTTAGAAAATCATCATCATCATAATGATGACACCCATAAACCCACACACCTTTTATTAACTACGACGGAACATTCAAGCTTCCTTCTCCCTAGTAGTTGCATAACCTTTACTCAAGCTTTAAGCTTTAAGCTTTAAAGATTTAAACCACACTACAATACCAAATCCTTAATCCTTCATCGAACGATATTCGCATCAGGTAACTAGCGGGTGGGGGCGGATACTTCCGCATTAAGGTTATATTTGCATATCAATATAAATACCAAAAGCAAATACAAATATAAAAAGAAATAACAACAAGCCAATAAATGAAATGAACAAGGCCGTTCGTCTCGCAAAAGGTGGATCACATGATAGTGGTTATGCGAAAGAGGACGAAAGAAAAAAATGTTCCGAAAAGTTGAAAAATTCCAAGGTTCTCTCTCGAGTTACGTCACAGGGGGATGTCCTGTTGTGCTGTGCTGCTGCATGGTGTAGGGAGACGATAATATTCCCAAACACAAATGATAAAAGGTGATTAATCAATTGATGATGGTGTCTATGTCCGGACTATCGAAGCACACTTCTGGTCTGTCCTTGTGGTAGATCAATAATTTCGAACCTGTGAACTGGGCATGACTCTCTCAAGGAGAGAGAAAGGCTGATGTAGAGAGATGCATGTATGTCATCATATCATCAATATCTTGATTTACTTGTAAAACTGACTCTCTATGAGCCTATCTATGTATGTCATCAGCTCGGTGGGTTTTACCAGTAGCTTGGACATTTGATGGTTCATAATGATGCCATAGTGATGACAAGATGCATTCACTGAATACCAGTTCTGCAAGGTAGATAGAAAAAGTCGATACGAATTGCAACTTGATTTGATTCGGGCAACTAGAACCTAGGATCAGATTACTTTAATCGGATATTGTTAATGTGAACCAATATGTGTTCATGTATTTATGTTGATAACATTCCTGATTAAAATTTGAGCTTCATGTAGTAACTAGTTCGCGGATGCAAGAATGGAAGAATACCTAGATTAGACCTAAATTTAGGTCCCAATGACATAGTTTGCCACCCGCATTTTAGCAGTATCCCACGGGGGAACTGGTCCCGGCACCCCCTATCGCATCATATTTGAAGGAGCAATGCCGAAGTGTTCTTAGAATGTTATCATCACCGGTAGATCTTTCAAACCGAATGAATGTTCTCGGGGTAGATTTTGAAATTAATGGTGAATAGTTGGTGACATAGTGGATATGAAATGTATTGGTAAAACTAGGCAGACCACAAAAATGTAGATCAAAATCATGACGGGAACACATATGCAGCCTTGTCGAAGAACGTAGGTTCGTGCTATGACGGTATGGCGCACTGGTTAAAAAGATATTGAAGATTCAAAGCGTAAACGTGATGCCATCAGAAAGTCATCGAGTATATAAATAGTGGAATATTGATGAGCAAGAATAAGTAATTAGGAAGGCATATTCGCGGACACTTCCCACAAGCGAGAGGATTAGAGTACAGGAGTAATAAAATCATGACTATCTGGTCCTGAATGCATTTACATCCCAAAGGATTTCTTTGCAGTAGATCAACCAAGGCAAATACTATATCAGGAAACGTGGGGAAATGAAACCAAAAAACGACTTTTGCAAAATCAATGGCCGAAAGGGTGAGGAGGGATGCGAACTATGTCCCTAATAGGAAATGATTAGAACTTTTGTAGTCAAGGGGAGGTCGATTGATTTCCTGGTGGCCATTTAAGGAAATTTCCATCTTGCATTTCGAGCCGAGTCTTTTGCCTCTCCAATCGTTCAATTGTATGCTCATGATTTTGAGTTTGATATTCCCTCAACTCCAATCCAAAATGTGTATGTATTGTCGCACCGATATCCGGGTAATACTCGTTTGAAATGAGTGAAGTTGTACGGGTATGAGTAGATGGTAGTGCATTTTCCGTCTCGATCCGGTTTGTCTTTTATTTGTTACTGTATCTCCTGTGTTGTGCTTCCCAGCATGCAGATAGATGTAAGATGTACATATAAATTTAGTAGACAAATGATAATATAAGTAAAACAAGTAGGTAAGCATTGAAATGTTGAGACTTGACTCTCGAGATGAAAAATGATGTTTATGACGAAGAAGTGATGATCATCGGGGCGCGGCCGCACAAACCAACAAGTTACAAGGCTACAGCCAACTGCCAACTGCCAACTGCAACTGCAACTGCATATGATGGAACATGAATGAATGATGACATCAGCAGGACTCCTCCTTGGCACGACGTATTTTCCCAGCCATACAAGAAATTTGTGTGGTTGGATTAACGAGGGATGATGAATATGATGTGAATGATGGATATGATGTGAATGATGAATCTCATTGGGAATGATGAATATGATTCGAATTATTTCAATCGATCCGAAAATACGATTTCATTACCGGTCCGGTATAATTCTAGTGCTTCTGGCAAGTGTGCCTGGACATGATGGAACAAGATACTGGTTTGGCCATGAAACCCATTTATTAAATTTAGGATTTGCGTTTGCATGGAAAAGATGCATCTCGACTCTTTGCATTTTACGTGGTCTGGCTCTTTGCTTATATTGGAATGATTCGGGCAACCTTATTGAAACGTGGTAAAGATTTGCACTATGACATCTGTGATCATCATCTCACGAGTCTGGGGTAAGATTGCTTTGCTGATCTCTACGCCGTCCACCAGGATATCGAGGTTTCCTTCGAGCATTGGTGATCTGTGGATTACTTGATTGATTGATGTTGTCTCGGTCGCAACATTTGAGTTGTCCGTGTTGGATTTTGAAAGATTGCTTGTTTTTCACGGGAGAACTGTTAAAGTTCCCACTAAGCTGACTGACTTACTGCCTTGTGCCTGTGCCTGTGCCTGTGCCACCTTAATTTCGACATTGTAAAATATCGGAAACATGGATGTGAAGTTGTCAAAAATGGGATTTTATAATTGCAAGATGAGATATTTATTGTATGGAAACTCTATTTTGGTACATGTGACGGGATCTATCACAACTCGGTGAAGGCGTGTTTGAAATGATGTAGTAAGTAAGTAACCTTACTCCGTACATACAATACAGTACATACAATCTACCCGCGATAGGCGACTCCGCTTATGATTCTCTCTTTGGTTTGTACTACATACACTACATACATCCATCCATCAATACATCCATCAATACATCTCTCAACACATCCATCAACACATCCATCAATACATAATACATCCATATAATACATCCATACTACACGAGTAATCTACAATCTTTAATTCCAAACCTTAGTCAATCAAAGTCCACAGGTACATGAGCTAGTTTCCCCAAGTGCAATTGCGTACTCGACTACACCTGTTTCAATAATCTCATAGGTTAGAAAGTGGCCAACGCTTTCCATCTGCGCATGACGCTGCTTGCATCAACTTGCATCAACTTGCATCAACTTGCATGTCATGATCTGCAGGGTCTTTCCTCTTTTGTCAATTGACCACTTTTAACTTTTCATATTTGAAGAGCTATGACCTGGATCTCATGGTAATACTGTCATAATATTGGATGATAAGCATGTGTGATGTGTTTAGAAGTCAAGGATCTTTTCATCGTCACCAAAATATTTTCACACTAAATCCACCAAATACACTAAATCCACTAATGCACTAAATGTACCAAGTGGTTGTTAGTGTCGTTCTCCTGTGCTTTCAGGGTCTAACAGTTTACTAGGGCGAGGAGTAAAAAGTGTATCAATAAGCTAATATCGAGAAGACAGAATGTTATATAATTCCCAACGAAGCCTTATGATGTTTCCTTTTTCATATCACATCATCTCATACATTCCATCAATCAACATTCAATTTCATCAGCGCCCAACATCTACATAAAGAAGAACAATCCATCCACCAAACAAACGTTCAATACAATACCAACACTACACATTCAAACCACACAAATACCTTTCACATCCACCAAAAAACTCTCTATCTTGAAATACCTCAAACTTCCAAACCACCTCTTCAAATTCAAATTCACATCAAAATGTCTACCTCAACAGCCTCATATCCATCCCCCAGCCTCTCATCCCACGAAACCCAAGATATTACATCCCTCTTCACCTACGCCAAATTAATGCACGAACACACTCGTAAACAAATGGAGGCAGCCGACAAATCCGCACGTAGAAGAAGCGCCAACTCACATGGTACAAATGCACATGCCTCATTAAGAAGTGGACATGAGAGTTCGACGGATAGTGCTTCGTCTGCTGGATCACGATAAAATCCATACGATGATTGAAGGAATATGCACGGAATGGATGGGGTGAACGAGGATCTGGGGATACGATTCATGATGCAGCTATGTATGAGCTGTGCGGACGTCTACGCATGCATGTATGCGGCATAGCGTAGTATGATTTTTTAACGATTTTTTATTATCGTGTCATTGTGTGGGGATTTGTATTATACTCCGTTGTAGGTTTATCTATTGATGAACATGGTTGTTTGGGGAAAAGGACATACATACATACGGAAATGTGGCGTTTGGGTGTTTGTGTTCGTGTCTATGGGATATTATATTGTATGAATAGGAGTTGTTTGAGCGAGGGAGAGGTGTTCAAGCGGGATGAGGAATGAGGGAGTTGGGATCTGGTGGTGGTGTTGTGACGAAGGATGTCGGTGGGGTCGGGAGGGGAGATTTATTTCGCTAGGGATTTGTTGTTGGTGGTGATCGGAAGATGGTTGACGAATTAAAGGTTTTTTACCAATATTTTCTTCGTGTGGATTTTTTGAGCTTGATACTTGTGATGTGATATTTGTGATATGATTGAAAAAATGAAAATGTACCTGGTAGGTGGCTTTTTTAAAGACAACTCTTTACCCGTAGTAAGTATCTATCCATCCCCATTTTCCCAATCCTTACAATCTTCAAAACCAGCTTCGTCAGCTCATCCAATTGAGTGACTTATTCCTAAATATATATCTCAACTCAAATCAACCTCTCTTTCTTCGCTCTTGATACTTACTATATCTTGTCTACTTAATCAATCTGTTTATATAATTATTTTAATATTCCTTTTTAATATTCTTTTTTTTTTCTTTCTTTTATTTTTTTTTTATTTTTTTCTTTTCCCTTTTTTTTTTCTTAATTAAAAATTTTCTTTTTATTAAAAAAAAAAGATTTTAATAAATTATTAATAAATTATATACATTCATATTTATTTTTATTTTTATTATCTCTAAAGAGTTAAAGTTAAAAAAATCATTGAATTCTTATACAGATAGTTTGATTTGATTTAGTTCTTCAATATTGTAAAAGTGGTAGGTCGAGATACGTGCATCCCGATAGCACGCTGTAAGGAGGGAATTGGAAGAGAAAGCTGAATTAGATTACATTGTAATACATCATTTATAGGTAAAACAGGGTTCATAATGGTTTTAAGATTGATATTATATAGATTCAAATGTATATATATAAAAGGTTGATTATTATAAAAAAAAGAGACAAAAGGTTCTTTTTTTATATCTAACTACAGAAGGTTATATGATTGACTAGTTAAAACCTTTATGTATTTGGCCTATAATTCCAACTTTCTCACAATATCAAGATTAGTAAATATATATGTATATTTGACGAAGCATCACATAAGTAATACAATTCCTCCGAAAGTCGTTGGTTGAACCCTGAAGTTCTCAAAAACAGAATGCCTATATACAAGATTTAAAGTCAATGAGACAAGCATCAATCACATCATGAATCGGAATGACCGGCTTGGAAATCATCTGAAAATCTTTCCACTACGTATACCACCTCTTTCACACGACTGGAAAAATGCATCTTTAACGCCTATTCCTCGACAGATTTCCGAATTCGCCGATGCATATGAAGAACATGGTGATTTTTAATATCTCATGAAGACAAAAGACAACAGAAAAAACCTCCTCATTATCGATATATTCAAAGTGTTGAAGAAAAAAAAAGCTCCATTTCATTATCACACCTCACGCCGTTAAATTACACCATCTCCAAGTATTCTTAGAGCCACTACTGAAATAATTTATAGAGCTAGTACTAAAAGAATTTCCAGCCAACTCGTAAGTATATTTTATTCTTTGAAATTACCTTATTTCCACTAATAATTAGGTGTATTACAGATCTTGGGTATATACGAATACCATCCGCGCTTTGCCTTTGAATTGTAGTTACCATGGGAATTATTCTCTTTTTTCATAGCATTTCCTAATTTCACTCATGTTTCATCAATAAATACTTCCCTTCTATCTTCTAGCGAAAATATTAACTGCATCTCGACTGGAAAATTCTAGAGTATGTAAAACAATTTGTCATGTCTTCGCCTTTTTACATGACGAGTGAATCTAAACCTTTTTAATTGAGGAAAAAGGTACTGTTTAAGGCGGCTCTACACTAGACACTCACTCATAGGTATTGTCACCTTGTGGAAGAGATGCGGTTATTTGGACGACGCTACTAGGAAGTTCTCAAACGAGGATCTGAAAACAATTTTTGGTGACAATGGTAGGAAATAAAACGGATGATTTTTGTGTGCAAGTTAAACGAAGTCAATAAACGATAATATATCATCATGAAATTCAGAATAAATGGAATAGAATGGGAAATAATATTAAACTCGCTTGATGGTATATATAAATACATACTCGAGTAACTACCTAGTAGAATGAACATACCTTTCTATTCCACTTCTTTAAACACCTGGAACGTACCAACAAATCATCATCCTATAACACAGCTTAACCGCTCAATCAAATAACAATTCACTATAATATTACATGGCTGGCAGAAAGCTCAGCACAAGAATTAACGATCTTTCATATTCGAGCCCCTTTTCGCCCACAAAAAATCTAAATTGTCTACCAATTCACTATTCAATCACAAAAGTTGCACAGGTAATATTATCAGTAATTGGTGTATTCTCAAGATTCAATGAATACTGGATACTAACGTGTTCTCCCAATCAATCCCTACCCAAGCATCTTAAGGATTCGCTTGACTAGACTTCATGTGCCCTTGAGCTTACCCGACACCATTTAGAAAATTTCGACGGTTATATGTAAGAATCTTGTGGCCATAGACATTTTTGTTCCTATTGCACCACAGACGTGGTGTCTGCTTCATTAGATATTGGAGGTAATATAGCCACTTGGTCGGAGATATGAAACTATTCACTATGTAGAATTTTATGCGGATAATAAGCTGACTATTTGTCGATGAAGGAGAAACAGCCAAAGGAAAACTAAGATCAAATCTCACGCCGCAATATCGTCAAGCTTCCGCGGGAGGAATCTTAGCCATAAGTTTCCGATCTTAACAGCCAGATGATCCTTCCATTCACTTTCAAATACAGCCTCGTCGTACGAAGGACCAAACTGAACGTCAAATGTGCGGACTATACGCGCAACTACCAGACGAAGTTCCTGAAGCGCAAGAGTTTTTCCTACACACTTTTATGATTGTAAGCTCAGTTGAAAGTTTCAGTTAAAATGAACATGTGTAGTACAGGAGCAGAGAAAAGAAGGAACAGGGTAAAAGTTGATCGCAGCACAAAGATTTTCACTGACCGAATGAACACCATAGCCGAATGGTATAAAAGCCCTTCTATCTTTCACCAGCTCGGGTCTTTCGGACGTCCAACGTTCCGGAATAAATTCTTTACCCTGCGCGAAGTACCTCTCATCTTTCATGAGTGAGAGCTGTGCAATCTGAACTTGTACATTCCCTGGAATAAATATACCTCCAACTTTAACACCTTGTGGATAAGTTGCCGCATGTGCGCCAGATGGCACAGGGTTATACAATCGTAAACCTTCGTTAACGACGGCATTCAGATATTCCAAATTTCGGATAGAATCGATGGTTATTTCGCTGCCTTCGCCCATCGATATACATATTTCATCGATTTCCCTCTGAAGTTTAAAGAGGACTCGTGGTTCCTTCGCCAACGTCCTCAATATTTGTGCTACCGTGGAAGATGTTGTATCTGTCCCAGCTATAATGATTAAATTGGCATTAGAGTTCAACTCCTTTTGTGTAAACTTCTCGCCACCTTCTGGATCTGCTGATAATAAATAGAAAAAGATGTCTCGATAAGTTGAACCGCGTTCTTGTCGTTCTTTCAGCATTGTCTCGCCTTTCTCCCGGAATGTTCGTACTTCGGAAGTTTCAGGGATATAGGCAAGAAGTTGCGCTGTATTTCGTAGAGCTCCGATCATCTATCATATGTTAGAGATAGTTGGCACAGTTAGTAGCTACGCACACTAGCGAATGACATATACTTGTGAATATGTGACATGTATGAGTTGTCCCCGGTACCATCTTGTAGGCCAGCATGTTTTGAAAAACTCAAGTCTGCCATGCTTAGATAAGTTAGATTCCACGAGGTAATCTTCGACAATGGAGTAGGGGCTTACATACATATCAAAATTAAGATTGTCCACTGCCTTTGAAATATCCACTTCCTTTCCGTCTTCTTTCAGCAAGATTTGTACCATTTTATCTACATGGATTTCTACCCTGGTGTTATACTCCCTGGAAGCGCTGCTCACAAATGCTTTCTCCCTACTCAAGTTAGAGCAAAACCATGAATAATATAAAAAATCTCACCATATTCTTCTCCACTATCAAAATATGTTAGCATGCTGTTGACCTTATTCCGCGCGTGTAAGATTTGATATCAACACTGGTATAAACCACTTACAGGAGTGTGTTTTCCATAATCTCTGGTGGTGTTCAGATTGAAGTCTCCATTGACAGCTCCTATTTCATAAAGTGTGCCTCGTGGATATTTCCCGGTGAATATTTTGGCCACCGCGTCCACATTGATGACAGAAACATCATTAGGACCTATCCTGACAACATCACTTTTGTAGTGCCGGTGTAAGGCCTCAATTGTATAGGATGTGCGACCGAGTCGGTATTCATTGGCAATGAAGAGTTTAGTAAGAGCAAATCGTGTTGGTCCAGGAATGTGAGATAACGGAGAGAAGTATAGACGTCGAAATGCAGTAATAATGAAAGCCGTGAGAAGAAATGTTGCATTCAACGAGAATAAATGAATGACAGCTTGGAGGATCCCGGCCTTTGTGAGGGTGAGGTACGAAAAGAGGATGCAATTTGTTGAGAGATATGTAGAAATAATTGTCATGGTGGATGGCTCGGGAATGGGAGAAAGGAGAGCTTGACATCCAGTAGCCACCATCATGGTTGTCAGAATCTCTGCCATTGTTATCGTTACCGCTATGATACTGGCAAACTCGTTGGATAATGAAAAAGTAAGTAGTTAGTAGCAAGTTGGTGTCAGATGAAGACAATTGTTTAGATGAGCGACTGCCACAGAAGTGAAGCAAGCTGTCTCATGGGAACTTCAGGGCGAGCTTAAGATGATATTACATTGTGTGACACTGGCGCCATTTTCAGCACAAATGAATGCAAGTTGAGTGATTATCGATTACGCAACAGAAGCATGTTTCTCGGAGTTTATTTATACTTAGCAAGCGACGGATGTGTATGTTTCTGTATACCGGAATATCCTCACTCCAAAATTCTAGGCATGAGTTTCGAGAGAGTACTTGATTGTGGAATCCAAACTATGTTAAGAAGGACATGAAAATCATTAGGCATAGGTGTATCATTGGTGTCAGATTTAGGTATTCCGTTCGTCGCTTGCAATGTGGTCACGACATCTATGCGTATCACATTAGAACTACGGCGTCACGTCACGTGGTCTATAACTAAGATCGACCACTAAACTAGTACTCCCAACCTCTTCGTGAATTTATTTTTCATCTCAAATTAACAAAATCGAGCTCGTCATCAGCTATGTCGTCGTTTTATTTCCAAAAACGCGTGGTGATGGTTTCGGCCAGTCTCACAACAGCGATAGTTCTACACCAGATAATACCTCTTATTCATTTTCTCTCTTCCCACGAATCTCTGCCGAACTTCGATTAATGATATGGGAACGTGCAATTCCTGATCCTCGGGTCGTACCTCTGAAAACACACAATACTTCTCGTTGTGAGCATGCGATGGTTAGAGTACGATCAGACATGGTTGTGCCAGATAGATGCCAAAATCATGGTTATCCTCATTCAAATGGTACCCCCTGCACCAGCATGGACGGTGTATTACCAGCAGATATGGACATTATCGATGTGGTTCGGAAACGTATCAAAGACGACGATCAACTTGGTTTCTCATCAGAAGCAAAAATTCCTAGCTTATTGCTAGTTTGCAAAGAATCATGCAAGGTCGCATCCAAAAGATACCAACGAGCATTTCCATATGAATGGTCTTTTGCTGAGACTTACTTTGATTACGAAAGAGATACATTGCTTCTTTCGAATAAGCAGATTCAGTTTGCAATTCTTCCGGAGGACGACAAAAGCCACCTTATGGCGCGGTCTGAGGCATGTAAAATTCGCAATCTTGCTCTTCAATTTCGTCCCAATCCTAGGGCTTCAGCAAGAGATGACCGGAGTGTCAAAACTGAAGACCTTGCCGAAATACTGGAATTGTTCTGCAATGTCGAAAATTTAACAATTGTGGTAGAAAATCATCTACCCTCCGGTCATGCGAACGGATTGTCCTCGAGTCGGAACGACAATGAGCCAGTGTTATTTGAGGCAATTGAAATCAACGAGGCGCTGCTCATGTTTTCACTCGAGAGAAGATTTAGTGACTACCATGGAGGACTTCTTCAAGAGAACGTAAACCGACTCAAGCTAAGGTTTTGCATGAAGTGCCTCAACAGGAAGAGATTGCAGGACATCGCAAATGGCTTCGTGTGGAATTTACCGACATTTCAATGGAAGATTCTCACTACCGCTGCGTTCCAGGCCAGGTTTGAGAGATTACAGAAAGACTATGAGCTACGCACCGGCAATACCTGTCACAGAATCCACGAAACGTACAAATTAACGCTCGATACAAGCCAGCTGTTTCTTCATCCCTAAGTTCATTTGAATGAACTCTTTATCTCAAATGGATTCAATGTTCTGAATGATTTCAATCTTCGAAATGAACCTAACAATCGAAATATTCTCATCGTTGGGCTGCACTCTGAAGTATTGGATACCTTTGTCTGGGATTGATTGGTTCCGCATTATAATTTGGGGGTAAATGGCAACGGCTGACCTTTGTCATATCAATCTGCCATATTGAAGATCTATAGGATTTCTGGAGAATGATTATGGGAAGCTCAATTTATCCTAGGAGGAACTATTTTCTGAGATTTTCACTGCTACAACAAATTGTAATCTTACATTAAAATGTCTATTCACCTGATTGATTGGTATTAGCCAAGATCATGTGTCTACACTTTCGACATAGCTACCATAATATGAGTTTCTGCAGTGCACTGTATAAGATTGGCGAATTTTGTTCCGTTGATGAAAGGTGAGAAACAGGTATGTCCGTGGTTTGTTTTGTGGCTTGCTGCGAGATATTGTTACACTCTTGCTGTACAAGGAAGTACAACATATATATGAAGCAAGGCGAGGCTGATTCGTGATGAAGCCATACACCAAACGGAAACTTGCAGGTCAACACCAAATAGAGGAAGGTTATCCATTGCCTTGAATGCCATACGGCCGCTTGATTTCTGTTATCATTTTGGTGCGAATCTTTGGATACCAGATATTGCACGAGTGTGGGTAGAGTTGTTGAAGATCTTCTCTTTTCGGTTTAACCTTTTACACTGACCTTTCCTCCATATTGATGATACCGTGGCACGCCTTGAAAACATCAAAGAATTTTTATGAGCATAAGCTGATTAGAACTTTGGGTCTATGGTATTATTTGGCACAGTAGTGTAGGCTCTCCACGGGCGGTTGGGTGATCGTTTGCGAGTTAACATCATATGACAAGTATGCATTGCTGGCCTTAAGTATTGTTAGTTCGATATTGGACTCTGCAAAGTTTGGATTTGGCTTGTATATTCATATTGAGGGTTGGGAAGATACTGAGGCAACATTGCTTTGATGGGTTGGTGCTTCAGCCTCAATTGTGATAGACGAAGTTGTTACGCTTTCATTTAAAATGATCATGATGGTGACTTCTGCTTCTTGGAAGTACGGGTTACATCTACAGCACGACACTCAGGTGGTCTTTGCAACCGGAGGACTTGCTTTGAATGCCCATTCGGATGTGGAGTGAATTTTGGGATGGTATGGATCATTGTACCCACGGATTGTTTTGGTGGATATCATTCTGCCTCCTAATAGTGAAGAAAACCATGGACTTCTGACCAGAATCCAATGATAATATATCGTATGAATTTCACTCCCTGTGATGTTTAAATCTACTGAAGCAATAGCGGCAGTAGTTAAAAAATGGACTTGCTTTCATTCTAATAATAGCGATACTCCAGGCTATAATCACTCATTGGATTTCACTGCACCGAAGTTCCGCGCAACTTGTCTCGCGATTAGAGAACTTTTCACGTGGCGATATATCTCTTCACAAGAAACTAAACCATGGCATAATAGCACAAAGGCGGCATTTACGAGGCGGGAAACAATCCTTCTTGCTGAAATGGTTTCTTCAGTGGATTTCCAGAATAAGCATCAACAAACTTAGGATGATATTAGTGATGTCCACACAGAATATTACACTGCACTATACGTGCTCTCTTTCCCTCCTCCTCGAGCTCGCCACTAACATCAGTCGGGGTGCCCATCTGATGCGTTGCGAGCGACATATGGACACTTTCAGACATTGGGCAAAATAATTGACGAGTGGCAAGGAGATTGAAATGTTCTGCGAATATAAGATGGATGATCGAAGGGCAAGCCGAATTTCGCAGGTATGTGAGCGACTTTATGAGGAAGATTAAGATGCATGAGTGTTATGGGTAGGCGGCCTGGAGTAAATGATACTGGTTATAAGGAAAGGTTTAGGGTAGAGGGACTCCTTCCCTACTGTGGGAATTGGCGCGGTTTTAGGGAGAATTCGCCTGTACGACTTTCTGTTAATGGATCGCTGCGTCTCATTTGTATTGACTTGGCCACTGTCTGCTATCAACTGTTCATTAGGATGGCCACGGTGGACATATACACACTTCTAAATGTTTCTACATAATACTCAGCATTTGTCTCTATCATTATCAGAATACGAGGCTTAGAGCACACCAAAGGAAATGAGCTATAAAGGGCATAAAACGCTAAAGTCGGCTTAAGAGAATGGACAGCGTTATTCTAAATTAAATGAGAGAAATAGTAAAGTTGATATTTTGAATCATTCGAAATTTAACAATGCATACTTCAACAGGAAATCACTGACTGCAAATGCTTCCCGAAGTTTACATTTCATCTTTACACATTTAGGTATATCTCGCACACTCCTGGAGCCCAGAAAAGAAAGACTGTTATCCTAATTAAGCCAATAAAACTTGCGACTCTACTTTTCCATTATGGTATTCCTTTCTTCCCTTCCAATAGCGCCAAAAACAGATAAAACATTCGTTTGTCCTCAAAAAATTCGCATATAATTTCGAAGAGACAAGAGGAGGTGGTCCGAAGACTTAACTTACCACGTAATATGAACTCTCAGATGCGCATACCGACTAAACTCCGTAGTTTCATCCTACACTGGGACACTCTTCTCTGGCTTTCATATACAGAATCACACTTTGATCGGCATAACCTCCCGCCCGCTCCAGGCATCTCAAAGCAATACCCCGATCTCAGTCTACTTGCCGCTCAAGCCAAAACTTAAACTTGCAATACCAAATCAGAAACCCGTACCGAGTAATCATACTACACTGTGATGAGAAAAACCCTCATCATTATAGAAATTCAATGAAAGTATTGCACTTGCAATCCAGCCAAGCGAGCTCATCAGAATTTCACCTCATAACATTAATCACATCCAGCATTCCCCATTCCACTAAATGCCCTCTGCTATTAATACTTCAAATACTTCAAATACTTCAAATACTTCAAATACTTCAAATACTTCAAAAACCGCAAATGCGCCTCTATATCTGAGCACTTCCCGCCGCATAACTGAGAGCTTATTAGCAGCACCCAGCACCCAGCACCCAGCACCCAGCACTACGTTTCAGATTCTTACTCCGTAAATCTTCAATTCATACTCTGTACTGAGTATTTTAATGCTGGGCCTTACTCCCGAGGGCGCGCGAATATGGCATGTTTAATAATATCCGAGTCCTGACCGCGAAGCGTCTGTGCTAATGTTCATGTTGATGCTAGAGGCAAAGCTAAATTTCAATCTTCAAGTTCAACGGGGAGGGATTTTTGGGATGAAATTAAGCGATGAATCTTCAGTGATGAAGTTTCTAAAACTTCAAAGCATATACTTAAGATTACCTAAGATCAGCTATCTATCTTTAGGCTCGGGGTTTGGGTTTTTATAAACAATACACGATAAACACGATATATATATTAGTAAAGAAAAATCAAAATCGTGAAATTATACTGTATTATACTGTTCGATCTAACCAATCAATGTATACCGAAATTGTTACTGCAGGGGGTGTACATTAAGTTTAGGGGCTATTAGCAGTTCGTACTCGTACCAAGTAACTCGATTCGGTTTATTTTTCAAGTCATTGTTATTATATGAGTTATCGTGTAATTTGCGGAGTATAAGTACGAGTATTTATAGTGTAATTAACTTGTAATTGATCGGTACGTATAGGTCGGTATCTATCTTTATCTTTGTTGAAAGTTTTGTTTGTTTGTGGGGTAAGTCAAGGTAAGGTAAGGTTAGTAAGCTTTACTATATATATAGTATTATATATAGTATTATAAATATAGTATTATAGTATTTCCACTTCAACTTCATCTCTATGGCCTTCCTTGTTTACAGACGGGCGCTATTCAGCTTGGTGGGAAGTATGTATATACGGAGTACACGGCAGCTGTGATTTTATTAATTGCTTGATGATAAGCATGGCAGGAGGGGGTTCTCTCAGCTGGGAACGGAACGACTCCGAGATACATGCGGACGGAGTAGACGAATTATTGAATAGGAATGAGGGGTTTCGGCCGAGTATCGTATGGGTTTATCAGGTATTTGTTCTTGTTCATATTTTGGAATTTGAGCATTTTCATTGAACAAATATATATACACAATGTATATATATATATTAGCCTTCCCTCCCCTCCCCTCTCCTCAAACTACAGAGTACCTAGTAGATATAAGTAATAAAATATCCAAAGCCCTAAGCCCTCCAAAATTCATGCTGCACTACACTGCATCATTAACGACCAACAACTGCACCTTCACTGCTTCATCAGCAATTCGGTGATGCTCGGAGATAACTTGCAATACTGGTAATTAATTTACTCGAGCAAATAAATCAAGTTGAAAACACTGCCGATCTATTACCCGAATCATGATTTTGGATACTCCGTAAACCAATATTGACAGGGCTGGCCCAAGCATATGGAAGGTAAGTGAGCACACGACCACGAGTTACTAACTGAAAGTTGTCTAGAAGTACGGAGTAGATGAGATGCTGGGAGATCGGTGCGTTTAGTGGTGAGGCTTAAATTTGGAAGCAGAAGGCTGGGAATATACTTCGGATGGATGTTTTTTTACATTTCTGAGATTTGATATTTTATCTTTGATTAGGATGATGAGTAATGTCTTTCTACTTTGTTCAACGTCTCCTAGTAGATGATTATTGGCTCCGGCTTCACCATATTCTCATCCCCTTTTCTACCAAAAGCAGAAACTTCTACTTGCATTAACCGCACATACGCATAGCAAGTACCTTTTGTTTCGTGGCCCCTACAATTCGTAGCCCCTACCTTTACTTCCACAGCACAAACAAAGCACTTGGCCATCTGAGGCGTGCAACGGGTCCGTAGTACGTACCCCTCATCCTAAATTTCCAGTCCGAAAGGGTATGGAGATGACGCGTACGGAAATTTATTCTGATGATATCTTAGCGAGTAACGGACTTGGGTTTGCGTCACCCTAATGAATGAACAATGGAGAATTCAGCCGTTGGTCGTGTGATGAGGTGAGACTATGGGATGTTCTAGCTATAGAGTCTAGAGGTGGTAAAGAGAAGGATTGTTTTAGTTGAAGAGTGGCTTTTGATGTCAATGTCGGAATGTCCATCCGGCTGGTATATCCGCAGCTGGAGTAATAGGGAGCTTCGTCTTTTAATTCTAATCCATGTTGGCATTAGCGCCAGGAAAGTGCCAAGTCCTTGGCACGTAACAAAACATGGTACGGACTGGGAAATCGGTTACTCGGGTTGGGAAGTTTGCGATAAGCTACGAAGCTTTAGAAGAAGTGAAGAAGAGATCTGCAAATAAATTATAACATAGTAATTTTCGAAGGTAGAGGATAGAATCTTTACATCTCAACATTCGATGATTCAAATTTATATTGGAATGAATAATAGCATGCATGATATGCAAATAGAAACAACTGCCGTAGTCTTCATAAGAAAACTCGCATTGAAGATATTCTCCATTCTTATCTGTTAAATGAACCCCTGCATCAAAGCACCAACTTAAAAAAAGATTGTCTACGTAATCATCCTGATATCCTTGTTGCACTTGCTTCACTTGCTTCACTTGCTTCACTTGCCGCGTAGATTTAACTCGACTTGGATGAAGGCAGTACGGAGAGTCCTCTCTACTAGACAAGAGTGAACTCTCCAAACGCTACCGCGGCTACATGACATTTCAATTCAATGACCATTGACCAGGATCTAAAATATCACAGAGAAAAACTAACTAAGATCAGATATCCCCCGTTCCCTTTCTAGATCATGACCAGATTGAAATTCCACAAAACTCCTATCTTTCCCAACCATTCGAGATTCTTCCATCGCTCTTCTGGTTTCGTTGATTTTACTTGGTTCATCGACTTGTTCTCTCCTATTGCTTGGCTTCTATCGCATCATCCTCCATTTCACTCTGCCTCAAATTCCCAACCTAATTTGTTGCCATCCTACAACGAACAAGAACTCGGCGCCGCTTTCATCATCTCGCATTTGGCATTACAGTTTGAACAAGACCCCCAACCTCAAAGATCCTATCATTTGCATACGGCCGGACTGGAAAAGTTGCATTCGTCTCGTATTTTGCTTTGAAAACGCCAAGATCACTTCACTGTTGTTTCTTGGCCGCTTGGATAATTACTTGGCAATATCATCGGTCTCGGAAGTGAGGCACACGAGCATATTCCTAGCTTATTATATCGACAAGCTTCCCCGTTATATCCACCAAGGTACTGCACAGTACATACAGTGCTTCTATTTAATTCTTGAACAATTTTACTCCGTTAGCGTGGTCCATTGGATTAATTGGAAAGTTTACCATTCTTTCCTGCTGGAAGACTTTGTTCATATTGCGAGTTTGGTGAAGAATTAGGACTTCACACAGCAGAATACAAGGAATTCGTCAAAATATATAAAAATGCGCCCTCCACGTTTTCTAGGCGCCGTCGCGACAACATTAATTCTCCTTGCCTCATTCGCACACGCCTCGCCGCGACCCAATGAAGAACCGGCAGAATCGATAGAAGGAAGAGATTCCAATGAAGGCCAAACCGAACAACATGATACGAAATATTTTCACGAGCCAGGAGGAGATGATTCATTAGGACATTACGACATACGATACTTTCAAGGAAACCCGGTTACCTATGAAGAAAAACAAGATTCCCTTCGATTTCTGATCAAATCCTATTTAACCACTTTCCGCGAGCGCAATATCGAGACGTGGATTGCGCATGGAACGTTACTGGGCTGGTGGTGGAACGGCAAGATTATGCCATGGGATTGGGATTTGGATACGCAGGTTTCGGCTGCGACTTTGGCCTGGTTGGGTGAAAATATGAATATGACGACGCATAACTATACCGGACGAGGCGAGGATGGATCTACCATCACTCGAGAATATCTTCTCGATATCAATCCGAATCATGTTGAGAGAGTGAGAGGAGATGGTATGAATGTTATTGATGCGCGTTGGATCGATGTGAGGAATGGGCTATTTATTGATATTACGGGACTTGCGGAAGTAAGTCCTAGTACGCAGCCGGGAATCTGGAGCTGTAAGAATTATCATCGTTATAGGACGAGAGATATTTATCCATTGAGGGAGACGGAGTTTGAGGGTGTACCGGCATTGGTACCGTATAGTTTTGATAGGGTGCTCACGGATGAGTATAGTCCGAGGGCGTTGACGAAAACTTTACATGAGGGGTATGTTTCTTCTTTTTATTTATCAATTCACTTATATTTTCCCCCTTTTGCTTTCATCCTATCTTCCCCTATTCATTACCAAGATTAAAATAAATATAAACTAACATCCTCACAGCCATAGATGGAACCCCGAACAAAAAGAATGGATTCCCGAAACTCCTATGGGTATCCACGATAAACGTCAAGAAACCCAAGATCAATCTCAATCTCAATCTCAATCTCAATCTCAAGCACAAGCACAAGCTCATCCACACATGCCCCGAAGTATCCAATCAGACGGTAACCAAAAAGCCGGATTAAGAAATCTCTTGAACGTATTATGATTCTTAGCTAAGAACTCTATTCGTGAGAATCGATTAAAGATATCTGGAAACCCGCAAGAAAGAGGAAATTAAAAATGGGAATTCGCTGAAGATGCAGAAGGATCGCGGAGTATGGAGTATGGAGTATGGAGAGCATTGTAGATGTGGAAATGATACCCTTGAACATACAGCATGAAGCGAACAAGCGAGCGAGCCGGCCAGTACGATGGCATTTATTTGCTTTGGCCTTGGCTTTTGGCTTTGGAATTTTCGAAATTTAATTCCTTTCCTTTCTTATGTGTACGTGTATGTGCGAATTGAATTGCAAGCATGGCACTCACTTAATAGACGTGTCTGTTTTTAGATTCGTCGTTTCTTTTTAGTGGAGAGGGGTTTGGGTTGGGTTGATTGTATATGTTGTATTGTATCTGGATGGTTGGAGAGGGGAGGAGGGAAGGGGAGAGACATATATGGAGGTGAGTGGAATCAGGGAATCTACTCCATCGCTTTGAATGGGATGAGATGAGACGGAATGGGTTTAGCTGGCTTAGACCATAAATGCATGGATGGATGGATGCATGGGTACGGTAAACGGAAAGGAGGTAGGCATGTACACAGAAGCGAGGATGAGGAAAAAGATTTAAAATCTAAATTCAAGACTTTGTTGTGTTTGGTTTAATGAGAAATAAGATGGATGTGTATTGAGAATTGAGAAATAAAATGATTCTATTAAAGGTTTTTGAGAGAGTAAAGAGGAGATTAGGGAGTGGGGAGTGGGTAAGATATATATTGAGATGTATACAGAAGAAGGAGTTGAAGGAGAATTGAGGGGAAAGGGGCTCAGAAATTAGTTAGTTTTATTGTAAAGAGTGAGGAGCTAGTGGATTGTAAGTAAGAGGGAGGTAGATATTTATATAAAGAGAGAGAGAGGATCTATTCTCGAGTAAAGAAAGATATCGGTTGAGTGAAGTGAAGGGAAAGGATATAAAGAGAAGAGAAGTGAATTATATTAATTTTGAATAGCTTTTGTTTTATTATAATATATATATATATATACTTTATCAACTTAGATTTATTTATTATATTTATTATTTAAATTTATAATATAAAAAAAATCTAATTACAATTATTATAATTAATTTAAAATCTAGATTCTAAAATCTGTTATAATCTTATTGATGGCTGCTTATATTTATAGTGTGCTGATTGTCATAATTATCTATGGTATGTTTGATGTTGATAGGTGAGTTGATATGAGGTGTGAGATACTAGGGTGTTGGGAGTGGTTAGTGGTTAGTGGTTAGTGGTGAGTAGTAGAGTAGTGGACGAGTATAAGTATATAGAATACCCCCCAGTTTCATATTGTAGCACTGATTGGTCTTGGGAACAGGTATAGTAAGACGAAATCGGGGAGAAATTGTGAATGATAAGGTTAAGAGGGATAGGATGCTAGGATTTTGGAATGGTAGAGATATTAAGGTATAGACACATTAAGATAATAAACACATCAAAATGATAGAATATAGTATAATAAGGAAGTCTTGGATACCTAGATACAACAAGGGAGGTTTTGACGGGATTGAGATATTGGAGATTGATGGGAGCGCTCGAGGGTTAGGGGTTTGGATAAAAGAGGAAGTGGAAGAGGAGTAGGGCTGATGAATGATGAATGATGGATGATTGGTGTTCGGATTGTAGGATGTAGCTATGGATGAGAGGTTGGTTTGAGGAGATAGAGAGAAAGAGGAGAGGAAGATTATATTGAAATGAGGGATAGATATGGAATAGGAAGACATTAAGGGACCTCATGGAAAGATATCATATGCGGTGCAGGATTGATAGGGAAGCAGAATGGAAAGGAGATAGTGAGAACTGTATGTAAAAGAGATGACGGCATGAAAATCAAATATACAACTGATAAATGAGGTTAATGATGTTCTTGAAATTGCCAAACTGAGTCTCATTTGTAAATACGCCGCTGTATATCACGGCTTCCAACTTGAGTGTAATGTATACACAAATTACTAACACCTTGCTCCGACCTATGCCAAACAACCGAATCCCTTTGTAAACCGAACCCATTCCATCCTCAAAAATTGCATATCAAATTCACATGATCTCCAGCAGCCATGACTATCATAAGTTGATAATACTGCTGTACTCCTTGCCTATGATTCCCCAAATGCTCCAAATATAAACGGTCTAGTTTCATTTTATTGCTTCGTAGATGATGTGTATCCCCATTTTCCCTTTTGTATTTTGCTAGGCAAGATGAATATATCAAAGCCTGATATACACATCCACACATTCCAACCTCCATTCCCTCTTGCCTAATAAATTCCTCAACCACTCAACCCCAATACCTGTCCACTCCCGACTCGCCAAATTATTCTTCGCATCCTCTAGTGCCGTACCTGCTAATGCTATTGCAGTTTTATTGAAGGCGCCGGCGTACATTAGCACATTGTCTATGGTCTCATTTGAAAGAGCTGTTTGGTTGTTTATTTCGGAAAGAGAATAGGATGAGGAGCGTGGTTGAAACCAGTTACTGCTAAAGTCGAAGAAACAGTGGTCGGCCCAATGGCAGGAAGAGGCGAAGAGGATTAGGAGAAGAAGTGAACAGTATACGCAGGGTCGGTTGAGGAAGTAAGTGCAGATGAAGAAGAGGAAAATGAAGATTGGAGAGGCGTTGGTGGGGATGAAGAGAAGAGGAAGCCAACTATCAGGACAGAGAGTTAGTTGTGTTGTCAAGATATCCATCCCCTCCTTGTTGATATTTAAGGTCGAAATGACCCAGATGAATAGGATGAATGTGTAACCTACCTTCTAAGACAAAACATTTTGCTGGACTCTTTAAATTCTTTGCAAAATCTGCAATAATCAGGACCAAAGGTCGTCGTAGTGTCAAATTATGCGGTCATCCGTTGGGGGGATGCAATGGCCCTTCGAATATGCAAACAGAATATGATAAAGAATCAAAGTATGTATGTACCAAGGATGTACTTTTCGGAATCGGCGGTCGACAGAGAAGGGCGTGGTCCTTTTCGTTTGTATGCTGTGTGATATAAAAAGGAAGATTTACTTGTATTACATGAAAATAGAACTTTGGTATTATCTTTTGATTTATTTGTATTTGAAAGTGTGTAGTTTTTTGATGCTAGTATCAATAGTACAAGATCTCGTCGCGTCAGAATGAAATGGATCTAAACGTTCAGCCAAGCGTTTATGTTAGCGAATGATTTCTAGTAATAATTGCGTCTACCATCCAATGATATGATCCGAACAGAGCCAGAGAAGAGTCTAAGCTTCGTTATTGTATGGGAACGTGGAAGCTTTTACAATTATTTACGCGCTTAACTCTTCTCTTTACCTCACAAATTGAAAATCACCTCGTATGCAATCCTGCTTTCTACCTCTTTACCTTTATCAAACAAACTCTACATACCTCCTCTACCTCTACCTCTACCCAACCTTTAACCGCGTATCTTCACTTAACCTTCTTCCATAAATTCAAACAAACTCTTTATTTCGTACTTCACATTTGAAGCTGCCAATATCTTTGTTATTGAGGACAGTTTCTGCCTTGTGTCTGTTTACAAGACTAAAGAGCAGCTGTTGTCGATCGCTGGAAAAAGTTATCGGTTATCTTCTTTTCATCTTCTTTCTTGAACAATTCCTTTCCTTACATACTCAAAAGTTTCTTCTCGATTTTGATTGATTCAATTTAATTTTCATTCAAGATATTTCGCTTTGAGTGCGACTTATCTTTGGCAAAATGTCTGGATATCCGACAGGTTCTGGTGGTAATGATGGCCGTGGTTTGGATTCCCTCTTTGCTCAGCTTCGACAACAGCAAAATCAAGCTGCTGCTCCTGTTCATTTAGAGCCAAGTTATAATTATTACAACAATAACAATAACAACAACGGCTTCTTTGGTCAAAATCAACAATTGCCTTCCCATTATCAGCAACCCTCCGCTTCTTCGCCACTTCCTACCCCTCCTCTACATGCTCAACAACATCATCATAATTCTGCCGTCATGAGTCCTGTCGATACTCCACACGCAGAACCTCCTCGCCTTGCCAATCCAGTTGGTACCGCATCCGGCGATAACCGTACTTCAAGTTTACTCAATTTGCTGAAGTTCAGTCAACCTTCTGCTAGTAAGCCAAGTAGCCAAGCAGCACCGATCGGCACACCACTCCCTCCATCCCGCGATTCGTCCATGAACTTTGGTGGAAACTCTGATGTTCTTGGTCAAGTCAGCGCTGGTAATCGTGGTGGTCAGGATCTTCTTGCTGCACTCATGGGAGGAGCACAACAAAAGCCAGCTTCGACGCCGCAAATGACTCAAGCAAGCCCGCAATTCGCGAGTGATTCTCAACCGCAGTCGGGCTCCAGCTTTGCAGCTGCCACTTCTCCACCTGCCGATACACAGGCTTATCTTCTTCGTCTTCTAAATCAGCCAAAGCCACCTCAAACTGGTGATGAATCACCGCATTTGAATACTGAGAAGGTATTGACGCCACCAAGTAAAGCTAGTTCTTTGGATGAGGTTGGTGATTTGGCACAAAATTTAGAGGATACCAAGATTGATATGGATATGAGTATGATGGGTTCTGCAGCCTTTGAGGGCAAGATCGAAAGGTCCCTTGGCAAGGAAAATACACGAGATGTTACTCCTCAGCCGAGAAACAATCAAGGCTTGTTTACATATGTCAATCCTTTCGAGGAATTGGCAGCATCTTCTCCACGCAATCGTACGCCAAAGGCAACCACAGCTCGTCCGTCAAATGCAAATGCCTCTGCACCTGCACCTGCGTTCCAGATCTTGAAACGACGAGATTCGACTGATAACAAGCGCAAGATGGATGAGAGAAGCAACGTCGATAGCCCTGCTCAGGCATTTTCTAAGCGTAAGCTTGGATCTCCTGCTGTATCTTCTGGACCTCCCACACCACTTCCTGATGGACGTACTCAACTAGAGGCTTTAATTGGCATCGGTGCTCCAAGTCCAGCCGCCAATGGCAAAGGCAAGGAGACTGTTAGTCATGCACTTGAAGAAGTTGGTGAGACTGTTGATCAAGAGGTTGAAGAAGCTTTAGCTCGTGCTGAGCAAGATGCAACTAATGCCGAAATTGAGAAGGACTTACGCGACATGCTCGCTGCCAAAACAGAATCACAGTTCGAGGATCGTGCACAGGTCGCCGCTACGGCTATCAAGAAGGTGCTTGACAAGGACGAAACCGCCCTAGATGATTTGCCCACTCTAGTTGCTGATGAAGTCAGAGAAATTATTGATGAAGCTGCACAGGGTCACCACATTGCCGATAGCTGGGAAAGTGCAGATGCTGAGGATGCTCCGCCCACGAACGACGAAACCGTCATTAAGGTGTTCAATTTCCCTATGAAACCATGGACTTCTATCACTATCAAAAATAGCGAAGAAGGTCGTCCTATTTTCCGTGACGAAGTCATCGTAGATATTGCTCGTCTCAAGAAAGAATTCGACCAAATCGATCGTACTCTAGTCACTGCATCTTCAAACTTTATCGTTTATGGCATGTCAAAGAATGGAGGCATTCGTATCATCAGACAGACTGACGGCAAGGATTCTCGCCTTTTCACCGAGACACATGATCGTATCTTTAATGTGTCGACATCTAGTGCTCTGGCGGATCTCAAAGATACCATCATTGGAACAGGTATTAGTGGCACTGTATACTGGGCTGTTGTCAAGGACGGAGAAGGAGATTTCATTGAGGAAAACCATCCTGAAATGCATGGTTTTGCTCTTCCTCCAATTCAAACTCCAGACAATGAGTCAGCAGGCGGTGTTCTTAAGACCAGAGCTAGAAAGAGCTCCAATCACCCCGAATTCTTTGCTGTAGGACGCGGAAAATCTATCCAAATCATCTATCCATCTGTTATCATGAGGAACTCTTTCCTGAAAAATGGAAAAGAGCGCATTGTTGATACAGATCGCTACCTCGCCCACAGATCTCTCAAGGTCAACACCGGCAAGGCAGGCAAAGACTTCACATTCAGTGAGGACGATACAACTATCGTTTCACTTGACAAGGCTGGACGAGTCAAATTCTGGGATGTTCGTCCTCTTACACAGATTCCGGAGGATGAGCTTCATCAAAAGGCACCTCCCGTTGAGATCAAAGAGCCACTTACTACTCTTATCACAACTCCTGCAACTGAAAAATCATGGCCTACTTCGGTCTTGTTTGTTGATAAACTTCGCCCTTATCAAAAAGGTGGTCCACTGCGATACATGATTGTTGGTATGAAGCAAAACCATACTTTACAATTGTGGGATCTTGCTTTGGGAAAACCTGTTCAGGAAATTCACTTGCCTCATAGCAAAGAATCGGACGCTGTTTGTAGTGTACTATATCACCCTGCAACTGGGGTTATTGTGGTCGGACACCCTACACGAAATTCGATCTATTTCCTCCACCTCTCTGCACCCAAATACAACCTTCCACGCACTGTCACCCAAGCAGAATATGTCGAGAGACTTGCCAACAACGACTCCAGTGTTTCCAAACCAGAATCTACTGCTGTTGTTAGTGGCATGAGAGAATATTCATTCGCTAGCAAGGGCAATCTTCGAAGCTTGGACATTTTGCAAAATCCTGCTGCCCCATCTACTCGTGGAGAACCAATCACTCTGTTTGAGTTATATGCTATGCATTCGAAGGGTGTTACTTGCCTTAACATCAAGCAAGCTGATCTAGGCTGGGACGCCAATAATAAGTGCATCTCTGCAGTAGTGGCTGATAGAGTTGGTGCTGTCACTATTGATACGTTGAAGGAAATCAGCACTGCACCACCTGCGACGCCGTCGGAATCAGGTGAACCAGCACCTGAGCCTTCGCTTGCACCGGCTCCTACTCCTACACGCATTATCCAACGCCCAGCTGCCAAGGAGAATACCCCCAAGGAGACGAAGAAGACTGCGCAGCCAGAGACGTTTTCAATGCCCAAAGCTGAAGAGAAGGCTGAGAAGAAGGAAGTTCCGGCCGCACTTTCCAATGGTGGTTTAGCCGGCGCTAGTGGAACTGAAAATAAGGCTGAGAAAAAGAAGCGACGAAAGGCCAACTCATCTTCCGAATTTGCAGTAAATTCTTCTCAACCTAAAAACGTCGCAACGGAAAACATTTCAGCACCAAGGAACGGCAGTGCTTCTCGCGCCAATATGAATACCATTCCAGATGTCGGTAGCTCTTCAAGCTTTTCAACAACTGGCTTGACGGAAGAAGTTCTTAAGGATCTTGAAGGTCGAGTTTCTGGGGAAGTCAAAAAATTGCTCAACGATTCTTTCAACAATTTGGATCAAAGAATTAAGGATGACAGACGTACTCAAAATGCTGTCAATGATGCGAAACAAGATGCTGTCCTTCGTCTCGTATCTAGCACTCTTACTGGTAACTTGGAAGAGTCATTGAAACGTATCGTCAATGGGGCTTTAGAAAACTCTATTGTTCCCGCCATCGAAAATATCACCTTCAAGACCATCGATCAACGAGTTTCTCCAGCGCTTGCCCATCACTTAAACCAAAGCTTACCAAAAGAACTGGGAAAGATTCTTCCAGATGCCGTCAACAAGGTTATGCAGCAACCTCAGCTTTTGAAGTTGATGTCAGAAACCTTGGCAAAGAGTGTTTCATTCCCCTTTGAAGAACAATTCGCTACTCTTTTGAACAACAGCATCACTCCTGCTTTTACTCAGTTGGCTGTCAATGCCTCTCAACGAGTCGCAGCTGATGTTCATCGCCAAGCTCAAGAACAGATCGGTAACATTGAACGTCAACGCCATGCCGACAGCCTTAAGATCGAACAATTGACACAACTTGTCACTGGATTGACGGAGACTATTTCATCCATGGCCGCTGCCCAATCGGAGTTTCAAGCTCAATTCTTGCGTGTCCAGCAGAGAGATAGACAAGCATCGTCTTCTCACCGTGCCAGCCCTGGTTTAGGTCATAACTCCAGCAGACCATCTGTCTCTTCTGGACTTGCAGCTCCTGTTGTTGAGGAGAAGTCGCCACAAGAAGTAGAGTATGAGGAGATGTTCAAGCATATTCAAGGCCCTATGCAAGAGGGTAGATACGAAGATGCTGTTGTCCGTTGGTTGCAAACTGGTAGAGAGCAAGAGTTCTTTGCAAGATACTTCTGCAGGTTCTCTCCAAAGTTCATCACTGAACTTAGCCCACTTTTGCTCCTCAGCCTTGGTGCTATCATCACCATTGAGTTAACTGATGATCTTATGAATCAACGTCTTGCCTGGACTGAAACCATCTTGAACTCCTTCCAGATCAAGATGGTCAGTGGATATCTTGTAAGTTTCGTGTACTTCGATTATATTTATTGTATACTAATATTATTTGCAGGAGGATCAGGTCGCAGATCTCGTTCCTAAGATTATGAATATCTATATTCAACGCCTCGAGCATCTCTTCATGCGTATCACCAATGTCGCTCCTTCCGATCCTCTCCTCAAGCAACTTTCTAACATGGTTGCGACTGCCAATCGCATTCTTGAGCTCTATCGTGAGCGACCAACTCCTCGCCATATGGCCGGCTTTTCTCAATGAGCGCGTTCGCGGTATCACGAATAATAATATTATACACACTCCGGATATCTTTTAGTTTGGCCACTTGCAAAGATCTCACTTCAGTGGCTACACCGACTTTCCTCCTTAAGCAATTTCTAGTTTTCTAGTATGCTTATTACTATGCCAAATATCGAACACTATACAGCCTTTTCGTCATTGAGCATTGGCTCTTGAGATACTGGAATGTTCTCAGCCTTGCTATCAATTTCTCAATCTGCGAATCCTCCGGCTTATGTTCAAAGACCATTTTTCGAAACATTCCCCTTTTTACTTTCTTTAAATTATTTTGTCAAAATTAGCGGAAAAAAATTGCGCTTCTGCATATGTCTTTTACTACCTACATTTTCTGGCGCATGAGCGACATACAAAAACACTATCCGGTTTTAAAAATATCATCCTTTCGTCGGTGGGGAGCTATGGGTTGGCTTTGGTCGCTGGATATGATTCTCTAATGGCTTTTCTGATTTTAAAATATGATACCATTTGGAGATCTAACCGGACTCTTCTGTCCTTCATGAATAATATCGAATGTGAATGTGCATGGGGGAGGAAGATCGACGATAGTTATGGAATGGATGGATAAATTTTCATGCAACCCTGGCTTACCTAGGCCTGATTTGGCTTGGTCTTTGATTAATTTGAAGATATTGCGAGATATACCCTTAACGGCCTTGAATGGAATGATTGTGGTGGAGCATTCATTTGTGTGTACTCTAGACTCGGAGAGCTTCTTTGAAGGCTTCGACAAAAGACATGATCATTAGGCTAGCGAATAGTATTCATTTGCATTTATTTATTTGTGAACTTGGGTTTTGATGTGTATGAATGGTGTCGTCTTACGTAAATTGTTCAGCATTGATAACTGTAGCAACCGATTCTAATGGGTGATGTGGAGATAGGTATGTACAGTACAGAATGGTGGAGAGGATGCTAAGTGAACAAGGTGAGTGACATACGTAGATGTACTGCATTGCAGTATTAAAACCATTCCAAGGCAGTTTAATCCTGGGCAATTAAAGTATTCAATCTACTCGATACCACCACCTGAGTAGTAAAGACTGAAGAGATAGATAGGATATATTATACTAGCTCCAAGTTCATTACAGGACTACGTATCTAATCAATAAGTGTGAAGTGTGAAGTGTGAAGTGTGCTTTCTCTCTGTGCTCTGGTTTAATAGTTTGGTATCTCTTGGTTTTTGTTGGGTTTGGTTTGGTTTTGTGTTGTGTGTATGTGTGTATGTATGTATGTATGTATGTATGTATGTATGTATGTATGTATGTATGTATGTATGTATGTATGTATGTATGTATAACTAGTCGAGTTAGTCTAGATAAATTGATAGGCGTCGAGCTACTGGTTAGTGATTAGTGGTTTGAAGTATTTATGATATTGGTTTATGTGGCCTATATGGGTTATAGTAGGGTTCCATCGAGACAGCTGCTTGCCAAGCAGTTGGTGAAGTATATAGGGACGGATTCCTTGTGGTACTGTGGATTTTGGACGCTGCTTCATGTATGTATGAGGGGGACTTGATAAGGAAGGGATTGTATTATGAGAGGTTAGTGGGTAATTTACAGGGTTGGTTAAATATGAGTTGTGTAATATAGAGGGAAGTTCTACTCCAGTAGATTTTGGCGAGATTGAGGGATGCAGAGAATTATGCTTGCTAGGCAGTATATCATTATTCAATGTATGTTATAATGAATAACATAAATATCGATTAGTGTTTAACCATCAGCTTGATGTTTTCTGCTCGACATTTAAGGAAAGAGGGGATAGGGATTATGGCACTAGTTGAATAGGCAGTATCGAGACTCTGAACCTGGTAAATCGCAGGAGATATTTTGATATCTGTTTATTCATGGTATGTCTCCTGATGCAAATTCATAGGGCTTCGACGCGGGTTATTGGAAATCCTGTCATGATTATCTCTTTGCCTCTCATGTAGGTGCAGTGTTGGGCTTTGTGTATATCACTTCGCGAAGAACAAGGCTTGCTGTATGTGGCTTCAACTTCTCTTTCCAGAAGGAAATGGGTGTGTATAAAATAACTTTTCCCTGAAAGTGGGTACCATGCATACGGTGCCATCTCTTTAGAGAAATGCTTATTCTGCAAAGATAATGTTCGGAGATGGAATATAGACTAGATAAACTTCTAAGTTAAACTGAGTAGATGTGGGTAAAAGTTGCTAAACTCTCTTCGTTTATACACGAAGTTTGGCACAGTTATATTTGACTGAGGGTCATGTTAAGTTTCATCATTTGGCTTGGCTGTCTCCAGCATAGGAATGACATCATGCTCCTGTATAGTTTAGTCTATACCGTTAGCTCATCCGACGTTTTGATCGATCATCACAATTAGTTGAGTTGACTACCCCACTGGTAGAAACGGTTCTTGTAGCCGCTATGGTGGATCATATCGAGGATACTATAACTTATAGGGTATGCCCTTGAAATTTGAAGAGGAGTTCTGTCATCGACAGACTTTCTCTCGATGCATCAACTACTCCATCTAGCCACACATACCTACCACCTCTCCACTGTTGATATCTACCTCCTCACTAAGCGAACCAAACATGTGTATCATCTCGTAGCTGAAAAAGCTTTGGTTACATCGCTCGCAGCCTAAGGATCAGTCAGATTATGACGGAGTCTTCGATCCGATGGCCGCGACCGATCTAATTCATTTATTTTCATCTATTTCGGAGAAATCAATCCGTGATAAATAAAAGGATGTCATATCATTGAACGCCGCTAGTCTTGGCATCATGTACAGGAGATTGAAAAGGGATTGACTTGGTGAAGTATCTCAAGTCTTCTTTTTCCAGGACGGGAAGTAAGTGTGGAGAAGGAAGTCTTAATACTGATTATATTATGATTGATAGATAGCATGATCGCGATTGCGCAAAAGGAGAGGGGAAAGTTTTTCGCATAAGTTTGGAGAAGGCGATATATACACTTTTTAATAAGTTTCTACTCCAACTGTTGCTCTATCCAAAGAATTTACCTTTAGACAGCCGGCCCCCACCTGCAATCCAACCCAATCTTACACTAATCAACTAAGCACATCAAGCCTCCAAATCTGACCCAATAGCCCCATCTAGACCAGAAGTCGATAATCCACCCCAACATACCCCACAACCCCACAGCCTACGCCATCTGGTCCTAAAGCGGATTCCGGACCTCCAATTTTTAAGATTACAAGACAATGTAAAAGCCATTTCCCTCCCGCGCTTCTCTCCACCTTTACTCCTCAAACTTCACGCCTCACGCCTTCTACTACCACCCTGCTTCCTGCATTTCCACAAAAACCCCACTTCGTGATTGAAAAGGATGAAGAGAGGCAAAGAGATGTCTTTGTTGCATATCGTATTTATGTGGGCCGTGACACTTGGGCTGATGATGGCTTGTCTAGGGGATGATTTGAGGAGCGGGTTGGGTGGTAAGGCTAGATTAAGGAGTTTGCTTCTTAATTTGGTATTCAAAGTGGATGGAGATGGAGATCTTTCTTCTTATCTCATTTGAATGATTTAATGTTGCACGTCTGAATGAAGACCCACTTCAATAGTACTTGACTATGTGGAGAGGAGGTAAGCTGCTGAGCGAAGACTATGTGGGTATCGACGGAAGATATTCTGCTTGGAGGGAGCGGAAAAACCTGTCCGTTTTTGAGTCTACACTTGCGTCCGTCACTCACTTGCTCATCGTGGCAAGAAAGGGTGGAATTCTTCCTGTGAGTAGAGTTAGATTTGTGATAAGTATATAAATCTTCGAGTGATGGAGGTTTGAATAAGGTAAGGTTAAGGCTGATGCGTGCCGTGGCTGCGTCTAAGCCACAGCTGGCCCTGTTTCGGATACATACTGTTTCCGCTACAGAGAGAACATTATTGATAGCCACCAATTAGAAGCTCTACTTTGATCACAAAGATACAACCAATCAATTATCGCAAACTGTCGGAAAAAACTGCACGAGTCCCAATTATCTTACTCGATCCACTGATGGCTATGTTCGCGTTCTATCTACCGGTCGTGGAAAGTCCGAATCTTGACCATCCTACTCTGACTGCGTTACTTCTACACTCATGTTACTCCTTTTAATTTCTTCGTAGGATGCGTTCAAATCGTCGGGGAGAGGCATGCCTTTCCCAAAGTCACATCATAACTTCCCGATGAAGTTTCTGTACTCAACTTACTCCTTCGAGTCGTTTGAGGTAACTGGTGAATCTACCGTTGCATTTGGTTTTAGCCGAGTTGTTGATTAGCCTATTCGATGAGATTCTTCATAGAATTCATTTCCGGGTATCCCCGAGTCGAGTGAATTCAAGGAATGATTCCAGCAATGCCAAACAAGTTACACAGAAGAGAAGGAAAGGCGATAGTTGAAGTCCATGCGTTGAGAATGAGATCTTGCAAGTGCTCGGCTCCATGGAGAAGGATAAGTTAGCAATGGTTTTGCATGAGCTGTGTTATTTCGGGCAAAGAGACTTACATGATTCGAGTTCAGAAGCGCAGAGTATAGCGAACTTATATGCTCGACCGACACGTGAGTTCCATAGAATCTTGAATGGAGTAATCGTCAATACAACGTTCAAAAGTATTTCAAAAGTCAGAATCACCATTTAAGATCCGTACTGTAAAGGTGATACCTGGCTAGTAGGAATGTCATAAGATAGAATGGAACACCTACTTGGTCGAAGCCTTTGTTACCATTGAGCATTCAGAAAGCTATTTTTCGGCTCGAAATTAATGAGCGGTTCTGGAAGTACTGTGTCTCAGCTTAGGATAGTCGATGTTTTCCTCAGGGGCCTTCTCACCACTTCCATGTGTGGAAAAGGTAGTAGAATTCACAATGCGATCCATATTACTAAAGAGATTTCTCGAAAATACCCTGAATACTACTCCCATCACTGATGGCAAAACTCCCTCTCCTTGGATAAATTTTTAAGAATTTTAGGTATCTGCACAAATGCGAGCATGTTGCGTACGCATACGTGCTCAATAAATCAACGCGTGATCTGAAATACGGAATAGCTTTCATACCACTTTACAATTTTGCCTATAAAACCTTCCCCTTTCAACAATATTTGCATGTGGCAAGGCGAACTGGAGGAGGTGCCATCATAATGCATCATCTTCCCAACCCTAAAAGTTGTCTAACCGACGGAAACTTGAGAGTGGGGGTGAGTATAACGTTAAGGGAAACTCGGGAGACAGGATTTGTCCTACCCGAACGTCTTACCCGACAGTTATCATGAAGGAATATCCTCCCGAGTGATTGCTATGCCTCATGGCTGCATCTCAGCATGAATCTGCACCGCACTCTTTGCGAAATACAACCTCTGTGATTCTGCTTGCTAGTTTCTTTGTTTTGGTTTTGTACTTTCTATTTAAACATACGAGGATCGATTTTACTGAATCCATTGCGCCTGGTATCACATATCGGTCTCTTCTCTCCAGACACAGTTTCTCAAGTCAGGTTTGGGTGTAAGTTAAATCGAGACTTGACGAGAAGTGACTTCTAAGGAGGAATTTGGCCCGCTAATTGATTGTCTCTAGGATGCGTACTACGATCCGTACAATCCTTTCATGAATATCATATTTCCAGTCTTTGGCAACACCGAAGAGAGTTATCAATCCGGTGTTGCCCGAATCCAAAAATCGTCTGTGGAAAGCACAACTCGAAGAGTCTTCTTTAGCCATTGGGTCTATGTGGCAGATGGTAACGGAAAGGTCCCCAGCAATGCGCATTGGGAGTTTCATAAATAGTCGCTTTTAGTCAATGGAGCTCCCATTTTGTAGGCTGTTGGCATCGGAAAGGTGGAGGAAGAGAATTTGCGAGTAGGACTGTGAACGAAATTTACAATCTGACAGCAAAACATTTGGTAAGACCATATACTTGTAAGTCACTCAAGAAGAGACATCATCTCACCGTCGTCAGCTCATGAGATTATAGAGGTTGACATGACTTTTACCTACCGAAAGGAGAGGCGCAAGGGTCACGGTGGCATGCTTATGAAGTGTGGAATGGGCAAGGCAGCCGAAGTGGGCGTAGGATTTAAAGTTGAATCGAGCAATCAAGGTTATGGACTTTACAAGAAATTTGGACTCGGATCGATACAGAAGATCGCGGTTGATACTGCGGTTGATAACCCTAGCAACACTTGGAAGAGACTTTAATCTGATTTTGGCGATACTCTGATTTGGTGGGTGAGAGAGCACTTGAAGAAATGTACAAAGAGGGCAAAACTGTACTTCCATGGGAGGCAAGAGTCGACTTTCATGGTCTTTCTTTTGCTATCCACAGTGAGGTTAGGGAAAATGATAGCATGTGCCAAATCTGGAACTAATGAATCTATGCGTCTGCTGCAAATATCTTGATGAGTTTGACAATTACAGTAGCTTACTCTGCTGTAAACGATGTCCTTCTTGAATTAGAATATCAAGTAATAACTCCCCATTAAAACCTGCCGCACAGGATCAGAAATTTAGCATCAAGGATTGTCACAATAGTATTTACTCATCTTCGTCTTCCTCTCACTCTCGCTGCCACTCTTGCTCTTGCTGTTTGCTATGACGCATAGATGTTTTGTCTAGTCTACTTCTGTGAATCAACATGTACAGTAAGATTACTCTATTTTCCTCTTCATCAACCATGGCATTCCTACGCGCATCCTTCTACGGGCCGCAATTTTCGGGGCCATAACATGAATCTGGCAGCTAACTTCATATTGCCAAAGCTGGATGGACTTATCTTTGTAATTCACATTGCTGGGTTTTTTGGTATTCTAATACCTCTTCTGTACCTAGGTTTTAAAGATTGCTCCAAAGATGTTTTCACAAATTTTGTGAATGGATAGCGGGCAATCAAAGGATTGCCATTACTTGCTGGGAATTCTGTCGCCTTCTCAGCTAGCGATGAAAGTGTTCATGTAGGTTTTATAGCACGAATACGCTGTTCCATTCCCGTCTATGATTTTAGTTGTTACGAAAAAAAGTGCTCGAAGATATCAGAGGAGTTTAAAAATGCTCTTACACACGTTTCTGAAGCTATTATCTTTAGTATCATGATCAATGGGCTCCTGGGATTTGGTATGCTCCTTGCTGGTCTCTACTACGCCGTGATTTGACGGTTGCATCCACAGGTCCTACTGATTTTCACTTCATTGAAATCCTCACTTCAGCAACAGGCTCTAGGGGAGGTAGTAGTGCGACAATTTCGGTCATAGTTATCACTGCATCCGTCGCTACCACCAGAATTTTGACTACTACTTCTGGACAGCTATGGGCGTTTGCAAGGGATCGAGAGTTCTGGATGGCGACCACCCATTGAGGTACGTCACGGCTCGCGGCTGCCGCTCTTCAGTCGGTATGTCAAACTTATTTCACGTGAACGATATATAATCTCAATTTGGGCAATCGTCCTTGTATTCGTAGAACCATGTCTCCTATTCCTCGTCAACATCAGAAGTGACACGATTTTCAATGACTTCCTCTCTCTTTTCTTAGCCGGCTTCTTTACACCGTACGAAATACCAGCTATTCTTCTCCTCTGCCATCGCTGCAAGGATTCCATTCGACTTTGATATGCCTCCCGAGAAACTTTCATGTGGTTCTTGGAGGTTGTCAGGTGCTTGGGTGTTCGCAAACAATATCTTTGCTCGCATACACCTCGCACAACTATTCGGGTCAGAAGGAAACATTCGTTCCTTGGTGTCGTCGTTGATGTATTTCCTTCACGAAAAAGTTAAGATCATAACCTCATGGTGACACAAAATCCTTCATATCAACTCCCTGTCAGCATCAACCAATCAATATACTAAACCCAAAGCTATGAGATACAACCTTGTTTATCATACTTCACCGCCCGTCCAACCACCATAAACCACGAATTTATCATTTCATTTCTCACTCCTCTTTTTCTTCACATTCTCCTCTCACAAGCTTCACATCTGGGTCCTCTTTCATCCAGACCCATTATATACTTATTATCCGAGATACATACATACGCATAACATATCTGCATACATATATCTCTTTAGGGCTATCTATTCTCAATTAATCAAATCACGAATAATCAATTGAAGATCCCCAAAAATGGAGCGATATCCCACTCCTCCATCCACCAGCTCCCCAAAGCATAATAATCACGGATATCACAATGGCCATAACACAGGCGAACGAAACGCAGCTTCACGCGATACATATGGAAAAGCGCCTACTGCAGAATCATACATTTCACATAATAACGATCAAGCGCACGATAAAAAATCAGGCATCTATTCCTCTTTTACAGATGCATCGACTATAGTTCCAGCCTCCACCGAGGCCTGGGCATCCGGTCATCCAGCTCCTAGCTATAGTAAACCGAGCGAAGTCCACGATTTTTACGGAATCACTTCTCAAGATCCTTCCTACAATGCTCCGAATCAATTTGCGGGTCCTCCATCTACCGACTACTTCAAAACTGCGCCGCAGGATTCTCGCGCGAAAAGTCATAGCTATAGCTATAATGAAAATAGTCAAAGGACTACTCATCGACCAGCCCAAGAAACGTATTGGCAAACAAGCTCCAATCCCGTCTCTCCCTCCCAAAGCCGGCCAATGCAAATCGTAGATCCGCATCCATATTCCGAAGACTTCGATCCCGCTCAACCGACCCACCCTGGTCCTCCACCGCGGCGCTCTAGCTCCCCAATCCCAAACACTTTCCCCTCCACAGGCAGCACAAACCCCTACTCCCACCCACCACAACAACCTCCCCGTCCCCAACCAATTCGTCGCCGTTCCTCGCCCATCCCAGGACGCATCACATCACCCTTCAAAAAACCCCTCTCACCCTTCTCATTTTCCCGTCCTAAACCCCGTCCCGGCTTCATCAAACGCATAACCCAGCGCATAAAATCCTGGATCCAATCTCTCTTCTCCTGGAGCCGTGCTAATCCCATAAAAGCGGGTCTCCTATCTTTCATCCCCGTTCTTCTCGGAGCAGGAATTGTCAAAACCGTGAAAGGAATAAAACATTTCCTAGGTCGTGGAGCTGATAAAGTGAAGGAAAAGAAACATAAACTTGGGAAAGGGATACAGGGTGCGAGGAAGGCGCAGAGGAGATGGATTGAGGATGTTCTTGGAGATTTTAAGGGATTTGCTGGAGCTAAGGGGGGTCCGCTTAATGGCATCTTGAGGATTGTACATATGCTGTTGTGAGTTTTTTTTTTTCTTCTTTTTTCTATCGTTACACTCCCCCCTCCTTCCCCCCCTTTTGATTGTCATCCCAGCACCATAATAACTCTCCCCGTCCAACTCCTGGACATAAATCTCAAGCATCACCCCTCTTCCTCCCTAAACACCAATCCAATCCAATCATTAGAATAGCCTATCATACAACCTATAAACCCTCATCATCCCCCCACAAACATAAAATACATATCTTCTCAAACCCCAACATCTAGTCTAACTTCCCAACGCACAGAAACCACTACTGCAGACTCTCACCATCCAACTACCCTCGCGCGGCATCTATCCTTCTCGAGCTCTATTTTCTCGATTTGAAAACACTGTCATGATGTCTTCTTCATCCTTCTTCATCTTTTCTTTCTCTTAACTTCTAACTTCTTCCTTCATTTCCCTGCGTTGTTTACAATTCCATTTTTGAATTTCCATACCAAAATGTTACATCTGGTCCATCAACCTCTCATATCATATGTTTTCCCCCTTCTCATCATACCACCCTCATCATATCATACCAATTACGAAAACCCGACCAACGCATAACGCATAACGAAGAAACATGACACACGAAGGAATAAGACGGTAATCTAGTCTAGGTATCTGGGTACACAACTCCAAACGAATTAATGAATCAAATGGCCACTATTAAATAAATAAATATATCATATCGCCGAAAAAACACCTCTATCCATGCGTGTACCATGCCATGCTATACTATGCTATAATGTGACGTGACATATTGTGCTAAAACAAAATACTGTGCTCGAAACTCCATTCCATTCCATGCGTATGCTTTGCTCCCCAGTATATCCAGTAAAATCCAATCCCATAAAATCCTTGAATGATAATCGAAAACGCCCGCTAGATGTACTGATAAAAGTTAAGGGGAAGGTAAAAGTATAAGTAGAGTAAAACAGAATTCGTTGAAGGTATCAATATCGGATAGTATAAATTAGTTAAGGAGGGAGAGAATTGGATACCCCGTTTTGTGGTGGAATTGAGGGATTTGGAGTTGGAGTTGGAGGGTTGGCTTTTGAAGGATGGGTTTTAGTGGTTTCTGGTTTTGAGATTGAGGTGTTCGGGTTCGGAGTCGTGGTTGCAGATGTTGATGTTGCTGTAGTCGAAGTCGATGTACTAGCGTTGTGTGTTTGTGTGTCCTTATCTTTCTTTTGGGTATTATTTCTTTGAGTTTGCATACCCATACCCATACCCTTACCCTTACTCGCTCTGTCCTCACTCCCCCTATCCACACCTTTATCCACACACAGGATCCTCAAATCCTCATTCAAAGTACCAGAGTCCATCTCCTCCCTACTTCCCCTTTCACTCCCACCCCCAGGATACCTAATAACCAATCTCTCAATCTGACCCAGCATATCCTGAATGCGATAAGGTTTCGTCGTAACATCATCCATTCCCGCATCTATCGTGCTCATTATTTGATCTATTCGTTGATAGAATATATGATTAGCTCCCAGTTCCAAGGTCCAAAAATACGTCAAAGTAAAAAGGACAAAACAAAATCACACACACACCTTTCCTCGCATTAGCCGTCACAGCAATAATTGGCACATGACCTCTTATTGACCCCCTACGTTCCCATGCTCGAATCTGTTTTACGCATGTAATACCATCCATAATTGGCATTTCTAAATCCATTAATATGAGGTTTAATTGTTGTTTCTGAATCAAACATAAGTGTGTTAGTAATCTCTCAGTCGATTTCTTCCTGTTACCAATGCTCGATCTTCATGATTCTTATCCCTTGCGGATAGCCCAAAGAGAAAGAAAACAGAGAACTAAGAAGGAATTACATACCGATAACTCCCTGCTATCACCATCCCCAGTCCAGAATCTCGTCTTCTTGAGGAATTCCAAGGCTTCCCCGCCGTGATTCGCAACACTAACACCAAATCCCTCTTTCCTCAAACTCTTAACCAACACTTTTTGATTCAGTAGATTATCCTCTACAACCAATACTTGTAACTGATTCTCCTCTTCTTCTCGCTGCCCTCCCTCTCCTTGTTCCTGTCCTGCACCTGCACCTGCACCTGCACCCCTTCCCTTCTCAACCCCATTCATAAAACCCGGGCTGGACAACCCAAAGCTCATCTTCTTGGCCGGTAATGGCCTCATCGGTATCTTCATATCATTCTTTTCCACCTTCGCTCCAGAACTATGGTCATGCATAAGATTATCATGACTTAATCCAGAAATTTCAAATCCACATGCCTCCCTCAGCGCATCTTCCCTCAACGCCATTTGTAAATCCTTCTTAATACCATCTTCCGCAGCCTCCAAATCAAGCGGAGCCGGTGTCCTCCTCGTCTTAACATAAAATTGAAAAGTGCTCCCTTTCCCTTTTTCGCTATGAACCCCAATCTCCCCGCCTTGCATCTCAGTAAGTTGTCTCGAGATAAAAAGACCTAATCCGCTTCCGCCATATTGAACGTGAGTCTTTGGAGACGCTTGCATAAAGAGATGAAAAAGATTTGCTTTTTCCTTTTCTGAGAGACCCCGACCGGAATCCGTAACGGTGATGGAAATGTAAAGGATTTCGCCATTTCCCCATTCGCCTTTCACGGTTTGATCGGAGCTTTCGCGTCGTTTAGGTACATATTCGACAATGGATTTTTGGGAAGAAGGTTTTTCGAGAGAGGCAGCCATGGTGACGGTTATCTGACGGACTGGTTCTGTGCGGGTGAATTTTATGGCGTTGGTCATAAGGTTTAGGAGGACTTGAAGGACTCTGCTTGGATCTAATAAGGTCCAATGTACCTTCAAATCTTTAATAGAATTATCTTGGATGAAATTTAATTTCGTGTCAGCTTGTTTGAGTTCGGATTCGAACATCTTGAGAGCACTTCGAATGATATGCACTGGCTGAGAAGCTTCGGGGGATACAACGAGAAGATTGCTGTCTAACCTCGAAAGAGTCAAGATGTCGTCAATAATGCGCTTTTGATGCATGGCGCAGTAAATAATCGTATCTGTAGCTTCGATGGCATCATCTATTAGATACGCCGGTAACTCGGTGGACAACAATTCGGGGATTCTCCCAGCTCGACTGAAACTTTTCATCGCGTTTTTGTATTCGTGCAACGAGGAGAGAATTTCATCAGCGCAGCCAATTAATGCAGACAGCGGATTACGCATTTCATGGGAGGTCATATCAATAAACCTTTCTTGCTGCTTCTTCATCTCCAAGGCTTGTTCCATTCTAGCTCGTAATTGATTTTCCGTCCATTTCAATTCCGAGATGTCTGTGATGCAACTCATAATTGTAGAAACATTACCTTCCTCGTCAAGGTCCGGAAACCAAGCAAGCATTAGATGAGTTTCTGACCATTGTTCTTCGCCATCTGCATTCAGTTCCGGAGCTTTCCATGGTTTATCAACTCGCGTTTGAAAAGTGCCAGGCTTCTTCTCCTGAGCAACCTGCGACCAGGCTTTCTTCACACGTTCGTATTCGCCAGGCATCAACACTTCTTCCCAATTTACTTGCGAGCTCCCAATCTCGAGTTTCGTTTGCGATTTCCATAGGTCATTTGCTGTCAGGGCAACTCCATCAACAGTTAATATTGCGAGCCCAACAGGGGTCCTTGTTGCAAATCGTGAAAAATTCGTTTCACTCTCGTTAAGTTGCTGTGACAAAATTTCCCGATCTAACGCCTCCTGTTTAGCAAGTGCTAAACGTCTTTCGACTTCCTGTCGGAGTATAATAGCAGATACTTGAGGAGTCGTAACCTGCTGTGACAACATCTGTATCCACTCTTGATAATCTTTATCATAGGGTGCTCGAGGATTCAATCCAATAACAAGAAAAGCAAGCACACTTTGTTTCTCAGAATCCATTATTGGACAAACAACTATGTGGGTTGGTTCGCCAAATCCTCGGAACTTTATCCCACTAAACTTTGCCTTTATCACGGAGTCCACAGGTACCAAGATAGTTTTCATTTCATTCCTAGCTTGGTTGAATGGTTTTGTTAGGCAATTTTGATCATATGCTGCATCAAAGCTTGAAGGTGCAATGGGATGACCCTCGGGTATGCCAACAGAACCTTCAAGAACGCAATGCATGGATGGTGAAGGAACTGCTGATGGAAGTATATTTGATGCTTCAGATGATTCGGAAACTGAATACAAGAAGCAAAAAGGCGCGTCCTTCTCGGCGAACTCAATGCCTTGGATCAAATGATTCCAAAGATCACCAATGGTTTTAGCATTTGATAGTCGCTCGCCGAGGGCACGAATAACGGCCATTCGTCTATCAGCAAGAACTTGGCGTGTGGTCTCATCGACTGTTGCATGTATAGCAATGGCATATCCTTCGTCACCAACGACCGGTAGGTATGTATAAGTAAAATAAGTTTCCTCTTCAAAGCCGCGTCGATCAAGGAAAAAAAGGGCATCTTGTTGAATAAGTCCTTGGCCTGTTTCTTTGATTCCTTCAATGAATGGGTCGAGGGAATCCCAAATCTCAGCAAATGCAACACTTGGATCCTGACCTTGTAATGCAGGGTGTTTATGTCCAATAATCTGAGAATATGGTTGATTGTAAACGATAGCATTGTAATCTCCCCACATGACCACGGCCTTTCCACTTGGTCAGTCATGAGGTTCTTCATATCTTAAATGCATGAACAACAACAAAGCTATCCTGAAGCCAGAAATGAAATAGAAGATATAGAAGGCTCACCGGGTTTGGATCTGAAAAACACAAAAGTACCATAGAACGAAGCTGTCCTGACCATCCACTCATTGGTCCCAAAGGACTTTTCTCCCAATTAACATCGAGAGTGAACTGTTGAAATGGGGTCAATCCAACCTTACTTGGTTCTGATATCCAATCGACAACTTTCCGCCTTGGCTTCCTTGCATTTCCTGCACGTGTTTCCCCCAATTTGACTTGATGATCCATACTAAGCGTCGGAGAAACTTTCTCCAAGCCAAGAAGTACCACGTCACGGCTGATTATTTGGTTCCGGAAATGAGATTCGTGAAGTCTTATTAGATTGCATGAAAGTCCACAAGCAAGGACAGGAAACAAGGCCAACAAGCTGGTTAAAGCGGAACGTTCAACAACCTTCGATATAATAACTCAATATTCAAGTCTCTAACAGAGCTGATATGATTGCAATGGCAATAAAAATTGTCATGATTGCGAAAGGCGATGACAGCATACCGATCTCAAAATTTTCCATCAAGCTAAAGAATATTAACGAGGAAAGGGGCCCCAGGGTAAGACTTGTGTGGTGGCGGCTGTAAAAGTGTTCTAGAATCGCGCTAGTGTAAATCGGATTTAAGTAATCAATCCAATCAGAGTGTTCAGCCCGACTCGAACAAAATCCACATGCAGCAATAGCGTTCCAAGTATGTGTTTGGACTTTGATGATGATAAGGGCACTGACATTTATGCATATTTTCTGTTCTTGTATTTCGTATCTTGAGTCCTGTGTTGAAAGCTATCCAAACTTATTTCAATTTCTCAATCCACCATTCACAAAATTTCGATGCACAATACAGTTTTGAATCTCAAATCATGCTAAAAAAGCGCGCGTTGTTTCAATATTGGAGAAAGTAGAATAACACAGAAGCAAGTTGATTTGAATAACACAAGCATGGTACCAATCCGCCTGAGATTCTTACTCATGTTCATCAGTCGAGAGAACAATCGTCCCATCATTGTTGAATGGGTAATCCTTCGAATAATGTTCCTCGTGAGCTATGCCAAACCTCACATTTTCTCCCTGTATACACGAATCGCGAGATTGATACATCACATGGTGGAAACGATGTGTCGTATATGAGCTGATATCATGGCGTCGTCTTCTCTCAATAATAAAAGCTATAGCATCGTCTAAAGTTGCCGGAGCATTGCTATTGATGCCAAAACCAAGGCCCCGGGCATTCATGTATTCTGCTCTTTCCAATTTGGTAAAGGTTTGGTCGTAGAGGTAGACGAGATCCAAAGGATTATATCTAAGAAGATTTTTCACAAGGAATCGATACTGACCTCCATCTCCCCAAGCGATCTTCTCAACCGCTTTGGACGTAAAATTGTGCTGAGCTTGTATGGTCGAGTCTGAAGGATAAAGATCTAGTTCGATAAGCTTGACCACATGCTGTAGGAATTCATTAAGCTGCACGATCTCAATTGTGGTAAATGATTGTATCAGACGTAGGCGAGGATCAGAACTGATCTCGGGCGGAGGAGGAGCAGGGTTCCACCAACTAGCAGAGCGGCCGGATGGAGGATCGGGGTTGAATTTGGTATAAATATCATCATGAAATAGATTGCCATAGGTCCAATAATTGTAGACAGCCCTCCGTAAGCGCCTCTGCTCATGGGGCAGTAGAAACCTCCTGTTTTGGTAATCAAGGCGCCATCTAAATTGTGGAAAGATCTCGACCCATCTGGACGCAACTCTGCCAAGCGTAACCATCTTGCTCAATAGCTGGACCGAAAGGTAGGGCTCATTTGGGACTTGTAGAATACGATCCAGGGCAATATTTCGACGTTTTTCTGTGCCGATAACACTATTACCTTTGGTTGAATCATCGCTTATTACCAACTTCACCAAACTAGGTATTGGACCGTATTCATCATCCAAAGCTTGTCTCAGAAGGGGCAAACGTCGTCCACGCAGCGCATTGTAATTTCTTTTGGAAGTCTGGGATAGATGGAGGATATCAATCAGGTCAGAATATTCGTATATCCTCTGTAGTAACTCGGTTGAGAGCATCGCAATAGACATGATGATGGTAGGTTCTTGGTATGTTTCCTTTGGTTTGAATGATGAAAATATTCTGAGGCCCTTCGCAGATTATCAGTACTTGTGCAAAGAGTATAGTTCGGGCCAAGACATTACTCACCTCTCTTGTATGTGGGCAATCTCACTGCTCCAGTAGAGCCCTCTATCAACTGTTGTTGACTTTCAGTTACTTTTACCTCTCCGCCTCGTTCTCTATCGCCACAAAATCTGACAAATAAACAACTTTATCTGGATGTGATAGAGAGTGGTCTTCTTCTGAAAGGCGCGGACCGCAATGATGGATGTAGATAAACAACCACCAAACGGCAACAGATTTATAAGGACCTAGGTTCGGAACACCCCAACGTTGGGGCTATAGAAAGTGCAGGCAACATCTTTCGAGCTTCTGTTGTCTAAGAGTGACAGTCTGACGCGACTGGAAGGTGATTGATAAATCATGGTGAGAGTGGTTGCAGAGAAGAGGTATGTCATTGAGTCAGGACGTAACAATTGATGTCTATCATTCCGCTTAGTAATAGTATAAGGAAAAACATCCCCGAATTTCGTGAAACCCTCATCCATTCCCAACCTAAAATAATTAAATCCCTGATACTATGCATTCAAAGAATGTATTCCTATGGAGCGCATCGCTTTCAAATCAAGTAAAAAAAAGGAATATATACGACGATCCTTTGAACTAACTTGTGTTGGCCATAGTAGCTAGAAATCCCCTGAAGGGATGCAATGGCCAATAGCATTGCGTGTTTCGAAAAGTCTAGTCTTTCTACATGGCTGTACCTATCCATTTGACCAAACTTGATAACTACTGCGAGTTCTTCCTGACCTCTCAGTTGAACTGGCTCATATCCGCACATACGTCCCCGCCCTTCCAGACTCACAAACTGTATATCTCAGGCCCAACCCGATCACATCAATTGCATATCCCCCGTCGCCAATTTCTTAGCACCATCGACGTCGGTCACCGAAATCTCATCTTCCATCGTCATCACCTCATCATCCTTCGCTTTTTCCTCAAACTTCCCTAACATCCACGACTTTGCACTCGATTGATGCCTCTGTAACATTTTCACCAAACCCGTCTCCTCACTACGCACCACATTCCCAAAGCGCTGCTTCCTTACCTTTCTAATACTTTCCTCGTCATTCCAGCAGGCATGTTTATCAGCAACGTAAATTTCACTATTTGACTTGTACCAACTACTCAGAGTTGAATCCGTTTCGCTCTTGACCGGTCGAAGACTACCAGTTATAAAGGCTAGTACACCTGCGATACGAGGGCGGCAATCTCTGGTGGTGAGTAACTGTTTAATACCGAGGTAAGAATCGCCAACTCCCATAAGTATGATGTTATCCGAATCATAAAGTTGAATAAAATTGTCCCAGATATAGCCAACCAAATCTTGTATTTGACTTTCAAGTTCGAAGATACCCGAGCGAGGATGATAACCACCGGTGGCAGGGGGAAAGATTTCCGTATTCAGTGGGATGTTAATATCCATCACACCAATTTTATTTTCAATGGCCCAGCCGATATATTCAGTGACTGGGTCGACCTAAATTGGTTAGCTGAATAAGGCGTTCTTTGAGCATGAAAGGGAAAGGCTTACAAGATAGGAGTTATGCAACTCGACTTTAGCTGTAAGTGGATCGGGAGTAGCCAGTAGCTCCGGGCTAAATGATAATTAACGGACATCGTGAAAAAAAAAAAGATGGAGCTTACGGATCATGGACGATTAACAATATCTTCGTCGCAGATTTTATATACGGAGTGACCATAACTTGATGATCAAATGATCTTGCGAGTTGATGTCGTTGAACCCACAGGGAAACCATCTGATAGTTCTTACTTAGTACATTACTCTGGTAATTCCGAACAATATCATCCAGACGGATGGCTCCTTTAAATTTTGCTTCCTTGTAGTCAATGACTCCAGATCTCATACATTCCCAATATGGAGATTGATAGTACTTGACTTCTTCGAAGACCTCGGCGGCGACTCTATTCAATGGTGGAATTGGTTGTCTAATTGGTGGTTCTCCCATTAAAGTTTTAGCCACTGCAAGAGCGGACCGTGAAATTGCCTTTAGATTATAACCTCCCTCAAGGCAAACAGCCACTTTGCCACCTGCTAGGGACATGAGCATATGTGTCATGTGAGAGTAGCAGCCTGGTGTTACAAAACATCCTCCAAGTTCATCTCCCGCAGCAGCGTCAAATCCCGCTGATATAATGACAAGATCCGGATCAAACTCTTGGGCGATTGGCATGACGATCTTTTGAAAAGCTGCCATGTATTCTCCATCTCCCATGCCCTGACTGGGCCAACCAATATTGACATTCTTGCCTATGCCGGCTCCAGTCCCAACCTTATCAATCCCTCCATCGGGAAGATCAGGATCGTCAGGTTGGCCTGGATAAAAATTTCCATTTTCGTACACATGAAGCGAAATGTATAAGACGTTTGGATCTTCATAGAACATGTTCTGAGTGCCATTTCCGTGATGAATATCCCAATCCAGAATTAATACCTTCCTACATAACTTCGGATAATCGAGCATACAGATTTTAGCAGCGACAGGTACGTTATTGAAAACACAAAACCCTAGCGACTCGTTCGCTTCTGCATGATGTCCAGGTGGTCGAATGACGGCAATGGCATTTTTTACATGTCCCTCGACAACATTTTTGCAAGTTTCTATGGCACCACCCGCGGAGATTAAGGCAGCTTCAAAAGTACAAAGTCCAACGTATAGGGACTTTCGACCGGCATCCATTATCTTATTTAGCTCACGCAAATCTTCGGATGTTTTCTTTGCTAAAGACTCAACCCATTCAAAGTGTCCTGCATAATGCACCGTACAAATTTCGTCTTTGCTTGCTACTCTGGCTGGAATACGTAACATGTACTTTGTAGGTGACTCCTTGAGGATCCTATCAGCATCTTCTGGACTACCAGTGTATAGCAAGCCAGCCTCTTTGAATATCCTCATTATTGCTTCTATTCGTCGAGGATCTTCTGGATGCGGCGTATTATCTGAGAAGTCCCCGGTGGCGTGCAACTTCATTCGATCGTCATAACAACACCCTGTAGGTAGATATGCTTGGCGTGGAGTAGCTATAATCTTTGTATCCTCTGATGATGACGAGTCCATCTCATCCTCGGCTTCAAGATCATCATAGGCAATCTCTACATCTTCTGTAGAGATTAAGACTCTAGGGTCAACAAAAACATTTTCGTTGCCGTTTGGCAACATCCCGTTAATGCCTGTCCCATGGAGATTATCATGTAGCTGCATAACCAAATCGCTGCTCGGTTGCAGCAATGGAGGTTCGAGTGAGTCCATTACTAGCTGACCGATTCGTTAACAGAACCGATGCTCAGTAGGTATCGGAAATGAGTTTCCCGAAACAAATGTAGCCACGGGGCTGCGATTTTAATTTAAAAAAAGGGCAGTTTTAATATATCAGCTAGGAGAGTCTGCAAGAATGAAATACCGTGGTCTTTGGTGATACCGTGAAAATAGAGGATCTCTCTGGTACAGGCTAAGAAACTATGAGTCGTCAGAAGATTACTAAATCTTTATGCAGAAGCAAAATGATAGAGAAATCAAATTTTGTCAAGTACAAAATAATTGAGCAATATGATCATAGGAAAGTAAAGCTGGATCTTGTGGATGGATCCAGTACACTACAACAGGGGATATGATGACTGCCAAAGGATGAGATGTATGATTGATTTGATGAGCCATAAATATTCATTGATGAATAGATCCCCGCAGCACTTTATCTTTGATAATCCACGATGACTTATGGTCGAAGTGAATCAGTAAGTCAAGAGAATAAAGGATCATGTGACCATACCTATGAGTGACAATATGGAGGCACAAGTTCTTTGGATTCTTTGGTACAATAGTATAAGACAATTATATCTGTAAAGGTCTTTGAATCTACTTGATCCGCACAAGATAATGATATAGTATAGTGGATGATTTTCAAATAAGAATAGAATTGAAGTGCTTAGACTTACCGAGACAATGATGAATGGAAACACAGTGGTTATCCAAGAGAAAGAATAAGTTCTCAGCTTTAAGAACCTGGGAATTATGTTAGACGACAGTTAAGTCTCGGAATGTTGAGCGGAATGTAAATTTAAGTACGACAATATAATGTTGTTGAGTTCACAGGGTTATGGATGAGTAGGTATGGTTTGTTAAAGTTGCAGGAGAGGTAAGTTGAAGCATCCAAGCCGAAAATGTTGTGGCCTGAAATTATAGGTAGTTTTGATAGCTCCAACTTCTCATTTGAAAGGAACCTGGGGGCTAGCAGCGCTCATAATAAGGGGTTCAAATTTTACGTAGGTGTTTCTTTCCGAAATTTAGATTAAAATTCAAACATCCTACAATAGTTCCCGAATTTCACAACCTTATGAAGAATCTCATGATTAACCAAGTACCCATCGCTGTTTGGATAATTAAGCTTACTCTGTAGACGTCAAGATGCTGTAATTGTTATCCACCTCCAAGAGTAATAAGGACCAAAAGTACAATAACAGGTTCCTTAAATCAATGTGTCAAGGACAATCAAGGAATCTGGGGGTACCACGACAGCGGAAACTTTCTACACAACTTTCCGAAGTACATTCTCTGGAATCAAGCTGGGTCAAGAGGATGGAACATTTAGGGGACATTCAGGTAAGCAGCGTTTTGGTTGCGTTTGTCAAACTAATGCCATAGCGCATAAATGGAAGCAGCTCACATGATGGGAACGACATGATGTTCTTGATTTTGTTTCCATTCCTAAGCTATCATAAGGCATTCATCGTTACTCGGTAATAAATATTCACTTTTAATGAAATATTCGCATCTCAGTTGAATATCAGAGCCTGCCTTTCAAGAATTCTCTGCCAAATAGTGGTCAGAGTCTTGATTACTTCCTAAATACTGAGCAGAAATACCCTACTGCTTGTTATCAACCTTGGAGATGTAGTGGAGGAGATCAAGGACACGACGAGAGTAACCCCACTCGTTGTCGTACCAGGAAACCAACTTGACGAAGTTCTTGTTGAGGGAGATACCGGCCTTGGCATCGAAGATGGAGGAGTGGTTGTCACCGTTCAAGTCGGTGGAGACAACATCGTCCTCGGTGTAAGCCAATATGCCTATCCATTGTTGTTAGTAAATTGACGAGTAATGAATATTTGATAGGTTGCTTACCCTTAAGAGGACCATTGGCAGCCTTCTTGATGGCCTCCTTGATCTCATCATAAGAAGCAGCCTTCTCAATGCGGACAGTCAAGTCAACAACTGAGACGTTGGCAGTTGGAACACGCATAGACATTCCGGTGAGCTTGCCGTTAAGCTCTGGAATGACTTTTCCGACGGCCTTAGCGGCACCAGTGCTCGATGGAATGATGTTTTGAGCAGCGGTACGTCCTCCGCGCCAATCCTTTGCGGATGGACCATCAACGGTCTTCTGGGTGGCAGTGTAGGAGTGGATGGTGGTCATCAAACCTTCAATGATGGTGAACTCATCGTTGATGACCTTGGCAAGAGGAGCCAAGCAGTTGGTTGTGCAAGAAGCGTTGGAGATAACATCTGCTTCACCATTGTAGGTCTCGTTGTTGACACCCATAACGTACATTGGGGCATCGGCGGAAGGAGCAGAGATGACAACCTTCTTGGCACCACCCTTCAAATGTGCCTTAGCCTTCTCGGTGGTGGTGAAAACACCGGTGGACTCGACAACGTAGTATGCCTCAGACTCAGCCCATGGGATGTTGGCAGGGTCTCTCTCAGTGTAGAACTTGACTTTCTTGCCATTAACCTCCAATCCGTCGGGGAGGACTTTGATGTCACCCTTGAATTGACCGTGAGTAGAGTCATACTTCAACATGTATGCCTGTGAAGGATGAAAATTAGCTCGGGTCCTTGGTGTCATTGGGAGGTCCGGTAGCGGCGACTTACGGCATATTCAGTCTCAATGAAAGGATCGTTGACAGCGACGATATCAATGTCATCATGCTCGATAGCATTTCTGAAGACGATACGTCCGATACGTCCGAAACCGTTGATACCAACTTTAGTAGGAGCCATTCTAGATGATGTTAGAAAATGTAAGAAAAGGCTTTTTTCGTTGGTTTGTTGACAAGAATAGCGCGGGAGGGTCAAAAGATAGCTAAAGATAGCTTCGGATGTACCCGTTGAAGCTATAGATCATCACAAGGCAGGACGGAGAAGTCGAGGAATGATATAGGTATGAGGATACTTACTTGTAAGATTTTTGATGATTCTTGAGATGATTTTTGAAGGGGAGAATTGGTTGTTTATGTAGGAAAGGAAGAAACGGGGAGGGGGTTATGAATTTGGTGGGGTCGTTGTTGAATCAATTTTGCGGTAGCGCCCCTCCTTTAGCGTGGAATGAATTGATGCATGTGGATGGGTGGACCATGTTAGATCCCTTAATAAATAGCTACTGGTATGTAAAGCGCCAAGTTTAGAAAGCACCGTCGGAAGAGGTAGATCAGATTGGCCTAAGAAGCAAACAAAGTGATGAAGTATGAAGTATGAAGTATGAAGTATGAAGTACGTGTTACTCTTGACATTCCTGGTTTTGTTTTGAAATTGACCTTGATAGGTTGGTTCTCTTTCATACTCCGTACATCTCGCTACACGGTCTTGTCTGGTATTAATTATGATATAAATTTATATTTATTACCTCCTTTGTCCTCTTTGCCTGTGATTGGGTTTAGCCTCACATTGCATCACTATCGATAAGCATTGATAGTACTAGTGATAATAGTAAACGCGCTGCAAGCACTGCAAGCACTGCAAGCACTGTAAGCTTTGTTCTGTTGCAGCCAGCCAGGTACCTAAGGTTAGCTACCAAGCTACTCAAATGTCACTCCCACGTCAGCCATCTACTCCGTGGCTAGGTAGGTACTTATTACTTATTTACAATAACAATCACCACCCCATCTTGCTCGCCTCCGTGAATCACTCCATCACAAACACTCGGTACATCGGAACCAGCCGCTCGATTGATTTTAAACACGACAAGTCGGGGTATGTAGAGTGAGAAGAACCTTAACCTTTGTCCGTATCGTATCGTATCGTATGGTGTATGGATGGATGGATGGATGGATGGATGGATGGATCACTCCGAGGCAAAAGAAATCCTCTCTCCTGTTCACGGTATCCTCATAAAGATACTAATTAGGCACATGAACTCTCCACAGCTGGATTCCTACATCCAGAAATCCAGAAATCCAGAAATCCAGAAATCCAAAATTCTCACCTCATCTTACAATCCTCTACGCTCTTGCCTCTCAGATATCTTGGTCTTGAGTCCAAAGCCATCTCTCCTACCGTGTTGTGTCAGCCAATATTAACCACAGTGAATCACTCCACTCAATCAATACACGTGCTGCTTCAGAGATTTTCTTTTTGCATGGTATCGATAGAGTTGCAACTGTTGAGTGAGTCAGATAGTTTATAATAATACTTCTCATCTCATCTCATTACTTTGAGTTATTATTGAGCATGCTGAGTAAAACTTTGACTCCGTCATTTTGCTGGCGCGCAAAAAGTCTTTACGGCCTCATTTTCGGACTTTCTATTTTTCTCTGATAAAGCCCCACGCATTCCAGCCAGATTGTAAAAGCTTATATTTATTATTGTGTTTTGAAGTTGAGTGACTTGAGAGGCTTCTTGGACAATCGGATTGCATATATTTTATGCATGTTTACTGAGACTCTAGACACATAACCTACCCTACTACTTGTCCCCCGTTCTCTGCAAACCCGCCTCTACCACGCGGGAATATGTCCACGCTAATCGTATCGCAGACATGCATTTCTAGTACGCTCTTTCAGTCCCCTCGGATTCAAGGAACATAGAGCGACTGTCAGCTCTACAGACTGGAATCCGAAGTGATAATCTTAACATAACTATCTAACCAAGTTGTTACTAGAAAGTCACGTTATGCTACTTCCAACCTGATCCAGCACCAAGTCTGCAGGGTCGAAGTCACTGCAGTATCTCAGATATTGAATTAGAGTTCCTTTCGCCCTCTTTCGTATTTATAGTAGAACTCGGGTCTCTAGCAATCAATTCGCTCAGAGACAAGGTTGATGGGCCATCGGACCTTTGCACCCCGAGTCAAACATGGAGGATGTATTTCGGCAGAGCAACCAACGTACCCCACAATCGAAGAACTCGTCCCCATTTCAGGGTATCTCAATCTACCGGGGATCGAAGAGCATGGCTTCTGGTGATGATATATCGAAGATGTATCTTTTGTATTGAGCTCGAAGATGGTACGGGATTGTTCAAAATCCTGCCGTACCTTATCTGTAAGTTCTTACATTCGCATGGAAATGATGCAATCGTCAAAAGCGGGATCCATCCCGCCCGTAAACAATTTTTATTAATTTTTTTTTTATCTGGCCAACATTGGAACAACCAAATCATATCTCAAAACTGGATCTGTCTATAAACTGCATACAAATATAGAGTAGATACCCGATTCTCAGAGCTCAATACTCGAAGAGGAGCATCTTCATATTAACATCAATATAACCGTATTGTTGCATACAACCGTCGCCGTCCAATCGAGAATTGACAATTTATAAACGTGCAAAATTTTCAGTGATGGCCAACCGGATGATGTTGATTCGTCAAAACCAGGAGTCTCTCCATTCCAACATATGAAGGTATAACGACATCCAAAGGCGTTCAATCATAACTTCGAAACCCATCAAACATGTAGACCAGATCGATTAAGTTGTTTATCCTCCAAGAGCTTCAAATCTGAAGAAACTTGAACATATAACTGTCCCACGTGATTGTAGAAAGTGGACCTCTACCTCGCTTAACAATTTCCAAAGTCATCCGATTCCCCATCCTCGACCACCCATTCCGTCTCGTACGCAGCTCTACCCTCTACAATCTGCACCTACACTTACACGCACCCATAACACCTCTCGATTTCTGCCCCTCACAATCCTCCCCGCCGCAAGCATGCTCCGCACATCAATTGCCCGCGCCGCCAGCGCCCGTGCTGCCGGATCTGTTGTCCGAAATCAGGTTCGATGTGCTTCATCTCATGCAATCAGTAATCCTACCCTGGCCGATATCGAGAAGAGGTGGGAGGGCATGCCGCCGCAGGAACAGGCTGAGCTTTGGATGAGCTTGAGGGATCGTATGAAGATTAATTGGGCTGAGTTGACTTTACAAGAGAAGAAGGCTGGTATGTGAGGTTCTTTTTTCCCCGCGATATATGGATCTTATATACAAGATGTTCTGGAACGGAGAGAGGTGGTTGGATAAGCTTCGGAGAACTGCAAATTGGGCCAGCTTATTTTAGGAGTTGATGGTTGGGAAGTTGCAGGGTATAATATATCTGGTAGAGATGAAGATCGGGATTAAGTTCGGGAAAGACAGCAATGCTAACTGATATTCATGAACAGCTTACTATATTGCCTTTGGCGCCCACGGACCAAGAGCTCAAACTCCTCCAGGAGAATCATGGAAAGTTCTCGGATACACATTGGGTGGAGTTGGTGTTTCTCTCGCCCTCTTCCTTCTCATTAGATCATTCGCCAAGGGAAGCCCATCTACTATGAACAAGGAGTGGCAGGAGGCTACTAATGAGTACTTGAAGGTATGTACATTTTTTTTAAATTCTACAAATCTCATTTTCAGCGAGGATATTTTTATTTTGGACTCGAATCTATTCAAAGCAAATGAGAGATTAAATCTAACATACTTTTTACCACAGTCACAAAACTCCGAACCTATCAGTGGTATATCCTCAGAAGGGTACTCCGGCCCCGGTCAAGTGCAATCCGCTCCCAAGAAGAAGTAAATCCTTCCTTCAACCGGCTATACATAAAGCCAGAAAAGAAAAGAACTCAACCTCGTTTCCTCCGCTCAGAATCCTGGAAACTTGCTAATCAAAACTACCTGCATACAAACCTTATTTTTCTTTTGTTGGATGAATGTAAGCCTTGGAAGATGGATGGGATAGAAATGGATGGAACATTGAGAGATGGTTGGGGAGGGGAGGGATTTCTCGTAAAGAAAATCATGGATGGGAAGGAAAGTTTTGTGCATAGAATTTGAGGAGACGAGAAAATGAGGAGTAGAATGAGAAGATGATGAATGAGCGGCAGGGATAAGAGATCGAATTTTTACAATGCAGCATTTGTACAACAGTTCGTGAAAGACATTGATTTGTGTATTTCCGTGACTATAATGCAAGTGAAATAGATATATCGATGTAAGTAAAGTTTCAAAATTGACTCAAGCTCTCAAAAGTAGAGCTGTGATATCCTTCATATACTGACTGACATTATCCAATATGCCATGTTATATGCACACACAAACAAACCAGCAGTAATCCAAATACCATTTTCTTCATTTTCATCCCATATCATTTCATATCTACCTATGATCCTACCATCCTACCATCCTACCGACCTACCAACTATTAACTACTAACTACTAACCTATTTACACAAATTCGCCTTTCACCTTTCGCTCAAGATGAGATTGGGATGGAAACGACTAGGTAAGTTAGTGAGTGAGTGAGTGAGTGACTAACTAATAGCTTATTCACCTACGTATACCATAACCATATCCCATATCCCATATCCCATATCCCATATCCTAAACAAACTCCCTACACATAGCAGCCAGCTAGCTAACTAAAATTCAAATGTCAAATGTGAAGTATGAAGTATGAAGTATGAGGTATAAAGTATGAAGTATAAAGGATCTTTTGTTTTGTTGGTTCACCGGGTTCCTCCACTTTTTGGGGGTTATTTGTTAGTATTGTATTGTATTATCTTGCCTTGAATTATATTGCCTTGCCTTGGGTTGGGTTGTGTTATGTTGCTGTAATATGTTGTGATTCGTAAATTTCATTCCTATTCATATTCACTTCCTTCGTCCGTCACGGTCACGCTAATTGCATCCTGTCCTTCCTCCGCTTTACCCAGTATGTTGTAGATGTGGATAAGATTTCCTCACAAGTAACAAAAAAATCCATCAGCAACCAGCTTCGGCTCAGATTTTCCCAGAAATACAGCTTCTTTCCTCGCAAAATCCATATCACATCACATCACACTCCACTCTCGACTATAACCCTATATTCCTGAAAACTTTCCATTGATTTATCACTTCTCCTTCCACTCCCATTTCTACTTTTCTTTTCCTTGCTTTCCACAATTCCTTTGCGCTGTTTCCACACCTCTTCTTCTTGCTCTCGTGCTTCTTCGAAAATGTTGCGTTGATTGCGGGAGAAACAGCGGGGGAGTCGTGTTTCACCATTTCCATCTATTGTTTCTCTGCTAGTTGAATTTTCTATATTTGAGGAAGATATGAATGATTTAGAAGAAGAAGAAGAGACCGGAGTAGGATATTGAGAAGATTCCGTATCGATACCCTGAACAAATGCTTCGTCAACGAGTACATAGCGGATATTAGGTGATGATGGACCTATGAACATAATTTCCTGTAAGACGCTTTCCATAATCGAGCGGAGACCTCTTGCTCCGATACCTGTTTTTTCTCCTTTCCCTTTGCTTTCTTGGGTGTTTCCAGATGAAGAACCGTAGAGAGCTCTCGATGCAATGGCTTCTAGTGCCAATTTTGTAAATTGTAGGATGATTCCGTGTGAACCGTATGTCTCGAATAAAGCGGTATATTGTTTCACTAATGAATTGCGTGGTTCGGTGAGGATGGATACTAATTGGGGAAGGGAGAGTGGGGAAAGAGAAGTGGTTATGGGGATGCGGCCGAGAAGTTCGGGGATGAGACCGTAGTTTTGAAGATCAGTGGGGGTGGTGTGGGCGAGGATGTCTTTTTCTGGTTCTTTTGTTGGTTCGGCGGAGAACAAGGATGAGAGAGAGGAATTAAAACCGATGGAGGAGCCAGTAGATAGACGTTGAGATATGATCTTTTCGAGTCCGATGAAAGCACCGGCAAATACAAACAAGATGTTTGACGTGTCAATTGTATATTGTTCGCTTTTACTTGGGGGACTAGTTTCACGTCCTCCGCGATCAATTCCTCGACTTGAGTTGAACGCATTTTTATCAGATTTGGCGTTGATAGTGACGTTAGTTCCTTCAATCATTTTGAGAAGACCCTGTTGAACTCCTTCACCTGATACATCACGGCCATGGGTCATGACAGCTGGTTTGGCGAGTTTGTCGATTTCGTCGAAGAAGATTATGCCGGTTTCACATTTTTGAACGGAATGAGAGGAAGCTAGGAGTAAGCGTTCAATGGAAGATTCAATGTCGGTACCGATGTAGCCAGCTTGAGTTAGAGATGAACAATCGACGGTCGCAAAGGGAACTTCGAGAACACGGGCGAGAGTTTGGAGTATGTAGGTCTTCCCAACACCGGAAGGTCCTAATAACATGAGATTTGACTTCTCGATGATGGTGCGGTTTTGTGAGGGATCTTCTAGTGGTCTAGAACCCAATTCAGGTTCTTCATCATACTCGCGTTCACGATATGGAGCATTTAGGTCGGCGGTTTGGATGGCGTGGCCAACGTATTCATCTGATGCTGAGTTAGAGTCCCAACATGTGATATGAAGTGTAGATATAATTACTGTCAACTGGATGACTATTACGTTCCCGTTCATATAAGTGTCTCCTGCTATACTGATCCCTCCTTTCCTGCTCCTCAGCTTCCTGCCTCTTTAATTCTCGAATTCGTTGATAATGGTTATAAATAGCCACACAGGTGACTTTCTTCGCCCTATCTTGTCCGACAACAAATTTATCCAGATGATTTTTCAGTGATAAGGGTGTGAGAGATGGAACCCCATGTTTAGAAGCTTGAGATAGAGGGCCCTTTGTTGGGACACCAGGCTCATACGATGAAGTCCAACCTTGACCATCGTAATCTGAACGTCGAAACTGTGCATCTCGATAGCTTCTAATAGATGAGATGTGAAAAGATCGGTGGCAAGTTCTTAGAAAACGAGGGTTGGAAAGGGAGATCCGGTTCAGTCCCGACATCGGGGACATGTTGTTGAATTGTATTTTCTCATCTGAGCAACAAAACCGTCATGAAAGGCTTGATTATTGATTATAGTGCAAAAGTGTCAACTTTGATCATCAAGCTATTTAAGATGTAATCATTGATTTGAATTCGAGGGCTGGACTGGCATGGCACGTGAGTGTGAGTGTGAGAGTGAGACAAAGGGACTCCCCGTCGGAGTCGGAATACGGTAACCGAAGCCATGCCCATGATGGATGTTGTTGCGGGGTGAGAGTCTCTACTTGGCCCAAGCTAGCGCCAAAATCTGGAGTGGATGGAGTAAACGGGAAATGGGAAATGGGAAGTGGGATAAAACGGGAACTGAAGAGGAAGGAGGAAGGAGGAAGGTAGTGACTGACATGAACTTCAGAACGACCTCTCTTGCTAGGTAAATATCCGTATGGTAAGTAAGGTTAGTCAGAGATGGGTAGATAGATAGATCAAATCTACATAGCTTCGTATTAGCATCGTGGGATTGCCTTGGGTAGTCGGACTCGTATGCTTCCTTTGGAAATTTCATTTTAATCTTGACTAATGTATTTTCTGATAAGTTCGTTCACTTGATGCGATGCTTCGTTGATTTTCTCATTGGACAGGGATCGACGTCACTATCAGGTAAAGTCGGGTACAGCTAACAGCTAATTGCAGCCATGGGCATCATAGCTTCAGGCCTTTACAACAAGGTCTTCTTCCCACCTGTTCTTCGCTTCACTCTATTTTGGGTAGCACCCTTGGGATCAGGGAGTGGTAGTTGGGCTGGTTCAGGCTGGAAATGTCGAGAGAAACGCTCACATTCTCTACAGCCTATTTAAAAGAAGAAGAAGAAGAAGAAGAAGAAGAAAATGAAGAAAATGAAGAGAAAACAAATCATCCACTGGGTACTCGAGTAGCCACTTGTAAAATAGCAAACAAAACAGCCAAAAAATTAAAAATAAAAACAAGGGGACAAGACCCCGCACCTGCAGGCAGAATGCTGAACATTTCCCTGCAAAATATCATAAAATAAAAATTGATTGAATATTTTCTTTCATTTCTATTCTCACTGCGAGTCTGTGACAGAGCCTTTTTATCCACACTTGAATTTATCTAAACGGCCCTTCCCTTATCTTGTTTGCGCGGTTACATACCCATCATACCCCATCATCATAGCTCCCCAAATCTGGAGAGCACTTAAGTACTTGCTAGCTCGACTTTCTCCGACAAAACTCAATTTTAAAACTTGCCAGCCTCATAGAATCTGTCAAAACCAATATTTGCGAGAATGGCTAATGTAAATGAACTGGCAACTACTTCAATCATGGAGGCTCAACCACCAAAGGGAATACCAAATGATGGAACTGGTAAGTGAAAACGTTTCCCCAGATTAGCCTCAGGACTGACCAACGTAGGTGTTATCCAGCTTGATCCATGGCTCGAACCATTCAGAGATTCTCTGAAGCACCGATATTCCAAAGCACAGCAGTGGATTAAAAATATCGACGATACAGAAGGTGGCCTTGAGAAATTCAGCAGGGTTCGTGAAGCTTCCATAGATTCCTTGGATCATAGCTAATCATACCAGGGCACCGAGAAGTTTGGATTCAACGTCGATAAGAATAACAACATTACATATAGAGAATGGGCGCCGAGTGCCAGTCAAGCATTCTTGATTGGTGAATTCAGTATCTCTCCCCATCTGTCATAACTCTCAGGGAATTGTGCATTAACATTATCTAGATGATTGGAACCGCGAGTCTTATCCTATGAAAAAGGACCCATTCGGAGTTTTCGAAATTGTTTTACCAGCAAAGAATGGTAAACCAGCCATCGCACATAATTCCAAGATCAAGGTAAGGTGTCCTGGCGATAGCTGAGTTATTACCCCTCACTAACCCCACCAGATCTCTATGATTACACCCAGCGGCGAACGAGTTGAGCGACTTCCTGCGTGGATCAAATATGTCACACAAGATCTCTCCGTCTCGCCAGTTTACGACGCTCGGTTTTGGAATCCACCTGCATCCGAACGATATGTCTTTAAACATCCCAGACCAAAGAAGCCAGAAAGTGTTAGGGTATATGAGGCACACGTTGGAATCTCATCCCCGGAACTACGAGTTTCTACATACAAGGAGTTCACCAAGAACATGCTACCAAGGATACATCATTTGGGTTACAATGTTATTCAGCTCATGGCTATCATGGAGCATGCATATTATGCAAGTTTTGGTTACCAAATCAACAGTTTCTTTGCTGCGAGCAGTCGATATGGTACACCGGATGAGCTAAGAGAGCTTATAGATACCGCACACGGGCTTGGTATCACGGTTCTACTTGATGTAGTCCACAGTCATGCTTCGAAGAATGTGTTGGATGGATTGAATGAGTTTGATGGAACAGACAGCTGTTATTTCCATGAAGGCCCAAAAGGAAAGCATGAGCTATGGGATAGTAGACTTTTCAATTATGGATCTCACGAAGTCTTGAGATTTTTGCTGAGTAATTTACGATTTTGGATGGATGAATACAACTTTGACGGATTCCGATTTGACGGTGTTACGAGCATGCTTTACACCCATCATGGTATTGGGACGGGATTTTCTGGAGGCTATCATGAGTACTTTGGTCCAGCTGTTGATGAGGATGGTGTTGTCTACCTCATGCTTGCCAATGAGATGTTGCACCAACTTTACCCAGACTCAATATCTATTGCAGAGGATGTATCTGGAATGCCTGCCTTGTGCCTACCATTAGCACTTGGCGGTGTAGGATTTGATTACAGACTCGCCATGGCTATTCCCGATATGTGGATCAAAATTCTTAAGGAGAAGAAAGACGATGAATGGGATCTCGGAAACATATGCTTTACTTTGACAAACAGACGCCATGGTGAGAAGACTATTGCATACTGTGAGAGTCACGATCAAGCCTTGGTTGGAGATAAGTCCATCATGATGCACCTCTGTGACGCAGAGCTGTACACAAATATGTCAAGGCTCACAGAATTCACGCCAATCATCGAGCGTGGAATGGCATTACACAAGATGATCCGCCTTTTGACTCATGGCCTTGGAGGTGAAGGTTATCTAAATTTCGAGGGTAACGAATTTGGTCATCCGGAATGGCTCGACTTCCCTAGACAAGGCAATGACAACAGCTTCTGGTATGCTCGACGTCAATTTAACCTTCCAGATGATGACCTTCTTCGTTACAAGGCATTGAACGAATTTGATGCTCACATGCAACATCTCGAGGCAAAGTATGGATGGTTACACAGTGACCAAGCTTACATCAGTTTGAAGAATGAGTCCGACAAGGTCATTGTCTTTGAACGAGCTGGCTTGTTATGGATCTTCAATTTCCACCCAACACAAAGTTTTGCAGATTACAGAGTAGGTATCGAACAGGATGGTACTTACAGAGTTGTTCTCAACACTGATACCAAGGATGTCGGAGGCTTCGAAAGAATCGATGCTGGAACACGCTTCTTTACAACACCTTTTGCATGGAACGAGAGGAAGAACTTTATTCAAGTATACATTCCAACCCGCACAGCACTTGTAAGTTTCTCACTAATCCGACTAATACCTGAGACTAATCATACACAGGTGTTGGCACTCGAATCTACGCTATGAAATTAGTATGAAGAATCGCTACTTTGATAGGTAAATGAGGGGAACAAATGAGGGGTAAAATCAAGAAAATATAACTGAAACAATGGATAGGGAGAAATGTGAAGAGTTTGCTTTTCAGTAGTTCAATACCTCTCATGTTGATAGATTTATTTTTGTATGTGAGCTATTGCAGCATTGCAGCGAAGAGGAGAAAAAATAGATTTTTTACTGCCCCGCGCTCAACTAAAATATGCTGCTGAGGAAATAAAATGTCTTATGTGTACTTACTCATTCTTTATAGTGTCTAATTTAAACTTCTCAGTTTTCTGAAAATACTTATAACATCTGTTTTTTTCTTTCTCAACTGTTGATCTCATCTTGTTAATACTGATCCATGATGATGTTGTTGTTGTCGTTGTTGATCTCAACTCGGGTCAAAACGGGAAGTCGGAATTTACGACATCACGTGGGGGTATACGCTAACAAATTAGTCGAGAAGCTCATTTTGCTGCTGGCTTCAATTTACCTCCTCTTTTCGCAATATCATACCTCCATCGATCTTTGTATCTCCACTCCCATCTTCAACGCTCTTCTTCATCCGTAAAGATGTTCAGGAGGTATGTACCAATATTTAGATTTTTTTAACCTCGTCGTAATGGGTGGCCATGGACCAATTGAGCTGACTTTCAAACTTGGTACAGCGCCATCCAAAACTCTGCTCTCCGGGCTTCCAGAAGCACCTTCAGACCAGCTTTATCGACTGGTTTAAGAGCAGCTTCTGCTAGATTTGCGAGTGACAGTGCCATACATGGCAAGATCCATCAAGTCATTGGTGCCGTCGTTGATGGTAAGTGGCATGGAAAATTCTTTCTCGGCAACGACGTCAAACTTCCGGATTAATGGATTATATGGGGGACGAGCTTCAAATACCCTGCAACTGCATACTGACCACATCTTAACAGTAAAATTCGATACCGATAAGCTCCCACCCATTCTCAACGCCCTCGAGACCGATAACGGTGGTAACAAACTCATCCTTGAGGTCGCAGTACGTCAACAAAACAAGGAATCATAAACATCGAATCCGGACTGACAAGGGTAACAGCAACATTTGGGAGAGAATGTCGTCAGAACCATTGCTATGGATGGTAAGGAAACTCGGCCTTGACGAATGCAAGTACAAAGATTGACCCAAAGTGTTACAGGTACCGAAGGTTTGGTCCGTGGTCACCGAGCAACCGATACTGGATCTCCAATCATGGTACCAGTCGGTGTAGGAACCCTCGGTCGTATCATGAACGTTACTGGTGACCCAATCGATGAGCGTGGACCCATCAAGACCGACAGGAGACTACCAATTCACGCCGACGCCCCACCTTTCACTGAACAATCTACCACTGCTGAAGTTTTGGTCACTGGTATTAAGGTCGTCGACTTGCTCGCTCCTTACGCCCGTGGTGGAAAGATTGGTCTCTTCGGAGGAGCTGGTGTTGGAAAGACTGTGTTCATTCAAGAGTTGATCAACAACATTGCCAAGGCACACGGTGGTTACTCTGTTTTCACTGGTGTAGGTGAACGTACACGTGAGGGTAACGATTTGTATCACGAGATGCAAGAGACATCAGTCATTCAACTTGATGGAGACTCCAAGGTCGCCTTGGTCTTCGGTCAAATGAACGAACCTCCCGGAGCCCGTGCCCGTGTTGCTCTTACTGGGGTTAGTAATCTTTCCTTACAATTTCAATTTACAACCTCCCACCCCCCGCTTTTCCTTCCTACAACACAATTCACAACATTTGTTTCACATTAGCTGGATAGACGTATATAGTTTACTAACGATTTATTAAAGTTAACGGTAGCCGAAGACTTTCGAGAGCAAGGACAAGATGGTAAGATTCCTACACTCCAAAAAACTCGATATATACTAATTTTGACATAGTTTTGCTCTTCATTGATAACATTTTCAGATTCACCCAAGCTGGTTCTGAGGTGTCTGCTCTTCTCGGTCGTATCCCATCTGCTGTAGGTTACCAACCTACTCTCGCCGTCGACATGGGTGCTATGCAAGAACGTATCACAACCACCACCAAGGGTTCCATTACCTCCGTTCAAGCTGTTTACGTACCAGCTGATGATTTGACTGATCCTGCCCCTGCTACCACGTTCGCCCATTTGGACGCCACCACTGTCTTGTCCCGTGGTATCTCTGAGTTGGGTATTTACCCAGCTGTCGATCCTCTTGACTCTAAATCCCGTATGTTGGATCCCCGTGTTGTGGGACAAGATCACTACGATACCGCCACCCGTGTTCAACAAATGCTGCAAGAGTACAAATCCCTCCAAGATATCATTGCCATTCTTGGTATGGATGAATTGTCAGAAGCTGATAAGTTGACTGTCGAGCGTGCCCGTAAATTGCAAAGATTCTTGTCTCAACCATTCACTGTCGCACACGTTTTCACCGGTATTGAGGGTGTTCTCGTTGACTTGAAGAGTACAATCTCCAGTTTCAAGGCTATCATGAACGGAGAGGGCGATGATTTACCAGAAGGTGCTTTCTATATGGTCGGTGACTTTGCATCAGCACGTGCAAAGGGAGAGAAGATTCTTGCAGAATTGTAAGTCATTACTAATTTAATATCTGCATGTAATGACAAAACTATGCTAACATGAGTGACTTTACAGGGAGAAAGAATAGACGAGATGATAGATAGGGGATGATGTGTATAATTCCAGACGGATGAGAGACGAAGATGAATGAAAAAGGGGACGGGTAAGAAGCGTTGGAGCTTGGGCTGTGTACAGACTTGAGAAGGTCCGAGACAGAAAAGAAATCCTCTGATTATCGCATCTTTTTTTAAAAGCTAAGCCTTGTAACAACTCGCCAACAATTTTCTTTTTTGATGTTAAATGATTCGATGTATGCCTATCTACTTTCCGAAGGATATCTAAGTGATGTGATGTGATATGATCATAAGTATTTGATATTAAAGTTTTAAGCTATTTAGAACGATCGAAATTATATCATTTCAAACTCTCAAATCAATTCAAACATTCAATATTCAAATCATTTCAAATACTCAAACCATTTCAAACAATTATATTCCTTCAAACATTTAAATCTTTTAAATATTAAATAAATTTCAAATATTATAAATTATATATAAAATTAAATAAATATTTTTATTTTCTTCACTTTAAATATTAAATAAGTAATTCTTATTTGATTTGATTATCTTGTATAGTTTAAAATAAATATAAAAATAAATAATATATTATAATATATATCTATTAATCATATAGATATTTCTCAATTGTTTTCTATATATTATATCCATCCGTTCATCCATTCATCCATCCATCTGTGGATCTTCCGTCCATTTTGAAATCCATTCTATGATACAACATCCCCGATTCAAATCCTTCAAATACCTTGTGAGCTACGAATCCAATTCATCCATCCGCCCATCCATGCAAGCCAACCTCCCATCCAAATCTCGATATAGGAAAGCTAAAATTTGAAATCCTCGACTTCAACCATATGACCCCTATCCGTCCACATGTAAAAAAAAAAGCAGTTGCAAAGATTTCTGGGTATAGTGCCATGATTCCATCCCAAATAGTAAACCGTGTAATGTGCAAAAAAGTCCAAGAAGCAATCTCGAAAAACGCCATCCACTCCACACACCACACACTCCAATCCATACCATTCCATTCCCGATACCCATTCATCCGAACGCTATCCTCAAATACGTGCGTTAAGTATTGATTGTACTGTAGAAAAGTGTGTAAAAACAAAAAAAATATGAAGCGAATTTATAATAGAAATTCAAAGAGGTAAGATTTCGAATCCGTAAGTCACCGGGTCTTTTTACATCGAGTTTTCCGTCGTGATAGCGTAGAATATAATACCTCGTAGGAAGTAGGGCTAAAGTATAAAAGGCGACTAGAACTCTACTTCCTTTGCCCAGCCAGATTTCTCCTTCTTGTTGTATGCAGCACAAACTTCCATGCAATAAGCTGTGATGGCATCAACAGTAGTCCAAGGTCCAATGACAGTAGGCTCGCCCTTCCAGGACAAATCTTTTAAAAGTCTGTATCCGACATTATGACTTTGTCGCCAGGCATCTTGCCTTTTTAAATCGGCTGAATGCTGTTTAGACCAAACCCCGCGATCCTTTGTACGATCCTCTTCAGAATTGCCTGGTGAATTTCGTATACCGCTCAAAGCACGAGTTAGTTCTTCGAGCGCAAAGGCTTGGAGATGAACAAATAATACTTGGAGAACAGGAATATCTTTACTGATATTCCCAAGCCAATTGAGCATCGCAACGATTCCTTCCCAATTGTTGGCGTTGGCTTGTCTTTGGTTGTAGCTATTTTCCTTGGGACTAGCACAAGGAAGCCCCTTAAAATATCTCATGTACTGGCAAATGCACTCGACCACAACCATTACCCCAGCTGTCCGTTCAGCAACAGGTTTAAGGTTGAGTTGATCACCATCAATTCTCGTCATACGTTCACCCTTTTTCTTGAGGCTGCGAGCAAACTCGCTGATCTGCTCAGATTTGGTTGCCGAGATACTTTGAGGAGTCGTTGCAGTAATATTAGTGCCATGAGGAGTTTCAGGATTTCCATCGCTAGAAGTAACTCTGGCCATAATTGCACCCCTGGAACCTTCCTTTTTCTTGGGTGTGGCAAGTAAACCTTTTTGAGATGGTCCAGGACGCATAGGAGATTTCAGTGGACTTGGAACTGTTTTTCTAGCAGACGTAACCTCAAGATTATCAGGACGTCTCGCGCGTTTTGTTGGGGGCTCAGAGTTTGAAGGAGGGACATCACTAGGGCGTTTCTTGGAGACTGTCTTTCTGCTTTGAGTTGATAAAGGTATCTCCTCTTCAGATTCTGATGCAGTGTCCGCCAAAACGACATCGGCGGAGAAGACGGGAGCTTTCTTGGAAGATCCATGAGCCATCATGGCTTCGTAGCCTTCTTTCTTTCTAATAGCCTCAAGTTTCAAAAAATCTGGTGAAGGTCGTGGTGATAATCTGACAAGGCGCTCAATAGTCGTAGCCTTCCTTTTACTATAAGGCAACTTGACAATATATGATTGACTTGTAGCTGGAGCTTTTGAAACTTCACGAGGCTTCTGCAAAGGCGTATTTGATGCAGATCTTTTGGGAGGATGGCCAATTTTGGCACCACCGACAGTTTTGCGAGCGACACCAGGTGCATCAGGTTTACGCGCTTGTGTATGACGCTCTTCAACCGTCAACAAACTTGATTTCTCTTGATGATGCTCAGGCGCAGGCGTAAGCTTTTCATTTTCTTTTTGCTTGTCAGCTTTCTCTTTGAGCTCCGCTAATGCTGCTTCGACAACGTCAGGAAGTGTTGGTGAAAGTAAAGGTGGAAGTTTGAAGGGTGACGCCGTTCTTGGAGGTGTGGTTGGCGAAGCTTCTCGTTGCAACGTCAATTCTTTCGGTGGGAGTTTCTTCCCATTAACAGACGGCTTGGCCTTGAATGGAGTATTCGACGAGGAAACTTTTTGATCGGCTTTCTTGGGGCTATCGAAGGTGGTAGGAGTAGTTAAGTCAGCAGGGAGTGGTGAAAGTAATGGTGGTAAATTGTGAACAGGTTTTCCGGATGGTCTATTTGATTTCGCTTCCCCTGTTCCTTTGGAGGATCTGAATGCATGGTCATCTGACTTGCTCGAATTGGAAGGAGGGGCTTTCGCCTTGGACGAATTATTTTCTGGTTTGACGATTTTTTGAAGATGCGAATTTGCACGATCAGTTCTGGCACGCTTCTCTGCATAAGATGGTTCGTCTGATTCCGTTGGTCGCTTGTTGTTTCTGCCATCAGAGACCACTCTTCGTGGGGATTGTGGCCGGGGAGGTAAGCTGTGCTTCATGGGTGCATCCCAGGTAGGGATTGAAGAGCCCATTTTTGTAGATGGTCTGTTTTGTGGCGTATTCAATTCTTTAAACCTCGAGGTATCCTTTGTTTGTTCCGTGCGGTTCTTCATGCCATTGGCGAGATGTTGCGGTTTGGTAGAATTATTTCGGGGAGGGTTTGGATTTCTATGACTATGTTAGCAATCCCTAACGGAGTTGTGAATATAGCAATCACTAAAACATACCTATCAATACCATTCTTGACTCCATGATCTACCTTGCTCGCGGGGTGTACCGCATTCCCATTCTTTTGTATGTCGCCATTTAAAGAACCCTCGAAAGAAGACCCGCGAGCCATCGGAGTCGCATTGGAGACATTACTCGTACTTCTTGCATGACCCTTTGGAAGAGCTGAATCCGGAGTTGCAGATGTTCTTGATATAGGCTTAATTCCATCTTTCTTCATCTTATGGTAAGCCGCAAACGAGATCTTTTTGTTCGGGTCTCTTTGAGGAGTATTCAGGCTACTTCGACCTGCACTGTTCGAGGGACTCCCTACTAGATCTTCATGATCAAAGGCTTTTGGGACTTGAAGGTCGCGATCCCCAGTAGAGAAAACAGTCATGTACTGAAGCTTGCGAGCTTCTGAGTGCTCGGAAGGTAGGTTCCAAGGTATTCCTATGAGCTCTTCGTGGGACCGCGAATTCCATTTTCCCTTTTCGGCATCGATGATTTCAAGGAGGTGCGGCGTCTGCGAACAGTCAGTCAACCTCATCTTACATTTTTAGAATGTGCGAGCTTACTTCTGGGAGTTCATCTTCGGCAAGGTCACGAAACAGGTTCTGCAACCCCCCGATGGTAGTCGTGGATCTGCAGGCGACATCCATAGCTTTCTTCTTCTCCATCCTCTCTGTAGCAACCATATCAGCAATCACGAATCGATCCAATCTCTTCTTCATTATAATTTCGCGGTGTAGGATCGACATCTTGGCGGTGATATCTTTTGGTGATATCTCCATAGGAAACACGACTTGGAATTAGAGAGTGAAAAGCAAACTTACAATTCTCAAAATGAATTTATGATGTACGCGCAACGTGAAGTTATACCGTATTGCAGACTGACAATAGAAGGGATTTGCTATTGTGATGTTTTGTAGCTATTGGTAAATATCACGGCCTAAGCATTGTCGCAACGATACCGTATTGCAACACAACAGAGTCGCGACAGGGCGAAATTATGCGGAAGAGTGAATTGAATTTATTCCCAAGGTGAATCTTTCTTTCTTTCTTTCTGCCCTTCCTTCCCTTATCTTCCACGATGCCAATCAATAATTCCTCTCTCTCTTTTATTTCCTCCACCTTTCTCTTCGATTCGTGAAGTGGTCGAGAAGGATTGAATGAATTATATGGTTTGCGGTCCGATGTGATAGGTAAGGTTACGAGGCGTGGTTTGATGATTGTCGTTATGGGATTGTTTTGTCGGGGCTATTTTGGGGGTCCTTGTCACTCACTACCACTACCAGTCTATGCAGAACTCACCCGTTTTTCTATTCTCTAACTGGTGAGCCCATGTGAAGGCTGGTATATTCTGATCGTTGATTACTGCATTAACATTCATTTCCTTGTCCAGTATTATTTTTTGGTTATGATTCGATGATACTCGTAGTTTTACTAGATAAACATGTATAAAGACCTAACTACCTAGTAGTGTAGTTGACTTCAAAAGGAGTAGATTCACGGACACTCCTTAAATCCTGAACACAGCCAGCGACAACATTTCCACTCATGTATTGGTACCTACGGAGTACAAGCAATTGCAAAGATAATGAAATCGACAGTTTGTACAGATATATGAAGACGAATATGAATATACTACTATGTTCAAACAGAAAACATCCCTCTGAATCATAATTAAGTGTACAAATCACCCTTTTCAATTTCCTTCTCTTTCTCCATCTAAAATCCATTCATCTATCTGTCCTTCGATATCTATAATCCTCTCCCTCTATCACTCCAACCCTCCCTCATCAAACCTACCTCAGGCCTGAGGTTACATATATAGCGTCTGAATACAACTGCTGTCATTTGGTTGATTAGTTGATAGTTGCTTAGTTGGTTATCTAGCATGCGGTTTTCGGGGATTTCTTTTAGGGTCGTAGTATTGGTTTGTCTTGTATGCGGTAGGGTAAGTGAGATCGATCTCAACATAGACATGGCGACAAATAAGATCATGCAGGAAAAAAGATCTTTGTTCATGTGATGAAACACTTTTTTCCGCCTATGACATTGGAGGGTCAAGCAAGATAAGACAAGGCAAGGCTGATGGTTGGAAAGTTAGGTACTAGGTAGGGTATGATTGATGTGTGTATTGAGGACTAGTGACCATGGGGATTTCATGTGTGAAAGGAGGGGATTAACGCCAGTATCATATGGTTGATTCATTTCATGTATCTAAATAAGAGCGAGGAAGTTCAGATTTAGCATAGCATATAATGCAAGGTTGCATACATCTAAGGTTACATTTTGGTAATAAATTACTTATCCCCTATTTCCTTTGATCTTCGCTTTCTTCACTTGAGATCGTTTGATTTTGGTGGTGAATGTCTCTCATCCAGACTCTGCTCGCCTCGATACTGGCTACCTATGCCATTCGCCTCTTCTTTAAGATCCTGTCCTGAAGAATATCCTTAAAATGAGTACTCGTCTTGGCCACCACTTGTTTCATCGACGCTCTAAGATTACATCGATCACATAACCAAGTACCTTTTGGCACGATTGAGCGTCCAGATTTTTTGGCGCACTCTTTATGATAGTGGCGATCTGGACAAAGCTGTAAAGTAGTCAGTACGTATAGAATAAATAGATGGTAAATAAACTTACTTCTCCACTACACATAACCTGATCAGGAGTCTGAACAAAATCACCACATACACAATCAGTGCCTCCCCTCATCTCCTGATCCAGGTCTGTCTCTGGGTCCGCTTTTGGGCTTGTCACAAATTCAGATTTCGGCTTTGAATTCTTTGCGTCTAATTCCTTCTTCCCCAATTCGAAAATTCTTTCGCAACGGGACATCAACGGTTGGTCTTCCAGCCCATCTCTCGCTACGAATAACTCAATTTGCTTACACCATTCCTTCTTCCGAGCCTTCTTCTCCGCAAACCAGACGCGATTTCTTGACACAAATCTCATGATGGCTTCCTGAAGATGCGATAGACCAGTCTGTCGCTCGCCCATGATGAATTCTTCCCATTTGATAAGGTATTCCTTCTCGTCGTCTGTGAGATCTGTGTAGTCATTGATAATCCATTTTCGTTTGTGTAATAGCCATGCCTCGTCCTTCTCATCATCACTATCAGGTAATTCCTCCCCAGGTTGTACAACCTGCTTCGTGCGTAGATCATAGAAAACGCGGTCTACAATATCGGGAGAAAAGGCCGACCTAGGATATGGACCATTTCTGATATCAGGAACGTAGTGCCGATTCTTGCTTCTGGCAGGCAGGCTAGCCAGACGTCGGATGTAGGCAGGTACCGAATTTTCGCCCTCGTTTTCTTGGGTAGCATTGTTCAATACTTCTTGCGAGCTCCGACGCGAGATTTGGGGTGGTGGAGATGGAGAAGCTCCAAACCGCAAACGAGCAAGGAGATCTGGGTCGGGCCATTGATTGTTCTGAGGCCCTTCTCTAACTTCGGCCCAAGAACTGTCGCCAGAAATATATCTCTCCATATCTAACAAAGTAGTGGCTCTCCCAAGCTGGACGACTTGCAAAGGGTGAACTTCACTCGACTTTCGAGATTTTTTGTTGATTTCAACGAAAAAAGAAGATTTGGGACGAAGACGGAATGTGAATCGATCATGTGTGGTCGTGAAATGAAGCCGAAGACTTTCCATGCCTTTAGTGTCCATATCGCATACAGGGCACGCGAATCCAGCTACCGAATGCGTTTGTTTGATACCATATGCTTCCGCATCCGCTTTACTGAATGTGTAGGTCACATATTCACCGATATCACTCAGAGCCGCAGAAGTTCCTGAACTTTCTTTGCCCCAGTGAGCTCTCAATTTCTTTCCTTGAGCTTTCGCACTTAACGCTTTGAGATTGTATGTGGGAATATTTGCACGACCACGTCTCTTGGCACGAGAGGGGCTTTCCTGCTCCACTGTCGCTGCCTTCTGCGGGGATAGAAGATGAGGTAAAACGAACTCAGGAGCTATTTTTGGACCTGGCGTCGGTGACTTTGGTATTTCACCAAGCTCTTCTTTTTTAATTAGACGATTTGGAAGCGACCATTGTATGTCCAGTTTCAACGAGGCCGAAGTTTCAACTCTCTCCCCTCCATAGAGCAGCTCTATCTGAGCTGAGCTGTCCTTACTATCCCAGTCAAAGAGCAAGAACTCGCATACCATTTGGCGCACATCAGTGAGCTCTGCTTCTCCTTTGAATATCTTTTTCGCGAGGCGACTGTTGTGGGGGAGACTGGAAATTGTCAAAGGCAACCAGTCCTTTCGATTAGCGTGATATGGCTCCATTAACAACTCAACCCTATACTTCCCAAATTCACCAGAACCTTGCAATCGACCCGATGATTCATCGGGGATTGGATCCTGAGAAAGGACGTCTGAAGGGATTATAAAGGGTGGCAAGTATATTGGAAAAGTATCGATTTGACGATCACCGGGTGTCCTTTTAATCCTGCCTGTCTGAGGCTGCCGATAGATATTTGTCAATGTTTCATCCTCATCATCTGAAACTCGGAACAAAGCTAAAGTACATTTTATGTTTGAGTATTGACTAGTGACTTCATCAGTTTCTCCAAAACTCGAGTTCTGAATGATGCTGGCAACCCGGATTCGTAGTAACTTCTGGAAGTCCACAGGAGGTTCCGTTAATTTGAGTACGGAGTCAACCCGAATTCGATCGGTGTTTGACTTCACAAATGTCACGTTTGCATCGGATCCTCCAGAAATCCGTGGCTGAGGACCGTAAAAATCCGTGGGTTTGATCTTATTTACTTGAGATCTGGTAGGTAAACGTGATGATGCTATTTGAGAATTTTCAGTTGTAGAATGATTAAGTGAAGCTGTCTCAGTTACTGAAGTAAAAGCCGAAGATGAAGACATAGATCGATTCGAAGAATTATGAGCTAGTGCAGGTATAGAAGAATCGATATTGGCAGTCTTCCTTCTTTTTGCAGGTCTTGGGTCTTCTTCCTCTTCGTCTTCCTCGTCAGATGCGAAAATCTCACGTTCCTTTTCCTGAGGCGGTGTGACAGGTTTGAGTGATGAGTACGAAGAACCCATCCTTAAATTTTCGTGATACCTTATAGCTTTTTCAAGGTTGCCTCTCAAAAAGGGGCGGAAAGGAAGACGATGATCTGATAACCAATATTCAATAGCTGCTTTCCCAATTCCTCCTCCATTGATACCTGCCGATGACATTTCATTATCGTTCGACCTCTCACTGGCCACCGGCCGCCTTTCAAAGTTAATAAATGGTAGGACGAGGTGATTTTATAGATGAACCTTTTGCGGGGATCAGGCAGATCAGGTAAAGACTGAATGAGATTTGAGTACAAGTTGAGGGCTTGGCTAAGCTGTGGCAGAGTATATCAACGTTAACAATGGAACCTCTTGAGAAATTACACGCGTGATGCTGTGTTTTGGTAGGTAAAGAGGCTCAAGAAAGTTTGTTACCAAACTGCAAAACAAAACACAACCAGGAGCATCGCACGATAAACCACGCCCAGAAAAACGATGAGCTTTACAGGGTACTAAGAAGTTGCAGCATTTGAGAAAAAGATAGACCTAGGTCGAAAGAAAATGTGAACACTGCACCGGTAAATCTAAACAGGAGTATTTATCTAATATTGTTGTTGTGTTATAATCAATGAGTACGTACACCACTTGGTAGAAAGATCCCAAAGGCCCAATATTAGAGGTTGTTACTATTGGTTATTTGTGTTGCAAATAAATTTATTTGTATCACTTGTGCGTCCCGTCAATATTCCGAAATCAGGACATCAAATAAGAGAATATACTCTGTGTACTAGCTGGTAAGCGTCCTCCTTTATAAAACATAGCATTACCACATCAGCGATAGCTGTTGCTCTTACTACTCTAGCAAGTAGCGCATCATATGCATATTTTGAATAGCCTCAATTCAAACACAATAGAGCCATCCATTTATGCTTCTTACCGCTCGAGATGCAGAGCCTCTTTCGTTTCTACCTACTTTTCGAAAGATTCCAATCTGCCTCGTACCTAGTAATGTATACCATACATACAACAAACGTAGTATCACCACAACAACACCACACCAACGGTTACTCTTACTCCTGTAAGTTATCCATATGCATATTTTGGATGGCTTCGATTCCAATGAGGTAGAGCCATTGATTCTTCTTGCAGCCAGAGATGCAGGTGTCCGTTGAGAAGGAGCTACCGAGGTAAGTGCAGGGATTTCCTATGTACGTTTAGCTTGAAACCTTAAATCTCTTATCGGATTAACCGATATCGCGATTAGTGTACTCTCCGTAGGTACCTGGCTCAACATCAGATTTCATGAATCATTTCATTGTCTTTTGTCGAAAACGAAAGCAAAGAACTGCGCCTGGTCCCATGTTCATTCATTATCAGTTTTTTTTTAAATCTCATCATCTACAGACCGTAGACAGGCAATCAGCTTACAGCAAAGAATCATACCGGCCGTGTATAACCTATATAGTCTCTGCAATCGACTACTTCAGCTCCGACTCAAACCATATTCATGAATCACAACCACCAAACATGACTAGATCTACAGTATCTCTCCGAGTTCTACGAACTCCTCCCCGGTCTACCCGAGCAAAGCCTGCTATTTCATACGCAGAACCATCGACCGACAGTGACGACGATTTAGAGGAGGAAGAGAACGGCAATGCTGCAAAACAATCACATAGAGCTACCTCTCGCACTCCTCGCACGAGAATCCCTCGAACATCCACTAGAAATCCGCCGGCATCTCGCTCTGCGAACAGTAAGACACATACAGCTACTATGAAAAGCACCCGACAGAAGCCGGTTATCTCATACGCGGAGGCTTCGACTGACACCGAATCAGAAGAGGAGGAGGATGAGAGCGGAGGCAATGAACAATCGCATAATTCCTCCTTTCGTACGTCCCGTTCAAGACTCCCTCGGAATGCTTCAAGCTCTCGTGCTTCCACCAAACGACTCCTTTCTAGATCCCTTGAGTCGATGCCGAAGCGAAGGAAACAAAAACGGTCAACCTCTTCTAGGAGGTCTATAGTCCAATCGCCATCTATCATGTTCGCAGAGGATTCTGGTAATATTCCGCCATGGCAGACTTTACCATACCATGTTCTCGTTCAAATATTCGAATACGCTACGTACCCATTGTACGAAGAACGAACCTTTCAACCTCTTCCATCCGGGAGATGGCTTTTGGATGTCGCATATCTCTGTCGGGGGTTTGCCGAGCCAGCTTTTACAGTTTTATACAACTCACCTCCTCTTGTTCCCATGGATAAAGCCCATCGGTAAGTAACTTTGGAGGTCTAATTTCAAGTCCTCTAGCTCTAATGTGTGATTAGACTCGTCGAATTACTCAAATCTGACCCTGCATCCGTGACTTTTGGTTATAGGCAGAAGGTTGTCAATCTTCGGATTGAAGTCAGACAAGTCGCTTGCTATTCTTTACCTGGAAGTGGACTTTTGGATTTGTATGGCTTAATAAGAGACTTGCCGAGATTGGTGGATCTAGAGTTCTACGATGAAAAAGATTCGAAACCATTCAAACAACTTGACGAGCCGATCAGATGGGAATATCCACCGGCTGTCTTTGAAGCACTTGAGCATGTTGAATCGGCGGCAGATTCCAGTAAAGGCGATAAAACCAGCCTGTGCAAGTTAAGGAGCTGGCGCTGGTCATCCAGGCTAGGTGGTAAGAGGTGGCCTATTGAGAGAATGCGCGAGATACACCTTAAACCATCCTTCATCGGCTTAAGAAAGGTTGCGTTTGTCAATTACCAAATCCGTCACCCTAAAAAAGGCGAGGATGATCCAATGCTTGAAGGAACACTGGCCGAATCGCTGTCCGTCCTGGATAACCTGGAACACTTAATATTTGAATCGTCAACGCTACTTAATGCGAAACTGATGCCCCTCTTGCCGTCAAACTTGCGCAATCTAGAAATTACTAATTGCTGGGAGGTAACCGCTGAAATGCTTGGGGAATATCTCGTCACCTGTGGGAGACAAATTCGTTGTCTCACACTCAATCATAACTCGGCCTTGAGTTTAGCATTCCTCCCTTTACTAGGCACTGCATGTCCATATCTAGAAGCTTTGAGAATGGACCTTCAATATTTCGATGCACATGTTTCCTACCATAATTCCGAGCCGGACTACGATCAACTACTCAAAAGTGATCAAATTCCCGTATGGCCACCCACACTTCAAACTCTCGAGCTTGTTAATCTACGTAAATGGGATCAAGAAGCTGCAGAGATGTTCTTTCAAAGTCTGCTGGATAGTGCAGGCGAACTTCCGGATCTCAGAGTTCTGGTTTTACAGGCGAGCATTAATACTGGTTGGCGAGATCGGGCTAGTTTTAGAGACAAATGGATCGGAAATTTGGGTCACGTCTTCAAAAGAATCTGTGATCCTCCAAAGCATTTCATCAAAGCTTCGGAATTGCCAGAAGCCAAACTTCCCGAATTAGAACCAGATCGTCAGCATATTGACCAGAGCCCCGCGAGGAACAAAAAGGTTCAACAAAAAAGAAATTCCCTACCAATTCGTCAGAGCACGCGTGCCAAACGTACAACAAACTACGCCGAAAGCCCGGATAATTCTAACGATGAAGACGATGATGAAGAAGACGATGAAGTCGATGATACGGCATCGTCCTCTCCTCGTCCCTCTAAATCAAAACCGTCGGATCGCGAACTCGCTCAAAATCGTCGTGCTGCGCGGGAGGTTAAAACGTTAAAAATTACGGCGGGCATTGATGGATTTCCTTCTTCGCCGCCACAAACTCCTAGCTTGGGAGAGGAAGATAGGGATGACGCGGACAGTGTAAGTGAGAGTGAAAATGGGAACCAGCATGCCAGGAGAAAAGGGAAGAAGAAACAAAATCTCATTATTCAAGGAATGTGTGAGGTTGTGAATATCATAATCGACAATAAGAGACCGGCAGAAACGCAGTTTGGCGAGGCTGATTTTTTGGACAGTGAGCCGGAAGGTGATGATGACTGGGATGGGGATGATGGTTTAGTGGAGGGGGGTTTGGCTTGGTGATTGGGTTTGGTGGATGCATGCATGGTATGCAGCTTTTTACTTTTGTCTTAACAACTAATCAATCATGATTGAGGGGAAAGGAAGCGGAGTTACAGGAAGGCATTATGATATGGATATGGTGCATGAAGAAATGGCAGGGCAAGATTAGCTAGATTCATATACATTGGATGGATGGATGGATGGATATCTACTTTTTCTAATTGGCTTTCTGCTGCCTGCTTCCTGCTAGATACAGGGTTTGAATTGGCAATCGCCACAAATGAATACATGAATTTAAATGAATAATGGATGGATGGATGGCCGCAATGGAATGGATAATGGATAGCGATCTGTTTTCATAATGTATAGTATGCATACACTATTGCGTAGATTGGCAAGAAGCATAGCCTAGAATACTTAGGTAGCTGTGCTTTTTCTTTCCGGGCTCGTCGTTGTATTGATACCTACTACATATAAGTAATAGGAAAAAGGAAAAACTTATAAAATAAAAGTAAATCTTTTTTTTATATGGATATTACTACTTACTCGGTAGATGGAGTAGTTTGTTTTGATACTTATCTATCTAGTATTTAATACTTGTACGAATACTACTTATGATGAATTGATGAATGACTCAGTCAACATATCATATCTTCCGTTTCCGGTTTTTCTTCAACATCAACATCAGATTCACATCCATATTCCAAAGAATCAAGCACAACTCAACAACCAACTCGTGAGATATTATATCCGATCTTATTTATTAGATAGATAGATAGATAGATAGATAGATAGATAGATAGGCAGATATCTACCCACCACTTTGTAACTCTACATACGCACGCATTCACAAGCGTTCTAATTAATGATACAAATCCGGATCCAGGACCGGTGAACCGCAAAACTCCATCTATGATTCTTTTCAAGTATGTGAGTACGTATCTAGACAGACCGTAAATAGCATATTCAAGATCTCTAATATCGTCCAACCAAAACGCCAGCCCATTTGCTCCGATTCATGGTGATGCCCGTGTATGTGGGTAGGTATCTATACACCCAAGGTACCATTCAATGCTTGCGCAGGTGCATTTCCGTTCATCTCGTGAGTTAAAGTAAACTAAACTAAATTAAAGTAATCGAAGATTGAAATCAGAATCAAACCCATCTCATCTATAATATAAAACATCATATGTTAAGCACCGCTAGTTAATGGAAATACCACTGCCGTTTCCATTAACCCCGGGCCCATTCGCAGTAATTTCCCTTGGCCTCCAGGTATCCTCTTGTTTAGTCCCAGGCGGTAACCAAGAAGCATTACTACTGCCCCTCAACCTCCCCATTTTATCAAAGGAATTATCGTCAGATTTTTTGTAATCTGAATTACCGGAAGATAAAGAGTAACCGCCGCCTCGGGCTTGAAGTGGGGATTCAAATAGAACATGGGCTTGGGTTCCGGGGTTGAGGCTGCCAGAGGTTGTGTTTAGGGGAAGGAGGGTTTCTTCTTTTATATTCATCAGTTTAGCTTTGCGATCTGCTTTGTTAGAGCCCTTGGTGCGATCGTAAAGGTAGAGACCAAAGAATGTGAGGGCGATTCCTAGACCTTGAATTTTGGTAGTGGGGTTTTGGAACCAAATGATTGCAATTACGACGACAAAGACACGTTTTATGAGGGAGGCGACGGAATAGGTGACGGGTGAAACCATGCTGAGGAGGACGAAGGCGATGATGTTTTGGCCGAAGTGAAAGGTTCCATTGAAGATGAATTCGAGGGCTAGACGTCCGTGATCGAAGGCTTCTGGGTGGGAACTTAAATCAAGAGACCCGTCGTGGAAAAAATCACCCAAGAGAGTAATACCCTCTGACCAGAACCAGATAGGTGACGTAAGGAGGAAAGCGAGACCAGATGAGTAGCAAAGAAGATTGAGTTTGTCTAGTTTATTGGTACGTGGCTGACCTGCCGCTTCTGCGATTGCAGCTTCATTGAAGAGCCTTTTCGAGAATATGTTTTGAGTGACGAATATTATCGCGGCGAGGAAAGCGTAAATTATACCAAATATGTTCCCCTTAAATTCTGCCGAACAGGCGAGCATGACGCCGAGTGTGAGAGGGACGAGGGAGAGATATGTAGCCACTGGGTAGCGAATATTGTATATAAGTCGGTATGCGACCACCGTGAATAAGGGGGACAGCCCTTTGATAGTGTGAACTAGCGAGACCGGGATTTTGGCTGTCGCGGTAGAAGATAGCAGATGACCACCGATTTGAAAGGCAGCGAGAGGTATTGTGGTCATGATTACTTCTTTTGTGGGATATCGAATTCCATGTCGTAAAGCAGGAATCGCATTTTTGAGTTGTGGAAATGTCGAGGAAAGCCAGGAGAAAAACAGGCAGTAGAATGCGACAAATGCAAATTGTATGAGAGTAAGAGTCGCAGGTTTTGGAAATGCATTCAGAATAGATTTTGAAGATGTGTTTGTTAGGGCGCTTGAAAGATACCATACTATACATAGGACCTACGTAGATTGAATTAGCATTCATGAACAATGTGCAGGAGAAGTTCACAAACAATTAATTTTGGAGAGACTGGAGCCTTTAGGGCATCCGATATCTCATGCACATTCGCACTCATACTTCCTTTCCTCGATTTAATTGTCTTGAATGCATCACTGAGACTCTTCTGCTTTTTATGCCCTCTACCGTTACTCGATTCTGCATTTGTCCAAGAATCCCCTCTCATTCTACCATTTCTTTGTGGCTGCCAACGATCCACAGGAGGAGGTCCTCCGTTGGCATATCCATTGGTCTTTCGTGAGTTGTAAGATTGCTGTCCATCGTATTGATCGAATGTATCAGTAGTATCAAGGTCTGGAAATTTCTCCATGGATGTGCGCGAGCTGGCCTTCGTGTCACCTGGAAATTTGAAGCTTGTTTGAGCAATTCGACCAGGCGATGGACCTCTAGTCGAATGAGGCATTGCAAAATAAAGGATTATGAATTCGGATTATCGTCTGAAATGTTCATCGCGGGGAAAGAGTACCGTAGTTTTGAATAATCTGTAACATGAGAATGCTCAATTCAATTACAATACCCAGTGGTGACGATACCGTAAGGACCTGGTGGACTAAGGACTTAAAATGTTGTTGCTTAATTGGAACCTGGTGAACGAGTTGTCTTGATTGCGGAAATTCTGATGGAATTTACCGACGCTAAAATAATCGCGATTTGATATTGACTCTATTCGATGGTACTTTGAGCATCGCGACGAGCCCTTATTTATCTCTTCTTGACCAATTTTTTGACCGCACGGCTATCATCGAAATTTAAATACCAAGCACATTGAATAAGAAGCACAAATAATAGAGATAATTCGAATTCAAGCCACAATCGTGTTTATTGGGCTCGTAGCCCCAGGTCGCAAACATGGCGCCAAAAATGACCAAGAATCAAATGCGGCGAGCTAAGAAAAAGGAGCAGAAGAAGGCAGTACAGGTAAGTTGTAATCAAGTATTGATATTTATAGTAGCTGATCATTTCTAGGAGACTCCAACAGCAGAAGCAGATGCCCCCGAAGATCCAGAAGTAAAGGTCGAGGAAACTGATGCATCTGAGCTTACCGAAACCACCAAGCCCATTGAAGAACCCAAAAAGGATGAAGATCCTTTGGAAGCAGATCTTACAGGGTTTAATATCAGTGAAGATGATCCTAACTTTGCTATGTTCAAAGATATTATGGATAGATTTGGTGTTACCGCTGAAGAAGACCAGGCTGCGAAAGATGCAGACATTGGCGACAAGGGCGAAGTTTTCTTCGATGAGGACGATGAGATCCCGGACGAGGACGAGGAGGCAGACAAAGAACCCAAATTATCCAAAAAGAAAAGAAAGGAAAGAGACAAGCTTTCTGTTGCGGAATTGAAAGCTCTTGTGAAGAAGCCAGAGCTTGTGGATTGGACGGATACCTCAGCCTCGGATCCTCGATTACTTGTTCACATAAAATCATACCGAAATGTCGTACCAGTACCGAATCACTGGTCTCTCAAGCGCGAGTATTTATCGTCAAAACGTGGTGTTGAGAAGCCTCCCTTTTCTCTCCCTAAGTTCATTCAAGAGACCGGTATTGCTGAAATGCGCGACGCAGTATTAGAAAAACAGGATGGAGCTAGTTTGAAACAGAAGCAACGGGAAAGGGTGCAGCCGAAAATGGGAAAATTGGATATTGATTATCAAAAGTTGTATGAAGCCTTCTTCCGGTTTCAAACAAAGCCGGAACTAACACGCTATGGTGAGGTTTACTACGAGGGAAAGGAGTACGAGACGAATTTACGACATTTGCGCCCTGGAGAGTTGAGTGATGACCTTAAGGATGCGCTAAATATACCACCCGGAGCCCCACCTCCATGGCTCATCAATCAACAACGTTTTGGCCCACCCCCTTCATACCCCTCGCTCAAAATTCCCGGCTTGAATGCACCACCTCCACCGGGCGGCGCGTGGGGATTTCATCCTGGTGGTTATGGAAAACCCCCCGTTGATGAGTTCAATCGACCCCTTTATGGAGGAGATATCTTTGGTGTTCTTCAACCACAAGTTAACAATCAAGCAGGTGAACCTATTGAACGAACACTGTGGGGTGAATTACAGGCACCTGAAGAGGAGTCCGAGGAAGAAGAAGAGAGTGACGAGGAAGAAGAGGAAGGTGACGAGGAGGACGTGGGTGGTTTACAGACGCCTAGTGGCATGGAAACACCAGGTGGCATGGCTTCAACTGTACCATCAGAGTACCCTGGTGAAATGAGTGTTGGTGGTGACTTTGATCTTCGCAAGCAAAAGAGGGGGACCGAGACCGAGGAATCCACCCACCCAAGATCTGCCTATACTGTCATCCCTGAACGCCAAATTCGTGCTGAAGGGTTCTTTGGCGGTGAAAGAGCTTACGATGTTCGCGCTGGTCAAAATGCCCATTTGCCAGTACTAGGACAGGAAGATACTAGGAAGAGAAAGAAGCCAGGAGATGTAGATGTTGCATTGGATCCAGATTCTTTACAGAATGAGGATGGTATAAGTAAGGAAGAAGTAAAACGAAGGTTTGAGACTCAAAAGAAAGAGGAACGAGGAGCTTGGCAATACGACGAAGACTTAAGTGATATGATAGCTCAAGAGAGTAGGAAGAAGCAAAAGAGAGACGAAGAAAAGCGAGGCGAGAAAAGAGAAAGATCCTACAGATTTTAAGATATGAGGGAAGTAATGTGGCGTTGGAAGGGGTTGGTAAGGCACTACTGGTGCTTTTCATATGTAATATAAGAATACTGGAACCAATGAAGGAATGTGTCCAAAACTAGACCCTGCGATTAAAATTCTGCTTTCATTAAATTATATGAAACATTCAGATAACTTGTTCAACTCGTCCCTCAACACGTGATGTGATATATTTCGGAACAAAGCGGCCGCTAGTGTACATTTGACAGCTTGGAAATTGTTTTGGGGAGCTTGGAAACTGCGATATGGTTATCATCACATCTTCAATTCAATCCACTCCATTTCACGTTTATTGCCTACGTAACTTAATAGCGACTTGAGACGATATAGTATCAAACTTTAAATATATCCTAGATCATTTGGGATACGATCGAATATCTCCAGCGAATATCTCAAAGAGCTCAAGATGGATAGAGGTCGAGACAGAAGGTTAGTTCTGATTTATTTTATTCACATGTATGCAGCATTCGAAGCGCAACATGGTATATCGAGTTGAAGACATATCTCATTCCCGGATCGTTGTAAGAAGTTGAAGGGTCTTGCAATCTCAATATGAAAGCCAAGAATCCCAGGAGAAACCCAACAATATTTCTTGTTTGCAGTCGGTCAATGCCGTCGTTATCCTCGAATGGACATATGGGACTACCAGGAAGGAGATTCAGAAATTTTGTGGCAGTGGCCAGACGGTGCTGTACAAGTTGAACATAAAAATTTCGCTCGAAGAACCCACGAATATTGCACATGGTCGCACAACGCTCCCGATTTCCAAATTTGCGCCTGCAGGAAGGGCTTCAATGGTCGAGGTTTTTCGGGCAGCCAAAAATGATCCAGAAAGAAGACACTGCAAGAGATTACCTCGTCAGTCGTGCGCGACTAGGGTGATACCAATTTATGCCTCGCGCTGTGGTTGAAGCTATGAACCAAGCTGGTAACAGGCCCATTATCGATAACCGTCGACATATCTGGCAATAGGGCGCTTTTTCTTCTATTCACCTATCACTTTGGGCATATGAGCTCACAAGCGGTGAGGAGAGCTTGCAGTGTTGTAACATGGGCACCCTTATGAATAGCGATGAAGGAAATGTTGCCCTTAGTCTAGGTCAATCAATGGTTAGCAACGCAGACATCAACACAATAACAAATATACCGGCCACCAGTCAAGAAGGAATCGACGTTTCAGCTATTGAGACCCTTACGATCAAAACGAATTGGTATTAGGAGGATATTCGAAGGTCAAAAAATGCGGAATCGATGTCCTAATGATAGCACGTTTATAATGAAGGATGAGGAATCGCTAACGAATAGTATTTGTAGAATGGATATCCGAGGTGATGGCGAAGTCACAAGGCTGGGAGCGGGTGAATCATATAGACCTAATCATAACCGACGCTCACCACCGCGAGCCGACACTTTCAGATCCGACCGGGACAGAGACAGGTCACCTCGCAGAGATCGACGAACTCCACCATTATCCAGCGACAGTTATCATCCTAGCGGACGTGATCGTTCACCAAGACGTAGATCAAGAACACCTCCATATCGCGCAAGAGACCGATCACCACTTCGAGATATGACTTGGCGTGGCAGACCCAGGTCACCAATTCGAGGAGCTCGAACTCCATTGAGAGCCCGAAGTCCAAGAAGATTTTCTCCTAGACGAGACGATGATCGCAGAGAGCGACCTAGATCGCCAAGAAGAGACGACAGGTAGATTGATATTATTACTGTTAAATGAGATTGAATTGTCAAAATCTAACAATTTCCAGGAGACGTTCGAGGTCACCTTTCGATCGTAGCCGTACACCCCTTCGAGCTAGATCCCCCATCCGAGCTAGATCGCCCCTGCCTCGCAGATCACCACCCCCTGGCCCGAGAGGCTCTTGGCGTCCACGTTCTCGCAGTCGTGACCCGAGAGATGTTCGTACCCCTCTTGGACCAAGTTCACAAAATTGGAGACGTCGTTCACCTTCACCCATACGCCGAAGATCACCATCTCCAATCAGACGTCGGTCTCCTTCTCCGGTTCTTCGCGATTCAGAAAGATCATCAGGTAGAAGTTCTGGCACCAATTCCCGTCGATCATCTCCACCTGTCCACCCTAGCAGGCAAGCTTTAACGCAAGCAGCAACCCGCGAAGCAATACGTTCACCTGTGCCAGTGAGAGATCGATCCCCTGCAGGTTTGGCTCATAGACAAAGAGAGCAAGAATCTTCAAGATCCGCCCCGAAAGATCGGTCACCAATTCGCCCTACGGCTCCAAGATCACCTCCTCGGGGTCCAGCAGCAACCTTTCGAGCCCCAACTGGACCCAGCGGAGGCCGCAACTTCGCTGCGCCTATTCCATCCGGCCCTTCTTCAAACTATAATTCGAGATCTGGTTCTGAGAGTAACGGTCACATCGCTCCACCATCAGGCCCACGTGGTTACGCTCCACCTCGCGGCCCTTCCGCTTCTTTGAGAGGTGGTCGATCATCATTTAGCAACGACCGTCACAGTCGTCCAGATACGTCGTCTTGGGGAGCAGCACCCCCAGCTCGCTCCAATGCAGAATTAAGCTCAAGAACTAGTCTGCCTCCACCGCGTCCTCCTCCAAGTGTCTCCCCTTCACCAGCTAGGGACACCCCCCCTGCTGCACCTACAGGTCCTTCGGGCATTCCAACAGGCCCTCGCGCAGGCACTACGGCTCCTTCTCGTCCCTCACTTCAACATTCCTCCAATATATATCATAGTCGCGGTTCCATCTCGGGTCCCTCGTCGGGTCCTCGTATACACCCAGCAATGGTAGGCATTCCACCCATCATACCGGGAGGGAGGATTGATCCAACAGCCTCTGGAATTTCTGCAGATTTAGCAGCTCGTCTCAAGAAAAAGGAAGAGGAAGCGGAAATCTTAAGAGAGGAAGTGAAGCAAAAACAGGAGAAGCTTAGGAAGGGATTAAAGCATTGGGATAGATTGAGCAGGGAAAGTGCAAGTATGGGTTTGAAAAGCGAGTTGAGCGAAAGACATTTGAGAATTTTGGCTGGTGAGGGCGTAGGCGGAAAGGCCTTTTAATCGGAGCTGGAGATGGCGTTGACTTGGATTCTTTTATTTCTTTGATCACTGTCTTCGGCTTTACATGGGACTGCGAACCTGGCATGCATGGATTATTTCAAGGGCTACCAAGCAAGAAGACCTGAATTGAAGAAACTTGGTAGTGGTACTATTTTCATACGACATCATCTGTTCTGTCACAAGCAGATGAACTTATTGAAAATCTCACGCATACCAATACACGGATAAAAATCTGTGATCTGTCTTCTGTGGGGTTTTCTCCTTTCCCCTCTTTCTACCAAGGAAGAACGTCTCAGCGTTTTTAGTTTATCGGACGGGAATTGGAACTGGAAGGGGAAGGGGAATGGTTGTTTTTTTTTTGGCTGCTGTTACTGCTGTTGCTGATAATGGATGGATGGCATTGTCTTTCTGTTTTACCTTCTTTCTTTCTTTCTTTCTTTCAGATACCAAGGAATCGAATCAAATAGCGCCTGCGAGATGCGAGATGCGAGATGCCTGGATTATTAAAGATACTGGCGTAAATGGATGGATGATGGCTGTTAAGAAATAAGTAGTAAATCATACTGATTAATTAATTCATCGGGGTTTTCTGTGCATGCCATATTTATTTGTGTGTGTGTGTGTATGTATTTGATGAATTTGTGAGAGAATGAATGGATGGATGGATATTGAAATATGGGTTTTTGGTTAGGTATTTGATCTATCTATACCTAGGTATTGTGTCCTGAGATTATATTACATGCTAGTGGTATGATATGATATGTAGATGCAGTCTCCTCCAAATATTTATTGTAGGATCTTAAAAACACCAAGCTTCTTCATTTGAAGTCTCTTTGCTTGGTGGTTTAGGAAGGGTTAGTTGATAACTAGGTGTCCGTTCTCGGAACCAATAGCCCTCCGTCATCAATCCAGATATCCTGAATACCCATAACAGCTTTTTATATAATAGTAAGCTTTTACTCTCCCTTGGGTTTCCAAACATCACCCGGTAGTTTCACCGGTAATGTAGCACTACGGAATTGCAGCATCTCGGAAGCGATTCATCTTTGGTCACTTGAGTACCAAGACACCATAGAGAGTCCTCCATATGTTTTATGCTGGTATTTTGGTTGGCCTGTATTTCCGTGGTCCAACTGGACAACTTATTCCGCTAGATAATCCTCTGCTTCAACCCCCACACTCCTTGCAATCCCCCTTACTACCTCCCAGCCAACTGCAACTCTCCATCTACTACCTCCGTCTAATGTATCTGCCGCATTTGCACTTCCCATCTTAGCGATTAAGCGCAAGCTAGCTAGTGTGGCAATAGCCATTTGTATGTCTGCTTCTCCCGCCCCCAATCCTTTCGTTTTCCTTTTGCCATTTCCATTTATAGACGAATAGCGGCCCCGCCCGTCGGCATCCTCGAGTAATACGTGGTAGATGGCAATCATTCTTTCCAATAGGAATGCTTGAGGCCCTAGTAGTTTGCGAGGGATTTTGCGAGATTTCGAGACGCCAGGGCGGGAAGCTGAGGCTGTGAGCGCTGTCCCACCGCCGCGCTTTTTACGCTTGAATGTTGACGTGTGCTGCAGGAAATGATGCTGATCTATGCGAGGGGGGTTGTGGGAAGCAAGATAGGAAGCGATGAGGAGAAGACGAGTGTGATATGGAAGATGGGTTGTGATTGTGTTTTGTATTTGAGGCTTGGTGGTGCTTGTTATCGCTTTTATCGAACTCGTGGTAGGAGCAAGTATAGATGGCGTCAGAAGGGTATCATTTTGGAGAAGTGCACGATTGGCAATAAGAAGGCGAGAGAATTCGTTAGACGTGTATGTCCCATTAAGTATTGGTTGTATAAATGTAGGCCATAATTGGAGGCAGATTGTGCGAAACGAGAGGAGGTCACGCCCTGAATGTTTTGAAAGTGAATCGTAAATTGTCGGAATTAAACGTTCCCAAATAGAGAAAGTTTCTTTGGAGCCGTCGGGGAGTCGGGGAGAAGGTTTGCAGGTACGGGAGAGAATTGTCACGAGTTCGGATTTAGTGTATGACGGGAATTGAATATGAGGGATCCCAGGAAGATGGAAAAAGCTAGGTCGAGGAACTGTGGTGATAAATATTGTCGTAAGATGGGGGATCTATGCGTGTTAGAATACAGACTGCGCTGTTTGTTACTGGAATTGAACATACAATTTCACCCATTCGGGCTAATGCTGGTAGCAAAGTTGGAAGAGCTTCTTTTTGCCGATCAATGCCATCAAACACAAGAACAAATCTTTGTTTCGTGGCTTGTGCCTCATTTGTGGAAGTCCAACCTTCGAGTAGCTTTCCTACCTCGACGACTAACTGTGCAAGACTCTCACATCTTGGTATATTCCCCCTCCATTCCACAGCATTCGCAACAGCTCCTATCGTTTGTTCCAACAAATGTCTTCCTGATATACATTCCGCGCTTTTAATTATAGAATATTTTAATTCATTGCTGAATTGCTCTTCGGGAACGTCGTCGCGCACCGGAGAATTGGCTGATAATGCTTCGAGGATGGCTTTCGTAATGGCAGATTTCCCCGTCGCTTCAAGTCCATGAAGTACAATATTTTTGCTTGGAGCTGTTTGAATCTAGAAATTTCATTTGATGTAAGCGTGCATTCTGATATCACTTGCGACTCGAAGGAAGACTTACAGAAAGTAAAGTAGCTAATGATCGAATCTGCTGGTCTCTACATGGGAACTGAGATGATAATGATGCGAGAACCAATTCATCTGGTAAAGTAAACAGGGCAACCATTTTGATTATAGTTATTACTTCTTCCCGGTTGATTTCGATGAAGATTGACTGATTATGAGGATCATGCAGCTGGATGGGTAGTACTGTACACTTACTCACAAGGCTGATGAATTGACTCGCTGCCGAGTATTTGCCTAGCGTGCCTAGGCGCGTGAGCACGTGAATGAATTGTTTTAATGCCCGAGCGGGAGTTTGCATGGTGCATCTACCGACTTCTTACCCACATGCCCACATTCGCCCTGTATAGTATGTTCATTCATTCACTAATAAAGTATCCTAGATCCGTTGAATCTGGATTCATTGAATGCCTATTTCCACTTTTTTACGTACTTTCTTCTTCTTCTCTAGTTACTCCAGTGCCAGTAACCTTGGTATTGCTCGACTATGTTCTTTTTTTATATGGAATACTCATACAGTATATACTCTACCGTCCGTTTCGAAATGCGAATAGCCTTCAACTTCCACTCCTTGTGAACCAAAATACCAACAACCTATTAGTACTTGTCCCTGATCATCGCCATTCTTGGATTCCGTATACTTCACCCAGCTATGATATGAAGGCAGTTGGGCTACTGTGATGCAAACCACAAGCTTAGGGATCCCATTACTGTAACAAGCATTAACTCGGTTCGCTGTTGATACTTGAAACTAAGCACCAACTCTTGGCTATTTTGTGCCTGCCTCAAAGAAATATTGAATATTAAATATTAATTCAAGATGACAAGTGTTTTCACCACGAAGAGACCCCATAAAAAGTCAAGGGCAGGGTGTCAAACCTGCAAGGCAAAAAAGATCAAGGTATATCCAGTCATTGCCCATTTGTGGTTTATGCTCACTGACCATCAATGAAAGTGTGATGAAGCAAAACCAAAATGCTCTTTTTGTGACCTAAGAAAGCTTTCTTGTCAGTATATACAACCGGCTACCAAGGATGCCGGGACTTCGAGTTCTACGAATCCCAAGCAAAATACATATTGGGAGAAACCTGGTACTTCTGATGAGCCTGTTCAGTCACTCCAAGTGTCCTGGGACTTTAGAAATTCGCCATTCCCTCCAATAACTGCAGCTACTGGGGTCCTTTCCATGATGGATGTACGTATGATGCATCATTATTCTGCATTTACAGGACCAATTGTGGCTCTCGGACCTGAAGCTTGCCATGTAATGCAATTTGCCGTCCCATCTCTAGCCTTTGAAAATGGGTTTCTAATGAATGGCATGTTGGGACTGGCGTCTCTTCATAACCAACATCTACTCCCACAAAGCGAGGAACATAAACGACAAACAGCTCTTTACCGTGCAAAGGCAATTCGCGATTATCGCGCCGCAATAATGACCGTTACAAAAGACTCGAAGAATTACGAGGCAGTTCTTGTAATGGCATTACTACTTGTAGTGCTCGCATCAGGAGACCGGAATGATAATGATGAACTCACGGTAGTAAACTGGATGGGTTTATATAGGGGATTGCGTCTTATCGTTTCGATGAAAACCCCTGATGGAGGTGTAAACACCACACCTGCTGTCGGTCCATTGTTCGTCCGAAATATAAATGATTTGCTCGCTACTCCCATGGTCCCTACTGTTTTAGTAGACATGCTCTACATGGATCCCAGCGATCAGGACTTCGGAGACTTGGAGGTATATTGCCAAACTTTGGATACTCTAGGAAACCTTTATGCAAGTCTCCGTCAGGATGAACTTAGCGAACCTTTGTCCATCCGTATCATCTCGTGGCCATCTTTTACACCCCAGGCCTTCACGGATTTAGTAAAGAACAAACGGCCGAGAGCACTTATTATTTGCGCTTACTACATGTCGTTTATCAAGCTCGTCTCTGGACTTTGGTGGCTTGAAGGTCTAGCAGATCGTGATCTCTTCGCCATCATTGAAATGCTGGGTCAAGATTGGAATCAAGTACTAGATGTTCCAATGGAAATCCTGCACACCAAAGAGAAACAAAAGATAGTTGAAATACTACTTCGGTAATATCCTCCCCAACATACATTGAAGAAACTCTACGTCGTGGATGATGAGATGTTCGAGGCTTAAATTAGACAAACTAGAGCAACACATGTTCAATGCCTCATTGGATGGTTATTTAACCATGTTTCATGTTGGTTTCGCCTCTGAGATTCAATCTATGCCATGGAGGAATTGACACATGTCCAAGCAGAGAGTAAACTTGGAGAAGACAAAAGTTCCGTCACACCATGAAGTCAATTCTTGTATGACCATTGAACGGCATATGACTTATCTGCAGTCTCCGAACGATTTTGCCCTTAGCAGCACGCTATAATAATCTCGATCAGGACGACATCTACAGGATGTATAATTAAAAGCATGTGAAAGTCGTCAATGATCCTGGCTAAAGGATCAAAAAATTGACAGTCTATTGAAACGTTTTTCGCAGTCAAATAACCATCATTCAGAACGTCGGCTCACGAGAAATACTGCGTATCACCACACATAGCAAAAATAAGACATGAAAGCGACACAATTGCTGCGCCCTCTTCAGATCAGGTTTCAGTGTCCAGGGTATCCCGAAAGAATTAATACATATTTTGCAAAGACTTCTCTCGGAAGCGACTTTCTCCTGTCAGACTCGCCTCAAAAGCTGGCCACCATAACCCTTTTCCGTTTGAGATTGGGGCGGGGCCAGAATAGAATCTTATGCAGGGGTTCATCCGTTACAGGGCTTACATCAATTATTTTGACTTAATAGTTCGGATGAAAGGTAGCCGAGCTTATCAGATGATTTTCCGTCAGCCCTAGGGGTCTGGGGTGTTTTGTATGTTGTTTTATCGAGGTGTACGGACGTACAGGACAAATATAGGATGAATTCGGTTGGTTATAAGGAGCTTAAACTTTAGGTGGTGCATTTGCGACCGATATGAGTCGCTGTATCGGTTTCGGATTGTAATTGAATGCGAGGGGGTCAATTTGAGTATGTCATGATCGTGATGTGAATGGTGAATAGCGATTTTTTTTTAGTGCGGTGTTCAAAATATCAAAGAACAAGGCTCTGTGCGATTGTTATTTAACTGAACAGTTTGTCTTTGTTTAATTTTTCATTTTTTCATCTCGATTTCGATCTTCACATCACTTATCCCTAAAATTTATTTGCTCGTCTCAATTTCTTTCAGTCATTCAGTCATTCAGTCATTCAGTCATTCAGTCATTCAATCATTCAATCAGTCAATATATAATTTTTGATTTCATACCACAAACGATTAATAATACTTCACCATGCATTTCAGCAAAATTACATTCATTCTCGGTGCTCTTCCCTTCACCTTCGCTGCATACGGTGCGGCTGATGCTAGCTCATCCTCCACTGCCGTCACTCCCTCCATCACCACCAGCACATCTCCTTCCGACCCGACCCATACCATCCTCGTCGGCGCTGGTGGTGAACTCACTTTTTCCCCTAATGAAACTAAAGCCGATGTAAACACAACTCTCGAATTCCACTTCTATCCCAGAACTCACTCGGTCGCTCAAGCTGCCTTCGCATCACCATGTAATGGCTCCGGCTTCTTCTCTGGACCAATCGCAACGACTAGCGAGGAAGGCAACCTGACGGTTTTCAGTGTTCTTGTTAACGATACAAAGCCAATCTGGTTCTATTGCGGATTTCCGGGACACTGTGAGGGTGGAATGGTTGGTGCTGTTAATGTACCGTAAGTTCTTTTTTTTTCGCTTCTCTCCCTCTTATCTTTCCTTACGCATACCATCCGCATATCCTTACTAACATTAACATAAAATCAGATCCGATAATACCAAAACCCTAGAAATGTTCTCAGACGCAGCAAAGAAACTCGCGAAAAATGCTACTGAGAACCCGCAGGGAACCGTAGGTGGCACTCTTGCGCCCGTGAAGGAGGATTCGGCCTCGGGATCTAGCACTACGTCGACGGCGGGTAGTAGTGCGACGGCTGCGACGACAGGGACGACAGCTAGTTCTTCTAGTGGTGCGGGGATTAGCGGGGTGGGGTGGATGACGTTTGCGGGTGCGGTGGGTGTTGCGGGGCTTTTGTGTGTGTAAGGGTTATAGGGTGTTTGGATTTGAACAAAAAGAGGAGCTGAGTAGTTGTTCGTATTGAGGGACTAGATGAGGTGTTTGTTGGTACGAAGCATCTAGGAATTTTGCGTTCATTTATGATGTTTTTGGCCTCGCACTGAGTTGTTTCCTGATTTTGAGTATAGTTAATTCATATAAATCATTTGGGATGAAAAATACATTGATTGTAATTTTTATCTCTATTCAATCTCTGACTTAATGTGATATTATAATCTTTTTATCTTTGATTTGTTTTATAAATTATTTCGTTTTTTGAAAAATTATATTCAAATTATAAATAATAAATTAATAAAATTATAGTTTAATAATTATTTATTAATAATAAATGAAAATTTTTATTAAAATTTATAAAAAATTACAATTGATTATCTTAAAATTAAAAATATTTAATATATATTTTTATTATTCTTATAATTTATCGAATTATAATTTCTCAAATTATAATTTATAATTAATTTATATCATAAAGCGAGTTTTTAATATTTCGACCACTACATTCGACAGGCCACTGATGCGCTTCGTCTCTGTTTTACGTAACCCTCAGCACACGCTAACGGCATCGTTCATATGCATCAGTGCGAACTCCACCTCACCAAAATTCAAGGTCTTTATCCATCACCATTTCCTGTTTTCAATATCACTATTTTAATTAATTAAGAGCTAAAAATGATTGTATTCAAGTTATTAATCGTGGCCTTTTTATTTCTTTATTCCTCAATACTTTTTTTTACCTCAACCAGCAACATCTACACTCCAGACATCTCCAATGCGTACTAACCTTCTTCCGTATCTGTTCTGTTCGCGTGTTATTACATCTTTCAATATCCATCCTTTGCAATGCTTTTCTTGTCACAGTATTACATCCACTTCGCTCATTCTCATCGTCGTCCTCCCCCTCTTCCCCATTTTGTTGTCCTCTTCGTCATCGTCTCCCTTTAACTCCGAACTTGAAAGCTTTATGGACCGGATGTTCTTCTTCTTCATCGAAGCTTTATTCTTTTTGACAGGAGGAGTACTAGTATGCTTTTCTGGACAGAAAAAATGAGCTTCTACTTTTGCAGTATTGAAATGATTACTATCATTTCGTTCTCGTAGTCATAGAACACACAGAACTTCCATTTCCCTTGATTTGTAACAGTAGGGAAAATTATCATACTGCCTTTCAATGGGCTGGTACGAACAACCCATTTCGTTGCAATTGGTTGATTTTCTATTCACATATTTCTAATGTCTGCTCATTCGTTCACTTCCTTCTATAGATCGATTTGAAGCTCATTGTAGGATTTTTAGAAGGGATCGTTGATATTGAGCGTAACGTATATAAATCCATATATTTTATTATTGATATATCAATCGAAAACGAATCAGAAATATAAATCACGTGTTATATCCTCTATCATAGGATTAGGCTAGGGCTTTAGCCAGGGGGGGGGATAATCGATGCCGGGTACTTGGAGTGCCAATGTCAGAGGAGGTAATTTCGATTTGGAAGGGAGAGGTGTTGGAAGTTAAAAATCGCCACTAGGGCTAGACCCTGGCCTGATTTAGATTAGAATCAGGCAGTGCGGTGGCAGTACAGTAGTATTGGGTCCATGCTGGTAGGCCTACAAGTGGCAAGGGGATGATTTCTAGCTAGAAATAATGGCTACCCCACTACTTTAGAATAATTAAGCAATAAGAGTTCTTTTGTCCTCAACAAGAGGATGGTGGTACTGCGTAGTAAACAGGAGCTTTTGGAGTGCCAGTGGAAGCGGTAATGGCAGCAGCTCTACTCCTTTTCATTGCTTCTTTTTTGACTTTCGTGCATTTGAAGGAGGTTTATGGATCACTTTGATTGATTCTCCACGAGTGTTTGCACCTCCCGAGCTTTTTTTGAAGCTGTAAGTTAGCGCGCAACCTTCTGGGGCGGAAGGGGTGGTGGATCTTCCTTCCCGGCGGGGTGTTTTGATCCCCTAGTATGGGCCATGATTCCTACCAGAAAGTTAATTGATTTGGAGCATTAATGGTGGAGATATCAAAGGTTGTTCAATAAACTCATGGTTGAGATTCCCGTTTTGAGCAAAAATAACCGGTTAACCTTACATATCAAGTGAAGAACATAAAAAAGTGGTTTTGGAAGCTTGTTGTTCGCTGCCACCTTGCATTCTGCATGCTCAATCATCCAATCCAAATCCCAAACAAATAGGCAGTTTCTTTCGGAACAAATACTACTTGTTGATAGTAATCATTGGCGATACTATATAGACTCTAGGCCTAATATGGCTTAAAATCATTTCCGAAGGAGGCTCAATATGCTCTCAACCCTACCATATTCTTCCATTATATACCGCGGCTGTACAATTTCTACGCTACTTTTCCTTTCTTAATGTATCGGTGGGAGGAGGGGAAGGAAAAGAATAATGTTGGGCAGTAATAAATTGTTTTGCATGAACGTTGATGAATTTGCATTTCAGCTTGCAATCTACACCTGCGCAAACCTCTGAATGTAGATTAACGTTTCCCGACCCCCTGCAATTTCTTACATTTTCATACGGTAATTCTCCCTGCTTATCAACTTCTACCAGTGAACATTGCCCACGACAAGTTGTTAATCTTCATCCTGTATAAACGAAAGGTTGCGTTGCCAATAGGCCTGGCTGTTGATAGAAAGCTGTGTGGGTAAGTGATACGTCTCCCCACCTCCGCCACGGGGTGGGAGAAACAATGAACATAATACCATATTTTACTCGGGTTATGGCCCAGCACATTTTACCCACTTTGAAACTCAGCAGTGCTCTGATCACCCTGCTCTTTCAATTCGAAAGCTTTATGTACTATTCTTTATTGCCTCAAGAAAAGGCTCATAAATTCGCCGAAAACCACCCCCCTTACAAGCTAATTGGAGATGGCAATCAAGACAGCTGTCATCGAGAAGCAAGACATAATGTCCTCAAAGGAAATGTATCGTATCGATGGACAAATATTCGAACAATGGCAGAAAGCAGTTGAGAGATTTCAAAGATCAAATGTTCTTACAGGTCAGCAAAAGGAAAATGCAGACCGTTTATCCAAGCCGAATATTGAATCCTGGCTTTCGGACTTCAAGGAGAGCAGACACCGAGACACTAGATTTAGGAACGTCTGCAAGGCTGTTAGCCAACATTTCTACATCATACAAAATGGATTCAGAGTCATCGGATTTGGCGGCAGTATAGCTTCCTCCGTCAGTATCTCAGTAATATATGTTGATCGGTTGTCGCTAATATGCGAAAATTATAGATCTGCCCTGCAGCTTTGCCCGTGTCTCTTGTGATGAACGCATTTGCCTTTCTGTTTGGTTCGCTGGTGAAAGTGTCCGATGACTTCGAAAAAATTGAGCTTTTCTTCAGAAAGATAGCAAATACCATTCGCCATCTTCAAAACTTGAACGGAAAACTACATCTGCCTGAAATGCAGCCATTGCAGGAATATATCGTTGAAGTTTTTGTCTGCTCACTGGAAATATGCAGAATTGGACTCCAACAGACGGAGAAAAGATTCAGTAAGCAGATACAAGGTGATTACAACAGATAGATATAAAAATCCAACGATGGCATCTAGGGAAATGGTTAAAAAAGATGGCAGGAGATGATGAGCTAGATGCCGCCTTTAGCAAAATGCAGGAAGCCGAACAAGAATTCAGAAAGGCCATTGATGTGGTAGATTTGGCGATGGTTGCTGACATAAAAACAGGTTTTTCGAGAAAAGAGTTTCGGGAAATACTAAATTGGATTTCGTCCGCTGATGGTTTCAAAGGAATTCATACGGATCTGCTCAATGTAGTGAAATATAATCCTAATGCTGGCCGATGGCTTTTACAATCTGAGAAATATAAGAAGTGGAGGGACGATGACTGCAACATGTTGTGGTATACGGGGGCACGTGAGTTATACCCACCAGGTGTTCGCTCTGCTCTGTTACTTATTACTGCATGTCGAATTTAGCGGGAGCTGGGAAAAGTGTAATGGCATGAATACCACTTATGGATCATTTCGAAGTTCGATACCATGTATCTAACCATTTGACAGGTCAATAATTATCAAGGACCTTCTGAACTTGCCTCCTCAGGCTAATGAACTTTCAAAAAAGCCCGCCATCGGCTACGTGTTTCTTTCTTACAAGAGACCGTCGGATTTGGACATCCTTTTAGGAATCATTGTGCGACAGGTACAATCCACCTGCGACCTTCATAGAGAGATCAAGAAAAGATTCGATGAGTGTTACGACAGCGGGCAAAAACTTGGGCAAGAAAAGCTTCTGTATTTCCTATCCCTGCTCATTCAAGGGAGGCGCTTGTACATTGTTGTGGATGCAATGGATGAGTGCCCGTGGGATCTTCGCAAACCACTTTTGGATTGCTTGAAGAAGATCAAGTCGGACAATGCTGTTGTCAAAATTTTTATTACTTCACGATTCATGGAGAACATAATCGAGTACCAAACGCCCTTCATTACAGATGAAATCAAAGCCAATCGCAAGGACATCGATGGTTACATAAAAAATACCATTAATGAATATCCCAAATATTTGGAGGAATTTCGCGAGTTGATACACAAGGTTGTACGGGAAAGATCAAGGGACATGTGAGCGACGACCCTCCATAATGCAACATCATGGCTGTGCTGTGTTCTGCTAACGCTTGGAATTTGGTCAGGTTTATAATCGTTCGTCTACACATGGAGGCTCTTATCCATGTACAAGTCAAGGCTCAAGTCAGACCGACCCTCGAAAAACTACCGATGACTCTAGATGGCACATACGAGAGCACCTTTCAACGCATCCAACAAAAGGAAACGCAATCCAAAGATATCGCTGAATGGGTTATCGCATTGGTTTCATATGCCATCGATCCACTATCAATCCGAGAACTGCGTCACGCCCTGGCAACTATTATGACAATCAATAAAGACAACTTGTTCGACGAGGATGATATGGTCGAGCAAGATGATATTACCAATTACTGTTGCGGTCTCATTGTCATTGATATCGACCGCGACGTCAGATTCGTCCACAGGTCGGCCCATGAATATTTTGAGAAAATGAAGACACATATATTTCCCGACTTTGACTATCAAATGGCGCTTGCTTGTACAAAGTATTTGACTCTCTGTGCTACCAGCGACCCAGGCGATTTTAAAATTCGGAGAAGATTCACGGACCAGATTGATAAGAGAAAGGAAATCGAACGACCTATCACCGAGAAGCTGAAGGATTTTCCTTTCGCTGTCTACGCTGGGAAGAATCTTCACTTGCATATTCATCGAGCCAGACACCTGCTAGAGGAATCAAGCCTTCCGGGAACCAATAATAAGCTTAGTGAATGGATTCAGCAACTCGTACATAAAACACCAAGCCGGCAGCTTTACTCTTGCCTTCTGCATCAGTTCGAGGCCTATTACAGTAAATCTGATGTTTTGGATGACTACAATGTATCTATAGTCTCAAATCGAACCACTACGCTGGGCATTATACATATGGCTGCTTTTCTCGGAAGTAAACGGCTAGTAGAAAAAGCAATCAAGAGTATTGACGTCAACGATATTGATTGCCACGGTCAATCAGCTTTGGTGGTCGCATTCAAGAACAACCTTGATGACATAGCAGAAATCCTTTTGGATCATGGGGCCACCGTGAATCTTTTAACTAGGAAGGGGCATGCCCTGCTCTTGTTCGCTGCCGAGAGAAATTATTCCAAGGTCGTGGAGAAAATAGTTGTAAACGTACCCAATGATGGATCCGACGGCCTTCTTAAGATTTTTGGGCTTGTTCTGATACTCGTTGGGACCCTTCTCGAGTTATTAGTGCAGGCCTTAAATCTTCAAGCTCCTAAAAACATAGAGCCAGTAAAGCCAGAGACAAGAGACGGCACAAAAATAATGTATGACCACTCTCTGGATGATTACAGAAGGCTCCTCTCATTTGCATCTCAGGGCCAGTGCGAAGACCTTGACGACCTCTTCGCGGACCTTAAGATTGACCTGCAGCTCATTGAGTACGAGGATTCCTCTTCGGACAAATCAAAACCCTCTTCGGTTTTCTATAGATCATATAGGAGCTATGAGGATATGCTTGATTACAGTAGTGAAGACAGTAGTGATGAAGACAGAATTAAGGATGAAAGCAATGGAAGTGAATCTTACAACGAAGACATGAGCATAAAAGGTATCAGCATATATCCTGGAAGCAAGTCCTCCAGCATTGAGAGCGCACAATCTGAGAGTGACAAAGACGAAGATGGCGGTATTAATAAACTTGGTAACATATTTCAAGAAGACATCACAGTTATTCAAGGACTCAATCAGGTGAGTAAAAACCTCGAGTCTAACAACAGCATTGAGATAGACAGTAACATAAACAAGAATGCCGTCAAGGCATTGTTCATCAAAACTGCATATTTCCTCGCCATAGAACGCGGTCAATGTGGCGCGCTAAAGAGTCTACTACGAAACACCATTGACATCAATCTAAGAAACTACCAATACCAGTCACTTCTTCACCGTGCAACTGCAACGAACAATGAGGAAATGGTTAGAATTGTACTCGAAAAAAAGCCAGAAGTGGACTGTCGAGATGACAATGGCAGGACAGCCCTCATGGCTTACGCCGACCTAAAACGCGAAAAAGGTATGATCAAAAAATTTGTACCAACAGTAATTGCATACAATCTATACTGACATCCATGGATTCCACAGTCTTGCAGATTCTCTTACATCATGGTGCTCGTATAAATCTAACGCATAGACATGGATCCTATGAGCTGTTTGCGGCGGCTCGTTTTGGAGCAATTGAAGTAGTGCGGTTCTACCTGAAAAACGAAGTAAATCCGTCCATCGCGAATTATTTCGGGTTGACACCACTTCACGCTGCAGCAGCCAACGGCCACTTGGAGATTGTACGACATCTCCTGGAAGCTAAAGCAAACCATTCTGCCATTTCATCTAGCGGTTTGACGCCTCTTAACTGTTCCAAGTCTGGGATTGACTGGTTTAATGACCCTGAAAATCCCGGGAAAAGGCACTACAGCTACGTTAAAAGCCAACAGAAAAATTTTAGCCCGGAAGACTTGATCGAGAGAAGAAATATGATTGAGAGTGTCCTGAGAAGAGCTGGTGCTAAAACATCTGCAGAGTTACTCAGAGATATTGGAGAGGACCAGTTCAAGTACGGACTAGGTGGCCAGTATTCACATAACTACTAGGGCGAAGAATATGCCGAAAACATCAAGTGTATCTGAGGGAGTTTGGAATGGCGAAATTAATTCTATATAAACTTTTTTTATGCATGTTTTTACTTTAAATGATTACTATTAGTCTTTTTACAATTTATCTTAAAACTGTTAAAACACATAGTACATAGACTAGTATGATCTCATGCGCTAGCTAGTTCATTTCTTCGAAGTGGATATGTACCATAATATTGTATGTATGTGTGAAGTATTTTTCGTCCGAGGCTTTGTGCGAAGCACGAGCCTCCAATTCCCAAGTGGGACAAAGGACGTCAGGGGAGGAAGGCCTATGGGTTTCTAGCTAGCTATATCTAAATTTATTCGCATTGTATAGGCTGGGTGCTTTAGCAGGGCTTACATGATTGCCGTCGCTTGTCGATTCAATCCCTCGAGCAAATATTTCAGCTGTCCTCCACAATACGGATAGATCCTCTGCCCTTGATCTCTTACTCTCCCTGTCGACACAACTTCATTTTAATATGGCTTTTTTTTAGTCTTTGTGATGGATTGCAGCCTGAAGGCTGGAATCTTGTAGAATATTCTGCTAAGGTTCGATCCTATTATCATTGTGTATATAATTTACATAGCCTTGAGGCCAACTCAGCTTCTTTTCTCTTTAGCTTTACAATAAACGATTATAGGTACTTCTTACCATGTCATCTTGAACTCTTCTCAGTATTATAGTGTTTCTTTCGCCCAAAAAAACTATCCCAATTCTAGCCCAACATTTAAAAGCATACCAAATATAGACAAAATGAAAGAAAGTAGAATGAATAAAGGAATAAATAATAAGGCTTGGAGTAGTTTACCAATCTAGATTGTCTTCAGCTAGCTTTGCGCCTGCTTTAGCAGTGCCCAGGAGCTATGGTATAACTTTGGAAGGTAGCTTTTCCGCAAGGGTTATAATAACGTTTCCATCTTTGCATAAATAGAAGTGGAAGAGTGATTTTCTTTTTCCGCATGAGCACAGTATATAAATATTCTCGTGGTTGAAGCGAATATCCTACGAAATCGCTGTGTTGTGTTTTAGCTGTTAGTATATAGCTTAGTATTCTTTTATTCAAGTAGATCAGGTCCATCCGATTATTATATTTCATACCTAAGTCAATATAATATGTAGAGGCCATAGTCATCCATAATCTGATCCTTGCTTGTTTAGCATTCGATTTGGCAATTCTTTTCAGCGAGGCAAGTGTACAGGACATCAGGCGAAGAAGGAAGCGCTGCTCCCTCTTTGGCCGCCATATCTGCTGCCTTATTGCCAGAAATACTGAGATGCCCAGGGACCCATCGAATTTCGAACTGAGCCAGTGCAGTTATGCGGAATAATAAATAAAAGGTCATATTTTGAACTAATGATGATCAAACAGTTGAATACATATCTTGAGCTATGCTCAATACCAGTTGCCCATTGCCCTGTTTCTTATGCTATATTACTAGTGCGCGGCAAAGTAAAGCGAAGAAGTAAAGCGAAGACTGCAACATCCCAAATCAATCTGAACATATTCAGCAAGTAGAAATGCTGTCTGATTGTAGGCCCACTACTCTTCGAAGAAATCAGATGTAAATCGTACAGGAGAAGTTGTGCACCATTCATTCTGGTTTTAATGCAGAAGCAATCGAATTGATTCGACCTTAAATTTTCATTTCGCAATCGTACTGCAAAATTCCATTCCCTTTACCCATGTCCTACGCTACGTCCAAGCCAACCTCTCACACCTGTGAAAACCCAACACAACATCATTCGTTGAATTCATCGTCTCCCCTCCATAATGATCCAAGATCTCAGCACAATGATCCGCATGTTCCAACTCCAAGGACTTATCATCCAAATAATCCGCTCTCTTCGCCACACCCAAAGCCAATTTCCTCCAGAGAAAAAAACAATGCGTCGAATGATACATGTGCGTAAAAACATGTTTTCTCTTTCCGGCCCACAGATCCGCAGGCGGTATTTGGACAGAATAGGTGGCATCGGTGTACCATTTTCGGTCTTCGAAGGGTGAGTATTGTTTGCTCAGTTCTGGAAAATAACATTCTTGTGGTACCCAGCCGTATATCATGGGTTCCATTACGCAGCCTTTTGCAAGCGCTTCTTCGGTTGTTGAACCACAGTCAAGGTATTGCGGTAGATTTGGATGTCTGTGGGACCATGCCCAGAAGGTGCCGATGGTGGTCAATACCATGAGAACTGCGCAGACGAGTCCATATACAAGTCGTCGGCCAGTTGAAATCGTTTTTTGTTTCTCTGGAGGAATGGAATCTTCCTCCAGTGGCAACTGATCATATTGCACACGTTTTAAGTCCATGCTAATTGATTGTGTCTTTGTGTCCCTATAACTAGACTCCGTATTTTTTCAAGACTTCTCGAAGAAAATTTTTGCAGAGACAGAGATGGAGCCAGTAACAACTTCAAAGTTGTCAGAGAAATGGGATGTGAACTTTCCGCCGATTTCAGAAATCCACTAGTACCTTGACGTCAAGTGCTGCAGAAATAATAACAATGACCAGAAACAACTTAAAGATCAAGCAGCCGACGTGGGAGTCACAATCTTATCGAGAAATTCGTAAGAATTTAGTGACAGACGGCTAGTCTTGCAGGGAATTTTCTACAGCACATGCAGCACCAAGTTTTTCTGGGACACTGATCCTCCGAATATGCATCTGTGCCGGTACCCTGGAAGATAATCCCACTTTTACAGAATTAGGAAGGAGGTTAAAAGTACGTCAGATATTCGGATATGATATCTTGATGAGCATTTTCTTATTTATATCTTTCACCACATCCTGAAATATAGTTATTCAGGTTTACAGACAAGATTACTTGCACTTCTCATTCACAAATATCTTCCTCACGTCCAAAGTCATCATGAAGGTCACATACGCATTAACAGCCTTGAGCTTGCTCGGTGTAGCTATTGCTCTTCCCACTCCAATCGGTAATTAGGTAACTTTATTTGGATACAGAATAGCAAGCTAACTATAATAACAGAAAAGCGCGAGAAGTCATATGATGGTGGTTATACCGTAGGAGCGAAACGGGATGCTCAACCTGAAGAAGCTACCAATTATTTCTACGCTGTTGGAGCTGAGAATGAGAAGAGAGATGCTAAGCCTGAGGAGGCCACCAATTATTTCTATGTTGTTGGAGCTGAAACTGAGAAGAGAGATGCTAAGCCTGAGGAGGCTTCCAACTATTTCTATGTTGTTGGAGCTGAAACTGAGAAGAGAGATGCTAAGCCTGAGGAGGCCACCAATTATTTCTACGCTGTTGGAGCCGAGAATGAGAAGAGAGATGCTAAGCCTGAGGAGGCTTCCAACTATTTCTATGTTGTTGGAGCTGAAACTGAGAAGAGAGATGCTAAGCCTGAGGAGGCCACCAATTATTTCTACGCTGTTGGAGCCGAGAACGAGAAGCGGGATGCTCAACCAGAAGTAGCTCTGGATCTCGATTACGCTGTGGGCGCGGAGAAAGAAAAAGCCAACAATAACTCCTATATTGTAGGCCCAGAGAAGCGGGATAATTAGCCTGAAAAAGCCACCAATCTCTTCTATACTATACAGTAGGGCCGGAAAAGCGGAAGTCGAGAATGCTACGAAAGGGAGGTATATTTTGGAACAAACCTGGATGCGCAGCCGGAGCAAACCCCATTATTGTACATGTGGCGGAGTAGAGAAATTCTAGATCGCAAGATGATAGACTAGAAATGGTGATTTCATGAGACAAGATGATAGACATCGAGGATAGTTTCTATTGAATGTTGAATGCATGTCTAAACAAATAAATCACTTTACTTGAAAATTATCGCACCTGTCCATCATTTCCCTATCTTGAATTTCCGTCGCTAGAGTAATGATTCGTCCCCTCACAGGCTCACAGAACAAGCTTCAATATCATAACATCAGATTCTTACAATATCCATCAACAATAGGATCCACATGCATGCATGCAAAATGCCACATTACCACGAGGTTATGTAATGTGCGGAGCTCGCTTCTAGTCTTGGCCATAAGGGGAAGGAGGAATAAGCCTTGGCGTTCCTTCACCCCACAAATATGCACGCACGATCCAGCGCTTTGGACGTGTAAATAAACATCTTGCATCATCTGTCTACCATTGGTTTGGTACGACAGAAGACTGTGACGATCTTTCGTGTTCTTATCAAAAAGTGGCATTGTTTGTAACTTTGTGAAGATTCGTCAGGATACCGATGGTTTTAGTGCTTACGATGGATATCCATCATCTTGAAACTAATTGCTAAGATGGGCTCGTAATGCTGCTTGTGGAAGGTAGATAGATACTTGCGAATGTTTCTTTGACATCATTGAGGGGATTTAGACGAGTGGGGGGTTTGGTGACGGATTTTCGGTATTTCGTGATTTTCATGGTGGGTGGCTCTGCAATATGCCTCCTCGTATGGATTTTTCGATTCCCCAAACTGTGAGGCTGTATTACCTGCATTCAAAGTCATACTGGAGAGTTTAACATCGATTCGGCAATGAAGATGGGACATTCAGATGATTCAAGTGTACCATTTCTTGCGGATTTGGAAAATGAATACACGGCGGCCGAAAAATCTCATGCCTCACCACCTCGAGATTCTCCTAAATCCACGAAATCCTCGAAAGCGCAGACTTATTTCTGGATATCGTGTATTGTAGTCATCACGCTTCTTTCAAACACCGCAACATATGTCACCACGTATAAGTTTAAAGAAAATCTAGACAAAGCATGTGCTAAGCATACGGCTCAATATTGGAGTTAGTTACCAGAGTTTCATGATTCTCTCAAACACATGACATATGTACTGACTGTCATAGGTCCTATACTCGACAATGTAGATATTAAATATGAAACTGTTCGATTTAACGGTTCACTCTTCACCAACACGATATATAGAGAAGATCCTAGCCCAGAAGTCGATGAAGCATGGTTTAATCTTGGGACCAAATGTATGCCATTTAATTCTGTTTCACATAGCACAAAAGTTAATACTGACATACCGAAATAGACAAAGCAATGATAATTCCAATAGAAGATGGGCCTAGAGCTGGAATATCATCTGATCATTTCCGAGTCGATGAAAAAGATGGAGGTCCTGGATATCCTGCTACCGTTGAAGCGCTGCATCAATTGCATTGTCTGGTGAGAACCCCCACACCTAGATAGCACTTACTTCAGCAAATTCTAACCCGACGTTATAAAAATAGAATCTCCTCCGACAAGGTCTCTACTACAACTCCGACTACTACCACAAGCTCGGAGAAGGACCCTTCAAGAATGAAGAATATGTCTTGAAAGCCCATATAAGTACGTATATCCTCTACATCATCCTAATCCTAATCACTAACATCCACAATAGACCACTGTCTAGACAATATCCGTCAACGTCTAATGTGCTCGGCTGATACAGGCGCACATCCTTATCTCTGGGCTAAGTCTGGCAAAAATGCTCATTTGTATCCGGATTTCAACCGTGATTTTAAATGTAAGAATTTTGATGCTATAAGACAGTTTGCGGAGGATCATCAGGCACCGTGGCGTGAAGATGGTGAGTTGGATGTGCAGCCTAAGGAGGGAGAGGTTATTCTACCGGGGATTCCGTGAGGTGGAAGCTCATACGCGCTGGAGAATATTAACGCGTTATGCTCAACTTATGTTGTGATAATTCCATTATAATTACTTTCATAGTTACTACCTCAAAAACTTCATTTCTCGTGTTCCCACCCTTTAGCCGGAATCATGACGCCTCCAAAGTTTTCACTGTCCATACAATATTCGAATCCGACTAGAACCTTGTAACTCCACCATAGCCGATTTTTCCCCCCAAGTATCCTTCCCCTTACCTCTTCCCATCTCCATGGTCACCCACGCCCACCCACTCCATCCAATAAACCCACCTATCCTATCCTATCATGTTCGACTCCAACGACGATTCTTCATCAATACTTTCGTCTCCAAATAGCAATCTTATTCATGTTCCCGTCACATCATCATCATCATCATCACCATCGTCACCATCATCACCAAAACAGCATAACCCCGCCATACCAATCATCCCCACAATTCCCACTCTAACTTCCACCTCCCCCTTTCCCCTTTCCCCCTCCACTCCTCAATCTCCCATCCACTTCTCACTCTTTACATTCAAACCCCTCTCAAACCCACAACCTCCAACCAAGCCCCCACAACCGCCATCCCCCCAAACAAAGGAAAAATAACCGCCTGCGGAAACCCATCCCCAAACTCCGGATCCGTCGCCCTACTCCCCGGATACAAAATCGCACTCAATCCCGCAATCCAATACAAACTCCCCGCAATCGCCGCCGTAACCATACTATCCCTCACCATTTCCTTCCTCATTTCCTTCCTCATCCTCAACTCCAATGTTTCAGATTCTTGCTCTTTCTTCTCGACTTTCGCTTTGCGGTTTACGGTTGGAGTGATTGGGAATCGCCAGGTGTAGTATAGTGTTACGAGACAGAGTAGCACGCCCATAGACATTGTTTGGCCGTTGTGGAATTTGGCGTGGGGTGGCCAGCGGGGGTTGTAGATGTGGGTTTCGTTCCAGTCGGCGATGAAGGGGGAGATGCCTTGGCTGAGGGCGGAGAGGGTGAGGAGGATGCGACCGAGCATTTTGGTGATTTGGTTATTTGGATTTGGTGATGTAGTATTGTTGTGTACGTAGTATAGTTGTATGTCGTTTCAAGCGGCTCGAGTTAAGGCTAATCTTACCGGGATAGCGAAAAGAACAAGAGGTGGAGATAAATTTAGCTCCACTAGTAACTTTATTTAGAGTTACAATTAAGCTTCGCACGAGCAATATATAGTTTGAAATCTTATTTAGAAGATCGACAAACTCTCCAGCTTATACTTTCCTCGTCGGAGCTTAATGTTCAGCTCAGCCCCGCTCGAAACGTGAGATGGCGGTGAGAAATGGCAGAATTAAGGTTACGTCGATACGAGCATATATACGTACCTAGTAATCATCTTGGGGATATATTGTCGTGTTCAGACCTAATGGCCGATGGCGGTTTTACAAAGTATTGCATGATCATCAAAAAAAGAGGCTGGTTTTTGCACAGCTGCGGCACTGAAGGTACATCCATTTCATTTCTATTGATTAGGCATCTTCTGCGCTAATGTCACGCACAGAGGCTATTGAATGAGATGTACTAGTATAACTAATTAAGCCGCGCAGGCTTAGAAAATTGAACCTAATAATGAGGAGAATTACAAGAGGAGAATCCGTGTAATGTATGTCTGAGTGTTGATAAGTATATATTCTTTTTTGACCTGATTGTAACGATCTGGTCGAGGCAGCGGCTGCCTCAGGTTTTCGTATGGTTGGTAATTGTAGGTTAAGGCTAATAATCACTGATTATCCATTTGAAGATGAATATGTTACTAGATCAATTGAAATATAGATAAACTAATTGATAACTAAATTGAGTACAAAACTCTTAAATTATAAAACTATTTTGATTATATACTAATCCATTTTGGAAGCCTTTAGAAGCCTATACTTCTGAGAGCTCCAAAGAGCCTACAAGAGCCTACACTTCTAAAGGCTTCATTATATAACTAGGATCAGATTATATATCCGAGCTTGCTGAAAATGAAAAGATTATACAAAACAATTGCCATACAAATTTGTATACAAATTGCTTTGCTTTTCAACAAGATCAAAGTTTATAAAAACAAATTGATTGTTATCTTATAATATTTTATAAAATGATTTTGTAATACTATTTTTTTCTTAATTAAATGTTATCCTTGATCGTTTATAATTAGTATATAATCTATTAGTTTTTCGTTGTTTTATATCTTGATTTTTTTCCTCATTATAAATAATTTACAATCCAACAAAATTCATCGAAAGAACAAGGAGAAGTTCTGTTTTATAATTGAAATCGAAAATTCTAATATCGAAATGATTTTATGTATTCATTATTATACAAAAGACCTTTGTTGTATAAAAATTCTGAATAATTTATAAAAGACTTGTTATTCCGAATATATATAATCTTGTACCCTTTGTAATATAAAGTAATGTTTGGAAAATGATTAAAATAAAGAAATTCTTCGAATAAATAATTGAGAATCTTTAAATAAACAAAAGGAAAAACTTTGTAAAAAAGAAGAAAAGATTATAATTAAAATTCTCCATTTTCGAAAACAATAAGATTATTTACAGAATTATTGTAAAAAGATAACTAAACGAAATCTCAAATATCTTAATAAATTAAATATTTTGAAAAAAAAGAAAAGAAAAGAAAAAGAAGAAATTATTGTATCCTCGATACTTGTTGTTAATTCCGATTCTTTTAATCAATTTGATCAATTTGATTAATTTGATCAATTTGATCAATTAACCCTTGATCAATTTAATCAATTACTAATTAATCTTATCAATCTTAACGAAATTCCTATAAACGAATTCGATTCTTTCGATTCTTCTTTGCAAAAAACAATAAATTCTTTTTCTTTTTAGATAAATCCGAATTCTATCGATAAAACTTTTAATATTTCTTCAAATGTTTAATTTCTTTTTTAAGTTTTTATATATTTTCGGAATTAAGATAATTTTCTTATTTCATTAAATATTTGATCTTACCTTTAATATATTTATAATTTAATATCTTTTCTATTTTGTATTCGATATCTTGATTTGTAGATATAATTTCTGTTTTAGAAACTTTAAATGCTTTTGAAGATATTAATTTGAATAGGGATATATAAAATATTGAATGTATATTTATATTTTTTGATAATATCAATTTATAATTCAAAGGTCTTTTAACTTTTTTGATTTTGAATAATCTGAGTTTTTTGTAATTCAATTTTGTATTAGATTTTTTTATTTCAATGTTTTTTCGAAATAAATAGATTTTATCTTTTTCTTTTAATATTAGCTTTTAATTATATTTCCAATTGTAATAATATATATTTCTTTTAATAACGAATTTCAATTTTATTATTATTTCCTTATAAACTTTTTTGAATCTTTCTGTTTATATTATTATAAATTGATTCTTTATTTTCGTAATCCTTAACTTATAATATACAATTAGTTTGTATCTATAATTGATATAATTCGAAATGATTTATATCGTTTCTAATACTGAATTATTATATACGAATTATATTAAAAGTAAAAATTCTATTTAATTGTTCTATTAATAATTCATATAATATCGAAAATAAACTTCGACAATTTGGTTTATTCTTTTGTTTCTTTTATTGATTTGTAAATAAAATATAATAAACATTTTTCTTTTTATTTCTAATAATATTATTAAAACGATTCAAAATTTCGATATAAAAAGCTTATCCCTATTAAAAAATATTTCCTTTGATAATTTATATATTATTACAATCTTTTTCAGAAATATAAAGGTTAATATTTCTATAATTAATATTGTTTGATATAATATAAGTATCAAATATTTTGTTAATCTGTTTATTATAATAAGGAGATAATTGTATATTATTTTTATTATTGAATCCTTGGATTTTGATAATAAATCTATAAAATCCTATGATATTGATTTTTATAATATAAATAATATCTCAATAATATTCATCTGATTATAAAAAGTATAATAGGAAGTTTTATTTCTAATATAAATATTATACTCGATGATTACTTTATTGATTATATTACAAAATCCCGGATTCTAATATTATCTTTTGATTCTTAGATATATTCTTTATACTTCTTGATATCTATAAATTAATAATATATATTGTTTTATAATATATTTAAAAACGATACTATTTGATAATTATATTTTGTTTTTTATTCGAAACAATTTTTTAACAATTACTAATAATTCTGATTATTTGATATCTTTTTTATTTTGTTATATTTTTATAAATTTATCTTTTTAAATTTTTATTGATTTATTTTCTATAATAACGATTTCTGTTAGATTAAGAATAAAATCTTTATTTGATAAAGATTTCAAGATCACTGTTTTCTAATAGATTTTATTATCTTTATAATCTAATAATCTATTTAAAATATCTACTCTTGTATTATCTTTTCCTTTGATATATTTGATTATCAAATCAAACCTTACTAATTCCTCAATCTATCTAGTTAATTTACAATTATCCAAAACCTTAATAGTAATAAAGATTTGAAGATTTATATAATCAATATAGATAATTATTGGGAATTTAGCTTTTTAAAGATAGATCTTTTAATATTTCAATGTTTTTATAATAATTATAAATTCTTTTTTATAAATATTATAATTCTGTTTTGTTTTATCTATTTTATTTGAGTAATAAATAATAAAATATAATTTCTTATTATTGTTTCTTTGTAAATAGATTTCTATTATATAGGTATCAAAAGCATTTGTTTCGATAATACTTTTTCAATTATTATAATAATTGTAGAGAATAGATTCCTTTGTAAATCTATCTTTGATTTCTTAGAAAGTCTGTTTTATCTTTTTATTCTATATAAAAGTTATTCCCTTTTTGATTATTTCGATAAAAGATTTTATTATTTTTAAGAAGTTTTTTATAAATATTTAACAGAAATTAACAAATCCTAGTATAGATTATATATTCTTAATATTTCTAGATCTTTCTTAGTTCCTTATTTTCTTTATTTTCTTAGAATTTATATTCATTTGTTCTAATTGAATAATATATTCTAAGAATATTACCTTTCATATTCCAAACTTGTATTTCGATAATTTGAATCTTGAATCTACTTTTCTAAATACTTCGAATATTTTCAATATATATCCTTTATATTCCTTCTCTTTTTGAAAAAAGATTAGGATATTATTCAGATAACAGATTACAAATAAATTGAATTCTTTAAGTATCTTGTTGTTTTGTTGTTGATATATAATTAGTATATTGATTAGCCCGAACAATATAATTATGTATTTTTATAAATCTGATAATAAAATAAAGATTATCTTTTATTTGTAATCCTTTTTTATCTATATCAAGTTAAAAGTATTTTTTTGATTTAATTTTGTATAAATTATTGTTTTATTCAATTTATTCTTAAGTTTCTAAATTTTTGGTATTGAATATATATCTTTGATTATTTCATTATTAATCTAATGATAATCTTTGTAAAACCGATCATCTGGATCGCTTTTTTTGAATATCAATAATATATTGAATATATAAAAGGATTTGGATTTTTTAATTTATCTTTTTTTTTCAATTTTAATTTTGTATTCTTTTTATATTTGTATAATATTAGGATTGTATAATTTCAATTTCTTAATAAAAGATACAAATTCTTTTTTGAAATTGATTTTATAATTCTAAAGTTTATATTCTAATAAAGCTCTTAAATTTTATAGATCTTCGAAAAGCTTAACGAATCTTCTATATTGCACTAGAATTTCTTTTTCATCGATTTTATCGACCAATAGAAAATCCGTTGTTATTATAATATAATATCTGGTCTTTTTGGAAATCTATTTCTTCGGATTATATAATCATTCATTATTACAATTGTAATAATCAAATATTAAGATATCTTTTACCCAATCAATATTTGGATTATATTTCTTAATTTATAAAGTATTAAAGACAATTGTATATCTGTTCAATAATATTAAGTCCATTTTGATCTATTCGATATATTCATTTGATATAATTATCTTGATAATATTGATTTCTTTATATATCTAATTATCAATTCTAGTTTTCTTTTTTTCTAACAATATCAATTAATAAAAGTTCTGTTTTAATTTTATAGGAATTCTATTTTCTTTAACGAAATTGAGATCTATAAATATATTTATAACTTCAAAATCAATCAAAGTATTTGTTTATTGATTCTTTAATTTGATTTTTATAATCAATTATCCGATCCTTATAATATTATTTAATTCTAATAATAATGATTCGATAATTTGTTCTTCAATAAAGAGATTTAGTTATTTATATTAATATTTGTTTATATTTAATAATTGATAGGATATAATGAATAATAATCCTATTAGTTTTATTTGGAAATCTCGATAATAATTTCAGTTTGATATTTCTTCATTATTTTTGTTGATCCTTTGTTAAATACAACAAGTTTTGGTTTATAATAGGATTTTCTATATATCTTCAATTTCTAGGTTATATTTGTTATATTTTTATATTTTATTGAAGGATAAAGAACTTATATCTATAATATATCTTTTGATATTGTTTATTCTAATATTTTCCTTAAATACTATATAATAAATATTATTATATATTACTATATAAAATGTTAACAAAATGGGATAATTATAGATTCTATATTTTTCGATGAAATCAGATTTCTTCTCTTTATAATAATATTATATTTGTTTCTCATTTAGATAACTGATTAAATACTATAATTCATTTTCCCGAAACAAATAACAGAACTTAATTAATCATTAATCCTTCTTGAGTTTCTTAATTAATTCTTTGTTTCTTGATTCAAGGTTTTCTAAAGATTCTCTTTTGTAATCGATATTATTTTCAATACTGATTCTAAGATTTTAATTATTGATATTCAATTCCTTTAATTACTCAAAATTGAATTGAAATAAATCTTTTTCCAATAATCCTATTTTCCTCGAGTTTCTTTCCAAAATCCTTACTTCTCGAAAACCTTATCTTTTGTTCCCAAATTTCATCTATTTTCTATCCTTTATAGAAAATGATCTTTTCTTTTGAAAACAATTTCGAAATATATATCTACTTTTTCTACAAATAAAGTATAAATTATTCTCTCTATACTTTTTCTTTTCGTTAACATTTAAATCGCTTAATTTCATATAATATTGTTTAACATTATCCAATTCTATTGAATCGTCGGTATTATAATATTTGTTTTAACAATAAAGTTTTTGAAACTTCCTGTTTTCCTGAATAATTCTTTTCTTTTCCATTTATCGTTTATAGAATCAATTATCAATGAAAATAAAGATTTCGATTAATTCAAAAAGATTAAATGATTTCAAAACTTTTATTAATTTATCTTTGATAATATCTTTCAATCCTTTATAAAATTACGATTTTAGATAATTATTATCTTAAATAATATATCCAATATATTGTTAAAACTTGATAATATAGATTGTAACTAATTTAATCTATTTGAATTATTACAATGTTCTTTCAATTATATAATCGGGGTCTATTTCCCTGAATACTCTATCGAATTTCTATCTGAATAATTCATAACTGAAGAATAAACAATAAATCTTAGATTTCATATTTTCATTCAATTAACTATCGATAATCTTAATCATTAGATTATTGAAGAATAATTCAATTTAATTGAATATAATTCCTTAGAAAAAGAAAATCAATTATAAAATCCTTTATATAAGAATCAAGAAAAGTTGTTTATTAAAAATATAATAAAGATCAATTTATATAACAAAAGCTTGATACTTGTTACAATCTTTATAAAATAAATCAAAAGTGGATATCTGAATCGCTTATCTGTATTTTATGATAGCAATAATCTAAACAAGGGCTCCGATTAGATTGAATAGAGACAATTCGATAGATTACTAATTAAAAACCATTGTATTATATATAACTTAATTATAACGATATTCAAAATATAACGATCTGATCGAGATAACAATTGCTTCAGGTTTTCATATAATTGGTAATTGTAGATTAAGATTAATAATCATTAGTTATTTATTCAAAAATAAATATATTACTAAATCAATTAGAATATAAATAAATTAATTGATAATTAAATTAAATACAAAGCTTTTAAATTATAAAATTATTCTGATTATATATTAATTCATTTTAGAAGCTTTTAGAAGTCTATACTTTTGAAAACTTTAAAAAACTTATAGAAATCTATATTCCTAAAAGCTTTATCATATAATTAAGATCAGACCATATATCTGAGCTTGCTAAAGATAAAGAGATTATATGAAATGATTGCTATACAAATTTATATACAAGTTGTTTTGTTTTTCAATAAGATCAAAACTTATAAAGACAGATTGACTGTTATCTTGTGATACTTTATAAAATGATTTCGTGACATTGATGTCGATATCAACACATAGTATATATCACGGGAGAGACTTTTAAAGAATATCTTAATATCTTTATAAGTGTAGTGGAAAGATAATCTTAGATAGAATTAAATAAATAAATAATTAATTAATTATATTTGATTATTCAAATAATCAATAATTATATAAATCTATACAATACTTATAAATAATACTCTTATACTATAATTATTATTACAATATATATCAAAAAGTTTTTATTATTGATTTCTCAAAGTCTAAAATAGAAATAAATATATATAAAAACAAATATATAATTATAATCTTATTTGAAAAAGGAAATTTTAGATTATATTTCAAATAATTAATTTTGAAGTATAAATAAATAATAATAATAAAAATCAAAAAAAATAAAAAATAAAGTTTTCAAAAATAAAAAAATAAAAAAATTCAGAGTTAGAATTGAGGAATAAAGAATTAGAAATGTATAATATGAATATATAGATAGTTATTCAGAGAATGTTTAATGTTTTATTAAGTAGAGATCAGAATAATAATAATGATTTTGAAAGATAAAGTGAAGATATAAGAATTTTCTGGAAAGTTATGATATTGATGAGAATGTCAAAATTGTGTTGAGAGTATCAAGAAAGTCACGATGTGTGAATTTCTATGTGTTCTATGTAAGTCTTATTTATTATCAAATCTAGTTATTTGTATAAGTAGGTTAGGTTAGGCTAGGTTCGCCAGGAACATAATATAGCATAATATAACATAACATAGAAGAGCATGTAAAATTGGTATCAAGTAGAAAAAGGAAATGTATTATTGACAAAGGAAAAGTATGGCCCAAAAGAATCAACTCTTCCCTCCGACCAGGGGGGAATAGAACATTCATTCTCATAAACTTCCACACCCTTAAACTCCCACTCCCAAAGTTTTCTTAGCTCTATCCCAGAAAACCTTTCGTTCGGGAAAATCATCACCAGCACCAATACACTCCAGATACGCCGTCCAAGCATCGTCAGAACCAGCCGCGAGACCTTTTCTCACACTAGCATCACATTGCGTCTTTAGATACCATGGTGCACTTCCCCATGTATACTCATCAGGAGTAACCAAAGCCATAATTGCATTCAGAGTAGCATTTGGCAGACCCTCGGTGGTAGTAGCTGTCGTAATCTTTGCAAGAGGTTCCTTGAGGGCGTCGATGGATCGCGCATACTGGAGGTTGTAGTTTGGGTGTTGCATGTTGCGGGTTCCCTGACCTGGGTTACCGGGGAAATGGTTGATGTTGTATTGAAAACTGGCGGTTTCGTAGGCCATGACAGCTGTCATGGCACCGATTTCTCCGGCGTGAAATTGCGCACCTCCAACTGCTTTGGAGATACCGATGGCGGCTTGGGCGGCTGTAGCACACTCGGCTGGAAATTCTGCAGCGGTGCAGCTATTTACCGCATCGGGGGCTATTCCATTAATGAGGGCGATGGCTGTTGTTCCACGTCCAAAGATGTTATTCGAAGCAGTCGGTGCTGCCAAGGAGAGGGTTGAAAAGAGTGTGATTTGAATTGTCCTGAACAACATGTTGAGTTAAGTCCTTTCGTAATGATCTAGATTTGTGTTGAAGTTGATGTATGAATGAGGAGGAAGGGACAAAGTTTGTAGTTTTCGAAGGCTTATGTATTTGTATTAAGGAGAGTTGTTCTCGAATTTGTTAATAGAAATTAACAATGAGATTGTTTGTGGTTGAATAAAGAAAGGAGAAACAGTAGAAAGAGTGATTGTACGATCTTTTTCTGTACTACAAACAAGGAGGGAATGTTATGACAAAGTATCGCTGAATCGGGATTAAATAAATCGCAGCTATTATTACAATAAGTCGAGCGGATTCACAGATTTTACTGGAGTGACTCCGTATATGTGAATATTTTAGGAAAACGTATGATTTCTCAATCCAATACTTCAGATGGAGAATGATTTATGGTCAGGTTGACCTCCTATATCCTATTCATTGGAAAGCAAAGAATTGAGATAGTTAACGGGATGAAGTTCAAAGGAAAAATCAAAGTATGCTCAAAGCGCGGATACAGCCACAGCCAATACTTTGGAGATCAATACAATAATCTGATATCAACCGAAAGTTTCATGTTTTATGAAGAATGAATCATAAAAAGAATTCCTTGGTCAATGCTTTGTGATTACGTGATCACGGCGTTTTTGACTTCTGACAGCCCTATACTTTTAGGTTACAATGTGATTTCAAAATCAAAAGTCGAGGAAGAATGATTGATCGAGGATCTATGAGAATAACTCGATAATTCTAGCAGTTGTCCTTTTCTTTACATAAAGATGAATGCAACCACCAAACCTCTCTACTCCGTACGGTGTTTGAAGATAAGATCCTGCCAATGTACATTAAATGTAACAAACGGCCCTCAATCCCACCCATAGGATCATAAACGCCCGAGTAACCAAACGAGTTACTAAATCATCCAGCTTATCATCAAGTCCATATGCATGCGTGCATTCAACGCATCAAAACAAACTATCGTGGCACATGCACAAAAAACACAACAAGGAGAAGAAAGTGACTACAAGTTGATGAATCATTCATTCATTGTACTTGAACGGGAAAGAAAGCCTTACAGAGAGTGTTACAGCGGGTATGGAAGAACGGATCGTAACGGGTCACCGATGCACCATCGATGCACCATTGATGCACCATCCAAGCCGGAGAAATTTGAGGTGATTGGCCAATCCTACGAGATGTCGAATATTCGCATACCTGTAAATTTTAAGGTTGATTAACATAGCCTCTACGAAGTAAGTACTTGACCAATAGAAATAAGTACTTGACCAACAGAAAGAAGTATTGGGGACAAATGACAGAAAACACAAAAGAACAAATAACGCTTCAAATTCGGCAGATCGCTTGACCTATACTTTTGTTGTCTATATAAGAATAGAGAATTTTGAAGAACTTTAGAGTCTGTCTTTCAGAAACCAAGGAAACAAACAAGATCGACATAGATTTTCCAATCCAATCCAATCCAATCCAATCTTTTACTTCCCGAGGTCGTAGGGCTGGAGAATGGAAGTGTTTGAATACCGAGGGAAATATGAAATATTGAGGGAATTTTCTGATACTTTTGCTTTTGCGTTTGCTTTTGCGTTTGCGTTTGCTTTTGCTTTTGCTTGATGTGATGATGTGATATGATGCACGAGAATAATTGATTGTAAGGTTAGAACTTAGCGGAGGCACAGTGCTTGAGGCGCAAGGGAGAATCTTGTACAACCAACTTGTATGGTAGAGCTTTGTTACCATGCAAGTCCATTGTTATGACGAGGAGGTATTTATTTACTTCTGCAGCCCTGCGATGACCTTCTTTCCAATTGTATTTTCACATGTGACATGTGACATGTTAGTTATCAGTTTTTATGGATCAATGCTAATGTTGAGTCATCCTTGCAAAGGTCCTTGTAAAGGGACCCGTCCCGTTTGGATTAACAAACATCAAGCTTAACCTTAGAGCTGCGGAGATGTGTTCGGATTGGAAGATAGTGGTCTCGGTCGTCGGGTCGCTTGGGAGTTTATTGCATTTGAACACCTGATGTGTATGTAGCTTACTCGATCTAGTATTATTACGATTCTGAATTCGACGTTGAAGCTTAATGCACTGATGAACTCGATTCATTCTACGTACACGCGAAGGGGTTAGAGATTCGATATGAGTTGATGCAGATATGAAGAAGGTTTGGATATCCAAATAGGAAGTTATTAAATCGATTTTTGGACCGGCACGGGGTCCAATTGTTGGTACCTCGAGAATATGACGATCTATATATCGGCAAACGTATTCATATTCGTAAGTCGCCCAGATTCGCTGACGAGGTAGATACCTAGGTAATCTTACTAGATTCAATTCGAATTTCATGTCACTTCCCCTGTTCCAGTCATCAACTCTGCAAACTGCATTAACAATCGAACTTTTGCGGGGAATTCTCAAAAGATTGATATGTATGAACAGAAAAGGTAAAGTACTCCGTAGCGGAAGTGATTGGATTTGCCGGTCGTTAGATAAGTCACCGAACCAGACCGAATAAGTTTCTTTTCATTGGTTCACGATACGTACATTCGACACCTTTGAACCGACAAACGTGGCTTAGACTGCGGTTTTTTGTCGACTTTTCTGCCACTTTTTGACTCTTGAGGCTCTTTCAGTACTCGGTGAGTTCAAAATGGACTCGGGCTAATTATCTTCCCCCGTCCTATTCCGTTGCTGTACCTGTTCACAGAGTAATATCCTTGGCTAAGGGGTCTACTCCCTACAAACAAGGACAATATCCAAAATGAAAGCACAATATCCAAAATGAAAACACAATTGCACAATCGCGATCCCTGTTCCTTGTTGATGCAAAAAGTGACAAGCTTGGGCCCTTGGTACTTTGATACTCTGTTAGCTTCGATTGAGTAAGTGGGCTTTCCGTTTCTTCCGTGAATGATGAAGCTCGGGGCTCGAATTTGGAGATTGAATTGTGATCTTTGCTCTTATCTAGCTCTCGCTTCGATGGATTATTAATCGTTTCAAATTGACATCAATTTCATATATAAAATATTTATAGTTTGGTTGGCGGAGTGCCTCAGATCCCTCCCTTATACCAAGTTAGAAAGCCGTATTGATTTCTCAAGTATTACCAAAAGTCTTTTTGCTGGGATAAGTGCGTTAATATTGAAAAGACGTCAAAACAGATTTATGTCAAGAGGTGTTGAAACTTAAGACATGAAAATAGCATCGCCTCCCCACTAAAAGGTTCTAAGCGCGAAGACTATAACAAGGGTACATTCAAGAAGCAATCTGGCGGGGACTCCCTTGTGAGTGATCATTCCAGCACTCCATTCCCACGTTTTTTATAAGCTCACCCACCTGGATGGTTGTTTTGGAATTCTGCCACTTTGGATCAAGTCGCATATTAAATTGATCACGACGAGTTGATTATCAATCCATGGGGGAGAGGAGAGGAGTACGTGCTAGTTAGGTTGGGTCTTCATACGATTTCTTGGCTTAGGTTGTAAGATTTTACCCATGGTTAAGATCTGCGAATGCGTACGGAGTATAAGGATTCCAAATCGTAGGAATGCTCATGTGCATTCGTACTCATATATTTTTAGCAGGTCGAACATTGGTAGGGAGGTCGTTGGTCTGGTTATTTACTCCCATGCATTGTGCAACTGTTCGCAGTACGACCTCGCACAAAGGTGGCAGGGCTGTTTATTGGTCACCGATTTCATCAAGTTTGTAGTAGTGTATTTATTTCCTCATTAACTTCAGGGTCTCTATTGCGGGGACGCGATGAACCAGTAGCCCAAAAGTTACCGTTTCGAAGAGATACGCGCGATGGTCAATGGTTAAAGCTTTATGGAATTGGGGTTGATGTGAATTTAAACCGTGGCGATCGGGATATTTATGGATTCCCGACTGTTCGGTCGATGTTTAGACTAGAGACGTTTCATGATTTATTTACATGGAGATGAGATGGAAATAGATATATCATTCACACAGAGAATTGACAATGTATACCTACATCAGAGGCATCTCAAATTAGCAGCCACCTCTTATGCCGTTGAGAAGGAATCGGTATTAAGCTTTGGGATGGTAGTAAATAAGCGCCTTCATGGGATTTTTATATTGCACGAAAGATGCATTAATGGGATGTGCTAAGCTTTTAAATGTTATTAGTTTTGGGGCTTGATCTTGGAAGACTCGTATGATAGAAGCCACGGTTGGAGTTTGCTTCAAAGAATGATGGATGAGGTTTGTTGTTGATTGATTAGAGTTTCGAGTTTGGAGTTTGGAGTTTGGAGATGTATTCGATGTTTCCTTTTGCATGGATAGTGTCGGTATCTACTTGTGTATAGTAGATAGATATTAGGAACCTAGGTAGCTTCATCCATCCATCATGTATCAATCCAGTTGTATGTGCGATCCTTGAATTCAAGCGTGAAAGTTAACAAGTACCAAAATAGAAAGCGGTAAGAACAAAGCTGCTTGTAGTGAAGGATTAAATTACAATTACCACCCCTCAAATATAAATAATCCCACTCCACTTTTCCAGTTACTCCGTGCTCTGTGTGATTGATTGATTATCAAGCTAACTTAGTTTGACAAAGGTTAGCTTTGATAATCCTTGTCGTGTTGAATTGATTTACAAGCCCGTTTTCACTGCTGCCTAAAATACCTTGACAAGGCGGATTTCGTCTTCGTCCCTCCTTTTTCCCTCCTCCTCTCCCAAATTCATATACGCACGCAGTACAGTACGCCAAGTTAATCGACAACAAAATCAAGTCATCCATCTCACAAACCAAACAGAGCTACCGTTTTTATTCTTCACCGGCCACGAATTCACTAACGCGTTCAATTGTTCAACTCCGAATTCATCCAATCACAAATCGATATACGAAGTGGGTGATTGAAGGTTGAATTGAATTTGAATGCAAACTTCACAGATTATATCAATCTCAATTCCATCTCAATCCATCCCTCATTCGTTGGACATAACCAAGGGTCCAGGCAACAATCACACTTAACTTGCACAACTTTAATATTCACCTCATCCGTTTCCACCCTTTGCGCTTCTCTCTTCCATCTTCTTATAGCACTGCTTGCTATTCATCAAGAAAACTTCCTCATCAACCAGAGCTGTGCTACCACCAAAGGAACAAACATCGAAGCATTAAATAAAAGTAGGACATCGACAAGAACCATATTGTCGTCTTTCTACCCCATTTTGCCTCGTTGAATAGAGTTCACACCGAGAAAGGCTGACAGCCTCGGAAGCTGATATTTGTACAGCCAACTATTTGTATGCTCCGATTCATTCCTCTCCCTTCCCCATACTTTATTTACCTACCACACACACATCCATTCAACCTTCTCAAATCAGTCAAGCATCAGGCGATTATTGGTGGGGAAGTCGAAACATGAACATATGGATTGATTAATCTCATCCACACATTTTTACACCGAAGCTACTTTTGGCCTATTTCCTATCTGGTTTTATATACCACATTTATAGTCCGAAACGCGTTCATACATCCTCATTTGTGACTCACATTTCTTGCATGGAACAAAAGATCCTCAGGGCTAATCAATCTCATCCTAGTCCTCGAAGATATCGCAGAGCTAAAAGACCTGGCCACTCAGGATGTCGTTCACACATCCCCGAAGAACTACAAAGACTACTGTGACTCCTCTCGCGAATGCGTCAGGCCGTCCAACAGTTAATACAACTATGGCTTCCCTTCGCAAAGGTGCCACCTTCCACTCACCTTCTTCTCCTACGAACGAAGCTGAGGGTGCTTTTAACCTCTCATCCCTTCAACGTTCATTATCCAACCTTGAAAGCTTCGCCGTCGAATCACACATACGTCGTGCTGCCGATGCTATAGAATCATTTGAACTTACTGCTGCCGGCAATCAGTCCTCTTCTACATCAAGCCGACGCTTCCGTGACGAGTCTGAACCTGTTCCTCGAGGTGTCGTTAACGTCGAGAACCCCTCCAACAAACCATACAATACACCACTGATGGAAGGAATCATGCCATCAGAGGACTCTGCCGTTAGACGTTCGACACGTTCTCGCCGTACTACGCCTAGATATGCAGACAGTGGTCTCGGGTCATCAATCGGGTCATCATCATCGGACAAAAAGGTATTCACCGACGACAATGCCTCTAAGTCTACCAAGCCATCAACTGTAACTAGATCAGCCGCTGTCGGGTCTACAATCATCAAGAGTTTTCCTAGACTTAGTGCTCGTACGACCGCTCGCATTCAACAGCATATCTTGAAGCCACTCCTGGCAAAGAAGTCTTTCAGACACTTGCATCCTCTCGTCGAGGATTGTCCAAGACGAATTCATCAGAAGGAAATCGTATCTCTGCGTGATCTGGAGAAGACCTTAATTTTTACCGCACCTGTAAGTGAAATCCATAATGATGTTGCTTGGGGAGTTGCTCACTGGTTCTCGCAATTGAAGAAGTACACAAAGAGCGCCTCCTTGTATCTCGACTTTTGCCTTGAATCGATCCGTTGTATCCAAGCGACTGTCGAACTTGTTAACGAGCGCGAACAAACACGACCAAACGATCGTCCATACACTAACGGATACTTTGTTGATCTGGTCGAACAGATCAAACAATACGCCGAACAGGTCCGGGAAGCTAAGGAGAAGGAGGAGAAAGGAGAGACTTTGGACGAGATGGACGCTCACCCGTATGTCGCTCTTCACTCCTCAGACCCGAAGTCTAAAGGGTTACTAAACATTTTACCATACAGGTCAGATGAAGTCAAGCTTCACGGTGGGCTGACCAGAAATGGTCGACCCGCTGAACTCGTCCGCATCAACAAGAAAACGGGTAAAGCCGTTTCCATCGCCACCGGTAAACCCGTCGACATGGACGATGATGACAATAAGTCTATGAGATTTAAACGATCCTTGAGTGAAGAAGCTGAAGATGAAGAGTCAGTGATGAGATCGATGGCTCGCCGTAAGAAGGATGCCTCTGCTGCTGAGCTTGCTCCTAAATTCTGCCGTGAGAAGGGATGTGACAAATCATTCAAGCGTCCATGTGATTTGACCAAACATGAGAAAACTCATTCTCGTCCTTGGAAATGCCCCGTTACTTCATGCAAGTACCACGAATATGGTTGGCCAACAGAGAAGGAAATGGACCGCCATCAAAATGACAAACACTCGGCTGCTCCTCCACTATTTGAGTGCCACTTCAAGCCTTGCCCATATCGCTCAAAACGTGAGTCGAATTGCAAGCAGCACATGGAGAAGGCACATGGATGGGAGTACGTCCGATCCAAGAATAACGGAAAGAACAGACCTGCTGCACCACCTGCTGTTCCAAATGGCCTACCAACTCCTCAAGCTACTATTATACACACTCCGGGCAGCGACTCAAATATCGAATCTCCTCTTATTGCTGATGATGAGATGATCTATGAGAACCCTTCGTTGTACACCACAAACCACAGCATAGACTTCTTTCCCGCATTCCCTGCCGAGATGAACATGTTCCAACCTCCACAATCATTGAACATTGAATACTCTCCTGTGACGGATAACTCCTTTTCTACTGATGGCCATTCGCCATTTGATGCAAATTCTCCTTTCAACTCCACATCTGTTCTCGGTGCCCAGGATCAGTTCCAAGAGAACATACAAGCCTATCAACCCAACGATGAATGGGCAGCTTATGAGCAGACTGATCTCTATAGCGCTCAAGCCCAGCTCCAAATTCCATCCAACCACCAAATTTATCAAGAGATCATGGGCCAAAATACTATGGCTTTTGAAACATCTGGTGACACATACCAAACAGAGCATCAGCAAAATCAACACCTCCACCAATCACAACCTATGACACATATCTCGCCTATCGGTGAAGGTAACACAATGCTGTACACCCCAAAATCTATGCAAGATTTTGATGAAGGCTTTGAGGACTTCATTCCAAGCAACACTCGCATGACCGCCAATGGTGTCCAGGATTTTCAACTCTTTTCTGCACCTCAGCAAAGACACAACAGCAATCCTGCTCCACTCTTTGGTGAGATCACTTCTCAAGCACCTCTTGGATTTCCTGGCATCCATCCTCAAGATCTGATTGCTTTCTATGCTCAAACGGCAGTCAATTCCGCTGCTGGTACTAGCAATCACCAACTTCAAAATCACTATCAACCTCATCCCCATCGTCAACAACAGCAACAATTGCATCAAAACATGAACATGACAATGGATTGGTCTTCTGATGAGTACGGTTATGGCAGTCAATAAATGGCACGTATGGGCAGTGGATAAAATTCTCTACTCGTCTCAAATCGTTCGACCCGAACACATCTTGTATTAACATATTTGCATTTTTTCGTGTTTATTTTGGCGCGCTTTATTGGCCAAATTTTTTTCTCTTTTTTTTTCTTTCAAACTAAGTCTTACGAAAGTTTGGAAGCTTGGTGTGTTTTCTCTTCTCAATTTTCTTTCTCGATGAATTATGAGTAGTGGTTAATTTACCAGGATTCCACGTGGAATGACCTGGGTTGGATTGGATGGTGGGTGTGGAACATGATTAAATTTTCTTTGATCTCGACGGGTGGACCATTGACCGGGACTGACCGGGGATATTTTTATTATGATTTCTTTTTCTTTTTGGGAGAGATGACAGATGCGTATGCATGCAGATAGATCTCGGGGGTATTACTTTTTGATGGATGATGTGGATGGCTTTTGATTTTATTTCTTCAATTGATTTGGCTGGGAGTTAGATCGTAAATCGAATTGGGATTTCTATTGGGGGTTTTATTGGATGGATTGGCCGGTATTGAATGGAAAGATTAAAGCTTGATGGATTGAACTGAATGAAGTGGTGGATCAATGGTGGACAGGGCAACAGAATTTGCAGAGAGGCATAAGATACAAGACAGAAATACTTTGAGAAAAATGAGAATATTATCATCTTGATTTTGATTTTGATACTTGTTTGCTTTGTGATTGATATAGACGATTGATTAATGGTTCACACGATAAGTGTCTAAAGTAAAGTTTCATGCTAAAATACTCGAGTAACCATTTGGATTCTCACGGTAAGTGTGCACTGTGTAGGTAGTTCATCTGTTCACGTAATACCTTCTTGATATCTCATAGTAGCCTAAGATTGAGAAGACGGCAGGGCCGGATTTGCGGTTGGAGATCTGGAACAGGTTAGGTTAGGTTAAATTAACCGCGCGCTAATTGTGATGGGAGAGCCGCGAGGTGACCTTGATTTGGGTCAGGTTTGAGGGGAATGGATGAGATGGATTTATTTTATGTTGGTTTTTTGGTTTGCTGGGCAGCACTCAGAGCTTTTTGTCTTTTGTCTGTTGGGATTGATTACTTGCACCACTGGTAGATGTAAAGTTTATCTGTGTGGTTTGGCTTTTGAGTAGTAATATACTCTTAGGTTCAATCTCTGTTCTTTCATTTCCGATATCTTAGCAGTAGATTACCCTGTACGTTTGCTGTACTTTTAGTGCGGAGGATCTTTGTTAAGAAATGGACCAAGGGGCCGGAGAGGTCGCCACCCATTGAACACAAAAGTGTAGGCGTCTTAGCCTCTCAAACCTGAAATTCACGTTAGGTATGACTTTCAGGACAGGCTCCAGGTCAAGCTGTGGTAAAACACGATGGGCTACCATTTACTGCTGTTGGTAATTCAAGCTGTGATTCCCTGGTACAATTCCTCGATTCAAAGCTCCTAACAATCAAGCCAAACTATTCGACATAGAACGAATGGCAGATCAGCGAACGAGACATGCAGAGAAAAGAGATGGAGGTGTTAGGAATGATCGTCGAGTGAATACTGACCCAAGGACTCGAACTCATGGTAAACAATTCTTCGGAAAAGGTCGTGTTTTTAGCACTTCATCCGAAGACGGAAGTGGACTGTCAAGTCAAACCTTTCTTGTTATACGAGAAGCTCAGGAAAGCCCAGATGATAACGGAACTCATTGTACCTGTCTCTCTGTTTCACCGTTGAGAAAAGACTTGGATTTTTCAGAATGTGGAGTTCTCCATGCCAACTCTACCTCGCCTCCATCTATCAAGGGAGTCAAATTCAAACCACTCCAAGTCGTTGTTTCGAGGGGTGTCAGATTTGATGCGCCAATGCTGGTCAATTATATTAAAATGTTTAATGTGGATACTAATTCCCAAGTGAACGATATTGGAAAATTGCGACCGGAATCATTGCAGGATTCTATGGATAATTTTAAAGAATCTTTGTTCGATTCGCCGCCAATGGATAAAGATGGGAGAAATAATAAACAGGGGAGAAGAAAGGGTAAGAGTGAGGAAATGAGTAACAAACCACCGCATGGACATCGAGATCAAAGCAAACCACATTCCAAGGGACAGATAGCACCTAATACACGCTCTGGAGCTACAAATGCATCAGGTTCTGGTTCTGGCACCGTATCTAATGGAGCAGGGACGGAAAATACAAATAAAAGGCCTAAACTACGTAATCTCGAAGTACCGCAACATACGAAAAGACAAAAGCCAAAAGGACCATCTTCTTATGATTCAGATGGATGGGAAGACGGTTTAAATTCACCAACAAGAACAAGGGCTGCGGAAAACAAGAAACTACAGGATACTAGGAATCATCAACGCAAGCCGGCTCTTCCTCCAGTAGATCAAATTCGTGGCACAAAGGATCGTCATGGAAAAGAAATGCCAGCAAAGCGAGCAGAAGAAGAAGTTCTTAAGGGTCCTTCACATGCAGATATGCCACGTAGTAGAGGAGACGAAAGGACAGGTAGACCAGCGATAACGTCGCAACCACATTCGCCTACTAAGCGGAATCTTAATCATCGCCGGGATGGCGAGGGTGTTCACAAACCTTCTGGAGTTCCTGGTTCTACTCACCTTCCCGTTGATGATGGCTCTGATAGAGGCAGACAGCGGGAGAAAAATCCAGGAGCTTCAAGGAATATGGTACCATCACGAAGGGAGGATGCTCTGAGGAAGAAAAATGATCATTTACGGAAAGATGATGGCCAAACTGCGAACTCTGGATCTCATCCTCAATCCACTGATACAGCAGTTCATGATGGAAAACAAGGTTATGGATCGGAAAGAGAAGATAGTGACGGAGTAGATGGGAGACGTGGTCACAAAGCAAGAGCTCCATCATCTGATACCAGACGTGACCTCCTACCTCCAACAAGACGAAGAGACATACCACAGAATGGAACTTCTTTAAATGGAGCTCCTTCTGATGGGAACCGTGATAAGACAGAAAATATCAAAAATGAGCATCCCATACCTGGCAACGACAATATCGGACGACCATCAGATATTAGAGCAAAACCCGATCCCCGTTCCATGGCTACCGAAACAAGCCTGCCTAACAAAGCTCGACCTGACGAAATACCTGGACGTCACAGGAAAGGAAATCCAACAACTAGTAGTGGGAAACCTGGACAAGCACCTAATCACAGATCTCAGATGACCAATAATCCCGCGGCATCCAGTCCACGTGGGCGTGAAAACACAAAGTCTGATACAGGTGATCCCCAGCCAATGCGATCTTTGGGAAACAATGCTCCTTATCGAGAAGAACCTGGAAGATCTAATGATAATGAGCAGCGTTCGGTTTCTCCTAGAGATTTTGCACAACAGGGTGGTTCTTCGAGATTATCGGGGGGTGGTACTGGTGGAGGTGTAGCTTCAAGGTCGCCTCCGCACCTACCTTCTCGAGGTGGAGGATTACCGCCTGGTAGGGGTCCACCGTCAAGTGGGAGGGGGCCATCACCAAATGAGAGAGAAACATCTGGTAGGGATGCTTCTCCTGGTAGAAATCCGCCGCCGCTGGATACTCCTGGATCCAGATCTCCGGGCGGTGATTATTCACCCACGGGTAGTTTATCACCTATGAGAGAGGAATCTCCGGTTGGTGGATCACGTGGTTCATCGTCGGCTATGCCAGATGATCATGACTCACCTCGTGGTTCATCAGGTAGTCTGTCACCGGGTAATTCAATGGCTGGTAATTCACCAGGTGGCTCACTAGGAGGATTTCCCGAAGGGCCACCTAATGAATCTAAAGATAGCCTCCAAGATTCCCCATTGGGCTCTGAGATGGGATCTCCAATAGATTCACCTGTAGATTCTATGGCAGGTGGATCCCCTCTTGATTCAACCCAGGAACAATCTCCAATAGAAGATTCTTCATATCGCTCACCAATGGGTAGCGAACCGCCAAGTCCTTCAATGACAGAAAGATCACGATCTTTAAGTCCTCCACCTCGCGGAAGATCTCAACCTGGAGAATTTTCGCCAGGGTCAGCGTCTCCTCGGAATCCTAGTCCTGGAGGTGAACCCGGACAAGATACAGGAGGTGTCAGAAGACGAGGGCCAAAAAGCGAGTCGGGAGCGCAGATCAATGAAGAACAATCATCTAATCAAGAAGTTGATAATGGGGAACCTTATTTAAATGATGATGGATGTTGTGGTAATGGTTTCTTTGCCTGGTGTAAAAGTGTTTTGGATTGGTTTAATGGGGTTGGTCAGGAAGAGTGGATTCAAATGGATGATCAGAAGGATAAGGGGGAAAGTCGGGAGAATTCTGAGGCGAGTCATGGGCCGGATAATGAGGATTCGTGTTCGGTTGCTGGTGGTTTGGATATGGGGAGTTCTTTATCGGGGAAGAATCCGTTTGGCGATGGAGAGGATGATGATGAGAGTACTGTGGTTGATGATGATGGGGGAGATGGTGGTGATGATTTGAATGGTGATAGTGATAGTGATGATGGGAATGGCTCTGATCAAGAAGATTCCGATGATGATACTTATTCGGATTCCGATGTAGAATCAAATGATGAAATTGAAGATGAAGGAGAATCCGGGGATTCTTCAGCCGCAAGCTCGAGGCGCTCATCCACAGCCGTAGCTTCAGAGCTCGAGCTTGATCATCAAGATTCTGTTCGTCAATCTTCTGATGATAATCAAACTGAAAATACACCACAAAGTAACTATCCTACACATAATCAACATATACAAACACCACAAGATACCTATAGTTATGCGCCTAACGACGATCGCTCATACATGGGTCAACACAACTACCCATTTCAAAATACTTACACCACAAATCCAAACACTAACAACATTGACATCCCACCCCAAGAACTAGAAACCGCCTACCCAACCACGCACTTCCCCAAAACCAGCACAAACCCCTCCCCCCAAATTCCCCCAAACACAGCCGAACTAGCAACAGACAACAACGACCCACATCCGCCACCCTATACACACATCCCCTCCACCCCACATCAATTATCCCGACCACGCTCCACGCGCTTCGAGCTCGCTTCTGAGCGCGACCCCGTTGAACTAGATGTTCCATCTATTGTTCCCGCAATGGTAACTACACGCGGAAAATCCGAACTTTTTCTTCCGCCTTCGTTGACTCCTGGTTTGGTTACTCCTAATTATGGCGCTTTTTCGTCTTTTTCCGCGAGGACGCCGCGGGGTTTAGATCCCTATTATGTGAATTCTTCTCCTCCACTGCCACGTTCGGGGAGTGGAACTGGAACTTCGTCTCAGAATCAAGATAGGGTTACACCTTATCATTATCAGCCGCAAATGCAAATGCAGCCGGCGTTAAGAGAACCGATGAATTATCCGTCTTCGCAGATGGTTCCGGTAGATGGTTCAGCGCTTGTACATTTTTATCCTCGTGCTCCGAAATATGATGAGAGGAATATAAATGCCGAGAGTGGTGAGAGTGAGAGCGAGAGTGATGATGACAGCGATGAAGACAGCGATCTTGATAGTGGATTTGGAACGTATGATGATGATTTAGTTGGGAGACGGGATGAATTTGATTCGGCTCATTATGGTGGACCTGCCTGTTCGAGTGGTCTGGGTTCTTTACCCGGGAGTGTTGATGTATCTGCTTCTACTCATAGTCATACTCATACTTCTGCTTCTGCTGGTGTTCCTGTGAGAGATGGATATTATGGTAAGGATAATACTCCAAATGTAAATGCAAATGCATATAATGGATATACTGAGTATAATCACACACCTCCACCTCTCAAACAATACAGAAGACCTCCACATCCCGGATTTTTGTCTTCAGCTTCTTCGGCTTCTCCAGCTCCTTCGCATTCGATATATAATACGTATCATGGACAGAGAGGAATGGAAATGCCGGATAAGTCGGGTGTAGAACAGGTTGCGGGATCTAGATCTAAGCGAGAGGGATATGGAAAAAATGTAAGATTGCCTCGTTTGGACGGGAAAGCTGGGGAAGATACTAGGGGAGTTTGGAAAGGAGATGGAGAAGAGAGAAGGGAAAGAGGAGGAAAGGGGAGAATTGAAAAGATAGATTCATTGTAGATCTGTCACCTTGGATGATCCCATGATGGTGGGAAGGGGATCTGATTTCGGGAGGGTTGAGGGGAGGTGGACAGAGAGGGGAACATATGCCAGGAGGGTGAGAGTGAGAGTGGAGGAAAGGAAGGGAAGAGGAGGAATGAAAGCCTGGAAAGGATATGGAAGAAATGGAGGATGGAATGGATATGGATATGGAAAATCGGAAGATCAAAGGAATGGAAGGGAAAAGAAGGAAATTCAGGAGGAGAGAGAGGGATAGAAGGAAGAAGGAGAAACGGGGAAGAGAAAGAGGCAGAAATCAAAAAGAGGGCGAGAGTGTAGATGTTAGTGGAAAATTGAAAAAAACCTGGGAATTTTTGAAGAAGTTGGATTATCACGAGAAGTGAAGATGGTAGATAGTATCAAAAGGCTATGTTCGCCTGGATTAATAATAATTAGATATAATTAGAGAAATATCCTTCTCGTTTTGCTCTTAGACATTCGATTAGTTTTTGATGTATTATTTATTTATTGATTTTATGTAATTCATTATATTACTTACTACATTGCATTACTTGTTTGATTGTAAATCTCGATAGCATATTTATTTCGGTTCTTTCTTCCGTTTCTCCTGCCAGTTTATCAAACTTCTGCGAATCTTGAATTGTAGTTATAGTATTATATGTACACAGGAAGTATTTTACGATCCCTTATACGAGTTAATTATGAATTATGAGAAAATCAAGCAAGAAAATAAAGATCACATATATAATCCATAAAGAGAATTTCCATCTATCATAAACGATACCTTACTCATTATAAAGATCGAACGCATCTTTCGTCTAGACTTCTTTACTTTGGTGGACTAAAGTCCTGATTTACGCACTCTGATTTTCTCATGCCTTATTCACTTCCGTCTTGTATGATTGCTAATTCTATACCTCCTTACCTTAGTGATAATTCATAAATATTATAATTCGAATTTCTGAAGTCTTGTTTCGAGTCAACTGATTTATTTATATCATTCTTTTAAACTGGGATCTGCGGCCATAGCGAGAGGGTCAGTATGAGGCGACCAGTGAGTGTGTGGACATTGGAAAATACATTGAAATCTTGATATTCGATATCTTTCAGTCCGAATTCCAGTAGAATAACATCTGAGTATTAAAACCGATTACATCTTTAAATATCTCAACTTGTTTAATATTCAATAAGTATAAAATATAATCTCCTTGTAACCCTGGCCAAGAACTTCACGCTCGAACCTATGTACTCATCCATCGGTGGATATTGCTTATAGGTTACACAAATTATGCTAGATGTATTTAGGAAAATCAGCAGCGCATGATGAGGCTGACAGCCTTCATCATCTTTCTTTTCCATTTTTATACTTGAATCTTCTTATTTACTGTGTCGATACGACATAAAATTTTATTCTTATTCTTTTATTCTTTAGTTTGATTATGGCGGAAGCACTCGGTGTTGCTAGCGGCGCTATTGGCATTGTGTCTTTTGCTGTCCAACTTGGTGATGGGATCTTGAAGCTCAAATCTTTCTGGGATGCGGTGAAAGATGCCCCAGAAGAAATTCTGTACATTCTGGATGAATTAGATACTACACGTTTGCTACTCAAGGAAATCGAGGATAGTCTTGGAAATCAAACAACGTCACCTGCAGCAGCTAGATCACTTCGGTTGTGCCAAAAGGGCATGGATACATTGAACAATACGGTAAAAGAGCTGGATAAAGAAATGCGAAAAAGAAAGAAATGGGGTGGAGTTAAGGTGGCTATGAAGAAGGAATTACTTGAAAAGATGGAGAAAAGGCTCGAAAAAGCGAATTCATTGATGACCATGGCCCATCAAAACTACATTGCGTGTGTTTATCTTCTTGAAACTTCATTTTTGGTGTAAACAATGTCTGATTTATTACTAGGAGTCTAAGCAAATCGAGACACGATAAACAGGGGAAATTAGCTATGCAACAATTCTCAGAGGTCGTGAGTATCCGGAACGCCTTGCACAGCTTGACATCAGCTGGATCTACCTGCATGGCTCAACAGCAGACGGTTGATACCAATACATCGAGTTCCTCGAATACGCCGACTGCAAAAGATGCAACATCAATTTCCCGGGCTAAAAAAGCACTACCAAAAGATCAAAGGATTCTACACGCCAAGCTCAGACTCCCTTTCTTCTCAGGTGTATGGCAGCTTTGTGGTTATCGACAGTCAACTTCTGGATGGACATTCACTTTGAGGACATACAACGTTGTTGATCGGGGTGCACCAATAATGAAGGCAGCTTATTTCGGAGATGTAGCTAGGATGCAGGAACTATTTCAGACACAGCAGGCAAGCTTGTTCGATGTAAATCTTTCCGGGTGTACTGTTCTTCACCTAGGGATCCTTTCATTACTGTCTTGGAAACAGTCATATTGATTTGATAAGGATGCAGCAATGTCGGAAAATAGCTGCCAGTCATGTCAGTTCTTGGTAGATCAAGGCGCAGATCTAAATGCACAGAATGATGCTGGTTGGTAAGCACACTACATCTTTTTTCTTCTTTTTTTTTCTTTCAAAATTACACCGCAGCTGCAGTCACTTATAAAACTCCCAGTTTTGTTTGGCAGTTGTTTGGCGTCGTTGGAGATGCGCAAAGATGCTTTTGATGTCATACTTTATTTGGTTCCCAGGACCGATTGTGATATTTTTGATGTATTAGCCAAATGGTTGCCCATGGGCGTCGGCCTCTTGCCTTATGAGATGTTCCAATGCCTAGTCCAATCAAGTGAATATCTCACTCATGAACGAAGTCATCGAGACCGTGCGATACTTATGCATAAGTAGCTCGGGACATTGGACTGAGTTGTATAGTGGATATACAAGATATAAAGGCTTTCGTGTTGTCAGCCCTTGCGGGGTTGGATATGGAAACTTGTTTTCGAAACATGAATCAATCCGAATGTTCCCATTACTGGAAGACATTCTATTTGGGTTTACAAGCTAATTGTTGAGATTGAGAGTACGGGGAGCAATGAGGATGCGAGGTAAAATGGTCGACATTGATGTTAATGGGATACCGGAAATCACTTCTGACGATGATGATTTGGACATAAGAGATGAGGATTGTTTGAGGGATATTCCCGGTCTCATAGATGAGATAATAATTGCAGGCTCGAAGGTTCACCATTTCGGCACCACATACGAAGGCTTTCCCCGTAGTTTCCTCAATCAACTTATACGCGGAGTCACTTTTTATATATCCCAAAAGCAGGCTGATAGTGGACACCCAAAAAATGAATATCATTTTTTTGAGCCAAATATCAGGTATATATTTGGAATGTGGCTCAATCGACTCATATCTGCAGGGGTTGATCTCATTAAATACGGCCATTGGGAAAAGAAGTATTAAAATGAAGTTCACGACTGCGCTTATGGAAATCAACGCGTTTGGGTAAACGGCTCGAAATAGAAGTACTGTAAATTGTTAAGTTTTACACACGGCCCAAAGGAAAGCGACTGGCAGTTCTGGTTCACTGAGGAGGTTGCGTACATACATTCTGACAAACTCGCCGATTTCTGGGATATGGTTGAGCATCCCGAAAGACAAATGCCTGGTGCTTGGAATTTTGATTTGTAGTCAAGTAGAGAACCATCTGAGGGCGGGATAGTCGATATGTGCGGCTGGAAAGTGGCATGGCTTTTTTCATACAAAACTTACCATTCGCTATGATGTAATTTGAGGAACCTATATGAATGAGTTTGAGGAAGAATTTTTAGGGCATTGCTTCATATATGAGAATCTACTAAATTCGGTATTTCATGATGCATTCCCCTGTGATCGTGAAAAGGGCCTGAAAGATAGATTCAAGACGGCTTGCGGATATTGAAATTTGGTGAGAATTGAAAGAGGATAATAGAAAACAACCACATTAAACTATCTGATCGATGCGCCAACATATCAAAATAATAATTCATCACCTCCATATATAACTTCGGATCAAACGCAAGCAACTACCAGTGCTACGATTTGGAACGTGAAATCAGCAATAGCACTGCTATCTTTTGCCGTCGGATAGCCCTCTAAGCTCAAGCGATGATACCACGTTTCCGAAATAGATCAGACAAAATATGCTACTTCGAAAATCATAATGATGTTCTTGGATGTCACTTGATGCGTCTACCTCTCATACTCCACTTTCAACCAATTTTAACCAAATCAAATGAAATCTAAAAAGAACAATCTACCACTATCTATCACCAATAGTAAAACTCTAGCAAATAGCCCCCAGGAAACCAATCTAAACATATCCCCGGTATCTAGTACCCCCATATCCCGATCCACTCTCATATCCATACTCCCAATCCCTCTCCCTCTCTCTCATAATTCTCGGTCTTGCATATCTTTCTCTGCTAACTTGACTTCTTTCTCTCCTACCCCGATCTCTATCCCTGTCACCCGCACCCGTCCTCCCAATCTCCCTCCCCACAATCCTTTCCACACGATCCTCCACCCTTTCTACCCTCCCCTCAACCCTCTCCTCAAATCTATTCATCCTAAATCCCCTCTCATTATCCATGTCCCTCGCAACAAGCATATCCCGATACCTCTCCGCATCCACCAAGCGGTCAGTTCTCGCCTCGGAAAATCCATCATTGATTCTCCGAAGCAGTAAATCGTCATCTATTCTTCCCCTCTGTTCTCCTTCAACTCTTCGTTTCGTATTCTCCGCCTCTCGATCTTGACCACGGTTTTGGGGAATACTGCGATTAAGTTCTCCATTTGGATTGAGCCAGGATTCGCCAAAAGAATATCCGGCACCGGCGTTGGAAATCTTCATTCCCATTACTTCCATTCTACCCTCTCTTCTACCTTCCTCTCTCTCCGATTTCATTTGTAAACCTTTTATATCTCCCCTGACTCCATTTAATCCACCATTTAACTTCTCAATCTCTTTTTCTCGCGCTACCTCTTTCTCCTTCTCCAATTCTTTAATTCTGGCTGCTAATGCTGCTGTATCCGAAGAATTCTGGTTTGCTTGGGCTGCAGCAGGGGCAGTGTTACTACCGGCACCTAAGGAACTATTGTTGCCTGCGTTTGAGTTTGAGTTTGACTTCAAAGGCGGAGGTGGTGGAGGTGGAAATGGAGGTGAAAATGAAGGTGCAAATGAAGGGGGTGGTGCTGCTGCTGCTGCTGGTGGTAGTGGATGGGAAAATGTTGTATTCAACCCCTTAAATCTTTCGCCTAGCCGTTGTATGACATCGATGTTATGGAATAAATCCGAGCAACTAGGTCTTCTTGCTCTTTCTCGTGCCATTTCCCTTTCCTGATCCAGTGCCCGCTCTCGCTCTTCCGGATAATACATATTTCCCTGGTAAGCACTGAGGGGGACGAGGGTTGGCTCAACAACATATGCAGATCGGTAAGGAGGAGGGATAGGATCGACACGAGTAGTCCGTTCGAATTGATATTTATCTTTGAGAGACTTGGAACGGTTAAGCATTTTACCTCTGCCTTTCTTCTTACGTATAGTGTAGAGAGCGGGCCAGCACATTGATCGTGGGTTGATGAAGGGAGTTACGTACTCAAATTCATGAAGTTGAGCTGACGTATTAATGTGCGATATGATTGATGGAGGAAAAGATATGTGGTTAATGAAACATTTATTGATCAAGGATATATTTAAGCACATCCTAATCGTTATACAGATATCTCCTTCCAGTATACATTATAGGAGTCCTGTAAACATAAAGAACAAAAATAAGTGGAGAACAAGGATTAAATTATTCATGTACATAGAACTAAGAATATGTACGATGGGCCTGCTGCATGTTTCAATCTTTGAACTTATTTGCAGCTTCTTGCAGAGGCTCTTTCAAAGAACATAAAGGGGAATTACCCCTCAACGTGAAGCTGCATTTCCATCCCGGATAATGACGTTGCAATAGAACAAGAAAGGCTTTGCGAAGGTTAGCAAGGTAAAAGGTATCACTGCTTATATCTATACTTGTATCAAAGGTTGAGTCGGTTCATGCACCTTCCCGATTGGCCTAAACGGTGATTCCAAAGCCATGGACAAACATCCCTGCTTCAGCGAAATATCCTCAAACGTTCTCACAGCTTTGCCTTTTTTGAACTCTTCTTCGAATCTTGCTGCCATGCGAATTCCTTCCAATAGGTTAGCTAAAAGATTATATATAATTGTTTGAGGGATTACTCACCAAAGTCCTCTGTGCTCCCGCCTCTATAATAACATTTACAATGACCGGAGCAGTAGCTTTGAACCCCTCTTCCGTAGCTTTGGAAAGTTCATCAAGAGTACGGACTAAATAACCTTTTTCGCCACACATCTCCGCTACTTTCTCATAGCCAACCTCCCATCCTAAACTTGTACTTCGTAAGCCTCTTTTTGTACCTTCTTCACTATTCTTTTGCAACTTCAGCCACTCGTCTGAACTTTCGCTATCGCCTTGATACACTCCACCATTATTCATGACAAAGATAAGGATATCCATTTTATACCGCGCCATTGTTTCAACTTCTGCCAGTGAAAATCCGAAAGCAGAATCCCCTTCTAGACAAATAACCTTCTTGGCAGAAGAGTGTGGTCCACTTTGCGCTTTTGGTGAGGGCGAATTATACGCACAATGAGCTGCAATTGCATAGCCTAAACCAACGCCCATGGTTGCATGCGTGCCAGCATCAAGACGCAATCTTGGATGTTCAACGGGAAATACACTGCGTGAAATATCCATTGTATTCGCTCCTTCAGACACATAAACGACGCCACCATCTTTGGGCGGGGATATTCTGTGGATGGCCTCTTTAATTACATCGAAAGCTTTGCCATATGTCATCGGGATTTTATCCACCTTCGCGGACTTAGCGGCGGTAGCTTCATTTTTGCTGGCACTTGCTTTCAAGGTTTTCACATATGCTGAAGAAGTATCATACTGCCATTCCGCAGAGAGCATCAATTAATTTTTTGGAAACCACATTGATATCACCGATTATTCCTAGTTCAGCATTACCGTTATTCCTTCCAATTTCTTCTGCTGATATATCAACCTGGATTATCTTTACATCCTCATTGTATTTTGGTACGTCGCCATAATGCAGTATCCAGTTCAGTCGTGCACCGAGGACGAGGACAACATCGGCGCCTTTAAGTGCTGCAAATCTAGATGCTGCGGTATTAGATGGATGAGAGTCAGGCAAAACTCCCTTCCCCATGGGAGTTGGTAAGAAAGGAATATTGGTCTGGTCGATCAATTGTCGTATGATAGCTTCGGCTTGAGCGTATGCGGCACCTTTCCCGACAATGATAAGTGGTGCTTTTGCAGACTTGAGTAATTGTGCAATCTTTTCTACAATTTCGACATCTGCTGCAGCCCGTGGTGCAGCAGTGACTATTTGTGTTGATCTATATTCACCTTCTTCTTGTATAACATCTGCGGGTAAGTCAACGAAACCAGTGCCGGGTCTTCCATACCACGATGTTCTATAGGCTGTCGTGATTGAATGTGATATCGTATCGACGCTCGATCGTATAGCAATCTTCGTGTGCGGATTCAACAGAGATATAGCATCAAGCTCTTGAAAAGCTCCCTTTGTTACCAAATGTGTTTCGCTCGAGCCTGCGAGTAAAAGCATTGGGAATGTATTGGCAGATGAGTTACCTATACCTGCCATCGCATGAAGGACCCCGGGGCCCCCAACAACAAGACAAACTCCAGGCCGTCCTGTTAAGTATCCATACGCCGTTGCAGCATAGCTTGCGGCTTGTTCGTTTCGAAATGCGATAAATCGAATCCCCAAAGCAATTGCTTCCTCCGCAATTTGTACTACCGGTATACCAACCAGACCGAATATGACCTCAACCCCAAGGTCTTTGAGAGTATGAGCTATCAATTGAGCTCCACTATAAGTGGTCATTGTTCATTGTTGGTTGTTATGTGAATATTTTTTGATGGAGCTTGGCGCAATGCCCCCTCACCTCGGAATCACCAGATTTGAGCTCTTATCAAAATGCTGATAAGCTTGACTCTGAAACAATGCGCCCAACAGAAATAACATTCACGGTCCCTGAGTACTCCTGCCACAAACTATCTCAGATTTATGCCATTTGGCAGTCTATGAAGCTTTTATGAGTACCAGAATTCATTCTATGAAGTTCTAATCATAAGTATTTAAAAGGGAAATTACCAGCTCCTTCCTCATCTTCACCCATCACTCTGCCCATCAACGCGTCACATCCTCTTCAGCTAGACAACACATTTCACATTGCAGCCTATGAACAGTACAGATATGGCTTCATCTTCTGCTTCTACATCTTATTCCACGGACCCTGCTCTTTACTTGTATACGTCGTTGACTTCTGGCTCATCGCATATTGTTACTGCTACATCCAGATTAGAGACCATTTTAAAAGCAAACAGAATCCCTTTCAAGGCAGTTGACATTGCGACAGATGAAAAGGCACGAATGCTATGGGGTCGCAGAGCTGGTAAAGATGAATCAGGGCGTGCTAGAAAAATTCCTGGCCTGGTCCAAATGGGACTCGTTCTTGGTGTATGTTAGAAGTCCAACATACAGGATATGGCTAACAGTGTCAGGATCTCGTCGAGGTTGAGGACTGGAACGAGTACGGCGAATTAAAGCAACATATAAAGATTGTGCCTGTATCAGGTCCGGGTGCGAATCCAGCCATCCAAGCAAAGGTCCCAACAAATACTCAAGAGAATAACAAGCCTGCTGTTGCTCCTGCTGCTCCTCCTGCTTCGGCATCCAAATCTGTCGGATCTAAACCTCCTTCTGGGACTGCCGAGGCGACTATCACATTAGCCATGCGACAAGCAACTCAAGAAGCGGCACAGAAGGCAAAAGACTTGAGCAAGAAAGCCACAGAATTATTGACTAGTACTACCCAATCCGAATCCAAGAAAGCACCCGAGCCTGTTGTGCCAACTGCAACCACCCCTACGCAGAGGCAAACTTTCGCAACAATCACTATACTACAGAATTCCGACAACTCAACCTGGAGCGCTGCACCCTTTTCCGAGTCGACAATCTCCTAGAAAATCCACACATAAATTGGAGTCTTTGCAATCGTTAACTACCGCAACTTGGCGACCAATTGATATCGGTCCGCCTATTATGATGCACTGAGGTTTATCTTTGTCGTTGGTATCTACGGGAGAGATTAAGCAAGTCGATGAAAAGGCAACGATACCCGAGGAGGATAAGGACGAAGAATCAGATTCGGCCGAAGGAGGATTGAGGAATGATTGGATTTTCATACTTGCTGCCTGCTAGATATTGTAATGCATCTGTTTCAGTGAATATTTTTCCTGGTTTCCTCAGGGCTATTATTTTCTATGCATGACTGAGCGGCTTAGGCTGGTAGTAATTTTTACCCCTATTCTTCAATCTGGGAATAGTGTTTTGGGCTTTAATGGGTAATGTTTCATTGAAAGCATTTTCCTTTTTACACGGGGGCTCCGTGCTTGAATTATTTATCATTCTAGCACTACCTAAACTCAATTCCAGATAAAAGTTCTTTTACGCCAGAGACTGTATCCACCGTACATGAGTGTTATTATGCTTCCTCCAATGATGGGTTTTTTCTTGAGCCAAGTATTTCATGGAGTGCTGCGAATAAACTTTACTGAGAGCCATGTTGCGGACCACGTTCAAAAAGAGTCCTGCAGATGAGATGTTCTTGAACACCCAGATCTCTTCTAGGCAACGGGACACAGGCTAAATGTCTTTTAGCTGCTCTGAAAGATTTGTACATTTAGTCTGATCGTTTGGAATAGGATAATGACATTCTACATTGGTCCAGAAATAGTCAAGTTCGATTTTCTCATCAAATGTTATTGTGCAGCCAAGCGGACAACGGGAGCAGTACATATTCAAGGAAAATGTCCTTGGGCTTGAATAAAGGGATATTTCCGATTGACTTTGTTTTGTCTTATGTGTACCTTCCTTTCTTCTTATGTATATACCTTTGTTCGAGTCTGTTTTCAGCTTGTGATATTGTCAAAGGGTAACAATTTTCCTCTTACAACAGCATCAAGCTGTTTAAACTCACTTAAATTGCGCGGTTTCCAAGGTAGTCTGGAAAATATAAGACACTTTACGTAGTCAATAGTCCGCAATATGGTTTTCGACTGGCTACAACGTGCTGTCTCGCCTATTTTCTATCCAATCCCCAGCCCAACGTTTTCTCCGTTATATCAGAAGAACACGAAAGCTCAGAAAAAGCGTAAACATGTAGAATATGGCATCGAGTTGGAATATGTGCTGGCATTCCATGAGCTAGAACTCAACCTTTCAGACCAGGAGGGGCGGAGTCCTGACCATGGAATCGAGAAAAATATCCGACTAGCCATTCGTCGCCACCCAGCGTGGAGTCCAACAGTCATGGCTGGCTACGAGAGGGCTTCCAAACTCATCTACAATAGTTGGGCCATTCGTATAAATAACGTCAAGGATAAGGATCAAAAGCAGGATTTGGCTAACCTAAGGCCCTATCACCTCGAACCACAATCAATAGTCTTAAATAAGTTGAACGACAAGGTTGCACAACTTAGAGGTAACGTTAGGCACAAAGGACCACAGAAAGCTTCAGAGAAGGTTCCTGGAGCCTACGACCAATGGATCATTTCGACAGATAGTACAGTCGTTGGTCAAGGTTCCTCGAATCTCTATAAATGGCTGCCACGGATCTCTGGCAACGTTTCGAAACGATGGGATTCTTATGGTATCGAAGTGATATCTCCAGTTCTTAGGAGTAATAGCACTCGAGACAGGGTCGAGCTTGAACAAGTACTCAATGCACTCAAAGGCGAAGGCGATGAACTTTATGAAGGCTTTATCACAAATCAATGCGCCCTGCAGGTGCACGTTGAACCCCCTAGTCTGGCCGCCTTGAAGGAATTGGCGTGCATTCTGCTGATATACGAAGATGAGATCTCAAGGCTGCACCCTAGATGTCGCCGTCCTGGTCATCAGGCCACAAGAGGCAATATTATTAGCAATCGCACTTTAACGTTCCTAGGCCGCAATTTTACCACATTCGAGGATAATGTAGGAGAAGTCTGGGATCAAAATATGGACGTATCTGTCTTTAAAAAGCGCAGAACAATTCGGCAAATTCGCAATGAGATTCATCAGCTACAGGACGAGTCGGCAGTCGCTGATTATATGTGTTTTCCTGCGACATCTAGGCTCAGGATCGTAAACTTTCGACCATTGAGATATACAAAATTCCCACGAACAATTGAGTTTCGACAAGCTCGTGGTTCACTTGATATACATGATGTCAATTATTGGGTCGATTTCTGCGTGGGGCTAGTACAACTTGCGGAATACTACGTTGAAAATCCAGGCGCTAGGATTCAATCTTGGGATGAAGATCATGATGGTCACGTTAAAAAGCTTGATATATTTCAATTGATGGAGGATATGAATTTGGATGAAAGGACTATGAGATATTGGAGACATAGAGTTGCTAAGCATATGGCGGGGAGTAATGAGGACGACCGGACTGACATTGAGAATCTTCCTGTAAACAGGAAGGAGAAACCATCTTCAAAGACTCCCTTTACATCCAGCATATCTCCTGTGGTACCGCCTGGAGGACCACTGGGAGGACCATTTGGAGGACTCTCGGGAGAGTCTCTACAACCTAAGCCTCAGTCCGATAAAAAAGCTACAGAACCTTCCGGGGATGGAAAAGCCAAACCAGAATCGTCGCCTCGGCTCAAGGTGCCACCGCTGATATCTCCTGCTACACAGTCTGCAGCAGAAGATTCATCGATAAAGATAGAGCCTGAAAAACCCATTTCGGATGCTCAGGCGAGGTTTTTGGGTTTATTAGACACCCATGCGGAGAAGACGTCCAATAGGCCATTCTTTGATGTAGACACTTCTGAGGGATCCACCATTCCTCCAGCATCTCTGGTTGATCTGCCTGATGTGGCCAATATGGAAACTGTCTTACCTCGAGCTGAGGTCGAATTTTCATCTAGTTCAGGACTAGGACTGGAATTCAAAGTGGAATACCCTAAAATACCCGGGCTTGAATCAGACAGTGTAGTCAAATACCCTATACTACCGGGACTCAAACCAGAAGGTGAAGTCAAATACCCGATCTTGGGAAAGACCCCAAGAAGTTTTTTGTAATGACCATATGCTGACATGTTAAAAGGACAACAAGGAGCTCAAAAACGCCCGGCACTACTTCCTGGTACCAAAAAGGAAGCCGAGCCTGACGCTTCACCAGAAAGTTCGTCATCAGACGAGGCTGCTAATACCTGGGATGACCCAGGTTGGAACTCAGATGACGATATGATGTTTGGAATTTTTTCCGGTGACATAGATGACCCTGAACCTCCACCACCTGGAAGATCCGCACTAGATTCGTCAGAGTCATCAGAGTCATCAAGACCCTCACAAGAGCCAAAGTCATCGGGCTCGACTGTGGTTCATTCTAAAGCTCCAGTACCTGGTGGTCCATCCAAATCATCGGCAGGCCAAAAACCCGCGGGAAAGAGACAGGCAGGGGAGCCTCCCGAGGATAAGAAAAATGCTAAGGAGCAGAAGACCCAAGGCGCTTCTGAGAAAACCCTCCTAGTTCCTACCACGAAAAAAAGACCCGCAGAAGAGCCTGCAGCAACTGAGAAGGATGTGAAAAAACATAAAACTAGTCATAAAACCAGTGCTACTAAGACCACAGGTAAATACACGGTCGAAGGAACGATCGATATTTTAAAGCAATTTCGCGGTTTAGAAGAGGAGGATCTTTTTGCCGAAGTGTTAAAGGAATTGTACGATACAACTCCGGGGAACGTAGAGATTGTATCTGAGGCCTTCCATCAATATACGCAGAATCATCGGACGCCACTGCCCTTCCACGTACCGGGACATGGCACGGAAAGTGACGAGAAGCTTGCTCAACAGTTGCAGGAAGAGTTTGAAGATGCAAATATGGCTCTCATACGTCAATTACAAAATGAGGAGAATGAGAAGGCTACCCGTGAAGCAGGAAGCAAGGCAGTTGCCCCGGAACTGAGAGTTGATCACCCACCTGTCGAAAAAATTGGGAAAGAGGAACTCGAGGTGATTAATGCCGGCACTCCTAATGAGAGACTTAGGATAAAGAATTTCAATAAGAATGAATGGCAGACCATCAACACAACAGCTGTTATTGCTAGGCAATTCGGTGTATGTGGTGCCGCAGCTGTTGTACACTCTCTTCGCAATCAGTACCCCAACGAACCGTGGATGCAAGGAATGACCAACGAGCGCTTTTTGAAAGATTGGCTTAAAACAGTCCCCAATACTGGGGACCCGGGCAGGAATAAATATTGGGATGAGGAACAGCTCAATAACGCCGTACAGAGACTGACAAAGGGGCAGCTTCAAATTGCAGTAGTTCACAAAGGTCTCGAGAACAGTGATAAAAATGCTGCCGTCTCTATTCCGGAGGCAGCCATACTTACCGCGAATGGTGAGCCTGCTAGGTATTTATATTTGCACTTGACGCATTCTGCTTTTGTAGTTGGTTCGAAAGGTGTCCCGTACCAGCATTTCGAGGGAATGAAAAGGAAAAACGGCTTTGTAGAGCATAAGTAATGATGAGAAAGACACAGCTGGAGGATCAATGTTCCGTCACCTGGCGGTTTAAATGTCTGTTTCTTCACTGGGTGGGATGATTGTTAAACGGTATCTGTTTGCATACTTTCAAATTTGGTTCTCTTAAAATGTGGATTTTTGTTTTATTTAGGACTGCTTAATTTGTATTTACTTACTCTCGCGCTGTCAGATTCTACTGTGTCAGCGTAATTATGGAATTTCTGTGATGAAACTATTTCTCAGTCTGTATCTATGCCCGCCGGTATTTAGAAACGCAAAAAGAATTTAAATCACAAACCAAAAAATCCTCCACGTGTAATATTGATCTGTAAATTAGGAGGTTGGATGTTAAGATCCAAAAAGCAAAATTTGTACCGTAGTTAACCTCAGAACATAAGAGTTCTGGACTTTCCTCACCGCACACCGTGATGTTTTGTGACAAAATCCCTGCATAAAAATTTTCGTGTCTGCGAGAGCCAGATTGAAGGGACCTATTTGGATGCTTGTCGTAGTGGTACTTCTAATACAATGAATCGGATTAATGAAATCTGTATAGTCCGATCACTTTGTACACTAAGAGTCTTACTAAATATTAAGCGAATTTTAATTCCAGAAGTATAAATCGAGATAAAGATCTTAAGCGATGGCATCAACATAAGCGAGATTGAAAAAAATTTATAAGATCAAAAAGACAGATTTTCACAAACTTAGCTTTTTCTTTTACTTTTACCTTTCACATGATAGTAGACTAGATATGCCAAAACACAATAATGATAACCACTTTTAATATGTTCCGGGATATAGCGCATATCTTCATTCCGAAATGAATTACGTTTGGTTCCGAAATGGGCTAGCTTATTGGTCAATACTCTAAGTAGCTCATTCGCTAATGAGCTCATTTTGGAATAAGCTAGCTCATTACTCAATATACTCCGTTCAGGTAAAAATGAGACCATTCGCAAACGAACTTCGCTTATCCAAATATGTTTTTCGTATTTCATCATACTAATTCAGCAGATCAATCGAGATTTACAGGGAATTAAAGCCCATATATATAGATCGAAAGCCTATAAGAATTCGAAGCCTATAAAAATTCAGAGTCTTGTAAGAATTCAGGATTGAAAATAGGGTAGAGAACGATGATGAGGATGGGAGGCAACGATGAGATTGAAAAGGAGGTTGGAAATGAGGGCGGGGGAGTCTATTGACTATATTATTATTTTTTGAACTGAGTTCATTTGGGAATGCCCTCAATTTTTCCTGTTTCGATAACATCAACTAGCTCATTTCGCAACCTAGTAATTCCCATATTGCGCAATGTTTCGTAACAGATAAAATCCATGATAGATCTAGAAGGAACGGTTCCCATAATTTCTGCTTTAAGAACTCTAATACATGGAAAGAGATTCACACTTTTAATTCTAGGGCACAGGGTTTCATGGAAGAACCACCAAGCAGGCTTTAAGTAATAGATCATATTTAAGTATAATTACAACCACGTTAGAGGAGATACCAAAAGTTACACAGTGAACATTCATCTTTTCCAGTTCATTTGGGAAGGCCGAGAGAAGATCTGATCAAGGTTCGAGATGGAGATAAATTATATTTTTTGTTGAATATTTTTGAAATTGGTATCTACATAAATTGTACATGCTAGTCCGGTGGCCGCTCATGGCACCGATAATTTACAAACAAATAAGAAAAACCCCACATATCCTAAATCAAGAAATTGTATATACAAATTGTGAAAGAGAAAAATGGAAGGAGATGGTGTGATTGGTGATTGGTGAATACGTCCTTAGTGTTGATGAAGAAGGTGCGTCTACTGCGTTCCTCCCTCCCTCGCTCCTCGATTCTATTTCTTACTTCCATTTTCCCTTCTAATACTTAATTTATTCTTCCGTTGATCTCTATCGTCCACGTCTATTCGAATATACTCCGTCTTATCATCCCTTCCTCTTGCTTGCGCTTTTCTCTCTCTAGTTCTTTCTCTAGCCTGCGTGCTTTAATTGTCTTAAATTCTGCGATTTTATCCTTTATTTCAGCCAACTCGCAGTACTGGACCGATGACAAGGTGAATTCTGGACGTCCAGGGTAGATCCCCTGTTTCAAATACGCTCGAGCTGAGGTTTCCACGAATCGCTTGACATAATGTGGTGAGATGTTAGAAAGTGCCGGCGAAAGGTACTTGTGGGGTTGTGATTTCCACTCCTGATGTTTTGGGTTGCGCAGAATGGCGAGATGAGTCGTATATGTTTCGGGTTGCGGTGGTGGATTATTCAGCACAATGCTATGTGGTACGTATCTAGAACCTGCCTCATCACCACCACTCAATTCTCTAATGGTTGCTGTCGTGTAAATGGCAGTGCGGTGGTGGCATACAACGGAATTCTGTTGGCAACTACAGAAGGCGCCTGGTAGGCGAAAATAATTTAAATGTTCTTCACTGATAGTTCGGTCTGGGCTCATTGGTCTGGGCACCGCGAGATAGGGGTTGCTGTTGGATCCCATGGCGATTGGAGGTGTTCTGGGTCTCGTTGAGCTGCCGCTATTGGTGTTGGATCCTACAGCGATTATAGGTGTTCTAAGGTTTGTTGAATCGTCCTGATTGGTTTTGGATTTCATAACGATTGTGGGTTTCCTGGAGTTCGTTGAATTGCTGCAACTGGTATTGGATCCCATGGCGATTGTAGGTGTTATGGGGCTTGTTAAAGTGCTGTGATTGGTGTTGATTCCCATGTCGAATAATCTGGGACCATGAAGGAGTATAATATGAATCAAGTAGATTGTACAGGTTGTAGCAGCTACGTAGCGAGGCTCTAAAATCCCGAATATATTTGTGATAGATGAATTTAAAAACGAAATTTGGCTGTGATATAGTACGTCTTATGGTGCAGAGTAGGTTTTTGATAAATATAAGAAGAAATCGTTTGTTGTATACTGTTGAATTGGTTTCGTTATAGATCGTGAGTTATAGGTCGTGAGAGATTAACTTGGCCTGATACTGTGTACTGTATGGGTTTCGATATGTTGTGGAGTTGGAGGTGAAAAGAAAAGAGACTGGGTGTAGAACGGATATTTGCAAGTGGGATGAAAAGAAGGGAAAATAATTTTTTACTCAAGTGCGTCCATACTATACTAGTCATTGGACTAGGAGTAGACTAAGTACTTAGTCCATATATGAATAGGGCAGGCCTAGCACCAGTTACATACTACTATTTATGACCAAAATGTATGGCTCGGAGCTAAGTTGAATTACTTACAAGAACTAGCAACTCATTTATGATAACGATGCATGATCATCTAGGTTGGCTGTCTTAGAATGAAGCCTTAACTGTGGCAACGATATTTGAGTCAAGCAACCTCTTGAACTTTTGTTGAACTACTGAACCATTGAACCTTGAGAGCTGAGATAACTAAGGATTTATGGAATGGATCATAGATCACGGAAAAAAGGAGCAGAAACATTTGTGGGGTAGATATCCATTCATCTATTCTTTGTGACAGTAAGTGTCCAAATTCCTAGTATAGTGAAATTGGTGGGCTTTTAGGGATCCTCCACAACTCAAAGTGTTGAGAAAACACCGAGGCTGGTCATTTCCACAAAATGAACAATCATAGAATTTCAGGGAAGGCTTGGCCAAGTCTTCATTCAAGTCTTCCGTAGGAAGAATCAGAGAGCCATGATTGATGCTTTCCAGATGTTGACGTCTTTCATGTTTAGTTATAGGCTTGATGTACCAGAGACAGAGAATCATGAGGCTTGCAAACAGCTACATAAAGTTAGTTTATGGTTGACCATAATGATTTAAGAAACTTACCCTAGATAATCTTCTTTGATACTTCCAATAGCAAACATGGCTCCAACTTCAGGCCTTGTACCTATGATTTTCACTCGGACATGAGTACCTGGTTCAATGACAGAGTCCTCATTGTTTGTGAATTGGGGTGGTGTTGCATTTGCATCGAATTTAATATCACGAGGAATAAGCTGCACGAGATTAGTATAATGTGTGTGCTGACAATAATAGACAATAGACGAGACTTACATGAGCAGATACAAAGAGAGGCAAAGGACCAGCATCTGCAAAAAAGCCCACAGCATTGACCGAAGTTACAATAGCATCGACCTACATCAATTATTGAGAAATGCACAGAAATTCAATCACGTACTCAGAGTTCTTACGGTCTCGCCCTTGAAGGGTCTCCAAACTACAGCACGATATCCAACAGTGAACTCGGCCAGTCCACTCCCTGGAAGGATTCTTCCTTCGGAAATATTGAAGGTATCCATAATTGTGATAATGTAGTAAAGTCCCGTACACGTTCCTTCTACATCTTTTAATAGCTTCCCAGTCACCAGCTCATGCATATTGCGACCAAAGTATGATGGGTGCAGGGTGACCTGACGCTCAAGATTGTAGAGGAAAAACATTGTTATTTTTGTGCAGCGAAAGATATAGCGTATTGAAAATAGTGGTAGAGTGGTAGAATCAATGTTTCCCTGGTACGTTATGTATATCTTTGGGATCGCGCCGCAGCTATCTTGCTTCTTCGTAGAAACGCAAAGTACGATAGAGAGGATAAGGTAAAGTTATCGATGTGCCTGGATAAGAGGGCGGGATTGGAATATTTGTCTATCAAGAGAGTGCTGATCTCTCAGAAGCTTTCCTCCTTAATTTTCACTGTTGAACCTGCTCTTGATGCCCAGTTATCCACCCAACCCCATATAGCTATCGTACCTCGTTCGGATCGCAAGGTCCGTCTTAAAGTCACAGTACGATATTAAAGTGTGCCGAGTCAGTGTTACTCTTCTGCGATCTATTAGTCTCCTTTGTTTCGAGTAAACGTCTTTGAAAGCCGGAAATAGCTTTCTTTCAACATACATTGTTTGAAAATGAATGAAATTGCAAAGACGCGACACTTTGGCAGGTCTCTGGAAGATGTTACAGAGAAATGCGCAAAGGTTTGTCGATGCTGTGGTATGGAATTGTCACTATTGAAGAATCTATAATAATTGTTCAAGACAAGGAGGGAGCAATAACGGCGAGGTTTGAAGGGTTACGCGATCCTTAGACCTTCAAGCCTTTTTTCGCGACGCTGAGGATGAAAGAAACGCTTATCATTGCGTACAATCAAGTATCACGGCTTACTAATACTGGGTACGATGGTTGATTACTAATAACAATTACGAAAACATGACATGCCAGGCAAAATTTGGTCCATGATATTCCGAGGCTGACAATTCAACACATGCTTCTATTTGATATTCATCTATTCAACCCCTCGTCCCCAAAAAGCAACCTGCTTGAATAGGCAAATCTGGCTGGATTGATGTATTTATTACCCTGATTTTCCTCGCCTTCTCTGTCCTATACTATCGTCTTTCTTCGTCCCCTTCATCTTGTACCAAGAACTTGATTCTCAATGAGTGAATGAGGGGACGATTGCGCCTCAACCTTGAATCACGGACTTGAGCTCCAAATTATACCTACCTCTTTATTCATAAGGATCGCACAAGCGGACAAACTTTTGGAGTCGGTGGGGTCAAAACATTCATTCTAAGAATGTCTCTGAACCTTGAGAAACAGCTCACCTTTGTATGTCTAGCTGTTAGCTGTCTAGCTGGTATTAGGACTCCACAGGATAAGTGCTAATGTTGGATCTAGTACGGAGCCTACCATCATAATCCTACAAATATCCTCATTCATATGACATGTGTGCCCTTAATTTTGGCTACCAGTCTTTTCCTCGTATGGCCCCGAACTCTCCGCGATCTCTTACTGGGGACAAACGGCATGCTGACAATGTACCGATAGTGCTCCAACAGTCCTACATTAATACCTCTACCATCATGGCTTACTATTCCGAATTTACCTTTAAACTTCAGCACGATTGGATCAATCCTCTATAGTGGGTTTTATATTCTCCTCGAACCTGTCGCAGGCAGTATCCTTCTCCCATTTATCATCGGATGGACCGCATTCTCGAATCATCTCCTTGCTACATCCTCAAATACTACTTTGGCAAACCAAATCGCTGGTGCCGTGTTCCTTGTCTCATGGATTATGCAATTTATCGGACACGGCACTTTTGAGAAGCGTGCCCCTGCATTGCTTGACAACCTTGTACAGGCACTAGTTCTGGCTCCATTTTTCGTATTCATGGAGTTGCTATTTATCTTCGGGTACAGGCCAGAATTGCAGAAACGGATTGACGTTGCTGTGGAAAAAGAGATTATAAAATTCAAATCTGAACAGTCCAACGGCGCCGTCAAGAAGGATAAAGACAATTGAAGTATGACATAGTACCGCAAATGTGGCACAAAACGAGGCAACGCAGACGGAGCATGAGGCGGGGTGGAGAAGGAGACGGGGAAATGATTGCAATACTGGGGTTGGCAGTTTATTTTGAAGGTCAACGGAACTGACCTTACATTGGTCTTCAAGTTCAGAATAGGTTTCGAAGGAAGCGAGGTTCATCCGGAAGAATAATCCGATTTGGTGGAGTTAATTTGAGGTGCGAGGAGTTTTCTACTTTCTTATACCAGCGAGTTTTTGATATGCAGAGAATACCATCTTCAATCCCTCGAATAAGTTCCATCAAGTTTCATTTGCATAATCCGTGGAATACGGATCTACTCTACATACATCATGATCCAACAAGAGCACAAAAACAAACTGCTTGACCTGGCCATGAGCTGGGCAGTAAGGTAAGGAAAAGATGTAACCAACCTTGGGAATGCCATTCAATGCCAACGCTGTGTGCTGTGCGCTGTGTCTTGAGGTCATCTTTCTAGGTCCACACAGTTAATCTTAAATTCGCAAAATGATACACGCCGATGCCTCCTCAGCTGTTTCTCTACTTCACATTTTTACAACACCATCCAACAAAACTATCTCTCGTTTTATATCTTACATGTATTTTTCAATTTTTTTTGGTAGGCTTTTGCCAGGTTATATTTTCTCCATCAAATAACGCCTGCAGAATATGGAACAAATGAAACTCAAAAAATGGACTTACTGAAGGAAACTAACAATGAAATCATCTCTTGCTTCTTCTGCCTCTCTGTTCTGGTTGTCGCTGTTGCCAGCTCTCCAACGCGCTGTCAAGTTCGTATTCAAGGTCGGTCATCTGTCTTCTCAAATTGTGTTGTCCCTCTCTTGTCTTTAGTCTCTGTGAGTTGGATGACCAGCGAGTGCTCATGGATGACACTGAAGACACATCATCCAAGTCCAGTGGGCTTGTCATTGCTGAGACATCCGAATCTCTGGTTCTAAGCGGAGGCACTTCATTGCGAAATGCGTGTCGTCCAGTGGACGGCTGTGGTCCCACTTGCTCAGCTCGAGGCTTTCTCATCAACGGGAGCAGGGGAAGTGGCTTGTTTGGTGGCGGTGCAGTACCGCGGCTGGTTTGTATTTGGGAATTCCATCGCTCAATATCAATGTGGGCATCCTCGTATCTTGGAACTGCTAGACCGGGCAAGGATCCAGGCTCGCTCCCGGTGATTCCCAAGAACTGTGAAACGACTTCTGGTTCAATTGTGTTGAACTCATCGGTATGAGATTTCCATCCGTAGGAAGCTGCTGCTTGCCTAGCGGCGCGTCGTGCTTCTACTGTGCCTATTGTCATGCGCTTCAATCCCGCGGTGGTGTTTGAGAATCGCTCAGCTTCACACTTTTTATTCCAGAATGATCGTCCAAACTCACAGCAGAATCCTTCGTTTCCTGATCTGTCAGCGGAATTGCGGTTCTCCCTGATGCACTTTTCACATCTGAAGTTAGTGTGTCTGTCCTCCACGGGTCGGTACGCTCGACGTTGTCGTGCACGCTCCTCGTCTTGTTCTTGGGCGACATGAGCGCGGATTATCTCTGCGTCTCGTGCTTGTTCCTGGGCGATCAAAAGATCTTGTCGCCTTGTGCTGCAAGCTGGGCACATTCCTTCGACTTTCCTAACCAAATCAGGTCCTTTGCATTGAAAATCGAGATCTGCATCATTGTCAGAATCACTCTCAGCTTGTTCCACGCCGCTGCAGAGGAAAGATTTCCAGCTGCTGCGACGAGATGATCGGGAAGAGGAGCTAGAATTGCGTTTCTGTTCCTTGGGTGTCTGGGCCGCGGGCACTTCAGTATTTGGTGGGATTTCGTGAGTTTCTATCAAATCGTGTCCACACTCTCGATAAACGACCTGCACCTTGCAAGATAGTCTTGTAGACATACTGAAGGTGGAGTTGTTGGTGTTTGTTTGTTGATTATGAATACAAAGATATATATATAGTAAGAAATAAGAGTTAAGATATTCAAGATTGATAGACTCGCTGTTCGAGAGTAGCTTCTTGATATAGCTACAATGGCTATTGTCCGATTTATGTAGATGGTTCTGGCTGTTGTTTGGTACTTGAACAAACTCGATAAAGAACGAATCCATCGTTGAATGCCTTTGTGGAACGATGAAAGAATTTACCAATGAACGACCTTGTTGAGGTGAACGACGAAAGAATTTATCGATGAATATCTTTGTTGAAGGCTGGCTTTTTTGTTTCCGAAAGCGCAATTCGACAAAGAACGGAATGTAGAGATTATCTCAACTTTGCTTTCAAACATGTTCCAAAATACTACAGGTGTTTTATACAGTCTCAGCTGCGCAACACGCTCTTACCCACCAACTGGAACGCATCTCAAAAATCCCAGGGTCACCAGTATGTTACATAAAATAAGGGAAGTAGAATCATATCTAAACGTGCCTCAACACAAAGAAAGGATCTTGGCAGATCATCACCAACCTTTGATTTCCACTCTCTTCCAGAATAAAAGCACCTTCTATACGATTTCCTTCTGCGGCTTTGACTGAAACGTTCTTGTTTGAAACACTAAAATGTTCCTTTGAGCCTACATTCGTATATGGCCCAACATACTTTGTCCAAACACACAAGTTTCTTTTCTTCAGCCTTGGAAATATCTCTTCTCGCTCACGGACTAAGGCTATAAGGTCTCCTTGGTTGATAGCAGCTTTCCGAATGGTATAACGAAACCACTTGACTTACGTTGTTCACGACCCCGTTCTTGTTCCTGTAGCCGCGTAAAATACGACGGTACAGATCGAGCTGGTTTTACTTCCACCTCCGCGTCGACAATACAGCGAAACTAGGACGCTCGAGAATCTCCGGACGAACTCTGGAAGAATTTGGCCTACTCCGAAACCAGGTCGGTACATCTAGCTAAGCTATACTACTAGAGTAAAACTATTAGTCTCACTACTAACGCGGACAAGACGTTCCTGAACAATGCCATTGAATCCCAGAACAATCCTTCTCGGGGAACTATAAAGGTCGAGGACACGTCGGATAAGTCTTTTTCTTCTCGGCTTCATATAAATCACCCATTCAAATCCATATTTTATATTCCATTAAAATCTGGATTTGAATCAAAGATTTTACCTACGAAAAGCGACAAGACATCTACAGCCGCCATGCCTTCTCCACCGGTAAGAATGATTCTCTACCAATGCTCTCACGAACTACCGGATCTGAGATACCAAGCTCCCAAAAAGCCCTCGGTTCTCAAGAGAGTCAAGCGAGCTCTCACGTTCACGGAAATCATTCGCACACCCTCTGCGGAGCTGTGTCCGTTCTGTCAGAGACTAGAGGACGAGCAAGCAGAACGAGATGCGGACAAGCTGGTAGGACTCACTAGACTAGCCGCTTCACCATGTCAAATTAGCCCCCTCCTCGAGCACGCGGTCGTTATTAGACGAAACAATACTGTGGCACTATCAACCCCAAGGACAAGCCCAGTAACCGACACCGGGAGCGAGGCTGATCCTCAGCTTGTTGATCCACTTCCTCCAAGGGACCCGTATAGGGACACCAACATGGAGGACAGCACAGCGGACTACATGGAGTGGAGACGTGCGCAGAGTCTTGCCGATGAGACGCCAGCAGATCGGCATGCACGGGAGCTCCGAGAAAGGTTAGTCAGAGGAGAGTGGAGAGTCATGGATGCCGCCAGGGAGTACAAAGAGTTTGTGCTTGACCAAGGGGAAGAGCCTCCACAAAAGCCAGAACCAGCAGCAGACTTGAGCCAACTTTTCTCCCAGGCTCAAAAAGCACCATCACCCGCCCCAGACGCAGTTTCAGCATCTCCAGAACCTCAGCAGGGGAGTTTGAGGACGAGGATGGGAGAGAGGAAGGCTGAGAAAGCCCTCAAGGCAGATAGGGTAAGAAATCGAGCGCAGGAAATTGCGAAGAAGTAAGTAGACACACCATTTCTTTTATCCTCGGCTTTATGTATTTTTTACTGAATAACGGCTGACGAGTTACGACCTCTGCAGACATAGGAAGGTAGGGATTTTTACCAAGCGATTTAACTTGTACCAAAAACCCGAAAAAATAATTATAATTTTTTAAACTTCTACAAAATTTACTTATGGTATGCAAATGTGATGACCTGAAGTGATAATAATGTGATGTAATGTGTCAGTGACATGAGCCTTTTAAGCTCTCCCTCGATATTTTGAGTATCTATGGTAAGTTCTAACGTTCATACCGGTAGGTGCCCTGTATACACAGTCAGCTTGATGCGGAAAATACCAGAGACTTTGTAGATTCATAAAACGACTTTCAAGGACTCAATTTTGCAGTGGAGTTTTTAGAATAGTTTCATGGATATGGCGATCTAGTGGTTTCATTTAGGAGGTTGTTCGCCAAATTTATAGATAGCCAACAGGATGTACTCAACTACACCTTTCATGGATAAATGACGTATAATAACTGACGCCACCGGCTACAGAGTTTTGGCTCTTCTCCAGCCTGAAAAGCCCGCTCTTTATCTCGCAGAGTCAGTTGCATCACGTGTTCGCAATCATGTGATTCACCCCAACATACATCCTATGCTAATTTCTACCAATTCGACTTTTTGAAGCTACGACTGTGGTTAAGGAGTTGCTTCTCATATAACTAGCTCATGGTACGGGTCGATTTGGCGAATATGCATTGTTCCTAGTAGAGGTGAGTTGAGGAATCTAGCTCATCGGTCCAGGAATCCCCCTTTCTTCACCTATATTGTATTTTCCCCTGCTAAATTTGGTGCGTAATGTAAATATCGTAATATTAATTCAGCCCATGTTTTTGCTACTCTAGAAACGATAAGATTTAATCATCTACCTCAATTAGATGGAAGTGAGCATATCAAACCCTTGATTGTGGGAGGTATAGCAATGGAATGAGCCACAGATTGTATCCTTGTTGAACAGGAAAAGCCATATTTAGAACGTTAGGCAGAAACTTAAGAATCAAGAGTGAAACAGGAATAGAACAATGGTAACTTAAGTCTTTGTATGAATCTGCGTAACTCCAATGTTGGTGATGATAGGGGTGAAATGGCTGGTAATCAAATTGTAAATTGAATGTTTATATCTAGACTCACAAAAATGCTTGAAAACAGGGCCAGAATATTAAGAGTAAAAAGGGAACAGCAATGACTTGAGAATTCTTTCTTAACTCTATACACAAGGCGAGGGTGTGGCCGCCGTGGAGTAAATCATCTATGCATTTTGTCTGACATCTAAGTCGACACAGCATGTCTCAAGTACCCTCCGTGGTAGATAAACAACAGTAGGAGAACAATTCCCGAAAGAAATTTTCCAAAACTATATAATTGCAAGAAATCCCCGTTCCGAAGTATTCTTTCATTCATCACACTCACGAATTCAAATACAACTCCATCCAACACACACAGTAGGATTGAGAACCCCAAATTATTTGAACTCCACCAAGTCAAAAACTCAAAAAGATCATGAATCAACCAAAGTTGATCGTTGTGTACGCATGTACACACGAACTTCCTGACACCGATATGACCGTAGAGCGGGCCAAGACCACGCCCTACGAATTCCCACCTTCGCTTTTCACAAAAATCAAGAGAAAGCTTAGTGGAGGCATCACCATCAGAAGACCTTGCATGGATGATTGCCCAGTTTGTCTGGCAAAGAAGCGTGTATTTGACAAACAAAAATCGATGGTGACCATTCACAAGTCTACGCCGAGCCAAACCTTCAGCCCTCAAACTGCGAAAGGTATGTTCTCAACTCCGACTCTTGTTTCTGCATCTGCATCTGATTCTCCACTGAAGACTCCACCGCAGCCATATAACCTTTCAGAAGGTCCCCCTTCCTTCCCGGTTTTGGATGCATTGGCTGCCGGCTGGGATGCAAAGACACGTCGAGAAGAGATCAACCCTCGTGGGCGTGCTAGGAGCGACCCAATGAAAGGCTTATCTCCGATGCCACCTCCACCTTCACACAATGAATCTAGCTTGCATGCCAGAGTTCACAAGTGGACCAGTGAGCAAACCCACAGGGCGTTGAAGGAGCATAGCGAGGGTTACGTTTCTTTCAATCGCTTTTCCGATATCACGGAGGAGGGAGAGTCACCAGTCGACCCAGCACTCAAAAGATCTCAGGACAAGAAGAAAGAGAAGGACGAGTGATGAGGCAGAAGTCGACGAGATGTACGAGAGAAATTGCACACAGAATGACAGGATTCTCTTATCTTGCATGTTTTGTATTGCTATGATTCCGGAATTTTTATTTAATGATACCCAAGAATATGACTTACGACAAGAATGGGCTCATGATAAATGTAAAAAAAATGTAAAGGGGAGTTTTTCTTAAATTGACAGATTGAAATCTGTTTTACCTGTAGAACAATATTAGCCTACCCCCTTAAAATTTAAGATGTACCAACTTAAACCAAACCTAACTAGTACCTGATGCAAGTGTGACTCGAAAAGAATTTATTAATACATATGGACGGACAATAAATGTTTCATATAAATATAATATGAAGAAAAACTAACCGATGGCTAGATGCTCGCTAATGAAGAATATCTACATGTACCTTATAAAGACAGTGTTGTACAATTTCTACACCGTTTTCCCAATAGCACCACTGGACACATTATAATTAATTAAATTATAATTATAAGAAACTAAACATCCAATTGTCAGTTCTTAGCATGCTCCTCGAAGAATGCTCTCTAAAAGGGATCAAAATAAATACTATATAAGCACGTGATCAACCCCCTGAATCAACCGAAAATATGCAAATGTAAATTTAGCTGAGAAACTCTATCCGGGGTTCTCGTGTAAGAGAATTTTGTATAATAGCCAAACTTATGAAATCAATTTGCGCCAAGCATTGCAGGCTTCATGCAATTGGCTCCTTTCCAGATCATGTCAATTGGTAGTAATAAGTCTAGAGTTGCGTCCACGCACAGTCAAATGGTGCCCCGAGTTTCAGCTTCGAAATTGCAAGCACTGAACAATTGGTAAGCAGATACAGTACAGCGAGAGAACAGGTTCTCTATTATGAGTAAACATTCCTAGTGGCTCTTTGGACAAAGTGACCCTCATATATAAACAAGCGCATTTGTGTGTACTCAAAGGCCCTCTGCTCGTCAAAAAGCTCAGGCGTTAGAATCTCAACTATATACTCAAACAGACACCGAAGACTATCAGAACAGCTCCTTGCAGGAACTATATAAGGTACTAGATATCCATCTTTACTTCTATTCTTCCTTTCCTCATCATCCATCAGCTTAGTAACAACATCTCACAGACACACCATCTTTAAGATAAGTTTACTATTAGCAACTCAATCAACCAAACAACAAGCTCATCACTCACAGAAGTCAATATGCCGCCACGAAACTTCATTCTCTACGACTGCGGACACAGGGAGTTCGAAAACCCTTCTCCACTCAAGAAGCTCAAGAGAGCGCTTAGCATCAGAAAGGTTTTGAGCAACAAGGTCAAGGAGGCGAAGGACATCCGAGCAGACGGAGTATGCCCAGAATGCGCAAAAGATCCTGTCGGATTGTTACTTGGCGACCAAGTATTTCGTCGTATAAACAACCCGTTGCAACCTGTCGGTCTTAGGGAAGAGTACTCCCCTTCACACTCCGACGAGACAGAAGCAGAAAGCCAGCAAGAGAGATCTTCTAGCGAGGAAGAATCGGCTCACGAAGAGGAGGTAGAGGCGAGAAAAGATCACGGCGTCGTAGAAAGACCACCAACTCGTATTCCTCGACGACCCGTGGGCGCTCCCCCTGCCCAAAGCCATCGACGCCTCGCCCTCTTCTATCCCGAAGAAGATCCATTCGCAGACGGAAAGGATCCTCTCGCAGACGGGGAGCATGCTTTCACAGACGGATATCGCGAAGTGGAGACAGGTCGCCGGGTATCAGTGTATAAGGAGGAGGGAGACGCTAAAGGAGTATCGGAAGATGATGACTCGGCCCGCAAAAGTGACGAACAACGAAAGAATGAGTCTGCTATCACGGGATTCTGAACTCATACTCTGAGCAGATGATCTGGTCCGGACAGACCTTCAAGACAATGTTCTCCATAGATATGCAATTTTTTAGGAACGGTAAAGAAAAAAGAAAAGGGCCAGGAAAAACATAGATTGTCATTCGAATTAACGAACGCGTTATTGCTTTATATCGGTAGATTAAACACAGATTGTCATTCGAATTAAAGAAGGCGTTATTGTTATACATCACATCAATACATTTAAATTGACCAAAACAAATAAGACTAATGTGAAACCATATGCTCATGTGCTACAAAAATTTGACTAATGTGAATTATGAATTATGTGAGATTAAAAATATAGCTTTAAGCTATCAGTAGGCCCTGGGCTGGGAATTAGGACTCCAAGATGTGTCATTGAAACTATGGGGGGCAAAAAGTATCGTGGTAAGGTTAACTGACCCTTGTGTTTCTCTCTTACCTGCATTTTACTTGCGCTACGAATCACTTTCGTCTTGATGAAATCACGCAACCAGGCAATATATAGACGTCGGGATAGAATGTTTACGTAGCGAATGAAGATGTACAAATATCCCTTCACTTAAGCATATCGAATCCAAATAGTTGTCTTCCAACGACGAAGTTACACGAGCCAACCAAACTAGTGTGCATAGCACATCCTCTATAAGTAGAGTAATATACGCTACAATAATCTCATAACTTCGATTAAAAAAAGTTCTAGGAACAGGGTATCAAAGCTAGCTTGCTGATCGATATTTAGCACTAACTAATTTCAGATCGAAGACCTCAGAAATTTCCTACCCGAATTTTAAAAATTAGATATGGAATTCTTTACGTATCATCATCTGATAGACACCCCTCCAGGATTGAGATAATTAATCGACAGTATATCGACAACACATCATGACACATAAGAGCATTTTCACCATGAAATACTCACCGGCACGACAGTGACAGGATTATCTTTCCCAGTTACTATTCGTAAAGCCACATAAATTTCCTCAATAAATATCAACATGCACAACTCCAAATCGGATCGAGCGAATTGGTCCAATAAGACGTCGCCTGAATCCCCTAGACAAATCGAGAACAATCACGTGATCACATCCAACAAACAACCCGGTTGAATGTCGCATCCTTGTTTCAAATAGCTTGTCTCTCAGACGATATACTACAAAGACAACCAATTCTAGAATATCTACTAGCCTAGAATCGGTTGAATCGGTCCTGGATGTAGATTCTCGAAACAGCATCGGAACAAGGTTTTGTACTAAACATAAATGAACTAAAATCCTGAGTTAACTTAACGACCGCTTTTTAACAAACCAACAGCCGACAGATTAAAGGTTTTTAATTCACAGAGAAACAAGAAGCATCTGTAAGCATGTCATCGACCTTTTCCACCATGTTCGCTTGCGGACACGAAGAAACTTCCTCGACCCGAATCGGCACTGAGCGAGTACCAGGATTGAAGTGCATAATCCGAAAACTGAGTTGCAAAAGTTCGCCCAGAGTTGTGAGAGCTGATTCTGCAGCATTGTGCTCAACTTGTCGGAAAGGTGCCCCCTCACTTCCGCCCGTTAACGTTTCCAAACAAGGTAAATCAGTCAAGTTCGAAAAGCCAACTACTCAAGGTAAAGACGAGAAGGCTCGCGGAGAGTTGGATCCAGATCCACTCAGATGCCATCCGGTCATCCTGGCACCGGAGCGTGAAGAGCTTGGTGAGGATTATGCAGATCCATACCTCAATGAGTTTGCTGAACTTCTCAGGTACGGTGCCCATAACTTTACACGCAAGCATCCAGATGATGTGAACGAAGGGTTGTACCACCGTGAGGCAATGCCGATTACTCCTTTGTTGTCACCAAGTGAGCCACAAAGTTTCCTGGAAACTGAATTTTTCCTCCCTGCGTCAATGCTTCCGTTTGAAGTTGCCAGTCAACCAAGCGAAGTAGGTAGTATTGGGCGTGCGATCGAAAAGAAGTCGAAAGACTGATCTAGAGACGATGAAGAGGAACGTGGCGCTCTGTTGAATGTTCTCATTATTCTGTTATTTCACTCCGTATCAACTAAATAGTATGTCGAGAATAACCCTAAATTGAATAGAAACCCAACCCCTGAATCGATATTTTTTCCATGCGGTTGATATGTAAATCATCCTTTCCCTTTCTCTTTTCCTTCCCCGACCGTCATGTGCATAAATATTGTGAAAGATGATAGTCCTAATGAGAAATGGGATAGAATGCCAAGTAAAGGCTACATGCAAGCTTTCAAAAATGTAATATTTCCCACACAAACAGCAAACGTGATTAAAACGTGGTATTGCTGTGACTATTGAGTTCAACAAAATACTATAAAGTATATTCTCAATTTGGTATTACTAGACAACATCCAGCACTCATCACAATCATAAGTACACATTGAGATTATCATATTTTATGTGAAATGATAATGAAGAGCCAAAAGAAACACTAAGAATGATAAAACGTGATCAACATTAGATTTAACTGGCGTATATTTCCACCTCAACAAACCAGCAGAACTATCACAAAGAGCTATCGTGGGTGGACAAAACAGACAAATGGTAGCTGAAACCTCTTCATTGTTCCATGATCCTTGTCTCAGATTCATGGATATGTCCAGCATAAGACAACACTGCTGTTCTGCATGCTCTGTCACCTTGACAGCTACAGAAAGGACAATAAACAATCGAGAGAAACAACAGTGGCAACATGCACAATGCCAGAACAGATTCAGAACAGTTAATCCCAATCCTACATAATATCCCATACATTTCTTAATGGAACTCCTTTTCTCCTTAGCCAAATAGGAATCAAGCTTAGATCATAAAATATTCAGAACGTCAAAACTAGTTAAACGATCTTTTCTTTCCAACTTTTAAACCGAAGAATAATCTTTCTTCCCAGAGCTAAATGGAACAGCCGCAGCCATGATTTTCGTAGTGGGTGCCATCGAAACTTTCACTTGCGGACACCAGTATTGGTCCAGCATCGTCCGGAAAGAAAGAGAAGATACCGACGGTACCTCAAAGGAAGGGCAATGCATTGCCGGACCAGACACAACATGGATCAAACACATCAGCGAATGCAACGAGTGTAAAATCAATGATCTTGACCATGACCAAGTCACCATTTCCCCACCACCAAGTCCTTTGCTCGATCCGCCTGACAATCTTAATGATAGTCGTGGTGGTGTAACGGAGTACCGTTGTGGACACCGTAGATTCTTCACAAGAGACGAAGGAGGACTTCCCGTTCTCGGAATGGACAAGCTTGGTTTCTTGTTAGCCAAATCACGCGATGACTGCCCCCGCTGCGAACATGAGAAGTTCAAAGACGAATTCAGAGACGATTTCAAAGGGGAAACCACAAGCACATTGTCCCAAGCCCTCACTTTCCCTACAGTAACCTCGAGAATGACCAGGCCATCTCAACGACAAGACGAGGAAAGCCCACCAATGCGCATGTCTCAGCTACGTCCGCAACGTGGTATGGCCATTGGACGATCATTTGACGCACGACTTGATCCAGACGAAGGAATCAACTTGGAATCGGCCAGGCACAGGGGATATCAGCAGGCTGTCGATGAGATGATGCTCAGCAGTACATTTGATCTTTCACCGGAATCTAATCGTCAGAAGAGAAAACAAAGCAAAACAGAGAAGATCAAGGCAATTGGTAAGTCAATTTGGGGATCGATCAAGAGGAATATCTGAAGAAGACGAAGGTAACGAATTTGTCCTTTTTTCATTTGTCTGGAGTATTCTGGCGACGCTTGGTTGATCTACGCGAAAATTGGTTAGAATTTCGTTGAATTGAAGAACCCGGATCCTACTCAAGAATATTAAATTATTTGGATTTTGAAAAATTACTTCCTGATATGCTATGCAGATGTAATGAATGTGACTTTTTTTGATTATCAGTAACGGATAAAGGATGATGAATAGGAGCGAGAGAGTCGCTCTATTATGCTCGAAAAATAAGAGGCCAATGGAAGAGCAAAAACCCTAGCTTGACTTAGACTTTTCATGAACGCAGCAATATAAATTTGACTTAATCATAGTTTGTAGCAGTGAATATATGTTCATGTACCGTAACACATGGCTATAACCACACGCCAGAGCAGTCCATTTCAGAGCATGGCCAACCGCAAATTCTTGTGTTGCTTGAAGTTCTCAAGCTTCTTGGTATGAGCTGAGCCGCCATACAAAGAACAGTGAGAAAAATGTATGTCCCTAGCAATGAAGACGGAAGTGCCTGTGCAGTACATCAAAGAGTGCAGAGAGGCTCGAATGTATATCTCGACCATCTTCCCACAATGGCCATAAGTATAAACATGGAAAAACGAAAGCAAGCACCTCGAAGTGAATGGGTCTGCTCAACGCGATCACGAAGCTCTGTGTGATTACTTTGAACCTCGAAGTGACGTGCTTGGCCATGAATTCGACATAGTATACCGCTGAATTCGGAATGCTAGGGCCAAGGATGTGCACATGATGGCTGAACTTTTCAATATGGATACTTAGAATTGCTGAATCCGTCGCTTCAGTTAAATATTAAGGGGAAATCAAAGATGATTTAATTCGTGTGCTCGGGCTAGAATCGGGGCAAAGATATAAGAAGACACGTGAAATTAAGGTTTTCGGAAGATGGACAATGCAATGCGTGAAAAAGCCGATGAGCCGGCAAGTACGGAAGAGATGGTTAGAAAAGGGGAATCTGAAGGGTGGGGATTTGTTAAGGGGTTTCTTTCTCTATTAATCTTTCAGATTCCGGCTTGGTTCGGATCAGGTATAATACTTCTAATTAGTAATTAGTCGAATTATTTGTCAGCTTGTTTAAGAATACGGTAAATTGCTTTTATGCCCCATAAAATGAAATAAATTAGATACTCTACTTCCATGCCCCTTGGATTATATAAGAGAATCTAGCTATTCCTAAATAAGAAGAATCTTCCTTGGGATTTACAATGGTCCGGATCTATAATGGGAAAGGTAGAATCCATAGCGGAGAGTAGTCAGTGGATCAACCTTGAAGATAGAAATTATGACATGGAATATAAGAAAGAGTAAAATAGGTTCAATTCAAAGGCATAAAAATAATCAAACTCATTTTGAGGGGTATGCGAGTAATTGCCGTTAAGAAAATGATTTGTAATTCCTTCATTGAACTACCTATTTAAAGTACTTCGTGTTAATATAGTACAATTTCATGCCGAGAACATGTTGATACCTCGCCCCTTTCGAGTTGTTCATAATACTGCCATACAATTTTCAATATCCGAATCCGGTCTGAAGCTTTTGGAAACGCCGCGCTGCACTTCTTTGCGAAAAGCCTCCACATCTTCAAATTGCCCCGCGCTCCGGGATTTCGGGAAGGATCCAGGCTATCTGCGGCAATATACAAGAAAGCCTTGGGAAGCGCTTTTAAAATAAATATATCTACGTCAAAAACACTGAGGAAGTCACGCCAGGCTCACCAACAAATCCAACTTTAAAATCCTACTCTTACTCTTGTCCTATATATTTCATCCATCCTGGGCTACCCAAGATCTATGCATCACATATCAATTTGAATCGTCCAGTACCATTAATACTCTCTGAATATACATACAGACATCGTTCTCCAGCCGGTACTAAACGATATGTGTCTAGCCACAATGTTAAAAGCACTGGAGACAAATCTTGAACCGAATGTCCAGGTAAATCTCGGCACGGGTTTACTGGTCTTGATTTTAGCTTTCGTCGGGGCTTGCTTCCATCAAGCATGCAACAAAAACACGGCCACTGAGCCATTACTTCTCACTGTTGAGCCCAAAAGTAGCAAGTCACTGAAAACGGAAGTAGCGACGGAAAAGCACTTTAATGGTTAGTTTGGATGGGAATGTTAAAAATTGGTCGCTGACTGGAATTCTAGGATCACCGAAGATCCCAGGGTGCCTTGCTGTGTCAAGGACCAGCAATCATTCTATCCTTGGACTGCACATTAGATGATATATGTTTAATATCACTAAAGACACGGAAAAGTGACATGGGATGACCTGTTCGTGGATCTTTGTGCTTGGCATCCTCGAATCGTTTTCCAAACGTCACGAAAGTTGCGCTTAATTGAAGAGTTAAATGTGGTAATGCTTCTGGGCGGGGATATTGGACGGTGTCCCGGAGGAAAATAGGCATGGAGTTTGGATATTGGCACTGCCAGGTTTGGCAATTTCTTGGGCGCAAGTGATTTTCGGATTCGATCACCAAACAACATGTTGGTAGTGTAGGATATTAAGCGTTTCGGCACTTCGGCGGTTTCAGTAGAGTACAAATCGCAAGAGAACGAGCTCATTTATCGTGTTTGGATTTAATCCTCTTGTAATTATATTACAGTCTTGTCAAAAAACCATCACAGACCTTCCCCTTCCCATGCCAGCCAGCGATGAAGTTAAGAGGAATATCGTCAAGCGCTAACTGGTGGATATGATTGCCAGCAAATGACTCTCCGCCGGTTCATGCTTTCATCGGACTTGGTTGCTGAGAGCTTCTCCTGACAGATTGGCAAATGATAGACCTGGCAAGATTTTCACTATCACATCACAGACTACATATCGTAACCTAGACAACAGGAAGAATATCCCAAAGGATTTAAGAGCCATGCAAAGATCAGAATTGCCGCACACCCAACGCAGCTTTCGATCAGGGAGGAATCCTTTGCGCAATCATGATACAGAATCCACATACCACACCATAAAGCAGAGGAGCCACGATCCTTACAGCTTTACTGCATCGCTTCCATTGCATAAACGGCCTGCAAGCATGTGAAGGACTTGAGGCGTAACAGACGGTACCTCTCAATACTAGACTCGGGAGACGAAGCAGACCAAAGGATGCTCCTGACGTAGCTTCTGTATCTTGTTCTGTGACTACCTAGGTAGTATAAATAATCAATCCATTTTTAGCACAATTTTTGCATCTCCTTCGAACCGTTCTTTCACTGGAAAGTTGTAAACACTTTCCGATCATAAACGTCTTCTAGCCAGAATATTGAGTATAACCATCAGAAGTTTGTGTATTCAGAAAGATACCCTGAAATCCACTTGCCAGGATGGAATGAAAGATTAAATCGTGGTGTGATGAATATTATTTCTGTGTACGGACTTTTGTGTATGGTACAGTACTGAGCTTACAGTTGATAGAGCCGTCTTAGAAGTAATATCTGCGGTAAACTATTTGAAAGGATCATATCAAGATCAACAGGATCTAGAAATACATACATGGCGCTTAAAATTATCTAATTCATTGCGGGTGAAAATTGAGTTGGAAATGCAAAAGTGGAAGGATTGTCATCAAGCGCAAGGCTAAAATTTGTGGCAGTTCATCGCATGCCCCACTAACTGAACACACCAACTGAACCGTCGGCAACAAAACCAATGTTTGGTGTTGTGTTCTATTTCAAGCAATGCTATTAACTGTACGTTATTTGACCTCAATTCTTCGGTGACAATGGCTGGGCAATCCCCCTCACCGCACAAACCTCGCTCGCGAGGTCAACGATCTAAAAAAGCTATGTCTGAGAGTGATTCAATAGCTACCCCTACATCGCCAGTGACCAGACGTACAAGCGGGAATCAACCCACGTATCCATTGGCCTCTCTACTTTGGTCTGCACGTAGCTCGACATCACAATGGGTGGTCCTTCCTTTAATACTAATGGCGGTGGGATTGTTCAGATGGGCTACTGGACTTTGGGGTTATTCTGGTGCGTTATGTAAATCTGTCAACTACGGGGCTCTGTTACTGACAATTTTCTACAGGATATCAAAGCCCACCGATGCATGGGGATTACGAAGCTCAGAGACACTGGATGGAGATCACGACGCAGCTTCCTATTTCACAATGGTACTTCCACGACCTCGAATGGTGGGGATTGGACTATCCACCCTTGACTGCATATCATAGTTGGGTTCTTGGAAAGATCGGAGGACTTATAAACCCCTCATGGTTTACACTTTATACGTCGCGAGGACTGGATGATCCAACGATGAAAGTTTTTATGAGAGCTACAGTTATCATTTCCGAATACTTGGTATTTGTGCCTGCGGCGGTCATCTTTGTTCGACGACTAAGCAAGCTGCAAACTGTCAATATATGGACAGCATCAATTGCATTGACAGCGATACTCATGCAGCCAGGATCAATCCTCATCGACCACGCACATTTTCAATACAATACAGTAATGCTTGGACTGGTTCTGGCTAGCATGTCTAGTGTCCTCGCAGGTAGATACATGTGGAGTTGTGTGTTTTTTGTCATGGCATTGGGATTCAAACAGATGGCTCTATACTATGCGCCGGCAATGTTCGCATACCTGCTGGGTGTCTGCATCTTTCCTGCGATTAATATCCCTAGATTTCTAGGTATTGCGATTGTAACATTGGCATCGTTTGCGATCCTATTTCTGCCTCTGTTCTTGGGTGCTATTTACGATAAAAATCACGGTATCAGTGCTCGTCCAGAGCTCGATGGTTATGCTGCGCCATTACCGGTTCTTAGCCATCTCTCATATAAGCTGGATTATCGCGCATGGTACTACCCTATCCTACAACAAGGTGCGCAGGTTATATACCGAGTCTTCCCTTTTGCACGAGGTCTTTTTGAAGATAAGGTAGCCAATTTCTGGTGTGCATTGAACGTCGTTATCAAGCTTCGAAACTTTGATAAGGATCTTCTTCAAAAAGCTTCGCTACTTTTCACTTTAGCGTCCATTACTCCTCCATGCCTTATTATATTCTTCAAGCCACGGAGAGACCTGTTACCTTTAGCCTTAGCGACATCAGCTTGGGGATTCTTTCTCTTCAGTTTTCAGGTTCATGAGAAAAGCGTTTTGCTACCTCTAATGCCGATGACCGTGATACTTGCTGGCCGAGGTGGGCTTAGTAAAGGAACTAGATCATGGATAGCATTTGCGAATGTGCTTGGTGCCTTTACGATGTTTCCATTGTTGCAAAGAGAAGAGTTGCGAGTTCCTTACTTTGTGCTTGTTCTTCTGTGGCTATACCTCCTTGGACTTCCCCCCTTTGCTTTTGAGGTGTATGCACAACATAACGATGGCAATTGGATAGGATTCGGAACAACGTTAATCCATACGGTCTTTTATGAAGCAATGCTCGGTTGGCACTTGGGCGAAGTGTTCTACACGCCACCTCCAATGTATCCAGATCTCTGGGTAATCTTAAATGTTGGAGTTGGTGTCGCTGGATTTGGTATATGTTATCTATGGTGTCTATGGTCTTTGGCAGTCGAAAGTGGTCTTCTGGAGTCACCAGGTTCGGAAAAGAAGAAGGCAAAGACGAAAAAGGTTCAATGATCGATTTAAAAGTTTGCCATATACCCTCATACAAGACTATATTGTTGTCAATTGTATAAATATGTTATATACCTCTGCTGGTCAAAATCCGGAGTCGTATCACCTTCCAAGAGATTTCCACATGAGTTTCCACACGGGTTTTCAAATCAGGCAATACGAAATGTAAGCAGGTAAGGGTTACCCACAGGGATCTTTCCAGCCAAAGCGTAAGGCTTAGATGTTCGTCAAATTTTGTACCTGTTATTGGTACGGTTATGTGACAAGCATCGGTTATATGCCTGAATTCCGTTCAATTAACGTCCGTGGCCCCCATCTTTCCTGCAGAATCCTACGGAGGTGGAGGCTGCATCCGATATGAAATCACTCAATCCTTCCCATATAGGCATAGTTCATCTGAAGATATGAAGTTACTTGCATGTGGATAAATTACATCCATGCTATATTGCTACCAAGGCACATTGTCTTCCCATAGCAATACTCCGACATGGCTGCTTCCAACCGATACGAACGGCTTTGTTGTGTAGAAGGAAACGCTTGGTACAAGGCGATGGCTTCAACATGAGCGTGAATTTCTTCCTCCCTCTCCCAGAGGCATCAGCTGATACATGCGGTACTTTACGCCAAGGTTACTCATTAGATACTACATGAAGAATTGCAAATATTACAAGAATTACCACATCGTTTTCCTACTCAGCCGCACATTGTTATTGCCTGTACATTCAGTACCAAGTATCTTTTTATGGGGGCTGGCTTTGCTGATTAGGTCTTCTTGATATGGACAACCACCCCCGCATGGGAGTAATATTTCCGCCTGATTTCTGTCCTAGCACACGTTTCTTGTTTTTCAAAATCATGACAACATTCGTTCTTTACATATCATATTAATTGATTTAATTGACGACTCAACGGTCAATACGATGCTGTTGAGACAGTTCGGTCTATTAGGACTCTCAATCCTTGCTTCGGTCCGAGCGGAAACTTCTACCACGGAAACTTCTACGACTGCTTCGGCGTCAAAATCAAGCTCCGCATCATCAGCATCCGATTCCAGTTCGGCCACAAGTTCATCCACAACCACATCGAAGTCTGCTGCTGCCACACATGTCGTATCGGTCGGCGCAGTAAGTTGATTTCTCGATCGCAATTGCTCCACAATTAAATGCTTATGGTTATTAGGATGGCCTCAATTACACTCCAAGATCATTGACCGCGAATGTTGGGGATATTATTGGTGGGGAATAAATCTAAAATACACACTCGATGAATAACTAACTGATCATTTCAGAATTTCGCTTCTATCCTCTTAACCATTCAGTGGCAAGAGCAGAATACAAACGTATTTTCTCCCGAGACCATGCTTTCGTAGGCAACTGCTGATTCTCCAACTTCGTAGAGCCATGCATACCTTACGAAGACACCGGCGCAGGGAAGGTCGGATTTTGGAGTGGTTTCGAACCTATTTCTATTGTCACGAACGATGTTAGTGTAACATCTATTGTCCTACGAATTAATCAACCTGATGCTGACTGGTTTTATCTAGCCGCCAATGTATAATTTACTCATCAATGATACAGAGCCCATATTTTTCTACTGCTCAGCTCCAGGAGCTTGTCAGGATGGCATGATTGGGGTCATTAATCCAAATACTACTCAAACATTCGATGTTCAATTCGCATACGCCGAGAACTCAACCATGGAGTTCTCTCCTAATGAATATTTCCCTTTAGAAACTTCAAAGCCAGTTGCCGGGACTGACTCTCATAAACCATTCCCACCTGGCGCAATCGCCGGTATCGTTATTAGCGCAGTCGCAGTAATAGCTTTAGCCGGAGCCCTATTTTACATGTGTGGCCGTCACAGAACCATGAAGGAAGTTCTCCACAATGGCTCAGCCGGACCTCAAACAAACGATGCCTTCGACAATAACCATAATTCTTACATGTCACAAGGTGGCAAGTCAGTTTCCGAAGTCAATTATCGCAGCATGTCGAAATTTTCATCTGGTCTCTCAGGTTTGGACACTGCGTCCGGACGCTTCTCGCCTCATTACGGCGCTTACACGGATCCCGATGCAAATAGTTTCAGAAGTCGAAGTCCACCGATGGATGAAGTGGGTATGCAGACGGTTAGAAATGGTCAATATCAGAGTGTGTCGGTCGGGAGTCCGCTGGGGAGCCCGGGCTTCCCTAATCGCGCGTATAACCACGATTCGCATTCTTCTGTTCAACAATATGGTGGGTCCACATTGAGCGAGATGGATGATCGAAGTGCGCAGGATGTTTTGAGGTATGTTTTGACCACTTCTTCCTTCTCTGAACCCTGTCATAAGATATGAAAAAAAAAAAAGTCGCGGCTAATCAGTAAACCACAGAATGCAAGGAAAAGAAATACAAAATCAAGGAAAAGGCCCGATAGAGTTACCCGTCCCAAGCAGAAGCGCGAGTATGATTGCGGGCGCACCTTCTCCCGAGAGAGAAAGACCCTTTTCATATACAGATAGCGAGAGTGGATATGCGGGAATGATGAGAAGTAATGTGGAGATAACACGATGATTGGATTCGTTGGATATAATATAGCAGGACGGAGTTTACTAGGTAAGGAATGAATGAATGGCTTTTTTATTCGCTTCATAGGATCGGGATTTGGAGGAGGGAAAGATCTTGTGCGGTCCTCCCTATTGTCAGGTACCTACTTATTAATTGGTGAGATGGCTGATGTTTATTTATGATTTGATTTTGATATTGATATTGATACCGCTATCATTAGCAATTTAATATCTATTTCTAAATTTTACAAAAAGAAAAAGAAAAGGAGCTTTCGAGAAGATAGAGTATAATTACAGATTAATTCTCCCTCTCTTCCATATTATAACCTCATCGCCATTTCTCATACTCTCTCTCTCTTTCTTCCCCTCCATCTCCCATCCCACTTGAAAAATCCCCTCAATTCCAATTCCTAAGTCCTTCAACCCTTTTTCTTTTGTTATCTATATACAGTCGATGACATACAGTATAGCTGCAAATACAAAGTACACATAGTTACATCTAATTCCAAAGCAGTAAATAAATTAAGAGTTATGTTATAATATCTAGTAGGTAGGTAGGTAGGATTTTCTTTTAGTTTTTGTGCTACGCAAAATAGGTGTGGTGTGTGTAGTTATATCACTCACTTCCTAATTTTGCCTTTCGTGCTTTATGGAGTATATATTGGTACTAATTACACAAAATCTGGGGAGTGCTTTTTTTTTCCGATAGTTTACTAATGACCTCGGGAATGATATGAACTTTTATACCTACAGGATATCGCGGAGAAAAGGCTGTTGTGTTGTGGTCTCGTAAAGGGTATGTCGTATATAGTATGTGGCACAGCGTCTTGGGCGTGGAAATTGTGGTTTGCAGATATGAGTTAGATATGAGTGTTGGTATTTTTGATTAAGTAATTAGTGGTTTGGACGGTAAACTGTGAACTGTGAGGAAGTGGATAGGGATTGGTGAATTGAAGATAGGGATAGGGGATAGGGGTGTTGGAGTATGTTGGTTGGGTTGGTTGGGCTGGTTGGTTCACCAGTTAGTTGTTGGTTTGTTGGTTGGTTATTGTACTGCGGAAATTGCATTTACATGGATGGGGTGAGGGAACGAGGGGTTTGTGGTTTACCTACTAGGTATGTACCTTTCTTCGCTTCCAAGTGATGGTTTTGGTGAAAATTGTTTTTCTTTTTGATGGGGTCTTGGAGATTTCGATTTCGATTTCTTCTGTAAGGTTATCGGTCTGTGGTTTTGTTTTGCTTCTCCGTGAAGATGTAAGATCTTATGGTTTTTCGAATGTTCTATCTAAGAGGAATATTTCTGTAGGGTCTATGTTTCTATATTACGAGGAACCTGGCTTGGACCGCATAAGAGTCAAGTGTTTTGCGCGATGGGATTTCCATGTTGTTGATTTGAATCGGAAGGCACAGTGGAGGAGGAGGTACGGCTAGGCCCGATGCATTTTTCCCATCCATACAATTTTACCAAACATATATACATATATGGCTGCCCGTACAAAAATTTACCGGCTAAGTTGCTACCAAATTTTGTATTGCGGTATATGGAACACGTGCTTCCATCCAATAGTACTGCTTAAAAGTCCTTGTAGGAAAGATTTATTAGTTATCAGTACCTCATAAAGTGTCGGGGACTTTGAAGTAGTTCTTGAGATGAGATTGCTAATGATTTTCATGTACATTGTTTGGATGACTTTTCTTATTTCTGATATTGAGCTTTTGGTCCGCTATGTCATGATCATAGCCACCACGGCTTTTTACTACAAAGTTCTGTGGAGGTGCACATATATTTATGATTAGAAAAAAGTTTCTTTTATAGCTTCTTTTGGACTATCAATGCAGTGTCATATGCTTGCTAGCTATTGGAATATAATTAGCTACTGGAATATAACTAGCTATTGGTTTAATTTAGAGCATTGCGGAATGCTAGTGGTTTAGAGAAGCTCCTGAAATCTAATCTGAAATATTATGAGCGTTCTTGTGAGAATATCGTATTCTAGGTTTGCTTTTTGGCCCTGTATCATGGCTTATGGGGTGTTGATGTTTAGCTTGACTGCATTCCTACACTCTTGAAAAACCATGTCATCTTGCTCAATTCATGAAAAGCCCCAGCTCACCTGCCATTGGACGATCTAGGCTAGAGCTTTCTCTCTCTTTTCAAAACAGGCTTAGATGAATCAATCTTTACGGTTTCTGTTTCTGTTTGCTCGATCTGTAGCTACTCAACAACAATGCTAGAGTGTAGATGACCGATAGATTCCATGCCGGAACGAAAAATGGGAATCTTTACTTTGTTTATATCTCATTTCCTGAGGTACAGAGAAAACGCATGGTAAGTTCATACCGTTTCACATTGTTGGGCTGAAAATAGAGCCTCGGAGTATACATAATTTTTTGGCTGAGATTACTGTGCTGATATGCGACGGTGAGCGAGCACGACCAGTGGGCTATTTGATGCGCCACCGTGCTTATCATTCTTTCCATTTCCTAGACCATGCGTTTGGAAGTGAGAGAATTCTGGACAACTAGAGATTGTGAACTCTGCGCTGAGGACCATTTTTTGCAGCGAGGTGGGGACAAATTTAATCCGGACTGCTGCGTTAATGAATGGTATCCACCTCCTTGGGCAATGTGCAAATGTAATCCTGCGGACGCGTGCGCTGGCACTTATCATGAGTGTTGTTTCGATGGCACTGGTATCAACTGCTAAATGCGTCTGGAGGAATTGGTGTTATTGGACTTCATGAGAATTTCCTTGAATTTCCTAGGGGATGGAGAGCGAGCTGTAATGGGTGCAGACAGTAGATACTAGAGTTTTCGGGTATATTCTGTCACAGTAGTTGAAAATTAGTTGGACCAATTTCCGCTAATATAATAAATGAATATGATATCTAAACACATTTACCGCCAAAATTGATTCTCCTGATTGAAGGCAGGAGATACCCATCTCGCGGCATATGTAAAATCGATGATAATCACTGAGCGGATACCGCTGTTAGTGGTGATAATTTTAGTCCCTTTGAATAAATAAGGAAGAATTACCATCAGCAGAATTTTGTGAAAGCGGACATAAAATTACAAGGGAGAATTTTGGTTAAGAAATCTCATGTTATTTTTTATTTACATGTCCACACATGGAGCCTTCAAAGCAGTGCGGGGACCAGACGAAGTGTATGATATAACTATTCTCAAGCTCTCCTGAATGTGGAGACCTGTATAATTTTACCGAGAGTTTAATATTCTTCACTCTCAGAGTTAACATCCAAATCATATACAACATTTGAACGCGTATCTAAGCGGCCAAGAACAAGCGCATAAAATCAATTTATTTAGAATTCGACGTAAAAGGCTAATATTGGCAATCCTTATCCTTCCAATAAACTTATATGCACACTTATTATGCACGAAAGGGCTGTAGGAATATATTGACGTCAATCATGCATACCTCTCTCTATAATTTCCACTCAATATGTGATTTTCATAAGACTTGAACCTTAGGGACTTGTCGCCAAACTCTAAAATTGTATAAAATCATCCAATTCTACGTATTCTGTTGAAGCACATGAGCTTGAGCACATGAAGGTTTCCATGAGACCATTGCACGAATAAGTAGAAAGGACAATCGACGAGATTACTACGCGTGTATCTTTGTGTAAGCAATCTCGTTGAAACCAACACGAAATATAGAGTGAACCTGATGAGGCCCGACATCCAAAATAGCAAATATAACGGAAGCCGTATTCTAATTTACTGTGCGACAGGTGAGTGACCCACAAGAGCAACAATAAAATGCTTTACTCCAATGCGAACTAGTTTGTAATATATTAATGTTTGAAAGGAGATGAAAAGTACGAGTAAAATGATCTGGTATATATTGAACGTTGCGCAGGCCGTGACAGTCATATGCTTATGAGGCAGCTCTTTTCATTTCTTGAAAGTACAGAGAACTAGATTGCAGATGAACGTAAACACTATCATAGATAACTTTGGACATGAATGCGCGAAATAACTACTTCAGGATTTCCAATTGCCGGAATGGAACCCGGAACGTTTAAAAAATTTAAAGGCCATGAGTCTTTGGGTATAGCTTGATATGTCAAGTATACCCGATACTCCAAGTGAATTGGATGTTCGATATTGGCCAATACCTCGAGCAAACGAGCAGCCATCGATGATGGACCGCACTCCGGACTCTTGGAAATCTTAAACACTGTATACCTCTTGGAGGGCTTTGAGTTGCTCGAGAACATCCTCAGATAATATTTGCATATCCCTCAGTCTGGGGAAGGTCTCTACTTGTCTCCCAAACTTTAAGAGGATCACTTTCCATCCTGCCAGTCTCGGGGTTCTCAATATCCCAACAGATAAGTCTAGCATGAGTACGAAGAAAATTCTGGTCCTGATTTTGATACTTTTCGGCCAGGACCCGGTACCTACTCATAAAGACATCAGTATCAATATAAGCTCCCTTAAGCCATCTCTCCCCAGCTGATGTATCAAATTCTTTCCTGCCATGAAGTACTCTTCTGTTATTGAAAATGGCGCATTCCCCCTCTTGTAACCTGTATTCATACATGTTTTCAGGTGCCTCTACTCGAGATGCAAATTGCCTTAAAGCTTCAGCCACCGGCACCGAACTCCATGGGACATCAAATGTGGCTTGAAATGGGGGCGAATAATTAATATGCCTAATAGCAGCGACTTTACTGAATTTTGTATCTTTTGGCTGTGGTGGTTTGGATAATATCACAGGATGTTTATAATAATAATGTTCGCCAGCGTTGCGGTAATGGTAGGGGACCTTTTGTCTGCACAACTCGTCGAAATTACGCTCATCAAGCTGCTGCGCAGCTTGAAAAGCATCAGAGAAGATAGACGAACCACCCGAACAGGTGTTCCGCAAACAATGAAGGAACTGAAACCCCGGAGGGTTAGCCATATACAGCAAATCCATATGCAAGCCCAGATATTGAGATGTGTAGGCTACATTCTTAGCCTGAGGAACAGACTTAACATCCCAGGTAACTCCATATAGTGTGTCCCGAAGATTACCAATACGTTTCGCAATATCAACAACTGATGTTTCTGACTCTGGCACGTTTCTAAGAATGAGTAGCCCATAATCCCGAAGCATGATCAAAGCTCTAAATAAACCTTCTTCGGTGTTTATGTAATCATCAAAGGTTACATATTGCAGCTTCTTAGCAATCCTTTCTGCATTCCACCTGATAGGTCTGATTCTGTAATGACGGTCGTTGTGATAGGCTTTGGGTGAAAAATTCGTTTGGAAGAACTTTTCGGAAAACGACGAAACATGGTCTGATCCGTAGCCTGGAATATCGTTGTTCCAAGAAATTATTAAATTTCCATCTTCATCAGGTTGAATAGAAGTAACCTTGATCTCAGAAGGAATGTCGGAAGTCTGAAAGTTCTTCTGTTTTGTGGAAGGATCAACGCATCTATGGCAGCCACAAGCATCGCGGAGGAACAAAGGGGGATAAGCTGCGCCGTTGACTTTTATGACCTGAGAACTATCATTGATCTCAAATTCGAAAGGGAGATTTGCGTTCTGATTTCAGGTTAACGGGAGTCTTACATTAAAAAAACCTTTATAATACCTGTGAGCCTGATGTCTGCTTGGATGGGGGCGGTGTGTTTTGAAGAGTTTGCTGATTCATGTCGCTATTTTCAGTTGCAAACAATCTTCGATGAATATGAGAGACTCGCAGGGCTGCCAAAAGAGGGCGTGATGTCACAGCTCGACGACCACATTTCAGGCCAAGGCGCAAGGCACTCATCTTTCTAATTCTTGTCTTTGAAAGCGAGACTCAAGGATATATTGACTTGAAATGGGCAAGGATTGAATGCTAGTATATGGACCTACCCTTTGCCAAACAGTATTAAGACTGCCAAGTTAGAGCCACCTTGAGAATTTCGAACTCGATCAATCTTTTACCTTTTCCCATAAACCGAGAGCCGAGATGAATATATCATAAATGTCACGTGACTAGATGCTCCACCGGGAGGCTTTGAGGAGCTGGATTACGTAACCATTTTTATACTGGAAACTATCTTTCTTTAGACATAGCGTACTCTTCTCATTGCTTTTCTATCATACACACCTCCTTAAAAATTTAGAGCACAAGCTTCAATACCATTCTGAACGTCAGATGTATGTCTGGAAGCGCTGAGCATCTGAAGGATGAGGTAAGGCTCAAAGTTTTATAAACGTACCATTGTCCCACAAAATCGAGAAACTGATGCATATCTAGGGCTCCAAAACCCAATCAATGATAGCTGGTGCAACAGCTGGATTGATTGCTAGGTAAATACATAATTGGTCAACTTTAAATCTCGTTATACTCATACTTTTCACGCAGATTCGTAATCGCTCCCTTGGACGTTGTTAAGATTCGCCTGCAATTGCAATCACATTCCGCATCAGACCCTCTGTCTCATCGTGATCTGCGAGGCTCACCAATATACAAAGGGACACTTCCTACCATCAAACGTATTTTCCGAGAGGAAGGACTTTCGGCATTATGGAAGGGAAATGTTCCAGCGGAGTTGATGTATGTTTCATACAGTGCGATTCAATTCACGACGTATAGATCTGTTACGCTGGCCCTTCAAGATACTCTCGGAGAACATAGAATGCCAGCTGCTGCTGAAAGTTTCATTGCTGGAGCATCCGCAGGAGCTGTCGCTACGACCGCCACTTATCCTCTTGATTTACTTCGGACACGATTCGCCGCGCAAGGAGTAGAAAGGATATATACTTCTCTCCGAGCCTCTATCCGTGATATTGCCGTTAATGAAGGGCCGAGAGGGTTTTTCCAAGGGCTTGGGGCTGGAGTTGGACAAATTATACCATACATGGGGATTTTCTTTGCCACATACGAGACTTTACGTGTCCCGTTAGGGACTCTACACATGCCTTTTGGATCTGGAGATGCCACTGCTGGAGTTATTGCTTCGGTTATTGCAAAAACAGGTATATTTCCATTTGATTTGATTAGGAAGAGATTGCAAGTACAAGGGCCAACAAGAGAAAGATACGTTCATAAGAACATACCAGTTTACAATGGTGTATTTCAGACCATGCGACACATAATACAAAACGAAGGTTACCGAGGGCTTTATCGAGGATTGACAGTCAGGTACGTAGAAGATCAGTTTGGGATTTTCTGGTGCTAACAGCAATAGTCTCTTCAAAGCGGCCCCAGCTAGTGCCGTTACTATGTGGACATATGAACGAGTTCTCCAACTTTTACTGAAATGGGAGAAAGCTCAGGAGAGATCAACGTGATATAAGAATCCTCCAAGGTAAGATGTTACATGAGGTTAGTAAAATCTATAGAGGAGCTGAATCCAACACTGGATACTCTTGCGGTGATTTTGCGCGTCTTCAATAGATTTATAGACAATAAAGATAATAAAGATAGACATAAAATAAAAAGCGCGAAAAAGACACCAGTGATGCAAACTCACTTAAGATTCTCCAATGGAATTCCTAAAATGGTTAGCGGAATAAGGTATGCAGGTATGCAGGAAATAGATGAAACAATACCAATGCAGTGGATGTTGAACCGCAATGCACGTGCCAGATTGATATCTCTCGGGCGGAAGGAGATCGATTCTCAGTTTAACCTCGTCGCATCACAATTCAATATGACTACCGATACCAATACTGCAGGAGATCTCCACAGGACTTCCAGAGGTATATCTTAAATGAATCGCAGTCCCTGGATTTATTCAGTTCATCAATGATTTGATTTCGTTTTGTTATCATCAAAAGTTTCAAGTACCAGTACCTATTCCTCACCATTGCATTGTACCCTTCGCTGGTCAAAGCTCCCTCCTGGTATCAATAACCCCTTCAACTAAATTCATTTGCATGTGATAGCCGACTTCAACGGCAACAATCTTTTCAGTATGTCGACAAGCGTAACAACTTCGAAAGCAAGGCAAATACTAGCTCCACTTCTGGCAGCTTTACCTGCGGCTTCTGTATCTCCTCAACCTCCCACCGCACTACTTCCTTTACTATCGCCAATTTTACGTCAGAGAGTCCAAATTTTATCTTCAACCTCAGATGAACCATGGCTTCCGCTGCTCTGCTACGATGCTTCCAATATCTCGAAGTTAGAGCAAGCTATAAGAAATGATCGATTAGAAGCACATCCTGTTTCTGGAGAGGTGGAGGTTGATTGGGAGAGTGAGGTAGAAATACAATATAGGCGAATCGACGAAGAGACTTTGCAAGCACTCGTTATACTTAGAGATCTTTCCTTGAGTGTGCGGCTTGTATGGTGCGTCGGTGATGAGCTTGGGGGTGGTGATGGTTGGAGGATTGGAGAAGTGGGAGCATATGACCCGGAAAATCAAGAAGGATGGGGAAAGAAAGACATTGCTTCTGCAGAAACCGCCTTTATATCTGGAACTCCGCAAGTATCTACACGGGCAGGTGGCACTCTTTCCAATGTCTCAAATGGTTCCAAATATCTCGAAGTAGAGGATGACGATGATGATGATTACTGGGCTCAGTATGACAATACGCCATCTCGTACACCCGCACCGAAACATTCTCCAGCGCCTCAATCAATGCAAAGCGGTGCGAAGAGTGCTGATGACGAAGACTCATACTACGCGCAATATGCCGATGTACAACCTGCTATGGATAGCCATGATCCAGACGAGGCAGCACAGAATGGAACCGTCGAGACGTCGCTCGGTCAAGATGATCAGATCACTTCTACCTTGAAACAAAATCTACAAAACCACATGCCATCTCATGAGGTAAAGCTATGGGATTCAGAGTCTAGCAGCGCAATAATGAATGGTGGGGAATACGTTGAAGTCCTGCAACCAAGACCGGGAAGTAGAACTAGCTCAAGTGGAAGTGAGACTGTTGCGAAACTCGAGAAAAGGGCAGAGGCACGAGAACAAAATGAAGTTGGTATCAAACAACATATTTCAACAAGTGTAAAGAGCTTGTACAGACTGGCAAAAGTAGCTGGGATCGAAAGGGCAGAATTTGATAGGTTGATTCGGACCGAGTTGGATTGTCTGAGTTTGATGGATGAAGACGATGAATGAAAATAGTCACATTCAGCTGTGAAGACAGTGGGCATATCATAGTAGGCAGGCATATCGGCATATGGAATGGAGTTTTGGTATTTTCGTCGCATAGCATGAAATCTTTGGGATAACATAACAGTGAGGTTAAGGTTGGTCGGTCACATTGAGGAAATCTTTAAGGGTATGAATTACGAAAATGACCAAAGAGTTGTAACTTGCAGACATTATGGTTAGTCGTACTACGTAGTTCATAGCTTTCATACAAATAAATATTGCTTCATACCAAAAATCCGGTAGTCCTCTCCCTGGTGATATAAAAGTGTTATGGCAATTGATAAAACACGATATCAACTGATTTGAATCCCTAAATTACTCATTGAAGCACAGACCAAATGCGACTTGCTTTATGGATTCTGGTCCATGATTTAATTAATATAAATAAATAATAAATAAACTCCCCTTTAACTTTTTATATGTCCGTATTGCAACCAACAAACAACAAGCCAGATTCCAGTCTATTTTTTGAATCAACCTTGAGTCTGAAGTGGATTTTTGGGAAAAAGATTTTAAACAAATGTAATTAATCATCGAGGATTTGAGAAAACGGGGGTTATCAAAAGCCTATTACTTGGTGCTCCGTACGCCCTGACCAGACTCCCCAGATTTCCCTGCTTCATTGATCCCTTAAAGTACAAGCACACGACAATACACAATGGATCAAGCAGATATACCCTCGTTGCTCTCGAGGCTCAACAGTGATGAAGATGCTACCCGCAAGATGGCTGTCTTCAAGCTACAATCCTCTATCAATGATCCTTCATTCGCAGATGTATTTATTTCCTCGGGGGGCCTCAATATCCTACGTCGATTGATCATGACAACCAATGCAAATACCCTCGCATACTCTTTACAGAGTCTAAGTCGTTTACTGGAAGTCGATATGGGTTGGGAAATATTTGAGTCACAAGGTGCAGGAGAATTGGTCGAACGCGTTGTCGAATTAATCGTTACACATCCACTGGTCAATATTCTACGAGGAGCTATGTCGATATTGGTCGCTATTGTGAGCCATCCACAATCTTCAGGAGGACGTATAAAAATACCAGGCGCATTTGGGTTTCGAGCCTTAAAACCTGCCGTCGCGGTTTATCCTCAATTCTTCGAAATGGTCGTCTCACAACTTAATTCTGCGGATCATCTGCTATGTGCGAATGCGCTGATGCTTTTGAATGCGTTGATGCGGGATGCGATCACAAATGACAATGGGCAGGGAAAGGATAATGTTAGCAAAAGTAGTGGGACTGGGGAGGAGTGGCCAAAATTCATCAAACGATTACAAGATTTAGGGGTTATTAAATCTGCATATAATTTGATGCAAAGCTCGGCATTACAAGACCTGTCGCATGCGCTGTTGGAATTTCAAAGTTTGACCAAGGTTTTATTAGGAAAATGGAGGGACGTGAAGGTGGATTTGGAAAGACCAGAACATCGACGGGCTTTGAAGGGAATACATCTGGCCAGTGCTCCTGAGAAGAAAGATGGTACCAATGGAACTGTAGCAAAAGGAGAGGTATCAGAAAATGGAGACAAGAAAGGAAGTCGAAAACATAATCCTGAGAAGTGGAGGAGATTAGGCTTCGAGACCGAAAGTCCCGCTTGGGAGTTTGAATCAACCGGATTTCTTGGTATGATGGATTTGACGGATTATGTTAGGAAGAATGAAGATGCGTTTCAAAAGCTTCTATTGGAGCAATCTTCCAAGCCTCTACACGAAAGGTGCCCCATTGCAAGAGCTAGTCTAATGGTTACATCTATTCTGTATGATCATTTCGATGTTGACAAATCAGATGCGGAAGATGCAAAAACTTATCTGGTGTTGGATGGTGTTAAGAATTATGATAAGATATTCCGGCCTTTATTACTACAATGGTCAAGATTACACTCATCGAGTTTGCAAGCTTTCTTTAGGTTATGGAAAGCCACAGGAGCCGAGCAGGATGATTTCATAAAGGTTGCAGAACTTGTACGAATATTGGTTGAGCAAGTGGTTGGACAAGCTTCAAGGACAAAAGAGGTTCTAGAGGTAGAGGAAGAATTAGCGGAATTCGATTATTCAAAACTACGAAATCTACAGATGGAGTTATTGGAATTGACCTTTGAAGATGAATGGGGCCAACATTTACATCAAGTGAGAGATGAACTCAAACATGAAGCTCTTTTATTTGTCAAGGAACAGAGAATACGATGTTTACTTCAAGGTGCATGGTTCCCAAGAATAATCCAACCAAAGATTGTCAGCGAAGAAGGATCAACCTCTACAAAAAGTTTAGGAAGAAGAATACCAACTACAAGTTGGCGTTTCGTCAAACTATCACATAATCGTCGTTTTCTACACTATTTTGATTTCGATCACCAAATGAGTAAAGAACCGACACTCGATCAATTACTTGAAAAAATCGATTTAAGCACTATTAGCTCAGTCGTTTCCAATGTTTCCGCATCCCAAGATGATGGCTCGAGTATCTCCAGCTCATCGACTCTCAAAGATACCAATCCATCATCCAAACCAAACACCACCACCAAAATCACAATTAATACTTACGTTGGTGGCGAAAATAAAACACAACCAGATGGTGCTGATCAAGCCGAAAAAGCTATTCTCACTTTAATGCCTCCTACACATAGTCTTGCATCCGAATGGTTGGACGGATTACTCATGTTGTTAAATCAAGCACCCATCACGTCGGAAACTAATAAACTCGTAGGACTGGTTAGTGAATATGGATTGAAGATTCGCTTGTTGAATGTTAGGTTGGATGATGCGAATGGGTATGGAGGACCGCAGCCAGGAGCGGGTAAGGTACCTAGTAGAGAGGGTTTGGATGAGGATTATTATTATGAGGTGTGAGGAGGTGGTGAGCGGAGGGGTGGAGTGGGTGGGGAGGGTTGAGGAAGTTAGGTATGTGAAGTATGTGTGATTGTATTGTACTTCTATTTGTATTTGTATGAATATGGAAAAGGGCGAGCGCAGAGAAGTGGGAACTAGGAAGGAGTTGGAGAAGCAGCGATAAAAGGTGTGGATGATGGTATTTTCCTTGTCTTTCTCTTTATTTTTCTCTTTTTTTTAAAAAAAGGGGCAACATCCCGATACAGTACTTTTCTTTGTAATGATACCCTGGGGTTGGTTTATTGGTTTTATTGGTTTTGTGGGATAGTATGGATGGATCGATGGATGAATTCATATTATATGTATCTGTAAATAGAAATCAGAATTAGAATAGATAATTATTATTTATTGTGTTCTGTTGTGCTGTGTTGTGTTATGTTATGTTATGTTGCGATTTAGAATTTGAAGTTTGTATATTATTGTATGGTTGTGTAGTTGAATTGATGAATTCATAAATCTACAAGCACCTGAGCCGAGCACCCCTGAGCAATAGAGAATTTAGAGCCTTTGATAATGATGATTGATGAATAAAAGAGGATGAGGTAAATAAATAAATAAATAAATAAATAAACTTTTCTGGTTTAAATAGATAGATTAATTATTTTTATATAATATTTATAGAATACTTGAGATATGGTGTTTTAATTGTGATGTGAGGATGAGGGATGTAGTGTAGGTAGGTAAGGTATGTGGTAAGATTATATATTTTGTATATGGTGTATTATGACCTTACAATTTGAGAGATGGGAGATGAGAGATGTGAGGTAGAACCTCGAAATTCAAGATTAAACTTGTATTATGAGCGTTTGGCGGTTTGGATATCTGAAAAGGATGTATATACTTTGTTTATCAATACGGAGCTCTAGAGCCCTGTATCTACATATATACAGCTATTCATACCGCTCAATCTCTAAGATCTATTCCCTCCACAAATGTCACCTTTTCTATCCTCACCACCATCCTTCCCTTCTAACACCTCTCCCAAACCCAAATCCCGCCATCAACTCAAACCCTTCCCCCTTCCCTCAACAACCAAAAACAAATCCCATTCCCTACCCACCAAAACGCACTCCTAAGAAAACTCCACTTCACCCTCTCAGCCAACACATAACTAACCCAATACGCCAATCTAGCCCCAACATAACACCAACCCACACTCGCAACAGTATCCTCAGAGACACCTTTAAAACTAGCAAATAGGACAGCAGCAACAAAGATGGGGAAATTATCCATAGCGTTTTGTTGTGCGGCTTCCCAGCGTAATAACATGTTGATAGTTGACTGTGAGAGATCTTTGGTGGGGAAATGAGTGAGATCTTGACGAGGGGAGACGTTGGAGGTTTTGTGGAGGAAGCGTTTGGGGAGACGGGAGGATTGGAGGAGGTGGGAGAGGAGGAATTGGGTTGTTAGGAGGGTGGGGATTGGTGAGACCATTTTGATCTTGTGTTTGTGGTAGAGGTTTGGGGATGGTTGTTTTGATGGTATGTAATAGGTGGTGGTGTGCTGTATTAGATATGAGCTGCAATATCAATGCCACCGATTGTAAAAAAATTAGCAAACAAATGAAGATATAAAATTTTGAGCATAGACACTCTCTCGAACTAATCGAAAATTAGACTAAAGCTCGGGAAAGCAAGTATATGCGAAGATTCCCCATAGTCCAGAACCACGGGCAAAGAGCAAGATCGACCAATCAATCAATCAATCAATCAATCCCCCGCCTGCCTTGCAGGAAAATACTCAACTCGATATACTCGAGAGGATTAATTTCGGCAACTCATCTAAAGTTAACCTCCTTTCAATACTTTCCTTGGACTCGAACCGATCTCTCCCATCCATGAACCTAAATAATAATGCCCATCCATCTCATTCATCAAAGCCAATAACCAAGACTCGAATGACCGAAATACTCCGTCCAAGTCATGCCAATATAACAACGAGTAATGCCAAGATAAGCACATATCTCAATACATCGATAGCTTGACGATGCATGCGCCAAGTACTCTGTGTACACTGCAAACTTTCCTCAAAACAAAAGAAACCCAATCCAGGGTCCTTCCACATAAATATAAAGTTTAGACGCGGCATCTCGGCAATCGGAAGGGAAGGGGGATTTATTAGATTTAAACTTTCTGAGCGTAACCTTCCTCATGTTACATTGACCAAAAGCTTGAAACGTCTCTAATTTTTCCGTTAATATTTCCGTCCACTGCATCTACTTCAATTCCTCGATTTCTCGTGATTAGACCTCTTTTTTCATCCCTTTCCTCTTCTTTGTTGCATGTCGATATTTACGCCCAGCTTTTAGTTGTGTTTCATATCTTTTTTGGACTTTGTTCCGCGGTGGTTATCTTGATTGTTTTTGATTGCCAAGGCCAAACAAGCCCTTGGCATTTGGCATCAATTGGCGATTTTGTTAAGGAGGAAATGGATGAATGATATGGTGGTTTTATCGAATTTTGAATTCGATTCTTCGATAGATGAGGCTCGATAGGATAGTAAGCAGTCTAATAAATACAGCTTTGTTGATAAAGTTATTGGTACTATTAACCTCAAATCCTCACAGGAATTCCAAGCTTGAAGAAACTCTCTCCCTTCTCAATGCCACACCGGGTACACCGTCACCCAAAAAAGCCAAGAAGCTCGTCCAATTTGACATTTCTATAACACCAAGACATCAAACAGCACAACACACCGATCTCTCTGGGCAAAAGGAACAATCCAACACCAAAGTCCTTGGTACCCTAAATAAAACGAAAGCCAAGCAGTGGATCTGACGATCAAACTCGGAATTTTCTACAGAGTACAACACCAAGATAGCTGATTCCTACGGATACACCGAGGTCTCTGGGCGAAAAGCAGCAAAGCGAGATATGGAAAAAAATAAAGATAAAAAGTCCTTTTTATAGAAATAAGTGCAGTAGATTCCCTGGGCAGCAATAGAGATATGCAACAAAAGTCTTGAAAATTAAATTATTACACCAGAGTTCCACAAATTCACAATAATACGTTCTCTGGGCAGAAATACAGATTTGCAACAGAAATCTCTTCGTGCTCTTGGTATCATTTTGGATCTCTAGGCAAAGAGGAAGATATGCAACAGAAGTCATGTAATTTGCATTTTTAGACAAGAGTTCCACATAGAGTTCTCTGGGCAAGAATTGAGATTTGCAACAAAGATCTTCTTCATGTCTTATTATCATACCTTGGCTTCTGGGCAAGGAGGAAGATGTGCAACAGAAAGTCTTGATATATATACAGACTAATGCATCTAACTTTCTAGGCAGGAAAGTCGATATGCAACATTAATCTCTTGAGTCCTCTTGGTATTCACCAATACCACGTCAGATCTTGGTATCACACTCGGTCTCTAGGCAAAAAGGGACATGTGCTAGGTACAGAAAGTCTTGATATACTGCGTACAGACAGACTAATGCATCTTGCTTTCTAGGCAAGAAAATAGACATGCAACAAAAGTCTAGTAAATCCCTCTTTTGATTCTTAGTATCCATTAATACCACGTCAAATCTTGGTATAACTCACACCCAGCCTCTAGGCAAAAAAGGAATATGTACAAAGTTACAAGCTAAAGTACTTGACTTTCTAGGCAAGAAAATAGACATGCAACAAAACTCTAACAAAATACTCTTTTGTGCTCTTAGTATCCATTTATACCACGTCAAATCTTGGTATTGTAAGACCTTACTCCGTGGGTTACATTGATCTCGGATGGAGATATGGATATGCAATAGAAAGTCTTGATATACATACAGACTAATGCACGCGACTTTCTAGGCAAGAAAATCGATGTGCAACAAATGCCGTTTATACACAGACTATTGTAACAGAATATCTTGCTGTCATATGTTGATCTCTGGGCAGAGATAAAGATGTGCAACGAATTCCGTTTATATGTAGAACTGATATCAAAGCAGTCGTATTATAGGTATCGGAATATCTTAAAACCATATAATGATCTCTCGGCAGAAACAAAGACATGCAACAAAACTCGTTCGTTCATATGGAATATCTTGTTTGCTTGGTACCGCACATTGATGATATCTGGGCAAGAATACAGATACGCAACAAAACGCATTTATTTAATCTTACATGTAAAACTGATCTCAAAGCATCATACCGGAATATCTTGACAGACTCTCGGCAGAAACAAAGACATGCAACAAAACTCATTGATATTTAGAGACTGACATCAGGACGTCACACCGGAATATCTCGGTATCTCGGTATCTCGCACTAGTATCATACTGAGACTATATTGATCTCTGGGCAAGAATATCGATATGCAACAAAAGTTAACAAAAGTTTCCGTTTTATGTAGACTTTCATAGAGTACGACATTTGCTAAGACATCGACCTCTGGGCAAGAAAACCGACATGCAACAAAAGTCCTGATGATCCTGTTCTATTTAGACTTTCATAGAGTATGACACCCGAGTAAGTAAGTACCTTAACATAGCATTTGTTAAGACATCGACCTCTGGGCAAGAAAACCGATATGCAACAAAAGTCCTGTTTTATTTAGACTTTCATAGGGTATGGTTGGTACGACACCGAAATACCTATCTTAGTACTATACTTGGTAAGACACCAACCTCTGGGCAAGAAAACCGACATGCAACAAAATCCCCTTATATTTAGACTTCTATATTCATCCAATTAGTTATACACGGGAGTTTCTTGGTGTTACATTTGCTGTAGTATGATGTCGATCTCTGGGCCGGGTATGCAAGATATTTATAAGGTATCCTATTACACCGGAGTGGGTAACGCGGTAGATCTATATATGATGCTGTGTTTTCTAAACAGGAATAAATTAAAGATATATAATGAAAATCTTTTTTTATATAATTATTTAGTGTTTCTTATAATGTGATCTTATAATGTATAATAGTGAATTAACTGTTAGCATTCGGGAAATACTTTTCATCTCTCGTCTTTACACACTCAAAAGTAGATCCCAAAATGTATATATGTATAGATACCTATTTAATGTAGATATGCACATTGTAATTATATGCATGTACTCCGAATCACTGTAACATTGAATAAAGATATCATTCAGTGACTCAGATCCCAGAGTCCGTGAAGATAGACAGGGCATCAAGTCAAAACAGCGAAATGATGTATTGGCCAAAATAATGTGTTGCACAAGAATGTTACAAATACCAATCCAATTCAATTGTGAGGATTTCTATATAACATTTACCCTATCCTTATATTTCAACTCCTCTTTGGTATAAATTTCCCAAAACGCCTTTCTATATTCTTTTTGGATTCTCTTTAGCTAGAACCATGGTTCTAGCTTAAGATTTGAAAGATCACCCCTTGCAGCTTAGAATTCAAAATCCTTTGCTTGATTTCCACTCAGCTCGAGATCTCCGCTAGCTTCGTCGCCCCCTTTCCTTGGTTCTCTACCAATCTCTGCATAAAAATGTTAGTGGACGCCTTTCCCGTTGAATTATAAAGAGTACTAACCAAAAGATTTCTCAAAAGAACAGCGATAGTGACTTTTCCAATAGATGGTACATAAATTGAAGCCTTCTCTTTCACGGCAGGACCATCAAAGTTCTTTTGAGAAGAAAAATTGATACAGACAGCTCCATCTCTGATCAACTCGGTGTTGACCTTGAATCTCTCTCCTGGAACACCAGAGATAACAACATCACTCTTTGGCAAACAATCATCATTCTTCATTCCTTCCATATCGTGAACCTCATGATGAACTTTCTTGATTCCTTTGCCACGAGTAAACAGCTTCACTCCGTCAAGATCGCAAGAATAGACGGTAGCACCATCATTCGCAAGCAAAGCAGCTAATGGACGTCCAACAACCTCGGAGCGGTTGAATACAGTGATTGTCTTTCCGTATAAACGATTCCCATGTGGTAAAACCGAGTTATAGATCTGTAGATGTTCAAGAACCTTGACAACCGCTAAAGGTGTGCAAGGTAAAATTGACTTTTGAGTATTGTGAGGAGCGTCGAGAAATCGAATGTTTTGGTACATGTTGAAGCGGTAGGTATGTGCCAATCCTTCTACATCTTTGTTCAAGGCAACAATTTGTTGAATGTACCCATCTTGAAGAGAAGGTGCGGGAAAAATTGGGTAGTATACAATGATACCATGAATGGAATCGTCGTTGTTTGCTTTTAGGATTTCGTCTTCGATCTCTTCTTTGGTGAACTTTCGGAGCTCAAAGTCGAAACCACTGCAAACAAGTCAGTTCGTGCAAATATCGAAGCGCAATAAATTGCGCTTTTCGAAATATCGGGAGATGATCCAATTCTTCAAACACGGAGCTTGGTAGAATGCGAGCCCAAGAAAAGTTCCTTTCTCTTGAGGAATTGTGATTAGTATCCAACGTCCTATGTTATCCATCCATTCTGATCTTCGGACATCCAGATTGGTGCCACTTTTCGGACCAATATCATTCTTGAGTGTCGCAAATACGCGGATGTGAAGGCTTTTGTGTATAGCAAATAAGATGGGGAGAAATACTCACTTCTCAATGCATGTTGCCATTGACCAGTCTGCATACTGTTGAGCTGCAGGATCATCGTTTGCCAGTAATCCAACAAGCTTAGGCTTGAAAGATAGCTGCTTCAGATCTGTTGAAACTTCTCCAAGTAACTTTTTAGCAATTCCTTGAGCCAAGATAACCTTGCAGGTAGCTGGGACAGGAGAGGAAGCCATCTTTTTGCCGATGATATTTGGTAGGATACCGAGCGAAGGATTTCGTGGTACAATTTTCGATATAGTCACAGTACTTTGACAAGGGTCTTATATGTACCTGCTTGCTTTGCTGATACGAAATCCTCTTTCCCTGGGTAAACAAATCAGAGGAGTAGAATTACTGAAACAGAGTGAAGATAAAATTTTCATTTTTCATCCCGATGCTTATCTTATCGCACTTTTTTTATGAGGGGAAATGGAGGGGTAAAATTGTCAAGGGTACGAGTATTTTTAGCTAGAATGCAGCCAATAAGCAGGTGAATATGTTAATAGGAGGTTATTCAAGTTAGATGCTCTTTTTATTTAGCACATTTTTACTCTGACAATTTTATACTCATTGTGATATATATGAAAAGGTTATCAGAGGAAACATTAATCCTTTTTTGTTTTGAGCAATTGGATATTTGCCGAAGTTCAACCGTTGACCGCCCGCAATGGCAGAAATTAGATTTTCTTCTCATCATTCTAGAAGCTCCGTTATCTCGTAAGTAATTTGTTACATACCGTAAGGGAAACCTTCGACCCGTCCAGGAGTATACCAGTCAGAAGTACACTGCCTTCACTCATTTTCTACTCTCTTTCATTGTATAAGGAGAGCTGTCATTTTGATACCCTTTCTGTTATTCGAACATATACCTTTGTTTTTGCAAGCCTGCATGTTCACTTGTTACTTGTGACTCGAATCGTTACTTCACATTTCAGGAGACTTCTTCCTTCAGAGTAAGTTGGGCCATTCTCATACACGCATTGGTGTCTATTGCCCCCATTTATTGGCTGTCAATCTGTCTCCGCTATTTTCTGGAACTCTTCACAGTCACAACGGCTTTTAATCCTCCCTTGTTCCTGGATATCCAAGGAAGCTTCTGAACTATCAATCTTCCTCGCCCTTGCAGCGCTACGCATTAGGTTGTCCGGAATTCCTTCTCGGGATCTAATAACTGCTCTATAAGGCTCCAATTTCAATTGACTCAGTTCCTCGACTTTCCCTCTTTACACATCCCCTTGTCCCTCTTCATTCTGGCAGCCGGGACATTTGATATTGGTGTTGAGACTTGGCCTTTGGCACCTTACAGTCCCTCGTGGACCTCGCCTCACACCTTTTGATTTTCCAACTCAACGAGTTGCACAGTTATTCATCTCACTGGCTCTCTTAGAGTTGTCGCAAGCGTCTCTATAGTCCAGATCACTAGTACTTCTACCAAACCAATATCACGGCTAGTGAGGCTTTCAATACATTCTGCACTCACCTCTACAACCACTGAATTCTTGAATCAGCACATGGGATTATTGGACACCTGGCTAGCTATTTAATCAAATTAAAGAATGCATGTTGTCAAGTCACTGACATTTGGTTCTGGTTTAGATTTGTCTGTTATCATCTATTATCACGTATATAATTCCCATCTCGGATACTTAACTTAAATACCCACTAGACAACATGGGAGCAACAGTAGCCGAGTTTATGGCTGCAGAGGCTGAGAAGGACAAATTAGCAATCGTCAATCAAAAAGTAGAAAGTACGAGAGCTTTTAAACCTGTTAGCCTTGACCTTTACTAATCTGGTGATAGGTCTCAATGCGATTAGCAGCCTCATCTCGGAGCTTGGTCCGTATATAGATGGCGAGGCATCGATGGAAGATTGCCAAAAAGGTGCAATTCATTTGAAAACATAATTTTCAAACATATTTTAGTGCTGATTATGTCCAGGATTGGAGTTTTTGTTGCTTGTCCTACAAAATGTCGACCCTGGAAAGCTTTCAAGGCATGATTGTAAGCAGTCGAAGTGATATATATATATCAAGTCTAGACGCTAATATGCAGCAGTGAGTGCCCTCGTTACTTATTTAACAAATCGGGTGTCCCAAGCTGGGGAGGTTCAGATCTACCGAGCTGGTCTATCGGAAATTGCAAAGTGTTTGACCACCATTGCAAAGATGCCTAAATTCATTAAATCAAGTGCGCCAGACATTGCATTGGCAGTTTTTCGTCTTCCAGATAACAAACAGTCTCTAAACGACTTTCCCCATTCTACACGACTAAGCCTCCTACAACTCCTCCAGTGTTTACTAGAACTATATCCTACAGCACTTAAGACTTCCATGGGCAGTGCGTTTATTAATGGCATGGCTTCGATGGCGGCAGTTGAAAGGAATCCATCTTGTATCCTCGTCATTTTCAAAATTTACAGACAATTAGGCACGAGTTGGGATATAGACCCCGACGAGGCCGAAACTATGTTTAGCTCGTTCTTCCGTTATTTCCCCATTACTACCACTAAATCAGCGACGCCATTAAATCCAGAAGAGGACCTCAAATGCGGTCTTTTGAATTGTTTAACATCCAACGAAGGTTTTGCTTCTTTTGTTTTTCCAGCGTTATTCCAGAAATTAGACTCTGAAAGCGTTAGGGCAGATGTCAAGGTAGTAAATTCGTCTTCCTCAATATTCTTACATGCTAACTTTTTAGATCGATGTATTCGATGCTATGCTTGAATGCATACGCAACTATACTAATGTTTCGGAATTCTCAACCACAATATGGGATACTCTGAAATGGGAGGTTTGGAACGGCGAAAATGATGATTTTATTAATCGTTCCATAGAAAATATTGCTGCGGTTGCCAGTCAACTAAGCCGACAGTCTTCTAACATTAAAGACGATAACGATAAGTTGGCCAAATATGTCAACCATATTACTCAAGAATGCATTACGATATTTACCGACGATACAAAGAAGAGAATGATTCTCCCATGTGCTCGTATTCTAAGCAAAATCGCAAGCACCTCCCCACACGCTTTCGCCCTCACTTTTAAGAACACACTGCCAACCCTTTTCACATTATGGCATCGACTGGATACTATAGGCGACAGGGCACGATTGGTCGCGTCTTTAAACATCATCCTTGAAACACGTTCAAACATTTCAAAATCCGAGAATGCACATGTGGTTTCGGGTACGACCGTCATGGATGAAGGTTTCGACGGCTTCCGAGGAAGTCTTGTTGAAATATACTTTGAGGAAGATTTCGACGGCTTCCGAGAAAGTCTTGTTGAACTATACTTTGGCGCCATGTCCGGGTCGAGTGATCTCGATTTACAGATTGCCACCACTAAAGGCCTCACACTTTTGGCCACAATCCGCAACAATTCCGTGAACCGACCGTTTTTAAATTCTTTCGAGCAAGGAACAATTATTGAAAAGCTCAATGAGACCGCCTTTGATATGAAAGTAGCCGAGGAGCTTCGCACGTTGGCTGTTACTTCCCTTTCCACCTTGTCGGTTCAATATCCAGACAATTTTATCAATATCACGCTTCCAAATTTTGTTGGAAGACTTCCGGATCAGTTGAAACCAGAAGATGATGACGGGTCTGATTTCCCCCGCATAGTCGGGCTTTTGGACTCCCTTGTGGATATTGCGTGCAAATCAACTTGTCAACGTGAATTGGATGCCCCCGACTCCGATTCCAAGCTTCATTTGAAATTTAGATTATTCACCGCTTTGCAGTCTGAACTGGTGACGAGATTTACCCAACACGCTTCCAAAAATGCAGCCCAGAAATCATATCAAATGGCTATTTTAGCCGCAATTTATCGAGGATTGCAAGTGTTTGATGACGCACTTGCCAATGATAAGACCATGGGAGAACTCTCCTCAAACGCCGAAAACACTATCGATCCTTATGCTTTTATCGCCATCGCATTATTTAAGCGAGTCATTGGGCTATTTCAGCATGAGACTGGCAACTTAAAAGGTAGTTGGTTTGTTGGCATCTCCGAGGCTGATAAGGGGGGATATTTCGATGATTCCGTTGTTGCACTTGTTGGAACAATTGGGACGTATATACTTCGATCCAATACCACCTCGCATGAGAATAACTTTTTGCTCAAAGCAAATGCAGAAAATCCAACTGAGCCAAGTCGAGTTTGGACTTTGTTCAACTTTGGAGCCCACACAAGAGCGGATCTCGGTGTTTGTCAGCAAGACCTTCGCAGTGGCCCTTTTAACAAATGTTCCGCCAACATTCTTTCCACAGCCTTAATAGCTGGAATCCGTAAAGAAGTGAGCTCATTCTGTACTTTTCTCCACATTAACTTTAGCTGATTTGTTTTAGGATGCGGGTTGGTTAGGTCTCGCTGCTCACGAAACCGCCAAGTCAATGCTTTTGAACGCCATTTCTGTAGAAAACAACTGTTCAAGACCAGCTCGAGTGAGTATGTTACAAATGCTTCAACTCCTTGTCAACAAATTCGGTGCAGACAAAAAGTCATTTGAGGATGGAAAATTACTTCACGATGTCATGCTTCAGCTAGTCAAGGAAGCAATCTCAAAGCCGGACCCAGAAGCATACCAAATCTATCAAGCCTTGGCTTATTTTGCTGCTGCAGCAGTGGCAGCATATGAGCCATGCAGTACGGCACTTATCGACGCCATGATGCAAGGCGTTTCTGACCCAAAGCGCGGCCGGAAGATCGCTCAAAGCTTCGCAATCCTTCTGGCTCCATCCAATATCATGAACGGTAGCAACTTTTGTACCCTTCGTCCCCTTCGATTTGGTCGCCTTTACAGTACCAGCGTTAATCAACTCATCGCTCTCTGGCGATCTAATGAAAACAGTCGTATTAAAGAAAACTGCCTCATTGCCCTTGTTGGTATTCTTCGATATATGCCAGCAAAGATCTTGCAGGACAATGCCGCACAAATTCTTCCCATTGCTCTAGCTGGTACCGATGTCCCAGATAAAGCCACAAAAGATGCAGGCATGAACATTATGATCGTCTTAATGCCCGAGAATCCTAGCTTGATTGAAGAACACCTCGATTCGATCATCAATCGCATGACGGATCGTACCCACAACACATACGATTCCCCCTCGGATGCTACTGTGGAAGCAAGATCTAAGGCTCTGGACGTACTTGGTATGCTTCCAACTTTGGTGGAGAATGGACTTCTCTTGAAGAGAAAAAATGCTGTGCTGAAGGAACTCGGTATTGCACTAGACGATTGTTCTAGAGAGGTTAGGATGAGGGCTGATAGATGTAAAATGATTTGGTTCAATTTGTAATTTGAGCTTTACACTAGCATGGAACGGTGTTGAGAGGCTACATTGGGCTTGTGTCATTGCATCTACTTGTTTCGGGCGCAGTAATGGTAGGCATGAAATTGGGCGGTGCGGCTTTCTGAGATCAGGTGGATGTTAAATGAGTAGATTATATCATTAAATGATGAAGTAGAGCAAAAGTGAATAGGAGAGATAAATAGAGAAAATCGCAGATCTTAACATAATTGATTGTCCTTTGAATGAATACAAATTCGTGATGAACTACGCGGGATGAAAAAAGAAATTCAATCAATGGATGAAGTCGATTAATTGTTCGCTTAATCGATCAAATAAGAATCTTGTTTGAAATATGCTAGGATTAATAGGCAAGCTCACCAGGAATCGGGAATAGAATAGGGGGGAAATTCTGAGTTGAATATTAATGAAGTAATGCCACAGAGCGTCCAAGACTTCATTATACAGAGAACAGGCCGGATGATAAGAAACGGAAAGCTGTATACTATTATACTTAGCTAACTACAAACTCACACAGCTTCTATGTACAGCAGAACTGCCCATCTTGTCTATATTGGAGCATTGACGAAGTTTAAGCTGGCTGTCACGCCAGCTTTCCGCAGTTGGGAGTTTGGCGATATATGATTGTACTTTCTTGTCTTTTTGTCGAATCTAATTTTGGTATAAATAGTAGTGGGAAATATAAATTGTGTGGTTGTTTTGAATTCCTTCTAGGGGGCAGTTCAAGTGCATTATGTTCGGTGTGGAGACTCGTAGTGAAGAGTTGTACGGCTAATTGCCGCCTTATGGTATTCCAAGGTTTATTATAATCCTTCATTAACTATTGAGACCCGCTGTGGGAGATTGCTTGGTACTAAGCGAACAACTGGCCTCGAAACCGAATTCGCTAATGAATCAAACACAAAATCTGCTCATCACTGAGATCATAAATGCAAATCTCTCTGGTAGTTGAAAGTAGAATGGATACAAAACTATCCTCATTAGCGTCAGCATCGGGCCGTTCCTAATTGCATATTTTGTGGTAGATAGAGTAGACAAGTGACACATACTCGGTGACAGTTCGAGCGAATTGATTCATCCATTTTTATAGTTCTAAGTCTCTCCAAAAGGCAACGTCATTTTCACATAGTCGAATATGCAAGTGGTACTGTGAAGATCAATTTGCCGCATGACAACATGATAGTTCTTTGTGGAATCGTGGATAAATCATCATGGCGGAGTGCATGCATCATGCATGCAGTTGCGTTGCAAATTCGAGTTGTGTGTATGTCATCCCACTTAGTTCAGAGGTATTACAGAGCCAAGTGTAAGCCAGACACATCCTTAAATCACACAGGTCCGACGAATTCGAAAGATCACTATGACTGAAATCACTCAAATTCCAACATACCGTAGTAATGTGAATATTGGCTACCTCTGAAAACTCTAAGATCTTACATGTCTCGACGTACCGCACAAGTCTTTTTAGAAACTTTTTGCATGTAGTCAAAGAAAGATTGCAAGATTTATCTCGTCTTGGCACCACACAAGAATGATGAATAATGAACATCTGGACGCTCGCTGATTGCGATCTTAATATCACTGGCACGTATGTTGACTGTTGTGTTACACCCTTCTCTCTGTTTATGGGGTAACATTAATATGCATCACAATTACTTTCTTCTTCATCCGGCCATTGTGTTTGGAGATATATTAAGTCCAAATCCAAAGAGCACAGTGCCTGCGCAGTTTAGGAAAACTGTTGTGTGCATACAATGAACCCGTTAAAAATAGCGCGTCCAAACAATCATATAATATTAACATCCTGTTATTATCATCCGGCAAGCATGACTACAGCACAGCTTGCATGTACACTCATGCTTGGATGGGTTTTCATCTTGTCTATTAACGATTGGATTTATGTTTGGAGTCGCAATTGTTAGGCTGTTTCAAGCAATCTAAAGCCCCCTTTGTTCGTTCATGGAAAGCATAACTAACCGCTGGTTTTGAGCTATCACTAATATCTAAATTAATTTATGTGCCTCCTCTTTCCAAGCTCTACGGCGAAGTCTTTCTGGACTAGGAAAGAATCATGTATTAATGATGCGACCACATTCTCTCGCAAGACTGAAAGAGCTTCCAAAGCTTCACCTGCTCTACACACTTCCTTTTACATATCCGATCACCTCTAGTATACTTCTTAAGAATCAACTCAATCCATCCACGGAAAATATCAGTATCAGAATTCATGGCAGATGCTTCCGACTTTGGGAATCTCCCAACCATGCCCCCGCCACCAGGAGTTACATCTAATTTTGTGAATCCAGTGACCAGATTGAAAGAAGCTAGTATCTGTTTTGGACTGATTTTGAGCGTTACTGCCATCGTTGTTCTATTGCGATGTTATGTCAAAGCGAGGTTGACAAAGGCTTGGGGATGGGATGATTGTTAGTTAAATTTCACCCACCAAACGCAAGTGAATCTAGCTTACTGACGGGAATACCTGGCAGTCTCCTGCATCATTGGATTTGTAGAAATCCTAGCTCAAACCACGAATCCTTTCTAACTGTTTCCTCGCCAGGTAGCCAGCATTGTTCGTGATAGCTTGGTGGTTTCGCGTCCGTTATTTCTGCTTCTTAATTTAACAATACGAAGCTAACAGCCCATAGTTATCGGTGTTCATCTGGGAGTACACGGGTGGGATGTGCAAATCAAAACAGCCTATAGAAATGTAATGATGCAAGTATGTGGACATTGTTCTTATGACAGCTTTTGATGATCAAGTTACTTGCTTACTAGTTCACCTCATCCAGCGTACCTTAGGGGCACAATGCAGTCATATCGTGGCCACCTTCTTCACAAAGCTGTCACTTTTTCTGCTTTACCTAGGCATTTTTGAACCTAATATGAGAACTCGCTATGCAATATACCTAGGTATTCTCTTGTGTTTCATCTTCTATACCATCAATCTCGGCCTCGTTTGTGCTTATTTAGTTCCTGGTCCTGGTCAGCCTAAGATGAAGGCAAGCTGGGTGTGGGCATCCGTGCACAATTTGGCTGCCATAAAAGTCCTTTCATTTGCACAGGCAACTTTTGGGGTTCTGAGTGATGTTTATCTGTTTGTTTTACCAATCCAATCAATTCTTCGATTGCATCTTCCCATCAAAAGAAAGCTAGGGATAGCCGCAGTCTTTCTGTGTGGGCTCCTGTAAGTTTATGAACCTTGTCCGTGAAATTCAATCCCCGCTCCTCTTCATTCAGCGTAATAATTTTGTGCTAATTATAAGCGTTTGCTCAGTGCCATTGCTTGCTCATTAGTTAGCCTCGTACTTCGTTACAGAATACTCGGGACTGTGTATGGTACTGAGGATAGCTCCTGGACGATAATGCCGGTATACATGATTTTATCGGCCGAGGTTTGTGCTGGAATAATTTGCAGCAGCGCTCCTATATTAGTGGCACTTCTTCGCAGTGACAAAAGTCACTTGAAGAAAGTGCTTAGGTATTTCTATATCCGCAGACTCATTGGATCATCTAAGGATAGTAGTGCGGTAGAATTCGAAGAGCGTAGACTAAAGAACGAGAGTCGTGGGGTCGCCAATGTTCAGAATCGCATGGCTGCTGATGAATGGGGTGCCAGCAAAGGCATGAGAAAAGGAGTAGGGAATAAAATGAACGAAGAGTGGATAGAGTTGGACGACGAAGAAAATGATCGCATTAGAGTGTGATATGACGAGGTACAAGTACAGGGTCCACTTCTACATCATTTAACTCAGAGTAGGAATATGCCAGTATCTTGAGCGAGCTACGTACTACAATTTTATTTGGCAGTCCTCAGGGAAATGATACGCCTAGCCTCATAAGACAAATTGAATTCAATAGTTTACTTTCAAAATTATGCTTGTCATTCCTTCATATTGTGTAGAGATAATACATAGCATAATTAAATCTATGGAGTTTATTCAAAGAATGACATGCCGTTTGGACTCTGGAGAAGGATTCTTCCCATAAGAAACCTCATCATACTACCTAGTATGTCAAATAAATACGTAGAAAACTTCCTTTTAGCCTGAAATACTCTTATGCACTCCGCAAAATATAAGGTGCTCGCTCCGGCCCATATTTCCTCTGCAACTGCCATTTAGGCTGAATCAAAGTACGACTCAAGGCATAGCCGAAATGCTCCAGGTGTAGCTTTGTTAAGGGTAGGGTATTATAATATTACTGTTCCTACCTGGTATCGTAATAGACGCTTGATATTTCTGATGTTAATTTCTTACTGTTCTTCCACCAATGCTTCAATCTATAAGGTTAGACGAACAGTTATTGCTATAACATAACTACTACCATGTAAACACAACAGACATACATCCTACTTAATCCAGCTCATCTTAAGTTTTCTTAATTCTACTCGAATTTCGAAAATATTAATGAATATAAACTAAAAGTGGTTAACAAACTCTGTGAAGGTATCTAATTTTTCATCCTCCAAGTATATGCATTGCCCAGCTTCCCCAACTTTGGACCAACTAGGTTAAGTATAATGCCAGTTTTTTGAGTTCATACGGCACTTTATCTGATACTAAATCTCTCACACTTTTCCAAGAAAAGATATGCCATATGCCCGATATCCTGGATAGTGTCTGTGGGGAATAATCAGCCTGAAGTGAGTTTGGAGATCGGCAGCTATGAGCATCGTCAACTTCACTTTGGTTTCGAAGTTTAGCTATCTGCACTTGTGCCTGATTAGGCCATTCTTATTCGCCAAATAGGTATATAAAGCAGTGCGTGGCCAAGAAAAATAACTGAACTATCAGCTACTCGATAATCAATCAATTTCATTTCCTCATCCATTATTAGATATTATACTAGCCGACACTATGGTTGCATTTTTCAACCTCATAGCCGCCTTCTCGGCAATTTCTGCATCCTTCGCTATTCCAAGTCCCACCCTCCCTAAGCGTAGCCCCATGGATTTTGTTCTTAGACGAAATGAGAGCTCTCTTCTTCGCCGAGCAACGCCAAACTACAAACAGGATTATACTACCGGTGGAGATGTAGTCTATACACCATCCGGTTCCTCTTTCACTGTAGATTGGGACACCCAGGACGACTTCGTTGTTGGACTTGGATGGACAACCGGGTCCAATAAGTGAGTACTAACGAGCCAACACCGCTTCTTGTTTCGGTTTCCTGACAACTTTGATTCACAGCCCCATCAACTTCAGCGGGACCTTTGGTATCGGCTCCGGCACCGCCCTTCTCTCCATCTACGGCTGGTCCGAAAACCCACTCGTAGAATACTACATCGTCGAAGACAACAGCTCCCCACCGAGCTTTGGCACAGTGAAAGGCAGTGTGACGAGTGATGGGTCAAGTTATACAATTTGGGAGAACCAGCGTGTCAATGAACCTTCTATTGTAGGAACTGCTACTTTCAATCAGTACATCTCAGTGCGATCCTCTCCACGAAAGAGTGGTACTGTTACTGTGGAAAACCATTTTAAGGCTTGGGCAGCGCTGGGTATGAAATTGGGTACGCTTAACTATCAGGTTTTGGCGGTTGAAGGGTGGGGCGGCGAAGGGGCTGCTACACAAACGGTTAGCTAGACGGGTACTGGTGATAGTCTCTGTAGCTTTACCGACTGCGGAAGGCCAAAGAATTACGAGGCATATATCGATAAAACTCACGATCTTGTAACCACGTAAAGCACGGTCAATCTTCGGTAGTTGCAGTATTAAGGAAACACGGGCGTGGAGAGGAATGCAAATGTGTGGAAGCGAGTCGAAAGATTCATGTCAATAAGAGAAATGCGTTATAATATCAAACATTCCTTTAGTATGATGTTATTAAATGTACTAATCATCTTCTTTTCCATGTCATATTGACAGATATCATAGGAAGTTAGCGTCTATGGTTAGCTCCTATAGTGCGGGGTATTTTCGCTTATTTTCAAACCCCCCTTACATTATCCGTACTTGAGGCGTGATAAGCCCATTCAAACAAGAACCAGTACATCACATCGCATGCAATTGAAGAATTTCTGTATTCCAGTGAGCTATCCCTAAGTTCCGCGATCAATTGCTCTCAATGATGAAAATTAACACCCATAGAGACGAATTAAACATCCATTCCATTTTCACCTGTTCTCATCTGAATCTTTGGGCTTCAAAAACGAGCAACGATTGAGTATTCCGAATAGCTATCACGATATTATCGAAATTAATCGTTCCAATATCATTACTGCCAGCCGTTGCTTTCTTCAACTAAAATCTTTGTTGATCGTGCCTCCTTTACGAGCGACCCTTGATCATCTCTTTCAGGCGGTAGGCTGTATTTGACATGCCCCACTCATCTTCTAATAACTGTATGAATAATTCAGTGATTTCAAAATCTAGCAGCATTAGCGGCCGTGATTTAAAGCAAACTTTTTTTAAGTCGAGCAGCACAAATCAGAGATGTGACAAGATCGAAATTCAAGTCCCAAGCTTATGATATCTTCAACATAATTGCAATTCTCGCAATATCTTGCTGGAATCTAAATTGGAAAAGTTCACCGGTTGGTCCGAAAATAATCAGAATGTTCGGATTTTTTATTGATACATCCATCTGCACTTCTTGCCCATGCAGGCGATGAAGGGAGATTCTGCAATTAGAGATGCTTGGGATATTAGTTCAATGATGGATTATCCGCTGCTGACTTCACATACGCAACAACTAATTGATGCGGCCAAGCTTTCGAATTCTAAGACCGTGCTTAAAATGGCACTTCCGTTTTCTCACAAACAGAATAAAATCACTTTTTTGTGTGTCTAAGGCCGTATAAAAGAGCTGTGGCCTCGGATGTGATAGGTCCTAGATCTTGGTAGCTCAAATTCTTATTAGGTTATAATGTCAAATATCGGTGGTTATATAATGCTCTGTGCATTGGACAGAACCTTTATTTATTTTTTGGCTATCAATTATCACTAGGTAGATACTGATAATAGATATTTACCAAATTTTATATTTCCTAGAGAATAAGATAACATTCATGATAGACCTCTTCGTCTCTATTTGCTGTGGATTGGTACATTAGTTAAGGTTGTTGTAATATTTTACCATGATTGCTCTTTGATTAAGATTTATCCAATAATCAAGCCCGATTTATTTGAGCTCGATAGTGCTTCGTCTTACCACCAGCAGTTGATTAGTTGTCACAAAATTAGAGTAAGAGGTGTCATTCCTGTACCGATTTATGAACCTGGTGGTTCCACTATATGTCAAAACCGTAACTGTCATTTACATGAATGTTACCCTAACTATCTTGTGTGACCCTGTGATGGCAAGATTATTACCCCGCGCTTTGTTCGTGGTGAATTAAAATTTAGATAGGTGAATCAAACCACCATTCAATCTGAGGTCTCAAATATCTCAGATCCATACGGTGACTTCAAGTTCTTTTGATTACGGCATTGTATTTGTTTCTTACAGCTTTCTACTGAAAGGCCATAATGAGCATTGAATCGGTCCCTCCAATCTTGCCCAACGGAACCAATATAGACCCTACGAAATCTTCTGAAAAGATGAAAGAAAAGGTCCATTCAGCGCCCGAAGAGTGCGAACCGGGTCTCGGCCAGATACAAGACTCGAAATCTCGGGGAAGCACGCGACGCGGACTGAAATCTCGACATGCACAGATGATCGCATTAGGAGGTACCATTGGTACAGGATTATTTGTTGGGACCGGACAAGCCCTTTCAGTTGGAGGACCCGGGTTCCTCTTTCTTGCATATTGTCTTAACACAATATTCGTCTATGGCATTGTGACAGCGACAACAGAGATCAGTGCATATATGCCGACTGATGGAAGTACGATGGCGTCATATGCCACTCGTTACGTCTCTCCCAGTCTTGGATTCGCCATGGGATGGCTTTACTGGTATTCTTTCGCTATTATTGTTCCCTACGAGATCACTGCCGCCGGATTGGTTTTTAACTATTGGTCAGATGATATAAATATTGCCGTGTGGATCACTGTCCTTCTTTTCGTCATCATTGGCCTAAACTTCTTTCCTGTAAAGGTGTATGGAGAGACCGAGTTTTGGTTCGCTTCTCTGAAGGTATTCATGATAGTTGGCCTTTTGATCCTTTCTTTCATTCTTTTCTGGGGCGGCGGCCCATCGCATCGGCGACTTGGATTTCATTACTGGAAAGATCCAGGGGCCACTAAAGAGTACCTAATCGACCGGGCCGGGGGAAGGTTTTGTGCTCTTCTATATGTGCTGGTCTTCTCTGCTTTCTCCTTTAGCTTCGCGCCGGAATTACTTGTAATTACGGGAGGTGAAATGGAATCGCCACGACGAAATTTGCCAAACGCAGCTAAAAGATACTTCTACCGACTTCTTATTTTCTACATCGGTGGAACCCTTGCAATAGGGGTCATCGTGAGTAGTAATGCGCCAGGCTTGATTGGCGGCGGGGCCGGTGCATCATCATCACCCTGGGTAATAGCAATCAAAGAAGCCGGCATCTCAGGCTTAGATAGTGTCATAAATGCGGTGATCATCGCATCTGCATGGTCTTCGGGCAATTCTTTCCTTTATATGTCAAGTAGATCTCTGTATTCACTTGCGCTTTATAAAAATGCACCAGGGGTTTTCAAGACATGCAATAGATGGGGTGTACCATATCCTGCACTCATTGCAAGCTCATTGCTATCACTCCTGGCCTATCTCAACTGCGCTAGGAGTGGAGTACAGGTTTTCAACTGGTTCATTAATCTCACCAACACATCTGGATTTATTTCCTGGATTTGTTGCTGTATAGTCTTTATTCGCTTTCGCCAGGCATGCGCTGTACATGAAATCACGGATCTACCATACAAATCGCGTTTCCAGCCTTATCTGGCTTACGTCTCGATCTGTGCTTTCACGATTCTCCTCCTTTGCAACGGATTCAGCGTCTTCTTCCATAGAAAATGGAACATATCGTCATTTCTCACTGCTTATATTGGGCTTCCTGTTTTCCTAGTCATCTACATGGGCCATCGCATTTACTACTGGTCAGACGAGTGGATGTTGCGTCCGGCTAACGTTGACATGACGACTGGTTTAGAAGAAGTCTTGGCTACAGAGACTGCCACTCTTGTTAGAACAGATCGATGGTACCACAATCTGGGCAAAATCTGGGAGTAATGTTTCACTCAATGGAGTCGCGGTTTTAGCTTCCACGCAAATAAGTTTGTATATTTATTTTCGGCTGGCCTGCATCTTGTTGCTAGCATAATGGAAATGTTCGCTTAATTTGTAATGAATAAAGCCAAGTCCAAGTACATACATTGAGGAACTGCATGTGCATTTAAGAGTAAACTTGGGCTCTATCAGAAAGTATAATATTGGAAGCTTGATGATTATCGCGCGACATCCAAACAAGTGCAAGAGACAGATGAAGGTAGAATTATAGAGATGAAAAAGCTAAACTGCATGAAATCAGTTATTATCGTTGATTCCTATCTTTTTATGATCTTTTTTTGGTTTCGCGGTGTATACTTTTCTATCGCCAAGTATCTGCTTGCTTTCACATCTTTATCTACATTGGCTCATCTCTGCACTGCAAAAATCGAATTCTTTTCCGGGTCGATTGATTGATCATCGCAATATGATATGGTTGAACATCTGCAGCTATTGATGATAGCACCTCACTCAATTCATTCTTATTTATTCCCCTTGAAGTAGTGAATATCAAGTAAGGTAAGAACAATAGTTGTATTCCACGTTAAAAGTTGATTTCCGGCCATTCACTTCACTCAACTCCAGCAACCACCCATTGAAAATTCACTTGGAGATTGATTAGTGGCGAGTTGTAGTTGACAAGAAATGAGACTGAATATACTAGCTAAATCGTCTTCAAAAATAGCTGACACCATTCACTACCTTCATCCAACTCGGCCTAATTCTCGGAATTTCAAAATTTGCGTACACTTGAGATCATGGTAGAGGTTAGTCTTCTGTTCAGACTTGCCAGAGTTTAAATAACAACCGCTTCTTATGAATGCAGCATTAATGGTGATGTCTTAATTCTTCATCTCTGTAATGGAAACCTGGGCCTCTATATGGACCTTGTTTAATATTTCCAAGCCTAGGTAAGGGAACCTTCTGAGCCAAGAGCCTATTTTATTTTGATGAGGAAGCTTCTCAACACATTTCCCATATTTCCACATGCCATAGCAACTCACAAACACGAATAGAGTTCACCGCCATGGCCATCGTAGGGTTAAGCCTACGTTTAAGTTACGAAATGTCACTTTTTCGCAACTTACCACTTTTTGAACAAAAAGATAATTCGGGTATAGTAGCCGACATCGAAATTGGTGAATAAATAGCACATATAGAACCTAAGCAACACCAACCACTTTATTCGGAGAAACCTTTGTACATTCCTGATTGTGAGATTCTCTAATAAGTTATTAAATGACTTGATAATATTAGCCGAACCAATGATCAGTCGATCATATAATATATTAATAATATTGATATTATTAAATTTTATTATTCTATAAAAATTCGATCATATATTATATTATTAAAATGATTTATAATGAAATAGAATGAGATAGAAATATATAGAATTCTTTTATTTTTTGAATTAAATATTATTGAATTTCTTTCTTTCTATTATATAAAATGATTTTACAAGATTTAATTTAAATTGATCTTATTTATAATTATAAAATATACTAGAATTTCATTAAATGTTATAAATATAAAGGTTTTCTTCAAAGAATTCTTTGAAATATCAAATAGAAAAAATAATTAAAATCCTATTATATATTATTCTGACTTTAAATTCATTATTATATTCGACCTTGCCCTATTGAGCTTAAGTAAAACTAAGTCGTGCACCATTGTTATAGATAATAATAATATTATTATAATAAATATTATTTATCCGATTAACCTCCTCCAAGACTGATAAGTGAAAAAAAGTCTACCAAAGGACAATCAGCTAGCTAGAATGCAACCAATAAGTAATGAAAATAAGTAACGATAACATGGCTATACCTAGCAACGAGGCTGAAATTACAAACAATATAATAAAACGGATATATAAAAATATAGTAATTACCCATCCTCTACCATTATAGTCATCTTCATCGTCGTCTTGTTGTGTATCTGTGGGAGAGGGGTATGGTTCTTGGCCGGGCTGTACGGCTGGTCGGAGAGAGGCAATGCGGGCGTGGTTGAGGGAGTGGGGTGCCTTGAGGGGTGCGCATCTAGGGGCGTTGAAGGGACGACGGCGGAATTCTTGGCGGAGGATACGAGGGTCTTTTCGGGTTGGAGGCGCGAAGTCCATGTATCCTTCATTGCAGGTGATGCAGCCTGTACGACGATCGGATGGTGTGGTATAAAAGTTTGTAGCCATTTTGTGCGATTGATGTGATTGAGTTGTGTGTTGGAACAGTTCTTAAGTCCTGGTATTCTTTAGCTAGGGATGATTTTGGGCTGACCTACTTTTCTCTGTATTGTGTATTGTGTTTTGTGAAATGAAAATAAATGTATGTGAGTCACCACCAGGGTAGACTTTTCAAATGCTGTTTGAGTTGGAACAGGGAAGTTGAAGTTGTGAGTATGCAATAAAGTAATTGTTCTGTAGAGACGATTGTTCTTGACAATTGGATTGTTGAGTAGAACACTGTTCAGCTATATACCTAAACTATCCTTTGTAGCCTTCGAAACAAAGGCTCTTGTTTATTTAGAGACTGCTCAGAACCTTCTTTCTGCCAGATATAGATAATGTTATTTTAGGCAGAACAATAACGATTGCCAAAAATAAATCCTTTGTTGCTTGCTATCAACAACATAGAAAGGATGCCCATTCGTTGTCCTTGAATTTAGATACACTTGGCGTTAAAAACATGCAATTATCGTAACCCTCAAAATTACTCATTTTGTAGAGCAGAACAATGCTTTGCCACTTGAACAGGTCTATTTACGCTCCTTATTAGTCCTGCTCCAGCCAATTTCCCTTTTCATTCTTCTGATTTCACTAATACCAAATCTCAAATTGCGCATACCAAAAAAAGGCTATTGCTAATTAACACAACACCTATATATTATACATCGATAAAGAACTGGAGGCTTCCAAGAAGCTCGAATCAATCCAACATGTGCAGCAATATCTCTATCCTCTGCCCCATCTGCAAAAAGGTTGCAGCTCCACCTCGAGTCATGGAGTGCGCTGAAAAATCCGGCTCTTTCGTGAACGCCATACCATGCGAGACTAGCGACACTAAAATCTTCGCCATGAATCCTTGTGTTCGATGCAGTAACCCTGAAAGACCATCGAGCCCTACCCGCATTCTCACCGGAGACATCCTAAGAGACCGGTGCTGGAGGATTCCGGAATGGCACCCTACAGCACCAAAGGATCTCAATCCTTCAGGGGTCCTTCCAAATTGGAACTCCGAAACCCTGGCTCTCAAGCAAACCAAAGAATTCTTCTTCGAGCATATCCCACGAAGCCACAGTTTGGTACTAATGAATCGACAAGGTTTACCAAGCCAACGAAACGGACTCCCATTGTGTTTGGTGGCTGGGGTGAAGCAAAGGCCTGCACGTGCTTACCGGAGACCTGCCCCTGTTCACCAACGACCTCCGAGATTTACACCTGCGACAACATCACAACGACAGCGAGCAACAATTGCTTGGCCACCATCGGCGTGGAACAATCGTCGTCGAAACAACCAATTGGGACCTGCACCATCAACGCGAGCTTCATCACTTCAGGCAAATTTTGCACCGGAAGGAACACCAACTTGTTTAATCCCAGAGGGCATCCGTCGACAAAGCAGAATTCAACATGAAGCTTCCCTCGCATTGCCATCCTTGCCAGAGTCACTAAGAATACAAATACCAGCGGAGGCATGCGCTCCCGCCCAACCTCAAAACACAAAGCCCATCCCCTCATCCGCCACATCAATTCATTCAGGTTATCTCCTTCCGGGGCCCTCACCACAGGTTGAGACATTCAGCTCTGTTCTACTCGCTCAGATCCCCGCGCATCACGATGTGCGACCAATTCTCACCCCGCCACCTCTCCGCATTCCTACAAGACAACAGCGAGTCCAGGAACGCGAACGACGAAAAACTCTGGACCAAATCCAAGAGCGAATCCGACTGCGCCAAGAACGCGAGCGTCAAATCCTAGAAAGCGAACAAATTCGTGAATTCCAACAACGTGAGGATCAAAGATCCCACTCAGAAGCCACACCCTCAACGATTGTCAATGATGTGCAATTCCAGAGCGTGGGACCTGTCAAGTCTAAGCGAAGTTTCAGGTTATTTCCAAAGCTTCGATAATTCAGTCTTTTTCGGAGTCGATATTTGAGTGGCGAATGAGTGACGAGATGAGTGTTTAGACAAGTGCTTAGATGAATGTGGACGGTGTTCCTAACGAGCTGGTCTCATTTCTATTTCCACTCCCATTTCCATTTCCCTTCCCTCCTTTCCTCTTTTCATTTTCCATTTGTCTAGGCGCTTATAGATTTTGGTATCACAACACGAGAAACATGAAAAGGATAGATGGTAGGCATGGGCCCTGGAGATAAAAATTTGTAATATTTCTTAGAAAAGTAATTTAAATCTGATGAAACTATAATATCATGTCTATGTTAAAAAAATATGCCCATCCGTGATGAACGCCTTTCTCCTATGATACTCTTATCTCATATTCGCTATTTGGTTCACTTGATATCTCATACTTTGGCCGCATCAATTTGTAAAGGTACAGCATTTGCAGTACGCAACCATTCTCCATTGAAGGCATTAATGAGCCAGTTATTAAGTTCTGAGAACAATTAGTGCCTACATAGATAAAGATATTCGGATAATGACTTACTATCGTAAACAATTCTGTTCGCGTTGTGAAAATAGATAGAATGATCGCTGTCAGGGAAAACATGTACATCATAATTTTCAACCCCGGCAAGATCGAGGTTGTCCAATAAAGTGAGGGTATTCTGCATATGCACATTATCATCCGCGACACCGTGCATGACCAAGAAACGGACATTCTTGGCGAGTGCCTTCACATTGCTGATGCTGGTATTGTCATATCCGCCAGGATTGTTTTGAGGTGTATGCATGTATCTTTCAGTATAAATAGAATCGTAGAATCGCCAATCAGTGACTGGCGCAACAGCCATACCATAAGAAAACGTCTCTCCAGCATCTTCTTCCAGGGTCTTCAATGTCATGAAACCACCGTATGACCATCCCCAGATAGCCATTCTCGATGCATCGACGTACTTTTTGCTAGCCCAAATTTTAGCAGTCTCAATCTGATCACGTGCTTCGTAGTGCCCAATGTTCCCGCGAATAATGGTTCGGGCTTTTCTTCCGATGAATCCTGTGCCACGGCCATCAACAGTTACGACAATGTATCCAAGGTTTGAGGCAATGTAAGATTCGAAGTCAACACTGAAGCTCTTGCTGACAGTCTGAGATCCTGGACCACCATAAAGGTAGAACAAAACCGGGTACTTCTTCTTTGGATTGAAATGAGGTGGTCGACGCTCCACAACTTGCAACTCAAATCCGTCAATCGTAACAGTTTGGTAAATGAGAATAGGCAAGTCATGTTTCTTTGCCATATCAGCTAATCCTTTGTTCTCCTCAATAGTATGTGTATATTGGTTACCATTACTGGGAGTGCTGATAACCTTTTGCCACGGGATGCCTGGACCATTGTAATTAAGGAGTACGTATCCAGCTCCCTTAGAAAATGAGGCTCCATAATAACCTTCTGTCGAAGTGTCTGTGATCGCTTTCATATCTGTACCATCTAATTTGACGCTGTATACTTGTCTTGTAATTGGTGACTCCTTAGTAGAAACAAAGTAGACAAGATTGTTCTTGAGATCAACGGCAGAAGGCGCTTGTACCACTTCCCAGTTTCCGGAGGTGAGAAGTATAGGCTCGGGATTGTCCATTGGCGTGAAATATCCTAAATGGTCATAGTTTTCGTGGATGATGGTGTCAATGTATCCATCCTGGGGACGTCCGTTTGCAGGATCTGCAGGAATATAGCGAGTGTCCTCGGAAACTTCGAACCATCCACCATCAAGCTTGTTGATATCAGTGTATCGTACTGTCTTCCCCTCTCGAGCCACAACATCAACGAGAACAACTCGCAAAATATCACTTTCTCTGTTTGTTTCACGAATCAAAGCTTTACCTGTTGAACCAGCCCAAACTACCTCTGTAATCAACAAGTTCTTTGGCTCAAAGCCACCTGCGATTGTGACTTCGAATACTTCTGCCTTGGAAATGTCATAAAACAAAAGATCAACAGTAGGATTTGGAGCACCGGCTTTGGGGTATTTGATCTCTCTGACTTCTGGATAATTCTCTTCTCCTGGTAAAGGTTCCTTTCCGCTAGGTCTTGAAACGAAGTATTGAATTGGATACTCAGGTACTTCGGATTCATTGGTACGAAGGAATGCAATATATTTGCCACTGTCATCCCACCATGTCGCACTGGCTCCGGCAAAAACCTCTTCTTCATATACCCAATCAGGTACACCATAAAAGAATTCCGGGCCACCATCGGTGGTTATTTGGATAACAGTTGGTGACGATAGTTTTCGAAGATACATGTTGTTATCTCGAGTGAAAACGATTGCATCACTCTTTGGACTCCAGCTTGCCAATTGAACTCGCCCATCTAGATCCACCGGATCTAATGGTTCCGCGGTTTGGGATTCGACATCGAAGATCCAATATTTCGCATAGAAGGAATGTCTCCAATTTGACTGGACGTCTGTCGCCACCAGGACTTTTTTCAAATCTTTACTCGGGTATACTTTGCTTGGGTACAAACTTCTACCAGCAACTTTGAAAGATCCATCCTTCATCAAAGTCATCCTGTCTAAGGTTCCTACAGTCTCCGGATTCTGGGTTCTGACGTCTTCCACAATCAAATAATCCTTTCCAACCGAACCTTGCTCGAGTAGCAATCCATCCTCCCCGTTGGCTCCTCCAATCCAACTTATGCTATGTTTAGTCGCTCTCCATTGACCGCCCATAACCTGATCCATTGTGACCTTCTTCCCATTACCTCTCGAGGATGTTGCTTGTGGATCGTGAGGAATTTCCGATGAATGTTTGTACGCCTGTTTCCCTAAGAATACAAATAGGGCCAGCACCCAGGCTCCAATGAACACTCCCCCAACAATCCATATCAGCTTTCTCAATTTCTTATCCACCGACTTATTCGTAGCCCCATTTGTAAGAAACGCGCTGTCCTCTAAATCGTAGTTTTTCTCTTCATCTTCATCTAAATGTATCTGCGTATGTTCATCGTCCGCATAAGCCACCTCCCCTCGAGGGGGAAACTTAGGTGTCACCATCGTGGATTTCTCTGACCGATTCGCAGCTACACGTTCGCCGATGCGATCGAAAACCAGACTTGTAGTTGAAGCAGTCGAGACCGCAGAATCTGATGAATTCCGTGAAACAGACTCCTGCTCTGTTGGCAGGAGCTGTGCGTTCTCTTCGGTGTGCCCAGCCATATCTAGAGTTTCAGTGGGTCTGGGGGTTCAGAACAAGGCCGATACCATACGCAAAACTGTCTCAGTTCGAGATGTGCATTGCTTTTGAATAATCTACAAAATGCACAGCAGCCAATAGCTGAAAGAGAAGAAGGCTAGAATTGAGAAATATGTTTATTGAGGACAGGATTAGGTAGAGTTCTAGAAATTGTCTTTGTCGATATGTTGACGAGGCTTACTATTCAGCTTTCCCAATTTGGTGGAAGAGCGACAAATCCCGGTACTTGGCCCTGCGTCCTCATCTAATCAACCAAGACCATCATGAGCTAGCTAACTCATCTTCATTACATGGAAGCCTCTTTTAGTTACCGATATGTTTGTTATATTTCTATCAGATTTATGATAAAATTATGGTAGTTTTACAAAGGTTAATTTCTTCCAAATAGGAAGACAAAGAATCACTCCAGTAAGCTTAGAGGTCTACTCTAATAGTCCTATAACCAATCAATATATCATCTCACTACTTTCTACACAAACACAACTTCTAACCTACAGTGAATGCTATTTTTGGTTAGTGACGGGATGTGGGTTGAAATATTGTACGGGAAAAAGAGAGTAAGCTGAACTATATTACAGCTGAATATCTCCTTCCTGTGTCACAAACTTATTGAGCAATGATTAATATATCATTCATTATATTTGGGACCATAACCCGCAAATTGTTCTAATTCTACACCCAGGTATTCCTCCCGTGAATGTCAGGCATGAGATATGCAAAGCATATGACCTCCAATCTATAACCCGTCCCAAAACCATATCTTATGTGCTTCCGTAAATCCTTCTCAGCCTCTAGCCATTACTAAACGGCATTAATCGTCGTTTGTAGATATTCACGCCTTTATATTCCCCGACTTCCCTTATTTACTATGCACAATAAAGTTCCTTAAACTATCCCAATGATCGCTCTGCACATAAATATAATCCATACTACTTCTCAACCCACTCTGCACTGTCTCCGGATACCACCTGAATAACCACATAACACTTCCCCAGCTCAGCGCTGCAAATACTGGCCATGCGTCGTTCGATATTCTATCCGAAAGCTCTTGGTTACGAATAATTCCTGTTGAAGGAAGGACTGCCAGTTGTGCTAGCGACAAGCATACTCGTGCGAATACTGTGCATGGCCTTGGATTAGTATATCTCTGGTTGTAGACTAGTGGAGGCTTAAAAGTAAGGGGAAACATACCAAATATCACAATCTGTTTACTAACACTACTAACATGACCTTTCTTCGACCTCCTCCCGAATACCACATATCCGCCTAACAGCCCTGCCAGAAAGGTATCCCACCTTCCTTCCTTTCCCTCCTTTCCTCCTGCGTATTTCAAAGCCAGCATCGTAGACTTATATATTGTAGCATATTTCGCGAGATTCTGCGCATGTGTTCGAGTTGCGCGGAGTATCAGCCCTATCTTTTCACGGACAGTACCAGATCTAAATAAAAACATCATACTAGAATGTCAAATCAGTAATGCACCTCAAGTGGCAGAGGCGAAGCAGAAAAGGGGAACCTACACCAATGCATGAGGAAACCTGACTTTAGCACCGTAGACAGCGCCGCTGCGAGCAGCTTTGAGGACGGCGAGAAAATCCGCATTTTTCGGATCTAGAATAAATTGCTCAAGTGCTGTCTATACTTGCATCAGCATACCGCGACAATCAGGACAAAAACGGTGGATGTATACCTTTATGATAGCAATCCTTCCCTCCTCCATCTTGTCGGTCTGAAATGAACCTCGGCAACTTTTGTAATCTTCTAAATCCAGCAATTTCCTGAAAGGCGAGAAAGAAATAAGATGTTAAACACTATCTTCGTATCCTCATTTGTAGTCAATCAATCTTATATTCAAGTCGCAGATATTGTATCAAAGAAACAAAGTAAATGAAGCAAAAAAAGTAAACTCAGGAATGAAGCTCGGCATGTTTTATGGATGAACATGAATTGGGACATTCGCTACCCCACAGATTTCAAGACAGGGGATTCCTTAAGCGTCCGCTCAGGTCCGCAGGGTGCTCTTTACATGTGAGATTCAGGCACAAATAGTTCTTGCCTTATGGAATAAATTCGGCGCTAGCGCTTTATCTATTATCGGGATCGCAAAAAAAAAGTTCGAGCTTGGAGAAGTAAAGAAGGCATTTGTTGATATCTTCATATCCTTCAAACAACCGCATAATACCACATAACATCGATTCATCATGTTACGTCAAATGTGAGCGCTTTCATTTCTCCTCAAAATTGCAATTGAACCTTCCATATTAACATAATCTTCCAGCAAACCCCGTAATGCTCGCAGCAAGCGCGCTCTCACAAAAAAAGCACCGAAGCCTGTCGAGAATCCAAAAACCGCCCTCTTTCTCCGTTATACCACCTGTTCGCAACCTACTCAAGACTGTCTCACAGATCTCCATACCCTCCATCTACCCCTCGCAAAGAAGTTCACCAAGAAGAATAGTATTCATCCTTTCGACGATCCTTCTTCCCTTGAGTTTTTCTCGGAGAAAAACGATGCTTCTCTTTTAGTTTTCGGTTCCTCATCTAAGAAACGACCACATTCGATTACTCTCTGCAGAATGTTTGATTATAAGGTGCTGGATTTGTTAGAGTTGAACCTTGATGCGGATTCATTCAGGACGCTGAACCAATTCAAGAACAAGAAATGCGCTGTCGGATTAAAGCCTATGATTTTGTTCTCCGGTACTCCATTTGAAAACCCCGTTTCGGATGAATACACCCTTGCGAAATCAATGTTTCTCGACTTCTTCAAGGGAGAGCCTGCCGACAAAGTGGATGTTGAGGGTCTTCAATATATTGTATCAATTTCAGCCAGGGATAGTGTAGATGGAGAGGAGGAAAAGCCAAAGATTCATTTACGAGTATACTTGATACGGACTAAGAAGAGTGGCCAGAAATTGCCACGAGTTGAGGTTGAAGAAATGGGCCCACGGATGGATTTCAGAGTTGGCAGAGTCAAGGAAGCGGATGAGAGCATAATGAAGGAGGCAATGAAACGGGCGAGAGGAAGCGCAGAGAGGCCCAAGAAGAACATCAGCACGGATATCGTTGGTGATAAGGTGGGTAGAATACATCTTGGTAAACAAGATTTGAAGGAGTTGCAGACCAGAAAGATGAAGGGATTAAAGAGAAGCAGAGACGTGGCTGATGATGATGAGGGCGAGGATGATGAGGATATTGTTAGCGATGATGAGCCTGTGAAAAGGTCAAAGAAGGCATGAGCCATTAACACTATGTGCAGTAATATCAAGATATCAGGTGTTTGGAGTTTTGGCATGGAAAAGGACTTTTACCAAGATGCTGGGTTGTGCTCAACGGTTAAATGCCAGAATGTATAAAAAGCTAGCAACTGTAACTTCCACCAAATTTCTTTCTTGCTCACTTGTATTTGCATCTTATTTTTGATGACCATTTCTAAGGTCCATATTACATTTCTCTGCCGTCGACGATCAATACCTATAAAGAATCCAACCCCCTCTATTTCTTTCGCCTTCCTTGCACGGAGTCCTAGGTTCTGGTCCGTGAATGTGATACTTTTCACAGAACGTTAGAGGGGGCTCGTAGTCCTTATGGTCTCTTCGTGCACGCATCAAGTGCATTGCTATATCATGAATAAGCTCAGGATAGAGCTTTTCATCCATATTATGCAGTGCCTCGTGCAAATATTCGACTGTGGTACTGGCGAGATACTTGCGCAATTGGGAATCTTTCGCTGTATTTTTACAGGCATGATCTAGTATTTCCAATGGACATTTACCACCTCCTGTGAAACAGTACGCAGTGAGAGCATCCATTACCTTGTTGCAAAGCCGTGGCATCAGGTATTTGTCACCAAGAACATAAGGTTTCACCAATATCCCCGCTGGTTGACCCGCTGGTCCTCGGGTGTCGAAGTTCTTGAATGACAAACAGAGGTATTCATCAACGTAAATCCAGTGTACAAAAGTTCTGATAACTTCGGGTTGCTCTTCTGGCAGGCGTATGATACCCTTCTCCGTGCCTTTCCTGCTTACAAGCAGCTTCAAAGAAAAGACTTGCCGCGCACAGTATATTTTTGTGCATAATGAATTTCGAATCCTTGTTCTCAGCATCGTTCCCAACAAGTAGAGTGACACCCTCACCAAGGGATCTGCATGGATTAGCACATACACTGTGTAGGAGTAGGAATTTAGGACTCACGTGGCTAATAGAGACTTTTTGTGTGGACGCATGTCAACATCACTCAGTTTTCTCTTTCTAGCAGGGAGTTCTTCATGGCCATCAAGAACCTGACATAATGAAGTTGGCATTGTGTATGATTAAACTGAAGGTCTCGATACTTACATTAGAAGCCGAAACCTTTATAGCACCGCTGGAGACCAGGCCATTCTCAGAAAATCTCCTTGGATGTTGCATGTTTAATGATTTCTCTGTCGCTGGGGAGATCAGACGACGCAACGTAGATGAGGACGACGAGCTATTTCTCAGACCAGAAGATATACCCGTTATTGTGACGATGAAACCCCGTTCGAAATAGGAGATATGGTGATGGAACGGAGAAAAGATTATTGAAAGTGAAGATGAGGAACTGCGATCGAAAAGCGGAGCACATCAATTATGGGAAGCGCAGTCTCAAAGACAAAAAGAACGAAAGCCGCTGATGTGACTTCAAATCAAATGGGAATTTTGAAGAATTACTTGACAAAATTCCAATCATTGACATGGTCCACATCAGGATACCAATGATGGACAGTATGTAATGTATACATTGTCAAGAAAATAGGAGTGCGGGGAAATTAGCAAGCGTGCCTTCCAGATTCCCATGTAAATCCTCCTCGAAGACAGAAGGAACGACAGAGTCAATCATGTGATTTTACCCAACTCAAATTACCCCTAATAAGAGTTTATCCTTCTAGACATGGATACAGTTGAAACAAACTATGAAATTTGAAGATATGTTTGTATAATTGTCCATTGATCATAAGCATGAATAACTTTAACAGGCGAAAGCTGCTTATACCAACTCTATCAGCAACTATGAACGGCTTAAGGGTATCTTATTGAGCATGTATACATTGTATATGATCAAGCACCGTTGACTTCAACAGAAGCACTTCTAGTAATCAGAAATTCTAATCCAATTATCTGATCTATACCCTAACACTTTCCAATAATCTCTGCTCTACACCCTCTAATGTGCTCTTGTGGGCCAATACAGATAAATTCTCAGCCTCCCCTTGGAATTGCTTGTCAGGGTCTACACCTGGTCCAAACATTTGTGCGCCTGCTCCTGGGCCCATTTGACCCATTTGTTGAGCCATTTGACTGGCAGCTATGTTTACTTAGCATCGTCTTGCCTTCTCAGGGTTAAAGGAATAACATACCATTATCGCTTCCCAATAGATAATTGAATACAGATTGTAATCCAAAGATACAAAGAACGTACCACGAAATGGAAGACATCCATTGTGGGTCCATATCTCTGGTGGCTACTCCAGCTTGTAACATACTCTTGAACTTGATCGTCAAGGGAAATGGTAGTTTGACTATACGTTCTACATTAGTATATCCAGTCTTGTACTACTTCCAGGGAACTCACTAATAACAAATCCACTGAAAAATGCATTAATCCAGCCCATAATTAAAGTCTGTGGAATCATCATGGACATATTTCCCTTCATCATACCCATCATTCCCTCCATAGCCGCGGGATCTGTCATAGGATTTGGAGCTGCTTGTCCCTTCTTCTCTGGCTCCTTCAAGAACTTTCCTTCTTCAAATGCTTGAACGAGGTAATCTTTACGGGGTTGGAAAGCGGCGGGAGTGAGAACATGGGCGTTGTTGCGGAGGTTGATGCCTCGAAGTAGAGATCGCTGTTCGCGAATGGCTGGAAGCTCTTGCTTCTTGGGAGTGGTGGCCATGAGAACGGCAGCATAGTGACGAAGAATACCAGTCAAAATCTTAATGCTGAATTAGCATTACCAATAGTAAAAGACAAGTAGACGCTTACCATAACAATAGTAATTGGTATCAAGATCCAGTAGCTACTATCCATCAGCTCAATCCATCATGAATAACAGCAGTATGCTCACAATAATTGAGGATCCCTATGGATCGTCTGCACAGGAACCTGTGCCATATTTTCAATTACTCCTTGATCTAACTCGTTGCGAAAGATGATGTGTGAGGGGTTGTCGTGAAATAAATTCTAGGTCTGTAGTTGAATCTGACATCAAATGTGGCTTTCACGCTAAATTCGGATCCTACCGAGAGAGCTTCATCAAGACACGTTCTCTTTGTAAACAATGCGACGACAGACTTTCTCTCCCACATAATTCCGTGAGATAGTAAATAGATTCATCATGGCTTCAGAAAGGATATCAGTGCATTCTCTGCCTGGTAAGTATACATATTTATCTTCAATAATTATCTATGTTGTGCAATATTAACCACCAAATCTAGACCTCAAAAACACCACTGACGATGCTCTTCCCACCTACCTCAACTCTCTCAAATTCACCCAGTCACATATCCTTTCCGATACCCGTTTAGCAATTGGTTATACTTCTGTCTTGGTCTGCGGTGCCTGCTTTTACTGGGACTACACATTCGGCTTCGAGCCCACGAAGTCCTACACAGCAATCGCAGTTGGAATATACTTTGTCCTCAATACCTTCCTTACATTCTGGTTATTCTATGTTGAGAAAGGAATCATATATATTGGCACATCTCCAGATAAAAAACACATCATCGAGATTTCTACACAAACCAAGAAACATCAACCAATTTACAACTTGACATTCAAGATTTTTGAAGCGGCGAAAGGAAGATCTGGACAACCAAAGGAAGAGAGAACTTTGATAAAACCTTTTAGGGAATGGTTCGATGAGAAAGGTCACTTTATTGTGCAGCCATTCCAAGAGATGCTTGCTAGTAATATTTCGGTGATTGGAGCTGTCGATCCAAAGAGAGTGGTTAAGAAGGAGAAGAAGATTGAGCAAGAAGGGCAGGCTGATCAAAGTATGGATGAAAAATGGGCGGCACTATTGAAGGAGAGTAGCGGTGAGGTTGAGACTTCTGGAGCTGAAAAGTCAGTGGGAGGAAAAAAGAGAAATAAGAAAGTTTGAGAGGGAGATCATGTGAATTTGGTGGATGAGAATAGGTTCGGCTTCATATCAGCCATGGAGTTGGACGATATCTTGTCAAAGTCAATACTTGATAGGAAATGGAGCGCCAGCTATAAAAGAAGGATATCTATGAAACCTCCTTCCAAGCGTAGACTTCCACTGTCCTTCGGGTTACGCAAGTTTGCTTCCTCAGTACAATACATTATAAATCCTTCATTCTCAATCTCTTTTCCCTCAATCTCTCCTTTATATGTATCCGCGATCTCTCCGCCATACTTAGCGGCTTCGGCCAAGGATATGGTGCCCCTCCGCGTGATTAAAATCATCCATGTCTCCCAAGAGCTCATCTCTTCCCACTCGTTCCGCTCCTATTGTTCCAGAATAGATTCCCAATACTTCTCCAAATCGCGTTACAATTTGTCTTTACAAAGCAGACCATCGATTATACATCCTCCTTCCTCTTTTGGATTGTGAACTCGATTGTCCTCGCAGTCATATCACCTTCCATTTTCGCAGCCTCTTCCCTCGCAGCCTCTTCCCCCACAGCTTCTTCTTTCTTCTCCAGTTTCATCCTCTCTATTTTTAAAAGATCTTCACATGTCTTCTTCGAAGCATCTTCATCCGCCTTCCTCTTCTCCAAGCTTCACTGTCACCTACCACCTAAACATCTCTTCCATTCCTTATCGACCCTCTTCTTGAGCTATCTTGATATACTGCTTCGCTATATAAGGATGCCAGGATTCAAAACTGTTCATCCCTCTCCCGATTTCCTCCCTGTGAAGAGGATGAAAATGCGACGTTTCTCGTATCGTAGCGGCGGCTAAAGACCTGTTAGTATTAATTGCGGCTCACCATACAGGGCATGAAATATGAGATGTAGGTAATAGGAATTCCAAAATATATACCTCGCTCTCTTGGATGCATACTATCACTTTTGGCGCCGAAGGGGGTTCCCATCTTCGTCTGTGCTCATGCGCCCTTGTCGGAAATTCTTGCTCCAGACATTCTTCGGCCTTTCGAGAGAGCATACTCCTAAGCCTTTATACCGGTATAAAAACCATACTCGTATCCAGTATTTGCGCAACATCTCCTCATTTCCCTCCACGGTTTTGGATCCGGCATCTCCATATTCTCGTATCTACCTTTTTCCGTACTCCTCGTGCAGAAATTCGATTTACGCCACTTCCATCTATACATTCTATCCACATTTTTTAGTTTCTCTTCTCAATTCCCGCTTTGCATGCATTCAAAGAAATCCATTGACCAAACGTCATGTTGACATGCGGCCTTCGGATATGTACAGAGAGTCTAGTGACTAGATCATATCGCTAAATACTCTAGGGGGGAAATTCCACACAATGATTGGACTGAAAGTTCAACGGCTCCTAGACTCTCCCCAGACTATCCCAACTCTATTTCTCAATCATTTAGCTATGTCTATCCTAATCGGCGTTGGTAGCTTCCAATTGAGTCTCATGAACTTGAAAGTAGCGTCTTCATCTTGTCAGTTATCGGAAGAGTAATTTCTGCAGATGTAGAGACCAGATGTTGTATATTGATCTCCGATGCTCTTTACCTTTACAGTATAGTTAGTACTCCATGCTCGCTTGCTTTGTTTAGTATTCATAAATTTTATTTAGCTCTTTTGACAAAAATCCAGAAATCCTCTCCATCGTACTTTTCCGATAATACAATTACAATTACTCATAACGTTAAGAAATCGGAAATTCTAACATAATGGACAATTCATCCCTTCCTTTCTCCTCTCAGTCTATCTCTACCATCCCGCCTCCTATCTCTCAATCTATCTCTACGATGCCGTCTCCTACCTCCCATTCCCAACCCTTCGGCCGAACTTCCTCCCTTTATGGCTATTTCGAGCATCTGGAGTATTCTACTCATGGCACAGTCACTTTTTCGGCTCCTCTACCCTTGAATATGAAGATTATGAGGAAGATTATGATGGCGATGATGAAGATGATGATGAAGAAGAAGCTGACACCACCACCACCAACGAAGCAACCGACAGATCCGTATTCGCACTCGCCATGAACGATTCAACCTCCAGATCAAATCAAAACAACCACCAATTCATCATCTCAATCTGCTCCTCCGCGGCACCTAGCAATTCCTCCTGCGAACTTACCACCAATCCCACCTCCTCGCCTCCCAATAATACCCCCTCATGCCAGTCCCACTGCGACTCCCACTGCCACTCCCAACACCACACGATATCCTTCTCCCTCGACATCCCCAAAACTATCTCCCCTAAAACTATCTCCCCTGAAACTATCACAGCCCACCTCTTTCGCACAATCCGCCTCCTCACCCAGACACAACTCTTCTCCGTGCAGTCCCTCAACTCCCTTGACTTCCTCGGCCCACTCTACTCCCTCGGCCCACTCTACTCCCTCCACTCCCTCAATCTCCTCAATCTTCTCAAGCCCACCAACCTCTTACCCCTCACCCCAAACTCCCTATCCACAGAACAAGAAACCTACGAATTACACACCAGACTCTCCATCTTGACCACCACTACACCGCCTCGCCGTCATTGGAGGGAATACTTGTGGTCGTCTGTTATTTGTCGGGGTGCTCGGGAACTGCTGGAACGGCGGCAACAGCGGGAGCGTGCTGAGCGTGCTGAGGGTAGTTGGGGTGATGAGGGTGGTGATCACACTTTAGATAATAAATCATCGTTTCGTTCTGGGTATAGTCAGTATGGTGATCGCACTTTGGATACTTTGGATAATATACCGGTTCGCCCTGGGGGTGTATGGCGTGGGAATCGTAGCAGTGGGGTAATTCTGGAGGATGTGGAAGAAGAAGAAGAAGAGGAAGAAGAGATAATGGTTGAAGTACTAGAAGAAGAAGAGGAACAGGGAGAAGAGGGACAAGAAGAAGAGGTACCACAATAAGTATCATAAGAAGAAGAACACGAACCAGAAGAACACGAACAAGAAGACCAAGAATTAATACTCGAAGCACCAGAAGAAGTACCAGAAGACAAAGAAATCTACGATTCAGACGACGAACTACGTATAGTACGAAGACGAACAGAAATTGTGGGGTCGCGAGAATAGATATCTTGAGACGACTTGGGAGGATGAAAATGAAGAGTGAAGAATGAAGAATGAAGAATCATAGTGTCGATATATATATATAAAGATGGGGGATTGCTATAGAAGGACGATATAGAGAGATATATATATATATATAATAGGACATGAAATATGAGATATGAAATTAAATGATTAAAAGATTTTGAGTATTATTTTCTAGAATATTTATATCGAAATTATTCGAGGATTGTGAATAATTTAGATATAGTACTCTTTCTTAATCAATCTACTCTTTCCATTCTTCCATTCTTCCATTCTCTCATATAACCTAATCTTCATCAATCATAACCATAAACATTGAAATCATAAACTGGTGAACTATACAACTAACTTGCTTTTCAAATCTTCAAATCTTCAAATCTTTAAGTCTTTAATCATCAACATCATCAACATCAAAGTCCATCATGATCACATCATCACCAAGATCCAATGCAAACAAATAAACAAGCAAACAAACAAATAAACATAACATAATTTATCATTATTGTATAAAGAAGTGGATATCATCATCCACATTCCCAACCACATCTCATGCTATGCACCAACTATAAGTTTTGCTTTGCTTTAATTTGCATTGCACCGCATTGCTCCTTCTAGCACGAGATTTATTTCTAATCAAGAAATGCATATCCCAATTAGATGATTTCCACATTTTCTTCCTCTCCTCTCCTGTCTTCTCTTTTCTTTTCTTCTCTTCTCTTCACCCGTAAGATTATTTATCAACCATTAATATCCCATTTTATCCAGCACCTGTAACACCTACCCCTCCATTCTGCGGTGGTCTCCCAGGTCCCCACCCACTATTTCTATATTCCCTCCTATCCCTATCACCACCTGCGCCTCTTTCCCCATGCCCATGTCCATGTGCATTATCCGGAGTTCGATTCTGTTGTTCTCTATACACAGCCGCTGGATGTTGTATTTCTGCAGCCTCAACCCCTTGCCATTGTTGGTTTGGTGGCGTATTCTGATTATATCCCGCTTGAACTATTGGAGGGTCTTGTACATGTCTGACGCTACTTTCTTTTTGCCAAGCAGGATGTGCAGGATCAACATCAACCCTGGTGACAACTGGTGCTAGAGGTCGACCACTACCATCTCTGTGGCCTGAACCTTCGGTAGTTTCAACTTGATGACGGACGCCACCACTAGCGCTGATGTCACCATAACGTTTAAGGATTTCTTTGGTGGTTATGTCGGATGTATTATTAAAGAGGATGGGGTCGTTGAGTATTGATTGGAGATCTTCAGGTACCTTTTATATTGTTAGTTACGTATAAAATGAATGAAAAATGATAAAACTTACTTCACACATTTGTTCGTTACACTCAATAAGTGTGTGAACGACCTCAATTGCAAGGAAGTTATCATCGACAGGTGATTTAGCATTCGTGTATATGATATTCGGTGCGATAACCGTGGCAAGATTGTGAGTATCCATCTTCGATCCAGATTCTTCATCGACCTGATGGAATGATGCAACCCAGTTAAAGAAGGAGCAAAGAATTTCCAAACAATCTCGGTGTACCTTTGGAAGTAAACAACATGTTAGATGCAACACTCGACGCCTCTTATCTTCATCGGCTATCTTTTGCGAAGCGATGAATAGATTGTGAAGTTTGAACGTCAGTAAAGGATCCGGTAGATCGCGAAGGTATTTCTTGAGTAGAGCAGCGACTTGTACAACATTTTGTCGACTCAAATCCACCGCATCACATCCCCCACTATCAATCTCCTTGACTGTTTCATTCAATTTTCTAATGTTGCCATTCTTTCTGAAAACACCTTCAACTGAGAGATCCATCTTTCTCATAGCAGCAATTGCATCGTCGACAAGAGCAGGAATCTTGAGGGCTCCAGGACCAACACCATCTGTCGATTCCGCGCCATCCTTTTCGACAATAACTTCAAGTGGTATTCCAAAGACTCCTTTCTTCTTGACGTTTGTCTTTTTGCCATCATTCTTGAAAGCTTTGCCCATCTTACCCCAGAATGTAGGTTTTCTAGTCTCGATCAAGTTAAGAAGTTCTTCCATGGTAAAGTGACCATCCAGCATGGGTTGCATCGCGATGACAGCAACGTGACGCACGATGAAGTATTCCAAAGCAGATAACTCAGAGAAATATTTCTTCCCAGCAACTCTCTGTTGTTGACGTTGTGTTTGTGCATCCAAGTCGTTCCCGGCAGAGAAAGTTCTTTGATGACCGTTGATGAGTTTAGGTTCGGTAATAGATGTTCGGAAAAGTTCGTGACGAGCATGTTTATATGCGTTCGGTCTTTGTTCCTTTGCCTGTTCAGCAGCAACTATTCTAGGAATATCATCCAGGGTGAGAGCATCTTGATGTCCAAACATTAATTCCGTTCTTGACTCGCCATTCCCATCGCGATCCTCCACTACTTGAAATTCGTTGTTCCTCGAATCTGATCCATCGGCACCTGCAGAACCTGGTCTCTTACCGTCAACACCATCCATTATCCGCGATGTTCTCGCTTTTTTTATGGTTGAAGACAGATGCTTGTCCATCCTAGTACTTCGTAGTCGCCTTACATCATTTAGAGTATTCTCGTAGGATGATTCACGTGGGTTCTCATCAACTGGACCTCCGAATGATTTGGAACGTGCTTCAGACCTCAACATAGGAGGGTCGTCATCGGAAGGTACCTTGTGACCTTCACTCGAATTGTAACCATTCAGGTTTGGATCATCCGAAGTATGTGGAAGAGTACCCTTGGTACGTAGAATTTCGAGGAGTCGAGCTAAAGCAACTCTCAAGAGGAAGACATACTGTTGTAACCTCGTCACTCGCACGAATCCTGATACCACATTCAGAGCGGGACTTTGACAATCATTACAGTAAACCCGTTGTTCAACATCATTAAACCTGATGTCTTCGAGATTCTGAGAAAGGTCTCGCTCACAGTTGGAGCATTGCAGGCATGTCAGATGACACCTCCTTTCTTCGAATCGAGCACATTCATCCTCAATTGGTTTATGACATTTGATACACGAATCTGAATTCGGCGCAGAAAGGCCAGGAGTTCCTGTAGTAGCTTCTAAGGATCTTTCATCATTCTTGATTGCATCCATGTCACCTAGGTCATCAAGAAATTGGTGAAGGCCTTCTGGATCCTTTTGATCTCGTTCAACCTTTAATGCGCCTTGAAGACAAATGCGAATTAATAGTTTCAGATAATGAGCCAAACCAGTTACCAATGCAAGAAGTTCTTGTGTAACGCCAAGTTTCCGGACGCCTGTCTCCTGAGTCTTGGACAGAAGTGAGAAAAATGCCACAATTTTCTTGCATAATAACTTTGCTTCGCGCGAATATGAGAGTCCTGACAAGGTTAGTAAATACAACGAGGATATACATGGGAATACTCACCCTTTGAACCGTCCCTCATCATTATGCTATCCAACTTATCTGCAGAACAGAAAAGTATATCAACATGCCATATGAACTTCTTTGCCACCATTACACCATCCATATATGCACCATTGCTCACATGTAGAAGCATGTCAGATATACAAGCTGCAGAGGATTCTTCGAATGTCGATAGCACACTCCAGATCTTGTAGACCTTTTCTTCCATTCTCTCTTCCTCCAGTCGCACGGTGTTTCGATCTTCCTCATCTGTCGTAGCATCCGATTCCTGAGGAGTTTCTTGTACATCCTGTGGGGATGCCAACCTGACATTCCAGAATTTGTGAATCATATAACATTCGGGATGCCAATGTTGATTTTGGCCATTTCGAAATATCTCGACGAACTGTTTCAAGATTGCCGTTTGACATCCATTACATCGCTGCGCGAACCGTGTCGAATAATGGTAATGACAGTAGACCTGCCCATCATGCTCGTAATAACTATCTTGTGCGCCAAACACTGTTGGACATACCGAACAAGTAAAATGGTCTATATGGTATTTGCGCTCCAGTGCTGTGATGTATGATCCTCGAAGTGCCCCGTTACATTGGTGACATATCAAATCCAAACGTCTGAAATAATCAGTCTCGCACAGTGGGTATTGTCCTTCGCCATTTTCTTCATCCACCGGAAAGAACTTTGATGCAACTATTTGACCGCAATCCTACAAACTCGAAGTCAGAAGTTGAATCCTATAAATTGAAAGGGTGAACATGGAAATAACCTACTCGACACCTAAAACAATCCAAATGGAATGTACCTCCCAGCGCACGTACGAATTGGCCCGTCAAAGGTTCACCGCACTTCTTGCACAGTCTCAAAGATCCGCTACCAGCCCTCCCAGTTCGCGTTCGTGATCGTGTGCGCTCGTTACTTGGTCTGCGACTCCCCTCTCTCATAGGTCCTTCTCTACCGCTCACACTGTTCGCTGGAGATGCGTTCATCCTCCTATCTGGACCATTTGGCCTCGGTAGATGTTGATCTTGCATTGTTATATCCCTCTCAGCTGTAAGTCTTCCCCCATCGTCGGAATGTGAGGGATCGTAATTTTCGCCTTCCGCATAAGGGCCTGCCTCTGATTGAGGACCCATTGTTTAATGATCAACGTTATTATCCACAACTATCTCCAGACCTTGCTCGACCCCCTATTTTGTTGTATCTTTGAAGGAATGCTTGAATCGAGCACTTCGAGCCGCGGTAGCCAGAGTGAATAATGAAATGGAATACTTGATGGTAGATGACTCGTTTTGTTCCTTGCAGATTGATTCAATCTTGCATCGATCGTATCTTCTCTCGAAGAATTGCTTGGTATTCTGACGTTGTCGAGTCGCAAGGGTTCCACTCAATTGGCCCTCCGCATGTGTTGGCGACTCAAAGTTCAAGGAACATTCAGGGCTGCCGAATATGAAACAATAACCATCGATTTGAGAAGAAGCCAAAAAATGATATTCTCGCGACCTTTTTCGCTTTCCCCTTTTTGTTCCAGGTATATTCCAAATTGTGATATTTATCTGAATACGAGAAAGTTTAGATCTCCAAATATGTTTGTTGATGTGAGTCCTGCTCGTGGGTTTTAATAAGGACCGAGTTATTTGTTTTCGCGAGGAGAAGGGTATCGAAGGACAAGTCGTGAGTAGGTAGTAGGTACCAACTACTTCTTAGTATGTGATTGAAAAAGTCGGCGGTGTGGACGAGAGAAATCCAAATGAAATAAAAATCAATGAGTTCGTAATAGAATATGGTATGGAGGTAAATCGAGCGATTGTATCGGTGAAGCTTTTCTGGAGAAGGGGAGGGGTTTGTGGTTGTGAAGGCTGTTGGTGTTCTAAGGTAAGTTACGTGGTAGAAGGTAGATATTGTGGTACAACTTGATGAAGAGGTACGACAATAGAGGTAAAATTTGTATATGTAAATAAGTATACTTATTCTAGCCGTGGGAAGAAACGATTTTACATTAATGAACGGGTAGTATTTTTCCTTTTTTGTGAGGGCAAAAGAGACGGTGGAAGATATATTAATTGGATTGAATTTGGTTTGTTGTTTATTTTTGGGAAAGACGATGGGTTGGTTTGGTTTGAGGGGGAGAGTTGAGAGGATATGATGAATTGGTGACGGGAGTTGTGAATCAAAAGCCAATTTCACATTGAATGAGCGGACAATTGAAGCTCCTCTCCAGAGGTTTCAAGCTTGAAATGTTTTGGACGTCTCGATGGGGGGAGATGGGATTTGATGCATGTAAATATTATTGCCTGGTATCTAAGGCAACAAGGTAAACCCACACTACCACCTACCCTACTGCACGCCTCGACTTCCCTCCTCCACATAAAATATGTAGCATCTCCCAATGCCTAGGTATCTACCAACGTCTAGGTACTTGGAAGTGGCTATTGGGAGTAGCTACTTGGGAGTCTTGGACCAATCTTGAACCACGTCTTCCAATCTCCCCCGCTCAAGTTATTTTTGGCCACCTAGTACTTAGCTGGTACTTGAATCATGAATATCCGGCAGATTATGTGGTGTCAACTCTCAAACTAGAATTTCACACAGGCTCAGCACAAGCAATCGGAAAGACAATAGACAATAATAACAAAATTAAACTTTGATTACTTACCTAGGGACACTTAGGGACACCAGTAGTAAGGATAGAAATAGTAGAGATAGCCTCATTAAAAGAGATTTATGAGAACCTCCATTTTAAAATTCATTAGTTGGTACTAGGAACTAGAAGGGTAGGTAGCTGGATTTTTAAGATTCGTTTTCCGAGAGATGTTCGATGCAATTAGCATTTAATAGCGACCTACCTCGGGAGACTCTTCCCCCAGATTAGTACAGACTAGGCATTATCAATAAAGACATTCCAAAGTCTCATATCATTTTATTTTTACATTCCTCAAATCCTTCTGGAACCGAGGGGCTCTGTAGGAGTCCAAGAAGAAGAAGGAAAAGAGAGGAAGAGAGGAAGAGAGGAAGAGAGAAGAGAGAAGAGAGGAAGAGAGGAAGAGAGGAAGAGAGGAAGAGAGGAAGAGAGGAGAGAGTGTTATAATGGATGATAGATGTACCTACCTAGGTAGGGTAGATGGTTATTCGAACTCCAAGACATTATTCATACAACTTATCAGGTAGAGCTAGGTACAAGAAGATCCCTCGATTAGTCGTCAGTCTGATGTGTAGATTAGCTTAGCTTTGATATGTACGTGTATGGAGTATGAAAGTTAGAATCTGTACACAAGTACATATGTACCTAGTACCTACTTACCTACCTAGTACCTTATGATTATGCCATTGCGGGGAGCATGAAGTTCCGGTACGGTACCTGCATCAAATGCAATAATTATTCTTCCCATGATGCCATCACTTCAATACCTACGTATAAAAATGATAAAAATATGATGCCCGGAAAAACATCTAATTCCGTCTTATCCAAATGCATCCTGTAAGCTACTACCTACCTCCTAGCTTCAAAAGAAATAAGCTTAACTTCCAGTCCGCCTTATAATTTATTATTATTAATCTATGCAACTCACAATATCATTTCCCGTACCAATAACGCCTACAGCATTCTCTATTATATTTGAAGCACATCGGTTGTTCGGCCCATGTGTTTGATTTGAGCATCTATCACCGTGTCACAGAACCAATTGAATTTCCGAGAATTTGAGTAAAATGGTGTCGGTGGATTCACATACCAGGGATTACCGTACCATCACTTTGTTCTGCATTTAAGACATCTGTGTGCTCAAGGCGCTAACCACTTATTTTCTAGAACATTTCTTCAATGCAAGATACAATAATGCTTCCATTTGAAACATTGTTGACTTCTCAATATATATACGCTTCCACAGTCATCAATCCTGAAGTAGAATAATATCAAGAGATGTAATACTGCGCTTCCTCAACAAAATCCCTAGAGGAAGTACACGATTACATGTGGCGCCATCACATCGGTCGCTTCAAGACACAGATTCATTAATCGTGAAAGGTATCATAAGTTCGTAATGGCGTTTGCTGGATCTAACCCAAGTGTTTTCCAACCGCATGACGACTTTCGTCCAACTCCTGGAGAGGTATATTTTCTTGACTACGGGAACCTTTTGAGGTCATGATCTTGAGACCGCGATCGTAAACACCATTGTTCACGGGATTTAACCCGAATAGTCGTCATTATATGATTTAGCCTTTCCCCTCCTTGACCTGGTGTCAGATTCTGGGGGGGCTGGAACTTTGCGATGGTCCTTTTCTTTTCTGCTTCCATCATCTTTGTTTTTTTTCGTGCGTTTTTCAATTGGGGGATCTGAATACTCGAAGGATTTTGCTGAGGCTATGATACTGTCGAAGAGAGCAACTGGCATCCAAGGTTAGCGAATGAGGGAGGATTAGACGCTGAAATTGATCCTTACAGCCAGGAACGAACAACCATATCGAGTTCATCAATACAAAATACACCCAAAAGTATAACGGTTCCGGTCGATAATACCGCTTGCCAGTGACGTACTCATCAAGTAAACTGGTGACGAGGTACAACAGGTTTCCATAAAGTTCACCTGTTGAAACAAGTGCTTGTACCGCGTGTCGGAATTGTGAATTTGTGGTGATGAATATAGCTGTCAGGTAAGAAAGCGGCCCCCAAAGTATCTATCAATATTATTAGCATACTATACATGCAGAAATAAAGAAAAGGATGTACGCACGACAGTCCACGTCTCTATGGTCAGCAGAAATGAATTGGAGGACATATATCTCGAATCGGACAAAGCATATTCCTTCCAGAGCTGACCAAAAAAATCCGTCATGCTTGCCATTCGAGCATGGTTGTAGACAAAGTATCCTTCGAAAAATATGTGAATTGACCCCGCTATTCAATTGTCAGACTTCATTGCTGGGCTGGAAAAGAACCGCATGTAGAGCTTACTCAAAATGAACCAAAGGACAAGTCCTTGATCCTTTATACTGAGCCTAGGATAGAACCTTCTCACTGCAAAGAGTGTTGCGCCGAGTAACAGAGCCCATGTTGACGCAAAAGTAATAATGAGTGTAGATGGACTGAGACTGTTCTCCACATACTTTCCAGAGAGGTGAATATCGACGGGATGATATGGATGATATGAAGTCATCCGAGAAAAATAGCTTGACATCTTGACTTTAATCAACAGGTAAGCTCATAAGTCCTTGAAGCCCATGATAAAGACACGAGAAACGGATTTTGGATTGTTGACATCTCGGATATGGGCCCCTGCATTTTCCCAAGAAAACCCTGAGTGGGGGGAGCCTTTGGTTGGGTGCTCGCGCAAAGAACATAATCCCATACGCAAAGATCCTGGTGTAACATGGCATGACTTTACAAAAAATTGATCAAGTTGCACAAATATGTAGGTATTCCCATGTTACGAATCTCCGGCGCAAAGACCTGCATCTACATTTACATATATGTGATATTTGGGATAAATCACGTGACTGTCGGCTTTTACGGCCGCAGGCAATTTGGAATAAGGTCAGTCTAGGATACCACCACCCAGTAAGACCTTACACTTTCAATCTTGGGGAGAGTAAACTTGGAAATTATTCCTAGTGGGCGTTGGAAACAACTTACTAATATTCTCTCGAGGATTCAAATTTTCAAACAAAAGCGAATCCATATCCTCTCCCTGGTATCTAGGTATCTAAGGCAAAGACTTTACGAGGCACTACTGTACGGAGAAGGCCTCTCCTCAAGAATCCCAACCTTTCCCTTCGCGCGTTATTAACCTTGAACCTTTAACCTTTATCGTGCTTATCAGAAAAGGGGGGAAGGGTGTTTTATCTCAAGTCCATAAATATTCTTTCTCTGATGATACGCTCGCTGGTTTCGTCTCAAGAATTCACGTACCATACTTCATTTATATTGCTAGACCTGGGAATAGCCTTGTATTCGTTTACCAATCCATGAATGGCTTTGAAGCTTAAAAACCTGGTCAACTCACAGCATCAATCAATCATCGGACAGCAGCTTGTCATAGGCTGGCTTACTGCATAGTCCAGCTCGAGAGATTCTCCATACGGTAGGTACGATAACCAACTACAACCTCCATTTCATCGGTAACGCTTTCACTAAGCTAGGTATACACTGACACTACTCAAGGGTAAACCATCGTCATCCTTTCAATTCTTGTACGCGCGCACTCATTCTGTCTACTCCTCTTTCGTCCACATAGTAAGACCTACTACTTACTAACTCCATACATACTCGGTACAATTTCACACACATCATACCATACCGACGTAGGTATCATATTACAACACCCATTACCCATCCCGGCATCCCTCCCTCATCCTCACCACTCTTATTATTACCTTTTACACATCTGAGTGAGCGGACAATCGGCATCTCTGAGCTGGGACTGGACCGCGACAAATCCAACATCATGACATGATTGGAACTTCCCGGCCAGAAATACCAAAATGATTTGCACAACACGACCTTTTTACGACTTCAACTACCTTATTAATTCGCTAGGTACATTTCGAGTCGAAATCCCCCATATATATTTGATGCCGCTTTTAAAATTTCCACCTCTTCAAAACTCGCTCTGGCTCCGTCATTCATTTTATTATTTTTTAATTTTCCGATCCATCTTCTTCTTTTTCCCTACCAAGTTACCCAACTCTCCTCACAAGTTACCACCTACATCTAACCACCTCTCACACACGACCCCATCTACCCGTCCACATCAATTTTGATTCACCAGCACAACCTCTCACCAAAGCGAAAAACAATCTCCATTGTTACCTATTGTTACCCATTGATTCCTTCTCGCGCACAGCCGCCAGTCATATTTATATTTATCATTTATATCAATTTGAACTTGATTTCTTCTTTCATTCGCTCATTCGTTGATTTATCCCAAAAAATCCATCAAATCATTCATTATTTGGAGTTTCGTTCTTAACGATAAGTATAATTTTTCAATTGACTTTCATTTCATTTTCATCATCGATTGGATTTATTATTTTTATTATTTCCCCCCTTGTCCCCCTTCACTCGTTTCAACATTCAGCCTTGATCACACATAACCACCTTATTACTATTCTCACTCTGCTCTATTTACTCTTTCTTATCAGCTCTCCGAATGTCAACAAACATCGGGACAGGAGAAGAAGATGAAAAAGAAAAAAAGAAGGCAGTAAACCCAAAAAATGTTTACTACATTCACTACGACACATTGGTAATATTTCAAAAAGCTTTTACTTGCTTTACTCAGTAACTCATCTCACTTATTTGTCGATTTTCTTTCGCGCGCTCTTTCTCTCTCTCTCTCTCTCTCTCTCTCTCTCTGCTGTCTCTACCTCTCATTATCTCGATTTCCTTCCTACTTCCTGACACTTCCCTCAGTTTCGACTAAATCAAAAGCAGCGTTGGAATTATTTCTGTGTGCAGCAACTTTGCGCTTCTATCTAACAACTTAGCGTCTTGACCACCAACTTGAAAGCGGCAACCCTACTAACTCTGAAAGGTTCCTTCCCTCTTTCGTTCTCTCGAAAAGAACCACTCACTCAACTAAATCCCCCCCTCTCACTCACTATCTTTTTCGCACTTACACACTTACACATCTTCTTCTTGAATTCATGTATTCACGACATTACAAATAGGATATTCTTCCAACGAAATCTACCATACATCTCCTTACTCTACTCGAACACAATACAATCAGGCGTAAACATTCCAAAGCGCAAACTCGGTTGAATCGTCTTTGTCCTTTCGAGATCATCTTCTAAAAAGCCCTGTCTCTTCGTACCCTTCGCCTCCACTCTGGACTTGAAAAACCCTTTCACTTAGGAACACGGTTTTAATTGCAGAACATCAACTTGAATACACGAAAGTCGCAGATATCATATCCTAATAAGATATCCTTTTCAAGTGGCCTTGCAATCGTCGATCCACCCGTCCTTCTCGTTTTGCGATTCCTATTGATCGACTTCTCCCATCATTGGCTTACGTGGAAGGTGGCCAGGACAACTCTCATGTTTATATCAATAGCTGATGAAAGATATCATCGGAATTGAGTGTCATTCTCGCTCTGCAATAACGAATTGCTTCGAGTCGTGGCCGTCTTCGTCATGCGACTCAGGTCTTGGTATCAGTGAACTCACCTCTGTCGTCTCATTCAAACAGCCACCCGAAGGCTCCTTCTAGATTATGACAGAAAGGTCTCTATCAATCTCGACGCAAAGTGCGACCTCAATTAAACCTATCTTCACCACCACTACTTCTACAGCGATACCTATCAACGATGTGCAATTCGTTACCGAGCCGGTGGACGACGAGCCATACACCATCAGATGCATTTGCAACATTTGTGAGGACGATGGAAACACAATATACTGTGATAAATGTGAGACGTGGCAGCACATTGAATGCTATTATGCTGGTAGTGTAGAAGATGCCTCTAGGGAAGACTTCGATCATCTTTGCGTCGACTGCTTCCCACGAGATCTCGGTCGGCATGCGATTGAAAAGCAACAGTATCGTCACAACAAAGTCAATTATGATAACAATGACAAAAAAAACAAAAGACCGGCAACAAAAAGTCATAAAAAGAAAACGAAGCCTTCTGAAATTCAAACGAATGGATTCAATGACCAAGAGACACACAAGAATGTCGGCTCTCTTGATAATCACACACACAAAAGGGCAAAAGGTCATCGGTCGCATCACTCCGTCAGCTCCCAAGCTACCAAACGCAGCCCTCCTTATGCAGCGAGGAGTAACAACCACCCTCCAAGTCCCATTCATATATCGTCGAATCTGCCAAACGATTTTCATATTCATGGCTACTCCAAGGTTTTTCAAACGCTCTACGACGATCAGTTGCAAGAAACCAATGACAATACGTTGGCTAATTTATCTGTCACGAACAAATTAGCGATGTGGAAAATGGATGCCAAACAGTTTGAAGAAGATGTTGGCAAGAAATTCGATGATGTTGTCCAAAAAACCAAGGTGCGACTTGATCCACAACAATTTCCCAAGTTGCACGTTGATGTTAAGACTGCTCTCATCAATAATAATGCCAAGGCCCAATGGAAATCTCTGTACACGACAACGAAAACTCCTGGCAATCAACCAATTGGAGAGATAAACGGCCAGATCGGTCTACAGTCCGACTACCACAAGAATCCGGACAATGGATGGGAAGAATGCCCCCATCCGCGCCCTCTCACCTTCTTCATTCCCGGATTGCCACTGTATATTGACACAAGAGGTGGGGGATCACAGTGTCGGTATATTCGACGAAGTTGTAGGGCGAATGCAAATTTGGAGACATATATCGTTGCAAATACAAGCGAGTACCACTTCTATCTAACCCTCGACAGCGCCCTCTCCCCGGACGAGCAGATTACTCTACCTTGGGATTTCAAATTCGTAGACAAGCCAAGATTGGATCGTGCCCTTCATCTTGATGGCGACGACGATGACAGACTACCTGATATCTCTGAAACCGAATACCAAAGCATGGCACATTCAATCAATTTGGTATTATCGGATCACGGAGGTTGTGCTTGCAATGCCGGTAAAGATTGCGCGTTCGTGAGGTTCCACCGCGATTACTACGGCAGGGTGCATGGTCAACCTCAACCGCAATCCAACGGTGTAAACGGTGTGAAATCAAAGAAAGGTCGCAAGCCCAAGCAGCACGTCTCTCCCACAAGTACGGGTCACGCCACCAATAGTCGAGCAGCCAGTGAAGGTCATCCAGAGGCAAACGACGACGATGACACCCGCTCTACCTCCGGCTCCGGACGAAGCAAACCTCACAGTCGTGACCTGACACCAATACATGGCTTGGGTGAATTCGATACCCCGTCAGCGGAGCCGTCAGATCGCGAGAAGAGAAAGCTGGTAGCCGTGGAAAACACATTTAGAAAAATGGAACAGGCGCCCCCAAGAAAAAAGAAGAGAGCATCGGATGGTTCAAGCATGAATTCACCAGTCACTACTACGTCGCAGACCAACTCCAAACCTCGACAGAAGTCAGTGGTATCACGAACATCCGTTTCACAATCAGCTCTCACGAATTTTAACGGATCCCGATCTCGCCAATACGTCGATGCCAGCACATCGCGGCGACCGTCGGCATCACCTCCTAGCGCGGCGTCGCCACAAGCCATGGCCTCTCCGAAACCAATACCATCTCGCGATGATTCAGCGACCCCTCGATCACGTCATAATTCGATAGTGCAAAAGATCGTTTTCGTCTATACAGATTCATCAGCACAAACGGATCGTGACGAAGGTGCATGGTACGAACGAAAAACAAAGCCGACACCGAAGAAACCTGTCTTATCTCTTGCGAGGCGCATGCTTCTGAAACGCCATAAAATTAACGAACAGGCCCAAGCTTTAGCGGCGGAGCAAAACAAAAGCATGGCTGCAGGATTGATTAATGGAGATCTTCAGAATATCTCTTCACCTGCGTCGGCAATGGATGTTGACGGACCCGTTCATGAAGATCGGTCAATCACTCAATCACCTACTGACACCAGGGCTCGAAATGGCAGTATTGTTTCATCGACTCCATCGGTGGATGTAATCTCAAATCCAGGCGATTATCATACAGATAGATCAACACTTATCACTGGACAGACAATGAAACCTCCACCTTGGCCTGGACAGTCCACTAATGGCTATTCACATAAATCACCTGAACTGCGGGTACAAATGCCTCCAACACCAACTTTCATAACACCTAATCTTTCTGGGACTCCAGGCGCTCTCACGCCCGCTTCAGCAGCAACCTCATCAGCGATATCGCCCTATGGCACAACTCATTTCTCACCATATCCCACTACATTTGCAAATGGCGTCCATCCAAGTCCTGCCAAGAAAAAAATGTCGCTTAACGATTACAAGGCTCGGAAGAAACAGAACGTTGATGGTTCGGGTGGGCGTAAATTTTCCACTGGAAGCAGTCCAACAATGCCACCAGCAGTTCTCAAGTCAACACTTTCGACCATCGAGGAAGCTAAAGCACGAGAGATTCTTGATAGAACATCTGAGATCACTGAAGGGAGGGAGACAGTGGATCCTTCTTCCGTTGACTTGCTCAAAGTTTCATTTCCCAAAAATAATATGCCCTCTCAACACTCGAATGGTGCATTGTAACATACAGTTTAGACCTCGCTTCATGCGTGTTTTATTGCCTCGTCTGTCTTTCTACTTCGGCGTGGGGTTTCCAGCTGTTGAGCGTTGGGACGGGTGGCCGGTATCATTTGGGTTCAAAATGGGTTTGGGATACGATCTTTACTCCAAGGTCGAGGGCGTGGCGTAAACATAGGGGCGGAGTCCAGAAGTTTCAATCACTTCGTTTTTTTTCTTTTTTTCTCGGTTCTTCTAATGCTGATCATCACGGATCATTCATCAATGTCATTCGATTGGCATACGTCGAACCCCATGGGTGTTTTTTATTGCTGCTTGTTGGAACGGACTTTTGTTTGTTTTCTCTGAAACCTCTTCTTGCATTAGGCCATGGCAAAACGAAATACCTTCCTCACCTAAATTTATTGTACCAGTAGCTTCTTTGCTGATGATGATTGACGGATCACCTTTGGGAGGACGTATTTGATGTTGAAAAAAATCTTAGGAGGTATCCTATTCCCGATACACTAAGCTGGCTGCTTCTGATGGCTAGCTTTGGCTAGTTCGTAGCGCTACAAGATGAATGCTTAAATGGATGAATGGATAGGGCTCGGGAGTAGATGGGTGGAATTCTACTTTATCATTCCTTGAATGAATGCTACGAAGGCTAATTTCTATCGAAATGGCTCCCTGAAAATGGATGGACGGATGGATGGTGGGTGGGTAGGCTTCTCTGGGATAAAGATGAATGGGATGGCATGGCTTTGAATGGATTGATATGCATTGATTGGGATGAATTGATATGATATTGACTTGATACCTTGTTGTTGAATGGGAAAAAACATTTTAAATAATACCTTGCATTTTTGCATAGAATCTTGGGTGTCGCTGTTTGCTTGTTTGTGTCTGCTATGAGTTTACGTGTTGTTTGTAAGTGATGAGGGTTTTCAATGCACTGGGACTGCAATTGGTGATTGATGATATTTGAGGTCTAAATGACTTATGCTAAGATTATATAACATTAAATGAGAGAGTACTAGCTAGCTAAGTACATGTATGATATATGTGAATTTCCAAATCCGTATAATTACATTCATCCATCCATCCATCTATCGATTTATTTACCTATCTATCTATCTATTTATCCATACACGAGTTCCTATCCTTTAAGTAAATTATAAATATGTACCAATCCCCCTTCCTTCCCCAATTATGCACCCCCTCGCGTTCCCCATAAAAACATAACCCCAGAAGAAAAAAATCTACACGCTCAAATTATCACTCTGGAAAATTAACAACGCCAACCGATGTCTCACAAACAAGCCGAACAATCCACAGATAGTCTGCATGGCCAAGATTTCCAAGGCTAAGCGATCTTCTCTCCTGGGACCAAACCATACGAGCCATAGATTCAAGAGGGTGAAATTACTGCTTTCGATTATTCTGCCTTCGTTGTTGAATGTGAGGGAAAGGAGGCGCAGTTTGTGGAGGAGGTGGAGGAGCGCTGCTTGGTGCGGTTTGGGAGGTTGGGGCCAAGGGGTGATGGAGGGTTCGAGGAGATTGGTGTGTGGGTTGTAGCGGGGGAGTCGGTGGCGGGGACAGGGGATTAGGTGGAAGAGTTGCGGGGTGCTGTAGAGGAAATTGAAGGTTTGGGGGATGAGGAGGAGGAGGAGCGTTTTGGAGAAATGACCTAGGATGCCGCAGATGGCGAAGACCATGCCGGCGAAATAGCAGTACGTGTCGCCTACGAAGACGGAGGAGGGGTACCAGTTGTGCGAGAGGAGGGCGAGGGAGACTCCGATGAAGGGGAGGAGCATGTAGAGGGAGAAGAGATGCGAGTCGGTTGCTGGGTGGGGGTAGGGTGTTAGGAGGTAGAGGGTGTCGTTTAGGACGAGGAGGAGCGCGATGACGAGGGATTGGGACACTTCGATGCCGTTTATGCCCGCGAGGATGTTGATACTGTTGGGGCAGAAGATGGCGATCCCAGCCATGTAGATGTAGTAAAGGGGACCGAGTTGGAAAAGCTCGCCCAGATAGGGTTGCAGGGGAATTGGTATGACGATTTGGGTAACGCCGAAATCGACAAAATAGACGATCAAAATAGGGATACTGGCAATGGCGGGAATGAAAAATTTATGGCGCCAGCGGATATCGAAGAGATCATCGCCAATTCCAAGAATTACTACTGATTGGAGGGAAAGAACCGCGGAAAGATAGGATGCTAGCTGTTTAATTTTGTCAGTATATATAATCTTCACCTCTCCAACGCAAGGAAACAATCCCACAGAAAATGCCATTGAACAACCCCAGACATCGCAACCCATCACAAATCACAAATCAAACACAATAAAAAACGCTCACCTTGCTATGCGGAAACCGATGCAAAAACCTCCCATTCTGCACCACATCCCCAACCTCCATCTCCATCTCCCTAACTACATCCCTATTCCCACCCCCACTTGTCGCAGCCACAATATCCTTATAGAACGGAAACGGAATAAAAACAATAACAACCAACAAATACACCACAGCGCACACGGCCCCCATCGTCTCAGGAACCTCCCTCCGATCCCGCTTCGAGAGATCGCGACCCTTAAGACCAGCGCGCAGAAATGTAGGTCCAAGCCAGCGAATCATGCTGTAAGTAGAAGAAAAAGCGATACCGCTGAAGGCGAGGGAGGCGAAGAGCGGTTCCCCATTTTCTCGAGAGAGCGTTTTTAGGAGGAGGGATATGCAGAGGAGGGTTAGGGAGAGGTGGGTGAGGGTTTCGAGGGGGGTGAGGGTGCTGCTGTTGGGACGGAGGGGTGAGTTGCTTTTCATGGTGAGGCGTGGGATGGGTGGTGCATTTCTTATTGATGGGGTTTTGGGTTGGGTGTGGAATTGTAGAGGAAAGAAAGGTCGGGAGGAGGATAGGTGGTTTTGTTTTATTTTGTTTCTGAGGGAGCCTTGCGCGAGGCTGAGAAAGACACGATTTCATATCGCATGATTTGTGGGGGAGTGGGGTTCGTTTTCAGGGCTGAGGAAGTTAGGTACTCGAGTACCGGTAGATGACGAGGCTAAGTGGGGTTTGGCTGCATGCCGCTTGAATGATTTTCTTTCGTGTCTAAAAAAATTGGGTGAGGAGATCTACGCGAGCTATTTAAGGAGTACTGTAGGGATGAGATTTGAACTGTACATGAAATGGTAATTGTTTAAAACTGTTAAAATCATCTTATTCATATCAATTTGCCCAATCCCACCAACACTCAGGCTAAATTTCCTCATATCATATCAACGCCAGAACTCCAGCCTCAATACGGTATCTTTCTGAATAATCCCCAGACAAACTCCATCAATAACTCCAAAAAAGGTACTTAACATCCCGACCCATCTCTCTCTTAACTGAAATCATAAACTTCCATCAAGCTCTATTCATCGCCAATTCTGCACTCTTACTCCAGATACCCGTCGGTTCCCTCCTCCACATCATTAGCTTCCCATCATCACCCGTAGAACCCAACAACTGTCCATCCGCATCAAACTCCACCTTCCAAACAGGCGCTCGATCTACCTCCAACCTCGAGATTTCCTTCACTGCATGAATGATCGCTCCATCCCTACCCTGAGCTTCTTGCTGTCTATTCCGATTTGTTCTTTGACCTGCTAACCCCGCACCAATGCCCGAAGGAACATTTCTGGCCCCATTCTCCATAGCCATGTGCACCGAACTTCGTGCAATAGTTTTCTCTGGCACTTTCTCAAAATCGCTACTCCTTCCTCCCATTCCCTCAGCATCTTTACCAGCAACCACCCGAAACACTCTCACAACACCATCCTTACACGCCGTAGCAACCTCATCCCACCCCCTAATATTCCCCGCCGCCCACGCCACATCCCTCACTAATCCCCGATGGCCCCTTAGCTCCGCCGCGAGATAAAGTTCCTTCGTACTCGCACTCCCAAGACTAACCGTATGCGAAATCTCCTTCGTTCTCCAAATACTCGCTTTATGCATACTAGCAACCACCAGACTCAACGCATCTCTCGGAACCCCCTCCTTTATAGCTCGATAACACGGCTCAAGATTCGGATCGAAAGCGACCTTAAAACTAACCTCCTCACCCCGAGCCGGCTTCTCACACACATTAACACGATCGAGTTCCGTCCACGACGTCATATTTTCCGGCTCCTCATTCTCATACACGATCAACTGAGCATCGCGATCCAGCAACGCAATATAAGTATGTCTAATCTCAGCATTATGTTTAATAGAAAAACTCAAAAACGGCGCACGCGTATGCGATCTCGTCTCCCAAACCGGCCGATTATTATGCGAATTAAATCTCCGTCCCTTATTAGGAGGCAACGTGGGATCCTCAACCCAAAGCTTAAAACGTCCATCGGTACCAATAGACGCGATGAGATTAGGATGGATAGTAGGCGGTAGCCATTGTAATTCTAAGACCTCGCCGCCATTATGCGCACCCCATGTATCGCATAGATTCCAAGAGCCGTCGCGATGTCGATTGTAGACTGTTATTTTGCCGTCTGCGGAGCCGGTTGCGAAGCGCGTACCGTAGCTGTTGAAAGCGGTGGCTTCGACTAAATCGCGGTGCGTGGAGGTCAGGAGGGCGAATCCTTCTTGAGGTGGTGGTGTGGCTTCTCTGCTTGGAGACATGGTGTGTAGATGTGTGTGGGTAGTTTTGTGAAGGCTGAGATGGTGTCTAGATAGCTAGCCTCGTATGCACAGACCATGCTGTAAGGCTGATTCGTACTCTGTAGAGCTGATCATTAGCTTTTAAGAGCGGACTTCAAAGCTCTTCTCTGTCTTCTAGTTAAAGACTTGTAGGTATTCCAAGTAAATATTTGCAAGATGCTATGCATATCCTAGAACTTGTATCACGTATCAAATATAAACCCCATCACATGCTCAAAGGGAAGGGAAAGAATAATCAATCGATCAATATTTCCAACATGCTTGTATTACCCTGAATGCCCCAAAGTCTTCTCCCGAAGCTTCAATTACAATTTTCACCATGAGGTTCTTCAATCTGCAATACACTACTACTCATTATCTGAAATATCGATATCACTCGCTAATCCGTTTCCCAAAAAACTCCCACTCGCTTCGCTCCCGCATATTCAATCCTATTCCTTCCCATGCCTATTCCTATTCCTATTCCTATTCCAATATTGAATTACCCACCGATATCCGTATACCCCAATAATCATAAAATGCCTATCCCACACGCACGATCATTCAATGACAGCCTCGACCATAGCATCAAGTATTTGCTCACCGTTTGGCAAGTTCCATTGCCACCATCCGTCGCCCTCCCACCAAGCAATATCTCTTCCCTTCTTCCATTTCTGCTCCAGTACCTTTCGGACTTTCTCATCACCACCTATACCCCCACCCTCCTTGTCCATCCATTCCCTTTCTGCCTTTTCTTTGGCCTTCTTAACCACAACCTCATCATCCTCACATCGATATAAATCGCACTTTGAGCACTCCGTACAACGCCTACCACCATTTGGTCGAAAATGTTCACAGAAATGCCGATACCCTTCCCCAGACCCAATATCCTTACGACAAACATAACACATCTGGTATCCACAAACACAGGTTAATTTATTGCAACCTGAAGACTTCACAAATGATGTGTTGCAACGCGGACAGGTACGTTTAATCGCCAGGGACATTGCAAGCTCGACTTGCGTTCTTAAGGCCAGTAAAGAAGACTCGTGACAGATATGAATATCATTCCATGCTTTCGAGCATGAAATACAAGAAGATCTCCCACATCGTTGATTTTGACAAACGAATTTGAGACCATGTTGCTTCCTACGCAAGCGAATAATGGAGTCCTTAAATTGGTCGACAGCATAGTCGCCAAATGTTCGTTTCGAGGAGAGACATAAAAACAAGAAAGAAAAAAGAATGCAAAAAGGTAAAAGGAAGGGTATCATGCCAACGCCCAAAACCAAAATTAGAACAGTATAGATAGATGATGGACCAAGTCGTTTCAAACGCCAAGATCGCTGCGACTCTGGAAGATATATCTCATCAATCTCGGCATAATTGCAGAATGGGCAACGTATAAGCGGCAGTCCAGTTTTCATGAGACTGTCTTCGATCAGACGTTCGTCAAGCTTCCGCAGGATCTCCTCGCCCTTATCTTCTAGAAACGCTCGTCGCACCTGCGCCTGTGGAATGCATCCTTTGCATTCATCCGTCATGGCCGCAAGGCACCTTAGTGTTCCACCGTTGAGATCAATGTTCCTTTGCCATCCTTGTCCAAAAATAGCCTCATTACCTGCATGTCTGATACACTGAAAGCATATGAAATGACCCCCAATATCACACGCAGTGAGTCCTTCAAATGCATATGCAGTATAGCAACATCCACAGTCGTGCAAGGCATCCTGTTCTTCTGCCTCATGGTTATTTATTTCCAGTGCCAGAGCATGATCTTTCTCCTCTCGTTCCAATACTTCCCGTTCCTGCAATGGTATGATAAGAGAATCAAATAGCTCTTTATCCAATTCCGGCGATCCCGTGGTCTTGATAGCTGGTATTATAGAACCTTGCCCAGTTGACTGCCAAACCACAAGAGGGTGGTGCCCTGCTTCGACCGCCGTCAGAGGCTTTCGACGAGAAAAGAATGATGATATAGTAAAGCGCCAAGACTTCGAAGACAAATCGACAAGTGTGGGTCGAGCCAATGTATACGAATGATTACGTTCCGCCAACACTGCATTGATCGTCGATCGCGGCAGACCCTTAAATTCATGATATGCCACTGTCCTTACAGCCCTTTGATATCCTTCTGTCCTGAACTTCTCTTCTACAGGCACATGGCCCTTGCAGTCCTGTTGATTAGCCTTATCTTCCTCACCAGCAGTCCCCTCTTTTTCCTTCTCCTTCAACGCGACCCTATATCGTCCCCTCACATATTTCATCTTATGTTTAAGCAGAGCTTCCGTCACGACAGCCAATCTAGATTCTTCTTCAAAGCTCGAGAGCATCTCGCGAAACACCTCGACTTGAACATCGGGGAAGATAGCCGCAAGCGCTTCGAGACTCTGGTTTAACTCGCGAAGATCGGGTATTTCGGCATCTAGGGGTAGAAGGTTTTCCCTCGCTCGGATATATTGACTCCCTGCCGGATCCGCAAACGCAGATGTCGCTCTAGGCGAAGTACTTCTTCCTCTATCATTAGAAGTCGATGAAGGTTGTGGTGATGTTGAATCAAAGGTTGCTGTGGGTGAGGGATGAGAAGTGTTTTGGTTGGTTGACCTAAGAATTCCCGAGAACACCATCATCATGGATTGCTGTGATAAAGAGTATCACATTGTATCCGAGAGATTGTGTATAAGAGAGAACTTTTATGTTCTGATTAATCACTTTAATTAAAACTTAATGTAGGTATGTAGCGATTTGTTGTTGATGTTAAAGGGAAGCCAGCCGTATACGAAGAATTATGACGCGGGATTAAAGGAAGGGGAGGACTATTCTTATTCTGTATGGCCGACAGTTGAACCTTAAAAATGTGAAAAGTCGATCCCTAATTTGAGGAATTCCCTAAAATTGCAGGACCCTGTAGGAAAACATCCCGGTGGCATAGAAATTCTTTCAATACATGATTTTAGGTCCAAGACATTTCTTATCTTTACATCTAAAATTTGTGTTTGGTACAGCAAAAGGCAGCCCAGCTCTCAACTCTAAATGCAACTTAGGTTCATTGTGATCTTGCGATTTATCAAATATAATATGCCTCGACGCCTGTAAAGGCTATGTTCATCACACAGCTCTACCATTACCAACCATTTCATAGAATCTCCTAATGCCCTTCTTCCTAGATCAACTAGTATAGTAGTAACTCCTGAGCGCCAATTTTATTCATTCACGACGAACCGCTCTTTGATAATATCTACTCCTTTCCTCTTTGCCTCACCTCAAATAACCGGACCAGAATCCCTCCTCCAACCCTTAGCTTTCATATTCCCCTCAATCGCCTTCCAAATATTCTCCACTACTTCCTTATCCCTCCACCTACTGGCCGGACCTGCTTGTGGAGTCCATCTTTCAACTTGCGAAGCTAAGACTCCACTTCCCCATCCCTTAACTGTATCCGGGAGACTTTCTCCTCTGAATCCTACAAATAACCCTAGAGTGTTCCTGAATAAATCTGTAGGCTGTGGCCATTTGTAGCTTTTAAACTGCCAAATCTGGCCAGTAGTGAAGACAGCCACAACCTTCGACCAATAGTCGGGCTTGAATTGCTCTGGTGTATCCACAATAATGAAACGAATTGGCCGCGCAGGATCTATGGAAGGTATGAAACGTGAAATATGTAGGATGGAGGCTGAGGAGCTGGACGTAGAACTTGCAGAGTCCGGGGGGATGAATGCGCCGCCTTCGAGGAATGATTTGATATTAGACATGCGAAGAATAGAAGACGCAGAAGGAGAGAGAAGTATGATGGGATCTGGACGGCGAGCGGGAGCTTTAAGGTTATGGGCGAGTGCTGGGTTGTTTGCAAGATTTTGTGCGGCGGAGTGTGCAGATTTGCGTGAGAGGAATGGCGATGCGAGTTTACGGACGTGAGAGAAATCCTACATTAAATTAATTAGTTTTCACCTCCACATATTTTTACTTCTTGCAGAGATCAAGACATGGCAACAAGCACATACCGTGGGCTTAATCCCTCTTAAAACACTATTCCTATCTCCCATCCTCCTTTCACCATTGTAAATCTCCGCCAACCTAGGATCAATAATTTTACCCTGTCTCCCCGCAGCACCACTAGTAACTGGGACTATTCCCCCAGCCGCCCCAGAAGCAACCTGTGCCGACGCCAACGCATTTGACGTATCCGAAGCCAAAGGCTTAATATACTGCGATTCATCCGACGCGCCCTCTAACCACGTAATAAGATCCAAGCGTTCCACAAACGACAAGTTTTGAATTTCACCTCCAGCGCCACCGTCTCCTGCGAGTTGCGCGCTCAAGGCCGATGACGATGCATTATATTCCGGAATCGCAAGTTCGCGTTGCTGCCACGCAAAGTAGATGCTACGAAGGTTCACAGGTTTGTCAGACGATATGAAACGCGTGGGTGTCGTAAGTGGAATCGATACTTGGACGGGTGAGGTGAAATGTAAGTAGGTTGCTGTTGCTAAACTCAGGTCTACTGAGGATGCTGAAGAGCCATCTTCTGTGGTGGTGGGTATGCAAGGACTTTCTGAGGCGATTGATTGGCGCAAGAGGAGTAAAGGGTCTTGATCGGAAGCTGACATTATAACCAATTCGATTGATACCACAAGATGAGATAGATTTCGGTGGTTGTTAGTTGGATGGAAGAAAAAGCAAGATTGCTCAAAGGTGAGCTCATGCAGCTTGTCGCGATCCCAAAGAAATTACGGCTGCCGACTTGAACCATTAGCGAATTGGATATTCTCGGCTGTAAAAATCCACCCCCTTTACGAACGAGACGTGAGCGCTGTCACAAGATTCTTTAATAAATAGGGGTGTATGCAAATGTGATTACAGAACTTTTGCTTACTGGCGTCAAAGCTAGAAGGAACTACAATAAGAAGGCATAGCAATGTGCAGAAATTCGTTCAATTTAGTGATTACGATACAATTGCCAATCTACACCCGCTATTGGTCCATAGATTCCTGTAGGTCTTATCCAGCAAGCCAGCTCAGGATGACACTTCCTAATCCTAATCTGAAACCGTCACTACTATCTCAATATCAGGCGTATGACCTCTACTGGTATTAGGCGAATGACCTCTGTTTTTGCCGCGACCATGCAATGGACACATTCCCTGGCCTTTGCTTACATGCTGAGGGTTCGCTGGACAGAGGGGACTGTTCGGTAAGTGATCGGGGACGTTAAGTTCAAAGTTCCGAGCTTTTGGAATATGTTGTGATGCAGAACATTTCACAGTCGAAGAACCCTTCAATGTGGAACATTTGTCGGAATCTGACGATTCACGACGACTTCCTGGAGTCAACAGTGTCGGGGTCTTCAGAAGGTTTCGCAAGGCCGAACGATTCGTGTCGCGTCGCGGTCTTGCTGCACCTATACCATGTTTATCCGATGCTTTGTGCTCGCTCTCGTACGGAAACATATTTGGGAGAAAGCCACGCCGTTCTCGCTTTGGGGACCATTGCGGTGTGTCATGGCGTTGTGCTTCCTAGGTTCGTGTTATCAATTCATATTCCGCACAATATAGTAAAGCCGATGTTTATGGCTCTGATCGAATGAGATATGAAGAGGCCATCTAAAATTGCAGAACTGCATCGGCGGCGGTAGTGACAAAGAAGGGCACTTACAGATGGTAAAAAAGTAGGTGCGTCATGCTCCGATATTTCAACTGGAGGTGTCAATACAGAGTTTCACAAGTCAGTTCGCCCTGGATCAATCACCTTTCACGTAAGATTTTCCTGCTGTACCAATATAACGAGATCCAGATTTTGGTGTCCCCATTGGTGTTTTCCCAGCCAATAGATCACATATGGAACTAGTTGCCGATATTGAGTGGTCAGATAATCTCCGGTGCCATGGAGCACCGAATCTCCACCGGCGTTTCGATCCATCAGATGCATTTGAAGATGTTGTAGTTGGTGGCTCACCATGAAGCTTATCAGCGTGTATATCGAAATAGCCAACGACGCCTTCGAGAACTCGAGCAGTATGGGTAGTAGATGAAGTAACTCCTGAAGGCCCAACAGGTGGTGTCTCGGCTTTCTGTATGAATCTCATTAGCCAATCATTCTGATGGAACAGATCATCCACGCATACAATTTTCTTTCTTTTGCTGAAGGGCACTGCAAGATGTCGTCTTTCGATTATGTTGCGCTTTGTCTTATCATACAACCCTTCTAATTCGCCTGAAGGTGAAACATAACGAGGATAGGTCGGGGATATTGAATTCAACGTATTCAGAAATTTTTCGCTCTTACTTGAGGAAATAGCAGATCCGTGGATGGAACCCTTGAACGACTGAGCGGAATACTGTTTAACAACTTTGGAAGAAAAACTCCCCCAAAATCTCCTAGAGCCTTTTGGCGAGGTAGAATCCTCAGAGTCATGACTCTGGCGCTCAGCAGCTCTCGAAAATAAATGGCTTTTACTATTTATACGTTCTGGATTTTCTGTAGGGCTTACAAACTCAGCCAGTTCTCGCTCAGCCCAATATCCTGCTGGAAACCACACCCATTCAAAACCTGCACGCGGAGGGCGAGGCGGATCAATCGATTGTTGTGGAACAATCGGTTTTGCATCAAAACTTCTGGTTGCGCTCCAATCCGAGTTGCTATGAGATAGGCCTTGCATCAGTGTTGTGTTAATCGAGTCAATGGGCCTCGGATCAAAAAGCCTCGTGGTATTCCAATCTTGCACATCCTGTCTTGGGGACTTTAGGTCTGCAGTACTTTCGGGGGTGTCCTCAGAGGTGTTTCCCTTCGGGGTTCCTTCTGTAATCTCTGGTGAAATCTGCTTCCAGAAAGCGTATAATGGGGATGTATAAATTGGCGATTCTTCGCTCACTTTCTTCGCCCGCTTTACTGCCTTTGAAGTAAAATATGAAGATCCACGGAAACTGGAAGAAGATGTCGCAGAGGGATTGGCGGGAGGAGAGGTTGAGCCATCCGTGCTCTGCTGATGCCGGCGAAGACTTGGACGTTTCAAGACGCTTTGCGCCATAGGATTACTGGGTTTTGACGGCTGTGGAGATTTGCCATAGGATTATGTGGCGAGTGTAAGGAAGTGTAAAAGATTTGTATTAGGATAGGAGAGTGCGGAAAAAAGAATGTGCGGTTTCGATTTGAAACAATGACGATGTCCTCTTGACTGATGCAGGAATGCAAGCCGCCCATGCTTCTTTCAGAACTACGGGGGAGAACTCACCGGCTAGCCATATTTTGGCAGGAGCGTTGAAACAGTAGTTATACAAACGTGGGTTGAACTTATCCCCACGAAACCCACGGGAAGTACTACGAGATAGTAACGATGTCTTGAAGCGACCCAAAGCCATCATCATATTCGGCCTTCCTAGGCTGGTGTCAATTTTAATACCAAGGTAGTAAGTATATGAGCATGTATGTGAGCATATGACTACACATGAAATATTCAACATTCAGGTAAACCTCTCAAAATAATAAAAAACTAGGGATAAAGAAACGTCGATGAAGCATTTATGAGTTGCCCGGCGCTGGCCACGTTTGAAATGGTAAATATCTACTACAGTTTAAACTATGTATGAATATACCCGTATCAGAATCATTATAGACAAGCTATACAGAAGTTTTACATACCCCTGCACGTCTCCTCTCTCTCCTCCTAACGTCCTTTCAAATCTCCCCAAACTCATACCCATCTACCCACTCCCGCCCTGCTCAACCTCCTTCGCAACTTTCGCCTCCATTTTCCTCCTCGCTGCCAGGATCATCTCCTCTCTCCTCCTCTGCAAAAGCGCCTGTCTTTCATTTTTGTTGGAACTCCAAGCCTGTCCTCCTCCCTGCTTTTGTTCCGATTCCCGTTCCTCGGCTTCTCGTTTTTCCGCTTGTTCCTCCGCAAGCTTCGCTTTCAGATTATATCGCGTTATTAAATCTGGTTGGCTAGGTTTGGAAGGTTGGACTGAAGTTGAGGAGGCGACTGGGGTAGATGGGAGCGGCGGTTGGAACGATTGGGGAGGCTTGATAGTTTGTGTTAGCGGATGTATATCAGATGGCTTTGAGGGAAGAGCATAAATAGACATAGGGTTTATTCCGCAACATCATAAAATGAAAAAGACATGGTAATACTCACAGTTTCTAAGCCTCTACCACTCAATATCCGCTCCGTGGTAGCCACCACATTTCCTCCATTCCGCTGTAAATCCCACATAATATTCCTCCTCGACACCTGCGGAAACATCTGCTGTATACGTTCTACATCTGCCTCTCGCGCTCGCACATTATTTGCGCTATTGCGATTGGAGCCCGGGGATGCGGTATTGGAGCCGGAGAAAAATAGATAACGTACGGCGAATGCCCCGACCAGGATTACGATCAGGAGCTGTGGTAGGTTGATTGTTTGATCAGACATTGTAGAGTCGGAAGCTATCGGAAGTCGTGGGTATGTATGTACTATGCTGGATGATGAGATGAGTTGGTGATTGGGGTATCTTGAGCTACGCTGGTCAATGAACGAAGGTCCAAGGGAACATGAGGGGGTATCAATTGTGTGAAGCTTATAGAGTGCGATAGCTGGTTTTTTGGGCTAAAATATATTGTCTGTGGCTGAACGAAAATCCAGAGCAAGTCGTGTGCACCTAGAGGTTCTAGATAGCTTCGAAGTAGTATGTCACGAATTATAAACTAAGGACTCGGGTGTAATGATAAGACAAGTATGGATAGACGTGATTATTCATCTGGGTGATGATCCGAAGTATATCCGAAGTTCGCCAGTCGCTCCTATTATGGTTTTGCCTGTCACTACCAACACAATATTGGCCGTAAAGAACTTCATCCAGTAAGTAGTAATTCAGGATTTCACACAAACAGGGCTTTGGCTTTTCGAAATTATTGAAGATTTAAGTATATCAATTACTGCCTCTATACACTCCATAATGCTATAATTCCTTCACTTCGAACTATCCTTTCCTTCCCTTCCCTTTCCTCCTCCCATTCAATCATAACCTCCATAAGCTCTCTTGGGTATCATATCAATCCGCACTTTTACACCGAAGACCAAGTAGCCGAGACGACCGCCTCAATATCATATCATATATGCCTCAGCCTCTCTGCATGATATTCACCTCTCATTAATATTCATCACATTACCCCTTAACTCGATTATCCTTCCAGCTCGGCATGATAAGCTGGTAACTGCGAAACCACCCTATTCCCCGTATTCTGCTTCCCAGAATCGTCCCTCCTTTCGTGCACAGGAGGTGAAGTCCTATGTTCCAACTGGGAAGAAGCACTGCGGTAATGAGCTGGGACTTTCTGAGTTCCTGCGTTTAGTGGCCGGTACGTATTCCACATATTGCTTCCAGCTGCATTTTGCCACGATGCCACCCTTGCCCTGTTACCCTCATTACGGACGTTACCAGCAGGACTTTGGTAAGACATGCGACCAGTTGGAATTTCTGAGCCGTGTACAGAATCATTCCAGGATGGTGCACTTTCTCGGCGAACATTAAGAGCTCGGGGATAGGCTGAAGGATCGTATTTGGAATAGGTTGAATTTTCGTTACATTGGGGTTTTGTTTGATTTTGAGGTGGCCCAGCTCGTAGGGCTGGAGGTACTTGCGAGATCTGTGATTGCGGGTTCTGTAAGGTTGTTGATGGATAGGTTTTTGGTGTTTGTGAACCCTGCGTGTTTTGCATAGCATATGTAGTGTATTGTGGTGAATCAACTTCTGGCTCTGCGTACGCACTATCATTGTCATAGTCACTGGTAGGAGAATATGCAGTTGGTGCCCGGGACGATGGCGTCTGCGATGAAGAGGGTCTTGATATGGTGAGTTCCGGCATACTAAGTGTCTCCTCATTCAGTCGAGAATTTCTGATAGAGCGATCTAACATCTGGGCTTTGACCACTAGACGCTCAACTAACGCGGAGTGTGATTTTTTTATAGTCTTCTTGACAAAACTTGTCATCATGATGTTGCATTTCATATCCACATCTTCTCTCAGCCAAAGCCCATCGAGAGGTACACCAGCTCCCATTTCAACCGGTGCAACAGGCTCCCCTGGTAATGATCCACCAAGAGTCCACTTTCCTCTTATATTTAATCCCATAGGCGCATAGCAATGTGTTTGCAAGCCGTACTCGAGATCATGAAAGCAGCAGGTATAGGAGACTTTGCCAGACATCAGTCCTCCAGGAAGGTATTGTACTCGATCAGTTAAAGAGTACCATAAGCAATGATATTCCTCTGCGGTAGCATTTTGCGGGGGTTTGATCGGATGCCGCTCTTCTACTAGAGGATTCAAATCTATCATTTCGGTGTGCGAGCGCAAAGTCTCCATCACTGTTTCTCGTGTGATGCCCGTTGGTAACGGCGTCACTGTTGTAAAGACAGTCCTTTTAGACATGGTGCGAGACGATGCTGCTTGTAAGTAGAACTGGAAGACAAGTCGATCAAAAGAGAACGAACAGAAAATCGCAGGATTTATTTCAAGGTGACTGGAGTCGACGAAAGATGAGAAAGACGATCATGAAAGCGGCATGTACGGAGAGTATGAAACTGTAGATCATTAAGAAACACACAAACATAAATGACTTCAATAAAGTTACCTATCCACAAACAAAACCCGCCGCAAAACCAAATCTAAACTCACTTGTCCTACCTTGTCGAGTTGTCCTACCTACCTACATAAAATGATGTGAGACGTCCACCAGGTGGTCCCTCCAAATACAAGAATAGAGTTTCCACCCCCAAAATCCAACAAATCATCTTATCAGCTTGATTTATATAGCGCCACCAATTACAGTGTATCTGTGTGGCTGATACTGCTGCGGACAGCGGACAGCTCGGCTACGTCGATGCCGGGGCCATAGCATATCTATCTATGTAAGCTCACGGCGCAGTACGGAGTATGTAGATACAGGAAGAGAAAATGTTTGTTATTTTTGTGACGCTTGTAGATTTTGTATTTGCTGCGTTGGGAGGATTCTGAATCCGTCAAGTTGTCAAAATTATAATTGATCGATACCTAGGTGTTAATTAGCTTGTCATGGTTAGGAAATCAGTATATTAAAAGGCTGGTACGGCTTAAAAGCAAAACGTCAACTCCTCCAATGAAGTAGGTAGGTAGGTAGGTAATCTTACTTTTAGTGATTAGACGCTGCAGAGTAGTAAATCATGGCAGTCGGTCGGTCGATCTATGCAGCTTCATGGCGCTTTGCGTGTATGTATGTATGTATGTGTACGGAGTAAGCTCAACTGATATACGGACGTACTAGCTATAGATAGCCACTTTAGCTGTATTTCCTGAATTTGTTGATTCTATAATTTAGGGGTCCTTAGTCCTTGCAGAATTTCATGGGCTGTTGGATCAATTTTCGCAGCTTTCTCGTGCAGTCGACGTAAGTACCTGCCTCGGTGGTATATAAAATCGATTATTGTTCAATTTCATTCAATCCAGTACGGTGATTTCCACTGAACTAGATAAATTGTATTAATTATTAATCCCTTCTAATCAATTCAATGGACTCAAATGTCCGATATTGATCAATTCATTATAGGACCGTGACGTGACAGTAATCTTAACTATTGCAAATTCCAGGGACAAAAATAGGTCGTTCAAAGTTATACATTACGTAGGTATCTTTCCATTGCTAACATGCAGAAGTCGTGTCTCATCTACCTGCAAATTTTATAATAAAACTCCATCCCATTCTGAAGGGTATATGTGCAATTGAAGCCGAAACAATCCCAGCGTATGCGCCTAAATTAGAGCATGCACGCGGATTTACAATCAATCTCTTTCTCAACTCTCCTCATAATCACGAAAGCAAGTCTCCAATTACAAGGCAGCCATAACCAAAGCAGCAGCAGCACCTCCAACAACCCATTGCGCCTTAGCAGTAATCATCGGCATACCTCCAGTAGAAGCAGCAGAGCCCGAAGCAGACGATGAAGCAGACGCGCTGGATTTGCTTGAACCAGTTGCTGAGACACCAGTGGCTGAGGCACCAGATGTAGTTGGGGTAGCAGAACTGGTAGTGCTTGCAAACCCAGCGGTAATGGTAACAGGGATGCCGGATAAGAGACTTGAGAAGTCGGTGCCAGTGACGGTTGTGCTAGCATCTGAGGAAATGGTCGATGTACCGCTAGACTCAATGTTGATGCCGGTGCAGAAAGCGGAAGAGGAACCGGAGATGACGCAGCCTACTTCATATTCACTAAATAGATAGGTGTTAGTCTTGGATTGAAATTTGTGATTTGTGAAATAGGTACATACGCATGACCAGATCCTGTTGGTGCAGAGGCGGAAGCAGTTTCAGTCATTGTAATGTCAAAAGCATAATCAATCGTGTACACATATGCGATTGTGGAAGGACCTTGAGTAAAGGTAAAGCTATCTGGAATACCGCAATCGTTTTCGTAGCCGAAGTAGGCCGAGGTTGACGCAGCAGTGGTGGTTGTAGAACCACAGGTAATTGAATACGTAGTGGCGGTAGCGTCCTAGAAAATCGAGTATATGGTTAGAAAGGATTCGCGGTTCGATTCTAGTGTTCATGACGTGACCTACGGAAGCAATAATAGAACCAACGAACGGAGCTTGATCATCACCACCATCATCAAATCCCATAAGGTAGAGGTTGACAACAGAGCTGGTCTGGGCAGTAACAGTACCCATAAGGGCAGCGACAAAGCTTGTGATAGCGACGACGTGCATATTTGCGGGGGACCTGACGATGATTGTCTTAGAAAGAAATGTTGATCAAGGAAATAAAGTTGAAGTGAAGAGGAAAGATGGAGTATTTATGTGTGTACGCTGCTTATTTACCACTGAGACACCAACATAAATCTTTCTCTCCACCCTTGCATATTGAAAAATAAGCTTAATTTATTATTCTAACCCTTGAGAAACTTCTGATTGGGTGAACACATCATTTAATTTATTGACTGTCCTTACGGTTACTGGTCAGGGCTCTCTGGTCCAAGAGATCACAGCGGTTGCTCTAACGATCCCCTTGAAAATTCATGACCCTTTATTCCCATTTAGGAATCCCAACACCGGGGTTCCAGTATCACGTAAGGTCTAGACGGGTTATCGGCTATTTGAATGAAAACGTTACTTGGTGAGAAAATGGAGGGATGATTTTGGTATACAAAGTACTTGTATGGGACCTGCACATGAACATGGTATTGCAGTCCATCCAGATGAATGATTGAGTTGCTGCAGGACTCCTCACATAAAGGGGCTGTAAACAACTTTGGCGGCCACTTTTCGAGACATTAGCAACTGATTCTAGCTACCTCTTCCAACCCAATTTACTCGCATCGCACTGCAATGCCAAGAGAATTGTGAATAAGCCCCCTTTGACCATCTTCAATCGGAAGTGGGATGAAGTGGATCAATTCATCCGCAATATGTTCAAGCTCTAGGCACTAGACACAATTTTATAAGCGGCGTTGCGGCACAGTCCGGAAACGGCACACTGACCTTGAGGCTGGAGGTAGAAGCAAAAGAGAAGGATATTAACGCCATGTCTTCTTTTTATGCGACAACGTGATCATCGTCGTGGATGGTCGATGAATTCTCGGTCGTGAACATCATTCGTTACCGCCAAATACTTCCCCAAGTTGACCCTTCCCCCACTCCATACCAAATGACCGGGTAACGAAACCATGCTGTCCATTTACCACGAGGCGCATCCTTGGGGATCTGAATAGCAGTGGGTCGACTCCTCTAAATAATATGGAAACTTTCACGCACATACCAAGAGACCAAGAAATTCACATGTGGAATTTGACTCCATTTTTTTGAATTCGTCGGATATATTTCCAGGGATGCAAACTTTATGTGAAGATCAACAACTTTATTCAGAGCTCATCTGAAGTAACCTTAATACTTAGGTTTGGGAACGTTTGCATTCTTTGTCTGGTATCAAGGAATAGTCTTCCTACAAACAACGAATTATCTCCACCGAAACTTGACTGAAAGTGTTCCCTAATCAAGATACACAAAATGTCACCGTTCATAGAATCTTTTCGCATTTTCGGTATCCAAGTTAGTTCCGGAAATTCGTAGCAAATAGGAGGCTTTCGTGAATAGCTTGGACAAACTCCACCGTCAACCTTCCTTCCATTTGGATACTCGGATCTCTTTCCCGCGAGATTGCCAATCTGCATATACATACTATCTATGCCGCAAGAAAGGAGGGAGTGAATGCAAGCGAAGAAGTGACCCGCTTCCAGTGTTTCCCAGACCAATAGAGATTTTGTTTCCGTCCGAGAACTCACTTTTTCCACATCGTCCTTTGAAAGGTTACTTCCCCCAGCAAAGTTTTGATCATTTTGTTGCATCTCGCACTTTGGGGGTGTTTGTCGATCTTGCTTGGCTTTATATCCCGAGTCATGTAATGCATATTCATTGTTCCTTGCGGCTCGGACAATTTTTAAGACTGCTCGATATCAACGGGAATGGAAGGGGTTCTGTCCGTATCAATTGGCTTCTTCATGCTTTAAGCCTACTAGTTTATTGTGTTGAGGATGAAATAAGGTTTGGAGAATGTGGAAAGAACTGTCACTAGCGCGATCGGTTCAAATGTTAGCTTCTCAGATTTGAATCTTTCGCTTGTAAACTTTCATTACCCCTTTCTTTGCGTCTTTTCAACTTCCTACTTTTGGGAAATATATGTCCCTAGTTAACTAGAAATCATCCGTCTTGTGAAAGATCCTTCTCCTTACATTGGCCCCATCCGCTGGCATGAGGTCCTCACAACAAGGTTGCCACTCTGCTTGTTTTTTTTACGCAGTTATTGAGCCTAATTTCTGGCGGATCTTCCCAATCCTTATAAGTCGCAAGATAGTTTCTATGTATCCATCTATTTCAGCTAGTTTCTAGTTATATCTAGTTCTTTAATGCTTCTACTGCGACTGCGTCTTCTTTGACAACATATTGTCAAGCATGTGAAAGTTCAACCTTTAGTGTACTTGAGAAAGAAACTGCTTGAAGCACAGATTAACATATCATTTTAACTTGGAAAACCCGCTCTGCAGATTTGAAGTGGCCTAAGTATTTTGTCTAGTTGTGGAAGTTTTCAAAACTAATACTCTCCTTGACATACAAGCTTGATATATAACCTTGACACGAAAGTATTCATATTCGTCAATTTAGCTGAAGGTTTTGTTAATAGCCTCTCCTCCGCCCCTTAAAGCAGCTAACACTGTGCCTCCAGGAGGCATAGGATACATCAATGTGAAATTGGCTGTCTAGTGCATGATGTAACGCTTGTAAAAGACGTGGGACGCTCATTTCCGAGATATACTCAAGCATCTATCCTCAACATGATACAACTTGGGCCTCCTTTGCTTCGCAAAGTGACAATCCATCAATTCCCTTTGTCTACTCAAACTTACTGAGCTGGTTTACTTTTTGCGTCGTCTGCTGCATCTCGGAAAGTGCCCATTTCTTCTCTAAATTCCCACCAAGATTCAGTCATACATTTGACCTAGATACACTGGTGGTCTATGCAAAATATGATATGTAGACGCAGACTTTTAATTCTATATATTATTTATTCCTGCCAGGAGAGCTTCTGCAGTGTCCTGGCTTCAGCTTTTCTCTTTTTGGAAAAGAGAATATCAGAAGTAGAGCCTAGAATTATGCTCAGGACAACAGGCGAATGATTCGTTTACTTGATGCCCTGTTACGTCTCAGTCCTGATACTATTGACGTATATCTACCAGAGTGACATAAGGGCAATTAAAAGTGGCAAAACAACATTTTGTATGCTTTACAAATCTGCAGCCAGGTCCAAAAATATTGACTATTGAATATTGAATCTACTACAAAAATAGCATCACATTCAATGTTGTTTTCTGAGCGGGTACAAACTTCTCTAGTCCTCCTACGCCAGGATTCAGATTAGGAATTCAGTTTCTTCTTCCGTCAAGCCTTCCGGTTCTCTATTCGTCATGTTCACCATAAATGGATTCTTCAGGTGATTGTTTTCAATTCATTCTTCCGTTCCTGGCTTCGCTTTTGGGCTATCACCAGCGATTATAATGCGTGCAGATCTAGAATCGTGTCTAATTCCAAATTCTACTTATAAGACAATCTTCCCAGCAAACAATGACTAAAGGTTGACTAGAAATGATTTTCGCGTCAAATGTAAAGAATAAGCAGTGCTCAACTATTGACTGGTCGCTATGGATTAAACATGTTCCTCAAGTGAGATTTCGGAGTTAAAGCATAGTGGTCATCTGGAAATTTCTTCGGAGAAATCAATCAACCTAAGTTTTTATACGCCCTCATTAAAATACCAACCGAAAGATCTTCCTGCATACTACCAGACCGAAGCTAATCACCCGTGTTGTTTTTCCTCTGCATAGCATTGCTAATCCTACAAATACAAGCGCATCCCACGACCTACCTATCTAATCAACGCTTCAAGCTCTAATTGCAGCAAAAACCTAGACCTTCATATAGGCTGCGCAACGGGGCTCCGCGGGGCGGATTATTGCCTATAATGGGTAACCTGCGGATAATCGATTTGCGGGGCAGGTAATTGAAGAATCTGAATGGGTAATCCGTAGATTATTTGCCGATTATTTGCGGATATCCATAAATTCGCGGATAGTCCATCAATCCGCAGGTAGATGGATTATCCGCAAATGATATTCGCTTAAATTTTTGAAGCTATTCCCATATTTTTTACACTAGTTTTTATATTAATCTTCATAAATTATATCTATTTTATATAAATTATCCCTAATTATGAATTAACAAATTATCTGCAAATAATCCACAAATAACCCATACAATACAGATTATTTTAAAATCCCAATGAGTAACCCACAGAACGAATTGTAGGTTTATTGGGTAGCCCACGGGGCGGATTATTTGCGGATATCCGCAACCCGCAGGTTATTTTTGCGCAGCCTACCTTCATATTGTTCTCCGGTCATTCCCACAATTAATATTCTCGCTTTTATACGCAGTACATGGGGATAAAATTCAGCATATATATTATATTCTAGTTTCCAATATAGTTAGACAAAGATTGAAGTACCGTACGGAGTATTATCTCGAGAGATCAAGACTCTTGACATTTCATTTGGCTAAAAATCGACCTAGGATGAGTCAAAGAGAGAAATCGCATAACAATCGATCTGATATAGTGTCGTTATCGACGTATTACTAAATATCCTAATATATCCTAATATGATATTTATTCTGAAAACTCATAATTAGTACTCTTACCTAAGTCATTTCCCACAGATTTCTTTTCTCCTGTAAATTTCTTCTAGGTATACCGTACTCTGTAGACTACACTACAATCTCGAGAGATTCGAGCCCACTGGGCGGATACCCAAAACCGTTTCAGTGAGGGGGAGTAGTATACGGCGTGATTCCTCTCTTTTATTTCTCATCTTCCAGACGATTATAATAAGATGTATTACATTTTACAACATATCTTATAGTGAGCACTGAGGGCGTTACCCCCAGGGATGGTAATAACGCATATATAGGGTATATCCGCAGCGAAGTTCTAAGGCTTTTGAGCTATGAATCGCGTTCACAGACTAGACGGCAATGGGCTCCTCGCGGGACTTAAGATATAGTCGAACCCCTCAGAGATGAGGACGGATCAATGCTAGTAGCTGGTTCCTGCCGAAGTTTCCCTCAGGTATGATGTTAAAACTTTATATCGAAATTTATAACTACATTTTATATTGAGATCTTATTTCATAAATCAAATAATTATAAAAATAAATTTTTTTTAAAATATATAATATTTAAAAATTTAAAAATTCTACTTTTAAAACCCTCAATTAATGTATTTATATATAAAAAAAATATAAAAAATTTATTTTTATTATTTTTAATTAACAAAGAAAATTAATTTAAAAAATAAATAATCCAAAAATAAAATACTAAACTTATAATTTGTATTATAAAACAAGCAATTATAAACCCAATTAAATAATAATAATCTCTGATTTTTACAATCTTACAATCTTACAATCTTATAACCTTTCAACAAACAAAAAGCCAATCACATACTACAAAAATCATATTAGTTACATTAAGTGGACCTCACAACTCACACCCTGTATTCTTTCATCTACTCCGAACTACTTGCCGAAAAGCTACCCAGAGTAGTATTAAGATAAGAATACATCATATGATCATTTCTTTCTCCCCGCTGTATATGCATACAAGTGACATCATATCATGCGGCATAAGGTTACAGCAGAGATATAAAATGTATAAATGTATAAATATATAAATACATAAATACAACTCCGAGCCCAGCCAGCCCAGCGCGGCTTCTCAATCAATCAATCAATCATTATAGATAGATCTCACACCCGACAGCCTATTCACATGTACTTCTGAGCATCTTTTCATCATAAAAATGCTCTCCCCCAGAACCATACCAATTCTCCTCATCCTCACAACACTATACCTCGGAACGCGCTATCTCTACAACCAACCGCACCCTCACATTGATATCCCCTACAACACAAAAACAAACGCAAACGCAAACGCAAACGCAAAATGTCGCAATCTACCCAGCGACCCCTCCTGGCCAAACAAATCCCAATGGAACCAACTAAACGCCACGATAAACGGAAGACTAATCCAAGGTACACCCTTAGGACAGCCCTGCTACGAACCACAGCTCAACTCGGAGAAATGCGCACAAATACAATCGGAATGGATAAATTTACCACCATAGTAAGTAACCTTAACATTTCGAGTTGAATTTAAAGAACTATGAACCCCCCCTCCCCCCCCAAATAAATTGCATAAAAATTGATACTATTAGTAAAGTGAAAACGACCCAGTGAATATCATGGCACCATATTGGCAGAATAATTCCTGCAATCCTATATTAGCGACAAATACAAATAATACCTGTATTTTAGGAAATCTCGCCTCATACGCTCTTAATATCAGTAATGCTGGGGATGTTATCGCCGGGCTTGAATTTGCACGGGAGAATAATATCCGGGTTACGATTAAGAATACGGGGCATGATTTTTTGGGACGATCGACTGGGGCAGGTTCATTAGCTTTGTGGATGCACAATCTTGATGAGATCGCCATTTTCAACTACAGTGGCTCGCTCTATACTGGACCTGCAGCTCGAATTGGAGCTGGCGTAAGATATTCTGATTTGTATCCTGTGGTGCAAGAGCATGGGTTTCGTGCTGTTGGTGGTTCGTGTTCTACGGTTGGTATAGCAGGTGGGTATACTCAAGGGGGTGGTCACGGACCCCTCGGCTCAGCGTATGGAATGGGAGCCGATCAGGTATTAGAATGGGAGGTAATAACAGCCTCAGGACAGCATCTGATCGTGTCACCTATGCATCATGCTGATTTGTACTGGGCATTGAGTGGTGGTGGAGCCGGAAACTTCGCTGTAGTGCTTTCAGTGACGGTTCGGATATATAATGATGGCCCTGTGGCGGGTGCGGCCTTCACTGTCGTTAATAACGATAATAGCACGGCGTATTGGGCTGCTGTTCAGGCATGGCTACAAACTCTGCTTGTGCTTGATACTATTGATGGTTTGGCTTCAGTCTCAACGATTACAGCTGATAGCTTTGGGCTGAATTTCACTGCGTTGCCAGGTGTTACAACAACGGATAGCATCCACGCTGTCCTTGAACCATTCTTCATAAAGCTTGGACAACTCAATCTCTCACTCGGTAACAGCTACAGAGCCGACGTTCACGCTAACTTTGCCGACTTCTACAATTCATTTATTTCGCAAGAATTATATACTAGCAATCTAATGGTCGGCGGTCGGATCGTTCCACGTTTGACAGTGCGAGATAAAGCCACTGGCCTTCCGGCACTCATTGACATTTTCCGCAACATCACTGAGGGCGGTGGAATAATAGCCTTGCCTGCGACCAACAGCGCACACAAGAATTACACTCCCAATGCCCTACTGCCGTCTTGGCGTGATGCGCTATTCTCCGTGGCATTTATGAAACCACTGGCTGAAAACGCTGAACTCGAGGACATCCACAGAAACTACGCACAACTCAATACATGGCAGGATAGATTGCGCGATATTACACCTGGGGCAGGTGCTTATATGAATGAAGCAACATGGGACAATGTGCATTGGAAGGCTGACTATTTTGGATCAAATTACGAGGCATTGCTAAAAGTGAAGGAGAAGTATGATCCGGAGTTTTTCTTTTGGGCAAATGCGGCAGTTGGTAGCGATATATATTGGAAGGTCGGTGAAAACGGGGCATTGTGTCGTGTTTGATACAGGAAAGAGAGGTCAGGTAGGTAGCGAAACAGCGCAGCGGAATAGAGGGAGATGTAGAAAGAGAAAGAGAAAGAAAAAGAGAGCAAGTAACAATAGCGGTTCGAATGATATGAAGATTGTCGGGAGGAGTCCACTCTCTGAAGAACTATCAGATGTCGTTGGAGAGTTGAGAAATATAGAGACGTGCAATAAATTTGACAAAACCAGAATAAGACGGAAAAAAATCCTCGTAACAAACAAAAATGATATACCAAATATGTAACTTCATTCTATCAAACGACAATATTTGACAAATGATATTGGAATACCCGATTTATCGAGAAAACCGTCCATCCTAGACGTAATTCCAAAAAATGATACAGAACAATAAAATGCAAAACATCATCAACATTAACAACATATAATCAAATATCCAACAACAACAACAACAACAGCAACAGCAACAGCAAAAACAACAATCGCAACAGGAACAATAACAACAACAACCGCAACAACAAACAAAACAAGCAAACAATCCACCGTCCAACGTTCCACCATCAATCACCAAAAGCACCCTAATTAGCGAACATGATACATCATACATCCATCATACCTAGAAAAAACCCTCAGCCACCTACCAACCAACCTACCTCCCGCAAAAACCCAACAAAAATCCCAGAAATTTTGTTGCACATCTCCCAACCATGGGATATTGAGCAAACACGGCAGACAGTGGATGGGAAACCGCCATGGAGTTTGAGGAATAGCATACACACACATACATATGACGATTTATCAGTACGTAGAAGAATTCCTATTGTAGCGAAAACCGCGTGGCGGTTGGAAAAGTTATTTGTGATCTGCTGCACATTTTGTCATATTTGTCAGATATGTCATGTTGATTTGCTGGTTTGAGAGGTAAAACTGGGTGAGTGAATTGGTTTGAGGCTTCGATGAACGGGGGCTTGGAAATTTATGTTTGGGATCGTGAGATTTTAGGTGGAGAAGAGTAGAGAAGAGTAGAGAAGCGAAGAGAACCGAAGAGAAGGAGGTGCAGTGCAGTGCAGAATTATGTTTGCCTTGATTTTATGGCTGAGGGAAAAGTGACGGACAAGTGACGGACAAGTGACGGACAAGTGACGGACGGGTAGGTTAAGGTTAATCTGGTAGTTTAAACTATTTATTTTCATTGGTTAGAGAATGAGTGGCGAATTTTACAGATGCAGTCTCCTTTATACTCCGCCACATTTCGGGACCGAAAAACACCGAGTCGGTCCCGAGATAATGGTGAGTAGCTAATGAAATGAACTGACGGGAGTTTTCAAGAGTCCGAATAATTCTTGGCCTTGAGTCATCTTCATCTACTCGAGTACTTGACTGGCAGCACTCATGGGCGAACCACGAAAGCTTACGCCACATCCATACTGCCTGTTTGGCTGACGCGCGGCTGCTACACCATAATTACAATTACCAACCACAGCTCTCCAGAGACTTCTGGTGCATTCTTACTATTTCTTTATGGTTGCGTAAATGTCTTGCTGGCTGAAAGATAGGTAGGTTGTGTTTCGTTATTCATTTTTTGCCTCCGCTAGTCTCAGTGTTGCATTTACGCGGTCATTGCTTGCCTCGAGGTGTGGTGGTCTCGGGGAAAGGTATATATTCTCTGATCTTGCTGTTTGTTTTTTCTATCTCTTTATTCTACATCATCATCATCATCATCATCATCATCATGGATTTTAATAATCAAAACAACCATCAACAAGCAGGTCCCTTTTGGGATTTTGTACGCTCAATGCAACAAAACTCTGGAACGGGTGTTGACCAACCTTCCCAAGAGTTCAATATGTGGGGCTCGTCAGAAGGACCTCATGAACATCGTGGAAATCATAGTCCTAGAGGGGCTCATGGTTTTTATGAATTTGGTCCATTTGGCTTTCCTTTCGGTGGAGCAGGACCATTTGGTAGAGGTGGGTTCGGACCCAGAGGAGATCATCGAGGACGTCGCTCTTTCTCCCCTCGCGGAGACGGAGAACATACCGATGGAGAAGGCAGAGACGGATTCCGAGGAAATCGTCATCACGGTAAAGGCAAAAGCAACCGTAGAGGCGGAGAAGAATCTGGGGAGGAAACACCTACTTCAGACGCAGAGGCTGGAGAGGGCTCTTCAAGACCATATCGTGGCCCCCGAGATTGCAAAGGCAAGAAGGGAAATTACCGCGGAGAGGGTGAGAATTTCGATGAAGAATTATCGGATGTTGAAGCAAGAGAAGGATCACAAGGCCAGGAGTCGCGCCGAGGACCTAAAAACCACGGACGCCATGGACCAGGTAGCAGAGGAGGATGGGGTGTTCGAGGTGCAGGCAGATGTGGACCACATGGTGCACATCACGGCCGAGGAGGGCCTCATGCTTGGGGTGGACCTCACGGGCATCATGGAAGACGCGGCCCACCTCCATTCGCCAGCCCAGGTGGCCCATTCGATTTTAGTGCAATGATCCAAGCACTTTCTTCTCACCCAATCGCACAGGCATTTGGTATTCCTACAGCTCAGCGCTCTGGCGAAACACTGGTCCCCGAAGATGTTGACGCAGAAAACTCCTTTGTTCCTCCTATTGACGTTTTCACCACTGAAGATGCATATGTTCTCCACATTGCACTCCCGGGTGCCAAGAAAGAAGATGTAGGTGTACACTGGGATGCCGAGAAAGGAATATTGAGCATGGCAGGTGTGGTGTACAGACAAGGAGATGAAAAATTCTTGGAGAGTCTCACCAAGAAGGAGAGAAAGGTGGGTGCTTTCGAGCGCACTATGAAATTGCCTCTCAACGAAGAGGATAAATCAGAAATCGATGGTGATAACATCACCGCCAAATTGGAAGATGGTGTCTTGGTCGTTACCGTGCCAAAGTTGGAGAAAGAAGAATCTTGGACTGAGATCAAGAGAGTCGATATCAATTGACTGGATTTGGATAATAATATGGGGTCTGTTCGGGTCAGCTGGGAGAGTTAATTTCGCATCGTTTTTGTTTCAGGTTTTCCTCTTTCTTAATAGTTGGGGTTTGAATTTTGGCATCGGTATCTTGGTTTAGTATAGTTACCATAAAGAGTCTCTCATGACTAGAAAATAACCAAAAAAATGCCACTTGGCAATATATATAATTTACATCTTCCACTGATCTATCTGCATGAAAACTGTGACGTAAGAAACTTTTCCGTGTTGTAGACATCGATATTTGGGTTGATATATTTGGCTATATTCCATTGGAGTGTCGGGTTGCTTTTCGACATGAGGGCTTGAATCAGTAGGAAGGAAAATGAAATAAGTAGTGGACGACGTATAGGTGGATAATAAATAGCGAAGATGAAATGACCGAACAAAAGCACATTCTCAACATATAGGTAGTGAGAAATCCACGCCTTTCGATTAAGAAATATCGACGGGAGTAAACAAAAATTATAGCTGATGAGTATAAGTATAATTTAAATTACAAGATGATTCGCAATGAGGGTGTAGAGAGTGGATAGCTAAAGCTTGTCTTGCTCGTTGGTGTTGCAATACTTGATCTTTTCCGAATGTTGAAATTTGCCGTTCCAGCAACTTTGAGGGAATGCCACCTTTAGTACCTATCTAACGATACCTGAAAGATTCTGAATGTATGAACTGAGCAATCGAGACTGACTTGTATAAGATATAGAATTAATAATTCGTGAGAAGCTGTGCCACGGGGAAGATTGTGGTTGTAAAGCACCTAGAGGGATGGGTCAAACGCGGACTTCCAATGTGCATGTACACTCCAAAGCAACAAATTCGACATTCTAGTTTAAGTGGAGAATAGATGTCAGAGTCCCATGAAGATGTAATGATTGTTATTAATCCGTGAAACCTGCTCTTGATGTCCATTAACTATATCATTTTGGTAGTCTTACAAAAAATTGCTTCAAATTTTTACCACCCGTGAAATGCCAAGACCCGAACCCATCAATATCGATATTGATATCCTTTAAACACCAGCCGATAATTCCTGCAAAGCTCCCGCTGCTTCCTGCTCCGCCTTTGACAACTTTCTCCTTGACAACCTCGCATCATGCTCTGGATCGTCGAGAGATTTCCGTTTGTTGTGCTCGGAATTGGATGGATGTGATGCGTTTCTTGTTGCTGTGGAAGGTGGAAGAGCTTGAGGCGTTACGGTTAAGACAAGGTTGTCGATGAAGTTACGTAATTGATCGAAATGTTTTGATTCCTCTTCAGTCTGAATGCATGCTGGTGTTGATCCAGATGCGTTGATAGCTTTTTAGACTTGATGAGTTGAAATGTTCCCGATGAAGAAAAAGAGAATGGGGATATATATATAAATAAATAAATAAATGCAATACCTCTTTTAACCGTATCTTGAATTATTTGGTGACCACTGTTGCCTGGAAATGCCAATAAAACCTTTTGAAGTGCGGCATTGAGCTGTTTTGCCGTAATGTTAACCAATGAAGCAAGCAAACAACCAAGCAACCATCAAGAAAAATCGAGTGTAGAAGGGAAACCACATACATCCTTAATACTTTCATCCTGTTGATAATTCATCATGAATCTTTAGAATTTGAGACGATCAATCCATTCACATCGAATTCCAAATTGACTTTGACATGGACTCTTTCACAAAGTGAAAAAGAAAAAGTCATTGATTTTTGAGCGTTTGCAAGTGAAGTTTGAGTGAGGGTAAGGTGAGTAAGTAAGTAGCAAGGCAGGTAGGCAGGTACCTAAAGTTAGTTATTCATTGAGATTTCACATGATGAGGGACGCTTTGTGGCTGTGGCTGTGGCTGTGGCTGCTACCGTGACTAATGGCTTATTAACCTCAAAGCGTCCAAACAAAAGACCTTTCAACGCCACACATGTACTATCCGGAGTAGGCAGTACCCATTAATAAAGATCTTCCGGTTTCCCCTACAACCATTTATTTTATCTTTCTCTTATCTTTTCATCAAAGCTTTTTTTTTATCTCAAGAGTAACAAGGAACCAGAACCATAGTGTGTGTCCATCAAACAAAGGTTTTGCCGATCTGACTAGACTCATTTATTCAAAACCCCTCGTCAACCTCATCTTCGACTACGCGTCGTTTGCAGCTTTGCGCAAAATCGGAGGATAAGTTCTGGATACAGATGAATTGGTATATTGAATTGGTTGCACCATTCTACGTCATTGCCATCGTGTGCCAAGCTCATTAACGTCCTCAATCAACTCCTTCAAAATATCGTCTTTGATCATACTTTCAAAATTGTTCAAGAATCGCAACGCTATCTCAATCCTATTGCTCCTTGGTATCCGTTCTTGTTCATTCATTTGGTTGGACCATTGATTCTCAATCTCATAGCCTGTCAACGCAAAACAGAAAACAAACAAACATCATGTCAGATGAGCTCGATTACCTCCAGCAGGGCTTCGATGCCTCTTCCCTCACAATGGCCCGAATCCGCTCTATATTAGTTCAACATAACATCGATTACCCTTCTAATGCCAAGAAAGGCCAACTCGTCGAAATCTTCAACAACGATCTAGTCCCACAGGCAGGAAAGATACTGCACGAGAGAGCGCGTGCGAAGAGAACGAGCCGAGGGATTATCGATGTTGAATCATCAACAGAGACCAGCACTCAGGAGAGCACAACCGAAAGTACACGGGAAAGTGATGCGATACTACCACCACCGAGGTCGAGATCTGCGAAGCAAGCACCTGCGAAAGCCAGAGCACCGGTGGATATTAGTGATGATGAACCGGCAATGTATAGAAACACCAGGAGATCAACCCGATCCATAAGTCCAGTAAAGAGAATGCCTAGAGCTAGTAGCCCCGAGAAAAGGACAATGAAACCAAGCAGCAAACATCCCAGGCAGGAGGAGGAGACTCCTCTGGATTATGAGGATTTACTGCGAAAATCCAGAAAAAGTACAACAGTTCAAACACCAATGGTTGGGGCGAGGAATAATCTGGATGAAGTGACACAAACAAGAGACTCGCGAAGAGAGACCAATTTCACTTACGACAATCCCTTTCAGAAAGGCTCGCCGCCTAGAAGACCTATATCGAGCCATGATAATAAGAGGAAAAGCTTAGGTGGAAGTGCTATGAAAGACCTAGAGAAGTCGAGGGCTTCGGTTCCGAGAAGACGCACGGCGTACCCACAAGCTAATGATGGAATACGCCCACCAACTTCTTCCACTTTCGAAATTCCTCTCAGTAGCCTCGATGGTCTCAAGGACTATGATGATAATGGAGTAGAAATTAGTGAGGATTTCACTCCAGAGGCACAATTCGAGCTCGAGCGTGAGCAACAGAGGGGACTCGCAAAAATTCAGCCTCGAAAAAAAGCATCAAACGGAGTTAGCATGAGTGGACCTCTTTGGATGGTCTTTCTTACATTACTTGGCGGTTATGCTGTTTGGTATAGGCAAGAGAAGATCGCTGTAGGTTTCTGTGGCGTAGGTAGAGAAGCGCATTCGATCATACCCGTCCGATCAAATCTTCCGGATTGGGTACAAGTAATTGCCGAACCGCAGTGCGATTGGTGCCCACAGCATGCTTATTGCAATACCAACTATGAAGTTCAGTGCGACCAAGATTTTATTCTCAAGCATCATCCTCTCTCGTTGGGTGGATTCCTACCTTTGCCGCCAACTTGTGAGCCTGATGGAGAGAAAGCTAGACGGGTCAAAGCGGTCGCGGATCGAGCTGTTGAAGAATTAAGGGAGAGAAGAGCAAAGTGGGAATGTGGTGACTTAGTTGATGAAGCTGGAGCACCTGAACCAACAGTCGAGATAGATGCCGAAGAGTTGAAAAAAGAAGTTAGTCAGAAGAGGAGGAGGGGAATGGGAGAGGCTGAGTTTGAGGAGTTATGGGTCGGTGCCATTGGAGAAATTAAGGGGAGAGATGAAGTGGTTGTTGGTGCTGATGGGTAAGTTGTAGATTTTCTTCCCTTTTACCTCTTGCATTTTTATACATGTATCCTTCCCTTTATTACACAATATCTTCTGACAACTCGGTTCACTAATCAGGTTGAACATTCCTGTTATAGATCAAACACCCTCACAAGTACCTCACTCGCACGTCTCCCCCTCACCTGTGCTATCAAACGATCCTTTAGAGTCACATTGGCAAGACATTATTTCGAAATTGGATCTGTAGGTCTTGCTTTTATCCTCTTTTTATATGTCCGTTCAGCCATTCGCAATTATAGAGCTACCCAAGCTGTAATCCCCTCTTTGGTTTCACTCACTCTATCGCGTCTCGCCACTCAAGCATCTCTTTACGCACAAGATCCAGATGCCGTAAAGGAGAGTTGGATCAGTATTGGCCAACTAAGAGATGATGTTTTACGGGATGAACATAGTTTGCAAAAGCGAGAAAAGATCTGGACGAAAGTGAAGAACGTAGTGGAAATGAATGCGAATATTCGACCAATGCAACGAGAGAGTCAAAATGGTGAAATCTCCAGAGTTTGGGAATGGATTGGTGCATTGGAGGATGTGGAGGGTAGTGTTAGGAGGAGGAAAAGTGAGAAAGTTAATTGGGGAACACCGTTGAGGTATGGGGATAAGAAATTGGAGATGTCGACGGTATCGCCTAGGTGGGAGGAACCGGGTTCGACACCTGCTTTTTAGATAAAGTATGTTTTATGTATACGTGTATGTATGCAGGCGATTTATCTATTAGCCCTTTTTAGTTCAATTCAGAAACATGTGTTTTATTTACTTACTTATTTATCTATCTATCTATTTATCTATTTTGATTAAAAAAATTACTTAAAATCCTTTCTTGCGTTTGCAGTACTGGTTGTGAGTGAGATAGCGTGATGATAAATGAGGCGATGATATAATAAGAAAAGAACATAAAGCACTGAATAATCAAGAATTAATAGACTGATATAATTCTTTCTTTAAGAGTTGAACTATATTGATATCAATATTCATAGTAGTAGATAGTAATAATAATAATAAATTTATAATCGATTTCATTATAATTATTATCATCTATATTAAGAATTTATAATTTATATATTGATATTAATAAATATATATATAAATAATAAAAATTATTAAGGTTTTTAAATTTCAAGATAAATTCTTTTTTTAATAATTTTTATAAAGTTTAAAATGATTAGATAATAGATACTAAAGACTTAATTCTCGAGTAGATTACTCAAGTATAGAGATCTCAGATGTGATTTATTTATTTATTTGGTTAGCTGGGTAGCAAACAAACGAACCTTGATCCTCTCTCTCTCTTTTCCACGCCTCACAATTCATCGCCTTCCCATGTTCATCTCCATGTTCATCTCCTCAACCTCAACCTCATCCTCACTCAGCCTCAACCTCCCTCCCTCTAAAAAAGCAAAGACCTACCAAGCACGAAATCTCGCACTACAGGAAAAACCAAACGACATTGCTTTTACTGGATTATCCAATCATCCCACTCGCCCACACACCGAAGTTGATGTGTGATCGGGATAGTATATTCTGCTTTTTTGAGCGACTGGCGCTTTTTATTTAAAGAGTGGTGTTGGTTGACCACTCTTTCTGTGCGTGGGATATTGTGGGGACATTGGCACATTGCTGCCGTGTTGATATATGGAGGTGAGGATGAGGAGAGTGAGGAGGGTAGTAAATAGACGGATGGATGGTTTGTTTTTGGGTGTGGGCGGATGCGTGGATGTTATGGATCCTGAGTTTTACGGTGTGTGTGAGTTGAAGGATTGAGATGTTGTGATCTTGATGATAGTAGTATTATTATCGGTAATAATTGACATTATCAATTATCATTATACGAGAGAAAGGCCGCCTAGAGAAATCCTTACTCTTCTTGGTTATGAGTAGATAAAATCTTATATCCACTTTGGAGATTTGCTGTACGCCGGCCAAAGTTCTATTCTATCAACATCAACACCAGTCACATTGTCGAACTACTCTACCCATATCCTTCTTTTATGAGGATACAAAGCATGTGGATTGTGCTGCAGAGCACGCGATGAGTGTGGCTAGGTCATAACTAATATATAGATCGTCATTGCTCTCAGACGTAACGCTTGATATACGACTGCGAATCTCCAGCAACTTGATAGACTTGGTAAATGATGGTATCTCGTACTATTACGGTACGAAGTAATACCGGCCAATCAATGTCATCATCCAAAGGCCCTTCTGAACTAATCTTGAACAGCACTTTATCTGATCTGGATCGATTCAATAGGGAAACACCCTGAAAGTTCAAATATTTACCTTCCTCCTCTTAACCAAGCAAGCACAGAGAAAAAACTATGATAAACAGGGAATGTGCGCTCGGGCATACTTTATCATGAGCCACTCGGCCGAGGTCATCTGTGCAAACCTAAAAGTAGGTATTGCGCGATAACTTATATACACAGGATATCCAAGTCATTTGCTTCAACCTTGAATATACACTCACTTTTGTAGATACGATAAATCAACTGTGTGCCAAATCGTATTCGTAATTACTCCAAGAAGTTTGAACGATATGCGGACCAGGACGAAATTCAAAGTAAGTGGTGGCCAAGAACTGGCTCATGTGCATGTGGACTTCAAAGCACAGACTTGACATCCACCGGCTCTGCTGAGGCCTGGTTCCCGGAGCTCGGCAAATGTTCTTTGAAAATGAAGATTTCCATGATTGGTGTGTTCTCTTGAAAACCCTGACTAGACATGATGGACGTCCACATCGCGAGCTATAAGCTTACGTAAGCTCTTCTCGACAATCCAATCTATCTCTACTGAGAGTTCATGCAAAGGGAAAACTATCCCGGATTGAAATATTCGGAAACATCCGACGTCTGATCACTTGTCATTGTGATTTGAATGTGCATCCTGATGTCCGGAAGTTCTTAGACTTACAATCATTTATGTTGCGGGGTCGAGAAATCGGTTACTTTCAACTTACCATGTGGTATGATGGGGTATCTACCGGCACCGGTGAATATATCGAAGATCAATGGCGATCCCAAAGGAAGAGTGAAGATCTTTAATATATCACCGAATATCTCTTTGATACACTTGGGAATAGTATCATCTGACAGTCAACATAATGGTTGAATGGTACAGTAAGGTAAGACAGTTGAGATGCAATAACATCTGGTTGGCATGTCAACATGTCAATTGGGAGCGAACGATGTAGGAAGAACATTCCGCGTCTTCCGCGTTCCCGTTTTCTTCGATACTTAGTCGAGATACAGTATACAGTATCAATGTTGGTTGTGGAAATTAGGAACAACAAGGCTCAGCGTGGAAACTCGGCAAGGGATAACGGCTCTTGTTAGCGAGTTAGGCGCACAATTATTAGTGAGACGGGTGAAATGGGTGAGAAAGACTGAAATAGTGTAGTAACCTAGTAAGTACATACTGTAGTCTGTAGTAGGTATTCAAGTTGATTTTCTGGTTATTTCAACAAGGCATTCCCAGATGGATGAATGAATGCCAAGGGAGTACAGGGTAGTGCAGTATGTAACCTTATGTATTAGCAAGTAACCTATGTATTAATTCCTTGCGTAAATTATGGCCCACTTGGTGATTTTAGTGTATGGGGATCCCTGATTTTCCTCAGAATCTTCCGTCCCGCTCTCTCACTTGTTCCTGTCCCTGGATTTATTAATCATAGTGACGACCCAATAGACGGGATACATCAATTCGTTGATGTCTCATTCTGAATCGTAAAGTGTAGATTTAGTTGAATCTCCCTTGTGCATCTAATGCTTCTAATGCTGCATGTCATGACTGTAAACAAAACTACCCATTAATTATCTAACTTGAATCGTAAGAAATCAACCCATCTGAAGTTTAATTCCGAGTTCTATCGATTTTTACAACGGTAACGACGTTGACTTTCGAAAAATGTCTTGTATCTAGACTACTGAGTAAAGTCAAAATATGGGCGCAGCTAGGCGTTACGTTATACAGTATTACTTGTTAATATACTCGAGTATAACTGCATGCAATCACGCTCTTTTTTAGTCTAAAACTCTAAGCGAGTCACTTTATTCAACCTCATTGTTTTACATTAACTACCTACAGCAACAGCGTGCCGTGAGGAGATGCGGCGCTTACAATACTGGCTATTTTGGGCCGATGAGATGTACCAATACAGACACCAGTGTACGTAACACTATCTTGGACGGAAACATCAAGCCTCATCCTCAAAAATTGAAGCTTTTGGTTCATATCAGCTAAAGGCTAGAATATCTTTCAGCGAATCATCTCCACCACTGTCTTCACGAGTGATCATGATATCAGCATTTTAATACCAATTACCTGCATCCTTAAGTGGCTTTTAGACTTTAGTTCTGCTCTTGATATCAATACAAATATAGACTAATCTATAACTGGCTTTAGCATGCTTCTACGGTATTTTCCGCATACAAGGACATGGTGGGCATATGTTTTGGTGCTTGAATATCCCGAGGGAAAGGAAGGGAAATTCGCTCGAGCACGCTAACATATCCCCACTATCAAACTTTAGTTGATCTCCAAGTCCATATCCCATCAGAACTCGGTAACTATCGAAAACTGCTTTGCCCGATACCCTTCACTAAAATATTCTATCATTTGAGGTGATTGAATAACATATTCCGTCAAAAGTTGTTTTGAGCTTCGTCATCGTATGCTTCGTCCCAAAGAGGAAGGATTGCCAAATGCGCTCTATATTGATACCTGATGAGGCGACTGAAACTATGCCCTGCGATAGGATATACCCCGAATTTTAAGTTTAGCGGGATAGATTGCATGTTGAGCATACCTAGATCGCCGTTCAATATCCTTATGCACTCTAGTGTCTGCCCAGTGGCTCGGTTTGCTATGCTTACACTTATCCCACACTGCCTACCCTTCACCTTTTGACCTATTTCTTCCTATACTGATCTACGCGTTGAACAATGAAGAAGATTGAAGATTGAGACACATGGCGAACAGAAACTTCTATATGTAAGACCTATCCTGGTTCAGAAACGGTGGTCATCGACGTTATTCGAAGTCAACATGAGAGTATTTTCTTGGTTATTCTTATGGTGTGCTGTGCTGCCAGTCAGCATCATCGCTGAGGCACTATCATTGACTGATGCCGTTGAAGCTCTTCCTAAGTGTGCTGTAAGGTGTGGATATTCTTGAATCTTCTCACGTTTTCTGACAATAAATTAGGCCACTTGTCTCACCACAGCTCTGGCAAACTCTACCTGCTCTCCTACCGATCAACAATGTATTTGTACAAACGCGCCACTGAACACAGAACTTAATGTCTGTGTAATGGTGCATTGTACCGTTAAAGAAGCACTTAGTAAGTCAAATCCGTATATCATATCAACGTCAATTCTAATTGTTCTAGCTACTCAGAACGTAACTTCTGTCGCTTGCAACGCACCTTACAGGGACAAAGGGAATTTCTATACCTGGATCTCCAACTCATTCGTTATTGTTTCTTGGGTGGCATATCTTTTAAGAATTACATCGAGGTTCATTTCTGACACTAACTTTTGGTGGGATGATTATATGGCAACTGCTGTTATGGTCAGTAGGCTTTTCCTGGATCACGGACATTACTGATTCAATTATAGATTATCGGTATACCAAGTTCCGTCATTAACGTTCAAGGTCGTGAGTTTCCTGTAGTCTAAGATTCTATCCTGTACATATACTCATCAAATGGCAGTTAGTGCCCATGGATTGGGAAAAGATATATGGACTTTAAGCTTCAAGGATATCAGCGACATGATTCGTGTAAGTACCATCATGACCTATAATCATAGCCCATAAACATTCGAAACTGACCATTTACAGTTCTTCTACGCATCCGAGATCCTGTACTTTGCACAAGTTAGCTTTGTAAAGATTTCCATCCTTCTCTTCTTCCTCCGGCTCTTCCCTGAACGCAAGATCCGCGTAGCAATCTGGTGTACCATCATTTTAAATGGCGTAATACTCGTATTATTTGACCTGCTTGCCGTCTTTCAGTGTCGTCCAATAAGTTTTTACTGGAAGAGGTGGGATAATGAACATGTCGGGACATGTCTCAATATCAATATCCTGGCATTTAGTAGTGCTGGTCAAAGTATTGTTCTGGACATCTGGATGTTGATACTGCCACTAACTCAACTATACGATCTTAACCTACATTGGAAAAAGAAGGTTGGAGTGGGAGCCATGTTAGGTATTGGTATTCTGTAAGGCTTTACTCTTTCCTTATACACTATCATGCTAACCCTCTCATCAGTATCACTATAGTCAGCGTCCTCCGTCTCAAATCCTTAGTACATTTCGCCAATACACAAAACCCAACATGTCAGTTCACCAATTCCCCCGTCATCAAACTCCACACTAATCTATACATATGAAGGGGACTACCTCGAAGTAGGTTACTGGTCCACAATCGAAATCTGCGTCGGCATAATCTGCTCCAGCATGCCTGCCCTCCGTCTCCTCCTCGTAAGAATATTCCCCCGTTTCGCAAGCACAACGCACAACTCGAGCAACCACTCGAAAACGCACGGCAACGATCCCAGCAAAAGACGCTCTAGCATCCCCAAAATCCAATTCAGAAACGCGTATAGGAGGGAGACTTTACATTCTGGAGGCGCCGGAGGGCCCGGTATAACGATGAAGAAAACTTTCGAGGTGGTGTCGAATCAGCGGGGTGGAGGAAGAGGAGGATTTGATGCGGAAATGGGAGAAGAGGATGGGACGGAATTGGTTCATCGGCCTGGAACGAAGGATTCGGAACAAAGGGTTAGTTTTGAATATTTGGGGAGTCATTTATCATCGCCTTTGGATGGGAAGGGTTCGCAGGGGAGTGTGGATGATGAGGGGGAGTTGGGAAGTCCGAGGAATAGGGGTTGGGTTTGATGGTTTGAATTATAGATGTATAGATGTGTATATATTTTTGACTTTGTATTTATGAATGAATGAATGAATGAATGGATGGGTGGATGGGTGGTTGATTATTGTGACTGAAGTATAATACTTGTTTATGATGTTATAATATTATAATACTTCTATATACCTAAGTAATCTTATAAATAACGACTTTAATAAGTGTTTTATTTTGTTTATATAAATTAATTATATATATATATATATAAAAGTTTTTACAATATCTCAATCCGATCATTGATTTATTTTTTATTTTAATTAATTATATATATATATATTTATAAGATCTTATATTAATTTCATATTTAAAACAATTCAAATTCAAATTCAATTCAAACTTCTTTTCTTTAATAATAATAATTTTAAAGAATAATATATTATTTAATCTTATATAATCTTACATTTATATTTATGTACCTACCTATATAAACACTCATTCTATCTATCATCCTATAGGATTAATTACCTCAGTTCAGTTTTATTATCCTCCTCGGTTAAATATTTCAACCATTCAACCAATTTATAAATTATCCCACCCAAGTTCCAACCCATTTAAGGAACGCAATACAACCATCCAACAATTAACAATCCCTTTACACAATCAAATCACCACAGTCAATCACACAGCAGCAGCACCGACTTCAATCAATCAAACACTATACCCAATCAACTATGCATTTCAATATAATTTCTCTCTCTCTCTCTCTCTCTCTCTCTCTCTTGCCCATTCCCGCTGTTTAATACTCTCATTCAATTATTCTCTCCTCCTATACACCTTATCCACATCACCCCACTCCATACAATCTACACAAAAACATGGAAGAAGAAAAACAAAACACAGACATGCAACGCTCGCTTGTTCTTTATATATACCCATTCACCGATGCTATAATTATCAGTTCCCGACCAGAGAAATCCGAGTCATCAAAGTCATAAGATATTCCTTTATCTTTCCTTTCCTTCCCTTCCCTTTCCTTTCCTTTCCATCGAGTTTGAGCTCGAGTCCTGCTCCAAATTCCTCCGCCCGTCTACGTCCGCCCATGCATGCATTCCTTCAATATGTATCAAATCCAAGACACAGTCTTCTTAATAATATCCCCGGACCCAAGTAAGCCATTGATCCTTCCATCAGTTCTTCCTTTCCTTCCAATATCTTTCCATCCATACCTCCGCCGCCAACCAAATATATTCCATTCCAAGTATACCAGCTCAATAACAAAAATGAAGCACAATAATAATAAATGAACAATCACAAAAAACACATGCCCGTCCCACTCCAAGACTTAACCCAACAATCAATCAGCAAATATATAAGATAAACTCCCATCTCCTATCCGACCGTATCCTTTTTATCCATATATAAACCTAGCCGCTAATGCCTATACCCAAAGACCAAAAAAGTCAAGAGAGTCGACGTGTATAAATAGATGGCTGAAAATTCAACCATACCATCGCTATTCTGCCTCCCAGTAAAGTATACTAAAATAAGTGAGTAAGAGAAATATAGTAAAAAAATGCTGTACATGGTGTCCAGGTAAGCTATACACTGTGCTACCCTAGCCAGATTGTCTAGTCGTATTGCTCAAGAAATGATTCATGCTATCGATATCCGAGATTCAGTGTGTCTTGGTTTATGCGTCCTCGAATATATCCTCGGATATATCCTCGGATTCGTCCTCATATTCGTATACAGAGGGTTCTAAGGCTTCCAAAGGTTCCAAAGGTCCGTACATCGCTCTATATTTTTGTAATTCTCGCAAATCAGCGGCAAGACCTTCTATAACACCTGCCATTGGTGCGCGTAGTTGATCGAGGTCTGAGATCAGTGATTGTCCAATCGCTAAATGACGGGTAGCGAGTGCTGCGGTGCATGTCTATGATATTATTAGACAAATTTCATAACAGTGCCTTTTGGGGAAACTTACCTCAATCCTCGAAACTTGATGGGTTAAGAAATTCAGCAAGAAACGATCAGTTACCTCTCCACCTCTATTCCTCATCTTCTCAAGCATTGCTGTTTCAGGAGGCTGTAAAGCGGAACCTTGAGGTTCTTCCAGAGTTGAGCACAACATCTCCAACCTTAGACTGAGCCTCCATATATCCCAAACATTCTCGGTGTCAATGCTCAGTTCCGAATCGCGAGCAAGAGTGGCAGGCTCCTCCTCAACAACGGCTGCCTCACCACTTTCCAAGCCCCGTTGAAACTGGATTCTGCCAGCGAGGGCATGTGGATACATGAGGTAGATATATTCTGGATTCTCCAATCCTTTGAGCTTTCTCTCCCCTATATCCTTGACTTCAAATCCTTGACTGCTGAGTGAGCGAAGCTCACGGCGAATTGAGTGACTGATAAAGTCGCTGTCGAAAGTATCTTCCGAGCCCATGGATCCTGAGCGGTCGCTTTCACTATATGTCTCGAGACATCGCTGGATCTCTGATATAAAATCAGCCGAGACAGTAATTTGACCACCATCGGCGACGGCAGAAATACGAGCGGTACGGTTGACCATAGGACCAAAGTAATCCATACGTCTTGTCACTGGATCATTTTCACACACTGGACGACCCCAATGAGCACCCATCCTAACGCTTAAACCCTTGAAAATCAGATTTTTATTGCTGTCGTAGACCTCATGTCCCATGTTGCTGGTTATGACTTCGGCGGGCCAATTAACTTCAAGCAACGCTGATTGGACAGCAAAGCACCAAAGAAGAGCAGATGTAGCAGTAGGAAATGATACCATGAAAGCATCTCCTTCTGTCTTGACCTCGTAGCCACCAATAATTCGCAATTGGCGACGCATGACTTCATTGTGAAGTTTGATTGCTGATCGCATAGCGCTAGGGTAGGTTTCCCAGAGTGCCGTAGAGCTCTTGATATCAGTGAAAACAATACCAATGTCTCCAACAGGTGCTTGGACTTCGGCTTGTAATCTTCGGAGCATTGAATCATCGACGTCATCGGTCTTCTTCTTAGGTCTCTTGGAAGGTACATATCCCTCGTCCATCAACATATTTGGATTGAATGATAGACTTTGAACACGATGTGGTCGTATTTGGGCACGCTTCTTTAGATCACTAACACCCATCATCATAACCATTATCTTTCCGGAAGCGCCAAAGGCAATGGCAAGATCTCGAAGCCTTTGTGCCGCCCTCATCAAATCATGCTTTTCATACCTGGCAATATCAACAACCAGTTCAGGGGACAGGTACTCCCAAAGCTCCCTTGAAGCGATCAGTACCATCTCATCCTGCTCCTTGATGGTGATATGCTCCACATTAGGGGCAGCCTGAACAGCTGGCATGAGTTGAACATATCCGAAGGCACGGGATACCTCGAGAACATCGTTCAATTTCCCCTGCCTGGAGACCCAGCCCCCTGCATCTCTGATACGCTGCCTTTCGTTTGGCTCGGCTGGGTCATGTTTCCGGGTCAATATTCGATGTCCGTCTTTCTCATGAATGAGCATGGCTTGGGCGTCTCCAACATTGGCGACGTAGAGCTCAGATTGTTGTAGAAACATCACAGTAGCCACACCACCAGAGATGAGATCCGCTTGGCTGAGAACTGCTGGCGTAGCTGATCCTCGATGTGAAAGCAGGGATCTTTCTTCCGTATTCTGAGTTGCTGCAGTGGCTAAATCTTTGTTGAGTGACAAGAAAGCCCGTCTGAGCGCATCCTTAGGAGTCTCATTATTTAAAGCGTTCAGTCTTTTCAGTTCCTCGCTAAATATATGACCAAAGTTCTCATGGAGGTATTTGGCAATCTTTGAACCTCCACTCGACAACGCCTGACCATCGAACATACCCAACAGGGTTTCAGTCTCAGTAGAATTGAAACGCGGCACAACCATATCAATGATGGACAGGTGTTCATTCTTTCCCAGACTGTCTGCCATGCCATAAGCCAGCTGGCCTGCAAGAGAACCTGAAGTACGGACTCTTCGATCTTCAGTCTGATCAGGAATTGACGGAATAGTCAAGGTTACATCCATGAGACCCAATATTCGCAGGTTCTGCAATGCGCTAAAATCCGTGAGATCACGACCATCTCGAGCAGCTGCACTTCCCGGCAAGGACGGCTTGATCTCTAAACGTTTATTACCAGAAAGGTTGAGGTATTTCAAGTTGGTATTCCAATTCCAGTTCCAATCATAAGGCCAATTCGAGACATTGTATTTCAAGGAGTTGCTACCACAATCCAGAACCTGCAAACGATGTGCTTTTCCAAGCTCTGCAGGTAGGGTCTGAAACTTGTTGCCATTAATGTGCAAGACTTGCAAGAGACTGAATTCTTCAAAATCATCAGAAGGAAGAGAAGTGAGCTCGTTCCCGGATAGATAAAGCTCAACCAGCTGTGGCCAGCTCTTGATAGACCTCGATGGCATATCGTTAAGATCATTGTAAGAGAGGTTAAGTACCCGTAGTTCGCTGAGGAGAGTGATTTCATCGAAAACATCGTCATCAAGTCCATTGTCAGCCAGGTGAAGAATTTTTAATGACCCAGCGAATGTATTGATAAGTTTAGCCGACAATCCAGAGTCCTTACGGGTGTTTGTAGGTGTTTGGTGATTAATTGTGCTTGCGGAAGTACTCCTCGAGACTACTGAAGTTTTGCGCCCTCCTTTACCGTAAACAGACACGACAGACCCTTTCCTAGCATCAGGGACTGGAGAGCTGCCCACGCTGAGAAGCCCACTAGACGCCTGGCTCGGTCGTCTATGCGCAAAGTCCAAGGGCCCCAGCTCTTCAAAGCTTGAATTTTGTGAATTTGGACCAGTATTATTGCCGTTTGTGGAACCAATGTCGCCAGGTGGCTGAGGAGGTCTTGAACCTGGTTTTGGGAAATTATCCAAAACATTAGAAGATACATTGAGAAACTCTAACTTATTCGCCCACCATATTTCCATGGGAAGTTTCTTGAGGTTGTTTTGTCTTATATCAAGATATCGAAGCTCTGTCAAGCACCCAAGTTCCGCCGGAAGACTGCTCAAAGCATTCCGCGCTATGCTAAAATACTCCAATTTGCGTAACTTGCCAATTTGGGCCGGTAGAGACACGAAGTGGTTTATGTCTAGTACGAGCTTGTTGAGATTCGGCATCTTGTCAAAGGCAGCGTCGGGAATTTGTGCCAATTTTGCGTTAGATAGATTCAGGGTTGTTAAGGTCGGGACCAAATTTTTGATCTCGAATTTGGTTACCGGATTCGAGTTCAATCGAAGGATTCGGATTTTGGCAAACTCACATTCGCAGACGGAAACTGAATTGTGATCTGCAGAAATCTGTTCAACCTTGGGAAGAGTTGCAATGATGTCAATACTCGAAAGCATGTTGTACCGAACGTCAACTTCTTTGAGGTTCACAAGTTCTCCAAAAGTGTTTGGAAGTGAGCCCTTCAGTCGGTTGTTCGTGATGACGAATCTTTCTAGATGCTTTAGCTTGCCAATCTCGTTGGGCAGATTCGATATTCCGTTGAAACTCATATCAATATCGATCAAAGCAGTCATATTGCAAAGGAATTCCGGAAACTCTTCTAGAAAATTCGATGAGAGATTCAAGGTTCTCATCGATCTGTACAGCCCAAAATATGAAGGCAGACTCTTCAGTCGATTGTTCGCGAGCTTTAAACTAATGAGGCCTTGCAGTCTCGATAGTTCGGCATGCTCCAACTGCTCGAGTCGATTATTGGAAACATCAAGGATTGTGAGGCGATTAGCTCGACTGAGACTAGCTGGAAGCTTCCACGCTTCGTTGCTGAGGAACTTGATTTCTCTTAGATTGACGCATGAAGAAATGAAATCCTTCGGCAGATCGAGGGACAAATTCCGCGACAAATTGAGCGAGATCATTTCTGAAGTCTTAGAATATAGTGCAATCGGGATAGTGATGAGATTCTTTCCTGATAAGTCTACATGACTAAATTTCTGGACTCGACCAAGCCCATTGTCGTTTGACACGGATGCGTAACCGCCTTGCCTCGCCGGGAGAAAGGAAAACCTACAGAGGTAACTGTTGTCTTCCCTTCCCACATCTTCAATTCGATCTTCGGGATGATATCCTGCTTGCTCCAAGAGCCTCCTCTGTATAACAAGTGGGCGTTCTCCAGGAGCCAGGATTCGTTGCAAGTCATGTTTCTTCATCACAATCTGGTAGTTGTCGAGACTGTCAGCCTGGTAAGTCTTCTTATTAAGCTGAGCCACCAGTTCGGTGACGGTAGTGTTGAGCGATGTCGACAACGTAGCAAAAGTCCCATCCGCTTTGAATATCCTTATGCAATAAGGATTTGCTTTTTCTTCGGCCTTTTGAGGGATACCTGCTTCGTCAATCTCCGGGAGCCGCGACATGTTATCGTCGTCAACCTTTTTTACAGCCCAGCTGTCTGGTGCATTCCATCCAAGCCCACCTAAACTTTCGGTCTCTGCCTTTCCTTCGTCCTCCTCTCCGTTAAAAATGCTGTTATCAAGTGGAGTTAGAGGCGGCGGCTTCGTCAAGATCCCATCCATGTTCGACAGATTGGTATCCAGGTGGTGGACATTATCTCCACTGCGATCTGATGTATCATATAATTGATCTGAATCCTCTGCGCCTTTGTTTCCTCGGCCTTTCCGAAATGGTAGCTTCGGGAAGGTGCCCTGTCGTCCACCCGGCGGCCGAGCATTGCCATTGGTAGACTGGCTCGGTAGATTGAGCTCGGATCCAGTAATGCTTCCATCTTGGCTATATTTTGCAAGGTCTGGCGATTCATATATTCTTCCTGCATCTTGCTTCGAAGATCCATTGATAGGTGCCCGACTGGCTGCTGGTGTTTCTTTCAAGCGCGATGGGGTGTGATCTTTGTCCTTGTGCCTTTTGAATCGACCAGTCAAGTTCAGAAGACTCCTTTTCGTACCATTGTTGTTGTCTCTGGGCGATGACGGACCATCGCTGTTACCTCCCTTCGTTGTTTGACTCCACGTACTCATGCCACTCGGTGTTGGGCTCTTTGGTCGTTGAAGATTAGGGTTGGAAGCATTTGCCGCGGCGGTGCCCATAGGATTATTATTTCGGTCCTTGAAGCGCATGCTGAATGCAGACTCCTCTCTACTTATGGTCGGTCGTAAGGATCTAGTGTCATCATTGCTTCGATTACGTAGATGATGTCCAGGGAGGTGGTGAGATTTAGCAGACGATGAAGTTTTGGGTGGTTTGTCTGAACTATCATTTATGTAGCGTTCTCTATCAGGGCCGGAAAGATTCTCTCGCACAGGTGCTTCTCCATACAGAGTTATATCCTATACATTTCCGTTAGCTTCAGGTACACGACGTACGCTTCAATGCATTGAACGGGGGGTCGTTATTGCCATATCACTCTCAACATTAGATTGAGAATCTGTAGAAAAATAAGAGCGAATCGACGAAGCGTATGATTTCATCTCAAAATTATTGAGAAGATACAAATCGTGTCGAGGAATGAAAGTCCCAAAGCGAAGATTACTTGTGAAGATCGAATTTACTGACCTGGGAATTCTGATATAAAAATGGAACAACTTCGCTAGATGGTACCGGTGTTCTAGGTCGGGATCCACCTGCTGGGGATGCGTCTCTATAATGTCCGTGGTCTGTGGCAGATGAATGATTTCGGTCTCGATGACTCCGCGCAAATGAATGCGATCGAACCTCCTTTCCCTGCGGCGGAAGGCTAGTCTCGGATGAACTTGGAAGGTCCTCACCAAAGAAACTTGTTAACTTTTTATGAAGCCCACCCACCGCCCTACCGAGACTAGATTTTGAACCAGTACTACTCGCTGTCGTTATACTTGCCACGGATGGTCTTCTTTCATCACCATCGCCAAAGAATGCGTCTGCAGGAGACTCGCTCGTATTTGTGTGTCCCGTTACTGCTGTTCCAGGCCTCGCAATCGGCGACAACTGTGAAGCTTGCGACAATGCATCGCTCGAATCATTATAAAAGCTAGTAAAGCCGTTTGGTGAACCTGTCGCGCTGCTTCCGGTAGACATCCAAGGAGCTATTTGGTTTGAAGAGGCTATCGCTGTTGGTGGATTATGATGGATTTGAGGAATGCGCCCGCCAGATGTTTCGAGGACTGCGAGATCACGTCGATAATTGCCGAAGTCGGCGGCCATTCTTTGCTCCCGTGGGGATACATTAGGAGATATCGACGAAGATGGAGATATTGTGTTTCGAGGTCCTGCAGATGTCGGCGAAACTTGAGCGTCACTTTCTACCCTACTGCCATGTCCAATGCAGGAAGCCGTTAGTTATGGAACAGGTTCAAAGCTTTTGTTCCAGGACATAGTAAAATGAAAATAGAATTTGGAATGGAAGTGTTTATGTGAAACAACTAAATAAAGGAAAAAGAAAACCAAGAGAACTAAAGCAATAAAAATAAAGATTTCTTTTTGCATCATGAAATTTTTTTCCCTTCATTTTGCTTACCTCGTTCTATCCGTCTTCACCTGCATTGGGGCTCCTCTCTTCGTTGATGAACCCTGAAAGTATGAGGAGCCAGGGCCTTTTATCGTATCAGTAGATTTCCAACTCCCAGTGCTTGAGCTCGTAGCGGAGCTATTACGATAGGAACCATCTTTTCTGGTCATATTTGACCAGGTATATAAACTAAAAACCGTCCATCCGCGAAAAGACTATTATAGCGGAAGGTGTGAATGGTGCAAAGTGGAGGGGAAATATATCTGTGGTTTTTGGAGGGGTTATTGAGGGAGGTGAAGTGAGGTGAGGTAAGAGTGGGTGTGTGGGTGTGGGTGTGGTGTGGAAGTGATTGTGATTGTGAGCGTGAGTGTAAGAGTGTAAGTGGAATTGTATAAGGAAATGTAAGTATAAGTATAAGTGTGATGGGGGGGAAGTTATATTTTGTGGAATTTCTAACTATTATTTGGTGGGCGAGGAGGAGATTGGTGTTAGGCGGCTGGGAACCTGGTGATGATGGGTAGGATTTGCTCTGATGTTCGGATTTGGTACAATCTAGGTCGTCAACTTGAGGTACATGCTAAATTCTTTGCTTTGCCCCACAGCTCTTTTCTCCATACAGAGTAGAGAATTGTGAATTGTGACTAGCTGCCATGATATGAAAATCAATCAACATACTAATGATAACATCAAGCAAGAAACAGGAAACATCTAAACATCTAAGCAAGAGCTGGACCGGGACCAGATATATGTTGGTGATATAAAAGATACCTAGCTGATATGTGTACGTTGAGAACTGGGTTTTGGGTTGGAATTAGTTTTCATTGATTGATTGATAGATGGATGGATAGATGGATGGATAGATGGATGGATAGATGGATGGATAGATGGATGGATAGATGGATGGATAGATGGATAGATGGATAGATATGTTGGCTTGTTTGTCTGTTTGATATTGTCTACAACAAACATAGAGTAATTGATGAGTATTGAATCAATCACTCCAATACAATGTTAGGAGAGTATCGTATCATAATGTATATCAGGATTAATACCAAATAGGTACTGATAACCCTGTAGTAGTCTGAGCCATACAAAACATATAAAATGTACCTATTGAACCCTTCTTAGTGTTGATATTCTGCGTTGCAATAGTGTCGACGACGACTTGACCATCTGGTGATTTGATGATGTTAACTCAAGCAAATATAGATTTCTTGTTTGGCTATTGTATTTGTATTGCATTGCATATGGATCGCAACAAGCTTATAGATAGTATTTTAAGTTCTTTGTTATGCAGAGAGCTTAAGCTCAGGCAAAAATGTTCATTTAGTGGGTCGACCAAATTGGGCCGATATCAGAATTTTGGCCACTTGATCTTTAATTATTCTATTGTGCCCTTTGTACAACAAAATTTCATTCCTCTCCCATTCCGTCAATCATGTAAGGCTAATGTAATGTGGGGATAAGCGAATCTGCAGATCTGATCACACTGCGCTTCTTCTTCTTCTTCGTAGATGTGAATCAATCCTTACCCATCACCATCACAGCGCTTGTCAAAGCTAAAAAGTATATTATTGAGTCCAACTTCCAAGACATGCTCATATCCATAGCTTTTCGCCCTTAAATCGGGCTACTTGGATTCCTTGGCCTTTGAACATGACATTTGAAACTTGGAGATATCGGGTTGGTGTGATGAGGCAAACAAACATACACCGGGAAGAGTGAATGATCAAATTTAGAGCATATGGTGATGAGAAGGAGGGTAGGTTGATTATGTGGCAGGGCATCCGTGGGTAGTATACGCGCACCGTAAATCGAAACCGACCTGTAAAACTAATAAATTCCATCTTCAAATGATATTTATGAGACGTATCGGACATAAACAGCATTTCCACTAATAACCGAACAGATGAAGGGGGTTATCGTAACTTGGCAATGAGTTGGGCGCGGTATTCCATCTTCCTTTCTTTGAGGTTCCTGGCGGGTGGGCTGTTTGAATGTCACCGGAATTTGGACCCGAGTCTTAGACCTACGCTCGAGATGGTATTTAGAGAATTTGATTTCAAACCTTTATTAGGACATCAACATGCCAAGTGAACAAAGGATGATTACTGAACAAACTGGATGGTAAGTGCCGGTTCAAGATACCTGGATTTGGTGTGGGTGTTAGGTATGTATCGGTGATATATTACCAGCAGTCGCATGGAATACGTTCTAATAAGCCGTCGATAACATAGAAGGATCAAGTTTTTGATGAGGTGCTGTATTCTCTCATCTCACACATCCTTCTAGATTAGTCTATTTTAAGTTATAAACATGAGTCCACAAGTATCAGATTGAGTCTTGCATATAGAACAAAGACAACGAATGAGACCTTTAAGATCTTTTCTCTCCTTCATATTGCAATTGGAAACAATCCTCATCTCAAATGGTTCAGTCCTTTGAGACCCGATTAATCACCGAGCGAGATGATCGAGGCGATTATCGACACGTGATCATTGATGATTCACCTTGTCGAAATTCAAAGTCGAATTATTAATAATAAGGATGAAAGTGTAACTGCAAAGCGGGGTTAATCCTTACTGTACCTCTCCCGGTCATCGGCAAGCTCCACCTACTTCCTGTACATACTACTCTACTCTGTACATACCTAATAGCTAGGAAAGTAAATAATTTCTCTCCAAAAGTCCTCTAGACACGGGATAGGTCTAGTGTCCCGAGTACAGCTTCAGCATTCCTTCTCAAATGAAATAGCTCGCAGAGAACGAGTTTGGTTCGAGGTGAATATTTTTTCCCCTTTCACGCATGGAATCGTCGGTATGCTGCGATCATATTCGCACAATGCTACCAAAGCTACAAATTTGATACATGCAGGTGGGCTTTTGCAGCAATGTTCGAAAATACATATACCACCATGGAGGCCTGCATCACCATTAGATGAGTATGAATATGAAGGTCCTGTCCGAACTCTCGTATGTTCTTGCTAACCATTTTAGATGGGTTGCCAAAGATGCCAGGCCTATCAGTTTACGCCAACTTATGGTATTCGGGCGATCGTTAACTGAAGCTCGACTTGTAAGCTCTGCAAATTATGTGCGAACAGAGCTCCCTACCAGGTGAATATGCTGTTTTTCTTACGCCTTCTATTCCTGAATTAACAAGAGTGACAGATTGGCGCACCGCATACGAGATATGCAAACGCTTCCGTATGTCGTGGTCACCAATCCGCATATGAGTCAAGTCTACGAGTTATACTATAAAGCATTTGAAAGCTTCCGGCGGGTGCGCGAGATCAAAACATTAGACGATAACGAAAGACTATGCAAAGTCATCAGCAGTACCCTACAAGAGCATCTTACCGTGATTCCAAAATTAGCAATGGGCGTATTAGAATGTCGAGATCTAATGAATCCACTGGATATGGACAAATTTATGAATACAATTTTACGATCGAGAATATCCCGACGGGTTATTGCAGAGCAACACATAGCATTAACAGAGACCTTCCATTCTCATTGGCATTTTCCTGATGGGAAACCAGTAGAGGCGGAATTCGTGGGTGAAGTCTTCTTGAGGTGCAATGCGAAGGAGGTGGTCGAACGAGTGGGTAAGGAAGTTCAGGCCCTGATGTCGGCAACCTATGGATCTACCGCGATTATGCCTGAGATCCGGCTCGCGGGACATCTCGAAGCTACATTCCCATACATTCTCAGCCATCTCGAATACATAATCGGCGAGTTATTACGGAACTCGATTCAAGCCGTAGTCGAAAAGCAAAAAACCGGTCGTAACATGAACAAACCACCACCACCCATAGATGTAACAGTCTGCGAAGCACCTCAACACGTAATAATTCGAGTGTCGGATCAAGGAGGCGGTATACCGCGAGATATCCTTCCGTACCTCTGGGCATTCAGCAAAGGACCACGCAGCAATCAACGCCTCGAAAACCTCAACCAAGTTCCAAAAATGGCTGCAACCATGCAAGAACTACGGGTGACGGATGAGGCACTACCTGGACTTCAGAGAAGCGGAGAAACCATCGGTAATCAAGGTCCCAGCTCCACATCCACACACGAAACATCCCTCTCCTCGTTAACTAGCCGCCCTCCCAATCTTCGACTGGGTATGGGCCTACCTCTAAGCCGTGTATATGCCGAATACTGGGCTGGGAGTTTGGAGCTGCACAGTCTAGAGGGATACGGCTGCGATGCATTTCTACAAATATCGAAACTGGGGAATAAGAATGAGCAGTTGACCATGAGAGCCAGTATGGATGCTATATAGCAGGATATGATCTTTTGAATATACCCGGGATAATTTGAGTTACCTTCGAGCATGGATATCATTATACCAGATTTACATACTTTTATTAGAGATTAGGCGTTGAAGTTGTATGGGATTTGCGGTGGGTCTATATATATAAGCGATCAGACAGTTTAGGACAGAAATCAACAGTACAGATGCAGAGTAATAAGAAGTAGAGTGAGCAAATTGTCATGAAGAAGCATGAATTACATCGTGGCTAAAACTAGTGGAAATGGAAGCTCCTCATACGAAGCTATCTGGAATTAAGAAGCCTTCTGAACATTAACTGTCGGAGAAAAAGAAAAAACCACAAGCTGCAAAATGACCTGTTTGCAACTATCCCGGCATCGCCTCCATCATGTCATCCATCCCTGCTACGTCCCCACAATCCAATTTTAGACTAGAACTCCTCCCGAACCATGCATTATTTAACGACGGCCGTGACTGCGGGTTGCGGCAGTGCCTTGCATTTGCTCAAGTTCCTGTTCTAGAGATTTGATAGCAGCATGTGTACTCTCCAAATCCTTGTTCAAACGATCACGCTCACTGATGAGCTTCTGTTCCCATTGTCTGAAACGGTGCTCCTCGATCTTAACCTGCTCGGTGAAACGCTTTCTCAAGCTTTCTTCCTCTTCCTTGAATTTGGGGTTATCGAGCTTCCTAGGTCTAGCTTCACCAAATTTGCGAGTCTCCATTTGCTGGGCACGGTAAGCCTCGTAATGTGCTTCTTCGGTGGTGTGGATAAGATCGAGCATGTGTGTTCGGATGAGAATGGATCTCAACTTCTTGAAATCGCAGTGATCTTCGTTCTCGACTTCAGCCACACCCCACGCATATTGGCGTCCCTTAACGATACGTCCATCGCCAGTTTTGACATCCTTCTCTGAGCCAATAACCGCGAAAGGCATAGCCGCCATCAAACTTCGTGCATGTTGAGCAGCAGCCTCGTCATCTTCTTCGATAGGTGGTGTATAGATCTTGATACCTTGTGCTTCGATAACAGCTTGGATCTGTAAACACTATGTTAGCTTCGAAGCGATGAAATTTATTGACTATATCATACCCTCTGCTTAAAACGGACCAAATCAGCCGGGCTTAAGGTATCGGCCTTAGCAACTACTGGGATCAAGTTCACTCTTGAACTGAGTCTCTTCATAACCTCAATGTCGAGAGGCTTCAAGGTGTGGCCAGTAGGTCGGATGAAGTACAAACAAGCGTGTACACGTAAATCAATCTTATCAACACGACGAGGTTGTTGCTCTTGCAACATATAGGATTCATGTTGATCGTCCAAAAACTCAATAATTGGCATCCAGGAATCGCGATTGTTGACATAATCTCCAAAACCAGGTGTATCAATAACAGTCAAACGAACTAAGATAATGTCAACAATGGGTAATTGATCACCACAGCGTTCTGAATATATCGAATTCCATACCCTTGAAGAATTTCTCCTCTAATTCAGCCTTTGTGATTTCGATCTCGACGGTTTTATCCACCTGCTTCGCGTGTCTACGTTTGTGATCGGCATAGTTTTTGATTGTGGTAGAGAAAAGGGTATTAATGAAGGTTGTTTTTCCTAGACCAGATTCGCCAGCAACCTAGAGGAAGTTATGAGTATGATACAGCAGAAGGATCTGAGAGAAGGATAAGAAAACACATACCATAATAGTGAAGGCAGCACCTCTCTTTGCGACAATCTTGTGTCTTTGATTTGGTAAGTTCGCAATTCCGATGGGAGAAGCGCTTTCGGCGGTGGGTGGTGCCATTGTGATTATTATTTTATTGGAATCAAAGATTGAAAAGGTTATTAAGAAGAAGAAATAGATGAAAGACTTGTATGAGGTATCAAAATGAAGTCTTTTCCGATATTTGGGAGTCGGACAAGTTTGTTGGTTGAACGAATGGTAATAAGACTTACTTCTCACTTCAGGAGAATAGTATCTGCTGCTGGTTGAAATTCGAGTTACAAGCTGCCCCTGGGGATTCGCTGGTTCCTTATTTCGCCTAGCACCCCAACGCAAAAGCCACTAAACACACATCTAGCATCCATGGAGTGTGCTAATAAACGCTAAAATTTATTGGTTGCATTGATTTGCATATCGGATTATCTTTTCGGATTAATTCTAAATTCTAAGAAAAAATTCCAAATCCAAATCCATGCAGTGCGATAAGATTTTGAAGCTCAGAAAATCATCCACATATTAATATGCCAGTAAAACGGTAACAATGAAGACGGAGTTTAAGGTACGAGGGTTGGAATTTTGATATCGTTATTTACTAAGTCTTGATTAGTTCTCCAATCTCTTAGGGACTGTTTACAGCCAAGGAAACCTTCTCTTCAGTCCAGATGGTTCATGTCTATTTTCTCCAGTAGGAAATAGAGTTACTGTCTTTGATTTAGTAAAGTAAGTACGATCCTTCCAATTGAGATTATTGTACTAAACCTTTTCAGCAATAAGTCCCATACGCTTCCATTCGCACATCGAAAGAATATAGCAAGATTAGGACTTGCGCCGCGGGGAAATTTATTACTTTCTGTTGACGAAGATGGCCGCGCGATATTGACCAACGTACCAAGACGAATCGTCCTTCACCACTTTTCCTTCAAATCCGCTGTATCAGCTATTTCGTTTGCTCCATCTGGACGTCATTTTGCTGTGGGAGTTGGGCGAATGATCGAAGTATGGCACACACCCTCAACACCCGACACAAACTCAGAGGGGGAATTGGAGTTCGCCCCATTTGTTCGACACAGAGTTTATGCCGGGCACTATGATACCGTTCAGAGTATCGAATGGTCAAGCGATTCCCGATTCTTCCTTACTGCAGCAAAAGATTTGACAGCGAGGATATGGAGTCTGGATCCAGAGGATAGTTTTATACCTACTACATTGGCCGGCCATAGAGAAGGTGTTATGGGCGCATGGTTCTCAAAGGATCAGGAGACCATTTACACTGTTAGTAAGGATGGTGCCGTATTTCAATGGGCATACATACGAAACCCTAATGCCCCAGAGCCGGAGGATAAAGATATGGGAAATCCCGATGATGATTCGCACACCCAATGGAGAATTACGGAGCGACATTATTTCTTACAAAACAACGCCAAGGTCAATTGTGTAGCATACCATGCCGAAACGAATCTCTTAGTTGCTGGATTCTCGAATGGTGTTTTTGGACTCTATGAAATGCCAGAATTTAACATGATCCATACTTTGAGTATTTCACAAAATGACATTGACTTTGTCACTATTAACAAATCTGGAGAATGGCTTGCATTTGGAGCCTCAAAACTTGGGCAACTTTTAGTTTGGGAGTGGCAATCTGAATCATACATCTTGAAACAACAAGGCCATTTCGATTCGATGAATTCCTTAGTCTACTCTCCGGATGGACAAAAGATTATCACTACTGCGGATGACGGAAAGATAAAGGTCTGGGATGTGAATACAGGTTTCTGTATAGTTACATTCACAGAACATACCAGTGGAGTCACAGCCTGTGAATTTGCAAAGAGAGGAAATGTCCTTTTCACGTCAAGTCTTGATGGATCGATTAGAGCCTGGGATTTGATAAGATATCGAAATTTCCGAACCTTTACAGCTCCTACTCGACTTTCGTTCTCATCTTTAGCTGTTGATCCTAGTGGTGAAGTTGTTTGCGCCGGATCTTTAGATTCTTTTGATATCCACATTTGGTCTGTACAGACGGGTCAATTATTAGACAGACTATCAGGTCACGAGGGACCCGTATCATCACTGGCCTTTGCACCAAATGGAGGCGTAGTAGTAAGTGGTAGTTGGGATCACACAGTTAGAATCTGGTCAATTTTCGATCGGACACAAACAAGCGAGCCACTTCAACTTCAGGCGGATGTATTAGATGTTGCATTCCGTCCCGATTCTCTACAACTTGCAGTATCTACTCTCGATGGACAGTTGACATTTTGGTCAGTTTCAGAGGCTGAACAACAATCAGGTGTTGATGGACGAAGAGATGTATCGGGTGGTCGAAAAATAACTGATCGACGAACTGCCGCTAATGCTGCAGGTAATAAGAGTTTCAGCTCTCTGAGGTATAGTGCAGATGGTTCTTGCGTACTGGCAGGTGGTAACAGCAAGTACATATGTCTGTACTCGGTGTCATCTCTTGTCTTATTAAAGCGCTTCACTGTCAGCGTCAACTTATCCTTATCCGGAACCCAAGAATTCCTCAATAGCAAACTCTTAACGGAAGGTGGACCAGCCGGTCTTATTGACGACCAAGGCGAAGCCTCGGATCTCGAAGACCGCATCGATCGAACTCTTCCTGGATCTACCCGTGGTGGAGATCCATCCGCGCGCAAACGACTCCCAGAAGTCCGTGTCGCCGGGGTAGCATTTTCTCCAACTGGAAGATCCTTCTGCGCAGCTTCGACCGAAGGTCTCCTTATATATAGTTTAGATACCATGCCCCTATTCGACCCCATCGATCTCGACCTAGCCATTACCCCATCCTCCACATTACACGTTCTCAAAACAGAAAAAGATTATCTCAAAGCCCTAGTCATGGCCTTCCGTCTCAACGAAGCCCCTCTAATCCGTCAGGTCTTCGAAGGTATTCCTCACTCCAGTATCGCCCTCATTGTCGACGAAATACCTGTAGTATATATACCACGTCTCCTACGTTTCGTCGCTATGCAAACCGAGGAAAGTCCACATTTGGAATTCTGTCTCTTGTGGGTTCAAGCCATTCTCGTTTCGCATGGACAATGGGTAGGCGATAATAGAACTTTGGTTGATTCCGAATTGAGGATTGTGGGAAGAGCGGTAGGAAGAATCAGAGATGATTTAAGAAGGTTGGCGGATGAAAATATTTATATGATTGATTATCTTCTTAATCAACCGCTTGAAAAGGCTGTTGATGGCTCGGAAGAAGGAGATAGAGATGTGAATATACATGATGTGGATATTAATGATGATGATGACGCGGGTGCGGAATGGATTGGTTTAGATTAGGTTGTATCATATTATACATATGGATGGGAAAAATTAACTTGGTTTTTGTGTTTATGTTTGTGGTTCTTTGCTGTGTTTGTTTATGCGTGACAGTGAGAGTGAGAGGGTGATATGATGCGAGGCTCGTAGATTTTCATCCATCATCCCATTGATCAATCAATCAATTATTATATATTTGGATTTAGTATCTACAATACCCCCTCGCTCTCTGTAAGACTTTTCGATATCCTATCACAACAAAAACAATCTTATAACAACTTTTTTTTTTTTTTTCGTAGGAAGATGGACAGGGCTGAATATTTGGAAGTGAATAAATATAAGAGGATTGGAATTAGTGTTATTGTTAGGAAATGAGAGAGAGTAGAAACTTAAAAGGAAATGAAAAGAAATATTCAATTTCGTGGAGTGGTGAGCTATACTAGTATACCTACCTACCTAGGTAGTTACCTACATGAAGTAATTATATCGAAGTTAGAAGTTTAATTTTGCAAGTCATGTTTTTTTATATTTATTGTATTTTAATATATCGTATTTCTCACTCATTCAAGTTGTATGCTACAACTCAGAAGTCAAAAGTCAAAACTCAAAAAAAAACAAAAGTCGGGTCATAGGATTATTCATTCATTATACTGTGTAATAATAACTATATATATTGTAAAAGTGGTAGGTCGAGATATGTGCATTCCGATAGTATATTGTAAACGGGAATTGAAAAAGAAAGTTGATTAGATTATATCATAATATATCACTTATAGAAAAAACAAGGTTTACAATAATTTTGAAATTGAAATTATATAGATTCAAATGTATATATATAAAAGATTGATTATTATAAAAAGAAAAAATAATTTTTTTTTTATATCTAATTATAAAAGGTTATATAATTGATTAATTAAAAACCTCTATATATCTAGCTTATAATTCTAAATTTCTCACAATATATATGTATGTATGTATATACATCATAAGCGCATGGCAAAAATACAGGAGGCTTGATAGCGAACCTGAAATGTAAAGAGACAGAGAAGAGAGAAGGAGGCCGGTTGGGTATCTCATGTCCGTCCGAGAAGACATTTGATGCTGGCTCTTGTTCTATGGGCTATAGACCAAAGTTCTGAAGCGGGTACCAAATGTTATCTGTATGGTGGGATTGGGTAGAGCAGGGTGTTGAAGTGTAGGATGTTTTTTATCCGATGTGCACGTTGTGCCGTGAGGAAAATGTCAGGGCTGTGATGTACCCGTGATGTTCTAGCCATAATGCTATAACCGTAATTAGTACCCAAAATGTTATAATCAAAGTGCTATAACCAAAATACATTCCACCCCCGTGCGCATATGAATGTTTGACATGCCAAAGAGCAGCCATATCCAAAGCAGATGAATGCTTTAGGAATATAGTCGGCCTAAAATGCATAATCCCAATACAATATATACCAAAAAACATCCCTCCACCCAAAATTCGCATGCAAGATTGCAAGCAAGCACTAAGCAACACTAAGCAACACCAAGCCGATATCATTTAAAAATAGCATCGATTTCACCACCATTTCCTAGCTCCACATTGACAATTCTCTCCAACAAGCGCCAATCAACCACCTCTATCAAATCATGTTTGCCATTTGAACGAGTGAGATTGAGGCCTCTAATCTGATGCATAAATGCGAGCGTCTGTTCTTTTCTCCCGTGTTCAGCTAGCGCGATTTCGCGTACTCTTCTGCCGGTGTTAGGACAGCGTTTTGGTAGGACTCTGCGGGTTACAGGAACTAGTGATGTAATGTAGGTGGCACCGTGAGGTTTGAGGAGATCTTCCGTTAACCAGAGGTGTGACGATATGCATGGTGCTAATATGAATATTTTGTTGCTGAAAACACAATTAGGTGTTTGTTTACATTGACCGGTACCAGTAAATATGTTAGTTGTAAGAAGATGGGATGAATTCGACTTCAGAGAAGGTCTGTGGATACGTCGAGCCGAGGACTTTCGAGATTCCATGTTATTAGAGTCCTTCGGTGAAATTTGTTGCGTCGGTCTTTGCGTCACGTTCAAAGATGACGTTGTAGATTCAGCTAAAGGGGAAGGCCTAGATGCTGGAGGTGAAACTAGCTGCTGAACGGATTTTGTAGATTGCGCGATCGAGGGACCTATACCTACTTCGTCTTTTGATCGGATCTCCTGAGCTGTTTGCGGAGGTGGATGTCCAAAGATCATCCTAGTCTGACCATCTCTTCGGATAGGCAGCAGGCCTTTAATACCGAACCTCGCGGTCACTTGTAGATACCGAGGAAAACTGGTGTGATATGCTGAAAGTACCATCTCATCTGGAACTACGAACCCAAAGTCCTTGTGGATAATACGGGTAAGCCATTTGGCTTGGGGTCCTTGAAGTCTCAAGTATATTTCTTCAAGACGATTCAGGTGCACTTATCAATGGACTGGGCGAGAGATCTTATAGCAGGTGATGACCGTTCACTTTGAGCAGCAGCGAATCCTTTATCTCTTCCACGGTGACGTTCTTGTATGAAAAAATTGTCCCCTGTCATAACATTTCAGTAAAGTTAATCGGTAAATGCGTACAGCACATTAATATCCCTCGGATGATACTTTACGTAACCGAAACTTGAGTCCATTCATGGATAATTTCAGGAGGATAGTTCCCCTTCGGCGATGCTATACTGACCTGGTCCGTGTCCCGACCTTCTCCTTCATTATCCGTTCTACATGATAGCCTATGTCGTTCCTGACTATATCATTGCAGCCACCTTTAGGGTTTGGCACAGAAATATAGCGTCCATTCTCGGCAAAACTCTCGAACTTAGCACGTTGTTCGACAGTCATATAAAAAGTTCTGGCAATGAAGCGTTCGAAGGTAACTTGATTAAAATCATAGTCCCGATCATCTAGGGCTTCGGGCTTGAGAGTGAATAGGACAGAAGGATCATCTTTATGCATAGCATCCAAGGTATCGCGATGAAGTTTAAACCAACTGATCCAGGCGTGGCCCATCTTTTGAATTCGAACATCAGGAAGTAATGGCACTGCCCTGCAAAGGAGACCTTCCAATTCATCCAGAAGTTTGCATACTTTGTAGAATGGAATGCTTTTCATCATGAGAAAGTATGCTGTGCCAAAGTGTAGGATGTGCTGATGAGTAAGAGGGGTGCATAAGAAGATGAACCATAGAATGAATATGAGAATATGATCATGTTTGTTTGTTTGTGAACAGATTGTGGTTGCAGTTATAGAAAATGGAAGTAGAATGATATTTCTTTGTTATGGACTAGTCAAGTCGCGTAAAGACCTTGGGCTGTCGTAGATAACACACTAGGAGACACGAAAATAGCTCGAAAACCCGTGACTCGGATGGTCTGGATCGGACATTGTAAGCTCCGATGTTAAGGATGTTAAGATACGATACATGCATGCATTGTCCTTGTCTCTCCCCCTCTAACCTGCATGAACTTTTGCTTTGCTTGCCGCTTTTGATATTTGAATTTCCCCTTTTATGGCCCTGAACAAGCTCAGACTACTTATTTAGTGAGTTGCTGTCCCATTCAATCACCAAGTTCATCCCATATTTGTTCTTCATCCACTGCCATCTAGACAAAGCTTCAGTCTTCAGGGTTGTTCCAGACCAAATCTCTTCAATCCCATAAACGACGAGCACAAGTACGTACCAAAATCAATTCTCATTCTTATAAAATTCAAGTTATTATACTTATTATATATTATTATATTTTATGTACTGGGTATGTATCTCTCAAGGGTCAGTTAAACCACCTAGGAGCAGCATAGTTCATAGTTACTCTCAATTCAATTCAATAACCGTTGAAGCCAAGCCTAGAACGATCTCGTACAACTCTTCTTCCAGAAACATTTCCATTCCTTTCTTCACTTGAGTCTTAAGGTTACAACTAACAACTCCACACTTCACCTCTTTTTTATGCCTCCCTTTATGGACCTCGAAAAATGAACATTCAAACGAGTCTGCTTTCCTGAATGATTGCGGATGTTTAGTTCTCTTATATATATATGATGTTTACGATCATCTAATTCATTTTCATCTTAGCAATTTATCTATAAAAAATATATATATTCAATCCACTACTATTTCTTTGTTCATCTCGTTTCGTTTGTTCGCTTTCATCCTGTTTTTGTTGTTTGTTGACATATCGCTTCCCCTACTACGAATGCATAAACATAACGACTCGATTACGATACCATAAACATAAACTCAGGATTTCCTCAACTTGAATGCTCATTGCGAAAATTACTTTCTTTCCACTATTCTGTGATCATTATATATACTTATTCTCCTCGATATGCAAAATGGATTCCTTCCACAACCGAATGACTTCAATTGATCGTGCTTCTGTTGGATCTATTCTAACAGGGGCCGATCAACCCACTGAAGTGACCTTACCAAGTCCACATATTGGTGCTTCACCCAATAGAGTAAATTTCTCTGTAAAGGAACCACCTCGACCCGTTGTACGACCAGTTCGTGCACTATCATATACTTCTAGAAGACCAAATCGACTTTCGCTCACTTTCCCTGTTGCTCCAAGCAACGGCCTTGAATCAGCCAGAGTTACTCCAACATCGTCAAATACTCCGTCAGTTCCTGCCACTCCCGCCGACCCAAATGTTATCGTATCACCAAATGATCCAAACGGTTTCCTGGTTGCCCTGGCTAGTCAGGAAAGAAGGGTTTTCGAACTTAAGGAGGAACTTAGCAAAGCTGAGACTGAACTTAAGCAGTTGAAAACACAATGGGCACTTCATGAAGCAACAAAGAAGAGAGCGGAAATTCGCCATGTCGAGAAGCTTCAACCTGTGCAGACTGAGCGCGGGTCTCCCGAAAAAAATGCATTAACGACTCCGAAACAAAGTATAGATATGGATCGAAAGAAAGCTTTTCTTGCCAATCTTCCTCAATTGCCGAAAGATCAGAAAAATCCACGAAGGAAAATCATTACCGGTGGTCATACTCGTACCCTTTCTCTCCTATCTCCTGAAAGGATGACGCGCAATTCTCCCGTCAACGAAGTGAATGGCACAACCTCGATCGACCTCCCAAGAAGTACTACTATGCCAGATACGAGTATTGGTATTTCTAGGGTCAACACAAACCGAGCAAACCGACATTCATATCAAGGAGGATTGGGAGTAACACATGGGGTGAAGCAGATTACAGAAGATGTCAAGGCCGGGCTATGGAATTTTCTGGAGGACCTCCGCCAAGCTACAGTAGGCGAAGAGGCAGTCAATGGCAAAGCGAGCAAACGATCAAGCTTCGATGCGACACAACGTGGGCTCAATAAGCGAATCAGCAAGGGTAGTTTGCGTGGACGACGAGGAAAATCACCAAGACCAGATCCATCATCACAAAGGACATGGGACTCTTTGACTGGTAGTAATCCTGCCCTCTTGGATCTAGGAGGCGCATTATGGCAAGACCCCAATACTCTTGCGGCACCGATGAAACCTACGAACGTTCAGAAGAAAAGCGCAAGACCAATTTCCTTCCCCACAGCTACCATTGATGATGACGATTGGTCAAACTGGGATTCTCCAACTCCCAAATCGCCTATGAGATGGAGCGGCAGTTCCACACTATCAGGTCCAGTGACCCCAGGAACCACAAGCAGTGAAGATGAAGTAAAGTGAGCATTTCATTCTGTCATTGACAAAGAAATAATCCACTAACAACTATATAGCATTCTGGACCAACACCACCCGCCCGAATCGCCCTCAAAAACGGATGAGATCCAATGGCCTGCACTCGATAACTTAAAACCGGGTAATCTTAAGAAAACTATATCCACAGCGATGAAAGAATGGGAAAAGAGTCTCGATCCACCTCCTGAAGAAACACATTCGGAAGATTTCCTCACCGGTTCTCCTCGTGTTAATGGAAGACGAGAAAGAGAGCGGGGTATTGTTGCAAGTGATGCACAATCTTGATGTGTGTGTGGAGTAACCGGCTGGTAGATATTCTGGGTATTCTTATGATAATGTTTTTGTTTCCTGCGTGTAATGTATGGGATGGGATGAAACTGGTGAATTGGATGGGATAGGATGGGTTGGAATGGAATCAATGGAATCGGCAGGTTACGAGATGAGATAGATTGTTGTTACTTTTTTATCTACTAGATACCATCAGCGTACCTACCTAGCTACCTAGGCAAACAGATCAGATATCTCTCGGGTGATTGATGATGGATGGATGATTTTGATGAAGGAATGAAAAATCACTTTTTTTTTTGGTCTGCTGTATCCTGCCCTGTTCTGATATGGTATGATATAATATGATAGAACCTTTTCGTCTCTAAATACCTATCATACCTTAATTTTCTGATTTGATATGATGTGATGATTTATACGAATATAATAATCCTAGAACAAATACAATCTTAGATATTCAAAATGCTAAACCATGCACTCTTTTTTATGCCCCAAAAACCCCGAAGGAGAAATATCAATATCATAATCCTATCCCATCCTATTCCATCCTATTCCATCCCTTCATTCTACATATAAACGTGTATGTACGTATGCACGTACGTATGTATGTATGTATGTATTGTACATAAAAGTAATATACAGATAGATATTCACACTCGTATCTACTGGGTAGGTACCTGAGGTACTATAGTTACACCTCACTTCGCCTCGCCTTTAGTTAATACATTCCACCTTCGCTTTTCGTTCCTGTGCATCTCTCTCTCCAAATGTTTGGAAATAAGTTGGATCACTCAAACTCTCAAGCCCCAACCACAACCACAACACCATTCCCCTCCCCCTCCACAGCTAACTCTTCCTCTATAATCTTCCCACTCCCACTTCCCTCACCATCCCCATACAAAAAGAACTGCACAAAAACCCCCGCATCCAACATCAACGTCCCCGCACTCCCAACCAGCCAACTCGCATTCACAGCAATATAGCGCAGATACTCTGAGCGGGCTTGACCAATCTCGCATTTCGAGTGGCCGTGCTTGGAAGCTGTGAGACAGGGAGCTTCGTAGGCGAAGATAGAGAGGACGTAGGTGAGATTGCCGATGCAGGCGAAGAGAAAGAAGAGCATAGAGATTCCTTGGGTGGATTTACGGCGGTGGTTGAGGAGGAGTTGGGGAATGCGGGAGGAGAGGTAGAGGATTGCGCAGAGGTAGCCGAAGGTTTGTCCGAGGGGGGAGAAGGTCGGGGTGGATGGGTGTTTGTTGTTGTTGTGGGGTTTGTGGGAGGTGGATGAGGAGGGGGTGGTGCGGGTGGAGATCCACCAGCCTAGGATGCCGGCTATGCAGACGAGGAGGATGCTGAAGAAGTTGAAGAGGAAGGTTTGCATTGGGGTGGTTGGTTTGTCGTTTTTGGTGGTGGGGAGATCGCTTGGTTTAGGGGGGTCGAGGAGTGGAACGACAGGGGAGAGATGTTGAGCGGAGACGGAGGTGCTGCTGCGGCGTCTTTCAAGACCGCTCAGGAGACCTGTGGTTTCACTGGGTGAAATAGCTGCGACTTCTGCGTAGGTGGGTTTTTTTGGTGGAGTTGGGGGTGGCTTGACTTCGTCCCGCCAGGTGAAGCCTTTGTAGTAGAAACATTGGCCTAAGAGGACTATATCTGCTATGGTGTAGTAAACGGCGAGGATAATCTGGAGGTGTTAGTGCGGGAATCGTGACATTCATGGAAGATATTTACCATGGTAGGAAGAACACCTTGCAACATAGCGCCCCAGATATTGAAAACATCACCAGCAAGCCAAATAATGATAAATTGTAAGGATAATCCATCAGCCTATTCGAGATATTAGTGCATTGCTCAACCAACCAATCTTGCTACTCGACTTGCAAACAAACCCCAACAAAAAGTCACATGGAATACTCACGGAACCTCTTTTCCAATTCTCAATAATCTGAGGACTAAAAACTACTATCCAGCACGCAATTGATATCGATCCACATATACCAGAAATGGCAGTAATATCCAAATTTAAATTTTGAGTCGGCGGAACCATTTTTACTTTGGTATATAAATACCAGTCGTAGGTAGATATTCCCCGAAAATGGCTAATAAACAGTGAGAGAAAATCCACCTCAGTTCCTCTGATTTCCTTTCAGAATGGCTTGATATTTCGATTGCACCTGAACCTGAACCTCGCGATAAAACTATAATAGTATGATGCAAGTGTGGCGGTCTACCCAAATTTCTTTATGGTAACACAAAGATCGTATCACTGTTGTCGAGCGAACTTCTCGATATTATTGATGTTCCAATATTGATATCTGTGCAAAAGAGCGAGATCTAAAAAGTGAAGGTATGGTATAAGTATAGTTGTCTGAAGACTTGTTTGTCGTTAGGATTGTTGAAAGATACTTTGAAGCAGGGTTTGAATTTCACATGATTAGTGTGATCACATGATGTGGAGAATTATCCGGTCTTATCAAATGCAAGTTATGTAAGTAATTAATGACTAGTGCTCGGAAGGAAGCCGGGGTATTGAAGACGTCATCATTGTTCTTATTTGGGAGGTATTCAGAACTCCTTAATCAATCTCAGAGCGATTATGATTACTGTTCATCGGTTTGCAATACTAATCAAATCCTACAAGATGACTCCATGAATAAATTGAATGATTTGCAATTAAGCTTAGTGGCTGACTATCAAACTGAGAATGCGTTGGCTTAGAAATCCACAGGAGCCACCCCACTATTTACTTTTCACATCTCCCGTGAATATCTACTCCGTCATCCCCAATTGAAAACTATTTGCACTCCCTCCTGACCATCTACGTAATAAGTACCTCTACATCGCCACCTCTCTCGCAAACCTCCAGAACTCCAACCCTTAACGATGCCCCAACCCTCTCTACCACCTCCAGCCCACCCAGACGTTGACTCAATGTTGAGCCGGAAATTCGGCCGTGAAGTGGCCAACTACTTCAGTGGCTCCCCCTTGAACCGCGTTTCCTTCTTACGTACGAACCATGAATTTATATCTCAAGCCTTCGTTCATCCCAGCACCAATTTTCTACTCTTGAATAGCCTCGCTCCTCTCACTAAAGACCCAAGTCACCTAGCATATGCCTCTCACTCCGAGATATCCGGTTTAACCGGATCCAATCCCTTTGAAAAAACAGAGGCCGATTTGATTAAGGAATTTAATTCTTCGATAACGTTACCCCTCGTATTATTTCTGGGTTTGGATGAGAGGAAGAAGGAAGGCTTTAGTCATGGGATTTATAGTGGAGTTCCCTATTTTGCAATCGATGTGACGCCCAAGGGCACATATGAGCCAGAAGCAAATGGCGTGGTGGAGGCAATGAAAGAAAAGGGATTGCAGTTTCAAAGCGGTAGATTGGTCATGACTTTGGATGCAGAGGATGCAGCGATTTTTGCCCAAGCGAGAGCCCTATTGGATTGGAATGCTAGGAATCCTTTCTGTGCAGGGTGTGGACAACCTACCTTATCTGTAAGTTCACTCTAATCCAAAAATGTAGATGCAAAATAAGAATGCTAATGTAAAATCCAGATCCAAGCAGGCACTAAACGGGTCTGTCCACCAACAGACTTTGCATCTCTGCCTACAGCCCAAGCAGGAGTCAACCCTGAGACACCCAACCAAAGAGCACCATGCGCTACCAGAAAAGGCGTATCCAATCTTTCCTTTCCCCGTACTGATCCCACCGTCATCACGGCAGTAGTCAGCCACGACGGTAAGCGACTCCTCCTGGGACGAGCAAAAAGCTGGCCAAAGGATTGGTACAGTGCATTAGCGGGATTTTGCGAACCTGCCGAATCAGTCGAAGAAGCAGTACGTCGAGAAGTCTGGGAAGAATCCGGTGTGAAACTCGGTCGTGTAGTGATCCATAGCACACAACCTTGGCCCTATCCCGCCAACTTGATGATTGGAGCAATTGCACAGGCTTTACCTGATGGAGAGCAAATCCATCTGGAGTATGATCCGGAATTGGAAGATGCAAGGTGGTTTTCTATGGAGGAGATTAGGGAGGCATTGATCAATGGGACGAGTTCGTTGGGAGAACCACCCAGTGCGGGGTATAAGGAGGGAAATTTGAGATTAGCGCCTTCTACTGCTATTGCGATGCAGCTAATCAAAGCCGTTGCTGAGGGTTTTCTGGGTGAGAGTCCTAAGATTTGAGGAGGTGGTGAGAGCTGTATTTGTGGTATTTAGAATATATTATATGTTGGATGAATCTAATTTGTAAGATGTAGATCAAGACTACCTATAAAGAAGATAGGGGGCCCGCAAAATGGGAGGTTGCCCGAAAGTAGAGTACTAGACTTATTTTCTATTTCCGGGTGAAAGAATTTATAAAGTGAATTGAAAACTTCTATCGATCAATCCATTTCTTCAATTCAATTATATAATTATCCAGAACCTTATTCCCAAAAGAGTATAGACTTAACCGGATTACTTGAGTTTAGACGGTACTTTCTTATTATAAGACTTTTCCTTTCACTCTTATATACATGATCTTCAACAGTTAATAAAATTAATATTATATATCCTTAGGGTTCTTTTATTAAAAATTTTTTTGGTATTAATATCTTATTCAATAACTAATTAAATCCCTCTCGAAAATCCTTTTAAAGATATTTAATTAATAGCCAACAATATTATCTTTATCTTACAATGTAGAACCTTTCTAACCATTTTCTTTTCAAGATAGATTTATAGATTGGGATTGTAGGAGAACCTTTATCCATCACACAATCTACAGTGGTCTCGAAAGAATTTGAGCTACCAGATGGAATGATGATGGCGATAGGATTGCCCATTGTGTATGGTGTTAGCGGTAGAGCAGTAGCTGGATACAAAAGCGATGTGGACAAACGTTTAGTGAAGAAAGAGTAACAGGGAAGAAGAGATAATGCGGTGAAGGATGAAGTTTTAGTACTGTGAGATGAGAAGAGTATATACACTGGTTGACTCGTTGTACAACTCTTTTTATATTCAAATTAACCTCAGATATTATACAGGAGACCATTCTCATACCATTGCGACGATCCGCAGAAGCATACAGCAGACCCAAACAACGGGACAACTGCCTTCACCTTCATATTCAATAAGTTGAAAATGGAGCTTGTTGTATGGGGAGCGGGAATTGGAGTTGAATTGGGAGTAACTAACCATGCGGCCGACGCGACTTAACTCAATTGAGCTCCCTCAGTGAGGGAACCATTTCAGGTAAGACGGTGCTATATTTCAGCAGGCCGTTTTTTCTGCAATTCCTTTAGAAACTCATCAATTAATCTTTTTTAATTTAATAAGCCTCTCCTCGACCTTCTCCACCGAGATGAGACGTGCGCGAGGAGGAAGCGATTGATCATTCCGACAGCGACGAGGCTTCAGGCCAGTCTCTTGTATTCATCGAATTCGAGCCCGGAAAAGATGCACAAGATACTCGCCCTCGGAAGAAGCCACGAAGAAAAGAAAGATGGATGATAGAAATGGATGATATGCTGAAGAACATACCAGGAACGCCTGACTGGTGAACCAGGAGAAAAGAGATCAGGCTCTTTACCTCCAACGAAGTTTGCACAGCATTGCACGTAATAATATATGGTGTGAAGTCATCAACGAAACTTCCCGCAGCAGAAACAAGCAGTGTGCGTTCGGATCCTCTTCAACTTCTTGACGCTTTCGCCAGGAATGGGTAGTATGGACCATACTCAATGTCAGACACCGAGGGGTGGAACAGCTTGATCAGTTCATTTTGACGAACTATTCAATAGGGAAGAATGGGAAGGCATTTTGGCGTGTTCAGATGGGGATGAATTTACTCCTGCATACCTTTAGGTCGACAAATCAAAAAGAAGTGAGAGAAAGTCACATTTGAAACTATGTGAAACTTGCACAGTCTGGGGTCTTTTATCCTTCCTCGCACAACGCACGACACATAACACTGTGCTTTGTGCAGGCAGCCATATTGAACATCTTCGAATGATCAAAAGCTCCGAACCTGTTTGAAATTTGAATATTGTCCTTCGGTTAGTCTCCTTCAAAACCGTCTCCTCGAGTGTAGCCTCGCCAGAGCCAGCTATATCAACGGGTATGAAGATTCCACAGTTTTCTTTGCCTACAATTTTCTCTAAATTCGACGTGCGGTTCTGGAATACTAGTAATGCCACCCCGCGTGAGGAATGAAGAGTCTTTCGAGGGCGTCCAACGATCAGTGCAACGATATTGGCAATCTGCAAATATGAAATTCAGTACATATTTTGTCTATTAAGAGGGATATTTCACAACCTTTTTGGATTGGGAAAACTCGTCTCTGAACGCGTCTCTAATTTCGTTCAAAACTTTGGATTCGTCTTACACGCCCTCCACTCTCGAACACCCTTTATCCTCCGCGATTGAATCTAGGTTGAAATTATGTTTTATCCTGTCGACCAGCTCTTGGACTTTGGAGCCCGACTGCACAGCTTGCACAAGGTCAGAAGCGTCGATTTCTGCGCGACCCGCCATTACAGTCCTGATTCTGTTAGGAATTGAGTTGGGTAATACAATGCTGATATTTGATGCTTATAGTTTTTGAGGACTGTCACCAAACTATACATTGAGCTGCGCAATCAATTTGAAGTTTGTGTTGGTACAAAATACGACAAGGTTATTAGATAACTTGCTTGGGGTGTAGCGACCGGATGTGATAGGTGGTATAATGCAGTGCGATGTTACTCATCGAGACAAGTACACTGCATTGTTAATAGTTGCGTTACCTCGCTCACAACAAGCATGGCGAAATAGCAAATTATCTGTAAATCTATAGAAGATAACTATAACTATGGTTATAAGTAGTGAACGCCAACCATCTCGCTTCACTTGTCTTTCGTCTTCAAGTCTTAAGTATCTTATATCCTCCTCTACCTTTCAAGCATTCATTTTTGCTGAGGACTGACAAAAAATTTACAGTTCAGAAAGGATAGCCCACAACCGTTCTTCAAGAGTCCACAATACGGGTCAGAGTCTATCCATCATTCAACAGCTTTCAGATTAAATTCCAAGCCCCGCTCCTTACGTTTAAGGTGCCAACTGTTCTTGAATTTCTGACTCATTGTCCGAATCCATATTACATTCAGATGCTCAATACTATAGTCTTCACAAAGCTGAATGCGATCAATCTTCCTGAATTAATTCGCAATTTCCATGCCGATGGAACAGCTGTATTTTCGGCTGATCTGGCAATGGACAATGCTCGATACAATAGAATTTTACCAGCACTTCCTTCAGCAGTCGCAATCGAAGTACACAATGAAGGAGAGTGTATGTTGTGTATTTGCTTATATCACCAATTGGGTTGAACAAGTGTTTGATGTTGTGCCAAAAGTTTGGTATCTTTCGAAAGAGTCTAACAACATACCCTATTAGATCGATCGTTCTATAGCGGAAGGGCTAGATCGACTTCGAGCAGAACGTGCACAACCCTTGAATCTTGATGGATATGATCGATACTTTCAATATTACAATGGCAAACCATATTGATGTCAGGGAGGAAATGTATCTTGGGAATATTTAGTTGGATATAGAAGGTATTTCATTAATGGAGAATATTAATGGTATCTTGGTAATATAAAAAAGGTATTAAGTACTTCAAAATTGGAGTAAAATAGAAAGGTGTAACTTAATTTTCAGGCTTCAACATCTTTACTCAATTTGATTTATTTCGAGTTCAATATGTAATAAATTTGACATTAATTGTTTGTGGAAATTAAACATTGAGTGACAATCAACTTTTTTAAAAGTATATCAATCTTTAAATACGATGCTGCTTCCCTTCAATCATTCATCTCTCTTGGGCGGGCACTATGAAAATTGTTCAAGAATCTCCCTAGACGGCACGACTGGTGGATCCAACATCCATATTGGTTTGGAGTATATAGTTGGCAAATATTCACGAATGATATCGCTATCTTTCACATCGAAGATGCTCTCTAAATCGATAAAGTTCTGTTTCTGAATCGAGCTTCCATCTCTTTTCAACTCTTCAGATAATATCTTTGCATATTCGAAATCTATAACCCTTATATCTTCGATCTCTGGATGCCACATAAGATTCCTAAATGCAATATCCCCATGAAATACCTCTTTGCTTCCAATAACTTCCAAAGCCTTTTTGTATTTCCAATACATAACATCGTTTTTGGCATTAATATTCTCCAAACTTCGAAACCCCTCTAAGAATTCGAGCGCAAATCCTTGATGTATTGCTTCCTCTTTATCCTTCCATTGGATTTCCCCAAAGCATTTAGGAATATAAACGCCTTGTAAAGATACGAGATGCTCATAAGTAACAAGTTCATCTTTGTTCTCCCCAAACTCCTTGGCAATAAATACCTTGGGAAGTTTCAAGTCGTTGTCGTTGTCGGGATCTTGATCTTGGTCTTGATCTTCGATTGAAAGATAACGACAGATGAATATACAATTGTTTCCATGTGAATTGATTTGCTGAGCGGTGACTTTCATAGTAACAGTTTTCGAATCCGAAATATCGAAATTCGTTTGCTGATCGTCGTTCGTTTCACAGAGTTGAGATTTGTACTTTGCTGCGAGAAATTGAACTTGTAGAACTTTATGCTGCTCGTTTGCATCTTCGCTCATTTTGCCGAACGTTTTCTGTCCAACGTAGACAGGTGGTGGTGGTGGTCGTGGTGGTGGTGGCAGATCAGAAGTTTTCATTATGATCATCATTAATTATTCTACAGTTTCAAATATAAAAAGAGTAGAAGGTGAGCTTGAGAAGGAAGAGAAATCTTCAGTTGGTAGAATTCGTACAAATAATATATAAGTAAAGTAGTACAAGAAAACTAGTCAACGGGAACATACATATAGATAACCGAACAAACCGACTGAGGCTTCATTTTTTTTTGTTTTTCTCGGTTCGCTGAGATTCTCAGAATATCTTTCCCAGTTTCATTTTTGAATTTCATTCTTTTGCTCGTTATAGACTTTAGGGTTGTTTCAAGGGTCAATGGATAGCCTTGAGCTTGTGACAGCTCTAGTGAAAACTCTCAACTCAAAACGAATTTAGATGGAGTGTGTGTGAGATGGAATCCAATATGGCATATGAGTTGTGGATGCTCACTTGCCGAGGTTTGTAGAACTACATACCCATTCACACAGGCATCTACGGCTCCCACCTGGCTACCGATCATCTAGGACGTACATCTAACAACATTTTCTTTTGCAAGCTGGAGAAGTAATTGAAGATTACGAGCTAGCCTACATGATTTTCTTTTGAGATTCGTAGAATATTCTACCTGGATCGCTGCTGGAGTTCCATGTGGAAGGGCATCATGAACTTCCTCCTGGAAGCAATCTTTCTTCTTCATCCTCAGTATTATCTCATGTTCCTCTGCTTCCCACGAAACACGCTTCCTCTTAAACGGCAATTTTATTGGCCCTATTTTGGAATGTAAAGTATACAAGGAGTTGAGATTTTGCAAATATCCTGTTCAATATTTCGGAAAGAACAAGATGATAAAAATACTCTAGAACTCAAGATTGTATGTTGTCTTATCCCCGATCCTGGTGCGTTTGGGAGAACCTTTGAATGGCCATTCTTGATATTCGGTGACTGATTCTGGGTCTATTATAACAGAGGGAGTTTGAGGGGCTTGTGGAGAATAATTGTTATCCTCCATAGGTGTTGGCAGTACCTATAATCGCCTCGAAACTGTGTCTCATCCACTTCAGGTTGCGTGAATGAAGAAAGTGGAGTAAGGACAAGCGTCATATGCAGGTAGTGGAGGAAGCTTTTGCTGTTTTGCAGATTGGAGGCCTTTATCATAAGTATTATCATTGCTAGTCTCAGTCTCTGTTGAATGCCACCGCTTCTTTACTTTTTGTTTACTATCATCTTCCTTCTTCCCTGTCACCCTTACTACTTTCTGCGAATGCTGATGCCCTCGGAGCTCGCTTTCTGCTTGCTCTGTGCTGCATGATATCATCATCGGTGTATAGACTGATGTCATTTTGTGAAAATTGGAGAGAGTTATGACAATAGTAAGGCTGCTCTTGAGAAAGTGTACAAGCAAAGCCTTGCCGCGACATGGATATATTGTCGTCCTCGCTAGAGCCGTCTTTCTCCGTATTAGGCCACGCTTCATGGCCGATGGGTGGATCTTGCTTGCTCAGCTCTAGGACAAAATCAGCAGGAACGAAGAAGATTCAGCATCGGAAGCGTTCGATTTGTTATCTCCGAGGATCAGCAGTCTATCGAGAAGAGGTCAGAACATTGTTTATCACAGCTATTAAGAGTTTATATAAATACCTTGAGTTGCTTCGGCCGTTTTCAGGCCTGAGGATCTAGGACTCCCTATGCAAAAGCAGACTGGTTCGATGCACCCGAGGAGGAGCAGTCGTCCTTTGGGCGTGAGGTGGACCACCTCAGGCGGTCTCATCCTCCAGCCCACGTTTCCCCAAACCGAGTCTTCCGAGCCAACATTTCTTTTGTGATGTAGTAGATCCTAGGCTTTCGACAACAGGTAATTCGAGATGGTGCTTAGAATCGCTGATAGTATCGATCTCTGCTTAAATTCTCGCCTGTCAGTTATGGTCACAGAAAGCCAAACATCCCGCAAAGTTAGAACATACCTCGAGTTTGTGATCTGTACCTCGTCTCATCATCGATAGAAGTCTTGTCAGGAGTTCTAAACTACTTCCTTGCAGATCTATGACGAGACGTTCTGCCCTTTGAAGCGTGGGGCAGTTGGTACATAACTATATGGAAGAGGGCTGAAAGGAGCCATAATGATTGTATGGAAACGATTGGTCTTGGAGGTCTTTATTACTCTCGATACCACCGAGCTGCAAGGCAACATAGCAGAAAGGAGGAAATCGAAGTGTTTAAGTACACGTATTTTACTGTTATCGCCGGCTTGCTGCACAGTGTGCGATCGCCTGCAAAATCTTATCATACCAATGCCTCCACTCTTTCAGGCGCCTCGTCGTCAAGAATTCCTCGGCTTCCATATATCCACAAACATCCCCCGCCATACCCTTTCTAGCCGTAGGGCTGAGATTGTTAATCACACTCTCATTCCGTAGGATACCCATCCGAGGTCATCATCCCTACCCCGCAATCCTTTCCTCCGCATCCTCAAATCAATACTAGAGAAGCCTAAAAGGTACTTTACGAAGTATTCGCCGCAAGCTTTTGAAAAGCAAAGTGGTTCCCCGTAGAGATCCAAACCAGAGTCGTACTAGCTAGTCCTTAACAGTGCGGCCCTCACCACCCGAAAAGCCTTCTGTGTTTTCTCTTTTCTTCTCATTCCTTCTCCCAATCTTCTCCCAGCCAATCTATCATAGACTTCTCCATGATTTGGCGCTGGCGTCGACTAAACTTTGTCCTCAATTGTTGGCAGCAGTTGTCGGGCTTCTCATAAATCTCTCGAATCTTCGCTAGGAGATCCTTATAGTCGACCTCCTGCCCGTTAACCATGCAATGTTTGAGAGGCTTTACAAAACTATCACGAAGCTCCTTACCTAATCCCAGAGGAGTCCAGGTGGCGCTCTCTATTATTAGTAAATAGAGATCAGAATCAAGAGTTCAATACTTCCAGGAGATAAGTAACTTACTGAGAAATTCCTTGATCTCTGGATCATTTAAAATCAGCTTTTCTTGCCTCTGACTCATCTCGTACCTTTCTTTCTCAAACTTTGATGAATTTCGAGCTCTAATGTGCCAAATCCAAGTTGGCAAACCAACGGCTCCACCGACTTCATCATGAACCGCATCATTAAGAGCACGATCTAATTCCAATGCGGACCCATCCAGCTTTATTCTATCTCTATTTTTTGATAGCAACGATGCCCATGGCCGCTTTCTTCTGGCAATTTCGAAAATCATTAATCAGCCACGCTCGTAGTTCGTGCTAATTTCCCCCAAAATAGTCATAGTAGCCAAATGGTCAATGTAACTTCTATTTTTGGTATCAACTTCAAATTTCAGTAGTCTAAAATGTGCTGTTTCATCAGATTTACCCGAATCATTCTTCCTGATGATGGCAAAATGAGTATCCATATCATCAGCGTCTTGGCTGAACTTGGTGGATCGGGCCATCGAATCTAAGTGACTAGATAAACAACGTCAACAGAGTTACCTGCAGCCGTAGAGCTTGAATCAAAACTTTTTGATTCCGGACTACGTTTTAATGTGGGGAGCTGAAAATACATCACATGAACGTCTGCAGCTCCATAAGCACAGCACCCCAAATAACCTTACTGTGGTATTCCTGTATAGATTTGAAATCCCTAGCACCTTAATCAAGACCATACTGATTTCCTAATACCACCATTCACCATGAATAAGACGACCAAGCCAGGGGCCGGAGTTATTACCGACGAAATGTCCTACACAGAGCGGCTATTCCATTATTCTTATACCATAGAATCTGAGGAACTACATTTCTTAGTATTCCGGGATTGCAATAGCTCAATATGGTGCATCTCCAAAACGAATTGGCAAAGAGGAAGGGTTCCATGTGGATAAACATGACCGCTTCTGATGACTACACTCGAGATCTCAGTTCACTCTTGCACCAATATGGTAAGATTTATTTCATAAACTATAAAGGTAACTGGTTAGTTTCTTCAGATAATAACACTCAAGCTTTGAAGCCGATGCAATTCGAGATTATGCCTTTTTTTCTGGTCTTCAAGCCATTACCGGATCCCAGGCACAAGAAAAGCGTCAAGATCTCACACATGCCTTTCCCGAGATTGCCGACTTACCAGGTGACCCATTCAACTCAGCTTCTCGTCGTCTTCCCGATCAATCACTAATGCCAGTCGACCCTTTAAGAAAATGGCTCAAAGCGCGTCTACCATCTCGATTGGCATACACGAAACGCGAGCAATTGCTTCGCACAGACGAGTTACTCAAGGGCGAGCCACCAGAACAAGTCTCTACCTTCCTGGATAAGCTAGCTCTATTTATGGTCACCTTCGCGGGTGGATTGAGTCTAGGGGGCCCTATGCTGATGATGAGAATTGGCGAGAATTTGACCAAGAGCCTAGTGACAACGAGTGTGGCTGTGGTATTGTTTGCTGGAATTACAAGTTTGATTCTTCGTGCAAATAATACGGACACCGTAGCAGCCACTGCAACATATGCAGCAGTACTTGTGGTTTGTTGGGACGAGTGGAAGTTAGAGAGTTGGGTAACTCTTGTACGTGACTTCCCTTTCTAGCACGTGCGACACCTCCATTAACCGATGGATAACTCGTTAATGACAACCCCGGATTATGTAATCTTGTAAACCTAAAATTTAATCATTTTATTCAGAATTTGAATCATAAAATACTAAACCATCAATCTATGAAGATTCAATCTTGAATCCATACCCAACTATCCAATTATAAAATATCATTTTATCATTTTGTAAAAACTATTCCATTTATCATCATAATTAACCGTACCCAAACCATTCATCGAGTGCACTGGTGAGCAGATGGCTAAGCTGCCAACCCGTCTCTCTCTGATACTGCAACTAGCTCGAAGAAACCAGCACCATTTGTTCGCCCGTCTACAAAATTTCCGAATCGGAAATGCAGTACAGTACTCTCCTCGTGTTTTCAAGGGACATTGACAGAATTCTTAAAAGGAACTTGGCGATAAAAGGAGATTCGTACGATTTCGACAGGTGGAGGACATTGCGAAGGGTTGTGGCGGCCAAGGATAGATATTTTTTGAATGAGAAGGCAAATATTGCGTACGCTACTCCGGGGAGGGGGAATTTGGGATAGGTAGGGGATGAAGTAGAGAAGATGTGAGGAGTCCGGGTGATGCAAATTTTGTGATCTTGTATTAATCGTTTTGGAAAATGACTGATATAATAGCGTTTTTTATTGTTGAGAGAAATTGTAGATCTGAGTTTTGCTTGTGTACAAGTCCATCTTGAACAGATGAAGGCATTAGTCACATCAACCTTCGACAATAGTAACATCAACGACTAGTACACCACCGGTACTATATATAGATTGTTATCATTCGTCAATTTCACAAGATTTTATTGTACAGGAAGAAATACAAACCTATGCGCATCCCTGCCTGCATCAACCAAACGCCCCTGCCGTTTTTCCGCATACCAATTTAGCCAACAATTGTGCGCCTACCTGAAAAACATCTTTAGTCTGCAAGCTTTCTCTTCTGTCGCTCTCTCTCCATTTTCTTGAAGAAAGCAGAACTTTCCCCTTTGTTCTTCTTAAGGTCCCTATTTCTGCTCCTGTTCTGCTCAATATACGCCATATCTTGCCCACCAGCCAGATCAGCAAGTTTACCAGCGGTCCTTCTTACGTTGGACTTCTTTTTAGATCTTGGTTTACCATCATTTCGATGAAATAAATCGTCTTTTAGATCTTCCTGATATTGCTCCTCGTCCATATTGTGGAGCATCACATTCTGTAAAAGCTCTCGTCGGTCTTGAGGTGTGTTGAATGCAAGACCAGGAAGATCCTCAATGCCTTGGAGATGTGTGATGGCCTTGAAGGCATAACCCTGGTCAACAAGAAATGCTTGACGTTTTGAAGAATAGTACATTTCTTTAGTATCTTTGGAGACTAGAGAATAAAAGAATGCATTGAAACCTTCATCATTTCTGCGTTTCGCCCTCAGAATTCTGCCCAATCTTTGAGCTTCTTGTCGACGAGAACCAAAGTGAGAAGATATTTGGATAAGGCAAGTTGCTTCGGGTAAATCGAGAGAAGTGTCACCAATCTTTGAGAGGAAGAGTGTGTTGATGTCAGGGTTGTGTTGGAAATTCTCAAGAATCCGAATACGCTCGGCCTGAGCTGTGCCACCATAAATGAAAACTTTGCTTAATTTTGAAGCATAGACGTGTAAGGCGTAAACGTTGTCAGAAAACACAATAATTTTGTCGCCACGCTTCTCATGATAATCTATCAGAAATTGACATGCTTGGAACTTCCGAGGGTTCATTGTAGATATCAAGCCCTGTTTTCGACTGGGTGCTTTTAAATACTCTGAATGAAACTCAGTGGTCATCGGGCACCAGACTTCTGCACATTGAACTCTTGCAATATGACCTTGCGCAGCAAGTTCCATCCAATTGGCTTCGTACAATTTTGGACCGATCAAAAAGTTTAAATCTTCAATCTTATCATCCTCACGAAGTAGTGTGGCAGTCAGACCTAATTTCGAGTGGGTTTTTATTGAGGATGTGACTTTTCTGAAAATAGCGGCGGGCACAACATGCACCTCATCTAGAAGCATCAACCCCCATTCTCTGCTCGTCAAGAAATCCATCATCTTCTGAGCATCAAAAGCTCGTGCACGTGTCTGCGTGACCATAGAATAAGTCGTTACAATGATACCAGTACTCCTCGTGAACTTCTCTTTGTGATCAGAAGTAAATACTGCAATATCAGCTGGATTGATATTAGACCACTTCAAAAACTCCTGTCGCCACTGAACAACGGACATAGAACTCGTGCAGAGGACGATGACACCTTTCTTAATTGTGCAAGCCGCTGTGATACCAACTAAGGTTTTTCCAGCACCACAAGGCAAGACGATAATACCACTCTTAGCTCGACCATTACCAAACATCTTGCTCAAGCTCTTTTCCTGATAATGCCGGATCTGGGCGCTTGGCCGTAGATCAATCTCGAGATTTGGATTTGCTTCATCATTACGAAAATCATATTCTTCGAGTACAGGTAATCCAAGCTCCAGGCATCGTTTTTGTGTAGCTTCTACGCCGTCATCGGCAATCTCGAAAGTATGCACCGCCTCTTCTTCGTCCTCATCGTCGTCCTCTTCGTTAAGCTTTGCATAAATGTCTTCCTGTGTAGGATCTTGTCCATCTGGTTGTCTATCTGTTGCACCCTGGCGCGTTTCCCCAGCTTGCTGAACTCCAGCTGCATTCGTCGTTCCCGGAATGACCAACCCACCCATGCTAGGGGCTATAGTGGTAGTAATTTCCGTCGTTCCTTGGACTCTAAGCGGGCCGATTACTGGATCTTTTAGAAGACGTTGTAGCAAATCGGGATCTGAACTTTCGACGAAATGTTTTGTATTTTTAAGGACCAGTTTGACTTTGCCATAGCTCTGAGTACAGTTGACAATGAAATCTCTAACATTATCAGGTATGGGCATCTTTGAAAGTCTATCGAGAACATTGATGATGTCTTTTGGGTCCAAGCCAACCGATACAGCGGCGTACAAACTATGAGGTGTCAAGGCATATTCGTGTAAGAAACTCGGCCGCGACTTGGGCTCTGCTATTGTAGTCAAGAAATCTTGAGCATGTGACGCTAGTGGAGAGAAACTTTCTAGTATAATGCGCGCCTTCTGGGGGTCTATCCATAATGGACGATTTGCGTGATCGGGTTTCAGTGATAAGTATGAAAAGTCATTATTGCCAAAATGGTGACTGGCAGAATCCCTAGTCCATCTGGAACTCGTTTTGGCCTGGTAACTTTCCGCCGAGAATTTGTTGATTGTGCTGTTAATATTTGCTTTCTCGTCCTCTGTAGCTTCTAGACCTTGACGTTCAAGTTCATCAACGGTGCCATCCTGATATTCATCATCACTTTCACCACTGCTAAAATTACTGCGAGGCGTCGCAGGCCCTGGTGTAGAGGCAGCTGAGTCTTTGTTCGATTTGGTAGCACCTCGCACACCTAAATACTGTTAGTTATCATAAATTCCGTACCTAGTAAAGCAAATATAAAGCCTCATACTTGATGCGGCTTTCCTCTTTAGAGGCATCACGAAGTTCCTTCTAAAATGAAATGTTCCTCGTAGGTTGAATGATTAATTGGGAGGAACTTGAAGAGATGGAGGTTCAAGTTTCCTTTGGATGTCGCTTTATCGATTAACTAGGTAGCTGAGGCGCAAGGCTGCTGATTAATATGGTTTTAGCGTTAAAATTAACCTGGTTCAGCCTGGCTGGCCATTCACTGATTTGGAACCTTTTTTTCGGGAGGTATGTGAAGCGGTAACTAGATAGTACTAGACTTTGCCTAGTTAAGAAAATCCTCAAGCAAAAGAACCTTGAAGGAATAAATCCAAGACCGCGGACTCTTAACAATAGAATATATGAATATATCGCATTATGTGGTAAGGTTCTCAGTCCTTCTCAACACTATTTAACAACTAACAGAATTCTAGTAAACATATTCTGAACGCGCAAGTTTCCATCCGATCGCCATGCTGTGAGACCACTTCTCGAACTATCCTTTCCATATTAACTTCTGCCAAAGGTCGAAAATGGTTTGACTGCGCTGAATGTCATCATGAAACCGAGTCACACCCTCTGAAGAGAACAACAGAAATGGTATTGCAGTTGTTCCCTAAGCCCCGCTCTTTTTGGCCTCTCATACTAACCACAATGCAAGACATTTGCGTGCAAGAAATGTAAGAAGGCATTCCGGAAAGACTTTGCCGACGAAACGGATGACGGAGATGAATACTGCCCGCACTGCGACAATCATTATGTTATTAATGCTGTGGAGCCAAAGCCAATGTTGAAATTCGAAGGGGAGGATATCAGGAAGGATAGTAGGATGATCAAGGATGATCGACTGCAAGGGAAAGAACAGAGAACCATCTTCGATGTGGAGGAGGCTCCAAATAAACTGGGATAATAAGATGCATTACGAATGCGGAGAGTTAAAAGGACTTTGATTTAGCGGCATGGACAAGGGAAATTGGGATTCAGAGCGATGGTTAACTGGTAGCTAATATGCAGATATGAAGAGGGCCGTAGTTTTTGGCACACAATAGTAATTGTGAACCTAGGGTGCATCAGAAGCACCGAAATTGTGTTATTTCGTCGCTCATTGCTATAGTACAGAGGCTCTATGAAGTGCAGAAAGTCATAAATATCACCCCACTTATTGGGCAGCAGCATCATCAGGTCCTCTCGTCAAGATCGCAGCAGTCCCCCCTGAGCGACCACCCTTCTTCTTAGCAGCTTCCTCAGATTTCTCCTGCTCAATATCCTTCACATATTTCTCAATATCCTCCACTGGCAACATCTCAATGAGCTTGCCCGGTGCCATAATAGCAATCTCGATATTCTTCGCTCCAGTTTGGACAACTTCTAGTAACGACTTGATTGTCAATTTGATGGTAGCTTCCCGATCCATATCATCCTTGTGGTTTCTCTCTAAGAACTCTCGTACAGTTTTGCTTGATCTACCGATAGCATTGGCTTTCCTAGGAGCTTATTAGACTGATAGAACACATAACCATATGAACAACATACCAGGCGGAGTAAATTCCAGATGGCTCGGTCTGGTACAATCTTGGAGTCTGATCATTGGGGTCGAATCCAACAATCAAGGTACTAATACCAAACGGTCTAACACCACCACTTTGTGTATATCTTTGTTGCACACCAGCTACATACTTTGTGATGTACTCTATTGTAACTGGATCTTCCACTGTAAGACGATGTGATTGTGCTTCTAATCTTGCTTTATCGACCAAGATTCGTGCATCGGCATTAAGACCTGCAAAGGCGAGGCAAACGTGGGTATCTACGAGACCAATTTTTGAGGGCGTAATACGGGTATCTTGTAACTTCATCGCCGAACGCTTCTCGCATCCCAAGACAACAATATCCTTGCCCTTTACTCCAACTGCGCATGTTCCTAGATTGATAGATAAGCTGCGATCCATTGATTGTTTATAGCTATCTTAAGTACCTCTTTTGACAGCTTCGAGAGCATATTCGACTTGGAAAACATGACCATCCGGACTATGGCAGCTGTCAGATCCCTCCCTAAGTGTAAATCATGAAGCAAACTAACCTGAAAACTGTTATATGTTAGCAGCTACCTTTCGATTTGCCTAGGGAATTAGCTTACCAGACAACGCTCTATCATATCCTGAAGCCATGATTTATGATCTGAACCGTAAAAGTGAAATGAAAAGTAATTTGTGGGTATCTCGAAAATGATCGAAGCTTAATGGGAAAACGGGAAAAAATTGATAAAGCTTGATGTTTGAACTGCAGGCAGCTCAGCATACGAAGCTACGCGACAGGAAGGTCCAACAGGCTTGAGCTTGTCCAACAATCCTCAGGCACTCAATTTGACAAGGCTGGCGGGCTGTCCACCAAGGTACCCGCACGGATCATGTCAGCACGAGGCAAGATTGCAGCCTTCCAATATTTGGCCAAAACGCCCCGGACAACTACGAGCCAAGTTCTCTTTCAAGATCCCCGGGACAGGTTTATTCTAGATCGTGAAAATGTCAAGATTTCAAATCTGTAATAAAAATATACTTTTATCAAAAGGCCTAAACTTGAAAGTTCACACAGACATGCAACAAACTTTTTGGAGGAGGTGGATCTAAGCTTTGATAAAGCTCGCCATCGCAACCCCACTCCTAATTTTCCCCCGCGGGAATCTGACAAGCCTTCCAATTGACTATCACAAACATGGCAGTTCGATCACGGATTACTCTCGCAGCTCGCAGAGCTCGAGTATCATCAGCATCATCTTCTTGCTCAAAGATAAGATCATTACGACCATTGGTCCAAACTAGACTGCAAAGTACTGCGACTACAGAGGGCAGTGAAGGAGTAGCCAAAGGAACGACTGGTACATCGAAGGCTATAAAATTTACATCCGAAACATATCCTGATATAAAACGAGACTCGAGATTCGCAAAAATATCTGAGGAGAATGTGAAGTTTTTCAAGGATTTACTGGAGAAGGAATCTGCGGTTATTGATGGAGTCACGAAGGATGCTACAGATGATATTGAGCCTTTCAATGGAGATTGGATGCGCAAATATAGGGGTCATACAAGTTTAGTTTTGAAGCCTGGATCTACGGAGGAAGTGAGCGAGATTTTAAAATACTGCAATGATAATATGTTGGCAGTTGTGCCACAAGGTGGGAACACTGGGCTTGTAGGAGGATCAGTTCCTGTATTTGATGAGATCGTGATCAATATGAGCCGAATGAATCAAATTCGATCATTTGATGAGGTTTCAGGTACTCTCGTTGTAGATGCCGGTGTTGTTCTGGAAGTTGCCGACAATTATTTGGCAGAGCGCAAACATATATTCCCATTGGACCTAGGCGCAAAAGGATCATGTCATATTGGAGGTAATGTTGCTACAAATGCTGGAGGCTTGAGGTTGTTACGATATGGAAGTTTACACGGAAATGTTCTTGGTATCGAAGCAGTCCTACCAGACGGAACAATTGTTGATGACCTTTCCAAATTACGGAAAAACAATACCGGTTATGATCTGAAACAACTGTTTATCGGTGGTGAGGGTACAATCGGTATAATTACCGGAATATCAATCCTCTGTCCTCAACGATCAAGCGCTACCAATGTTGCATTCTTCGGTCTTGAATCCTTCGAAAAAGTACAAGAAGCTTTCAAAGAAGCCAAAGGTCAACTTTCCGAGATCCTTTCTGCCTTTGAACTCATGGACAGCCACAGCCAAGATTTGGTTCAAAGAGTAACTAAAAACAAAAGACCATTGGAAGGTGAGTATCCTTTCTACTGTCTTATCGAAACAAGTGGTTCCAACTCCGAACATGACCAAGAGAAATTGAATAATTTCCTCGAATATGTTATGGAGAAAGAAATTGTTTCTGATGGTACCTTGGCCGAGAACGCAACACAAATTAAAGATCTTTGGGGCTGGAGAGAAGGTATTCCCGAATGTCTCGGCCACTGGGGTGGTGTCTATAAATACGACCTCTCTATTCCTCTGAAAGAACTCTACCAACTCGTCGAAGACGTACGAGAAAAAATCACTGAAGCTGGTCTCATTGGCGATACCGAGGATCACCCAGTCGTAGGTGTAGTAGGTTACGGACACATGGGAGATTCAAATCTGCATCTCAATGTAGCAACACGAAGCTATGATAAGAGAGTTGAGCAAGCATTAGAACCATTTGTATACGAATGGGTTTCAAAGAGAAATGGGAGCATTAGTGCCGAGCATGGACTAGGTTTGGCGAAGAAGAATTACATTGGATATAGTAGGAGTGCGATAATGATTGAACTGATGAAGGGAATCAAGAACCTTTATGATCCAGTAGGCTTTCCAATCCTATCCTTTCGTGGAATAATTTGGCATGTAGAGATGTACTAACGTGTGATAGAATGGGATTATGAATCCATATAAATATATTTGAAGGGAAATAGAGACATTGCAGTTGTAGCCTAGGAATACCACATGTTCATATGTGGTTTGGATATCGTTTCGGGGATAGGAAGGAGAATGAATAGATGAAGGAAAGTTTGTAAATACTATCTATTAAAAATACTCAGAGTATAGTAACTCCACACACTAGCTTCCCAGCAAAAAGAAAACCAGCAAGTGAAATCATGCGCGTTGCAGATTTTCATCTGAAGTATAAACACCATTGGTTTCCTATCCATGTTAATACTTATCCTTCCCGGTCACCAACGTTGGAAACGACTTCGAATTATGAATAAACCTACCTAGGTAATTATCTTTAAACCATCAATGCACACCCATCAGGCTCCGTCTATATCTCCCTCCCTCGCTCCCTAAATATACCCTTACTTGGAAATCCACCCTCCCTATTTCCGTAATCTTCAATCCGCAATCTTCATCCTCAATCCTCCCGCCCCTCCCCCCAAAACCCCAAGAAAAGAAAAGGAAAGAAAACCCCCCCCCCAAAAAAGATTTTCAAAAAGTAGTAAATTAATATAATTTTACAAGAGCCTAAATCAGGGAGAGGGGGGATAAAGATATTATAAAGATTAAAGAAAACATATAAGGAGGGTTTCGTTTTGAGTCTCTTGGAGATTGTTGGGGTGAGGTTCTAATTTATATGTGATTGTGTATATAATTATGATTTTTATACACAGTCAGTATACGAGAGAGGTAGATTCTATGATTTATTAAGAGGAGGAGGAGCGGGGGGATTGCGCATCGGGGTATTGATTTGAAAGATATTACGAGTCAGAAGATTTAATGATCCGAAGAGCATATTGGGCTGGAGAACGGAGTAGATGGAACTCAATATTGCATTTTTAATGTAAGATTACTAAGCTCGAGATTCGCATTGGGATATTGCAGCAAGGCATCTAACAAGTCCCTGGCTATATCTCCAGTTCTAAGACAAAGTCTTTGAATTTGATCCCCACCTTGCCCCCACACGAAAGTCTGTAGAACACGATCCTTGAAGAGATTCTGCAGGAAAATACGTCTGAGGAATCTTTCCAATCGCGGAAGATGTCTATAAACGAGCTGCAGTATTGTGATCGCTTTGCCTGCTACGCGTTCACAGATGGTGGAATGCTTAGTAGTTCTTCCATAGGTCGTAAATTGTTTGATAAAGTGAATTCGGGCCTCAGAGCCGCCCTCCACTTCAAACAAGGTATATTCCATTTGTTCTTTTGACGCCGAGCTTGGAGACAGTAACAGCGTCACATCCATCATTGAAAGAGGGGTAATTGAGAAACTTGACCAATTTTCGTACGATATGGAGATCAGCCTCATCAAAGTCCAGTACCATCTCATAAGCGAACACACCTAGCACTCGAGAGTACCTGTCTTCCAGAGTAAACTGTGATAGCTTACTTGCGAAAGACTATCCACTTTAGTCGCAAAACTCGGATGTACACGGACGACACTTCTATGCACTCGAATGAGTCTTTCAGGGCATCTTATGGTAGGATCTGAGTATTTGTCTTCTTCCTTAAAAAATCCTCAGTGCCTGTTAGTAGGTCTCGATAGTATGACGTATAATCTTGACTTACAACTCGCTGAGCCGATTCACATTAGCAATTTTCCCAAATTGACCCAGCAAATGTCATTAGCCCGGTTCTGGCCATTGTAATTATTTGGTTATGTATTGTGACACAGAACATGATCTTATTCTTGGAAGAAGTTGGGAAGTGAGACAATTCATGCTGATATTGATGAATTGTGCTTGAAGCTAGGAGGACTCGCAGTCCGAATGGCCTAGAATATTCCTATGGCTTGTGGATTCCACTATCTCTCATCACACTGAAACTCACGATGATTGCCAGGACACTCTGAACATTCCATTCAAGGAATATTGCCAGCATTCTTGCACCTTCTATCAATATCTGTAGACCTCAATAAGCTTCGTAAACTTCCTTCCGCATGCGATCCACTTCTAGCCCTACCCTGAAATGTTCGCACTGGGCTGGGTGGTTTACTCCAGGGCAACCATGAACTCAAATTACTGAGTATAGACAATCTCGGTGAGGTCTCAGGTTTTAAAGTAGAAGCTATTGACTCATTGCGTATCAAGGTAGGCTTTGGTAATGTCATCTCATGGAAAGTGGAAGGCCGGTTTGAAGTAAATTTGTCAAAAGCAGACATATGTTCATGATCCGCAGCTGATGTCTGAGGTCGAGCAGGTTCGCTAACAAGAAAGGTAGGAGATGCAACCTGTGGTTTATGTTCCTGTTTGAAGCTTTGAGCATTGTCTATAATCATTGACGCGAATGTGGCAGATTTGGACCTGACGTGCTTGGGTGGAGGTTGCCTTTCAGATAATGTTTCCGGGCCTACAGAGTCTCCTATCACTTCGGAACTCGAAGGTGGTACTTCAACCTCCTTCCTTGTTGCTCTGCCGCGCACCTCGTCTTCCAGGACCGCGGCGGGCTTTTTCCTGGATTTATCCTCATCCGAAGATCTTGACGATGACATGATGGTTTCTAGCGTACCATAAGCAATAGATTTCCCTCTTCGACTTCCTCTTGAGCTTCGTGCAAAATGTCTTGCAGGGATTTCATCCGGCTCAACGGCTTGTAATGTTGATACACCTAAATCTAGCCTTGAAGCAGTGCCAATTTGTGGTATGCGATCTCCAGAACCATGAGGGGGATGATGGAATTCGTGTTGATTTGCCAAACTATACTTGCTCCTAGCACATATCTCCGCGATCCTTTCTAAATCCTCACTCACACCATGTCTTATATCGTCCATGATCCCCTTGAAGCTAAAAGCTTCCACTGGTGGAAGTTTCATATCCATTTTATTTGATGCTATGCCCGCTGTTCCATTCTGCTTTTTGAGAGCGATAGGGTCTCGTTGTTGAGAGCGAGGTCGAGCGGCTCCCGAGTAAGTCCGCACAATCACCGGTTGATTGAATGTTTCTCCGGTAGATTTGGCATAACTATGATGAGATCGATTTGCACCGTTGAGAGAGCGAAGGGCTGCAAGACGATGTGCGACCTTTGCCTCGTCTAGGATATGTTCACCACGAGCAGCTTCTTCAGATTCCACGAGACTTGCAGCCGAAGTATTAGAAGCCCATAAAGCTGGCGAGAGAAAATGAAGTGGAAGTGAATGACGTCTATTATTTTTGATATTTTTGATATTTTTATCGGTATTTGAATTTAGATGATTATTTTGATGGTTTTGATTGAAGCTGGAATTTGCATTGTGTTGATTTGAGGAAGTTTTTGAAGTGGTGTGAGGTCGCATGTGAGGGGTTGATGCATCTCGCACAATTAATGATGTTCCAGTGGTTGTCATGGTGTGGATACTCTTCTCTGTCAATCTCTCTCAAGACTGGAAAAGGCAAGACATTGCCCTGCTGCTGCTGCTGTTTGTTTTTTGGTTTCTTTTAATTTCAATTCGCAAGTATAGTATTACCAGCATTAGGGGAGTGTGAGTATGTGAAAAAGAAGCAATTGCTGCATTTACATGGGCATTTATTCGTAGTAGGTATGAATATATGAAATAGGAGATTCAATATTGTGTTGTGTTGTCAAATACTTCTTTTCTCAAATTGTGCAAGTTTCGTGGCAGTCCCCCAATGGTTCACCGGTTTTCTTTTATCAGAGCCAGTCAAGGTGCTGGTGGCTTGTTTGCGGTGAAGGATCAGAAAGGAGAGGAATGAGGAAAATGAGATTATTGGTTGATGTTGATTTAAGTGCAAGGAAGGTGGGTAGGAGAGTGGTTGTGTAGCAGGAGACTCGGGCTTGCGTGCGGTGAAGGCTAGAGCGAAGGAAGAAATGATAGAATGATAGAATGATAGAATGATAGAATGATAGAATGATAGAATGATAGATTGATAGATTGATAGATTGATAACAACCTTGGAAGGAAATGATAACAAGGCTAACATGTTAACATGTTAACACCACCACCCTAATAATGATAAGCTTTTGATATTACTGCGGAGTAGTTGTACCAGGACCAGTACGGTAGGTACCGGTGTACCTTATACTACCTCCCTACCCACCCGCCTTATCAACACTAATAGTAAAATAATAAAAGCCGAAGATGGAGTTGGTACATGCCTGTAGCCTTGTAGCCTGTCGCCTGTCGCCTGTGGTCTGTAGTCTGTATTCGAGCCGTGCCTTTTCTTCCCGTTCAACGCTAAATTAAATTATGACCTTAGACCCCGCAAAATTGGCATTCAACAAATCCCCACCTTCTCAACCTTCCGATCTCATAATCTCACTCTCATAATCTCACTCTCACAATCTCACAATCTCACAATCTCATAATCTCATAATCTCACAATCTCACAATTTCTCTTATCAACAACCAGCCATCTATCATCGATTTCGACATTTTGTGGACGAGAACCACTAACTTTTCTCAAGACTGTTGCATTACATCGCCGACACTTTCAATCATATCACTGCCCAGAGCACAATGCCAAAATCACCAAATTCCGATAACATCGATAAAGGCTCTAAAGATAATCAATCACATTCCGATAACCCCTTCATTCGTTTCAGACACTTCGCCGATGAGCACGTCAGTTCAATTCTTCAAGGCTTCATTGGACTGCCATCTGCATTTGCCAAGCCCCAAAGTCATTCGCAATGGTCCGTATTCGATGAGGATTTAAGAAGAAGAGATGAATTACAAGCAAGGCGGAGGGAATTGAAGGAGGCCGAAGAGGCAAAAAGTGGGAAACGAACAACATCGGAGAATGATAAAGTCCAAATACCTGTCAAGGAATCACAAACCTCTCATAACCAAATGGATTTTGATCACCTCTTTCCTGACCGGACGATGAATATTTTCTCTTACGATATTCCACTTTATTCGCCCGTGCATTCGCCATTGGCCGCTCCATTCCCTGATAACCTCAGGCATACTATGAGTTCTTTCGCTGCCGTGATGTTATACAGGGCCGATGCGAATGACATTTCACTAATGCCTTATCTTCTTTGCTCGCCATATTCGCCCCTAATTCTATCCGTTGGTCAATCTATCCTTGCGCATCATAGAACATATGATATGCAGAGTAGAAGTATCGGAAGGTGCGGTGGGACTCATGGGGCTGCTCCTCGAGACGATTTCCCTTATCGCGAAGCATTTGAAGACCTACTTCTTACTAGCCAAGGTAGAAGTCGGCACATAGAAGTTCCATCCAAACACATCAACTCAAAAGCCAGTTCAGAACCGGGAAGCATTAGTTCAACAGTAGAGAGTGGATTGAATTGGATTGAACGACTTCGAGCACTGGGCATACTCCATCTGCGTAGTTCGGATTTAAACAATGCGTCGAATGAGTCTCGCTCGTTTGAAGAGGAGAAAGACGCTAGCAATCAAGATTCAAGTCCATCTATCGCCTGGATCAAACTTTTGATGAAGGATGCCGAGACCGAAGAACAAATGTACGAGAGTTTCCTCACCAATGCATCTACAACGCCTGATCAATTCTTAACCAAAGTCGAGTCTACCCTCACTGCCGTGGAAAGATTAATGAAGAGCAAGAGTATTTCACTCGAAGAACCTGGGGGAGCAGCTTTCTCGGACGCGCAAGGCGTACATACGAGTGAGAAATCAATATCACAACCAACGGAACCAAAGCGAGAAGTATGTTCAAGCTCAACCGTTGAACATTACACCAATGAAGATGGAAGTGTGGAAACAACAATTCGTGTATGGAAAAGATTTGATGATGGAAGTGAAACAGAAACAACATCTAGCCATACAGTTGACAAAGCAACCCGACTTGGTGATCTCGCTAGTGCTGGTTTCCATCCTATCGAGTCAAAGCAACGTGAAGTGGAGACTAATGATCAGGACAACAAGTCACGAGCCAAGAAGAATACAAAACCAGGCTGGTTTTGGAATTGAATGGCTGGACGTTTGTTGTTTTGGGTTTGTATATTACAGGTAGGACAGGCATTTGGAGTTCGGTGATTGGATAAGAATGCAAACCTTTCGATTCGCAATACAGTATGCTACATTCGTCAATTACTTTTATAAATACCAAGCTTGGGCGGCAGATGTTGACTAAATTTGTGGCACTCGTTTGATTTTTATTACGGAATGCTGAAGAATAATTGGAGCGGAGAATTTAAGGCGCATGACCCCATATTTGCTTCTCCATGGGGAACATTTCCCCTGTTTTCCATTCAATGATGCAACTTCTTCAAACCCGGTTCTAACTCCTACTACAATAAAGAATTAAATCCATGGCTTGCTCTCTCCGAATACTTCCCTCTATGTCAAAAGTTTGTCAGATTATCCAGTCCATATCTCGGAAAAGAAAAGTTACAAACATCAACCGCTATCCAAAGTCAAAAAGATGCCGCCTATAATATCAAGTGATAATTATTCAGTTGAATCTAAAGCCCTGGGGACCAGGTATGGTTTCAGAACCTATTGTCGTGTAGGCTAATTTCGCTGATGAAATTAGGATGATGGAAGCAAATGAATATAGTGATTTCGTTATAAAGTGCCACCCAAAGACATTCCATGTCCATCGAATCGTCGTTTGCACGCAATCGAAACCAATACAGGCTGCAGCAAATGGAAAATTCCTGGTTAGCTCCTGTTCCTTTATCTCTTTCACCAACTCAACTGACAGTTGAAAAATTTATATCTTGCTCAATCATTGCTGAGATTAGTACAGGAATCTGTTACTGGGGTTCTAGACCTAGTGGATGATAACCCCAACACTGTCGCAAGAATGATCAACTTCTTTTACCTCCGGGATTATGACGATTCCGAGACGACTGAAGAGGCTAAGGAAAGTTATGGACGTCTTTTGATCAACACAATGGTATATATCATTGGGGACAAATATGATATCCAAGGTCTTAAAACCCTCGCCAAAAGAAAGTACGAAGCAGCTATAGATACCGAGTGGAATACCCCTTCTTTCTCGGCCAGTTTAGAGCTTATGTACGAGGAGCTCCCAGAGAGTGATACGTGTCTTACGTCGCTTGCCCTTCAAACTGCAAGCAAGCATGTGAAAGAACTCAAAGATAAAGAGGAATTCGCTAGTTTGTGCAAAAATAACCCGGCCATCGCCTACGATCTGTTCACGACGGCTGCCTCGCAATCTCCTGCAACCATCCCGGAACCTAAGGTGCATATGGAAACCAGAGACCATTGTCCCAAAGGTCATAGTTTCACACATCTTAAAGATATACATGCGATGTATGATTCGAACTTGGGGAAATGGAAGGTAAAATGTCCGAATTGTGCCATGCAGAAGGTGTGTTATAAAGCTGATGGTTCGTGTGATTTGGAGGCCAAGTGGGATGGAGTTGGGGTGGGTTATTGGTATTTATGAGTCTTCTGTTGGGCGGTGGGTTTATGATTTTGTAACTGAAGCGTTTTTTGGTTTAGTTCTTGGTTCAGATTAGGTGTTCATGGTAGGAAATATTGTTGCATCTGAGATGGAACAATCAGTTGTTGGGTACTCTGGTGTATGGGAAGGTATATTTGGGATGGATACATAGAAAGATTTATTAATGCTACAGAAAATTTTGATTTTCCACAGCAAGCTTCTTGAAAATGCTACATTTAGCTTGGTATACTGTAGTAGGTAGTACTTTTAGTGAGTATAAGTTTTGTATACTATGATATATCTTATATCTACTACCATATTTTAAATCACAAATCAAAGCATACATGCTCTTTTTGAATTCTACTAGTGATCGAACTATAATACCATATAGTTTTCCGTTTTTACCAAGGTCTTGTTACCTACCTAGGTAGCTAGCTAGCTATAGATGGGAATCATATATACCGCATTCGAAATAATATTCTGTTTCTCAGTTGGTGTCTCTCTCAGTCGATTTTATATAATATCTCATAGTCTGTCTGCACGTCCTTATTCTGAAAGGTAAGGTAAATAAATATACAAAGTGTTTTTAATTGATTGATTGAGTAATATTGATAAATAATAATAGTAGTAGTAGTAGTAGTATTAATAATAATAATATAAAAACATTAAATAGATAATGAAACTAGAGAATATATTATTTATTAAGTACAATAAGGAAATATAGGGGATTTAGTGTAGGTAGGTGGGTAGGTAGATAGATATCTATTCTTAAGTTTGAGAATGATGAGGTGAGATTATATATATATATATATCCATGAAGGGAATAATTAATCCCTAGCTACATAGCTAGTATCAATCAATTCGATGGATATATTCTCCTCATCTTCATAGCTAACAAATTCAATATTCCCATCCTCAAGCAAGTTGAAGCAAATAACATAGGAAACTCTCCACACGCTGGAAAAATCGAACTAAATCTTATTTCTTTTATTCTCATTCTACTACTCTTACACTAGACCGAGCTGCTTAGTAATAACTCATGAAAATTACTTTCCTACCTCGAGATATGGTTATTGGTCTTTGTGAAAACAAGGTCGGGTTCTTCTTTTCGTCTTTTTAAAGCTGTTGTGTTGTTGGGCGAGATGTATAGGATGATTTGAGGGGGGGCGTTTTAGGGGTCTTGAGGTGGGAAGAAGGGTAGGGAGAAGGGAGAAGGGAAGAGGAAAGATGAGGTATTGGTATGATGATACTCCTTTTGGTACTATTCCTTTCGGTTAGCCAGTAAGTCTGAATAGGTACTTAGGGTGAAGAGAGTATGTATAGATATTCCGTTGGTCTATTCTGTCCAGGTACAGACTTATCACATAAATACTACAGCTGAGCATAATACCACCCAGAACCTTAAAACTTCTATCTAATAGCATTATATAACTCCAAAAATGCCATGATATATGGGTGAAGAAAATAGTAAAATCGTGATGAACTTCGAATTTCTGAACTTTCCTGTAGACCCGCACTAGAAGTTGAGCTTCAAATAAGAGAGCCACCAAAAAAGAAAGAAATCCAACACATGAAAAATGCAAATCAAAAATAATCTTACATGACGTAAAGAAACTAACAACTCGACATATATCAGAAATGAGTTACTGGACTTGCCACTCAACAGGAGCCTCATTGTTCAATCGACCTCGAAAGTAACCACGTACTATGTACATATTAAATACTTATTGAGGTCATTGTGACTCACATACATCATATCGTACGTATAACGTATATATCCATCCATCCATTCTGCATGTGCATGTGCATATACTCCGCCTCTTATAATCCCCGCTCTCTGCTCTGCATTCGACTCTCAAGACAGAATCCTTCATCTATACGTGGGCATTAACTAAATCCTTCTACCCACAATTTTGCCATTGGGAATTCTGTATCGATATATATCGTAATATGATCGATCCTCTTCGCTGTCTCTCATCTGTCGGATATCGTCTATCTATCGAATATATTAACACAAGTCCTTAGGTAGGTAAGGAGGTGGATGTACGAGCACCATCTATAACCTACAACTATAAATCTTTCTCCCTCCCCTCAGTCCAAAAATGAGGCTGAGAGTATGAAACCGGAGGCACCGATTAGTGCATTAGATCTTTACTTAACAACTCATGTTCTTCCAGTATTTATCCCCCGCCTCACGAATTAGTTTCACATCCATCTGACATAAATTAAATCTCCCACCAGTTGGCTTGCTTGCATATTAGGTATTTATTTATGATATGATTGATACATGTGATCGGGAAATGATAAGGTTAGGTGTCTATTTACCTATCCACTTCTACGATGAAATGACAACCTTGTTTGTTCGAAATGCAACAAAAGTAAGCAAGCAAGCAAAAGTGGCGTAATCCGCAGATTCCGCAAAATCAATTCACAACATATGATACAGCAGTCTCCAATATCCTATCCAAGAAACCCAATTCAAGACCGCTCAGCCTTGACTCATCCGGCACGCTATAAAACAAATCATCCAATTAACCTCCCAATGAATACCTGGGTAGAAGGTTATGATAGGATGAGATGATTTGTTGCGGAGTACCACTTTGCAGCATTGGGACGCCGATGGCCTCGTTATGCATATTTTAGGGTCCTTGATGCTTCTTGATTGGATTGTGCTGCCTATCTGACTTGCATTTTGGTATTTTGGGGCTAAGGCGCTGCGGTGGAGGCCTTCTGCTGTATCTTCTCTATCTTCTGAGGATATATTAAGTATGGTTGTGGAAGGAAGAAAGGAAAGTATTTTTTCTTGGTGAATGAATGTTATGAATTGAATCAATTGTTTCTATTTTTATTTTTATTCTTTGCTTGTATATGGACTGAAAGTTGATTGAAGGAAGCAAGAATTGTTATTGAATTGAAATAGAATCGAAGTTGAGTGAATTTAGATTTAGTTGCATTTCTTGTTGCACACGAGTTATTGAATTGATTCAAATCGGGCGTTACAATCAATTTATTCTATCGTTTACACTACATACATACCCCGATACAACCTCAACTCCTCATCTTTTGCTTTCCCGAGGCAAGGAACACAAGAATTCTTCGAAATCAACATATCTTCGAAAATGCCGCCAGAACCCAAAAGTACCTGCATCTCCTGCACCACTACGACGGCAAACTGTCAGAAGATACTGAAGCAAGTGATAATTTCCCTTGAGAACGCATCCGAGGTTTATCGGAAATTGGTTCCTTTTGTGAGTAGGTCTCATGCGAGATATTTGTTGGGCGATGATGTATATGTGGTGGAGGGGCAGTTGAGGAGGGCATTGGAAAGGCTGTGTGAGGTTGATATTGCTTCGGAGGATGGGGGAAGGATATTGACGGACTTGGTTGGGCGTGATGGAAGTGCGGAGTTAGGGAATTTACCTCTTTTTGAAGTGGCTAAGGATGAGAAGGAGAGAATTGGAATGAAAGGATTGAAAAGAGAGACTAGAACGCGTCTTCCGATATTGAATCTTGACACTGTGTTTTCGGACATCAAGATTCCATTTGTGGATTCAGCTGTAGAACTTAGGAGTTCCGGAATGATTGATCAGGTTCTATTGGATGATGATATCATGGTTTTTGTGGAGGAAGATTGTGAGCAAAAGGACATCGACACGGAAAGGTGTATGGAATTAGCGCCTGTGCCAACTCACATCACTCCTGAATATCCTTACCTGCTGAAGGCCATTCGTTTATGGTTAGAAGGATTCTTCGACACGAAAGGAGATTCTTTAGGTATTCCAGAATCTATGGTTAGTCAGCTTGCTGGATGCGAGAAAGACTTTGGACTCGACAGATTACCCACAACAAGCTGTGTATGGAACGCCGATTACCAAAGACAACGAAAAGAAGTATGGGAGATAGTGTCATTCTGGGGGCCTAATCAACGGTCCAAATGCATATGTGAACCTGGGGAATCTGATGGGAACGGGTTTTGTCATGTAAATCATTGGAAGGATCCTTATTGTCCGAAGAATATGCCGATAGATTTGGATTCACCTTCAGTGGAGTATACATGGAATTACTCGGCACGACGATGGATTTATCATAGGGGGCCTGGAGCAAGAATAGGTGGGCCGCCACCTCCTCCACCACCCCATTTCCCAAGACATGACGATAATGCATCAGATTCAGGATCAGATTCGGATTCAGAGACGGATGAACAAGCAGCCGAGAGAGTTCAGCGATTAAAAAAAGAGAGAGCAGAAAAAGCAGAAAAGGCTTGGGAAGAAATCATGGGTATGACTGGTTTGAAGGGAGTGAAGGAGCACGTGCAGAAGTTAAAAGCCAAGGTTGAAAGTTCGATTAGGCAGAATATCGATTTGAAAGAGGAGAGGTTTGGTGCAGTTTTTATGGGTAGTTCGGGTACTGGAAAGACCACCATGGCCAAAATTTATGCCAGATACCTCTATTCCATGGGTATCATTCAACGGGATGAAGTAATTGAAACGACAGGGACTTATCTCTCTGATGGTGGCATTGAAAGAACAAAAAGATACATTGATAGACTAGCTAATGGTGGTGTAATGTTTATCGACGATGCAATGACACTGGACGATTATAGCAACGGCACCAAGATTCTCGATTTTATCTTCCAGGAAATTGATCACATGAAAGGATCTGTAGTTTTCATTCTTGCTGGACATGAAAAAGGAATGCGGAAATTGTTGGGTCATGGAGCAAAGAGTGTCACCAGCTTGCTTCCAAACGTTCTTACATTTGACGATTTTTCGGAGTCGGAATTACTTGAAATCCTAAGCTCATGCATCAAGAAGAAGTTTGATGGGAAAATGGAAGTTGAGGGTGGATATAATGGACTTTACATGCGAATTGCGGTAAAGAGGGTGAGTAGGACGAGGGGCGGCTCCGATTTTGGTAATGCCAGAGCTGTGGAGAATCTTGTTGCCCAAATTTGGGAGAGACAGTCTGCTAGATTGTCTAAGGTTCGGAAAGAAAGAGCCACAAAAGCTGCTGAAGACGAAGCTACAAAAAAGAAAATAGATGAAGAGAGATTCGCAGAAGAGAGCAAGATTCGCGAGCAGAATACCGGAGACAACACGCAAGACAAACTTCTGGAAGAAGAAAAATCTGACCTGGAGCAGAATTCTGACATAGCAAAGTGTACAGGACAGGTAGTTGGTCAAGAAGACAAGATAGAAGCGACAAATGGTTCGAGTATTGTTGTTGTGAAAGAAAACACCGACATATCTAAAGATGGGAAGGCAACCAAGAGCGGAGAAATGACGGAAGCAACAGGAAAACCACTTCGCGAGAAATCGTCAATGAATGATCATAATGGAGCAGAAGTTTTGGAACCCCCGGCGCAGGGCATTTTAGTGAGTGAGAAAAAGACGAAGGAGAAATCGATTGTTGTAGTTTCAAAACCAGCAGATCTAGAGTCGCCTGAAGACATTGCAGAATCAAACTCTGTAGAAGGAATTAAATCAGAGGAGCCCAAACCAGACGAAGACACTACATTATTGGCTAAGACAGAAGTCGTGGTAGATGAGCCAGCACCGATAGAGGAAACAGTGCCGGCGAGCATTGAAAGTGATGGGCAGCTCAAGCAAGTAGATGAGGACTCTTCAAAAGTCGTCGAAAATTGCACGGAGGATCAAGCTAGAAAGGATGAGACATCTAACGGAGATAAATTGTCAGATGAAGCACAGAAATCACCCGACAAAGGTTCGGATGCGGAATCTAACACAGGAGAAACGCCAGTAATAGACCCAGAAGACCTTCTATTTACAAAAGAAGATATACTCGGTCCTGATCCCTCTGCTGCTATTTTAAACAGCGAGGCTTGGCAAGAACTCCAAAAGCTTATTGGTTTAGAAAAGGTTAAAACTTCTCTGCTTACACTCCTCGAGCTTGTCAAGACGAACTACCAACGAGAGCTAGAAGAAAAGCCTCTGCATCAATTCACCCTGAACCGCTTATTCTTGGGGCCAGCTGGAACTGGTAAAACTGTGGTTGCGAAATTGTACGCTAAGATTCTTGGTGAAATTGGAGTTCTTTCGAAGGGTGAGGTGATTTTTCGAAATCCAAGTGATTTGATCGGACAGTATATTGGACACTCGGAAGCTAATACTAAAGCTGCGCTTAATGCTGCCAGGGGCAATGTGTTGGTCATCGATGAAGCATACATGATGTATAGTGGAAATTCCGATGGCACGGGTAATGAGAGCGACTCATTCAGACAAGGAGTTATCGATACTTTGGTCGCTGAAGTGCAAGGAAATCCTGGTGAAGATCGGTGCGTTCTGTTGCTAGGATATAGAGAACCAATGCTAGAGATGCTCAATCACTCGAATCCTGGGTTGAGTCGAAGGTTTCCTGTCGAAAATGCATTTTCATTTGAGAATTTCTCTATTGATGAATTGGGGAAAATACTTCGCTCCAAGTTAGAACACCATGTTCTTGAAGCAACAGAAGAGGCCATCAAGGTTGCTATGGACGTCCTTAAAAAAGCCAGCACCAGATTGAATTTTGGAAATGGTGGAGAAGTAGAAAACTTGATTGCTTCTGCTAGAACCAACTACCAGCTGAGGATGTCGAAAATTCCAGTAGAAGAAAGGTCTGCCAAATGGGTATTCCAGCCAGAAGATTTCGACCCGGAATATGATAGGGGTAGGTCTGCAAATGCCAACCTTCTAAAACTTTTCGGGGACGTCATTGGGTGTGAGAATATTGTCAAACAACTGGGGCAATACCAGAACGTCTGGCAAGCCATGAAAGCAAGAAACATAGATCCTAGGAATTACATACCAACGAATTTCGTCTTCAAAGGACCACCGGGTAAGATATATGAGCCTCGTCGCAATATATATCAGCCAGTACTAACAACTGTATCCCTAGGAACTGGCAAGACAACTACAGCACGCAAATTTGCAAAGGTATATTATGACATGGGATTTCTCTCCGGTGAAACAGTAATCGAATGCTCAGCCAGCGACCTCATCGGGAAATATGTCGGACATTCAGGACCAAAAACAGCCAAAGTTCTAGAGAAAGCCCTGGGAAAAGTCTTATTTATCGATGAGGCCTACCGTCTCGCTCCTCACACCGAGAACTACAGCTTCACATCCGAAGTAGTATCCGAGCTCGTCGACCTTCTAACCAAACCCAAGTTCCACGGAAATCTGATCGTCATCCTTGCAGGCTACGAAGATGAAATAAACTCCCTACTAGCCGCAAACCCAGGTCTCGCATCTAGATTTCCAGAAGAAATGAACTTCCCAGCTCTGACTCCTCTCCACTGTTTAAAAATACTAGAAATAAAATTGCGTCTTGCCGGAATCGCTATTCCTATTCTAAATCAGACTGAACGGAGGGAATATGAACAATTGCTGCGATTGATGACGCTGCTTACTGCAACGCATAGCTGGGGAAATGCGAGGGATGTCGATACTTTGGCAAAAGCTATTTGTAGATCTGTGTTTTTGGAGATGCCGGTCCTGGAGCAGGGTGAGTTGGTTTGTTCGGTGGAGAATGCTATGTTGGCTGTGGAGGTTATGTTGCATGAGAGGAGAAGGAGGGCTTATACGGCGTTGCCGCCTCCTAGGTATGAATAGGGATTGAAACGGGAATGAGAAAAAGAAAGGGAAAGGGAATGGAAAAAGAGGAAGCTGAGATTGTGGCTTGCAGGAACTGGGTAACTAATTGGAGTTTTGATGGGAAATGAATGACGGATAATATATGATGTGGATATAAAGTTATGAATACATAATTAACAAATTCTCAATTTTGAACACTTTATTTCTTGGAGTCATCACTTACTTGCATTGATTGATTGCTAGCTGAAGTTTTTAGCATCAGGCCTAAATATGAATCTAATAAGCAGAATTCTTTGCGCAAAAGAACGTGGGATACCCAAGCAGGTACACCGTAATATCTCCAGAGCGGTCTTGAGGCTGAAAGAAGAGTACGTATACGAGAATGTAAATCTAGTTGTAAGATTACACCCAAGATCAAAAGAATCTATCAAATCTCCATACATATGCAGCTTTATCTAATCTTGCCTACAAGAGCGGACTACAAGAGCAACGAAACGCTTTGGAGATTCTACTGTAGGGTTCCCAAAAAGAGGTTGTCAGAAGAAGCATCATTGGGGATGGGAAGGGGGACGGGTATTGTAAGATCTTGTATGTTCTTTCTATAGGAATTTATTATGTCGATCGACGAGATGTTTTTATAGGTTGGTATGGGGTAAGGGAGGAGAATGGGTTCTGTATATATTCTTTAAAGATGGAGAATGCGGGATTTGAGGATGGGCTGGGTGGTTGATGTCATGGGTATTTAGTAACTCGTGATCAATTCAATTCGAAGATATCAATGCCAATATACGTAGCACATCTCGATGGCGTAGCAGTAGAGTTCATCATTCCGAGAATGTTTGTCCGCGCCTCTACTTGCAATTAGCACGGCTTCGGTAGGACAGTGAGTGATAGGGGGTGTAACTTTGTGCGTATGTATGCTGGTGTGGTTTATTGGGAGTTCAAGGCATGGCGCTTAGAGCTTTGCTGGTTTGGAAGATTCTCTATGGGGTCTGTATGAGAGAGAAGAAGAGAAGAAATGGTGAATATCCTTCGTGTGCGTTTATTGGGATAGGTTGAAAGAAGGGGATTCTTTCGGTTGGAGGTCAAACTTTACTACAATTTTGAGAGTTGTTTTTTTGGTGACCTTGTTTTGCATTCATTATCCTTCTGGTCTGAAAATTGATTTCCCCTCCTGACTTATTTTTAGTCCAGTTGCACTTGGTCAGATACCTACTTGGAGTTCGAGCGCCGAAATATACCTTGTTTTTCGTAGATTGAGGCGATAGAGTTGACAGCGGTAAAGGTGGGCGTGAGTTAAGTATGTTGATCACTACCAATTTACAGAACCTTGTGGTAGAGAATATTATATATGACTTCACCATGATAAAAGGACTCAACACTGTGATGTAATGAGTGGAAATTGAGGAAGATGACACGGTAAATCACCTTATAATCGACGTGAAGTTCTTAATACGGCTTAGTTATCGGGTTGATTTTGTTTGGAGAACAGTGCATATCGTCCAGTTTGGACAATGAGACTCTTGCAAAGACACTGGAACTCGCTTGTATTAAAACCTGTAAATTCTGTCAAATCTACTAGGACTAACAATCATCAACAACAAACAAAACACAACACAACATTACGAACCGCATTACGTGTTCAGAAAACTTCATGTCGTTCACAGACCCATTCAAGCAAGTCTGCTCTGGAGGGGCATCTGATCCGTCTCGGCAAGCGCATCCGAAGTTTATCTCGCAGTAAGTATGATTTCCTGTTCATGGAACAAAATAATATTGAACATCCACAGGCTATATTCTATCGGTAAATACTCAGATCTCATCGTCAAATATCAAGGAAAGGAATCCAAGGTTCATCGAGCAATTTTTTGCCCTCAATCAAAGCCTCTTGCTGCGGCTATAGACCATGGGTTTAAGGTAATTTTTATGCAAAATGATGATTCGTGTTTGGTTTGTGCTGATGAAAAGTTTTAGGAAGCTACTACTGGCGTTATTACCTTCGAGGAAGACGATCCGGAGATTGTAGAATATATGATCAAGTTTCTTTATGTGGGTACCTACAACGTATTCGCACGGATGAACAAACTTACTGCATCTGAGATGTTGCAAAACGCAACATCCTCGGCCAAATCATATGCTTCATCATTGCAGAAGCTATAGCGCGTGTTCGGGGAGGACTTTTTAGACAGAAGGCTAACATGTTTTCAAGCCCCAATGGCGCTTCCATATTCGCACCTATGGATGCACCCAGAGGTGCAAGGGGCAATATATTTGACTTGACACCATCAGTTTTTTATCCATATCGCGAAGCTTGTCCTACTAATACTTTTGCAGCCGCAGCTAGATCTGCAGCATCAATATCAAACAGCCACAGTTATGTGTGGGGTGGAATTATAGACACAGAAAATCTCCAGTTCACAGCTCGGAAGGCACGTTTGAATGGTTAGGTACTGGTTTGAGTTCCATCAACTTCTGCGCGGTGGATTTGATCAAGCATGCAAAGGTATACATCATGGCCGAGAAATATGACATTAAACCATTAAAGACACTGGCTCGTGAGAGGTACTTCACTATCTCAAAGAATTGCTGGGACTCTTCTTACTTTGTGGAAAGTATTGAAATTATCTTTGATAGTACGCCGGAAATTTCTGGAGGAGATTGTCTTCGAAACTCCACCGTGGAGACTGCTGGTAGGCATGTGGAACAACTTCTGGCGAGAAAGGACTTTACCGAATTGTGTCAGGATATGGGTGATACTGCCACTTCCATTCTGCAAATCAGCTGTGATGTGACGAAATTTACGGATGGTGGTTGGCATGGCTTTAAGATGTAGGCTGAATGTTTATATGATTAGGTACTATGAATAATGAGAACCTGTTTTCTTCTATAACGATAGATAATATAGCTGCAAATGAATCAATCACCAGTCCAATTACATTCTATCTCTACAGAAAGAATACATCTTTCATTCTAGAGCATACTAATGATGAAGCTAATATAAAGTCAGCAACATGAAGACACAGATATTGCTTTATGGAAGAGCATATAGCATGCTTGGATGCAACATAAAGATTAAGAGTCTTGGAAAAATCAAATCCATGGATTGATTAAATAGAAACACGACCTGCTTTGATGCCAACGAAATGATATTTGGTATGTATCAGCAGCAATGAGCTACATCAAGCAGCAAGTTTTCAAGGCGCTGAGGCAAGCCAAGCGATTCAATTTCTCTACAATAACTAACTTATAAGACTTTACCAAATAGGAAAATACCATGACATCGTACTGAGATGTAGGAACAAAATTCTTTTATTACGAGCTATGTATGATAAAAAGAGGAATGTGGAGGGATACTGACCCCCTGTTCCAGGTCTTGGCAAAGACCAAAGGTAATGGGTACAACATGAAATCCTTATGTTCTAATAATATGACAATAATGTACAAGTGGTATCTTGTTTCATCAAGTCAATGCATAATATTTAACCTCTCTTGGGCCGTTCACTTCTTTCCCTTTGTCTTCTTCTTGCTAGTTTGCCTCCTCTCACCCTCGGGTCTTCCTAATACACCTCTCGTTCTCTGGTATTGCAAGACAATATTCTGCACACTACCCATATCATGCTTGGGCTTCCTCATGTATGTCAATCTTGCTCTCCTAGCCCTCTTAGCCTTCCTCTGTACCACCTCAATACCCTCCACATTTGGACTATATATCTTATACCACATCTCAACACCGACTCTCGTCAACTCATTTCTAAGTAAGATACCGGTCTCCACACCTCGTCTTCGGATATTGATGCATACTCCAGCAAATGGGTCACCTGTTTTAAGACGTACGAGAAGAATATCGCCAACTCTGGCTGCTTCCGGGTTTGTTTTGGAGAATAGGTTGGTACGGGCACCAGTTGGATCGAGGACCGCTATCTGCTCGGCGTGAAGGTTTTTTATGGGTTCTTTGTATTTCTGGGCAGGAGATGATGGTGGAGGGTATGTTTTAATTTTTCGGACAGCTGTTCAAGGTATCAGTACATGAAGAGTGTCAATTGTAGAAATCGATGGAGGACCGACCTTGAGTCTGAAGAGGGGTCTGCGACGCTGGCTTCGAGTGGTGATATGTGCTCAACGACCTCGAGATAGCCTTGTGTTGTCTCGATTGCCGAAATAGGGATTTCCAGCAGCTCAATGGCCGCAATGTGGGTGTTATGGTCGCCATGGTTGTTGAGGACTGTATTTTGTACTTGAAGTGAGGTTCAATGCGACCAATCTGAAAAATTCTGCCGCTTTGGGGTCACCGCCCAATTCCAAAATAATAATTATTATATGAAAGCACCCCAGAATTCTTTAACGATAATGGCTGAACTCACCCCTCCAAATAGTGACCATTAACTTCCCACAAAGGTATCTGAACTTTTCCTAGGGTCATTATGAGCGGAAAAGGTCTTTCCAAGGTCGTTCGTGGCAGCGAATGCTTGTTTAAACAAGCGCCACTGAATTCGTCAAGACAACAACGGTCATTCACGAATTCTGCAGTATGTCAAAGAGTTGGTATGTGACAGCAAGGTGGGTAAATTACATTTTATATGCTGATTTTAAAATAGGCTGTGTTCCATATTTCAGACCAACCTCTTCTCCTGAGCTTGATGCCCTACTGTTGAAGTACCGAAAGAACCTCTTCCTGCCCGCACACCTTGCAGAATACGACCAGCGGCTAGTATACAGCACTATAAATGCGGAATCACTTTTGAATGACCCCGTCAAAGTCGTGGTTGGTGGGGAGGAGTTTGTCTTAGAGCACATAGATCGTGTGAAAGATGTACCACACACCACAAAAGGATTTAGAGAAGTCCTTAACCTCATGACGGAAAAGAAAGATTGGGACAATCTGCCACAACTGCTTGAGGGGCACCGTGATTGCAAAAGACAGATATCATTAGCGTTATACTGCCAGACAATCCGACGAGCCGGTTTAGTAGGACGAATGGATACCATTATCGAGTCAGCAAGAAGAGTTCGCTATACAGGCTTTCGTTTGAAAGATGAGGAAATTGTCATGCAAGTGATGTATTGGATTTATTACAAAGCACAAGTCAGTGGTTTTGAAAAGCACGAAACGGAGCAGGCTCTTGCATGGGCAGAAAGCGTGGCAGATTTGCTCGAGGATTCCAGACATGCTGGAGACAAAGGACCATTACTTGTGGAGAAAGGGAACGATGTTCGGGCTCTTCCGGAAGTCATTGGCATATTATTGCAATTGGCTGCAGTTCGTGCTGTAAAACATACGGATGGGAAAGATTTGGATGGGAAGGTCGCAACTTATACCACGAGGCTTTTGGGAACCCCGTACGACTTGAGCACGGCTTTACTCAATATGAGAAGGCCTGAAGTACGGATCTATTCGAAATCTGATGCCATTAACTCAGAAATAACAAATCAAACCCACGCTGATGGCACAGAATTTTCTACGGAAGAAATCCAGAAAAAGACTCTTAGAGCGAAGAACGGTTGGCTTGTAGCTGCAGTACCGGTGTTGCATGGGATGAAAACAGCATTGAATGTGTTCGGCCCTGATACGACAGCTTCATTACGACTGAAGGAGAACATACCTCGATTAGAAAAGAGAGTCAGTAGGTACGCATCCGAGCTAAAGGATACTTCCGCGGGCAATCTGGGCTTTAGAACGTATACCAACTTATTCGGCGCAATATGAATCACGTGTTTCCCTTACTGATCGAATGGATAACTTTTGTATTTGTATTTACCTGTACAATAAATTAAGGAAGCACAATATACTTCTCTAAATGTTTCGGAATTGCTCCAAGGAGTTTCTTCTCCGATAACCACTTCTTGGAGAACAATCGGTCGGCATACCTGTATGCGCCATCGCATAGTACTGTCACCACAGTGTGCCCCTTTCCGAGCTTTTCAGCTAGCTCCTTTGCAGCAGCAACATTCAAACATGAACTAGCTCCGAGGTACAATCCTTCCTCATCTAAACATCGGTAGACCATCTCGATACTCTTCTCATCACTGATGTGCATTGAGCCGTCTAATAAATCAATGTCTGGTTTCAAGTTGTCTGTAACTCTGCCTTGTCCGATTCCCTCAGTGATACTGGAGCCGGTTCTATCCACCAGCTTTCCACCTGATTGAATGTATGAATGTAAAACACTTCCAGGAGGATCCGCGAGATAACATTTAACTCTTCCATCGGACTTTGTCTTCAAGTAACGTGTGATTCCAGCCAAGGTACCTGCTGTTCCTGTGGCACAGGTGAAGGCATCCACTTTCCCATTAGTCTGATTCCATATTTCTGGGCCAGTAGTCTCAATGTGGGCGCGTCGATTCGCGATGTTATCGAATTGATTTGTCCAAACCGCATTCTCCAGTCTATCCGCGTGTCGTTTTGCTTGATGGTTGTAGTTTTGTGGATTGTCGAAAGCCACCGCTGGCACTGGATACACTTCGGCACCCAATAACCTCAGTAGGTCTATCTTTCCTTGAGATTGTGTATTTGGCATGTAAATGACGAGCTTATAGCCTTTAGACCTACAAACATGTGCAAGTCCAATTCCTGTATTCCCGGCCGTTCCTTCGACAACAGTTCCTCCAGGCTTCAGTAATCCTCTCTCTTCGGCGTCCTTTACGACGTATAGAGCTGCTCGGTCCTTGATTGATCCTCCAGGATTCATGAACTCTGCCTTTCCTAATACTTCACAGCCAGTTGCGTCGGAAATGTGATTTAATCGAATCAATGGGGTGTTTCCAATTGCTATGACTTTTTAGCTGATTCCTGATGCGCATAGGGAACTGAGTCTCAAACGAACCTCCAGTTAAACCTTTAACCACGCCCTGAGCTTTGGAAACTCCAATGCCGTACTGATTTGGGGCTTCCATCTGAGCGACATTTTCTGCAGCTCTTACAGCTGTAGTCGTAAAGCGTCGAACACCAAGTCGAAACATTTTTTATACAATTTGGAGAGAAAGTAATTTTGAGTAAGCTTTTGTTTACTCCGCGACTTCTTTATCCGATTCTGTAAATGCTCGCACTGGCCCAATAAGTTTTGTCCCGCAGCCGGGTGGTCTTATCGCTTATCATTGATACCGGGTCATGACTAAGCAAGGGTAGGAAAGTAAACAATGAATGTCAACAAACATTTTAAACATCGAGTGAAAGATGAAAAAGATATCAACTTTTTAAAGCGTTCATGCAATCTGCGACAATCTCATATTACCATTTTTCATTTGAAGTACAAAGGATCCACTATAACCATACGAAACATTTCACGTCAGGAAAGAAGTTTCTCATATCACATCTGAACTTGAGGAAGCAAAATGCCAGGCAAAGTCGCAAGCAGAAGCTCGAGGACATCGACTTCGGGAGCTCGCAAATCATCCACCGCGGAACCAAGTAGTCGAAGATCAGCTACTTCAAGAGTGACAGCGCCATATATTGAAATTCCGGAAGAGACCCCAGAGAACGAGCTGCGAACGCAAATTTCATCCATTTTTAGAGATTCGCAGAGGAATACCGCATCGCATAGAAAATTAGTTGTCAATTTGCGCAAGATACAAGAAGCATGCTGCTACGAACCTACTAACAAGAAGAGTAAAACCGGTGCGGAGGATTTCGACGAGGAAGAATTCACATATGAGTTCACAAGATGTGTTTTGAGAGTGATGCCGATTAAAAAGAGTGAGAGTGTTGGAGAAAAGGCAATTCGATTCATTGGTTTATTCTTGAGGCATGCTAATGAGAAGGACAATGAAATGACTCCAGCAAATGAAGAAGAGGATGGAGTTTTGGTTGAGACACCAAGTACGAGGCTTACGAGTCACCTCATGTCAACTATATTACCTCTTTTGACGGCCAAAGAGAAGTTCGTACGATTTAGATCTACACAGCTGATTTCACATATTATAAACTCGCTCGACTCAATTGATGACGATCTTTTCCAGCAACTCCGACATGGACTTTTGCGCAGAATTCACGATAAAGAAGCGATGGTGAGAGTGCAAGCTGTCCTGGGTCTAGGCAGATTGGCTGGGAATGAAGCAGAAGGGGATGCGGATGAGAGCGACGATGAATCGTCTGGGGGCTTACTTGTAAAACTATTAGCAGTCCTACAGAATGATCCCAGTGCCGATGTTCGAAGGTCCCTTTTGATAAATCTGCCAATATTACCCAATACGCTTCCATATTTGCTAGAGAGGGCCAGAGATCAAGACCCAGCAACTCGTCGGGCTCTCTATTCTCGACTTTTACCAGCACTTGGAGATTTCCGACATTTGTCACTATCGATGCGTGAAAAGTTACTACGATGGGGTCTTCGCGATCGAGATGAGAACGTCCGCAAAGCTGCAGGCAGACTTTTCCGAGAACGTTGGATTGAGGATTGTATGGCTTCAGCGGCAGCAGACACCGTGGAAGGCGAGGTTGTCGAGGAAAATAAGACACCAAACATGGAAGCACTTTTAGAGCTTCTTGAGAGAATTGATGTTGTTAATTCCGGGGTGGAAAACGGGGTTGCACTAGAAGCAATGAAAGGCTTCTGGGAGGGACGACCCGACTTTCGAGATGCCGTTACATTTGACGATTACTTCTGGGACACTTTGTCGGCCGAGTCTGTATTCATGGCAAGAAGTTTCAATGATTTCTGTCGGAACGATGGAAGTAGCAAGTATGAGGCTCTGATCGAAGAGAAAATGCCCGAGGTTACGAAACTCGCGTTTTACCTACAGAGGTATACTGCAGTTCTTGTTGAGGCTTTAAAGAGGACTGCGACACAGGAGGAGATCACGGAGGACGTGGCGGAAGAGGAAGATACGGTGGAGCAAGAATTTATTGTCGAACAACTACTCCACATTGCTAGAAGTTTAGACTATTCAGATGAAGTTGGACGAAGGAAAATGTTCACGCTTTTGAGACAGCACCTGGCTATCCCCGATCTGCCTGAGGAAGTCACTAAATTAACTGTGGAAGTTCTTAGGGGAATTTGCGCCGCAACACCTGCTGGTGAAAAGGAATTCTGTAGTGTTGTCCTCGAAGCCGTTGCCGACGTTCATGATACAGTCATGGATGAACAAGATTTTGAGGATGCCGAGGAGAGCTTTCATTCTGCGAGGTCTGACGTTAGTGATGATGGAAAACCAACTAGAGGTAAGAAAAAGCCTCCGATGACAGAAGAAGAAGAGCAAGAAAAAGCGGTCCGCGAGATTATGGTTAACATGAAATGCTTGCACATTGTGCAATGTATGCTTGAAAATGTTGAAGGAAGTCTCAAAGAAAACGCAGATCTTGTAGCCATGCTCAACAATCTTGTTGTACCAGCTGTGCGCAGTCACGAAGCACCTGTTCGGGAACGTGGTCTCATCTGTATTGGCCTCTGTTCGCTTCTTGACAAATCTTTGGCTGAGGAGAACCTGGCTCTTTTCATACACTTCTTCAGCAAAGGCCACTCTGCTCTTCAAATCACTGCTTTGCAGATCTTGACCGATATGCTTAATCAGCATGGTGCTCAACTCCTGGAATCGAATCCTGCAATTTTGACAAAGGTCTACCTCAAGGCTTTGAAATCCGGTGGCAAAGACCCCGAGGTTCAGGCGGCAGCTACGGTTGCTGTTGCTAAACTCCTGCTGGGACGAGTAATTACGGATGCATTATCTGCAATTGATGACCTCTTGAAGACATTGGTCGTCCTTTACTTCGATCCCAGCACAGCTCAAAATCAGGGTGTCCGTCAAACTTTAACATATTTCCTACCGGTCTACTGTTACAGCAGAGCAGAAAATCAAGACAGAATGCGTGCAGTGGCGTTAGATGCAATGCACAAGCTGTTCGAAACCCAAGACGACGATGAGGATGCCGAGGCTGAAATGGTTGGTCTTGGGACGATTGGTGCCCATTTGGTAGATTGGACTGATCCCCGGAAATGCTATGTCCCTGGAAATCAAGCCACTTTATCAGATGAGGCGCCTAAAAAGGCAGTTAATGGAGATGTTCATCTTGACTTTGCCATGGACATTCTGGAAAGATTGAATTCCTCTATGAGACGTAGGTTAAATCTTTTTTGACCCCCAATTGTATTGAATTTAGACTAACCCCTAAAGTAGTGGAAGAAAAGAAAACACTTACACCCCTCCTCGCCAAACTCCACATCTCACCAGCCTCATCCGAGGACAAGCTTCGCGCAACATACGAAGAAATAAGCGAGGCCGTTGAGAACAAAAAGTTAGGGCTGGACGCTGCTGGTAGGAATGCTTTGTTCAAAATACATGTCACAATTGGCAAGATTGTAAATGTTCTTGCCGAAAAAGATGCTGGAGAAGAAAGTGTGTTGAGAGGAGGAAGTGTGATGAGGGAAAGTGTAAGGGATGAGAGTGTCCCACCTGGTGCCAGTGTAGGGAGCAGCGGAAACAGAGCTAGCAGTCTCGGTATGAAAAAGAGTAGAGGGCCCGAGGTGATAATGGAGAGAATAATCAAAGTGGAGACCGTGGAGGAGGAAAAAAATGGAAAGGAAGAAGAAAATGATGAAAGCGAGGGAACAATCGTTGCTGAACAAGAGAGAACGATCGTTCCCTCTAACGAGGAGGAAACATTACTGGAGCAACAGTTGCAAGATAGTCTGGTGGAAAGTCTTCTAGATGATGATGGGGATATAGAGATGGGTATGTAAGCCTTGAGTGTATATGAGCAATGGTCGGCGATATTATGGTTCGGCGTTTGGTTGGGATCAATGCGACGGATTGATCAACGAATCTATGAATTTAATGCCCTTATCATTATGGCAACTACACGTTCGATTTCAGCCCATTGCTGAATATTTTTGTACATCATATTTATTTGGTATTGTGAAAAATAGAATTTAATTAGTAGTTCACTAAGTGAACTTCACAGATTTGCAGCCCACAATGAGCTTTACCTCAGGGTTGACACTTACTCCTAGTTACCCTCCTCTCGACTTGCCGCACAAATTTTAGCGATTCCACGAAATATTAAAAGTTTTGCCGTGCTTCAGTGGCACTGGCTCTCCTAAGTACACTCCAAGCAAGTATGTTCATTTTTGTTCCCGATCTATCCAGATAACTAATCTTTGAAAAATTCTTTCTGCTCAGAAGTCTATAACATAACGACAACCTTCTTTCCTTAAGAATTCCAAGGAAGACCTCGAGAGTGCTTGCGGTTCATGCCACAAACTAAAATTCTGCGCACTTGCCTGCTTCATTGGTAATATCGTCTCAATGAATCCATCATGCAACCAAAGCAAAACTTCCAAAGTTCCTATAATTTCGACTTCTTCTCTGCATCTTTCGTCCATAATCCATCCCATTCTACCTTGTGCTCTAAATGTTCTTTCTTAGTCGGTACCCGCACTTTATGATGTTCACACGTGCAATAAACTATTGATCCATCTAGACTAGTCATGCTACCACGAAGCATTGCCATTGTCTTTCCGTATTGGACTACTTCGGTGAAGATACGAACCGTGGTTCCTGGGATTGTTAATATGAGGTATTCTTGCTATGATATTGGATATATCTCTGGAATGAACATACCGATAGGAACAGCTCTTAAGTAACTTAAATTAAGTGTCCTTGTTACACCACCTAGGAAACTATGTTCGTTATTATTAGCATACATCTAGTATCCAAACAAAAGGATAGACTTACTCCCATGATCCAGGTTTGGCTACTGGTCCTAGTGCAATTGTAGTGCACATGTCGAAAATTACGGCACCGGCCCCCCCGTGCATCACGTTGTTGATATTGGCATATTGCTCATCAATGAGAAATTCGAATGTTACGGTTCCTGAGGTGGTGGCATCGAGAACCTTGATATTTTTCATGACATGCGAGTCGAATCCTTTGATATTTTGGGATTCGGTGATTAGGCGGTATCTGATGGTTGTTAGATTTTGATGTGTGAAGAATTATGAGATGAGAAATTTTAGTACAGGAAATAGAGAAGGGGAACGGAGGAAAAGAGTTGTTATGGAATACAACACTCCGGATACAAGATATGTTAAAATGCTGGACCGAAAACCTCCTTGCGGCATAGGGGAAAGGATCATGGATCAGAATAGAGGAAGCAAGACAACCATAAAACAAAAGTGCGAGCATTATACAGATTGCCATGAGATACTGCATTATACCCCACTTAGAGCATACAAATATAGGAATTAATGATAATGAGATATAGAGAGTAATACCTCTCAAAAATAGCCTCAACACCTTTCAAAGCCTCTTGCCGTGACTTCGCCATGTTGCTTCGGATGACCCGCTCTTTCCTTCTTATGCTATCCAATCAACGTAAAAGAGATCAGAGTATAGCTGCATGAGAGAGCTGAAATGAGATAAGACTAAGTAAGATGTTGACTTCTTCACAAACGAACTTGTGGCTCAAATTCAAACCGACATCAAGGAAACGTAGTTATGAGGGATTCTTGCCGAGGTCCGTTCGGATCGTGAAATGAATGGTGGACCGTGGGGTTTTGTGGGGTACCTTCGGATATTATGTAATCAAGGGGTTTCTCAAGTTTTGACGACGATACCTACGGAGTAATTGAAAGTTTAAGGGGAAATGGCAGGTATCTTCTTGGCACAGAAGCCCTTGATGAAGGGCTGTGACATATGGTGGGCTTGATCAAGTCTATTCTACTACAGTGTGGCCATTGGATTCTTTCCATGACCAGTTCACTCAGGTAGATTTCTATTCGTACCAGACTGCGCGCCAGTTCTCAAGGAGATATATAAGTCAGTGCGAATAAAAGAATAGAGAATCATCAGCTTGTATAGGATATCACAGAATCGCTAGAGTTACTCGACGAGCAGCTCCTCAACTGGCAGACTAGCACGGCCATACTCCGGTGAATCCTGTCAACGGTGTACTTCAGATACCTATCAAAAGAAATACCATAACAACAACAGTGATTTGATGATGATAGCCCAGAAATGAAGAGCTAGTAGTTATCACAATCACAGACCTTTGTGAAAGGCCGCTATCACCATCTCGTTTTCATACTCACCGCAACCTTCTCTCTAATATATCCAAAGTACTTGAAGTAAGAAGGCAATTTATCCTTCGTTCAGCATAGCTACTTCCGAGTAGACAGATTGGTAGAATAGGAGATGTATTCCGTGTGAGATCATCTGGAAGTGCAGATAGTAAGTATTAATGTAAGCCTTCGTTGTTGATTTTTCTGTTTAAAAATAAATACAATATTTTCAGATTTGCTAAAAATTGTTGGAATTGCTCAGAGAAAAAGTTGTATAATTATCTAATTTGCCTACTCAGTAATTTCCACTTCGTCGAACATACCATTGTCAAAAAGTATACTGTTAGGATTTGAACTAAATATCATTTAATCACTGGTATATTTCCCTTCCTTCCGAATCTTACAACTATAAATAGAATAATGAACCTGGAGGAAGTTTAAACAAAAACAAACAAAAGCCTGCATTCAGTATATTTTAGACGCCCGGAATACAGTTTCGTAACTACACGATGACTATATGCTCACTCTAATCTTCTGTATTTCATCTCCTCTCTAACTCTAAGCCTAGTTTAATAAATATCTCCTACTTGAACATCCTCGGGAGTAACTGTCATATATTTTAGTTTTCCATGAATACACACACCGAATAAGCACAAGATAAATTACACATTCCGACCCACATCAGCAAAAGTTACTATCGAAAAATCAATTGCTTACTACAATTATTAGTGAAACCACCAACCACTAAGTTTCACCTCCCCCTCCCCCACAAATCTCAATACTATCTCCATAGAACAAAAGAACAATTCCCATCCCTCAAATTCCTCTCTGCCTTCTCTTCTGCTTAGTGTTATAAAAAAAAAAAAGGCCAAACACATGAGAAGATTCCGCGAAGAAGTAAAAATTAAAGAGAGCCTTAGCTCTAGCTTTTTATACAAATTGTGAATCTTATCGTGATTCCAAGTGGAACAGCTTTAAGTAACCAGCGATAATGAATATATGCCCAAACGCGAAAGGTTGGTGCCGATGATAAATTGTGAATCAATCATGCTAGAACTTTAAGGAGACGGTAGTCTTGGTAACCTTAGTTTGTTATTCAATGAAAAATTTAATATCCGGGCCTGCCTCTACTTGCGGCATCGAGTGAGTCCTGCATGCTAGGAACCCTGTGGCATTTCAAAAAATATTTATAAGTATGTTATTTATACGGGATACCTACTTGGAACTAACTACCTAACACCCTGACATTTAGATTCACTAGTTACCACGAAGTGCAATTCACTCGATAAGAAAACTTGCAGATAGTGGCTGGATGAATGGTACCTAGGTAGACTAGGAATTATTACTGCCTGACAAGTAGCGATTGCTAAACTCAGTGGTGAATCGAATCCTCAGCGCAAACTAGCCTCAAGAATCCTGTTCATAGTGAGCTGAGCACTTTATCTGCTAATGCTTACCATTCATGTTCCAAGCTCACACACACTTCTGCAGGAAGTATTACGTACAGGATTTCATGCGCAATTTAAGACCTTGGATCATATCATTGATTGAATCTACTCCTGGGTGGATACGATTATCAGGTACATTTGATAGACATAGGAGACACCAAATTTGAGTAGCAGGAACTGCAATGATTTTAAACTGAGCCATATATAAAGCACTGATGTAGCGTGGTACAATCTCGTCTACGCAAGAAAGGGGAGTCATTGTTGAAGAGCCAGGAAACAATGCCATCTTAGCGCAAGATTTTCAAAAGCCTATCCTTATAGCTCTAAAGCGAAATTCTCAGCATACCGACCATGAAATGCAGTTGCATTGTTTGAAAGAAGAACACCGAACGGATTTGGTTGGGAGGCATTTTGTTATTGTCACGTGACATGTATAATCAAGTCGCCTATTCAGTCGTTGCTCAGGGGTCCAAATCTTGGCTAGTGTTCGTCCAATACAGCTGTTCATGGATTGTTCACCATACTGGGAACAGTATCAATGATGGGGTATATAATGGTGCAATTTATCACTCTTTTTCATACTCCAACAATTCAATCATCCTTGACTATCTTAAACAACAATACTTAAGAATCAAAGATACCGAGTTAGCATTTTCAATAGATATTTCCAGAATACTATTAGATCTCAAGCTCACACAACAAAAAGCACATCAAACAGCCATGTCATTCACAGATACAGATCTTTCCAGTTTCTTGGAACTGCCCACGGAAGTTAGACTTCAAATCTGGCGGGACGCGGCGGAGGTAGCTCTCAACCCTCGTAGGGCCATCGTCCAGGATACCGCGGTGCTGCCCAGAGATATCCCAGTTCTCGATATCAATCAGGAAGCTCGTGAAGAAGTCCTCTTTCGAACAGATCTGAAACGTTTCCGTCGTCCAACTTTGGATGACCAGGGTGCAAATGATTCTCCTCCCTCCTGGGATTGGTTCAGCATGGAAAAGGATATTTTCGTCATTGGAGTCAGCCTTCGCATTCCAGAAAGACTTTATAATAATGAAGCTCTCAGAAATGCAATCCAAACCATTGCGATCCCGTCACATTTCCTGCAGTATCCCTATAGACACCATCGGCCATTACGAGACGCGCAATTGCATCAAATTTTTAACTACCAAGCATTAAAAACTGTGGTACTCCTCCGGAACGACAAGGCGCAAGAAAAAATAACTTACAAAAACCTCGTCCAGTTTACTCGCCATCACCCCAACACTGGTGATTTGAGAATTGCGATTGATTCTGAGCCAATGTCAGAACTAGAACTGGCTGAAGCGGTACAGAGTGAGTCATTATTTGATACATTCCCGGGGCCCTTGCCTGAGTTCAGATGGGGATGCTTGGTTCGACATTGAGCTTGATATCATTGGTCGGGCATCAACGAACACACAGGCATGGAGCGTAGGATTGAACTTCACTTGAAAATTTGCAGTTGATAAATTATTCTAAGACTAAAAGCACTTCAAAACCCCAAAAACTCTTCCCAAAAAAAAAATTGAGATTCGGAGTTGGCGTTAAGTTTGGCGCATAGCTAAAGTTTGAACATGACGGTAAGTACCTAGCACTCCTAGACTTAACGTTGATAAATAAAAACCTTGGATTACGAAAAGAAACAATACTGTGTCAAAACCTCAAAATGTGATAAAATTAATGCGTGAATGTTGTAATTGAAGATCAGGTTTACTTTCAAGTCCTCAGGGAGTCAAATCAGCAATGTTATGCACGGACACATGTACGATGCAAGCTTTGACTGACAAGTTCATAACCCTAGAGGGCGGGGAAAAGTAGTGGGATACAAATAGACCTCCACAAGTGATGTGATGATGAAGTTGCTTACTTTGAGTAGGAGGTAAGGTACCTGACATAAACAGCCCAATTTTCCGATCGATTGTTGTTCTTCAATCGGAAAATTCCCACCGTCATGAACACAATTTTAGCTCGCATCGCTCATGAAAATCCTGATTGACAGCTGCATGTAAATTTGCAGCGCTTAATCTCGCAGCGCAATCACTAGTGTGCGTTTAATGAAAAACAGGGGCGTCTTGTGTGAAAGTTTACTCCCTTTGAAATCGAAATTAAGCAGAAAAACATGATGCAAGTAAACCCAAAACTGTCAGTAGAACTTTAGTGTCACTTTATATTAGATGCAGGGGTTTGAGCACGATAAAAGTCTTGCGACATCCTTTCAAAAGTCTAAAAGAGTGGTAATGCAATGGGAGATAGGTGAGGGTTTCGTGATAACATTGAGTGTCAAGACACATGTAAGATCTCACATTCCTCAGTCAACACTAGTCAGACGCGGAAACAAACAGGTAAGATTACAAGTTTTGGCCCCGCGTAGGCTGGATTATCGTAATCTAACGTGATTTTCTTTCGGCGTTTGCTTGCTTAGTTGCTTGGTGGTTATATCTTGAAGTAAAAATAGCCGGTGGCAACAAAGGGACTTCGGAATCGTATATGATGGGACAAGAAGCCTTGTTTGAAGCTGCATGATATTGATTAAATATGTATATTAAGAACAGGATCAATTGATTGATCAAAGATCTAAAGTGCCAAGTGCTAAGTGCTAAGTGCTTTCATAATCAATAGATCCATGCACTAGCCATCTACGGAGTAGCAGGTAAGCACATTGACCTTTTGAATGCCCCGGATTCTATGTATGCAAGATGGATGGATGTTGACTGCACAAGTGGGGAGAACAAGGCTCCTTTCTTCCTGTTGTGATTGTTGGAATTCTCCCTTGCAGCAAACAATTCACAGTCACATTGACAAGGTCTGACGATATCTAAAATTAGTAACAAAGCAAAGACTTTGCTTGCTCTAACACTCTTTACCTAGGGATACATTGAAAGGTTTTGAGGTCGGGATATAACACAATGCAATACAATGCAATACAATACAATACAATACAATACAATACAATACAATACAATACAATACAATACAATACAATACAATACAATACAATACAATACAATACAATACAATACAATACAATACAATACAATACAATACAATCCAATCCAATCCAATACAATGAATGAATACAGCGAATGAATGCACTTCCACTTCATCACTTCCAGTGTGGATCTCAAGGGAGGAAAAGGAAAGTTTAGATGGTGATCCGTTGGATATGAAACAGTTATAGACCCTATAAAAAGTAGCAAACAAATTACACTGTAATCAAGATGATTTCTACCAATTTTAGTCGTACTTTGATATAGATGAGTAACAATCACATCACAACTTAACTGTCTGCCATCCAACGGTTGGAGAAGGTAGATCTGTGGTTACATTTGTACCTGTGCGGTGCTCTGTACCTGTCTGTCTGTACCTGTGAATGCGATGCCAAGGAGAGAGATATTATAATGATAGTGAATTCCCCTATTTCTGTCGAGGAAGTAGAACCGATCTTACAAAACGAACTTATCTACCACTACCAGTATTGATCTTTTATCTAATTTTAATAATTCAGTACCTGTTGTTCTTATTTATCTTCATCACCTGCATCATCCGTCAAAAGGTTTTTAACTTTTAACTTTTAATCTTTTTCTTTAATCTTTCTCTAAGTTTGAAATAAGAATTTCTTCCCCACCAGTCCCAGTTCAGCCAGTCCAGTGCATCAGCAAATAGAAAGATCATCATTCTTTCAGGCTCTTGAATTCGCTACTGGATGTTCATCCTGGGCTTAAATCAATCCCCGAAAAAGGGAATCCACAGGAAAATCCCTGCTAATTTACAGCTCCTCCACCAAAAAGATTAAACGGAAATCCGTCCTCTTAAATAATCACCTCCTTTCGAAGGGGTGGTTGTTTCTTTTTCTTAATTGTCAAACTGGCGAACTTCATCATGAAATGGTTTCGAAGAAAGAAGAAGTCATCAAAGGAACTCTCAGATAAACCAACACTCGTACGAAGCTATACAAATCGAGCAGACCGAGGCAGATATGCAGGGCCTTATGCAACCCCGCGTGGATCAAGCATAACCAAGCTTCCCGATAAACTTCTCGAACGTATCTTCATCCTCGTATGTCCTCATTCTCAAGACGAAACGTATGAGACGTGCGAACAATCTTCTCTCGATGATTGTTGCCCATTATGCGATACCAGAGATTTGGCACATTGCGCCCAAGTTTCGAGGAGATGGAGGAATACGGCTGTTCGGGTTTTGTTAGTATCCAACATTTAGTGCAAAGCGTTCAATTGAGCTAACCAATCATTGCGCAGATATCATAGTGTTCGGATTGATGCTGTCCATTTCTGTGAACTCGAAGAGATATTATCGGAAAAGAGAAAACATAAAGGTCGATTCAATCGCAATGCGGAACCAGAGGAAACTCCCACTGTGAGATTGCAACTTCTTTGCAGAACGATTCGCGATAATAGATTATTGGGGGAGTTGATCGAATTTCTCAAAACGCCATACATGACAAGAGGAGCCTGTAAAGCCGATCTTGCGCGGAGTGTTTCGGTTTGTCCCAACATGCGATATCTTGATCTTCCCGATGGTTTATTCGCCGATGATCCTTCCTGCCACGCACTCAAACTCGAAATTCAAGCGCGATGTCCAGATCTGCGAAAGATGACGTATATGACAGGCTCTGAGAGAAGTCTTGAACAATTGGCAACGGCTCAGATTTGGAGAAATTTGGAGGTATTGGAATTCACAAGACTTAATATGGATCCTACAGTCATTCGCCGTGCTTTGGGGACGTTGACTGGGCTACGTGCTCTGAAAGTTACTGACACGAAGACTTTTAATGATGAGGTTTTTCAGCACAGTGACTATCTACCACCATTTCCAGCTTTCACCGAATTGGTTTTCGAAAACACCCCTAATGTCACTGCCGACGGCTTGGAGGCATACCTATTCCGAACAGACACCCAACAGAGACTCGCCAGTCTTTCATTGACAGAAACAGGTATCCATCCTCCGACCTTGCATAGGATTGTAGACAACGCTCCCGTATTGACATTTTTATCAATTGTTGAATCGGTCCAGGCATCCTTCCCAGCTCTTCAAAATATCCCACCACTTACCTCGATTTCTCTGCACACTTTGCACTACGAAATCACATCATCATCCTCAAATGCCCCCAAGAGCATTGTACAAAGCCATTACTCATATCTTACCACCTCCCTAATTTCCAATCGACTTCCTGCGCTTCGAGCCCTTTACGTCCGTGACTCCGATTTCCCAGAGTCTCTGATTGACCTCGCACCTCCAGCCCCGGCATATGCTTCCGATCCAGATAATTTTGTACCACCTAATCCCTTCGATCGTAACTCTATTGCCTCTTTTGCACAGCCTAATAACAACAGATTTAGCTCCAACAATCCTTTTGCAGCTCAGGCCAACATGGCCCCAATGGTGCCGACTGGAATGGGACTCAAACAGGAACTGGAGGTTTACAGTAAGGGTCTCGATGAAATGGAATGGAATTTCGCCAAAGTTCAACCACCATCCGCACCTGGTAGAAGAGGTTCTGCAACAACAGCAAGGCCGATAAGTGGCTTTGGGCTCGGTGATAGTATGGGTAAATCATGGGCTCCAGGTCATGGCGCAAGAAGAAGTGTCATTGTTGGAAATGGATTCGGTGGTTTCCTCGCCGTGCCTGCGGATGAAGCTCCCAGACCCAGCAGCTCAGCTGGTGAAAAGAAGATACATTCCAGGAAAAATAGCAGTCAGGATTTATGGCGGTGATTGTGCAGACATATCGTTGGACCGATTTCAATTTGATGCTTTACCTTTTGGGTCATTTCTATGAATCTTATCTGGATTTTTGTTCAATTATGGAAAATTCCGGTCCGGTGGTACATTTTCCTTTGGTTCTTTTTTCAAGTGAGTGCGAATTTCACAAACATCTTCACGTTATGAGGATGTATGGAGAACACCAGGACATATTCGTGAATATTACTTTACTGCTTTACCTTGCGTGCTTGGAGCGTTTGTGTTTAATACCCCGAGGGCACTTATGGTTTATGAATTGAGAACGGGGTATAAGAATAAGAATGGATAGTAGGACGGTTGATAGTTGGTTTTTGGATGTTTAGGGGATGGGACGGGATGGTTGGTGCAGATGATAGGATCTCACAGGATAGTAGATAGCGAAATATAAAAATGATTTCTACTATAGCCAATAGTAACTACCATATCCAATGGGTAGCACTATTAGTACTAGTAGTACTAGGAAGATGAAGTTAACATATTCCGAAATTGGCAAGGAATCCTTCCACTTTATCACTCGTTTTTACATCCTTTCATCTTGAATCACATTTATATATTTATATATGTACTGCGTACATTACAGCCATCCTCAAAAACTTTAAGCCTCAAACCCCAAAACAAATATCTCAAATGCTTTCTTCCTTCCTTTCTTCCTGTGCTTTTTTTGTGAGGATTTATGTTTTTGTATCTATTTATATTAGTTTGCAAATTGGTGTAAGATTATGTTGTTCTTTATACCCATTACATAGAACATCTCTTTAGGAAACTTAAAGGAAGAGGATGGATTAGAGAGAGATATGTATGTATATACATGTATGTAGTTTAGCTCATTTGAATTTTGTAAGGCAACTTGGTGTCTTATTTTGGTGTGTTTTGTGGGGTGGTATGTTATTATGTGTATGTATATGTGTAGAGAGCGATGTATATTGAACTTAAAATTGCAATCGTGATATTATTAGTTCTTTTCTTTTGAATGTTTAGTTTCCGTTGTTTCAATTGGTATACAAAATGGAAAAGTGCATGGTGCCGAGAGGAAGAGATCTTGGTGGTCTTATCATCGGGCCCAGCAGGGGGTGGGTGGTGGGGGGCGCATTGTTCGCTTGTGGAACAGAAGAAGATTCTTTACAAAAAATTTGGTTGGGAATCTTTCGGGGTTTTGGGTTGAAGATTCAGAATTTTGGATGTGCAGAGTTATGATGGTATTGATGTCTTGTTTTTGATGTTGGGATTTTCTTCTGGTTTGGTATTTGTAGCATGCATGTATTTCTGTTAATTTTAGCATGCTTGTTTTTGCTCCGTGGTGAATTTGACATGATGGCCACGCTGAGATCTGCGTCGAGGAAAGCCTGCTGTTATTTTATGCGGTCGTGTTGATGGTTGGACGTGTGCGATATATTTCCCAATATCAGCGCTTCATAACCTTGTTCCCATCTTGCCAAATCATTCTTATTCTTTTATTGAAGAGAACCTTTTTAATGATATAGAGCGCTAGCTTGGCCATATTTTCTTATATTTTCATGATATAAACGTTCTCATAAATCGCGGTTCTTTAAGATAGAGTGTGTTTATCCAATTATTTCCCGTCCACAGCTGATGATAAGTCCTTTTTTGAAGGAGTGAGTCGTAATTTACGACATTTATCGGCTTCGTCGAGTTTTGAACTGCTCAGAGTTGGGCTATATAGAGTATATATTCGAGATCCTGGGGAATATTAAATAATATGGGTTTCGAAAGTCATGGAGTTCAAAAGTAGTTTGCGAGATGATTTCTGCATTACATGCGTAGAAAGCTATATATTTATTTGTGTTGAGTTGCGGGCAAAGAAGCCATTCAGTTGCGGAAAAACCAAAAAAAAAAGAAGCAAGTGAATAAAAAGACTAGGAAATTAATGGGTTTCGCATTCTGATGAGTTTTTATGCCATTGATACGAATGCGTTTGAATGAGCTGGAGTTACATGAGGAAGCAATGATGAGAGTAGGACTTTCGACGAGTGGAGACTTCGGGCTTCTAAGGGCCTTGCTTTTTTTTGAAATTGAGTGATAGTTTTGCATTTGCTTTTGTGTGTCTTAAAAGTTTTTGGTTTGGAAGTGCTGATGTAAGGTTAATTCTTAAAATGTCGGATTTCTTGTCTTTTATGGTTGGAGCCTTATTATGCAGACCAGGATCGGTCGTATAAGTTCTATACTCAGGTGCTGCAGAAGCATTATTGTGAATAGTACCTGTTTAACACGGTGGAAAGACCATCTGTCTTTATTCTTGGTTCACAACCAAATCGGGAAACCTGTCCTCTTCAATACCGTTTATTTTTATTACCGCGTTGTGACTTTGATCGATGCTGAAGGCAGCAGAATTATCAATGTAAAGTCTTACGTCGAGTATCAGCAAACTTTGGTACGAGAGGTGATAGATATATCTCTTTATAAAGGGACGGATAACTATATGTAGTTCTCAGGATAGAATAGGGATTCTTTTTATTGGATCTGAAGATTGCAGAAAAATTCAGTATCGTTATTTTTGAGCTGTAACCATTGCTAAAAATGCTTGCCGTGATAAGTTTTTTTCCCAGTTCAACACACAATAATTTTGGTTGTATGATGTTTCGTAATGTGTTTGATTCTCGATGTTTCGATATCTAGTCTTCTGCTAGACCTGAGATTGAGGTCTTGAATGGTCACACACACGTAACAACCATCACATTTCTCCAGAAGATAATATCTGTGCTTATCTTCTGAATTTTGCTATTCTCCTATGGCTTTGGATATCCGGCAGTATATACGGATACAAAAGGCTTTATTTCTGAGATGTGCCATCTGTGTTAAATTATTACTTTATGCCGGAAATTCGGAATATGATAAGTCTAAGCACAAAATGATAGACATTCGGCATTCAGAATTTAGATATCTATTTATGACCGATATACTGGTCTTATCTTGAGAGATACTCGCAGATATGGCGAGTACATTCATTGGGAAAAAAAAAACTTTGAGACGGTTTCCTTGGGTGCCGCTTGGCAAAAAAAGATGGAAGGAAAAGTTTCGCTATCTGTTTCCCAAATGCAGAATATGATCAAGTAAATATGTACGGTGTCCTTATTGTCCAATGAAATTTAGTCTAGCTCAGGATATATCGGATATAAGTTCATTCCCCGAGATCTCTTTTGAAATTTTTGTTATTTTATTTTATAGATACCTAAGTAGTGTAGATACCCCCGTACAAAGTACATACAAAGCACATCCGAATTAGTGTAGTGGTAACATAATTCAGTTCTATAAAACTCAAGTGGTCTGAGATACAAAAAATTTCAAACTACCAAGTTTTATGTTGAGTAGCCCCAGGTTCGACTCCTGGATTCGGGATTCTTTTTGGGGTTTTTTGTTTTACACTTTTTATATGAAGGAAGTTGAGTACTATTTTTTGAATTTTGAATGCGAAGTTTACTGAGTGAGCATGTACTCACTCATACATGTTCACTCTTTTTTTTTCCACAGGATCCACGGTAAAACTAATAGGTGGAGGAGGCTACTCTAGATCCCTTCGCCTAATTCAGCTAGACAAGTGTGGATTTTTACCGAGCCCCTTATTAGCGCTGCGGTTCTTGGCGAACCTAATATGACATCTATCCGACCAAACAGACCGGAAATTTGACATCAAAAGTCCCCGATTGCAAACATGAAGTTGTCGTTTGAAGATAAATTACTTATTACGGGCTTGTTCAATTTTTCTGTTGGGTTTTCGAAGTTCTAGTGCCAATATACGAAATGGTTGACTTTTATTGACGATGTTCTGTGAGATGATGAATTTTTCGATTCCGGTACTCCACTGTAAGATGTGACAATGGGGGAGAGGGGCCTTCTATACTAGTATACTCAAAGTAAGATTAGTTTGTCCCGATTTTTCTCCAACGCGCTCGTTCATCTTGTACTTCTTCTAGCTCGGTGGAGATAGATTCTTAGCTATCAATTTTGTGGGGATTTTAAGGGTCTTTTTGAAACTAATTCCTATCTTTCGACGGAATATCACCTAGGGATGTACCAAAAACAGAATCATACCCTTTTTATTGCTATGCCACGATGAAACTTTTGTCCAAGCACGAAAAGCTGGTAATGGAATATAGAAAATGTTGAGCATTTCAAGTGTCTAATATCAAATCCCTATCAGGGGCTCATTTTTTGTACAAAGTAGAATCTTATAATGTGATGTCTATTATTTCAAAACCTCTTCGTAATTACTATTTGTCCATACCTGATTTATGCCTGCCTGATGTATGGCTTAATTTATGCCTGCTTGGATTTGTCTAATTCATGTGTACCTTCCCAATTTTTATATCACCGGTGCCACAAGATCAATCATCTATCACGTATTCTCAGGTGCCCGGTATCACTCGCACAGTCGGATTAGCTTCCGATTTCATGTCTTTTATTGGATGTTTAAGTCGTGTAATTGATCTGATGATTCTGATCACGTATACAGATTTAGAAGAAAGGCAACGGAAGTACGAGGGGCAGGTATTGAGTAATGGGTCATATCCACTGACAGTTTGTAAGGTGGTGGAAAGCTGGCCGTAATGGTCAATTTGTGGTTTCCTTATTATTGGGGGAGCTGGTCTCCCATTGTTTTACCTTTTTGCTTTCCTCCCATTTGGAGAGTGCGGGAATTGTAATTTTATGCATATGCGTTCAAGTTTTGATAAATTTTGCCATTGTTGAGAGCAGTCTAGAGAGCTTCAGTGCTATCAAGGAGTGGTATATATATCGAGACAAAGTTGTATGTGCACCCTTCGAGGAATTTAGGTGGTGGAAAGCTGGCCGTGGTGGCTAGTTTGCGGTTTCCTTAATGAAGGGGGGGTAACTTCCCAGATTTTTTTGTTTTATCGATTTAATAGTGTTAAGAAATGGTTTATATATCGTAAAAAAGTTGTACATACACCCTTCGAGGAATTTAGGTGGTGGAAAGCTGGCCGTGGTGGTTAGCTTGCGGTTTCCTTAATGAAGGGGGGGTAACTTCCCAATTTTTTGCTTTATCCCCCTATCTATTTGAGGAGACGTTGCCACTGTTTAGAGTTTTCTGGCCGGGCTCATTGCGTAACTAACTCTACATTGCTAAGTTTTAATTTTTTTCATGAGCTTTTGGGTTAATCATGAATCCAAAGATATATTATTTCATTAACTTGATTGTAGTAGCTAATCAATATTTCTCATGGTAGAATAGAATTTTGAAATTGCTACTTCGAGAGTACTTTCCTTCCCTGTACGGGAAAGGTGCTATTTGTGTTCAGCCAGCATCCTTCATACTTCCATTCTGTATCTACTACCCTCGAGTATTATTCAGTATCTCAGTTTGCCAGCTATTTGTGCTTCCATTCTTAAGCTTCAACTCATTATATTCATGAACAAATTGTGTTGAAATCTAGCAATCATATGAGAAATACAATTATTTCCTGATTCTTCTAAGTTTTGATCATTCCAGCTCACTACAATATCTCGGCAAACGGTCTATCCACCGATGTGAAGTCCAAACAACTGCTCCCACCTTGCCACACCACTAAAGATACCCTCACACAAGTGCTTTCTAAACCTAGGTATTTATTTCCCATTCTTCTCCCAAACCCTCTCAAGACTCATGACTTACAAAGAATACCACTAGAGTCAAAATCGTCACTAGATTGTTCCACTCAACCAGCTACAAATTTACATTTTAACAGATATATTCCCAGGTAACTCATTATCATCACAAAAACATCCGAATTAGTGTAGTGGTTAACACGGCTCGAATTCATGCTCTAGTTCTCTAAGGTAAATCCAGCATTGCGTTGCATTTTCCGTATACAGACAATGAGCAATTTCGGGCAACCCTAGGTTCGACTCCTGGATTCGGAATTATTTTGTACATTTTATGTCTTTTAATTTTGTAGAGTAGTTCTGTGGAAATAGCTGTTTTTTTTTTCTTTTTTGTGGGGGAATATATTTTAGAAAATGGAATAAGACGGGGAGGCAAAGGGGAAAGCTCCATTTGCTACGAGAAGGGGTTTTCATGAAATATTAGATCGATAGATGTAAAGTCAATTTTTGAGCTTCAGCTCTCTTTTCCAAATCCTGAATAATTAGTTTAGCAAAAGGAATCAAACGTATGGAATGGAGGAACAATCCTATATTGAATACCAAATGTTTATAAATGTCCAGCTGGCTCTAAGTATTTCACAGCTGACTTGAAGTATCCAAGTATAATCGATGGTAGAGATAGTCTCCATTACTCCACAGGATTTGACCATTCATGTGAATTACACACTCGAATGGAATCCACTTCCCGGCTTTTGACTTTAGTTCACACTGAGAGCGCTTTTAAGCGGGGTCCTGGTCAGTCGGGATAGGAACCGACTTAATTTGAACTAACTTAGTGTCCCTCTGCGCCCTTAAAAAGAGCATTCCCCCCATCTTTCTTCAAAATTTCCTCTTCAGTGGACTTCGAACAACCCACCCAACAACCCACCCGACCACCTTACCGATAACCTAATCGACAACATAATCAACAACCTAACCGAACAACCTCACCGACAACCTAACCAACAACCTCACAGAACAACCCCACTCCACAAACATACACCCTTCAACATGCACTACAAACCAAGCATAGCAGAGCGCAAAAAGCTGTTTGCGAAAATCATGAAGAAGCAAGAAGAGCGTAAGTATCTCACACAAAAAACACCCATCAACCCATCAACCCATCAACCAATCCAATACTAATAATCCCACAGTAGAAGCAAAGGAGAACCGAGAAGCATTCGCCCAATTACCACTTGCAGGCGTCGCGGAAGCTAAGTGGAGAATCGAGACCAGGGACCGTATTACTCCTACCGCTGAGTATTACTCGTCTTTTACCAAGGAGCATCGTGCAGAGATGTACGAAGATTTGCTTCTTACCTCGGAGCCGGATTTTTAGATCTGTATATATACATGGATGTTGGATTTGCATGGATATGCGTGGATATGAATGGATATGTATATGGGGGAAATTTGTTATTTTGAGATATCATGTTCCCATATATATAGTCCTAGTCTTACAATCCATCCATTTTTTTTACCACCTTACCCTTCTTTTTTTTAGTATGTATACTTCCTCAGTTTCACGGTGATGAATGCATGTTCGCTGTTGAAGAGTGTAACGAACCCTAAAACTAATTTCAAGTTAATTAGTTCTAGCCCCTTAACTCGCTTAACTCCGATACCCATACTAATTACCCCATACTTTACTACATAATTACTACCATGTAACTAAGTTCCTGAACTATCCCTTGAATGAAGCTATATTCTATACGATTAGTATCTAGACTGACCCTAGAAAATTCTTTCGCCGGTCTGGCGAATGCTAATCCCCTGAATCGCCATTTAAGTAATCTTATCAAAGGCTGATGGAGCGCCAACCTGATAATATAATTTATCGAGACAAACACGGTAATTTCTTTACCAGATTGGTATTCATCATCTTTTACATATTTTATAATGGCGAACACTGTAACAAATTCCCCGGTATCGAGAGTTCAGTCCCCAGATCGAAATATCTCCCTCTTCACACCAATATTACGTTTCTTTTTTAGCTCCCCGCCATCGACGTTATTTGTTCAAGTTCCCGATGCCTCATCTCCTCCATTCGTCGCTCCAGTTTGCAATTTCGCCTGGTTCTTCTGAATAATCTTGGTTGCGGTCAACTTTAGGAAAGCGGTGGGAATTGTAGTGACCTCGATGTTGGTGCTGCTGCTTGAGCTAAAGGAGAAATGATGTTGAAGGACGTTCCTGAATCCGCCGCTGGAAGAGTGATGGATTTGACTTTAGAGGCGCTGCATGCAGTTGGATGAAGTTTACCGGTTGCAAAGTTCATGGGAATAAAGATAGCAGTCGGATGAAAGTGGTCACGCGTAGCGAAAGAAACGTCGGAGAACTGGTTTGGAGACGCAGGAGTCGTGGAGATTAGAAGGACGGCGGTTGCGTTGGAGACTTTGACGAAGTGCATTAAGATGCTTTGGTTGGAGTGTTTTTTATTTGGATGGAGGTAGGTATGGTCGACTTGAATCCCGTATGAAAGAGGCGGATAAATCGAGGTAAGGATTAGCCGGATCTGGATGTGAGTACTAAATTAAGGTGTGTATGAAAATCTGACGAGTTCTATAAGAGGAAAATGAGGATGAATAAAATCGCAATGGAAAGCATGATAACTTGACGAGACGATATATATTTGAAAGAGGGAAAAAGACTTCGAATGTATGATCTTACATTTTCCAACCATACATCGTGAATGAAGGTTTGATGAATCTGCAACCATGAACGGAATATTTCTTCAATCACTAACGGCACCAATGTATAGACGATCAATCCTTCTCAATGCTCTCTCGACCACCTCTACCCGAATCGATCGACGACCCGATGATGGATGCTATGCCGCACTCGCTCGAAAGAGACACCATATAGTCAAAGATTAGCACGGAATCCCATGAACGAAAGCGAGGAGTTGATGTGAATCTGCAAAGTATCAAAGGGGTGAAGTGAAAACAACTGAAAGGTCCTCAAATAAACGCAATATTCCATGCCATTTTGAGAAAACGCCATCTCGCCGGCGGCGGATGAGCAGAGCCAGGCTTTGCGGGTAGAGGGGAGAACGGATGCTAGGGGCTAGGGGGAAAGAATAGAAAAATCGAAGGAAAGAAGGAAAGAAGGCTAAACAAATGAATAACATTTGATGGATTCAGACAGTGATCACACCTGCTTTATTCAAAAGCCCAAGGGATGAAACCTAAAAACTAGACATTTTACAATTGTGTAACCATAAACCTAATTCCGATTGATCGCCAGCTCCTGATGATGCCGACGTTATTTCTAAAAAGTAAGTTTTTCTTTGCTTCTGCTATTTCCAATGCGGTTTAAAAACTTGAAATTATAGTTCAACTAAACAAAAAAAAATTGCTCATTCATTAGAACATTGCAAAATATAACCCCTTTCTTTTACAACCGAGCCCACAATTCAACTCTCTGCACAATCTTCGCCTGTCATGCCACTCATTCAATTGCCAAACCATTTCCCGTACATTCTAGTTTAGAAGCTTTTAGTTCTCATCGGTTGGCTCGCACTACGGCACGCTCAATTATCGTATGTTGTCTCATAATTTCACCATTTATATTCATGTGCATAGCCCACAAACTGGCCCAGAAATCAAGATGCTTGACAGCATGATTCTTAACTATTGAAATATTTCTCTTACTGATTGAACGCAAACTAACTAACCATGCTCTGGATGGCACGGCTTTAAAAGTTTTTATTACAATGATGGCGGGTAGTAATGTGCTACAGGACAAGGTGTGGGGTGCGTAGGTTGAAAAAAGTACCAGGGATCTGAGTATATGGATGGGGCTCAAACTAATTTTTGGTAGGATTTCCTCGAACTGAGGCATGTCAGAGGCGGTAAAAAGCATGGTTGCATGTCGGCTAGAGCCTCTTCACGCCGAACTAGAGTCTCATAAATACCATGAGATGTTTCGTGAAACGTGGCATCAGCGCATGGATGGAATCGCATATATGGCCACAGAGTACATCATGATGTTTCGTAGCAAAGTAGTTGCAATGGTATCAACTGGGGTTCAATGCCCGTTCCGGCCCTGCCACACCCATCCCTCTCCAAGCAAACAGCACAGATACACTTTCCCAGCAACACGATCTCCAACGTCCTGGGTTAAATCACCACAACCAAGATGGCTTGAAGACTAGTACACGGTAGTCAAGTAAACCAGGAATCTGCGGCAGTTATCATCTGAAAAGTGTAGAAGGGAATAAAACAAGACATGTCTGTGCTAACTCGGCGACCACGGAACACACGAGAATTGCTACATCGGCCGGCGATTTCTTAAGAGCATTCATGACTCGCTGCGCCGTTGAAGTAGGATACGCCACTAGGGTAATAAGAACATTCCCATAAGGAACAGCATCAACTAAGAGTTGGGCAGGAAGAGCCCCGTCACCAAGAACATGAACTTCGTTCTCGCATTAAACCTAGAACAACTCAAATAGAATGATGGCAACATCATTGCCACTCGCTTGCCTTTCAAAAAATTATCTCGTATTAAAGGGATTTTACCTCGCGTCTCAGCGGCAATGACATTCCATACCTGGATGCATGTTTCATGTGTTCCAATGAGAGGCTTTGGTAATCCGTGGTTTCGGATGTATGTCTGGCAAGGCAACTAGGCATGGAACTAAAAAACGACGCATACGAGACCTTTTGACGACAAAAGCGGCTATTCGCAGATCCTCAAAGGAACTTGACACACAAAACAGATACTGCTTAGTAAGAAGCTCTCAAACTGATGGCACCGTGAAGCGAACTAGTGGTTGCACGGCATCCAGAATAATTCGGACAGGTGGTGGGATAGAGCCCGACGTAATTATTGTCCGGTTGCAGGTGATCAAGTACAGCATGATGTGCATTTGGGCAAGTTGCGGGAGACGTCACAAAAATCTAAGAATACATCGTGATCAGCACACACACGAGCAGTAGAGAATATGGAAAGTAAAAATATACAAACTGTATAACCAGCACTTGCTGCGGCAATAACCAAAGTTGTGTAGCGCACGTCGCTTGTGCCGACATAAGCCAAGAGCTCAGGATTAGTTCCATGTCTGCCGGCCCCCAAGCTGTTCTACCAGCAACCAAGTCAGATCGTTCGATAACTGCGCCCAGATAGTAGCTTTTACACTGATTTCGCCCACCCATCCACCAAGCGTTTCGTGTCCCACGTGCCAGTCGCTCGACAATATCTGGTGCCAGAGCGTTTTACCATTGCGCATGTGTTCGTGGTCCATCGCCATAGTGCAAAGTTTGGTTGACAAGATCTTGCTCGGAAGGAGTTGAAAGGACAGTTAAAGGGATACTGAAACGAAAGGCAAAATTGCCTTATCGCTAAATATGTGACTTGACTTCGAAGCAGTAATTTTCGACGCAAACAACGTGATTATATGATTGAATTATACGTGGTATTGTTTGATGCTGAGACAAGAAATAATGAATTATTTCGAGTGGTTGCAAGGCAGTGCAGAAGCAAAGAAGTAAAAACCTTTGCCTTGCATCGATCCAACTCTTGGATCTGATTCACCAAGCTCTATTGTGCTGCGCGGCAAGTACCCGGAGAAAAGTCAAGTAATACTCTCCACTGGAGAACTTGGTACTGCTTTCATGCAGTTCCTTGCCGCTGTTGGATAACCAACAGTCGTAGGCTCAAAATGATGTTGGGGCGATTGATTTTTGTTGGAAGTTAATGTAGAATCTCCTGACAAACCATATCAGTAGAGCGATGTGCCCCGAGTCCGATTCGGTACCATCTCGTGAAAATAGACGATGTCTGCAGTATTCTCAGTTGTGAGATAGCTTGTCGTGAATTCGTTGTCCACATTTATTTGATGTATCTACTTCGGCGACCATGTTTTGCTTCACGCTTCGAATTTGCGAAAAGAGGAGTAATGTAACCCTTATATGGATCACGTTCTGGCGCTAGGCCCCCTTATTCTGACGGAGATATCGCCGTTAAGCCAAAGGTGTGGATTTTGAAGAATTCAATCTGTCCATCTGTCGATATGGCAGGAAGATGAAGGAGGATGTTGATGCACGATTGTTTTTAATTTCATTGAGGTTCATTGAATGATATATGGTAGTGGTAGTTGGCACAGTAGCACTTGCCGTCAATTGCAATATGACTCCACCAGGAGGTGAGTCATCGGGTGTGGGATATCAGTAAGCCGCGCAACACCAAATTGATGCCTTGAGAGAAGTGGAAATCATCCTCTATTTTGAAAAATATATTAATATATTATGTTGAGAGTGGCGATCAAGGAATAATTGTTAGACGGATGGTTTAGCAACATTGAGCTTAAGGTTGAGGTCACCTACGAAATATAGGACCAGACGGTAAATATTCAATATTCAAGCACACAGCAGCCAAACACAACAGCCCCATCGTAAAACCTCACACATACATAACCATTAACCTTCCCTCCTTATAACCTTGTCCAGACTGCATTCGGCCGATACCGTTAGCCCGCTCAAGCCAAGACCTTTTGGCGGGGACCTCAAGTTCCAGCCTTATGCCTTTTACCTTTTATTCCATAGCTTGACCTTTATGATTCGAGAATCTACTGAGTACTTATCAACAACCTCGTCAACTCTTACAATATTTCGTCGCAAACATTCGCAGAGTTTTCTAATAGATTTCATCAATTGAAATATTCCTTGAAGCTCATATTTTGATCGTTGAAATCAAATAATAGATTGGTGGTGATACTTTTCATCATCCTGTATTAAATTTCTAGTATCGAAAGACTTGGACCATCAATACATTTTATCCACCCTTGTGAGTACCTGGTTTGCCAGCCCAGAAACTCCCACACTTTTGAAGCAGTGACTGACTACGCATGCAGAATATGCCATTGCATATTGAGGTCATATACTGTGCATGATATAATACCTTTCCCTAATCTCCGCGTCGTTCTCTCGACAAATCAAAATATATGACAGCTCGATCGTCAGACTCCCCGAAAGATCATAATAAATATCTCGAATCTGCAGGAATGGGTTTTAGGTAATTTTTGATTATTAGTTTACGATTTATTAGTTTGCCCATTCCAGATTGAGTGGGAAATATCATCGAAGCTATTGCTGGACATTCGGCTTTCGCGCTATCGACCCGCCGTCTCTCTCTGGAACATCAGTAATACTTGGTGTTGCTTCTAAGCTGAGGGTTTCTGTTCACTGCTGTGGGTGGTCGGTACCGGTCTTCGGGAAACTTCCCTGGGCGGTTTGGGGACAATTTTGAATACGCCATAGGGTCCGGTATATCATTGGCAGGAGGAATTATCTGTGGAGGCTTGGATCCAAGGAAGGAGATACATTGGAATTTGCCCTCCTAAACTTTGATGAGAAAGGAAACCTGAGTCGCTTTACCTCCGTCATCGTAAGTCATCAAGAGACAAACCAAATTCTTGAAAGGGGATCATCAATTTACATGTGGTATTCTTAGCGCAGTCAAACACTGTCCAGGGAACGTAAGGCTATTTGTCATCTGCATCTATAGTCCTACATCCGCCGCCTGTTTTCAATAGGCCCTGTCCCTTCTTTCCTCCAACGAGATTCGGGCTGCTCCACCTATTCAACTAGGGGTTGATCGTCTGGGTGCAAGCCGCATTGCCTCCTCGTACCAGCTGTTTCATTGGCCACTTCGATCAAGAAGGCTTACATCGAGTCTGTGGAGGTTTGAAATTGATAAGATATCTATATTTTGGGCCAGAGGCCACCCTTGTGGGCTTTTAAGTAAATCAGAACCTTGGCCTGTCCTATTTTATTTGTCTTCACAAATCAATAATAATTTATCATCATGACTCCTACGCCCCCTTCCACTACGTCCTCAAGCGCAGGAGCTCATTCTCCAGAAGGACAATATCGGGTGGTAAGAAAGAGGAACAGGATTCCTCTCTCATGCGGGCCTTGCCGGCACAGGAAGTGGGTCATTTGCGTTCTATTCTGTCAGCACCTTGGCTCTCTGGCAAAATCATACTAATATTTCTTACGAATAGGTTGAAGTGTAACCGGTCGCATCCATGTGAGAATTGTACGAGGAGAGGTGACGCTTCCTCGTGCTCGTATGCTGCACCGGGCACACGGAAAAAGAATCAAAGTCAAGGCTCAACCAGCCCTGATGACATGCAAAATCGTATTGACCGTTTAGAAGGTTTAGTTTTATCCTTGATGACAAATGGTGCCTCATCTGCAGGTCCAGCGGCCGCCACTGCTGCCATTAGCCGTTCTCACAGCGAAAGTGTCGGTTCATCTTTTCCTCCTGACATAGAACAAGACGACGATGACATGATCAAAGAAGAAGGTGATGAGGATAGTGATGTAGATGGCGTTGCTAAGTCACTGGGTGTCATGAAGGTTGACCCTGATAAAGGAAAAACAACATATCTAGGAGATTCGCACTGGCATCTGGTCTTAAAAGATGTATGTTATAAACCCCAATTTCTTCGTCAATACATGATTCTGTCATCATGAACGCTTTGGCTTAACACAAATCTTCAAGTTACTAGAGCAGCCTTCTGGTCAAATATTTGAGAGATGCCTTGAGGCAATGGTCGATCTTGGGAGCTATTTTTGAACCTTCATCTTTCATTCAAAAGTCTCAGATGTTATTAGGATTAGAAGTCGTTACTAATTGGTGGAAAAGATCGCAGAAGTCAAATCCTATTTCAGTAGTCATAAAAAAGAACTCGAAAAGAATTACGAAAAAATAAAATCTTCAAACCCGCCTGTCAGTGATGATCCTGCGTTTCTAATCGGTGCACATTCGCCAGCTACAGACGATGAGCTTCGAAAAGCACTTCCTTCCAAATCCGAGGTTGATGAACTCATCACAAGGTCGGTCTATAGCCATTTTAGAGGAACGGAGTGTTGACTAATCGTATGCTAGATATTTGAACACATACGACCCGGCTCTACACATTATCCACGCTCCGACTTTCCGTAAGGAGCTGCAAGCCCATTGGCAAGATCCCGCGAAGACCTCGATTGTATGGCTAGGCCTTTTATATTCGATTCTCTGTTTAGCCATGCAATCATACCAAAAGATTGGGCATGAACCCGCGGAATGGAAAGGTAGAGAGCCCCCGTTTAGCTCTCCTCTTTTGCTCGATTTTCTTGTTCCAAACTTCCTCTCATGGCGCTAACGTTTTTTTAAGGTCGTACTCTCGAGGTAGCTAGTGAATTCAGGCAGCGCACTGTCCAGTGTCTTGTCAATTCCGATTATACCAGGTCATCTCTTTATACGGTTGAAACATTGATTCTATACGTACACGGTGAATATGCGAACCGATGGGATTCCGAAGTGGGCCTTTGGGTTATAATTGGCATGATCACTAGATTATCAATGCGGATGGGTTATCATCGAGATCCAAGCAATTTTGCAGGTATCTCTGTCTTCCATGGCGAGATGCGTCGTCGAATTTGGGGACTCGTGCGCGCCATGGACACAATGTTTTCCTTCCAGTTGGCTCTTCCGAGTATGATCCGTGATAGCGACTGTGATACAAAACCTCCTAGCAACATATTTGAGGATGAGTTTGGTCCAGATTCGAAAACATTACCACCCGCGAGACCAAAGACTGAACCTACACCTATATCTTACATGCTCGCCAAAATCAACATAACAAATGAACTGAACTGCATAATGGAGGAAGTACAAAGTGTTAATCCTAAGGGCACTGCATATGATGATGTTCTCGCACGGGATAATAAATTATGGGAATTAAAACGGAACCTTGCTCCTCACCTTCAACTCCGGCCCTTGGAAGAATGCATACATGATCCTGCGACGCTCTGGATGCACAGGTTTAATGTGGACATTCTTTGGCAGAAAACTATGTGTGTCCTTCATCGCAAGTACATTGCGCGTGCGAGACAGAATTCTCGCTATGATCACTCCCGTCGAGCCTGTGTCAACGCTGCCATGGAAATCCTTCGCCATCAACACAAAATTCATCTGGAATCCAAACCTGGGGGGCGATTGCGTTCGATGAGATGGGCAGTTTCACCCCTTACCAAACACGATTACTTACTCGCTGCAATGATAGTCTGCTTAGAGCTCCATTATGGAACTATTTGTCCGCCGGATAAACGTTTCTGGAAAAATGAAGAACTTGCAGATATGCTCAAGGCTGTTGAAACCTCTCAAAGTATTTGGAGTGAGACGATGGAGGAATCGTTGGAGGCATTTAAAGCATGCAAAACTTTGAATATTATTCTTGAGAAGATAAAGGCTTGTAGGGAACCAGCGGCTGCTTCTGCCACACCTATGATTACGGCCGACGCTTTTTCACAATTCGATGATGAAAATCTCAGACCCGAACAATCAGCAGCTATGACTTTGGGTATGCTTTCTGGTGGTCTATCACCAAACTCCGCAGCTATGTTCAACAACGTGGGTCAAGCATCAGCAGGATATACGAACATGGACCTGAATATGGGTGACTCAAGTGGAAGTGGTCTCACTCCGTTCGCACTCGATAATAATGTTAACCCCTTTACCACCATGAACGGTGGCGCATCCCCATTCTCCATGTTCGGCAACACCGGTAATGCTCCTGGAATGATGGATCTACCGGCGAATGTTGACTGGGTAAGTTTATCTCCCGATATAAATCTTGTGCCCGGATCTTACTTTGAGGTGGAATGCTGATTGAATTATAGGAACAATGGGATCATTTTATTGGAAATTCAAATGTAATCGATCCATCATTTCAGTTCTACCCACCGAATCTAGAAACTTCACCACCGGGTGGGGACGGTCAAGGACAAGGACAACAACAGGACTCGTCAAATCCATTCGTAGGTCCTTTTATGGGTGCAAATACTCCTGGTAGATGAATGAACAATTTTCGAATAAAATGATTGGTAGCGTCGATGGTGGTTATACACGATTATGGAAGGGAGCAATAGCGTTATGTTAAAATACCACGTGGGTTTGGACTGTCGGGCATTTCTGCGGATCTAGGAGTTGTGATGGGAAAACTCTCCACCAAATTCAAATCTTTTATAAGTTCAATCTTCTTCTTTATATTGTAAAAGTGGTAGGTCGAGATACGTGCGTCCCGATAGCACACTGTGAGGAGGGAATTGGAAGAGAAAGCTGAATTAGATTACATTGTAGTATGTTACTTATAGGTAAAACAGGGTTCACAATGGTTTTGGGGTTGATGCTATATAGGTTCAAATGTATATATATAAAAGGTTGATTATTGTAAAAAGAAGAAGCAAAAGGCTCTTCTTTTATATCTAACTACAGAAGGTCATATAATTGACTAGTTAAAACCTTTATGTATTTGGCCTATAATTCCAACTTTCTCACATTATAGGCTTGTTTCTTTTCATAGTATATGACTTCTATGATCACGAAAGAATATACAAATTCCTTATTCAAATCTTTCAAAGTCAAAAGTCTCAATATTAGTAACTGAATGGGCACAAAAACGGAACTTCATACTATCTTCGTGTATTTATGAAGCCCAAAACCATTATTACTACTACTTTACCTCCGGATTGTGACATTATTGGGTCGTATGTGTATAAATATCATATCTTTTCATTATTGATCATTCTACCTCGAATGGAGAAAACCTCACCGCGTCAAATGGAAACAACGAGTTCGAAGACGCAATTTTTAGGCGCAGCAGAAGAGTGAACAAGCAAAATTCAAAGACGATGGAGTCTCTCACACCGAACAGTTATCAGCACATATACGTACGTTCTTGCTTTCACACCATCGTAATAGTTTGCTAGCCCTTGTTGTCGAAATTTCCATGTACAGTCACTGTCAAGCGACGTTCCAAGATATCAATACCTAAGTCAAGTATAGATTTGATATGGAGAAAGACGACGGTACTTAGGTTAACCTCACCGTTAACTGAATTTATATGAGAAGCGTTGCGAAAATTCGCAACATGGAGACGCATTTCGGCGATTATAACATCCTGATCGAGCTGGTTAATTCTTCTCCGGCATTCAAGTTCGCCAGGTGGTTGCAAGCTTTTTATAGTACTAACAGATCACTTCCGAAGCCCGTTCACCTACCTACCTAGTATTCACTCGAATACAATATTCACCTCGATCACTTCAATATATATTTCCAAATCAAATTTGATTAACGCGGACATCAAGCACTTATCGGTCCACTAGGCCAAACTAGCCAATACCCGGAACTACCAAGTTAATTACTACCCTCTGAACTAGGTACTCATCTTCAACCCATCAATAACATGCCAGTACATGATTTCAAAAGTCCGATCAAAAACTCAAGAATCATTCTGATCCTATAATCTACTATAAAACCACCTGAAGAAGCGCAAAAGCAGCTCTTTTCAACACTTAGCTCAAGCGGAAATACCCTCATCCCCGCTCATCTCATATCTATAACCAAAATCCCCAAAAGACCCAACGATATCCAGAAGCAAAAACTAGAACCGGTAGCGATTCTATCCATGATCCCTACTGTAAACATAAACACCAGAACCATCTCATACCTGTTACAACCATTTCCTCGTCCACTGTCCCCATTTTAATATTCTCACTATCATTCTTCCCCTACTCTCCTTTCCACATCAAAATATTCCCTGTTCCAAGCCTTCAAAGTGACGAAATTTTCTGCACTATTGAGAAGACCACAAGCACACGCTTCACTCGTAGCGGTATGTGTTTTTCGTGGAAATGGATATGGAGTAAGATGCTCGATTGATGCTAGGATTAATGCCCGTTCAAATACCATCCTCAGCCTCTTTGCCGTCCTCACAGCCCGCTCTAGGGGCTCTTCCTGGCCCCTTTCCCTCCTTCGAAAGCCGCTCAGGCTTCGGAGAAGGAATATTTCCTTTTCTATTTACGCATATCCTCACCTGATAGTTCCCCTTGTGAGATGTGGAAATATTTAAAATGAAGAAACGATAACCAAATCGAGAGAATGTGAACTATAATACCTCTGTAGAACCGCTCTGGCGCCTTCCCACGACTTTGCTTGGTGTATAATATTTGAGATATATTCATCATTATCAGCTTATCTACCAGCTAGCCAAATGAACGACGTCAAGTCAACGCCGCCACCAAACGTAATTAAATGTAATGCACGCATGGACTCCATTTATTTTCGTTCCTCTACCATTCATTCGTATAATCAACAACGCTCGGGTATTTCAATATCTTCTTCCCTATTCATGTTGTTCGTCCCTGCCTCACTCCTATTCAGTCAACTTCACCAATTCTAGTGCTCCAGCTCGTCCATAGGAATTTCTTCAATATCTTTTCCCACGATTCCTTCCGACACCTTCCAAATTTGAATTAGATTGTCTTCCGCTGCACTACATACCACCCATGGTTCATTTTGGTTCCAGCTGAAGTCGGCGAGATGATTCGTGTGACCTCCGTGCATAAATAATCTAGATGAAGTTAGAAGCTTCTGATTTTCAAAATCAAAGGTGAACTTACAATTCAGGTGGTCCATCCTCTTGATCATCTGGCAATTGCTCCATACCAACTCTGCTAAGATCCCAGAAAATGACCCGACGATCATAACTACCACTTCCCAATATCGCTTCTTCTGTTGGATGCCAAGCGAGAGAAGTGACAGCATCCATGTGACCTTCGAGGGTGTGAAGTTTCTCTTTTAGATTTCTTAAGTCCCAAAGACCAATGGTCTTATCTGCTGAGGCGGTAGCTAAGACAAATTCTGATGCGGAGTTGAATGCCAGGGCATTGATGGCATCGGTGTGTCCTTGTCCTTTACTAACTGATTTATCGGTATCTGGTTGTCTGATATCAAGGATTTGGAGGGTCAGGTCATCTGAGACTGTTCCGATGAGGGATTTGTGGAGAGGGTGATATTGGACATCGTTAACGATAGAGGTATGGTGGGTGTAAACTTTACTCGACTTCAATTGGTGACCATTCGCTTGTAAAGTATTAAGATCCCTATTAGCAAGTCAGTAGAACCCTAATTTCAAACGCTAATTTTGCATACCATAACCTGACTGTTTTGTCTTCGCTACCAGTCGCAAGTTCGCCAGCAACGTGTGGATTCCAGCCCAGACCAAAACCTTCCTTTTTATGTCCTACAAGCTCAACTTGTGGGCTAACAATACCTTTAGGAAGACTGCTGTGCTTGGTACGATCGAAGATCAAAACTCTGCCATCAACGCACATAGTGGCTATGATGTTTGGATTTTGTGGTTGGTACCTGGCCTTATTAACCTCTCCTGGATGATCGATTTTCTGTTCGATGGTCATTTTAATCGCCGCTTGTTCCCCTGATGATGATTTTCCGTAACCTCCAATCTCCTCGCGATCCTCATCATAATCAACATGGTTCGGGGTGACATTTTTTGGCAGCTCGACGTTTGCGATTTGTAGATAGTTCTGTGCGCCATTGGAGGTATGAGTACCAATAAGAAGTCTGTGGACTGAATAATTCTTTCCTGCTGGTCTGGATATCGTCAGCTAAGTTCATGAGCGAGTGATGTACTGAGCTTACTCTTTAACATCCGGAAACCATTGGGTTGTCAAGGTGGGCCATTCTAGCGCAGTGCTGCGAGATTGTCAGTTAAAGCATAACATCGATAGTGGTGAAATCCCGTACCTCAGAATCATATCGTAAAGAAAAGGACTGTTCTTCTTCCATGTTTTGTACTCTGAGTGCAGAATTTAGTTCAGTTCCCCATTTCTCGGAGAGAGCATTAGTACCCTCGTTGATAATCTTTTGCTCCATATCTTCATTATCATCTACGGGTCGGCTCACTTTGTATCTATTAGCAAGCTTCTACATAATTGAAGGGTGCATAATGCGCTGCACCGCAAATGCAAAACTTACTGTTCATATCATGATCTTCCGATTGAGGAGCCATACTGGCAGTTATTTTCTGCTCGAATGGTGCAAAATTCTCAATTTGTGGTATCAAAATCGCCCAAGTTATTTAGAATCTTAAATAAATAGCTCTGTGAATATATTGCACTAAACTTGTATTTCGTGTCAAAAATGAAGCTTTGAAGCTCTGAAGCCAGGAAGACGCGCCCCAAAAGCGCGCAATGGGTGGGTCGCTTATAGTTTACGAGTCGGACCCGACGTCCGCTAGCGCCGGTTGTGACGTTAGTGTGAGTGGGAGAGCTTGTTGATGTCCTCGAGGGGAAAGCCCAAGCCAGAGTCTTTTCCTTGATCTTTTGAAGAGATTATTTCTAAAGAGTTCAACACCTCCTCTAAGCCATCCGGGGCAGTCAGTGCAAAAAGAAGGATCAGTCCTTTCATCCTACAAAGCTTCTGAACTTGTAGCATTTTCCACTCCTCATTTTCACTTTGTGGTAAAAGCAAAGTGCACCACTCCATCAATCACAAACTACAAATCGCAAACCTTTTTATACAGTTAAAAGTATCTCGCGCAGCCAGCGCAACATTTCTACAATATGGGTGTCCCAAAATTCTTCAGATGGATGAGTGAGAGGTATCCCTCGATCTCGCAATTGATTGCGGAGAACAGAATACCGGAGTTTGACTGTCTGTATCTGGATATGAATGGTATCATTCATAATTGTACACACAAAGACTCTGATGATGCGACCTTTCGTATGACAGAGGAGCAGATGTTCATTGCAATTTTTAATTACATTGAGCATCTTTATGGGAAGATTAAGCCAAAGCAGCTTTTCTTCATGGCTGTAGACGGAGTGGCTCCTCGCGCAAAGATGAACCAACAACGAGCTCGAAGATTTAGAACGGCATTAGATGTCGAGAATGCAAGAGAAAAGGCAATACGAGAGGGAAAGGAAATGCCAAAGGAAGAGGCGTTTGACAGTAATTCAATCACACCAGGTAAGTCTTTTGGATGGATGATATCCCACAAGCTAACCATTTCAGGCACGGAGTTTATGCAAAAGTTAACCCTTCAACTGAAATATTTCATCGCAAAGAAGATCTCAGAGGATGTTGATTGGCAAGGAACCGAGATTGTTCTCTCGGGACATGAGGTACCAGGAGAGGGGGAGCACAAAATTATGGAGTACATTCGCCTCAAGAAAGCGCAGCCAGATTACGATCCTAACAGACGTCATTGTCTTTATGGTTTAGATGCAGACTTGATTATGTTGGGATTGTTGAGTCATGACCCTCATTTTTGCCTTCTTCGTGAAGAGGTTACCTTCGGCAGACAGAGTAAAGCCAAGTCAAAGGAGTTAGAGCATCAAAATTTTTATTTGATGCATCTGTGCATTGTTAGGGAGTACTTAGAATTGGAGTTTCAGGAGTTAAAGGGAGATGGGATTTTAGGCTTTTCATTCGATCTCGAGCGCGTTATTGATGATTTTATCCTTATGGCGTTCTTTGTCGGCAACGATTTCCTACCGAATCTTCCAAATTTACACATTAACGAAGGAGCGTTGGCGTTGATGTTCAAGGTATACAAAGCCATTTTACCCAAGTGTGGTGGATATATAAATGAAGGAGGAGTTATCAATATGAGCCGACTTGCAATTTTGCTTGATGAATTGTCTCACGTTGAGTACAGATTTTTTGAATCGGAGAGCTCGGACTCGTCATGGTTCAAGGCTAAGCAAATGTCAAAGGAGGATGTCATGGTGAAAGGTAAGAATAAGGGCAAACTTGTCATGACGACAACACAACAACAAATATGGAAACAAGTCAAATCATATGTACAGAAGAGAGGAACAGAAGCATTAGATTTATCCGAAAAGCTGCCCGCAGCGGATAGAAAATTCGCGCAGGATTTGGCAGAGAGCCTACACCTAGAATGGAAAACAGTTGAGGATAATGATGGAGAGCGTCACATGCAGCTATCATTCCCTGCTAAGCTCGGTGCTGACGATGACGACGAAGACGATGATGAAGAAGAGGAGTCTCAACTTGCAATCATGCGAATCGTCAAACAATACGACAAAGCAGAAGTTCTCGATGTTACCAAAGAACAAGCACAAGCCGAGATGGATCGTAAATACGAAGAGAAGTTCCAAGAGTGGAAAGACAAATATTATGACGGCAAATTCGAATGGGATCGAAAGAACGAAACGGAGTTGACAAACTTGTGCGAGAATTACGTCCAGGGGTTGCAGTGGGTTCTTTACTACTACTATCGTGGTGTCGTATCGTGGCCGTGGTATTACCAATATCACTACTCGCCGATGATTTCTGGTGAGCATTGTATCTGTGGAATCTCTTATGTTTAAGCTAACAATATCGGCAGACGTCATAAAAGGACTGAAAGCAGATGTCAATTTCAAGCTCGGGCAGCCATTCCATCCGTTTGAACAACTTATGGGCGTGCTACCCGATCGTAGTAAGAAGATTGTGCCCACAGTGTATCATGATCTCATGACGAATCCCGCTTCTCCTATCATCGATTTCTACCCTCGAGACTTCGAACTAGATATGAACGGAAAGAAAATGGAATGGGAAGCTGTGGTCAAGATTCCATTCATTGATGAAAGACGATTGTTGGATGCTATGGCTACAAAAAATAATTTGCTGAGCGATGCTGAGAAGGCTAGGAATGAGTTTGGAGTCTCTTTGAAGTTCACTTACGATCCAGATGTAGACTTTACTTACCCATCTTCATTGGTGGGTATTTTCCCCGACATTGCCCATTGTCACTGCATCGAAAATATTTTTGACCTGCCGACAATCGAAGGCCTGGACTTTTATCATGGTCTCATGGATGGAGCTAAGCTTGGATCTGCATCTTTAGCTGGATTCCCAAGTTTAAATTATCTTCCATATAATGCAACACTGGGTTTTCATGGGGTCAACGTTTTTCAATCAGACAGCCGTAATGAAAGTATGGTTGTCACAATCGAAGATTGTGAAGTTCGAACAAATGTCAAGACAGCACAACAGAAACTTGGTAAAAGAGTATTTGTTGGTTATCCTTTCTTACAGGAAGGTAAAGTTGTCAAAGTCTCTGATGAACTATTCGATTATCTGCCTTCCGAAGATGCTACTGGTCAACCTATCACTAGAGCACATGGGCCTCGTGAAATCGATGACTTCCGCAAGAAGGCCGAAAGAATAGAAAGCACTTATAGCAAACGTCTTGGTATAATTATTGGACCAGTAGAATCACTCACTCATGTGGAGATGCTAAAGGGTTTGAAAAAGATGGATGACGGTGCGACCATCAAAGAATATGCCGTTATTCCTGGTCAAGACACAGACTATGCTTCGCAAGTTGTGGTGGATGAAGTTATCAGCGAAGATCAGCGATTTTTGGAGAGAGCTGCTTTGCCTGTGGAGGAGGAGTTCCCAGTTGATGACAGAATATTCTTTCTCGGTGATTTCAACTATGGCCGTCCAGGGCTGGTTGAAGGTCACGCAGATCACAAACTTCAAATCTCTTTGTCCACAATCAAAGGCAAAGAAGTAGAATTTGGTAGAAACATTGTTCACAACGCCAAAAACAATAGTCACTATACCCCGTCTTTTGCAGTTGCTAAAATGCTAGGGTTGCATCCTTTAGTACTCAGCAAGATTACTTCATCCTTCCAGGTTTCTGCTGTGGGTCAGCTCCGCGTCAACTTGGGACTTAACCTTAAATTTGAGGGCAAGAAACTTAAGGTTTTGGGTTACTCGCGACGAGCTGATAATGGGTGGGAGTTCAGTAATAAAGCTATTGAACTCATCAGCACTTATATGACCAAGTTTCCTCATTTCTTTGCTGGTATCCAAAGAAAACCTCAAGGTAATGAATATGAGGAATCTGACTTTCCTGGTGCCAGTGTCAAGGAGATTGTGGCGTGGCTCAAAACCATCGAATCCAAGAACTTTGAAAAAGTACCTCTGGATGCTGAGCAGCTTGACTCTGATACCGTAATGGCTATCGAAGAAGCGGCTCAACAAGCCTTGATGAATGGCCCACAACCTCAACGTACAACGCTTAAAGCTGTTCCACGTGGTGCGCTCTTGAAGCCATCTGATGCTGAACATCGTTGCGGCAACCAGAAATTTGCTCTGGGTGATCGTGTTGTCTATGTTGCAGATTCTGGTCGCGTGCCCATTGCCACGCGCGGTACAGTTGTGGGTATCTCTCGCACCCCACTCACCACTTTACTTGATGTCCTATTTGATGTTACTTTCATGAGTGGAACGACTCTTGGTGAACGATGCTCCCCCTTCCGTGGATCCACCGTACCAATTGCTAGTGTGCTCAATCTTACCAACAAGCAACTGATTGCGGGCTCTAGAGCCGCTGCTGAGAAGAGACCCGCTCCAACTACCACGCCTTTAACAGCCAATGGTGGCTATGGCTTTGGACGAGGTCAACAATATAGAGAATCTGGACCACCTCCTCCACTTCGAGGCTCTTTCCGTGGCGCCGTTTCAGGGCAACGTGGAAATTTCGGATCTCGTGGTGGACGTGGTCGTGGTGGATTCCCCAATGGAAATGTACATAGTGATTCTGGCGATAATGCTACTCCAGCAGTTCATAGCAGCATGGTTATTCGTGACACAACACCTGTGAACACGACCGGTAATGCCAACGGCACCCGAGGTCGTGGAACCGTATTTGCAGCCGCTAGAGGTGGCGGTCCCGCAGCTGGGAGCGTAGCATACAACAATGTTCCTCCACCAGCTGCATTGGATTCACGAGGCAGGGGTAGAGGCCGCGGTGGTAGAGGTCGCGGTGCTTCGAGAGGTCGAGGTGGTAATCCACACCCTCCACAAGCCTAGATCTACAATTTCTGATTCTGTCGAATTTTCTTCTTTGGCATTTCTGGAAAAGCAATATTGGCATGGCATGGAATTTTCACGATCTTCCATGGCACAATACATAATGAGATGAATAAGAATCGCGAGCAATCTTTTCCCGGTGGGTACTTTTACGAGACTAGAATAACGATTTCACGAGTTGGATGGTTATGATTCTATTACTACCATGTATGCATGGATCGGATATACTAGATGGGAGAAGACGGTCAATGAGCCTCAGATACGATGGGCGCGTGATTAGAACCGGTGATTACTGCTATGTTGGAGGAGACGATGACTTGTTGGATGCAGAGCAGAAGCATGATATGATCGAAGAGAAAATAGTTAGATGTACAGAGAATTAAATCTTTGAAGTCTACGATATATATCCACAGTGAATGGGGTGAATTTATTACTATGAGTTTATAGCCAGCTAGTGAGTGATAAGATATGTACCGTGATGATCTTCGTAAACATATTCACTTATTTTGAACCCGTCCCAGACACGGTGGAACGTCCCTCGATAATCACTAATATACATAAACCACCATCCTCATTGGTATTCATCTCGCACCGACGAGATCTAGGTATCTATCTACAACCATCTTACCAACGCCCTTCCTCTTTTCCCTAATCGCTTTTTCCCACTGCTTCTGCATTTCATAAGGATGGATTACAAGGTATCTATAATGAGGTTTCTCGTTGCAAGAAAAATACGTCTTTCAGCTGTTAGCTGTTCCCATTCCCAGTGCCATTCACGTTCCCGTTGTTCCCATTCCCGTTCCCATTCCCATTTTCCAAAGCCGGTTGTGTTCCTTCTGCTGGTGGTGGGGTGGTCGCGGGAGGCGTGGCCCTCGGGACGTTCTTATCCTGTACGACTTTGATGATGTAATCACCGGCATCATTTGCACCATCGAGACCACCTACACGGGTCTTAAAGTATTCTGCATCACGAAGCATTCTATTTTCTCATTAGTTACTGGGTATTTTTGAAGAAGTTAGAAAAAGAATCAAGATAACATACCGCGCCTTAGCATCCTCACTTCCCAGCACGACATCCCCGAAAGCCTTCCCCAGTTGCTCTCTGAAGCTTTTAAATACCAGTTGCATGATCATGTTCACGGTCATATCTGGGAGGTGCTTGTTGAGAACTTTATGTAACGTAAGCGTCTCCTTCGTCATCGTCTCCATATACGCATTGATAGAAGAGGCCCCCGGTTCATCCTCCCAATTAATCATTTTCATGCTTTTAACATGAGCACTTGCTCTTCCGGCCATAATGTTAAGGAATTTATCGTAAATCAGTTGCTGATGTTCGAGGTATGCGCGGCGGATCTTGTCGAACTCGCCCATGAGAATGGAGACAGAGGATCCGGTGCCGGCATTACGACGAACGTATTCGCGAATGTATGGGATGAGAACGGATATGAAGGAAGTGGCTTGAGCGGCGAGGGCAAGATGCTTGGTAGTTATATTTTTGAGACCGGCGGTGGTGGTAGCGCCGGCCCCGAGTATTAGTTGTTGCACGCGGGAATTGAATAGTGTGAGGTACGAAAGTATCAACGCAGCGATTTCGGAGGTCATGGATGGAATGCCAGTATTGAGATGAAGAAGGGAGGCGAGGCCGTGGAGACAAAGAATTGCGGATATGGGAAGGATATATGATTGATCATCGATAACAGCAGAACGTGTTTGCGCTTTAGTAGGTGTAGAGGTAGAATTTGGTGTTGAGGTGCCATTCTTTTGGGTGCCGTTTGATGGAGGTGTGAGGTAAGATTGGGTTCCGAGAGGCGAATCAGTACAACGCTGCCACACTTTGCTGCCGGAACTCCATGCCTCGACATCTTGTGTGCTTGCGGAAAGTATCCTAGACAAGACTTCTTTATCTTGATCAGTGAAATCCTTGGCATTCCAAGGATCTGCTTCCATGCCAGTAGCAAGACTTTGGCGCTCTGATTCACCTAGCTGTTGAACATAGTCTTTGATATGACCGTTAACTACATTTTTCAGGGATGTACCACTTCTACCCGACACGGCTTCGCATTCATTTGCGAAAAGTAGGTTCAAGGTGAAATATCGCAGAAACCTTTCGACCGAGAGATGGGTACTTTGTTCTGTCCTCACCCGCAGTACCTTCACTACTTTGTCTTGAGCAATATCGACAGCTTGTCCAAGAAGACTAGACATGTCCAGGGTCTGATGCATTTCTTCTTGCAACTCCCTACCAGAACTGCCCCTTAGACTGGGGCTCATTCTAGCATTGATTGACCCTATTACAGGACTTCGTGGTGGCGACTTTACGCCACCAGGAGTGTCAGGATCCCCCAGAGTACTAGTGACGTCTAAAAGTACCTTGACTTGAGTCCCTAGCCTTCTTAGAGTCTCGCCAACCTGAATATAAGTTTTCTTAAGGAGCTCTTCGGCCTCGTCTGGATCCAAAGAACGCAGATTGCGAGCTAATATCATCGACTTTTCTTGCTGGTTCTTTTGCCTAGTACCACCAACCGTGGATGCTGACATCATAGAATCGGTATCATCATCATTAGAACTAGGAAGAAAGCGCCGGATAATGTTCCGGACCTCTCTCAATACGCCATCTCTAAATGCGGAAGTCGCAGCCGAAGTATATTTTGCTCTATACAAGCCGCCCAGATTCGACGATATTTCTGTCCGGAATTCTTCAGGAACTGTCAGGTATGTAGGCTGTTGTGAAGATGTTTCGCGACTCTGATTGCCCCTATTCCTCGAAGATGCATTACTCCAACGTTGCAGCGTATCTTCGGCAGACACTGTTTCAACATGTCGTCTAAGATCACCGAGAAGGGCTTGCAGAAATCTGGCTTCAAAACTTTTGCCAATCCGGAAACGTAAGACATCCAGATCATGATTTACTCCTTGCAAGGCTGTCGCACCTCTCAAGTCTCGGAGTTGTATCTTTTGCTGGCCCGGTTTGCTCGTTATCTCCTCCCCTGCAATGAGTTTCTCCAAAGCATCGATGGCGTCCAATGCTTGTTCCACATTACCATTTTCCACCATTGATTCACAACTAGTAACGGCATCTACTACTTGTTTCAGTTGCTGAACTGCATCGTTCAATTGCTTCAAGTTCTCTCTCCTTCTTTGCAGATTTACAATCTTTAATCCACCCACGGCCATTTCTTTATCTAAATCTTCCAATTCCTTTCTCAACGTTTTGATCCTCTCTACGGAAACTGCTGCCTCAGAATGGAGTTCTCTTAAAGATCCTAATGCTGCGAAAAAAGATGTTGAGGCAGTAGATATGGAAGATATTAGGTGCACTTCGATAGTGTCCATGTACCACGACAACTTTTCTTGAAGTATAGCATTCGTGGCCAGTGCCTTTCTAGGGTTGATTGCAGAGCCATTACTTGCTCGGCGTTCATTAGTAGAGCTTGAGGTTGGCCGGATGACCTCTGAGCGTTCACTAACAACATCAAAAGTTCGAGGGTTTTCCAAATGAAAGTCCTCCTCAAAGTACACACTGGGAACCGTAGAAATGGGAGTCGGCGCATGTAGGGCTCTTCTTCCACTGCTCGACTTTTTCCGAACAGATGCCGGTGGACTCTCCAAGGATGCAAGCGAAGCCAGAGAGGCTTTCCTAGAAAGTTTAGGCGTCCGCGGGTCGAAGTCTAGGATATCCGCAAAGTCTTCAGCCTTGCTGCCTTTGCGTAATAGCTGGGTTCCCCCCTCTTCTTCGTTCTCTTTCGCTCTTTGCAATGCATCATAGGTAGCTCCTACTTGGGTCAAATACGACTTGAATTCCGAAGGATCGACACGGGGTATATTTGTGAGTGTTACTGGGGGTATATCTCGAGCCGTTGGAGGTTTATGTGCGCTCGATGCGGGAGCAGAAGTATGGGGAATGAGGCCAGTTCGAACGATTGGTGGTTGGAGTAAAGTAGATATAGCTTGCATATGTTAGACCCATAGCTGTTCCGCCCACTCTCAAAACTTACCATTCTGCCCGGATTCATTCAACCCATGCCAGTGTGAGACTGTATCTAATGTCCCTCCTATCGAGTGTATCGAACTAGCTGTCGACCCGCGCCTAGGATTAAGTCTGCTACTCGAGGAGCCTGGTCTGCTAGATATCAGCATGTCAATTTCTCAGCGCATTCCATATCGCGCAACAAACCTTGGGAAAGGATATTCATTCCGACCTCCAGGAGATGTAGGAGAAAGACTCTCCGCAGAAAACCGCGATACTGGGGAATGATCCATGGTCTAATTATGTACCGATCACTCTGCAGCGAGCGTCGACCTCCCCCACAGCCGCGCAATTGTAATCTGAAACCCGGCGAAAATTGAGAAGGGGATGGAAAGGTAGCGACAACAAAGCTTTCCTTCAAAGTACCCGATACAGGCCACGGAGACACATTCGTAAGCTATCTTACAGTCAACACGGATTTGTTGACAAACACTAATCGTTATGGGGGTATCATTGCTGGTAACGAGAAACTTGAGAAAACAAGCTTATCCAAATTGTCATATCGTAGATTGGTCTAAGGTGTATATTCGTTAATTCATTGATTATTCTATTTGAACGAAAGTGCATTTCATTGAGGTGATGTTCTGGTTCTTTCAGCCTTCCGTTCGACACCAACTTATCTTCATTGTTATCATTTGATTGGTCTCTCGGGATGGTGAGGCTGAGGCTCGAGGCTGGAGGTTGCTAGGATTCAAGCTGTGGCTACCATGCAAACACTTTACACGAAATTTGTCGCGTTCAAAAAAAGGATAAACGCGTCTTGTCTTATCAAAAAACCTCAGGTTCAGTCAGGTCACTTAGCAACAGCAGGACAACAGACGAACATTGTCAATAACCCTTCTTTTCATACTCAACAACACAATCAGATACCCAGCAATAAGATGGATCGCCAATCTGTATTTTCTTTAAGTGTTTTACCACCTGAGTATGGCGACAATGAAGATACTAGAGGTCAAGTACAATCGCAATTAGAACAATTTATTCTTCAGTTTCGCATTGACAATGCCTTCATCTACAGGTAGGAAGCATTGAATTTTATCATTTGTGCCTATCATGCTAACCAAATCAATACAGGGATCAAATCCGGGAGAATGTTCTGTTAAAACAATACTTTTGCGACGTTGATGTTGGGCACTTGATATCCTTTAATGAAGAGCTTGCACACAGACTTGCGACAGAACCTGCAGAGATTATACCTCTTGTAACCAATCCTCAGAAACTACTCCCGAACTATGTCTGACTTGCTCCCAGTTCGAAAGCGCATTAAAAAGATGTACCCATCGAATTGTATATCCCTCAGACAGAGACATTGTCCTTCCCGAACATCAACTCCTCCTTCATTCCACAGCCTCGGAGATTTCCATTCGAGATCTAGACGCTCTTGCCATATCCAGACTTGTACGGGTACCAGGTATTGTCATAGGAGCATCAGTACTATCATCAAAGGCAACAGCACTAAATATACAATGTCGAAATTGTCGCTCTACAAAAATATTACCAGTAAATGGTGGATTTTCTGGTGTTTCGCTACCCAGAATTTGCGATAGACAAAAGATGCCTGGAGATCCACCATGTCCTATGGACCCATATGTGGTCGTTCATGAATCTTCTCAATTCGTGGATCAACAAATCATTAAGCTTCAAGAGGCTCCAGATCAAGTTCCGGTGGGAGAACTACCACGGCACGTTCTTATTTCAACCGATAGATATTTGACAAACCGTGTGGTACCCGGTACGAGATGTATGATCACTGGTATATTTTCTATTTATCAAAATAAAAACACGAAAGGCTCCTCCACAACCTCAGCCGTCGCTATTCGAACTCCGTACCTGCGAGCCGTGGGTATTCATAGCGACGTTGATCACACAGCGAAAGGGAACGCAGTATTCTCAGAAGAGGAGGAACAAGAATTCCTCGAAATGTCGCGCAGACCTGACCTCTACAGTGTATTTGCTTCCTGTATTGCCCCGTCTATTTACGGCAACAACGATATCAAAAAAGCAATAGCATGTCTCTTGCTAGGTGGATCTAAGAAGATTCTTCCTGATGGTATGAAACTTCGTGGTGATATTAACGTCCTTCTCCTTGGTGATCCCGGAACTGCCAAATCACAGCTTTTGAAATTCGTAGAAAAGGTGGCTCCTATCGCTATCTACACATCTGGGAAAGGATCTTCCGCCGCTGGTCTTACCGCCTCTGTTCAACGTGATCATACAACCCGAGAATTTTACCTCGAGGGAGGAGCTATGGTTCTTGCGGATGGGGGTGTAGTGTGCATTGACGAATTCGACAAGATGCGTGATGAGGATCGAGTGGCAATCCACGAAGCTATGGAACAACAAACTATCTCGATAGCTAAAGCCGGTATCACTACAATTCTCAATGCAAGAACCTCTGTCCTCGCTGCAGCCAATCCTATTTTTGGGCGTTATGATGATCTCAAGTCGCCAGGCGAAAACATTGATTTTCAGACCACAATTCTATCGCGTTTCGACATGATTTTTATAGTCAAGGATGAGCACGAGAGAGGTAAAGATGAGAAGATGGCAAGGCACGTTATGAATGTTCACATGGGTGGTAGAGGGAGAGAAGAACAAGCTGAGTCGGAGATTCCTGTTGAAAAGATGAAGAGATACATCAGCTACTGTAAATCGTACGTATTACTTCTACTCGCCTTCTATGTAACCAAGAAGTTTAAAAACTAACAATCTCCAGTCGTTGTGCACCGCGTCTCTCCCCAGAAGCCTCCGAGAAGCTCTCCTCACATTTTGTATCCATCCGAAAGCAAGTTCATGCCACCGAGATGACAACAAACGAACGGTCTTCCATTCCCATTACCGTCCGTCAACTCGAAGCCATCATCCGAATAACAGAATCTCTCGCTAAGATCTCTCTTTCTACTATCGCCCACGAACATCACGTCGATGAAGCAATCCGTCTATTCTTAGCATCCACCATGGATGCCGTTCAACAAGGTGTTGCACAACAAGGAAGTAGAGAACTCCAAGACGAAGTCGCCAGATTAGAGGAAGAATTAAAAAAAAGATTACCCGTGGGATGGAGCACAAGTCTAGCGACTTTGAAAAGAGAAATGTGTGAAGGAAGAGGCTTTAGCGAAATGAGTTTAGAGAGAGCGTTGGTGGTGCTGCAGAGAAGAGATACCATTGCTATTAGAGGACAGGGTAGTCAGGTTTATAGGAGCGGTGCATGAAGTGCCGACTGATCGAGCGATGTTTGATGTCTGCATGAATAAATCAATGCGTTTGGCGTTAGGACAAAAGAATATTGTCATATTTACGCATAGGATGCGAAGGGATAGTCTATAATAATAGTACCTAGGTATCAACACTACCATGATTCGAGGACATAAACTATCAGATGAACGCTGAGACGAGATAACATTTAAAAAATTATAATCTACCTAGGTAATCTTATATATTACTCAAACGGTGCACATCACCCGACAGCCATCCTACCTAGTATCTTCAAAACTAAAATTCGAGTATATTCAAATTTACACATCTCCGCTACATCACATCGGACAAAACTCCTATTACTAGGTACTTAATAATCTTTTATAGAATCGAGATCCATCTACCTCTTTTTATTTTCATCTTTATATTATACCTCACAACAGAACAAAATAAACATAAAAAAACAATCAAGTTCGTGTCTTATCCCAAATATCTATCCATCTATCTATCTTGTCAATTTCATTACGAACAATACTTACCATCACAACACATTTATATTCTCACTACCAAGACACGAAATCATAAATCATAAGTCTTACAAGTTACCACACAGTAAATAAGATCTTACATCTTCGTTTGGATATCATTGAATTTCTCTTCATCGCAAATCTCCACATACATGACATCATCTCCTTTGAAGAATAACTCAAAAGTGGGAAGAGGCTTTGCTTTCTCAACGCACAATGCGCCATCATACCGTGGCTTGCATGCCCTATCTCCCTCCCTTTACTCGTCTCCGGAACGCCCGCTCCTGCTCCTCATGCTCCTCGTTCAACCCCTAAATTTCTCATCTGAAGATGCATCATCCCATGAAGAACCAAATCGCGTCCAATTACATACTTAGGTTATTAATATCAATAATCTTACAAAAGCTTTATCCGGTGCACGAATGCCAAAAGCGTTTCTTCCCAAATGTACATGCTGCAAGCTTCTTTTTGGACTTTTCCACCCCTGCTACGGAGGTGGCTCATATGGAATCGATCAAGTTGCTCGGAGCGGCGACCTCCTGATTTTGAGGTATGGAAGCTGGTGGTGGTACGTCTGGAGGTCCCATCATTACTCTTTTTGGTTCTCTTTCGGAACTTGCTTCACCCTCTGCAGTTCTTTTCTTCTCCTTTTCCTTCTGCGCTGCCCTTCGTGCCTCTTTATCCTTACGCTCATTTTCTTTACGTAACGCTTTAGATTCGAATTCATGCCAGTCGCCCTTAAGTTCTTTGAGCCTATTTCAAAGTATTAGCTAATGATCATTTGGTAAAAAAGTTGAGAAACAAGAAAATAACATACTCAACAGCCTGTCTCGGCATTGGCTCTTCCGTTGTGAAGTACGGGTGCTCAAGAACATCAGAAGCAGAAGGTCGCTTGACAGGGTCATACTGAAACATGGCATCCAAAAGCTCAAACGCAGCCGGGGTAACTCGTTCTTTGTACTTTTCCGCAAAAACGTTGGATCGTTTGACAGTAGGTCTTAAAAGTTCGAACCATGCCATGTCTACTAAGCCGGGCCAATCAGTTCGATTTGGCGTTCCAAGTACAGCGTAAATTTTCTCGAGTTGGCTAATTTCACCACCGTCTCCCGGAAATATTGCGTGTCGAGTGAAAATCTCGACCAAGACACAGGCTGCACTCCAAATGTCTACTGCAGGACCATATTGTGTCTCGCCGAGAAGAAGCTCTGGTGAACGATACCAGATAGTGATAACACGATTGGTATAGTCTAGCTGCCTTCGCTTGGCATAAAACCTAGCCAGTCCAAAGTCTGCTAGTTTTAGTTGCCCTTCGTCGCTAACAAGAATATTTGCTGCTTTGATATCCCGGTGTAGGACACCTCGGCGATGAAGATAATCTAGACCTTCAAAAAGCTGCTTAGCAAGATGCTTCTTATGAGCTGCATCAAGCTTGAAAGACGGATGATTGAGCAAACCCGTCAGATCGTGCGACAGATATTCAAAAACCATAAAGCAATCGTTCTTCTCCACCATTACCTCTTGTAAGTTAACAATATTTGGGTGCTTTAAGGATTGAAGAAGTTTTATCTCTCGTACCGCAGTCACGGGAAAGCCATCGCGTTCTCCTTCCATGCGAATCTTCTTCAAAGCAACCAACTTATTTGTGTAAACATGAATAGCTTTGAACACTTTACCGTAAGTTCCGGATCCAACGACAGATTCATTGCCGGGTTTTCGGTAGTATACAGAATCTGACGCCTTGTATTCGGAAAGTAGTTGTGGCTTTGGTTTCAAACGTTGCATCATCTTCTTTACCTTGCGCGTTACAGGGGGTGGTGGCTCTCGAAATGCGTGCTGCGCTCTTGCAGATGCTGGTTCTGTGGGGATATTTCGTGTTGCCGCAGGACCACGAGGGCTATTTTGCATATCTCGCTTGATTGGGACAGCGTTCAGCTTCTGAGAGATCTCTGGTTTTGGAGTAGTAGCCGCTTTCGCAGGGCCTTTGAATGCAAAGCTAAATTTCGAGGAATTTTGTTGGCTCTGCGGTCCTGTTGGTGGTGGTCGACTAGGAGGAGGCATTTGTTCCTCATCAATTTTCTTGCTAGTATCCTCAGCTTGAAGGTCTTTTGAGGGCCTAAATAAGTCCTCGCTATCGTCTACCTGGTTTTGTAGTGGTATTGCACTAGAATCAAATGGATTCTGCGATGGGAATTGCTGCTGCGGGGACATATGTTGAGGTGTGACGTTACCGGAATTGCTGAACTGGGCACGACTAGCGCCAGAGGGACCAGAAGGAGGATTCCACTGGGTATTGAATTGATTACCACGATTGCCTCGGGCATTGAAATTGCCAGCTCGAAATCTTTGATTACCTCTGAAGTTATTGTTCATCGGCCCTGTAGGAGGGGCTTGGTGAGAAGGAGATTGTGCTTGGTTGCCATACATTTGACTTTGCGGACCAGTGGGAGTAGCATATCCTGGTTGCTGCTGGTAGTTTGGCTGGAATTGCCTGCAAGTCTTGTTAGATTACGAAATCACTAGGTCTACCAAAGAATAGCTTACGAAGTGGGTGAAAATTGTTGTTGCTGCGAGCCATTCCAATTTCCCCGTCCAGATGAATATGGTGATTGTGCCTGAGGTGAACCATGATACGAGTTCGGAGTCATTTGATGCTGTGGAGATTGTGAAAATTGTCTTGGATCAGCTTGGGGGCCTTGAGGGACTTGGTTGAATTGCGGCTTCAGAGGAAATGCTGCCTGCATCTGTTGGTTTGGATTGTATCCTTGCTGGCTACCAAAAAATCCTCTGTTGGCCATCTTATCCGACTTGACCTCAATACTATTTGCTCCTGAAGCTGCCGATGTCGGTCGGCCTCGGGATTTGTTATTAGGGCGATATTCGTCTCGTGAAGGTCGTCCCTTATCTCGCTTTGGAGAACGTCTCCTATTTCCCTTTGGTCCTTTTGGTGCACGAGGTGATTGACGACGGCCGCGATTTGTATGCCCGTATCTGTCTGCCTCTGGAGATCGACGAGTCGAGTATGGGGAAATGTCTCGCTTCTTCTCCTTATTCTCAGTCGACTCTAATGCTACTCTTTCCCCGTCCTTTTGTTCTTGCTCAGTGGTTCTCTGGGGGGATTTATTACGATTCGCCGGGGGGTCGTCGTAGTCCAGGGAGGATGAAGGGCGAGATTTTTCGAATTTATCGCGGTTCTGGCCAGGAGATCGTCCACGCTTATCGTTCTTCCCGAAATCCCTACGGTTTCTAGGATTCCCTTCCTCGCGTTGATTATTTCTGTTCTGTTCCGATTGTCGATTTCGATGTTGTGATGCAGACCTATTACGCCGCTTCCTATCACGTCGGGATGACCCTTTGGTAGCTCCGTTGTGCCGTATTGGACTGCGAGAATTTCTTCGAGCTTTCTTTTGTTGATTGCGATTCGGCGATGGGCTACGACTCTTCCTTCTTTTGATCGGTTGAGGTGAATGAACTGTCTCTCCTTTTCCTTGTTCTGAGCCTCGCGTCTCCAATAATAGTTCCCTGCCCTGATTGCGCTTCAATACCTCTTCTTGTGAATCCTTTCCTGCCCGAGGAGATAATTGTCTTCTGCGGTCTGGGCTGCGATCTCGCCTTTCAACTTCCTGTGATGGCTTTGACCTATCAGTACTGCGATCTCCAGCGTTGGGTGTCCTGTCGGTGTCCGGTCGACGTGACGTGGGAGACCTTGATCTTCTCGACCGTCTTTCAATAACTCCTCGGTCTACTCTACCTCTATCTCTGCGATCGTCACCGGGGCTCCAGCTGTCTTTCATCTCGAGCGCGATCGCATCTCGAGCATCAGGGTGTTCTTTGGGTTGTTGAGTTGAAGGCATAATTGAGGCAATGTCGATGATTTTGCTAAAGTGGCGCGCTTCTTTAGGCTTAGCGAGAATTGAGTCGATGGATTGGCATCAAACCATACATTGCGACACAAAAGAACTTCAAGATGAAAAAGTCGAATTGAATTGAATAATGAAAAGAAGTTTGAGGAAAAGAAGTTATAAAAATCTTGAAGACAATTGAAAAGTATAAGATGAAGATGAAAATATAAAAAAAATTGGTAGGGATTTTTTGGTGTTACATTACCTATCTGAATCTGATTGTATGACTTGCCTATTTGTTGTGGTTGTGGTTTTTGGTGGTGGTGGTCGTGGGTTCTGCTGAATTGGGTTGAGTCCAATAATAAAGATGTTCCCGGGTGTTAGATCCATAATCCATAAACCATAATCTGTGTAAATGCCCTGCCCTGCCCAAACATTTGATATTGTAAGAAAGAACCCACCACACTCGTTGTTCCATAGACTGAATTGAAATATTGAAAGAATCGTCCGACACCGAGTGAGCAGATTACCGAGATTTGTGTCCTTCCTTCCAAGTTCCATGCATCGATGCATCGGTATCCAAACCGCGTTTACAATTTCGGAATCACGCAAAGTATGCAAAGTTCTATCTACGACGCGTTAAAACGCAAATATAACAAGCAGAAGCAAAGGAAATTATCGTCAATATGCCCATGCCAATATAGTTGCTCCTGCGCGATAGTCAAGGGAGTCTAACCCTCAATTATTCCACGCCCATGTGTGCAAACAATGTTCCCGGTGTAGGTGGGAGCGAACTCCCTTGCAGCTCTTCTGCCAAAAGATAAATTGCCCAGTGTTTGAAATGTAGACAGGATTCCGAGAACTCCGCCGTTGTGTAGCTTTGTGGTTTTGGGTTACTCGGCGAGGTCGTCCTAGAAATGGATGTGAATGATGATAACATCTATGGTAAATGACCGATACTTCAAGCACCTTCAGTGGGCCATGAAAGTCGTTGGGGCAGTCAAGGTTAGAGCTTTGAAAGGCTCAGTATATGGGTAAGGATAACGAGTGCTTCATAATCACCCAGAAACAGCCGTCATGTCAAAAAGTCTGGTTGTCTGCAAACCAGTACTTATTTGGAATCAGGTAGGTTCGAACAGCACAGGAGCGTTAGAAACCTAATCATAATCCAGCGAGGCATTTAACAGTAAGACATGTGCCAACTTCAGCCTTGTTAAAGTAACGACCACTACTGATATCTTGCGAATATCAAGCGTGCTGGTGTCGAAGTTGGCGTGTTGACAGTTCGTTCAAGCATATCAAGGACTCATTAGGTATGGCATATTCACAAATAATCCTTTGATCCCACCCATGCCGATAAATATCAGCCACTTCCATCAATTCGCAATCTCAACTATTAGTGAGGGGTGAAGACAACTTTCAGCCTTTCAAGCTAAACGCAGAAAAGTGATTGAAACCATCCTATAGGAAACTATCGTTGTTGTTTTGGAAGAAGTATCTGCATACGCGGAGGCATATAGGTAGATGATTGCAGATACTGCCTGGCGCGGTGTACAGAATCACATACCACCAAAGATATTGCTTATTGTCGATTCTCAGATAGCGTATGAGTCGCGACTAAGGTTGCCAATAGCGGAAAATGGTTTTAAAATCCAAGCGGTCGGCATGAACATAACTATATCGAAGAAGTGTTTAGGGAAGCCATCGTCTTGCAATGTGCCTATCGCGATATTCGAAACGCTGGCATGTACGATTGTAAGAAGCAGCGGAAGCTTTGAGAGAAAGACTTTACCATTAGCATCATAATCCTAATTATTTCGCATTCTTCCTAGGTGTCTTCGTGCTGCGGCATGTTGTCGCAAATAATAAATATGAACGAAACTCGTAGTTCTTCTTTGCAGGATGGTAATCATGACATGTTACGGTTTATTCATCTTAAGAGCAAGGCTTCCAGGCTCTTTTCGTTTGGCCTTTGATTACATAATGTATCAGTGCCCAAAAGTTCGCGGTCGTGCTAAAGTGTTCGGCTATATTGGTAGTTTCACCAAAAGGAAAAAGCTAGACTTCAACATCTCGGGGAATGCCACGCTATGCAAAGTTGCAAACTCTAATTTTTGTTTGGGCTAATCAAGGTTAGATTTGAGGGGATTTGTAGACGTGCAACCAAACTTTTTACACAAATTTTGTAGCCTATTAATGAATCGAAGAGTAGGGGTAAAAGCCTGAGATGGAGTGAGAATATGCAACAATAAAGACATTCAAAGTTGAACGTCTGTCTTATTTAAAATGCAAATATGAAAACACTAAAAGACACAAATATTTAGGTTTCAAGCGATAGATAGCGAAGTCGGATCTTTCTTGTTCCCTCCTCCATAAATCTAGCTGGCCTTGAGAGAATAGCTTGAGTGAGCTACAGCACAGAACTGGGCTATGTCTATTGAACCTCGTCCCTGTATAAATATTGCTGCTATATGAGTAGTTAATCGCATATGTATGCATCAACTACTACCTTTTGAGCGTTACATGGAGCCTTACTATTACTACCCAGGCCGCAGTTGCAATTGCAACTCACCTCATTGATTATACAGGCTGGCATAAAATTCCGCAAGTAGTTAAAAGTCTCCGAATCTACACATCTCTATTATTGCCACACCTCAAGAGCCATTCCACATTACACATCTACTTGCTAGATTCTCAAGCAAAGTATCTGTTCTATCTTGCCATTCATCTTGCAGACGGTATCAAAAAAACATATATACTCTGGACTCTATCCAAGAAGCCGCTCAAAATGTTTGATTGATATGCAAAGATTCACATACTATATCAGACGTTCTTATGATACCAGATGGGGGGAATTCAGTTTATATTCCACTCGGACTGTATAATTGAGGCTCTTCAACTTTACACACTCAGAGGTTCTTGAATGTCTCAATATATACTAGATAGCCTAGACTCAAATTATTATCTTCCCAAAAACAGACACTACACCGATGGGCAAAAAGCGGCTCGCCTCGAAGAAAGTTATAAAGATGTGAAGCTAAGACTCACAAGAATTACAGTCCCAATCCAGTTCCGCAAAATGACCTCCTGGTTATAACTTGAAAGAATTATTTTCACTTCATAAATAATGTCTTACTCGTAGATCTGATAAATTCTAAGTTCTCACACATCTAAACATATACACCCAACCATAAAGAAGCTCAGCTGTCCCCAGCAGCCCCATAAAGAACATATCTAGCATGAAGCACGAACTGCAAAAGCGGGCGGTAATTACAAATTATTCGAAACCATATCAAAAGAAAGAGCCATATGATATAATATGAATAAATACCTCGACGCACTTGTAAAAAGCGCAGACTATTTTACTGCACACATTTAGCATCAAGAATCCCATCACATCATAAAACTCAATTCGAAAAAATCAACAAATTCGAATCCAGCATTCCCCAACTAATCAAACCATTTGCATAATACATTTCAAAGAAGCAAAAGTGCTAGCGTTACTCCACAACACAATACAACACTCTTCCTCTAGACCCTCCAGTCTATATCATCTTCTCCTCCTCTCCATCAACTCCATCAAACACACCCTTAATCCTTAATCCTCAAAACAATTCCCCTTCACATACATGCCTCACATAACTACACACATATTTCTCACCAATAAATAACACATACACATACACATACAAAGCACAAACCCAAAACACAAAATACCACCCATCATCTTACATCCACCCCGAATAGAAAGATCCTGATCTTTAAATTCAAATTTAAATTTAAATTTAAATAAATATTAATATTTAAAAGCACCAAAAGGGGCGAATTAAAGAGATGAATTTATATTTAAAAAGAGAGGATTGTTTTGTTTTGTTATAAAATAATAAATGATTCTTATAGATAAATAGTTGATGTCTTTAGTGGTATTTTATAACATCATGTTTTGTTTTACTTTACTTCACTTATTCACTTTGTTTTTTGTTAGATTGTTGTATTTGATTTAATTGTGTTTAATTGTATTTGATATTTAAGAAGTAGAAAAAAAACCCCCTCTTCACTTCCCTTCCCTTCCCTTGCCCTCCTCCGCTCCTCTCGTCACATCACATCATCACATCATCACAATCACATCGTCACCACCAAACCATATCTCAATCTCAAATCTTAAACATATATACAATTGAATTCCTTTCCAATCAAAAAAGATATAAAAAAAAAAGAAGTCTACACAAAAAAGCGAAAGAATGTTAAAAGTGGAAGTTTTAACAAATTTCCAAAAGAAAAAAAATGGTTCCCAAAACACGGGTATTCCCAGCCAATGTACCAATCCAATCCGATGCGATGCGATCCAATCCAATCCAATACGATCCGATCGTACCGTTCCATATCCTTTTCTATAACCATCATAAAAGAACCAACCGACCATCATAAAATTCGTATGCCTCATCGCTGCACGCATAGCGGCGCTGACGTACATTTATTTCTTCCCTTTCCCTTTCATTTTCCTTTTGCTTTTCGTGTTTTGCGCTTGCTTCTGATGTATGCATGTATGTATGTGCATATGTGTGTGCATGCATCAGGGCAAGGGGGTATCTCCAACTGCACTCTGCACTCTCCTCTCCACCTCGACATCCACCACCCAACCAAGGACAAAAGAAAAGGAAAGAAGAAGAAAGAAACCAGTAGCAGATCTAAGCCGATCCACCACCAGTAACAAATTCCTTACCGACCTTCGCTCTCGTTCTTGTTTCGCGCTTAGAGGCAGGGAGATTACCAAGAAGACAAACAAGCTCATTGGAATCAGTAGCTTGAGTTTGTACATCATCAGCATGGTTGTAAGCATTATCGCAAGGAAAGCTTTGACAACCAGAGACGGGAACACCGGTATGTAATGGGAAGAGTTCCTTAACACCTTCTGTATCATCAGGGTTAACGATGGCGGAGACATCAAAGTAAGTCATGCCTCCCCAGGAATCAAAGCAGACTTCTCCGAGCATGCCGGAGGTGTTTTCGGCGCCTTCGGAGACGGAGAACCAGTTGCCGATCCAGCCCGTGGGGAAGGTTTGGTTGACTGTGGTGGCTCCGTGGATGGTGAGGGACTCGATGGCTTCGTAGCCTGAGGTGGCTGTGAAGACTAAGGTACGGGTGGTGTTATCTTGGTTGACGAAGTGAACGGTGCCGGCAGAGGCGATGGTTGCGAGTGCTGCGGAAGCGGCGAGGATGGAGGTTATAAATTGCATATTGAGTGATGTGTTTTGTGTAATGTAGTGTTTAAACTTGATAAGGATGGTTGGGATAAAGTAAGACTATGCTTTACTTCAAGTTGGTCGACCGAAACTAGTTGCTTCTTTTTGCAGTAAGGTTTTGGATCGAATGTTTGAAATGGTATTGTCAAGTCTTCAAGACTAGGTGTTCTATGTCGTAGAGACAAGTTATGCTTTTGGGGTGACTGTAGAAGTGGTGAATGTGACTGTAAAGTCAAGTGCGATCTCAGATCGATATGATGAGCAACTTAATGAATGAGTGAACTCTTGTTGACGACGTAATGGGTGAAGAAAGAAAAGGAGTATAATGGGGGCACAGTGGATTATATAGACAGATAACTAAGTGTAAAACGTGGGACACCACTAAGGTACCATAAATCTCCCAAGAAAACGCCAGCTCGGGCACTTAGCTCAGTCTGGCAAAAACATCACGGCAATCGTAGAGTCATGACAACCATATTTCAGTCGGAACTAAGTAAAGGAAAGCATCCAGAACATTTGTTTATTTTCAGGCTGCATATTCCCAGCCCTCGGCCTAAACCCAATCAAGTATGAATGCATCTAGGCTCCGCTATTTCTAGAGAGTCGGTATACGCAAAGATATTTCTAGATGGACACTAAGGCCTAAAGCGGAAGTTACTGGCATCTACGACTCGGAGGAACTTGCCTTGGCGAGATTACAGAATTTTCCTTTGGTGGGAAGAATGAAGTGAATAGATCGATGAGCTTACGCTTTGATTGGATCGCGGACTTCTGTTCCTGAATTTTAACGGCAGGGCTATGCGTTTGCCGATGCGTAGGGCATGCCCAGCGGAAAGTCTATTTGATACTGGCCAGTATGTGGAGAATATACGAGGAGCCAATAATCTTCATGGTCTTTCTTTGATTATTCGTATCTGTTGCACTCTGATGCCAAAAACACTTTTCTCATCCAACCAAAATTGAAAAGATCAAGTCATTCTAGACACTTGATCCTAGAGCTTTGAATCATTCGTCGATTGTCAATTGTTATTGTCAACTTTCAACTGTCAACAGTAAATTTGTGTTTGCATCTCGAAAGATTTGTTTCCCTAAGTGTTTCGCTGCAGTGGCCGGTCATTGGCATGAATGGCTGATGTAGGCAGTCGTAGTAGAGAATATCGGCGTATTGATTTTTAACTCGTTACTGTTGTAATCATCGAATATGGATATATCGAGGATGACGAAGCAAATGCCGTAATACAGTGATTGACAAGGATCAAATCACGGAGTTCATATTTTTCAAAATCTCGGACGTGTTGGGGTGGATTGAAAAATTCTATACCGCCGTCACACAAACTTCTATTCCAATTGATTGTTCTCGATCTTTTTTATCTTTAAACCTCGCAACTTTTGTAATTTTGGAGGCTTCTCTAGTTCTCTCGAATAGGCAGGCTATAGCAGTCTGTCCTTACCCTTCGCGGATCATCGGGGAAGAGCCGCAGTACGGCAGCGGAACGGTGAACGTGGAAATTCGCCTGACATTGTCTAGGGATGGCAAATGGCAAAGCGACTGCATGGCTTGCAAGGACAAGCCATCTAGAAAAAAGGCCGGTTTGTTTCGATTATTGTGGATGGCTTAGAAAGGATTGGTTGATGAAAAGGGCTACTGCGAAGTTACTGCATGTGTTGTGTAATGTTACAAATTTTTATCACGTTCATGTATGTTCTCTGTGAGTTCATGTACGAGGTGAATGGCTTTATCAATGCTCGAATCATATAAAATGCCGCAAAACTCTTCCTCGTTCCAGCTTCCAACTTACGCCATAGAGGAGTGATTAATGTCTAGATATCCATCCACATTCCACATGTGGGTATCCATAAGGTTTCCTGCTTCGGTGGGGGCTTGCTTGCCCTTGCAGTAGCCTCAGGAACCCGCAAGAAGCCCGACGCCCACACATTCAGGCCCTGCATGAGCATGAGCATGTACTCTGTCCGTGTTCGAGGGTTGAAAAGTCAAAAGAGCCCCTTTGTCGAATTAGACTTGATCCAATTCTTCGAGTCGCTGATTGCCACGAATCAATTGTGTAATCGGTGAGTGTGATTCCATAAGGTATGAAATAATCCAACAAACTCTCACGTTCCTCGAAATGAATGCAAATCATTCATTCATTTAATCATTAAGATTACTTTCAACCAACAAGAAGTTAAAAACTCCTCACTAACCATCTCTTAACAGAACACGAACACAAGGCCCATATTTTCCGGCCCCCCATCAGCAGTCAGTCATGAATTTTCAGAAGAAGCACGAGGAAACCATGAACGAGATTAACAACGAACCGTACTCGAACCAGAGCACCGGCGTAGTGATAACAGGCATGGCATGTGGGCGTTATACGCGATGGATCCCGAACTGCCTATCGTAATTTCCGATTGCTGAGTAATCATTCGCTAGACCCACCCGGATGAAGTTACCGGAGGAAACCCAGTGAAGAAAAAGCGATTCACGATCTAGAACTCTGGCTATGTCGGGACTTTACCTAGTTGTGTGTCCGAGGACCGACTTGCGAAAGTAAAAGATTTCACCGCCCTGGAACTTTGCCAGATATTTGGAAAGAAGCAAAATGGTTTTGCCTGATGATAGAATAAGAAGTTAGTCCGGCCTCCTGCGTAATGGGTGATACCGGTTCCCCGAATGTGATTGTGTACATGTGCAAATGGTTAACTAAAGGATACGGCATCTGTGATACAGCTTCTTGTTCGACTGGCATGATGTGTTCAACTGGCATGTGAGTATTGTGTAAAATTCTTTGCGAGGAACTTGATCTGATAGCTCGGTCAAGGCTCTATCCTAGACCTCCGGTGTTGATCTATCTATCCCTCCCCGAAGCGAGTGGTATACGGTAGAATCTAGATGGAAAGATATGCGAAGGTTCTTCTCATCATTCATCATTCATCATTCTCCTCCAAGTGACGTATGAAGCGGACCTGAGTGAAGAAAATGTGCAGGAAAAACCGTGAGACGAGGTGCATGTTGACATTGTTGAGCTTATTGACGAGCTTTTTGACAAATCGGGCACTTTTCGAGCAAGTCTCCATGGAAATGGGACTACCACGGATTCAGAAGGACGTTGACGATCATCGAACTTTCTAGAGTAGATAGTGAGAAAACTCTTCACAAGTTCTTCTCCGTGACTCGTCTCAGTAGAGGCGGTTGAGGTAAAATAAAGTGGAGATAATTGTGCTTGCTCTTATGTCAATCCGACGAGCTGCATAAATTGAGTAATGCATGTCGGGATCATTCTATTGCTGCGTCCGCTAGAGTCTAGACTCTATTGTGTTGAGAAATCAATACCGGCAGATGTAAAGTTGGATGTATTCAACAATGTGATGATCAAGGGCCGAGAGAAATTGAAGTAATGGTAAGATCATACGTTCCGAAGGAAGAATACCTATCGCTCTGATCGATTTGATCGAAATCTCATGTGAACTTCAAAACGTGGACGAATGGCCTAGCTTTCATGTCCTGAGCCTCAACATGCCGTGAACGCATAAACCTACACATGAATGAACTGGATAGGAATGGGAAGATTAATTTTGAAGAGTTTACGAAGATGGTGGAGAACACGGATGTGTCTATCAAAGGGTTAATGGCGTCGTAACACCAATTATTAGACAAACTCAAGATATTAGAACCAGAAGTGTCTTAACTCGAAGTTAGCGAAATATATATCATGGAATTATTCTCACGGCTTGAAAACCTCAAGATGTGGCTGAAGTGGATCATGATAGAACTGAGGGTTTGCAAACTTCGTATAGATAGTGAGGCTATGCTATCTCACTTCATACCTCGTACTTGAAGACATGTGAAGCCATGTGAAGACATGTGAAAAAGGGCAGGTAATTCCCCCAATAAAGTAAGTAGCAAGCCTTCAGCTGATATTTCCTCGTTACTAGAACATAGAACTGAGTCATTATATCCGCTGTCCGCTAACGGGTCGCAACATACTGCTGTTGACTTATATAGCATGATATTTTCGTATTCCTACCTCCTCACTACCGACACTACACTACACTACAGCTACAGCAAGCTGATGACAAAAAGTCAAGACATATCAAAAATCGAACTCCACATTCGTAATGCGTGCGGGTCGGCTCCGATAGAAAACGATAGTTATGTTGATTAGAGGAGCGGATCGACTTGGCAATCTTTTTCCGTGGCGGAATCTTTTCCTGACTTCTGTGAGCACTGCACTTGGGCTTTTTGAATCACGATTGTCAATTCGTCTTCGTGTCATATCGAACCGAAATCATATCAAAATGAATAATGGGTAATTAGGTATTTGGAGATGTCCACATGTTTTGACGTCAGAGTTAACCTAGAGTCTACGCCTCCGATCTATTGAAAGGGCGTTTTTTTATTAAATTCTAGTTTTTTTGGCATGTGCGAGGAAGGAAGGAAAGATCACTCTCTCTTAGGTTCACCAGTAAGCTAAATTTGTAGTCTAACATCGTAGTGGTCCCCTTGACATATTTTCAATTCTTTTAGTCATCGCCCCTAGGTATTGAGTGTTTTGAGATGGCCCTCCAGGCTCCATCCAGCCCTATGTGAATTCTCAACCTTGTGTTACCCCATAATCACCATGCCACCATGCCACCATGCCACCATGCCACCATCCCACCATCCCACCTCTCCATCTTTATGGAGAACGTATGTATCAAAAGCGTTGTAAATGTAAGACGACAACGATGATGATATGCACAGTGACATTTTCTCTTGCACGAAGCTTAATAAGAAAAGAATAGTTAGTATATTGAACTTAGCAATTTTCCGATTTGTTCAGGTTAATGTTGGCCTGTTATCTTCTCGTATTCAGTATCTATAATCTTGGCAAATAACATACTTGCCGAATGATTGCACAACCTCATTGGAGTATTGTTTCCAGCAGACGGGCAACACGGAAAAGCTCGTCCTCTTTTTCCCCTCATCATCAACGGCGGATGACGATCTAACTACTGGGTACCCTCTCATTTTCCTTCTACTTTACTGCCCAAATACATCTTACCGGTCGTCCTAAGAATCTACCGACTACCCTTTATCGTAGATATCCTCTCTTTGAGCATATTTCTAGCCTATCCGCATTGGCGGTCCATTCTCTTTGGGGCCTGGAGGAAGCAAAAGGGTGCGATCCCAAAATATCTCACACTACCTAGATACGCTAGAAGAATTCAACGAGCTTATACCGTGTAGACACCTGCATTAACCTCACACTATCTCTATCAAAACATTGTCCGCCATGTCAGCAAAGATGACGGTTCAAAAGCAGTCAGGCACATGTACGAGCCAGTAATAAATATCTTCATGATGATTGGTTGTGATATGGGTCAAAAGTACGAGAAATACTTAGTTACCAAAGCTACCGACGAATGGAAAGGGTGAAGACTTCGGGATAACTGCTAAAATGGGAGTTAGGAATTGTTAGTTTCTCTACTCGACCGGATAAAAATGATTGTGAAGTCATCAACCGACCAGCCACCTATTTAATCAACTCTCAGATTCTCCGATTCCAATATGCTATATACTTGGGAGTTGGGAGATTCTCGTGTTGGGTGACTTGGACTGAACATTCGGACGAAAATAGATATTCTATCAATCAATAAATCTCACCCATGACGCAGATCTAAGCGTACAAGTGGGTTGTAAGTTGTCAAGTGTGGACTTTAGAGCGGGGGAAAAAGTGGAAGTACCTCAGATAGCAGGTGAAATTGGCCGGAATGAGGTACCCGGAAGCGAAGAACAGATTCCTTTCTGGTCTTTCCTTCTTCCCTTTTCTATTGCCATTATCCGGTACGTCGTATTCACGAACATCGAACGTCGAACATGGAATCTTTTCTTTTCCTTTCTTTTCTTTTCTTTTCTTGAATTGAATAGAATTGAATAGAATTGAATAACAAATGAGTAATAAATCAAGCCACATCGTACTGGTCGCAAGCATCAATTGAGAAGTGGTTAGTTCTTTGATATCTCATTGGAGCGAAGGAAAGAAGTTTTCCACGCTAAGTTTACTACTATACGAAGAATTAAGAATTATCTCAATTTTCATGCTTATTCTCAATATGACCCGAAGTATAGGTATTGATATATGCATACCAAGCCTGATTATGAGCTGCACATGCAGTAGTAACTTCTTCGTTTGTGGAGGCTCGTAAAAGTCTATCAAGTTTATCAAGTTCAAAAGTTAAAAGTTAAAAGTTAAAAGTTACAAAGTTACAAAGTTACAAAGTTACAAAGTTACAAAGTTACAAAGTTAAAACTTATTTCCCAAGCGGGTGAAGGTGAAAGTTCAATCCGATTAGATACAATGTGATTTGATGACGAGGATGATGAGGAAGATGATGATACCTTGATAGTACAACACAATATTATATGGTAAATCCATTCATTGGGTCATTTTGAAGAAGGTGGAGGGGTAAATTGTGTGAATCGGGAAAAGTACAGCAGCCAGCCATCCAGCCAGCCAGCCAGCCAGCCAGCAAGGCCAGAGAGAAGTTTGGCATCTTGGTCGTTCTTTCCTCATTCACACATACTACGTACGTACTATGTAGGTGGCAGGCATTATTTCCACGGCTCGACAACTTCCTTCGTACCTACCTTTCTAATCCCCATCTAGTAGTATTTACCTACCTATCTACCTAATTTTCACTTTCACTCACCTTTTACACGCATAATCTTGTCCCGACCGACTAAAATCCCAAATTATACTAATGCATGCAACTTGTACCTGCCTCTTCTACCTGCCTCTTCGACCTGCCTGTTTGACCTGCCTGTTTGCAGACGAATGTCGACAGCTACTTAATAAACTCTACTTCCCCATCTTCATCTAAATTTTATCTTCCTCTCTCACACACACATACACTTCAGAACAACCACATTCGTTCAGGTTTTGTCACATCAATCTCATCTCTCAATCCTCTCTCTCTCTCTCTCATCAACACCATATCTTAATATCACCCCACTTTCGTTATTGTAACAATACAATATCACAATCGTTCAAGCAAGAAAAATAAGAAAATATGAAGACATTTCAATCGCTCATCACAGCCTTTGGGCTTCTTACTATAGTCAACGGTTACAAGTACTCCAATGTAACTGGTATCGCGTATACGGTTAGTTTCAACTCTTCATTGATATCGATTGATATTAATTGCTTCCTAACATCGCGTGTGCTGACTCTTTATCTCTTTCAGACTATCACTACTGATATCTATACCACTGTCTGCCCATCTGCCACTACTTTTTCCATGGGATCCAAGACTTATACCGTCACTGATTCTACTACCTTGACCATTACTGACTGGTAATTATTTTGACTGGAAATGCCTCGATCAAAGTACTAACAATTCAATCTAGCCCTTGTACATACTCTACCACCATTGCCAAGACTGTCCCAACTGTTCCAGCATCCTCGTCAATCAAGCCAAGCAGCTCTATTCCCTCTATTCCAGCTTCATCGAGTGTTTCCAGCAGCGCTTCCTCGGTTATCACCAGCAGTGCCTCTGTTCCTCTCGGTACTGGACCAACCTCGAAGCCTGTCGAGCCAACTGAGACCGAACACACAACATGGACTACATACACCACCGACATTCTTACAACTGTTTGCCCAACTCCAACTACATTAACTATTGGAACCAAGACATACACTGTCACTAAGTCAACTACTTTGACCATTACCGATTGCCCATGTACCGTTAGCAAGCCACATCCATCCAGCACTTCGGTCCCTATTACCCCTTCGTCGAGCGAGAGCAGCATTAAGTCTACATCTACACCAAAGACCACCATCATTGTTCCTCCTCACGCTAATTCCACATTCTCTGCTCCCACGGCTCCTGCTCCACCAAAGACTACCCCAGTCGTCTGGACTACTACTGTCGTCAGCAGTTATACCACTTATTGCCCATCCCCCACCACTGTCGCTGTTGGTAACCACACCTACACTGTCTCATCTGCCACAACTTTAACTGTGACAAAGTGGTATGTTCTTCATTTTTCCTTCAATCCAGTCATATCATGCTAATAATGTCTGCAATAGTCCATGCACAATCAGCTATACCTCAAGTGTTCCTTCTTACACTGCCCCGGTTGTTGTCCCCACACCAAGTACCATCACCGTCTCCTACTTGACCACCTACTGCCCTGAGCCAACCACCATTACCATCAGCTCAGTTCCTCACACAATCTCAACTCCGGGTATTGTTACCATTCCAGTCGTGACTGTTTCGGTGTCGACTCCAGTTTACCAGACTACTCCATCTGCCCAGACTACTCCATCTGCAAAGCCAACTCCAAGTACCATCACCGTCTCCTACTTGACCACCTACTGCCCTGAGCCAACCACCATTATCGTCAGCTCAGTTCCTCATACAATCACAGCTCCTGGAACTGTTACCATTCCAGTTGTTACGGTCAGCGTCGGAACCCCTGTATACGTCACACCAGTTCCATCTGTATCAGCTAGCTCCGCACCAGTTGTTTCTGTTGGCACTCCAATCTACCAGACTACCCCGGTCGCTAGTGTCCCAACTGCTAGCGTCCCAACTGCTAGCGTCCCAACTGCTAGCGTCCCAGTTGCCAGTAGCCCTGTCGCCAGTGTCCCGGTTGCTAGTGTCCCAGCTGCTAGCGCTCCAACTGCTAGCGTTCCAGCTGCTAGTGTCCCAACTGCTAGCGCTCCAACTGCTAGCGTTCCAGCTGCTAGTGTCCCAACTGCTAGCGTTCCAACTGCTAGCGTTCCAGCTGCTAGTGTCCCAGCTGCTAGCGCTTCAACTGCTAGCGTTCCAGTTGCCAGCGTCCCAGTTGCTAGTACCCCTGCCGCCAGTGTCCCGGCTGTTACCGTCCCAGTACCAACTTCACCATCAGCAACTTCTTCCCAAGCTACCACTTTAGCATCAACACCTGCTACCGTCGCCAGCGCTACCTCATCTCCTCCCGCTCAATTCACTGGTGCTGCCATTAAGGTTGATGCTGGTTTCGGTGTTATGGCCGTTGCTGGTCTCGCAGCCTTCTTGCTGTAAATTTCATAATCATGACTATTCCTCTTTCTCGAACAAATTAACGATAATGAGATAATTGGTATCTAGATGGGGTATCTAGACAGGGGATGAAGGAGTAAAGGACACAATCATTTCCAAGGACATGGGTAACACTCTTCCTTTTTTTTCCTTTTCTTCCACTATTGGTGGATCAAATATTTTTGGACTTCAAACAAAGTTGCTCATATTGCTCATATCACGCCCTCGATAATTCAAATTCAATTCTAAGATAGATATACTATACTCGCTCGGATAAAATGGATCTTTGCTCTATACAAAAAATAATACAAATGGGATTTCGAACTTCATTCTTTTGGAATTCTTGACATTGTGATGAGATCAGTTGATATTCATAAGTGATTGATATAATAAAAATATAAACGCTATAATTACTATATCTTCCCAACAGACCCATCCCCATGCATACACATAATCTCCCTCAACCTCCTCACCTCCTCCACATCCACCTCCTCTCCCTCTCCCGTAACGGCACTACTATGAAACCACTGCGCCCCTATCTCATCAATCAACTCCTTCAAATTACGACTCCGCACACCTCCACCGACTATTATCTCAATGCGTCCTCCTGCTTGCTGGACTATTTTTCGGATTTGGGCTTTTCCTTGGGTGGATGTGCATGTGGGCGAGCCGCCGGAGGTGAGCAGGGAGGTGAAGGGGAGGTTTATGAGCTTTTGGGAAAGAAGAGGGGAAGGGTTAGTTGGGGTTTTGGGGTCTGTGGGGGATTTTGGAGAGTGGAGATAAGGGAAAGGGGAAGAAAGGAGAGGTGGAGGGAGGGAGTGGGAGTCGGATTGGGATCGGGATTGGGATTTAGGAAAGATAGCAAAGAAAAAAAAAACTCACAACCTCCAACTGCTCACCCATCCTCTCTCTATCAATCAGATCAAAAGCCCTATGAAAGGTACAGCGAACCTTTTCCCCATCGTGTCCCTCCCGTGCTATTTTTAGTAGTTCTTTACAGCGCTCTTGATCGATTATTAAACCTCCTTCTTCTTCATCTTCTTTCAAAATCCCAAATACAAATCCCCTTACGCCTAATCTTTTGAATTCTCGGATTTCCTCTTTCATTTTCTGGAATGTAGAGGTTTCCACGCGGAAATCATCGGAGTGTGGTTTTGGGGGGAGGGGCCGGATCATTATGTTTATTTTTTCTGTTATTAAATGGTTTATTGAAGGGGTGTTGGTGTCGGTTGTAGCTTCTGTGTTGATTTTGGTTTTGGTTTTGGTTTTTTCTTGAAGTGTTGGGGTGAGGGGGATGGGAGGGTGGAGGGGATGAGAGGGTGGAGGGGATGAGAGACTAGATGTAATGAAGAGGTAATCTTGAATCGAGGGTGTTAGTCCGTCGAGGGATTTTTGAGAACAGAATTCTATGCGCGCCGGATGCGAGGGAGGAGGGCGGAGTGCAGGGTGAAGGTTGCGAGTTCGAGGGAGGGGACATTTTGGGGTGGAAGGCTGGGGATACCGATGGGAAATGGGGAAGGTTTGGGAGGGAAAGGCAGGGTGTGTTGGTTTGTTTGGGGTTGGATGGGATTGAGGAAGAGATTGGTGGTGGGGTGATTGTTTGATTGGACTGTTTGATTGTTTATTTGAATTTGTAAATTTGAGAAAAGGAGGGATGATGGGATGGTGGGGTTGGGGTTGGGGTTGAGATTGCGGGGTGAATGAAGCTATGATAAGATAGATCACAAATCAGGGATGTGCTTTTTACACGGAAGGATATCTACAGCATGAATAGATAGGTATCTAGTAACTTGACTTCTTTTCAAGGATTCTCTAGTTAGTACTATTAGTGATATTTGTTTCTTTAGTTGGTCTCGGCTTTTTTGTTTGATGTTGATAGAAAGAGAAGATTTTGCTTTAGATTAAGATTCATTTTAAACTATTAAAGATCATTACTTTTACTTATCATATAATAAATACTCGAACAATCTAGTACTTTCCCAAAAACTCTCATACCGCCTACATGCCACCCATATCCAACGAATCCAACCCGGAAGCTTCCAGGTCTACCAAAAGAAAAAAGATCAAAAAATCAATACCTACCTATATAACATACCCGCCCATACCTACCAAATGCATAACCCGAAGAATAAAAACACACCTACCTACATTCCCCAAGATTTCGTTCCTGATCCCAACATCCCGGAATTGTACTTTACATACGCATCATCTTCGAGCTAGCACCAACAGTAGCATCTGCACTTGCAAACTACTTCAACATGTCTCATCGACGTCTTAACCAGTCCAGGAGAGCCGAAATCGATACTTCTGAAATCTTTGCTTCTGGAACTTTTAAAAATGTTTGGGTATGTTAGCTCTTTATTGCCTACCATACTTCTTTTCCATCTCACTCACTAATTACCCACTCTCAATTTCCTTTCCCCGCGAATATCACTACTAACTCATAATCAGGCGGGTCGATACACCGAAGGGCCAAGAAAAGGACAGGCATGTGTATCCAAAGAATTCCAAACCGGCTCCGTAATATCAGAGCATTATTTCGAAGAAGAACTCGAGATAATCCGACGCACGCAAGAAATCGTGGATGATTTCCACGCGGCGGGTATTATCGATAATCGAGATATCATCGTCAATACGCCATCCATCTGGACCTATGAAGCGAATGCAGGAACCAAGGCCGGAGTGAAAAGTCTCGTGGAACCCATGATTGAAAATTTCGAAAAGTTTAATAGTAATACTGGCTGGACCGGTCAGGATACCGTGTGGAATGATGCTATGCAGGCTCTGAGTCATTTTTCTTATCATGATTCTGATGGGGGGTTTTTGTTGTGTGATCTTCAGGGTGGTTCGTATAGTAATGGATAGTAAGTTGTTTTTGTTTATAATATGTCGTTCTTTGCGCAGCGGAATCAACATCTTCTAACGAGGCAATTAGTATCCTATCGGACCCGGTAATCATGTCCAGAGCACAAAATTGTGGACCGGCGGATTTGGGAATCGATGGAATTAAATCGTTCTTTCAACGACATCGTTGTGGTCGATTTTGTGATCGGAATTGGATGAGGCCTGCTATTACTGGGAAAGCTCCTATTCCTATGCGTCAGGGAACCAGTATGATTGCACGTCTTCCGACACGTCAAAGTCGTAATCCTTTGTCGAGAGTGTGGGAGTGAGTGGATTGATGATTGGTGCTGTGAAAGGGAGAGATGGAAGAGAATGGGTGTTTGGTCTTCTGCTTGTGTTGGTGGTATGGTTAGGTGGGCAATGATATTGTGAGGTTGGAGAGGTAATCTTGCTGAGGGTTTACTATTAGCTATAGCTACTAGCTACATACAGGGCAATAGAAGCTAGGATGTCATTTTGAGGTTCGTAGAACTACCTCGTAGCTTCGAATTTGGCAATGAATTAGAGAGGAGAAATTATTCTCACAAAGATTTGCTGAACGTAGAGGATGTTTTGTTCTGGAAGAGGATAGATGAGATCACAGGGTCTTGGGTATGGATTTTTATACCTAGTAGACGTCGTTATCTGCTTACCTCCGTATCTTATCGCCGTGTTTGATTCGGTTCGAATCTTTGGTGGCAAAGGGTCACCAGTCATAAGTGTAAGATGTAAGATGTAAGATTATATGTGTGTGGTCGCAAATGCAGGTACAGAACAAAATTAAGGAGTGCATATGGATTAAAGGCGAGGTTTGAAAACTTCTCGATATGATAGCAAATTCGTCCATAACTCTGACAATGACATATGATAGCCAGTATCAACAGCAGTATGAATAGAGAAACAAAAAGAAGTAATAAACAATTAGCATTGATATCCATCCAACGTCGGTAAAATACGAGAAATTATATAAATAAAAATCTTAAGCCAAATACCAGGTATATTCTTCCACGGTGGAGTTTTAAGATGCAGGATAGAATGCCAAGGAAGATCGATCTTTATGATCCGCATATCTGAGTCATCACATCGTCTTTTATATATTATGCCCGTCATATCTACCATTCCATTCTTCTTCTAGCATCGTCAACTTCTTACAGAGGACAACAGATCATGTCTATTCTTGGGGATTCTTGGCATTATTTTTAACTTTGTGAAAATGAATCTCACAATGAAATCTCATGAGAAACAGCAAATAAAATCAATTGATCTCCTCCTCCTCGAGTACACCGGGTACAACCAAATTACTCATCCATTCTGTTGGACTGAGCGTGTCTATCATCCCCTAGATTTCAATGGAAATTGTCTGATTCGGTGATATCTCCGTTGAAATGCTACTTAGCACTGGTAATTCTTGCTCTCCCGTGATTTTCCCCCTTTTTCAAAATCTGAAACCTAATCTATCCAAATGGGAAATGCCAATTAAATTCTCGACAATGATCTTCGAATCCACCTTTTTGCTCTCGCATTGAATCCACCCATTCACCCATTCACAAGGGTCTCTTTGTACACTTCACGTAGTTCACTCCAAACATGATGGTAGGGAAGCAATAGAATTATAGAAGTTATACTCCGTACTTCACTACTAGACTGCTAGTAAGCTACTAACTAGTAAGTCATCACTGTCACTTTGTACCTGCACAGTTCCATAAATTGATATGATTGGCATTCGCCTGATATTTGAATTTTTAATCTTCTCCATTTCTATCTTCATCCATGAACCACTTAACCTAACCGTAACCGTTTATCAATTGTAACCTCCACTTTCTTTAATGTCGTTTCTATTCCTATTCCTGTTCCTGTTCCTGTTCCTATTCCTTTCTCATCCCAATCTCAACTTTTAATTTCAGTCTTACTCTTTGACATTTTGAGTATCTCATCACCCTCATTCTCATTTCTCACTCTCATTTTGATTTTGATTTTTTGGTGCAGTTCTTGCACGTTACTCTTTCCAACAGTCGCATTCGCCTTTTGATGAAGGCGATGATATTCATTCTTTAAACTCGCATCTAGAAGTTGAATCTCAATATCAAATTGATTTAATTGAGATTTAATTATTACCACCCTTCTTTTGCGAAATACTCAAGCACAACCCAAACCCAACTTTCATTTAAACAGAAACCAATCATACCATTACCATTCAATACCGAAAAGAGAGAAAGAAAACAATGCAGTTCAAATCCCTGCTTCTCATAGCAGGAGCAACTATCCTCTCTCCATTCCTTGTTGAAGCTCAAACTTGGACCACTTGTAATCCTCTCAACCAAACATGTCCCAATGATCCAGCTTTGGGTACAAATCATACTTTTTATTTCAATACATCATCTACCGTCACCGATTACTACAATATCACCGCTGGATCTCTTACATATGGCAATGATGGAGCTGAATTTACCATTGCCAAACAAGGTCAATCGCCTACCATTCAATCTAAATTCTTCATCTTTTTCGGTCAAGTATCCGTGGTTATGAAGGCTGCAACTGGTGTTGGAATCGTATCAAGTATTGTGTTGGAAAGTGACGATTTGGATGAAGTGGATTGGGAATTCATTGGAGGTAACAATACTCATGCCGAGACGAATTATTTTGGAAAGGGAAATACTACCGCTTATGATCGAGCGATTTGGTACCCAACTCCCTCAGATCCCACAGCAAACTTTCATAACTACACTGTCGATTGGACGGCGGAAAGAATTCAATGGTGGATTGATGATAGTCTTGTTCGAACACTCGCATATGCGGATGCGCTTGGTGGCAAGAACTTCCCACAAACTCCAATGACAGTTCGATTGGGAATTTGGTCCGGTGGTGATCCAAAGGGTAATAGTGAAGGAACGATTGAATGGGCTGGTGGAGTGACTGATTTCAGCAAGGCTCCATTTACTATGTATGTGAAAAGTGCAGCTATTCAGGATTATAGCACTGGTTCGGAATATCAATGGACGGATAAGACTGGAGATTGGAAATCCATTAAAGTAATCACGTAAGTTCATCAATACTTTTCATGATGTTAAGAAAAGAACGCTAACAAAACATCTAAAGTGGTAATTCCACCGTCGCAAAGGCTATCACCGAAAACGCTACCCCAAAACTGACCCTGAGCGAAAAATGGAATAAGCTCTCGAAAGGCGTCAAACTTACCGTCTACTGTTTATGTGGTGCTGTAGCCGCCGCTCTTATCTTCTTATTCCTCTTTACGTTCTTCCGTCAACGTCGTAACGGACGTTTAGAACGTGAAGCCTACAACCAATTAATTGAAAAGCAACAACAAGATAACCAAATAGAAATGAACAACAAAGGACTTGGCGGCTCTGACAGTAATTCAGAGGCGTCCGGAGGCTTGGGAGATAATTACGGAACAGGGTATGTAGGACCTAGTGGTAGCGCGAGCGCAAGCGCTTTGGCGACAGGAAGTCCAGTGATACAGGCTGGTCAACATGGTCCTAGAAGTCCGACGATGGTCGAGCATAGTGGTGAGATGAGTCCTCAAACTGCGGAGTTTCCTCAACAGCCCAGATTTGGAAGTACGACGAATGGGGGTTCGTATGTGAAGATGTGAATTTGAGGAGAGGTGAAAGGAAGGAAGAAAGAATAAAGTAGGATATCTCAGCCCGAGTCATGGTCAATATTGATGGACAGATGAAGATGTAGATGAAGATGCAAGGTGGAGTAATAAGGTGTAGGGAGTTTTTATGTACTGTATATGAATTTCTTTACACTACCTACCTAGGTATTTACACATTACATTACATTACATTGACCAGATACTGTTATTCAGCACAGTAATCTATCTATCTCTGGACAAGGGAAATTCGAATAGGCGAAGGCGAATGCGAATATGGGATTGGTTAGGTTAGGTTAGTTTATAAAGGCTTGTTTTTTTTTTCAAATATTAAAATAAATTTATAGTTTTACTGTTTTTAAAAATATAATATGTCTTTAGTCTATGTATCTATAGTAGATATCAGTAGGATTTTATTTTGTATATATATATATACTTAGATGTTAAAGATATTTATATATTAAGGATTTAAAGATCTAAGAATAGAGAGTGTTGAAGTTATCTTTAGATATTATATATAGATAAATGAATAAGATGTTATAGTAGAAGATTGGAAGATTAAAAGATTGAAAGAATAAAAGTAAAGAGGGATTAACTCACTTGGAAGAATAAAAGATATGATTAATCATTCATCGACTACACTAGCACTGTCCATCATCTGACGGCTTAAATCAGCAAGCTGCTGATCTATTCCAGTATGTAGCAGAGCTATTATAACACTTTACAATATACACTGCTCGTTTCACGGTGGTCGGTATGTTGAAGATTAATATGTGAAGAGTTGTGATTTTGATGGTCGTTTTTATAATTAGTGATTAAGTTTGTTTATTTAACTGTTTGATGATAGCATCGAATTATTATGTGTATCGGTCCCTTGGCAATTTCTTCTCGATTTTTCATTCGTGGATCGTCATTTGACTCTTCGGCTGATTCTTTATACATGTATCTTGGGAAACCTCATCTAGATCTGGAGTATGCATGGCTTTTTAGTGCAAGAGTATTTATCGGTTTTCTTATACGGTATTCTTACAACCCAAATGCTGGTATTTGGTGTGCAAAATCTCCACTTCCCCAGCTCGAACACTTTCCATATTCGACTAAGTATTAGGAGTTTAACCATACATCCTTTGATAATCAGGAGAGGATTCACTTTACTATTGTACGAGAAATGGTATTTATTCTCCAATTGTCAAGTAGAGGCGGCTTTGCGTGCTTTGTTTTTGGCCATGGACTGGCTTTTGTACTATATATGTCCTGTTGAATTAGATGTTATTTTGAGTAAGTTTATCAGATACCATTCTGAATTCCGTCTACGATTATGTTAGTATGCTTCCTCAATATTCTCGCAGGCCAAAAGACCCAAGAGTCAAGAGTCTAAAGTCAAGGAAGAAAGTTTGATCGTCGTTTAGCTATAGATCCCGTCAAGGGTAAATCATTCAACTTATAAAGATGACCCCTTTATGCTTTTCAAAGCCTTTCTGGGGGATTTTTTTGAGAAGCTTGGGGTATTGTTGAACCTAGAAATTGACATGAAAAAGAAGAAAATAAAGGTTCAGGATGATCCTTTCGAAAGACTTATAAGGGAGTCCACGATAACCCAGGGAAGCCCATCCCCGATTGCTTTCCTAGTAGAGGTAAACGCCCATTCTGTGGGAAGGCAGTCGATGTCGCATTTTTACTGGATGGAGAAAGGGATGGCGGGCTCCGGAGATAGACATCTCTAACATGGTGTTACAAATCCGAGGGAGTTCTTATAACTTCTTCACGGTCGACCTGAATTCCAATGAATCTCTCTTTTGGGAATAAGATCGATGAATTCGAAGGACGCTTAATTATTCCAGCGATCTAGAAACAAGTCCACACTTATGGTCTTGATTTCCCCTCCTCAACGTTCCCTTTCTCTTCCTTTTCTCTCCTATTATGTTCCTAATAGTTGAAAAATCGTGTTCCTTTCTATCTTTAAAAGTAGGATAGGAAAGAAAGAGAATGGTTTTTGAATAAAATTGAATATTTAAATATTCCTTTCTACTTCTAATAAAAGTTTAGATTATTCCTTTCTATTTCCAACCTCAATTTTTACTCTCCCTTTGTATTCCTATCCTGGAATTTTTTAGATCACTTCTTCCTACTCCGAATAATGATTTCCAATGAGCCTATTCCTTCCTATAAAACAGGACAGGAGAGGAGGGGAAATCAAGATCATTGTCCACACTTATGGTCCTGCTCTTTCTAGGATGTAAGATTAATTTTTAAAGAGGCCAGTGAGTGCTTAATAGATTCTGGGTGCACGATTAAAAGTTCATTCCACCAGTTTTTGGAGAAGTGAGGTTCGGAACTTTCTGGGTGGATGGAGATTCGAGCAGGATAGGTTTGAAGAAATGGTATGCATATTTGTCTGTTAGTTTTAGGTTCTTGGTATTGATGATTATGTGTTAGTTTATCCATGGCCAAACATCTGATGGGTTTGTTGGATGTGATATTGATGGAAATGCGGTAGGTATGGATTAGAGGATTTATACCTCATCTTGGGAATAGCAATTAAAGATCTCATTGGAGGGGTGCGTCGTATTGAAGGAAGGTTCACAATAGCCTCTGAAAAACTTTTATCAATGGTAAAATTTATGAAGGCTAAACTTGGGGCCGTTTTCGAAAAACAAAAAAAGCAACTGGAAGATAAGTAAGGAGCGGAGGAACGCTTCAAGAAATTACAACAATACATAGAAAAATTGCAAAGAAATACAACTTGGCATCCCATGCCTTCGAACGGTGTTCAAAATGGAACAAGAGTATCGGTGCCAGCACCAGCACCAGTGCCAGGATCAGTATCGCCGCTGGAGCAAATCTTAAAAGACACAGCCTTACTCAACTTTCAACGCGCTGAACGAGACCATCCAGAACGGTCTTCACCCTCGGCTGAGGCTTAAGAAGTGGAATGTTGTAAGGTAAAAGGAGTTGATTTCATTGATATCGACCATTACAAACCAAAACAATAAGTTGAAAAAACGAATCTCAATTTCAGGTTCAAGCTCAAGAGTTTTGATGCCAGCTACCACCTGACGCCACTTACGTCACACGACTTTAGGTCGTCAGGGGAATGTTATGGATTGGGGATGTTACAACCTTCTTACATTCATGCATCTCTTTTACGGAGTTTCAAGAATGATACTATCGATACACCATATGACCAACCTCACAAAGAGACCCGTACAACAAGCAAACTCTAGCTCCTTCTGTTCAATATAAGTAGCAACCTCTTTTCATAGTGTAGCAACCAGGAAGGATACAACATAATACGAAGATAGTACTATGCAACTGGTACCACCGAGGCATACCAACAGATACCTATGGGCATGTATATCATACCACTATTTGGGAAATCGGAGCATGCACGAGTTAGCTATAGAGCGGTTAAAAGCTTAGGCACGGGTTGCACGTACTCGAAGGATTTCTTTTCCTACTTTTCATTATCCTGAGATGACTGACATGTGTATTTGATTTAGCACTTTTCCAATGCGTGTACGAGGACTTGTTCATGACCACCGAAGTGTACTTGTTAATGATAGTTCTAGAGTACCAAGGTTTTATATGTCTGTACCCCGTGTGATTGGCTACATCCCCCCTTAGTGCTGTAAAATATACTCGAGTACTGAGTAGTGCGTGTTGGGATTCAAGCCATACATAGAACTAGCAAAGTCACAAGTGGCGTATACTCGGGTACCTGTCTGTGCAATAATGGTTCGTGCAAAGTATTTTAGCCCCTTATTAAATACGTTCAAGGCCTTCTCCAACCGAGAGCGGCATTTCATCCGGTCTCTGGGTCTTGTCTGCTCCTCTCATATATTGTACTCCGCATGATTTCCTTATGATTTCCGCACGGCCGTCATCATCAACCTATCCTGTTCGCCTCACGTTTCAAAATATTGCATGAAAAGCAATACTCTCGTATTAATTGACATACCTGCATAATCTATACCCTTCACCTACATATATGTCAAAGCACCAATACCCTGCTAAGAGACACACTAAGATTAGCCCTCGCTACAACAAAACAACGGTCTAAACGTTTAGAAAACCGGGCAATAAGACCGTTTAAGTGGAGCCCCGTTTTGCTAATTGCATTTTCATAATTTTTTCCTACTATATCCTAAGCGCCAGCTCTGTGCTTTGTTCTTATCCCCAGATATATGAATCTATGATCTGGAGGGATTTTCACGTCCATCCTCAATTGGGAGATTCTCCGTCGTGATGTGCCCACCTCTACTCATTACTTTTGATTCCAAATAACCAATGTCTCCGGTTGACAAGCCTGATCAAGTGTACGCCGTAGGGATAGTAGTGTCTACCAAATGATGAAAACAGAAGCTCAGCATGGGCTTTAGTGATCTTTTACCCAGAGTAGCTATGGAGATATTGAGCTCCAGATTAAAGGGTAATCATTGCTGGCTGGACTGTTCTTCGTTGAGGTCCCGGCGGAGTTCAATTTCCCCTCGGTATTTTCTTTTGCTAGTGGCAAAGTTATTCCTGTCTTCGTCACTTTATGGTTGAGATGGAAAGATTCGTCTGATTTTCAAGAATATCTTGGTCTAAACATAATCTGACGTCTGACATTGTGAGTACCGGCATGTTTCATCTTAGATAAGTATTTGGATTATCCTCGGCTTGGGAGACCCCACTTAGCCCTCGTTACTGCCAATTATATACATTCAATTTTTTAAAGGGGAGTTGGCTTGATTAAACTTCCGCGTTCATGATTTAAAAAATTGCCAGGTACTATCATCTGAATATCATGTGATATTTTGAAAAGTTGTCTACAATTCGAATGTTTTTTCACACATGTAGAGTTTAAAATATATATAGTTTGACTTCTTCAACTACAGTAACAATGCTATAAGTAAGGGTTCTTCGGTTCGTTGAAATCATATACCATTTTATGTATTTCATAGCATAAAAACTTGAGGGACCAGACAAGGGGAGGAATTATTCAAGGGATTCAACTCCCTGAAAATAAGCATCTACGGCGATACGACCGTGTCCCTCATAGTAGTAAATACATGGGGTTCCTGATTGTCGGGTCGAACTTTGGAGATAAAAAGCCATTGTATCTTCTGTTTGTTACAGTCTCTATCATCACTCATCATCATCCACACTCTTTTCTACTCATATATTCACCAGTTTATCCAAACTCTCATTCATCTACGTCATTCGTTATCCAGTCCAGCATCTTTATATATAAAATCGAAAATGAAGACTTCAACCCAACAACTCTTGTCCCTTCTCCTCCTCCCTCTCTCTGCCATTGCCGCCCCAACAGGTTCCATCGAAGCCAGAGCATGCAAAGCGGTAACCGTCATCTTTGCTCGTGGAACAGCTGAGATCGGAACTCTTGGTACCATAGTCGGACCACCCTTCCTCGAAGCCTTACAATCTTCTCTTGGTTCTTCTGCAGTCTCTATGACTGGCGTCGATTATCCAGCTGATGTGCCTGGATTCTTGGAAGGTGGTGATTCTGCTGGTAGTCAGACTATGTATGTTCTTTACATTTCTCGTCTCCTTTCTCCTCCATAAATTACTAACCCATCATCACCACAGGGCCAAAATGGTCACGTCGGCTCTATCCAGTTGTCCAAAAACCAAAATTGTCATGTCCGGTTACTCTCAAGGAGGTCAACTCGTGCACAAGGCCGCAAAACTTCTCCCAGCTGCCACCATGGCTAAAGTCAGCTCTGCCGTTATCTTCGGCGACCCAGGTTCGTACCCACCGCCTTTTTCTGGATCCCCCAGCAAAATGATCTCAAACTAACATAACCACCTTTAGACAACGGAAAATCAGTCCAAGGTGTCTCATCCGCTAAAACAGATATCATCTGTCACTTCGGAGACGATATCTGTCTAGGTGGCGATATGATATTATTTGCACATCTAACATACGGAATGGATGTGACAGCCGCAGCGGCATTTGTGAAGAAAGCCGCGGGCTTGTAAGATTAGTTTAGAAGATTGGGGTATCGATGCGTGCTGTTCATTGCTAGTTTGGAGTTTCCTACGATGCATATGATGTATATAGGTATCTTTTGTACATATTCTGATCTAGCGTGCAGTAATGCATTTGAGATTTTTTAATTGTAATTAATTCATTCTTTTCTTTCCCGCTTTTTCTTTTTACATCCATGGATATGTTCATGAATTTTGTTCATCGGTTTGAAGAGCATAAGAATCTAGATCGAGAACTGGAGGGGTAGTAATCTTACTATGTAGACATTTCATTGTTCTACATAAATGGGCATTTTATGTATCAAACTATATTCCAATGACAAGGAAAATAAACGGAAAGTCTTCATGAGAAAACAGGCAAGTATTAGAGGCAGAGCAGCGAAGAACTTTCTCAGCATCGTCTGATACAAAGTATGAGACAAATTGCATACCAAAACTTATACTTAGAAGCTTGATAAGTAATGTTCTTCAATATTCGGATGTAAATATGACATTCGTATGATTGAGGCTTGGAACCCTAGAATTTCTGAAGGAGTGCATCCAGAAGTCAAAACAGGGTGACTTGACTATTGCGAAAGGCAAAATTTATAGATCCTAGCATCTTCGCACTTACAAAGAGCACAATGGCCCTATCTAGGCCCAGAAAGCCCAGATCACCTTGATCCCCTTCATATTTAGACTACACAAGTTTCTGAACCTTGGAATATTCGGCCACTCATACCAGACTAGAAACATGCTGGGCTGAAAAGAATGTGAGTTCCTGTAAAGCTCAATGCAGATATCCGTAATTTTATCAACAGGAGACCAGACTGCGGGGCCAGGAACTATGCTGACGTTAAACCAATCATTCAAGGGGACACAGAAATGACATGGACCAACTACCAAATAGAACAATTTTCGAGATTTGGCATTTCCTCCAGACACATGAGAAAGCAAGCTCGCTCTACTGGCCTCTTTCTACACGATTGGCGTCTAATCAGCGTGTGGGAGGGAGCTGTATCTCAACGGGAAATTGGGAGATGGCCTCAACGTTCATAATTTCTTTGCAGCCCGCCTCCATCAGATACAGAGTTAGGCATAAGGTTGGGTATACGCGGGCGAAAATCCAGCCTCCACAGGGCAGGATAACCACTCAGAGAAACGCTCCGGTTGCTGGGGTACCGTAGGGTATTTAGCATGTGAGTTGATATGATCGAACCACCAAACCATATGATCGAAAATCATATGATTGGAAAGCTCGATCATATTATATATTTTAATAGGTATCTTATTATTGAACCTATAATATAATTAAAGCTTCAGATAATAATATAGGACGATCATATGATATTTACCCTGTGGTACTCTGATACTCGATGGTGTCGCCGGGTAACCACCCTATGGAACCTCTATAAGGTAGGGTAACCATCATGTAGAGATCAAATACCCCGGATAGGTTACGTGTGCCAATGCTTGCTTCATCACTCGATTCCGGTGAACGATCTGGTGTAAAGCACAGGTTCGGACATCTCGTCGAGAGTCTTGGATGTCAAACATAGACAGGGTCTTTTTTTTTTGTAATTGCTGATCATAGAGCAATATTCACAGGGGATACTAACTATTCATGGTTTCGAAAGGGTTGAGAGACTTTATACGTAGTAGAGCTCGTAAATAAACCACAAAAAGGCCTCTTCAATCAGTCACGATGATGAGAAAGCAGGATATCATTTCACATGGCCGACGAGCGTGTTTGTTTTTTGGCCATCAATAGTGGTAATAACCGTATTGATAATGTTTCGCAAATCCTCATAACCTTATGAAAAAAGGACAAACGTAAAGGCAGCTAGAGATATGTTGGTTGTTTTCTCGCATTCGGTTAGCTCCAGATATTGGTCAGTGTGTGTGACGACCAAATGACCTGCGATTACTATTCATCAATCCTTCCCAAGCGCGCGGTAAAAATTTATCTTGGTCAAAGACCTTTACACCTGTATCAGGCGAGATATGACCCCTAGACTCCGTCCTCGTACATACTCAGAATCTGTGATTGAGGCTGGTTAAAATACCTGTGTATGTCGACCTCGCTGAGGACGTCGACCAACAATCCTTTTAATCTACATACATCGCTCGGACTCGTATTCTACGGAAAACGGAAGATTTTTTTAATTGTATGGTCATGATGAAGAAAATTAAGCATGGGGAATTGTTGCAGCAGTAGAAAACAAGAAGAGCAATTACCTCGTCCCCCTCCAGGACGTAGACGGTATTCTTTAGGCAATACTTGTAAGTCTATTGTTGGTCCGTGATGAGGGTTAGAATTGATATTAACATTCTTTTCAGATAATAATTACCGTACAAATCCTATATTAGAACTACTAGAAGAAGAATATCAAAGTAATAGGAATTTGGAAATAAAAAAGAAAGGCAGGCCTAGGCGCGAGAGGCACGATCTGGATGAAGGTTTAGGTCCCAGACGAATTGAAGCATGGGAAAGTAGAGGTAAGAGTCGCAATGGGGTCCGTCAAAGAGCTGTTCGAGGTGCCGGTAAATCGCGCAAAATTCGTCTCTCAAAATCCCGCAAGAAAACCAAGACACGTAGAAGGAAGCGGATGGATTTCATCGAAGATGATGAAGATGACAGTGATAGCGAAGATAGCGAGGTTGGGACCAGTGATGATGATAGTGATAGTGATAGCGACGATGATTCTGGAGTTGGTCGCCGGAAAATGTCAACGTCTGTCAAACGACGGCGAAATCAACAATCGCGTAGTAAACGACCTGGAAAAGAGAAAAGTAATTGAGGAGAACGAGAGCGAGGAAGAGTACCAGGACGAATCTTTGGAAGAGAAAGATGATAATGATGACGATGAAGAGGACGAGGACAGAAATTATAAACGGAAAAATAAGAAAAGCAAAAGCAAGCAAAACGCCAAGGAAAATTCGAAGAAAAGAGTAAAGGCAAAGACTCACCCAAAATCAAAGGTCAAAAAGCTGGTAGAAGATGATAAAATTGCTCTTTTAGGGACAGAAAATGTTGAAAATGATGACGAAGGGAACGATTCCGAGGATGAAGACGAGCATGGAGATACAAGTAAAATCCAAGAGTCGGAAATAAAAAGAACAGCGAAGGGAAATGAAACCGAAAAGCCAAATCCTTATCGATGGACAAACCCCTCGCCAATATTCGACAAGAACAAGGGTAGTATCTACCAAAGAGCCAGAGCGAAAGGTTCAGACCGAGAATCTATTCGCCAACTCGAAATCCAACATCATCGCAAAAGGCGAGAACGAGCATCATCTTCGAAAAAACCCAAAATATCTATTTCAAAAGACACTAGTGATGATGGTTGGACCGACACAGACGCATCTTCACTTGCAACCTCGAAACGGTCTGGAAGTACTTCTTCTAGATTATCCTCACTATTTGGCCCACGAAATCGAAGTTTAACTCCTGAACCAACATCCCATTTGATGTCCCCCATATCACCACTTACTCGACCTTCCATTTCATCCAGAACAGGAGAAACTACATTTGGCGCTACTGTTATTAGGGCATCGCCTCTACAAGAGATTGTATCCGCAGACTCATTACCAGCAAATCCTGAACCGAATGATACTATCATAACACCTCTCCCAGCAGTACATCAACGAGCCTTATTACCTTTGCCCAAGACAAGTGATCCATGTATGGAGGGAATGAAAAAAGTTATTTTTATGAGTCGCGGTAAGAGAAGCTCGATCAAACTAGTGCCTTCAGATGGAAAACCTACAGACCCGGATGATGTTGAGATTATTCTTACGAAATGAAGGGGAATGGTTGGTAGGAGGGAGGTCCAGTGAGGTATTTTAATACTTGAGTATTGTAAGATTATTGCTTCTCTTTTTTGTTTTCGTTTCGTCAGATGAGAATACGAGTTATTCCATCTAGAGAGATGAGAGCTCAAAAAGAGGGAACTAGTGTACCTAATGGCAGGAGTTGCAAAGTGGAGGGTGGGTTTGATTTTGAATATAGCCTTGCATATATCGTAAAACATCAATATAACACTTGTTAAAATCTGCCTATTTTGCTTGACTGAGCGACCCGTTGACGCGATGAACAAAATGGGCCGCAAACCAAAAACAAAATGCAACTTCCGAATCCATGGGCTTAAAGGACCATTTGATGTTTAATGCCCACGTCCCATGGCCTATCTGTCTATCCATCCTCCAACGTCCAACATAAACAAATCGATGCGTTCAGTACCTATCGTCTCCATAAAAACACCTTCCATACCCTCAACAACAATGTTACTGGCTCCAACCTCCTCAAAACAACATAAAAGGCCGAGTATAAATCACAATACAACTGTATGTATTATTTGTGTTAACCTAAGACGCTTTGTTGACAATTTTAGTATGGTGCGTTCCGTATATTGGGGTAGTAATCTTGAATTTTTGATATATAAACCGGTCCATGGATAGGGGAAAGATGGATTTGGTGGGCGCGACGGTATGACTAATCATTATGGGGACTGACACCAAGTCTGTTCCTCCAGCTATTTCCAAAGATGTGTTAGTGGCAGACTCTAGGGTATAGAGAGAGTAATGCTGCTATGACAGATAGTGGATACTGATGGCCCATCGAGGAAACTTGAAGAAGGGTGAGACTAAAAGCGAGAGAGAATGCGGGAGAAATTTAGGATTCACCTCCTCCACACGGGCCTTCCCTCCCACCTGCAACGGGAGAAGTACATTAGCAACACAATCCCAAAAATTACCCAGATCGCCCGCTGTCATAACATGGAAGGGCTACAAGAGACCCATTTGATGTGTGGAAGGCTCGTCAGGGGGTTTGTGTGCTGTGGAGCTGAAAGGAAGAAGCATTGGATATGATGGAGGAATTGAGGAAGGGGGAAACGCGGTTGGTAGTCGAGCAAACAAGGACATCGAGGATGGCAGAAGCAGGAGTCAATACAGACAAAATGATGAGGAAATCGAGTAGGAAAAAGCAGTCAGATTGATGAGTAGAGGCATAAGAACTAGAAACTGCTTTGACAGGGTTGAACATAGAACTAAAGGCTAAATAGGCTAAAGTGCGCTATAACTTAAGCGCAATTTAGACGGCAAGTAAGCAATACAGGTGGAGAGTCTAGATCGAAAGTTTAAAAACAAGCCGGTTGGGCGCAGAATATACTTATAGCTCCGTATAGTAAAAGGACTTGGTATCTAGTGCCATAGGATTCATGAACATGGTGAAAGAAATCATGACAGAGAGCGAACCCATGAATAATGGAATTAAACAATTGCCGATTACTACAAGATAGAGTATAAGTATCCATCGGGGTATATTACAACTCTGTTCTATAAATCTCAACGAATTTTGGGAAGATTGCTTGCTGCTCATTAGTGTAAAGAAATACGCCCGCAATTAATGGTCCAGCCTGTTTACTTGCTTCTCTTGTAGATCTTCTTCAAGAAGCTTTCAAATACAGTCTTTTTCAGACCCTCTGACTCATCAACCTGGGAAATCATTTGTTTGATTTCGCCAACTCGCTTCTCCTCATAATCCTCGTAGATCTGCTTCAACTTAAGTTCATCGAAGAGTTTCTTCACTGCGGCTTCCTTTGTCTTATCTTTGTGACCATAATTTTCCTCGAGAATCTTACGCTGCTCAGGAGTTGTAATGGCCAATGCTTGGTTGATGAGCCAAGAGCACTTATTGTCCATAATATCGGTACCGATCTTCCCAATGTGCTCTGGTAGACCAAAGTTGTCAAGATAATCATCTTGGATTTGGAAATATTGGCCGAGTGGAATCAAGATATCCTCCGCTTGCTTAAGGTTCTTTGGGGTAGCGATCTTCTGGTGGTGAAGGGCAAGAGCGACTGGGAGGTAGAAAGAGTAATAAGCGGTTTTATAGGTGACGATAAAGTCGTACTTTGTCATGGAAAAGTTGTCCAAATCGACCTTGTCCTCTGGTGCAGTCAACAAGTCGCACAATTGACCGAGCTCTGTCTGGTATGTAACTTCGTGGAAGAGTTCGATGAGATCAACGTAGGAAGGGTGAGAGCGGAAGTATTTCTTCAACAGAGAGTAGATCGCAGATTCGAGAATGAAAGCATCATTAATAGCAATCATACCAACATTTGGTTGTCTGTACCAACAAGGTTGACCGCGGCGAGTAATGCTGCCATCCATAATATCATCCGATACAAGAAAGAAAGCTTGGAGAAGTTCGGTCATCCACCCCAACGTGGCAGATTCAAAATATTGTTCTTTGGAGAGAGGAGCTTCGAGAAGGAGAGATACGGAGTCAGGGACAGACATCCCTCGATTGCATTTTCCGCCAATTGTGTTGGCATATAGACACTAAATGAAAAAGAATCAGTATATGTGATTCGTACATCCTCGTGAAAAGACACTCACAGCTTTAAGCCAATCTTGACCTTGTTGTGGGAGGTTGTACTTTTGGGCATGGGCAAGCAAGTCCTCGACCAATTTTGGAAAGACAGATTCAAACTCCTTGAGAGTAGTAGTGTTCGCCATTGTGATTACTTCGGTGATGATTGATGGATAGTAGGTTTTAGTTAGGATGAGATGAAGAAATATACTATAAGTGAAGGTCGGAGACTTGAAGATTATAGAGAGGTAAGAAATGAGAAAAGAGGATGGTCGAGCTTTAGTGGTGGGTGATACAGTAAACACTGGGGGTTCCACAAAGAAAGAGTAGTGACAGGGGAAATTAATTAAGGTTACAGCGGTGAAGATGCGGGGTGGGCAGAACGCGGAAATGCAAGTCGCGCTTTCCTGGTGTAAGGTTACCTACTACGAGAAACACTTTATTTGATCATGGCCAATTGTGGTGAGATCATGGAACATTGAAACATTGAAACATTGAAACCTTATTGATTCCACTTCCCTGACAGAGATTTTGTAGAATACATAAAAGGGTTCAAGTTGTATTGTTCAAAGACTTCCCGCCGAGAATAATATTGTGCATCGTTCCTCGGTCGACCCGATATCAAAATCAACAATACATCAAAGGTCCGGGCCGTACCATACACCAAGCAAAGCTAATTAAGACCCAGCCTTGCTAGTCTGCAGACAACCTTGAGTTTCATGAGCTATTTGAAAGCTCACATTCTCGAAGAACCGGGATAGAGATATTACATTATGGCACTCACTGAACGGGAAACCGCACAATTGCGAGGGTCGCTGCAGGAAGCGGTTGTGAAATGTTCGGAAAGATGCCTATATCAATCTGCAAAATGGTATAAATGCACAGCAGTAGTATCAATTACATTCACTAATGGATTCTTTAAGGGCTGCAGAACTCCTGACATCTATACCAACGAGTAATGACTTTTCAGAGCCCGAGGATTCGCAAATGACGGAAGTACTGGCGGAAGGACTCCCCCCAATTGTCGTCAGTGGGAATCTCGATCCAGAAGAAGCACACCTTGAGGCGAAAGAAATTAACAAATATCTATTGGCAAAATCATTCTTTGATTGCCGAGAGTTCGACCGATGTGCTGCTGTGTTTCTTCCAGATAGATTGCTCTCTGGAATTTTATCAACAACAGCTGGAAGAGGCAGTCAAACTAGCGCAAACACGAGGTCAAAGGGAAAGGAAAAGGCATCATCAAGTCGAGCTAGCACAGGACCAATATCGGGGCTCCCAAAATTGAGCCAGAAGAGCTTATTCCTAGCTTTATATGCAAAGTTTATGTCTGGCGAGAAAAAGAAAGATGAAGATAGTGAAATGGTAATGGGTCCTCATGATGGAGGAAACACAGTGAACAAACAGTTGATCACGATAATTCGAATATTGGAGGCTTGGTTTCAGGACAGAAGGACTGAAACTGGAGAGTTTGCCGGCAGTCAAGGGTGGCTTGAATATCTGTTTGTCAAATTACCCCAGATATAGGATTTCTACTAACAGGACATAGCTATGGAATGGTTTTGGCCAAGGACAAAAATGAGGATGAGGCGATGCGCTGGCTCGTCCGAAGCGTTGAGCTATTTCCCATGAATTGGGGTTGTTGGTTAGAGATGACTTCCTTAATTTCTAGAGTTGAGGACGTGAGTAAACAACCTCAAATTCAGGATTATACTACTGACTTATTTGCAGTTAAATAGAATATCGCCGCACCTCCCTCAAAATATTCTCTCATTCATATTCCACCTTCATACTTCGCTAGAATTATACCAATCGACGCCACAACTATCCAGCTCCTTAGAACAACTTCTTTCCATATTCCCAACAAGTCCTTTCCTACTCACCTGCTTAGCTCTTCTATCCTATCATACCAAGGATTTTGTCACTGCCGACGCTCATTTCAGTCGTCTCCTTGCACTACATCCTCATCGATTAGATTCACTCGATCATTACTCTAATATTCTTTACGTTATGAACCTCAGACCCAAATTATCGTTTCTTGCACATCTCTGCTCGAGTGTTGACAAATTTCGACCAGAATCCTGTGTTGTGATAGGCAATTACTACTCACTGTTATCAAGTCACGAGAAGGCTGTACAATATTTCAGACGTGCTTTAACCTTAGACCGTTCTTGCCTCAGCGCTTGGACGCTAATGGGTCACGAATATGTGGAATTAAAAAATACCCACGCAGCTATTGAATCGTATCGTCGAGCAGTTGACGTTAACAGGAGGGATTATAGAGCCTGGTATGGACTAGGACAAACATACGAAGTACTTGAAATGCATGCATATGCACTGTGGTATTATAAACGTGCAGCAGGACTCCGTCCTTGGGATGGCAAAATGTGGATGGCAGTAGGATCCTGCTTACAGAAAATGGGTCGCGATCTCGAGGGCATCAAAGCACTGAAGCGTGCACTGTTAGCAGATAGCTACTACGATGCAGGTGTGGGCAGTTCATTCGGAAGTGGTGGTAGAGAAAGAGGGGGCACTATGGATCCGGAAATCTTACTCCAAATTGCTGGGATGTATGAGAGGTTAGAGGACGAAAGAGAAGCACGAGGGTATATGGAGTTGTGTGTGGCACAAGAAGAAGGCAGTGATAATGCAGATCTATCTGCTATTAACATCCATAATGATTCAGCGTCATCAGATGATGAAGGGCGCCAACCACTGGCACCTACAGGTGAGGGTGGTAATGGCACAGGGGTTACGGCTGCAACTTCAAAAGCCAGGATGTGGTTAGCAAAATACTCGATGAGAACGGGCGACTATAAGAGAGCCATGCAACTGGCGACAGAACTGTGTCAAGATGGGATAGAAGTAGAGGATGCAAAAGCTTTAGTTAGAGAGGTCAGAGTCAGACTGGAAGGGTTGGAGTCACCGTGAGCGAGCAGATAGCATTTATAGGAGTTTTGCGATACCAATGAGAATCGACTTTATCTAGTTTTGACTCTGACGAGCGTCAGTTTCAGAATGTGCATACTCTTTATTGCCACAAAGTCCAAGGCCTATGGTGGATTCTGGAAGTTTTGTGAATGCGAGGTTCAGCATACTTATCATTCTTCCGAAATATCCGACATGAAAGGATTTTCCTCTTCACGTGTTATTTTAACCCCAACAATGAATGTTCTCACTTGGTTCAATCTGAATATCAACCTGTTCTACGAAAGCACGCTAAGGTTCGACAAATACTCAATAACTGCCACAAACTATGAACGTTACCTCCTAGCTCAGGAATCTCAAAGTCCGAAGACGTCCTCGTGCGATTGTCTCTTCCCTTTTCTTCTTCCTCGTTAATTTTATCTATTCTTTCTTGTTCTATCTGCCAGCTTCGTCATCTTCCTTTCCTCCCATCACGAGTAGCCTGAGCTAGTTCAATTCGTGCCTCGTAAGCCTCAACTTTTCTCTTTTCACATGTATCATCGGCTTTGCTTTTTCTCTCCTCCCGCGTACAATGAGCAAGCTGAGGTGCTTGGGGACGTTCCTTACAGCTTGTATAGCATCTTTGTTGCCTCGATGATCCACCCACCAGATTCGGCTCTCATTGTGCCTCCGAGGCCCTGTCCGTTGGTCTTGGGGGCGTATCCAAAGAAGCTTCCAGGATGGATAAATACTTAAAAGCTTAAACCAGCCAATAAGTGATCTATTAGGAAATGTAATTTATAAGATCAACATATAGACCATATACTATCAGGTCATAAAGGTAGCATCCTTCGAAGGAGACTAATTACAAAGGGCAAAGCCTCTCTTAAAAAGTCAGGTCTATTTCTTTCTAGACATCACATTATATATCTAGTTCACTTAATAATTCAAATATGCACCTCAACTTGGAACGCGAACTTGACACTCCGGGACCTGCTGATCAATTGTCAATTTTATCCAAGCGACTTATTTGAGGTTCGATTCATATAAAGTGTGTAACACGGCCCGCCGCTCCGCATAAATCAATGTATCCCTCCAATTCTCGTATAATATGCAGTATCTCCATACTGTCACCATGCATATAAATGCATGGAGAAAGAGGAATATATTAAAGGTCTTGCTGCTGTGTTTCGACAAGTGTCATTGATGCTGACTATAGCTGCAATTGTGACTGGCAAACCTATACTTTCATTTATTTGTGGAACTCTGAGCCTCTCAAACACTGCAAGCTTCATAATCTGGGGTGCAGCTTTTCGTTGTTCATCGAAGCGGCAGTTGGTATCCTATGTATATCCGCCCTGTTCCCCAGGTTGACTTCCCCGGATTTTAGAGATTGCCAAGACACACCCGGTCAGCTATATAATGCCGATCTCATTCTGTAGACTGGAATACAAGGGTCTGATGAATCTTAGGTAGTAATATATCATCTGTTTTCCTAATCAGTTGACGAAAAACATTATAGTAGCAATATCTAGCAAGAACTTGATTCGATCCATATATATTAATTTGATAGTGTTAGTACATTCGAGGAACGTGATGATGTGTTACGGATCCTGTTCCTGCCAATTTCTCCTACATGTATAAGTTCTCAATCTCTCTTCCTGTAGAAGTAAATCTCGTAGCCAGCCTAAGAAACAGTCACTCACAATTATCTTCCATGATGAAAACTTTTACTTTTACTTCTCTTCTAGGACTCTGGTTCCTTACATGCCAAGTCTCAGGTCATTGTAAGTATTCACATACTTTATATAATGAGGAGAAGCTAACATGTGCCATGTAGACATCTTCCAATCCTTCACCTACAAAAACATCCAATATCCTCCCTATGGCTACATCCGTATGAACAATAACTACAATAGTCCCGTCATAGACCTCGCTAGCAATGATCTCCGATGCAATTCCGGTGGTGAAACAAGCAATGGAACCCAAACTATAACCTTAAAGGCTGGTGATTCCTTCTCGTTTACGGCCGATGTACCGGTTTATCATCAGGGACCTTTGTCTATGTAAGTCTTGCCCTGCTCTTACAGGTATTTCCAATTGTGCGTCGAGCTGACGAAAAACTCTCACTATAGGTATATGGCCAAAGCACCAACGACTGCAGCAGCCTTCGATGGATCCGGACAGGTCTGGTTCAAGATTTTGGATATCGGTCCTACATTCACAAATCAAGTTGCGACATGGAATCTCTACCGTGAGTTCTCGGTCTCTCTCTGTAGGTTATGAAAGAAAATAAAAATTAAAGCCTAATTTGTGTAGAAACATATACCTATACTATTCCACCTAATCTACCTAACGGTGATTATCTTCTTCGTATTCAACAACTTGGTATTCATAATCCATAGTAAGTTGTGAATTTTCTCATTTGTTTTTAGATAATGTTGAGGAAGGTTTAGTCTAATGTTTGGATTTAGTCCGGGGGGTATTCCTCAGTTTTATATAGAATGTGCACAAGTCACCGTTACGAATGGGGGTTCGGGGACTCCGGGTCCTTTGGTCTCTATTCCGGGGTACGTACTCTATTCTCTATACACTCCCTTCAGTTTTCCCCGGCACTCGACCTTCTCTTACCCTTCCCTTCCCATTCCACCTTCCTCCCATTCCCCTCCCCATTGTCCAATCCCCCTCTCCATACATCCCACCACCCAAACATCCCATCAACTAACCCAACCACCCCCTCTAGAGCATTCTCCGACACCGACCCCGGCTACACCGCAAACATCTACTCCAACTTCTACAACTACACCGTTCCGGGTCCCGCCGTCTGGGCTTCCCAAGGAGGTTCTTCCGTCTACAGTGGTATTTCCAGTGGAAACAATGCGGCGACGACATTGGCTACTATGCCTGCTGCTACGGGTGTTGTTACTACTACTGCCCCTGCGAGTGCGACCGCGACGCACACTACTTTGACTACTGCTACTGTCGCGACTTCGACGAAGACGGGTGCGAGTACGAGTGCAGCAGCAACGCCAACGGGGGCTGTGGTGCAGAAGTATGGACAGGTATGTTTGTTTCTTTCTTTTTTCCCCCTTCCTTTTTTGTTCCTCCCTTCTTCCTCTTTCTTCGCAAGAAAGGAAGAGAAGACAAACCCCATCAAAACCAAACATTTCCAGCCTGTACATCCAAATCTCGAATCTCAGATCTCATAACCACACAAAGACAATTAATTAATTAATTAATCAATCAATAACTAACTCCTCATCTTAATACTATAGTGCGGAGGTCAAGGATGGACTGGTGCAACGGTTTGTGCGGCGGGGAGTACCTGTACGGCTAGTAATACTTATTATAGTCAGTGTTTGTGAGTTTGGATGGAGGGGGTGAATGGAGGGTGAGTGGATGGATTGATGAGTGGAAGGGAGGAGGTGGGATGATGTGTGGGATGTGTGCATTTGGATCGTTGTATTAAGGCTTGTGTTTAGGATGGGGAGGGAGAGGAGAGTTGCGGAGAGAAGAGGGGAAGTCAAGGATGTAGATGTAGATGTGATTAGGATTTTGTATATGAATGCCAGCACGCTGAACCTTTATGGTTATGCAGGGATTTACAAACACATCTACTTCCAATGCATAAGTACAAGGATCTCTGAAATCCATTCACACACTCCCATTTCAAAGTATATGTTTGATGAAGGTAAATATTCTGGGTATGTATTCAAGCCAATAATATAAGCCAGTCAATATATAGCAACGATGCATATACATAAAGACTGGTTCTCTCCATCCCAAGTTCTCATAATTCATAATCCATTAGGTCATCCATAGTATTTCCTCCATTCAAATTCCAATCTCAACTCATAATTCATTAAGTGGAGTTACTGATCGCCAACAGCTTAGTGTAGTTTGGCGTTCCCAACCCGGTTGCAGGATCCCAACCACTAACGGCTGAGAAACCAGCACCGGAGATTACACCGCTGCATCCGGTGATCTTGCCGGTGGTAATATCTGTCAATGCGGATTTAGCTGTTGAGTATAACCATGGGTTGAGGAAACCGAGACCGGCTTTTCCAGCGGCGACACGGTTGGAGTTGATGAGTTGGATGACGGAACTGAAGGTTGGGGTTGCGCAGGAAGTTCCACTGACGAGCTCGGCGTATCCGGAGGCAACGATCACGACTGGTTTGAATGTTAGTGAACAATACGTGGCATGGGATGAGTAGGGTAAGAGATAGATTTAACTTACAATCAGTGGCTTGAGCGGCGACATCTGGATAAGCACGACCGGATGCGTTGAAGTATTTTGATACTGAGGAATGAGTTGTGTCGGTTTTCAACCAGCTGTTGACTGCTGAAGATTGGTAGGAAGGTTGTCCGAAAACAGAGGAGAATCCACCACCACCATCAGTCCATGCTGCCCTATGGAATGTTAATGTTTGAGTCTTTAATCCAAAGCATAGGAGTTTATAACTTACTCAGGACTGTTACCAGTGGTACCGCCAACAACAGTTACCCATGGGCAAGATGCTGGGAAATTGGTTGTGAAACCTTTGGTGGATCCAGTGGTAGTACAAGTAGTACCCACACCGGAATCTCCAGAAGCAACGAGGATGGATACACCACGAGCACCAAGTTGAGAGAACAAGTTGCAGACTTCATCAGCGTAGTCCAAAGGAACAGTGGCTTCGTCATCGCCGTAAGAGATTGAAATGGTATTCGGAAGTGTTGTGGCGGTAAGGAGAGAGTCGAGGAATTCGAGGTAGGGCTCGTTCTGGTTTTCACCACCGCCAAGAATTGGAGGAGATCCACCAACTGAGTAGCTTCAATCTGTTAGCATCGCTATTCTGAGAATACAGTTCAGAATTAATAAACATAAAACTCACTAAATGTTAGGAATCTCTGATGTGATGGCTCTGGCATATTGAACATCAAGATTGGCTTCAATACCTGGGTAGCCATTTCCACTTGATGGGCAAGTTCCTCCATTGATAAGAGTGCAGGTGTATGTGTAAGCCTTGTTGGCGAAGTATGCATAACTGTTCAAGAAGGTGGTCAAATCAGACTTGGATGGCCATTGCTCCAAGAAACCGGCGATACCCATCAGTCCACTTGTCAACGTAGCTGGGGCTGATGTGAAGGAGTAGAGGTTGGCAAGACATTTTGGAGTAATATTACTACCACTGCAGCCTGTGACGGCTTCAGTACCGTCGACCTTGAGGAGACTTTCATCAAATTCTTTGTGCTGCTTGATATTGGATCGCATCGCACGAAGACCGAAGAAGGTTGTTGGTTGAACAATGTCAACATGACCCTTCAAAGCATCGGGAAGGCTGTATTCGAGAGTTCGGATAGCACCCTGGTACAATCCGGTGTGAACTACAAGTGTTAGAAACTGGCTTTAATCATGAGGAGAGGTTTATCCTTTACCGTAAGCGTCGTACTGCGCTTGGAGAAGCTCTTCGACTTGTCTGATACTTGCTTCCACAATGACGGAATCTCCTCGTGCCGAGACAGTTGTTTGGTTTGTCAAGCCTGCGGTCGATAGCCACTGCAAAACAAGGTCACGCGACTGAGTCTTTGGTGCGATCATTGCATTGATCGTCGTTTGGTCGATGTGACGTCCGTAAAGGGCATTTCCAGGGGTGGCAATCTTTGAGAGGTCAGTTTAGAACAATTTCTATTTTGAGGTATCCGGAAAAATAAGAAGACTTCTTCTCATATGCAGGTCCGGCGCCTAAGACATGTGAAAGATTGGAGATCATACGTCCATGGCCATCTTGTGGAATTTTGGCATGTTCTGTGCTACCAAATGCAATCTCAACTTCATCATCGAGACATCTTTGTCGAATACAGCATTCTCATCCAACTCCCATCCTGCAGGCGGAGCAGCGATCTTCTCGAAAATGCTGGATTTGCCGAACGTAGGTAATGCTTGAACGGCCGAGGCAGCAAATGCCACGGAGAAAATGTTGAGGAAGAGCATCTTGCCGAAGTAAGAATGATTACAACGATAAAAACATTGAAGAATAATTGCGGCGCCATAGCATACTTATGCCAACACCGGCCAAGAGGAGGCGCACGCTTGTCTCGCACAAGCTTGCGGCATCGACACGGTACCTACTTCTCTGAGCCAATGGTGGAATGGTGGGTAATGGTCTACATTGCGAGCTGCCTTTTGTAGAAGTGCCTTGACAGTGAATACCGTCGTAATCGTCACCCTTGTTTTCTTCATTAATTTAAGGTTATCTTGTGTCTTAATGTTCATTGGACGATTTGTTAGACCATCACGGAGGTATCGCTGTATTAGGAAAGTCATTGGGGAATCGGACGGCGGCAGATTGAGCTGTGCATATCAAGTGGGGAAGGCTTCCTTCCGCATTTTCGACGGGTGCCAAAAGAGGGGTAGGTACTCCTGCGACCAGAAAGTATGCAACTCCGAGGCTCTATGCACGTACCAAAAGATCCAGGAGGAGTAGCCCGGTTACTCTAGCGTCCAGTCTCATTCTGGCAGCGCGAGTAAGATCATAGAGCATAAATCCTACTTCCAGTGAGAGTATTGAAGATCAAGTGACGTATTTAAAGAAAACATAAAGGAAGCCGCATTTAAGCATCGAAAAAACGAAGGGATTGATACATCAAAATTCCCTCATAACTTATCAATTACTCCGTACAACTTCCGGTGCAGATAATGAAATCAGATAATTTTCCAGCATGTGGAACCAGAATGAAACAACTTCCTAATTAGGTGCGATAAAAAGGTACCATCCCACCTCCGATAATCATCCACAACTCGCCAGCACATGTTTCTTGGCAAAAGATTAACTAAATGTCGTATTTGACTCTCGATTCAATCACGCAATATGGTATTTGATATTGACACTCCCAATGCTGTAAAGATATGATTGTTGAATATTGATGTATCAACTATTTTTGATCTGAGTTCCATTACTGTAATCTTTACTCTTGAATGATTGACGAAAAGAAACACTTGTATGAGTGCTTTACATTTTGGGTCCAATGTAAATACGAGAAATCCAAAGCTGTTGATTGCAAATGATGTAAGCATATACTTAAAATACACCTGCATGTCAGCTTGCTCCAACACTTTAGTTGAATATTCGACTCGTAACGGGGAGAATTCATTTAAGACAAGTCTCTCAAGCATCAATGTTTGAGATCAGATCGAATTCATGACAATACTTGCAGGAGACAGCTTCAATGTCCGATCAAGCAACCACCCAGAAACTCAAGCAACGCTCATGGATTGGATCGTATGGTAGACCATGTTTTCCTTTAATCTTACCAAATCAAAGCCTAGATAACGGCCAGAACTCGCACGTCTAATTGTCAAACAATAAGGATAATTTTGTGGTACCTCCTAAGGTTGTATACATTAGTATAGGTCAGTTGACAGTTCTCTGGATTGTGCAAACGTAACATAATGATTGAGAGAAAGCTGTCATCCATTGTGACTGTAAACCCGGAAAATCTACAGATGTTATCTTTAAAGCTTAGATAAAGCAGGACTCACTGCAACATCTCAGATGCCTTGAAATGAAGGAAACTTCCCTATATATCCCGAACCAGATTCATAACATCGATACTCTACCAGCGAAGAAATACTACTTCTATCCACAAGACGCCAGTGCTCAGTTGCACGTCGAGATGTGCGAATATGCAATGATTGTTCCGTACGAAAGCTTTTCATGTGAAAGATACTTCATTCACAGTGGAGTAAGCATCGAAATTGCTGTACAGCCAAAACAGGATGTGAACCTGAAACTAGTAGGCATGCAGAAAAGGAGTGAAGGAGAAACACATGTTTGGATTTGTACACCCAAGGCTTGGTGTCGGGTATTGTAATCAATACCTTGGGGGAAATGAGGCACTAAGAACAGATGGATAGTACTTGTGGTTGCCTGTCTTCCGGGCACTTGGGTTGATGTAGCAGGATTTCCAACTCTTACCAATGGTATGAGTGGTACAAGTCCAGCAAACCATTTCAATTTGTGAACTGATAAGAGTTAGGTAACCATATCAATCAATGCCACAAGAGTATGACAACGCAATGGGACTCACTCTTCTCTGAATTGACATCCCTTAAGCTTGAAGTCGAAGCTGATCAAAAGTATAGATGGTGTGGTGTGGTAGTATCTGGTGTTCAACCCGTACGTTTGCTCAACGTTGTAAGTGTACCTACCCCATTTGGCTTGACAATTTGCCACTCTCGACGGATAAAATAACAACTCAAATTGAATGAAGGGCAATCATGATTGACTCAATTTTGTGACTCAAACCCTGGAAGGCATCGATTCAGTCAGCACCTGCACCTGCCGTACTCAACTCATTACATAAAAATAAAAATATCAACTAGACCATGACATGACTCCTACCGTACCAAGGTGAAGCCAAGAAAGAGAAAGAATCAGAGATCACGTGCTCATTAAGTCATTTGTCCCACATTTGCGGCCGCATAGACCGTATCTAAACCCAATCCAGCCAAGTTTGTCACATTTGCAGTAATCCGTGCCAATTTCTCAGTAGCGAGAAATGTATAAAGTCTCAGCTTCTCCCTTGAGATTCCCTTCTTTTTTCTTCATCTTAGTGCATGGGTTTTACGCATATCAGTGAGGATTCGTCCGAGATTGCGTTTTTGCTAGTTGAAAACTATAACCATGACCACTCCAGGTTGGCTTCGGCTGGCCTGGGAATCTTTGGAACCAAAACATCTTCTCGTAAGAGATTTTATTTTAATTGTTTTTCATTGCGACCGGCTTCTTGTAGGCTGACGTGAAGAAGAATTGGAGCGGGGGAGTATTTATGTACTTAGTGGTTGTGGGGAGAGAGGAGGAGATGATGGGAACCGGATTAAATGTTTGGCGATGGATTTTTGGATTTTATTGTATGTATGTGTGTAGATGTCAATAACACCGTTCTCTCTATTTGATGATGGTTTTGCTCTGTGCTGATGTTGATTTTGTGATTTAGTAGTAGGATGCATACTTGTCGCAATTGTCATTCTACCACCACAGTTTCGGACAGTCTCTGATTGAAAGAACCCTAATCACATATACTTCCATACCTCCTAGTTGATTCTATATCGTAGAAATGCATTTAATAAAGCCATGTCGAGATTCCTCATCAATCATGCAAATGTGCTACCTTCAGCAAATCTAACAAATCAGGAAGGTCGAAAAACAAAAACAAGAACAATACCTTTGTCCATTCCATCTGCCCCCCTATCTCAACCCACCACAACCACATCTGTTCATTCATCATGACGAAGAAGGCACTCATCACAGGTGCAACCGGTTTACTCGGCAGACAAGTTCTCAAAGTATTTGACCGGGAGAATTGGAATGTAGTTGGCACTGGTTTCTCACGCGCAAAGCCTCCTACCATTCTCAAGGCAGATTTGGCTTCCGAATCGGAAGTTTCAAAGGTGTTGGATGAATCCAAGTAACGTAACATCTTCATGATCTTTTATGCAATACTGACAGTAGGAGTATATAAAGGCCCCAAGTCGTAATTCATTGTAAGTTTTATCAACACTATCTGCTGCTTCGTCATCATCATCAATGCTAATATCGCGATCACAGGTGCAGCGAATAGATTTCCTGATAAATGCGACAACGACCCTGAAGGGACACGCGCTCTCAATATCGCCGCCTCTGCCTCGTTAGCAAAACTGTGTGCCGCACAATCAATCCTTCTTATCTATATATCCACCGATTACGTTTTCCCTGGCACCGAAGGCGATGCACCTTACGAGACAAGTCATAGCCCAAACCCGCCAAATCTATATGGAGAAACAAAATATGAGGGTGAGAAAGCTGTATTGGCAGAATATGAGAAAGCAGACAAATCTGGCTTGGGGGTAGTATTGAGAGTCCCAGTTCTCTACGGGGAAGGCGAACCTGAAGAAAGTGCAATCGGTGTACTGATCAACTCAGTCTGGAAAGCCCAAGAAAAAGATGCAAATGTCAAGATGGATCACTGGGCCATTCGCTATCCTACCAATACGGAAGATATAGGTCGGGTTCTGTCAGATATTGCCATTAAATATCTCGAAAGTAAAGAGCCATCATCTTTACCACGAATCTTGCAATTTTCCTCCGAGGACAAATACACAAAATATGAGATCTGCCAACTCTTTGCGGAAATTTTGGGCTTGCCATTGGATGGTATGGTGGCGAATACAGAAGGGAATGATCCAAATGCTAGTGTCCAAAGACCTTACGATTGTCATTTGTCTACCAAGGCATTGAAAGATTTAGGTATCAATGTTGCTACAATGGATTTTACTGGATTTTGGAGGAGGGAGATGAGGGCATTTAGGAAGTAAGGAAGCATGGAGCTTGAGAGTCAAGCATAGTCGTCTTCTACCCATGTATGATCACTGTCGATCGATTATACCTACTGAATAGTTCATCAAACCGCTCCCAGCTTATTGTCAAAACTCATAATGGTGACCATAAGAATTATAAGAGAGAGTCTGAAGTTCTCTTGGCTTTATTCTGGCTTTTACTAGTGGGCCACATTTGTAACAACCCCTTGTGCAATGCAACAGGTTCTATTTTTCTAACCTTTCCATCAATGCCAGTTCCCAAAAATTTCAACTGCAAACTCCCACAAATCATGATGCCTAGCATCCGCTCACAGTATGCGGCGAATGTCAATGAGCTGCCTCAGATTATGCTTTCAAGCTCCTGTATATCTCCGTCATTGGATTTTCGGATGGTCGTATGTATGGTTTCTATAAACATTACACTCAACAATATTGGACTCCAATGAGTCATAACAAAGACTCCCTTTTATGACTACCCCGGTTGCCATCTCCGCTCCGATGCATGTTAAGAAACTATGATAAATGGTGAATGCAAATTGAAGGTTGGTAGCTGAGTCTATATATACAGTCTGATATCGATATCTGTCTGGAATTGCATACTAGTGATAGTAATGTTTTGGGATAGGAATACTGTGAACACTATGAAGACCATGTGGACGGGCTTGCGAGTAATATTATAGATAATAGATTAATATATAGCTCTACATCCTATATGAGTAATTGATTGAAGCCCCGGCAAGGTTAATGTTCAAGGACTGCAAGGACTAGTCTGGTGGTGTACTCATAAGCTCCAAGTATAAGTACACTGGACTCTGTAAACTGTGAGTTTCAGCGCTGTAGAGTTGATATACCTAACCTATCTAGTAGTCGAGTAGAGTTTCATTGAGAATGAACTCTGAAGGGTTGAACTTCATTTGGAATTTATAAAAGATACAATTTTACCTTGCCTCTTTTGTGTGCAATATCTAATTTGTCGGATCAATAATCACTTCCAAGCTGACTAGGTATGATCTTTTAAGTAAGAGGGTAGACATACGTATGCGTGTATTTGGTCCGATTTTCAATGGTCCTGTAATACTACGCTTCCAGCCCTAGTCCGCGGGGTCCGCAGGAGGCTGCTTCCAAGCTATGATGAGTCTAATGAGATACCGGCTGGAGATGTCGAAAAATCTTCCGATATATAGACGTCGCTAGAGTGATATATTGATAGTTCTGTGAATATAATGCAATCAATGCATTAGAGAATGAAATATGCGAATTCTAGCTATTTGAGAAGTAATTAGTCGGTGCTTCATTTCATGAAGGTTAAAGTTGATATTTATATACTCGTATATATACATTTATACTTTATACCTATTTTCTCCTAAAATATCTATCTTGGACTAATATCTGTAACTTAAATCTCCATATCCTCTGCGAATCATGAGAGTTAATTGTATGAGTTGTGATTGCACATCTATATCCTATTACTCAGTATATATATATACATGTAATAAGTATCTATCATATCACTCCAAATGTGAAAAATAGCAGTATATATAACTTACCGAGCATCCTATAATTCCTATCATCAAAAACTCCTATTTATTGAATCGTAGTAGTTTGTTGTTATATCTATATAGTAGTACTCATTCAAGGTGCAGGACATTTTTGGGCCTGAAATTAATGAGAAATCTCCCATTTTGTAGTTGTAATTTATATACTTCCGGTTGAATTGGGGAAGTAAGTTTTTGAGTCGAGTATGGCTAGGAACCAGCGTGGGATGAGATTGCAGCAGACAAGAACTCCAACAGATTTAATCACTATATCATTTTCATCAGTTCAATACTCCCAATATTTAATTTAGTGACCATAAAGATATACTTACTTGCTTACTTACCGAGCAACACTACAGAGGAGTCTTACATTTATAAAAGGAACCGCCAGCCAGACCAGACCAGAGTAGAGAAAAACCACCCTAATCACCGCAATCCAGCAGCTTCACTTATTCACTTCACTGCCTAGAAGATGAAAATCTGCTTAACATCTCAAGCTTCTATTACTTCTATTTGCAAACTCAAACAACTAGTTCAAAGGAATCTTACAGAAAAACATGAAAATGAAAATGAAAATGAAAATGAAAATGAAAATGAAAATGAAAATGAAAATGAAAATGAAAATGAAAATGAAAATGAAAATGAAAATGAAAATGAAAATGAAAATGAAAATGAAAATGAAAATGAAAATGAAAATGAAAATAAAATGAATTAATAAATTTTTTTTTTTCCACATTTTATTAATTTTTAAAAATAAAATAATTTAAATGTTTTATATAAGTTTTGATATGATTTTAATAAATAACAAACAGCTATACACGGTTACTATACACCTATTGAAAACACAGAATTTTTCCGCATTCAATCAAAAATGATTTTTGCATCAATTACAAACCCGTGATGCGTCAGGAATGAAAGTATCTTAATACATCAGAAAATGCCTAGTATATCTCTGCAGTGCAATATCCCAGTAACAAACTTTCTGGGATGATAAATAATAGAATTGCATGGCGACTTTCTATGGATCTATCGAAATCATGACTGTTACTGTATTTTATCTTCATCGAGAACTATAGATATATTCTTGAATTTATAGATGCACGTACTTATGTTTTCGATAGCTCATGATATCGCTGATATCGCTGCTCTGTCTTGATGTAGATATTTTATCAGAGTAATTATATGAAAGCAGTAATGTGGGTATACGGAAGACTGCTTCATGATTCTGTGCAGTATGCAACTCTTTGGATGGGGTTTAACTCCCCGCATAGTTATCGAAATGGGTTTGTTGACTGGAAAGACATTAGAAAATCTCCAGTTTGAGATTTAGCGGGCGGATTGGTGATGGTAATTACTGGTTCTACAACTCTGAACTTCGGTCGATATATCGTTGACGACCCCTACCAGTCTCGTGGCCTCATTCTTCGACGACAAATATCATCCACATTGTTTTTCCCGCAGATCTCTCAAGTGTAGTTCAACAAGAGATTCAGGCAGCAAAACCCATCCCGAAGTGGTAGAAGTGACGCTGAGCAAACCAGACTGGATTAGTTTTAGCTCCAGTATAGAGGACAGCGCGAAAACGCGATTTAGACGGAATAAAGAGGGGGTTTGGCATCTTTACTGCCCTATATGATAAGTTTTACATGTATATCATGTAAACGTCAATGAATATCCAACTGATGCTGGTTCATTTTCCCGATCATATTTTCCCTTCATCATGCGCAGATTGGCAGATTATGATGGCTTCGGCAGAAAGAATCCAATTCTGAGGTTAACGGACTATGCTGCCTACGCTAGTATATATGTATATTTGACAACCAGCGGTGCATCTTTAGAGGCGGCTCATTTGAATAACTTTATATAAATGGTACTAGTCGCTGCGGTAATGAACACGGTAGGAGGAACATATGTTATGAATGAATACGAAGATTCTTAAGATCCTGATGTGTGTTTTACCGGGTAGGCATATATGAAAATGAGACGGACTATTCATGAAAATTTAATTTGTATCTCTCAAATTTTTGTTCGTTCATTTTGTAACCTACTTACCCGCGTGTCCTCCGTCGGAAAATTTGGTGCTATTCAAGAGGAGAAAGAGCAGGAATGACACTGGTAAAACTCGACTAATTTTCTAGCAATGATATTTATCGAAATATATCGAATGATGATGGTTTGCACTCTTGACGTACGAAGACGATGTTACCAGGTATTTGTCACGAATGATGTAATATCCTGCAATGTGTAGCAGTCTTGCCTTTTATGAAGTATTTAGCTGTACTTCAGCCCGTGGCATCGTCGGTAAGTTGTGCAGCCACCATCATAGAATTAGAAGCAATAGAGATGTAATTGACGACAGATGATCTAGTCCGCAACAGAGCGTACAGAACAGAAATTCAAGACAAAATACCAGTGGCTTGGGTACTTTTTGAGCATCAAAACGAGAGATATCGACAATTTTAATTCCAAGAGAGACAAGCATGTTCCAGAACCCAAGGATATCTGTTGCTTGGTGACATTCGAAATGAGGAACTGCCACTGGTGCTCCCCGCCAGGACCACCAGACTCATTGCTAGGAGTCTCGGCCGGTGGCTTTTCTGTAGTCTTTGCGCTCCAATGTTCGAAGATAAATACGGAATACAATCTAGATGGCCTATTTTTTGATTCTTGGGAGATCATCTGCTAGCAAAGTTCTTCGGCAACGGGATCCGGCCCAAAGTGACGGAAAAGGCGAGAGTATGAGTGCCTTAATTTCCTACCAGAGGACATGGTGCTGCACATCGTAATTTCCCGCGGGATCAGGAGTACTTCCGCATTTTTTAATTCTCCTTGTAGATGACCTCGGGGAGGGAATGATGGATATATTTCATTTGAGATGGAGAAGAGTTGATGTAGATGATCTGGATTCATTGGGTTACTGTACTGATTGGAATCTATTTTGGTGATGTTGATCAAAAAACGCCATAGCGACTCTGACTCTCAAATCCCAAAATACAGTTGTAGATTCGACCTTCATTTGACAAGAGGTTTTCCACCTGTTTTCTCTTACATGATATATCATATGTGTAATGTGTAAGTAGATACGTACGTGCCCTAATAGGTAGATGATATAATTTACCCGTCAGCCTCACAGACCCATTTCTTACCGCAGAAATAAAAGATTCTGACGCAGACTAGCTAACTATTGGCCATTTCTCTGACAATAACTGTTACCGAAATGTATATAATCAATTAAATGACCACCCCTCGGATGTCTTGGTACCTAATATCTAATATTCCTACTGTGGTATTGTATTGTGTTACCAGATTGATTGATTGATTGATTGATTGATTGATTGATTGATTGATGATGATGATGCAATTTGATTAATCATTGACACACTGTACCACGTGAATGGAAGATTACTAGCTACCTAGATACCTATAGGTATGTAGGTATGTATGTATTTTAGTTGTAAGATTCTTAAGTATTCACCGTGGCGCTTCGGTACTTGTTTTGTCCTCATGTGAATGTATACATACGTACCTCCCTCTAGGTAGCATTCATTATATATATATATTTAGATGAGTCCAAGTTTTAATTGACAAGACACTTTTGACATGTTACAAATGACTTCTCGAGCACTGACTGGCTTTACGCAAAGTTGCTTCTTCTTCTGATTATATCTTATTATAACTTATCACAACTTATCACTAGAAACTATTGATGTAATTTGAATTGATGTTGTAATTTGTAAAGGAAATCCAGGGAGGGCATTGAGCCTTAATGTACCCCATTTTTCCAAGGTTGGTTTCATCGTGTGTGTGTCCCTAGCGTGTCCCTAGCATGTACTTGGTATCTTACATAGTACGATATATATACCCAGTACAGGATAGTAAATTTTGGGATTTTTCTATCCGAGACTTTGATTACTCTGCACGCTTCATCCTTCAAAGTCCTCCGAGGAATTCATCACCATCATTGGTTACATTCAGCCTTGTCAACAAGGTTTAAATAACGCTGCGTGCCCATGTGTGACTTGCAAATTTCCCCTGTTTTTCCCCCACATTATTCGGGAGATCATCTATCATCTAATAACTTTTTTGGAATCATCGGATTGATCAGATTAATCAGATTGATCACCTTGTCCAAGCCAAACATTCCAAAGTAAAATCAAGGAAAATATGTACTGGTGTGTGGGATGAGCTGGGAATGATCTTGGGATAAATGATATGAATGATATGCTCTGGTAATGGTACAAAGCAGTCAATTGATCAACCATCAACCATCAATCCATCAATCAACCAACCAACCAACCAAACCAACCAACCAAACCAACCAACCCACCCACTACCCCCAAAAGAGGTTCAATGTTACTTCTAATTTTAAGATTGCGCATATCCACCTCCCGCAGCCCAGTCTAACACCGCGTTTACAATCTGCAGGTACCTCCTCACCACTCAGTCCATTCTCCAAGCCTGGGGGGTCAATTCATTCAAATCGTTTTACACAACACACAATAATAACCTCAACAAACTTCCTTCTTTCCTTGTCACTTGTTCTTTACTTTTTCTTGTTACTTCATCCAAGAAAATAATGCCCACAAGGGTAATTACTTATGATATTCAAGTCCTGGATTCTCCACTCATTCATTCGTCATGGCAGAAGAAAATAATCAACCCCCTCAAGTCTCACAACAAAAATACTCTAGGTACAGATCTGTAAGAGCTTTACCATCAAATACCGATCTCAATACTCCAAATCAAGATGTCCAACAAAATCAAAGTACTTCCTTATCAAGGACCAAAAGTATGTCCAGATATCGACGACCGAAGTTGGCCCCCAAATCCGAAGATTCGCCCTCTGTGCCCACAGTGCCAGAATCGCATGGCCCGCCCACATCCCCAAATTCTACTGCGAGAGTTCTAACAACAAGGCGAACAAGTGATCCGGTTGATTCTGCGACTGGCCTTCCATCAAACTATGCGCATACTAGACGCCCCATCCCAAAGCGATCGCAAACGCATTTAGGTGCGACGGGGGAATCACAGGACTACAATGAGCGACAGGAGAGTTATGAGTTGAATTACAGTAGTGATAATGGCATAGATCAACACAAAATTCTCTCTCCTTCCCATTCCCCTCCGCCAGTTTCACTCCCTGTGCAGTTGAGCGATGAGGAGACGGAGAAGATTTTGGCAGAACAGAAGCGCAAGGATTTGGCGCGATTGGAAGCAACATTGGATGCAGCCGCAAATGATTCTGTCAAAAGTCCCCCTCAAAAATTCGGATTCTTCAGCAGTAAAAGACGTGCTACTACTACTACAACTAACCCTATCCCAGCTGCTCCATTATTGAGCAATGTTGCATCAATACAGCGTGCGATCGCTGATGGACCACCCAGAATCGAGGCGCCTGTTATAAATCCTGTTGGTATTCAACAGGGTGGGGGAGGGGTAGTGCCACAAACCGATGCCCCAATTTCAGCATCAAATGCGTCAGAGAGGGTAAGTCTATTATATTTAACCTCAGAGCGGGGCTAACAATCTTTTAGAGAGTTTTGATTCGTTGCAAACAATCGTCAATCAACCTACCTGTGGACGGAGATACGACTCCTATTGATATCATAAACTCCGCTGCAAACATCATGTCGGCTGATATCGATCCACGTACAGCTGTATTACTGGAATCATATACAACACTTGGTGTAGAGCGCAAAATTCGTCGCTACGAACATATCAGAGATATCATGAATTCTTGGGATAGAGATACACAAAATGCTCTTATTGTGGAGGCTTCCGATTTTTCTGGTTGCAGTGAAGATCTAGAAGCGTCATCTGTACCCAATGATGCACCTCAAGATGTTACTGTGCAGCTTTATCATTCCCAAAAACCCGGTAAATGGAATAAACGCTACATTACGCTACTTTCTTCTGGTCAAATATTTGTTTCCAAAAAGTCGGGAATGGGCCCGAATGATAAAGACTCAATGAGCATTTGCCACTTGTCTGATTTCGATATTTACACTCCAACAGCACAACAAATTAGGAAAACTCTTAAACCTCCTAGGAAAAATTGCTATGCTATTAAGAGTCAACAAAAAACCGCAATGTTTTTGAGTACGGAAAATTTCGTACATTTCTTCTGTACAGATGATCAAATTGCGGCAAATGCATGGTACTCTGCTGTTCAAAAATGGAGAAGCTGGTATTTGGTGAAAAAGAAGGGTGAAGGTCAGAAAAAGGCTACAAAGACTGTTAAAGCGATGAAAGCAAGGATCGCACCAAAGTCTGGAACTGGAATCAAAGGTGCTCAAACACATAGAATAAACGTTTCGGTGGATGAAGATCCATATATGATTGGATCATTCAAACCGTTACTTGATATGGATCGTTTCGACCGATCAGAAGCAGATGATTCCACAACCGAGGACGAGAAACCCAAGCAAGTTCCTTTCCACTTACGAAATACATCTATCGTAGCACCACTCCCTCGGCCCGCGAAAAATGGACCACCGGTAGCTTACCGAGCACCAACCCAAGAAGATGAATTTGCATCGGGTGGATTGTTAGGAAGAACATATTCCGTTCGTCAGAAGGCGCAACAGGAGCGGGAGGATAGCCTCAAAAATGGGTCTTTCACAGATGGATCGATACTCATAAATGGCAACGCTCAATCCCGAAGCCTTTCTATGCCTGCGAAATCCAAACGCCCTGAAACTGCTAATGCTGCTAATACCGGTCTTCAACGCAGTCCAAGTAGTAGAAAACCTAAACCTTTATTGGATTTCACACCGCAATTTGAGGAGGCACCTCAGTGGAATAAAAAGGGAAAGGGACATGGTGTAACGGCTCCTACTGGATTGTTATTAGTTGAGGCGGCTAATACACCGGATACGGGATTAATTGAAATTCCGAAGGCCAATATGGTGTTTAGGAGAGATACGACTAGTCAGAGACCAAGAACTAGTGTAAATGGAAGGGATAGAGATCATTCAGGAAGTAGAGATCCGTTTGTTAGAGGAGGGTTGGTTAGTGGGAATGGAAGTGGAGGCGGAAGGAGCGCAGGAAGTGGTTCGTTGACAAATAGTGGGAAGGATAGAGGAAGGATGGGATATGAGTGAGAAGATGGGATATGAGTGAGAAGATGGGAAATGGATAGTGGGAAAGGTAGATCGAGGGTGGGGTATCGGCGGGGTGGGAGTGGGGTTGGGGAAAATGGATGGGTGGATAGGTGGATAAGATGAGGCGTTACATTTCTTTTGTATAGGATGAATTTTTGCACTTTGCTGGTTTGGAATCTGGATTCAAAACTGGGATAAGGATGGGATAGTTGGATGGTTGGTTGGTGGGGAATTTAGTTGGTGGGTGGGTGGGATTGAATATTGGCAGGTGTTTATGATTGATAGATACCATTGAGATAGGTTAGGTTAGGATATGTTAGGTTCGTATTGTATTGCATTTTCGTTTCCATTTTATATCTTCTGTTTGCTTGCTTGCTTTGCTTTGTATACTCTGAGGTAGGTAGGTAGGTAGGTAGTTATATTGAATTTATTCGTTGCTTTTTTTCATGATGATTTTTTACTTGAGTTGTGGTGTTTGTGCAGGTATGGATATGTATGTGGTGATATTGGATAGATATTTATATTTTAATTTCTAGTGATATGGTGAATAATTGATAATTGATAATTGATGAGAAAAGAGGAGAGGAGCTGGGAGAGGAGTGGGTATGGATATGTGAGGGTATATATGGTTTGAAATGAATTGAAATGAAATGAATTTTGTAGGGGATGGAGATGGAGCTGGGATGGGATGGTGGAAGAGATGGTAGGAGATGATTATGGGTTAGGGATTGAAGGAGAAGAGGAGAAGAAAGAGAAAGAAGGAGAAGAGAAGATCAAAATGGAGAAAAAAAGAAAGATCGAATCAGATTTATGGATCGATCGAATTAATGGATGAGAAGAGAGGGAAGAAGATGAGAGGATGGGGGAATGGAGGAGATGGAAAGGAAGGAAAAAGAGAAAAAGGGAAGGGGAGGAGGAGGAGAATAAAAGTTTAGAATTATTAGAGGTGGGTATTATAAATTGAGAATGGGAATGAGAATAGAAATGGGATTTTATTATTATTTATTTGATAATATTAAAAATTAAAATTAAAATTTATAAACAATATTTTTGATTAATTTAAATTTATTTATTCTTTTAAAAGAATAAAATTAAAAAAATTTACTTATAAAAGTATTTTATATTTCTTTAATATATATATTTTAAACTAAGTATTAAAAAAGAGTAAAAATAAATAAATAAATAAAATTATAAAACTAAGATAATTTCCTATTAAACAAGTTATTCTAAATGATTTATATTATTATATTTAAGTATTTTTAATAATTTATTAAAAAGTATATCTCTTTTCTTTTATAATATACTCGCGTCTATATATTGAAAAGGGGATTAGGAGATGAGAATAAAGAGATAGGATTTTTGTAAGATTTTATTTTATGGACATTGTTGTTTGAGGGATTAGAGGGTTAGAGAAGGGATAGAAGGGGAAGGGGAAGGGGTGGAAAGATAAGGAGTGAGGGGCAAGTAAAAGAAAAGACCGGAGAAGAAGAGAGGAGAATGAATGAATGAATGAATGAATGAGGGGTTAAAATTCTATGGATTAGGAGATAGGGGTTCTGGAATAGGAGTTGGAATGGAGATTGGAATGGAATGGATTGAGGTTTTTGTGTATTGTATATGTATTTTGGTTTAGGATTAGAGATGAAGATGAAGATGAAGAAAAAGGGGATGAGGCATGTTTAGTCGTTATATTTGTTATATTTCTTGTTGTTGTTATTCTTGTTATCATTCCAGTGAAATTAATTGTTGGTACAAAGTATACCGACATTTTCCACCCCAAGATTTCAGAACTTATTTAAACATCGTTATGTAAACACCCTTAATATAAAACCTAGGAATGTATGAAAATAAGAAATGAGAATGTTGCACATCTATAGTTTAGTTTATAGACTAAAGAAGCGAAATAAAACGGTTTTTATGATTACTGTACGGTTTTATTGTTGTTCTACCGAAATTGCATACTTGCATACTTGTTTGCTTGCTTGTTTGTTTGCAAGTGAAGAGAGGGGAAGGGGGAAAAGTTAAGATTTCATGGGTACGGACGCTATATGGGTATTTGACTAGGTAGCTTTTTATTTAATTAACTTTTTGTCAGTTTGATATAAAAGGGGAAAAGGGATATAGGGAATGCAAAATACGAAATGAGAGTGTTGCATATCTATATTTTAGTTCTGTTGATTAGAATTGAAGAAGAATTCTTGCCTGGCAGATTGGGAAATGATTAATTATCAGCTAATCTGTAACCCCTGGTTTGTATGGAGTATATACTTTGGTTATGTATGTAACCCTGAAGACTAGCTTCTAAAATTATTCTGCTTGTGGAATTTTGTTTAATGGTATTTTGTATCTTGTTTACTATTCGGATCTTTAACTCGGGGGATAAATATACTGTGTTATTGATCTGTTTGATGATCGTCTCATCTCCTTAGAATACATCAACAGAAGCGAAGGTGGCAAGAAACTAATATGCCCTCGTATTTGTATGAATATACACAATAGAATATCTTCTTCACAGAAATAGGAACTAAGAGATAATCATACTGTTGCACATCTAAAATTTAGTTCAAATAACCCTCGCCGCACCGAGCAATGGAGCAGTTTGAAGGGGGAGCAAATGTGGATATATATGGTATGAGCAAAAGCTAAAGAAAGATGTAACACCTAACCTAGAGTACGTGTCTAGGTCAAAACTATCACGGCCCTGTCTAGTTACTCCTTTACCCAAAAAGAATCACTGTTGCATGTCTATATTTTAGTTTGAGGAGCTAGAGATCTTGGGAGAGTTCTTGCACAGGGTTGTAGATGATTTTGTTGCAGGTCTCCTTTTTAGTCCGCGAGACTGGAAACCCTTCTCTGGGGAGGGATGTACTTTTGTTGCAAGTCTATCTTTTAGTTCAGGAGTTTATAGATACTTCATGTTGGAGTATGCAGTTGTGTTGCATCTCTAACATTTTAGTTCTGCCCAAGCGAGGTTAGAAAATTCATGGATTGTTTATTCAAAGTTCTTGTATAGTTATTTTCGGAGATGATAAGGGGAGGTTTAGAGGCTATTGTTGCACGTCTATATTTTAGTTCAGCGACTAGAGATATTTGCGAGCGGCGGAGTTCTAAGAAAGGAATGAGATGAGGATGGTGGGATGTTGTTGGTTGGTTAGTCGGTAGTTTCAACTTCAGCGTTGCATCGCTTGTGGCGGTGTTGTGTTTGTTTACTTGGTGTTATTTAGTATAGGTAGGTATGTAGTGCGTTAGCGTTAAAATCGCTTTGCTAAAGAAATTGGCCACCTGCATTGGTGTTTGTTGATTTCATGGATTTGTCAAGTAGTTTGGTGCTGGTGCTGGTGCTGGTGCTGGTGCTGGTGCTGATGTTAGTGCTGATATTGGTGTTGATTGTGGTACTGATGTTTTGTCGACCCATTTACTTACATTGGTGTTTGCTGATTTTTACCAGTATAGTTTTGGTGTTGATTTTGGTCAGTGCTGCCTATTAAATATAGTTTCTGGGCTGTCTTAAAATATAATTTATTTTACTTGATAATGCCCACATCGTACCTAGTTAGGTATAATTAACCATCCTTGATAGCACATAGTAGCATGAATGGTGCAATATTTAGCATAATAACTATACCCATAAAACCAACACGTTCCCTTTGTCCCTCACTAACAAATTATTAGTTAGTTAGATGTTTAGGACCTTTAGGTACATTAATAGTTCAAGCCCCGAAGTTCAGGCACTTTAGACGTTAGACGAACACTAAATAGGCATGATGACCTAGTCTAGTGTTGTATCTCGCTTCACCATGAGGGTCAATTTATGCCAGCAAAGCCGTTAGCTAGGCGGTAAGAACAGGAACAGGTAGTGGTGCTAGGTAACGCAACATAACTAACTAGCAAAGATTTTCTAGGGCATGAAAATCTCATTTCCATTTGAATTCACTAATTGGTCCACATACGAACTAACTAATGTTGCACAATAATGTATGTTAGACTATACCAAAGTGTACTATGTCAAGAAACAAACGGTGTACCTCTAGATTATACTTTATAATAGTACGCATCATCAAAGCTACATTCCAACCACCTGATTAGGTGTACATGTACGCAAAACACTAACAGAGTCATAGGATTAAACTTCGGTTTTGTACAATTCCTCCTTACCCTTTCCTTCGCATAACCCCTGCAACCGAGCTGACAACGGCATGCCGCAATCGTTAAGCCTTAACGTTGCCGGGCGCCAGGTCCCACATAGCCGTCCCATCCATAACATCCCGGCGTTTTGTTTTGTTTCGCGTCCATCCAGCCACTTTTAGCCTCAGCCTTAGCCTCAGCCTTAGCCTGATTACGCATACGGAGGTACCTCCGTGCTCGCTAATTTACTATCATCTAGGGGCTTCGGATTTTGCCGTTATGTCCGCCAGCGTCCCTTCACTTGAACATGCTAGTCAGGATTGGAAATTAGATGTTATTGTACTAAATCTGCTGACGTGCAACATGTCTCTTTGTATTAATTAAACAAAGCAGCTAAATTTCTAGTTGTGCAACAGAAACTTCTTGAATGTGGGTATTTTCTTGTGATTCCTGCAGGACTACAACTAAAGTGCAAGCTAAATTCTAAGGTGTGCAACAAAGCAATCCTATGCTTTCCATAAGTAGCTATCATTGGCGCCAGAGTTGATGGTGTTACCATGGCTGCAGAGCTAATATCAGAGCTAAATTTGTAGTTGTGCAACAAAGTACTCACTTTGAAAAGAAACATGAAGGCTAAGTTTCTAGATCAGTGGATGAGCAGCAGAAGAGTGATCTGAGCATAGAAATCTAAATAGATACAGTACTGATAATGAACCTGAAATATGATGGTTTCGGATAGCTAGGAGTTTGATTATGAATATAGCTTTTATTTGACATGATAGATAAATATGGTATGGATGGTTCGATCAATATGCACAATAAACACTACACGATATTATGAGAGTAGGGCGAGTGTGTGGTCTGGTTTTATCTTCCCTGCAATACCCAAGTGTGCTTCTCCTCCCGCGACGGCAGGACCTCCTACTATGATCTATTGTCTATTGTTAGTAGATGTTTACTTGTGAAACAAGACAAACGGATGGAAAGGGACGAAAAAGGGTGACTATACCTCTCCGACGGAGGATGTATCAGAAGTCTGGTACTCCTTGGTATCCTTCAAAAAGATCTCCACGGATGGTGGAGGTGCTCCAAAGTGCGAGTATTTCTCCGAACCATCGTCTACTCTGTAATCATAAATACCGGTTTGTGATACAGCACCTGCTACCTTTGACGCAGTGAGAGCGTAAATGATTCTTGAGCCTGTGTAGATACGTAGATCTGAGAGCATTTCGGCGCTTAAGGGTGTTGACGGGACGCCAATGGGTTCCGAAACGTAAATTAGACGAAGCTTGCCGGGTGTTGTGCCAATGATTGGAAGAAGGTGATCGTACATGCGGGAAAAGACAGTGGCGATAGGCATAACACCATGCTGTACTAAAGACTGAGTTTGAAACCAGTGAACGACTTGATAGAGTGATGAAGTTAGGTTGTCCTTGGTTTCGGCATGAAGCTTCGCAAGGGTGGTGGACGAGGCAACAACAATTGTTGGTGATGTTCCCTTTGTTGCCAGGACGAGATCAGGGTCCTTGATGGAAACAGACGTCAAGGCTATGGAAGCGTTTGAGTAAAGTGCTGAAAGGGTTAAGATCAAAGGGTAGATCAATGACAAAGGTTCTGCGGAGAGAAAGAGGTCTTTAGATGTAATACGCTGAACCGTGGGTATGGAGGCCAGTTGACCCGACACTCCGGCTACCAATACTGATTGAGTGAATTCCACAAGTTCTCCGTTAGGCCAGAATGCAACAACCTTGTTAGGTTCCTTGCCAGTCTTGCCAACAGCAGGTAGCTCGGAACCTGCATGAGCCTCCTGATCTTGGAGAATCTCTTGCCAGGTAGAAACATTCACTGCTCCTCCAGTGCCTTTCGGTACTTCATTCCAGTCCATATGCTTGCTGCCATCATCCACCACCCATATCATTTGCTGCAAAGCTGGATAGGACTTAGCTACCACATCAAACGGAAAAGAACCAACAGCAGCAATAACTGTATCCGCTTTGGCCCTTTTTATTAATTCTAGTAAACTTTCGGGAGACTCGTCATATGGTAAGAGTATCGCATTGAGGTCGTAAAATGCACAAGCGAACAATGCTGCAAGGTATTCGATAGAGTTTGGTAAATATATGGCAATGTTGTTTCCTCCATTCTGCTTAATATGTTGGCCAATCAGATTGATCTGACGAGTAACATCGGCTGCATAAAAGTCAGTAAGGTGAAAATAATAATCCTCAACGAAGCTGCACAAACCAAGCTTGTGAGTAACAAGTTTATCGGAACCATATATTGTCATGATGTTACCGATTTCTCCAGTCTCTTTCCCTTCTCTGTCAACAGCTCCAGTGACAGCCCTGCGCCATATATCCCTTAAATCACCATTGCGACCTGGAGTCCATTTCGAGTCACCAGGGTCTTTAACATGAAGCCCTGAGTTGAGTGGCATGCCATGAGGAGCAGCATGATTTCTGAAGATGGCAGATTGTCCTTCTTGTCTAACTGACGATGCTTGTGATTGACGGGCCAAGAGCATAGGATGTGAATCCGGATCGCGAGATGTTATAACCTTGAAAGCAAAGAAGCCGATGAGAGCCGTAATAATTAAGGTGGAATAAATGTCCCAGTCACTGAGAACACCTGTAATAGTCTCATCGAGGTAGAGCATGAAGTTGTCGAACCCCATCCTGAAAGATGTTGAAAACGTATTGTAAGAACAAGCTTCAAGCTTGAATTGTCTTCATGAGTATGAGTGTATGAGTATGAGTATGAGCATAAGCATAAGTATGAATAGTATGATACAAGAAGAAGCTGGCGGGTGGATATTTGGTGATACGTGATACGAGAGCTTCGACGGTGGCGGGGTGATGATGTCCGACACTACCGAGTACTGTAATCACTTTGACAGGGGTGTTGAGTCGCGCTAGTGCTAAACTAGAAGCGCGCCTTGAGCTTTAACAAACGGGATTCACGAATTCACGAATTCTTTGATCAAAACAATTCAAGAAGAACGAATAAGAAGGAATTTATCTTTTCGATAACCTTCTCGACAAACAACAATGCTAACATAGGGTTACTCGTCAATTCAATTGAAATAATACTAATCATAAGAACCAAGTAACATTAGCTTATTATCCGCATAAAAAGTGAGTAGTTTGACCCAAAGCCTTGTTGACATTGGTATTTGAGATCTACAGCTAGCTAACAGTACGGTATGAACAGAAGCTCAGTAGCCTTTCAACAAGACTTTCCAACTTGTAAGATCCTCAAGATGTCTACAATGATACGCACTCCTAGTACGCCAACAGCTCAACGATCATCACCAGCATCAGCAGCGTCGACTGGAACTTGGAAACACCCAAAATTTGATGAAATTGCAAGACGACAGAATGCGGCCACTTTTACAGACCAGAATATGAGACGGCTCTTATGGAATGGTGTAGGATTCATTGTGATATGGTATCTTGGCCGAACACTTTGGAGGACGTAAGTATATAAAATCCATGATCCGATGATATGTGCTAATTGTGACACAGATTTCCTAGTTATTTCTTTGACGAAGGATTATTCCCAACGATTGCGTCATGGAGCTTTCGACTGATGGAGTTTTGCCTTATTTTTAACGTCGTTGTCGCACTTCGCCCATTCTATAGAAAACGAGACGACATGGAAGATATTCCTTTGACACCTGCGCAACGGAAATTGCTTGGATTGAAACCTAGTTCCAGACCAGCTACTCCAGGCTCGGAATATGTAACTCCACCAAGATATAGGAGGACGTCAACACCCTTGAGCAGCTCACCTGCAAATCGAAGAGGAAGCCCGGCTTCTGGAAGTCCTTCCGGAAAACGATCTCAGAGCCCGCACGTCCAAGATGGTCTGGAGAGCTTGGTAAATCCACTTGGACCAATGTACTCCCCAGGTGCAAGCCCTTTACTGCAAAAGACTCTGAGGAGTGGAAGTGGCAACCGGAGGTCTTCGTATGGTTCGTCAAATCCTCTTGGTCGATCGATAGGTGAGCCTGGAACACCAGGCACGCCAAGCCCATTGGGTGTTGGGAAGACATCAAGTGTAGGACTAAATAATAAATGGCTCTATGAGAAGGGAAGGAGAAGTTCGGGGAATGCCCGATTGTATACGTAGACTTTAGACATAGTGGAATTCGGATATAGATACCATTCTAACCCGCGTTAGTTTTATTTATACCTGCAATTTCAATGATTGAATTGCCCCAGACTGCTATGTAATTGAGATTGTGGTTTGAAAAAATTCCATGCTCTAGTCTGTGATATACTTGTGAATCCTAGCTAGCACGTGAAGATTAGCTCAAAGTGAAGGCTATCTTATCGACCCAGTACAAAGAAGCTTCGTCAAACAATCTAGAACATTTATATTTCGAACAACTAACAACGTCTGCACTCCAAATGCAAGGCGCAATTAAGGATGGGAGCTTCCGACTCGAAATTAGTATTTAAGAAGGGCATCTTCAGGCTTTCAGAGGATAAGATTATTCCTGCCGATGACCCATATTGGGCTTCTGTAAGCTGATCGCACATCTTCAAGTGTGCTGTTACTGACTGAGCCTTGTTTAGTTTTGGGAGCTACCAGAATCTACAGAAGATATCTTCAGTCTCTTCTCCCCTGCGGACATTCGAAGAACCCGCGATACCGCATTAGAAAACTTAGAGACCCTGATATTAGCTATAACAAGTCGACTGTTCGTTCTCCGGCATCACCCCTCATTCCCTCATCCGGAGTTTGCTCCGGAAAGAGATGCATTGAATTGCATTCGGATTCTCACACGCATTCTACCATACGTATACGAAGCCGAGAAACTACAATCATGGGAAGAGACATTCTTTTGGGGTTCAAGGAGGAAACGGACACGGTATCTGATCGCACATCAATGTTGATTGATTCAGTCACTGACGGTTTTGTAGCAAGGCAGCTCTTGCCCGAGATGTGATATTCGATGAATCCCAGGAAGAGTTACAAAAGCTTGAAGCTGCGGCGCAAGAATTCGAGGAGATCAAACCCTTGGCAGAAGAATTGATCGACACATTGATCGACTTGCTCTTCTTCGCGGACTTTACCCTCCCAAAACCACAAAATAGTAAGAACAAAGTATCGTATGCTATTTGGCAAAGCGGAGTAGGATGCAATACGCCAGTCGGCACGAGTAAAGAATTTGAGAACAACCGCACCGAGATACTAAGATTGCTCTTGACTTTAACTAGTCAGAGCATGTACATGTCAGCGAACTTACTTCCCGTACAAGGTGTGAAGGCTATCACGTATATCGCTACTTGTCCGGATAAACAGGTTGTGCTATCTGTGTTGTGCTCTTTACTGAACACTGTGAGGTTATATCATCTTCATCTATATACGAATGCTAATTTGTACAAAGACCTTGAAATACAACCCGGCAAAATGGCAAGTACCATACAATGTACAAGTTTTCAAAGACCCGAAACAGATATTAGTCACATATGCATTGCAGGTCAGTCAATATACCATCCGTTGGTCTCAGAGTCTGATACTCGAACTCGTAGTTTTTACTTGCCATTCTCCTATATCCAATACCTGAATCGGGTCCAGCCCAAACCAAGAAAAGTAGGATTTGGTTCCTTTCTGTTTGTGGCTCCCAACTAACATTGCTAGATTTTTTCCGACATTTTCTTGGTCGTCTACATAGACCCCAAGATTTTCAGTTCATTGTAGATGGAATGACGAGAATCTTGAACCAGCCTATGAACGCTACTACTTCCTATATCCCGGGAAACCAATCATACGCGAAATGTGCATCAGAAATGATTATGCTATTCTGGGAAATCACCCAGTGTAATAAACGATTCCGGTCTTTCTTGATTGATACGGATCGATCACACGATTTCGTTATTCTAATCATATTCTATTCCCTTGAATATAGGCTTGATGCATCTAAGCAAGGAGTTGTACGAATGTGTATTTTCATATTACAGACCTTGAGTGTGGAGCCGAACTTCGGCAAGAATTTGAACAAGCGATTTGAAGCCCAAGATACTTTGCCACTGAGTATTAGACTTCAGTCGTTCAACGGAACATATGCCGATTTCCTTATCCAAGTAGGTATCATGTAACATGTTAACTCTCTGGCAATACTGACCAAGAAATAGTCCATCTACAACATAATAACAACGAGCCAAGGAAAACTCACGGCCATCTATCCTGCATTACTAGCAGTAATAAATAACATCGCTGCTTATCTGGAAAACATTAGCGCTTCCACATCTTCAAAACTCCTACAACTATTTGCATCAATGTCATCCCCCGGATTTCTGCTATCAAACGAGAGTAATCATGATCTTCTTCAGTCTCTTCTGGAAAGTATGAATGCTATCATTGAGCATCAGTTTCCTAGTGAGTCGTCTAAATATTATCATGTCTCTAATGAGAAGTAGAATGCTAACTGGTATCTAGAAAATCCTAATTTTGTGTACTCTATTTTGAGAAACAAGAAGAAATTTGAAGGTATAATTGCATTCTTTTTTTACTTTGAGTTCAAGCTGACTTTGATTTAGCTTTACGGCACTTTACTTTGGAAAGTGGCCAAGAAGAGATAGAAAGAAGAAACAGGCGCAAGAAAGAACGTCTAGCAGAATCAGGAGATGTAGATAGTAGAAGAGGTTCTGCGGACAGCATGCGAAGCCCATCTATAAATCATCAACGAGGGCCTTCGGCACTTAGTAATGTCCCAGAGGAGGATACTTTTGCCATTGGGGATGATGATGATGAAGATAGTGACGGTGAGGGACGTCCCACCCCAGCAGCGTCAACTCCCACAGATCACCCTTCAAGGGCTTCCTCGATATCCTCGAGCATTGACGATACAGTTCCGACACAACTGCGGGGAATGTCAGAAAAAGCGAGAGGGAAAATGCCTGGTAGGTTATTTTTTTGCATTGAGTGGGCGAGTAAAAGTTACTAACTAGCAGTAGCTGGCATGCCCACATTTTCTAGGCACAATAGCACAACTAGTTTAAGTAGCTACGCAGCATTTCCATCAAATGGCGCATTTGAACCTACACCTCAGTGGATAGAGTCCTGGCTTCCCGAACTCCCACTCCATACAATCTTAACTTTAATCGATCAAATTGATCAACTCATCTCAAATCCTAACAATCCTTCCGATATTCCTCCGACTAATATCCTCCGCACGATCCAAAAAGCCGAAATAAGAGGAATAGAAACTACACCCATTCGCATTCATTCCTTTGAGTGGACACCTTTATCGCTTGGTTGGTACGAATCCCTACTTTGGGCTTTCGTCTTTACATCCGAAATGCAGGTTGCGAAGGGCACCATAGGTGTCTGGAATGGCACAGCAATCAAATTATTCAGGGTCCAAGAAGTAGCAGCACACGGACCTACATTTAGCTCCCCGAGAGGTGCAGTTGATGCCGTGGGAAGTAATATTGTCAGTAGGCTTGGTAGTATGAATTTGAGAGGTGTAGCACAGGGTGCTACGACACCATCGCAACAGGGAAGTGGTGGCGGAGTTGGAGGTGGTATTGTGAGGACTGGTACGGGAGGATCTACAAGAAATGAATCACCACTGGGAGGTAGGAGTGCAATTATTCGATGAGTCGACATAGGAGCATGGCTAGGTATAGAGTGCGGCACGGTTTGGCATACTTGCATGCAATTTGGCAATATCATGGGAGATTCACATGCGAACTTCTCTTCAGCGTTGGCGTATAGGGACAAGATAAGATAATTTGCTAGTCTCGTATAAAGCTATGTGGTAGAACTATGGAACCACTTTGAGCAATTTCAAATACCAAGATCGGGACGAGAAATGTCAGTATTTCCCCTTTACTTTTTTGTGGCGAAAACGCCAAATGAAGTGCTGCGCTATTTTTTCATGGCAATGTATGTGATATCCAAAGTAGATAAGTCAAATCTGATTCCAATGTACAAATGTTTTTGGTGAAAGTAAGAAGCATGTATGAGAAGTGGCTGTGCAATCACATCGACTTCGGAATTACTTTGACCACTCTAACTCCTAACCTATCAGAATCTCGAAAGCTTCCGTAACATGTGCTCTCGGTAGATACCTACCTAGTATCTCAAGCTTGTGTTTGCCGTTCCTGCTTGATCTGCACGATCGTCGACGAAATTCCAGAGTATGCAATGTGCATGAAAACGGGAAGCGTGTGGCGGTGTTCTGATGATCATTCCCTACCTAGGTAACGTTTCTGATGGGTGGGTTGGATGTGTAGATAACGGTTTTTGATAGGTTTGATACGTTTGATGTGTGCGCATGGGGAAGTTTAGGGGTCGTAGGTTACGCCACGATTGTGGCTCGTGCGTGCGTGCGTGCTGGATTAATTAATATTAAGCTTAATTAAATATGAGCGAGCTGAGCGCGTGGGTGAAATTGTTTATTTTTTATTTTTTATTTATTTTTTTATGGAAATGAGATGAGTGCGAAGAGTTAAGAGAAAAGAGGGAAGATAGGTTATCTTCTGGTATTGCTATCTTTAGGTGCCCAATATTTGAATATTGGTCAGTCCTAGCTGTAGCTGTTTGGTTTTGCATCCGGTATTGTGTTCTTTTGATTGGGTGGAGAGAGAGAGAAGGTCAGAGGACTGGTGATTTCATTGATTTTGTTGATCTTTTGCACGACCGGTCGATATACATCGGGGAAAGTGGGTGAGATTTCTTGATTGTGTGTTGATATTGATTACTTAGGTATTGGTATACGATATTCGTAATGGAATTGGGGAGGAGTACGGTACTTTCGAGTGTGGCGGAACATGATGAGGAGGGAGAGATGATGGGAATGCAGGAGGAGGAGGTGAAGAGGTATAGGATTCATGTGAGTGGGTTTTTTTGTTTAATGTTTTTACGCTTTTGTTTATTCTATATGTTTGTCCCTTTGTATCAAAACTAGGTAGTATGAGATATTGTTTTTGAATTTCGAGTCGGAGATTAGTGGTTTAGATGCTGGTGCTGGTGCTGCGGCATGGAATGGAATGGGAGGGGATTAACAATGCTAATGGGGTGGCGAGATAGATTAGTTCGAAATATCTCGATTTGACGAGGAAGAAATTGGAGTTGACGCGGTTACCGCACGAGAGACCTGGGGAGGAGGGTGGGAGGGGTAAGAGTGAGGAAGGAGGGGAAGAGGAATTGAATGAGGAGAGCGGGGTAACTAAGAGGGAGATTGAGGAATTGGTTGATTATTGGTATGTATATTTTGGATTCTTGTCTATCTATCTATTTTAGGATTGGAGCTTGTAAAGGGAAGTTTTATTTAAAAGCGAGGAAAGAGCTAACATATTGATGCACAAAAGGCTAGAAAACTATTCCTGGCGCATGAGAGAAAATCATTATAATACGACCTACCCACAATATCGCACTACCTTTACGATTCCGGAGTCTATTAGCAATGCGTCGAAAGAATCGAGCCGAACTCTTCGTGTTCATTTCTTACATATACGAAGTACACGTCCGAATGCGGTCCCGCTGTTGTTGGTTCCTAGTTTTCCGAGTAGTAATTTGAGCTTGGATTTAGGTGTGTTAGTTAGGGAATTGTGTGAGCCGGAAGTTTTGGAAGAGGATGCACAAGGACACGGACACGAACACGGACATGGACATAAGCAGGCTTTTGATCTGGTGATACCATCTATTCCGGGCACGGGGTTTAGTGATGAGATACCTGGATCTAAAGGTGATGTGGTGAAAGAGACGGCGAAATTATTTGGGCAATTGATGAAGAGGGTGGGATATGAAAATTATATTGCTTCGATGATGGGTTCTGGGAGGGAGAGGGGCGGAGAAGTGGATTATTATCTAGGGAGGGAAATTGGAGATTTGGAGGGCTGTAGAGGTGTACATTTGGTTGAGCCAAGGTGGGGAATTCCGACTGTGAAAGAAGGGGTTTGGGATTGGGTTAGATGGAAGGTAGCGTTGTTCTTTCATGCGGGCATCTGGGGTTATGAGAAGGGGGACTGGAAAAGTTTGGGTTTGCAGGTGAGGAAAGGGGAGCACAAAATGCCGGGCAGAATGTCGTTGTTGGGTGGGAAAAAGAAGATGAGATATGGAGCTGTTGCTAGCATTGGCTTGAGAGAACCGGATATTTTGGCTTACGCACTTTGTGACTCTCCTGTGGGGTTGTTAAGTTTTCTTGCGACGGCATTGAGGAAGAGAAGTCCGAAACATCAACTAAGCAAAGAGAAAATTATTGATCTTTGTCAATTGTGTTGGCTACCCGGACCCGAAGCAGCGTTGCGATATTATGCAAATGCCATACAAGAAAGTGAGCAATTGGAAGGCGACAAGGGTAACACGAAGCGGAAGACAGTTGCGATAACGGTATTTGATGGAGAGCAAGGCTTTGTTGGGTATAGTCCTCCTGCTTGGGGAATGGGTAGATATGAAGTTGTCTTCGTTCAAAGGGCCAGTGGCAAACCTGGACTTCTGGAGTGGGAAAGATCGGATGTTATTTTTGAAGGTATTCGTGGTTTGGCGAAGGAAGTGCTTAAATTGGATGATAAGATTCAGCTGCGAAGATTGGAAGGAGTATTTGTTGATGGAGAGCTTGAACATGGCGAGAATAGGGATGATAATGGTCATGGTATGCAGCTAGATGTTGAAAGTCCGGATACGATTGTTGCTGGTTGAAATGGTACACAAGGACACGGATGATCTGAAGATGAGATCAGTGTTAATAAAGAGTGCGGAGATAATCAGGATATACATAATACAAGACGAGAAGGATATATGGGATGGAGCATAATGAGGGAAGACATGCTTTGAGATACCAATGAGATTAGCTTTTACTCACGCACACAAAATTTCCTGTGAAAAATTAATGTTCGTTACAACTTACATGCCCAAATACATGAGATGCTCTCCAAGTGAAACACATATTAAATGCCAAGACAATCTGATCGACCCCGAAAAAAATAGACGCCGCGTTTGTTGGTACACGGTAGATGTTGTGATCGACCGACCTCGCGCTGACAAGGGCATTGCAGATAAATAGATACTTTTTTTCTCCACATCTTTCCGTGTTCGAAAATATATCTTTGGTCTGGGGCCAGCTTGTCCTCAGCTTGCCCTACTGGTCTTGGTCCTTAGTATGTAAGATTAATTGTTGCATACGTGATATCAAGACATGTTCAACAATTTTTTTCAAATGTGACATGTCATATATAGAAGGCTTAGCCTTGCTGCTCCTCCAGGACCAGCAGGTCGCCAAGAAAATCTTGCATGCCTTGCGGTGAAAGGTCTGTGAACCCCGAAGGCGGGGTGGTTTCTTTGCTTGGAAATTTGGGCGGGCGATGGCCATGGGATGTCCTGAGTGTAACTTTTGGTGGGTGTTGGTGGTTCGAAATTTTACAGCTGCAGTATTTGGGATGGTATCACATTGTGTTTTTGTAGAGGATTGAGTGATTTGCGTTTTATATTCGAGACGGTATGACTTTGTGTTTGTTTCTACCGGGAGGTATCTAAATTATGGCTGAGATGAGATGAGGTGGGATGAGATGGCTGATGTGGTCTTAATTCTTCATGCTAAGACATGCTTTGTAAATGTGCAGCTCTTACTGGTTCGATCACGATACCAGATGTGATAGTAACTCGTAAATGTTTGAAGGAAAACACCAATAGGGGAAAGCGGAATTCCCATTAATGATGCATGGCTGAATGCTGTAAGCTTGCTGGCTGGCTAGCTACTAGGTATAGATGCAAGTAGATTAATAAAAGCATCTCTGAAATCTTGTTCATGCAAAGGGAGGGAGGGGCAAGAGTACATATTTTTTCTGGGGCAGCTTTTAAAATTAATGTCAGCATTTCTTTCATGTCTTGTGCCGCGATAATGCGCGCTCATATGCTAAAATGATGCATGCTTCAAAGTTGGATGATTTCTTATCTGATGTTTGATATGTTGGTCTACGATCTGCACCGGCGCAATAGGATCTTTTCTCCGCATGTGGCATCTTCCCCAATAATATAAATCAAAATGACCTTATCGTGCGTTTCCTAGGCAAATACTGTATGTACTGCGGAGGAGGCAGTTACTACGTCGCAGCTTGTTCGCAGAGTTGACCTACAATGACAAAATTGTCTAGGTTAGGGGCTGTCGATTTCGAAAGGGATTTTACATTTCCTTCATTAAATCAGATATAGCTGGCCTTGCCAATATTTGAATAGAATAAACGAATGGTTAATGAAATGCATCGCGTTAAATAGCCGCCGTCATGTAAGCATCGTTCGATTCGAAAAGGGAAGATCTTCTCGGGGACTAGATCAAATGCAAGAAGCCGTTTCTTCGGGGAAGGAGAAAATAAATTGACTTCTTTTGCGTACTATGGGGCCAGGAGGCAGGAGGGCTTGCAATGTGGACTCTACAGACCGCGGGACTCTCTCTACCTTAGCTAGAACAAGAACAAGACGCCTCCACACAAACCAACAACTTTTCTAGCTGGCCGCGATGAAAACTTTATTTTTATTCACTCCTTTTTCGTCCCTTTTCCTTCCCTTGCACATATATCATACACTATGCTCTATCTACATCATACAAACGTACATACATATATCCACACACATACATAGTTAACCCCCAGTCTCTCACAGTATTTTCTTCATCCTCGTCATTCTCCTCCATTTCCTCATTTCTCCTCGTTGTGTGTGCCCTTTCCATTCCGTATCTTATCATACAAATATTCCGTTTGGACCTGTCGAATGGTACCAATTTCACACAAGGGAGGTTCGACAGATACTTTTGTTCAATTGGGACATTGCGATCTTGTTTTTTTTGGGGAAGGACGAAGCTAAAGAATAATTACGTCCATTGTGATTTCCCGCCAAGTGTTGACAAAACTAACAAAGACCAAATTTCTGGTGGACTTTATCACTTTCAACCCCCGAAAGCTTCTTTCTCCTTTTGCTTCGCCACAGTAAAAACATCAAACAAACATACCGTCCGAGGAGTCTTTCGCAGACTTTCTTCGCGACTTCCTCGGTCTGTGGCCCTTCTACGATGCATTCGTGCAAACGGGGATTTTTAGATATTCGCTGTGCTCGAGTAGCTGATACTTTTTGATATCTCTCAAGAGCGCACCGCTCGGCGCTGCAACATCCACTTTTCCAAGCTCTTCTCTCAAAGGCCACAAAGATGTTCACCCTTCTCCTGGAACTATGGCAGCAAATTGCGGCTCTCAAGCCATCTTTTATTTCCAAAAGTCCTCATTTCAATTTCATCACGATACATTGTAAGTTCACAGAGACTCGCATGGCGAAATGGAAAATTCCGGATTGTGTAACGAGGCTAACTTTATGCCATGAATAGATTTCTGGATCATTGGAATAACACTCCTCGGCTCTTTATGTTTATATATCCGAGGAGGAATCGATTACATAGATGCTCTATTCTTCGCAAGTGGTGGTGCAACGCAAAGTGGCCTGAATACTATCAACCTCAATGACCTGAACACATGGCAGCAAACAGTTCTATACTTGCTACCTATATTTACGAATCCAATCACGATCAACTCTTTCGTTGTCTTCCTCCGATTATATTGGTTTGAGAAACGATTTCAGCACATTGCTGCCCAAAATAAAAAGAATCGAAGGAGCATTGGGAAGTCATTCTCAAAGTCGAGAACAACTGATGCCGGGACTGTAGATCAAGAGAAAGGTGTTAATGGCAGAAATATTGTTGTAATGCACGGTACGACACGAGCGAATGTTATGCAAAATGATAAGGATGTTATTGTGGATATTCAAGATGCAATCGAAAAAGAAAGGGCCATGAACAGGGCAGAGGCTATTAATGGTTCTGGGAGTAGTAACCTATCAAGTACGGAGACGGCGAACGATCCTAGTCCTACTTCTCATCAGACACAAATCAAGTTTGCCGATCAAGTAAAGAGGAGTAATGGAATGGACGATGAAGAATTGCGATTACCGGTTCGCCGCAGGGACGAGGATCACATCGCATTTCTAGAACGTCAACGAAATCCAGAAGACAGGACTATCCTTCGAATCCCGGGACCAAGAGATGCAGATGCTGGTGTATCTCCACAAACCGTTGAGGAGGAGGAGGAGGAGAGAGGGGATCCGCTCACAAGAACGTTATCTCGCGTATGTTCTGCATATTCTCGAAGGGGAAGCATTGATCGAGGAACTTTAAATGGAGAGACACAATGGCAAGATCATTATCCGTCGAGGAAGCGCAATATCACAATCGAAGTTCCGACGCATCCCAAGGCTGAACGTGCGGTCGATGATGTGAAAGCTGCAGGTTCCACTATCAAAGGCGTCATGAGATTTCGCAATAACAGAACCATTGAGCGCAACGAAGCCACCGAGACCCAAGGAAATGGGGCCGTCATCACAAAATTGAAGTCGAGAGCTCCAACATTTCAAAGCATAAAGACAGCCCTTACTGGTGAAAAGGAAGATCCCACTCCTTATTTGAGCTGGGCGCCGACCATAGGTCGTAATTCAGCCTTCGTTGATCTGACCGAGCAGCAAAGAGAAGAACTTGGTGGAATAGAGTATAGGTCATTAAAATCATTGGCTTTAATTTTGTCTTGTTACTTTATAGGGTTTAGTATATTTGCTGTCGTTTGTCTATTGCCTTGGATTCTTCACAATCATACCTATGGTTCAATAGTCGAAGAGGTCGGCCAGGGCAGAGTGTGGTGGGGTATTTTCACAGCCAATTCTGCTTTCACGGATCTGGGATTTACCCTCACCCCGGACAGCATGATCTCTTTCAACACTGCTATTTGGCCGCTCTTACTGATGTCATTTCTCATTATCATTGGCAACACGGGATTTCCGATTATGCTCAGATTCATCATTTGGGTCACCACATTGTGGGTACCTAGGAACAGTGGAATTTGGGAGGAATTGAGGTTTTTGCTCGATCATCCTCGTCGATGTTTTACACTTCTTTTCCCAAGTAAAGCGACTTGGTGGCTCTTCTGGATTCTTGTCATATTGAACGGCTTGGACTTGTTGTTCTTCATTATCCTTGATGTGAGTTTATCCATCTCCGTACTATTGTGACTTACTGACAGCCTATCTTAGCTTGGCAATTCGGTTGTAACTGATTTGCCAGTGAACATCCGCATTCTTGATGGTTGGTTCCAAGCTGCTTCCACAAGAACGGCTGGTTTTGGAGTCGTCAATCTTGCCCTACTCCATCCTGCTATCCAGGTTTCCTATCTAATCATGATGTACATTTCGGTTCTTCCTATTGCCATATCTGTTCGTCGAACGAACGTTTATGAGGAGAAATCATTGGGTATATACGGATCGCCGTCAGAAGAAAATGAGGATGAGGGAGAACCATCTTACGTCGGTGCCCATCTTCGAAGACAATTGTCTTTCGATTTGTGGTATATTTTCTTGGGCTTTTTCATCATCTCAATCGCCGAAGGTGGCCGACTTCAAGGTACTGATCCATCGATTAACATGTTTTCGGTCTTGTTTGAGATTGTCAGTGCATATGGTACAGTTGGCCTGAGTTTAGGATACCCAGGAATTGATGCCTCCTTGTCTGCCGAATTTAACACTGTCTCGAAACTCGTCATGATCGCTATGCAAATTCGTGGACGTCATCGTGGTCTTCCGTACGAACTTGACCGAGCCATCTTATTGCCAAGCGAGCATTTAGCACAGAAAGAAGCTCAAGATGCAGCACAAAGGGTTCATCGTCGAAATTCAAATGCGACAATAGTCAGCAATAAATTGGATCTTGCAACCGTCAACACCGCTGTCCAAAGATCCAACACGGAGCGTCAAGCCCCACAATCGAGCTTTTTAAGCAGTCTCCTTCACCCTGGCCCAACAATTCCTAACAGCCATCGAGATCAAGGTCTGAGTCATATTAGACGACACAGTGTAGCAACACCAGAAAGAGGAAGAAGCATCAGCCCTAAAGCTAGTGGCGGTGTCTTTTCAAAATGGAGCACCTCCGATAAACATCAAAATAATGTGGATAAGAAAATATCTGAGTAATAAAGGAGTAATTTTTGAAGGCGAAATATGAATAAACTGTACAAAAAAGCTATTATTTAATTTTACTTGGGAGGGGAGATTTGGGAGAACACGGGATACTATGATATTATGATACCTTAGATCGATTTTATTCTGCTGGGCATATAATATTGATGATTTTGGAGTTTGTATGTTGATCGGATGTGATGGGTTTTATAGACTTAAGCATGGTTAGCGTTGTCGTTATTTGTACTTGGGCATCTTAGGGAATTTTCAATGGATTACTACGGTGCGTATGTAAATCAATCAAATTTGAAGGTTGGGGATTTGTGGTTTGTGTTTTGTGTTTAGGGTTGGGTTCCGGGGTTTATGTTAGATTACTTGGTATGTATGCATGCATGTATAGGTAGGTGTTTTTGGGGGCTTTTCGGGAGATCTTGGGAGTGTTGTTTGTGTGTTGCGGGAGTAGCTGGCTGGGCGATCAGTTGGGAGTACATGGCTGGGGATTAGCTGATGTTTCTTCTGAATGTTCTGGATGCTCTGAATGTAGGATTATGGATAGATTGATTGATTCGAATGTTATGATATGGTATGCGATGGAGTGGAGTGAAGTGGATTGAGTGGAATAGATTATATTATTATTTGTTATGTTGTATTGATTTGTTTTTGTGATTATTGTGATTATTGAAGACTGATTGCTTGACTGTGTTTGAGCTTGAGTTTGAACACGAGTTTGTATTTGAATTCAAGTGATGGATGGATAGGTGGATGAATGAGAATGGAAACTTATCTACTAGCTTTTCCGCAAAATTATATAGATACATGTATACACTTTTCTTTCTTCCTCTAAATAAGATTATATAATCTTATATTTAGGTGGGTGGGTGGTTGGGTGAATGGGTGAGTATTAGATATAAGATACAACTTCTAATAGAAATTTGAATACAATTTATTCATTCATTGATTCATTATTTTCATCTACTGTATCTACTAGTACTTTTCAAGGAAAGATGTCTGATAGGTTGATAAATAGGTATGGATAGGTATCAAAATAACAAAGATGAGTCTATTATATTATTCTTTAGCTTTTATTTTTATTTTTTTATTTTTTTGATATCCCTTCTGGATAATATCACTTAATTATTCTTTCTTTTTTTGGTCTATCGATTGATTACAAAAGCGGAAGTTAAAATGTTAACGTCTGGTATTTAATATCTAATATCCATTCCTAAATCCATTCTCAGTATCAGTCTCAATATCAGTCTTACACTCCCTTATAAACCATCACCTAAGTCGACTAACCTTCCCTCTCTTCCCTCCCATCCTTCCCCCTCCCCATCCCTCTCTTCCATTCCCTCAACCTCCTTCTCCCTTCTCTCTCCCTCTCCCCACTCCACTACTCCCCCACAAACTCCCTCCTTCCACGCATATCGATTTCTTCTTCGCCTGTGATTCCTTTCATTTTCTCTATATCTATCACCATCTCTATTCCTATATCTTTCCCTTTCCAGTTCCCTATCCCTATCCCTACCTCCATTTCTATTTTTATTCCTACTTCTATTTCTTTCCCTTTCCCTTTCCCTTTCCCTATCCCCAGAAGAATAACTAGATAAATCATCTAAAAGCGAGCGCGCTAGAAGCAAAAGAGCTGTTATGCAGAGGAGATTCATTTTCTGAGTTCGAGCTGAAACTCGAAAATTTGATGTATAAGATGATTTTTGAGCCCATTTCAGAGCTTAAAGGTTTGGAGGTATAGAGACGATTTGAGATTTCCCGTATATTCGTAGGATACTATAGGTCCGAGGAAGATGATATCGATTCGATGCACGACTATACATGGAGCCGTAACGCGTTCGTTGACTAATTAGCACCGACGACTCAAACTTCCGATATAATAATATGATTTAATCCCGCTCTAGAAGCTTAAGAGGATGATATAAATATAAATCTTATGTATAATCGACGGGAACGATGTAACGAGGTAATCTCGCCATAAGGTAAGTTGAGGGATAAAAATGGAATCTGCTGCATCCACACTGATATATCCTCAGATATCTATCTGATCGAAAAGTCTTTCCAAAAGCCTATGAAACACCCCACCAACCAAACGACTTTTAGAATCCAAACCAGAGATTTGAGAAAAAAGCAGATTTCTAGAATATCGGATACCAATTAATAATTACCAGCAAAGTACCTGCAGCAAGGAAAGCTTAGTAGTCTCGAGATAATCGATTAAATTATTAAATTCTTGAAGAATTTACTTAGTATTCGAAACTATGATTCTGAAGTAAGAATAGAATGTAGGATGTGAATGAATATAAAATAGGAAAATAGCATTATGACAAGAACCTGTATGCTAAAGGACGATATGTCACTTGCTGGGGGTCAGAATTGAGTCACTCCAATTCCTCAGTGGAAGTTGATAGTGAATCTTTTTATCATATCACCTCGATATATTCTTACAGTCAAATCAGAAAGGAGGATGAAAAAGTGGCATTTCTAATGTTGAGATAGAATCGGATGGATCTTTATCTTGCTGTAAGATTCGTACCATCATATCACAACACTACTTAGAGTACAACAGTAAGATTGGGTTGAAAAGATGTGGATAAAAGAGCAAAAGAATCCTCATTCTAGATTAATGTATTACTTTTAGCCTATTGATACAACGCTTTGCGTTAAGAGTAAAACATAAATATTTCATAATCATTCCTTTCCCATCTTTCCCTTCTTTCCCTTCTAAGAAACCTGACTATACCAGAGATATAAACGCCATACCCTATAACCTGCCATTAGGGCAAAGATTGCTCTTAGATTAATCTAGACGATGTAGAAGTGAATCTGTTGTACATGTTGATGAATGACTGTCATGACGAGAGAAAAAGGGTGATACACAAAATAGAAAATTCATTTACCAGCCAACGAAGATTCTTCAGCGAAGAACAAAGCAAAAACAATGAAAGTTGTGAGATGCAAAAAAGGTAAAATTCACGCTAGACAGACCTTGCAGCGCATATTGTTACAGTGATAATGCGAATTCTCCAAGCTTACGAGGGAAGCCAACAATTACTAGTATCGCACTTGGCGATTTGAGGCAGCAGGTGGTGGTTCCGGATGTCGAGGGTCATATTCTTCATAATACGCAGGATCTGCACGACCAACGGCTGGGCGTGTTTCATAAAGGGGCTGTCTCGAGAGTGGCTCCTCCTCATATGCTGCATACATTGTTTCATGTTCTCGACGGGCAGACCTATGTATGATGTAAGGGCCCTGAGAATCGTACTGGACATATTCGTAAGCTTGCCGAGGTCGAGGCTCATCGGCGTAGACACGGTAATACTCTTGACGAGGAGCTCTCTCATAAATAATTTCTTCCATTGGTGTCCGCGTGCGATATATGGGTTCTTGTCGAGAGAGATGAGCATCTGGACTGCGCTCAGCATACTGACCAGATTGTGCACCCACCTTAACGTATATTGGTGACCTTGAACGTGCTCGATCATTCTCCAATCTGACACTCTCATATCGAGCATATCTACTCGGGGTGCGATGAGCCCCGTGACTTCCTTGTCTCTCATCACGGTAAATTACGTTGTTTGCGTATCTTCTATCAATAGTCTCGGGAGATCGCTCCCCGGCCACCATTTGCCCAGAAATCGGATCGGCATATCGGTCATCCGTAGCGTAAGCTCGAATTTGTCGAGTCTGAGATGGACGCTCTTGTGTATAGTACCCATTGTAAGCTCCTTGCTCATCGGACACATACATAGGTCGGCCAGATGCGGGGAAGCCATCGTTGTAAACTTCCCGAAGACGTTGCTGAGATTCTGATGACAAGGGGCGTCTCTGTCGCACGCTTTCAGAACGTTCTGCTTCCCATCTCGGCTCTATAATATCCTCTTTGCGGCGTGCTGATTGCTCAAATCTTTGACTAGCTACTTCAGCACGCTTCTCCGATTGGAAGTCGCTCAAAAACCTTTCTGCGTCATTGGTGGCCTGATCCAACGTCCGCTTACGATTAGTTTGCGCAATCGTTTCTCTTTGCAACTCGCCTTCTTCTGAACCAATCTCAGCAGGTCCATCACGGATAGCAGTCTGTTTCCCGCGTGCTTGCTGTGCCTGCTGAGAGATCTGAGCTACTACTTCGAAGATACGGTTTTGTTGAGATGTTGCATCCTCTAATGGCCTGTATTGAGGTAATAACGAATCTTTCGACACAGCCGAGACGGCGGACAATGGTTCATCTTGCCGTTTTAATTGATATGATTGAGAGCTAGCATTTGCATACTCCCGAACGGGAGTAGTTAGGTCATCGTAGGTCCTAATGGTTCGTTCGTAGCGAGGTCTATGTTCTTCGATTTTCTCCTCTCTGTACCGATTTTTCCTATTTGAGTAAATTGGAGCTTCGTCACGGGCGGCATGGCGGCCGTAATTCTCGCCTGGCCTAGCATAAGATACAAGAGGTGATCGGGGCTTTATGGGACGGCGAAGATCGACGTTCTTATCCTGAAATATTTGGTGATCCTTTTCATGGAGAGAGGATGTGGCCATTGATGTGGCGTTGAGTGATCCTTGGCGCTCTCGTGCATTTCGGGGGTGGCGTGGATCATATGGGTTACTATCTTTTGTGACAGAGACCGATTCTGTATCTGGAGTTCGAGTATCTGCAAGCGTGGCATAATATTTTCCATGATTGTCTTGCGAGGGTGCGAGCGCTTCAGTTTTGTCTTTGCTGGCATATGGCGTCCGCTGCCAAAGCGGTGTTTCTTGGCTTAGAGGTTCAACTTTTGTTTGCCACGATGAATTTCGTTGGGTCATGGTATCCTTTCTCGGTGGTGGAGTCGCAGCGATTTCTGGGAGAGCTTCTGAAAAGATCGCAAGCTTCCGATCGTCCATTCCTGGAGCGGTTGAAACTGAAGACATTTTTGCCCGGTCGGGAAGTTCGACCATGTCCTTCGTCCAATCTGGAAAATGGCCGATAAAATTCGCGGGCACCCCTTCCTCATGAATTGTGCGAAAGTGGATGGCAAGTTGAGGGAACGAAAAATGTTTCTTATCGGGTTTCGAAGAAGTAACATGGCCTGCCATACCTAGTACACAAGCGCGGCACAAAAGTCCGTTGATATTTCGAACAGGTCGCATGTCCTTATTACTGGATAATCCATCAACTATCATAGAAAGTGGTGGATCTTGTCCGAACTTGGATCGGAACCTTTTCAACATGTGATAGAGAATGGCGTATACTTTTACACTACCAGGAACTTCTTTCACGCCAATTAATGAGTCCCAAATAGCCCTAGCATCCCGACCAAGCCCCTGAAGCTGGGCCTTATACTCATCCGTCTGTTGTGGTGAAGAAACCTGAGGTTGTGCTTGCTGCGGTACGGACGTTGACATTTGTGAGTAGTTGCCATTAGAATAGACTGAAGGCTGGTTGTATGAGGTGGAATATGGGGCACTTTGGGGAACATATGATGACTGTTGGGCGTTGCTGTCAGGTGCCGGGGTAGAATACATCTGACTAGGGGCTAGAGAGGCATAGCCCGGCTGGGTTGACGTCTGGTAAGAAACCCCATAACCAGGCTGTGGATAATTCTGATTAGGGTCGCTGTAACCAGGTGTCATGGCATTCAATGGCGGTGCAGAATATTGCGAATAGCCTCGATTAGGATCTTGATATATTTGTTGCGGCGTATACGTGCCAGGTTGAGGAACTCCGAATTGATCTTCATATTGAGAATGGTTATAATATGAATTCTGGTAAACATTGGAATTAGGTGCAGCGGAGACGGGCTGCTGGTAACTGGCATATTTACCCAAACCAGCATAAGGAGCAGTGGCACTCGGCCCAGGAAAGACAGGGTAGGCCTTTTTAACCCGGGCATCAGGATCCGGACAAAAAGGCGGGTACTCCGGCCATTCCGACTTCCAATGAACAACTATGGTGCCAACGCTGAACGAATTGGTATGCTTAGCAGCAAAGTGCTGAATAACACCCTCGAAGCCATAATACTTGAAATTGTTGTCGCAGACGTTGCAAAGAAAAAGCTCCTTATTATACTGCTCAGTTAGAGGCTTTATTTTGGTATCAAATACCCATTTCATATTTTCTAACGTTAGCTTGCGAGTGTAAGGCCCCATCGGCGGATCTGACGGTGGTTCTTGGCCTGTTGCCCGCACGGCAGTATCATCCTTGGCGATTTCGGCATAAAACCTTTTCCGGACGTAGATCAGGACATCTGCGGCAAATCTAGGACTAGATTCTTTGGTCACTTTAGCACCATCGTTCCAGCCAGCATGGATTGTTTCATCAGCATATGCACCAATTCGAGCCCGGAGTGGAGCTTGGACATCATCCCATTCCCTATCAATGGCATCCTTGTATTCCGGCTTGACTTGGATGTCCTGAAAACGTCGTTCATCGGATCGCTCCTCAACTACTCGGGACTGTGCAATCCGGTCATTTTCGCGCTGCTCGGCTTCCTCTCTCTGCGATAGTAGTCTGGGCTTCAATACTTCCCAGGCACCATCATTCAGTGGTTGGATTATTTGTATAGCTGCCTGGAATGAGCTCATATGGGCTAGAACATTTGCTGTTAGTGGAGGATCTAACAATAAGCACCTTCGCTCGACTTCGGCTCTTCGCGTTGCTTTCAGATCCGCAACTTCCTCCTTGGTCCTTTCATGCCTTGGCTGTTGATTTGACCGAGGTGTATATGCAGAATACATATTTTGTGAAGGCGAATCGTATCGCGGTGGTGGAATATTCGCTGCTATGGCCAGGTGTTAGTCTCTGTTGGGTGGAATGAATTGCAAGACTAGCAACGTGAATAGCTTACGGAAAGAAGTATGTATTGCAGGTAGCGATTTAGGTAATTGAGGTAATGGATGGGCGACAGGTGTATGGTTTGCCAATCTTGAAAACCCGTTTGTTAAAATTGGTTGCCCTTGTGCATGAGTAATATCGGTGTTCGGGACAAGCGCTGCAGGTATTTGTTTTGAGTGATGTTTTTGCTCTGGGGTTTTCATCCGAATAATTCCACCACTTGCCTCCCATCTTTCCCATCGAGCTGCGTCATTACGCCGTTCCTTACCACGATCTTCTAGGCCCTTTAGCCATTCTTCTATGGTCGCTGAACCCATAGCTTTGACGGATTCAAATTCTTCCTTGATATCCTCAATATGCTTCTTGAGGTAATATTTCGTAATTTGAGTAGTTGAAGGGGGTTGGCCATTCTGCAATGCTGTCGCGGGAATGACATGAAGCTCATTGGTGAGTAATACGAATGGTAAGGCTGGCATCAGCAGTGATGGGATTGATGAGGACAATAATAAATCAATCTCCTGGGCGCGAATTAGTGAGCCCCAGGTATAAACTAAAGAAAATATGAGACTGTACCTTAACAGCATGTTGTAGAAGACAATTTCCGCAAGACCTCACCGCGAATGACCAGACAGGAATGACTCCATTTTCACCTGGACCAAGATGCCATGGGTCTGATCGCATAACATTGATAAATGGACTTTTCTTGCTACAGAATTGACAAGAGGCAGAACAGGAAATTCTCCACATATCAAGCTCAGTCTCTCCTACTAAAGGAACAGGCATGAGAGGTTTAAAAGCACGTCTAGAGGCTCGCCAAATGGCATCTGGATTTAATACTTGAACAGAAGATTTTGAAAGGGGAACAATGGAGCTATCTGATGAAGGATCAAGATATGTATTGAAAGACTTGTTTACTTGCAACAAGTTACCCAAAGTTTTAGGAGGAGTGAAAGTGAAAATGTGATGCCAAATCTCAGCTGGCAGAACAGACCGGTCTACAAGTAATTGGCCCTCAATTCTCCAATGGTCCTGTGTCTCATCTGGTTTAAGCCGTTTGCGCATTTCCTCAAGGATATTTGTGTTGTCAATGTGGCTATTTGAATCATCCTCTCTGGATTCTGAATATTTCCGCTTCCTGGAAGTTTCCCGTTGGGAGGACGGCAAAATGGTACCATTGGTTTGTTCCGGAGGTTGTGTATTCGACTTCAATTGTATGGCCGGGCTAGTCAAGGTATCTTCATCTTCATCGTCAGAATCTGCGGACATTGAAACATCTGAGGCCGAATCGTCGTTCTCAATAATCGAAATAATATGCTTATTATTGGATAACTCTTCGCTTGAGCTGCCACTGGGAATATTATGCTTAGGAGATGTCGCAGTAGATGCATCTGTAGTAGATATACCTGTACTCCCACTACGTATATCGCTGCCCGGTGTATCCATTTTGAACCAAGTTTGGTTCCTTGGTTCTTTTTTTTTTTTGGTATGTATCAAGTCTCGAGAAAAAGAGAGAGAATAAGGAAATTAACACTTGTCAAATACTTTGCAGATTTGGATCCAAATCGCAATGACTAAGATAGATATAGTGGTAACTATGCGACTGGGTTAGGAGGAACAGAAGTTTGTTGTGAGGGGCTTTTAAGAGGAATCTGCTCCAAAGGAAGAATCCAGTCTCAATTCGAGGACAGGGCAAGCGATAGATAAGCTATGCTATGCGACCGTCATCTGATAGAAAGGGAGGGATAATTTATCGTTATCACAAAAAGGAACTGAGGTACAGTCGAATGTCTAGTCAATGTAAGAGAGAATATTGGAACATTTCTCAAATATGCTGCGCTCCTGATGTTTTATGGATCTTGCAATTGTGGTGGGTGGGTGGTGGTGGTGGTGCAAGTAAAGAGCATAAGAAAGTGAGGCGGTCGATAGTTTGGTTGGTCAACCAAAGATTAGATCTTAGTGGCGGTCAAATTGATAGTATGCTTATGTAATACATTGCGACCCATGTTCCAGCCATTGTTTGGACATGACGATACAGGGACAAGGACACAGGATAGCTTGAACAAGCAGCCCGAGCACAAACCCATTGCAACAACCACTACCACGACCACTATCACTACAGTAACACTTACCATCCGAAATCACCTCTTAACAACCTCTCCCTTTTCCATTTCAAAATCACATAACTTCTATTTACCCCGCCTTACCTATTGCCAATATGGCATCTCTCAATACTTCCACGAATGGCCCTTCAATTAAATCCTCATATACTGGAGTGGTCAATTCTGCTGCACCTTCCGGAGCTGCGGCGTCCAGCCCAACCTATGGACAGTGGGCTTTGTTCTCGGTATCAGCTCCTCTTGTAAATGCTTTTCAACAAGATAGTGGCGGGAAAGAGAGTGTGCTTAAGGTGCAGAGCACTGGAGGTATGTTCGCTTTATTCTTGATAGCTTCAAGTCAATCATCTAACGTTGCGGACCGCAGAGGGAGAGCTTATCGACTTAATCGAGGATTTTTCTGAAGGACGAGTTCAATTCGCATTTGTCAAAGTCAAAGATCCGAATACCACACTTCCGAAATATGTCCTTATTGGATGGGTTAGTCGCACAATTCAAGAGAGCGTCGAGAGAATAGGAGGTACTAACACAACCTATAGTGCGGTGAAGGTGTTCCCGAGCGAACAAAAGGCTATTTCACAAGCCACCTTGCAGCAGTATCTAAGATTCTTCACGTTGGTACTCATCTGATTATCCTATCTTCATCATACTCATACATCATGCTAGGGTTATCATGTTCAAATAACTGCTCGATCAGAATCCGACTTGGCACCAGAAAGTATTGTGCAGAAAGTAGCAGATGCATCGGGCGCGAAATATTCGGCAGCCTCGGCACCGCCGCCTTCCTCCGGTCCTCCTCCTCCAAAGGCTAAACCAGTCTTCACTCCTACACGGCCGGGCGGCGTGTCTGGGTTTAATCCATTAGCAGGCTCAAGGTCGAGGACAAGTCAGAATGACAACGTAGATGGGGATGGATGGGGCGCAGATGCGCCACAAGTCACCCGAACACAACTTGAAAAGGTCCAGCCCGCATACAAACCCACAAAAGTTAACATGGCAGAGCTTACCAAACAGCCAACCGCCTCGCGATCTAATGATGGCGGTGGGGCGGACAGTGGAGCTGCCTCAGACGTTGTCAAAGGAGGCTATCAACCAATCGGCAAAGTAGACATTGCAGCATTACGCGCTCAGGCTAAGAGCAGCGGTGATGATAGGCCGACGATAGTTAAGGGAGCATACGAACCAGTCGGTAAAGTGGATATCGCTGCGATTAGGGCCAAAGCACAAAAGCCTGCCGATGAGAGTCCAAGGGAAGTTTCGCATGCCGCTACTGGTTCTGCGCCAAACAGCGACGAACCACCCAAATCCCTCGCAGACAGGTCTACGGCTTTCACTCAATCAGAGCGCCTCACGACCCTTCCAAAACCAAAGGTTGCAAATAGGTTTGGCTCCACCGCGAACAGCTTCGCCGGAACGAAAGCGCCAACTCCAGGAAGTTTTGGGATACAATCCCCAGCAGCTCCAGCAGCGTCTGCTCCGGTAGGTGCAGCAAGTAGAACATTCGCTGATGAAGGAGGCAAGACTCCTGCCCAAATTTGGGCAGAGAAAAAAGCTAGAGAAAGGGGCCTTAGCGGTGCTGGAGACGCACCTCCCCAGAATGTAGCAGCACCTATTGCAAGCCAACCAAGCGGAGGAGGACAATGGAAAAGTGGTTACACTGGTAAATCTTGGGCTCCTGTGACCACCAACCCTACCGGACAATCCGCTACGGGCAGTATAGATCAACAGAGAACCGGTGAAGCAGAACCTGAGCAAGAAGCCCCAGCTTCTCCAGCTGGAGGCATCAATGCTATCAGGGATCGATTTAAGGGAGGACAGGCACCCATGGGTGCACCCGCGATGCCACGATCAATTACCGGAGATCAAAATCAATCTACACCACCTCCACCTATCAACGCCTCCAGTAGACCCGGTGCAATCCCAATGCCTGGCCTTCCAGCACGCCCCCCGCCTGTCGATGATGAGGAGGAACAGACCAGACCAAATATTCCAGCACCTCCTCCCGTTCCCCGCACTCCAACACCAGAACCAGAAGAGGAACCAGAACGCGAGTCGTCGCCCGTTCGTATTGCTATGCCAGTAGCACGTGGAAGAGCACCTGAAGAAATGGAAGCGCTAGAGGAACTTCACAATCACCCAACGCTAGAGCAAGCCATTGAACACGTCCCCCATGAGGAAGACCTTACCGAGGAACCCGTTGGACATGACCCAGCGCGTGGTGCAGCAGCAGCCGTAGCCGCTGAAACATTCGGGCACAGTGCGCCTATGGTTAACGAAGTTTCCGCTGCTAGCGGTAAACGCGCATTGATTCAATACGACTATGAGAAGGCAGAAGACAATGAGCTGGAATTAATCGAAGGTGAATACGTCACTAACATTGAAATGGTCGATGACGATTGGTGGATGGGCACCAACTCCAAAGGCGAAAGTGGTCTCTTCCCAAGTAACTATGTAGAGCTGGTAGAAGGCGAAGAAGAGTCAGCTCCAGCACCAGTTCCAACTCACCACGCTGAGCCGGAACCACCAGCTCATGTCCCAGCTCCTGCAGCTCTGGCTGCTGCACCTGTTCATGCTGCTGGCCCTACCGCTACTACACAATATGATTATGAAGCAGCCGAGGATAATGAATTGAGTTTCCCTGAAGGCGCTACAATTACTGATTTGGTAAGTTTTTATCCTCCTTTGGTCTTCAGCCCTTTTCCTTCCTTCTTGTTTCAAATCAAAGACAAACACTAACCCCATACAGGAATTCCCAGATGATGATTGGTGGTTCGGTCACTACAACGGACATTCTGGTCTCTTCCCAGCAAACTATGTAGAGCTTGATCAATAGATACCTACCTAAGTTATGCATACCAGCTAAGCGAAGCAAAGCAAAGCAGTCCGGAGCAATCAATCCGAGCGACTGATGTCCGAGGGGTTTTAGTTAAGATGTAGTTCAAATTAGTTTTGGACTTCAAAAAAAAATTCAGGAGATTTGTAGATGAGTTGTGGCAGGCGGGCAGGCAGGCATGGGTGGATGGATGGATTGATGGATGTTTTTGTAAGTAGTAACTGCAAGAGCAGTAGTTAAGAAAAAAGCGGTGGTCTTGGTTTCTATAAAAGATAAAAGAGGATTGAAATTTCGTTCATCGATATTGCTAGCATGTATTGTGTACTATGCAGTTTTGTGCCTTGTGACTGATTCGAATGAATGTGCTTGGGTTTGTTTGAGCAGATTTTCCATGGCTACTGTTACTGTTCACGCATCCACGCATCCACATCCATACTCTCATCGCAGCATCATATACATCTAATGATAAACACGAAGCTTTCCATCACATAAAATTGACACTTCACGTTCCTTGGTAATAAGAGAACATAAATTATTAAATAAAAGTCATTCATTATCTTATCTTATCTTAACCATCCAATCCATCCAACCATCCCTAAAAACTAGCTGGAAGCAGAAAACTGGTGATCCAGCCGAAAAGAGACTCAGACCTGCAAGAATATGAAAGAAAGTACGTGAAGAGAGGAAGGAAATATGCGTGTGAAAGCCAGTTGGTTATTCTCAACCATGTGGATGTATGTATGTATGAACAAGGTGGTTTGATTGGCGATGTCGATTTGAGAAGAAAGTATTTGTGGAGGATATTATATCGTTACAGTTGCTTGCTTGCTTGCTGGCTTGCTGGAGGGAAATTTATTATCGGCAAGTATGAGGCTGTCGATTTTGTTCTCCTGGTTTGCGACAATGGATGTACGGAGTTGCGCGATGTGTTGGGGGCGATTTCGGGGTGGCGTCGCCGGCGAAGCAGCGGAAGTTGCGAGGGATTTGGAGGCTACTGGCTCTAACAACATTCGGCACCTGTGACAAAAGTGTTAGTAGGCTGGCTCTCATTCGCAAGTTTGGACAGGTAAAAGGAACATACAATCAATACAGAGTTCACATCCCTCTTCCATTACGCAACAACAACAGAGAGCTGCCAAACAAGCACCTAGACAACCTTGTCCACCGCCGGAGCTCTTTGGGGGAGGTTGTTGTTGATATTGCATTTGTTGCTAGGGAGACCGTCGTTAGCCAAATATACTTTCAGCTGCAAGGTATATTTGTACAATGCGACGGTGAAGCCATCTCGGTACTTGTCGGCATCGCGATAGCGCAGAGATGGAGAAATCACCGTCATATTATTATACAATACAGTGTACTAGATGGGGAATATGCGAATGTACTTACAGGAGGAGGGCCTTGTTGATAGTAGCCTTGTTGTGGTGGTGGTCCTCCATAAGCCTAAGTATCACCGAAGTGTCAGCTTTGTATTCTATTTCATGTGCCAAGTTTATCCACGAGATTCCGAGGAGATCTTTTTATAGGATAGTTGATATAGATGCGAAAACATACATTGGGAGGGTATTGAGGTTGTCCGCCATATTGGGGCTGTTGATTGTAGTAACCTTGGTTTGACATGTTGTTGATCTGTAGTGAGGAGAAAACAAGTCCCTGGTTAGTATTTGTCTCGTATTGATTTTGAAGTTGTGTCAGAACTATGCGCAAACTCACTGTGTAAAGGATTGATGTGATTAATTGATGATATCAAATGTGAGAGTGTGTGGTATGTTATTAAGTCGACGTTGAAAAGAAGAGAGCTTAAACTTCAAGGTCCAAGTTAGATTGAGATTAGAATCATCAATAAGAACTAAGAACTCGGTAGGACGGAGACGGAGTAGGAGAGAAGACGGAGTAGGAAGGATGTTCGCTCAAGACAACGCCAAGGAGTGTAAAGGTTTAGAAATAGAAATTAATACCAACCAATTATTGATTATTACACCAAGTTACTAACAAGTTGTTTTCTTCTGTCTCTTGAATAGATGTGGATACGCTGGGTCTTTTTTTCTCTTATTAAGCTTTGCGGCTTTTGAAGCTTATGAAGTGGTTTGATTTAGATTCAAAAAACGATAATTATAAGAAAAAAGGTCGAGTCAATTGTAACATCATTCAAAGGAGGACTTTACGATTTATAGATGCAGGACTTCTGGGTATTTTTACATTCTAACCTTACCATCAGCATTTCATTTCATGTCTGAAGTTATGCTGGTTCTTCTGCTTTGATTGGTTTAGCATGCAGTGTGCAATTGGAAAAGAAGGCGCAGAAGCAACACCTCATCATCATGGCTCAGCTTTTGCTCTCCTCTCTTTGGTACCTTTTGTACCATCTCATGCGCCAACCCGGAACACGGCCATTGTTCCATGCCACTTCTGAAAGAGATTTACTATTTAATACAACGATCATTCAGCTTCCCCTGCTTTAACCCTCCACAGTCTAATCCCGTCTAATCCTTATAAGGCGCGAGTGGTCCTTGTATGCGCTTCCTCAGCCACCTTTATCACGATCGTCACCATCCAAGTGTCCCAATATATTATCTTTAGTGCTGCTTTGACTTCGCTTTATCATCCGGTCGTGTGATGCATCTTGTGGCTGCAGAGTAATCCTTGATATAGATCCTTGCTCTTTTAAAGCAGCAGGGCTTCTTCTCAGCCACTTTAACCATTTTGCCTGCATCCCGTCATATATCCGACTTGGCTTTGAGGTGTCAATCAAGCAGCATTGCGTTTCTCCCCCCTTTATTGATATAACCACGTTTTGCTCCACGTTTACTACGGCATCGGTGACGCTTTGGAAAACCGAGCATTAGAATTGCATTCGGTGGGAACCTTTCATCTTCAGTTCTCACAATGGAGAAATCCTTGAGTACAAAGTGTGTCGAAAGCATTTATTTAGCTTGTCAAAGGTTGAACAGGAATCTCTGGGAATACAAGTCGCCTTTAGAATGTTTAAAGCCAGGGAGCATAGAACTCTTCAAGACTTCTAGATCTTGGTTTAAGGACCAAGATACTTCCTAAACTGCCACATACGACCATAGATTGAGGAAAATAGGGCATCCCGTCCGCTCTGCCATGCTCAAGCCTCAAATCGGTAAATTAGTAGTTGAGTGGGTGACCATCAGCGAATCCTTACTGTTGTATGTTTTTTGCTCTTTACCTTTGTTTTGCTGGTGGGTGACGATGCCGAAGTGGGCCATGTTTTTTTTGTTGTATTTATGTCGTACAAAAGGGCACGTATGCCAACAGATTTTGGTCAGCATTAGGATGGTCTTCAAACCATCTTATTCTGTGTAGTTTCCCATGGTGTATATTCCTCCAGAATGACTGCCAACTAGAGATTTTCATGCTATATTCAGCTCTCCACGAGTAATCGATGCTGCAAAAGCGTATTTTTATATCCCCGAGTCCGGGTAAGTTTTTAGAGTCGTATGGAGTAGAGGGAGAGCATGGAGTAGGAGCTGCAGCGCCACGTGCAGCTTGCTCGTCGGCGCGAATAGGTGCAAAAAATGGATGGGCCATGGCTTCCTTGGCAGTCAAACGTTCCTAAATAACATGTTAGCATATGCTAAAAACCTGATGATAAATAGTAGTCATACTTGGTCCCATCATCCAGGAATCTCAAGCAGATGTCTATCTTTTCATGATATATCCTCAAACATCATCTTGTGCACTTTCCTTTGAGACCTCTTGGAGCGGCACAGAGTGGCTCTTGTAACTCTTGTAGTCCATATCACCTGTTTGGTACAGTGGCCGATGGCTTCTTCTCATGATGGACTCAAGCTATGACAATGACTTGTCTATACACAGCACACTTGTTGCTGACTATCATACAGCAATGAAAGTTCAAGACGAGATATCATAAAAGTTCCATCCTCTCCACTCTTCCAAAAAAGGAGAGAAAAAGCATAGTCAGGCTTATTAAACTGGTTAAATCCCGAAATCAAAGAAGTGTTTAAGAACAGGGTGGAAAAAATTGAAGAACTTGATGATACTTGTGGCCGTGAGAAGGACTGAGAAAGTAAAGCTGGTATTAATATAATTTGAAAGGGCTAAGAACGCGAGGGCACAAAAAATTGAAAGAGAATGAACAGACATCCATGGAGATATCGATCCAAGACCTTCGAGAAAAGGCACAGGAAAGCTGGGACAGTGGAAAGGTAAACCGGTGTCCTTAAAACATGAGCTGTATCTAAGTCGTCAGGATGTCGGTAGTTACCTTTCGCGACACTTTATATTGAGATATTTTGAGAGAACACTTTTGAGATGGAAAATTGGTGTCGACGAACATGGCTTTTTTACGAGAACATTCCCCACAGCCAGCTTAGACTATCAATACTAAGTAGGTTTAGAGATTAGTTCAATTTAGGACATGGTTTTCAATGAATGAGCTCTAAGAGCTTCAAATAAATGAATAAGAACTCCCCGTTCATTATGTCTTCATTAAGATAAGCGTAGTGTCCGCATAGATCTGCTCGAATCTGAGTGAGAGTAGTCAAGGATGGATTCGCCAGGATGAGATAAGTAAGCATATTTAGTAGTTGTAATTGTAAGTGAATTAGAGACATTTGAATGGTAATTATTTAAATATAATTGTATTGTTTTGGTTCCGGTTCATATGAGGGGCGTCGTGGGTAATTGATCGTGGAAATAGGACTGGTAAGCTCACCGGGAGAAAATTCCCAAAACAAAAGGGATATATACATTTACGAAGCTCATCGGTAGCTTCATCACAGAAATTCGGTTCGCAAAGAATAATTTTTAACAAGTCGGATACTTTCTTCGGTGCTGCTATACTTGATTTCGATATATATCAAGAAAGTGGTTGTAAGGAAATATACATTACTATCTTAATCTTCTTATTCTAGGGTCGATTATTAATCATTTTTGTAATTGTTCAATTTGTATGGAATGATTTGTGAAAATTATCGCTTGAGATGACGCGATGAGGCTAGCCACCCTGATAGCGATTAGAAAATATATCTTCAGACTCGCAACATCTCTCTTTCACGTTGACCAAGCCCATTTACCCTAATCTTCATATATTCACTCTTGATTCTTGATTCAACCAACAACACGTTTCTACCTTCCATAAACTATAGATCAGAAAATATCTCTAGCACACCCGCGATTCTTCAAACAAAGCGACAAAACGCCCCCACCAAAAACATCCACTCCACTACAAACACAGAAAGGCACCAAGATGTCAAGTCTCATTGAAATTACAACGGAGGAAGAATGGCAGAAGCATATTGAATCTCTACCACCTTCAACTCTGCAGATAATCAGCTTTCATGTACGTCTCTTAATTCATCCCCGACATTCTCCATTCTCAACCATTGACTAATGCGACAACCACTAGGCACCATGGGCAGCACCATGTGTGCAAATGTAAGACTCTCAGCATCTGTCGCATCAGTCCTTTCTACTTTCGTGTTATAATGCACCAATCAATGAATCAAACATGCTAAGCCTCTCAACAAGGTCGGTCGTCCTCCACACCCTCGCGCTCTCCTACCCCGCAACCACACCACCTACCACCTCCTGGGTTTCGATCAACGCCGAAGAAGTAATATCCGTCTCCGACGCCTTCGACGTAACTGCGGTCCCTTTCCTCGTCCTCACTCGCAACAACGCTGTCCTCGAAACCGTCTCCGGCAGTGACGCCGCCAAAGTCCGCAGCACGATTGAAAAACACGCCAATTCTACCTCTTCCACAAACGGCACATCTCTCAGACCCGTACCAAGCATAAGCCATACTTCTCCCGAGCCATCAACACCACCTACTACTTCTACCGAATCCCAAGAACCAACATCTAAAGAGGATCTCCACGAACGCTTATCCAATCTTGTGAAAGCGGCTCCTGTGATGCTGTTTATGAAAGGAACACCTTCAGCACCTCAGTGTGGTTTCTCTCGTCAACTCGTCGCTCTACTAAGGGAAAATTCGGTGAAATATGGATTTTTTAATATTTTGGCCGATGATGAGGTTAGGCAGGGTCTTAAGGAATTCGCAGATTGGCCTACTTTCCCACAGTTGTGGATGGACGGAGAACTTGTAGGAGGTCTGGATATTGTAAGTTTAACCCGCATTAAATTCATCTTGAGAATGAGAGTCGAGGAACACATTTCGGGATACATTTTACCATATTGCTTTGTACATTTTTGGTAGAAGATATATGACTAATTCAATAAATTACAGGTCAAAGAAGAAGCAGGAAATGATCCAGATTTCTTCAAGGCATATAGCGTCGCTAAACCGGCGACAGCAGCTTAGGGAGGAGGAATGAGGGGGGATTGATAAAATCAGAAGCTAGAATAAAAGAGATATCAGTCTAGCACCTTACTTTTGGGCCACCTCTAATTTTAGGCCTCTCTTTTATATCAAAAAATTATCATTTTCGTTTATTAATAACTTTATAATAAATGAATTAATTTAATAAAATTTGAATTATGAATTTAGTATATTATCATAGTGAATTTTAAATTTTTTGAAATATTCAATATCCAACATAGTTCTCCATTACCCTTATCTCTACATTGAATGCCGCCAGTTGCCATTATATTACCCAAACTCCGTATTTTTTCCTCCACGTTTCCTGCATCTTTTCTCGAGAGCTTATACACTGATTCCTAATACCTCATAGCTGGCATTTTCCCGGAGTTTGTGCTGTGTACCTATTCCCCATTCCCTAGAGCTTAGACCCTAATACCTATCTATTCCTCGAAGCTTATACCCTATTCCCTCCTCTCTACTCCCTAGAGGCTTATACTCTAATACCTATTTATTTCTTTGGTTTTTTCTCGAGAGTTTATACTCTAAACCTATTTCCTAAGACTTATTTCCTATTCCTAGAGCGTATACCTTATGCCCTAATCCCTAATTCGTATTCCATGGAGCTAAGACTCTAAACTAACCCTTATGCCCTTACGCATTAGGTTCAAAGTTCAACCCATCCGGAATTTCCAATTGTCCCTGATAAAGAGTATTCCTGTCCTTACCCTCCCAGTACTTCTTAATAGCCGGCAAAACCGTTCTATGATTAACAACCAACTTGGTATTTGGCACAGGCTGAGGAGCCCATCCGACGCTTCCGGCAAGAATACCAGGGTAACTATAATTGAAGAAACGGTTTTCCAAGGCACCGTCTGCCCAGCTGCGGATCTTGTCACCGGTGAGTTGGGCGACGTAGGAAAAGACGTTGGCGCCTACGTCGAAGCGGCCGAGTGTGTGTAAACCCCAGTTGGCTTGGACGGTGGCGAGTTGAGAGTAGTGGTCGTAGTAGTTGGAGTCGGTGGTATTGATGAGCTCTTTTGGGACGGCGTCGCCGAGGAGGATGGAGAAGACGCGGTTTTGGCGGGAGTAGATTTCATTTTCGTCAAAGGTGACGAGGACTAGGGTGTTGTTCATGAAGTGGGGGTCTTCGAGGAGGGGTCCTAGGAATCCTTGCAGCCATTCACCTGCTATAGTTATAGAGCTGTCGTGTCCGTCTGAGGTCATGTTGGGGGTGATGAAGGACCATTGGGGTAATTTGTTTGCGGCGAGGTCCGAGGCAAACATGGTGGTGTTTTTGATCAATTCGAGACGTTCGGGCTTGTTGACGACGTTGGTGAAGAGGACTTCGGGGCTGGTGGAGTGTTAGTTTGTTGGAGGGGTGTGGGGAATAGGTTGCTTACTTGTGTTTGCGAACATAGGCGTTAGCACCGGTAACTTCGTTACGCCAATCCATTCCTTCATATCCGGTGTATGGCATATCTTCTTGGTACAATCCCCAGGTGATTCCTTTGTCCTCAAGGAGGTCGACGACCGAGGAAACATTTTCAGGAACAGCAATGAATGGGTCACCGTCAAGACCGAAGTAATCACTATATGTGTGAGTTATTGGGATAAGATCATCCAATGCAAGAATATGAACTTACCCGCCAACCGCTGCAAGATAGTTAGGCTCACTAGGATGAGTTACTGCCCTATAGCCTTCCAAGGTAATACCCTTTTCGGCAAAGGACGAGAAATTTGCTAAATAGAAATCAATATACATGCAATCAAGTTTTTAAGGGGAAGAGAACATACGGTCTGCAGCAGCAGTTTCATAATTAGTGTTTTCAAACCAGATTGTTACGTATCGATTGAATGCTTTTCCGGGAACGTGGCTTACAGGACTTCTTGACTTAGCAATTGCTTGCGCAGCGAGGACAGCCTTATGGCCAGATGCAGTTGGGGATGCGGGAGCAGCGTCAGGTGAGATGGAAGGAGTTTCTCTGTTGGCAATTGCTCCGGCTGTGGCTATAGTCGCAAGCCAAGCGACATAGAGGATGCGAAACCTCATCTTATTGACTGTATTACGATAAAACTTTTTGGATCTTGTTGATAATTCTTGATGGAGTGGTCTGAGTGTTGTGTGAGTGTTGTGGGTGAAGAAAGAAAAAGAACTTGGGGATTGACGGCTTCTTTATAATCTCCAGCTCAGCTAATAATGCCGCTATCGTCTAGGTCCAGATTCCTATAAATTCCCAACACTACACGATCGAACTATCAAATTGTGTATTTAGCTAGGTAGTGGCTAGTGATTCCAGACTACTGGAATTTGGAGTAAACTAGTGAATTGACATTCTTGGCCTTCGACAAACGACAAATGAAGAAAAGAGACTGTTACGCAATAGCTCTGCTGTGTAAAAAAGACTAGAGCTGGACATCCCGTTCAAAAACTCTTAGCCTGTAAGAATCAAGTTGATGGACGATGGTAAGTTGAGGTGATATTATGGGGGAAGCCATATATTGGAGTATGGATTTTCACCTGCCAGATCAAGAAGCGGACAAATCCGATTTATCCATTTACTTTTATTCCTAGCCATAGAATAGATGCACGGGCACTCTGATAACTGTAAATTGGACAGGCTTTAGCATTACATTCTGCTTCCGACTCTCTTGGATGGCGGGGGGATCCTTTTTGCCTCCATATTAGGGGATCGTCTTCCTTTTTGCACGGGTGCAGTTCTTGTGCATCGGCCTCTCATGCCAGCATTGGAAAGTGTATGCAGTACCACATATCCTTGTTAGTCAAAGGAGGTTCTTGCGATTGAAGGAGAAGGAACCAATCATGAATCACCGATTGATCATCCAGACGTCCCACATGATGTTTGAACTGATTTAATATAGTTGAATCACTGTTGTAGTTCTCATACACTCACTATAGGATGCTAAAGATGTATCTTCAACGGGTTTTGCTACTATTGAAGCAATGACGAGTTCGATAAGTTGCTGGTGAAAATGACAAATCGGTAGGTAGGTGTAGTACTAGAGCTAAGCTAGCTTCAAGACGGAAAAACATAAGCTTTTCCACATCGGAACACCGTTAAATCGGTCAAAGAATATTTAGACGAATAGACATGTTTTAATTCCACCAATTCCAAGCTGATTATTAGACACGTTAACATTAGACTATAGACTAATAATAAGCATCTCAATTTTATTAATATGCGTTCTGGGCGCCTTGTCAATTTTGGCAGTAAGTCGATCTTCCCACCTACCATTCTGATGTTAGTTAGAGTCTCGTGGGGTAACGCTATGATTTCATTGGCGAGGATGAAAGGAGGGGAACATGTAAACATCCCTTCCTAATCCATCCTAGATTGATTATTTGGCATCGGCTTATTTCTTCTTCATTAACCCCATTGAGTCTCATCCACCAATACTGTATTACTCGAGTAGTAGGTCGTTATCTCAACCAAAGACCTGGTACGATTAAATCCCATCTTTGAGGATCTCTATCATCGGTGTTTGCCCAGACCAATAGATTTGCTTACTTTGATGCTGATGTACACTAAAAATGTTATCTGGCTTCAGGTTTAGTTCACCATTCTATTTATGATAACATCGGTTTTGTTACTGCGAACATTTCCGCCCAAAAAGTTTTCGTCGTAGGTTCCAGGCGCAAACATCATGACATCCTGTTGAATGACTCGCTCAGATCAATGGTACTATTGTTTTTTTAGTAGGAGGGCACATTGTCACAAGTTGGACGTTGGTGGTTAGATCTTCAAGAATCTCAGTACCCGACGCCCCTGAAGCGCCGTCACCTCGAAGTTCGTAGTTAGATCTTCCAAGGATTTGGATGCTTGACCTTTTTTGCATTGATCAGAATCCATCTACAGCTTCAATCATGTCCGACTATACAGATGAACAATCTTTCAGAACCGGCGATACGTTAGCCGATGTCGAGATGGAGAGACGAGAAGATGACTATGGGGATCAAGAAGGGTTACTTTCCGGCGAGAAGGATGATTTATCACCAAATGAATCTTCACGGTCCAGCGATACGTTGGATGATGTTGAGATGCAAAGGCGAGAAGATGACTATGGAGATCAAGAAGGATTACTGTCTGGCGAGAAAGATAAACCATCACAAGAGGTCGAAGTCAAAAAGATATGGCGTCTGACAACCTTTTCGTGGATAATTATATCGTTTTTGGCAGTGATAGGAATAACACTCACGATGATGAAGATAGCGTGGGCTTTCATCCCTAATGAGAGCACGATAATTGATTATCCAGAGACAATACTCAACGATTTTCGCCGGTCAGCAAACGACTACATATTAGATCCAAACTGGGATTTTGATGCCTCTCCAAAAGTTCGAACATATCATTGGACTATAAAGGATATCGAAGCAAATCCAGATGGAGTTTTCAGGCCTATGATAACTATTAACTCGCAATTTCCTGGTCCAATGATTGAATGTAATGAGGGTGATGCTTTGGTTATTAACGTTGATAATCAAGGTGTCAATGCTACCTCCATACATTTCCATGGTATTTTTCAAAATGGGACGAACCATATGGACGGTACTACAGGCATCACACAATGTCCTATTGCACCGGGTCATAAATTTCGATATGAGTTCAATGTCACGGGTCAATCTGGCACTTACTACTATCATGGGCACCAAGCTGTACAAATCGCTGATGGCGTGTATGGACCCTTGGTTATTCATTCTAAGAAAGAGAAGACTTTACAGCAAATTTTATATGCGACGGATCGAGTAGTCATGCTCCAAGATTACTATCATGAACTTAGTAGTGGACTCCTGATCGAAAATCTTCAACCTGGAAGCGAATCCTCACCAATTCCTGATGGAGCTTTGATCAATGGACTTAACAGTCGAGATTGTTCCGTTCTACCACATCGAACATGTGACAACTCGACAACCAGTCTTTCTTCATTCGATTTAACTGCAAATGCGAATCATCGACTACGATTCATTAATACTGGTGCATTTGCTTGGTTTCAAGTCAGCTTGGACGAACATGAGTTTGCAATCACTGAAGTTGATGGTACAGATATCATGCCATCATATGAGACTCGCATGATGATTGGTCCTGCACAACGATATAGTATGATCTTGAACACAAACCAGATTTCAACCGATGCTTTTTGGCTTCGAGCACGAATGGTTACTCATTGTTGGAAAGAACCCGAGAAACCAGCCCATCCAGCTGATGAAGTTCGAGCCATCATTCGTTATGTTTCGAATAAAGACACGCCTAGAAACATAACCTCTCAACCCACTTCCAAAAATTGGGAAAAGGCGATTGAAGTAGAATGTAGGGATATGAATATCAGCTCCTACATCCCTACATCTTTCGAACCAGCTCCTACAATAGCAGATCATAGCTATTTCCTTCGTGCAAATCTCGAAAGAAAGAACTGGCGTCTAGAGCGAGGCTACTTCAATACCTCTACTTTCCGCCCTCAAATCCAATATCCAACACTTCACCGCACAATCGATGGTTTCGCCACTAAGAATGAATCATTCACATCCATGAGCAGTATCAACGGTGTTAATCCCATCTCGTACGACCAAACAAACGATTTCCTGATCCAACATTCCGGAATCAAGGTCATCGATATAATCGTCCGAAACTTTGATGAAGGAAATCACCCCATGCATTTACATGGACACAAATTTTGGGTTCTAGGCCAAGGTCACGGTCCTTTCCCTGGTTACAAAGCTTTGAATCTTCAATCTGAAGGTCGTGGAACATTGCCAGGTCATGAACACGCGCTAGATAATTTGATAAGAAGAGATGTAGCATCGGTAGAAGGATATGGATGGTTAGCTCTTCGATTCGTGGCGGATAATCCGGGTATATGGGCATTTCATTGTCATATGATGTGGCATGGAGAGGCTGGAATGGTGATGCAATTTGTAGATCGACTTGACGAAGTGAAGAAATGGAAGATTCCCGAAGCAAACCAAAAATTATGCGAGGTAGATATTGGGGAGTTGGAAAAGGGTGCAGTACCTAAAGATGAAATTTGGTTCGGGTTCGAAGATGAAGATTGAGTGGATAGAGATTGAGGTTTAAGAGTTATTTAATGTGCTGGGCTTGAGGTGAGGATACTGGTGAAGTCCGTACATATATCCACCTGCATTTCCGATGTCATCAGACTTTGCAGACGGAACTTGCGAATATCTATTCTTCCTTCCCATGATTTAGGTGGAAAGACACCCCATAGGATACGTCTAGGATATACACACGGCGACTATATCCACCCCTCACCATCTCATTCTGAATATCAAAAATTCACGATATATATCGTATACGAGATGCAAGACAAAAGATACAAAATACAACCACTACCACCACCTATCATGCATCCCTAACATCAAAGCCATTCCACGAAGAACCTCTTCACAACATGAGATGGTCTCGCACACTTACACCACAACTCCCAACGTTAACCACGGCTCCCAACCACGAGCCGCGAGCCACACTATGGATCATCCGAGAATCCTTAGGTTTTGAATATGAATGGTGATAGATATACATGTAGATGTGCATATAGAAGATAGAAATAGAAAGGAATACATCACCACACTCCATATTCAGCAAACACTTACTCTTTCTTCTATTCGATTTTGTATACTGATTCGGTGATTCTGCTTAGAATGTATAGATAGATTGATATATTACATACATACACACACACACATGTACATAGAATACCAAAAAACAGAAATACTAAAGATAAATAATATTAATTTGGGATTATGAATCTCTATTTCATCTTTTATTTTTATATATTTTGTCATGTACAAATGTGCCCTGGTATTTATATAGGATCTTATAATATGTATTACAGACAGATATAATCATAGTCACGCAGTCACATAGTCACATAGTCATAGACAATGAAAAGCATCGCCATACCCATAGTTATATCTATTGCCTATCCATCCAATATGTATCAATCTAGTTTAATCTACTCTACTCTACTTTCTCTCTCTTTCTTTCGGTCCGAAAATCGTTATCCACGCTACAATATTCAATATTGTAACATCGCACTAATTTCTCAAGGTAACCATTAAATCCTGGACATTTGTCTGTATCTCGCCTTGATTCTTTTTCTTCACCCGTGAAGATATTCCTCTCAACCACAAATTTCGAACCACACATGCCCCATATCCTCATCACCATCACTATCTCCAGCACCACGCTGCCCTACCTACCCTAAACCTCCGAATCCCTCCCCGTCACACTCCCAACAACATGCACCTCCTCATCGGGAAACCTAATCGTCCTCCCCTCCACCACCCCGTCAACCATACCAATAGGACTCCCATCCGAGACTTCCGTTCCACTACCCACTCCACTCCCCGCAGCACCGGAACGAATAACACTCCCACCAATCCTATAAATTGGTCTTGAGCTCGTTCCCGAACTCAAAGCTGGTCCGGAAGTTCCACTTCCTACTACACTTCCATTTGCCGTTCCACTTCCACTTCCGTCTGCACCAGCATTTCCTCTTCTCCTCTCCCTTAACACCCCTGCATTTGAACTATAAACTCTAGCCCCAATGGCCAAAGTGGTTTGACTATTTGTCTGACTTGTGAATGCTCTACTTAATGTTCTTGGTAGGAAGAAGCCTAATTTGCCTAATGGTATTGAAAGTCCATGGACTACAATACTACAAATTGTCAAAAACCAAACGACAACTGTGATAACTTCTGCTAGATGTTTTGCATCTTCCCGTTGAACACCATCTACTGTGATTGTTTCAAGGAATTCGAGTGAGATGTAAAGATAGAAGATAGCGCTAACTCCGATTGGTCCAAAGAACCCGACGAAAATAGCTTGACGTTTTTCCTCAATTTGATGTATAAATTTATGTAACGCAAAGACAATTGGTAGACGTCTATTTGTAGAAGTCAGTACAAGTTTTGACAACTAATATATCATCTAGTACTATTCAAACTGGGAAATATAGTGAAACAGCTTACCTGAAAAGTAATATCAAAATACCCAGAAATATCAATCGATAAATTGGAATAACATTATTAGTAGCAAATGAAGCCCAAGGACAAATAGCCCCAAACCATATAAAGATACTCAAATTTAGTAACATATCAATAGTAGGTTGAAGCGAATCATCTAATGTCTCAAGACGAAACCAATCATCCCAAGTAAAGACATTTCCAGCAATAAAACATGCCAAAACATCATCACTACCAATCATGCCACAAGTGCCAACTATGAATAAAGCCAAGGTAATAGCGAATACGAGGAAACTTTCTCTGTCCACGAATTTCTTTTCTTCGGCCCAATGGAGTAGTTCTTTGGCTATCCAGCCAACAGTAGCTCCATAGATGACACTGAGTATGATGGTATAAGCCCACGTTTCTCCAAACCAGAGTGCCATAGCTTTAGAAGCACCTCCAGTTTGACCGGCTCCTATAATGAACGATTAGCACATATTTTGAATATAGAAGTAAACCGGCAATGAATTTGAAAAGCTCACCACCATGTCCAGTATACTTTATCAAATACAAAGCCAAAAACAGATACGGATATCCCAATCCATCATTTGCCCCACTCTCCGCCACAATAATCTTTTGCAACTCCTTCGGAATATTCTTATCCGCAAATTTTCCCTTCACAATACTATTACTCAATACCGGATCAGTAGGCGTAACACAAGCCCCAACGGCTAATGCATGCAAGAATGAAAGGTTGGGAACCATTCCCCAAACCAACAGCGAACTTGCAAGCCACATTACACTCATAATAGGACCTAGCAGGAGGGAGAGGGCTTTCCATTCTAATTTGAGGTAGCGAGAGGGTAACTGGACACCGGCGAGGACAAGCTGGATGCCTAGAACTAGACGGCTAAAATAAAGTGTGGCTGTGTTGAGGTTTGCGACGGATCCTGTGTAATCGAGGGGTCGAACGAAGTCTGCTGCATGTGGAGACATTGCGACGCCAAAGAGAAGGGAGATTACTATTTAGATATAAATTAGCCATTGTCTGCCGGGTAATCAGGGCAAAAAGGAGAAGGAAAGAAACATACGTGCTTCAGAAAGATAAAACTTCTCCTTGAACAAATAAGACACCAATCCAAACAAAGTAATGAAACCGCCTAGGACGGCACATACAATGTTGAAATTAGTCGTTGAAAGAGTAGGCATCTTGGCTATTCCCTTTATTTCTTGTCCGCCGGTTTATTTCCTTAACATATATCTGGGAATCGATTTCCAGCCTCAATTGCAATTTTGCAAGCTCCAGAACGCGAGAACCAGTATGATGTGTCTGCGAACTGCGAGTCTGCAATTGCGCACCTTGAAGTATGCGCCTCCAATTATCCCACTCCGGAATCGTCACTCTCACAATCCCTTTTACGAAATCTCCTCTTCAATCGCGTAGCCTCCTTGATATTTCCAGTCCGTGTTATTGAATCATTGAAAAGCTCTTTTCCTTTTCCACCAAAAGATCTGGATGTGCTCGCCACTTTGTTTTGCAGGTGTGCTGAGACTATCAATCAAATTGTTTTTCTTTCTCTCAGTTCGTTGTAGATAATGAAAGAATACCTAGTATGATATATCAAAACTACAAGACCTCCTAAGTATGAAAGATCCTATATAGGTAAATTGTCGTGTGATGAGATTTCTCTTGCCTGTAGTTCTAATATACAGAAGAGAGAGGTGGTTGATCAATGAATATGCATGTGAAGAATATTTAGATTGGATAATTTTCTTACCCTCATCAACAAATCCTTATGATAGGCTGTATCCAGCTATCCTCTATCCCCCACACTCCACAACACCGAATCGATCCCGTCACCAAACCCGTTATCTCATATCTTCCCGCCTCTTCTTACCCCTCTCCCCTCCCTCATGATAACTTTGATAATGCTGTGTTTGGGTTCATATACAAATATCTTATAAACCAATTAATGTCATTCTCGGCCATCATGCAGCAGCAGGTTAAACAAAAGGAAGGGATTCTATCACGAATACGAATAGTATACGATAATATTTAGAGTGTATCCCGATCATTTTTCTTTTCTTTTTCTTTTGATAATTGGTTAATATATAAATTAAATCTAATATAATATAATTTTTCAATTAATATATATTTATTTAATTTTTGATATTTTCAGATATCTTTATTACTTTTTCCAACTTTTTTATCTTCAAATATATTAGTTTTAAATATATTCAAATATATATTAGACCCAATATTTTTATTAGAAAGTCAATCCAAACAGATCTATCTTTAATACTCAGCTCTCTGAAGTTACATAAAAACATTTACCCCCAACAAATATATTTCCATTTCCATTTCCTTCCGTCCATACTAATAATACCTACCTACCCTGTCCTCCTCTCCTCTCCTCTCCCCCATCTTCCCTCCTCCCCACTTCCCTCCTCTCCTCTCTCCTTCCCGCTCCTCCCCACTTCCCCCCTCCCCTCTCTAACCAACAGATATCCACCACAGATTTGTCACAAGAAGATATAATCCCCTCGGGTTCTCCAAGCTATAAAGCGGCAGCTGAGTGGAGTTGAGTATTAGCTCGTGTCGTATAAGAACACCATCAAATCGTCAAGTCAATACAAAAGGGTACCTATGATATGTAGGATTGGTATCATCATCAAAGGCATGAATGCCATGCTCATCCTTCAAAAGCATCAATTGAACATCACGGACTCTCACTCCTTAATCGACCCAACCTCAACGGGCTACAAAGATATTCTATCTACCGAGCAATACCATATCACTCATACCTATATGAACCCGCTTTTCTTTTCCCCTCGCCATCTTTCCTCCATTCACTTCCTTTTCCCCATCGCCCCACTAACAGCCAACCTATCTGCTGCGACATTCCCCGGATTGTCATCATGTCCCTTAACCCACGTCAAATTTGTCAGAACTTTACCCTTCGTCCTCTCATCAATGCGTTCCCTAATCTGCTTCACCAAATCTTCATTCATGACCGGGCTCCCGGTACTGGTTTTCCAACCATTTTTCTCCCAGCCCTTGTACCACACCGTTGCGCAATTAATTGTGTAATTGCTGTCTGTAATGATTTCAATGTTTTTATCCAGAGGTACGATTTCGAGAGCGCGAAGAGCGGCAGTGAGTTCAGCGCGTTGATTGGTTTGAGGTGAACCTTCCAGAGGGGCAGAAATATTCCTAAGGTTTGCTTTTAGTATGTATTTTGGGAGCATTTGAATAAAGGAATTAACATACCTCTCATCACCATCTCCAAAGAAAACTCCATATCCAGCCACAGCCCCAGCCTTTCCATTTCCCCTACTACTCCCATCCGTCCAGACCCTTATCATATCTGCCTTATCCGCCTGGTGCGCATTCTCCCCCACAGTAACTTTCCCTTTTCCCTTCACCACTTTCTTTCCACCCTCCTCCTTAACGTCTTTCTCCGTAGCTGTCTTCGCCTTCTTACTAGCCTTTCCCCCTTGCTTCACAAACTCCTCCGCCTCCTCCCTCGTAGCAAACTTCTTATATTTTGGCCCTTTAACCCCATCAATCTGTTTCTTCGCATCCGCCCAATCCTCATAAACTCCTGTTTCATGTCCAACAGCTACACCATAGAATTTATCTCCTTGTGAAGGTTTCGCAGGGTTCTTGCCGGCTACAAATGCTTCCGCGTCTGAATTTGTCGAGAAGGATTTATCTGCGGAATATCTGATATTAGCACCTTTCTGTTCCAGATCAGAATATCAAATCATATTCCCAAAATCACCTATTCTCCCTCCCTCTTAAGAAAGAGAAAACTCACACATAGCCCCTGCGAACCCAGTAATCTGTTCCCTACAATCATCCCAATTGGTAAACACCCCCGTTTTCTTCCCCTTCCTAACCGCATAATATTTCTGCGCTCCGCCTGCCCCTCCCTTCTCATTCACCTCTCCTTCTCCCTGCTCAGCAAACTTTCTCTTCCTCGTAGCAGGAGGCATTTTCGAATTTCCCAAATTTGTCCAGCGTCTTAAATATCCTAACTTTCCAAGTCCAAACTTTCCCTCTCTCACAATCCTCTTCCGTTTCTTCTTAAGAGAATTGAAAACGTCTAGCAACCTCTTATTATTGTTCTTATTTTTAGTACTGTTCGAATTCCTCTCTTGATTCCTCTTTTTATTCTCCTTCTTCTTCTTCTTCTTTTTAACCCCGCTCTTAACACGAAACTGTGCCCCCTCAATAAAAGTATCTATCCCAAGAACCAGCTTCCGATGCAAAATTCTCGTACCTACAGACGCAGACTCAGATTCCAATCGATGACACGAGAAAGCAAAAGATCTCACTCGAATTCGAAACAAACCGCAAAGAAAAGGACTAGAAATCTTTATCTGTAACAAACACCCGATCCAGTCAGTCCAGTCCAGTCCAGTCAATCAACGCGCACCAGCAAAAATTATACGCGACCCAAAACAAACAAAAGACCCCAAACCACAAAATGAAAACGAAACAAAGACCAAAGGAACTCAGTTTTGTCCAACAGTGCTGGATGCGGACAGAGCGAAGAGAGGTAAAAGAGATAGACAGATACCTATCAAGGGAAGTATTAATAGGTAGGTACAGGTACCAAGGAAAGAGAAACCGAACGAATCCTTAAACCCACAAGCTGAAAAAGCACAATAGCACAGAAGAAAAGCGAAGAAAATAACAAAACATACCGAGCGATATGAACGTAGTCAACCTACTCGCAGACCCCCAAGAAGCATATCTACCTACCTAGGATCCGGATTTGATCGTTCGTACTGTACGTAGCAAAAGCCAAGCACGTCAAACGGAAACAAACGAAACGAATCCAAGCCAAATGACAAACAAAACAAAATGAGTGTGCAGATACCTAGGTATCCAAATATGTAAATATCCTCCTCAAATCAGTATCTACTTAGTAGGTAGTACGTACGAGGTACCTAGGTATTGTAAGGATGAAATCGATTGCGAGCCTGCGACTGTTACACTTTATTTTACTACTTACATTTTTAACAGTTTACATTTTACAGTGCAGCACACACACATATGCAAGGATCCATCACAACTTTCAAGGTGATGCACCCACGCGGGGAAGCGGTCCCGATGAAATAAACAATTTGGTCACCACTTTATTCAAATCGTCTTAGCGATGCCAATGAGATCATACCTGTGTTAGCATTAATGAAATAGTAGTTGCTAGATTTTGATAATGATAAGTAAATTCATTCCACCCTCATTCTGACAGTGAATCAAAAAGTTCATTGCTCTAGAAATATTTCTATTCTCTAATTCCATCTCGCTGTACAGAAGGTAACTAGTATTCTCTGATCTTCCATCTATTGTAATTTCCCTTTAAAAAGCAAGACCAGAAGCCATCTAGTGGAAATTTCCCTCTGACGTGGATAGAATGCTCAAGCAATCCTCCATCGCTTTCATTCCATCTTGCTATAAAAGTATAAGCCCATTCTTGTGCGCACGCCAAACACATTCACCCCCTCCCCACCCCGTTTCTTTATCCCTAATACCAGTTCCAATCTCCCAATTGTTGTTACAAATCATTTCCCCAAAATCAACCTTAAAAACTCCCAATTTGTAAATGAGACCTCGCTATGCAATGTAATGCAAACCCATCCCCAATCATATAAACTCCGAAGTCCCTTATTTTACATTTCTGTTCGTTTTCTAACTTTCCTCACTGTGAAATAGACAATCAAATCTTTAATTGCCCTTCTCCGTTTCCTTCCTTGGCTTATAGCCTGGCAATTCATCAAACCACTCTCCTTGTTCATTGTATTTGTATGCGTGGAACTCGATACCATAAGGTTTTGGTTCAATCGCATAAAGCATGCCCAGAGGTACATCCAAATCGGCAATGTCATCTCTGGTAAGATCCATGAAATATGCCATCAAAACTCGAGCGACGGATCGGTGTCCAATGATAAGGACATGGTCTGTAATACGTTCAAGCTCTCGGACCATATCCCTAAGTCGACTGATAACCTGCAAATAACCTTCACCTCCAACTCCAGGGTAAATGTAGTGCAATTTATCCTTGGCTCGCTTGCCGTACTCGTCGGGAAAGCGTGATTCGATTTCCTTGTAGGTCAATCCTTCGAAAGAGCCCGCATTCAATTCATTTAACATTTCCCAGTTCTTGACGTCATAATCTTCATCCTGCTCAAAGTGCTCTGCCGTTTGGATACTTCGCTTGAGCATTGAAGTCCATACACAAAAGTTCTTCTCGTCCAATTCCCCCATGATGTCTGGATAAGGTGGTGTTCTGACTGCCTCACCTCCCGGGGGATATTTTGCACTCTCAATGGCAGATTGTTGTTGCTCCAGAAGCCATCGTCTTCGACGGTCTGTGATGAAGTTGTGAAGAACTTGAGCATATTTTTGTCCTTCCGGGGTGAGATCAGAATCACCACCAAGTTTGCCAATCGCGTTATCGTTGGATTTTCCATGTCGTGTGATCCAAATTTGCCTTGGGGAAAGGTTGAATGTCGACAAATACGAGGCTATGCCCCCTGTTAAGAAACCCTTGAGTTGATAATGAACGACCTTTCGTCCGACATCTATCATTTTGATGTACTGCATATGATTATCTTCCTCGTATTTTCCCAAAGGAACGTATGCACTTTCATAGGCAGCGACCCGTAATTTGAAGTCTCTCAAAGAGGCTTCTGGATCCTTATCTTTGTAGTCGGGTCCTCGGAGCTTCAAGCGCATATTTGCTTCGAGCAGCTAGAAAGACGGTTAGTAAATTGTATCCTCAGAACAAAATGATGTACGTACACTTTCGTCCTCGCAAACACTCTCTATGAAAAGAATACCAAGTTTTGGCTCTCTCTCCTTAACGTGGTTAAAGAGGTGTCTGCGACGTTCAATGGTACTGTTTGTAGCATCCAGGATACCAACAGCGCCGCTTCCTAGCAAGAGGAAATCTAAGAGCTCGTCCAAGGTGTCCATCGCTACCTGCTCTCTGATTGCAGCCGCCTTGGAATTCATAGGATCAAAGAATTTGGCCGATTGATCCATTCTTCCAGGATCAGGTAATTCGCCGGGTGAAGAAATTTTCTTCGGGTCAAGACCTTCGGTTTCTTGATCCTGTTGAGTTGGATCTACACCATTAAGAATCATGTGGGCAGCTTGTGTTGGTGCATCTATTTTTCCGGCAATTGAGCCTGTGCGAATTGATTGGCTTGAAACAGATGGACGATGAGCTGATTCCTGAGCTTTCGGTGGTGTACCATTTGACTGCTGCGGTTTTCCAACCGCAACACGACGTCGATTGCCAACATTGAAAATCCTAGTCTCATGTTGCTGCCATGACAAATATCGCTGAATTTTCTTTGTAATATATGATTTTCCACGAGCAGGCAATCCTACCATAATAACCACCAATTTTGAGGCGACATCTCGTTGCGCAATTTTACCGTCAGGAGAAACGCGAGATCTGGTCATGCCAGGAATGTTGAGGGTCGTAGCAGGAGCTCGAACTCGGGGAGTGGTGGTGCCAGAATTCTGTCGAAGTGGAAGACTGCGATCGTCAGTGTTGAGGTTCAAGTAAAAAAATTGTTGAGATTCCCGCGCCCGACTAATTTTATGTACATTCCTCACGAAACTGTTCATCGACCCGGGAAGAATTGATGGGAATAGAGATAGACTCACATTCTTGGACTGCTTTGAGCAGTTGAAGGTCCACTTGGGAGGGGTGTGTCGGAGAGAGGGTGACCAACTCCATCGGTGACTCCATCGCTAGACATGCCGGCTTTTTGGTGAAAACTTCGAGTTAAAACTGCAGGTATAGCAGGTGGAGGAAGTGTGAGATAGTTATCGGACTGTGGTTTGCAAACAGCAAAATCGCGTTCGAGGATGAGACTACCAGGAATTGTACTGAGGGGTTGAGAAGAAGATTTAGGTGGGTTCATAGTGCGATAGTTAAAAACCGCCGCTTTCGCGAATTGAGAGAGTTGGGACTGACGTCGATAGTCCGCTGCAAGTGGGACGTTAGTGGATAAGAATCCATGAGATTTTATGGAAGGGGTGGGTAGCATACACGCCAAATTGTCCTGGGGTTCTGCATGAATGGCTGAAGGCATTTAAGTGGGAAGACTCTCCTCTAGTTGCTCCAATTTTCGAAGGAAATTGACCTAAATGCATCCAATTAGATTTTTTTTCGCTTTCAGTAGTTTAAAGTCTAAAAGGGACTATGTCGGTATTTTCAAGGTTTTTGAAAGGTGCAGGCTAACCTTTTCCTCGTTTTCCCACTCTAATTGATAACAGCAGCGCTTGTGATAGTAGTTTGAGAGCAGCTTCTTAGCCACCTGCGAGGGCGGAAAGCAGATAGATTGACAATCTGAGTCGATCTGAGTCACGTAAACTGAGCTGTATTGAAAAGGGTTGGTATGAAATTTCGATGAGTACGAAGCCGAAATCGGAATCGAATAGAACTTGTAAGTTATGATCTTTGAAAGGTATAGTTGCAGAGGTGGTAGCAGAGGGGAGATAGTAAAAGTATCGAGTAGAGTAGGTAGAGTAGGAAAGAGGAAGTAGAAGTAGGAGTCGCAGTCGTAGTCGTAGTCTAAGTACTGCTGCAGTGGTACTGTAGTATTAATCAAGTCGAAAGTAAGAAATCCAATCTTCTCCTTCTAGACAACAATCGAAAAGTATAATTATGTGAGATGAGGGGTAGGGTGGTAGTTATTATGTTGCTATTGTAAAGCCAAATTGACGATTCTACTCAACTCTCGAAGTTGAGTTTGTTGAGCAATGACCTCAATATCAAATGCAATCTGGAGCTCCGAAATCCGAATGGAGTGCTGAAGCATGTAAATCCGCCGCGATAAGACTTTCTGGAAGCCTATCAATCAAACACTATGCGCACTAGTCCGGCCTTGGTAGTCTTGGAAATGCAGGGCAAAGAAACAGAACAGGGATAAATAAAAATATGAGGCTAAATGAGATGGACAGGTCGAATGGACAATGGAACCTTGTCTCGTGGTGAGGCGAGAGACGTATCTTGGTGAAAGTTTTAACTTTCTCTTGCGTTGTAGTGGAAGTGTGAGGTGTGGAGGTGAAGTGTGAGTGGCAGGGAGACTTTTGATTTATATCTGCGCGACCTTTCTCAATGATGTAGGTCGGCAGGTAGGTAGGTGTACATAGATAGAAGTGGTGGCAACGTTATACGTAGGTTGTGTGACAGTCTGATGACTCGAATTCCAAGATGGTGATGCTGTGATGATCTACTAGGTAGCTGTCGGGCTTGATGCTCCGAGAGCTATGGGGTGGGTGCGTATGCTGAGGAATGCGATTTGGTCGATGGCAGAGCCTCCAAGTAGAAAGAAGTAAGTTATGGTTATTATGTTCATCAAATTAATCATTGTCCTCATCACATCCCGCATAGTACTTTATTAGACCTAGGTATCCTTACATTCAAAAAGACTCCCCTCTCAAAAATTGGGAACACCAAGTACACCAAGTACACCATGTACACCATGATCTACCCCCATATCCCCCCACCCCAAAATGTAAGGTTGTCAACAGAGCAATAAATAGCTGAAAGGTTATTGCGGCTTATCGAAAAAGAAAAAAGAGACAACAAACAGAATAACGCAACAAAGAGATTCATCTATTCACAGTCAAGACTCAACTTCAACTGTTCCTTCTGTCCTTTACGGACATTCGGTCCTCATGATCGCGCTTACATATCCACCCCCATCTCCGGGAAGGGAAATCTATGGGGTTATGGTGCACTGCATTAAAACGATCCACCGGCTGAAAAATAGTCCATCACACCCAAGATTTTCCTTTGTACGGGAGTATTAATTTAGCATTGGTGGAAGATGTTCCAGGACACAAAGCGTGTCTTCTGCCAACCATTTCATAGGTTCACCCAGTTCAGACCCAAAAAAGGGATGCAAGGTTTAAAATGACACCCGCATTCTCAGATTCAAGAAGTTCTCAGCCATGTTTGTGTTTGTGATAAGCATCGCATCGCATCGCATCGAATGGATATCCACAATCCATAATCCATAATCCACAATCCACAATCAGTCCACGAATGCTACTTACGGTGCAGAGTACGTACGAAGTACATGCTAGGTACATGCTAGGTACATAACTAGATACATACCTTTGGTTTCAAATGGGAAGATATGGTGATTCCCTTTTGTTGGAAGATAAGGAATTTCCCCAATTGCGAGTTTCTAATTTTAATACAGCCAAGTCCCTAGGTAGGCAGTGTAGTATCTTGACATCAGAAACAATCATGTTTCGTTGCCCAGATACTTGTCCGCAGCTCAACAGTCTCAGATGAACTACCGTGAGACTTCAGGTGTGAGGGTGAGGGTGAGGGCTAGCCTTGACATTCATTATTCATAATATTCTAAGACGGTTTCTTGGCTAAGATATTAGCATAGCATAGCGTAGCATAGCGTAGCGTAGCATAGCATTGCAGCCAAATATTCATCTTCTTGCGCAGGGTAAAGTTATAAATAAATGAAAATGCTTAGTTCCTTCCTCGGCACTCAACTGCCTCAAAACTTTATCTCTGAGCTTAATATCCTTTTGCCCAGCCCAATCAAATCACCACATCAACATCATATCATAGCCCCCATTTTCCACATCTTCTCTAAACATGCAAATATCGACCTTCACATTGGTGCGGGAATTTGTAGCTGATCAAATCAGTATCTACTATATCTGCATACCAGGAGTATCTGACCAAGCGGATGCCCGGACCGGACTTGGCATGTTCTTCAAACCTAGATGGCCGACGAGCCAAGACGGAGACGGAGACGGTTGGAAAATGACCGTGTCCTTGGTGTAATCTTGCAACAAATGTCAAAAACATAATTATTGATATATTGTCGATAGTCTTGTGAAGAGAGATTCGTTTCTGCCAATGTCAATTTCGTCTCGGCGAACTCAAAAATCCGGAATTCGAGGTCAAAGGAGAGACCTCAAAAGTCGCATATCATATATTGGCAATCAATGCCAAGGCCAACACAAACCGGAATTTCCGTGGTAAATGTTGTCTCTCGCTTTTATTTGTGAGAGGGAAGGCGGAAGAACTTCGTAGCCTCGTATGTGATAGTGGGTTCACGTTACATTCACAGATCTTTATGGGTTGACCTCCGAGTTCTTATCCGGAACTTACAAAGCAACACATCATTCACGGCACTGTCATGTGTAATCATTACAGATGCTTCCTCCTGTCCATTCAGCCTTGTGTTTACTTGTCAAATAACTAATAATAAGCCGTCAAGGAGAGTCACCTTGACTAGACTTTGTGGAGGTGCGCACAACATACTTCATGATCACCATCGTCATCAGTATTACTTCACTCCGGTAGTCGGTGTTGAATGGAGTTGTTGAGCTGGCATTAATTGAGACTGGTGTACAAATTGCAACTTTCCGGGCATCATCAACAGCGAGTCGGGAGGCGTTCGAAAGGATCAAAATTCAGTTTGTTACTCTAGCTCGCCGAAAAGAATGTGGGGAACCATGGTGAGATCTAACATTTTGAAACCCAAAAACCTGACTCCGGGGGCTCCGAGGCTACGTGTGGAGTTTGGGAATACAGTAGATGAATCTTCTGTATACTAAAGTCTGCCATACTCGGAAATGAAAAGAGTAGCCCATGGTAGTCTTCCGGTTGCACTTGGTTGAGTATTCGGTTGGGAAATAGTGAGATGGTGATTGTTCAAAACTCGCACCACCTTTCGAATATGGAAGTTTTAGGCACATTTTTATTCGCATGACACACTACTATTTACACGTACAAAGTGTCGTGTGCTTCGATATTTTATGAGATAATTATTGGAATTAAAGTACGAGTTGTACAAAGCATAAGTATGCTTTACCACTCGGGTCCGATTCTTTTCGACTCCAATCTCATCTCACATCACATCACATCACATCAGCTCTAACAGATGTACTTGCAATCTCACCAGAGATTTGAGAAAGAAGGAAAGTGCTCTTGGTGGCCTGAACTTCAAACATCATATACATCAATTTGCCAAGCATCATAGAATATTCAGGTAGCAGTCTACGGGAATATGAATATTGTAGCCGCGGAACGAGTGACCTTTGGAGATAGTAATGAATACATGAATACCATCTAGTTTTTGGAGTAATAATCTGAAAATATCTGATGAGCGTATCTGATGGGCGTAAGTGATTGTTCACGACAGCTCTGATGTCAAGAAGACCATCCACTTAAAGTTGATGTCTGGTATTACCACTGAGCATGGATTATATCATCTCTCCTCTTTTCTTCTCTGTCAATCACCGAAAGCTCAACCTTGAAATTGTATTCTCTTCTCTTGGGAACAACTTACTAGCATATGATTTCGGCTCATCGGCTCAAAAATGAAAAGCAGATGTAAGGCCAGCAAACGGAAGAGCACCAACAACACTTAACAATGCAATTTAGCACAGATGACAAGTATCTCTCACTACATATATGAAACTTAGCGTACCGAACAGGATCTGGTATCGAACGCAAAGACCATTTTCGACCCTGTTGATGTCACATATACTCGCACTCGAGGCGAAGCAAAATAAATTCTCGTGTCATGAATATTTCATAAAGGCAGTAGATAGTACGGAGGGGAATATCACATATAAGGTTAGTCCAGATAGGGATAAATTCTCAAGTCGAATATATTAGAATGATGATGATTAAAGAGAGCATGGTCCCCTACAATTTTAAAAGGAACGCATTTTTAAAATTCGTAAATAAAGATATTCTGCAATAAATTACCTAGGTTATGATGACATTAGTGTCGCAATATGCTCCAGTTGTATGAATAATTATGTGCAGAGATTTTCTTTACATATTTACATAGTCAATAAGGATAGTAGTATGGCAATATAGGACCCGAGTGTTTGGCTTTTAGTAACGGGTTCACAAATTAAAACTTAGCAATGGTCTTGATTTCCCCTTTTTAATGTTCTCTTCTCTTCCTTTCTTTTTTTATTTTGTTTTATTTTTAAAAATTGAAATATTATATTTCTTTTTATTCTTAAAAAAAAAAAGAGAAAGTTTTGAAATATAATTGAATATTTTGAAATAAAATTGAATACTCCTTTCTACTTCTAATAAAAATTAAACTATTCCTCTTCATTCCTATCCTGAAAAAATGTTGATCACTTCTTCCTGCTCTCAATAGTGAATTTCAATAAACCTATTCTTTTTTATAAATCAGGATAGGAGAAGAGATGAAATCAAGACTACTGAGCTTAGTCGGAATAATAATAATCGTAGTCACAAGTCTCGATAATATCCCTACAGCTAGTCGGACCGTCATCAACCTAACCATAGTCTTCATCGACGTAGTCTCGAGGATGAGGGACATAATTCCACTCATCCAAAATCCTATTCTGCTCTTGTGAGATTTCCTAATAAGTTATTAAATCACTTAATAATATTAGCCGAACCAATGATCGAATGATCACGTGATATATTAATAACATTCATATCTATTATTAAATTTTATTATCATATGAAAATTCGATTATAATTCAATATCAGATTGATTTATAAGAGAATAGAATGAAATGAAAGTGTATGGGATTTCTGTGACGTATAAGAGCCTCATAAGAGCTGAATAAACAGGGTCAATTATATTCCTTAGAATCTATAATTGAAAAATATAACTTGTAGGGAGCATTTATATTTATATACAAAATACCTATATGGTAGTTGTATGATTGTGTATATCGGTTATTAAGGTGATTATAATCTTATATTAAAAAGGGTAAATCGAAACTCAAATGTATAAACTACCAGCTCACCGATAGGAATTGTCGATCAATTGGAATCATATGATTGTCCTTATACGAGGTCCATGATAATTTCTTAGCTACCAGATTGAATATTATTGGTTATTATTTCTTTTTATTATATAAAATGATTCTATAAGATTCGATTCAAATCGATCTTATTATTAATTATAGAATATATTAGAATCTCATTAAATACTATGAATATAAAGGTTTTCTTCAAAGAATCCTTTGAAATAGCAAGACAGAAAAAACAATAAAATCTCTACTTTATTATTCTGACTTCAATTTATGATTATATTCGACTTTACCCTATTGAGCTTAAACACGACTAACTCTTCCACTATTAATATAAATAATAATATTATTATTATAATAATTATTATTTATTATCGATTAACCTCCTTCGAGAGCTCTTCGCTCCACAGAGCTAACGTTCTATCTAGACCGTGGGCCTGGTACTCCGCTTCTTGAGATGCCTCAACCAGCTTCTTGCTTTCTTTATTAACCAGATCTCGCCACCTGTCGGTATTTGCCCGGTATCTGCTCCACAATTTAGGGAGGTCCTGGATATCCCCAATACAATAGGAGAGGATTTCCTTGCGGATTGGACGCTGTTCGAACACCTTGTAGGAGCCGCTAAATTCAGCCTTGAAAAATTGTCCCCTTTTTTCTTTTGCCAGTTTCCAGCTCGCTAGATTGCTGCCAGATAGAACATTTTTCTCAACACACTTAGCTAGGCCGTTCAGATACTTCCTAGAACTCGTGGCCGTCCTCGCAACACTCTCCATAAGTTGAACATCCGCTACCCCTTGTAGTGCCACGCAAAATGTGCAAATAAGACATCCCAATCATTACGAACCTCGAAAAAGACTTTTGGATCTTTTCGTCTTGAAGGATATCCTTTAGCTTTCTCTCTTTGATACCAATCGTGTTGAACACTTGTGAACCTAGCACGTGCACATCGATAAGACAGATGCGTATGGTCGGCGTCCCCTGTATTGATCAGAAGGGTAAGGATGGAAAGTGAGCCCTCGCGACAGAGGTCTACGCCTTCGAGATCAATGTATATGGTTGGCTCGTACGATTTTGGCGATGCATGTATGGCGCAAGTTGAGCCAGTTGACTAGATCGGCGATTTGCTTTGCTGTATTGATAATCTCTGTCTTAATATCCCTTATACTTATAACAAGTATATTGCAAGGGTTTTTCCAGAACATCAACTTGAGATTCATGTATATATATATATATATATCCTCTTTTATCTTTTCTTCTTTTTGTTAAGAATCTTCAAATAATTAAATATAAAATGAAACCTTTATCTTACTAAATGTTACACTATTTATATATATATATCATGAAGTAGAGAAAGATTATCTTATATTATAAAGATAATTAGAGAATAATAATATTATTTTTCGATCTTGTTATTTTATAATCACAATTCACTGTATCAAATAAATCAAAATTAGAATTTATTTGAATATTTATATTATAATTCATAGTTTAGATTATAATAGTATTATTGATGTCGGTGATTTATAGGCCGACTACAGGGGGGGTGTGATTTAACCATTGCTTTCAGGGGGCTTAATCACCCAAGTCTAGGACCCCAGGATTCCTAGGATAAGTATCCTAGGCAATTATATTAGAATAGGACAAGTATCCTAGTTAATTGATTGTAATAGAACAATCACCCTAGAGGATATCGTATCCTAGGGCTGTGGTTCCTAGAGGAAAGCTTCTGGGACAAGTGTTCCAGGAAAGGAGAGGTCTTAGGATCAATCATGTGATTAGGAGCCTTAGGAGTTTGGAAAGTTTCTAGAGCTCTAGGAGCTTTTTGGAGTTTTTGGGTTTTACAGAGTTCCTTTTCATTCATTAGTATATAGTCAGAATAGTTTTATAGTTTAGGAGCTTTGTGTTCAACTTAATTATCAATTAGTTTACCTATATTCCAATTGATCTAATAACAAATTCACTTTCAAGTGGATAATTAATGATTAATAACCTTAATCTACAACTGTCAACTATACAAAACCTCAGGCAGCCGCTACCTCGACCTGATTGTTATATATAAATCTTTTATTAATAAAATCAAAAATTTTATTAAATTATTAATCATTAATTACAAACTATTAATTATAAATTATTAATTATTTTTTATTTTTTATTATATTAATTAATTTTGAAATATAATATATTTAAATATTTTTAATAATTTTATTATTTTAAATTTATATATAAATAATATTTAAAATTTAAACTATTAATATCTCGATTAATAAAATTACAAAAAATTTGAAATTTTTAAGATCTATTTATATATATGAATTTTATTAAAAATTAAAATTTCATTCAATTTCATTCGCTTATTATAAAACTATTAATAAGTGAAAATCATAATTTTTAATGTAAAAGGGTGACCGGAATATAAAATAGATGACTTATATTAAATTATATAATTTCATTATATTAATATTCAACTCTTCTTTGAAAGATCTTGTTTATATAAACACGTGTACTTATTTATATTATTATCATAGAGATAACTATCTCTTCTGAACAATTAATTACTCACAGGATAGAATAAACTGCTACAAATTAAAGTATGAGGCAAATATGTTTTTTTTTTCATTGTCATTCTTCAGTATCGAACTTAGAGATTAGTGAGCTCACTTTCCTAGACCTAGCTAGATTATGATCGATTTTCATTTGACGGAGTGATTTTGAGTTCCTTTTCATGTGTGATTGTCTCAAATCGTACAGAACAATATGGGAAAATATTCATTGAGCTGAACTCGGTCATCGTCAATGCTCTTACTACAGAGGACGCCTCGACAACTAATGCGACTATAGGGCCTTGTAGGTATTAGTACTATAAAATGCCTGTAATTTTACACACGGACCACTTAACTAGCGCTAACTAACGTTTAGCGAATCTATAAGAATTAATATATAATAAAAAATTTGATCCTAATCCTAACCGAACAAATCTACAAAGCTAGAATCATTCTTTTAAAGCCTAATTAGCCACTAATTTTTAGAGCTCGATTTGAAAGAGCGAATTATAGCGTATTATAGTGCCAACACCCTGTAAGGCCCTATAGTCGCATCACTTTTCGAGCCGTCCTCCGTAATGATGACGAATATGCCTTGTGCGGGGATTTTCCAAGCGAAATTCATCGTAATCGCTATAGAGAAGATTATACAAGCTTGTCAGTCCATCGATCAAATACTACTTGCATAACATATCAAGCTGATAAATTCAGTAATAAGCAATGGTATCTTTCCTAACCCAGTGGCTGGCAGATGAACAGCGAATCATGGATGTGACAAGATGTTTACATTGTGTCGGCTTTTTGCAATAGCTACTTGGAGCCACCTATCGAACTGTCGACGCGAGTCATAATATTGGTCTGGCAAGGCTAACAGGAGAAATAATGAGCATCTGTGACCTGTACATATGCCGATTACTGCAGGTGATAATATTCAGGCTCGTAGAATGGGGAATGATAGAAGCCGCGAGCATCTAGATTCTACATAATAGATCCCAATTATAAGTTGCAAAATCTGGGGAAGTCTACTTGTTCAACTGTCTCGGAAGTTTTGTGGGCCTACCCACTACTTTGCGCTTGTTTGGGGTTTGGCTGCTGTAAATGCGGAGATGAGACAAGTCGTCCTATTAATTTCAAGCGACCCCTCAAGTTCACCATAGCTACTGTAATGTATTATCTATGCAAATGCATTGTAGCGTGGCCATGTTTAGCCTTGCAGTGATTGAGAGCTGACAAGAGAAGAACACTGGTCCACGTAAAGACCTTCTCTCCAATTAGCATTTCGAGAAGCAAATCAATTTACATTGAGATTAATGTATAGCTCCTTATCACTGCAGCTTCTAAAACATATCGCCATCCGAGCCATTTGAGAGATATCACGATTCATTTGGAGTATGTGTGTACTGGCATCTATCTATTCTGATTCATGTCCTATTTCGTCATCTCATCGTTGACTCCACAGTTGACTTGATTACCTTGCTTCTCAACCAAATGCATTGCAGAACATATCATATCCCATCAATATAGTTTGGTTAAAATTGTATTATAAATACCTCTATTTTAGAGATTTCAAGCCCTTCATTTTTAGCTACTACATTCAACGATCTAACTGTGAAATCAAATTACAAGATTTACTCAAAGACCTTAGAAGATTAATTTCTCGTTTTGAGAAGCAATAAGGTTCAAGATGGCTACAGTCAAACAATGTGCGTATAGAATCTTGCCTCATAACATTATTTCATTCCAGTTACTAAACTCATCTGGCAGCACCCACCATTCATATTTTTGGCCAGAGCCGAAAGGAAGGCATCACATTTCCAGTCCTAGAGGGCTCTCACCAGAAAACCAATGGAGCAAAAATCGTGTATGGTGGAGTTGATCTAATGCAGCGAGATCTAATGCAGCGATTACTCTCCAAGCCGAACGAGGCCTCCAAGGAGAACGAAGCCTGCAAGGAGAACGAAGCCTCCAAGCCGAACGTCAAAAAAACATACTTTAACGTGTCCGTTCATCATCCCAGTTCTACGGACACAAACCATTCCCCGAGCATCCTCGGACTCGATTCAATCGCTACATTAAGGGAGTCAACCAAGGAGTCAACCAAAGAGCCTAATACCACAGATCTCGGGCTCACGAAATATACTGTACAGAAGAAACTAGATCTGAAGATCGAAAAGGCGAAAAATGGCATCAAGTATGAAATTATCAACGAGACGGAAAACAGCCCCAAAAAAATAGTTGTATTTAGTGATCATGGATTGAAAGGGCTTGCTGATACAGCTCTCAATATGCTCGAGAATTCCGAAGTACAGCTACTGATCTATCAGATGCCTCGACCACTTGAGAAGGAAACCCTCAAGAATATCTTAAAAACGAAAAAGGATGCTTGGCTGAAGAAGCTGGTTGTTGTTGTTGACGCTGATGATCTTCGCGCGGAGGGTATTCAAATTTCTCGTTATTTTTCTTGGGAGAAGACAATGAAAGACTTCCATGAACATTTTGTTAAAGACTTCGGGTTACAAAGCTCTGTGCATCTGCTTGTGCGCTGCGGTTACGAAGGTGTTTTCTATTGGCGAGGAAACGAAGTGAACCTCTATTTGACACCGAGCATGGCTGAAGGTGATCTTATTCGGTCCTGCGATGGACCGATACTAGGTCTTGAAACTGCGTTTATCGCTGCCCTGACACAATCTCTAGCCACCAGCTCTTTATCGCCATCCGAAGTGCTATCAGACAACTCTGAGAATTCAATAAAAAGTGCTGTAAAACACGCCATCAGCTGGTCTCACTACTTTGCAGCAATCGGGTTCCGCAAAGATGATAAAGAAAATATCGACTATCCAAGCGCCAATGACATCTCCCAGAGCAAGGGGATACGTTTCACGACCATTTCTGTGGATTTCAAAACCAACGAATCCCCCCCTAAGTCCATTTTCGCAATCGATGAAAATCGTGAAGTTGCTCGACAAGTTGCACCTGAAGCTGCTCGTGAAGCTGCTCGTGAACTTGCTCGTAAAATTGTGAAAAAAGGACTAGAAAAAATCGTTGTTCCTATTGCTCGATTTGGTGCTCTTGTTACTGCGGATAGAGTTGAAATCGAGTGCTTTCGAGCTACTGGTAGAGTGATTGATGAATACTTGCACAGTACTCGAATAAAGCCTTTATCGATTGGTGTCTTTGGTCCACCTGGCTCTGGAAAGTCCTTTGGGGTACGACAGGTAGTCCAGAGTGTCGCGAAGGATTTTAGACAGCCGATCAAGGAACTGGAAGTTAATCTTTCTCAGTTCTTAGAGTATTCAGATTTACTGGCGATCTTTCACACGATTCGGGATATAACATTGCGAGGTGAAATTCCAATTGTGCTCTTCGATGAGTTTGATGCTTCGTTCAAAAACAATCCGTTGGGATGGTTGAAATACTTCTTAGCACCTATGCAAGATGGCAATTTTCTGGATAATGGCCAAGTTAGACCTTTGGGCCGTGGAATCTTCATTTTCATTGGTGGTACCTCCAGTACTTTCAAGGAATTTACGACTGATATTGAAGCCCAGGCACAGGCACAGGCCAGAGCAGCGAAAAAACCCGACTTTGTGAGCAGATTGAGTGGATATATTGATATTCGCGGTCCAAATATGGACGGTAAGGACGATAAAATGTATTACGTACGGCGAGCTATAGTTCTCCATACAATGCTTGAAAAGATTTTGGGAAAGAAGGACGATATCAATATAGATGAGGGAGTATTGAACGCGTTTTTGGAAGTTCCTGAATTTCATCATGGGGTCCGCTCGATCGAGACAATCCTGAATATCAGTAGTTTGAATGGCTATGATAAATTCATGGCTGCTTCATTACCGTCGGACGATCAGCTCAGCATGCATGTAGATGTTAAAATATTTAAAGAACTTTTGAAATCGGCGGGGGTTTCGCAAGGTTGATGTTAAGAAAGATAGCTAGACATGTGACTATGGGGATTTTAGGCTCAGAGATCACTAGTTATTCTTGTCAAAATCAATTGTTTATTTTCCTACTCACAGATATCAATGCATAATACCACATCCTAGTATCTGCTTTTATGTGATACTAGTTGGTTAAGAAGTAACACTTTGAGCACCGGTATTGCTTCAAGTACCAGATTGAAAACCGATTTATCCATTATTACTCTGTCGACTAGCTAGGCCCTGCCTCTCAGACTACTCCCGCAACTCTAAGGCAGCCTATTGTTCAGTAACTACCGTCATTACATTAATTACTTGAGATATACTATCTAACTATAATAAATCTAATACCTCACTTTTCAGCCACCCCTCTTTAGCCACCCTTTTAAATATATATTAGGGTGCAGGCAGAATATCAGCTTGTTTTTAATAGTTGAAAATTAATTTTTTTTAAAAGTAATAATAATTATTATTATTATTTTAAATTGAATGAGTTGAATGATTTAAATAAATTGAATGATTTAAATGATTTTAATAAAGTTGAATAATTTCAATAGAGTTAAAAAAAGTTCTAAATCAGATTTGCCTGAGGTTGTAAGGCTTATGCCAAGCTTTTTGTTAGATTATTTACCGGGGTATTTTAGACCAATCAGATTATCAGGATCGCGACTCACGTAAGCGAGTTTCTCATTTTCTATCACCCACCGGGTAAACCTCACGTACAGCAAGGTTATAGTGTCGGCAAGCCGACAATAAATACTTGAATACTTGAATATGAGTATAAGAATTAAAACTGAGAGTTGAGAGTTGAACTTAGTTATATTATAATCCATGAGGAATTTGAAAATGAGAAATAGAGAAGAGAAAAGGGTAAAGTAAAGTGGGAAGGAAATTAAAAGAGATGTATTAAGCTAGGGATAGAGATAGATATAGAGAAAAGAAGAAGAGAAGGAGATATAATAAGGTAGAGATATCGATAGAGGTAGAGATAGAGAAAAGGGGAAGGGGAAGGGAAGAGGAAGAGGGATAAAATAAAGATGGGCCTTAAATAATCATCAAATACTTTATATATAAATATATAGATACTTTCTGGAAAAGCTTTTAAATTTGTATATAATGTATATTTTATATATAGATTTATTAGAAAAGTATTCAAAAACCAGACTTATAAATATTGAAGAATAGTATGTTTAAAAAGTATAGATATTTCAAATTCGACAAAAGTGAGGCTATAACCACTTCGATTATTAATCATCCATCTTCTTTCCTGGGAAGAAGATAGATATAAAGATAGGAAAGGGATAGTGAGGGATATAGATATTTATTTACATACTTTTATATACATATCAAAAAGTGGGAGTGTTAGAGTAAGAGTAAAAAGGAGGTATTTTTGATTGTGGATTTGAATGGATTTTAATGGATGGAGATAGATATAGGTATGGGTATAGGAATAGGTATAGGAATGGGTATGGATTAGGATGAATGTGGATAAAGACGAATTTGAACTATTTGAAAAAGAAAAACTTAAGATATAAAGAAAGATTTGGATGTAAGGATATCGACAGGTTCAGGTATGAAGTTAGCTTCGAATGTGAGGAAAGGATATCGACAGGTTCAGATATAGAGTTAAATTCGGGTGTGACGAGAGGTTATATATAGATACTGGTATTACTATTAATAATATTCGAAGAAAATAGGAAGGTGTACACTGTATAGTATATGAGACTAGATGTGGAGATGAGGGATAGGGATGGGCATATATACTGGTATTAGTATTGATGGTATTTGAAGAAATAGGAAGGTATGTAAAGTATGAAAGTGGATGTGAGGATGGGTATAGATACAGATCTAAATATAAGTACGAGTAAAAACTACGAGTAAAGAGTGGGGATATAGATATAGATACCGAGGTGGGTATATAGATGGATACTAGAAAGAGACAGAGATAGAGATGGAGTTAGAGATAGAGATATATATATGTACAATACGAATAACGGGTGTAGATCTCATCTCGTATAGACAGTATTCTGTATAGGTTAGATATGGGTGGGTATGAATGAATAGATATATGAGTAATCTGTACTTTGTATATACAGTGAGTTAATTGGTACTTGATATTTGGCAGAGATATGAGTGGATATAGATGGATAAAGGTAGAGATAGAGATATAGATATAGAAATCGATGTGGGTTTGATATATATATAGATAGATATAAGTATCTATCTATAGATATTAATAGAGTTATGAGTGGATACATATGGGTATAGAGAGTAGAAAAAAAGATTACTCGGTAGATAGATAGAACAAAGTTTTAAGTTTAAGTTTAAGTTAAGTCTAAGTCTAAATATAGATCCAAATATACTACAGATATACTAATCCATAAATCAAAACAAGATGATATAATCACTATCACTATCACTCTGAATATATTCACGCCAAGATATAATAAACTAATAATCATCATTCATAAAGCTGTATATGCATACATATACATATATTCCAAACCCGAATCCCAAACACCGTTATTCCTGCCCCGATAAGCAAGTCCCGGTAAAGTAAACTAATCACCTAATATGTAATCGTAACTACATTCTGCGTTTTGCTCCATATTCCATGCATGCACTGCATACACTAAAGCTTTTCAACCACCTCCCAACCACCCTCCCCCCACTAACCACTAACCACTCACAATTTACAAATTACCCCTCTCCTCCTGCTCCCTCTCAATAGCCTCAAAAAGACTCTTAAAATTCCCCGCTCCAAACCCATCAAACCCCTCTCTCTGAATAATCTCCAAAAAAACCGTGGGCCGATCCATCAACGGTTTCGTAAAAAGTTGCAACAAATACCCACCCTCATCAAAATCAATCAAGATAGATAATTTTCTAATCTCCTCAAAATCCTCCTTGAGTACCCATTTATGCCCCGCTTTTCTATCCTGTAATCGCTCTCGCATCGTCTCGTAGTATGTTTCAGGGACCGAGATAAATTCTACACCGCGCGCGCGGAGATTCGTAACTGTGGTGATGATATCGGGTGTGCGGAGGGCGATGTGTTGGACGCCTGCTCCTGAGTAGAAATCTACGTATTCTTCAATTTGGCTTTTCTTGAGACCGGGGGCGGGCTCGTTGATGGGCATTTTGACTATGTTATTGGGGGATGCCATGACGATACTGTTGAGAGCGGAATGGGCGGTGCTGATTTGAGAATCGTCGACTGACCAGAAACGGTGGAAGGAGAGACATTTTTCGTAGTACTCGCAGGCGGATTGCATGGCTCCCCAGTCTTGGTTGCCGACGCAGTGGTCGATGGCTTCGAGTGGGATGGAGGGGAGAAGTGCCTCTAGAGGGTCTTTCTTTGAAGCTGGACTAGCCCGATAGCCTGGAAGGAAAAGTCCGGTGTAGTTGGAACGAGTAATTAGGGTGTGTGTTGTATCACCATAGGTGCGGATGATTGCGGTTGTCTAAATGGACGAAAATCAGTATATTCCGAATAATGAATGAAGCAAGCAAGAAAAATAAGTACTCACAACTTCACCATCCTCATCCACCGACTTGATGGGCTTCTGGACACCTACAGCACCCTGCTCTACTGCATTATAATACACACTCGCCGCATCATCAACCTCAAACGATACATCCTTAACCCCATCCCCATGTTTCTCCAAATGTTCATAGATCTCCTTTAACAAGTTTCTCTCCTTCTCCGTGATAGGTTCATCATGTTTCAAACCCGAGTATGATTTCACAGGCGAAGTTAACACGAAACGAATCTTGCCATTAGCAATAACATGCGAAGCGATATAACGGGAACCTGTTTCCAAACCCTTGTAGGCGATAGTTCGAAAACCGAGACGTGTGCAGAAATATGAGGCGGATTGTTTGGCATTGCCTACATACCAGGTTATATGGTCGTAGCCGTGGAAATTAGGAGTGCTGGTGCTGAGGGAAGAGTTTGTGTGCTCTGATGTAGGGAAGGTGAGGGAAGTAGGAGTTAGAATTCTAGGACTAACGGCTGAGGGTGCCATGATGTGATGTGTTGATGTAAATTTAGGAGGATATGATCAAGGTAAATGGATAGATAGAGGTGGAGTGTTTTGTGTGGGAGTAAGATAAGCAGAAATAGGTTGAAAGTAGATGATCAACCAAGACTTTAAGTATGTGGAAAGAGCTCAAGATAGTTGTCAAACAAACTTTGCTTGAAGATATGCTTACAGAGAAGGTTGGGAAAAGAGGCAGATTTAAATAACAGAGGATGTTTGGAAGAGAAGAAGTATACCATAGACTTCCATGGATCCTTCTTCTTATGAAGTCCACAGCTCGGCAATACGGTGGATGAAGCCAACATAGAAGGATGTCATTATCAATGACTCTTCCCATTCACTGACTACCAATGAACACACGGTAGTTAAACCGATCGACATCCTTCGGCCTAGGTTTTCTTTTATTACAGCATTGTTAGTGTTTGAGGGTGGGGAGGTTTTGATTCCGCGCGGTTTATAAACGGCTGTTTTCGGCATAAGTGCTCGATTAGTCGCTTAGTCATCACGCGGAATTGGAATCATGGCCGCGCTAGATACTTCTGCTTGCATGATCTCATTCTAATAATAACTAAAGTTTTCCATTAGTTTCATGGTTAATAATCTAATCCTTCTACATACACTGCAAAAGATAAACTCCAAATTATCACAACTTACTTGCATACAATCAAAATTTATTCCCAAAAATGGCAACACTCACAAAACACGACCTTGATGTTCTCGAGAAAATTAAGGATCCAGAGTCAGGTCCTTCAATTCCTCTCCTTATTGATGATTCGCTTCCAAAAGACCCGCATATCACCGATCCATCTACATATCAAGGAATCGCACAACGAGAACGGGATATTATTCTCTCAATGCAAGATGTAGAACTTCAAATTGCTGGATTCAAACCCGTAGCTGAACTTTCACCTTTATCTCAATATCAATCTTGCGTTCAGAACTTGAATGATTTGATCGAAGAATATCCTAATTATGCTAGTGCGAGGAATAACAGAGCACAAGCATTGCGACGGATTTATGGAGATTTGATGTTGGTGAAGATATCTTCTGCTAAGGGACCTGGAGCTGATGTAAACGTACCTTTGGATACGGAAGCATCAGAGGCGACCATTAAGCTCGCCTCATTCAACGCAATATCCGACCTAGACAGGGCAATTTCTCTTTTAGCCCCAAAAACGCCTTGGGCATCAATATCTCCTCAAGCAGCGAAGACTCTTTCCCAAGCATTGACGCAACGTGGTGCCTTGTATCATCTATCAGCTAAACAACTAAATTTTGACGCTGAATCAAGTGTGAGGATTGACGAGAGGAGAAGGGAGACGAGATGGAAAACCATAGATTTCGAAGAGGCAGCCTCAAGGGATTTTATGACTGGTGGGAGGTATGGGAATGAGATTGCGAAGGCATTGGCTGTTAGTGCAAATCCGACGGCAAAACTTTGTGGTGATATGGTTAGGCAGGCCATGAAAAGAGAAATAGGTGGTGGTGAGAGTTAAATGGGAATGTTATGGTTATGCATTCTTTGGAGTAAGGGATGGGAAATCATAAGATCCGACGATGAAGGGCAAGGATCTACGATCCGCGGCGGTAATACATGGCGACATCAGTAGAATATCAGTTTTCTTTCCTCAAGGAGACTCCACTTCATGAGTCCATTGAACTGTCAGCGGATGAATGGCTTTGACTCATCTTTATCATGGAATTACGAGCTTGGAAAGATCGTCTGGAATGATTTTAGGCAACACTAGAATTGTAATGGCCGTTCCTGCACAATAATATTGAAAAGGTTACCGGGATATAATTCAGTTACAAATTCCACGATACCTATCATCGGGACCGCATAATTACTAAGTGAATTTCAGATATTAGTTCCCAGACTGCTAAAGCCACAGAGTACTTTTTGATTCCGAATCCCGAAGTCTGAATCAAAGAGCAAAACATCGGTGGCCTGCAGAATCTCTCTTTTCCGACAGTAAGTCGATAAGCATCATAGTTCTCAATTCTAGCCACTTCAGATAATGAAAAAGGCAAAACAAAGACCAAATATTCTCCTTCACTCACCAGACCATCGTGCACCACCCACCCAAAGTGTCAGTGACAATCACGTTGTGTCCATAGTTTCAGGAGCGTCTACCCGTGTGGTTCCTGAGCATACGCACCAAGCCCAAAAACTAACGGGTGGCTGCTTCAAAATGTCCCGAACGCTGTCGCCGAAATGAAATGACATATTTTCTGTTCGGGTGACGATCTCCAACTTTGCACTTGGAAGATCTTAACTTTCAAATCTTCATCCAAGGGATAATCGTCTCTGAGATAAAGTGGTCTGACATGAGTTCAATGGAGAGAGGGACAAAACATCATTATGGACTGAGGTATTATATAAATGGTTCCAAAACTGGCTTGCCATGAGTGAAATCTATGTGCTGTATGCAAGTAGTAAATTCAGGCCTGCTTGGGCGGGTAGATACAGCAGAGTAGGCTGGAAATGGCTTGCCTTGCATATCCATGATATGGACCCAGAATTCCCTTCAAGTCGGACGGGTATAGGCATGATCAACGTGGGAAACATCAAGGTTTTATTTGAGAAATAAGATCCAATCTTCGCTAATATGATGAATAGGTGGATATAAACAGGAATGAAAGTAAAATGATACGGCATGTTCTTTTGGTAGTTCAACGTGTCAACAAGAATTCAGCTTCCACGCCAATCATTTTTTGGTGACACGGTTGACACTTGTTTGTGGAACTCGTTTATATTATAAACATACGATGTGACCTTTGTGGAAGTACTCAAGATGTACCATGGCTACCAACTTCAGAATTCAAGCAGCTGGTGAGCCGACAGACTAGGAGCGCTGAGCAACTCCTAGCGGATAAATTACTCTTGCCATCCCACAAGCAAGCGAGTATCATTTTTTAATAAGCCTGACTTGCTGCCTCCGCACCGAGTGCCATGATCTTTCAAATGTAAATGATTGATCGATTGATTGATTGCCTGAACGTAGTGATCTCTCATAAGAAAAGGCAAGGATTCTTCCAAATACTATGGAGAGCTACACAGCCTTGTGAACAGATAAAGTTGACACCCAGGAACACGAGAAGCAAATCAGATGAGCAGCATATATATGGGAAATGACGAGAACGGCAGTTGGTGATCTTGGTTAGATCTGAACGACATTGCAATCTGGGACTGGGATTTATATTGATCAATAGTCATGCTGGAAACTTTTACCGGCTGGTCCCAAAAGACTTATGCATCGCACAGACTGCGCCCGAAAAAGCCATGTTCTGGCATGATACTACCACACCAGAATTCAAAGGTAATCCGGTTACTCATGATATGTCCTTAAGTGGCGTTCATCGAAAAAGCAAGCCGGATGGCTATGAGGTGTTTGGGACCCCGGTATCATATGCATGCGAGAGAAGCGCTTTTGACCCATCTGTCATTGGACGAGGAAAGCCCTCTTTTCCTGCGAGCAGAAAAAAGAAAAAGCTCCCGAGACAGGTAGCACGCCACAATAAAACCATGATGGTGGGAAACTGTCCTGCTGCGGGTTTTGAAAAATGACCAATGGGAAGTATATACATTGCTTTGGTAACGAGGTAGTACCACCATCATAATGTCCCAGAGAAAAAAAAACTGCATTGCGTTGACAAGTCCCGATGACGGCTTAGCCATACCCTAGAAATCCAGGTCGGTTTGAGGGGTGGGGGCTTACATCTCATCTCGTCTCGAAGGAAGATAGAAATCAATAATCTCAATATAGCATGTACTATGTAGCATGTAGCATAGTGTTAAACATTTGCTTGCAAGCATTTTATTAGCAGAGTCCAGAAATGGAAAGAGTAACATGTCGTTTAAGTGGCCAACGGGATATTGTGATAGTGATGTAATTAATGTGATGTGATGTGATGGAAAAATCTCCCAAGTTACACTTTTAGTCGGGTTGATGTCGGTTAGAGTACGGAGTAAATCCGTAGAGCCATTTTGAATTGAATTTGGATTTAGGGTAATCCGGATATAGGGTCTGTCCTTCCCCAGCCTCTTTCCCTTCAAGGGCTTAGAGCGGAACGTAAAAGAGTTGCCCGTCTTTTAGACTTATCCTATCCTATCCTATCCTATCCTATCCTATCCTATCCTATCCCATCCTATCCATCCTCTCCCATCCTATCCTATTCCATAATTCCACTATTTAAAGATCCTTTTTCGCATCCATGAAACAAACACTAAAATAAAACCACCGGTTTATTATTCGATGCCATTTTCTAAGGCTCAATTCTTCCAGAGCGCCGGAGCCGTCTCTCGTCACTCTGGGACATCATACATGGATCAAAAAGCTTGCTTATTGGGTGTATTCTATTTCCACATATGCCATAACGTGGGAGGGCGTTCCCCGATTGAGGGATAGATGCGTCAGCAAGCAAGCTCATGGTTGATAGTGGGCTCCCCCTTTCGGCTGCCAATACGAAGGAGAAGAAAAGTAAATAAGAGAAGCTCAAAACCTCCGTGACTCCAATGTTATGTGGCTAAGCGTATCGCCAGAAGTTGCTTTGCCAATGTTGACCGCAGCATATCAAATTTACCAAACGACTGGGAACTCCAGGACCCAAAGCCCTGTTTTTCTATGTAATAAATAAGTAAGCTCTGAGCGTCTGATTCTTCTAGGTGGATCCCGTGCCGTGGTGAAAGAGTCAAGATCCAAGAGTCAAGAGTCAGGACTAAGACAAGATTATATCACATCCGGAGTTGGGCGTGGCATAATTATTATTTGCAGATTCGAAGATTGACGTTTTATCTATCGCCGGTGATCACAATCTGAATGATTACAGGACCCAGACGCGGGTATCGGCATCGTCTCAATCATCTCAAATCGTGTCAATCCTGTCTGTCAATTTAGAAATGATTCATTTTTGGTAGGATTCATGGGAGATCGCTGCCCAGGCGGGGAGCAAAAGAAGATTGGTAACACCAGCGGAAGGGAGACGGGTTTGAGTAAAGTTTTTGGTTCCGGATTTTTAATTGTGGAATTGTGGAATCGTGTGGCATCCTCTCCCGTGTATCGCGAAAATCTCAATCTGGGTAAAAATCCGTGCATGAAAGTACTTTTCGGGATTATCCCCCGCGTTGGTTGGCCATCGTATGATATCTACTTTTGATTACTTGATTATTATTATTATTATTTTTTTTGGATTTATCCGGATTAGGGGTGTTAATTAAGGATCATTAGGCTTTTTTTATGAAAAGACTTGAATGCTAATACGGACTCGAGTAGAGAGTTCTAGTTGTATGCAAAGTTGCGAGAGATGCAAGTACGAAGCTCTATAAAAGGAATCCTTTCGTAGCTCTATAGACCTTCGTATCAATTGGTATGAATGTACCTAGCTCAGACCGACCTCATGTGCATGGATAGAAACTCACGAAAAAAGAAATGGATTGACGGCCAATGTAAATGGGTGATGTAGGCTAAATTAGATTTTTGTCTTACTCCGTACACTAGACTACATCTTTACGGATGGGAGCTGACTTATTGCTCGGAAATGCAATGCTTCGAGATTTAAACGTTCTCCCAAGAAATGCAATGAAGGTTTAGACGGAAATATTAATGCAGCGATTAATGCAGCCGTGGACGTTCTAGGCAGTATCCTTCCATCTTGTCAGCCTGTTGTGGTAATACTTTCCTCTCTCCCTCGTGTGTCTTTCCATCAATGTTCATTTCATTGTCTAATAAATAATCCACCAATATTTTTATCAAAAGGCTTTATTTGTTGTTGTTACTATTGCCGTTTTCATGACTTGTACGGAGCACCCATCAGCCCGATTTCCGTACCTCCTACTTTTTTGAAATGGTGGATTGGCTGACCAGGCCGCGTAGTGACCAATCTAAAGTACCCGCACCCACCAACTGGGCTCGCCTCGCTCGTAGTCTCGCTCATTTCGCTCATCCCAACCAATAAGCATTTCCTTTCGCTGAAACAAAAAAGCTGTAGGTGGGCGAATGAGGAGGGAAGGCTTTGAAAAGGCAAGAAAGTTTCATGGAAGAAAGAATCCGAAAAGAATACGAATATTATGTGCTCTGCTCGTAGAAAGATACCGATGATGCAGGAAAAGACTGAATGACTTTTGGTAAAGAGTGGAAAGGAGCACATGCCCTTTATATATAGTAAATGTCTCTCATTTACTGCTTTAAATTTATGGGCATGGTAGTATGGTGTAGGTCGCATTGCAGAGAAAGAGTGTACGGCTAAGGAAGGGAAGCCAGACAGCTTAGACAACTTAGACAACTTAGACAACTTAGACAACTTAGACAACTTAGACAACTCTGACAAGAAGCTTTTTCGCGCGAACTACTGGAATGAATGAATGAGAACTGGATGAGCCTAAAAACTAAAGACTGCAGTTATCGAAACGGCTTAAGCCCTGTCATACAACCCAGCCTGTCGAGTTGTCGAGCCTGTCAAATTCCCCTGTCAAACGCATGCTTTGGTTAATTCCCAGTTTTCCCTTGATGGGTCAGAATAGGTAACCATGGGATGGGATGGATTGAAGTGTGTACGTGTGTACGTGTGTATGTATGTTGTATGTTGTCTGTACTGTATGTATATGTGTATGTATGTATTGTACGAGAGAGTACGCGGAGTATGTATTATGTATTGATATGCCCGCCATTTGTAGTCGGTTAACCAGTCATTCTACGATCCAACACTTTAACCTTCTTTAAACACAACCTTAACCTTTGGGAGACCTTTTTTGGATGGTCCTACATAGCATAGTGTATTACTGCGTATTACATTACATTACTGCGCTCAAAGCGGGCAGCCCAAAGATCGATCACTGCTCTGGAGCTGGGAACTACCACTCGGGCCCTTTGGATTGGTCTCTTTTATGCTAATAATGAACTAAAATTCCTGGGGATCGCACAAGCGACAGGGCACAGCTTGCTCCTCCCCTTCCATTTGATGAGAGGAGCCCTGCTGGTGGATGTGGACAGGGAATAATAGAGACTTGGAACTGGGCCAGGATTAGGATTGGGATTGGGATTGGGACCACCCAGCAATTCAATCCCTCATTATCCTTTTGTCGTGCCGAGATAGGTAGTTTTCTACTGCTGTATCTCTTCTTCCTCCCCGAAAACTCGACACCACCCGACTCTACTCGACACCACTCACTTGTCGACTACTCCAACCCAGAAGGAATGGTGCGAAGTGATTGCGAAGGATAGACGGTCAATAATAAGCATCGTTATCAATATTCTTATTGTATCTTACTCTTACTTCGCTTCCAGTCGTAAGGAACTCCCAGTAATATTTCCATCGGGAAACACGTACCAGGTTATCATCCTCACCATCCTACCAACCCAAGCGTCCCCAACCTTTCCAGCTTAAGCTGAGTGGTAGCCAACTAACAACACGGCCACTCCGACCTCGACTTACATTGAAGTCAGGTTGTTTGGGGAAGAAATAACTCGTCCTTTCATCTGTAACCTCTGCAGTTATTTTTCACCATCGCTCCAAGCCTCACAATACAGCAGAACTTTGAAACATACATATCTAGGTAAGAATTTGACTCGATAACGCATTGTCGCTTCCTTACTTTAACCTTCCGATACTCGTACCCATTAAACTGGGTGTCGGGTTCAAGATTAACTTTCCGGTCACTGTGAGCTTTATTTATTGTATTTAGGACTAACAACGAGGATATAGCATATATTATAATTTTGTTCAAAATCAGCAACAATGGCTGAACGAAATATTTCTATCGCTTCAAACCACTTTAGAGGGAGTGTAGACTCCAATATGGCAGCGTCTACGTCTCCCAAAAGCATACCCGAAATAATTACGAGGACGACCAGAGGAGGGAGGAAACTTAGATATACCTTGACTGTAATTCAACAACCTGAGCGTGCTAGAGCTTGTGGTTCTGGAGCAAAGTGTATGCTAAATTTTCTTTCGGTGAAGGGCTCAAAATATTGTTACTAAGACTAACACCGTTCTTAGCATCTGCCGATCGCCGCCCAGTTGATCCTCCTCCTGTCGTTCAACTTCGCATTCACGACGAAACAGAACCCCGACAAGAGAAGGAGATAACCTTCCACTACAATGCAAACTTCTTTCTATTTGCAACTTTGGAGGTCGCTCGGCCAATCGCTCAAGGTCGTGTACAAACTTCGGCTCCTCAAGCACCCGTTTTGACGGGCATGCCAGTATCTGGAATGGCATACTTGGATAGACCCAATGAAGCTGGATACTTTATTTTCCCTGATTTGTCTGTTCGACATGAGGGCCAGTACAAGTTGAGCTTCAATCTTTATGAGGAGACAAAAGAGGAGAAGGATGTCGATATCGAACCTTCGAATGAATCAGGCATGCGAAAGATGTCGAGCGCTGCGGCCGCCGCTGAATCCTCTTTTGATTGGCGGATGGAGCTTAAATCCGATCAATTTACTGTATACAGTGCAAAGAAGTTCCCTGGTCTCTCTGAAAGTACCGATCTGAGCAGGACTGTGGCGGAACAAGGTTGCCGAGTACGTATTAGACGTGATGTGAGGATGAGAAGAAGGGACACGAAACCTGGAGGAGACTTTGGTGAAAACGAGGATGAATATCAACAGGGAAGGGCTACTTCGCCTCCATTTGATTACTCCATCCAAGCTGCTAGACAGAGAGCTCTGAGTACAAGTGGTAATGAGGATCCACAACAGAGGCGTGGATCAGCTGAGATATCACCATACCGTTCACCTGCAGGTTCTCCATATCGTACGCCTTCGCTTTCTCCTTCGACGTCAAACGCACCTCTACCTGCCGGTGGACAGCTTCATTGGATGGCACAAGGCAATGGATTTGCTCCTGTACAGGCAATCCAACCTCCACCCCCGCCTCCACCTCCGCCTCCGCCTTCCTCATCCTATTCACAGCCGATATCGGCCGTTTACCCTAACCAAGGCCCATCGACGCCATTCCGTCAGCAAGCTCTTCAAGGGCCACCTCCGCCACCTCCAGGAAGTTACAGTGGGTTCGAGGAGAGGCAATCCTTTAGTCAATTTCGTCCTCCTGCCAATCCTCCTCAACCACAGTCGTATGATCCAGACTACCGGAGAATGTCTTTCGCATACCAAATGTCCAATGCATCTCAAGGTTCTCAACCTACCACTCCTGCTCAAAATTCTACCTACAGCCAGCAATCCGTGGAACCTACTTATAGCCGTAATCCTTCTTCTGCGTACTCAAATAGCTATCAGGATTCTGTCGCTCTCGCACCATTGCGAGCTGAGCAACCGACAGCTATGTCTCCGCTTGCCCCAGTAACTTCTATGATTCGTGGACCACCAAGCCTGGCGCCCATGCCAAGCATTGGATCAAACCACAGCTATAATAAGCTAGAGAGATCTGGGTCATACAGCCAATATCCTCCGATTGAAGCAGAGCCACCAAGATCAGCCAATAAGAGAAGCTACGGTGACGTTTTCAGCACCTCTAGTGAATCATTGTACAACGGTAGACGACCAAGCACCATTAGTCAACGAGAAGAAGATGAGGAGGAACAAAGGTTCAGAGATCAAATGACCTATAGGCGAGCTAATGGTAGCTTTCAACGGAAACCCGCTCCTAACCTCAACTAAATGTCAACTAAATGTCAACATTGAGCTCAAAGGCCGGGATGGGCGTCGACCATGTTTATAGCAAAGGCGTTTGATGATTTGGTTTTCTACACGCCGTCGAGTTTTTCATTATTTTCAGTATACGATTTGGGACCAGATTTTTACGATACCAATTTGTCGGGGACATGAGCTCCCATATACCTTTTCATATTCTTACACGACTCGCGGTGGTGTTATTTGCGCGTGTTTTGCACGCTTCTGGAAAAGCATACATGGAATTTCTCCTTACGATATCTAGATTGCAGAAAGCATTGACTTTCTCACCCTTTTAGTTCTGCTTTGTTTTGTTGGTACCTGCTTTTGAGCACATTTGGGGGATTTGACCTAGAGGATGAGATGACGAGTGGAGCGGGCTTGAAAACCCATTCTGTAATTTATGGGCTTGGAAATGGGAGAAAGGGGTTCCTTTCGGAGATGGGAATGGAGTGGAAATGGATTGCAATCAGTTGAATACCCTACCTATCTAAATGAAAAGAAAAGACTTGAATTGGAGAAGAATTATACACCATGGATATTGATGTTCATATATATATTGAATTGTTTAAATGAGTAAATTGTGCAATCTGTGTGTACCTACCTACCTACCCTACCTATTATGAATGAAATCCCTTTTTTTTTTCTCTCATCATGGATGGATCCATTACTAAGTCCACGGGCGATCTTCAAGCCACCAATGAATGAGATGAGTTGGCCCCCCATGGATTTCCGGGCTGAAGCTGTTACCATAGATACGATGCAGGTACAATGTATGTATGTATGTAATGTAATCTATGTAATGTACTCCAGCCCTTAGCCAATCTACTAATGCTTGACATACATACAGTGTCATCATACACACAGTTTAGATATGAAAGATGGTTGACTTACTTACAGGAGATCTTCGAGGGGGCGGGTTGGAAACGTGGTGGTTGATTATTTGCGTGGCGGGTTTGGATGGGTTGGGTTATGCTTGTGCTTGTGCTTATGCCCCCGGAAGGAAATACCGTACCTGCGTGACCTGATGACTTTTCTTAGGTAAGGGTGGTAGGGTTTGGTAGGGTTTGATAGGGTTTAAGGTTTGTTTATGTTGTGGTATGTTTTGTTTTGTTTTGTTGTGGATTTATGGATTATGGATTATGGATTATGGATAAGGAGGGATAGATGTATATGCATTACCTATCTAGGTATATAACATGTATATATGTGTATTTTGATACCCTATCCGACGCCATAAAGTAGAATCTTATATATAGGTATTTAACAAAGTAACGATATCTAACGGAAGAAAGGGATAATACTGTATAATCCACCTTAGTTTAAACTTTCCTACTAAGCGCGGGGGAAAAAAAGGGTGTGGAAATTGAGTTTGAATCGAGTGGCTGGGATTGACCCCGTGTAGACCTGCTCAATTATACATTAAACTATTTTCTTGGCAACGGTTTGTCGGTTTGTTGACACAACCAATTTTTTGTTTTTTTGTTTACTTTTTACTCAAAAGAGTCCAAACGCAAGAAAAGAAAGTTAAGAAAGTCAACAACGTGTACTGCGCGTTCATGCGGCGGTGAGACTAATTTTAAATCTCCAACTCCGCATTTTGCTTTGGTATGCAACTTGCCTGCATGTTTAGACTGACTCTGTAGACAATCATCGACAAAAGATTACTACGAATCACATCTCTGCGTCTCTTTAATGCGCGAAATCCTTCTTTGACTTATTGGGAAAGCTAGTAAGACATTTTGACACGCTACTTTAAGGTACCCGAAAATAGAGGTGCATATTCAAATCATATTAATCACTTCGATCTTTCCCCCCATTTCAGCTCTCTTTTTCGATCTTCTTTCTTCTTTGCGACTTTCCCCCTTCTCCTCCTCCTCCTCCTCCTTTCTTTTCCTTTGTGGAGTCCCGCGGATAGATACATTTGATTCTACGCGTCAATGTCACCGTGCTATTAAGTACGCTCTCTCGAGGATTGGCAATGGCGAGTTACAAGGTTAGTTTTCGTCCATCTCAAGATCCATAATTCAGACTCGATTGATTGCATGCACCTTCCCTACTCCCGAGGACGATCTTATAACCTCCCTCGAGGCTTAACAATTACTAATTATATATCTCATCAGACTCCTCGCCGCCAGTCGATGGATCATCCTATGGACGAAAGTCCGTTCGATGATCGCACCTACTCCATCGATTCGAAAACGGGCTCGAAAAGACTGTACAGTAATCGCAATGCTCGACCGACAATTCTGGTAGATGATGATGGTGAAGGTGGAAAGTATTTGGGCCCTGCTTTCGATCATGATGAAGAATATCCAGATGGGAAGCGTCACCGCTCTGAAAATTGGCCTTTGCCTCCGGAGCCTGTTCAGCAGGGAAATCCTCCACCTCGACATCCTTCACGCGCTCGCAGTCGAACCAGTCAGAGAAGTCGAAGATCCACAGCATCGCCTTCACCTGTGCGCCCTAGTCTCCATAGATCTCGTCCCTCACGATTTTTGGAAGGTAGTATGAACGATAAAGTCAGTAAGATTCCGCCCACACCTTACCTATTCCACGAAGAGGAGCTTCGGGAGCGATACATTGAGGATGAGCTTATGGGAAGGAATGGCCGGGCGACTCCAGGTATGAAGATGGGGAGGCAGGGGCTCATGCAGCATTCAAATAAATCCATGGGTGCGGAATCGTCACTCGCAGCTATGTCCGATACTTCCCGACAATCATCTATATTTCGATTCGGTAGTAAGCTTGCAGCTTCAATCAAACCATCCAACTGGAAGATCTTTTCAAAGTCGCAGAAAATTGTAGAGGAGACGCCCCAGCAAAGAGCTGTACGAGAGCGCCAAGAGAAGGCGGAGAAGATGTATCACGAATTGAAGGCGAATGGATTCTTTCGAGATGGTGCAATTGTTCAACAGCCGGGCTTCAGACCTCTCAGACATTCTATGGATCAGACGCCGCGATTCAAGCATGATTCTGGAGTCGAGTTGAATGATAAATACCACTCGAGAGAAAATTCGCCCATAGAGGACAGGAGACAGACCAGACCTGTCACCAGCACTCAAGATTTTTATCGTGGCAGTCCCGCCTCTAAGTTCTCGGCTCCCGTTGAAGCTTCAACTCCTCAAAGTGTTTTCCACCGAAAGACACCATCGATGTCGAATCTCAGAAAGATGACAAGCAGAGAATGGATGTCGCGCCCTGCATTGCCTGAACATTCTCGATCTGTAAGAAAGGTTCCGTCGAGAAAGGAGTTTCAAAGACAGCAGAAACTAGTTAAGCGTGTTAGTGATTTGGAGACGAAGCTTGAAGACGCTCGCCGTCAATTAACGGAGACCTTCGCGGAGCCACTTGCTGAGGAGCAGATATACCAGCCTCCTGATTTTCAACAACGGCAACCCTACCAACAACCTTACAAGCAACCACACCATCAACAGGCATCACATCCACTACCTCCCCCATCAGACCGATATGGTAGAGCACGTTTTGTACCCGGTGCTCTAGCGACCCTTCCTTCTGAGCGACTTTTAAGCGGCTACGTTGATCCTGAAGCAGACTTCAATGACGATGACGATTACCATAACATTGGAAAAGCTATTACAACACAAGATAGCATGGATCATATTTCGACTGGGCCAAATGATTTGTTCAAGACTAATCAACTCCGTAGTGTACAAGCCGGCCAGGCTTCCACTACAGTGCCAGAGGAGGGGTCGGAATATGTGCTGTCTAGCATTGAATCTGATACTGATATGTCTGACAGCTACCATCCCCAAGGATTTATCACTGGCGGATCTGCTACTGGTGCCAAGATGGCGGTTGAAGTCAAGTCCACAGATTCGCGTGTTCTTTCACAACAAGCCAATGTTGAAGAGGCAAAGGCTGGTCGACCTCGCGCAATAAAGAAGAAAAAGATTGCTGAGAAAGATAGTGCCTTTAGACCTACACCCGAATCTGAATCCGAATCTGATCCCGATCTCGATATCATACCGCTCAAGAAGGTGAGGAGTAGCCGAACCCGGAAATTAATCAATGAGAAGAGTCCTTACACCGGCCCTTCTACTCCCGAAAAGAGAGTTGTTTCGGACAATGCTCGCAATCCAACAGCCCGCTATCCTGCCCCTGGTCGTGAAATCGAGAGACCCAGAAGCATTCTCGTGAAGCTCAGGATTCCCAAGGATTCGCCCCCCGCCAAGACTGATGGTGATTTCCTCAACTATACTAGGCCGAGAGAATCTCTATCTCAACAATCTCAATACGATGCCGAGGACCGAGAACCCATTTCCGCGAATGATTTTTACGGAGCTCCCCCGGTACCCAAGGTCCCCCAACATATCCGCCTCCCTAGTGGTGAAATGCTTCAGACCAGGAATTCCAGACCGCAACAAACACAAAAGACCAAAGAACCCGGAGACTGGCCTGAAGATCTCGAGATATTTTAAATGATTCCCCGATCCATACACGGCATGCTTTACACACAACTAGCTACATACAGAATCAACGAGGAAAATACCCCAGCAAAACCAACAATTTGATATTCACCCGAATGTGTTACGACTTTACGACAGACATGATGATTTGATATTGTACTAATTCTACGAAATTCATTTACGACCCCTACGCTTCTTTTTAACGGCAATACACCTAATAATATCTTGCTCAATTTTTTCTTTAATTTTTCTTTTGTTTACATCTCTTGACTCTTTTACGACTGATATGAGAAAAACGTTTGTTTATTTTGCCTATTTGCAAGGGCATCATTGCAATCATTCGCATAGCATAAAATAGGTAGTCAAAGTGATTTGAGCGAGCACTTTTAGTCTTTGGACATTTTAATGCATGTGCATTTTCACGGCGAGTAATTTGAGGAGAGAAGAGGGGAGGATAGAAGGGCTGGATCGGGGATGGGATGGGAAGTGGAGGGAAGGGCATGGGAGGGGTAGAATGGAATGGAATGGAATGGAATGGATGGAAATGGAATACCTGGCGATTTTACTATTCTTCAAAAAAGGAATGAATTTCCTTTCTCTCGTCCCCGTTCAACTCGAATTGGAGGTCATTTCACATTGTATTTCAGATGGTTGTTGATATGTATGATATGGACGGTGTGTTGCAAATTTATCGTTTGCACCCACTATCTATCTCTCTCTTCTAGCTACCTACCTACCTACTTAACTAGCTACCTAATACGATTCAATATATCAATCTTGAATATCGAATCTCCCCTCTCTGCATCCATCCATCCATCTGTACATTAAAATACCTAGACTATTCCAGAAGAACAAATACCGAATGTTGATAAGATAATTAAAAAGAAAAAAGGTTCCATTTCCACTTTACCACTTTCCACTTCCACTGTATGATGGTGACCCCGCTAATGAACGCATGAAATGACATGACTAACTGAACTGAACTGAGCTGCATCGCTTGCCTTGTCTATCTTCCCATCCATCCATCCATCCATTCATCCATCCATCCATCAATTCATTCATTCCCATCCATCTATCATAGTTTCCCATTCCTTTCATTGCATCCAATCATCCATCCTTCCACCCTCCCATCCTTCCTATAACTATCCCATACAGGTAAAGCCCAGGAACCAGCCAACCCCAAGCAAGCAACCATCACCACCATCAAGAGCAAAATCAAAATCAAAATCATCATTAACGCTAAAACGCATAATAAACAAAGTACTAGAGATCCAACCTTTCTGGTGTAAAGGCGATCGAGGGGGTAACCGAACGTGACGTAAGATGAATAAAAAATATAAAAAACGTGAGCCCCCTAAAAAAAATATGAAAAAATAAAAGACTACCATGCAGTATCAGGGAAGATGCTGTGATTTTACAAGCAGTTATGATACTTCCATCACACGTCCCTGACCTTGGTTTCGATCTGTGAGAGAGGTGAAAACATAAGATGCACGGGACCAAACAGCAGGTATGCGAGTGTGGAATGTCGCGAGCATCATTACGAGGAGTAGAGGGATCTGTGTGGAGAATTGTTAGTCTGGAACGATTTTGAGATGAATGTTTAAATGAGGGTGGTGGAAGGAGAAAATTGTGACAAGCACAAGAAAAGATAGCATGAACAAGAACATACCCAAATAAGGAATAGTTTCCTATCGCTCCTAACCCTCTTCAATTTCGCCTGGCGTAGCAATTGTATCTGGTTCTGTTGCTCCACCGTAACTACTTCCTTTCCACCGATTCTAAGGGTGCCCATAGGCATTGGTCTCCTCATCATAGCAGCTGTTGAACTTTCAGCGTGGACCATAGATTTGGCTGCTTCAACTTGTGTTTCAAATTGATCGAAGACTTGAGCACATTTGTTGTCCGCGATGGTATCCGCAACTGCCTGTTCTGCGGAAGCTCGTTTCACATCCATATCATTTTGTGGGAAGATGTCTTCGTACGCGGGTGGTGCCGCAGCTACGTTACCGGAGAAAAGATCCCACCATTTGTTGCCTGGTTCCTTGGCGCCCTCTGGACGGTTAAGGCTGTCTGGACGGCTGGCGATGCGGCGGGTCATTGGGCTTGGTAGATAAGCTTGATAACCTGGAAGATTTGCCAGAGTAGGCATTTGCGGCATTTGCGGCATCTGAGGCATCTGAGGCATCTGAGGCATCTGAGGCAAGGTTGGGAGACCGAGATGCATACCATTGTGGAAGCTTTGTTGTAGATGCTGCATCTGAGCTGTGAATTGTGTGAATTGCGCGAACATCTGATCTCGGATTGCGGTCATGGCTAATGTTGGAGACGCCAAGCCTTCGTCTGCTTCGACCTCAGGAAGTTCCAAAACAGGGGTTTTAGTTGCTTCAATAGCCTCATTCGATATTTTCCCCGCAATTGATCCCCTAGATTGCCTACTTCGCATCAGGAATGTACCGTCGGTAGCAGCTTCGGTTTCAATATCGGCGTCTTCGTCCTCGTATTCGTTGCTATCCTCGTCGTCGCTATCGCTGATGCCACTTTCACTGGGTATCTCTGCGTTTGGTGGTTGCCATAATGATCGTAATGATGTGGCACTGCTGGTTCTACTTTTCAACGAAGAACCACTTCGTCTCCTTGAATGATGTTCCACTCTGCGAACAGCACGATGGACTTCCTCGGAAGCTGTCATATCTGCAGGAGCATAACCTTGGAGACTTCTAATCAATGGATCGGCACCACTGAGGATGAGCCGTCGAACGATCTGTGGGTGGTTATGAAGAGCAGCAAAATGCATAGGCGTGAATCCACCTTTGTCTCGTGGTTCGCAATTCACGTTTCGTGCCAATAAAGCAGCGACAAAGCGGTGAAGTCCCAATGAACAAGCGAGATGGAGCATCGTTTGTCCAGAGGTTCTACGCAGGTTAAATCGCGGCTTGGTCGGACTGTCATCGAGATCAATAAGATCTAGACATCTCAATAGAGTTGCTTCAACATCAACGCCAAAAATTGCGGCATTGAATCCGCCGCCATGTTGTGAGGATCCACCCCCGCTAGGCGGAGATTGGCCTGATGGTGCTCCCCAAGGACCATCCACAATTCTTCTAGCAAGATCACGCACGTCTTCCATTTTGCCGGTCATCTTGTGACCTAATACGGCTAGAGCTGTTCTGATAATCTGTTGTTCATCGTCATCAACATATTTGAAGAATGCCGTTTGTTTCGGCATTGGTGGTGTTGGATATTGCTGCCTTTGTTGATGCTGGTGTGTGAACGTGACAGGCACGGTACCGGCAATGGTAGACGGGGGCAAAAGACATACTAAAGATGTGTCGCCCCAGAACGTCGTCGTTGTTGCTTTAGCATCACCAAACATGACTTCCAACCCTTGAAAAAATCCACTACCTAAGCAGGTAACTTCTATTCCTCCAGCCTTCGGTCCCTCGTTTGGTATCAGTTTGTGAATCACAGGTGGCTGCTGTGGGTTCAGACTCATGGGCATGCCATATATTCCATTGGCCGCAGCTTGTGCCATATGAGCTTGCTGCTGCTGTTGCTGATAAATTTGGACATTATTGCGCATACCATTCGGACTCGGGGCGCGGCTAGGATGCGCTGAAGGAGGCGCCGAATAGAGTTGATGCATAGCCAAATTGTCCGTTGATTGAGGTCGATGGCCATGCGGGATAAATAATTGATCATTGCTATTCGGAGTAGGAGGACCTGTGTTGAAATGCGACGGAAATTGTTGCACTGGGACAGGCTGACAGAATGGGTGCTCGTTTGGTGGGAAGTTTGGAAGATTTGGTGTAAATGGTGATGGTAAAGCAGAAGTGGTGGCGTTGGCCGAAACATGTGGTCCAACGCTCATCCCCAGCTGCCCAGTCTCTAATTTTGTCATGGCTAAACCAGTGGGAACCTTTCCAGAAGAACTGGCTTTGCGTTTCTTAGACAATGGAGCGCCAGATGGGGTCAAAGGCGATGCTTGTGGCGACATCTGCCGAGGTGAGATCGCAGAAGAAATTGCTCGAGGTGGATTAGGTGCTGGGTAAGTCACTGGCTGTTGGTATTGCATGAAATTCTGTGGTAGGCTCTGAAGGTCCGGCGCGGATGGTGAAACACGGAAAGGAGGCATACCAGGGACAGGACCGGACGCAATATCAAAGTTTCTTTCATTTGAATACGGAGTCGGACCTGGATATATTTGTCCATCGGTCGCACCAGATACCTGCCCAGAAATAGGTAATAAGTTATGCGTCTTGTGATCATCTGTAATCATGATTGAAGAGGTGATAGCTTGTGCAACTAGGCGGTCTTGATAGTCCTTGATAGTAAATATTACTCGAAACCCGATTTTTTCATTTTGATGTCGACAATAACATGCGATGCGCATCGGAGCATCAACTTGCATGGCACCATCAGGTACGATAGGTTCAGGTCGGTCACCAGTGGCTTCCGAGGGTGGTTGACTTGTGGGCGATTGCCAATCCTTGATTTCATGAGTGTTGAATACGATGACTCGCTTGGCCTCGTCTTTATGCCATGATTCCTCTTCCTCGACCTTCTTTATCTTCTTTCGAGCGGCTCTTTTCCTCTCACGTGTAATGCAGCCGCTGCATATCAGGACTTCGCCCCCGTTCAACGGCTTTCTTTCATCATCTTCATCAGATCCGCCGTCCGACGACTGACTTGGGGAATCCTCGGGCGCCGCCGCTCTTTCCAAAGCTTTTCGAAGAATTTCCGGATTTTCCATTGCACTAGAACAGACCAACATGGTATAAAGCTCCAAAGTGTCCGGTGAGCGTTCCGGGGGGGGTTTGACGAGAAGTTTGGGTTTCGAAATAGTTTGTGTTGGAAGATGGAGCTTGGTAACACCTTGGGGAACAGGGAAAAGTGTCATTTTGATGGGGATCTGAGTCTCAACGCGCGACTTCAATGGTGTGGGGTGCAATGTTAAAATCGGCTTCGTATATGACGCAACCGGATTCTGGCGGCCCTTGTATTGAGGTGTGTTTTGGAATGTCATGGTATTAAACTGAACTTGAGTTCTCATCATGTTATGAGGTAATTCCATGCTATTTGTCCAAGGAGGAAGGCCATGAGCCCCACTGGGCATTGCTCCAGACATAAATTCAAGCCCAGCATTGGGGGACGGAGAGTTCGTGAACAAATTATGTGCAGGGGACGACGCTTGACTTGTCGATGCTGCGGACAAGGGGGAAGTTTCCCTTGAACCCATATGATATCCATTTGTAGAGTGTACTGCCGAATATTGCTGCCATTGATGAGCACGTTAGTACATTTGTGTATTGGAAACGTAACAGTGAATAAAAATTGACCTACAGAACTTGATTTGTTATGATTCCTGAACTTTTTCCTAACAATTGGTGATATCTTGCGCGGGATATCATGCTTGATAATCGGCATTTCTGGTGATTCCATATCCATTGTTATCGCAAAAGGACTTGGGCTACTCGACGCGCTCTCGAAGTCGAAATCATTTTCCATGCTCTTATCATTGAACCCAAAATTGTTAACCATTGCTGATGGGTTGATGGTTCCATTTCCAGCGTAGTCATCAAAAGTCGAAATGCTCTCGCCTTTGATGATATTGTCGCCTTTCCAATCTCCCATGTCTACGTCATCCCCAATCATTGCGTCCCCTGAATTCAAACCAGATCGTGACGAATCCGAACTAGACTTTCTGTTATATTCCGTCGAATCGGAAGTAGAGCTTTGGGACGAGCCAGCTGGCGAGGCCGTCGATGGAGCTGACAAAGGCGCTTGCAGTATCGTCGTATTAATGAACGATGGTTGTTCAGGACTTTTGTGGCCCGCAACACTCGGTGTTGCATATGCTGAATAGTAAGGGGGTGAGTCGTGTGAGAATTCCTCGAAGAGGTTGTTTGGACTATAGGTTGTCTCAAAGGGTAAATGAGAACTATCGAGGAATTCGAAATCGGGATCAGAGTCCGCTCCCGACATATCTGGATTGAGAATGAACGGCGGCGAGCTTGCAGATACAGGTTCTTGCATGGCCTCTCGTATGTAAAGCAAGGCTCTTCAAATGGTACTGTATATCCTTACGTGTAGAGGATCTGTGAGGACCCTGGTCCGGAGAATGCCAAATCCTAGGCGCAAGATAATCGGCCCTGGCAATAACTTCTATCCCGACTGTATCGATACTATTGGAACATTATTTGCTACCCTCTCCGAGTGGATGTAATAGGGAAAAAATAGCTGTGGTGGTATGGGGTCGGACGAAGATCGTTGGTCGCCAAGATGAGGTGTGCGTCAAAAGACAGGAAGTAAAAAGCCGATGAAAGATTTGCTTGGGTGGTATTAGAACTGTTGCGTCGACAGTAGCGTCACTTAAACGGGTATCTTAAATGCAAATTGAGCAACGATTTGTGGAAAGAGCAAAGATAGAAGGGTAAAGGGTACAGGATACGAAGTTGTAAGGACTAGGTAGTATGTACTTTGTACAGAGTAAAGCACCAGGTGGAGTACAATACTACTTCTGCACTGGTCACCAGTTTGGTCGATGGTGATCCTCGTCTTATTATGTAATCCTCAGGCTGAAGTTACCCACGAAAACTTCAATAATACCGGGCCCCTCTTCTTACCTTTACTTGTGCAGGAGTATTCATGTCACGTACGTACTCTCATAGGTTCTTGCTGGTTGAGGAGAGAGAGGAGGGAGAGCAGAGAGCGGAGAAAGAGGTCAAAATTAAACATCAAAGTGAATGTAAATAAATACACTGTACAAATCGCAGTTCGCCAATTCAAGAAGGTTAATGAAGTTGTGAAGTGAATTAAATGATTAACCTTGCTGCTCCAGCTAGTTCACATCGGTATCATATCATTTTCCCAACAAATAGGTAACCTCAACTGGCGGTGATGCTTTTGGGGGGGATGGGCTATAATTATCTGCCCAATTATTACACAGATAAAACCTCGCCAAAATGCTTCCTAATCCAATGAGATTGCACTCCCTCCTTCATCATGCACCATGATATTGCCCTTTTGTCTTCCTCCACGGCCCTTTTCTCGAAAGTTCAAGTACCCTAACTTCATTCCACATCACCTCCACGGTTTATGCTTCATCTCATCGACAATTCAATACAGGTGCAGACTGAAGACAAACAACACACGCACAAGAGGAAGAGATGGTCGATAGGGAGACAGGGTTTTGTTGACAACCGGTGCCGGAAAAGGGTTGGAACTTGGATCGCATGATATTGCATGGATAACGTGCGAGCAAGGTCCAAGAATCTGACAAACAAAATAAGGGAAGAGGTTGACGGAGAGCGAGGGGTTTGATGCATGGTTGCGATTACGGACTTCAATTTTTCTGGATAAGGTTCAACTCTCTTTGAGGCCTTAGGCTGCGGGCAAAGCAAAGAAGATAAAGAATGTGCCGATTCTTCCCTTCTTCCCTATAATTGGCACCACCTTCGTCTTCCAGTGAATACCATTATCATACCATCCGCTTTGGAAATGGTTAGGAGCGTGGCTTGCATATGGACAGGCGCCAAGGTATGTATATGCCATGGCATGATCTTTCTTTTACCCCCAACCACTTGCATGCTAGACTCGAGGTAGTCAAGTCATCAAAGTTGGACTGTTTCACAAGGAGTCGCCTATGGTGAAGCGTTTATGTCGCCAATTCCAAGTCCGTTTTACTGTTTCGAAGCAAGGGCATGCTTGAATGGGGTCGTGTAGTATGTATCGTTGTATTAGAATAGGACGAGTGCCTTTCGTTTGATTTTGCTTTGATTTATTATTCTACGTTCGTTTTAAAAGTCTATGGCTTGATTTGTTAGCTCTCTTGGTGTTAGTTAATTCTTCCCACTCTAAGGAAGTTGTTCTATGCGGGGAATACTTCATGATCCTTCATCGCCCAGGTTCTTTTCTTGACCCCAGCATTTTATGATATTCTCCATTTCTCATACAGGTCATAGCATTCCTGTTATCAATTTAATTCAAGCAACATACACTATTAGATACTTGTCATGGTATTCCTGGTACTAAATCAATCAATCTCGCATGACTGACCGCTGCATTTCCGTCCGCTGTGCAATTCTACTCACAAACAGCATTGATGATTCAAGATTCCTCGAGGGTTTGAGACCAGGCAACCTGATTGGATCGGCGAATGAGGTACATCTCGTGTACTATACATTGCTTAATACCCCCACGTCTAAAAGCATTGATATTGTATTGGACAATTTAGAGCTAAGGAATTTCTAAAATATGCTGTTTGGGTGGCTTCTACATGATACCAATAAACCGAGTCGACCTTCTTTGGTCCAATCCCCTCACTTGAGACGATCAGGCCAACCGTTTGTGGTCAATGAATGCTCCACTCTATCGGCATGCCGACAATAATCGCCCTTGCATTTAGCACCCGAGCCGAAGTTACATACATCAACCCCATTAGTCAAAGATCATTGTCCGTCACCCCTTAGTATCTAACATGTATGCTAACCATACAGTACTACGATTCATCGCCGTTCTAAGTGGGACAACACCTACTCTCATTTATTCAGTATCTTAGTTTTGAGTGTTTTATATTGAAATGTGTATCCGTCAAAATTTCAAATTCCATGCCCACATAGATATTCCATGGTAGTTTTCGAAACAAGAGCTGAAGCTACCTCGCTACTGCAAGAGCCTCCTTAACTATGCTTTTGGATGTCCAATCCCAATTCCTTGGAGAAACAAAATTCGGATCACAGTCTAGATCAAGCTTTAGAATACCATATCATTTATTCTTTTCATGTCTCCCGCGAGCTTATGTTTATTTTGGTTGCAGCAAATTATGTCGAGGCTGGCCCAGTCAATGTACCTCTTAACCGTGTTATTTACATATTTGCATGTATTATTTTACAATCATCTATCATCTCACAAATAGCTACCACAGAACACTTGAAGCAGCTAGAGCTCTCTAACGGCATCTCGGTACGGTTAGCTAATCTGATATGGACAGTCTAGGAAAATATCAAATGCACAACATCTTCATTGCAAACCATTCCCTCTTTGCATTCCGCTCTTCACTTTACCCCCACGTCGTTCATTTCCTCGATTTTCAGCTTCAAAATTCCCTTTCTTTTCTAATTCTAGACCGTTCGATGTAGATCCTGTCCCCGCACCTGAACATGATTGCCTCCATTGGAAGGTTGTAATTGTTACAGAGGCTAGCAGCTACATTTTCATCCGCGTCCAATGAAAGGGACATACATGTATCGGCATTTAGATTTGTTCAAACGTGCTAATCACCGATCGCCACAATACAATGACATAAGCAATAATCCGCCAATGCCATTCATTAACTTCAATTCCACTTTCGTCTTGTCGATGTTTACATTTGCAACATAAACAAAACATCAATGGACAGCAGTGCATATCCATTCTAACCATCCGCCCGGTTTGTACCCAAACACACATTGTATCAGCGAATATCTCTAGAGCTAGGATCCGTATTCAACTTGTAGATCAAATCACATACAGAACATGTTCACCTATCTTTTCTAACTAACACAACAGCTCAATGACAATCTAAATACAATATATGTTTCAGCCTATCCAGCTCCAATCCAGAAGTTTTAGTCGTCATCTAAGCGAAAAATCAAGCTATCTATCAAAGTAACGCTGTGTATTTTGCAGGGTAGCTAGCACAGCGTCTATCTCATTGAAAGATCCCATCCCATTCCATCTAAACAGCCACCTCGACTTCCAATCTCGGTTTCCCACACATGCGCAGCGTGTTACTACATATACATACATATATCCACATGTGCATAGGTACTGCAGCTATCTATGAAGCTACAGTAAAGATAAAGGATAGCGTGTACTTATCGCGTCACAAAACAGCAGAAAGGAGAAAGAATCTTCAAACGAGTAACAAGAAATGGTATGCATGCAATACTGCAAGGTACAGGTACTTGACGACGAAACGGTCATGATGCAGCTTTGATATCAAAGTTATTTCTCCTGATGATTTTCAATGTCGGTCTATGTTGTGGTTCCGGTAGTAGGTACCAGGATAGTCTTTGGCCCAATCATAAACCCCTTCGTCAATGCAACCTTTCTTCAACCTCCATCTAACCCCCAGTCAAACCAATCATACTCACTCACCCCCTCCCCTTTTCCATATCGGGCACTACGACACTACCGGCACTGCATCCATCCAGCTCCCCTACCACAAAAACACATCTCAAACCATCTCATCTCTCCTCCCTCCGCACATCACCACACCATCCCATGCACAAGACGGAAATATATGGCATGGCTTGCATCACTACAACAAAAAATGCAAACAAATTGCATGAACATTTACTTGCACTACACACGCCACTCACACACCGTTGACATACCAGTCACACACCACACACTCACCATGCATACATACATAGATACAAAACATACCATAAATCTAGCTCCTACCCCAAATAACGCCAAGAGATAAATTATCCTGCCAAACAATGACACAGTATATTATTCATACATACATGGGGCAGATGAAGTAACAAGTAACACCAAAACCAGCAAGCAACGTCACCTATGATTCAAGTACAAGTATACATACATACCTACATACCTAGCTACACATCTACGCACATACAGCGGAAGAGCATCCGAATACCACGTCGGAACTTAGGTAATCCGAAGCAAGGAAGCGAGAAATACTACTGTAAAGAACTAGAGGAATTGTAGAGGAATTGTAAGCCGAAGATCGTCAACACTGTCATACTGTCAGGATTAAATGCTAAGGAAGATTTTCATTATCCTTACACTGCATTATCGAATATTCATGCTATGCTATGCTATGCTATGCTATGTCGATGTCGATTGATTAGAACCTTGTACGCGTGTACATACCTACTACCTACCGTACCTAGTACATAACTACCCCCGCCACGTTGTTTTATTCCCGTCCATCCATCCATCTCATCTGTCCATCTATCCGTCTGTCAATTCATCTATCCATCTGCTTCTACATGCATGCATACATACATGCGTACACCAGTAGGTATCCTTAGATTCTATCCCTACCTGCCTAGGTACCTTGTAGGTACAGAGTACTCATACCGAGTATCCATATCCAAATTAAGGATTCAAATCCCTACAAATCTACCTCTCTCTCGGTTTCGTATACAATACTACACTACACAATAGTATAATACACTATACTATTTAATATACCATATCATATGATATATCACAATCACATATCACACACATACAAACACCCCTCGAGCTCAAAAAAGAACTACAATGCACGAACACCAGCGGAGATGCCTCCGACAGTGCTCTCATTCGTCGCCTTATTTCTCTGTGATTCTTGTTTGTAATTATGTAAATATATCTATTATAATCTATAGAGTATGTATTAGATTTTATAAGATTAAGATTGAGGTTATATCTTATTTATTTAGTAGTCTATTTATAAAGGGTTTAAAAATTAATTACAAAATAACTATAAAATATAATTTTAAATAATACTTTTGATATATTGATATATATCTTAAATCGACAAGTATACTCGAGTATATTAGATATTCCTCTTTCTCCCTCCTTTGCTCCCTTCCTCCCATCTCCCATCTCCCATCTAACCACCACTTCCGCTTCATCCCTCCCCTCACCCCTCCCTTTTAAACCCTTCTAAAACCTTCAAAGCTCCCTCAGCTCCCTCAGCTCTCTCAGCTCTCTCAGCTTTCTCAGCTCTCTCAGCTCCCTCAGCTCCCCAAGAGCGAGCTCTTTTCACCCTCTCAATATCCCCTCAAACACTCAGATAAGTATATACAACCAGCAGCCAACCAACCAACACACTATACCCTATCCTATGCGCTAATCCTACACCTTAGCCGTCCTACCTCCTACCTTGTACCTGCAATCCATAAACCCCCAAATCACACAATCTAATCCAATCCACATCCAATAAATCACACACAAACATACGCACATAAATTACTAGATATACTTCCAATCCGATAAATTTAACTTCCAAGTATATAAAAACACTATTTATTGAAACCAATAAACCTACATCTCATAAGGTTACTGATTGATTAATACATAATATCCACTTATTTTGTATGCAATATATTCATTCGCATTGACCTCTCCGCTCATTCCCTTGCTCTTGTTAATTACCCGCCCATCCCTTTTTAGGATTATCCACCCACACGCCTACCTAACCATGAAGATGACCTTTGGTAAAACACAGACATACAATACAACTACACATTGAAGCTCTGCAAAATAAAAGACAGTAGATGAAAATTCGAGATTTTGTTACACATATGTATCCGTGAAGTAAAGCAGAAATTCGTATCAGAATCAGGTATGCCATCTACCTCACTATGCGAAATTTTCCTTTTCCAGATTTCCCTTTCGACACCCATCCTTTGCCCACAAGATAAGATTGTAATCCATCCATCCATCCATCCATTCACCTTCAACTTTGAACCATTGTCTCTCTTACATGAAGGACTCCATTTATGCATCAGTCAAAATGCGTCCTCTTTAATCCGTAACTCTCCAGCTATCGAACCACTTTAACCTGGAATATTCCTTATTAGGTCCCGACATACCCCAGGAGATAGGAATAAAGAAGATATAAAGTGCAATCGTCAAGCCATACAAAACACCATAGATAGCATACTGCAAAGTCTTAGCTTGGTTCCTCAGCATCCAATCCGAGCAGAAACCAAAAGTCAAGATGGCGAAATAGAGTGCTGGATAGTAATGATGAACGTAAGTGACACGAGCCATGGCGACAAATGGCAGGTAGTGAAGGACCCATCCGAGAACTGGGTACAGACCAGCATAATGAATTTGATCAATGTCCTTCTGGCTGAGCTCGCCGTATCCACGCTGCCATCTAATGAGGTACCAGAGAACAAGGACACCGAGGACACCAAGGGAGGCAGTAGAGCCCCAGTATACGAGAGGATTCCCAAGAAGGAAATATTTGACTATATTGTCATCCCATCCACACATTCTTAATCCTACATTAAGGATTGGCCATTGCCAGAAATAAGAAGCTAGATCATCCTGCTTGTCAGGGTCTGGCACAAGTGCATTATTTGAGGTCATCATGGCAACGTTCAGATGAATAAAGTCGTGAATGAAAGGAGACTTATAAGCTCCAGCATCAGCAGCAGGCACTATAAATGTGGTCAGTAGGCTCTTCATCAATCGATACAATCAACATACATTTCTCGTTCCAGTGAGCTTCCACGTTCCAATGAGTGTAAACATCCTTGGGATTATTATCTTTAGTACAAGTGACTTCGATTTGCTTGAAACCCCATTGTGGCAGGTTAACATTGCCAGCTCGTAAGTAGCATCCTAAAGAAGTGTGCTTGAGTCGGAAGGCAGTAGTCAAGGTCCTAATTTTGGTTCGGTCATTTGAGGAAACATCCTTAACGACTTCCATGGTCCAGTGATCTTTGTCATCACCAACAGTGGTATTTCCATAACACGAGACTTCCTTGTCGGCCTTAGTAATAGGTGCCGATACATCATGTGAATGAAGGTTGCGGCCAGTTTGTGAATGAACGAGGCGTAGAACATCGCCATTGGCAACATATCTAAGCGGTGCCTCTGGGTCAAATTCTGGTTGAGAACGATTAGGGTAGAACCACCACTCGTTGTTAGCATCTTTGTGGTGGTAGCAAGTAATTTGCTGTTGATTCGATCCTTCAGGATAGGTCTGAACGTGGGAATGAAGAAGACCACCGCCGTATCCCATATTCTTGATCGTCGCTCGAGATCCATACGCAATCTCAAGCGGACTATCTTTCCCAACTTCAGTTCCTCTCAAATTGGCCTGAAATAAGGAGCTCATTTGAGCATCACCGGGTCCGCTGTTTTCCAAGACGTAGAAGTGGATAGCAAAAGATAACATGTACACGAGTACGGGAATGACGATCAGAGTAAGGACTCTGATAGCGAGATGCGCCGCAAGCTCGACCTAGAGATACATCAGCAAGTCAACAAACCGAAAGAGCAATTAGGCTTTTTTTACCTTTGGCATTTTGGTATTGCCGAACTTGTTCCATAAATCTTCAATTGTGTAAATTCCAACCATGGCTGTGCAGAAGAGGCCGACCATTTTTACACTGCAAACACATCCAATACTTAAACCAGTCAAGAAAAGCCAGACGAGCCATTCTACGGTCCAACTTTGGTTTTGAAGATTGTGAAATCTAGCCCAGCAGAGAACTGTGGTGAATGTAAAGCATAAAAGCATAGAATCCAAGAGAATGAAGCGACTGATGGTAGTGTAGGAGTTTTCGCAGAGGACCATCAATGTAACAAACCATACAGCCGGTCTCTTGAAGTTCAATTCGCGAGCAGTAAAGTAAGCCAAAGGAATCGTGACGGCACCGAAGAAGGCGTTGAAGGCACGCATAAAGGTGTAATTGATTTCCTCGGGGTATTGGTCCCCAGACTTAAACTCAAAAGTGCCGTTGTAACCTGCAAGATATCCGGAAAGGCCAACCAACATCTTTCCAAGAGGAGGGTGGACATCGAAGTAGAATTCGCGTTTGAGGTAGTGAGATCCAAATTTCCCAAAACTACACCCGACATGATCAGTCCAAAATGTTCAGGTCTTGAATATAAAGAATATGCTTACTGGGCTTCATCCCAGGTAACAATAGGTGAAAGGCCTATCTTGTATAATCTAGTGAAGAATGCGAATATTGTGAAAATTAATGGAGCAATTAAGAACTCCCACTCATCAAGGAACTGTACTATAGAATTCTTTCCCTGCCGTGAATTAATTGTAATCAGTCTCTACCTCCTAAAGACATTGCAGAAAAACTCATAAGGTTTGCTCACCTTCTTGACTTGTGTCTTCTTGTCGTCTATCTCCACCGTGTCTACAAGACTACCATTGGATGATGGTACATTACGTCGACGAGTTGTTTGAGCATGATCTGCGCCAGAAGCAACAGCTGCCTTGTTGGAAGCCATCTCGAATGGGTGCGAGAGGCTCCGAAAGAAAAAGCGTTGTCCCTCCGAGTTACGTATTTCCCAAAGTAACCTTCAATAATCTATGATCTGCGGTGGGATGAGGTTAATGTTTGTGGTCCGGGTTGATGATGCAGCTTTCGAAAGTCAAAAGTCACAACCTGAAGAACTTGTAGGGAATGTCGAAGAAACGAAGAAAGAATAAATTAATGAAAAAAGTCTTGCATCTCTCCGCAATTTCTAGGAGCAGATTCGCAGATGAAGAGGAAGTAGGTACAGACGTAGGTAAAGACGTAATCCCTTGTGAAAGTTTGTAAAAAGGAGTTGAGCTCTAGATTATACTAAGTCTACCTTGCTTGAAATCAATTGGGGGATCTAAAATTAGTGCACCACCAAATTACCCGAAATCTGTCCTTCTGAGGCTGACGAGGCTGTAGCAAGTCAGAACATTTTTAGAACTACCTACTACCATTAACTTGACATTTCTAGATCTATATACTAGTATTGATTTACGATTTTCTTTGCAATCTAACATCTTAGTTCATTATATGTGAAATGGTTCACATGTGGTATAATTTAGACACATATGTTTTGTACAAATAAAACCTAGGTGCTGATCCGACAGGTCTTGTCACTGTCAGACTAAAATTGTGAACATAGGGCTACTTAGTAATCATCATTCAAGAGTTCTCAGACTCCTCTACATTCAATGCATATTGTATCGGGGAGAGTTTAGTTGTAAATTAAGTCCCTAATAAAGTGTAAAAATACCTAGTCTTTAGAAATAATCTACAAATCCCGATAAATTCACATTCTATACGTGCTCTAGATGGCACTGGTTTTACACTCCACATCCTTCAACCTTCCATTGACGCCCGCTTCTTGCTAATTCCAATCTAATATCCTACCAGTATAACGACGCTCACTCCTCGTCTTGATCTAATGCTTTATACTTTCCACTTTTTATACTGCCCCCCTCGCCCTTGTTCCGGTTCACCATACGTGAGATCCAGCCTCCGACACCTTCTCCCGACTCTTCATCTGCCCCATATTGAGGTTTTCCATTGACTATTGAAACATTTGGTGGATCGATATCAAGACCAGGGATGGCACTTGAAGGGCCAATACCATTCGAGCCTCCATATCCACGTCTCAGATCAACAGATGGGACAGGGGAGCTGGCGCCCATCAACGATCCAGTTTCGGCCCTGGTTGCTGGCGTGGGCATTGCTGTAGTCGCGTCACCGAAGATCATGTCCATATCTTCCAATCTTACGCCGGCTGTCTCAGGATAGATGAAGTATACTACAAGTTGTTAGGTTTCAAAACATGAGAAGCACCAGAAGTAGACTTACCGACGACGAAACTTGTTGCACAGAAAAAGGCATGGACCAAGTATAGACGCCATGTGATTATTTCTTGTAGGATAGGCGTCAACTCTCCTACGAGCCAGTTGAAAGCCCAGTTCGTTGCAGTAGACAAACTGGCTCCTTTGGATCGAATGCTGAGGGGTAGAATCTCCGGTGGATAAAGCCATGGGATTGGCCCCCAACTAAACCCAAAAGCACCATTATATATCATAACAAATATGACTACCAAAGTAGGTGTAGATGGTATGTCTAAGAATAGGAAGTAAGATATGGCGGACAGCGATATAACCATAGCGACTGCACCGCTAAGAAGAATGAAACGTCGACCCCAACGGTCTACCAGATACCATGGCGGTATGGTACACATGAAGTACGTGATAGCGTTGATGCCAGTCATCAAAATCGCCTGACGGCCAAGCCAACCTGCTGATTCGAAGACAAGTGGAGCATAGTATGAAATGACGTTGATGCCATTGAGTTGAGCGAAAGCCTGAGCCGACATAGCGATGAAGACTCGGGTACGATATCGTCGAAACATATCTTTGTAAGATTTCTCACCCTCTTGGCGAGCCATCAATACATTCATCTTGATTTCCCGATATTCCTCTCGTGCCTTCTGATTATGAATGTCACCAGCGCCATAAAGATTGGCAATAACCACCATACCCTCTTCATCGTGGTCATTATCTAAAAGCCATCTAAATGGGATCAGTCAAACGTATAATTTAGGCAACGAATAATAAATACCGTGGTGATTCGACGATGATCAAACTTCCGACACCCAAAAGAGCACCCATGACGCACTGCATCAATAAAGGTATTCTCCATGACATATTTCCCTTGATGAAACTGCAGAAATAGTCCACCCATACAGAGGTCGCATATCCTGTGATATTGCCCGAAAATTCGATACAGGCGAGCTTTCCGCGGTTATGAGGGGGTGATATCTCTGATTGGTATATGGGCACAATCGTTGACAGCATTCCAACACCGACACCTGCAATAATACGACCAAGGAGCATCACAGGCATGCCAGTGGCCAACGTCTGAAGTGCCCCTCCAACGAAGAAGATGCAGGACCCATATAAAATTGTCTTTCTTCGCCCAATTATGTCGCCGACCTTTCCGACAACAAGAGATGAAATGAATGCGCCGATTTCCAAGATAGCAACCATAGTACCAACCTCGGCTCGAGAAGGTTGATTGAAATAATCTTTGAAGTAAGGTCCGCTTCGAGGCAATTAGCCAAAAGTGGAAACCCAATTAGGCAGACTTATACGTACGTGATAATGCCAGACATAACTCCTTGATCATATCCAAATAAAAACACACCTAATGATACAAAAATACTTGTAAAATACCTGTCTTATCATCAGTTCTACGCGCAGAGTATATCAACCGATATCCTTACACTAATGGCCGGCCGGTCAGGCCGTGCATCTGCCTCTCACCTCCCGTCATGATTGCAGCTAAGATATGCTCAGCTCTACTGATCTGTCGAGGGCCAGGATCGGGAATTTCGATATCCTCTTTAACAAGTCCAGGATGATAGTGTTTCTCCTCCTTGCCGTTGGTCTCGTCGTTATATCGAACCCTTTTTCTTGTCTTTCTTTTGGAAGAGCCACCAAAAACCTCTTCGTCAAGGGATGCTCGTAATCGAATTTGTAACGGGTCTTCCTCGTCTGCAAGTTGCTCTGCGAGATCACCTGTGTCACTCCACGAAAATTCGGAGCCAGGTGACGATGAGCGCGAAAGGGGAGGCCGCCGACCCTGCTTCTCGTCCGAGCCCAGCAATCCTTGGTTAGGAGTCGACCGATGTGCCGTAGACAATGTTCGTAATGGTATGTTCGCAGGGCGACGAGATGATTTTGAAGGAGGAATGTTGAAGGTAATTGAGCTGTAGCAGCAGCCCAAAGCGCACGGAGTTGGATTGGTGGGGAAAAGGTTGGGGTAGAAAAGAAGTTCACAAGGTGGATGGATGGGATGGCACGTCACTAACAGCGAGACCCTGAATGGCTGTGATTGTTAATTGTGGATCCCACGCGGTGAGATTGAGTATTCATATGATAAGAAAAATGGAACAAAATAATCTCGGCGTCTGTACCTCCCTTACAATTCGTAGTACAACTATGTGATTGAATACGATGTTGGTTGGTGATGTTAAAAGAAGGCTATGTGTTGTTTGACCTACTGATATGGGCGGATGATGACGAGTTTAAGGTACGCGGGCCATAGAACGATCCTGCAATTGAAAGCTGGTACTCACTGCTACCAGATGCGGAGCTCTAGTAACAATAACATCACGTGCTTACATACTAAATTTGGACAATAATCTCAAGAAATGCCCCTTTTCTTCTTGCCAATATATCTCATCATACATCAAACTTTCAGCTACCATTCTATCAAGTTGTTCAGCAAAGTAAGCATGCTTAGATACTCTGTATAAAGACCCCGAAATTTATTACTCCACAAAAACAATATGGAGAACCGTTGTTATCTCTCTCCACCTTCCACCCTCCACCTTTCCCTTCACATCCATTTTGAGATCTGCCAAGTTACTACTAAAATTGTACTCTCTCGGGTTGATATGGGTCAAGATCAACGACAATTCGTTACCAATCTTTACATGATCAACTAGGTAGCTTGGTATAAGTTTCCAAGAATCTGTCCAATGAGGTCATATTTATCAAGTAATATGGGTTCACAAATTCAGCGCTGACTTGATATCACTTCGCGATTACTTTTCTCCGCTGGTTATCATGTGGACAATGAGGATTTTTACGTTAATAAGCTGGACACAAGCACAGTCATGTGTCTTCGTCTTCTGATGACCAAAAGAGGTACGAGATGCATTGGTCAAGACTCGAGCGGAGCCCCAAGTTTACGGTAAACTCGATTTTCTTCTGTTCTCCATTCCCATGTTCTGTTCGAGCGTTGTGATATCCTCTCGTAAAATCTTGGTCGGCATAGAGGCTTCTATTCTTCGTTGGCTGAAGATGGAAATCGGTGGGCAGTTGCCTGTCATGAAGATGAGCACTCGACTCAACTGTGATAACGGGAAGACTCTGGTCTGTCCATGGCTTCCAGTAGATAGCCCAGAAAATTTCTGTACTACAAAGAAGAATTCCTGAAACCGTTCCAGATTTTAAATGTGTTTGGAATACCAAATCCATGAAGAAAATTGTCCCCCCATGTTCAGATACTCACAGTATTCGAATAGTTGGAAATTTTTGGGAACTATTATATGGTAGAGGATGAATCTCCATTCGCGATATCAACGTTTTCAAGTGCTTGTCCAACCGTTCAAAATTATGATTGCAGGTTTAAATGATCATCTTATGAACGAAAGGAGACCAGGGGTACCCAGCATTATCAGAGCGAGATTTCCGAGCATTGTTGCATATAAGTCTCGGAAAGGCGCTCCGCAAATCCACAACCATTTTTGGGGGATAGCGGGTGGCAGGAAGTCAAAGGGAAACAAAGTTTGTCAAGACAATACAATATCGAATATTGGGATTTTGGAGAATGTTCTTGCGGACATATGATGGGATGGGGGTGGGATGGGATGGGATGAATGATTACTTGGGAGTTGAGCCTAAGATGCAACTTTATATTAGCAGGTTGCAGTTTGGTTACTGGTGCGCAGAAATACTTTGGCCCATGGCTCGAATGCGTTTCGAGTTTTTATCTCCTCTTATATGCCTCAAAGGCCAGATGATGTTGTCCACAATGCCATGGAGTTATTCTGAATACAGGTAGCAGGGAATGATTATCACGCGGAGACTCCATCCCATTGGAGATATAAATGTCGTAAAGCTGTCGCTAGAGGTGCTAGGAAGTGGTCAACATATCTTTCCAGTCCCTGCGGCGAGCTCTCCCTGAACCTCCAATTAGGATAGACAAACAGGAAATCATTGAACCCGGGAGGTGAGGTCTATTGTGAGAATGAAAGTTTTCTGGATAGCAAAAAGGTATATGAATTTTAAAGCTCTCCGACAATTCGACTTAAGTAGGAAAACCTACCCCGCCACGCATCCTCTGAGATTTCACAGCTACCGGTATATCTCCTTGACTCCCATGATATAAAAGATACATAATGAAATTAGGAAGGATTTGTCGGACCTAACCAATATCTGGCACCTTTCTGATATAAATTGCGTGGTTGAAGCTTTTCGTGGGAGTAAGTATTGCATGCTTGGCGTAACCTTCAGGGCCGCCTACTAGGTACTTTCCACACAATATGTGTGTTTCACGTATGTCCCACACATTTAATGAGTTCATATACTAACTGAGTCGTCGTACCCGAGCTCTTTCACCCAAACTATCGTCGCGAGAACACTTAGATACGCAAGGCTCCTGGGTGCTAAAAACAGAAAGGAAGGTGAGCCTTGCGAGCGCTTACTGTAGATAATCCCACCAGAAATAGCTGTGGGAGCGAGCTCCAATAGTTGTCGACAGGTGGAATGTGCAAACATCATTCAACTAGATTACTTGCGGAAATCAGGTGTTCGAGCTATTGCCCTTAATTGGTATCTTGTCCCTCAACCAAACAGAAAATTATTGAGGAAAGGATTAGCGTATCAAGTAAGGACAAGTTTTTCTCTTCCAACAATTCGTTCTTTCTGGTACTCCATGGCAATGATAGACATTCCATTTATCCGTTCCTTTCCCATTAAACCCGCTTAACCTCACCAGTATCACAGGTGTCGTACAAGAGCAAAACCCCCGCCAATATTAATCTCCCACCAAGTAGTGAGTGGCCTTTTTTGTTTTTTCGAGAGAAGTACCTAGTATACGATTGCTTTACGCGTAAAATCGGTGGCGAAGGGTGAATATATTTCGTGGCGGCTGCGCTCCTTATTAAAACATGGCAAGAGAGAGGCTGAGCTTCAACTCCCTTTGTACAATGGCAAGAATAGTAGGTACAGTACCTAGGTAGGCACAATAACTATTTTCACTACCCCATCATCTTCAAATCTTAGCATCCCTTGGATCAAGAAGGAATTGAAAGAACCTGGTGAACAGCCCGAAAAGCAACCCTGTGGTTGAGGACTTATATTCAGCGTGAAGACGAGTTTCCCCCCTTTAAGACTTTTTCTTATCAATTGCTCTCTCTTCTAATGCTTGCTCAATCACATTTCACCTGCTGTAACCATTCACCACCTGATTCGACCTTAGATCGATTTTGCTATCATTTCGCTACCACGGAAAAACAATCTTCTCCAGGTAACGAGCATTTTCAGGAACCAGGGATTGATGACATTTTTATGAAGAAAAGGAAAGATTTCCAGGATCCGAACGGGTCGGATGCCATTGCATAATTTAAAGTCTTCGAATTGTCTACCTCGTTTTAGCTACGGTGACCAGCCTTCGCCATTTTGACCAGCGCATTTTGCATCAAGGGCAAATTCACTTCCCAGTCCTTTGAATAACTCACGCTTTGCACACATTCTGCCATTCTCAATCTCTAATCTTATCAAAATTATACTTTCCGTATGTTTTTCAGTTTCTCCATTGTGTCAAAGATCCGTCAAGACTCAAATAAGGCTACAAATATACTCGCAATTACGAAACTTGATTCTGCGACCAGGATTACTTCAAACAATCGTTGAACGCCAGTCTAAAGCAGCATACTAATAATTCTAGCGTCTCGTTCCTGAATTTCCATTCTAGTACATCAACATTAATTGGGGAACGCTGAGCTGAGGAAGGGTCGAGATTGAGGGGTTTAAAGTCGGGAAAGAACAGAACGAACAACTACAAACAGAAACAGAAACCCATTGGAATGGGAACTGTGAAGCAGCATTACCTTCGATCAATGCTTCATTCACAAACACAAATCACAATATAAACGCGCGCTTTGGAATTTCGCAACTACGAAAATAATCAATTTTACTCTTTGTTTACAAGGCAATAAAAATAAAGCAATTAAATATTACCGAGATCTCCCGCGCCCAATCGCGAATTGTTTGCTTCATTGAGAGAAGATGGGCTCAACACAATTTGGAAATTTCCATGTGAGTAGATTTGCACAATCCAATTGCAGTTGAAATATAAAACCGATTACTGACAAACGTTCTATCCAGAATTTCTGCCGTGACTCGACGTTACCAGTCTGCAACGTTCGTACCACTTCCCAAATTCAAAATACGGTTCGCGATTCAACGTTGCTAACCGGATTTTTCAATAGCTATTTAATCCTCCTACCAACAGCAATTTCGGATATGGGGGCTGCGAACTTACCGGTATATCATTGGGTAGTGGAAAATATTTGGGAAACTTGGGTTCGTTCCCGCAATTCAATTTACTGCAAAGCCATAGACTAACTTTCCCGGAGGCTCAATATTAATTGCAGGAATCGCAATTGTCATTACTGCATTCTTGATATGGCGGTCGGACCGGAAACAGGCAGCAGTGGGAAGAAGGTATACAGTTTCTAGAGATAAATTCTTGAATTGTGTTCATTGCTGATATTTTTCTCCCCAGAGAAATGCAGCTTTTCCTCGTAGGTTATCTGATTATTGAAATCTGTGAAATATTTACTGTGGGAGAGTTTCCTCTGAGCGCAACTGTTCGGATAGTAAGTAGGACCAAGCTCTCAAGCCCCATATGCAAGAGCTGACCGTTACTCCAGGCATTCACGGGTATCCACCTCGGAATGATTAGCGCGACATTATGGATTCTAATGTTGAATGCTGTCGTGGGCTATCAGATAATCGATGACGGGACAGCCATGTCACTAGGCCTTATGGTTGCTTCAGCAGCAGCTATCTTCATCGGAACTGGATACATCGCCCTTGATACTGGGTACAGCTGGACAGGGCATTTCGACTCAAGTTTAGTTGGCCATGGCAACAGCCAGGCTCGAAATATCGCGCTCTACGTCCTATATCAACTCGCGCCATTGGTGTTTTTGTTCGTATTTTTTGTCCTAGAGACAGTTTTGGTCATTAAAGTTTTGGGCGAGCGTAAGCCCATGATCTTTTTAGCTGGTGCAGCTGTCCTATTCGCTCTGGGCCAGATCTTCAACTATGTTATCAGCCCTCATATTTGCAACGGCACGAACGGAAAAATCGATGGAGCTCTTTTCGAGACGCTCTTTACTCTGCTATCTGTGGTCATGGTATGGACCTTTTGGTCAAGTATCACAGAGGATGATTGGCCAATGCCAGTCACAAACACATACTCATGACGAAATTAAGAAAATTAGGGAGCAATGGAGTTAGGAATTTTGTTATAATGGGGATACGAAAAGTCTTACAACAATATTAATTTAATGCGCGGAATGGACATCTTGCTACATAAATAGCATGAATATTGGCTTAAAGGATAGTATGTATTGCAGCTACAGCTCCTGTCTACGGGGTAATGAGGACGGGAATATGACGCCACACGACAAGATGGCGAGTAGTAATGGCAGGGGCAGCTGGGAAGGATTATATGAATTGGTGGAATGGCTTGTATAGTGATTTTGCGAGTATTATACCCAACATGGAACTTATAATAGGAGGAGAATAGAGATTAATTCAGAGCATCAGAGTAAATCATGTTACCACATCATACCTTGACTGCATGCAATCTTGGACTTGTGCCCCACTTCATCCAATATCTCAACGCGTGGTAGCTTGGTAAGATAGCTTGTGCAGTGCGTGGATCGATGCCAATGCAGACTTGCATGAGAAGTGCTTTGTTCCTGGGTACCCTCATGGGACGGTGAAGCCAATGAGGACATTCTATCGTCTGACTTGCCCCTGACCCTGACCTTAAGCTCTAAAATCCACAGTGTACTGGAAAAAGCGTAATAGATTGTTCTGACTTGACCATCAGAATGACATATCCCAATTTATTTCTTCCTTTCCGTAAGGCTGAATAAAGCATTGTTAATCATGCCCTCCTAATCTTGGCTCGGCAATCAACCACTAAAGTAGCTCCACTAAATTCTCCGGCAAGTTCTAGCCTTGACATTTGTCAAAGACCTCAGCCTTGTCTTTCATTATCATTCATACATTTTTTGTCCCCAAATTCAGTTCTTTCAGTTGCTTCAGCTGCAGCAATGGCAGATTCTGATGGTGAATATGTGGATGATCTCTCAGATGATGATATTGGAGCGCCCGCCAATGTAAATGCCGGACATGGCACGCGGTCTACTGGAGCTGCTGCGGGACCCGCCGGATCAGCTACCAGGGAAAAGGCTACAAATGGAGGAGGTAATAGACGGAGAGCTGCCTGGGAAGACATTCAAAGAAGTTGGGACACTGTCGTCGAAGGAGCAGATGGTAGTATCAATTCTGCGGTTGAGGGATTGAGGGAGGCTAACAAGAGGAAGAGGTAAGAGAAGCTCTCTTTTTTTAATGCTTCTGGGTTTGGCAACGTGCTGATATAGGCTATACAGATTGCTGAGAGATACAACGCCCTTACAGCGAGGTATCATCCGCCACCTAATACTCATCCTCGACCTATCCTTCGCCATGACAGAAAAAGACATGCGCCCCACGCGATACCTTCTTACGCTCCGCTACGCGAGCGAATTCGTCATTGAATACTTCGAACAAAACCCTATCTCACAGCTCGGCATTGTTGGCATGCGCGATGGCATCGCAGTGCGTATTTCAGATATGAGTGGGAATCCTACCGAGCATATTGAACGATTAAAGGGTCTTCGTGTAGACCAAGGTCAAGGAAATCCTAGTTTACAAAATGCGTTGGAGATGAGCAGAGCTGCACTTTTCCACGCTCCAAGCCATGGTACAAGGGAAATACTCATTATATACGGTGCTCTGCTTACGAGTGATCCGGGCGATATCCACGAAACAATCTCCTCGCTCATAACGGACCGCATACGGGTTAGTATTGTTGGCCTCGCGGCCCAGGTTGCTATTTGCGCCGAAATATGCTCTCGTACTAATGCTGGGGATGACACGGCATATTCTGTTGCGCTGAACGAGGAGCACTTCAGACAATTGATGATGGCAACTACAACACCCCCGGTGACGCGTACTAAAAAACAATCTCAGAGTAGTTTACTCATGATGGGTTTTCCATCTCGAACACTCGGGCCGGGGAAAAGTATGAGTTTTTGCGCATGTCATGGAAAGTTAAGTAGAGGAGGTTACCTCTGTTCTCGATGCGACAGTAAAGTGTGCTCGCTACCAGCCGAGTGCCCGGCATGCGGCCTTACACTTATCCTCTCCACCCATTTGGCCCGCTCATATCATCATTTATTCCCTTTGCGAAACTGGGTGGAAGTCCTCTGGAAAGATGCGGGGAGATCTAAGGCTTGTTATGGATGTCAAGTACCCTTTCCTCGAAGGGATGAACACGAGAAGGGAGCACCAGAACTCGGATTGAGGAGTATGAGTGAGAGTGGGAGGTATGCGTGTGAGGTTTGTGGAAATCACTTTTGCATAGATTGTGATGTTTTTGCACATGAGGTGGTGCATAATTGTCCTGGGTGCCAGAGCGACACTAGAGGCTTGATTACTGGGGCTAGTAGGAGAGGAGCAGGAGGTGCCCCAGCGAGGAGTACGGAAAAAGACGTAGATGCTATGGTTGAATAAGCTATGTCTGGTTCGACTTGGCTGGTCTCAGGCTGGTTTAAATTAGCAGGTCTAACACAAGTGCAAATGGGAAAACATAGGTGATTTGGATAAAAATTCAGCGTCTAATCTTACCCTTCGCTGTATACGCAGAAAGGAGTCGGTTGGTCAAAATAAGATATTACTAGGTACTGTACCTAGCGAATTCTGAGGGGGAAGCGAGACGAGGGCGAGGGGAAACGAAGCGAGGCGTCTAAGTTAGATCGAACGATCAAATTGGATTCTGATGACATAGGGGATACTAAATCGCAAGTATTTAGTATCTAGTACCTAGCTAGGTAAATACATTTCCGGGAAGAACCATATGTAACAAGCTGATCATAGATCAAGAGTTAAAGCTCGTATGGAATGAGAGATGGAAGATGAATATGAGAGAGATGTTCTAAATAACGATTCGAGGAAACTGCTAAGTAGGCTAGGAGTGAAAGCTGGAGAGCAGACCACCTACTCGAGTAGGTAGTCATGCAATGTATAAAATAGTTACATAGGTATTGAAATATACTCTTTTTCTAGATTTTACCTAGTATGTTTAGATGGACCTGAGAGGTTGGTTTGTTTATTTGTTTGTTGTACTTGTATTTGAAGTTTGAAGTTTGAATATTGAAATGCGTTGTCGGGCTGGACTGAGGTATTTAATGTCTAAAGGGGCATTTAGATATGAGGCCTACTCAGGTCATGTACTTTTGCAACTTCGCGGACTCGATTTTCTTCTAGATAGTGGATCTTAGTATTTCATAGTAAATAATTTTATTCATCATGAGTATTTGCAGTAAATATCGAGTTGATGTCATTCATTTCATCATTTCACAAAAACTTGTAGCCTCCTCTCAAAACTAGAAGTCACCACCACCAAAATCTCCTCCATCATCTCCGCCAAAGTCCCCACCATTATCTGCGCCGTCTTCGTAACCTTGATTGTATTCATTTTGATCGTGATCTTGGATGCTGTATCGGAAACGAGTCAGTATCTCTTCCAGGAATATCATAGCAATCTTTGACAACTTACGCATCCTCAAGTAACATTCCACCAATCAATCCTCCACCTAATCCTAAAGCCGCTCCTCCAGCCATACCCAATCCTCCACCACCACTCTTTTGCGGTCTTTGCTGATAGCCACCTCCGTAACCCCCTCCGTAACCAGCTTGCTGTGGTGGATAGCCCTGAGGCGGATAGCCTTGAGGTGGATATCCCTGTGGTGGATACTGTTGTTGTTGATATCCACTATATTGTGGTTGTTGCGCATACTGCTGTTGATACTGTTGCTGCGGCGCATGACTTGAACCTGATCCACCAGCCTTTCCTAAGAGTTTGCCAAAGAAACCCTTTTTCTGTTCGCGCGGAGGCAGTTCCTGTTCCGAATAAGAAGGCATAGGAGTATTTTGATAATCCTGTTGAGCGTTTCCCCGCATCCCACTGCTTGAACCTCCACGGGCATCTTCTTCGGCTTGCAGACGGCGGGCGAGTTCGGCATCACTTTCGGTATTGGGAGAACGGCCATAGGGATTACTTTTTGTGTCGGAGGGATAATTGGAGGAGGAGCCACCGGAATAGCCGGGAGGAGGACCGGCCGGAGCGCTATCGTCGGATGGGTAGACGGGTTCAGTGGGTTTGTCCCAGGTGGACTTTTTGGTGTAGATGTTTACATAAAACCTGGGCAATTGTTAGTCTCATTGCGTTGTTAAGGGAGATGAAATGCCAACCATTCTTTATATTGGTCGTTCCATACTGCTTTGTATCCTGCTGGAACTTGTGGGGGCGGAGGGCCGGTAGGAGGGGCAAAATCATTCATCTTGAAAGTGACGTTTCTTTATGAGTTGTTATGAGATCTCCAGGTACCTTGGGAAAGAAGATAGCTTTCTGCTGTAGGATATTCGAACAATAAAAAGGTGTAGATAGGTGATGCTTGTTTTATATAGAAAGAAGTTAGACCAGTGAAATGGCGAAACAACGATGAATCGAATGATGGTAGGTGCCCACTCAGCCACAGCACGATAGCTGATGAGGGGTTAGCGTACGGAGAAAGTCAGGGGACTACGTACTGATCTAGGCTCATCTATTTGTTACCTATGATAGTTCTGATATTTATATTTATACCTATATCTATATTGATTTAGTATTGCGTTTTTTATAAAGAGACGACCAGATTCACTAAAATCCCTTCATTTCTCAGCCACACTTAGCTTGGCTGTCTTCTGACCCAAACGTCATCCCAACCGGGCTAGCAACCTAAGTGTAATGCCTAGGTATACCCGCCTCTTCAATACTTCATCACCGCCCAACCTTGTAAATAGCTGCACAACAACAACACCAGATACCATAGACCAAAATTAATCATGAAACTTTCCATCAATCTCATCAGTTTGCTTTTCTGCAGCACTTTTGTTGCTGCGGAGGGCTTGTCGTTCTTTGGAAATGGTCAAAAAGTCCTCGAGGATAAGGGAGGAGCCGTTCCTGGCAGCAATCCTCTTACCTACTGCAAAGCCGACCATTCTTCCGATATCCTAAAGCTCGATCACGTCAATTTGACTCCTAATCCTCCAACTGCGTATGCACAATCTGTGAGGTCTTGGGAAATGGCAACAAAGGCTAATTAGATAATAGTGGGAATAAACTTACCATCGAGGCGGTCGGTACACTATCAAAGAAGTTAGAGAAGGGTGCATATGTTATCTTGCAGGTCAAATATGGCTTGATAAGACTTATCAATATGCAGCAGGATCTGTGCGATCAGGTATCCAACGTCGATTTGGATTGCCCGATTGATGAGGGAAAGATCACGATTACAAAGGATGTTAACCTGCCAGAGCAGATTCCTCCTGTAAGTCCCTAACGTGCCTTCTATTTCCTTTTCTTCTCTGACTCGTATATTAGGGAACTTACACCGTCTTCGCCGATGCGTATTCCAAGGATGGCAAGGAGCATATCATTTGTTTAGAAGCGACTGTTACGTTTACTCGTTAGACAAACCCCGTACTAGGATGGCGGCACAATACTCTCATATTGTACTAAGGATTTCGCAAAGAGCAGAGATTTACACATGGACTTGTTGAGATAATGGATGATGAGGAAGTTCTCTTTCTGGGGCACGCTGTACCTGGACAGATATCTCTGATCCCGGAGCTTTTGATTTGCGTTTTGGTGCGCTGTTTTACGAGAACTGATTATACGAGAATAAACGAATGCATTAATACGGGAACCGTTGTTTTGGCCCTCCAGTTATCAATTGACTGTGTTCTTAGTCCATCTCAAATGAATGATGTCCAACTGACCAGGGTGGGTACTATGCAAAGTCCCGGCTGCTGAAGCTCATTGATCATGAGGTGGGCTTATGTCTATTCGTAAAGACCTCAAAGGCCTGATGCGTGAAATCGTGACATTGGCATGCTCTTGTATTCATTGTTTGATATAAATAACCCGTTCCAAGTGTCAACCTCGAAAACGCCCAACTCTCTAGCAATATAAACACACAACCCCGACAACAACGTGTAATCACCTCCTAGAATTGCCTGTACTAACTCTCACTCTCCAAAGAGTCTTCGGACTCTTCGCAGAACACTATCCTTCTCTGGGTCGTATGGGTGGTCCTTGCTAGGTATCTCCAGCAATGCTGGGAATGCGGCTGTGTAGGTATCAACCCGATGGCGTATACGTTCCGCAATCTGCAGAACTTCTCTTAGTCTCGTGGCCTCTATCACTAGTTTTCACAATAATCTTACATGTTGGTTGATCAAGAGAATACCAATATCCTTCCTCTCAGTTGTGAATCTCTCGAAGGCTTCCTCAATGGCAGCATTATCGGTCTTGCTATCGACAACGAGGAAGTTCTTCTGCGAGTCCGGTGGCGAGGTGACATGCTATACCTACATCAGTGACCTCCCTTTCAAGCAGTAAACGTATAGTGGAATAGGGTATTTCGTACACCAATACCTGCCAACAACAATCCAGTTACGGAATCCTACAAGGCCGATTAGCGATATTGACAACAGCTTGGGTAAGTTTGAAGCTCACCTCATCACCAATAACAGCGAGGAATTGCCTATCCTTATAGGCAGATGCTGGAGCGGCCATCTTTTCTTTGTTTGCTTGATATACTTCACCAAGCAATCAATACAACGGCAACTTCAAGCAAGGTGAGCTCTAGGGCCCACTAAATTTCAGCGCTAGCGTACGGTACCCCTGGTTGCAGCCGCAGCTTCTACGACCCACACCAAAATAAGTCATTATTCCAGAACAACTTGTAAACAAAAGAAACGGGAATTTCAACAAAGCCAATTCGATTCCAATTTTTCATCGGCTTCGCGATTACCGATTCTAGTATTGACTCTCAATGATGTGAGAATATTCCAACATATTGTCCATCATGCCGCGACTTGTGCGCCGAAGACCGCTTCGTGAACGAATTACGGATTGGTTCAACATTCACGATTGGGTTCTATGGATTTCAGAAGAAATTGAGACGAGAGATTGGGATTCTAAGGCATATGCTAATCCTCTGGCATTTGGATTGCACTCTACACTATTAATTGCGAGAGCGAACAGTGGAAATGGGGTATCTGGGAATGTAGACGATGTCTTTGGAGATGTGCCTTCAGGCACTGGCTGGTTGAGCTATTTGGTAAGGGTCACCATTATGAATACTGGTTTCTGGAGCTTGAAACTAACTGATATGATAGTCTACACTAGTCGTCTATCTATTGACGGCATTGTCGATCTTGAACGCAATCTCGACATTCTCTCGAAAACGACGTTACCGCCTCTTCGAGAGCTCCATCGAGGCCGCACCCAGTACCCCTTCTGCTCAAAGAGTGCGCATCGACTCCTCACCAGTATCTTCCTCCCCTCTTCGTTTCTTCTCAACTATACTAGGGGATACAAACGCGCAATCAAGAGCTCATCCAGATCCGACTCGGGACGTTTGGGAGATTGCTGTTTGGGATCCTATACCAGTTTGCCTAAGATTATTCTGTCTGTTCAGTCCTGGGCATGTGCTGGTCTATTGGCTATTTCTCCCGACGTTATCATCAGACTCGCGACCAAGTGTTACGATTTTCACAACTCTGGTTTTGGAACTGTTGATGACTGGACAATTACTTCTCCTACAAACAAACTTTTCACAGCAAGAAAAGGACACTAGCATCATACAGAAAGAAGTCATGAGTGAATATGATATCAAGTTTGTCCATCCCAGAATGAATCCGGTCATGCGAGATGTTGGCACGCAGTTTTCTGGGCCGGATGCTAAAGTCAAGACTGGCCGAGAGGAAGAAATTGAAATATATACACCAAGTGTAGTTCTGAAAAAAGGCTTTCGTACTAATCCAAACCCTAATTACTCTAAATTTGTCGATCCAGATAGCGTGAGCCCTAGCAAGCCAGTCTCCCGACAGATTTTCTCTCCTGCTCCATCCTTTATTTCTACTTCCTTCAACAAACCGCGAGATTCGCCTTACAACAGAAAGATACCAAACACAGCGATGAGACAACCTCAGTTCCGCCAAACCACACCCAACAGCGTCACATCCACATCTGCCGGGACAGCGGATGGTGGAAGCTTGGGTATATACAGTCATGCCAATTCGCCGTTGAAAAAGACCAGTAGCATGTTTGACAATCAGGGACGAGATCGCCGAGATATACCTAAAAGTTCTCTAGATATGGCAGGGAGGGAAATAAGAGACCAAAGGGAAAGAGAATCAAGTCCAAAAAAGAGGGTGCATGGAGGCAGCGACCTGCGACCATTTGGCAAATCACCATTTCCAGATGCTGAAAGTGATAGGAGAGTTAGTGATAACTTTTCGAAAGCAAGGACAGGGAATGTTGACCAAAGTCCGTACAGAAGGGGTCCTTCGAGATGGTAGTTTCTTTATAGCCTATTCTATCTTTCTTTTTAAAACTCAATTGTACATGCATTTCTGGGGTTTTAACAGGTCTGGTAATACTGGCGTAGGATAATCATGATAGATCCCATTACCAGCCTCCACTTTTTTTATCCGTTCATAATGCTAATAAGTTCTGAAATTGCGGTGGTGGTATGTCATATTTTTCTCTTCTCGCTTATTTTTGGTGGGGTAAAGGAGAGTGCAATATGGAACGATTTGTGTCGGTAAATGAAGGTTTTCTTCATCGTTCATTGCCGTTTGGTCCGGCGCTTTAATTCTTTGTATAGAACTTTATTTCTATTGTTTGAATTCCCTAACGTCTTCAGGCTGTAGTTTTTCGCTTGCAGTAGATACAGAGGATGATTTGGAGCGGAACGTACACTGATTTATTTAACTATGTGTCACGCTGCATTGAAATGTAGTTGCGGGTTTCTATTTGTAAAGTATTTTCAGGAAACATAGTCAATAATTAGATGTGTATTGGATATTCTATTAAATCAATATATGTATGCACATTGTCCTGATGTCGAAGTTCGACGCTATGTGAATTTTTGCCCTGACGCCGCGGTAAGGCCCAGTGAAATAAATGTAGCCCTGCTCCGACAGATACCTACCTAAATGAATAGCATCATTGATAAAATTCACGATTCATGCACGGTCATTCTCCCAATCGATCCATGAAGTTCAACGATTAAGGCGTCCTTATATACTTAGCTCAACAATAGAGTTGTGGTAAAGTGCCATTATTCCTTCACAATGTAGTAAATTACCGGACGCTAAAAAAAACGCACTTGTTAAGAGCTGGACCCTAGCTAGACAACTAGTGTGATTCTTTACACTAGCTGGGAGAGTTGTCTCGGTATTTGACCATAGGGCTTCGGCATTGCTGTTGTTTCAAAAATCCCATCGTTGATTTACAAATTAATTACTGATGTTTGTTGATTAGTGTCGGTTTTTCAATAACGGCAATTTACACTTAGTCCTGACAGAGTTTGAATCATAAGCTTGAAGCAAAGGCCTATACCGGCAAATTCAAATTCTAGAGCCTTGTGAGAGAGGTTAAGCTCCAAAACATCCCGCGCTTATAGTATAATGCGTTGATGCTTAATCCTAAAGAGCTATAGTGTGGTGATATTTCAGCCTATGTTTGTAGCAGATGGTTGGTAGATCCCGAGTAAAGCAAAATGCTGCGGTACCATGCAGGAGTGCATACAGCTAAATTTAACAATAAAAGTTCTTCCCTTGCTCTCGCTATATCGTTCTAGATAATGGTCAGCTGTGATGCAAAAATTTTCTAACTATCATAGTTTGCTCCTTTCGGGGTAGTTTTATAACCTAAGTAGACTTAACAGCACACTACATATATCACAAGCTAGTTAATTCATCGACGTGCTGTGATGCTGTCACTAAAGTAGCTACTAAATAAACGGCTTTGTGCTTAGCTTAGTGGGAAATTCAAGAAGATACTTCGTCAAATCTAGAAGGAGCGCCTGAGTTCCTACCTCGACTACAGTCAGGTGACGCATATATAAATTTTCGAGGCCGCACCAACGATGGACCATTCTAAAGAGAAAGAAATCTTTCTAGCGCTTGAACAAACAAGACTAAAATGGCCGAAGCGCTTCCCCGCCTAGTGGTTTGGGGAATACCTCCGATCCAGATACTACTGATCACTAGCGGGGAAGTTTTCTTCATGGACTCATTTTAGGTCAAGCTATAGTAAAGCTATAGTTAGCTGATGCCAGAGTGAGAGCTCCACGATGTGGGCATCTTGTCTTATAAAATGACTCTCTTTCCTCCCCTGCCCTCTCTTTCTCTCTTCTTTCTTCGCTCTTCGGACAAAGTTCAAAACGTACAATACCTTCTGATAAAAATTTCTACTTGCTTTATCACAATTCCAATTGTACATTTTGAACATTCAACTTTACTTATTCCAACACTATTCAAACCACACTTTACAACACTTTCAACACGCTTTTTCGCCTTATCACAATTCCACTTGCATACGTGTATGTTATACATTGAAAATTACAATTCAAATACCATTCAAGCCACTCTTAATATCGCCTTTAACACGCCTTCGCCTTATTATCACTCCGACTATACACATACATATCATACATTCAACTTAAAATCTCAAAATACCACTCAACCACCCTTCATATCGCCTTCGAGTCGATCTTCGTCGACTCATCTATTATCAAGATGGGCTTAAGCGCCATCATGCACACCGCATTGGGCGGTGCTAAAGACCTTATACCCTCTCGACTTCGTCGCTCGAGACACTCTAGAAGATCCAAAGGATCTAGATATATTTCAAAGGAAGGGATTATATCACGCTATAGATCCTCTCCAGCAGGTGACTCAGTCTTTGATAAAGACTCCTCGGATGAGAGTATATTTTATAGAGCCTCTTCATCGGAAGACTCTTCAGAAGAAGAGGCTATAATTTGTTATGCCCCTTCGGAGGGAGATTTCTCAGTAGAGACCAATTCTCTCAACTCCTTGTCAAAAGAAGATGGTATAGTTTATAAGATTCCTTCAGTGGAAGACTTCCCAGAAGAGGAAACTGTTTCTCATAGTCCCTCTTCAAAAGAAAAGACTGTATTTTACAAGGCTCCTTCTGCAGAAGACTTCCCAGAAGAGGATATTGTTTCTCATGGTCTTTTTGCAGATGAAGAGGCTGTCTTGTACGAGGTCTCTTCGGTGGAACAAATCGCAAATCCATTGATCTCGGAAAACTCAGCTGAGACAGTCACTGATGGCCCATGTGAGGCCGAGGAAAATAAAATTCCTCAAGTTCAAGCCTCCGTTCAAGAACTCGTTGCACATTTCGAGACCCTGAAGGAAGGATCCTCAGAAATCCCAGTTTCAGAAGTCTCCATTGAGAGCCTTATGCATAATCCATCCAGGGGAAAATCTTCCACTAATCACATCAATGGCCATGATGGCCATGATGATTCTAAGAGCTCTACAGATACAATCATCCATAAACCATCGGAAGCCTCCGAGGTCCATAAGATCTCACGACGTCAAGATTATAAGAACAAGATCCGTCGATGCCTATCCTCGAAATCTTTGTCCTCCAAATCTCTTTTCTCAACCCGGGAAACGAGTGCACCCTTGAACAAGTTGGAGGAAGAATCTTCCACTCATCACATTATTGACCAAGATGATTCTAAAGGCTCCACGGATACAATCATTCATATACCATTGGAAGTCTCCGAGGTCCCCAAGATCTCAAGGCGTCAAGAATATAAGACCAAAATTCGCCGATGTCTATCATCGAAGTCACTCTCCTCGACTCAGCAATTTATTGCACCATCAAAAACATTAGAGGTAGAATCCTCCACAAACAATGTTTACCAAAAGAAGAAATTCTCCACCTCTAATTACTCAATCTCCATCTATTCACAAGAGGGCATTGATGAGATCTTCGTATCTCCAGAGGAAAAGGAATTGAATGCTTTGAAAGCGAAGCTATTCCATCAAGAACTAGAATTAAAGAAACTTCGCTCGGAGAATTCGCAGCTTCGCAGTGATCCCACCTCAAATTCGGTTTCAGAATCAGAGACTGTCGTTCATACTCCATTGGAAAACACCCGAACCTCAAATCGCGAAAGGTGCCGAAGCAAGGTCCGCCAATATGTATCTTCAACTCATGAGCTCATGGCACCCTTGAAGGCTTTGCACCCTAGTAACCGAGCAGAAAGGGGTCACGCCAAACGACTATATAAAGAACGCCTCGAAGCTTTGGAAAATGCCCCGATGTTCTTTGAAACAGTCCCATTTGAGTCCACGGATGAGGCTGAGGCCCCAATCTTCTATTGCCCTCGTCATGTTAGCTGTTCCTGCGAGCCTCATCCGAGTTGCCCCCTTGAAAAGAAGAAGATGGAGGAACAAGCTCTGCCCATCACAGAGCATTCCAGCGAAGTGTTTTCCGCCGATGACTATATCTTACACATCAAGGATTTGTCAGATGAATTCCTCGGTATTAAACCCTCTGCTGTAGAGGAAAAGCTGGAGCAACAAATTCCGCAAGTCCCCGAGCAGCGTCAGCCCAAAAAATCTTCAATCAAGGACCACACTGGACATGTCAACCATTTGGCCGATGATCGCCTTGGTGTCACTGGATTCAACCCCCGAACCGGTGTTTTGGATTCATCAGAGGAGCATAAAACTCCCCGACGAGTCCACTGGGCCAGCACCGAAAATGGCTGGGAAAGCAGGCCTATACGCTCTCCAACGTCTTCGACTGGTGGTCGCAAGGTTCCCAGAAGATTCGGGAAAAAGAAGCGCGCCGCTGATTCCGAGGCAACTAAAGAACCCGAATGTACAAAAGTCTCTGAGCCAGTCAAAGAACCAAAATGTGCAGAAGCCCCTGAACCAGCCAAAGAACCAGAATGCGCAGAAGTCCTTGAGCCAGTTACAAACGCTTGGGGCGATTTTTTAGCCGAGAGAAAGCACTTGGGCTTGACAGTACACGACAAGTTCAACAACAAGTGCATCACCACGTCCACCATCACCATTGGACCACTTGGACCACTGGGCGGGATGGTTCGTGCGGCCTTCGGATCACTCGACGAGGTCGACGATTGAAGAAGAAGAGAAGGAGAAGGAGACATCGCTCGTCTTTTTTTGAATAAAATAAAATTAAACTAAACGGCGTTACTGGTCTATTTTGTGTTTGGAGAGGAGGAGGGGGGGAGAAAGGGGCGTCGGTCGTGTCTTTTTCTCTTTTTTGGAATAAAATTAAAAAAACGAAGAGGCGTTGGTCTATTTTTTGGAAGGCAAGAATAGGAGGAAAAGGAAAGGAGGCATCGCTCGCCTTTTTTTTTGAGTAACCAAAAAAAAGAAAAGGCGTTTTTGATTTGATTTTTGAACGGAAAGAAGAGGAGGAGAAGGAGTCGTCGGTGGTTCTTTTTTGAGTAACCAAAAAAAGAAAAGGCGTTTTTGATTTGATCTTTTAGAGCGGAAAGAAGAGAAGGGAAGGAGTCGCCGGTGGTTCTTTTTCGAGTAAAAATAAAAAACTAATAGGCCTTTTTGGTTTATTTATCTTTGGAGGGAAGGAAGGTCTTGGTTTTGTGTTTTTGGCTTGGTTTATTCTTGAGTCGTTCGCTTCTCTTTTTATCTTTGTTGGTTTTGGTTTGGCGGTTTTGTGCGTATCAGTCTCGGTATCAAGCTCAGTATCAAGTTCGGTGTCAGTATCAGTCTCAGTATCAAGCTCATGATCAGTCTCAGTATTAGTATTAGTATCGGTATCAGTATTAGCTTCTATAGAATAAAAATGAAATAAAATGAAAAATAAAAATGATTGTAATGTCCCAATAGCAACTATGCATTTGAATTTCTTGAGTCCTATCAGACGTCGGAACAAAAAGTGCTACCCTTAGAATCAGGATTCTCGAACGCCCGTATTTTAATGTAAAGGTGGGCCTTTGGATGCGTTCAGTTCCTCTATTGAATCCGGATATTCCTCCTTCTTCCTCCTCCGAGTCCTTGTCCATCCCCTGCCCGGCCGGAGATGTGTGATTTATCGGAACACGCTCAAAAGTGTAGCTAACTTCCAGTAACACCGGCACTCGCTCAGGAAATATGAACAAAGTGATCGGATTTCACATGTAGCATGACAGCCTCCCAAAAAGCTAGCTTGCCTGATTATTTATTGACTCATCGTCCTATACGGAATAGATCTTACTTCTGGTATGGCCCCATCCAGTAATTCAAAGTTCCTCTGAGCGCCCTACCTTTAAGCGAAACCAATCCGCTCCTCTATCGTTTTCCAAATGTACGTGAAACAGAACAGTGCCATTGCACTGGATGATGAATGAACGCGTTACGCTAAGTTGAAGTAGGGTTTAAATATCCGCACAGCTACATTATATTTCTGAGAGCGGTTTTCTTCTGAGAAGTGTGGGTGTTTCAACAGGATATTAGTGATTGGCTCAAGTAGTCGAGACACCTCAAACTCGGATGAAGTCAAGAATAAGATTGATGTAATGTTCCGACTTGAATTTCATGTGTAAACTAAGTTGCATATAATGAGCTCGAGTACATACAGTAACTTAGTAAACGCAGTATTACTGGGCCAATATTCTCAGTTCATCACTTAATCACACGAATTTTGGTTACATGGTATCACTGCTAAAATGACTTGCTCTAGAATAGACAAAGTTGGAAGCGCGGAGTCAGATAAGAGGCTACTCTGTGGTATGTATACGACGGACGTGAAAAAGTCTGGATACAAGAAGTTTTCTTGTATAAAGGGTTCAGCCAGCTTCATTGGTCCTATTTTCCAATATTGTATCACTTTTTAGAAATCGCCGCTTCATTATATATTTAACTCTGATAAAATTAGGGGAGCCTGTAACTAGAAGAGGAAAAAAGACACCTGAGAACCCTCTTCTTTCACAGGAGACCCTATGCCTAACTGTCATGGCGGTTTATGTGATCAGCAAACTTGAAGGATCTTTCTAAAACAACGAAGTACTAACATTTAACCAGAGATGCCACCAGGCCTACCGCGTTACCCTCACATAAAAAGTCTTACAACGAGGCTAACAAACTGAAAATGCCATATGTAATACTCTCCATCTATTCTTAGTTTCAAGTGGGCGATTTTCATGACACGAAGGGTCTTTGTATGTGACTGGTTCCAACATATGTCCTTTGAACAGGTCATGAATTACAATATCCATGCTGCGATCGACTTCAAAAAATAGCCAAGCTCCCCCAGAAGAGGGGACATTATTGTCAGAGAACGGATGAAGATATTTTGCTTCGAAAATTGGAGTATATAACTACTATTCTCCTTTGAGTCTTCCCACCCGAGGAAAACGCCGTGTACCATTCACTTTAGGGTAGGAGCGGCTCTTTGCCCAAATTCGTGAGGCCCATGGAACCTCTTCAAACCTCATGCGTGACAGAAATGAGCTCTATTGACGACTTATCAAGTGAGCTGGTGAGCCACCGATCGTTGCCCATTGGGCATCTCAAATGATATGGATCATACTTTAACAGAAGCCACTCTGCTCATATCAGGCACCGTAAGAGTACCTTCCATAATATAATACACAAGAGTTTAACAGCAAGGTTTGAGAAAAAGTAATTCATTCTCAGTATATGGTGTCGATAACAGGTATATATATACAATAAACATTGAAAAAATTACAAATGGCAAAAGATAAATAATGTGTAAAATAAACTAGTTTCCTTCATACATACCGACGCAAATAAAAACCAAAAAATTCTCATATTAACATGTCCTCGTATACGTATACCCAAGTTCCCGTGTTTCTTCCATATTTAACACCCACACCCAGCAGCCCGACATTTCCGGTATCCATCGTCCAACATCTTTAAAGCAAGCAAAGAATTGTATACAACGTATATGGATCCCATCATCCCAATGACTTTTCAATCAAGGGAGTGGGCCATCATGGAGGATAAGGCCTGATTTATACCTTCGCTCCGTTGACCGGGACTTTGTTGTCCAAAATGTTAAATCAAAAGCTTCATCGCGATTCTCTACCGGACAACTTTCATCACATATCCTAAAATATCATTTTATGATTAGTAGTACAATTACAAGTTTTGCAACCCGCTAACATTTCTCAATCTCGCTCCCCAGGCCGCGCCTCCTCTTCCTTCCTCTGCTATTTTCCCACTGACGTCTCTTCTGTAACTTCCTCGCTGACCTGCAAAATCAGTTCCACTGCTGACTTGTCGTCCGATTCCGTCGCCGCCAACCATGATAGGTGGTGTCGCAGGTTTTAAATCTCCATAACTCTTCGACTTGAAACTATCGCCCGAGCCTGAATCACGGGTGCGCAGGGGCTTAGGAGTTAGTTCGCGTATCTCTGGAGAGCGAAGAGGTAAAGGCCACGATGGTTCGTCTGCTATGTCGGTGGAGCCGCCAGTTTGTTCATTGCTATCTGGAGCCATCGCAGAGGGAGCTTGGGAGGAATATTTGGAGGATGAAGAGGGGAAATCGTGACGCGGGGTTGGCGGGTTTTCCATTAGCGGATTAGGAAGGCGGAAGCTATCTTCATCGTCGTCGATCGCGGAAGGGTCAAGTGGTAGAGGATGATAGGAAGACTTGATAGAGGTGGAGGATTTCTGCGGTGAGTGGGGACGAGAGCTTGGTGGTGCGCTGCTGCGATTGCCCTTTTTACCGAGAGAATCGTTGGTGAACCAGCTTATGATGCCATCATTGGTATTCTTTTTATTAATAGACTCATTAGCCGTGTGAAAGGAGAGGTCCGATGCGGGAACAGAAGTGTAGGAGTGACGGGATGCTGGCTTCAAGTCTGGAACTGAATGACGAGGCGATTGATTGGGCTTATATGCATTATAGCGAGCCGGAGAACCCGTACGTGATGTACGAGGTGATGATTGATTAGTCTGGAATGATTCATTGGAGTTGGTGCGAGTATGAAGGAAGGGAATTGTTGGGGGTCTATCAAGATCCTCGTAAGGGGCCCCAGAAGGTCGTTTATCCTCAAGATTGGATCCCCTTGATAGTCTTTTCTCGGTTGGAGGCGTGATGGTAGTGAAAGTTGAGATGGAGGATTTGTTGCGTTTGTGACGAGACGTGAGATTATCTTCTAGTGGGTTCATATCCGGAGGGAGTTGGTTAATCTTGCGGAATGTGACAGCGAGATAGAGAGAAATAGATAAAGAAATTAAATGGAGTCCAGCTCCCACTGTAGCTGCGTAGAACAGAATGTCGGTGAAGATTGTTAGCAGATTCTGGTCAGATAAAGATGTAGTCCAGGTCGTTTGCTTCGTTTTAGCCGCCAAAGAAATATATGCATAAAATGGCACAATAGTTATATCAATCAAAGATGCGAATAGCATGTATGATGCTGTGGATCCAGGTGCTCTACCGTCAGGTTTTCGTGCTAGGTGATATACTCCATAAATGGTATGAAGAATTGCTATAGCAGGCTGAAACATTGTCAGTCGGTCATGCAAAATTAAAGCATTCTCGGGACAACATACCGCAAGCCTCATGATCCAGCCTGATATAAAATCCAAACCGGTAATCAAGATTGACATTATAAGGAGTCCGACTGCTGCTAGGGCTTGAAAGCATCGCAATGCCAGTGTGACTTTTCTGGTCCACTTGATTCTCTTCTTGACAGAAGGGTGCATTGATTTGACATCCACATTTCCAGAAGGAACAATTAGGTAAGAACTGATGAGAGAAGATCAGCATAGATTTCAGTGAACTGTAAGCGCATACTCAAACGTACTCAGGGTGTGCATTGAAATTGACCAACGGCCCATCTGGTCGCTTTGGCCGCGGAGCTGGCGGAGATAAGCTGGCTCTGGAGACGGCTTTTGGATCAAAAAACCAATCTGTTTTGACCGGTTCATAAATAAAGGGTGGTTCAATGCCCATTGTACGCGACAATAATGAATGACGAAGGAGAGAGTGAAATGTTCCAGGAATGAAGCCAGGAACGTGGATCTTGCAAAAGAATGAACCACAAATATGCGATGTTAATCATTCTAGAGCTTGGATCAACAAACTTTGGGTCCAAGCTTTGTTGGCAGAGCAACACACGACGATGTTACGAAGTGTTATCGGACAATGCGATAAAGATTTCCGAAGGCTTCCCATATGACGTTTTGAGAGCGAGGGAAAATGAATAGGATCGCGAGACCTTGGCTTTGCACAAGATGTGCGGAATCTTTACAGCAACGCATACATTGGATCGCTCGATCAAGGACAATCACGAATACCGCCAGAAAATATACTGAGAAGCCTAGAGCTCATGATGGTAGACCATTTAGAATGGCTGTCATTGGGTCGGGACCTGCTGGATTTTATACATCTTATAAGGTAATGTCCAGAATTGGAAATTCAACTGTGGATATGTATGAGCATCTGCCAGTACCTTTTGGTTTGGTACGATTTGGCGTCGCTCCGGACCATCCTGAAGTGAAGGTGAAGCCCCATCTGGCAACTCGAGATCAAATGAGAAAACTTCGTGCTGATGCTAAATAGAATTGTCAAGATAAGTTCAACGAGGTAGCCGAATTACCAAACTTTAATTTCATTGGGAATATATCTATAGGGGATCATGCTGGAGCTTTACCACTTGCATCGCTATTGCCACATTACGATGCTATATTATTTGCCTATGGCGCATCTCGAGATCGTACACTAAATATACCAGGAGAGGATAGTTTGAAGGGTATATATTCGGCTCGGGCGTTTGTGGGTTGGTATAATGGATTACCCGAATATGCAGATCTCGAACCAGATCTCACGCAAGGAGATGAGGCTATAATTATTGGGCAAGGAAATGTAGCTTTGGATGTCGCAAGAATCTTATTGCAGGACCCCGATGTACTGCGAACAACCGATATCACGGAGCGAGCTATTGACACTTTGCAAAAAAGTCGGGTCAGGAGAGTGAGGGTAGTGGGGAGGAGAGGTCCTTTGCAGGTTTGTTTTATGGGGCTAAGTGGAGCGTATTTATGCTGATGATTTCAGGCGGCCTTCACGATCAAAGAGGTTCGTGAGTTGGTGAAGTTAGATTCGGTAGCTTTTCATCCTGTTGATAGATCATTGATCCCGGAGGATATCTCGAAATTACCTCGAGCCTCGAAGCGAATCATGGAAATTATCAAAAAGGGGTCGAGTGCTTCCTTAGAGTCGGCAGCTAAGTCATGGTCATTTGATTTCTGTCTTTCACCAAACTCATTCAATCAAAGTCATCACTCTCCCTCCCAACTAGGTAGCATGTCATTTGAGAAAACCCTGTTGAGCCCAGATCCTTTCGATCCTGCGGCCAAGGCAAATGGTACAGGAGAAACTTTAGACCTTCCAGCCTCTCTAGCTTTTAGATCCATTGGATACAAGTCAGAAGCTTTGCCAGGATTCACGGACCTGGATATACCATTTGATGATCGCCTGGGCATCATACCAAACGATCGACTGGGCCGTGTGGTCAATGACAACGAAGGGTGGTCAAGTTCGGATTCGTCCAAGCAAATTCCAGGAATGTATTGTGCTGGGTGGGTAAAACGAGGACCGACAGGTGTAATCGCTAGTACTATGCTGGATGCCTTCTCAACTGCAGATACGATTGCGGAAGACTGGTATACGCATGCAGCATTTCTAAACGGTAATGCTGGAGGTTCTGGCCTTGGATGGGATGGAGTAAAAGCTGAAGCGGACAGAAGAACGTGCCGAAGAGTCAGTTGGGAAGACTGGCAGAAGATCGACGCTGCCGAGCGTAGGAGGGGTAACAGTAATGGAAAGGAACGAGAAAAATTTACAAATGTGGAAGACATGCTCAAGGTTCTAGATTAGACCAGGAGATTCTAAACTAACAATATCGTACATTACTTTAACTTTTCCGTCAGCTCTGGGACCTTATCAAACAAATCCCCAACCAGCCCAACATCGGCGACTTGGAAAATTGGCGCATCCGCATCTTTGTTGATCGCTGCAATGACCTTACTATCCTTCATACCTGCCAAATGTTGAATAGCACCAGAGATACCTGCACACAAGTACAATTGTGGTGCTACAACTTTTCCGGTTTGGCCGACCTGTAAACTGTTGTCGGCGTAGCCGCTGTCCACAGCCGCCCTTGATGCTCCAACAGCCGCTCCTAATGCATCCGCCAAAGGCAACATTATTCGATCAAACTCTTCCTTCGATTTCAATCCTCGGCCTCCAGATACTACTTTGCCCGCAGTGGCGAGATCTGGTCTATCTGATTTAGCGAGATCTTCTGACACCCATTCCGTCTGTGATTCAATCTTAGGATCTACGCCATCTTCGATTGATGCCGCGCCTCCCTCAGCCGCAGCAGCGGCAAAGGCTGTTCCTCTAACGGTAATGATTTTGATTTCGTCTGAAGATTCAACAGTGGCAATTGCGTTCCCAGCATAGATTGGCCTCACGAAAGTCTTCTCATTCTCGATTCCTGTAATATCCGATACTTGTTGAACATCAAGTAATGCGGCAACGCGGGGCATTAGATTTTTCCCAAAAGCTGTGTGTCCCGCAATGATGTGTGTAAAGCCGCCCTTCTTGATATTTTCTACCAATAAAGGAGCATAATTTTCTGGCAAACCCTAAAGTAAAAGGATCAGAAATTGCTAATTTAGCAGCATCGCTGGATTATTAAGGAAGTAGATCTCCTCACCTTGTCATATGCAGCATTGTCTACCGCGATAATTTTTTCGATTCCTGCAACTTTAGCTGCTTCCTCAGCGACGGATTTGATATTGCTTCCCGCGATAAATGCAGTTATCGACCCTCCTAACTTCTGGGCTGCAGTGACTGCGCCAAGTGAACCATGGTTAAGTTTGCCTTCCCTTTGTTCCAGGACGGCCAGTGAGGATAATAATCTTGCGAACGCGGATAGTGAAGCAACAGGCGTAGGACCAACTTGTGGCCGTAATTGAGTACGCGCCTGGCGTAAGATAGATTGACCGGCTCTCGAAAGCATTGTTATGGAATTGAAGGAAGGAAATTTTGAAAGACTAAATTGTTGATGAACATTGTCAATGGAAATCCACTAAGTAACTTTACCCCATGTTTTCAATCTTGACCATCCGCGCGCCGCTTCAAGCCGAGGGAGGGACCTAATTTTGTGCCTGTACATGATGGCCTAAGCCTTAGGGTGTAAACATTAGTCATGGCTTATTGTCACGTGAAATTTCATCGTTTTGGCTTGTTTGAATTTGGCTCCATCTTGAGCTTGATTAATCTAGCAAGCGAAACGCGACGTCCCTCCACAAAATCATCAACGCGACTCACAGCAATAGTGTTTGCGCCTCAAACTCTCAATCGTTTGCTACCACATCAATTACTTTTGCACCAAGTCGTGCATTTAGATTCTTATCGGTTCGACGCGCATGAGAAGTCGAACATCCATTTTGGAGATCAAGAGCGACTCCTGTTGCGCCAAATTGAGAAAGTGTTTACGAGTAAACCATTGCGACAGGTTTACTATATCAAAATATAATCAAATATGGAGGATAATTCATTAAACTTCGATTCGGCTCCAGGCAGTAATGCCATACTCGAGCAGCCACCACTCCCCGCAGAGTCTACCTCATCACCAAGTCAAGGGACCACTGGGCAAACCCAAGTAGCGGAAGGTATAAATCATCAGCTATTCATACTATGCGCGATTTTTAGCAGCTAACTATCTGCAGATATTCCAATGGGTGAAGCTAGTTCTGTTGATCCAGACATTAAGAAAAGCTCAACTGCGCCTGTCTCGGACAACCCGCTCGATGCGCCTGACGCACCTCGTCCAGAAGCAGATGAACCTAAGGATGAGGAGATGGGTAATTCTCAAGCACAAGACGAAGTGAAAGAAAGCAAAGAAGGGGATGGAGAAAATGGGACTACCGATGGACAGGTCGAGAAAACAAAAGCTTCGATCGAAGCATCAGCAAGGGAACATCTCATATCGCAAACACATTTAACCCTAATACCGAGTTATAGTAATTGGTTCGACATGCGTGTCATTGCACCTGTCGAGAAGAAGTCTTTGCCGGAGTTCTTCAACAACCGCAATCGCAGCAAGACCCCAGCCGTCTACAAAGATTATCGGGACTTCATGGTCAATACCTACCGATTGAACCCAATAGAGTATTTGACTGTGACAGCATGCAGGAGGAACCTGGCGGGAGATGTTTGCGCTATTATGCGTGTCCATGCCTTTCTCGAGCAATGGGGCTTGATAAATTATCAAGTATGTTATTCTCACTATTCAAAACGATTACGATCTTTGCTAACGAGTGTAGGTTGACGCACAACAAAGACCTTCCCAAGTCGGTCCTCCGTTCACCGGGCATTTCAAGGTAATATGCGATACCCCCCGTGGCCTGCAGCCGTGGCAGCCTTCCGCCGATCCGATCGTTCTCAAGGGCAAGAAACATGAAGATACGGAAGCCAAGGCAGCTGCAGAGCCAGCTTCCAAGTCCGACTTGAATCTGCAGATAGGACGCAATATATACGACGCTACTGCCAAGGAAAATAGACTGAGTGCTGACTCTAAAAAACAAACGAATGGCGAGGCTGCGAGCACCAATGGCACTTCGGACATTGTTCAAAAATCCATCGAGGACATTGTAAAGCCCCCAGCAACGAAGATCCTCTGTTTTGTTTGCGGTGTTGATTGCACTCGTGTTTATTATCATCATATGTCTCCAGCCGACCCGGCAGCTTCTGGAACCACTAAGGGTAAATCAGATATCTGTTCAAACTGTTTCATGGAAGGTCGATACCCTCACAACCATGCCCGTTTACAATACCAAAAGATGGAGAATCCAACATACACCGCCGCCCCTGAACTTTCTCGTGATTGGAGTGATACCGAGGTTCTGCGACTCTTAGAGGCTTTAGAGAGCAACGATGATGACTGGACGGCAGTTGCAGAGTATGTTGGTACCAGGACTAAAGAAGAGTGTGTGGTCAAATTCCTACAATTTGAAATTGAAGATAAATATATCGATGTTGAGCCAAGCAACACCGATAAATCCATCGGCGTTGGTATGTTAGGCCCAGAGAACGGCATGCTTCCCTTTAGTCAAGCGGACAATCCGCTTATGTCTGTGATTGGGTTCCTGGCGAGTCTCACGGACCCTAAGATTACGGCAGCTTCAGCTGGTAAAACGGTAGACGCGATGAAGAAAAGTCTACGAGAAAAGATTGAGAAACCCATGGGATCCGAGAAGGGGAACGATAAGGAGGCAGTTTCGGACTCGATGGAGGTTGACACTACTGAGTCAACTAAACAATCATTAAATGAGATTGCTGGCTATCCTTTGGCTGCCGTCGCCGGTCGTGCTGGTGCCTTGGCATCCCATGAAGAACGGGAAATGACTCGCTTAGTATCAGCCGCCGTCAATATCACATTAACGAAACTCGATTTGAAATTGAAGCAATTTAACGAAATGGAGGATATTCTACAAGCTGAGCGAAGGGAGTTAGAAAGAGGCCGTCAACAACTCTTTTTAGATCGCCTGTCCTTCAAAAAGCGTGTTAGAGACGTACAGGAAGGTCTGAAAACAGCCGCCGCAACAGGCGGAGAACAAGGAATTAAAATGGCTCAAGATGTCATGCAAGGAGGGGAAAAAATGTCTTTCAATGGTGTTGCAGCTGCCCCAGGAAGCGTACAGCCTTTGAGTGCGGAAAGCCAAATCAAGAGTTATGATATTTAGGAATGGTGCGAGCAGGCGGCAAGGAATGAATTGGCTGTAGGTATTATATGGCGCAACTGGGGTTGAATATGGAATAATTACCGGCCAACTGCGTAATAAAACTACGCACATGTATGTGTTTGTACTTTGAGATCGGGGAGGTGCCTTTATACAAGAGGAGTTTTACGCGTTTACTTTTCACATCTCGTCTCAGGTGCTCATGTGTATTCTTAAGATAATGAAGTGACGCTTATATTATGATTATATAACTCAATTTTTGTGATATTACTGTTGCGCTAATCGTCGCTATTGTAAACTGCATAAGATCTGTGCTTAGCAACGTCTTCCGGCTCCACACTTTCGTCCTGGTGGTCGTCCAAACCTTCGACATTTCCCTTTTTCCGACCCTTCGAGATCGTCTCGTCGATTTCACCCCATTCACTGCCGCTCTCACTAAGATTTCCTTCATACACGCCTATGTTCGTTCTCATTGCCATCTCATTCTCTTCACGACTCTTTCTCAACCTTTCCCTCCGTTCTTTCCTGCCCACTCTTTCCCTATTTCTCACGAACTCCTCCACGCCAACCACGTCCATAACCTCCCATTCACTCCAGAATCCCTTTTCTCTCCAATTTTCTCCATTACTTTCTCCCTCTACGTCCAATTTCTTAATAGGTTTCTCTGGCAGTTCTTCGTCTTCCGCGCCTTTGATATCAAGAGGTGGATCTTGGCCCAGTAAATTCCAGATGCGTTGTTCTTCGGATCTACTGACTCGTGCATCAAAGGCGGAGACGTGAGTTTCAAGTGCGTGCTCGTAGGCTTCTGGTGAGAGGTGTGATTTGCGTTGGGAGCGTGATTGGGATTGTGATTGTGACTGAGAGGGAAATGGAGATGGAGACCGTTGTGTAAAGGGGTTGTCGTCGAGATGATCGGAGGTATCAGAATCCGAGGGGGATTCAAGGTCGGTGTCGAGCAGAGAATCGGATGCGGATGTATATACTTCCGATATATCTTCAGGAAGATCCACGTGCGGACGACTGCGAGAACGAGATCTGCTCCTCTTTTCATTGTATTCTTTGCGTAGTTCGGTTTCTACCTCCGAATATGACATTGTTGAGCCGCTCAGATCATCCTCACGAGAAACAGAGAGATAATTCCTTCTGGGACATTTCACCCAAAATTCATTACTGTTAGCGTCCATTTTTAGAATCTTGGTCGCTGCTTCCACGTCTTTAATGTTGATATCCGCTGCTTTGGTCTTGTTCGAGTCCATGGCTCTCATTCTCGACATTGTACAGAAAATGACGGTTGAGACGAGACGTTTTGTAACACTGACTGTTAGAGAATGGAAATCGTCAAAAGCAGTTGCGCGGATAGCCGGGGTCTCTCCGAGTTCTCCCACCTGCCTCCAATTATCCTCCCGAGGCTCGGAAGGATTCATGAACACTCTCTCGGATAGTGTAAGCCAATTTTTGAGGTGCAGAAGGCGAACTGCTGGTAGCAAATCCTGTATATCCTTGTCGTCTTTGGTCGTGCTCACACTGCGTTTTTTCTCTAGTGATTTGATCACTTCTTCGGTCAACAGCCAATATTTACCCCATTTGGCCTCCTCGACATCTTCCTCATATAGCTCTTGTCGTAAAGCAAGACCATCCGCAGCTCGCTCCATGATATCGCAGCATTCTGTGGTAAGTTCCGCCGCAATTGGATACTCTGTAACATCCAACAGCCGTGCATCATACATTTTCTTTTCCTCCAACCCTTGGTGTAGTAGTTGCATATATTCTTGCACCTCAACTTCCGACTTGCTCCCGATGCGTGCGGCAATAGCTCTTACATTATCTTTACCCAACCTTGACAATCCAGTAAAGAACAAGTCCTTCTCCTCCGTAGACCAAAAGGAACAGCCAATTTGGCTGCTTTCCAATGGAATATTGTCCTCGAGAATTGACCTCGCTCCTGCATCATAAATTTCATTGTTCAGAAGGTTGCGATAATCCTTGCTGTAAAATCCTTTGACGCGTTTTGCCCTCGCCAAATTTCCGTTTGTTCGCTCTAGCTTTCGCTTTTTGGATCTGGGATGGTAGGTTCCTCTCGACGGGATAGGAATATCTTCCACTTCAGGAGGTTCAAAAGTAGCTGCCCATCTGAGGGCATCTGCACTTATCCATTCATCCGTATATTTGTTGTCTGGATTTGAATTTGCTAAAGAAGTCGAGTCAGAATCACTCTCTCCTTCCGAATGTACATTTTCTCCATCCCTCCTTCCTTCAATTCGAGACACGCCCGCTTGCGCGCCTTTGTCATGTGATTCTTGCTCATAATCGCTGTCGGAAATCTCATAGGCTGACCCTGAGTCTGGTTCAGGAATATTAAATGGGCCTTCAAAAGGATCAGAATCATTAGGATCCATATGGGCTATCGATCTTTAAAGCGCATTAATCGATAAAGGTATAGTTCTCCTCTCGTCCACATAGCTCGAAAGGTAATTAGAGTTTCGAACATGAATAATTACGCTTTGGTAGTTTTTATTTGTTTTTTACAAAAATCAGAATGAATTTGATGAAAATTGGCACTGACCGTAATGTGGCGCTATACTTCGTCTAAGTCACTAGCCACATACACCGTGCTGATGTTACTGGATTACAGCCACAGGCGTCTATCGCGTCTAAAACTCATCAGAAGTGACATCAATTTATTATCGCAGTCGCAGAACAACATGCCTCCTACCTCGAGAGGACTATTAAGCCTTTTTTCAAGGTCGTGGCGACCAGTAAGATTACCAAGCTCCGTGAGAAACTACGCACGAGCTGCAGCCATTTCTAAGGTGCAAACGGCGGCTGTGGCGCGCCCGTCTCAACCTGTTGTTTTGAGGGAATACCAGGAAGAATGTATTCAAGCAGTACTTTCTCATATAGACCAAGGTCACAAACGTATGGGTGTGTCTCTAGCTACCGGAAGTGGGAAGACTGTAAGGACATTCATGGCGATTATCACTATCTACCTTTACTAATCAGATTTGCAGGTGATCTTTACACAATTGATTGATCGAGTTGAACCACGCGCTAAGATTGCAACTCAAACACTAATTTTAGCTCACCGACAAGAACTGGTTGAGCAAGCAGCTCGTCATTGTGAGAATGCTTACCCAGACAAACGAATTGAAATAGAGATGGGGAAAATGCATGCAAGTGGATATGCAGACATCACTGTGGCAAGTATTCAAAGCATTGGATCTGGTGACCGGATCGAGAAGTTCGACCCTACCCGTTTCAAGCTGATACTTGTTGACGAAGCACATCATATCGTTGCACCACAGTACTTGAAGACTTTGGCTCATTTTGGTCTCTCCGAAAAGCGTGAGAGCTCCGCTATTCTCGTAGGCGTGTCGGCTACTTTGTCTCGTACTGATGGATTGAAGTTGGGCGCTGCTCTTGACCAGATTGTGTATCACAAAGATTATATTGATATGATTGAAGATAATTGGTTATCTGGGGTCATCTTCACTACCGTGCAATCGAAAGCTGATGTTTCTTCCGTGAGGAAGGGTCCAAATGGAGATTTTCAGGCTGGAGAATTGTCGCAGATTGTCAACACCGATGAAATCAACGAACTCACCGTGCGGAGTTGGTTTGCAAAGGCCAAGGGAAGGAAATCGACAATAGTCTTCTGTGTCGATCTTGCTCACGTGGGAGGATTAACCAACAAGTTCCGTGAACATGGAATCGATGCACAATTTGTAACAGGCGATACTCCAAAGATTGAGCGGAGTACAAGACTCGATGCTTTTAGGAACGGTGAGTTCCCAGTGTTGATTAATTGCGGAGTCTTTACTGAGGGGACTGATATTCCGAATATCGACTGTGTGTTATTGGCAAGACCTACTAAATCGCGCAATTTGCTCGTTCAAATGATCGGCCGAGGTATGAGATTACATCCCGGGAAGGAGAATTGCCACATCATTGACATGGTTGCCACTCTCTCGACTGGTATCGTAACGACGCCGACTCTCTTTGGCCTTGATCCTTCCGAAGTCGTTGACGAAGCGAAACCGGATGACATGAAGTCTCTCAAAGAACGAAAGGAAGAGGAAGAGGAGAGAAAAAGAAAGGCTGAAGAAGCGGTAGCCAAAGCTTCGCCGACATCCGCAGGCTTTAACATCAGAACTGTGAGCTTCACCGATTATGATTCTGTCTATGACCTCATCGAGGATACCTCTGAAGAACGACATATCAGAACAATCTCCTCTTTTGCATGGGTATGTGTGGGTCCGGACAGATATGTTTTGAGTAGTGCAAATGGTTCTCACATAAAGATTGAAAAAGTGCTTCAAGGGCAGAAACAGAAGTTCGTCGTTACCGAGACCGCCGCCTTGGCAAGTCTAAGAGCTACCAAGTCAAAATCACCATTCGCAAAGCCGCGCGAGCTTGTCACTACAGAAACCATGTTAGACGCCGTTCATGCGGCTGATACTTATGCGAGCAAAAGATTTCCCCTCCAATTTATCAGTCGAAGGGCTGCCTGGAGAAATGGACCTGCTACAGAAGGGCAGTTGATGTTTCTTAATAAGATCCGTCCACAGGACGATCAATTAACCTCTGCGGACCTTACGAAAGGCAAGGCAGGGGACATGATCACAAAACTCAAGCACGGCGCCAAGGGAAGATTCTCGAGTTTGGAAGCAGAGAGAAGACGAGCCGAAAAATCGCAGTCGAAGCTAAAGCAGGACGATCTTTTAGCAGAGAGACAAAAGGTCAGTGTTGGGCCACTAATGAGCTGAGGAGCTAACAACCTACGGTTTGTATGATATCTCTGTTACTGTGTAAATTATGTAGCAATATCATTACATTGTTGTTTTTTATACTTAGTTACGATTGCGTGACTTTAATATTTGCTCCTTCATCGCACCTTCTGTTCTTGCTCATGTAAAGCTCTTGACATTATTTAAACATGGAACCTTCGTATTTCTTTCAACAATCTGTGGAAACTAAGTTCTTGCATCACACTGCTTTGATTTACTTTTGCCCTCGTCCAATAATGTGAAGAGAGCTCTTTTCTTTTGCTGAATAAATTATTTATTCACTTCTGCTTATTCATTCTCCCATCTCTACAATTCACTTCGTAAATTGTTTATAGTCCCGGGTATGGCAACTATATTGTTACTATACCTATCACAACGTCTCGGCGGCTGGGTTCGGTCTGCACCTCCATTTTATTGTGTAGTACTTACCTAGACAATCCAAATTTCCATTTGTAGTTATATATGAAGAATTTCTTTGGTTATCATCTTTCTAATTCTACCTTCCATCATTCCTTTTCACCAACACCAACAAGTTCTTTAAGGGAAACATCAACCCAACTTTCTCACAGTACAACTCAGACACAACTCTTCTTTACATTAACCTCGATAGGCTACATACCAGCAATTTACCAATCACATCCTTCCAAGTCGGTGGCTTATTGAGGATTCTTATTCATCTCAAAGTAATTTAACAAGTAAGCTTCCCCACTGGTACTAAGAAATGAATTAGGATAGTGTCAAACTCACCTAGACTTACCTAGGCATGACGTACTAAAAGATAGAAATAAAATTAACTTTTATCTTATTCCAGACACTCTTCGTAGAATTAGTTATTGTTGAGGCAATCTTCTTCGACACTAAACACTAAATAATATAAAGAGAAAAGTTCCATTGTTTTTTTGCCTCCATTCATATCATTCCAGTTGGTCTCCTACAGACTCTTTCACCATGGATGAATCTGAAATGTTATCTTCCTCTGATTCAATCGGCTCCGATAATGAAACCAGTTCAGCTCCGTTTTCCAGGAAGAATGAAGATTCAACTAAAGATACTTCTCCTGGCTCTCAAGCTGTGGCCTCGGAAAGTAGACACTCAGATGATTATAGATATCTAGGCCTTCGACCTCGATCCGATTCGAAACAAGATTCGAATTCGGGTGCCTTGCACAGCAGCTTCCACCCGAATCCAGAAAAGGCTGTACCTCTTACACAAATGATCATGAGCGGCACTAGCAAGAACCCCTACACAGGAGAAGTTATAAACTATACCTATATCGAGTACAAGGCGAATACAAAACCCATCAAGGGCTTCGGCTGTCAACGAGCACCTGAGCAAATTGAACTTCCTGCTTCAAAGCCAAAAGAGCCAGTAGAACCGTGGAAGATTTTTCCTCCACCGCCGAATGCTGCCTACATAGGAATGGAAAAGGTCGAGGAGGACTACGATCCCCAACAATATGATGCTTTTGATGCTGCTCTTGATGGAGCTGAACTAGCTATCAAGAACACACCTTCTCCTCAAAAGTCTGCGCTTGGTCTTTCTGGAGCTACTAGGCATACTAGGCGAAGACTGTCGGTTGGTGGTATTGTAGCCACGAGAATGGACTTTACACAAAAGGCATGGGTAGAATTTGAACCTTCAGTTATTGGTGAGATCTACAGCGGGTAAGATGGATTTTTGTTTATTTGAGAGACCCATCAGCTATGATTCATAATCTATATTCCTGCTCAAGCTCTTACTAATACACACTTACTAATATACTGGTTCTCACAGAGATGAGCAAAAAGCCGACTTCATCAAAAATTTAGACGAAGGAGCCCAAATCGAATACTGTAAAAAGTGTAAAGAGCGCCACATCCCACCCGGCTCCGCCCTCACACTTCCAGAACGAGACACCTGCGGAGCATATCTACCCGAATGGTTTCCAACCAAAGGAATCCATAAACCATGGACAAGCTTCATCGAAATGATCAATCACTGGGTCCGTCTCAATGAAATCAACCAAGGATACAACCACAAGGAAAACCCAGAGCGTCACCTATGGAACCTAGAATTTCACGAAAGCCACGACAAATGGAAACAGATAGGACGAACCAAAGGACATGGAGGCTGGTGGAAATGTAGAAGCGGACCCGGAGCTACGTATGCGGAAAGATCGTGTCGGGTTTGCACATCCAAAGATGCGATCTCTAGGGACAATGAAGTGCGAGCTCAGAAACTCAAACCGAGCGCCTTACACTGCAAACAGAGTATTGAAAATTGGGTTGCGAGGATGATTAAGGAGGCTGGAAGGAGAGATAAAGAGATCGTGTTGGCTATGTGGCGTACGAATGGTATTCCGCTGCATTATGGTCCGAGGGTTGCGAGAAATGGTACGTACCCGCTTACGGAGGGTACACGAACGATTAATATAGGAGTTCCGCCGTCGGCTGCTCGAACTTTACTTTTGCCTGAGCAGATGTTTTCGGAGAGGTTGTTTAGGGGGAATGGGAAGGCTGATGGGGGTCTTCAATCGATTGATGAAGCGTTGGAGATTATGGGTGGTAAGTGTCGGATGGGATCACCTGTTTCATCGACTGATAGACTTGATATTCCGAGGATTGTTGTGCAGGGTATTGCTTTGAGTTCAATTGTTTCTTCGTGATATCCTTTGGTGGTTTGTGGTTTGTGGTTTGTGGTCTGTTTTTGTTGGGTTTGGGTTTGGTTTGAATGGTCTTTTTATGGTAATGCTAAAGAATGACGCCTTTAGTTTCCACGCAAGAGATGTGTCTTTGAGTGTCCTTCATATACGAACGTACGATAGGAGCGGGCACTCAAATTTTGATATCGAAATAGACCAAGCAGGGCAAAGAGGATTACACTTTACTTCACTCTATGGCACTCCACGATACGACTTTGTACGCTGGTCAGGTAGACGCAGGGAGTCGGGAATTCTTTTAGTGCTACTGTACATTTTTTTCCTTCCTCTTTCATACTCATGTTTTCCACTCTCAATATTTTCAATGTTTCGTGCAATAAACGAAATACAGGATTTGGTACCAGGCGATACGGTAAGGAAAAGGACTATGGGAATATGGGAATGTGGTTGGGGTTGGGGTTTGAGTTTGGGCTTCTACGCATATGGATATGGGTATGGATGGATATGATCAGTTCAGGTCAGGCTACAAAAAGCATAAAGCAAGAAACGAGGAACAAGGAACAACAAAAGAATGAGATGAATGGAAGGGAGGGGTCTTTCGATTTTTTATGTCAAAAATGTGCTTTTTCGATATACGCCCTAGTGGTTAGTTGAACTGTGGTTGGTTGACGGGTTTTGTTCTTTGGGGCGGGCATCTTATTTTATTTTATTCTGTGGATATGGTTATGATATTATTGAAGGGTATTGGGTTGGATTGGGCTGGAATGGGCTGCCCGACGATACAGCAATACAGCACAAGAGGGAGGAGATTTGGGTTGGGTTGGACAGGGTGGTGTTCTAGATCTGCGCTATTACAATGAACGGGTTTGCAATTTCGGGATGGAATTGAGATGTTGTGATGGGATTGGTCTGTTTGCTCTGGTGTTGGGTTTGGTGTTGGGTGTTAAATTGGCTTCGATTGGATCCGTAGGATTTATTTATTTATTTTTTGTTCGTCTACTTGACAGGATAGATACGTATGATGGATAGATGGATAGATAGGTAGGTGGCTAGGGTCGAGGGAATGGAATGGAATGGAATGGAATGTTATGATTGTATATGTGTATGTGTGTATAAATCTATATGAGTTCTAATAAGATATTGATGTTGGTTTTATGTGGGAATTTTGTGAGTAATGGCTTGGCTTGGTTTGGGTTGAAGAATGAATCAATGACTTGGTGAGTTGGGTTGATTATATTACAGTACGGATAGTGTGTTGAGTAATCTCGCGTTACCCTTCTCCTCCCGTAAGAGAGAGAGAGTATAAAATACAAGTCCTTTCTTCCAAGATAACAAATTTCTATCATTCAATCACTCAAGGGTAAGGAGCGGATTCAAAGTCCATGGATAGGTTAAAAGGTTCATTCATCAATCTAAACTAATCATGATTTGATGTATCGTATCGTTTCGCAATACTTAGTATGCCCATTTTCTCACCCTTACCCTCGTCATCATTATCATTATCATCATAATGATCTTCCATCCTGGCAAATCAATTCCACCATACTCCAATCTTGTCATGACACCCCTCACATCTCTTAATTCTTCGACCCAGCCCCATCCTTCTCCGCGTTCAATGGTTCAATATTCCAAATCGATTCCGCATACTCATTAATACATCTATCACTGCTAAAGAAACCCATTCTAGCCACACTAGTAATAGTCTTTGTTGTCCACTCATCTTGATTCTTATAAGCTTCATCCACCAATGCTTGAGTTTGGTTGTAACTATTAAAGTCATCGGATACGAGATAATAATCACCATGATCTTTAATAGCAGCAATGAGAGCACCAAATGCACCAGAATCACCAAAGGTATCACTTTGGATGGCCTCAAAGACTTTCTGGAGATCAGGGTCAAGTTGGGTAGAACCATAAGTATGTGCATGACGAAGATCATCAACATCCTCGGCTAAGTTACCGAAGAGGAAGATATTGTTCTCTCCGATCTCACGGGTAATTTCGATCTAGACATTGTTAGTATTGTAAGACAAAAACAACAAGGAACAAACTTACATTAGCACCATCGCAGGTACCAATAATCAAACCACCGTTCAACACAAACTTCATGTTTGAAGTTCCACTAGCTTCTGTACCTGCTGTCGAGATATGCTCACTAATGTCACTTGCCGGGCAGATCATCTCAGCCTTGGATACATTATAGTCTTCCAAGAAAATGACCTTCAGGAGATCTCCAACATCCTTGTCATTGTTAACAACGGAGCCAACTTTGTTGATAAGATGAATGATCGTCTTCGCCATCCAGTAACCTGGAGCTGCTTTTCCACCGAAGATTGAAACACGTGGTGCCAACTTCTTACGCTCCTGTGGAGTCATGGCTTTGATAGTCAAGTATCTATGAATGACACCAAAAATATTCATTTGTTGACGCTTATACTCATGTATACGCTTGACTTGAATATCAAACAACGCAGCTGGATTAACAGTGACACCAGTAGTTGTCTTGATGTGTTGAGCCAAGCGAACTTTGTTGGCGTACTTAATCTCCTGCCACTCTTTCTTAAACGCTTTATCATCAGCGAATGCCTCGATCTTGTTCAGAAGAGTAAGATCTTTGAGAAATTCGTAACCACCAAGCTTACTGGCAATTAACTCAGACAATCTAGGGTTAGCTTGGTGAAGCCATCTTCTAGGTGTGATACCATTGGTGACATTAGTGAACTTGTCAGGGCCAAAGATCTTCACAAAGTCTTTGAAGATAGTGGTCTTGATCAAATCAGAGTGAAGTTCAGCGACACCATTAACCTTGTGAGAACCAACGATAGCCAAGAAAGCCATGCGAACCATCTTTGGTTGAGATTCTTCAATGATCGAGACGCGGTTAAGTAAATCTCTCTCTCCAGGAAACTTACGTTCCACACTTTGTAAGAAGAACAAGTTGATTTCATAAATAATTTGAAGATGTCTGGGGAGCAGGTTCTGGAAGAGAGGAACAGACCACTTCTCAAGAGCTTCTGGAAGAACAGTGTGATTCGTGTAACCAAAGGTCTTAGTGACGATTCCCCATGCCTCATCCCATTCAAGACCTTCGAGATCAATAAGGATACGTTGAAGTTCCACAACTGCAAGAGTTGGATGAGTATCGTTCAATTGAATGGCAACTTGATCTGGGAATTCCTTCCAGGCACGCTTGGACTTCTTAAATCGGCGAACAATATCGTATAAAGAGGCGGCTACCCAGAAATACTGTTGCTTTAGACGAAGCTCTTTTCCACGTTCGAGGTTATCGTTGGGGTATAACACGGCACTGATAGTCTCGGCACGTTGTTGATCGGCTACCGAACTCTCATAATCACCACTGTTAAACTTTTGGAAATCGAATTCACCGCTAGCAGCTTTGCTAGACCAGAGACGCAAGTTGTTGGTAGCTGGAGTAGCATAACCAGGGATTGGAACATCAAAAGCTACGGCCTTGACGATTTCTCCACCTTCCCAGACGGTGTTGGATTTTCCTTGCTCATCCTGGTATTTTCTAACGTGACCGTAAAATTGGATCTGATCAATGTTAGCTTATGGATTGATGTTTGTATCGAGGGGAACCTACATCAACAACAATATCATGTCTTGGGAACTCCCAAGGATTAAAGTCAAGCCAGTAATCTGGAACTTCGACTTGATATCCATCTACAATCTCTTGCTTGAAGATACCATATCTATATCTCAAACCATAACCCCATGCTGGAAAGTTCAAGGATGCAAGTGAGTCTAGGAAACAAGCTGCCAATCGACCCAGACCACCATTACCAAGTGCAGCATCATGTTCTTGGTTAATGATATCCTCAATTCGGAAACCAAGGTCAGAAAGACCGTCTAAAAACAGTTAGGAATCACACTCAATATGAGTACCATGACATCAAACATACCTTTAGCAACATTCTTCAACCCAACATTCAACATAGCGTTGTCCAGTGCTCTCCCCATCAAAAACTCCAAACTTAAATAGTACACACGTTTGCTATCCGCAAAAGTCTGTCTTTGTTGAGTGCGGTTCCATGACGTAATCAATTTATCTCTGAAAGCCAAACTGGCAGCTGCATATGCAGCCGTCTCATCGCAGTTGAACATACTACGAGCCAATGTAGTTTCAACATGACGAACCACTTCTTTCTCAAAATCCTCCTTGTTATCAAATCCATGGGGGGCATATTTCTTCCATGCTTCACGTTGAGGTTCGGGGATCGATGCTGTGTGAAGTAAATGGTTAGCATGTATCCCAAGATGACATCGATATACGTGATGGAAGGCAAATTTATAGAATCGAAGAAATAAATCATACCTTCCACATGTTTAATCTCCCCAGCACCGAAACCGGTAAAAGTACGCTTATGTTTAGGTCTTGTAACGCCAGCAGGACCAACAGGACCTTGTAGCTCACTAATAGGAGCTCCAGTTGAAGGACGTCTTTCTCTTTTTGGTGATGCCATGTTGTTGTTTTTTTGGTATGATAATGTTTAAACTTCTCTTTCACTGAAGTATCAAACCTCCGCACTCAAAAGAGAATTGAAGAAAGAAATAATGAGAAGGAAGAAGAAGAAGAAGAAGTAAAGTATCTGTCAAGGTGGGTAGGTTTATAGGTAATGTACTCGAGAGTATGTGTTAAGTGCTCGTTCGTTATTTATTGATGCGGGGTTAATATCAGATCGGGTCCAACTCAGTCACTTCAAATTGCGGGGGATGCGAGTATGTTTGGATGAAGTGGATGAAGTGGGTGAGGTGGATGAGGTGGATGAGGTGTGATGTGATAGGTGATATATATTAAGTAGAGAAAGGGATATTTAAAAAGCAGTGAATCTTCCCAAAAAGAATATGAGCAAGACAGGATTTGTTGAGCAAGTTAGTATAATGATAAGGTCAAGTCAACAACAACAAGAAGATATTAGATTCAAGGAGGAAGCTTGTTCATGAGACGATGTAATAAAATGATACCATTTTGATCGCTCTTTCCTTTCTACCCCATAAACAGAAGGAATGGTGGGGAAAATACATAACACCCACCAAAACATACGATTCAACTCCAGAGGCTGAGGATCAACAGGGATACAACCAAGCAACCAAGCAACCAAGCAACCAAGCAATAAAGCAATAAAGCAATACGAAACTACATCATCTGAGATGCACGTGCAAATCCATACATACTCCAGAGATACTGGGTGTACCTACTTACAAGTGTACACTTACCTACTTGGATCATGTGGGGTTGCTTGCACGTTTTCATTTCCCAGTTTAATCATACGTACGTACGTATAAGAAAATGAGCTGTTTATGACAACATTGACAACGTTGACATTGTGGGCTGTGAAAGTCGAGAAATGTAATACATTTTCCCACCAGAAATGATATATGTATACTCCCTCCTCTCAATCCTGCGAATCAAACCCAATAGATAGATAAATTGCCATCCCTCCAACAGCTTCTCAAATTATCCTAATATCAAGTGATGCCAACAACGTTACCCCAACCTACGCATCGCGGGGTAATGAAAACTAAACTCTTTCTTGAGTTCTTTACCGAGTACCTCAACAAACAATAATGACAGCAAAACAACATATGGATTGGTGAACATCGACTTTATCAACACCCATCTATGAATACCATTCATATTCAACTCCCCATACTATCCATACATACATATCCACATCTACTATATCCTCCCCAATTAAACACCCAACCTACCACCTCCATCGCCCTCTCCATCTCCCGGATCCTCTCCCCCATCCTCTCATCCATCCCCCTCCTCACCCTCCCCTCCCTCTCCCCTTCACCCAAACCCTAGCTATCCCAACTACCCTACCTAGCTCTAAACATCAATCATCAATACTACTTACCTATATACTCAAACTACATCATCAACTCTATGGAAACATATTCAACACTAGTAAAAACAGCAAATAAATATCAATATTATAAAATATAGATAAGATTATTTACAAAGTATATATAATATATATTAGTTATTATCATTATTCATCATCCTCTACAAATCATTCAATCAACATTACAACATATATATACACACACATATACATACATCCTTATAATCTTCAAAATAACATCTTTATTCAAGCATCAAATAATCAACACTGAATCTGATCTGATCTGATCGCTCATTACTTAACTTTCTACACTATCATCATCACCATCATCACCATCACCACCATCACCACCATCATCATCATTCCACTTCCATCCCCATCCCCAACCTCCAACCCCTCGCCCAATATGATGACAATGACACTGGTTAGATCCTCCTGATCTATCCCGTTTTGTAAATATGCAAATGCTAATTTCTCGCTGGTTCCAGTCCATCCATTCGTCGCATTTTTCCCAGATACCAAGTCGATCCATTTCCCAATTGTCCCTTGAAACTCCAGAGTCCTCACAGTTGCAAATATGTAATTCCACACATATATAAAAATCATGGAAGTGATACCCCTACCCCGCCAACCTAATTCAAACGACATAGAAATCGTTGTTCATGCATTACCATCATCCCCTTTCCTGCCTACCGAGAGTCATCCAAATCCAGATCATGCAGCATACACCTTGAAGTCTTATCACACATCCTTCCCTAAACTCCTAAACCAAACACCAGTTTCCAGTCAATATGAGATGGATTATATAAATTAGGACATTATTCATCATGGGCCATACTATTGGTTTGATTAGAGTATGCCCGAGTCTTTGAGAGCGTTTTGTAATATCGTCTCTTTAACAGCAGCGAATACGAGTCGAATATTCGAAGTATCGGTGGCTTGAGTAAGGCTATTGATGTTAGGATGTGTGCAACCTGGAGGGACTTTGCATGGAACTCACTGTGGGTATAGATTCAGATGAGCTCTGTTAACTTGATTGAATCTCCAAAGTAAATACTTCGCTGCTCTATTCAGATCATTTCCACCAGAATAATCCGGGAAGTAATTCTCGAGAGGTGATCGACCAAGCTTTTGTTTGAAAAGATCAACTTTATTGAGGAATAGAATAATACTGGTTCGCATAAACCATCTTGAGTTGACAACCGAATCAAATAAGACCAGACTCTCCATCATACGGTTCTATTTATTGTTAGGATTGTTGTTGGGATGGTAGAGGGAACTCTTACCTGATTACTCTCCTCCAAAAGAACCTGATCATATTCACTCAAAGCAACGCAAAAGATGATTGAGGTAACATTCTCGAAGCAATGAATCCACTTCTTTCTCTCACTTCTCTGTCCACCCACATCAAACATGCTATGGCAAAGTTAGTGTTGAAAGTAGGAAGCTATTATCATAAACACTGACTGTATACTCAATGAGCCCATGGTGAATCTTGTCTCGTAGATACCAGTTGTCTTTGTTCTGGCCCTCAAAACGTCGGCTTCGGTAGGGATGTAGTCGTGCGCTGCTATCCTTCCAGCTTCTTCGAAGAAGCTATAAGAAGTTAGAACCATTCTTTATGCCCAAAGACTACATATTACATACTATGGTGCCGAATCCATCAAATAGAATTCACTCTGTCTTGCCAACAAACGTTCCATAGATCCATCCTTCCATATCGATGCCACAGCCGTACCAACTCGGGGATTAAGTGGTGTATGAGGATCCGGGTCGACGATATACTCTAATAAAAATGAGCCGTACTCCTTATTTGCCGGATTCGTTGGCTCGATCTCCATCTGTCGCATTGCACCGACCAATGCTTTTGCACAGTCAATCAAATTTTTATAGATCGTCAATCGATATAAAGCTAACTCGTCCACGGTGTAACCATTCTGGTGTATGATTTTCATCTGCTTGACTATCGTTGATTTACCACTCTCGCCCGAACCTATTTCGATGATGGTTAGTATTGTATCACTTTTGTCTTTGTCTCGACGACCAAAAGATGGTCCATTATATACCTAGTAGAAGGATTTTGCATTCTCGTCGAAGTCTTTTCGAGTCCTCTTCCAACGTCTTATCAATCCGTTGACTTCTCTTCCTCTGTTCCGTATCTTCCACATTCGAGCTCATACAAGCCCCCATCGTGCTTCACCTGCCTGGCTGCAGAAGCAGCCCCGCTTTCCTTGTAATTATTTCGATGAATTTAATGATGATGAGGTTATCCTTATTCGTTATATGCCGTTTGCTGATGGTTGTCGGGAGTTTTGTCGTCACTTAATTTGGGTTGTGACGTTATAATGCAATCCTTAGTCCAACTCGATATCCAACACGATTCGCGAGGCTATCGATCCGCTTCAATTGTACCGTTGAAGATGTATAAATCTGGGCAAGGATTATTGTGAGTCGAGATTTCGTAAGTATTAGTTGTGAAGAAGCTCAGGGTAAAGCTAATAAGATCGATGATTGATAGTTTGAGTTGTGACGGAAATAGACTTGAAGAAGGATATATTCTTGAAATGCCGTTCAGTACAATACCGAGTCTCCACAGCCCACAAGAAGCGGATGGTTGTTTTAGTGAGACAGAATCACCCGAGGCAGAGGTCAATAAGGAATTTTTTGTCTCCTTTTGGATCGAATTTTTTATGGCGAACAAAGCTAATTGTTTTAAGTTTTGGATGTCTTTGTATTGATCTTGCAATGTGTGTGATGTGATTTGAGGTTTCTTGAGGAGATAAATATGAAATCCTAATTTTATCAAGATTTTATGAACAAAGAGAAGAGATTCGAGGATTGGAGAAAGATGACAAGGGGAGGTTGGGATGATTGATTGATTGTCTGTGAAAGGGTGGACACTGGACACTGGACACTGGACACTGGACACTGGACACTGGACACTGGACACTGGACACTGGATCGAATGCGTCGAATGAATTGGTGAATTGAATAAATGAGGTAGAGAGATGGTCTTAGCTCCTCGCAACTTTGTTGATGGATCTAGGCGAATGAATACTCTACGTACTAGGTATTTCTTAATTCCAGATCAAACAATGGTGAAGGAGGTGGATATATGAAGTTAGGAAGAAAGTGCAAATACGGGTAATATTTGAAATGAGTAGATAACCTTAGGTGCTCGAATGGTAAAATTTTAAGAGACTGAATTCGGTAGTGAAAGCTCCGAATACCTGAGTACGTATGAGTCTTTGGATCGATTAATTCTAATCTTCAATCGTTGATCCAAGCTGAGTGCGGAGTATGTAAGATCCTACTTGATATCTCATACTTTCATATATATAGCTACCTATATAGAGAAAACCTGCTCTTACTTCATTATTAGCATAGCAAGGTGGCCCGGCCTTAAAAGTCAGGTCGAGAGTAAAACTAAGCTAGGGTAGTGTAATATAATTGATGTGCCGGAGGAATTGATACCTGGGTAGGTACTCAGCCGGGCATCCACGTTTAGATCTGCGCGACTATTCGGAAAGTTTTATAACTCCCACCAATTTTAGAGAAAGTAACTGGATGAATATACGGAGTGAGAGAGGGATGATTAGATGCATCTATTGGTGATCGAGAAAATGGATTGATGTCAACCTAGTGTCACCCTTGTGACCTCAACATTTGATCATAGATGTGATTAGTAGATTCCTATTTTCCTATTTCTCGACCAGCTGTATATACGTATATACGTATATACGTATACACTGTGCTATGCTCGAACCCTGTTCAAAGATCTACCAAAAGTCTACGCGCTGCTATTCTTAACCCTTATCCGGAATAGCAGCGAACAATATAATACGAAAACATCTACAAATCTGATTAGAGATTGACAGTTCTACAAGGCACAGTCTGTCAAAGGTCTGGGCGAATGATTTCTCACGATGCCTGTTTCCAAATGCTGCCCGTCTCTCACCAAATAACGTAACATCTTACAATTTCTCTTACTGTCATAAAGTCTGTGTTATATACCGGCCGGCACAGTACAGCACAGTAAGGTACTTGCATCGAGGCAGGTGGCAGTTGGCAGTTCGCTTTCTCTGATATGTCGTGTTACGGCGGGTATGTATATATTTATATCTTCAAATTAATTTCCCTATAAATCTAAAGTTAACTTAACTTAACTTAACTTCACCAATACCCAAATCACGTAAAGAACAAGATCTTCCTTGGACCCCGAATCTCAAACATCCCAATCTTTAATCCATGAATCACTCAATCATTCAATCATTCAATCATCAAACCACCGCGCTCCAAACCCAACATACCTCGTGGCCGCAATCACTCACCATCCACCATTTGCCCCAAGCTTCACCGATCTTCTTGATGATTTCCACTCTTATTCCACTTTACGCGCAGCTTTATCCCTAACTCATTCATTCTCTCCGTCCTAGTATCACAATGCGTACGGAAAAATATATATATAACAAACGTGAACCAGAAACTTTAACTCAAAAGGAGATATACAATCATCATTTTGTATGTATTCGAAACAGGGGATTAGGGGATGTACATTCCATATTCATATTCATATTCATATTCATATTTCATTCATATTTCATTCATATCTCATACATTGGCCACGTTATTATACCAATACCGTCCCTCCGTCCACAGCAAGATCTCGATCTCAAATCTCAAATCTCAAATCTCAAATCTCAAATCTCAAATCTCAAATCCGATCAAATCCGATCAAATCATCCACGTGTAAACACCAGATCAAAAGATCAAAGATCCTAATCTTAACAACACACATATTTACCGGGAATCTCGTATAATCATGATTCATGAATTCATCAACGCACTTTGTCTTTCATATCCAAATCCATCCAAACAAATTACATCAACATCTAACCACATCCATTCCCTCGGGCTTTATATTTAATTATATATGTATGTGTGATTGCTTCTGCCGCATTTAGAATGTACAGCCATAAGGTAGATAGATGTTCTTCCTGTCTATATGGTAATGTACTCGGGGAGTACCATCTATAATTTCAATACATCATCTATCTGCAAATTCGGTTGTTTCAACACAAAAAAGGTCTGGTGGGTGTACTTCGGAGTCGTATTTCATCACTCAATTATCTATACAGATCACAAACCCATCAAACCCAATCCAATCCATAACCAGTGAGTGATACACACCAAACATCAAACAGAGAAAGCCACCCAATTCCGTCTTAGACTCATCTCATCACATCACATCTCACATCTCGCAACACCCTTTCAGGATACCTACCCAATACATACATACATACATACATACCATACCCACCGATCGCGGCTCCAAGAAGATCGAAACAAGCATGGCTCGACCCTCCACTCCCTCTGATAAATCCAACCCATATCCACATTAACTTTGTTTTTTGTTTTTTTCCCTCCCGTCTATTACTTTATCGCACAGAGTATCTACGTACTAATTAATGAGATGGATATAAAAAGTATGAAGCCCTACCTGCTTGCTACTGACTGTATAGTATACTATCTGTTAATTTCAGTATACAGACACGTTGATAGATTTGAGATTTTGATTTTGATTTTGATTTCATTTATTTTGTTTGTTTAGTAAATTAATAAATTATAAATAGCTAAGGTATTAAATAAATATAATAAAAGTATTATTCTTTTTATTGATTTTTTTAATTAAAAAAATATAAAATATAAAATATAAAATATAAAATATAAAATATAAAAACTAAATTAAAAACTTAAAATTAAAATAAATTATATTCTTTTTAGATTAATTAATAATTAATAATTATTTAAATATCTATATTATCTTTTTAATAATAATAAATATTAAAAGTTTCATTATATTTGATATTTAATATTTAATTAATAAATAAAAATAAAAATAAAAATATTAAAATATAATAAAATATCTATTCATCTACCTTTTTATTTATTTATTTAAATAAATTAGTATATACAATCTTTAAATATCTAAATACCTATTTACTAATAACTATCAAAACCCCAGGAAAGCATCATATATATATCTTCTCTCCCCTCCCTTCCCTCTCTCCTTCCTCCCTCTTCTCATCTTCCTCCCAGCACATCCTTTTTCTTCCTCGCCTCGAGCTCCGGATCCTACCTATTGTTTACCATTAACATCTACATGTACATCTCCATCCAAACGAACACATTTAAAAAAAACATCACTCCGAAACCATTCTCTCTATATACCCAGCCCAAGACCCTGAAATTCACAGGATATCTCTCTCCCCTCTCTCCCTTCCTCCTCCTCCCTTCCCTATACCACCCCCAGCCTCTCCGCTCAATCAAAAATCAATCAAAATCAACCAAAAATCAACTTCCAGCCCATCTATATCTACATCCATCTATCTACCTATCCATCCAAACTAATCAATCAATCAACTACATCAAAATTCCCTTTTATATTTTATATTTCATAATCCATCTTCCATCCTCTTCTCTTCTTCTCCTCTTCTCTTATATTCCATTCTATTTGATATATACATATATATATATATATATATACATTTACTCACTTATATCACTCACCTACTCCCCGAACCATTAACCACATCAATTATCAACTGACTCAAACCAGGCACCAGCCAGCCAGCCAGCCAGCAAATTACTTATACCCTTATAAACCCCCTCCTTTTTCTCTCTCTTTTCTTTCACACACATTCTCTCTCTCTCTCCCCTGTCTCTCGCCCCCTTTCTCTCTCTAGAAAGCAAAGCAAAGCAGGGCAAAGCAAGGCCAGACCAGACCAGACCAAGAAAAGAAAAGAAAAGAAAAGAAAAGCCTTATAGTTAAATAACTAAGTAATCCGACTATTACCATTACCATTACCATTCATTATAAACCATCGAAACAATTACAATTAACAACTTACAATCCATAGTACTAGGCAGCTATATAGACACAACATCTGTCACCTATCATCTATATATCACTTCACCTCACTACACTACACCTCACACATCTTCTCACCCACACCCCATAAAAGAATTATTCAAACCATCACACATCCCACAAAGACAAAACTCAAGTATTTAATTTTATTATATAAATACGCTTTTCTCGTTTTACAACCCAACCTAGGAAGGTTTACCTAAGCAGGTCTACGAGATGTCCTGCTAAAACTTTCACCTATTCATTAACACATCTATTTATTTCGCTTCCGAATGCTCATCCATCCTCCCAATCATCCACCCCTCTTCATCCTAAACATCACAACACCTCTCAACCCTCAGACCATTCATTCCTCAGTCTGGCCTCCATCCCTCCATACCTTCCATCCTAGAGTCCTACCCACTGCACAATCCATATTAAGTATTTTCGTTCTGAACCATAGAACTAAATTTCCCCAATGTGATGTGCAAAGTTATGAGTTAGGTATCCGCGGTATCAAAAAAAGGAAAAAAATAAATAAAAAATAAAAGACAGGAAAAACTCAAGTGTAGAACACAAAAATGTGTTTCACAACAAGCAACCAGTAGCTTTCTCTCAACTCCCCCTTCCTTCCCAAATATGCCCGATGAAATTTGTCAAGACTGGCACCAGAAAGGAGATGAACAAAAACGATGAAAAATGCATAAATACGCCTGATTATTGCCTCTCATCCATTGATTGTGATCAAAAGATAACTAGCAGGAAACTAATACCAAATTCTGCCAATGTCGTGTGAGGGCTACTAACTTTTATAATCAACTTCAATGAGCCGTCAATTCATAAAATGTCATTCATCATGAATCTCTAAGAAAAGAGATGTATGGTTAAAGAAAAATTCATGAATCATGCAAGATATCCGAGCTCATCTTCATCAAGTCGTTCGAGATATTCCTTCTCCAATAAGATATCAATACACTTCTTGATATCTGGAATCTTAGGTGTAAATCGGGAGCGGATCTGGTTGATCGTTTCTCCAACAAGTTGGCTGTGCTTCATCCTCTTTCGTGCCTTCATGATACGCACAATAGCGGACTAAAAAGTAAGTTAGTGGGAGTTCAATCGTAATACATGAATGAAATTACATACCTGCATCAGCAACTTTCTATCCTCCTCAATAGTCTTATGGGTGTCATCAACCTCCTGCTTCTGCTCCGACTTGATACCAATGTTCAAATTGACACGAATCTTCTTACTCTTGAAGTCATAATTCAAGTGGAAGGTTTTACCTGGTCCTGGCTTATCATCTGCCGGAGTCATAGTAAGGACTTTGGATTTCAGGAAGATACCGAGTATGGGATCAAGGACATCAGCCTGTAGTTGTGTTGCCTTGGCGAGATCCTCGTAACTATTCTTATCGCTCTCGTTAAACAATAAAAGGATTGCCATTTGGTAAGTCGAAACCTGAAAAGTATATGGAGTCTTTTGGTTTTTGCAATAGTTTGCTTTAATCTCACCCTTACACAACTGCCAAAGCCACGTGAGTTTTCTACCACTGTGCTTCTGGTTATAGAAGTTTTGGAAACGCTCATAGGCTTTAGAAATTTCCATTGGTGGAGTGAAGTCTGTGTTCGGTGGATTCAAAGGCCACATACCCGTACCCAAGATTGAGTAGCTGGCATCGATTGGCTTATCTTCGCCTCCAGTGAAAATTCCTGATTCAAATTCCTTGAAGCCACTATTCAAATCCTTTGAAATTTGAATATCCTGGAACATACGTTGAAGTTTGTTGGTATATTCGAATCCACATGCCTCCTTCAATTTGCTGATCATACTTGTCTCGGCATCATCCGATGAAGAGCTAGTATGGACCAGTCTTCGAGCAAGCATACGAGAGTAGAACTTCTGGAATACATCCTTATCCTCAATATACTTGAAGACTGTCATAATTTGTGTAAGGGAGTTTTCAATATCACTCTCCTCAGCTCCGCTGGCACTCTTCTTTAGCAACGAATCAGCGTATTTGGCAAGCAATTCAGGTGACTTATTGGATCCAGATTTGCAGATTTCATTGCGGTTGACAAACTCCTTGCAAGCGTTATCAAGAGATCGAGTAAATTCCGGCTCATCCTTGAATGCTTGCTTAACAAGACCTTGATATTGTGTGTGGATTTCAAGAAGAGCGTCGACGTAAACCTTAGGTTCGAGTTTGTCACCCTCACTAGCGACTTTCGAAACTGCTGCAAGACCGGCTTTGCGCACGTGGGCCTCGAATCTGGTACGGAGGGGCTCAAGACCATCAGGAATTCTTGCCAACAAATTATACATACGTGCCATATCTTCGTATCGGTCGTTGTCCAAAAGCACCTGGAACTCATCTCGAAGAATTACGGAGTGGTCTGCAATGAGAGCAGTGTTGCAGGCCTTCTTCAATGGGATGATGATATCCTGGTGAAGATACATTCTAACGCGCTCTTCCTCTTCGTCCAATCGAATTTCGGCTTTCTTCATATATTCCACTATGCTGTTTTCCGCAACAAATTGTTTCGATTCGGCTCTGTAGAATGCCTCGGTGGCTGCCAAGAATGGCTTCTCGAAGTGGAATCGGTAAACGTCGAGGGTCGATTTAGTAGGATCTGCCTCATCTAACCCAAGTGACACAAATGAGTCGACGATGGCCTTGATTTGATTATGCTCGATAGTCTCGCCATTTCTTTGCCTCTCGACCATTTTGAGAACAGCATCCATAACCTTTTCATGAACAGATTGGAATAAAGTTTGTCTCCATTGAACAAGATGTAGAGTGTAAACATCGTAGATATTTTTCTTTCCCTCATCCATTTCCCGCTTGACCCAATGGCGATTGAGGTATCGAAACAAATGATTGATGTATTTTGCTGCTGTCGTGTATCGGTCCCATTCTCGAATGTAGAAACTCAGGAGAGCTTCATCGACGTGTGTTTTAGAGGCGAGAACGAGTTCCTTGAGATATTGTGTTAGATAGGAGATGAGATTTTTATATAAGTCCTCGCCGAGAAGATGTGCTATAGATGTATGAGTATATGGCAGTCTTATATTTGGAATTGTGCATGCTTCACCTCCACGATGCGCGCCCCCAATAACTCCTGGACCAGTATTGCTGACTGCCTTTTGTGATGTACAGAAATTGTGAACGGCTCTATTGCAGGGGTTAGATGATGCTGTCAGAGTTTGCATATCGGAGTGCTTACGTGTATACTCCCATATACTATAGAGAAAAAGTCAGTAAATGCGCACCATGAACGGAGGAAGTTGGGAATCGGGCACCTACAGTAGTCATATCAACACCATCTGCCAATTGTAGCATGACTTTTGATACTCCAGCCTCGAGGTATTTCCATCTAAATCGCAGAAATTCATAGTTAGTATGTTGGATACGATAAGATCGAGGGGGCAAGGGGAGATGGAAAGATCAAGTACGAACGTCGCATCCAAGTCCTCCCGATTTGGGACTGGAGGCATAACAACCGTCCTGGTAGCTACCGTCATCTTGACTATTTTTCAATGAACGCGATGAAAAGATAAGATTGTGTTGTTTTGAAATAAATTCGAAATGGGTCAGGAATCAGTGGAATTAAACCAGTTACTTGAAGGAGAGTCGGGACAAGCTTTCGTTGTATGATTTCGGCTGCCAGATCAGCACCTTTGTGATAAATCACAGATTGTGATTCAAAAAGCACTCCAAATCCGAGGAGTTATTAAGGTCGAGGTTGGAGTTCAAGTTGTGGTGGGTTGTAATCTGGACGATGGTTGTGTTGGAAGATGATGTAAAGGATAATATAGGTAGTGGAAGGGAACTATCCACAATATAAACTAGAAGAAACAGGATACTGTAAAAGTAGTAACCGTGCAAAGTAATTATCTACGGCTAAGTAAGTATTCTTGGTGAGATATTTGGATAAATTAAGAAAAAGGTGAATACTGTTGCTATATGTAAGCTTCTTTTCTCATTTGCCCTTGGAGAGAATTCGTGATTTCAGTATGAATGAATGAATGAATGAAGCAGGCTGCCGTGCACAGAAAGTGTGATGCATAGATGCATAGATGCATGGTTGCCTTATTATATAGCCTTGTACAGCCAGCGCCATTGCCAGGTGGAGTTACGGTAAGGCGTCAAAACCCGCCAGGAGTTTAAATCTAAGCGCCAAATCTGAATCAAATCTTCCGAAATCCCGAGTCCAATTGTACGGTTTGACATGACTAATGCGGTTAGGTAAGCAAATACAATGCTCACCAGAACGGTGCTCAAAATACTTGATTTTAAATATAGCATAGTTCTATCTCAATACCAATGAAGACCAATACTAGCCAATATCGATATCAATACCAATACCAATACCAATACCAATACCAATAATACCAAGTTCAATATTAAATATATTCCATTCAATGTATTTGTATACGTGTATCTTATCGTATTGTAATGTAATGCATAAGTGATATATTCCCCTCCACCTCCAGGTACCGTGATTTTCCATCCATCCATCTTACTCCCATGCATTCCTATCCCATCCCCCAACCCCTCTCCAATTCCTCTCCACACGTACCAAACCAAATCTCATTCTCTACCTAAAGCATCAACACCAAAACTCAGTATTCTTTCATTCATTCAACCAATCAATCAACCAACCAACCAACCAATCAACCAACCAACCAACCAACCAATCAATCCAAAACAAACCATGACCAAGTCAAAAGAATACCACCCTACCACTCTATCCCATTACCCCAAACAAACCTACGAATGAATCGAAGAATCCACCGCCTCCTGCATTGCCTCTGCTACTCTTTCCGCCCTCTCATGCTTATCCTTATCTGCATCCCCATTTCTTTCATCGCCCCAAACATTTGATTCGCTCGATACAGGCAAGATCGATTTCCTTTCCTCCTCACCACTATCGCTATCATCATCGTGATCTTTCCTCCCTTCACCTCCCATATCCTCATGAAACCTCGAGAAATATCCCGGAATTTCAACTCTCGGAGGCGCATCACTAATCTTCTCCACTACATCCACCTTTCGATATCCATCCACATCTCCTTCCCCAGCTCCATTCGCCTCCAACTCCGCATCAAAAATGCTCTCCTTAAAACTCTCCGCTGTCCTCGGTCTCTCACCCAACGGTGAATATCCACCCTGTGAATCCCTTGGACTGAGTGGGCTCCTCTCTCCACCACTTCCCCCCTCCACTACATGAATATTTTCCTTTCCAAAGAACCCCCTCGAGTTCCTCTTACCATTACTCGTAATCTGCTGTATCTTATCCTGACTACCCGAACTCCTCCCCCAACCCGCCTTTCTCTTTTCTCCCATCCACGTACCCCAGCTTCCTATGTAAGCCCCTGCTCTACTTTGCACCGAAGGTGACTTTGGTCCATTAAAGTCACTGGCCACTGGACTCGATGCACCACTTGCAGTCGCCGCTTTCTCAGCTGCAATCCTAGCCTCCTCGTTTTTCTTCCTCTGACTCTCTCGATAAGATTCCATGTCGGCGTACAATTTATTGAAGACCGTACTAGCCTTTTCTTTTCCAGCAGCAAGATTCCTTCCCAAAACTTCCTTACCTACCGCAAATCTTTCATCAAGATGCATTTCCTTAACTTGTTCAGCAATGCGTCTTTGAACATCATCTATCGTAAGACCACCTGCACAAGGATGTTTAGGCTCCACGATGTCGAAAAGATGTGAATCAGTATGGTTATTCCAAATTTCATAATTTTCGCTTCGTGTCCATGCTTCTATCCAATCCATGTTGAAATCATAAGCAGGATCTCCATCAACTTGTGGAAGTTGAGCTCTTGGGTTGTTAGCGTTGACGGTAAGGTAGTTGTGACATTTGACAGAGGAGATTAGGGAAAGGAGGTATTCCTCAAATTGCATGCGAATGAATTCTTCAGAGCCGACGTAGCCCATAGTTTTAGGTCGACTTGGATTTGATTCATCCCAAGTGTCATTGACGGTTTGGGTAATGAAATCAATCCAGCGTCGATCGGCCGCCGAGAGTGCTAATGCTGACCTCAGTGATGCCGATGTGATATTAATTGTGAGTTCATCTAAATTAATGAGAATATCGCTATATCGATCTCTCTGTTGTAAAAGTAAAGAATTCGTTGAACCAACGATATATGATTTTGTGCCGTAATCCGCTAATATATCAAGTTGCTGTAAAGGGGTATAAGGACCAAAAAGACTTCCCTATATATCCAATTAGTAAATCAGCTATACATAGGACTGTAGAGGTCTATACCTTGCCAAATATTTGCAAAGGTAATCCCATATAATTCAACAACGAAGTCCTATCGCTCGTTTTCAGACTCGTCGGTTTCACAAGATTTTTCCTATAATCATCCAATTCCGGATCGGCACAATCTTGTAAATTCCGTATCAGGCCTGGTATTAGAGATATAAGTGAGAACTGCATCATGCATAATCTCTCGCATCGCGTACCAAAGAATAACATCTATACCTCAAGTCAATATCCATCAAACTCACCAGACGAGGGGAAGTTACCTTCGGTTGCAGCAGACAACATTTAAAAAGCACCAAAGTCTGCCACTTAAACTCCTTAACCAATTCCCTCAAACTCATTCCTAAATACTCCTCCCTATCTCCCAATTCCCCTCTACTTTTCTCCTCCGCAAGACTCTCTTGAAACCTCCTCAATATCTCTGTATCTGTAAATTCTCGTTGTGCAAACCAAGCTTTCGTAACAACTCCCAATCTTTCTCTCAACATCCCAAAGAATTGGGGCGAATCGGCTATCACAACTACAGCCTTTTGTACTGTCGATCGAGTTACATCCGCGGGACGGTTGCGCAGTATTGAAGCATCCATTTGTTGTGTGCAGGAGATACCGAATAAAGATGTGGGAGGTAGGTTTTCTCGCGTAGGCCGTAGGAGTGTGAAATATGAGAAGTCTTCTGTTGATCTGCCATTATAATTCCTCGTCAGCCTCAGATCTTCTTTCTCGAATGTGCAAAATCCAAAAATAGCAACTTACGCGTGCGCTCCATCACTCAAAGCCATGAACGGCAATAAAGGCCATTCATTCTCCACTGCAGGATCAGTTCCTTCCTCTGCCCCAAACCAATATTCGACTTCCGGTCCTCTAATAAAAACTTATGTCAGCCAGTATCCCTCACTTCCACTTCAAAACTATCATTCTTATTCCCCCCCATCCCTCTCAAGCAACCCCGAAACACATACCTCGCATGGTGAAAATCTACCACCGTAACTAACGGCACAAATCCTTTCCTCCCCCCAGCCGGTACCTCCTCATCCCCGTCCTTCCTCTCAATATTCTCCATCCAGTGCGCCTGGCTCTCTTCTATTTTCTCACCCAAGCTATAGTTAATCGACCTTCGATACGTTGTACCAATCCGGAGCCGCACTTTGTCTCGAGTCCCTCTCACAGAAATCACGGCCTGAAGGCTAAAAGTTAAAGGCAACAAAAGGCAACAAAAGGCCTCCCCGAGTCCTCCCTTGAGTCTCTTAAATCAACGGGGAGTAGACGGGCAATAGGTAGGTAGATTGTACTAGGCAGGTAAATATTGATATCGTTTTTGAATCGTTTCGTTCCGTCTATTCGACAATGTTTGCTTCTGCTTGTCTTTCGAGCCTCCGATGTTTCGAGTAAACAAAGTAGAGTAATCGTTCTTGTAATTAAAATATCATATTGCTTAGATCCTCAATTCAAACCTTCGACTTTATATTGCTCCGTTGACTTCCTCCCTCAAAAAATCAATTCGTCTCGTGGGTCTTTGGTAGATCGTTATTGTCTCGTTGTGTCTCCTCCTATCGATCTTCTTCTCCTTTCCCCAGCTTAGATCTACCCGCTCCGTTCACAATTAACTGGCCAATGCTCCCTCCCGGGCTTCGATATTGCGAAACGCAATGAGCCTTACCCCTCTGATGAAATTAACCGTGACGATCCGTATCAAAGTCGGCCCAATCTTGAATCACAATTTCCAGAAGAATTCCAGAAGTGTTCCAGAATCAATTTCTCAGCCTCCGAGTGAGGCTGGAGCAAGGTTATCGCAACTTTATCGATATGTTCACCCATCAAACTTGCCTTTGTTTTTGTTTGCCTCAACAATTCAATTTGAAATCACTGCGGTTACGATAAAACTTCCACTTTAAAAAAGACTTAACCATAATGCCGCAGTACCATCACTCAGTTTCTATCACACCTCCCATCCCCCCCATCCATCCCACCTGAAATTCAGTCTGCAAGGCCAGCGAATAAGTCCAGGAAAAAGTCCATCCCTGTAACTCTGTATCTGTGTACGCCACAAACATCCACTAATCGCCCTTATTATCCAATACTTCGCATACATTTCAATGCTTACTGTGCGTACAGGGATCAAGAAGATAGCCGACTTGGAGTCTGTTCTGGTCACATGATGAGGTGAGATCAAAGTGTATTGCATGTTCTGCTGAGGTTGTCATTTGTCATTCGTAGATTCGTATTGATAGGTCTTGGGAAGTGCTTGGGCAGTTCTTGGTCTCCATTTGTATCAGTTAGGTTTCACTACAGTGAAGATATTATTCGTCGGGTCATAGTATAATGAATTATTCTCATCCAATCATGGTGAAGATGATTCAGTCAAACATTATCACGTCCAGAAACATGGTGTGACATAGCCCAATCATTATAATCGTAATTCATACACCCTCTATGTCCATTAAACGCCAAAAACCTTACTCGCCCAATCATCTAAGTACAACTTTTGCGGAAAGAAAATTCATTGTTCTACTGCGTGCAAAACCCCCTCTCCATTTCATCGCTTCAGTCAAGCCGTACACAACCCAATAAACCATGGGCAGGAAAGATGTAGATTTTAGGAACTTCGAAAAAGTAAGTTCCCGTTACCCGTTGGGGTGGCAGTATGTACGCCAGTAGTCGAAGTGGAAGAAAAGCCGATTCTCGCCAGGAGTTGCGTTGCGTTGCGCGACATCAGAAAGTACCAGAGAACGCTCCTAACCAGCCATCCCATAATTGTGTAACCATCCCATACCGAAAGTTGTACCTAGGCGGTACCTTTGATAATCATATTTAATCGAAAAAACAGATGCATGTTTACTGACCATCGACCAGATTTTGGGCGTCGTTGACGTTATGATAATCAAGAATCTCGGAGTACCTGCATAACATTCCAAGTCAGTTCTACTATCTTGGTCCGTCGGATGCACTCGATAAACCAAATACTTCTGCAGAAGAACGCAGATGATCTATTTTTGTTGGTAATCGAAAAGTTGTTCGTACATCATGATTTTCCAGGTGTCCACTGGAAGTTCTGCGTCATTAAATGACCAGTCAAACTTCTCCTCTGCCACTGGCTCATCGGTAGGGTCGTGGTAAGGAGATAGGTAATCATGTGCCAATGCTTCGGCTGCCTTGACTCGCTTTCTGGGGTCGAAAACCAGCATTTTCTCGAGGAGATCAATGGCTAGAACAGGTCAACGAGGGTTGCAGTAGAATTGAAGTCGAAGCTAAAGACGTACCTAATGGATCCGCATTATGGAACTTGTTTGCAAGAGGTTGTCTCTCACGTTTTGGTAGAGATTGTACGAATCTCAAGGTCTGAACTATTATCAGCTACATCCCATTGTCCATACACAATTACTCACGTTTTCACTGGCAATGGTGTGGATAACATCATCTGGTGGTGTTCCGAGGAGTTCCGTGATGATGGAGAATTGGTTGACGTGATCCTTTCCTGGGAACAAAGGTTTGCCTTCCAGCATCTCTGCGAAAATGCATCCCGCACTCCAAACATCAACCTCCACATCATACTTTTGCCATGTAAGCATAATCTCTGGTGCTCTGTAGTATCTTGTAGAGACATATCCGGTCATTTGAGGATCTTGAATACGAGCAAGACCGAAATCGCAGATCTTAAGATCGCAGTTCTCATTGACGAGGATGTTGCTGGGCTTGAGATCACGATGAACGACTCCTGCAGAGTGAACATATTTCAATCCACGCTGGGAGAGTAACATTAGCCTAATTCTCTCCAGTAATACAGCACAGCCGGAACAGGATGACATACCAAGATTTGATACAAGAAGTACTGAATGAATTGTTTCTCGAGTGGTCGCGAGGTCAACAAACGATGTAAATCTGTGCCAAGGAGTTCGGTGACGAAGTAGCTTGAATGGTTATCAGTCTAAAATCCCTTCAATTTGATGGAGTCTGCATACATATCCTCAAGAGGGGAAATGAAGATATCGCTGAGCGAGATAACCTGTAAACATTTAGTATTTTCAGGACCGGCCATTATTGTATATCTGTGGTATCGCAATCCAAACGTACATTCTCGTGCTTGAGATGTTTCAACAACTTCAATTCTCTGTAAGTTCTCTTGGATAAGACTGGTGTGCTGAATGGTTTCATAATCTTTTTAACCGCGACATTTGAACCGGTGAGGTTATCTTTGGCAGAGCTGTGCAGATGACATAAGTTAGTGTTTGCTGGGGAAAAGTGATCATTTTACCCCTCAATTGAAGATTTCATCACAAACAAGGGCCCAAAAAATGAGGGATTATCATACCAAACGAGACCAAATGCGCCCATGCCCACCGGCTGTAAATCAGAGTATCTATACACCAAAGCATCAGTATCTATAGTGGCGAAGGGGTGGTGAACAAATTTGACAATTTCTTGACATTTTGTTCGAGTTGTTTGAGCCCCGCGTACCTGGAAGTGATCTCAAAGGTTGTCCCGAAGATCTGAGCTCTAACGAATTCAGCCATTTTGAACTTGTGTGATCTCTTTTGAGAAGTAATATCTTAGGGGAAAGAAGGATTATTTTGGTAGGAATGAAGAAAGTGAAATCTTTGTAAGAAAAGAAGGTTAGTTGCGAGAGGATGTATGTAGGTAGGTAGGTGGGTGAGTGAGTGAGCGGAATTGGAATTGGAATTGGAATCGGAATTTCGCGTGGCGATTTGGTAGTGAGTGGGATGAATTATTGAGAAGGAGACGGCAAAGATAGTTTTGAGATGGGGGGTGGGAATGTCGCCTAAAATAATAAATAGTAAAGTTCAGTCAGTCAATAAATAAACAAATTCCTTGTCTTTCTTGGGTTGGGGAGTGGTAAGTAGTAGTAGCAAAGCAGCGTGAATCGAGCTTTACCTTTAAATCTATCTAGTACCACAACCAAAAATAACAAATACAAATACAAATAGGTACGGAGCGAATGCCGCTTTTGCGATATTTGACTGACTGACTTATTTCTGATTTGGATGAAAGGTCCGACCGAGATCTAGACACAAACTTGGCCTCGAGATATCCCTTGGACCGTTTGATGGAGTAACACAGTAGGTAGGTAGTGATTCTAGTGAACGTCTGAACGTGTGAAAATGTGTGTTGGCTTCGTTTTGTGCGCCCAAGCTGTTTCGCTATCGAGGTATTATACGTATACGGTAGTCGTCGTAGTAGTATTTCTTTTCGTATTTGCCGATAATCGTAGCTTGGTGACTTGGAGGAAGGAGCGTCAAGTATGTTTTATGGATTTATTAGATAAAATTGTCTCGTTCTTTAATAGAAAGGATATCTTCTTAGTTCAATGAAGGTTATGAATCGAATCTCTCTTTTACTCCTCCAAATTTGGAATCAAGATATGGATGATCGTTACTCAAGAGAGGGGAAGCTAACTTTATATGCACTTTTTGATATTTAACAGTGGATAGACCGCCAACATAGTACAGCATGTTGATAACCATCCGCAATGCAAGATTTCCTGCTTTGCATGCCCAGCCGCTCATTGCTGTTTTTTTTTGGTTTGCCGTTTTTCAATATTTAGCTGAATTGATGGATTGATGTGAACGACATTAGGCCTAGACCGAGTAGGCTAGAGGGCCCAGGATACCCTCCTTACCTAAATCGTAGCCGTAGATGTTGTAAAGCATGTAAATATCTACATGTTTGGCAATCTTATCTGTTTATCAGGAATAGACTGATACACATCTCGCTCTTTTTGATACCTCCTCTCCTCTCTGAAGCGGGTACTCGAGCACATACACACCACATATTGAAAAGCGGGAGTTGCAGGGAATTGATCAAAATTTGGTCTGATAGATCGAAGATGGATATTTTAGCTAGGGCGGCATTAGATCAATTTCAAGGTACACACCCAGATTCGAAACTTTGAGAAGCACCACTGACGTCATCCTGAGGGATCGATCTCCCACTTTTTATTCATGAAAACCATCTTTTTCTTCAATTCGGTCGATCGGTCAATAATAACCTAAAGAAAACCAAGATAGAAACGACAACACATCTGCTGAACAGGCGCTCAAATATATTCTCCTCGAGAATGAAAAAGGGCATATGGTATTTTTAATTGTACACATGATTGAATAACCTTCCTCATTATTCTCGTTCGTTTCCCATCAAGACTTTAGGACTTTCAAGATCTCAAAGAGAGAACCTTGGAAAATATGCCTAATATCATTGCATCATTCCCCCACGGTGGATATTATCATTCCCATTCCCATTCCCATTCCCATTCCCGTACAGCCAGAATATGGAGAGTGTGAGTGCACAAGTGTACCAGACCAGTCCATTAACTCGCAATCGACTTACCTAAGTATATACGCATGCGATAGGGACAGTAATGCACTCACTGATTGGTCTGGTCTTATGGATAAGAGTATCTGCCTAGGACTTCGTACATCACCAAAACTTTGATCAAATTTGACAATTCCCGCGACCAAAACACAGCATTCTCATTTCTCGATACTCTTCGGTATGGAAAACTCAAACTCCGATGATATCAAACATCTCTTCATGATTGGCTGATCTCGGTTCCACAACTCTTGGACAACCCTCCGTATGTTGAATTCAGACATCCAGACAACAACAATTTTTATTCAAGTCAAGGCTCTTTCATCTGTACTTTCTTTCGAAGAAGTGCAAGAATGGTTGAATCCATTACAGTACGAGTAGACTTTTGACCTACCGGAACGGAGTGTGGGGAAATTTGTACCGGCTTCATACCGAAATCAGCACCTCGGGAAGCCAATCCAATTTCAATCCGTTGGATAATCATAAGCACAACTATATCAAGCTACGACTAAAAAAATCCAAATCACTCTAGCCAGAACTCATAAATGCACCAGCAGCACGCTGTGCAATGTTGTCCAAGCGACGCATTCGCAACAGGTCATTCGCATGAACTCGAGCTTGCGGCTTCCGTTGATATACAAGATTTATCCGTCTCTACCATAACCGGACAAGAATGTTGGCTTTTTTGCTCTCACAAATTGGACTTTTGCTGCATGGCCCATAAGCTTATTAGGTGCCAAGTTCCATCTGCGAAAATCAATTGAGAGTTTTCTACAGGTGATCTTCGCCGCAGATCTCGAAGTCTACTGGTACCCACCATTGGGAATGGAGGCGATCTATCGAAAAGGGGTCTGAGAAACAATACTTTTGCCTCGAATCCAACTTGAATAGTCATGATAATAATTCGAGTCAAAGCGAAAGAGAGAATGTTGGAAGCGGTCTATCATCTTAAGCTTGTACATACGTACAACATCAGAGCAGCATTTTCCAGCGCATCCCTTGGTGCTCTATTGCCAATCTTAAGATTTCGATCATTTCACAATCTGTTAAGACATCAATAGCATTTTCAGCCGCAACCAGGTTGTACTTCTTGCAAATTTTTCATGATGATCTTTGAATAGGGGGATCACTTACGCCCTTCTCACACCTTTAGCAGCGTTTCGAAGCACAATTCATTGTCTTTGTGGCATGTCTTATTTTGCAGATCCTATAACAAAATGTTTAGTAACGCATGTTGAATTCTGTAAGAGCAGTTTATTCTCTCTGTTGCATATCTCAAAGTATGCAGATCACTTGAAATGTTCTGAGAGTGGTGAGAAGGCTAGATTGTAATATTTTACAAAATCCTTCCAATCTTCCTTCTGGCAAAATTCCTAGCTCCTCATTCATATCTTTCTAGTAAGATTACATCTCTCATCATGGCTCATTTTACTGCAAATGCTCTGTCTGAAGAAAAGTAAAATTCCAAGCGGGAGCTGCATTCATGATGATTCGAGATTCAGGAATGGTTTCGAGGTTAAATCTTTTTAGAATTGCTTTTTCCCTCTGTCCTCGTCATCTTGAGTATGCAATATCATCTAAAATCTCAGCGAAACTATGAGTTTCATTTAGTAGTACTTCCCTTTAAAAGGGTAAGTGAATAAGGAGAATGCTAGATTTACCGAGAAGCCAAAATTCCTGCATAAAATGTCAATGCCGCTGGTTTCTACCATCTATGGGGAAGAGGTTTGGTTGATATAGTCACATCTTTGAGATACTCTGAAACTAGATATCAAGTCAACCCACTACCATTTTGTCATGTTTAGTCATCTGCTTGCCTATAATACTCGGGATACACTATCATCTGGAAAACCTTCCATTGCACTTGTTTGTGCGTTCATTATCTATGAGGCCATACTTCGAGCATGATTACACACACATCTGGCTTAAATGCTGCTCCGAACGATACTTATTCTTTAGAATAATATGCTGATAGCTCGGCAGCAGTGGGTAAGTAATTTTGTGAGCGATGCTAGCGTGGGCTCAATCGAGATTCTCAAAGAGATCAATCAACATGAAACACATACTGTTTCTGCCTTTTCATCGTAGCATGTTTCCTAATAATTATTCGGTTTAAGATACAAATTCTGCAAATCTTGGGAAATTATATGCTAAGATCTTATATATACTTGTACACTGAGGTGGTAAATGTAAGGAAACATCCAAATTCTTTTATTCAAGTAGCTTATACCTTATTATCGGAACACTTTTCACATACCTTCGCTAAATCTATATTTCAAAGCTTCCTCCCTATGCTTGATCAAAGCTTCCTCCCTATGCTTGATCAAAGGAGGAATAACTACAATTTTCCTTTCGCTAGTGGCATCGCGTCAAATCCGAATACTCGTTGCCTCTTCGTCTTGCTATCTACTTTTCTTGTTGAGGGTGCTGGGTTTTCCCCCTTGACTTTTGTGCACTCTACTTCTTTCGCTTTTTTCCCTCAACTTTCAATGTCCGCGCATCATTCATCTCGTAGTCGAATATTCAGTTGAGGAAAGAAGATGAGGATATGAGGGATGCGGAAGTGTGGGGATGGTGTGGGGATGGTGTGATTGCTTTCCGCTAGTATTTTGATATAACTAGGTATCATAATGAAATCCAATAGCTACGAAAGTTACGCGAACCGGACTCGGTATTAATAGTATATTTTGATTCTGACGAAGTTTCTCCGTGTGTAGTTTGGCTGTTCTTGAAAGAAAAGAAACTCTTGAAGATTCAGACGCTGTGTATCTAGTCGATTTTTATCAAAAAGGAAGTGGATGCAGGTAACTTCGTTTTGACGATAATTTACTTGCTGGCTGGCTGGTTATGCTTGACTTGATATTGATACTGCCTTTGAATATTTCATGATCATGAAAGTTATTTGCTTGGGACTTTTCCTATTGGATTTTTTTTTAATTGTGTTATATGAGGTACGAGGAGGAATGGATTGCGATAAAGGAGGATATGGTATGAGAATGTTGAGATTTGGAAGGGAAAGGTTAGGATTCCTGGTAGGTGGATGCTTGATATAAATTACATATAATTATACTAAGAGTGCTTTTGCTATAAATTAGTTACACTAGGCTTTATACGAGCACAAGTGCGAATATTGGACAACGTAAAGATTTATTTGATATTATTCGAATAGATATAAAATATAAATATGAATCGAGAGTAAGAGCATGTGATGTTCAGATCAAAGATCTCAGATTCTACAGTTCCTCTATCGAAGCCAACTCGGTTAGGTAGAAGAGTTGGTAACTATTCAATGTATGGAAAGTGGCATCTCAAAAACTATTGCTATTAACCGAACTTTATGAATGATGAATACAATGAAAAGTACTATATAGGTTTGACAATGTACTTGAAGAGTGGTGTGACTCAACCAAATCGAGAAGTCTCGTGACACTTACCCCTCATCCCCCGCACTTTCCATCTGTACGACGCACGCAAATGCGTATTGAATCTGTCGATCCTGCTGATCAATTGATGATATTTAGAAATCGATTCATCTATCCCATCATTCCATGATATTTAATAAATTATCAAGTCGAGTCTGAATATTCAACCAAGTGTCGTCGCGTCACCACTCATCACACTACATCCTTCCTTCCTACCTACCTATACCCAGCAATATCCTTCCTGAAGAACGCAAATAATCAAAAATGCCACCAACATCCGAACCAAAAGTTCTCGGTAATCGTCTCAAGAACAAAGTTGCCATTGTCACGGGCGGTGGTTCAGGTTTCGGCGAAGGCATCGCTCGTCGTTTCGCGAGCGAAGGTTGTAAAGTGACGATTGCAGATATTGATACTATTGGTGGTGAACGCGTTGCGAGTGTTCATCCTCATAGTATGCTATTTGTGAAGATGGATGTGACGAATGAGGAGGATTGGGAGAGGGTATTGGAGACTACGCTTGCTAAGTGGGGAAGGGTGGATGTTTGTGTTAATAATGCTGGGACGAGTTATAGGAATAAGGTGAGTTGTTTCATGGAGTATTTCGTGGTTTGGTGGCTGTGGGATGTAGTTGTGGATGGAGATGAGATGGAGATTGATGGATCAGACTGATTTGATTTGATATTAGCCAACTTTGGATGTCATCGAAGATGAATTTGATAAGGTTTTTAATGTTAATGTCAAATCGATCTTCTACGCAACGAGACACTTCATTCCAAATGTTATCAATCAAGGGGAAGGTGGATCGATGATTAACATTGCATCGGTTGGGGCTTCAAGACCTCGAGGAGGTCTTGTCTGGTATAACGCCAGTAAAGCTGCCGTTGTCAATGTGAGTATTCAGCTTGTATGTTGAATCACGTTTCTAACAACATGAAAGGCTACCAAAGGACTCGCAGCGGAATATGGACCTAAGAACATTAGAATCAACTCTATTTGTCCGCTTCTAGCTGGTACTGGCCTGTACGTATCTCCAACTTTCTACTTTTACGTCTACTAATACTCCTAGCTTCTCTACATTCACCGGAATGGATGATACTTCCGAAAACCGTGACAAATTTCTCTTCAATGTGCCATTAGGCCGCCTTTGTACTCCGGAGGATGTGGCTAATTATTGCTTATTCCTTGCGAGTAATGAGGCAAAGTTCATTACCGGTACTTGTTTGGAGGTAGATGGTGGACGAAGTATTTCTTGAGGAGAAATGCAAATGGAGGATGTAGTAAAGTTTCTTCATTTAGTCAGGTTTTGACGAAAGAAATATCTTGAAAACGGATAGGAAATCTATTGCTGATACCGATGATTTTAATGAACACTACGAAGATTTGGAAATAGGATAGTAAAGAGTAATGGTTATTGTGGAATCACTGTTGATCTGTCCTATATCGAACTTTTGACCTGTGAAGCTAACCATTGACTTGGTGAAAAGCTAAAATATTGCCTGTTTGGGATCAATGAATTGATGCCCATCCATATCCAATAGGTTCTGATCTCTCAAATTTCTCATCATCTTATATTACCGTCGATAAAAGTAATCTATTTATATACATATATATATATTAATATATGTATGTGTACATTCCAGCATACCTCAACCATACTCTATAATATAATATTTCTCAGAAATCGAGATCCCTCTCAATAACCTAATAAAATACATTAACCTTGGTCAATTTTCCAAGGTGGCATGATATAAATTAGCCCTCTAGATCATCAGAGTGCTTGGGCTCAAATCCCATATCGCCAAAATGATAAGATCTTAGGACTTGGAAAGGATCTGGATGAAATATTTTTCAGCTTGGCTGATGGATGGATGGATGGATGGATGGACTTGTGGGTTCTTGTGAGGTTGATGTAAGACTTAGCTAGTGGAAAATAGGAAGATTATAATAGGGTAGTTAGAGGGGTTGATTGTTGGATTTGGATATATATATGTATGGAGTATCTAGGTAGGTATGCTTAGATACTTAGGTATCGATGTGTATCCTTTTCAGACACACACACGCACGCACACACACACTCTCTCTATATCTATCTATCTATCTGTCTGCCTATCTACATGCATATTCAAAGTCCTCTTCAAAGTCCATATACTAAGTTTACAATTCTAGTAGCTTAGACCATTAGGTTATTCGAATAATCGGTAAACAGTAAACAGTAAATAGAAGTTACCCTTACATCCACTTTCCAAATGCACAACGATAAGTTAAGCCAGAGACAGACGAAGATCATTTCCAAATGTAACGACATGTCACATAACACCCACCCAGCATCGATAGGATTACGGAGCACTCAAATGTCTCACTCTCTCCGCGGTGGGGTGTGCGGCTGAAAAGTTACAACGAATGAGAAAGATTACTCTCTCTGTGTTATTGAGTTATACAGAGAATTACCCCGCATCGATTCAAATGAAATAAACAGGAGGAGAGGAGAGGAATCAGAGGATACATAATCTTACACTTAAGTCTATCTTTCTTGAACTTTATCTCTAACTTTATCTTTATTTCTATCTCTATCTCTGTCTCGTAACTAGCTTTATATCTTTGCTTTCTTCATTTATTTATCTACATATCAACCCTAAATCCAAAACTCCAAAACAAACCTTCCATTCATATCGAACTGAAATCCATCAGAATCATCTAGAGCCATACTCAAAAAAATGAGATTACTAGCACCACTAGTTGAAGATTTAAAGGCGGGTTTAAGTCCCGAGGCGCAGGTTTTGTTGAAGGGTGATGAGGGGTATGATGAGGGGATTGCGAGGTGGTCGAAGGCGGCGGAGAAGAAGGCTGTAGGTTTTTCCTTTTTTGGTTCTTCTTTTATTTTGGGTTTTTGGGTTCTTGGCTTGGAAGGATTTTATGATCGAGGAATGGGTATGAGGTCTTGAAGTGTGGAGGTTTGGTTGCTTGTGAGATTTGTTGTATCACATGGGAATTGAGATATCATAGGCGGATATCTCAAAAGTTCCATATCTCTACACATTTTTAATCTTCGATATATCTTCTATATATTTTCTAACTTCATCTCTAGGCTTTAGTCGTTTTTCCTACCACTTCTGAAGATGTTTCCAAGATTGTTCTCTTTGCCAAGGAACATAAGTTTGATTTTGCAGGTGCGTACTCTGAAAATCGATTTCCCGTCCTTCGCTTCTTGTCCACTCGGTCTAAGAGTCCTTCCCTTCCATCTGCATGCACAATATCACCATAACATAATTCCACCCCATTCAAGAAAACCTCATAACTAACACCCATCCCAGTCGTCGGTGGTGGTCACGGCTCATCAGGCGCCTCGTCAACACACAACGGCCTCTCCCTCAACCTCTCCAAAATGCGCAACGTGATCGTAGACCCCGTCACCAAATCCGCTCGCTGTGAAGGCGGCTGTCTCTGGTCCGACGTCGACACCGCCGCCTTCGCCCATGGACTCGCCGCTGTCGGCGGCACCGTAAACCATACGGGAATCGGAGGACTCACCCTCGGAGGTGGCTTCGGATATCTAACCCCCAAGTACGGTTTGGTGATTGACAATCTCCTCGAAGCGGAGGTTGTTCTTGCAGATGGAAGAATCGTAACGTGTTCCGAATATCAAGAGCCTGATCTCTTTTGGGCAATCCGTGGAGCCGGTATTGGATTTGGTGTTGCGACTAGTTTTACCTATCGACTTCATCTCCAGCCCAACCGTGTCTGGGGAGGTCTTCTCATTTTTCCACGCGAGAGATTAGAGGCTATCGTCTCATTCTCCAACACAATCGTGAAACTCACCGAAGAACGAGCATTCCTCCTCCTCGGTATCGCTGCTCCACCCCCCGCCTTCAAACCCGCCATCCTCATCCCCGTATTCTACAACGGCACCGAAGCAGAAGGAAAAGCATACTACAAAGCACTTCTCGATCTCGAGCCCATAGTAAACACAACCAAAGAAATGGACTACGTAGAAGTAAACAGCATGATCAACGAACCAATGGTCCACGGATTCCGACGCAACATGAAAGGAGCCGCATGCATGCTCCCACTAACCTACCCCTTCGCCGCAGAAATCTTCTCGGAAACAGAAAAATTCTTCAACGAAACCCCTGATGCGAAACATACACTGGTAGTATTTGAATACGTCCCTTTTGGAAAAATTCTACAGGTAGGTCAACAAGACACGGCATTTGCAAATAGAGGCGCCTATGGAAATTTACTGATTGGCGCGGGTTGGGAGCAAGAGGAAACGGATCAGAAGTGTAGAGAGTGGTGTAGGATGATGGCGCAGAAAGCGAAGGTGGAATTGGAGAGCAGGTTAAAGGAGGGTACGGATGAGATTACGAAGGATGGGGTGGGAGCTTATTCGAATTATGATGGTGGTGAGTTTTTCTCTAAAAATTTTCGGGTTTCTTTCAACTTCCCCATCTTGAATATCGCTTGTGAAATTCGCGAGCAGTGGAACGAACTCCTTTTCAAATATCCTCAAAGCAACATCTCTTGGTATCTTTCTTCATACAAAATTTGTCCTCTTGACTAATGTATTGAATAGCAAGCCACGAAGGAGGTAGATTGGCTTACGGGGTCAACTATCCCCGCCTCGCCGAGTTGAAGAAAAAGTACGATCCGGAGAATTTGTTTTCCAAAGGCCCAGATCTTGTTTCCTAAATCACTGGATTAAACTGTGACTATTAATCAATGTCACTTTATTATACTCAAAAGGAGATCAAAGAATTTTTATACAAGAGACCCTACAGTAATGATATGTAGTGCATGCAGTAAACGAAATATTTGGTATATCAATTTCCATCCCATGTAAAGGTGGGTAGGTAGGTAATGCTAAAACGTAACAATCTGCGCCAATCTCCAGAATTCAACCTCCGTTTCCGTGACTCACGCTCGAAAAAACAAATGCAATATGCATACAATACAGTACTATTTATCAATGAGACCCGCCCAACAACAAAAACCATAGTGAACTATCCGTATCTAAAAATCGAATCGATCTGGCAATACCACAGGTGCGATCAGGGTCCATGTATAGATGCCATAGCATACCCATGAACTAACAATCTTGACCCACGAAGCCCAGTATGTTCTTCCAACAGGTGCAAAATTCGTGTTTCCATCTGTGTATTCATCCATGTTCATGGTGAGAAGTGTAGCTACCCAGGTGGTCGCTAAGAAGAAAATTACGTGGAATAGTGCATAACTGTATTGTGTGGAGTTCCTTTCGTCATCTTTAGCAGTATTTCCACTATCGCTTTCGTCATCATCGTCTAAAAGAGCATCTGCAGGAAGACTTCCTTCCTCTACCGCCTGTCGAAGGGCTGCTGCACGCATTTCACGGCGACTATCTGGCTGTTGTGTAACGAGATCATGCTCATCATCTTCGGGTAATGCGATTCTTTTTCCCTTTCCTCCTAAAGCAACTCCTTGTGTTGCAGCCCTGGTTGTTGTATATGCAACTGTGAACATAGTGACGACTGCACCAATGATGATAGAGGTTGTTCGTGTTCCTTGAGCTCGAATAAGAGGATTGCAATGTTTTGTATCAGGCTCCATAGATACTGCTGACATGGTAAGGTATGTGCAGTAAATAGCCACCATAGCTGATTGCGCCAAACCTGCTCGAGGGTTGAATTCTTGAACCATAGGATGGACAGAAACAATAGAGACAATGATCAAAAAGATCAAGTTGAGAGTGATAGCGGTTTGGTTCATTGAACATCCGGCGCCAGCGAAGAAAATGTATTGAACAATGGTCATCGCTAACGAACATGCATACATGCCCAATGTCGATCCAATCAAGATGCCTCTCCAAGCTCGAGAATCATATGCCTCGATCTGTTCAAGACAATATTCCGCCCAAGTATGCGCAAGATCTACTAGTAGAATAAGTCCGAGGAGGAGGAACAGTGTCGATCCAGTGAATGCAATATAATTTCCCCAAACCAAAAAAAATCCATCTGGAATCAGGAAAGTAAGTACGATAAAACCCAACCAAGCGATAATTTTCGGGCCCCAGAAACCATTTTGTAGGGCTGCTCGAGGATTCTTCGAAGAGTTGACGCCCAATAGCATTGATGCCATTATGAGATGGAAAATTCCAAGTGCGAAATTAATCCGGTGAACCGCGACCCAGCCATAACATTCTCCCTCTGGACAACTGATCTTCATATAATCCAACGTCAAGCCTTGTAGTTTATTAATCGCCCATGGTGTTAGCATTATCCATGATAATATCGAATTGATTAAGAGGATGAGGGCGTATGCGATACGAGTGGCAACGCTATTCAACAATCAGTCCTTATCATAAAACATCTTCAAATTTGAAGATATACCTATTACCACACTTCCCACAAGCACTGCATACGGCAGAACATGTCGCTGCTCCGCAACAACTTGCAGCAAAACCCATCACCTAATAATATAAGCTATCTCTTCATGCCAAAGTCCAGTAAGTAAAACTCACAGTGCCCATGCTTGGCACAGCCAACAAAGGAAGTGAAAGTAGAGCGCCCATATTTGCGCTCTGCTGCGGTGTCGCAGTGATAAAAGTGGTGATAGAATGATCTGAGAGTCACTTCAAATGTTGTTCATGAAAGTAAGTATGGGTAATAGTTGACCATAAAAATTGAAGAATAACGTTGGAAGTTTGATTGATTTGATGATGGTCATGGAACGGCCAAGGACTCGGCTCCTTATGATCCGCGGCGGCTGATGAAAACGACTCAGACAACCTGCATTAGTGCGGTAATGGTTCATAAGATACACCGTAAGTGAAGCTGATAAGGAGAGGAGGCATAAGGAGCTGGGTTACTGATAACGGACTTACGTGTATGTAGACGACATCAACAGGATTCTTTAATTTCATTACAAACAATTACACGGATGTCACCTAGAAACACTTGGGAAATCATTGTCTTTCATTCACAAGACATATTATTCCCATTTTAAGTCAGCATATACCCTTTGTTTGTTTTGACTTTTGCGATGATCAAGAGGTGAAGCTATACAAACCTCCCTTTTACCACAACGATAACGGATTAGTCGTCGAATATGCCGGAAAAACCATTACAAGCAGCGCGAATAGTGTCGAGTGTTGCAGCAACATGCATTGCATTGGCATGTGGAACGAACTATGCTTTCTCCAATTGGGGTCCGCAATTCGCCGATAGATTGAAGTTATCTTCGACACAGATTAATCTGATAGTAAGTTTACAGCGTGCCGGCCATTCACTGTTGATATCATGCTAATGATATAAATAGGGACTGTTCGGGAATCTGGGAATGTATTCATGTGGGATACCAATTGGGTTATTGGTAGATGGAAAGGGACCTCGACCTGCTGTAATATTGGGAATGCTGTTGCTCGCCGCCGGATACTTTCCTTTATATCAAGCATATAATAAAGGATCCGGATGGCTACCGCTACTATGTCTCTATTCATTCTTTAGTGGACTCGGGGGTTGTTCTGCTTTCGCAGCTTCCATTAAAACTTCAGCTCTTAATTGGCCACATAACAGAGGCACCGCGACAGCCTTTCCTCTAGCGACTTTCGGACTCAGTGCATTTTTCTTTTCGGCCTTTACTGCATTTACATTTCCAGGGGATGCGGGCCATTTTTTGTTAGTTCTAGCTTGTGGAACAAGTGGAACAGTCTTTCTAGGATTCTTCTTTCTTCGGGTTATACCGCATGCTCATTACTCGGCCCTGCCCGGTCACAATCGATCCGATTCAAATCGGCTTCATCGCACAAAATCGGAGGAAAATAAGCGACGGGAAGATAGAGATACTTTGGAGGGTGAACCTGGTACGTTCTCCCAATCCTTTGCGTCTTCGGGCAATCACCATATCCTAAACCATCATGTGATAGGGGCAGAGGTACCTGAGAACGGCGTTATGTCCGAAATTGACGAAACGTCCTCCTTGATGTCAAAATCAACCGATGAAGAATCAAGAGAAACTGTAGCCGAAACTGACAAGAAGGATCATGCTCATCGTGTAGATATTCGAGGATTTCAATTATTCAAAACAATCGAATTTTGGCAATTGTTTGCTTTGATGGGCATTTTGACAGGTATTGGATTGATGACTATTAAGTAAGTCTTTCATTGTACGCAAACTAAAGCCTCGACTAATCTCCCCCAGTAATATCGGAAATGATGCTCAAGCACTTTGGCGTCATTGGGATGACTCCATTCCAGAGGAATTCATTATGCACCGTCAAGCGATGCATGTATCCATCCTTTCCGTTTGTTCATTCACAGGTCGTCTCCTTTCAGGTACTTTATACTTTTCCTTCTAAATCCCCTATCCACTAACATCCACATAGGCGTCGGTTCCGACTTTCTTGTCAAAGTCCTTCGTTGTAGCGGTCTTTGGTGTCTTACACTCGCCTCAATAATCTTCTTCATCGCGCAAATTGCTGCTCTCAACACCGAAAACCCACAACTCCTCTTCCTTGTATCTTCATTCACTGGTCTCGGTTACGGTTTTCTCTTCGGTTGTTTCCCATCCTTAGTAGCCGATGCATTTGGTGTTCATGGTCTCTCCACAAATTGGGGCTTCATGACTCTTTCTCCCGTCATATCGGGATACATTTTTAACCTCTTCTATGGCATAGTCTATGATCGTCATAGTATCGTGAAAGATGGTGGTGTAAGAGAATGTACAGAAGGCTTACAATGTTATCGTAGCGCTTATTTGGTTACGGTTGGAGCATCAGTGTTAGGTTTACTGGTTAGTTTATGGTGTATAAGATATACGCATTTGGAAAGGATGGAGGAAGCGAGAAAATTTGAGGCAGATGAGAGGGATGAGTAAGGACCTATTTCTCGGTGTTCTAAGAAAATATTAACAACCTGAGAATGCTAAGGCAACAAGAGAAGTTCTGATAACATTATGGTGTTATCATCTTGTCTTGTCTACTGCGACGAGAAAGACATGTGTAGGACTGGAATCTGTTTATTTGAATAGATGGTTTTTGGGGATTAGGATGGATAGTTAGCCGGTCAGCTACCATATCAATTCGAAGTTTAGAGGAAATAACAAGGGGTTTATGAGGATTAGGATGGATAGGTAGTTAGCCGATTCGGCTACTTATATCATTTTGAGGTTTATTAGACAAGGAAATAACAAGGGGGCTTTTTTTTTCTTTCCATTCTTTGCACTATTTTATTTCTCTTGAATGCCGGTAATATATATAAACATGTAGATATAGAGATGGGATAGGTAAGGTACATAAATGTGGAAAGTGAATGAAGTGATGATGTATACTAAGATTACAAACCTGTGATTCCTGTCAAATTATCAAATCAAAAGATATCAAATTCAAAAATCAAAAAGCTCAATCAATATAAAAAAAGTTTTCCTTTTCAGAGTCTATATTCAATTATTCCCTTCCCTTCCCTTTTCTTCACTCCGCACCTCACCTCAGTCCACTTAACACCGCATCATCATTTATTATGCCTACATACACTTTGCTTTCTTTTCCTCTCATTTCCTACTCTCAGTTCCTCTCCTCCCCTCCTCTGCTCTGCTCTCCTCGCATCTCACCCCATCCCACAAATCCACAAATCCATTTCCATTTCCAAAGGGTATATAAGCAACAACACAACACAGCCAAGTTTTCACCACATCATCTCCTATTCCTGCATCTTCCCCTGAAGCAAAAGCAAAAGCAGAAAAGTCTCCAAAGTCTCCAATGTCTCCAATGTTCCAATGTTCCAATGTTCTAACCTCTGCCTTTTGAAACTTCAAATTTCACTTCCATGAACAAATATACATTTCATACTGCCTCATTCTCATTCACATTCTCAATTCCACTCCAACTCAGCTTTTCCATCATCTCCCCTCCTCTTATCTTCAATCTCCTTACCACAAGAAGAAGATAATATAAAACATTAAAAGGTAGCCCGAATTTTTTTCAACACTTGCCCGGCTACGGCATTATCATTCATTGCTTTCTCTCACCTCTCTTAATATACCTTTTCAACTCATACCTCTTCCCCTGAGATAACAGAAGTCGTATCACAAAAATGTAACTATGTGCCTAATTACAGTTTGCTACCGAAGAAAACGCCAAGCCCCCTATGTACAGCGCTCATGAGTATAGTTTATGCAAATGAGGTCCGCATTTTGAACATCATCCGGTATTAACAAAAAAAGTGAAGTCTAGAAAAGTGTAATTCGAGAAAAACGTGCGTGATAACGTTCAAAGTTCTATACTTTGCTGAAAACGCCGAAAATTCTAGTGCGTGAAAGTAAGAAAATGGGTCCTTGAATTGCAGGGGCCCATGAATTCAACCGATTAGAAGAGTAGTGAAGGCTGAAAAGGTGGTAAACATTGAATCGTGAATCGTTGAATATGGTACTATAGTTAAATTCGTGAAACAGTACTGTCGTTCAAGGTGTCTTTCCGCGTTTCCGAGTATTTTCATTGCTCTCGGGATCAAACATGGTCGTTACACCTGCAAGTGTCCAATTCGAGGTTGAAGAATGAATAGCGACAAGCCAAGCTGCCACTAAATTGACCAGATAATGAAGCATGTAAGCATAAGTCACCCCATATACTGCGGCGTATATCGCGATACCAAAGAGGAGAATACTGGTAATGTGTCGAGCGCGTGATGTGACCCGAGGGACCATCTTGCCACTAGTCAATGTCTCTACCAAGAGGATAAAGGGCATAATTGACAGTACATTATGATGAGAGGAAAATGGTGTCAGCCAATGCACTGCCAAGTTATGGATCCATACAACGAGTATTGGAAGGTTAATCGGTAAGATCCAGAGCATGAGAACAAGTATCGAGTGTACATAATTGTAGAAATTATAGTTCGTATTTGAACGTGCTTCCCGGGCGAATCGAAGAGCTCTTGCACAAGTTGCTACTTGTACCAGGCATGCAACCAGATATGCAAATTGGTATGGGATGACTGTAGATACCAGAAATAGCAGTATGCCGGTGGTAAATACACGTCTTCGAGGAGAAGATGGTGCGAAGGCGGGGGATGATGCTCTTTTCCTATCCTCATTTCGCAACCACGCTGGCTTAACACTGATCCAGCCATATAACACACTCAAAACGTGAGTAATTGTTAATGTGGCATAGTTGATCATCACACATACGCCAATGCAAACAAGTCCAATGAGAGGAACCATGAACCAGAAGAATGGATCTTGTGATCCCACCAGCAGATCATTTTTAGTATAGTCAATGACAGTTTCCGATGCATTTCTTCCCCATCCAAAGAATCCTGTGGGAGCTCCTTGAGGTGGTGCCGTACTTGCCCTGGAGAAAGATACTGACAGGCATGTAAGAGTTAATAGCACCAAAGGTAAAGATTGTCGCAAACATAAGTCAAGACTCTCTCCAAAGGAAATGAAAATTCCCGTCTCATCATACATTCGAAATTGTTTCCGCAATACGAGCGCAACAACAAGTAAAGGAAATGCCGCAAAGACAGTCCGGTATCGCATATACAACTTTCCCAAACTGCCTGTAATATCAACACTCAATGAAATCTTGATGCTCGAGTTACAAGTTGGATCGGTCCAGAATTGAAGACTTAATCCATCTTGAACTGCTTTATATTTGAGTGCGGGAGGCATAAATGGAGAGACTCCATGGATATTAATGGTTGCTTGCTTCACGTTCACAAAATATTTTGACTCGTAAGGTTCCGAAATATACTGACGTAGGAGGGGAGTGAAGAGCTCCGATTCCTCACCACATACCTGGTTACCCATTTCCAGGTTGTAGGCCAATAAACTCGAGTGTACAGCGGGTATTTTGACCTCTGCAACCATTGGTCTATTTGGCGGGAGTCTCATCTTCATACCAAAGGCCAGAAGACGTCGAAGGCTCAGTGATCTGATTCGATGTGATTGAACATTATCACTGAACTCGGCGATCACCCATCCAGGTGTAGGGTCAACCGCTTTATCGACGATAGCAACGAATTGGTGGTCGATTATATCCTCCAGGTCGTATTGCAAATAAGAAAATGGCAAAATCTCTTCCTCTTCATCCAGATAGAAAGGCTTTTTCGATGTTCGGGTCGATGCTGGCAGAGGAATAACGTCACTTGCAGCATTTTTGCAAGCCAATCTTGTAGATCCAGAACTATCCCCAGAAAGATCCATATTCATGGAAAATAATGTAGCTGATTGGCCAGGGTGTAATGGGAAAACACTGCAAAAGAGAACTTCCAAATTTCCCGAATCCCCAGGCTTATCGAGCTTCTGATCAGTAAGAAGTGTGAATCGTTTTCCACCTGGCGTTCCTTGGGGAGGAATTGGAAGTAAATGTGCTTTTGGTTTTCGAGACTCGCCAAATTTTCGAAGAGTTAATCTTTCTCCTTGAGGAATTATTGAATGTGAATCGTCTTCCAAAGTAAGCAAAGTCGTTGGTTCCTTGTGTGAGAGGGTCTTTTCCGCGAGGCTCTCCATTCCCGTCAAGTACCATTTCTTGAAAATTCTCATCCTATCCGCTCGAGGTTTCGTTTGTGCAGGCCGGTTCACATCGACAACTTCGTATAGAGATCTAACGACAACTTTCCTAAATTGATCGCACCACAAAATTGCTTGATGATCCATACCGGTCCATACGTTCGGAACAGACGAGGTGAAAACGGTAAATCCATGTGTATCTGGTACCAGGGATTCCAAACTGGCATAATCCGACGGAACAACAGTATCAAGTCCACCTCCAGCTATGGATAACAAGGTGACGTGCCATAAGGGATTGTTGTTTGCCCACTTCTGCGAATACGCTTGACGCCAGTAGTCATTGATCTGCTTGTAAGTTTTGACAATCTCTGCATCGAAGGAAACTGGAGGTCGAGCATGTGGAGCTGACATGGTAATAATTGTGTTAATGGAATTTGACTGGTAATTCGGCATGATCAACATCGTTCGCGCTACAATTCCACCCATCGAATGCCCCAATATTATAACAGAAGTTGGATCTGGAAGCTCTGGGTCACGCTGTGATCTTCGAGGATCATGGTATAGAGACAATATATAGGCGATCGCTTCATTCAAATATTCTGCCTGGTCCAACATTGTCTGTCCGTGGAAGGCCGTTATGTCCTCATTGAAATCAACAGTAAAGAAGTCTAGGTTCCGAGCTCCGGCTTCGATCGCTGTAGAATCGTGTTGTAAAACATCGTGAAAGTATGTTGCAGCCTCTGCGGCAATTGGTCGAACTTGCTTATAACTCCCAGCATTACCAGGTATGAATAAAACGGGAACACCTTTGACCTAGACAATTTGTAAGTTTAGCTCTTTACTCTCCACAAAATTGCATACCTTGGTATCCTCGTCCACCATTCCTTCCCGATATAGGTAGACGGAATATTTGCTCGCGAAACGGGTATGTTCAGTGTCGAAATCTGACAACTTCGCAAAAGAAGGCCTCATATATGACATTCGACATCCTTTATTATCCAATTGTCGCGTGGTAAATGAATGTATAATAGAGGCCAAAGTAAGTAAGGCTACGATTGTAGTGCCGAAGGTCAATAGCGTAAAAGACCAAGGACTTCGCAGCCTCGACCGTCGTGAAGCTTGTCTAGAGTCGGTCATCTTGTCTACCTCGATAGCCCCTTTTGAAGAAATACTGATTACAGCAGATTCGGTAGGTCGACTCTTATCTATATGTCCATTGCGCGATTCTGTTGGTTTCCAATTTGTATTGCTTGGGCGGCGGCTTCTGGCAGCCAGGGGTCTCTTATCGCAACTTTTCCTTCGATCTAATTCGGATTGTGTATGTTGAGGACTGGTTTGTCGTGAAGTTGATTGAAAATTCTGGAAATCCTTATTATTCAATGTCAACACTTCGGTTCCAGAGCGAGCAGTGAACCCTGGCCCTTCAATTATGTCTGGATTTGCATATAAATTGTCGCCTTCTTCCTCTGCGGCCGAGCCAGATGATCTCCTCCGCATCTAAGCAGACTTGCGACACGATCCTCCAAATTTCGGAAAGGAGAATAACGTGGGAAATCGCTTTCGGTGTGGGAGTTTTGAGGAGATTTGGGAATAATTGACGAAAAGGCTGGAACAAGAGAATTGGCGATTTCTTGAATGGCAGGATTTAAAAAGCCGCAAACGAGAAATCTGAGAAGGCTTGAAGGAACTGATTAGGATAGGCGACTTTAGTTAAGGTTACAGTATAAATTTACCAGGTAGAGTCCAGTACAGTACATCGAGTGCATACCCAGTATGGATGTTTAGGTTCGTACTAAATGGATTTTTCAACTTCTCCAACCAATAATTAATCCTGTTCATGTTTGCTTAGAGAGGCTGGTGGGCTTAATCTTTAGCTTCTCCGTAGTACCAGGTAATTAATCTGCAGTATGCCAGTATGCCAGGATCCCATTTATTTTATTTTTTAACTTTTATCTTTTCAACTTTTGACCCGGTCATGAAGATGAGAAAGCTCATTAATGATTACCTTAGGTAAGCTCTTCTACTTCTTTCTGTGCCTATCTTGATGCTTTCTCTGGCTTTGCCGCTTTTCTTATATGATCATTGAGTAGCTAGCTCGAGTGTAGGCATACCAGTTAGTACATACCAGTTCCATTTATAATTAATTGTAATAGTATTACTTATCGCTGGCTCTAGAATCTCTCTCCTGGAGATATTCATAGCGTTACATCACAATTTGAAGTTAACCATTCAAATGGATCGCTAAGCATATAAGATTTCACTCAAATCTACGGAGAGCATGGTACCAATATCACATCACTCCGTGGTTGTCAATCACAATTCACCACCCTTTAAAATCCTGTTCAAATACCTACCTACCTACCTACCTACCTACCTACCTACCTACCTTATCCATTCACAAGCATATTCGCTGTTACTGTGCAAACACTCATGTTTCAAGAGAATTGATTGCTCAATGACTGGCTGCTAAGATCTTACCTCTCAAGACCGGACGTTCAAACAAACCACTTTTTAGCACATACATAGGAAGTTATCGTGAGGATCTCTCACACCGTGATTGGTAAGTAGGGGATGATCTACACTCTGCACTCGTCTTGTCATTGTCGCATGATGATGTATGTTCTTAAAAGTCTCTTGGCAGATTGGATTTCTTCTGCGCCGATATTTTGATAGACGATTGTAATACAGCTGATATTGCGGTTCCATTCTTCGTAACTGATGTTTGAGGTTGAGTAGGAAAAGCTGTTGTAAACCTTTATGGCTTGGTTGATACGAGATAGGCTAATATTTGTACTCCTATTGCATGTTTGGAAGTTTTCGATATCGCGACATCTCGATCTATCATTGGTGTTCTGATGCGATGTAAATAAACACTGCATGATGCGGTGTACGCAATGCATTAGTAGCCTTTTACCATGGGATTTTCCTAGAACCCATATCTAATTGTTGTAAGATCTTATTTATTTTTCGGCGCTCCACTGGGGTAGCCTCTCATTCATCTTGACTTGAATACCTGCTTGGAGGAACGAAATATAAGCGGTCATTTCAAAAACCTCCAATCTCCATGCTGGCATCAAAATAGACTCCGAAAGCATGCCAACAGTATGTCTAACACTGAAATATGGGTTATTTCTGTACACTCTACATTCTACTCTCGCTCTATGCTCAAGGATGTTTTGTTCCAAAGATTTCGCGAACATTATTGCTTGGACGGAGAAACTTCACGCTTGATGCAGGGGCTATGTATGTACAAGTTTGGTGTTAACCCATAGGTATGAATACCAATCTTCGGCCCTATCATTCTGCGATTCCAAAAAGTCGATCCCGTATCAAACGCCATTAAACCATTACAGTAAGTATCAAAGCCATTTCTTACTCCCAGCAGCTCATCCTTGCTTTTATTTCGGACTACCGGTCTAATTCAGAATTGCGACCATCAAACTAGAAGTTGAGGATTTAGTAATCATAGAATTTACACGTACCGGCTGAGGGATAATTCACATTGCTGAGAAACCAAAATCTCAAACCCCTTAAGAATAGCTTCTTGTTGACTGGGGATGAAGGGTATTATCGAATAATTTCAGTTTGTTGGGGAAGAGCCGGAAATGGGAGGAAAGTTTTCAAAAAGACGTGGGATATAAAATTACTTCATCTCTAGTTGTAACCCTGATTTTTATTTTGAGTAACAAAGCCTCATGGAGATTTCGATACGAAGAGTGTCAGTACTGGTACTTCTCAAAAGAACATTTGGGTGAGACGGGCCATGAAAGGGAGATTCGTTACCAACAAAGCAGATGCTTTGATTTCCCAAAATACTGCTGGTGACATGGCTAACTCGAACAACATAGCAAAACCACGTCCCTCCTTTTGCTCAGATGATGGATGAACGTCTCAGCCTGCAGGTTTACACGGACTGATCAACATCAACATCTCCAGCTCCATATGAAGTTCAAAAGAATCAGTTCATATCCACTTTCCCTTACAAATTTGGTTGAGGGACCTCGATTCAGAATTTCAGATGCCGATATTATATGCAAGCACCAGTTAGGGTTAGTCTTCATCAAATCAATACTTACATAATTAAGGTTATACATCTGCAGATAACTCGGTAACAAAACCACCAGCGCACCTGCTATCAAACGACAAACAGCATTCAACACAACTGCACTCAACAAACTCGTTTGTCCACAGCATCGCATTAGGATAAACCACATACATATGCACTAGACAACATGGTAGTGTACTTGAATCAACTCCTCCCATCCAACCAATAACAATTTACCCGTAAATAACGCCTCTGATTCTCCGAATCTCTTGGTCTTGCCGTACTTGCCTATGTACTTCCCAAGTATGTAGGTCTTACATTAGCTAGTTACTCGAATACATACCATAGACAACCCATCAAACCAGCATTTCCTTATCTACATTTACATTGCCAAGTAGATAGCCAAAGGTCGAGCCGGCACACGGCACGCTTTGAATATCCCAAGACTAAACTAAACTAATCATCTCCTAAGCCGCAATCGTGAATGTAGCTTTGTAGTCATTCACGTCACATATGAAAAACATCAACAACATCCTTCCTCACAGATAACCAAATATATATATATATATTCTAAAATCCCCGTATAAAATCAGCCATGCATACATGCATGCATACACACAATTCCGTACAGAAGTACATCTATAGCTAGCTATCTGGTGATCTACCTACCTCCCTATCTATCTAACCATCCATCACATCAACCCCGCAAATCACGAGAACTCCTCCTCTTCCTCCCGCAGCAGCAGCAGCAGTGAAAACGCACAGCATTTGTATTTATATTTATTTTCTTGTTTATAATAGGTAGGTAGGTAGGTATTCGTATATGCATCAATACCAATACCAATATTAACTTCAACGCTACCTTGGGTATAGTAGGTAATCTGAAGGAATCGGATTTGGGAGGTATGTATGAAGTTAAGTAATTGTAGGGTTTGATATGAGGGAAGAGGTTTGTAATTGGCCATGGTGAGTTTGTGTTTGTGAGGGAGAGGGGTATTGTGGGGTTTGGGTTTGGTTATGTATATGCGTATGGATTTTGTATGTGAAATTTGTATGTAGGTGTTATCCGCTATATCTGTGTGAAAGACGGGTAGGTTCTGGATAAGACTTTCTATGTATGTCATTTCATCGCGATGATTTTTTGTCCTACTCAAAGTCATTGGCCACATAAGTTCGAATTCCCCCAAACACTCAATGGGAAGCGGTGATTTTCTCTTATTGAGGCAAGTGTCTATATGAATATCACCCTTTTGAACAATATTATACCTTATGAGTAGAAGTCTTTAAATCCACAACCAAATCCATTTTCCACACTGAACTCCTATCAACTCCGAAATTCTACTACTCGTTGTAATAACATCGCAACATCATGAATTTCAATACCTACTAGGTACCTAGGTAGGTAGACTAAGCCTATAATCTCGAGCCCATCTAGCTAGAAACCAATCACAACACTACCTAGGAATTCTAGTAGCGCATCTCAGAGAATCTGGGAGTCTTCATGGCAAAAATGATAAAATCTTGTTTCTCTCCTGATTCATTACCTCACTGTTAACAGTTGGCTTGCTTGCTTTCTTTCTTTCTTACAGTGATGGAATTCGATATCATGAATTCCAGAATTGGGTTTGGGGCTCTCATCTTGCTTTTCTGGAGCTGATGTCTTCTTTTCTGGCTGGTCTTGCTGTAGTGATAATGAGTTTGAGTGGTGGAAGAGGGGTTTCATAGGGTTTATCTGAATGAATACAGAGGAGCGGGAGCGGGAGCGTGTGGTGTGGAAATACTGAAAGGATGCGATGACTGCGGATGGATTGTCTTGATTGCTTTGTTTAGCTAGAGTTTGAATTGTCTTTTTTTGCGATAGTTTTTTACCGTAGAGCAAGTTATTCCGCTATGGAGACTCGTGAAAAGTAACTCGTGAAAAGCAAAGACACCGAGGAGTGGAATAGTTGTATCTTATCCATCTGTGTTCTCTTTCTTCTTGCCTCATTCAAACCCAACTGTTACTTCTATTACGCTATCCTCTTGCCCTCAGCGAATTGCTTATATCCAATATATTTGATCATGTCACATCCTCATATCCTTCTTCTAGAGCTGGACACTTCTTTCCCACCCGCGCTGTGCTTTTTTGTTCTCGTGACAGAGCTTCATATCCCCATGCTTGCATCGTATTGTATTACCTCCATGTTTCCTTGATCAGCTATGAGCTTCACTCCGAATTGTTTGATAGGGCTGTAATTGATTAGAAGATGTATAAAATAATTTATCACCTGTCTTGAAATCATAAACCGCCACTTAATGCGCTGTATCCGTCTGGGATAAACTCCAGGCTGAGCGATTCTAGTGGAAATGTACGATATGTTATTGAACTTCATCGTTGACATGCAAATCTACCCCGATGACACTAAATATGTGACGTCAAAAGATCCGATAAATATAGATGATGCTGGAGGTTATTAAATAGCTTCCCCCATGTTTGACCATTATCGTTTAACCTTTTCACTTTCCGTCTCTCCCTTGCTTTACTCACAATATATATTATATTCACCCCACCAACCAACCAATCACGTCCTACCGCCACTTCCCAATTGCTTTTGTTGCATATCTGTCACAGGGTATTAAGCCTGTAGATGCCTGTAACACTCTTGAATTAGCAGGTAAGTAGACAGTACCATGGAGCTCCTGATATCTCCATTGAGTAAACAGTTTACAGGTATGAATAATGAGTGAAACATTATATTGTGTCAGCATCGCTAGTTTTATATCGAGTTTGATGACTGTATAATGAATCTAGGGGCAAATCTTCTTGAATTATTGGTGCCGGGCTGGGGTAATGATGGAAGTGTATGAGGGTGGTGATTTAAAAGGAATAGTGATAGGGAAAGGAATGCTGCCGAAACGAAGGAAAAGAGCGGGTTTACAACTAGTACGTCCTTTTTATATACGGATTGTACTCCATGATTACTGACTTTTCAATGCTTGGTCTCTGAAATTGATGTATGGTGATATTGAGATGCGGCTCCTAAAGCCGTAGATCGTCCTGATAGCTTTATATCTCAGAGGGGGTATGCTGTTGTTATGTTCTGGTATAATTAGCAATCGGGAGAAAGATATTCACAAGAAAAGGAGATTAGGGTAATGGAATTACAATGTGAACTGGCAGTTCGAGTTTCGGTTGCTTCTTGCTCCTAGCTTGGTAGCATGCTGATATCTACACCCTCTTTCTGGCAGCTTCCGGGCCGAGGAACTAAACATCTCCGTCACCGAAGAATACCTATTCGTAGAAGAGAGGTATTTCTTTGTCACTATCGAAGTCACGAGGCTGCCTCAAACCGAAAAATGTAATCCGCAAGTGAAAATATAATAACATGGCATAGCACGGCGAAGCATGTAGACTTACAGGCTCGCCTTCTTGGAATAGTGCAAATAGAACCCGATTCTTTTAACATGTATAATTTGTTTCCTGACAATGATGGGGAAATGATATCACATAGCTTTATTGCGGCCCTTCTAAGGACAAATTCTCACAATCGAAACTGCAACTGCTGTTGGCACAATATTGTTGAGGACAATCCTGAACTAAACGCAGGGTACGGTGAAGCAGGTATTTGATCAGGAAAAGCTGAGTAGTGTCATTGTTCATACGATCACTTAACCACTAGGATTTTAAGGATCGGTGATATATGTTTCTTGAAAATTTCAATGAATTTGATAAACTCCATCATATGTTGAGTGAACCGCATTTTAGATGTCGTGAACAAAGCTTGGAGGAGCCATCCCCGGTGAACTTTCCCGTGAGCGCCTTAATACCTATGATCAAATACTACTAATGACTATAAAACATTGTTTGACTAAATCTAGAGATTTTGTGCCACATACTGATTTTGTCAGCTAGACAGTAGAAAATGAACATTTTGCACTTTGGTGCAGTGTCGTTGAAGTTAAGAAAAAAAGCTAAAAATAGATGATCTCGAACGTCCCTTGGCGACCGATGATGTCGTGTCCTATCGGATAATTTATCGACAAGAGTGAAGTCTTCGAAATCTTTGAACATTGAGATATTTACTAAGGAGGAGAGATTCTCATCTGATTTGTACTTACAATACATAATTTCCGTCCATTGAGGGCGCGCCATTCCTTTAACTTTTCTACAGATGATTTTGGCATAAACCCATCAAGGTTTTAGACAATCTGTCCATCAAGAAGTTGAAGCTGCTTGTTCAATTGAACGCGGACGCGTTGGAGTACGAATTATCTACAAGACGGACTCATCGAAAATATGGCTAGAGTTAATCGCTTTGGCTTTTTAGCCATTGCAATGGCTTTTCATCTGGTTTATATTTATTCAATCTTTGATATTTATTTTGTGAGTCCAATAGTATCTGGGATGCGAGAATTTGGAGTAGAGAGGCCAGATGGAGTGGAAGCTCCAGCAAAGCGTTTGGTGCTTTTCGTTGGTATGTTTGTTCTACCAATTTTTATATTTCCTTTTGTCAATGCAATGGACTGATATTCTGCGTCTGCAGGTGATGGTCTACGAGCAGATAAAGCCTTTCAATCATTTCCAGAACCATATCCAAAATCGCAAGAAGATCTCATCCCACGGCCTCTTGCGCCATTCCTTCGTTCGCGGGTTCTGGGGCACGGCACTTTCGGTGTTTCTCATACTCGAGTCCCTACAGAGTCTCGCCCGGGACATGTTGCGCTCATTGCGGGTATGTACGAAGATGTGTCGGCAGTTGCTACTGGATGGAAACTCAATCCCGTAAACTTCGACAGTGTTTTCAATAGGAGTAGGCATACTTGGTCATGGGGGAGTCCAGATATCTTGCCCATGTTTCAATTGGGCGCTGTGCCAGGTCGTGTCGATGCATACACATATTCCGCTGAGGAAGAGGACTTTTCGAAGGCAGCTTTACATTTGGATATCTGGGTATTCGACAGAGTTAAGGCTCTTTTTGCAGAAGCTGCTAAGAACGCTACTTTGAATGCCGCATTGAGACAAGATAAGAATGTGTTCTTTCTACATCTTCTTGGCCTGGATACTACAGGCCATGGTTATCGGCCATACTCGAAAGAATATCTATACAACCTCAAAGTTGTGGACGAAGGCATCAAGGAAGTGACAAAGGTTATCGAAAATTTCTACAACGATGATAAAACTGCTTTTGTTTTCACAGCTGATCATGGAATGAGTGATTGGGGAAGTCATGGTGATGGACACCCGGACAACACACGCACTCCACTCATTGCTTGGGGATCTGGAGTTGCGAAGCCAATCGTACAGGCCCATGGAATCGCACCAGGCCACGATGAGCTATCCTCAGACTGGGGAATGGATCACATCCATCGACATGATGTTTCACAAGCAGATGTCGCAGCTCTCATGGCATATTTGGCTGGAGTCAACTTTCCGGTCAATTCAGTTGGAGAACTACCCTTGCCCTACCTTGCAGCGGGTATTCGCGAAAAAGCTGAAGCTTTTCTTGCTAATGCTAGAGGTATTCTTGATATGTATCGAATCAAAGAGGAGCACAAGAAAGCTACAGAGTTGAGGTATCGACCGTTTGAGGGTCTCGGAGACGATAACCACACGGCTGAGCATCGATTGGCTGATATCAGAAATTTGATCAATCGAGGTCAACATGAAGAAGCAATTCGAGAGACTGCAGAACTTGTGAGACTTGGCTTGGCAGGTCTGCGATATCTTCAAACATATGATTGGCTTTTCCTGAGAGCCTTGATTACAATTGGATATCTTGGCTGGATCATGTTTGCCCTCACCACCGTCATTGATCTTCATGTTCTTCATGGAAATACTAAGACCTCCAGAACTTTGGCTGCTAGTCTGTTTTTTTCTTCAATTCTTGTTGCCCTTTTTGCTTCTTTTATTGTATCAGAATCGCCCTTAACATATTATGCTTATGCCGTCTTCCCGGTAGCATTCTGGGAAGAAGTGTATGCTCGCCGAAATGCTCTCACAGAAGGCGGGAAAGCACTATTTGGTCATATAAAATCACCATTTGCTTTTATTGGAACAATTATCAAGACTTTAATTTTCTTAGGTCTCATCGAATGTCTTGTAAGTCAATGTATCGATTCTACGATTTATTGTTACTTATACAAGAATTAGGCATGGGGCTACACATATAGAGAAATCTTCTCCGTTTTATTCATCTTGGCAACTTTTTGGCCGGCATTCTACGGGCTGGGATTTTTGAAGAACAACAAGGCACTAACTCTAACGTGGATTGTGTCCTGTGTCGGAATGAGCTCTTTCACATTACTCCCGGCAATGAAAGTCGAGGATATAGATCTTATGTAAGTTGCCACTATCACAAGTAGTAGGATTCTAGTTAACCTCGGGCATAGTCTGTACGGTGGTGGGTTGATGGTAGCAGTCGGTGTATTGTATCTTGCTTTCGAAAGAAAGCTGCTGGCAAAATCTATGATGGCAGGTGATTCCATCGCGCCAGCCGATAATCTTCTATCCCGCTCCCTCATTGGAGTGCAGGTGAGAATGATACTACCCATTATTCTAAATCACGAATCCTGACATCTAATTAGATTGGACTGGTTGTCCTATCCATGATTGTTACGAGATCTACAGCGATGTCCTTACAGGCCAGAATGGGACTTCCTCGAGGCAATCAAATAATTGGTTGGTGCTTGATTGGTAAGTTCATGAATACCTGAAGATCTGGAGAAAGCTAACATGAATAAAGTGGCGTCTTTGATAATGCCCTTTTTGCATCGCCTACAGCCTAATAACCATTATCTCCACAGATTAATGATCATATTTTTGACATTTGCGCCACTGTTTGTTATTCTCACAATATCATACGAAGGCTTATTCTACTTTGCATTTTCTTCCGCCCTTATCACCTGGGTTTTGTTAGAGCACAACATCCATAAGCACACTATGAGCAAAACGATAACCATCAAGGCGAACGATGCCTCAGTACCAGAAATCCCTGCTTCATTATCCTCCTCTCCATTCCGCTCTCTCACATTGACAGATGCACGGATATCTCTGTTCTTTCTCATACTTTTGCAGTCAGCATTTTTCAGCACTGGAAACATGGCGTCTGTCTCATCCTTTAGTCTGGACAGTGTGAATCGTCTGATTCCAGTCTTTGATCCGTTCTCTCAAGGAGCTTTGTTGATAGTGAAGCTCATGATCCCATTTGCATTGATCTCAGCGAACTTGGGTATCTTGAACAAGAGACTTGGCGTTGCTCCATCAGCGTTGTTCATGGTAGTAATCGCCATCAGCGACTTTCTGACCCTGCATTTCTTCTGGGTGGTCAAGGATGAAGGATCATGGTTGGAAATCGGATCTACGATCAGTCACTTCGTCATTGCAAGCTTGCTATGTCTGTTTGTGGCTAGTTTAGAGGGTGTCAGTGAGCTTTTCATCGCAGGTGTAGAGGTAGAGGATAATTCTAGTCAGCTCGGTAAGGAACGGGAGCTTGGAGGGTTCATCAGGGAGGATGAAAAGTTGGGGAATGGAAATACCAAGGTTGCCGTCAATGGGAAAAGTACGTGAAGGATGGAATGTATATATGTAATGACGCTAGATAAAATCACGGTCTACAATGACGAGAATTATTAGGTAATGTCTACGAAGCGCTGTGCATGAGCATGTTGAATATCACATGAAGAAACCTACCCCAGGGACTGGCCAAAAGGTACCGAGGCTCTTAGCCCACCTTAGGATTCAATTAAGCTCAAACTTAGGTACGTTCATTTAGCGGTGAATAGAAGGATTGCGTAGTGCAAGGCTGAATCGTTCCGGATTCATTTCGTATGCAAGGACTGTAGCTATATCCATTATCACTTTTCGTTGTAAGTGAGGGGTGAACAATATACCTAGTACGCATGCTCAATATTGATCCGCTCTGCAGCCTGCTCCACAATGATCTACGTCATGTATACTGGGCGGGGTCACTGATTTCATATAGATGTATGTAGTAGATGATTAAGATAAATGAAGGAAGGTATCGGTGGTCGAAATGGGTGTTAAGTGTATTGCTGATATAATGGGCATTTTTAAACGAAGATAGATGATCTCTCGATAACAGTAACTAGGTACCGAGTATTTGCGGCCCTGTATACGGAGTATAGACGATGATCATCGGCATCAAATAGGGATAAAAGATTTGAATGAAAAGTACCGCCGCTAATTGATACGCATGTGCCGCATTACATGTAATGTAATAGGCCAATTTGAACCGAAGCCGATTAACCTCTCTATAGACCATTCATTCGGCCAATGCGCCATCCCACAAGATGCTCTATGCGGCTTAGATTGAGCGTTGCCGTTGTTGTTATGATGTGCGTGAATGAGTGGAGAAGTTGTCGCGTGTTCTCCCGCAACACTTGTACGGAGTCTAAAAACCCTTAATAATAACTGGAGGATTTGTAAGTTGTGACTATCTATCCAACCTCACCTATTATTATTATGCTATGTTTAGGGTTGCGAAAGGGGTTTTCCTCTGTATGTATGAGTGATACTAACTACAACACGGACTGATGGATATTTGATAGCTACTAACGTTACCTACCTAAGGTTTATCGAACTGAAGTATGTGTATCTAGGTACAAAGATACAACAAAGAAGACTAGGATTGCAACATTGATTTGATTGTATCGGATTGAGTTCACAATTGGTTGTTTTTGCTTTCTTTTTAGCCCAATTATTTATTATTTATTTATTATTTTGAACAAATACAATTTCAGCGCAAACGGATTCATCCATACCCGCAGGTCAATCAATGATCAACTTCACATTCTCACATTCTCACATTCTCACATTCAGTACTCCGTACCTTAAAACCATTCACCTTTACCCCACATGACCACCAATTTCTCGCAGTCGTACCTAAGTTAAGTCCCGAAAACAGTAAAAATAGCTGTACCGAGAGGCCCAAATTTATCAACCTCGCGACAACCACCTTTCCACCGACACTCAGTACTCAGTATCCAGTACACAAATCAATCCGTATCATCAGGGAAATTCATTATATTATTCAATTGCATGACAAGAGGGCTGGGAAAATATGGCTGCTATTGCCTCAAACGAAATGTCTGCAGATGGTGCATCTAACCAATACTCTGCACCGGCACCGCAAATGAGTAGTCAAGCTCCTGCTGGCTCAAATGCTGCACCGAATTCCCAGCTTCCAGGCCATGCTTCATTTAGAAGGTATGATGGAATTATTGTCCGGTATATAAATGTGCTGACATTTTTCGGGATGAAGACAACGAGCTTCACGAGCGTGCCAAGTACGTAGATATCTGCCATTTCTTATCCATCGATTTTGATGCCTCGGTCCGAGGAGCAGATTGTGATTGTGGAGGATTAAATGGATATTGACAAATAATTGCTAACAACAATTCGCAGACATGCCATGCTAGGAAGGTAATGTTACGCAAACCTATTGCGCGGCTGCATTGTCGTGCAGCTTCTAGAGTATATATTAATGGGGGTGATAGGTACGATGTGATGCTGCGAGTCTAGGCGTGCCTTGCACAAACTGCGTCGCATTCTCGATAGAATGCAAGATTCCAACGCCAAAACGCAAGAAAACAAATGGCAAAGCCAAAGATTCTGATAGGTACAATTTACCTCGGGCCTCTGTAGGGCTTGCAGCTGACGAGGGTAGCGACCGAGGAGAGACAGTCGACGAACGGTCACCTCAAAATGATTCCCCGAATACCCAAACTCCTAGGAGTACCGTCACCTATAACACTCAAGATGGAACACCTTCGACTTCTCTCACGGAAGCTCAAGCCCGCCAGCGGGAGAATGATGAAACTACTTACGCTCAATTCATGAAGCCTAAATTCACCAGGGCGCCCATAAAGGAGGCAGGAAGAGTGGCATATCTGGGAGAATCATCAAATTTGACATTACTCGTACACGATCGACACGGCAACGCGGACGTTGTGCATTATCCTTTACCGGAGAATATTAGGGGATCTAGGGCGCGGTTGACGGAATTGGATAACGTGGAAATCGATATCCTACATCAACGGGGAGCATTTCTACTTCCTCCTAGATCTCTTTGTGATGAATTGGTTGATGCATATTTCAAGTGGGTTGGCCCAATTGTGCCTGTAATCAATCGGAACAGATTTATGAGACAATATCGCGATGCCAAGAACCCACCTTCACTTTTGTTACTGCAGGCTATCCTCCTGGCTGGATCTAGGGTCTGCACAAATCCCCAGTTAATGGATGCCAATGGATCAACAACCCCTGCTGCCTTGACATTTTACAAGCGCGCTAAAGCCCTATACGATGCGAACTACGAAGATGACAGGGTTACAATTGTACAAGCTTTGGTTTTGATGGGATGGTATTGGGAAGGACCAGAAGATGTGACGAAGAACGTATTTTATTGGAGCAGGGTGGCGACTATTGTAGCGCAAGGTTCGGGCATGCATAGGAGTGTTGAAGGTTCTGCACTCAGCAAAGCTGACAAGAGACTTTGGAAGAGGATTTGGTGGACATTATTTACTCGTGACCGATCTGTTGCCGTCGCTCTAGGCCGCCCCGTGCATATCAATACGGATGATTCCGACGTGGAGATGGTTAGTGAGGATGATTTCATCGAGGATGAGAATGATCAGCCGGCCGAATTTCCTCAAGACCCTATGCATATCCAATTTTTTCTTCAATATGTTAAGCTTTGCGAAATCATGGGCTTGGTTCTCTCACAACAATACAGCGTGGCTTCAAAAGCTCGACGGCAAAATGCGATTGACCTTACCCACAGTGATATGGCCTTGGCAGACTGGCTTTCTCACTGTCCTAAGGAGGTATATTGGGAAATGCCTCGACATCAATTCTGGGCAGCTTTGCTACATTCCAATTACTATACAACACTCTGCTTACTACACCGAGCACACATGCCGCCCGCTACTACACAGAGAGCTGGTTATGAGGAAAACGTATATCCATCTCGGACTATCGCATTTCAAGCCGCAGGTATGATTACCTCCATCATCGAGAATCTATCGGCACATGATGAGCTACGATACTGCCCAGCATTTATCGTTTACAGTTTATTTTCTGCCTTAATCATGCATGTTTATCAAATGCGATCCTCGGTTCCTTCTATCGTCGCAGCTACCCAAGAGCGAATGCGTGTATGTATGAATGGCTTGAAGAATGTATCGAGAGTCTGGCTCGTAGCTAAGATGGTTTACACACTATTTGAGTCCATTTTGGGAAATAAGGTTCTCGAGGAGCGTCTTCAGAAAGCTGCTGGGAAACGGCATAAACGCATGGCGCAAGGCATTAGCGATGGCCTCAACCAGGCCAAAAATGACGGCCTGAAGAGAAAGTATGACGATATGTCACTAGACTTTGGCGTAAGCAGTGGACCAGCGCCACAAGAATCTTATGAGCGCTCCAGACCACAAACGCCCAGTCAGGGATTTAATTCCTCCTCGATGCCTGCACCGCCCATCACATCGCCAAACCAAAGACAAAATCGAGATACATTCATGGGAGGCTCTAGTTCTCGCCCTCAAACACGTCCAGCTACACCATTCAACCCCTCATATTCCGTTCCGGCCACACCTCCAGATCTCTATCTCGTTACCAGAAACTCCCCAAACATATCGCAATCTCTTTGGGAGAACTTCCAACCAGATCAATTGTTCCCTGAAGGTGGCCCTGGTCTAAATAATATCCAATTCTCTCCGCCAAGCCATCCCAATCTTGACCCAAACCTCATGCCCAATCTCGGTGCACCTCAACAGCCAATTCCGAATCAGAATCAATCAAATCAACTGCCTCAGCGTATGCAACGGGGCCAGCCTGGAATGAGTAGTAGTCCTACCCAAGGAGGGAATATGCTTCCAACTGGAGTTCCCAATTATGGCATGAACCAAAGTATTTGGCAGCAAGGCTTTGAACAAACAATGCACGAGCCTCAAGGCCAAAGTCCTAGTGATACCTGGAGTAATAGTTCTGCGCAAGCTGTTCCTACAACTTTGAACGTTGAAGATTGGTGAGTCGACTAAACCGTGCAACTACCGGTTAGCATACTAATTTGGTGGTATCCAGGTTTCAATTCTTTGGAATTAATGGGGATTTGACGGGTATGAATGGCGATGTCCCACTCGCTTGATCGTATGGAAAAGGAAATCGGCCCCTTTTGTTGCTTGTAGGCTAAGGCTTGCTTGATGGAGTTCTTGATCATTTTTCCCGAGTAACCAAAAAAAGTCATGAAGCGTGTAGGTGTAGCTCATGCCACTGTATTATAAGCTTTTGAGATCCACATAATGGACATGTTATGAAACTTATCGAAGTGAATGTCTCGGAAGTACAGAGACACATTACTTGATTAGGTAGCTGTAGCTCACATAAAGATCACATATGCCTCCCAAGTAATCAAAACATAAGTAATCATCAGTTACAATCAATTTCGGGGAGATCTCTGTAGTGCGTATCTTTAATTAAGTTGCGGGTTCTCCACGTGCCTATGTTTCGACGAATGTACACTAGAAATGTTACTATTACGATGACGAACACGGTAGCCCAAACCTACTATAATCTGGAACGTCCGTTCCCCGCGACCCAACTCTTCAAGGAAGCCAAATATACATTCATAAATAACACGACTGATTCTAGTATAATTCGAGACATAGCAATCGAATGATCGCAAGGAAAATTAAACAAAAACAACGAATGCTCTCATGAACTCAAGTGTCCGGTGCGGACGGCCCGCGAAACAACCATGTCACAATCGTCACGAACAGCCGCGATAACCTCGAGTCAATCGCGATCATACAGTGATAACGAAACACGATTCGGCGATTCCAGTGCAGCTACTTCTTCGACTATACGGCCGAGGAATAGGAGATTGATCAGTACGGAACAAGAATTGGTCAGCACTTCAAGTAGGAGAAGTAGTCCGGGTGGAAGTACTAGAGGGGTAAGCCCAATTCCCTCAAGACATCCTTCGAGGAGAGTAGACGGCAATGACACACAATCTGCGGAGGGTGCTTTAGGAGAGTCTGCGATAGGGAGAGGAGACCAGAAAACCGGAGCGGAAAATGCTGGAGCATGGGGTAGTGGGTGGTCGAATTCTTGGAGTACATTACAAGGGCTTGCGAGTTCGGTGCTTGGGGATCTAGGAGATCTAGTCACCGATGAAGGCGAAGGCAGTTCGCAAAAGACAGCAAGTTTGGATAGGCCTAAAGCGAGGAGGAAAGGTAGTTCTGCAAAGAAGTTGTTTGAGTTACCTCAGGGTGCATGGGGACCTGCGGAACAAAAGAAGAGGAATGAGGCTGTTATTGGCGCGGGCAGTCAATCGGAAAGAGATGCAGCTTTACGGACACAAAAAATGACGAGAGTTCTCGAAGATCACTCGGATTTAAACGGATCGATTGATATAAATGGGAATTACAAAAGGAGAACGTCTATGGACGAGAGTACAAGTAGAACACAAGACGATGAGGGTGATGCACTGGTCTATATACACCATGTGCAGAAAGATGATACACTGGCGGGGGTGATACTACGATATAATTGTCAACCTATGGTGTTTAGAAAGGCCAATAGATTTTGGCCAAATGACTCCATACAAACTCGACAAGTGGTTGTACTACCAGTAGATGCTTGTGCAATTAAAGGACGCCCTTGTGATCCATCTCAAGATTTGAGTCAAGGGATTGATTTACTTGCTCCAACACCGAGTTTGGAAGATGCGCCGGAAGTATGGCCACCGAGATCGGAGACCTCAATAGAGCGGTCGGATGAAAAACCATGGGAGCATGTACGATGGGTTCGTTTTGATTCCTCTTCAAATTCTAAACCAGTCGAAATTGCACGCATGCCGAGGAGGACTCTGGGTTACTTTCCACCTCGACGAAGAAAGAGTCAAAATACAAATTCTATCACATCTAGCCCTCGTGGATCCTTTGATCTTCCACGTATATCTCAAACGACTTCTGGCGAATCAGTTAGCAGTCCTGCAAGTACAAATTCTCGAAGGACGAGTAATTTAGGACCTCGACCGAATCAACCAACCAGCGGAAGTTATTTCCCTCCAATTGGTTCGGCTAATCGCCGTCACCGTGAAAGTGTAAGTGAAGCTGCTGATCGACTAGGATGGCTTCGAGGACCTGGCGGCGTAGGAACCTTGGGAAAGAGTGTCACAACTCCAGGACCTGGACAGGATCCTTTAAATACATGGGCAAGGAAACATATGCCTGGAATAACCATCGATTCTTTACCTTCATCTTCAACCCTAGATTCCGAATCAGTCTCTTTTGGATTTAGAGACGAACTTGCAAGTATAGCCGAAAATTCATACAGTCCTGCAAGAAGCGGATCGGTCACGCCTAGTAATGCGGGTGGCTCTGGAATTGGGTTGGAAAATGCTGCAGCAGCTATTGAAGGTTGGGTTAGACGATTAGCTGTTAAAGCACCGGGGACACCGTCAAATGGAGGTGGAACATCGACGAATGGATCGGGAGATCTTATTGAATTACTCGATGGGACTGGGAGTGATGATGGAAGGGGATTTGAACTTTCTCCTGGTAGATTGAGAAATACTTCACTAAGTAGAACCGGGACTGGAAGCTCAGGAAGAGAGGATTTGGAAGGTGCGCTAAGAGGGAGGGGAAGCGCAGTAGGGGGCGTTAAGGGTGGAAAGAAGGATTGATTCGAATCGTTCATTGAATTGAACTGAGCTCTTGAATTGTGTTTTTTGGGGCAAGCAGGCAGGCAGGCAGGTATTTTCAGTAGCGAATCGTGAATCGTGAGTAGGTTATGCATGAATAACAAATACTACCTATAGAGAAGTTAAGGTCAAGGCGCATCTGGACTGGCGTTTCTTTATCGTTTTTGGGTTTCCTTTTTTTTTATCTCAGGGTTAAATGTTGGGGGGTTTTTTTTTAGCTTGGTACCCTTAGGTTTAAAATATAGGATGGTGAAGTGGTGAATAGAATAAAATGAAAAGAAAGAATCTTATTTGATTTTTTTTGATTATTTATTTATTTGCTTTAAGGGATCTCAATAGATATCAATAGACAGATACTGCAAGTCTTGGTCCTACAATCGCCCTTGTGACACTCTCTCACCTGAACATCGCAAGTGCTTGCCTTGAACTCATCTTAAAAGTTACGTATGTTTTAGAATTAGTTTAAAAAGATTTAATTAATTACGCTTTTGCTCTTTATTTACCTAAGTATTGATATATATATAATAATTTTTTCAGATTTCTTGGATGGATGAATTAATGAATGGCTAAGCATAATTAGCTGTAATTATATAAAGTCTATGGGTTTGAGGAAGAGTTTCTAGGGTTTGATAAGGTTGTGGATTTATAATCCTGTGGGAGGCTGGGAGGCGGTGCGGTAGGAGAATAGGTAATTTTTAGATCGAGTATTCATATGGTATTCATATATATATCAACGAGTTGTTGAGTTTTTATCGATTCTGCCCTTTGGTGTGTGAAAACGTATGTCTTTGATGGTATTGATAGGATGGGAATATGTGCTTTTTAATTCAGCTCTTCATTGCATGCATCGATTACGGATGAAGATTAGGTCCTGCGGTTGAAGATGAAGGAGGTGTGGTAATTAGGGGGCGGTGGATAAGGTTACTGCCGATTCTGTAAGAGTCTTACGATTCTTGGGAGAGCTGGGATTTATATTTGTATGTTTCCCTTGAGCTATTGGTATTCTAAGGATTTGGAATGAAGAATCTCCAAGAAACTTCAAGATGGTATTGATTGGTTTACTGGTATGACTTATGATGTTCATAGAGCTTGAGATGCAGTAAATCGGTGATCATGGGTAGGTAGGCAACTATCAGAATATCAGAACTGATCTTGAGATTCTTTGGATTCCCGTCAAAGACAAGTACTATTGCACTTCGTACTAATTTAACTGATAGTAGTGCGGCTCTTGACTTTTTAAGGAGAAATGATATCGATATACAGCTACCTATCTAAAGTTGTGCTACGCCTTAACTTCTATGGGTGGAAGATCTCCCACTCTACAAGATATCGATGCTTCATGCATCATATACATGCAACAATCCAAGTTTTGCTTTTTGCTTTCACCGGCGATGCCTAAGATGGAGAATGTACAGTGCAGGGCAATCTGGTATTCGGTATCTAGAATTCCACCAAATGACAAAAATTCAAAGAATCGTCAAAACAAACAACATAAGCCCTAGGTTAGATACCTCCCGAGCTGCCATCAACTACTCCGCTTGGGAGAGTGACCAAGGGTTTAGCGACGATAATTAATGCGGATACATTCAAGATGAAACTTTAAAGTGGACTATACAAATTCCTTTGTGTCTATCTGACTGGCTTGAAGACTGGAAGTTGGAAGACTGAAACCAAGTAGTTGGATTTTTTCTACCCTGCACAATTTAATTTTAAATTTGGATACTTATCCTCTGATTAAATTAGTGGTACGGGATATTGATCTTGATTCTTGATGCATTGAGAGAGTTTGCTGGAGTCTGCTGGAGTTTGCTTCAATGTTTAGGGTGATGGATTAGATGATCTTGTTACTATTACTACAAGTGCTTGATTTGCTGAGAACAGAACATGGCAATGAACTCGAATACACAAAGCAATGTAACTCTTACAAGCGAATATTTTCAGCGGTAGGTGCTTAGATGATAGTAGTGCTTCTGACAGATACTGCCTGCCAGGATCATGAGATGGTTATTAACTTACTGGTCATGGAAAGGTATTCCATACCGAACATACTGATCGATATCTTGCTTCTGCCTGCCATGGAAATCAGAACAGAAGTTTATGTACGAATTCGAACAACATTGATCCGATTATCGAAGGCAAATGTTCCCAAAACCGAAATTCGAATACACATAGGAAATTTTCATCACTAAATCTTCTCAGAACCGATGCTTAACCTTACGTATTTTGAAACGGGAAAAGAGTTGTGATAGTCGCTGTCCTATAGGAACGCAGTGAGTCCGTATCAATCGATCCATAATTATAACGAAATTACCAATTGAGCTTCTTTGCTTGAAAACGTATGAAAATTGACTTCCTTCTGTGATAGTTTAGTCTCTCAAATCTTATCTCGTTGGAATATTGGATTTGCATATAATTATAAGAACCCAAGTAAAGAACTAGCCGACTAGAGAACTATCTCGAAGCATAGTATCCAAGCATTCATGAGGTGTATATTAGAATTTGAAGCTCATATCATTAGTAGAATACTGCACTTTCAAATTAATCTCGAAATTTACAAAGGATACATAATAGTTAAACAAACAGGAATAATATAAAAACGCGCAGAGCATAATACTAGACTACCTTCCAAAAGCAATCGAATTCGCCATCCACCAAAACCCCCCTCCACAATCTTGTCAAAGCAGCGTAGAGAAATCTTCCAGAGCCTTATACGCATCATAACCAAAAAGTTCATCCAAGAACTCCCTCCGAGACCGAATATTAATATGCTCCCTCCAAATCCCCGGATGCGTTAATAAATACTCATCTCTGTCTTTCTGCAAATCCCCATCAGGCATCTGTGTAAAATATCTCGATTCAATTGACGCCTTGGCAATCATTGCAGTTCGCTTTTGTCGAAGATTGAAATACTTTGATAATGCTTCTGGAAGTGTGTTGTTGTTGGGGTATTTTTCCAGAAGTGCTCCCAGGATGGCTGCATCTTCGATGCTCATCGCTGCTCCTTGGGCGAGATAGGGTGTCATGGCATGTGCTGCGTCGCCGATTAGACAGAGGTTTTCTGATTTATGAATCCAGCTGTTTAGTTCTTCGTGGGTGTAAAGCTTTTTAAACTTAGGTGTTAGCAGGTTACTCAGAAAATATTAATAATCTCACCCTCCATTCTAATACCGTATCCACATGTTCAAGGATCATGCCAATCCTAGATTAATGCATCAGCTGGTGTTGTATCATTTCAACTCTGCAAATACCTCGAATCCCAATCTTTGAATCTATCTCGAAGCTCTGTACTATCTTGAATCCTTTGGTTCGTTCCATCGGGCATATTTGTGTCACACCTAAGCATGTCATCATGATTGCCAAGGCGAACACCAACACGAGAGAAACTAACGTGAAAACAAGATTTAGCAATTTTTCCTCCTTGCCCTCTAATAAGTATGACAAGATGGTTGCATTAGGACCAAGCCAATGATTATTCCGAGCAATGGAGATAATTTCTTCCAATTCAGGGATACCTTCAAGTCTTTTGACTGGGAGTATTACGCGATATGCCATTTGGCCTGTTGGAATCGGCGCACTAGCTCTACCTAGGATGACTTCACGGGCCATTGAATGTAGACCTAGGATTGCAGAGTCAGGCTTCAATACAAACTGGGTGGTTCATCTATTGGACTACTCACCATCTGATGCGACAATCAAGTCTGCCGAATAAGTTTTCCCATCTTGTGTAGCAAGCGTAGGCACAGAAGGGTCAATACTGACCACACGGCTGTTCAACGTAACCTTACAACCATGATCCATTGCAGCACTCAGTAGTCCACGATGAAGATCAGCGCGATGAATATGCCTATCTCTTCTTAGTCCTACTATACGACCGTGAAACAATGACCAACCAATAAGGAGACATGTAATCATTTTCCGCAGGATCTTTCAACGGACACTCAACGAGAACCTGACCATCCTTCCAACGCATCATTCTCAAATCCACAGGATAGGTACAATATTTCTCAATATACGAATCGATTCCCAACCGTCTAAGAACCTTGGACGAATTTGGTGTGATCTGAATACCTGCAGATTGTGAATATCATTGCATGTGTTGAACCGCAACGAATGCCCATTTACCAGCTCCAATGTATGAGATATGTGCAGAGCTCTCTAATATTTCTACCGTATGTCCGCCTTTGACTAGCGCAATAGATGTGGTGAGACCCGCAAGGCCGCAACCAATGATCAAGATGTGCTATCTTTCTGTTAGAAATGCCGAAAAATCAAACGATGTGGGGGACCAAATACCATATTGAATGTCGATTTTACTTCGCAGCCAATATTGTTCTTTTTCGAATGGCAGTGAAATAAATAGAATGATATTGGTGACTGCTTCCTTTTTATGTCTCCATCTGTGCATAAATGGAGCTTACATGTTGTTTGTGAGATGGTTTAAACGGATCGATCCTTCCGCACTCGTCAATAGGAGGTAATTTTTCGTAAGCGAAACTGCTAGACTGTTACTAGTCCTCGCAATGACTATGGGTACATGGTTGCATGGTTGGTATAAATGAGGAAGTACCTATCAATCAAGCCTAGCTGAATGTGATGTGATGTAACTCGAGGCAGAAAACGCCGAACCAATTGACAATCGACGCAAGTATAAAGATTTTAACAATGGCGAATATACCATGATACAAAGGAGATCGATAGATGGAGAAGCATAGAAGACATAAATTTGGATGGTGTCTTAAACCTTTGCTAATGTGGTACTGTCCATTTCTCGAAATGTTGGCATTTCATGCAAAGTACTCAAGCAATACCACCAATCTTTAACGATCCAATTCCTTCTACTAGTTCCCAATGCTTGAAGTATAGCCGCCCACCAGCATGAGAAATGCTTAACCATTCCAGGTTTTCGATTAACCTTTTATCAAAATCCGTGTGATAAGTCTAAAATCGACTCGGCTTATTTACAGCACACATTACAAAATACAGCTTCCCGTTTAATCGTATCGCCATCACATCAAGGTCTGGCAGAACAATCTCAATCCTGTTTCTTTTTCTTTGCCTCCTCCTCGGCTTTCCTTTTTCCTTCTGAATGCTTTGCCATTTTTTCACTCATGTAACGCCAAGTTCGACTTAATCCAGCCGTGAAAGGTCCTTTCAAACTCTGACTTGTACTAGGCCATCCGATCGTTTTCTTGATCACAGTCCTGACTTCAGCTCTTAAATCTTCTGGAGGCTCCCGGATAATCCTTCTTTCAAATCCACCTCCTTCTCTCCTATTAATCCTAGTCCCGTCTTCATCACGCGACGCTTCCATCATTTGATCGAATTCCAGTCGGGGTATTTGATATTTCTTCTGATATTGGAAATAGAGCTTCGAGCGAAACGCTTTTGGCAGTCGTCTCACCATGTTGCCTCTTCGAATCGGGTCCATGTCTTGAGTCAGTCGTATATTTGTTGATGGATCGGATGCCCATTCTGGATCGGAGCACTTGGAATCGTTAAAGTTGACGTTGGGAAGAGTATCAATAAGGGGCGCATAGAGACGGCGAAAGTGAGGGAGATTATGCCCAACGATATTAGCTACTTTTGAAGGGTCCTCTGTTGGTAAAACCATTCTTGGATCGCCTAGGTAACTAATGTTCGCGATGGTGCCATATAATTCTTGTTCAGTAAACTCAGGGGGTAGAAGTAGAAGTGCAGTACGTAAAGCAGAGATTAAATTGACCTGGTTTGCTAGACGAACTCTTGCGTCGTCCCGGAGAATTTTCACAGGCTTTTGTAATCGTCCCGCAAGGTACAGCGTTGTCCACTCAGAAAGATCAGTGCATAATGTGTCCAGATTAACGACTCCATATTTGATGAGAGTCCCGTTGACAGTGACATATGGATTGAAATAAACGCCAGCTCCCCATTTCTCCTGCACAGCCGTAACAGCCCCAGATCCAAGTGAGCCGAGTGCCGAATAATGATCTCGATGTTGATTTAAGTTCAAGGAATGCCAATGTTGGCTATATGATACACCAAATATAAAGTCAATCATCTTAGGAGTACCTCCTTGTTGTTCAACAATTGCAGGAGGTGGTTTCGAATGAATGGATGTAATACTCGAAGGTGTCGCTTCCGTGTGTTTAGACTGCGGGAAGACGCCAGATCCATACGCAAATGCGTATCTAATCGGGGCTCTAAATTGCCACAAGATCTGCCTCAAAGCTTCTTTGAACTCATCATTGATGACCATGTGCTGGTTGACTCCGAAATTAGAATGCGGTAGTTCTGAGAACTTTTCTATGTTGTAATTCGGGTTCTCTTCCCAATCTGATGGAGCTGGGATATCACTCGCCGAACTTGACGAGAAAAATGAAGAGGGAGGGTTGGATGATTTACGAGAGTATGTCGAGGGGGATTTGGTAGATGTTGAATCGGAGGAGTTCTCATTCGCAGGTTCTACCTGCGACCCAGTAGTTTTTTTGGAAGCAAAAGCAGGACTATGCGTTATGGAGAGTGTACGTCGTATCGATTGATATGGCCATCTTGCATTTGTATATGAAATTGAAGATCCTACTTTGGCTGACCCGAGCGCTGCTTTCAAAGCCTGCCAAATAGCTGTTAGCTAAAGAGCATAGGAGAATCGGAAGGGATTTGTGCCCGTACCGGGAGGTTTCGAATTGCCATTGTGTCGGATGATAACGAGACACTACCTCTATGTAGTGGTTGGTATCTAACTAATTATTTCTTTGAAGCAGCGAAATGCTGCGAACTTGTCACCGGCTGTAATTCGCCATATGAATACGTTGTTGAATCTCCATGGGAATGAATGGAGCTCTCAAGGAAACCCACCTTTTCTTTCTCGAAGACTGCCTTAGTCAGCAGGAACCAGACCCGCGTGTTCTTTCTTTGGTGTTGGTGTTCCCTTTTTAAGTGACGGGAGGGGCCAGGCCGAGTAAGGTACCGAATAATGGGATCAAATGTGGATAATGGTGTCGATTTAACTGTACCCGGTAAATCTTGGGAGGGCTTAGGAAGGATGGAGTATCGAAAGCTCCGAAAGTCTATTAATCAGACATTACCTAGGTATTTCCAACATTCCAAAAAGTTGACTAGAATTTCTCAAGGGCATTGATCGACGGTCGTAGAGGGCATTTTACTATGATATGGCTGACCGACAAGATGAGAAGCCCTGTAGAGGAGAGAGTCTTCTTGTCTGATGTCAGTACTTGAATTGATGAATTGGTTTACGATAGATGAGCATTATGTTTGTTTCTGAATGTGACTCTTCTTCCTTCTTCGTACATGTCGAAGTGGTGCACTATCAACAAAGGTAACATTTAAGAGAAGGGCAGCTTGGTGAGTCTTTGTTCCAACTTATATCACCCAGTAGTACCTAGGTAGGTAGGTAGTGGTAATGAATATGACAGATATCTCCCAAAGAACGACACGGGGTAAAATGTTATGTTGGTGCTAGACTCTTTCACCCCGCCAACCATTTCCCCATAGTTTTCTACTTTCTTACCTTGATTATGTAATGCACATAGCGCTACCACCATCCATTCTCAGCCTTGCATCACAAATTCACGTTTGCGACAATTATCAACTCGACACCACAACAAATCCGCAATTAGCGGTACGTCATACCAATGAGGGCCCATACTCCTCAGGGCTTGGGGGATTCTCAAAGAAGAAGATCTTCGACCAGCGGTGGACACAGAATGAGTATGGGTAGTGCTATCCCTCGTGCTCAATCCAGGGTAAGAATTGATCTTTTACCTTGCAGCTCTATTTACATGCAATTGAATCCCTAACGAGATACCTTCCTTAGATGTCTATTGCACGCCCATCGAACACTCAGCCCAGTTTCGACTTTCTAACAGGCGCGGAGACTACCCATAGACCGCCATCACGAACAGACCGGTTCCGACAATCAACCAGGACCGTAATTGATGAAGCTAAAAAGGAGCCAGTCTATACTGAGACTGATCAAGGCGCCGATAAAAGAAAGAAAGAATTGGATGAATTAAAGGCTGAAGTAAAGTCACTGAAATATACTATCGACAATCACAAACAGGAGGAAGAGCTTGCAAAATTAAGGCACGAAAATGAACTTCGTGATGCCACACGCAAAGCTGAAGAAGATTTCAAGCACAAACAACTCGCAGAAGGGGAGAGAAACAAAGCTGTGCGACAATATGAAGCCATACTCAAAGAAATCAATGAGATTCGTGACGCTTCAAGTAATGAAAAGACAGCATTAGAGAAGAGAATTCGCGAAATGGAAGAAAACAAGCGTCTCTTGGAAGAGGAAATCGAGGACATCAAAACAGAAAGCGAAGAAGGTAGCCGTATACTGGAAAGGAGGGTCTCGGAGCTCGAAACAAGGAACCAGACTTTGCAACGTAGCGTCCAAGATTTACAGGAAGACTCAGATCGAAGAGAGGCTTTATTGCAGGATGTCCAACAACAGTTGGCTGATAAGGATACGGCATATGGAGCTCTTGAGGCTGAAGTCTTGCGACTTAAAGCACAGACTGGGGATACTGACACACTCGAGGTGATCAAAAGAGAATTGAGCGAGCAGGTCACACATATTAGAAATCTTGAGGCAACCAATCGAGAACAATCGGCCGAATTAAAGCATTATAAGAAGTTACACAGGAGTGTGGAAGTCGTTGAAGAGGAGAAACGAAGTTTGCAAAGAAAAGTTGAGGCTATGGATGATCTACGGAATGAACTTGGAGAAGCAATACTACAAAGGCAAAGACTTGAAGATGAACGTTTAGCATGGACTGCATACCTTCAAAATCAGAGCGGTGTTGATGGTCAATTCGAGTTTAATTCTCCGGAAGATTTGGCAAGAGCACTTGTTGAAGAGAGGATGCAAACTGCCACTTTAGTGGAGCGAGTTGGTGCTATGGAGTCTGAAATCCTTGACAAAGACAACATCATAGGCGGCTTGCAAAATGATAAGAAGTCTATAGTCGAGGAGATGGCAAAAGTCAGGGCGGCCGGAAGCAATGCTGGTGGTGGAGATGCCAAGGCTCGTTTGCGACTTGAAAGACAACGGGCTTTGGCCATCAAGGAAGTTGAATATTTGCGCGCGCAGCTTAAGACTTTCGATGCTGAAGATGAAGCCTTCGGAGCTGGTGATAATATTGATGATGCTAAAATCAAGCGTATTGAAGAGCTGGAAAGTATTGTTGATGAATATCGTCAAGAGGTACAATCCCTTCAGACTGACCTTGCGACCGCCGAATCGGCACAACCTACTACAGCGACTCTTGCTGGTACCAAACATTCACGAGAAGAAACTGAAGAGAACGAACGCATTGGAGTACTCACTCGGAAAAACCGTAAACTCCAAGACGACATCACAACTCTCCAAACATCACAAAAGCTCCTCCAGAAAGAGCTCGCCGTCACCCAAGAACGTCTGACAGTCGCAACTACTCACTCCCAGACACGCATTCTATCTCTGCGCTCCAATCCAACCTCAGACTTTGAGGCTATCAAACTCTCCACCATCAGAGCCCTCCGTGCAGAAAATGCAGACCTTCTTGCACAACTCACTACCAACCTTCCGCCAAACGCTTCAGTTCCCCTCTCCACTCTTCAAACCCAACAAGATCTAGTCGCCGAATCTCAAGCCGCACTCAAAGATGAAAGAACCCGAAATGACCGCCTCAAAAAGGTCTGGGGCCTTAAATCCCAAGAGTTTCGTGATGGTGTATCTTCTCTCCTAGGATGGGACGCCGTCTTCATGCCCAACGGAAAGATGCGAGTAACATCCTTTTACTATCCTTCAGTCGGAGAAGAAGAGAACAGTATCGTATTTGATGGAGAGCGAGGAACCATGAAAGTAAGCGGTGGTCCCGAAAGTAAATTTGCAGGGAGAATAATGGAAAATATCAAATTTTGGGTTAATGAAAGAGGTAGCATTCCATGTTTCTTAGCAGCCTTGACTTTGGAGTTTTATGAGGAGAAAAAGGGTGATGGTACTGTAATGGTCGGTTGATTGTATATACTACGTACGTTGATGTAAATTATGAAAGGGACATACGGATAGGTATCTAAGGATAGGTTTTGGAGTTTACGGTACGCGATGTAAGGGGAATTACATATCAAATAGTACTTGGTTCACATGGTTCTTTCGAATTCCTTTTCAGATTCAAATCAATTATGGATCATGACTTAAGAAACTATATATATATAATAAGATGAATATCAAATTCAAATTAAGATACTAAAGAATAATACGGAGTAATTATTATAGGATCTAGCTTGATAATTACCTAGTAGATAGAGAAATATCGCCGAGAAAAATCAATTAAATCTCTTTATGAATATCTCAATGTCTAAGTTATACTATCCACAACAATTCAAAAAAAATATCTTATATCAGTTAGAGGCATAGTATATAATCTCATCACTTCCTAACAGCAAAAATGAGTAATGAATAACAAATGATAACGGGTATAAATATTTAATCAACCTACCTATAAAGAGTCAAAAAAACCAAAACAAGCAAACGCCAATAATCCTCTGTATCCTTATTGTTCCCAGAAAGCTCCTACAATGTAAACGCCTCGCCCTTCCAGTCGCTAAGAATATAAAAAAAAACTTCTTTCATCTATTTCCAATCCAACCTAATCAACCTCATTCCGCCTGTCACCAACTACGCCAAGCTTTATAGCCATTGTTGCGGGTCATAAACGACAATATCAGGGTTCTTATATGCCCCATGAGTTCTGATTAGTGAAGGAGTCACTGCTCGAAACGACCCTAATCAGAACCCCATGGAGGAAAGAACTCCACTCCATAGTGGAAGTGTTTTCAATTGTTGTTTATGATTTGTAACAATGGCTGCTAAAACCCGGCGCCCAATTAAATGCAGGAAAAGAAGATATGTTGAACTTCGATTTGAACATGTCCTAGTAAGCTCAGACAATGTCGAAAGTAAGTCAAGCAATCACACTTGCTTCTAGAAAAGACAGTCTCAAAATTAAATTCAAACAATCTCAATTGCTTCCAAACAAGCCAAGGCCTTCAGACCTTCTGCTTCAAACGCTGCTACCATTCGCTCACACTCTTCACGAAGCTTTTCTTGAGCAACCTCCGCCGTGTGATATATCCATTGTTCCACCGACATTTGACTTTCTGCTTTGCTTAAATTTCCCGTTTTGAGTTTGGCCATTGCGGTTACGAAATGCTCATGTTCTTCCTCACCAAAAAACATCTCGGTATCTATGGCCTCCCACTGCTTAGTAGTTTTAGGTGCCATAAAACTTTGATTTGGAGGGGTGTTTGGTCTCTCAGGAAGATGATTTTCCGCGTCAGAAGACTGATGTTCTGTGTCTGAAAATTGGTTGTCTTCGGCTGGAGATTGAGGTGGTGACAAGGGTGGAGGAGATGACAAGGGTGGAGGAGATGACAAGGGTGGAGGAGATGATGGGGGAGAACCTTCCATCCAGAGCAAATCCGAAATTACTGCCTGGTTCTGCAAGTCTGTGAAGGTTGGTGCTCGTAATGGCGCAGCGGATGCTTGGGGAACAACAACACGTGCCGTACTAGCCCTTGTGGTGCGTCTTTTAGGCTCTGGATTTGGGACGTCAGGCTGAGAGGCCTCGTCGTCACTCTTCCTCTTTCTACTAGACGTGGTAGATACTGATAGGGCTTTAGAAACTTCAATTGGCTCAACCTTTTTGGCCTTGGGCTTTCGACCCCTAAGTCCAGATGTCTTTGCTTTTGTTGTGGCTGTTGAGAGAATGCTATCTCCTTCTTCAACAGCAGCATCGCTAGCAACAGTAATAGCAGATTGTGCAGATAATCGCGGTGGCTCGGTATTTTTAGCTTGAGGCTTCCGACCCCTAAGCCCAGATGCTTTGCCTTTTGTTGTGGCTGTAGAGATAATGCTATCTCCTTCTTCAGCAGTTGCATCGCTGGCAACAGTAATAGCGGACTGTGTAGATAATCTGGATGCTTTCGATGGTCTGCCTTTTTTGCCAGTTGTTGATTTTTTCAAGGCGAGTTCTGCATTATGTTCGTCAATAAGTGTGAAGAAGGGACAGTCGGGCGATCGATTATAATGTTCATCCCTGTGAGATGAGTTAGCTTTTGTAGACACTAGAAACTTTCCCAAACATACAATGGCTTGTCGGATGGCTCCCATCCATCTAACGCCAGTGAACAATAAGTGCAGGTAGCCATATCATTTGAATCCGAAGTTGGGGTATATTTCCATCCAGCGTTGACTAACTATTACCGCGTCAGCGTAAATGTCGTCATGGATGAAAGACAGCTCATACCTGTTTAGTCTTGCATTTCCAGCCCCTCTTAGCCTCATGAGGCCATCTTCCTGCAAATGTTGCAGTTCTAGCCTCGACCATTCTTAAACTGGCAGGAAACTCCTTGCTTAATTCTTCATCTTGTGCTTCAATGGCAGCAACAGTTGCCCATCCACAATTTGGAGAATGTTTTAAATGTTCTACCAGTGGATCGTCACCCTCCTCCCAGGCGTCAATGGATCTATGGCAGAGAAAGCAAGCGGAATTGTCTGGATTGGCTTGGGAAGGGTAATAAAAAAAACCGGCTTTTGCAAGCTTTACACAAAGTCAGCGGGCAACAGGTTAACAAAGGTAGAGTACATCGTACCTGTTCTGGCAACAAGAACTTGTGTGGCCATTTGTGAGTTTTTGGAACTCTTGATCCAGTGGTCGATGCCCTACGGCCGGTAATAGGTTGTGCATAACGGTAAGATGCCACTCTACTCTCAAAGGTAATGTAGTCCGGGGCAACATCATGGACTGCCATTTTGGCAATGCGCGTCGCGTCGATAGGTTCTATTGAATACAGCAGGGAAGGGTTTATATAGCGAAAAGGATTTTGATGTGATTGATTCGAACTGGAGTTAACTAGCTGTAGTAATTGGCGCGTGTTATTGTACGAAGCTTGGAGAATTGTATGATTTCGAGGGGAGAAAGTGGTCGAGGCTCGTTGATATGTTTATCAAATAGATTCTGCCAATTCAAGAAAGGCGGTGTAAAATCAGCCAGTCGTTTTCCACTTGACATTGGGCGAGAATACAGAAACTTTATTTTGTCTACATTTTTATCATACATATATGGAAACGGTATGCTGTCTTAATCATCTAAATGATCATATCCTACAGTACCAAGCATATGCAAAATGAATTGGTACGTAGCAAGTGTGTTTGCAACTTCACATGAAAAATGCTGTCGTACTACCCAAGACATTCTAAGCCTGTTCTTCACCATATCTACTCTACTCTCATGAGCCCCCGAATTGAGCATATCGGTAGAACGAGACTTTTTCTGTGGGCATGAATTCAATGTACTGGTTTATGGGACCGCCTAAGATAGATAGGCCTCAAGTGGGCAACAGGCGATAGCTTGTAGTAGTCCAACAATTCCACTCTGGAGGCGATCCAATGAAATAAGATGCTGGAGTCTTTGGTGGTTTCGATTCTTCTCTATTTCCCAAAATTATTATACCCCAAAATGAGAAAGAGACAAGCGGTGGACATAGTCAGTGTCAAACTAAAGAGCGCAATTTACATAACAAGGAATGCCATGGAACAATGCTCATACATAGCTTCTATGGATGTAACTGGTATGAACTCGTCGCTCTTGTGATATCCAGTTCCAAAACACCTTCCCCTTTTCTTCCCGAAGGAAAGACGTATGAATCATTTCGGTTGCTACTTCAACAGTGTCTCCATGTGAAATCCCTAGCTTCAACCAGTACAAGCTTCAGAGAACGTTTTTGGGACAAATACCATATTCTCTACTATTTCCTAGTTGCTAAATCGCACAATTAGCTTTGTGTCAGAATACGTGACCAGATCGGCACATATATCACCCACCAATCTCGAAATCTGAGCATTAGATACACAGATACTCTACTTCATCATCCGTCTCTTGACCAGTTTGCGACGCCTTTCTGCTTCATATATTCCAGTGCCTATGTTTTCCCCAAGCAAGTTGGAAGCTACTTATCAAGAACGGTGTTTCTAGTGAAATGAGGGTCAAAATGCTTGAAAATTATACCGAGTAGAACATCCACTTAGGGTTGAATGTCGATGGAGGCAGATTTGAAGAGCTAACATGCTTGGCCACGGAAGAGGAATGCTCCGACGGCGTCTTTCGTGTTGCCATCATATGGAGGTCGAAAGCCCTTGGGATTGACAAACTTAAACACCTGCTTAAGCTGGTCGAATGATATACTACAGCCTAAGATACATACGCAAGCCATTAGTTTATTAGTATGGTTCCAATCGCAAGACGCCCCGAGGTAGCCAAGGCAGTTCCTTCGAAGGCCATGATTCGAAGGATCGAGCGAGGAGTATAGAAGCAGCAAAATAGCTTCTCGAATCGGACAGCCGGTTCACGTCACAATCAAAGTTAGAAAGCATTTGGTCGGGATAAAATTCATTGAGTAACTATTGATCCTTATAAAATATCATTTCCCGAAACTCATCGCATCCCAAAGGTCTCCGCGTTCCAATATTCGATTCAACAATCGTAGGCAATCGGTGCAAAAGTCATCGCATCTTAAATACTCCGCATCCCAATATCCCAATGTCCTGTTTAATGGATCCAGATAAAATTAGATCAATCAAAAATCATCGCTTTCCAAATCAATCACGAGTCAACTAATTGCTAGCCTAAACCCTAGAAAGCCGAAAAAGATTCTCCTACCAAAGACCGTCATATTCCGAAGGTACTGCCCATTGTTCAATCCTTATGGAACAATTGCTTGGCCTTTTCGTACTCCTTTTGCAATCGTGACTTATATTCATCTTGGTCATCGTCTCCGAATCCAGTAGAGCTGGGTTTATCTCTACCATATCCACTCGAGGTTGTCTGATCATTTTCGCCATAATCTCCAAAGCTAGGCTTTGTTGTTCCATAAGTACTGGAGGTTTGGTTATTATCACCACCATAACTGCTTGATGTAGTTTCATCACCACCATAGCCACCTGAGCTTGAATCCTTCTTCCCATAACCACCGGTATCATCATCGTCATCATATCTTCCTCCCAAGCCAGACTTACTGCCTCCACAATCACTAAATGCATTATCATCATCACCGCTTCCACTCAAACCCTGAGAGCCACTCTTTACTCCTCCACATTCACCCGAGATATCGCGGTCACCAGCAATATCATCACCATATCCAGTGGAGCTGGCCTTAACACCACCAAATCCACCGATCGTGTTATTATTATACGAATCGCTTCCGGCACCAATGCTAGAGCTAAGTGCATCACCTGAGGATGTATTGTCATTGTTGAAGCTGCTGCTTGCATCACCTTTTCTGGTGTTGCCGTATACATCGCCAGATGAGGTGTTGTCGTCACCATAACCGCTGCTTGTGTTATCTTTTCTAGCACTGATATATGCATGGCCAGATGAGGTATTGTCATCGCCGATTCCGCTGCTTGTATTGTCTGCTCCTCTGCTGTCATATGCATCACCAGATGAAGTGTCATCATCAGCGAAACCGGTACTTGTATTATCCTTTCTTGTGGTACCATATGCATCACCGGCAGAAGTGTCATCATCACCAAATGCACTGCTTGTGTCATCTCTGTTGGTGCTGCCATAACCTGCATCTTGCAAGTTAGCCCTTGTACCTTATCAAGACATCATAGCAAGATTCATATCGAGACAAGAAGTAATGGGAGAAAGAAATACCACCAGATTGAGTATCAGTATTTTGGCTTCCGTAACCTGCGACAAGTTAGTCAATCAAAACGAGGTGCTGGTATTGAATAGATTATAAGATCTTACCAATCTGCTGATCATCGTCGTAGCCAGTAGATTGATCGTCGTTTCCGTAGCCGGACATGATTGCTTTTGCTAGAGAATGTTAGTATTAGTGTTTGGGCGATGAATGGTTGGGAGGCCATTGTTGTGTAGGTGGGAAGTGAAGTTGACACTTACGATTGAAGTGAGGAACGGTTTAGATCTTGGTATTAATAGGTATGACGAGTATCAGAATGAGAGTATTTGAGATTTGTACGAAGAAGTTGAAGAAGAGTTGTTGTTATTGTTGTTGTTGTAAGAGAGTTAAAAGAGGTAGTAGGTAGGAGAAAGGTGAAGAGTTATTATTATAAGAGGTTGTCGGTAGAAAGAAATTGTTCAGAAGAAGATCAATAAGGAAGTTATATAAATCAGCAGGGCTGTAACACTAAAGCAGGAGCAATAAGTGGTAAAGTGACGTAGTTTATATACTCAGCATTCACTCTTCCAATCAATCATATATTACAAATTCCAAACCAAAGTACCACCATATCGCTATATTAACCCCTCATTTGAAAACTCGTGTATCCATCATCAAGATATATTCGCGTCACCAGATATTAACACACAAGGTAATAGCATAGCTCGATCAAAGCCACTTGAAGAAAAGCAAACATATAAACTACCTCGCCTTCCTAATCCTAATCCAAAGCCACGTCCAAGCCCGGTCAAATCACAATTTACTTATCATCCACAATCCTACCCTACCCTACCTTACCATCTATCCCTCCATCTATCCCTCCATCTATCCCTCCATCTATCCCTCCATCTATCCCTCCATCTATCCCTCCATCTATCCCTCCATCCATCCACCCATCGATTCATCCCCAAATCCATCTTCCCTCTCACACCACAAAATCACTCTTCAAAGCAAGATAATCCCACAAACTTCATTGTAAAATCGAGCAAACATTCACCACTTAAACGTACAACATGTACTCGTAACACAACATGTAGCCTCCCGGACCCCAAATTCAGCACATCAAGGATTCAGACCATAGATAACAACAGACCACCATTACACAAAATGCACAAGCAAATGCAAAAACATACATACACAGCATACACAGCATACACGGCAAGATAATACAACGCCTATATCCAACAACCCTATCAATCACATCAAAAAAGGCACGAGACTTAGCCCATCCCATCCATAAAACCGCCGCTGAAACGGAAACTGTCATAACTCACCGTGCTCACCATGTCCACAGATGATAATAGCTTATGGAAATTATCACGATGCAGGTAAGTGTTTCGTCTTTCGTGTTGCATATTGCGTGTTTTGTATCACCTGGATATAAATCTTTCTTCTCTTTTCTTTTCAGCTACTATATCTGTCTACGTACCTAATATATCTCCAAAACTCAAAACCAAAACCAAAAATAATTATAAAAAACAAAAATATATCACAAGCAAAATTTGTCTGAAACAACTAATATTAATATTCTTAATCATAATAATTATATAAAATGTTTTATATTATATAATATAAGTTCAAGAGTTAATAACTCTAATCTTAGATATTATTATTTAAATATTAATATTTAAAAAATCAGATATCTAATATCTATCGCTACGATCAAAACCCCAAAAGTCCAAAGAACATCAAGCGGAATGGGAATATTAACTAGTAATATGAGAGAGATTAAATTCTTAAAGATTATCTAGTACTCTGATTGTGGAATATCCATTCAGATAATATCGTATAATAGTATGGAGTGTGGTATATGATTTATTCCATCCGTCGTATGACTGGGTATGTTACGCAAGATATGTCTATAGTGAGAAAGACTGTCATGAAAGGAATCGATTCATTTTTACATTTTGCATCACAAAGTTGTGTGGGCAGAAAGATTCATACCTTAATCTCAAACAAGCTCGCTATGGATAGAGTACTAGGTATATACTTACACACGCTGAAAAACGAAAGATAGCGATAAACGCTAGGTATCAACTCGAAGACCACCTCTCAAATGCCCCAACCATTACTCTTCCAACATGGATAGCTCCATCTGCACTTATTTTGCCTCCCAAGCATTTTTCGACGCACCCAAACAGTCAAAGATGACTCCTGGAAAAAAAAACTCCTTCCCTCCTCAACCCTCAACGTCCCAACGTGGCCCCATTTTTTTTTTCACGCTGCAACCTGCCTTGCCTCGTACACTCCGCTGGCGATTTTTCTACTCGTTTCAACGTCCATCCAATTACCTCCGGTTGGAGCCAACGACTCATCTGCAAATGGGTCTGATTCCTCTGCACCTTTAACTGGTTCCAATCTCGAAATACTGATACCATTGCCAAGAATTGGCCTTTGAACTTCCCACCTGACTTCGGCGTGATCTGGTTGTTGAACTACACCGTCTGGTCCGGAGAATAAAGCGCTCATTCTATGCCATTCATGATTGAGAGTAATATCTCCAAGACGCCAAACGATAGAACGTTTATCACGATAGTGAGTGCCACTAGGCTTGGATTTACATACGGAAGCTCCGGCGCCAGCGTATTTACCTACGATGACGAGGTTGTTGAAAGCTACGGGAAGGGACGAGAAAGCTGGGTTGAGCGCGTACTCGATGATAAGACCAAGCTTATCACCAACAGGTTTCCACGCTGGTTTCAACAGCACAGGTGAATGTGCAGACAGATCCTGATCATCGAGATGCACTCGATAAGTGAATGCTGGTGATATTTTATGCGATACTGATGCAAGGTCAACTGTGAATTCGTCCGGTTTCTCTGATGAGACTGGATGAATGAATGTTCTGTTAGGGCCGATAGCTTCTAGAGCGGGGAAGTTGTTGATGCGGATTGTCTCGGTTCCTATTTATGTTAGACTCTGCAGCCGCATATATTGGGACTGACTTGCCTGAAGCTGGCAACGGAGTACCGTTCGCCGAGGATATGTAGATCAAAGCGATCTCCCCACTGATTTTGACTGTTTTAACTGTTCCATTTTCTATAGTGGCATTGACAGTCTCTACCATTGAAGCATTGAGGCCAGGGTGGTGCATATCAGCATGCTTGACCACAGCATTATTTGAAAGAGAATGCCCAGAACGAATGGAGTTTGTATCAGATACACTTGGGGCACCATGGCCATGCCCAAGTTCGGAGATAGCTGCGAATGCAGCCGCACGTGCTGCCCCCGGTGGGAGAGCCGGCGAAGGAGGCAAATTGTTTTCTATGCTACCTACCTCAAGATTAGGCGAAGGAACATAGACCGTATTTCGAACATCTCTTCGACCTCGGACGGTACCAACTTTTCGAGCTGAAGGTGGCATTTGAGATGAACGCAAAGTATTGGCGACATTTGACAATGCAGCTTGTGCATCTGCATCTTGCTCGGGGATGGGCTGATCTCGAATGTCTAGCTTAAATTGAGGTTCGTTGTGCTCGTGAGCCTCTTGTTGAGCTTGCGATATAGGATCATCCATGGCTGCCGGTACCGAGAAGCCTTCAGAATCCTTCTGAGTTTCTTTGAAATGCGATGGGGGTGGACCTGAAGGTGGTTCAACCTCCGATAGATCCATCATTCCTGGGCTTGATACACCATTAGAGGTAGCTGGCCTAACCATGTCCGATACGCTCAATGACTCTTGGCCCATACCACTAGAATTGCCATTAGGTTGCAATGTATCCCGATTTGATGGTGCTTCGGGGAGAGCAGAGAGGCGATTGTCTTGCGAAGTGGAGTCTCGTAAGTTGTTTGATGATGTGTGAGGTGACAAATTTGGTCGTCCAGAACTGCTGTTGGAATTGCGATTTAAAGTTGAGAATCCCTTGTTCGGTGATGGAGCGCGAGCAAATCCTCCGTGGATGCTTTGCCGTCTACGTTGAAGCATCGTGCCAAAGCGGCTCTTTATCTTCGACTCTAGATTTAGTATATTAGTATATGTCACAAATAACATAGCACTATGTGGAAACAAAGGGTTTCAAGGACTGTCACTTACCACCAGAACCTTCTTGCTTGGATATATCACTGGCAGCAGCCGAGTGTGTAGACCGTGGAGTAGGAGGGGGGATTGGTAATGCGGTACCGCCATTATCCCCAGCGCTAGAAATATTTCTGTTGGACCGCTCGGTGACGGGCCTACCCCCGGTGGTTGCTTCCGACCAATTCCTAATTTCCTGAGCAGTGTCTACCTCCAATAATGCTGTTAGGCTCTGCTCAACGGCTACTCGACTCCTCTCAACTCTATCGGCTTCGTGGGTTTCCAATTGCGTAAGGACATCTCGTAGGTGATTCAAGCGTCTTTCGTCTGCCACCTGAAGACTTTCATATATGAACGGAGCCTGAGCTTGCCACTGTTGTTCAGCACTCTGTAGTTTAGCAGCCGCATTTTCCACCTTCTGGGTGCTTGCTTTTCCACCCTTCTTGCTGAGCTTCTCCGATGCATGCTGCGCATCTTCTACTTCCTTAGCCATAGCCGTGAGATTGCCTTGCATTGTCGTCATTGCCTGCATTTCTCTATTTTGCGTAGCAAATTGTCGCAAAGGTTGTTCCACATCCTTCGTAATTCGTTCGGATAGATTGTAATGAGCATCCGCGATTGATTCGACCGAACCCACGATTTTTCTCCATGGTGCATCAAATACCCTAACGTCCGGTTAGCTCATATCGAGTCCGGATGTCCCAAAATGCCATACCCCAATTCTCCTCCGGTTTCTTGTAAAGGTTTGCGCGCAAGTTTTCGGAGGCCGGCAACATATTGTTCTTCTACTTTCCGACGTTCCTAGTAAATGTGTAAACAATATGCCATCCCAGCAATCGACAAATACATACCTGCAACCAATCTGCAATTTCCGTGTTCACTTTATTTATCCTCTTCACCCGCTCGTTGAGTTTTGTTGCCGCGGCTGCTGGTGGTAAACGATCCTGCGCCAGCGTTAGCAAACCAGTTTGATGATGGTAGAGTATGGTATAGCTCTGCGATCGGGTGATTACTTACCAGCATAGCAGGATACTCTTGACGGTCGACTGCATCCATATTTGTGGTTGTGGGTAATCTTAACTTCCCAATAAGTTGATCATCTGTGTAACTAATGATTGCTCATAATCATGTAGCAATGATTGAAGAAGATCTTTGGAACTTGTGATAATTAATGGTGGTAATAGTACTGTATTGTAAACAATGTAAACAATGATGAGTTATAATTGCACATGTATTTGCATATTGAGGTGGTTTTGAATTACTCAGTGAGAGAGAGGATTAATTTATCAATAATATCATGCTTTCGGAATTAGATGTTCTATGTTCTCCACGATTCCCAACCTCGAAGGAGCGAAAGCGGCTCTTCTGGAATTAATTGGTCGGAGCTTCTTGGTTGCTTCCATTTCCAGAGGTATCACAGTAGGTAATGCTTGTAATCCTTGTTGGAAAATCATGCAGAACAAAATGAGAAAATGCAATGGATGGATCACGTGATGGTTCAATTGAAGAAGAACTTTCAAGGTTGTCAGACTATCGATGAAGCGACAATCAATAATCCTACTTAGATTTTGCCGTCAATCAGATTATTAAGAGAGACTAAGAAAAGAGGGGAACATTCAATCTCTGGATATTCTCGACCATATATCATTCAAGTATTGATTGTACTTTGCTTATTCAAGAATCTTGAATCTTCATCTTTCTCAGCTAATCCACCCACCCACCACCCATCCATCCATCCATCCATCCATCCATCCATAACTTCATATTTTGTATAAAAACCCTCCGGACTTTATCCGATAACTTCAGAAACAGAGATAGCTAGGTAATGAAAGAAATCATCTCGTATTCAATGTCCTTATAATCACCTCGGATAAAATAGCCTTTCATCAAATGAGAGAAGACAATCTTATGAGAACACGCAATTCATGAGTCGACACAACCTTTGCAATTGCCCGATTTATCATTCTTTCCATCCTCTCGGTTCGACAATATGGACTCCATAACAGACTGGAAGCAAGACTTAAAAGCTTCTGAACGATATGATAATATCTTAAAGCTGTAAAGTGGTACTATTCCAACTCAAAACATGAACTGCCATGGCTAATTATCCTAAAAATAGGAAGAAACATCTCGCGCTTGGCGGCCTGGGTGGAAACACACAGAAGACAGCATTCGAAATAGAATCAGAAGCTTATAATTCTTCGTCATCTAGAGTGAGTTAATGGTTTCAAATATTGGTGTCATCTATCACGTGAGCATCATATCTTCCCCTTTTGTCGTGATACTTTTCTGCTTCCATATCATCCATAACATTCGTTCTTGAATCGTAGACAGAAGAGAACTTTACTCCCCGTTGGCTTACTATATATATCACTTTCGAAATCTTACTGACACAACAAAATAGGCTGTCTACGATGATTTATGCAATCCTACTGAGCCATGGCCAAATGCTGAAGCCTCTTCATCAGAAACCTTTCCTGCACCCAAAAGCCCCGGCATAATCATAGGGCCCTATAACAATTGTCACCATATCTCTAGTGGTGCCGTTTCCCAAGTTTATAGGTGTGATACTGAGGGGGGTTCTTATGCACTAAAAGTGATTACAGAAACACACAACATGGAACCACACTCCCCGACTCGTGAAATTGCTATCCTGAAAAGGCTCTCACACCCTTCCATAATTTCACTGCATGCGACAATTTATGATCAGGAATCGAGATTGGTCTTGCTGTTGCCATATATGCCGTATACTTTATCAGACCTACTATCAAGAAGTAGCAAAGGCCTCAATGTAGGCACAACTAAAAAGATCTTCAAAGAATTATTATCCGGACTTGCATATTTCCACTTGGAGCAAATAATTCACCGTGATATATCACCCTCCAATATTCTCTTACCTCATGATATCAATGGCAAGGATCCTATCGTTATAACTGATTTTGGCACCGCATGGCATCCAAGCATCTCTTCATCTACCGAGCCCGCTGACCAAAAATGTCTTGAGGTTGGTACTACGTGCTATCGCGGTCCAGAGACTCTGTTCTCTAATACATCTTACAATACTTCTCTTGATCTCTGGTCCACTGGTGTACTACTCGCCGAATGCCTTCGCTCGCCTCCCGTCCCACTCCTGGAAAGTCGACGCGGCGATGAAGATGGGAATCAATTGGGACTGATTTTAAGTATGTTCAAGACTCTTGGAACGCCCACCGAGCAGACATGGCCGGAGGCAATGAAGTGGAAAACCAATCCCTTTCAATGGTGGAACATTTTCCCGAGCAAATCATGGGAAAAGTTACTTCCAGATGCTGAGGAGGATGGAAGGGATTTAGTCGCCAGTTTGGTTATTTATGAAAGTGGTAGGAGGTTGACTGCGGATCAGGTAAGTTACCTATGGAGATCGAAGTTAAAGGCTGCTCGCTTATTCCTTTCCTTTAGGCATTAAATCATTCGTTCTTCGTTGAGAAATTGGAATCAAGGGATTAGCTTCCATTCAACTCATTCAGAGATAACTTCCAAACCAGGTCAAGTGATGATGATTTCTTGCTTCTTGCTACTATTCAGTATCATTTACAATTTAACGTTCCATATTTCACGTAGATCAGATCTGTGGTTCTAATGGCACACCTCATAGTTCCAGACTAATACCTCCACAAGTGATTTTCTATTGCCAAGCTGACTACTTAAAACAATTGGTTGAACCCGGACTCTCACAAAGCCAAATATCATCGCTCACTCTGAAAGCGAAACAGAAATACCAATTCACACGCTCAAAACGAAATTATCCAACCAACCTCCCCTAATTTGAAAGGTTGAAACAACAATCCATAGCAAAGTAATCCTCAGAAACGAAATCCCACCTCATCCTCTCCTCCAATTCCATCTCCAATCCCACGTTTCCACCACCATAAGCCCACAACCGTAATCGGCTTGCGCATAACAGTTTGATCAAGACAATCGGTTTGATGGCAACAAGTTATGTTGGCCGGGTACTCCATATCGATACTACAATCGACACCATGTGGATATGGTGACGCGTTGTCCTTGCAAAGGGTCCCAAAAGTTTGGTCGTCAAACTCGCAGCATTTCCAATAGCATTATGTCGTTGTTAGTTTTTTTGGGTTTCTTCGAGCTGATATATGCCGATGGGGATTTCGTCTATATGATCAGATTTAGGAGGGGAAATATAGGAAATACTAACGGTTCCCTGATCACCACCACCACCATCATTCGGTGGAATCTGAGGATTTGGAACTGGGAAGACAAGTACCTGCGAGGAAGGCTGCCGCGATGATGGTTTGTGTGATGAAATGCATTTTCGTTTAAATCTTCTTGAAGTTTGAAGTTTGAAATGTGAAGTTGGAGTCTGTTAAAAAGGATTTATTCTCAACAATATACTTTCCTCAAAAAAATACGAGGAAATACCTACGTATATACAAGAACCCATCTATCTTAATCCATAATCCCTGATCCAAAAACCTCCACACATTCATAAAAAAAATCTTATTAAACTCTTTCCTCCCCACCAACCGATGCAAAGCCCTTTTCTTTCCCCCAAGAATGTGGAAGGAGAATAATTACCCAGAGGATTTCTCCCTGGAGTCATATAAATATCAGATGAGTTTGCGTTCTGAAAGCTTATTCGAGGAATGTGCACAGTTGTACAGCTGCGTCGCAGAAATTTCTCAGCCTAGTCTAGGCTTGTTGGCTCCGATGCAAGGGATTGATTGTGAAGTAAATTACTAATGGTGCTGGAATTAATGATTTTCGCTATGGTTTTCTTAAGTCTTACTTGTGGCGTGGGTGGGAATTTACGGGTTGCAATTGATGGTCATTGGGTTCTTTTTATTGAGATATTGTGTATATGATGAGGGGGAAAATTGTATGGCGAGTTCTACCTCGGGAAATATGTCATCCTCAATTTCTACGTGAGATCTTGAGATTTACAATCGAGAAGTCTCTAGAGTTAGCTACCTCATGAAACACCCAACACCTTAACTCAAATCCCCGCCTCAAATCATCCTTCAACCTCGACTCCCTGGTTCAAATTCATATTCAATAAAAATACGTAAAATAAGACCATTTTCATTTCCATATCTACCTATCTCATCTCATCCCATCCACCCCATCCATCACATAAAAAAGAACTCCTCCTATCCAAATATACTCATAAATTTGCAACACTATGTCGATATTACATGATCTTCTGACACCTCTTCTCCCTTACCTCTTACCTTTCCACTTCCCTCTCACCTTTCCACATACTACCCAGGGTTATGGTGTCTTACTCAAAGATCGTCCCCCCAAAAAACACATATACGTATGATTCTAAATCTATCATATGGAGCCGGCGAATATTAGTATCGATAGTCCTGAGCTTTTACTGCCTATTGTACCTGTCTATCTAGCTAGCTAGTAGTAATACTATCTTATTCAACCAGTAGACTCTGATTCTTATTGAATCTAGAAGTTAAACTTGTTCATTCAAAGGCAATAGTATCCTTAATCACCTTCCACAATCCTAAAATTGGAAGTTTCAAGTCACCAGATATCCCATCAAAATGACAAAAGCTCACATGCATGCATGCACACACGCACGAAAGACCTGCATATAGATTCTAGAATATCATTGCTTTCATTCTAGGACCAGCCCAGCTCTTAAGATACATCCCATGTCATATCATATCATATCATATCATATCATCCATCCATGCATCAATGTCTCAACGCCATGCTTCCCATGCTTCAATGCAAGAACACCGCTACTTAGTAAAAAGCCTTAACTAGAAATGTGTTGCCCATTTCCCATTTCCCATTAACCATTATCCATTAACTCATCAAAGAAATATCCCGTCAAAAAATCATTCCTGTATGAAAAACTGCATGCATCGCATCCCGGTAACCGAATCCCCTAATAATCCAAAGTGTGAAAATAAACGTCTGATGATATCAATTCGTGTCTATGTCACTTATAGTAATGGCCAGCCATAATTTGTTTTTATCGTATCTTATTATCGTATCCGTCTCGTAATAATGTGTCATCTCAGCTCAAATAGCGTAAAAGTCGTGTTCGATGAGATGCTCAGAGCTGAGCTCATCGGAATTAAACAGGTTGACTTCATCGAGAAGCTCATCATCCCACATGGAACCATGAGCTGGAAGAAATTCGCCACCACTGGTAAAGTCACTATCCGTGAGAAGTTCAGTAATATCACCGGCCATCTCAAAGTCCTCAAATCCCAGCTCCTCAATTTGTCCCAGGGAATCATGGTTGCCGCTCAGATTCTTGGCACCGCTCTTGTGGTCACGGACAGTGACTGCCTGACCATGATGGCGGGTACGAATAGGGATTTTCTCATTACGGTCGTGACGAACAGCAAAGTTGCTGGGTGGGTAGGAATGCATGTTAAGAGTTGCATTATTGTCGCCATATGTTGATCTTCTCTTCCTTGGCGAAGCTCCCACCTGACCAGAAGAACTAGCGTAGCCACTGTCATAATCTGTGGTGCTCGTAGGAGGTGAACCAGAGTTGCCAGTACCATCATCAAAGATATGATCCAAGACACGGACACTCCAAACATGTCCATGAGTCTTGCACTTCCAGATACTGGTTCTTTCCGCACCAGCTACCGTATCTCTGAGCTCACCAATCCATCCCAGTTGCTCAACTATTCCTCCTGGTAAAATCTCCCAGTATTTCTTGCGGTTTATATCACCAACAAAAATCCGTACGACCGGATCATCTCCCAACTTTTCAGCTCGATAAACCCTACCTCCTGAAAGAAGAAGCATGGGAATGCGAAAGTCTGGATTTTCTGACTGTGGGAGAACATTTGCTCTAGGACCACCATACAATGGCTCAGCAATTGTTGGTCGAGAATAATGTAAAATGAATTGTCGAATGGCATACTTGAAATTAGACTTTGGCTCCTTCACACAATCCGGAATTTGACAACAAAATACGGCAACATGCTTGAGATGCGCTTGTGCATGCATGGGGTCAACAAAATTGGCGTGTTTGTGCGGCTTGTGGAAGCTGGTCGAGCCACACCGGGTTGTGACTCGGTCGGATGAAGGGGCTCCACCATTATCGACCGGAAAATGATTGGAATGCTTTGGAAGAGAAAGATGTTCAGATAGCTCGGTGGTTGGGTCATAGTGATTATCTGAAGGGTTTGAATGTGAGCCAGAGATTGGGAAATTTGAGTCAGGTACTGGTGTAGGATCAACTTCCATAAGAAAGGAAGAGTCAAAATTTGGGACGTCCAAGGGATGAACCATGTTGGTTTGGATGAGCTCAGGATCAAGGGATTCCTCGGAATCACCTTGGTATCCATCAACATCTCCGAATTTGGAATCAAAAGGAGAATTAAGGAGAGTCTCTTGAATGGGAGTGATGGGTGCAGAATGAATGATAGGATAAATGTCTTCGTGGTCAGCAAATCCTGTGTTGCTCTTTGTCAAAGGACTGATAGCTCCAGAGGCCTCAGATACCATTGCGTTTGATTGTGGGTAGTTGTTCTGTTGTTGTTAATGATTGTTGTTTAATGATTGTGATTGAAAGGAGAAAAAAGAAAAGAAAGGAGGCGAAGATCCTCTGAAGGAGGTAGGATAATGGGGGCGTCGCTTAATAGTTACCTTTATCAAGGGTATTGCACTGCCTTTGACGTCGGCAGTGAATCTACCAGATATCGCCAGTTTCAAAGTTGAGCCAGTTTCAAGATGCCAAACGTTTGGATTCTGCCGTTCTTTGCCTTGATTTTTGACATCTGGGGTATGAATCCTCGGACGAGATCTTGAGTATGTCATGGAGATTGCTTTATCTTGATCCTTGAGGTAAGCTTGTTCAGAAATTCTAAAGGCTTTGAAAGAGACTTTCTTTCTTGTAAAGTTGTATAGCTAAATCATAAACCTAAAAAAGAAGATTGTTTAGTTTTTGAGCATTGAGAAGATGAAGAAAACACTATCAAACACTGGCTTCAGGAAGCTCAAAGTATACAAGATTTAGTATGATGGAAAGAACTCTCAATAATACGATCAATAACTTTCGATTGGTAGTTGGTATCTCGTTCTATCCTTTTCCTTCGAACGTACTTTCCAAATTCGACTTTTCCATTCTCGGATAATAAAATTCAAAGGTTACCCCTCATCCCTTCTTGCCTTCTTCGTTGGATATCAATGTTTGTTAATACCTCATTATTAGGAAGGTTTACTCCTAACATCCCAAACGTATTCATATTTGAGATTTGAATTAAAATTACTTTTTTTTGGTTGTTTTTAATTCAATAATTATTGAACATTGAGAACCGGACCCAATCATCATTTATCTTTACATTAACCAAAGCATAAAAAGAATAAAAGAGGAGAAAGTAAAACAAAATAGAACATTATAAAAAAACAAATAAGAAGAAATGAAAACGTATATATTGAATCTGATTTGTAGTATATCTTAATTCTTTAAAAGTTCTCTATGATAGATACCTTTTGATTACATCCCACCAATTACTCTTTTTTTTTTTGAAATGTACAATAGGATACTACTATCAGACAAATCTATGGATCTCTTGAAAAGAGTATTACTGAAACTTTTCTATGGACTTTATAATTCCATTTAAATGATTTACCAATATCAGAAACAAACATAACTTGAAACCATACAGTAATTCTTCAACGGAACCTCAATGACTTCACCTCAATGACTTCACCTCAATGACTTCACCTCAATGACTTCACACCAATGACTTCACACCAATGACTTCACCTCGATGATTTCACACCAGTAGCTCCACCTCAATAACTTCACCGCTTAACGCCCACAAAGGAATCGTGGTAACATATTCACAAGTGCCCGGACCAAAGATATAACAGTGAATAGAAATCCACTTGTGCGACGAAGTTTGTTCGCTTCATATAAACTCTAAGGGTCTGGAGAACTCGGAAAAGTGGGATGGTTCGTGGGGGAGCTTGCTGTTAGTACCCTAGTTGGATATGAGAAGGGGGTCCAAAGGGTTGTCATTGAAGCTTGTAGAGAGTCGCCTATGACAAGATCCCTTTGTGATTTCGGTAGACGCATTATTGGATATCAGGCGAGGCCGATGAATGAATCAACGATGCTACCTAAACACGATGATGATGCATAAATATACTGAAATGGGATATTTATAAACCTTGTTGTATCAATAATACCTCGGTTCATGTCTTAAAATCAAGGGATTCTTCAGGAAAACATCTTAGAATTTTATTTTAATCTTCTACTTCACTTCCACGATATGCGCGAATATTAGCAGCCACCAAACAGGGGCAGGTACAAGAAAGCCATTCGTACATATAACACTGCACAAACTTCAGTTACGGCTGTCTCGTAATCAATGCACGATATATGTACCAGAGAACTAACTAAATCAACTGTTACGCAAAGATTACCGCAATCGGCAAATTATCAAAAAGGAACATGTATTAAATCATGAAAAATGCTGTGCTGTGCTGTGCTGTGCTGTGTCTTGTCTTGTCTAAGGCTAAGGCTAAATACATTCAATCTCGCTATTATTCAATTCTACTTTATGCCGTCTCATTGTTTTTCTCTATGAGTACCAAATTCTGTTATTGATGTTCTTTCTTCTTTGAGGCTGGGTGCTCTTCCATGGACTAATTCCATCATCAACTTCTTCTGAACCAATGTCTCGACCAGCTACAAAAGCAGTTGCTGAAATGTTTTGGTCTCCGAGAGGTTGAGGATTGCCATAGTTCAATCTCACTGTATTTTCCTGAATCGTTGAATCGTTTGCTCCTGTATTGTGGGGCGGGATGTTGTTGTCTACAAAAGAATTATCATTTCTCGGTTCTCCTTCATTGCTCTCAATGACTTCTTCTGTTTCTTCATCAATGACTTCTTCTGTTTCTTCTTCAATCGTCGGAAGCTTTTCTTCATTCGGACTTGTCTTATTCTGCTCCGGATTCTCTCGCATCTCATCATGTCTTTTTAAAAATTCTTTCTCTTCGTCCTCCCGTATTGAACGTTTTGATTTACGTTTATACAAACGCACATGCCACCTCTGAGACCGTGGATTGTTCCTCGTACACTTGCAGTTCATGGAAATAACCATCATTTGGGCATTCTTAACAAGTTTGAAGTTTTTCGAATTTTCCTGCATACGACACTCATCGTTGCATTTCTCGAGTCCTTCCAGTGGACATGAAACATGTCCCATAAGGGTTTCGAAAGGCTCACTGATCATCCAAGGCATCTTCATACGTAACCAGAAGTCCGCATTATCCTTCTCTGGGTCCCAATTCTTGGGTTTCCAGAATTCTGAGGTTCGTTCTGTTTCGCCATTTCCATCGCCACCCTCTGCGACCCGAACTTCAAATAAATAATCTGTGGTGAGCTTCTTGTGGGAACGTTGTAGATGAAGGCAGGAGGGGATTTTTGTGAGCAATTCATATCCACGATCGTTCACACGCTCGTCGTCGCTCACATGCTTGCTATTAGCACGCTTTTTCATGAATGCAAAGCATTTTTTCAGTCTTCTATCACAATCTTTGGTTGGAGACTCGATCTGGAATGTGGTTTTGGAACACATGTGGCATTTTTCCATGGCGATGCAACCTCTTTCCCCTATACTATTGGAAGTATCATAAGTGGCCTTCATGGCACGCGGGCCCTAGCCTTTTAGATCTAGGTTTCTCTTGTGGGTTTTTGAGAACCAGCCGTGGAATTTAGAGGAACGATCGGAGAGTGCTATAGCCTTGTTGTCACGGAGACCTTGGACAAATTCAACCCTACAATCTCCGATTTACTCTAATTTCTGGCGCAACAGACTATCGGGCACATGAATGTTAGCAAGTCATCGATTCATAATGAATAAGTGAGCCCTCGCCTATTCCAAAAACAACAATAACAAATGCGATTATCCAGCGAGTGGTAAATTATAACAATCTCATAATGAAGGAATTGGATATATGCTGTGATGAGATATAAATGGCTAGACAGAAAACTGCAAAAAGGAATTGAAAGTAGGTAGGATGGCAAACTACAGTTGCTTGATATAGAAGGAGCACTTGATTGTTTATTTTAATTTTGCAATTGCATAGGAAATATCATAAGTGTAAAGATTTGACATGGTTTTCGGATGTAATTGGCAAGTGCCATCTCATATCGAGCCTTTTCAATGTTCATGCATTGTGTAATGAACAACCTTATTGTGTGCGACCTCATACCAACAAATCTCATGATTATCACGGTATCAATCGTGCGGGAAATCAGGAGCTCATGTTCTTCAATCACCTAGAATTGAAATGAGACTAAAATCTTCCTCCACCATGTCACCTCCCCATTTCCCCAAATTTCAAAACCCGTATGCTTCATGTTACTGATATAACCACTATTTCTAGCTCAGCAGGACGATACATACCCTTATACAGATAACCGCTCTCGTCAAAATTCAAATATTGACAAATTCATTTATTATCCTTAGACAAATCATCTCCTTCCGTATTCCATACCAGCCCAACTAGATAAAAAGCTCCATCCCACATATCATTGCCAGTCTGACCTTCACTAAGAAGGTTTACCAGCTAAAGTTTAAGCGCCCGAGAAACATCGAGTATGAAGCTTTCCGCGAAGAAAATGATACGACCTTTTGGTGACAAATGGAGTGAAAATCTATGGATGATTATATCGGTGATGATGATGAGCTTGGTTATAGGTTCCAAAATTTGGTCAAGATTGTTGTGAAGCTGTGATGGAAAGTTTCATCATCTAAAAATCATGTCAGTATAATCATGAATTGTTCCTTTCTTTCTTGCAGTAGCCTGTCATGGCCACCCGTTACATTGATTGATATCGAATGAATTCGATATCGTACACGTGTTTGCGCCGGAGTTTAGTACAGGTAGCTGTCGGAGCTAATGATTTCTGACCGCCTTGAAAGTACGGCAGTATTAATTAGTTTGTGGCTTTAGGACCAGAGCCTTAGTAAGATGATTACTCTAGCAATACCATTGGTCTATTTTTATTTGAACTGAATAGTCCCACACGCCGTCATTGTTCGGCCTTTGAAATTTCTCCACAACGAGAGTATGTTTTCCCTCCCCGTCCCTCCAACAATCATTTTCTCATCTGTACATTCAAACCGACCTCAGCTCTTCGCCCATTGTAGATATTCAAACCATATTAGATATTAGATATTCAGATATTCAGATATTTCATCCTCTTTTTCCCGTATCAAAACGTCTACCCAAAATGGGAAAACGACAATTTACATCGCAGGCTTCTAGCACTCGTGCTGCCACTGCTGCTGCCCCGGGCTCCGGATTCGGTTTTACTACAACATCTACCAGATTATCATACCTCTCGGAACCATCAAACCTCTCTTTAATTAGTGACGCCAATGTCGTTGTGTCATTCAAGAACCTTTCCAAGAAAGATGGAACAACAAAGTCGAAGGGTTTAGAGGATCTGCGGACATTCGTTCAAAATCAACCAAACGAGCAAGGAGGCATTGAAGAGTCAATTTTAGAAGCTTGGGTAAGATGCGTCATGGAGAACGTAGCAAGTGCATTTTCTAACACATTATACAGGTCAATGTCTATCCTCGAATTTCCATAGATAATTCACGCCGCGTTCGCGAACTATCTCATAGTGTGCAGTATGAGCTTTTAAAATCGGCTCGGAAGAGAATGGAAAGATATATACCAAAAATTGTGGGAAGCTGGCTGGCAGGAACATATGATAGAGACCGAGCCGTAGCGCGATCTGCGACAGATGGTCTTGCATCTTTCCTCGATACGGATGCTAAAATGAATATGTTTTGGAGGCGTTGCCAGAACGAGATCCTCGACTACGCCGAGGAAGCCTTAAATGAAACCCCTTATACTTTAAGCGACGAAAGATCGGTCCCGACAGAAGACGCAAATGAAAAGTACTTTAGGGTGAACAGCGCGAGCGTATCTCTTCTCGCCAATCTGCTGGCCAAGCTCAGCAATGATGATATATCCAAGCATCAAGATAGCTACGAAAAGGTTATTTTCAGCAATAAGAATTTATGGACTTTGGCTTCATGTGAGGATGCTTCTGCGAGAAAAAGTACCAATAAACTGCTGTTGCTTTGCCTTGATAAGCAAACTCAACTGGTCGAGAACAACCTCGTAACTATTAGTCGTGCATTCATATCAAAGGCACTGAGATCACCTCAACCAACATCTGCTTTGCAGCTGTTGCAGACTTTACACCAATTAACCAAACAATTTCCCCAAGTATGGACTTCTGCATATAAAGGAAAACATTCCGCCGCAGACGATTTAAAATCTTTCGTTCGAAAAGGCTCACAAGGCTCTTCTCCTGTCTATTGGCAGACATTGCGAGCTCTTGTGGCAATTTTACCAATAGCTGTTCTACCACAAGAATCCGATTCTATCTTGGAGTTTCTGGAGGTATTCCGCAAGAGCATCAACCAGAGAGAGGAACATAAGGCCAATTCTCATGAAGCGTGGCTTGCTTACGGACAAACATCAAACATTTGTATTCGAAACCTGTCAAGTTCCCAACAAATGGAGGTCACGCAAAAATCCACCTATCCTGTATTTGAGCACTATCTCCATCCATCTTCAAATACTTCCGAGTGGCTGATTAGGAGTAATACCCCTGCTACGACGATATCATTTTTCATAATCACTCTGGGAAAAAACTCAAATCTTCAGCCGTCCTTTGCGGAAGAATGGCAAAAGCTCGCTCAAGGATTTATTACGAGGATTCAAACATCAATGCCGGAGCAATCCAAAGACTATTCATCGTCACAAGATGCGGTAATCGCCGAAAGCCGTCGATGGTTCTCGCTTTTGTCTGAAACCTTCAAGCTAAAGGACTTTGCGGCCGATCAAAATCCTCTTCTTCAACCTTCCCGCGATATAGTTGATAGTGCTCTTCAAGTCATTATTAACAGGAATGGGAAACCGTACTCTGCTAGTGCGGTGTTAGAATTCGTGCTGAGGTCCTCTCCGCAGTTATTTGAAGCTTCTTCCTCGACCTTGGAGGCCGTAAAGACATTTATGGAAACTCATCTTCCCAAGTTGCTTTCGTCTCCGTCGTCCTCGTACCTAGCTTCAGCTTTAGACCAATTCCGTTCAATCCCTGGACAGCAAAGTACATACAAGAACATCTGGCAGGCCGCTATCGATGCCCTGTTATCGACCCCCGATGACTTGCAACGACAGAAAACCATCACGGCGCTAATATCTTCTAATGATGTTTCGGATTTGGTTGTTGATGATCAGGCTCTCCAAGATTTCCTTCTTGAAACTTCATGCGAAGTAGTAAAAGGCAGCAACGAGGGATGGCCCTTATTCGAAGCGGCAGTGTTTTTCAATGGATTTTCCAGACCAACAGAACGCTTGTTACTGCAAAGTATAATTTCTGCATTAGATGCCTCTAATCCCAGCATAAACGTTGTCTTTAAAGCACTTGAGTTACTTTCCATAAGACGACCTGAAGTTATTCGAGAAGGAGATGCGCATGTGGATCTAATCACGAAGCTTTTGGCACTGACAGAGCTGTCAGATTCTGAGCTTGGTAAACGGGCTATGAATTTACGATCGTTGATTGACAGCGGAACTGGTGTGACCGCTTCTTCTGTCCTTCATATACTCAAAAAAAACTTGGAAAATGCAAATCCTCAAACATTGACGTGAGTATAGTTCTCCATCGCAACCTCTAACTGCTCAAACAGAGGTGGCTGACAATGATTTCTAGCATCGATACACTTATTCAACAGGCCGAAGCAGTTATTGCTGCCTCAGATGATAATTCACTCCATCCCGAACTCTTTCCAGATGCCATCAAATGGTCTCAAGCCTTAGCTCCTCTATTGGACCAAGCGCCAAATCCTACTTTGGGAGTGATGAGACCCTTTGCGGGAGCTGTGTTCTTGGTTCAAACACAAAAAGGTAGTAACATTCCCCGACCTGGAAGAGACCTCGATGGCTATTCTGTAGCTCTGAGAATGGCGATGTACTCGGCACGTTTAATTCGAGAGCATCCTGATCGCTTATCAAAAGATGCTTTGGTCGAGATTCTTTATCTTATGGGCTTGACTGTAGAACTAGCGAACGACCAACTAGACTTGCTAGAAACCAACAAGCTTTTCGTTTTATCATCCGAAGAAGCTATTGCTGCTGCGCGCGAATTTGTGGACAGGATATATCAAGAGTCGTGGCCATTCATCTTACTCCATTCGAAAGCTTGGCAAGAGGGTTTCGAATCAGGGTCGCCGCTTGAATTTTCGGGTGTTGTTCACACCCTGGTTCTGAAGCTCATAAATGCCTCCTCAGGCAATACATCTACTTCTTTCTACTCTGCTCGTGTATTGAGCCATCTATTACCCAAGCTTGTTGAACAACATGGATGGCAAGCCGGGAGCGAGGAATGGATCGCCAACCTTGCAATTCTTAAGTCCTCTACATCGAACGTCTTTGGGGCTGTTGCCATCTTGGCCGGGCTTCACGAAACTCTCAGTACCAGCCAGCTTGTGAGCAATCTTTGCAATCAGCTCATTAGTGATGTTGCTGGTGCCACTGCTCAATCTGAAAAATCTCTTGGTTTACTTGTTCTCTTGAATGCAACATTATCCATATACGATGGTGATGACCTTCCTGTGGCTCAGAACAGATTAGTGTTTGCGGTGAAGCAAATCCTTTCATGGAACCCTGAAATTGCAAGCTCAAACTATCAGCTCTCCTCTGAGTCTTGTCTTGCTCTGCAGAGATTGCTTCCAGCGATTAAAACGGTTTATGGGTCCTATTGGGATAAGACACTGGAGTTCTGCATTAAGATTTGGGAATCAATGGAAAGCGAAGAGCACCACGATCAGAAGCTCTCTATGATGGGGATGTCTTTGAAACTATTCTCGAATTTACGGAGCTTGCAAGATGCTAATGATGACCTTGAGGACGCGCTAACTAAATATGGAGAAACTGCATCTCGTTGCTTCATCAAGCTCATGAAGCTACCTAGATTTAAACCAACACAACCAATTGAGTTTGTTGATAATATCTTATCGCGCTTGGTAGTTAAAATACCTTTGAGTCATGTCAATGACATCCCTGAATTTTATCCGTTGGTAGCTTCAGAAAATAGGATGGTCCAATCCGCAGCATTTGATGTCCTTCATCGAGCCATTCCTGCAGAGCAAGAGGAGATTTCAGTCAATGCCATTCTTGAGAAGAAAGGTATGTAGCTACTTTATGATCCCTCGAAATATTACATGCTAACTAGTTTATAGATGCTCAATTACCAGTGGAATTATTGTCCCTTCTTTTAGATGCACCATCCATCCGCAACTTTGATGATGAAGAGCTTGCAGAATTTCCCCCTTCAATTCGGAGCTATTTACTTTCGTGGCATTTAGTTTATGACTCATTCAGTACGGCATCGTGGAAAGTTCGTAAAGACTATTGCAATCACCTCCAGTCTGAAAACTGCATCGGATCATTCTTGACGTTTCTCTTCGACGTGTTAGGCCATTCAGGAGGTGTACCTCTCAACCTCGAGAAAGCACATTTTGATGAATCATACATCCGGAAATATGATACCTCACTCGCGGATGCTGAACCAAACGAGCGAAACATGCAATGGCTTCTTATTCATCTATATCATCTATGTCTTAAACACACTGGTGATCTTGCCAAAAACTGGTTTTCTGTCTGCCAATCCAAGCAGACACGTCAAGCAGTCGAGGCATGGACAGAGAAATATTTTACTCCACTTCTGATTTCAGATAAGCTGGATGAGGTTGATGAGTGGGCAGCTTCAAAGGAGGCCAAGGAAGGAGGCGAGAAAGAACTCGAAATTAAAGCCTCTAAGGGCGTACGCTCAGTCTTTGCTGGCTATGAAATTGATGATACTAGCATCCAAATTGCCATTCGTTTCCCGCCTAACTATCCCTTCTACAATGTCAAAGTCGAGGGCCTCAACCGAGTTGCTGTACCAGAAAAGAAATGGCGAAGTTGGCTACTCATCGTACAGGGTGCCATTACATTCTCCAATGGCAGCTTGATCGATGGACTAACCACCTTCCGTCGTAACGTTGAGGGTAGTCTTAAGGGACACACCGAATGTGCCATTTGCTACAGTATCATATCTACCGACAAGAAAACGCCGGATAAGAAATGTGGAACGTGTAAGAATACGTTTCACGGAAATTGTCTGTTCAAATGGTTTGCGAGCAGCAACCAGAGCTCGTGTCCATTGTGTCGTTGTGCTTTCAATTACGGTCGTTAAGTTGTACAGTTTGGTAGAGGCGTTTCATGACGGAAAGAGATGGGAGAAAGTTATGGAAGGGGTACTTGGGTTTGTAGGAGGGGGAGGAGTATGGTATATTTGGATTTGAGCATTCGGGTTCACGGAAAAATTGATTAATGGGGAGAGGATTTACTTTTACATGCTCAAATAGATAGATAGACAGAGTATTGTTATTTCACCAATATATTATAATGAAACATTATATATCTTCAATCTGACCCATTCTAATCTTTCTGCTTGCGAATGAGCAACGGTAAATATCGAAACGCCTACTAGGTAGGTAGACAGTGATAATAATCCCACCCATCCATTTTCCCACATTAACCGCCCAAAGAAAAACAAAAGTAAAGTACACAAGGTTAGTAACCAATCGAAATCCTCAAACAGCAGGACAAGAACTATGAGAACCGTGCATAGATACAACAGCTGACTAAACACCCCTCTCCCCTCTCCACACAGCACACGCGCGTCGGACGATCGGGAAACCTCGGGGTAATTACTAGATAAATCCACCTACCTAATCCATGGTGGATCGATCCGTTGCTAATGTCCAGGACATTACCCCGCAAACAAAAACGAAATGGTGTGTCCGCGGGTAGGTATGTATGTGATATTCGTACCCATCTATTATATCTATACCTGTACCTATCCCTATACCTATGCTGCACAGCCTTGAGTTGAGTTGAGCTACTTTTTACTTTTTACTTTTGCTTTTACTTACCTTTGTACAGAGTATCCATCTACGAGTACCTATACCTATCGACCGAGTGATATGATTGATTGAGTTGCGAATTCTTGTTATATATTACTTTACTCGACCCTCCACTGCTCTATTCTGCTACACTCACACTCCTCTACTCTTCACAACTGTATATCAATCTATCAATCCACCAGTATCTATCAGTATACGTACGGATAAATTACATCAACCTCCCCATCGTGGTGATTGATCGATCGATCGATTGATTAATTGATTGATTCTGCTTCGGACTTGAGCTTCCAGATTCCAGATTCCATCTATTGAGACGGGATTCTCTGTTGATTATTTATCACGTACGGTATCCGATACGATACGTATCAGCGCACTTCATTATTCAAATTCAAATTCACTTGATTCTTCAATCTATCTATCAGTCACAATCACAATCAATCAACGCATCAGTCACAAGCAAAGGAAACCAACTCAAATCAAAGCAAAGCAAAGCAAAAGCTTCCATTAAACTCAAAAGATAAAGCGACCGATTGAATTCGCAACAAACGCCATTTGTACGTCTTCATAGACTTCGAAAGATCAAAGTGACTGGATTAAAGGACATTTTAACATCTGATTGTTGAATTGCCACAGTTACTCGTAAAGTATTTATCCCCTAGCGTGAATGCTTTTCCTGTCTTTGTTTTCTCTTTGGACAAGTTCGCCATTCTAACCTAAATAGCATCATATCTCATAAATTTGCTCGGTTTTTACTCATCCTATTTTGATTCCTTTCGACTAGCCGAATTCTGAAGGCTAGGTTGAATGAAACACCACTGGTATGTATAATTATGCTTTGTCTTTGGCTCGTTTCTTATCATGAGTTAGGTCACCGAGCATGATACGATCGAGATAAGTCTTCGAAATGCTTTCTTCGCAACTCACCTCGGTCTCGCAGACCACGGCATCCCCTCTGATCTTATATGGATCGATTTCTGCTTCTGCCAAGATACTTCGGTCTGCCGGATCAACCTCGAACCATATCAGGCACAATCAACAAGCTCGAGAATTTCGATTGGGTAGTTATTGGTCTTCATATCTTGACCCAGGGTTTGAAAAAGAACTCAAACGCCGTCACCAAATTCTGAAATATAAATACCTTGAGGCTTTGGATCGCAAGTTTGCCTGGGACCATAAACCTTCGAGCTTCGTGAAGCATTTTGGGAAGAGTTTTGGATGCAGCGCTTGGAAAGCACATGATTCAAGACCTGGAGGACGATGGGTTAATATGGATCGAATTGTCAAGAGCCGTGACGAGGCAGAACCAATTGCTAGGGACGCTAAGCATGATGAAAGAGTTCCCGATTACAAACACGCCATGCATAACTTCATGCGCAGTAAAACCATTTACTTCTCTCCTGCTCATTCTAAGTATACCTTCAAAGCGGATGTAGAGAAGAGAGATGGTGGTGAATCAATCCGCCTATCACAAGCTGACGATGCATATTGGATAAATCTGAGGTCGAAAAACGAGTCGGACATGGAGGCGAATCAAGAATACGAGATAGATCCAATCACGAATCGAAAGGTGTTCAAAGATGAAAAGCCTGTAAATATCCCAGTAAAGACATTCAAAGGATATCGTCACCGATTCCAGAATTTAGTACCGCCGGATATCAGTGGTAGTCAAGCTGATATTGACAACTACAACAAGCCATTCATGTACAATGAGCCTGATGGAAAGCTTCCTGAAAAGCCCGATCCGGTAAAGGAAGGGTTGAATGACTATGACTCTGTTTCCGAAGGATACAAACCATTTCTTTTCCGAGAGCCCGATGGCAAATTGCCTGAGCAGCCCGACTCTGTACGAGAATCTCTGAAGGATTATGATGGTGAAGGATACAAACCATTCTTTCACAATGAACCAGACGGACAGCCACCACAAAAGTCCGATCCAGTACAAGAAGGACTTAGAGATTACGATGATTGTGCATCCTATACCGCGTTTCGATATAGAGAGCCTGATGGAAAGCTGCCCGAGAAACCAGACCCCGTGCAAGAGTCATTGAGGGATTATGATGAAACCACGACTTACGGATTCTTCCGTCACAATGAGCCAGATGGAAAATTGCCTGAAAAGCCAGATACAGTTCAAGAGTCGTTGAAGGAATATGATACAACCACTTCTTATGGTTCCTTCCGGTATAACGAACCTGATGGTAAACTTCCCGAAAAGGCAGATTCAGTCCGAGAAAGTCTGAAGGATTATGATAGCAATATTTCATATGGGTCCTTTCGCTACAATGAGCCAGATGGAAAATTTCCCGAGAGTCCCGATCAGACACGCGAAGCATTAAAGGAGTATGATCAAAAGCAAGCCAGGATGTCCCAGGATTCTGGACCCAACTCCATGGTGCATGAAATAAAGCCATCCGAAAAAGTCACAAATGTTAAAACTTCGCAATTTCAATCAATATCACATAAATACTCTGACCTGGATACCAGAGAGGATCTTGACCTACGTCGGGCAAGTGACATTCGCGCTGCCTCGGGAATTATCAAAGACCGCAAGAAGGAAACTCTGGAAGAAAAGTCCGCGAAGAGAAAGCAATTGGAGAAAGCATTTGAGGAAGCGCATCAAAACGTGGTTGAGTATGCCAAGGAGATCGCTGCTGAACAAAAAAGACAGGCTGAAACCAAGACGCTTGAAAGTTCCGTCCCTTCAGCTTCCAACATAGGGAAAGATTCAGGTTCCATTGATCAAAAGGACACAAAACCTGATGCAGGACAATCCGAGAAACGGAAAGTAACAGGAAATTTTGTTCGGGATTTTCCAGAAGAGTTCCAGAAATCTTGGACACAGCAACAAAACGGCACAGGAGAATTGACGCCAAAATCGTCCAAAGATGCTTGGGGTTATGACAAGGCGCCTAAAGGACTAGAGCTATCCTACTCGGCGGAAGTCGAACAAACTGTCCCGAAGAATGAAAAGGACTACATTGATGGTCTTGGCTCGAAAGAAGCCTTTTCTCGAAACCCAAACACACCAAGACTCCAAACATCCTTAGATCGATCTGCAGCTAAATTAAGATCTCCTCGAGAGGATTTAACCAAAGCAAAAGCAGAAGTTGATCCGTATTCAAAAGTACCTCAAGGCTTAGAAACCTCATATGAAGAGGAATGCGCGAACCAAGGCGAAGGAAACTCATCTGTATATGTTTCAACATATGGAAAGACCAGAAAACAATCTGGTAAGGACAAAGAGCTAGTTCGTGAGATCCGAGATATCTATGAAGACGCATATGGCAAGATTGACTCCAAGCATCGCCAGGTACTAGCAAATGATGTTAAAGCTAGAAACGCCCCAAAAGAAAACTCCCTGGCCGACCTTGAACCAGCCACTTACAAAGTTCTGGCTTATGACTCGACAATGCAATCAATCAACATCGCTGAAACAACATCAATCGTGACTGATACTGCATCGGCTTTGACTCCTGCTGATGTTCTTCTTCGATTGTCCAATCCGGCCAAATTCTTTCCACACTTCCAGCCATTACAGGCAGAAGGATATGAGATTGTTTCTGGAGGTGGCGACGTTCTTGTTTTTCGCAAAATCCGACCAGCAAGACGCTTACCATCACAAGCTGATCTGAAGAATAACACAACCAATCCGATAGATGGTATGCAAGTAGCAACTGGTAGATTTGCCAGCCCTACAGGCTTTGTTAACCACGATTTACCGGTATCTGCGGAACCGGCATTTAAATCAAATATTGACGTTCGACGCGAAGAACCTGTCTTCAGTGGAAAATCTTCCTGGGAAGATAAGTCCGAACCCGAGCGCAAGAAACCTGGCAAGAGCAAGAGAGTGTTGCTTGGTGGAGCAATTGTCGGCGGTGGCTGTTACGCGATTGGTGTAGTGACAGAATTCTTCAAAACTGGGGGTGTAGATGGAAAGGGACCGCAGGGGTTTTGAATTTCGAGATGATATCAGATTCTATGGAAGAAGTGGTCTGAAAGTGACATATTAGCTTAGTTTCTGTTTTTATATGAGGGGAAATGATAGGAGTTGGGGCGAACAGGGTCTTCGATGATATTTAAGCTGATTAGCATTGGTGTTATTAGGAGGATGGGTATGCATCGCATTAGCCAGGTTAGCCAGGTTTCATTTTTTCATTTGCATGAGCTTTAATTCCCTGTCCTTCTTAGCTGTACAGATCATATGCTATTTGATCTGATTTTGATGTTCTTGCTATATATCTGCAATTGGAATGTGAGCAGCAATTTGTATAGCATTGTGTATACAAGTCTTGTGTCGAATGTTTGATAATTGTAACAATCTTCGAGATTCGGTCTGGTGTGTGTCCGAAATGGTGGTAATATCATGCGTGTAGGAAAGGAAAGTCCCTCGATAAGAAAATTAATTTTTTTTGGCCCTGCATGAAGATCCCCACTACCCCAGAGTGGATGTGAATAATAACTTTCTGCCCGCTCAAAGTAGTAAGGTACATCTGACCGCCTCTCACTCTCTTAGTCATGGTCAGTTATTTAATCACCCTTCGAGCTCTTTTTGGACTTTCACCATTCACTAGCTAGCTGATTTATCTACAATCACGCATAACATTTTGGATCAATTCTTCTCTTGTTCAATATTCAATTGGACTTTTGGTGATTTCCCCAATCTATGAATAAGGTCTCAGACAAGAGGGATTTCAGTTTGGGTGATTGGACAGTGAAAGGTTGCCAAAATGACGGACAAAACGGCAAAATACAAGACAGAGATTCAGCAGGTCAGTTATGCCTTTGTTTGAGTCTCGAATTTCATTCCTTTATTTGATATACATTATGTATCGGCTATGGACTACAATTGTGGGAAATTATGAGGCTATATCAAGTGATTGCTGGCGGTGAGGTATTTGTTATTTCAGTCATAGTGAATATGTTCTCGCGATACATATCCTGCGGCCCATTCATTGTTTAAATAGTTTCGCGTCTTGCAAAAAGCTGTACCGAAAGCATAGTATCAATAACATGACATCGAATATGGCTAACGCCAAGTTTCTTCGTTTCTTTTCACAGATGATGTATGTATCTGGAGAGACAGCAGAAGCATCATCTGAGACCACTGGTATGATTGAAGAGATAGTAAGGCAACAAGTTATCGAAATGGTTAGTACATATCCTCAAGGGTCACCTCCCCTTCTCCAAATTACCTCCATTTCTATGTCTATCACATGACCCTAACTGTTTTAGCTCCGCCAATGCACTGAGCAGGCATCCCGCCGCGGAAGTCGTTCAATATCGACAGACGACCTAATATTTCTTATCCGACACGATCAAGCTAAGGTCTCTCGTCTTCGAACCTTTCTCTCCTGGAAAGACGTCCGCAAAAACGTCAAAGACTCTGACGAGAAGGGTGGTGATGCAGATATCGGAGCTGGTGACGAGCCAGTAGGAGCAAATGCCCCCATTCCGGATACCACCAAGAAGAATAAGAAAGCCAAAGTCGGTCTTCCGTGGGAGGTCCCCTCTTTATACAGCCAAGAAGTCCCAGAACGCGAAGATGAAGAGGACGAAGATGAGGAAGAAATGAATTATGCAACCTTACAACGTCTCAAGAAAGCCGACGAGCGTACCAAAGCCATGACAAAAGAAGAATACGTCACCTGGTCTGAATATCGTCAAGCGTCATTTACGTTCCGTAAGGGAAAGCGATTCAAGGAATGGGCTGGCTTCGGCGTCGTCACAGATTCCAAACCCAACGACGATATCGTTGATATTCTCGGTTTCCTTACCTTTGAAATCGTCCAGACCTTAACCGAAGAAGCATTAAAAATCAAGGAACAAGAAGACTTGGGCAAGGAGAAAACCGGCGGCGAGCAAAGAGGCAAGAAGAGAAAGGTACAGGGATTGTTTGATCCGCCCAGTGAGGGGAGGACTCCAGTCGAGACGAGACATATTCAAGAAGCGTTCAGGAGACTGCAACAGAGACCAACTAAACAGAGAGCGATGTGTAATTTCACTAAGGGTTTGAATAGAACTCCTTTGAAATTGGTAAGTTTGACGGTTAACTTGGGTTGGAAGGTATTGTTACTAACGAATGATAGTTTTGAATTTTGGCAGTGAAATTGTATTACTTTAAGGAGCGAGGCGCATGGAGACTTTGGATAGTCTGTAATTATCAATGTTTAACATAGGTTTGGCATAGCATGGGTTGTTTTGTTACCATCGGAATGGAATTAGTAAAGGTTGTATTGGGTACTGATTGATGATAGGCATGCATATTTTTGTATAATTCACAGGCTAGCATTATCAACAATCGACGATATCATCGAAATAATGTTAAAACAGTATAACATTGGCAAGCTCCCCGCGTTACAATCTGATTGGTTCATTAAATTAATTCATACCCTCGTTTCCCATCACTCCAAAAGAGTAACCATAAGTATCCTCTCCCAACCTACTGAACCATTCCCAAACTGGTCCTCCACTTCTGAATCTCCTCCTCACTAATCTCCCTCAATTTATTAACACTAGCCGTCTTTCCCGTGATAGCTGCCTGCGCAACCTCAGCTCCTCGCGCCAACAATCCCTTGCGTACAATAGCATAGGTGGCTGTCTTAGCATCGACTTTGATAATTCCAATGCGTGGATCGTTGGGACCACCATCGTGGACGCCGTCGCTGAGATCGCCGAGCCAGGCTTTGAGGGTGGGGGTGTAGTATTTTTTGATTAGGTCGCGGTCGGTTTCTACGGTTGATAGGCCTGCGTCGAGGTGGGGGTGTTAGTGTTGTTAGGCGAGGGATTGGTTTGGGGGACGAGGGACGAGGGATAAGATAGAAGGGGTAGATGGAAATTACATACCGGAAATAGAAGCCCATTCTCCTGAGGAATTTAAGAATGATATGTTTATGTGGGAATCCGTTGCCAATTCGTCGGTCTTTCCGGACTCGGTATTGGTGTGGAAGAGAAGGGTTGTTCCTCCATTCTCCTATTTTTAATGGTTAGTAACCTTATCAATTGTTCAACCCGAGAAAAGAATCTCCCAAAGGAATTGAGTCTAAGTGGCTACCAAGCATTGAAGCTGTCAAAGTGATAGACTCTCTCTGAAAGATTCCAATACCCATCCACGCTCTCATGAAAAGCAACCAAGATGACCAAAAAATTAAAGAAAAAAGGAAATTTACCTTAGCAGCAACAGCCATACATCTACTAACCAACGCACCCGTCTTTCCATCCCTCGTAGTCATCATACCAAATTTACAGGCATCGATGAATTCATTCAAGTCTTCGACCTTCTCTTTTAAAGATACTTCGTCGATGTTCTTGGACTTGTATGGATCGGCGTCCTTGGATCCGGTATCTGCGTTGCTGAAAGACATTTTGCTAATGGGTTTTTTGGAGTGGTATGTAAGTGTTGGTTTTGAAAGGGTGTTGTGTTTGTGTTTGTCTGGAAAGAGAAGAGAGGATTAGTTTATTTGTTTGAGGTTTGAAAATCCTAGTGGTGAGGAGACGGGGTGATGGATGCATTTTATGGATGCATTTTATGGATGCATTTTATGGATGCATTTTATGGATGCATTTATGGATGCATTTTATGGATGCATTTTATGGATGCATTTTATGGATGCATTTTATGGATGCATTTTATGGATGCATTTTATGGATGCATTTTATGGATGCATTTTATGGATGGTTTATGAGGGATATCGGTAGAAAAGGAAGGGAAGAAGGAGAAAGGGAAGGAAAGGACAGGAAAGTACAACTCACAGATCTTTTCCGCTGATTAAACAGTATTTCGTGTAAATAGAAAAAATGAAACTAAATATTCAGATAGTACAGAACTCGAGGTAAGATATAATATGTATCTAAGAAGAAGTCGTCATGGACTTTAGCTTAATGTAGGATTACTAGGTAGGTCAACATCATACCTACCTACCTACCCATATCTACCTCTAAACAGGCTACTTTTATCTCAGCTACCCCGCTTTAAGCAATTGATCTGATCTGGTGCGTTGAGACTTCTGAGAGATGATGGATGATGATGGCAAAATAGGATTACGTCATCGGAATAAGGTTACCGTGGTTTGACTAATCGATTTGTTGAGATTGCCATGTTGCGCGCCATCGGGATCGAGGGGTTGAACATCGTGGCACGTGGATTTGTGGATCTTTTGGGTAGTTTTTAGATTATGTTATTAGTGGTTAGAGTGCAGATTCTATACTAGTGCGTTCATAGTACCTATACTTAGGGGGAGATCATGGAGCGGACCGATGATGGGAACCCCGTCATATATCGCGTGACTGGGTGATGTTCCCGTGTGTCTTGGTGTGATGAGTTTATTTGAACTCTTGCGGTGAGTAGATTGTAGATTTTCTCCTTATTCTAGATGTCTGGATTCGATGCACAAAGCTTGATTCGATGTTGCGTTTGGAGATGGAGGATTCATATATGACGCCATTGTTGCTGCACGTTCATTGGCTATGACGTGAATTATTCCGGCGTTAGTCAGCCGCGTCGAGTCTTCTTAGTAAACTTACGAGTCATTGATGTTAAGGAAGATTACTTCTATATACGCTCACTGGGCGTTTTTCATATCTTATTCACTTGTCATGGATAAATTGTTGGAACATTGTTTACTTTCTCCAAAGATCAAGCTGCGCGGGCAAGGTTAATCGATTGGGAATTGTTGAATTGATATTAAAAATTCTAATCCTTTGAAATTTAAGAGATAAATCCGACAAGCTCAATATATCCAGCATTGTTTGACGAGAGAACAATTTCTAATTGGTAGATCAAAGTTCTATCTTCGTTCTTGAAAGTACATTTTCCATGCAACCCAGCTCATAATCACCGTTGACACAGCCAATATCGTCGGTAACACCTTCATCACTTTCTGCAAAAGAACCATCCGATAGAACATACGAAGAAGATTTGCAGTCGTACTTCCCTCATTAGTCTTTGGGTATGGACTTGACGGTTGAGGTTTATTGAGAAATTGACACAGAGGTTCCCAACCCTGCCCAGCTTGAAACTCCAACAACTTTTCCTTGGGTACCAAAGATCTTATCAAGTCATTATGCTCCAAGAAACCCCGACGTAAAGCTGCTCGGTTTTTCCATTCGCCTCGAGTTATATGTGTCAAGATCATGTAGAGGAGACTTCGAAAGGCTCCCCATTCGTTGGGCTCGAGATACACGACAGGGTTCCAGGAGAGTATGTCGAGAATTTGGTAGTAGCATGACTCCATAGATCGAATCCAGCTGTCGGGGTCACGGGTGGTGAGAATAACTTTTGCGTTGGGGTATGCAGCTAATAGCTCCTCGCCAAAGTTGGCACAAGGACAGTCGGTCACAGCCTGGTTGGGCATGGCTATTAGCCTGGGACTATGCCTTCATTTGCGAGGAGTATATGGAGGCACTAGAAGACCTACATCGTAATTCCCCAGCAGTTTGTCGAATTCAACGAGGCCGTATGATTTACCATCATAGAACTTCGACTTCAATCCCTCCTCCCAGCACTTATTATGGAGTTTGTTGGAGAATAGTTGGTTGCCATGATATGGGGTATAGCCAAGCTGTTGAAGAGCGATATACAATGCTTTCAGTTGCAGTATTAGTAGGAGATACTCCAATCATTTTTGACACGTACAATTGGTTCCCGTACGAGATAACCCAAGACAAAGTAATTTCATATCCTTGGGTCGTTCCAACACTGTTGGTATCTTATCAATTTCTCTCATTGTCGGCATAGTTTTGTATATAGTGCCTTCCTGAAATTGGCTTCTTTGGAGAATATATAGGTGACCGCGACTTCACCTCGAGAACTGTTTAAGAAAAGGGAATTCCCAAACAATGGGATTTGAGCTGTTTAAGTGCCCATTGTCAACAACACAAGAGGCCGCCAGTAGGCTGCATGTTGGGTGCGGGGTAGCTGCATTCTACTCCGTAAATGGAGTAACCGTGACTTGTGTGACCCTATTCCGAGGGCTAAGGTTACCAGGGAGCCAATCACAATTCAAGTTTAACAGCAACAAAATGATAAGACTGAACATGTCACACAAAGAAGCACAAGGTGCAGACTGTAAGAAGGACGGAACGAGTGCATCGTGTTAAATGTGGGTACCCATACTGCAGGGTGGAAGAATAATAATCATCCGGCAGTGAAAGAAGGGTAAGATTATTACTGAATATATAGTGTGAAGAAAGTTCGGCGACACAAGGTAAACATTCAAGAGGGGTTATTGGGGTCTTTATGGTATTTCCTTCTTGCGGACTGTTAATACTGTATCACTATCACAAGAAAATTTCGGTGAATAGCCAAGTGGTTCCGTTTCTAATGCTATTTGATATGAGCTAGCTCATTTGCCATTCATTCTATTCTTCGCTACTATCACTTAGACGCCCGCAATAGGTAGCATCATTGTAATTCTCCCCGCTGATTTCTCTTATCAATGAAAGAGATGAACTTCTTAGTGTATATATCGTGCCGCACGTGCGTGGAATATGAATAAAGATCCGAATCCTTAACGATACATTTGAGTAAATGATGAAAGAAGATATGTTAAACGGAGTAAAGATTTTGACTTGTGTTCTGTTCCTATTCTCCCATGAAATGTGAGAGTCACATTATAATGTAGATACTATCTCAAGATGCGAGCATGATGTGGCACAATTGAATGTGCAAATCCGCATCAGTGGTATCAAAATCATGAATAAACTGTGGCTTATTGAATCGTTTGTGAGATTATAAATACCTATGCGTGTCTGGGTTGTGCTAGACGATGTCCTTCAGCAAGGACTTCTTCTGCTGTGTACCTGAGCATTGCCAGACAATTTCATACATACTACTCTACCGCTTCAAAAACTATCAAATAGAGAGTAGAGACCCTTTATATCTATCTATTTAATCATTCAATATAATTGATTCTATCTCGTACTCTGTTCATTATTTTCTATATTAGCTCTTGTTCTCCCTTGCACTCTTGGTATTCTCACTCTGCCTAACCGTCTGATAGCCTACACTCAACCAAAAGTAGCTCTAATCCCAACCTACAAGTACCATTTGCATCTTCTGTATAAGCTTAAAAGTTACAAGTGCTATAGTACGCTTAAGAATGCGTATGTTATGGATTAATGCATATACTGGTCATCAATCACACAAGCAAAAAATGGAAGAGTTTTAGTCAGGATTATGTTAAAAGATCTATAATACTAATTCTGTCCTCTCTATGGATATCTTTAGTGATGAATCTTGCAAATATATGAATGCCCTTCATCGATATCAAGGAAATATTAAATAAGATAAAAATTCTCTACCTCTATTGGGATCCATGCGTAGTTCTGAGCAACCCATCGAATAGAACCGACTCATCTTATACATCTCTTCGCGTCGGCTATTTATGTTTTAAAACTAAGCCAACATTAAATCAGGAATTCTTTTTTAGTCTCTTAGTTATGATCGTTCAAAAAGAGTTTCAATATCAAATATTACTGCCCCTACATTCTCTATCCAACTCGCCTCTTCCTAGAACTCCAAGTCCCCGCTTATTGCTCTTTCGCTCTTACTTCATTTGTGTATTATATCTCGATTGTGATCAGCACTATCATCATGTGCCTACGTTGTCACTCTCTTGGTGATTTGGGCAGTTCGTTGTGTCCAATGACGGCAAGGACTCCCTAGGTCCGAACTTCAAGCTCAAGACAACTACCCGATCATCCACGGAAAATATCTTTCATATCCATTCAATGATATACGTTATAGAAGCATCTCCACTATCTAGACCACAATGGGTCATGAAATTGCTCAACAACGAGAAGAAATTAAAATAGATGGAGTTCTTGTTTGATGCAACTCATCCCCTTAGTCATTTTGTTACATAAAGTATATTAGAATATAACCATCGTCATCCTATATCACCTTCTTCAACAATTAGATGATGCTTTAGATAAGTCCAATGTGGTGAATGCTAATTCCAACGTCAAGTGATAGCCCGGTGAATCTTTCGAGTATTGATAGATATCATAATTGATTGATTCAAAAGCTAGCTCCTACATCAGAACCACAAGAATACCTCCCACATCGATGCGGAAAATCTTCCACCTTCCCTCGAGACCGAAGAGACTCAACTAAAACTCAATCGACGGTATAGACGTTGCTAGTCCTCGATAGGTAAATAGAATCATTGAAGACAGCCCAAAGGAAACTGTAGAGCTAGAGCATTGTGTGGGTGTGGAGAAGACCCCGGAAGAAGAACTATTAAGTTAGGTTTTTGCAAGAGTTGCACTAGTCATCAAGTGAGGACCTAAGCTCCCTTTCCCGGGTCTAGACATCAATATCAGATTTGGATGTAAAAAAAAACTCAAATTTGCTCAATCACATCTAGACACTGATTTTTTCAACGTTCATCAATCGATATTAGTGGAGATGCGGTAATTGTATAAGACATGTTTTGGATTATAATAATTAATTAATCAAAGAGTTAAATTCTTCAAAGTAAGAAATATTCTTCTAAAGTCTCTTGGTGGCTAATCAAGGGAGCTAGTGAATCATAAAATATATCAAGTATCAAAATTCTAGATTTTTTATAATTTTATTAATTGAAATGTTAATAATTGAATCTCTCAATCTCATCCTATATATAAGTCATATACACACTATTATTCATTAATTACTAATAATTTAAATATTATTTATTATTATTATCATTATCATTGATTACCAGCGTCGTTTATATACCACCACTTCTACTCTTTTTACTTTCTTTTCATTATCACATCGGGTAACACATCTAGAGATGTAGATAGAAATGGCTGTTGCGAACTTTCGTTGTAGCCGGTCTTAGTTCATACTTGAGTTTTCTTCATAAATAAACTATTCACAGTTTTATATACTCAGACTTAGGCACTAGCTATCTTCCATCGTATAAATTCATCATCTCGCACTCATAACAACACCGGCTCACGCATAGCACTATTAATCAATCTGAATTTATAAAATCCTCATTATTAGACTTTGGATACACGAAAGGTTGAAATAATCGCACAAATGACTCCGCTGCTGTAGTGGGGAAAAAACAACAAGAAGAGGAAACAGCCAGGATACCGAGTACGAATACACCATCCTTACTGCTCACGCCTCAATTTCCCATATTTTTCCTACTTCCGGGAACAAACATCCCCGATTAATCACGACGTATAACAACCCGGATATATGTAGCTCCTGGGACCTATTCCTTTCATCATTGAATCGCTTGTAACACCTGCTTTTGAGCATTCATATCTGCATTTCCTATCCAGCTCAAATATCCTTCCCGTGTTTCACCGACACTTCCAGAGATCTGTTGACTGGTGACCTTTTCTTATATTTGAATTGGCGTAGTTATCGTTTATGAAGTCTTCTTTTGAGCTGGAGCGCCACCAATGTACTTTCCAATATCAGTAGTATCGTGGAAAGTTCTAGCACCACCCTTAAGAGCCTCCCAAACTTGTCTTGCTGCTGGTGGAGTAGATTGAGCTCCAACAAGGCTATCGATTCTTGCCTCCAATTGTCTGAATTGTGCTTGAACAAATGTGGATTGAGAAAATCTTGAGCGAAGGAATGCAGTGTAAATGAAGATCAAAATCCAGGAACCCGATTGAAATGCAATAGCGGAGAGGAAAATGCGAACCCAGAGGATAATTTCGAGAAGAGCGACAAGTCCCATAGAGGTATCATAGTATTCCTTGACAAACTTTCCAATGGTATCGGCCATAGCGTTTGGCTTTGGAGCAGCCTTAGGGTCGGCACTTTGTGGAGCTGGTTGAAGAGTTGGGATGAGATTGGTACGGGTGTAAGTTGCGACGTGAAAGACGGAGTAGACACCAAATGGAAGCATGGCGATGGGGTATTGTTTGGAGAAAAGCCATACAATTGCCATAGCTATCATTTGTTAGCCTGTAAATGACCAAGTCAGTCGAGAAACCACTTACACAAGTATTGAACATTTTCATCGGCGATATATGAGATCAAACCTGCTTGATTTGCTCTTCCAGCTCTGGCGCGAGCACGGAATGCCTTATAAACCACGATCCCGTAGGTAACGGCGGCAGAAATAAAGGCGGTGCGATAAGAAAATGTAGCCCATCTCGAGTAATAGTTGAAAGTTATGTAGGAAAGGCCATATCTGAAAATACAGAATAAGAGGGAAAGGTGTCTGGCAATCAAAGTCAGTATATACCACAAAATCGCATGGCATAAAGTTGAGCAAGTAAAATGCTAAAGCTTTGTTGAAACTTTTGGATGGCTGCGATGAGACCACATCTTTATTATCCAAGCTCCCAAGAGCTCTCTTTGACGCGGGGAGTAACAATAGAGAGCACAACATACCCAACGAACCAAGCAACTATAGCGACACCATGATCAGTAAATATCCTCATGCATGTATCGAGAGAAGCATCAACTTACACTGTAATGTCTGCGCGAGTTGTATGAGCCTCTGCTGAAGTGGGAGAGCAGGGGAAGGTGGGGGAGCCATGGTGAAGCTGCGATATGATCTTTCTCCTTGATCAATTCAGGTATGTTTCCTTTGTTATTGTATGGCAATTGATCTGTAGACTTATCGGATTGCTGTGTAATGCAATAATTGTGTTGTGTTGTGTAATTGTTGAAGTTGTGAGGAAATATTTGTAGCTTTAAAGTAATTGTGTCAACAGGTTTTGGTTGGTTGATGGGAAGAAGTTGGTGGAAGGGAAGATGGCTGGATTGCAGTTCTAGTTGGAAATCCCTGTACTGCGTCACTCAAGCGATTTTCTTTTCTTTTTTAGCTTGGGCTGGGCTGATAAGGAAGTTCTTCTGAATTCAGATTAAATAGATGAGATGAGATGATTTTCTTTTTCTTTATTGAAAAAGAAAGAGATTAGGAAGATGGAGTAATTGATTTTATGATGGAAAAATCAAGTAAATATATATGTAGGTGTCATGATGGTTAATTCTTGCGATATGTATTTATATGTATATTCACACATTCATTCATACAGTTACATCCACTCATCCAATTTCCAATTTCCAATTCCCAGTTTCCTTGGTTCCATTATTACACCAAAATCATGATGTGGCTTGCTTTCCAAAGAACTTGTCCTTATTGCGCAAGAGAGCGTCATAACCTGCTTAGGCCCATCTCCATCTCTATCTCTATCCCTATCTCTAGCTTTCTTTAGCTTGACAGGCTTTGTTAGCCAAGGCCATCAGGGCCTAACATTCTGACGCGCAAACATACCTACCCTCCCTGGTCTTCACATGCTACTGAATATTCAACATGATTTCATCATAGGTATACTATACCCTCCTCATATACATTGTATTCATGTACTCAGTCAGACCAGAGGATAATTCACCATTGGTCATTTCATTAAAGTTATCATTGAATCTCGGCATTCTGTGATTTTCATGTGTCGATTAAGATACTAGGTATATGTCTGTCTACCTCTCCCAACTACTTATAAATAACATGGTATCTTCCTGTTCACTCCCGAAAACTCCAAAACCTCCCATGAATCATCGTTAGACTCCTAGTATGCATTTATCTTACAGATATATCCCCTAAACCAAACGCCATATTATTTTCTCTTCTGAATGTGCTTACCCACGGTATTCATCTTCGCATTCGTTTGTTAAAATGTCGATAATCTCGACCATGTCCGTGACCGTGACCATGCCCATGCCCATGTCCATGATGCCGTCCATGATGTGGCTCTCTCGGAGTTTGATGCGTCGGTATTGGCTCAACAGGCACCGTTTCTTCCACTTCGATCTCATAACTTTCATATTCATCTTGAAAGTATTCATTAACCGTGTCTCTCTCGTTCTTGGCCGTGGCCACATCCAGCATGAAGCGTACTGTGCCATTTTGACCACGAACACCTGTGAATTGTTTCCCACCCGAGCTTATCGATTTGGGGCTTAAGTTTGCTGGTGATGCAACATGACCATTAAATCGCAAATCCGCGGGGCTGGCTGGTGTGACAGGGGTATTAGGAGCATGTCGCATGCCATTATTTCGTGCCGCTTCGTAGTATTCGGTGTAGCGCGGTAACTTCTTCCCTTCCAGTTCTTGGTTGATTGTAATCCGGATGCTGATAAACTTCTCAATATTGTGTAAAGGCCCAACGATGGACTGCTTCTGATAATGTGTATAGAGATCCAATAGATCCAGCATAGTCTCCATAATTTCTGATCGAGTAGTCCACCATTTTTTATAGCTTGGACCTTTCCAACCCTTTTGCTTCTCACAAATCAATGTCGCCAGTTCCACACAAGCATAGGACATAGTAGAACAAGTTTGCTTGAGGGGTGCAAATGTTCGATAAAGATCCAGCATGACCTGATAGGCAACCTCTGCAACATCTCTTTGAATTCCACCATTTTTAACAAGCTTAATAAGATGTTTCTGTGGATAACGAACGCGGAAGTCGAAGCTAGATGCCTCCAGCATAAGACGTTCAAGGCCAATGACGACCTTAGAAGGACCCTCAAAAATCTACTTGGATTAGCTAACCATTTATGATCATGACGTATGCGGTAATACATACAGTATCATCAGAACTCAAACGCTCTGCAGCTGCATGCTTCAAATTATGTGCTGCACAAATGATCTCCTTAGATTTTTTAAGAGTATCTTCAATCTTGCAAGCCGTTAAAAGCGCAGCGGCGGCTGCATCTTGATACTGATATTCAGTATCTTTGTGAACAAGTCGAAATCGATGAAAGTACGTGGCAGCCGTGCAAAATGTTCGAACAGGTCTTATGGAAGTTAGTTCTCTGTATTTGCAAACGTGAGAGTGATACTGACAGTTGTAAAGCAATTCTAACATCATTAATCCATGTCACTCCCTGTAGTCTGAATTGGTCTTCGCGCGTAGGATTTGTGCCAATGATCATAAGTTTTGAATTGATATGTTGCTGAAACATGTACGGTTTGGCGACTTGAATGAATGATGGATGAGGACCCGTAGGGTTGGCCTGAGCTGGTTCTGGAGCAGGTGCCATTGGGGCGGGTGCCATTGAAAGAGGATTCAAGATCAATGGAAGGATGTGTAGAAAAATAGGTGAAAGCGTCTGAGAGTATGTCGACCAAAGGCCCCTCACATCTATGTTCGGCTTTCCGTCAGTCTATTGTAGATCCGCCTCAAATTTGGTGCAAAAAGTGACAAACAGCTGCAGTAAAGCTTTCCAGCTATCCAAGTTTGACTACCTATGTAAAGCTCTGCCAAAGTCGTGCAAATTTGAGCCTTTGCAGTGTTGCGACTAGCGACGCGCACAGCGAGTGTCTTCGGAGTCGCAAATCGATTTTGATAGTAGGTTTTCCTTCAGCACGGTTCTCGTTGAATTTCACGGAATGCGATTCGTTGACCACTCCAGATACCGTAGTTCGTTCGTTAACTTGCTGATTGAACGATGATATAATGCGAAAGTTTGAAGATGCAAAGTTATGTCAGTTTAATTCTTATAGACAAGAGGATGGTGATATTATTCGGATTTACTTTCTTCCTGTACATGGCAGAATTATCAATCTGGTAAGCGAGTATCTATCTAAAGCGGCTCTAAGGGTACGGGACATCAGGGTCTCGAGGCTATGGAGGCTACGAATACCTTCAGCTGCGACATCGACAAAGACATCTTCGTCAGCTGAACAAGAAGACATTATCTACGAAATCTATCGCTCCATCAAATTGGATCAAAGTACTTAAATAACCTACAGCTTCTGGTGGTTTCATACACTAATTAGCATCAAAACTGTTACTTGTAGAGCTTCAACCTTCATACCCGCCACCAAGCTCACCAACATGGCGCCCATTACCAAAATCGTCTCCTTGCTCAGCAGCGCAGCTCTCATCAACGCTCTCGTTCTTCCAGAAAGCATTCTCGATTTTCCTATTGCGAACGATGCACATGCCACTCTCTACGATAAGAACAGTCCTCTCCCAAGTATTTTTAATCTCACCTTGTCCGCAAAGGCTCGCCAAACCACAAAGCCATCCGACGATGAAGATGATACTCCGCTGCCCTTGATTATCTGGCATGGCCTTGGTGATAACTACAAAGCAGAGGGACTTGCACAAGTTGGTGCATTGGCTGATGCTATTCATCCTGGAACTTTTGTTTATAATATCCATCTTGATGATGATGCATCTGCAGACAGGACGGCTACCTTCTTTGGAAATCTCACTCGTGAGCAAATCCTCCAGTCCCTTTAGAAATATCTATACTAACCCTAGACACAAGTCCAAATTGAGAAAGTCTGTGAAGACCTCGCCTCCCACCCTATTCTTTCCACAGCCCCCGCTGTCGACGCAATCGGATTTTCCCAAGGCGGCCAATTCCTCCGCGGTTACATCTCCCGCTGCAACACACCTCCCATCCGATCGCTCCTAACTTTTGGCTCCCAACACAACGGTATTTCATCCTTCCAAGGCTGCGCTCCCGCCGATTTCCTCTGTCGCGGCGCTCAAACCCTTCTCCGCGCCAATACCTGGTCGACCTTCGTCCAATCCCGTCTCGTACCCGCCCAATACTTCCGCGACCCCGAAAATCTAGAACCTTATCTCGAATCCTCCAATTTCCTCGCCGACATCAACAACGAGCGCGTATTGAAAAACGAAACATACAAATCAAACATGGAAAAATTGGAGCGATTCGTAATGTACGTCTTCGAAGACGACACAACTGTAATCCCCAAGGAAAGCGGATGGTGGGCCGAAGTTAACGGAACGGAAATCACACCACTGAAAGAAAGACCTATTTATAAAGAAGATTGGATAGGTTTGAAGACCCTAGATGAGGCTGGAAAATTGGTATTCAAAACGATTCCAGGAGGCCATATGACGTTGGGCGAGGATATGTTGGAGAAGGCTTTCAAGGAGTACTTTGGTCCAGCAGGAAAGAAGTTTGGCAAGAAGGAAACCGAGTGGACTGGACACGAGGAAGAATTGTAGAGAGGCTCGATAGTGTTAGGCTTAGGCTGTCAGATTGATTTCTTGTAGGATTGCAACAGGATTATGGAGCCGGCGACGGACGTTATTTGTAGTTTTAGATACTGGGCGTAGGTTTACGGGAAGGGGGGCGTTTACTTCTACGGTTTTGCTTGAAAGATTGACTAATTATCAGGATAATAAATAGTATGTTAAACACCAGAATGAGAGTTTTCTTTTTCGCTATTAGCCATCACTTAAACCTCACATTCAACAGAGACATGCAGATATCCAATCCATTACAACAAGATTCCCTTTCATTACAATCATCTATCTACTTCCAAAGCTCGGTGGCAATGCCCAGTATAGGTGCAAGTAGAAGTAATCCGCGAATGAAGTCTTTCGTCGCTATTACTTACACACATGCAAAACGTGAGATTACTTTTAACTCCAAAACGCCTTTTAGTCCTTCGTTCGACAGGCCCTGATGCGACATACGTCTAACTTTTCTTTTCTTGCCCAAGAGTCTCGTTCCTCTTTGGATCAAGTGCTTCTCGGACATTGGCTTACCCTCAAGCCAGAAACAGAACTTAGGCAACAACCTTCTTGGTCTTCTTGGTCTTTTTAACCACCACGGGAATAGCATCCAAATCCTTTGCCGCATCCTCCTTTTGTTTCTTCAACATTTCCTTCCTCAATGCAATTTCCTTGTCCAACTTATCATCGTTACTTTCCAACAACTTTTGCTTCTTCTCCTCTCCTCCCTTTTCTTCAACCTCACTTCCCTCAATGCCCCTACTCTTTCTCTTCTTATTCTTCTTCTCTGCGGCCCTCTCCTCAATTTCCCGAACTACACTCTCATCCAAAACATCTTCATCCTCAACCCACAATTCATCGGCCAACCAGAGTGGAAGCGCCATGGTCTCTGGTCCCTTGACGTGGATTGCTCGAACTCCTCTCCATTTCTTAGGAACATACTTCTCAATCACAGTATTAGCCACCACCTCCAAATTCTCCGCTAATTTCGCCGCATCCCAACTTGCATAACCAATTCTAATCGCACTATTCGTCGAGCTACTCAAAGTGAGCAATGCACTCGAAATAGCCTTTTCAATCTCCGCCGCAATCTTCTTTGGCTCAGCCGACTTTGGTGCATCCTCTCCCTTAGCTCTTGCGATTCTCTTGCCCTCGGATTTGGGAGCTTCAGCTTGGATAGAAACGGGAATAGGACGCTTGGTAGTTGATTTGTAGAAATTTTTCCCCAATAATTTGGGCAACAGAGTAATAATTCTATCATCTGCAACGAAGATATCATGTTCGGCGAATAATTTGCGTTGCGCTTCATATTGCTTGTATTTCTTCTTGAGTTTATCGACACCCACGACTTTGGTGATGCGTTTGGAGAGTTCTGCAGGGAAGGCGGCAGAGGCAACGATATCTTTGTATGTTCGTTGAGGGTCGGCAACGATCAGACAGATGGAAGTGGTGCTGGAGGTGTTAAGAGAATGGGGAACAGTGACTTTGACGGGCTTGAGCTTAGTTTTGTCGGTAATGTGCTTTTTAGTCGTGAGGGTTAGCCAAACTGGAGTGGATTCTGCATCGTCGTCGTCGTTTTCGGCAAGGAGGTTTTTAGCGCCTGCTTTTTTGGCTTTTTCGGCCTCGGTGCTAGAGATATGTTTGACGAGTGCAGTAGATGCTTTCAATACCTAGTAATGATGGGTGAGTATGCGTCAATTGGGTGAAGAGAGAAGAGTGAAAAAATACCTGATCATGATCAAGTTGATATGGCGAACCACTCTCGACCTTTGTGGTCAAGGTAGTAGATTTCGGTGCCATTATATTATGAAGAACTTTTCGGTTGAACAAAGGATCGTCCTTGAGTTGGCGATTTATAGATTGTAAGGAATTGAAGAATGCGCAATGTCAACTCTTTCTTGTTACTGTTCAAAAGAGTTGTGCAGATGTCGAAAGCTTCTTACGATAAGAAATTTTATGCGATTTGAATTTTGATAAATAAATTTCTTTGGCGTCGGAGGTTTAATGAGAATTTCTCCGATAAGGCTACGAAAATGCGTTGAGGCACCTTCTCGCTTGCCGTATCTTATCGTGAGACTACATTATGCAAGGCTGAACGATGCGATAAGAATTTATGAAGCTGCTTTGTACAATTAACGAGCATGATATATAAAATATAAAACATGATATGAACTTCTAAACTTCTAAATAGATTTATTCCTGCCAGAAATAAGGCCTAATTTGGCGCAATTATTAATCTACCTAGCACTTATAACAATGACAGATATACAATTTACCTCTTCTCGGCCAAACCAACCTCGCAAGACCCCTTCCTTTAGCCCCGAGTATGCATTCTGCACCTAGGACATTCCACTCACTACCCATTCTTTTACCCATTGATTCATTAACCGCCGCCAAAACCTTACACCGCCTTCGCCCATCTCAAGCTTTCTTCTCAAGCAGAAAGCTAGAAGCATTCGAAGTGACATGAATGCATGAATCAAGGAACAGGTAACCAAGTACATACGAAATCTGCAGCCATCGTGGACGAGACATTACTTGTCTTTACTTACACCAGCTACCTTGCTACGATTCAAACATCGGAAACACACATGTTCTAGAATAATATAACATAACATAATCAATACAATAACTCAGCTTGTACATTCATTCCTACCTAGTAGCTAGCTTGCCTGCTTTCATTCACAACCCATCAATCAAAAGTGTTTTAATCAAACCAGCGCGTAAAACTCCGGCATATCATATCGCGTTTGGAACGCACAAAGCACGAAGCACGAGCACGAGCACGAAACGAAGGTGTTCAAGGAGGCTGGAATTGGGTTATGTGTCGCGTGTATGGTGGAGTTTGGCATGCGGGTGGGATGAGAGGGGATCGGATGGGATAGGATGTGAAAAATTGCTGACTAGGTAGGCTTGGGCTCGTGGTTGGTGACGAGAGTGAAAGAATGAATGGGGTGGATGGATGGATGGATGAATGAATGAATGAATGAATGGATGGATGAATGAATGGATGGATGAATGAATGGATGGATGGATGAATGGATGAATGAGAATTAACTTGTAAGAAATGAGGATTGAGGTATAAAAAGTTATGAATGCCTACCCAACATGCGTATATTGTAAGTCTTATAAAGAATCCAAACCTACTCGGTGTGTAATGTGCACTCACTCATGTACTCGTATACCCTTCTTTGAAATGGGCTCGAGAGCATGACTTTATGTAAGTCTTACAACCTAGGTAGATACTAGACACATAACTTGGTATATAGGAAGTGAGTTGTTAATTTAACACTGATATATGAAAATGGGCTTTGGTAAAGTTATGTACTACTTGAAGAGGAGGTGAAGAATAAAATACTCTGCCACATAATGAAAGAAAGTATCTGCTACCCGATATTAAAAGTCATTTCTTCAACACTTCTACAAGTGAACGGAATATTTATAAATAAACCTCATCATACAAATTCACTTCTTTCTTCTCAAGTACAGAGTTACATTTTTAAACGTCATAATTTCCAAGTACAGTTGCAGTATTGATTTTTGTGAAAATGGCAGAATTCATAATTAATATTTTTTTTAAAGCGGCCAATGAACATTTTTAGACTCCAACGCGGGTCGCGTCTGGTCCCGATGGGTCTGGGAACTTTCTTAACCTCCTCTTCAACCTTCCCGATCCTCCACCTCTAAACCAGAGACCTGGTCGGAGGCCCCATACAAAACCCAAGTCTCTTCCTTTCACAATCTTTTGATTCCATTTCATAGATTTGGCAATTCTTCTGTTTCTGTTTCACCAAATACTTTCTTCCAAAATTCTTCTTTCGCTCCTCGGCATCTCTGAAAATCCTATGAGCCTCGCGTTGGACTCTCAACTCACCCACCGCGTTTAAGGTCGCGGTCTAAGATATCCACTTTGAGGAGAAATTCCTTTTGACCTTTCATCACCTGTGATCGAAAGGACATCTATCATGATCGACTCTTCACCAAGCAAGATTAACGCTCAACCGACCTTGCCAGCAATGGCGGGTACAAAGCGTCCTGCACCAACCTTACTTCCACCCTTTGAGCCACTTCCCTCATCCTCACCTAGCCTACCAGGACGTAACACTAAGAGGATTCGTACTTCCCCATCTGCCTTCGAACCGGCTTATAAGTATCCCACTCCAATTCCTACTTCCACAACAGGTATCCTTTCATCCTCACCTCCAGGGGTACACGCTCGGGCCGGTCTCCATCGAAGTCGATCCTCCATTGAAAGAGCTCCTCTGTCAGCTGTGCCAACAATCACTCTTTCCGAAGATGGAGAGTCTCTTCTCATGGGTAGATCCAGCAACTCCTCACACTATCAATTATCTGCCAATCGTCTCATCTCTCGTGTCCACATCAAAGCTCGATATATTGCTGCAACAGTCCCACTCGAGTCAAACAAAATTGAGATTATCTGTTGTGGATGGAATGGAGTCAAATTACATTGTCAAGGTCGAACATGGGAGTTAGCAAAGGGGGATAGTTTTACCTCAGAAACGGAAAATGCTGAGATCATGTTGGATGTTCAAGATGCAAGGGTCCTGGTTGCTTGGCCACAAGGTGATCATCTTGATTCGGCTGCTCCAACAGAGGTTCCTTCGTGGAGCGAGGATAGTTCTCCCAGGGGTAAGGTTACTGCCGTTACTGCTCAGGGTGACATTATCCATTCCAGTCCAATTCGTCGTGTTGAACGCCCTTCGTCCCCGGTATCACCAACACCTGCTCGCCCGACCCTTTCGTCTGCCAACTTAGCCAACCTCTTTGCTGATGATGCAGAGAAGACCTTCATTCAAGTATATGAAGATAAAGCAGAGCCCGCTCTAGTTACTGAGTCTAAAGATCCTGAATCAGCATACTCACCAACAGTTGCTGCAACATCATTCAATGCATCATTCCCAGCTAGTCAAGAGAGTGAGTTGAGTGAGCCAGATGAAGACCCTGATGAAGAAAATGATCCAATTGTCCACTCCTTTGGTCCTTTTGGTGCAAATCTCTCCTCGAGAATGGCCCAATTCACAGCTGGCCATCTCCAAGAAGCTCGTGGCCGTGATGAACACAAGCCTAAGACATCTCCTGAGAAACGATCAAGCTCCAACTCTACTGATGAGGGTGCTGTTACTCCTGTCATTAACCATGTAGCGAATCAACTTGCCTATTCTCGTCTTCAATCCATGCCATTGTCAACTATTCTCAGAAACCTCCCATCCAATCTTAGAGGTATTAGTCCCTCAAAACAGGAAAACAAGGGCCTTACAAAGGAAGATCTCCGAAAGATGTTGAATAGGACATCGTTCATAGGCGAAATCCATCGAGAGGGAAAAGACGCTGCGGGAAAGCCACTTGAGAGTGAATATTACTACATCCCAGATGAAGATACCGATCAGTCAAGGAAGGAGACAGTTCAGGAAGGATTGAGGAAACCCAGTTTGAGGAACTGTAGAAAGCAACATAAGGTAAGATGCATCCGGCCGTTGACCATATGTACGTATATCTAACTCCTCCGCAGCAATATTATTGGAAGCGTCCACGAACTCCATAAATGTGCTGTAGTAATATGACTTCAGGTTTCGCTCAAGCTAAGAATCGAAGTTCGTGAGTCGCGGATGCTCCATAGCTTCAACATCGATTCACCAAATGTAAGATAAACGACTTTCACGACGGTCGTAGCGGTATAGTTGGGTAGCATAACGACCAAAAAAACTGTTTGTATACGATGATGGATGGATGATATCAGGCTATTTCAGGTCCCTCATACCCTTTTATTTGCATAGCGAGGCGTCAGTTAATTATTTCGTGCGTTGGTATTCTGCTGGTTACATAAATTTCGAGGCGGCCCTATTCGGTTCAGCACATGGAGAGGTAAAAGTAACTTTTTCAGTCTCTCAGACGAGGTTGTCATGTAGTAAAAACACAACGAAAAAGCATTTATGAAGTTCTTCCCATTGTCGCAAGTGAATGGCGCAGGTAGAGGAAGTACCAGCAGAATGATCTCTGATGAGATATAATGAAATATGATGATGTTGATGTGGTAATATGGTTTGCGACAATGAGTGAGAGAGGCACAATAAATATAAAATCAAAAGGTCGGCAAGGTTGTGGTGTTGTGGCAGCGAGTGATTAAAGTGGCGATAAGAAAACCCAATCTTATCAGTGAATCGTTTCGAATCGTTCCCGCAGAATAAGGTTAAGCGACCCCGCATTAGACTAGTACACGTGCCTCCAATTGAACCCGGACTTCCCACAAGCAGGAGGTGAAGTGATGTCAAACTTGTTCTCTAGGGGGAAAGGACAAAAAGCACATGTTTGAGAAGAGAAGACGACAAGTCATACCACCTTCACGCTAGGTAATGTACTGATGATGGGGTTTGCATGAAGGAGAGGTTTCTCCCCTCGTATAGATTTCCTGTTTCTTTTACGCCTTTTGATTGCATTTAGATTTTTGTTTGTTTGTATGATAGATAGGATAGGATGATAAAGAGGGGTAAAGGGGGAAGAGTACATATCTTTGGTGCTTGGATTCTGAGGGTCGTCATTGATAGCAGCATCTTGCCTTGCAATCATAAGGCCATACCTACTTATTATATCACTCCATTGATAGTGAAGACAAAGGAAACAAGGATACGGGGGCTGTATGAGCTCGATCTTATCCTATTGCTGCCAGTAGTGGCGAGTGAAATCTCATGATTTTGAAGAATTAGTCATACGATTTGTGGGAAGTATTTTATGTAGGTTGAATATATATACTTTGAAATTCTTTCTATCAAAGGAAAAAGAAAAAGAAAAAGATTACAACTACAAGCACCTAAAACTTGAAAACTCGAAATCCATTGCAGTTTACGTGTTTCCACACTTTTTTCTTTTCTGCGGGCATTGATTGACGTCACGCGGGCAATTGGAATATTGCGGAGAAAAGCTACCTATTTCCTGTAATTTCTCAGTTTCGATCGGCATCTTGCAATCATCTGCAAATAAAGCCATTCCTTCCTCAGATCAAATACCTTTTGATCAATCTTTCTCTAAAAGTAGTTACACAACACCTGCATTTATTCATTCTACCTCTCAAATAACTTCACCACATACCAAACAAAACCTACATAAAAATGGCATCCACCACATCCACAGCAACCACACCAGCCCAGACCAGTACTTCATACCACGACGAAGCCTCCCTCCCACATCACACTAAATCCGCCCCCAACACCACAACTTCCCAATCCACTGAAGCCGAGGTATCCATGCCGGACGGCCGCCGCAATTCCCTCGGCGAACCCCTACAATCCTCAGTCGAAACGTGGAAACCGAATCTGGTCAGAAATCAAAGTTGGAATCATCAGGATTTGAAGAGATTACATGTTGAAGAGGGTCTGAAGAAGGAGGAATGGAATAATGATGAGGGCGTGGCGGGTCTGGGATATAGTTATGAGAATGAAGAGAATAGGAAGGTGTAGAGGGTAGGGATATGGTGTTGGGTTGAGTGGGATGGTGAAATGTGGGGTCTGGGAGGATGTGAGGGGTTGGATGGACGTGGAGCTGGAGAGTATTGGATGGGCGGGGATAAATTGATATCGTAAGTGGATGAATGAAAGAATGAATGAATGGACTGGCAAGGACGGACGGACGTAAAATTAGCTGTTGCTCAGGCAGAAGGAATTGGAATGGCATACGTGGGAGGAAGTAAAGAAGCATAATTTGGTATCGACGGTCGGTTTGAAGGAAACACATGCTGCGTCGGTCTATGAATTCGGGTAAAATGAAAGCTTCAACATAGTAAATTACATCAAAAAATGCTATTTATCACTCCTTAATCTCTCCCGGTCTAACAAACCTCGTTTTCTCCTGAACTCCATGTCTACTAGGTATATACGTTCTTAGTATCCAACCATGATGAATAACAGCGATAGTCTACTTTAACATCCTCAATCGATTTCCCACCCCGAGCTAATTACTTCCCTAACTCCCTGACATTGAGCTGAGACCACAATTTAAGTTCTCATTCAAGCGCGCCTACGATTCATTAGCTCTTTTCATTCAACGCCTCTATCAGACCCGTTGCTAGATAGATATCAAGTCCAACCAACCTAAGTCCCAAAAATACAGCTACTTTCTGAATTCTTGTCTCTGGTGCCCGTTATCTTAAGCCTTAAGTACGCACACGAGCATTTCCTAGGAGGAATATCCAGAATAATCGTCGCCAGGTGCAGAACTATACGCGGTAGATTGCTAGAAATTAGATTGCATGATCTTAGGTGTTCGTTGGATACGGCTTCTAGATATAATTTTCCACCGGGATTTATTTTTCAAGTCGATATTGTTTCTCATGAAAGGAGACGTGAAAATATGGGGTGTTGGATTTTTTGTCTTAAGCGCTGCTTGATCATATTTCTGCATAGAGACTTGCTTTTCTGCCCCTCTATAACGCTTCTGGGAATTAGTGTATGGAACAGAAATTCCACCGCGGGGAAGAATGGAGGGTGTCGCAATCAATACACCCTTGGAATAACTGGGTAGCATGCGTATTCGATGATCGTATTATCTTTTTTTCGAGGCAGCTGAATGATGCTCCGATACCAATGCACAATTAATGTCCATTACAAGAAAGTTCAACTAACGTAATGTCGATTCGAGCGCCTTTCACTCAGTTCTCAGACTTCTCAGCAGATTCCTCTGATTTTAGAGATCAGCATACCAGCATGAGATTGGATCAGCGGGTATTGTGTACAGATAGTTTCATCGGCGGAAAAATAACTCAGCAGTCCTCGAACACGGGCGTGAAACTTAAGGTCAATGATGGTGATGAAATTATCAGCCTGATTCTTCGGTGCGAGAATAATTAGCAACCGTTTTCCACTTGACTTCCAGGGAGTATTTCCGAATGGAGTCTACCAATTCTTGTTTCGGCGAGCGCGCTTGTGGCTTGGACCGAAAGTTTATGTTGTTTCAAACTTGCTTGTTGGTGAATGTGACTTTATCTAGTGTGAGGCGGTAGATTTCTCCGTAGGTTTCATGGAACTCTTTCACTTATCTCACGAGTTGTTCCGTGAGGAGGTAGTATATGGGAGGGTTCGTGAAGATGTCCAAAACTTTGGGTTTGAAACTCGAGAGGTGGAATAGATTATTTTAATAAGAGATAACAGCATCGCATCTTCTATACAGTGCACCGAGGACATCTTCCCTCATCCAATTGTGGGTCCTATACAATGCAGTCCTATTAGTGATTGCAACGTCAAATTGAAGGCGATGAACTGGATCGACTCCTCTGATTTATGCATGCCCGAAGAGGACCGTATGCTGAATGACACATCTGGGCCTGGCCTGATGTTTCGAATATTGCGCCGACTGCAATACATGCTGATGGTATAGAAAGAGGGCCAGGGCATGTTATTACTTTGTCAACGACGTAGCCAGTCAGAGCTGTGACCATGAAGATGAGTAGATCATGAAGTTTTGATCATGTATGGGAGTAGGCATCTTCTTTCAGTAGTGTATGTAAGAGCAAAAACCTGGCTACACGGCAGCAGGACTTGAAAATTGATATCGAGCAGCCCAGATGATGGTGCAACGCTTGTGAGTACGTTCCAGAGCGGAATTATCGGGCATCGGTAGGCGGGAAACGCATCTACGCTTAAATGTGCAGCTATAGCCTTCTGGGCTGCGTAAGATGAACAACTCGTTCGTAATATTGATCTATCAATACTATCTGCCCCTCGACTTCTGAACTAGTGTAATCCTCGAACGTGTTCGATGTAATGACTTGACGAACAGAAATGGAACTCTGATTAGGATTTCCTTTCTTGATCTGGAAGTCACACATCTCTTTACCCTAGAACTCGCCTTTTCTCTTTCAACCCTCTAATCGCATTTTACAAGACGAAAGCTGAGTAAAAGTTGTGATCTTCAGAGCGGTGCGACGGCCGGCTGAAAGGGATCAATATAGACAGGTTGGCTAGACAATAAACCACGATCCTTGAAAACTTGCTTAAATTATTTTGAATAGAAATGGGAATAGGAATAGGCAGACAAACTTATACTTCCCAACTAGGACCTCAGAGATACGATTAGAGTGAATCTGAGTACAGATACCCTGCTCTTAGCACTCCATTGCAGACTGCTCTTCTCACTTTTAGACAAAGTCTTATACGATCAAATAGAGCTAAATCCAGAGATAATTAATAAGAATATATAGTGTGAGATTGGGGAACGATAAATTTGTTTGGGTAGTGTGTTTACCTCGGGAATATAAGTTCTGAGGAAAGAGACATGTTTTCAAGCTCAAGTCTAAAGAAGCAAGTTCACCACGGCAATAACACGGAATATGCAGGATCTGTATTGTTTCTTTTTCATTGACAATTGGTGCATTTATTTGTATGCGCCTGGCTAATGGAGTATCATGGATAAAAAATATGGTAATTATGACGCTTGCGAGCTTCCGAGGTCAGGTACCATACGAGTGAACTATAGCACAAATATTGAGATACGAAGATTGAAGAGTACTTAAACTCTGAACCGTAAGAGCTCTTCATTAGAATTAGAAGGCGTGCAAGCACTGTCTTCTGCAGAATCCGCAAACCAAAAATGAGCCAAGGAACAACGTCTTTGACACTATCAGAATTGAGAAAATGTAGCTGCACATACTAGACTGGGGCTATTAAATCCCTATCTAATTATAGATTGATTGTCGTCTAGAAGGTCCGAAAGCTAACGATATATATTTGAAATGGATTCATGTTGGGGGTTTCTGAATGAGGCCGAGCAAGCTTGCTTTATGGCTTTCTACTTCATTTTCTTCGGCTTCATGTCGTCTTTGTTGACTGCAACCGGGTTCTAGTAACCACATTCGGTTGCCTCTATATTTAGAAGGTCATATAATGCACAGATGCTGGTGATATAAGCTGACCTCTTGCTTCTGATATCGATTCAGGTAAAATGCTTGGGGATATGTGATCCCTGGTACAGTAGAATGGGATGCTCTACAGTAAGTCATTCTTCTAGGTTACTAAAAACATATAACTATACATAAACTAAGCAACTGAATTTGAAAATACATCTATCATCGTAAGCGATGATCTAGATTTCCCGAGAACTTTCCCGATCCGGAAGTTGAGAAAGGAGGAAGGCTTTATTGTGTAACAGTATTCAGCTATCTGGGACCAATCATTCATATCCCAACAGAATAAATGGGTAGAGAAAATATCAATAAAAGCCACATCTTTGACTGGGTGGTTAGATATCATTGAAAGTCGATTCCCGCAGCCGAAAAGCGAAATTTTTTAGAAGTCAACTCTGAGGTCTAGAAACAGGAAAATTTTGACACCAGCAAATATCTCTGAGGAAATGAAATAAATATGATTATGATACGGTGGCACATAAGATACTGAGCCCTCCAGGTGGGTAAAGGAATCTTCGGAAAATCGACTGACAAGAACCATCCTGGCGACATAAAATTCTTTGGCAATTTTGTCTAATCTGATTTAATCCCACTCTATTCAGAGTGTTGTCAGAAATTCCGTAAAGGGATTCGCAATAACGTATCACATAACCAATCGACACATCAACAGGTCTAGTGGAAGATCCAAAGGTCAGTTCAGTTGACATTGATCCTAATAATCTAAAAGAAATGCATCAAAAGAAGACGTAGATCAACGATGGCATGCACCGAACGAAATCGGAAGAGAAGTGTTCACGAATGAAAGTGACTTGATAAGGATACATATATTTGAACAGGAAGTAGTCAAGACCACAAACAAGACAATTGCAATTGACTGGGACGTACTCCGTATGGCGAGTCGGTGACTTGCTGGCTCAGTGGCTTCTGAGCTAAAAAGGATGGAGGAATACGCCCAACTTTCATTGATATGGATTGAAAGGGGAGAACATCGGGCGGAGCGTTTACCATGTCGATCTCACTCAGGGAAATCACCCAAATATATTTTTACACGAACGGTGAAGGAATTCAATTAAATTCTGGGAAAATCTCCGTTATCGAAATTCATTCTAATATATATATATAAGCCTCGACATTAGAAATTTGACGAGAGTATTTACCTGCTTAACAATCAAAGTTGAGTTAAGCTTTTTTGACAACACATTTTGGTCCTTTTCAACTCATTCGTATTCCATCAATCTAAGACTTTCTCAATGAAGATCTTGTATCAAAGATAATAGCCTGGCATAGCCTTGCTTGTGTGACAAAAGTTTCTGGTTCGAGATTTCCTTTATGTCGGATATTTATGTTGATGTGATTACGACTATCACTATAAAACCCCTGTTGGCTGTAATGATAAGGGGGTGTCAAACAAGGTTGCTATACTTCCATCCATGGAATCATTTCATGAAATCATTGGTAACCGCTCATTCTTTGCGTATCACAATCACCGAATGATGATCTGGATTGAGAAAACATTTGATGCTGATAGTGTTGCGGTTGAAGTGTTGGGTGGCTACCAGCTAGCTAGATGGCGGAGACAACTATGAGCTGCACATCATCTTTTTGGCTTGCTTCATTACCGTAAATGCTAAATGAGCGGTCCGAATGCCTAGATGAGGATGAGGATGAGGATGAGGATGAGGATGTGGCATTACGGGCTTGAAATATTGAATGCAAGTAAGCAACGCCTCACGATGTTCGGAACGCGGTCCATCTCGTCTTTTAGCTGTAATATTCTGAAGAGAGTTCCTGATGGCGGATCCTGTCGTCATAGTCTTGATGATTTAGTCTGCAACATTTGAAGGGAAGAAATGCATAAAGATCTTATTTCTCTCAAAATTATCAATTCAAAACATCGTTAATCAAAATCCACTATATTAAACGAGATAGTCTTACCTATTTTAGTCTAGTGATGATGTGTCTATCCCTGAATGTCAGATAAAAATCTAGAACGAAAAAGTTTCCTCAACCTTTTCCCAATCATCTCAATCCATCTAATCCACCCAATCCAACATCAGATGAACTTCATATATTTTTTATCCTCTACCAATAAATCCCCTGGCATTTCCCCTGACGGATTGATAACACATGTCTCGCTGCTTTCCACGAGATTGGTGATATTATTATACAAATTAAATCAATCTTATACCATAAATTATCAATGAAACACTCAAGCGGCGGTGAGATTGCAACCATGGTTGGCTACAGCTACAGTCTTTCGTCAGGAAAAATGGGAGAGAAAATCACCACCATTCCATCGCCATTGGTCAATAGCAAGTGCTGAGTTCTGTCCTGAGCTTTAATTCAAGCTTCTTGATCCACAAATACTAATATACCTTGAATTATGGAGGGGCGGTCGACCCATACAATCCATAATCTGGAACCATGCACTATCATTCTGTGTACCGTTCAAATACTTCCTCGTTTCTCAAAATTCCATTCGTTCTTCTTTCTTCTCTACCAGCTTTCGAAGTATCTCACCTTCAGTCTCTCTTTCTTCAAAGACCTGCTCTTACCACAATCTCTTGGCTGTGCCATCTTTACGTTCTATTTGTACATCAAAGAATATATCAGTAGGCCAGATCCTCCAAAAAAAGATTATCGAAAATCATACCTCAACAAAAATGAAGTGCAACGCCATCATCCTCGCCAGCTTCGCGCTCGGCCAATCAGTCATGGCATCAAACATCCATCGTCCTGGAGGCCAGTAAGTACAATCTAACATTCATATTCAATCTTTACAATCTGCTAATCGTGAATAGCTTCCAAATTCAAGCCTTCAATGGAACAGCTCCCCCCTTCCCATCTGGAACTGGCCACGCATCTGGTTTCCCTCGCCCAAGCGGAAAACCATCCCACACCCACACCAAGTCCAAGAAGCCTTGCAAGACCAAGTCATCCTCCGCGGTTGCATCTTCTGGCGCAGCAACTTCTGCTGCAGCGTCTTCTGTGGCAGCAACTTCCGGCGCAGCAACCTCTGCTGCAGCGTCTTCTGCTGCAGCGTCTTCTGCTGCAGCCACTAGCTCCGAAGCTCCTGTTGTCACTGTTACTCCACAACCTGCAACTTCCATTCCAGAAGCTTCAACCTCCACAGCCGCCGCTGTCCCAACAACTTTGAAGATTTCTGATGTAGACACCTCATCAACATTCATTGCTCCATCCTCTTCAAAGGCCCCAGCAAGTTCTCTTCCACCATACCCAACAACCTTTTCCACTGGTGCTTCCCCAACCATTGCTTCTACCGGTTTCGCCTCTGGAACTGGTGCTGCTGCTTACCCAACAAGCTCTTTGGTCGCTGCTTACTACCGATGTGGAGGAATTGGTTACACTGGATCGACCACCTGTGTTGAGGGTACCTACTGCAAAGTTCAGAACCCATACTACTCCCAATGTATCTACGAGGAGTCTTATTTCTACTAGGTCGGTGGATTGGAAAAGTAAGTTGGTGGAGTTGACAGTAGGCGCGATAGAGTTCGGATCACCTTGATGGTTGATAGTGTGGAGGTTCACTTCTTTTTCTATCTTAGGATAGCCTTTAACAAATATAAACGATTTTTCATCATAACCAAGAATGACGGGCCTTTTCTTTTTCCTCGATCAGAAAATCTCTAAAATGCTAGAAATCTTTTTGGTTCCTCACATCCCATGATAATGTTATAGAGGTTTCCCGAGTATATTTAAATGGAATTTAAGGTCTGATAATCATAGCCATACTCTCAAAAGTGGCGTTACGCTGGCCTCCGGCAGTCACTGCCGTACAGGCAAACTACTGATTCAGGTACAGAAAGCACAAGAAAAAATGTTCCACGCATTGCGTAATATTTTGCGCGACTTGCCAACTGCATCACATCCCAAATTTCATTGGGTTGCACAACCCTCCCAACGTTTTCCCTCCCAAAACAAAAGGCACATTTGGTCTGCATCAGCCAATGCCGTGCCAAGCAATAAGCAATAAGCAATTTACCTTACAGCAACTCTTGCCCGTGAAAATTCCGGGAAACAAAAAATATCTCGGTAATCTAGAAATTGTTCCGAACTCCGAACCGTGGGTCCTTGTAGCCTTACATATTATAACGGCCCCCCACAATAAATGCTTCGCTTAAGCATCTGCATCTGCTGAATTATTAATGAATGAATGCACTTTCTTCACTTCTTGACAAAAACTTTTCAATTCTTTTCAGTACCTATCCCCTAATCTGACTCCAAAGTGGTCCGTGCGATATTCCTTGAATGGTAAAGTCTTATTGGTGAGAATAAAGTTTTGATCGTTTTTTAAAAGAAATTTTTTTTGAATAAAGATAATTAATTAAATGATTTAAAATTAATATATAATAATAATATTTCAATTTGAAAATTAAAATGATATTAGATAAAATTTATATTTAGGATTGAAAATAAATATTTAATGATATTCAAGGAATTCTAATGTTTCGATTGGCCATTAAGATCTTTGTTAATTCGATGAAGTTAGTTTTTGGCATTCTAGAGGATAATGTATACTTATTTGGCATCAATCAATCATAATCAGCCTCTCTTAACTTTCATCTCATCATTCATCCAATCTTGACACATCAAGCTGGTTGGTGACGAGATGAGGTTTGGAACTTTGGGATATGTAATAAATGGTGGTGTGGTGTAATGGTAGCACGTGACGTTGTGGTTCATCCTATACAGGATATCTCACGAATGATTTCCGTTTCAATCTGGGTTCGATTCCCAGCACCGCCAAAGACGACGTCTTTGGATTGAAAACTTGTGGTGGTTTGATTCCATCTTTCTTTTTGGATGGCTTTGGTGGAATTTTTGGTGGTGCTATGTATGTATGTATGTATGGTGCATCAAATCACACTTCGATTGAAGAAGGGGGTGGGTGTATTCGAAATGTTCCATCCAGAATATTTCGATGTAACTACCGTCTGTGTGTGTACTTACTCATTTATCTCATCATTATTTGTTCTTTCCTAATACTAACGCTCACTATTTAAATACTACTTACTACCTACCTACTCATTGCCAATATTACCTTACTATCTATCTATCTATCACTACTCATCTATCTATGTATCTCCATCCCATCCCATCGAATCAAACCTCTACACTCTCTCCCTCCTTCCCCTCTCCCCGTTCTCCACCACCTTACATCTTCATCTTCATCTACATCACCAACAACATTCATCTATCTCATCTTCATCTCCTTCCCCATTCAGAACGACAAACAGGATTTAATCATACTTCTCAACCCATAACAAATTCAACCCACTACCACGACTTAATTTTCCACTTCAGCCAGCCATCATGATCAAAATTGGCTTTTTTATGCCAAGAGAAGCAAAGCAAACCATACAAAATTCTTTCCTAGAATAACTAGCCCCTTAATCGACCTTGGCCCTTAGACCGTCCGTCTTAGCGAGCGAACTCAATGCGGGATCTAGCAACTAATAATTAGCATGGCCAAGAACTTCAGATGTGCAACAGATTTTTTATTCCTCTTGGAATTCCTTTTTGATTCTTAATTTTTGTTTACACTTTTGTTTTTAGTTTGTTCTCCATTTTAATCGTATGTTACCTAGTACTTGTTCCTCCATTGTAAATAACAGCCAGCCGTCCGAAATTACCGACCCAATATGTGTTAGCCGTAACTATCATTATCATCTTGTGCCAAAACCTCCAATCACGTTCCCATCTTGATGCCCAAGATTACCCCTTAACCTTAACGCGCCAGGGTCTCTAAATAAATAGCCATCTCCTCCTCCCTACCTTAAAGGCTCTTACCTTGATCATGATTCTCCCCATGTCCATTTCTCCATCCTAACGTTCCCCTCAAGGAATCCTCCGCCTCTACAACCTTCTTCGGCAATCCTCTTCCGATACCCGAGAACACAAAGAGAGCCCACTTCCATCTAAATGGATTGATTGCGATGCAAAAAGTGAACCACCATACCAGCTCGAGATATGTAAAGAAATCAAACGCGCCCGTTGGACTGAATCTCTTAAGGAATCGTGTCATATCGATCCAGCGCTCCATCCAGAAAGGTCTAGGTCTGGTTAGGGGATCAGATAGAAACATGAGAAGAATACGTGTGTAGATTCCGATATGCCAATTGCCTACCGCACCAATGGCATTGACGTATGTGCAATTGTTACAGCAGATGGATGGATGTGAGGGAGGAAAGGTTTGAAGATACCAGTTCGGCGGCGAGTAAGGATCTTGAAAAGTATCTGATGGAAGGAAGTCGAGAGATGGACGGTCGAATCCTGTAGCCATTACGACGATATCGCCCTTTACGAGTTTTGATTGTCCAGGGCCACCTGGCGGAACACCTTTTGCACGAAGATTGAACTTAATACCATCTTCGGTGAATCCTTTAATGTCGCCTCGTAACCATTCGGCTTTTCCTTCACGGATTTTATCCATAACGTCTGAATTGACCATGGGTGTACCAGTAAATAATCCTTTGTCAATAGGAGCTAGATCTTCCAGGTCTCTGTAAAAGAGTTTTCTGAGAAGAGTTTCCGGTATCCAACTCAAGAATGTTTCTTGTCCGAATATATTTAATGCGAGTAGCATGTCCACGACAGCATTTCGAGGGATAATCCATTTATCACTCCTGGCCAAAATTGTGGTCTCAGCTGCTTCCTCATGGGTCGCAAATTCTAATGCTTCAACTGCACTTGCACCACCTCCAATGATAATGATTTTCTTCCCCTTTGCGTCTTTACCGGTGAGGTCACTAGAATGATATATCTCACCCTTGAATTTGTCCATGCCTGGAATATGTGGTATTTTTGCATCTCCACAGGTGCCCACCGCTGCGATGATACCTTCGAATCGTCCTTCTGACGTGTTATTGATTATCCATCGTCCTTTGTCGTCTTGATACACTTTCTCGACTTTGGTATCGAACTTTGTTTTCTCTTCCAGACCGTATCGCTTCCAAAGCTCAGTGATTTGAGATACGATCTGTTGTTTATTTGGATAGCCACCTCGCCATTGAACGGAGGGATGAAATCGGTACATCAAGGAATGAATTTGTAGACCAGATGTACTATTGACTCTCTTTTAATACATTATGTTAGCATCTATGATGTGTCTATTTGCCTGTAGAAGCCAGCATTCTCAATATAAGGAAGAGAAGGGAAAAGAAGGGAAAGTCTAAAAGAGATAAAGACTAAACATACACTCCAGATGCCACCCAATTGACTCCTAGGACCAGCCTCGAAGATTTGCACATCAAATCCATGACCCACACAATGAGAAGCAGCAGAAACACCAGTTAATCCAGCACCAATAATGGCGATTTTTGGTCGTCCAAGCTTTTGACCATCAACAGGAGGAGAGGGAGAAAGAAGTTTGGCAAGGAAGAATTGCCATACTTGGTAGAGAAAGAGGAAAGGATGGCATATTGGATATAACAAGTTCATCTTCGCAATTGAAAATTTCGTGTGGGAGAAAATAGAATTGCATGTATTTAATTTGTATCAATTGATGAAGAGGGAAGAGGGGAAATTTAATCTATTGTAGGAAAGAGCTCGTTTGCCTTTACTGACTGACTGACTGACTGACATGTGCAAGTACATAGGATGGATGTGCGTGCGGGGGCCGTGCAGTGTGAGTGAGTAATGAGTATGACGTACCTATTTCTAGGCAGGAACGCGACCAATAGGATTAATATTAGCCATGCGAATAGCTCCCGGTGATTTTCCTTGGCTATTTTTGACATGTGAGGGTGGGTGTGGGTTTCGGGTTTTCAAAAACCCCTAACTATCCTCGGCAACCGTCTAATAGTAATATTGTGAAGTCGACTACATAATCATCAAGTCCTTTCCAGGTATATGCCTTGAAACTTTACTTTAGCTGTGGCCTCTTAAAAATACCTTGGTATTATATGTTTGAATCACGGTACTTATTACTTATTGTAAGTCAAGATAAATAACGTAGCAATAGTGAAAAATGCACCTGTGTTTAGTTAACGTTGTTAAGTTAGCATAACTCGGAAGTAACCACCGTCAACGAAGCTAATCACGGGCTAAAAAGGTTAAACCCACAGTTGAGCTCCTTGACGTGACTGCTGCAACCCCTCCCCGCCTACCCAAGCTAGCCACTTCTTTAGCGTCAAGCAAACCTTTCTGTATCTCATAAGCTCTTGATTGTTTATTACCGCCTAAGGATAGAAAATGATAATATCTGCATTTTGATAAGACCTTCATATTGATCATAGTAGAGGATTGTTATATCCAGGTTAATGGCCAATTAATTGTCTATCATTGAGGCTCAAGAAGGATTGTAATATTTGCCACTGTCGAACTTTGGTGGGATTTTGAAAAGATCAAGTTCTAGGAAATAGTAGCTGGTTAACTAGGAGATTAGGCTTCGTGATGCGCCGGACTATTCAATTCTTTCCATATCACAATTAATATATGTGCTCGGTATTGACCGTCGTAGTCGGTGAAACTTTCCCAATACTCCTGTTTCATCAGTACCTTCGTGGACTGGCTCGCTAGAATCATGCTCTCTTGTAGGATCCAAACATCTAATCAGGAGCTCCTTCTTATGGCCAATAATGTATCATTAGAAAACACGAATGGAATCAACAGACTATCTTTCTAGCCAGAATCAGGTTCACCGCAAGCAGTGTTTCCTCAATATAGTGGGAAATTAGACTGTGATACACTACTGAAAAACTACTGAAAAACTAGGAGAGTATCAAACTTCAGTATCAACCCATCTCCTCACTTGCCCGAGCTTCCCGAGCCAATACTGATCTTCGGTGCCTTGGCTGAGCTAGCCATTTTCCAATGTTGATTTTCTTCATGACCGGCTAGCCAGCCAAGCCAGACAACACAGAAGCCCTCCGAGTTAGCTTCCCTAGAAAAGTATTCAAAAGATCCCATTCCCCAGACGCCCTTCATTTTTTTCTTTTCTCTTCATACCACCTTCAAGAGTGGTATACACCTCCCTCGGGAGTGCTGTATCCCTTTCCGAAGTGCTGAGCCTCCTTCACAAGGTGGCAACCCTCTTCAGCGTGGCGCGCACCACAGAGCGGTAGGCGTCCTCCCCGAAGCGTGACCTACCTTTGTAAAAGAAGAGGTGCAGAGAGATCATCTTTCGCTCAAGAAATGTTAGATGATACGGGCTTGCTTGCAAGTTCGTTGGTCTACGGACTGATCTCATAATTTTTCATACATGACTCTTCCCAAGAGGAGGTTTGTTTCAATTAGTCTTCGGGCTGACTGGTCTCCGGACTAATGTCAACTTTTTGTCTAACTCTCCCAATGGGAATTTTTTCATTGTATATTGGCCTTGGCTGCTGTACGAAGAAGAGAACAATGTTGATGGCACGGAGATGAAAGGTAGATAGTCCCGCTTGAGGCAAGAACGAGTGGGTGCTGTAGTGCCTCTGTTTGGGTTTGGCTCGTTATTTTGTGTTCATCATTTTCTTTTGATTTGCCACCTACCCATTTTTTTCACTACTTTAGTTTACTGACTAGTCTATCGAATTGAAAAGTCATTCAGAGCCTCCTCTTCCACGGGCCACCTTGTAACAATGCTGTAACCCCTCTTAATCTTCTCTACTGAGGATCCATACCATCCGCTTTCCTCAGCTGAAATGTTTAGAGTTTCAGTTAATTCTTGCTGACGATACCACTATCCCTCTTTCTCACCGAGCAAAGATATACAGAGTTGCCCGTATTCCCCATTAACCCCAGCAAATGTATCAAGTTATCTAGAAAGACTTTCTTGGCTGTGCCATAGCCTCTCTTGCTCTCATTCGGCGATATCTCTCGCTACACTATTAACCGAATAGCTCTATGAATATCTTGGATTAAACTAGCATGTTCATTAAACTTCACAATGCCCGAACGCACCAGCCGGAAAGTTAAAAGTCAGCACTCCAGTGTCAAAAAGTGATTCCACGAACCGACAGACTAGATGCGGGGAGAATTCCATGGAATTAGACGTATCTTTGCTAACAGGATATCCAACAGACACAGCGATAGAGTTTCTAATCGTATGAAGGCATGATATTCAAGGAAACGAGCTGAGCATAAACAAACATATGTTAAATTTGGTAATTTGGTGAATTTTACCACTCCTCCGCATTGTATAGCAACAATTGCCTTCCGATCCACTACTTTTGTGAGGTAAATCTGAGCCAACTAGCGAGTACCTAGACGGGGACAATATAAGAAATGGGCATGCAGCTCAACATCAAAGAAGAAATAATAGAATAGCTCTTTCTACCGTATTACGAATACTCGCCCCGATTGTCATACGGCAGAAGTTTCAACTCAAATTTGTATCCGCAAAGGAGAATTTGCTATTCCTTAGCTTTACTCTGTGCAGCAGCGCAGTATTTGGACACACAAATATAACCGCCCTTCCAAAAGCAAACATCAAGGATGCGTGGTTTCATCGCGTTCAACCCCAAGCGCCACGCCCAGCTGAATATTACTGCAATAATGAAAATCCATCCGCGTCTAAATCCACCAAGCGCAATCCACTGTCTTCCTTCCTGTCATCACCATATCTATGTTCCTAATCCTGTTTTTGCCCGAATTCCTCTCGATTGCGCTCGTGATCTATTCATCCTTTCCAATCCCCGCATTTTTCAACAGGCTTTCATGTCGAGGACGACTGGGAATGGAAATCGACGGATTTTTCGAGATGATGTCCTGCCACGTCCGAATATTCTTCATAGTGATGCCCTACCTCGGCATATTCCACGAATATCTCCCAAATCCATGCCCAAACTCCCTTTGCACTTTTCCCAATTGTCCCTCGTCACGCCCTAACCAACCCATAAAATAACGTCCAAGTCAATACAAACCCACTCAGCCCCTCTACCAACCCACTGGTCCAAAACTCCCACGCTCCTCTAAAATATCTATTACCCATTGTGTCTTTACTCATATGCGGAGCTATGCGAAAGAGATATACGAAGGTAGTGGTGAGGAGCGTGAAGAAGATGTAGAATAGAAATCCGGGATAGGATTCGAGACCGAGGATACCCGCAGCGATACCAAAGAGGGAGGCTGTGAGATTGTGGAGAGTTGCGAGGGTCTATGTGGGATGATGATTAGTTCAACTGATTCGTCTGTGTGATGGGAAGAGATGGAATAGTAATGGTAAGTTATTGGCAAGCTTATTCAGAGCAATTCGCTCTCCCCGCTACCCCAGAAAGAGAGGTGCCTCCCTTGAGCTTTAAAATAATAACTAACGAACCTTCGTATTGTGCATCACAGACTCTTGCACAATCGGGCTTATTTGCATTTCTCGCTCGGTAAGCATGATGACGACTCTGTTTCTCTTTACGACGATATGAAGGAATGAGTACTATGGAATAGTGTGCGAAGCTCCAGGACGGGAATTGGAAGTTATATTGCGGTATTGGGGTTTGTTGTGGAGTGATTATCAAAGTGCTATGTGGCGCACCCGTGGAGAAGCTGTTCCGGAGCTTAGATTTTGAGCCTTAATTTGTAGGCTTGATTAGCCCACCAGCCACACCCAGCCACAACGCCGGAGGACATTATTGAATAAAATTCATGAGACAACTTCAGAAGATGCATCGTCAAGGAAATTTGTCTCCCTTTAGATCTTCGCTAAATTCAAACCTGAAATCATTACTACCGCATCAGCATTTTCAATATGATGATGTATGCAGCAACGCAATTGCAGCCGGACACCCCCCTGGCCCGCCTGTCATTCTCTGTTGTTTAAGATCATGATGACATTCACATCAAGCAAATCCTTTAGACGTCAAAGTAGAGATTGCTCATCTCCTCCATGATGGTTCAACAGCTGTTGCAAGCTTCTTTCAAGGACAGGGTTTCAGCTCAATCAATGTCACATGATCATTGCTTAGTGGCTAATACCATATATATCTAGCTTACACCTGTCTCAGCATATGCCTTGGCCTATACCGTGACGGCTTGAGTCTACATTTCATACTTGCAAGACTTCAATCTTCGATGCCACTATTCGGATCTTCGAACCCAATTTCGAAGAGAAACTGTTTACACTTTCCTAGATCCTCTATCCAGAGCCGAAATTTAAACGCAAGTTTCGCTGAGCTTCTCTACCCGTGTCGTCTATATTTACTCAAGTAGTCATTACGGCCCAACACCACCCAGGCCACTCATCAAATCCCTTACATAACCCTTCAATGATCACAGACGCGAAGTAGCATACGCCGAATTGTATCCGCCGGTTCACGGCGCTTGTGTCACATACTTAGACGCGATCCTTTAAACTCTATTATCGTACCGAAAGGATTTCTCACTCCGGAAGGATTTGAACATGGGAAGTTCGGAAGTGGGCTATCTATTTCATTCCTCGTTGTTATTTTCAACTTCTCTAATGTCGATATCGTTGAAGAAAACAGGCAAAAAAAAGCAGAAATTGTGCAAGGATTTGGTATGCTATTCTAGCTGTGCTAAATATCTAATAGACTCTAGGTGGAGAAAAATGAAAGAGATGGTACGAAAATGGCAAGGAAACTGCTCGCGGAAATATAGAAAGAAGAAAAATGCAAAAGAGAAGTAAAGTTGCCCAAGAGGAAATCTAATCGTCGTCATCATCAATGTTGATATAAGAAATTTTGACCAATGTCTAGTCACCATCGATATGCTATGTTATGCGATCCCATACCATTTTCGAAAATGCTGATACTGACCCCGAATGCCGAATTTTGTTGTACACGCTAAAATGCCCGATTTCATGAGGAGTATGAGAGAAAGTGGAAGAAAAAGACGAAGTTAAGAAACATATCTTCCATAATCATTAAGATATTGTTGCAAATAAATTGACAACTGATATCCCTGTGTTGTTTCCGCACGGCGTAAATATCGAATTGCTTGAGTAAATGCGCGCTCGTCTGCTGGAGCTGCAGACACATTACCCAGACTCATATGTGATTCTGCCGCCTGATTATTGTTAGACTAAAATTCCAAATTAGTAATGAGGTCTGAGACATACCGAAGCTAGCAAATCACCGGAAGTAGATCCGAGTCCATCAGCCGCTCGAATTGCTCGAGTGAAAAAGTCCACGGCGGGCTGAAGATAGCCCCGGGCTTCGACATAAAGAGGGCCTTGTCTACGGGGATCATTTTGTGGTTCTATAAAGGAGCAATTGTCAGAATCGTACTCAGGAAAGTGGATGGCCAAGCCGGGAGTACCTGTGGTATCATTTCCTTCTTCCCAGTGGATGCTCGCTAGAGTCGCTTGAGATCTTTGAAGCCAATTCCTACCCAATCCTGATATTTTATATCTGTGTTAGGTACATGATTATCTGAAGATAGTGGGACATCATATTGGCTTACCCGTCAAGACGTCAACATTCTCAGGATAGTTTCTCAAAACTCTCAGCCATGCATTCTGGCAAAAGTCTGCAATATCTATCACACTCCCGTTGTCTGCGTCGTAGAAGGCAAAGCTTTGGAGACCTCGGATAATCCAGACTTGCTCAGCGAAACGTGCTGGGTCACGAAAGAATCGAATGTGTTCGAGAGCGGTGACGGCTGAGCGAGCAGACGGGATATACGTCTCGCATTCATGCGGTCTAAGAGAGACAACTTCGTCTAGCAGAGTAATGATGCTCTTGATTTGCTCGATCATATCCTCGGGATTGCCCTCGGTGCTCCTTGATTGGTGACGGGAGGTTTTTGAGTTGGGAGACATGGCTTAATAGTAAGTGTTTTAGGGATGATATGAGATATAGAAGAATGATATAACGGGCAGCCAAAAGTAAAGAAAAGCTAGAAGATATTGGTTGTGATGCTGTGTAAGCGACTGTTGATGTTTAATGTACTGAACAATGAAACGGGTGAGGGCGCCCTCCCATCTATATAGATGCTTAGAAATGAGATGCACAAAGGTAGATATTTGATATCTGTATACCCTTCATCATTGCGTATGAGGCCGCTCAGCTTGAGCAACATCCTAAAGTGGATTAGACAGGAATCGAGGAATCCTACGGCACTCTCGCCAACCAGGGGGTTACCAAGATGGTGGGTCTGAGCTGACTGCCATCACCAGCTGCATCCAGAGCTTTCCATACCCGTACTTGGGATTTCGGATCTCTCCTGAGATGCAGGAAGCTTATATGATTCTTATGTAGTATAAGTCATGATGAGTATGGGATGTAATGCGGAATAGCTCGGCGAAGTGGAGACCCTAATTCAATGGAGAGGGACACGTCCTACATGGTATTCATGAGAACCGGTGATATATCGGTGGCGACGCTGATGAAGTCAGGATATACCAAATCTATCAGTTGCTCGAAATACACTGCCGGCTTACGATACCCAAAAAAGGCCACTCTCAAGATAGAAAGCTTGTAGCTCAATTATCAATATGCTGGAAAGCCAATGTATGCCATTTCTATGTTTAAGCGCCTGATGGGTATCGCATTCTAGAAAAGGATTATGGACCATGATGAAATTATTGTGTTCACTGTTTTTTGCGATGATGAGAATTCGAAGATGCTAGTGAACCGCTTAGTGAATGACTTTCACAGGGGTTTTATTAATGGTTACAGACAAAGCTAAAACGGCACACTAGCCGGCGCCGTAAGTTAGTGGGCCTTATAAATTCATGTTCTGTTCGATTAAATGGCTCTAGAAGGATACGAATATCAAAAGTGTCATAGTTCCCATGTTTGTCATCAATCCATCAGCATTTTGTTTTGTATATGTATCAATTTCTTCAATTTTCTTCCCCTTCCGCTCAATTCTTCTCGTAAATCGGTTTGATCGACGTAGATCTTTGGGCGCTATGTCATTTCCCCCATTCTTGTGTGCTTCTACTAAAAGATTAGATGGATTTCTAAGCTCTAGATTGTGCTATTGTATGCATGTTCATTGTTGATGCTTTGGAGATGTGTAGTAAGCTTCAGTCAGTTAGATTACTTAGAAACTCATTGCTCAGCCTTACGGATCATTGGATTTAATTAATTCTTCTAGATATCTATGAAGAAACGTCACATCCTGCAAGCCACCTCGGAAAAGAGTATATTTGGAAATTCACGTACGAACACCCGCTCAGGAAGGTTCTCATCGTCTTCATGTGCTGCAAAAAATTTCGTGTGCAATACGAATAGATCCACCATCACGACTAATTCTAATGCTCACCAAAGGTTCAAAGGAGTATGTGTTTCGTTGTCGCGATAAATCAACTCATCATACTCGGAAAATCACCATGTCAATCAATACAATACCTCTAACCCTGCTCAAGAATTCGTCGAAAGTGACTAGGCTTAGGGCAAACATGATATAATGTTATTGCAAGTTTGGGATTTGCTTACACGGCCTGCAGCAATATGTACTGTAATCTCAATTGCTACTTCAGCTGTGAAAACGATTCGCCAATCTACGGGATGGGATCTGGCCAATTTGGTGCTGATTTTTCTTCCCCGGGCTGTTGAGATGGTTACGCCGAGGTCCGAAGACTATAAATGTGGCTGATTACTGCAAGCTTTTTGAAAGCGTTCAATGACATAAGACTTCAAAGGATATGTAATTCAATCCTGCTAAAATTCAAGCATAGTTAGTTGAATATGTAAAGGTCTCAAGTGACTGTAGCTCACATGCTTCCGCTGTCCCTGACGGTTACTGATCTTGGTATACTTGTGGTGTATCGTTCATATGACATCATGTCCGAAGGATTGACTGATTTTTAAGCCAAACTATAAGAAGAAAAGTTCATACATATAGAACAAAACGTAGAGTTCGGTTAGGTAAAGGGATAATGGCTAATTAGCAGGAAGGGCGTGATCGTTATTTTTTTGACATAAGAGTTCTGGTCATTACTCACCGCACCCCCTTTAAATTTCACCTACACTTTTGAAAATTTAATATTAAATTAATATTACAATATTTTTTATTGAAAATCTGATAATATATTAATGAATAATAACTAATCCTTTTACTTCAATCATATTCTTTAATTTACAAATCAATCTCTCAATATATAATCTGAAATTTAAAAAATCAAATATCTTTTACAATCTTTTGAACTCTCTTTTCAATTCCTTAATAAAAATAAATACAAATAATAGTTTTTTTAACTCCTCTTTTATCCAATATTATACCTTTCCAATTAGATTGAAATCTAAAGAAAAAGAAGGCTATTGAAAACCTCTAATATCATATTCTAATCAAATTAATCTAATATACTTCAAATAAACCTTTACATTATCTTTCATAAATATATATTCAAACTCTAATTCATCAAATAAAAAGAATACAATAAGAATAAAAACCTAATCTCGATATATTATTGAATTTACCCCTTTATCATCAAGATTCTTCTTCAAAAAGATTAATAAAGATTTATAATTCTAATCAAAAGTCTTTTATATTATTATAAAAATCCTTTTTAATCTATATATTGATTTGATATAATTTCTATACCTTTTTTCTTCAATCTTACAAATCATCTATATCCTACTACATTTTCCAATCTCGAAAATGCTTTCGTTTGATTATATAACCTTTCTTCAATCACCCCCTTTAGACTTTTCAAAAACTATATCGATTATCCCTTACCAACAATATATATATACAAAATCCAATCTTTTTTTTGCTTATTTCCTAGAAATAAATGATCTAAAGCAAACTATATAATATTTATAATTATATCAATATAATTCATATCGAATAATATATATTTCATCTATTCAAAAATCATTCTTTTTCCCTTTTAATCTTTTGTCAATTCCTTTATAATTCATTGAATCTTTTTAACTATTATTATAGAAAATCGATATATCTTTCTTTTACAAGTAATTCTAAATAAATTCGATTTAATGATATCTTTTGCAATACTTCGAGATATACCCAAATTTTGTTCGATCCAAAACCACGATTTTCCATTTTCCCTAATCTGAAAGATTCTAACTCTACAAAGAGTATCCCAATTTTAATGAAATTTATGATTATCATTCTCATCTTGAATTTTGACAGCCATTTTGAATTTGAATAGAAAATATTGAAAATGTGAATTTTGATGAATTATTTATAATTGAGGGTTGAAAATAAGGTTATGGTTATTTCTCGGTAAAGTATACAATTAGAAGTTTCCAGAACTCTTACCACGTAGTAATCATGTGCTTCCCCACTACGTTCTTCTCAGGCTAGCTTACAATGACCATATCTCTAGACGATTTCCAGTTTCGAAGTTCTGATTAGATATCTTATATTTATCTTATATATCAGACCTCACATACGGATTCTCAGCTGTGTACAAATCGACTAGAACCTTTCGCCATAGCGATTCCAGGGGACGGGTATCTCGACCACATATCATTGAAGCAGATACCAACCCATCCAATCTACTACAGACTTCCTAGATTATTGAACGACTGAGTCAAATCACAGACTTAAGAATCGTCCAACTTGCACCAAATTTCCTAGATACCTTTCAAATTTCCAGTCGCGTTAAAACCATGGCCGAACGAACACACTTGGCTTTCCATCATGACTCGCACCTCTCTACCATACAAACCATAATCACATCCATAACTCCTTTCACAGCCCTTGCCGAAGAGAACAAACTCCTTTTCAAGGACGCTAAGGACGATTCCTATGCTATCACAACCAAATCCACCATTTTTCATCCGCAAGGTGGCGGCCAACCATCGGATGAAGGGACTATGGAAAATGAGGAAGGAGTAGAATTCACCGTTCAAGTGGTACGCATGGGTGCTACTATCGACGGGGAAGTCCTCCACTTCGGCACATTTTCCACGCCCACCCCATTTAAGCCATCTCAGCAAATCACTCAGAAAATCGACCAAGAAAAACGCCTTCTATATTCTCGCTACCACACCGCTGGCCACGTCCTCGGAGCTGCGGTCCGTCACCTCGTCTCCTCCTCCGTTCCCAACTTTGATGAAACAAAAGCTTCTCATTTCCCCTCATCCGCCGCATGTGAGTTCGCCGGCCTCATAGAAAGTACATGGAAAACACCCATCCAACGAAAACTCGACGAGTATATCGAGGCGGATATGCCTGTGGAGATTGACTGGTGGGATGCGGCTGATTTCATTGCAAATGGAATGGAGCGATTGATACCCGACCGAGTGGCCATGGGAATGACGAAGGAGGAAAAGTTCCGCGTGGTGAAGATTGTAGGAGCGGAAACTTATCCTTGCGGTGGGACGCATGTGGATAGTACGAAGCATTGTGGGAAGACTAGCGTGAAGAAAATTGGGAGGTCAAAGGGGACGAGTAGGGTGGGATATACACTGGCTTGATAGATGTAGTTTTGTGTATGTTATTTGTAGTAATATTTGCGTTAGAGCTCTTCATCAGAGCATTAGATTTAGGATCTTTCGAATCGGCTTATAGAATCTTGTTTGAAAATTTTGAACAAACTCTTTGTTCGTATATTTTTCAAAGGTTGAGATTTTGATTTCCGGGGACTTTCGAATTTCTAATCAAATTGTGCATTGAAAAGCATTTGTCACTAACACTTGCATCCTTTTTCAACTAAGAGTCACCAGCTAAATGGAAAATCATGACATTTATTAACGTGTAGAAGAACCGCTATCCAGATCCCTAGTGTCGGACGCGAATTGAATGTCCTTCCGATGCCCTTTATCATTAGCCATTTAGTGCCCGACCTAAATCCAAATCCCGGCATTCCTTCTAACATCCTTTTTCTTCTGCACCCTAATTCCTGCCAAGTCCTTCACTTCATTATTCCACCTCTCTTTCTCTCCGATATCACCACTACCCCTTTCACGGGCATATCCATATGCGTTTCTGCATCCCTCTACTTCCATTTCCGAGTCTGGATCGATACCCACGACTGGAATACCCAGGCCATCTTCAAATCCACTACTACCACTCCTCCGAAGTTCCGCACTCCCACTCCTTCCAAGTCTCTCAACATCTTCTTCACTCCCTTGATATCCTTGAGCATCCCGAATCCAAGCACAGGTTCGCTATCTATATCCAAATCACTCGGTTTCTTTTGGAAGTAAGTCACCATATTGGCCGTTTTACTCAAAGCGAAATCTGATGACGTGCCCTCCCAGCTTTTTTGCCAGCGTGATGGCTCCAGATTTTGATGAGTAACGGGCAGAAAGTTAAGATTGAGGTGACGAGGACCTAGAGGTTGAGTTCTATTATTGTCCAGAGGCCTGCGTCTGTTCCGTTATCTGTGGGCTGTTAGTTACTGCGGACGGCAAGGTATAAATTTCCAAAGGCAGTAGGAAGGAAGGAGAAGAAAGAATAACTTATAATTTGGATCGAGTGGGGGCATTTTTTGCACAATAATGAATCGCCAGAATCGAACTGTAGCAACTACCGTAATTTTATTTCCTCAGTATTAGCATGCTAGGAAACAACGCACCATGCAAGAAACATTTACACAAGCCCTTATAAGAAGAATACTACTGATTTTCTCCCATTACTCCTCCTAATGTGCGCAATGAACCAGGTCGGAATTAACAGAAGCACAATGTCAAACACAATCATGAATGCTTCGTTGGGGTTAAAGAAGATTGAGTAATTGATGTATTGTGCGGTAACGGTAAGATCCCAGAAAGCTGGAATCGGGTGGCATGGAAAAATTCCCACAATGAGCTAAGAGGGTATAAAGTATTATTTTTTACCTTCCCAGGATGGCGAAGTCTCATCTGATAATGTACTTGATATGGCACGACGTGATATGACATGAGGGGATCTTTCGACAAACATGGAGACGTTAGATGCTATAACGGAACGAAAAGGAACAGCTCACAGCAGCAACACACCACGCCCCGTTCAACGCGCTGGCGACGAGAATGGGGTTTCTACTTCTGGTGACAGCGAAAGCTCTCCAGTAAGGCGCTAGTAACGATAATTTGCTCATGCTAAGAGCCACTGGATAAATAATCGCTAATACGTATAAACCCTCCAAATAAGCTTCTAGATGTCCTGGATCTAATTTGCCAATATGTTGACCACAGAAGTTGGTCTGGACTCTGACTATTATTATTGCTGTGTAGGCCATAGAGAGGGCCTACATCTATTTAGTCTGCATTCCTCATGAAAAGTATTTATGGGGAGCGGGGGGATTGAAGGGTATACTGCCGCAATGAGGATGAGTAAGTCATCAAGGGTGAGAGGGATCGACACCCGGATAAACTAGAGTTGTTAAAGACATTGCGGGTGCTTGAAAATCATAAAGTTCACTTGAAGGCTCACTTAAGACCCAGATGCTTATAGATGCATGGAGACTGTTAGGACTTGGTATAATTCAGATTGAAGTTTGCTTTTGGAACTCACAGTAGGTGGTAAGACATCTTCTTACTTGTCAAGCCATAAAGCGAATTTACTTTACGACTACGGGTTCGGAAAAGCGCACTTTTTGGAGGATGAAACTCGCGCCAATTACCAAGAATAGCAAGCGGGCAATGATGTGACAACTATACATACAAGGCGCGATCGTTTGCTGCCATATTTCCTCGATCGCCACAACGATTAAGGTAAGGGTCGGCACCTTTAGTCCTCGCGGGCCAAGAAAACTCCATGTTAACCTTGCATCATAGGTATCGCGAAGATATGTCCTCGTTTCAGTCAAGTTCATTGCAATCGCGGGCTGATCGAACTCTAGTGACATACAAATTCATCGGCTTGATTTTAGATGTGCCAATTTACACCTGTTTCAATCGTATCGACCGAATAATCTGTCGTGACGGCTGGGTTAAAGAAAATAGAATTTGTGATCAAATACAGACACAAGCTGTATTTAGATCCACGAGGTTCCCTTTGCCTTTCTTAGTCAAAAAAAATGATTATCTATTCCATACAGAAGTCGCAGCTACAAAGACTATGACTTCTAAATGTGCAACTAAGGACCTCACCATCGGGCCTCGCTGACATCTGGAATAATTGGGAAGTAGAAGCTAGTGGGTCCCGATATCTGACCCACGTGCATGTACACTCAGCTGCCTTGCATCGAATTACACAGTACGAGGCTTATATATGCTAGGAGTGATGGGCAGAATGCTTCCAGTAACCTCGACTGAAGAAGTTTGGACGTGCCATTACCGAAACTGAGCTGGAAGGTTTTAGTGTAACATCAAGCCACATTGTCACCTCTGCGTATCACTGCATTAACGTTGCATGCGCCGGCGGGGACGAATTGACGCCGCCACAGAGAGATACTGTATCGGTTCCGCGTCGACTTTGAAGTCGTCATGGCTTGTTCCACAAACCGTATGCGGTCGGCACCGGTCTTTTTCAAGTCCGATAGACGTCTTCTCTCAACAAGAAATGAGGGCTTCTTTGACAATTGAGGCATTGAGTTGAATATCGCTCTTTCAGAAGAGTAACAGGCACGGCATCGGCAGTTTCATCATTTCCGAGATTCTGAAGCGCCTGAAACTGAGATTTTATCTCCGTTAAGGACTTGTGGAAAAAACCGAAACTTTTGAGGGTTAGAACTATTTGTGTCCAAAGTTTCTCTCCCAGCAGATTTCAAGTGACATAGGGAATTCTCCAGAAGACATGAATTTCCATAGTACACTCTTTCTTTTATGCTGGAGGTCGTGCATCTCACACCATATCACACGAATCTGGCGGTGCTGTCATCCTGTACGCACAAAAGGACGTAGGTGTAACCAAGATTGTGCATACAAAAGGTACAAATTTGCATAAGAGTGGCAGTACGGGAACCATACTCCGTACGCACTTAGCTGTAAAACCAGAGCAGGAATAAGATGCAACAAGCTGAGCTGAGCAATCTCAACTTTCGAACTGGAAATGAGATCTGGGTTACATTAGCTATAGGTAAGACACAGAACTATATTTGGTATCCGGAAGACAGTTAGTGACCCACCAGACCCCGTTCTAGAGATAAATAGTGGAGTTTTCCGTATTGAACGACGCTATGGCACCCATTCTAGCAACTTGAAACAATTTGTTTCTATGGCTCAACTCAAAATTGAGGGAAATGAGACGAGAACCCCCTTCTGGAGCCTTGGAAATGTATAGGTGGCAGTGACAGCGGCAATGGGTCCTTTTACGTAGAACGGAGATAAGCTCTCCAAACGAAAGTACGAGAGCGCTGTAGGGTGTCGCGCATTAACGTGAAAGATTTACCGTCTTTGAGCGGATGGATATTGGACCGCTTTCTGTCTGGAATTCCTGGGGAGAAGTTCTGTGGCTTGTCTGTGGCCCATCAGGTTACATATACCTAGGTAGGGAGGTAGGTAGTATATGCTCTCACAGCCGCAATGATCTCACCAATCATCATGACTACAGAGGCGGTCCCATCTTAGTCCGACCTGATCACTGAGATGGTGAATCTCTCAAGCATATGGTTTATACGGCAGCAACATGTTGGATGCATGCTGCGATGAGGAAATCGGCAGAGTACCGGTAGTGGGGAAATGCTTCAGATCAAGGGGGTGGTGGTAGTTTGTGTGCGTATATGTGTGTGTGTGGCTGAGGGGCTCAGAGGGTCAGAGGAGGGTCAGAGACTCCGAGGCAACTCCTCCTCCGTAGTTCCTAATTCCTAGTTCCTTATTACTCCGCCGTATGTACTCCGCAAGCAAATCCAGTATGTATGTACTAGGCCTGCAATAATTAATCTTACTCCCTATCTTATCGGTAAATCGGTGATTAATGATTAATCCATACTTATTAATAAGATTTCCCAATTACAAGGGACTCTGCACTCTCCATCCCACGGAGTATTTGTCTTCTGTCGTGGTCTTTAAAGTGTGAACAAGGGAGGTAATAATAATAATATTATTAAATACTAGCTGGGCAATGTAGCTCTATGTAGTTGTTTCGCTTCTTCATATCTATCCTATCCGTTCTCCATACCGTACTTATCGATCAATTTGATTCATTCGAATAAACACTTTCATTTCCTCAAGAACAGACTTACAACTAATACTAATTGGACAATTTACTCGACCCCATCACTACCTACCTACGGTCACTATATTCACTAATTTCATTGCATCTTCTTCTCATTCATTCATTTGCTCTTTTGGAATCTCGACAGCACTAATCGGAATGGACTGTGGCGGTAACTATCAATAACGACTTGCATTCCATGGAGACTATTATAGACGAGGACTCCCCGCTCGCCGCCTATCTCGAAGGTATGCAGGAAGAGGATAAATGTGTTGCAGGTGACGCATGAGTGGGGACTTACTGACATGTTACCATAGGAGAAGGTGGAGAGGACACACGATGGGCATCAAGCCACGAGGGGGATGCGGATTCTGATTTGTCGAGTCCATCGTTTGCTCCACGGGGCAAACCAACCGTACCTCTTAAATTTCGACATAAGCTTCCTCCACCTTTGCAGCTCACTCCTTCACGCAATCCTACCGTCGCTGCACTACATGATACCTGTTCCGTGAGTCGTCATTTGGTCCTTATCAAATCCTTATCGTCTGATAAATAATCGCAGAAAGCCGTGAACTCACGACTCGGTCGAGCCGACAATGCAAAGTTTCTGGAGCGATTTCGATATGTTATAGTAGCTTCGCAGCTTCTCAATACAGATTCCTTCCTTGGCCAGGCCGGTCATGGCCAGTCTCGCGATGCCACCGGACCTACACTCGATGCCCCACAACTTGGTCCCTTTACTCTCTCGGGCGCGGCAGCCACAGCAACACTTGCCTTTTCTTTTACATGGTTAATACACTGGACCCGCGGGAATGGCTCCTTTATACATGGGAAAATTCGTGTGATAGTACTATCTACTGCGATAGTAGGATCTGCGATTATCTTATACACATATATGCGGAAGCAATGGCTTCAATACCTTCGGCAGCAATCTATCCTGGGAGCGTCGCAATTCGTCCATAAAGCGCAGGAGTTCGATGCTGTTGCAGCAGCGGCCTTGACACTCGTTCAGGAGGTTGAACTAGTATCTCGTGGTTATAGACTGTAGGATCCCCCTAGCATCCAAATTCCTGGCAAAATTAACGCCCTAGGTAGAAGCACGCCCTTACCTCCCGTCAGCCGCCTCGAAGACCGAAGTCAAACACGAAGATGTACACGGCTTCGCAAGATCCTTCGAATTTCCTTTGGCAACATTATCCCTCGCTATGTTCAAGCATGCAACCTATTGAAACCTTTGGCGGAAGAAATGGATCTGGATAAATACTATGATGTATACGACATAAGTGATCTGGATTACTCCGAAGCTATGTTAGGCTACACAGCGGGCGAATTTGAGGATGAGGAATCTGTCAGGGTATTGAAGATATTTGCTGCTAGATTTCATACCATTCGAAAGATTCTCCTCTGTTGTCTACTCGCATTTGATGCCCATGGCGGTAAACCGGATTTCCATCGATGGGGGCTTGCCGTTGACGAATTACATACCCTTTGCTCAGTTACGTCCGAGGCCGAGGATAAATTACGTCGTATACTAAGCGAAGAAGAAAGTAGGTCGAAATACATCCATTAATATTGTTCAAATCTAATATGCTATAGGTTTTCCAGTTCCGACTACTCCAAAATTACCCCTTACTCCAGGTCGAGAACGTGCGCGGGCACAATTACGCAAATTAAATACGTTGTCATCTGGGATTCGTGGTTTACAAGCGAAACTGCACGTTTTGCGCGAAGAGTCGGATAAATCATTGAACGATACAGAAGACGTATCAGAGCTTGGTTCAAATTTGATGATGCAATACGATTCGATAGGTATCGACCTCAAAGCGTTAATGCAAGAGTGGGAAGATGGGAGAGCTGCATTGGCAATCAATATCGACAAAACGAAAACGAGTATCTTCCATGTGGGGAATGACATCACCGGCATCGTCCCTGGGAGGTCTTACTGCTGTTGAAGAGGGAACAGCGGCTGACGCTTTGAGGGCCCTAAACGGTGAGGGCAGGTCGGAATCTAGCCTCGAAATGAGTGGTTCCGAAGTAGAGGAGGTATTTGAAGCAGTTGCGATACCGCGCCAACGGAGCAAGTGGACGAGGGAAGAACGAATTTTAAAGATGAAGGAAGATCGTGTCAAGAGGGAGTCTATGAGGGACCGAACGGATGCTAATACTAAAATGCTCCGAGAACTGGAGTCTGTAATTAATTTACGGCCAAGACCAAGAACAACTCCAGCGGGGAGAATTACGTCGATATGATACTATGTTTAACGTTCACTTTACAAGTTTTAAATAGACATCCTTGGGTTGGGTTGAAAGGCAAAGGAGTTCTGGAAGACGGACTCTCAAAATGCTTAGAACAATTACATAGGAAAGCGCTGATCCCGGCGCACAAGGAGTTGGCAAGTCCTAAACCTAGGTATCGATTACTATCTAGATCTGTAGTGGCTTGGAAATGTAACATTGTAAAATAGACCCCGTCGATCCAATATGAAGTCACCAAGTGAATTGACACGGCGCATAAATATATGGTCCCGGATGAGTTCAAGTACGGCCGCACTTAACCATTTGCTTCGTTTAAATTTCTATATTCCTATATTCCTCAGAGTGTGGTTCAATCATCTATTCATGGGTGAGCTGAGCTGGTAAGAAAGTCGCCGTATCACGTGAGATCGTGATTTTTGGTATTTGGATGCTCTTTCCGCGAAAATGTATGGATATTCTATCATTACAACATTATCTATCCATTTGACAGTTGACAAGTGAAGCGACATGAATCATGAAATCCATGCAATAATTTAACAAACTTCTACTACATGATCGCCCTTTAATCGTGATGGCTACTCTTACTGCGAGAAGAAAGCGTGTTTTTGATTCGGTATTCAAAAAGCCCGAGATTTCAGAACCAACCCCGGCCGCGAGCCCAACAGATAGCTTCATAACTCCAAGCCAACCATTCGAAAGACCAGATGGTTTCAATAATGAACCAAAAAGAACTTCTTCATCAAATACGACCAGCTCGCAAGAGCTTAGTGGACCTATTGGAGATCAATCTGTAGACCAAGTTCGTGATCAAATCCAGTGGGATAGATCTTGGCATACCGTTACTTATCGTCTCCAACTTTCGGATGTACCACCAGATCCAAGTTCTATCGAGGCTCTTGAATCCCCATCTTTACCGCCTGATCCATCCTTTGATGTTGCTTTAAAGGATGTCCTGGATTCTGCTAGGCGCTTGCCGTTTGCCATGCATACGGAAGATCTTCTTGTTTGGCACACCCAGCAAGTCCGTAGACATCTTCTCCATCAAATCTTGCCGATATTGCAAGGATGCACTGATGCTGAAGGCCCCGAGTCATTGGTTTTTGGCAGTGTAAGGATATTAGATTATGCTCATCGTAGATACTTGCATGGGCTGTCGATCATTCTCAAACAAGTTGATCTTTTGACTCCCGGGCTCTCGCGGATAGTGCTCGAGAAATTTCGACGGGATCTACATGCTATTCTTAGCAATTCACTTACAGTTCAGCTTGTCACTGCAATAAAGACAGTTCTCGAAAATTATGTTTCTTCTATCCTTGGGCTGCAGGGCGGAGAAGGGTCTGGTATTGCACCTATTGGTGCGAGGACAGATGAAGTTTGCAAGGAGATGCTCAACCTCGTCGAATCGTTGCATAAAGTTGGCCTGGCAGGGGAGAATTTCCAGGTGATCTTCGCCGAAATCATGAATCAGTCCATGACTAAATATGTCAATCGAGGTTGTAGGGGACTGTGGTCTTCCAACGAAATAAACATGACTCCCGAAGATGGTGATAGAAGAAACTCTGTACTTCCACGAACGGCACATCACGTATCACCGTCCAACTGCGTAACAGACCTTTGCAGCTGGATTGAAGATCGATATTCTAAACTTGCAGTTTTGGTCTTCAAAGTTATAGACAATGTTGAAGTGGCTTGGAGCGACATGGAAAAATGGAAGGAAATGAGCATTGGTCGTCTTGCAGCACTCAGGACGGATGAGCTGTTTGATATCGTCGTCAATTGGCCAAACAGCAATGGAGCATTGCACGACCTCCGAACAACTATAACCACACCTCAAAGACGTTTGCATTTGACAGAAGTTTTCGCAGCCACTTTGAAAGAGAGGCTGCTGCACCCTGGGGCTTCTACGTTACTGATCTTGCAAACATACATCTCAATGATATGGTCATTCCACTCGCTTGACCACTCGAAGGTACTCTTAGATCGTGTAGCATATCCATTACAGGTATACCTGTGCTCACGAGAAGATACAGTCCGAATAATTATCACAGGACTGCTCTCGGACACCGTAGATGCGCAAGGAAATCCCATAGAACCTGGTGGGGATAGACTCATTGAGCTGGCCCACTTACTAAATGAAGATTCAGAGCAGTCGGGACGAAAGATTGACGATGAAGAATTAGACTGGCATGATATGGAATGGGCACCTGATCCTGTAGATGCGGGACCAGGATACAAGAGGTCTAAAAATGCCGATATCATCGGGACATTGATTGGCTTTTTCGGATCTCAAGATGTTTTTATCAAAGAATTTCAGAATATCATTAGTGAAAATCTTCTGAAGAATGACGGGGCTTTCGAAAAAGAGGTATGTATTTACTCGATTCCCATTCTCAAACAAATGGTTCTCATGCCGCTTCAGATCAAAGTCCTCGAACTACTCAAATCCCGCTTTGGGGAATCTCCACTACAAAGTTGCGAAGTAATGCTAAAAGATATTCTCGATTCCGTGCGGCTTGACCTCGCTATCCACAAAACTCAAGAGCTCAGTCTTGCAGAAAGGAAAGCCACGCCTCCCCCGCCAAGTCAACCAATTCTGCATACCAAAATTCTTTCCCGTCTCTTCTGGCCTCCTCTTCAAGAAGCCTCCTTCACTCTCCCTGCCCAAATTACTAATCTTCAATCCCACTACTCCACGGCCTTTTCCTCTCTCAAACCCGCCAGAAAACTCACTTGGCTCCCTGCGCTTGGTCATACAACCGTCGAACTCGAACTGGCTGATCGTACCGTGGTAGAAGAATGTACGACTTGGCAAGCCACTGTAATTTCCTGTTTCCACAGTGAAACAAGCGGCATCGACGCAGATGAAAAAGTTGACTTGAGCAAAAGCATCGAAGAATTAACCTCAGAACTACAAATGGAATCTACTTTAATCCTTTCCGCTCTTAAATTTTGGGTTTCCAAGCTCGTTCTTCATGAGTTCCCCCCCAACTCCCAAATTTATTCCGTTCTCGAAACTTTGAATGCATCAGAGCGTGCGCGTTCCGATGCTCTTGCCTCGGCGACAGCCAATGCTGATAATAACGATGATGAAGGAGAAGGGGAAAAGGGGGAAAAGGGTATTACGGGTGAACATGCAAAGGTTTATTGGCAGTTTGTCCAGAGTATGTTGACGAATAGCTCGAGTCAGATGGGAGCGCCGCAGATTGCTATGATGCTAAAAATGTTGATCGCAGAGGGCTTTCCGTATAGCAATGAGGAGTTGCTAGAGTGGTTGGGTGGGAAGGTAGAGGAGGGGGCGTTGGAGTGTGCAGGGGGTCGGTATAGGTTGAGGAAGTAAAGGGTGGTGAAGTGAGCGTCCTTTGCGAAACACAGTAACGCGTCGATCATCGCGTCTAATTTCAGCAATACTATATCTGCCTGAACATTTTAATTTCAAAAACATCAATAAACTCCAGTTGCGATCACCCTTGAGCGCAGTGATATAAAGTTCTGATTCTCGCATATCTAGAAGACTTAATAAAATATTAAATTTCAAGTCTTTACTATATAGCTTCTACCTTAGTGAATCAAGAGCTGCGGTCTTCGTCGACTCCATCGCTTGGTATAACAAGTTTAATGAACGAAACAATATGAAAGACATTTCCTCTAGCACAGTATTTGATAGTCTAGCGAGTGCATATAACTCTGTGTAGTGATCGATCATGTAATCTTGCCATCGGGCATCGGTTCTGCTGCTTTCGCGAAGCGGAAGCTGAACTGGTAAGATAATCAATTTCGAACTTCATCATCAAACACACAAATATCTTCACGAGAAAAATGCCAAAATCCCGCCAGGAGATTCTGATCGGCTACGTAGATCCTGTATTTTAAATTCCTCTCTTTATATATTTCTGAGTATTAATTAACTTTATTCTTTTGTACAATATTGATTATAATGAAAATAAAAGAGAGTTAAAAAACTAGTTTTATATTATAAATGATTGGAATTTAGAAAAGCTAGAAAATAAATCTAATTCATCTTGATGTATTAATTATAGTTGTATATTAAATCATTTATAAAAACAATCGTTGAAAATTCATCGTATAAAATATGTTTTTGACAGAGGTTTGCTGTATATTATTTGGAAAATAGCTAGCTAGACTCGTTTAACATCCCATCACAAGAGTACACAAGCTTTGGAAAAGGGGTCAATATGGAAACTAGACTAAGTATTCAAATCAGACTTCATGTAAGTCTTATAAATCCACATGAGCTAGGGCTCAGATCCGTATCGCTGGGTTGAAGATATACTCTAGCAGGAAACAGATTCGATGATGAATATTTTTTCTACTGTCACAAGAATGCTTCACATATATTACCATCTGAAAGCACATCGTCATGTTTGTGCCCATCAAGTTGACACTCCAAGTATATGGTCTTTTCAAATGACAGTCAAATGATGTAAGCTTATGTGACTTCCTCAATTCCCTCTTTTCCTATTTCGGGATGGCACTAGTATTTCGAGGTATTGTTGGAAAAGAAGAGAACGGGTGAGAAAGAACTCTTAAAGTTTGGAGGAAAGATTTTAAGGGGCATCTGGTCTGAATATTAATATACTCCAAATTGAAAGAACACGGATAAACTTTTTCAACTTTAAAACTTCATCGCTTAAATCATTCCATCATTTCATCAAGTAAGGCGGAGAATCAGAAATGCTTCTTGATTTAGAGTAGGAACCTTTCGGTAATTATATCTACAACTCGCTGAATTTGGTTGCGAGGAATGATTTTACACCTCCTGTCGCCCATGACCACCAGCAGTGGTTTTTGTGTTCTGGGAGGAAAGATGTTAGAATTGCTTATTGAAAGAGAATGCAGTCACGGGTGTATATGGCTTGATTTTGATATCAACCGCTCCAAAACATTGTAGGGTTATTAAAGTTTAAAAATAAAAATAAATTGGTACGTAAGACTACCATGTTACTTTTACCCCCCTTATTCGGTTTTCAACCAGAATTCCATCCACTGACAGGACACACCCTTAACACATACACTCCATCCCCCTTGCCCAACGGACAACTTCCTAAAAACTCGAGGGTAGATTGAAGAGAGAGCGAAAGATGTAAAAATATGAAATTGCAATCGCAAGCCAGACTCGACATCACATGAATGGTACTCAGAACCCAAAGATGTGAAATTTGAAGGAGTAAATGGCAATGAGACCAAAAATGAATTAGGATTATCCGTGATTCCAGATTGCGTTTTAAATATGATTAGCATTGGTTTCATAAGTATTTATCCCAAAGATCAGATAAACCCCATTGGCTATATATATCAGGCTCTCATTACAGCTCTTAAGTCTGTTGGGTATCTATCCATGCACTCAAACCTTCTTATCATCTATCACCATTCGAGTCCACACACATGCCCTTTCGTCACATCCACCCCCCTAATGCCTCTACCACCCAATCCGCCTGCACAGCACTAACCTTCTTTGCCCAATTACGCGTACTGAAAACATTTTCCAAGAACATAATCGCCTCCATTTTCCTTCCCCAGAGCACACTCTGCGGATGTATAACCACCGCATTCTTCCCCTTCGTCGTTACATAAGTTCCGTCCGGGGCCAACGTCGCCGTTCTATCTCCAAACGACCTCAGAAATGCTCTGATCAAACATTCGGCCCTTTCAGGGGTGGCGGGTTCAAACGGTTGAGGATCTGGTGGTGGAAGTGCGTCGATAAGACCATGGGTTACCGAAAGTTGGCGCAGCTGTTTACGATTCAGCATCGCAGATTTCATGGCTCGTGCGCTGACATTGCGGGATTTGCACCATTGGAAACGATTGGTATTTTCGGAGGCGTAGCGTTGCATGGTTGTTAAATAAGTGAGGAGATCGCCCTCTCGACGAACAATATCGGCGCGGTTGGCGTTAACCTCCTCTTCTTGTTCTTGAGATTTCGGCTGGATGAAAATTTCGGAATCGGCTGTCAAAAGGGAGATAACGTCAATGGCGTCGAGAACGCAGTTGAATTCAGGAGACGAAGAGGCGATGAGAGCTCGACCGTAGGCAGCAGGAAGAGGAAAACTAGCCATTTTTTTGCCGTGGACGGTTAAATTGCCCTCATCGTCAAGCGCTCCCATGGCGTTGAGTTGGAATATAGCATGTTTCATTGCTTCCACGTCTGGAGCATCCATGAGCGGAAAGTTAATAACATCTTGAACTCCGCGAGCTTTCATCTTAAGAACTGCCTCGAGCACATCGCAACGAAGAATTTCAGGAATTTCATCTTGAAGCCAAGATTCATATTCGTCCTTACCATATGCTCTCCAACATTTACCAGGTGCCTCACGACCAGCACGACCCATTCTTTGCAGGGCAGACTGTTTAGAGATTGGTACGACGAGCAAAGATTCCATTCCCAACTTTGTGCGGTATTTCTTAACCTTGGCCTTACCGCTATCAACTACATAACGCACACCAGGAACTGTGACCGACGTTTCTGCTATATTGGTAGCTAGTACAATTTTCCTTGTTCTAGGCTCCTTAACTGAATCGAATGCTAATTGTTGAGCATCTGGTGGAAGAGCACCATATAACGGAATGACCTTGATTTTTGGTACTTCTTTGCTCAGTGATTCGCCAAGTGCCTCAAGCCTTGTTTGCATATATTCAATCTCTTCTTGGCCAACTAGAAAGACCAATATGTCTCCAGGAAGAGGCTCCGTGACATGTATACTTGCAATCCTCTTAAACATAGTCTCTTGATAGTTACTAGGGTCGGCTGGTTTATCGTAGTATAGCTCAACCTTAAATTTTCTACCTTTGACTTCCTCAATGGCGACGCCAGTGTCTAATCCTTCATATTCTTTTATTTCTTCCGGTTCAACAACTTCTGCCTTTCCAGACTTCACAGCAAGCATCGGTTTGGCGGCTTCAACGGCCCTCTCATTATTCAGAAGGTGCGGTGTAAATATCGAGCCATAGTTATTCCCCGAATGATAAGTGGGATGTGATTCAGGTTTTGCAAAAAAAGCCTCGTATCCCCCCAAATCAAGGGTTGCACTCATAATGATCACTTTCAGTGGAATGCCACCACGGCCTTTTCGATCCCCGTGAACTATTTGTCGAAGAAATCCAGCGATAAGATCCACATCAACCCCTCTCTCGTGAATTTCATCGATAATGACAGCACTGTATTTTCTGAGGTTTGGGTCGTGAACCATTTCTTGAAGCAGAGTACCCTCGGTGATAAATTTGATCTTCATTCCAACAGGTGTGTTGGTATCAAAACGGACGGAATAACCAACCTTCCCAGGAGTATTGGTACGTTGATGTCCGAGGGCAGATCCCATTTCGGCAGCAACACGACGGGCTAAAGTAATGGCAGCGACACGACGAGGTTGAGTGATAGCAATAACCCCGCCAACTGAAATTTCCTCCTCTTGACCTGCCACGTTCTTGATCTTTACCTTCTGCTTCTTGCACCAAGGCTCATCGTGTATAAATTGGGGCAATTGAGTACTTTTACCAGAACCTGTCTCTGCGGTCAAGAGAAGAACATCCTTGGTGCGCAAATGGGTTTTAAGATCAACCAGTTTCTTGTATACTGGAAGAGATTTGCGAAATGGTTCGAGTTCCCTGGCCGTTCTCTGTAAATGCCTGTCCGGAAGTGCATTTTTGGCACCGTTAAACCCACCACCAGATTGGGGATTTGATCCTCGTTGTCCCTCCCTTATATCTTCATGAGATTTGACTCCATTGGCGCCATTGATTCTTTTTCCCGTCGCCTCAGGAACCGCTACTCTTGTTTCCCCCTCCTTCCGGGGCGCTTCTACCTCTTCCGCATAATGGAACTTTGTCAATTTTGCACTGCTTGCACCTTCCAACTTCTCCGATACAGCCACTAATTTCTTTCTTTTCGGATTCAATTTGGGACTTCCATCTCTTAGACGTTTCGTGCCTGCGGATTTCGCAGAATGGGATTGCGATTCCGACCTTGTCTGGTTGTATTTAGTTGATTCCACATTAGAAGATCTCGTCGGTTTCATAATATTAGAACCCTCACCGACATCATCACAGAATTTAATAAGAACCTTCTCAGGCATGGTGACGAGTGGATTCTAAAGTTCTGTTGTGGTAGGAATCCTCCAAGCTCTCAAATGTTGAAGCCGCTAGAAATGCTTCGAAATTCAATTCTCCATGACACCAAAGATGGACGCAAAATAACCGACAAATATCAGGAGATGAAATCTATATCATGGAGAAAATGATTGTGAAGAAGTGTCAAGGTCTCTATCAAATGAGCGGGAGTGAAGACTATTTTATAATAATGTAGCTAAGCCGATAAGTGATAATGGAACTTTTTTTTTCTGCCAAATCCCGCCGCCTGTATTTCAAGTTATAATTGGTGGAAAGAGTCAGCCTTGTCAGCCTTGCATAGTGAGACTAATAATAGTAACAAGGAGGGGCAGCCGTGGGCAGGAAATGAATTGATGGATTTCCTGCTGAGTACCCCTCGATAGAAAAAAATATTTTTTATAGAAATCCTCGTATCAGTTCATGCAGAAATCACAATTATAAATTTGTATCGAATAAAACAAACACCTCAGTGATACTGTCAACTCGGACGTATGCAAAATTTAATATCATAGCAGCGGCGATCACTAACACTTTTTTTTTTTCACCACTCATCCACGGAGTATCAGCCCAAGAAGTTATCCCGATATTTTTATTGCTGGCCACTTGATACTCATCAACGCTGGATACTCATTAACGCTGGCTTGAACAAAAAGTGGAAGATCATTATCATCACCACCACCGCAATCACCATCATCATTTCAACCAATCCTCCAGCAAAGCATGGGAAAATATGCACAGAACCACCGGCACACAAGAGATTCCCCATTCAAAATGGTACAAAAACCTGAAACTCCTACCTCGCCAGTACGCCTTGCCTGCCAGGTCCAAATATCCCAATTGATTGCCATGTGCGCATGGATAAGAGGTTAAGAGAGTCAATAAAAAGAGTTCGAATAAATCGAAAGTTGTGTTAGCAATTTGAGGTACTTCCAAAAGTATTTTGTTTTATGGAAAGTGTTCTTTAATAATCTCCCATGTTCCCATGCGAATGAAACTGCTGTTCATTGGCACGCCGCTCCACTTCTCTCATTTCCCTCTCTCTGTGCTGTTCAATTTCTCGTTGTTGATGAGCTTGCTGATCAAAAACTTGCTGCCGGTACTGCTGCAGAGTTTGCTGCTGGCTTTGAAAGACAGTAGAATCGTCCTGTTGAGGAATCTGAGGTTGAAAATTGTAATGGTGAACCGCATTCTCGTTTTGGGTTGGATCGAATGTGGGAGTTCTCATCGATCCGAACGCGATCGGGCTAGTTTGGGAGTAAGAGGGTGCAAATGGAGGCATATAGCTATTCGAGATTGACGAAGTTGCCCGCGATGAGTTCGGGCCCATGTAAGAATTCGAGTTTGCCGAGTTCCCCAACGAGTTAACTGAAAGAGGTGTCGGCTGGTGATCTCTGCTATTTGTAGGCGACCCGACAGCTATTGCAGGTGATACACCTTCCGCATTCGAATTATGCCGTAGATGTGTTTGAGGGCTGACTTCATTTTGCAATTGTGAAGGTGAAGTGGGGGTGTAAAGTCTTGCAGAAGTCATCGGGTTCGGACGCGTCGATAGATGCGCTGCTCTATGGCTCCCAGTTCTTCCTCGGGACACGCGACGTCGGCTTTCTACTGTCTCGGTCGTCGATGGTCTTGACCAGACTGGTGGTGTGCGATCGCCCGAGGTCATGCTTTGAGATTCCTGTGAATTGAGTGCGCTTCTAGCACGTTAGCTAATTTTCAGAGAAGAATTCACAGGAGCGTACCTCGGATTGAGGTGACCGGCTTCAGTTGAACGGGCTGTTGCACTCAGACGGTTTCGCATTTGATCCCTTTGATCCCTTTGATCCCGCATCAGCTGACGAGCATGCCTCACTATTATCTTCGCCGCAGCAGATTCCGATGGAACTTTATCCCGGCAATACGGGCAACTGTCATTCTCCTTAAACCATTTTTTGATACATATAGCTCCAAATATATGTCTACATTTCGGTAAACGTAATGGCTGTTCGCTCACGCCTTCGGGATTCTTTACGCCAAATTCGTTGTAGCAAATTATACAACCTAGATGTGGTCAGAAAAAGGTGACGATACTTTGGACTGGACTTACTTCGATCTTCTTCCGACAAATCACTGGGATTCAGAGTCTCGAGTGAGAGCAAAAACTCCTTGGATGGCATTCTTTTACCAGCCGCCCCACCACGGCCACGTAAAACGGCAGCCAAGGTGCCGCCCCCATTCGTCATATTAATGATTTGAGAATATCCAAGTATTGCTTCCAGGTTATCATCATCATCGCTATATTCAAGGTCTTCTTCATCGGTATCCGAATCTCTATTCAGAGGATCTCTGTTGGCATACCTGGCACCATAACTGGCACGAGCTAAAGTTGCTCTGCGTTGAACCTCAGCCAAACGCCGTGCTTGCCTGGCTGTCGGCTGATCCCATTCAGAAGTGCTGGCAGGAACTGTAGTATGTAAAGACGCATTTCCAACTAAAACTCTCGTTAGCGAACGGTCTTCGCCTCCTCCGGATTTGCCTTGTATGATTTCTAAAGTAGGAAAATATTGACAAAAGAAATGGCAGGCAGAGCTGGTTGAAACGACTGCAATAAGTTCTCAAGCTGTTCCGATATAGAAGTGAGTGTGTACTCACAAGCTTCTGAATTAGCAGCCGGGGAAGTATATAGATCCTGACTCTCTCGCTCGCGTCGTCGCTGTTGAACTATTCCCAGAATGTCAGCAATTAAGTGGTTCTACAACCTCATGAAAAGCAAAAAGGCTTGGAGGCGGTAATAATCTGTAAATGAAATCAACAGGTCAATCGAAATGGCAAGTTACCTTGTTCTCTTGAAACGCCTGCCACGCTGTTTCCCGTATAGGTCATTCCTTGGGGGTTATTATTATTGTCCGCTATAGTGTTTTCTTCGGCGAACACGGGCATAGGGCGAGGTTCATTCGGCCAAAGACCCGGCCAGGAGTGGTAATCGGCGGGGACTGACATAGGAGGGAACGGTCTACTACTACCCGACGGCTCTAGATTTTGATGTTGTGGGTCTTGAATATTGGAAAATGTATTGCCCTGAGCATGCGCATTCTGAGACCACTGTGCATGTTGTGTGGCATAACCGGTAGTTAAATAGCTTGGATTTGCACCGCCATAAGGAAATGAGGCCATACTGGGAGTGCCATACATCGAAGTGGGCATATTGAAGCCTTCTCGGTAGCCTGTCCAAGGATTCATGAGTGCTGGGTAATTGGGCCTGTGCATGCTATTACGGGAAGCTTGAGTATATGGGCAACGAGAGGCAGTAGCTTGCTGCAACGACGGCGCATACGGCATATCAACATCGTCATCCTCCATGGTATTATCCATTTTGTCTTATCAACCCCGCACTGATTCGTGATGAAACTCGAATAGATCTCAAAGTCTTCGACGATCTCTTGTAAAGAATAGTTGACTTGTTGTGTATGAATTGAAATTTGCTTATTCAAGCGTTGAAGATGCCCTTACAAGGCCGTTCAACTTGACTTTATCGTGTGTTGTTTTCGTTTTGGGGTAGCAATACGTGACAAGGCCCTTGTTCTAATTGATTGACGGAAACTCGTACGGTGGACGATCAGACGGTTTGGATAGCTCCGTACGAGGTCGAATGATTTGGAGATGGATTCAATCTTTCAAGATTAATGGTATAGTATGGTATAATATGATGGAAATATGAACCATAATACCAGGTGAAAGAGAAACTGTAGGTAGGTAAGATCAGGCGGGAAGGGGGTTGGGATTGGGTTTTGATGCGGAGCTGACTGAGTTATGGTCGCAACTGAATCGGGTGTGTTAGTTATGATTGACTTCTGAAGCCGAGAGCTGGGGTTAGTACAAATATGTAGGTAGCTGTGAAGGGATTTTCATAGATTAGGTAAAATATGAGGCAGTCAAGGAGGGTACAGTAGTAGTAAAATAAGTACCTACCTAGCCTTCTTCCAAGATGATGGATTAATTACTCGTATTCCACGCCCAGATTCCAAATTCCAAACGGGTCCAGCGATTTTAATATAGTTGCTGTGGAATGTGAGTGAAGCACAGAGAAGATGGATATCCCGCAGATTGATATCGAAGTGGAACTGGATTGGAATTGGGATTGCAATTGGAATTCGAGAGAAGAAAACATAAGATCATGACACGGCGAAAAGGAAAAGGGTAGAAAATCAACAGCACAAAAAGCGTTTCACAGTGATTGATTGTCCTATGAATAAATTGAAACCCTTTATGAGAGCGGGGTATAGGTAGCATGTACGGCGGGAGATATTAGGTAGGTAGTGATTGAAACGGCTGATTACTCGAGGACCTACTAGGCAGGTTAGAAGTTCAGGATAAACAAGGTTGGCTTGGTGAAGGCACAGGCCGGTGGGCACTTTTCTCAGTGGGAGGTAGATAAGTTCATAGATAAGTTCACGACTCAGGAATTCGATAAGTGATCACGATCATGATATGTTTCGGAGCAAGTAGGAAGAATGTCTTGGACTTTGATTTGAACAATGAAAATCATTTGACTGTGGTGAGGATGTGAATATGTATTATGTAGGTATGTGTGTATGTGTGTATGTGTGAAAGGTCAGACAGATAGCTGTAGGTGCTGGGTAGGGAGGTGGTAGCTAGAGTTGGTAGGTGGCTGGAGTAGGTAGTAGCTAAGCAGCTAACTACTAACTACTAACTAGTAGGGTTCATAGTTAGTAGGGTGACTAACTACTTAGGTATTGCACAAGGTTTTGTTGATCATCTTCTTTCACCCAGACAGGTCCGCATTTGCCATCCTCTTATCGATAACGATGCATGGATAACCACTAGGCTTACGGAGTATAAATAAAATAACGCTTCATCTTATCGGTCTGATCTCAGCTCATTAACCACTATGTACGTAGGTAGATACTTCCCTCCTTCCCTACTTCCCTACTTCCCTTCGTTTACTCAACATCTTCGTCGATGATGACGGCATACATACTTTTATTCATCACCAGGCACTCTACGCGACTGCCTGGTAAATCCCACAACATCCAGATGTTGGAGAGATGTTTGCTGATACTAGGTAATCTTATTCGTGGCAACGTCACCCGTTTAGATTGAAGCTCCACCAGCTCTTGGTGATTTGAACAGCCTGCCGTACAGAGTAGAGCCTAGATCATCATATTCAAATCCTAGCACTGCGATCAACGATGGCCTTGGGAGAACCCCGGGATTTGATTCTAGATGCACTGCTACCGTTAAGGTACCTGCCGGTATTGTGCCAGAAAGATCACCCGCGCATTGATCGATGAAATATTTATATGGGCACATTGTCATGAGCCCATCAAGTTGACGGAATAATAACTTATAATTGGGCTGAAGTAAATCTTCGCAGGTAGTATCCATTCATCGCTGATCGTTGTATGCTACGCGCATTTCGCACAAGCAGAGCCTCTTCCAAGGTATCGACCATATTGTGATGCCCTGTCCTCCGGGAAAAGAAAACATTTGGAGAAAATCGCGATGGGGTTATAGGAAAAGCACCATGGCCATACCATTTATGAATGGCGGATCGCGATATGAAGTCTAACTCTAAAACTAAGTCTAATGATTTGTCTACTTCGTTTATGAGTTGCAACTACCCAAGTGATTCGGGCTCCAATATCTATCTATATACGTCCATATCCATCTATTTATCCATCCGCTACTCGTTTTCCTGGTACGATACTTAGCTAAGGTCCGATTAGTCTCCAAAGGCTCTTTTGACGGATGGTACAGCCTCACCAAGCATGTAAGTCATATCGAATTCAGAGGCCATTTCACTCATACTTCCTCTTCTTTCAACCTCCTTGCCCGAAACATAACAGCCTTTAACCAGCCGCGAGGTCACACTTCCGTTTGCTTCTAAATGTTAGACAATCGATGCCAACCAAAAGCAGGGAGGAATAAAGGGAAAGGTCTCACATAACGTTCATGATTTACTTCCTCCACTTTTACCTTTTCCTGCTCCGATAAAAACACAGTTCATTTAGAGACAGCAGCACCGTGCCTTCATTTTTGGTGCTACACCCACCAGTGACCAAACATTCGACGAGTTATGTTTCTATTGCGTACCAAAGCGAGCTGCTCGCATTTACAATCCATTTTCCCTTTTCCGAAAAATGGAGCATTTGTTGCATATGTGATCATCCATCCCATTCCACGCTCATTTACCAAGCAATATCCCGGAACTGTGAGGGTCTTTACACTTTTTTCATTCCGTTATTCAACAACCAGGTCCTTGCAAAGACAACCCATCATATCATGATTCATCATACTTCCGGAATTTAGCTTCTCTGGTCATCGGCAAGACAATACCACTGGTATTTTCAATAACATCATATACAACAGCCCAAGCTAGAAATGCGCAAACATATAAAGAACCTTTCGTTATTACAGAATTATCTTACCCATCCTCATGCAGATGCAAAATGCAACAAGCCATCCCGTGAATCCAACCGCATTGCAGTGCACATGTACTGACTGCAAAAAGTCTCCCATGTGCCTGCCAACCCAGCTCGTATAACAACCTTCCAAGCTTATCGTGTATGAGACTACGAGTACGAGTACAGGAAAAAAAAGCAAGACGGTTTGGAGACATTGGACACCATACATTGCATTATTTCACTTCCTCTACTATCTACCATCTACGATCCACTCTGTGACTTGACAATTCGATATTCAGAATCCCCAGGGTAAATGCAAATGTATATTCAAGCTACTTTTTTTCTCTCCCTGAGGCTGTGGACCTGATGTTTGGTCATACACAGAAACATGTTCACCTTTTTCTTGATCCACAAAGGGATCATTCAGAAACAACAAACTGTTCAACAATCTGGATCTGGCCTGAAGTATGAATCTCACAATACGAATACTACCTGCATAATATTGGGCGATTCGATGGGAGGATCACTAATTACGCCTTGTGGAATAATTTCAGAGGTTCTCGTGATCAAACTTGCGAGTTTGTTCCCCCAAATTCATGTGGATATATGAATGCCCGTTGGGCGAGTTCTAGAAGGCTTATTTTTCGTGGCGACTACGAACAGAACCAGTAGCTTCCGTGCTACTGCATACCACCTAAAAAGAAACTCACCTAGTATGCTACATAGCAACGAGTACCTATTGTATGGTTTCATCGATTTCATCGATCAGATAAAGTCACTCTGACTCTGAAATAGGTACTCGTACAATTCGACGATATGTTATTCTTCACATGTCCAAGTGGATTGGAACACGGGTGGAACTTCAACCCAAGCATTTTCTCATCCCAGACTTTCATCTCTGACGTTTTTCTTACGACGTCGATATTTTTGTATTTACTGCACCCGCAGTGAATTTTGTCCCTTTATTTTCTCTAGTTAACACAATCGGGCATGGGCATGCTTGGATAAGTTTGGGAGCGTGGCGCGACGTGCCAACAGGTAATCGCATCGACCCAATTGAAATATATCCTTAAAGAAACCACCTCCTTTCACATACGACCATAGACTGAAGAGAATTGGGCATCCCGTCCGCTCTGCCATACACAAGCTTCAGATCGGTGGATTAGTAGTTGGGTGGGTGACCACCAGCGAATCCCCACTGTTGTATGTAAAATCGTACTTTTGCACATCAGACACTCTCCAAGTTATCTCCTGTTTTTGTATCCTTCTACTCCTAGTCGGAAGGGTGTCAGTTGACCTAACACTGATCCAATGCTTGCTCTTTTGTTGTCTTTTTGAATAGAAAAGACACCTTACAGGAGAGTGATGGAATCCGCTGCAAAAGATGTCAGTCAGAATCAGGAATGCCCACCTCCACTGCTAATGAATGAATCTTTTGATCCAGTACAAGAATTCACCATTACACAAAACGCAATGGGTTTCTGTGTTGATGTACCCTCGTAACTACTCGCTCATTCAAGTGTATTCTTTCATTTCATTCACCAGACTAAATGGATGAAGACTATGTTTATAGCTATGATGAAGGCGCCAATTAAACACTGAAATTTCATGGTATTGAGATCATCGGCTTGCTACTTGCCCAGCGAAGAACGATTAATAGATGATTTCCCATTTAAGCCCAAAATTCCTTGGACCTTTTCGAATATCACGAAAGAAACTTTCATATACCACACTTTTCGCCATATAGTGTGACTAGTCAATGGGGAGGTGAGGTGCAATACTATGTTTTCGTCTGTATAGAAGCGGTATTAATATTTGCGAATAATGACTGAGTTCCAATTTGCGATTTGTTTAATATATTCATTCAATTCAATCTCCCAAATATTCCCTCCATTTCATCCATCAGCACACCTCCCGCCTCCTATGCTCATGATACACATCTTTTAACGCCTGCCCTCCCCCCTTTCTACAGTATATATAGCCTTTGCGCACCCCAAATGAAGACCAAACTACTCTACTCACACATCTATATTGTGCACTGTGCGTTCGCCATTGAAATCGCTCATCCCGATACTGCATGCATACTTGGATCAGAACTGGATCAGAACTCGAATATGAATATCCTTCTCTATGGATGGTGATGTAGATGTTATGATTCACTACATTGATGGGTTGGCGATGGGTAGCACATCATCCATCTCTAGACATAAAGAGACAAAACATTGAAGAACTCTAACGTCACAACGTCTCAGGATGATTGTGGGTGTAGAGGGAGGGAAGATACGCCCTCGTTAGATATGTCTAACATCCATCCTTCCATCCTGTACCAAATCATCAAAATCTGCGTGGCTTTCACCACTGAGTTATGAGTTTTCCAGCGGATATCCATTAGGCTTTATCTTTGTCTATCTGCTTCCCTGAAGTATGTATGTAACTACTCGGTAGATGATAGTCGCTCCCGAAATCCGTTTCATCCACTTCTTTAGTCAAAGTCCTTGATAGTCACAAAAGCGTCGAATACTTACGAGACAGAGAGCATTTCGAAGAGGATATCATATGAAGATTTCAATTGGCAAACGCTGTATCTATACATAAAAACAACAAAGTGAACTAGGTATCCCACCCTCAAAAACCTTGTGAAACCCATGCATGCAACCAAAACTCCTAGATTGTAATGTGGTACGCTGCCGCCCCGAAAATCCCGCTAGCAACCATGATAGAGCATTTTTACGGTGTTTTCCCATGACTCAGTCTTGATCGGCTATTCCAATGTATTTTCGAATGGATTATCACGGTGTACTACACGCCGCTGGCAGTCTAACTTGTTGAGGGAAGTTTATGATGAAAATGAAACATGGTGATATTAGTGAGCACATGTGAACGAAGATGAATTTTAGTGAATGCGGTCCAATCTGGCTCTGTTCATAGCGATTTGATCGTCGACACGGTCGCTCTGAGACATAGTTAGCAATTATATGGGGCAAACATGAGTATATGATGACGTACCTTGCCAATGATTCTCTCGATGTGTTTGTTCTGGTCATCAACTTCGCGACCAGTGGCCTTAGCCAGTAGGTTCAATCTTCCAGCAGCATGGCCAAGAGCATCCAAGTTGGAGTCAATTTCATTCTCCATTTCGTCATCCTCAGAGTCGGCTTCGAATTGATATTTGGACCTCTCTGCAAGACTGGCCTTGGTGGCTGTTGCTCGATATCCAACATCTCCTGGCTGAAGTTCCCTGAAGTTTGCCTCCATTCTTTGTGAAGATGCAAAAGCTGCATTTCTAGTCTCCTCACGCTGGTCGCGTTCTGATCTATGTTTGTTGATAACATCCTCATCTCGTTGAGCTTTTCTTGACTTTGCCGTGAACGGGTTAGATACATGGACGGCGAACATACTCTTGTTGAGAGTTTTCAATTCTTTAGCCTTCTCCTCAGCGAGTCGGTTATGGTTGGCAGCGAGATCCAAGTTCTTTTCAGTATTATGGATACGTTCACCTTGTGCACCTAGACGAGCCAAAGTAGCACGGCCGGTCTCCTCAGCTTGGGCCGCGATTCTCAGTGCGTTTCGGGTAGATGAAACATCTTCTTGCTTCATGGCCCTGATTTGAGCCTTGGTTGCCTGTACATCTTCCTCTTCCTCTTCTTCGGCGGTAAGCTGTCTTTCTTCTCCATAAGCCCCATATCCGCCTCCAGTTGATGGGCCGGAATCTGACTGGGCACCATATGGCGGAGGTCGATCAGAGCTGGCAGCTGCCTTTTGTGCGTATCTATCCTTGGCGCCACCGAATAGCTCATTCTTGTTGTCCTCCGTCGTAGTTGTATCATTGCTCTTTGTTCGTCCCAAGCCACCATAACCAGCGGGACCATATTTTGATCCCGAATTGGCGGAGGGGCCATCGTATCGGTTTGCGCCATATCCACCACCGCTGCCATATTTATCTGATCCGTAACCACCACCGTTTGGAGCTGGAGCTCGAGGATTGGAGCCGCCCATTCCACCTCGAGGGCCGTCAGGGGGATTCCCGGTTCCTGGAGCGGTATACTGCTGCTGTCTGGCTGATTGATATGGAGATTGAGTAGACTGGGCGGGCATGTTGGCATATTTGTTATCTTGCGCGTAAGGATCGGCTTGAGGTTGTGGAGTGGCATAAGGATTCGCCGCCGGAGCAGGAGAGGAGTTCTTGTCTTTTCGTGAAAAGAGACCCATTGTGATGATGCAATGAGATCGACGATTATTTGGCTGAAAGGTAGGTAATTAAAGGGTTTCAATAGAGAATAATAAGGAAATGGAGCGAGTGGTGTATTTGTCTGAGAGGGAGATAGAAAGAGATGGCAATGAAGTATTGAAGTATGGAAATTCAAGGGGATCTGCGTCTATTCTTAAGTAAATGTTGTTTGTAGAGTTGAAAAGTTGTAACAAAGGGTCGTCTTGGGAATATGGGTCGAAGATGCAAATGAGTTTCAGGGTGTTGATCCATGAACAAGATGCCTGAAGAGTCGAGTAAGAGTGGGTGGGGCTTAGCCTGTGGAACCTCCGAGCGTTCCCCCCTTAGCCACTACGGAGTACTCCCATCCAGGGCCATAAGGATTAGCGGAGCCAATGAATTTCCCCAATGAATCAATCATCAACGGTGTGACTGATTCATCGTCTCGATTTATTATTTTATCAAGTAGAATCCTCCTCCCTACCTTATTATCCTAAATGATGCGAAAATAATTTAATCCACAAAGAGAAGTTATATCAACATGACTTCTACCATCTCAGCATAACTGATTTTCAGTTCGATACCTACCTAGGTACCTACTTCTTTCCACCGACGTCCAGTCAATCCTAGCTTTCTGAAGCTATCCAGCATTTCAGTAATCATTTCCAATACGAAAATCAAAATGGTTTTACTATTATTACACTCTTTCCGAATACATAATCACCATATGAATATCCATTCTTCCCCAGACACCGGGAAAATATTAATACGGCGGCGGCAGTCTTTGAAGAATCTACGGCTTGTTGAGTGAGGGCTGGCATATCCCGGGCGGTGACAATAAGTACCATTGACAGTTTGGTTATTAAAGGAGGTTTGGATAATTGGCTATTGGCTATAGGCTACGGGTAGCATTCAGTATTGGAAATGGCATCCATTTTTACATATGAGCCGGAACCCCCAAGGGTAGAATCTCCATGGTTGACTCCTACCGATTCTCCCAAACCATCAACACCTCTGCCGTATCCGAAAGCCCTACACTCTACCCCTGCGTCAAGTCATATTTCGGAATATGGAGTTACGAAATTGGAGGCGGAACCGCAAGAAGGTCCCACGGAATATAAATTGCATCTTTTGTTAAGACCAAGGAGGACTTACAGTTCTTCGAGCACTGGCTCAATCATATCCGGCTCTCAGCAGCACAAACAGCAACCCCTGAATCAGGAGAAAGCTAGCCCCATATTGGCACCATCTAATCAAAGCAAACAGAAACGTCTAGAACAGCTCACAACGCAATTGCTGTGGCGCCTGCAACAGTCGTCCCCATACCATGCATCATCTACAAGTGATCTTGTGTTACCGAAGTGAGTGCATAACCCTATATCGTTGATTGTATATTTGTGCCGGTGTGGCCGATTTTCAGAATAGCACAGTTAAATCTGGTGACGTTCAATTATGATTACTTGACTGTGAACTTGTACTAACTCCGATTGCAACAGATTGCCTGGCAGCGCAACTAGCTTAGATGCTCCCTCAAGGCCTGGGAAGCTGCTCGCCGGGCTCGAGGAAAGTCGTGGAGCACTATATGAAATTGGTGTCTCTGACGATGGCACATTTGTTGGTCTGACGAGCGATGAGCTGGACGAGAGTCTGATAAATCTCCGAGCTATGGCAGCTAGTCTTGGCTGCAATGTTGAGATTGTTCGGAAGGTAGTTGTTGGGGAATGTGAATGGCAAGAGACAGATGAAGCCACAAGATCTCAAATTCCGCAGCGAATCAAGAAACAAAAGCCATGGCTCGTCTTTCCTGAAGACCAGACGACATCAAAAAATCTCCGGCATCGAGAGAAATTGTGGGTCGCTGAAGCTCTGATAACTCCAGATCTCAGTTCCAAAGGAGCAAAATCAAGAGGTTACGATGAAGCCCCCGTCACTCGTCATGATACCCCCCAACCTACGATAGGCGAGTTTGCCGAGACCTCTCTTCCCAAACAAGAGGAGACAACTGAACAGTTGCGCATTACTCTGACCGGTCCCACCACATCTGGCAAATCAAGTCTTCTGGGAACCTTGTCTACCACAACGCTTGATAACGGTAGAGGTAAAAGCAGACTCAGTTTACTCAAGCATCGTCATGAAATTGCCACGGGAATTACAAGTTCTGTGGCACAGGAATTGATTGGTTATAAAGACTCACGGGTCATAAACTATGCTTCCGGCAATGTTACTTCCTGGACTGATATCCATGCCACAGCAGAAGACGGTCGGCTTCTCTTTGTTTCCGACTCTGCTGGTCATCCGAGATATCGCAGGACAACAGTGCGAGGCTTGGTTGGCTGGGCGCCACATTGGACTGTTTTATGTGTCGCAGCAGATGACGCGGCTTCGAGCGGAGCCGGAAGTACTTCTTCAGCAACAGAAATACTTGGCACGGTTGGGGCAGGAACTGATCTAGCAAAGGCACATCTAGAGCTTTGTTTGAAATTAGACAAACCTTTGGCTGTCGTGATCACTAAGCTTGATCTTGCTTCAAAACCTAGTCTGGCCCTGACACTGTCAAAGCTTCTATCTGCTATCAAAGCAACAGGGAGAACTCCTTCAATACTCCCGCCAGATCAAACCAAGAATATCGTTGACGCAGATCTCACCAGTATACTTCCCAAGGATACTGATACCGTTCGAAAAGTCATCAATACAATGGCCATGTCAGACCTCAGGTCCATAGTTCCTATCGTTCTTACAAGTGCAGCAAAGGGAAGTGGTATTCGCCAGCTTCACGCTCTTCTACAAGCTTTACCGATACCTACCCCGCCCACTCCTCATGACTATATTGGCATGGCACTCAATCCAGAACAACCTTCGTGCCTATTCCACATTGAAGATGTCTTTGGAGTACCAGCGTTCTACGATTCTTTGACCTCTAACAACAATAGCATCGATGCGGGAAGTGTAGTTGCCGGTCACCTTCGTTTCGGTAGGCTGTCAATTGGGGATAGTATCGTCATCGGTCCTTTCCCAGCAGATTCTTACGAGGATGGTTCCCCTCAATCTGATCCCAGTTCTTCGCCTATTAGTCTAGGTACCTCACTCACTCACCCTTCAGCAGCCGAACTTTCCAAGATAGCCTCACGGAATATACCCATTGTTTCAGCCACCAACGGCGAATGGCAAAATGCGCATATAGTCAGTATCCGTAATCTGCGTCTCCCGGTCCACACTATCGAAGCTGGTCAAATAGGCACGATAGGCATTGTATTCGATATTTCGGAAACCCTAGAAGAACACTCAGATAGTCCCTTGAAACGTTCTTCACAATCTGCTCCTCGAATTCGGAAAGGAATGGTCATGGCGATACCAAGTAAACACATGCTTCAAACTCATCATTCTCTCCAAGCAGCTAGTGGCTTTACTGCGTCGTTCGATGATGGTGACATTAACTCTGTCACACCGGGCACAGTAGTGGTAATCTACATAGCTAGCATCCGCGCCTCCGCCCGCGTCCTCAAACTAAAGCCAAATCTTCCTACGAAAGACATACACGCAGACACGGGGAGAGAAGACATCAACGATATTTTTGGTTTGGGCCTGCTGGATAGTGGAGACATATTCGATCCAGACGGAAAAACGAAAGATGAACCATTCATTTTTGGGACGGATGGTATTACAGATGTTAGTTTTGAATTGTTGACGTCCAGGGAATGGATAGAGTTGGGTAGTCAGGTTTTGGTTATGCCCGGGGGCGGTCATGGGTTGTATGCGGGAAGTGAGAGAGGGGAGAAGGGAATTGCTGGGTTAGAGGGTTTCGTGGGAAGGGTTGGAGAAGTTGTTGATTAACTCGTCTCTTGGGTTGGTGGGAGTTGGTTGTTGAACGGGTTCGTGTAGTGATGAATATCTGAAGTGTTCTGTTGGATGTCTGTTGTTGTCGGGATTAGAGGTACTTTACAAAGTCACAATGACAGAAATCTGAAATGTTTCTGATTAATGCACGTGCATATCATTATATATCTTCGGGGCCGCTGAGTATTTCTCAAAGTTCTAAAAAAAAGGTACACACCGGATCATTCTCTGATGTGTCTCTGCCATTCACCACACGATGCCTTTCTTTTTCTAGATTACCTAAAAATAAATAGTAAGAAAACCACAAGCCAGAACAAATAGAATTGCATAGAAACGTGAGAAGCACCCTCCACCCCCATTCGGTGTATAATTCTCAGTCTTTAATGTCAAACTTAACTCCAATCACACTGGAGCCTAACCTTAAATCCACAAGTCCGCCAGTCCTACAAAGTCAAATCATCACCCCGAGAATCTCCGTGTATCTTTGCACGTCCTCCAGCTCAGCTCCCTTCTTTGCCTCCGCATCTGCATCTTCATTCCACTCCCTTGGAATCCTCCAAAATGAAACTGATGTGCCATGAGGAGGTTGCATGAATGTTTGTGGCTCATCCAACTTCTGGATCTCATGTATCAGCTTCTTCCACAAATCTTGATTTTTGACTGGTTTTCCAGCGTTGGTTCGCCGGCCCCGCGTGTTCCAGCCGCGGATTCGTTCAGTTGCGCCCAAAACAACGTATTCGGAGTCCGTAGCAATGACGAGACGAGTCCAGGCTCCCATGCAATCACCTTGCCAGTAACGATGTTGGAGGGCGGCAATCACGGCGCGCAATTCGGCGCGATTGCTAGTCTGAGGGTGGGGTTCATCAGTTGGGCCGGTGTTTTCGAGTCTGAAGTTGACTTTGTGAGTTGGGGAAACGATGAGACCGCAACCGCCACGAGGATTGGCGAGGCCGTTAGATAAACAGGCGCCATCCGTGTAGATGAGTATTTCGTGAGGATTTGTACGTCGGATAAAACGATGGGCTCCTTGGAAAATCATGCTGGGACTGTCGGTAGACCTAGGTGGGACAAATTTGGTCATGGATGGGATGGATCCCGACGCGAAGGGTATTTCAGATCCGTCTCGAGAAACGGAGCTGTTCATTGCAGTGGGGTGACGAGGTGTGGCACCAGCAGAATAGAGAAAATCTGCCGAATGACCAAGTTCATCTCCAAAGTGAGCTTGAGAGAAGGCTCGTAGACCTTCATTCCCGGCATCTTCAGCAGCCTGTTCCTCCTCATTGCGAAGCTCTTGTACGAAGCTATAATCACAGCAACATATATAACAGATGATTTGACGATGCCTTTCGCAAATCAGAGTACCATCAGCGAGCTCGATAGGATTCCTGTCAGGAGCCCAGCCAGATGCCATGATGGAGATAACGCCTAGATCGAGATAATTATTGTTGTCATGGACTTCACAGACTCAGTTGAGTAAATCTCCTAAAATATGGGAAGATAAATCTTGAAGGAAAAGACGAGATTGAAGATTCAAAAGATGATTTAGATGGGTTGTTATAAGTGCTGTGCGACAAAGGGAAAGTGCCGCGGTTTGCCCTTACTGTTTGTTGGTAGGCAACTATGATTAGCAAATACAGAAAGAGGTGAACGAAAGTATATATATGATTGTCGGCTTGACGACACCAAAACCTTGTTATACATATAGTATTACGAATCGCAACCTACAAGGATCATCATATAATTCCTATACCTATTGGTGAGCTGATAGTCTGTGTACATCTAGCCAGATTCCCCCCGATTCATCGACATAGATTCGAATTTTTGGAAATCGTGATTTTTTATTGTATTTTTGAAACCAACTTGAAATTCTATACAACTTTCGTATTTACAAAATCTTTGAAAATCCTATAACGACCACTATAGCGATCGATTCAAACCTCTGCCCACTCTCAATATGATAATCTCTTCAACTCTTCAAAATTCTTTTAAACCTTTTTGAATAAAGTATTCACTTTTATTAACAAAACCAACAAAACCCAAAACATATTTGATCTAATCACCTTCCTCTTAGATAGCTATCTGAACTCCAATAAAGTAAACATTCTATTTATCAAATCTCGAAAATTGATTACAAAACAATCATCAAACAACACTTCGATACTCTTATCACAAAATATTACTGTTTTCAAAGAATTGTTATTTTTATTTTTATTTTTTTTACTTCCTTTATTTCTTTTATTTCTTTTATTATTATTTATATAAATATACTTATTATAATTATTATCTTCAAAGCTTTTTATACTTAAAAAGTCTTCAATTTAATTATTTTTTTTATAATTAAATTATTTATAAAAAAATCTTTTAATAATTGTTTATTTATATAAATCAATTGAATTTTTATTATTTTGAAAAAGATTTTTAAATTTAATATATCCTGTTTAAAAGAAATCTAAAAGATCACAATAGATTTCGTTCTTTGTATTAATTTATTATTCAATCTTTTAATTTTAAAAAAACAAAAAATTATTATATCTTCAATAATTGATAATTACAAAATAAAAGTTCAAAAGAAATAAACCATCTATTATTTAAATTATGTCTTCAAAAAAGTTATTATATTCAATAATCAATTCAAAATAAACTTTATTATAATTATAAAAAATATAATCTTCAATATTATTAAAGAATATTTTAATCAAAAGTTGATCTATATTATTCTATCTCAATCAAACACTTCATCTAATATATACTATATAATATAATTAATAAACTTCAAATCAAAAATAAAATCATTAAAAAAGAATTTGAAAATATTAAATATCAATATCTTTTTTTTTTCTTATTCAAAAATCAAAAAATATTTAATATAACTATTATTATTAATAATATAATACAAGATTATATCTCAAATCATAAATCTATCAATTATATAATTCAAAAAAATATATTGAAAATAACTATTTTATTAAATATAATATAATATATTTATATTCCTCAAAATATCTTCTATGATGTACAAGAGCTGAATAAGAGCTGAATAAACAGGGTTAATTATATTCCTTAGAATCTACAACTGAAGAACTATGACTCGTAAGGAGCATCCATATATATATACAAAATACCTATACGGTAGCTGCATGGTTGTGCACAACCTGCCTTAGGGTGACCATAATCCTATACTAAAAAGGGTATGGCAATGCGTCTGTGCTTCTGATTCGGTTTGGTCGATCACATATGCACATCGTTGAACTTCGCTTGTAAATGATGTAGCATATAATTCGAATCGTTTCTGAACCAGTAATTGCCACAAGTTAGCTTTCGGTTTGATACTATCGCTTAATTTGGTGATCAGATTCGTGGGTTTTGGAGTGTAAGATTTTCGATTCGAATAATTAGTAGAATATGAATGTAATTTGAACCAGTTAGATCGACTTCTTAAAGGGTAAAGATCTTAGTTCTTATATAGATCCTTACTTTCAAAAATAAAAAAAGAATTATCTAAAAGATCTGGTTTGTTATATCGAATGATCGATTAATTCTTTCTTTAACTTCGAAACTATCTAATCTGTTTGGATAAGGCCTTGTTGCATTTAATCGAGGGAATGGAGTCTCGAATATTATTATTGATCTGGTGTAACGATCTGGTCGAGGCAGCGGCTGCCTGAGGTTTCGTATGGTTGGTAGTTGTAGGTTAAGGCTAATAATCATTGGTTATCCATTCGAAGATAAATACGTTACTAGATCAATCGGAATATAGATAAACTAATTGATAACTAAATTGAGCACAAAGCTTCTAAATTATGAAACTATTTTGATTATATATTAATGAATATAAAAAAACTTTATAGAGTTTTAAAGCTTCAAAAAGCTCTTAGAGCTTTAAAAGCTTTCAAGGCTCTTAAGATTCTTTATTATATAATTAGGATCAGATTATATATCCAAGCTTGTTAAAGATGAAGAGATTATATAAAGCGATTATTATATATATTTATATACAATCCGTTTTGCTTTTCAAGAAGATTCAAATTTATATAAATAGATTAATTGTTGTCTTTTAATATATTATAATCTCAATTGTAAATTATAATATTATCCTTTTTTTAACTAAACATTATCTTAATTATTTATAACTTTTCAGATTTCATTTAATAATTAATATTTTTCTCTTTTTTATATTTTATTTATCTTTCTTCTTTTATTATAAATAATTCTGATTTTTTTAATAATTTAATTCAAAAAAAGAAAAAGAAATATATATATTTAATTATAATTATTGATTCTATTAATATTGAAATAATTCCTTATTTTAATTATCAATAAAAGAATTATTATTATATTAAAAATCTTTTCAATAAATATTATTTGTATTATTCAGAATATATATAAAATTCTGTTTCTTGTGATACTAAGTTTCGTTTGAAAAATGATTAGGATTATGAAATTCTTTGAAAATATAATTAAAAGAATTTTGATCAACAAATCAACAAATTGGATATTGAAATTGTTGAATCTTTTGTTAAGATTATTTGTTTTATTAAACAAAAAATACAATTCAAAAAACAATATAATAAAATATTATATTATAAACTCAAATATCTTGATAAACTCGATACCCTCGAAGAAAAAGAGCGAAATGAAAAAGATAAAGAAATTCCTGCAACCCTTCCGTCGCCTCTTGATCAATTTAATCAATTTGATCAATTACCAATTGACCCCACCAACCCTAACGAAATTTCTATAAACAAATTCGACTTTTTCAATCCTTTTTTGTAAAAAACAATGAATTCTCTTTCCTTTTGAATAAATCCAGATTCTATTAACGAAACTTCTAAAACTTTTTCAAATATTTAATCTTTTTCTCAAATTTCTATATATTTTCGAAATCGGAGTAATCTTTTTATTTTATTAAATATTTGATTTTATTTTTAATATATTTATAATCTAATAATTTCTTTATTTTATATTTGATATTTTGATCTATAGATATAATTTCTATTTCAAAAGTTTTTGATATTTTTGAGAATATTAATTCGAATAAGGATATATAAAACATTAAATATATATTTATATTTTTCAATAATATTAATTTATAATTCAAAGATTTTTTAATTTTCTTGATTTTGAATAATCCAAATTTCTTATAATTCAATTTTATATTAAATTTTTTTGTTTCAATATTTTTTCGAAATAAATAAACTTTATTTTTTTTTAATATTGATTTCTAATTATATTTTTGATTATAATAATATATATTTTTTTCAATAATAAATTTTAATTCTGTTATTATTTCTTTATAGATTTCTTTGAATCTTTTTATTTATATTATTACAAATTAGTTTTCTATTTTTGTGATTTCTGATTTGTAATATATAATTAATTTGTATTTATAATTGATATAATTTGAAATAATTTATATTATTTCCGATATTGAATTGTTGTATACGAATTGTACTAAAAGTAAAAGTTTTATTCAATTATTTTATTGATAATTTATATAGTATTGAAGATAAATTTTAATAATTTGATTTACTTTTTTATTTCTTTTATTGATTTATAAATAGAATATAATAGATATTTTCCTTTTTATTTTTAATAATATTACTAAAATAATTCAAAATTTCGATATAAAAAGTTTATCTTTATTAGAAAGTATTTCTTTTAATAATTTATATATTATAACAATTTTCTTCAAAAATATAAAGATTAATATTTTTATAATTAATATTGTTTAGTATAATATGAGTATTAAATATTTTATTAATCTATTTATTATAATAAAAAAGTAGTTATATATTATTTTTGTTATTAAATCTTTAGATTTTGATAATAGATTTATAACATCCTATAATATTGATTTTTATGATATAAATAATATTTCGATAATATTTATTTATTTATAAAAAATATAATAAGAAGTTTTATTTTTAATATAAATATTATATTCAATAATCATTTTATTAATTATATTATAAAATCTTAAATTTCAATATTATCTTTTGATTCTTAAATATATTCTTTATATTTTTTGATATTTGTAAATTGATAATATATATTATTCTATGATATATTTAAGAATGATATTATTTAATAATTATATTTTATTCTTTATTTGAAGCAATTCATTAATAATTATTAATAATTCTGATTATTTAATACTTTTTTTGTTTTATTATATTTTTATAAATTTATTCTTTTAAATCTTTATTGATTTATTCTTTATAATAATGATTTTTGTTAAATTAAAGATAAGATTTTCAAAATTGTTATTTCTTAATAGATTTTATTGTTTTTATAATTTAATAATCTATTCAAAGTATTTATTTTTGTATTATTCTTTTCTTTGATATATTTGATTATCAAATCAAACCTTATTAATTCTTTAGTTTATTTAATTAATCTATAATTATTCAAAACTTTAGTAATAATAAAAATTCGAAGATTTATATAATTTGTATAAATAATTACTAGGAATTTAGTTTTTTGGAGATAGATTCTTTAATGTTTTAATGTTTTTATTATAATTATAAGTTCCTTTTTATAAATATTATAATTTTGTTTTATTTTGTTTATTTTATTTGAATAATAGATAATAAAATGTAATT